ACAGTCTCGTCTTCTACACCGACGGGAGTGCAATCAACGAGAAAGTGGGAGCGGCAACAATCCAACACAATCCCAGGAAAACCCAGCAAGCGTTCCTAGGACGAAAGACCGAGGCAAACGTCTTCATGGCAGAGCTTGTGGGAATCCAGATGGCGCTGGAGATGGCCCAATTCCTCGACAACCAGAAGGTGACGATTTTCTCGGACAGTCAGGCCGCCATTCAAGCGATAGACGGGCCACACACCACGGGACAGCAGATCATCAGCTCGATCATCCAGGAATGGGATAAACTCCGGAGTCGGGGCGTCCATGTAGCCATACACTGGATCCCGGCACATCAAGGGATCGAAGGCAATGAACTAGCAGACAAGGCTGCGAAGGAAGCCACAGGATGGAGACTCACGCGGAATACCCGAGGACGAAACGTCCAAATAGACACGGACTTTACAGCCCCAAGATTGGAGGGCCTGAGACAACCCATGTCTGCACTCAAGAGAAAGCTGAAAACACGAGCCTATGAACAGTGGGAACGAAACTGGCACCAAGACACAAGAGGCCGCGCACTCTTCCAGATCATCAACACCCCGACCAAGAAAAACACAGAGATCCACACCAATCTAGACAAAGCGCTCTCATCTATAATAACGCAAATGAGGACGGGGCACATAGGATTAAGGCACTTCCTCTGTCAGAGGAAGGTCCCTGAAGTTGAGGACGGCCAGTGCCAGTGCCGGCGGGGGGAGCAGACCGTTGCACACATCTTATTCACCTGCCCCAGGTTTAAAGATGAACGCAACGTGTGGCGGAACGAAGGCACATGGTCGGCCAACCTGAAAAAGGTGCTCACTGATGGAAAACAGGCGGCGCGAGCCGCCAGATACATGCTGGAAACCAAGCTCCTTGGGCAATTTAGGAGCGACGATACGGAAAACTTAGCGGAGCACTGAGTCCCCGATCGCACGCGGATGCAACACCAGTCTGTGCGGCAGCAATGCGCACGGGCAGGCACACTTCTAACCAGATTTTACCTTCTCTCCTACCTTGAGAGATATACATTTTAATTTCATGTACATAAGGTCGAAGCTGGCGACCGTCGATTAGGATACAAGCCGCATAGCTGCCTTCGGGGCGGCTGGGCCGGTTCGGATGACGTAATCAATCAATCAATCAATCAATCAATCGACGGGGCCAAGGCGGATGCGGAGCTGACTCATGGATTAACAGACTAAGTTAGCGCCGCAGTCGCGCTCACTGCGGTGGAAGATCGATTTCATGGTGCCTACAGAGCGGTACAAGAAACGCCGGTCAATCACCCTGACCGTCCTACATTTGTCGCCGATTTATCTCGATTCTTACGCAATAGTATTTAAATTCACGGTGTGGAAGTAACTCATTTCTGGTCATTTTGTTGCAGGGTCAGTTCTGCGCCATCTCCATAGCAGCCTACTAATGGCGATATGACTTCGAATGTAAATCACGGCCGGCTTCAAGTGTCACGTTTAAGCTTGTCTGTGCACCAGTAGTTTAAACCTTGAAGGTAATCTCACCTCACCTCACCTCACTAAATCACGATTGAAATTCCGTTGCTGATCTTCATATCGCTATATGGCTGCCAGTCATTCGCCTTCTTGCTGAGTAACTCCCGTCCTGTCGCGAAGCTTGTCGAGAACATGTGGAGGACCATAGACTGGTACGCCCTCTTAGCCTCGGTCTCCCTCTCACACCTACCCATTCACCTTTTGTCAAGTTGTGGACCTCAATCGGACAAACGCGTGGACGAATCACAGTCTTGTTTTTGGAGGGAGCTTGGTGTTTTTGTTTGTCGAAATTGTTATTGCGGACGGAGTTTGGGTTTGGCGGTTTAGCATCGTTGATTGGCACGCTCTAGCCGCTGGCTAATTTGGGACGATTGGCGTGGTGGCTCGCCCAACCACAGCGCGTCCTCCCGGTGGTGAGCAGCAAGTCAAGATTCGGTGGGCACTGGCTCGACCTAGCCGCCCAATACTACCAAGACGTTCGAGCCACGCAACCCTTCTGGGGTCCCACTTCCCAACGTACTTGCGTAGACTTCAAGCACCAACATCAAAGCGATACGGCAGAAATGCAAAACAGGAGATGTCTCTTGATTCATATCATCTATCGACGTCTGTATCTCTCCATGGCATTATCCTCAACACAAGTGACGAGGCCCTTAATGATTTCCTGCGTCATGGGTTCCGGGTCCAGCAGTGTATTCCACCCACCAATAGGCAGACCATTTGACAAGCATCGGAAATTCCAAATAACTCTGATACCACAACTCCAAGCATCGCTCTGTTGTGGAGTAGGCTGACTTCATGTTATTCATCATAAATAAAGTTGGGGCAGCTTTAACTTACGGCTTCTTGGTAAGAAAACCTTAGGCGACCAAATTCCTCTTGCACTAGTCTTGATATCCGGGTCTGGCCAATACCGTCTCTATCAGGTAGTGAGTCATAATGACGAATCGCCTGTTCCCGTTCATTGATTTCCAGTAGCGTGTAGTGGCTGTCTGTGTGGTTGATAGGGCAAAAGTACACCAATGGAACAGGATCTCCAAAGGTATCCTTAGCCAGTCGTCGGTACTTCGAAATCTTCTTAGCCCACTCGGCCAGCGGCCGTCTAAATGGTCGGGTTCGCTTCACTGGTTCAATCTCAATGATCTCATCTAGTGGAATGCTTTTGTCGTGTCGAACAAATGCTGGCCGGTCAAATATCTGCATGGCCGCGAAGATCGTCCAGGCGTCGAGCCGTTGGCCTGGACGAAGGTGTTGAAGTATCGTATTTTCTAACTCCATGCTTCCATTCACCGCCAACGTGTCATTAGGACTGAGTGCGGTCTGGTCCAACACTTTGGTCTTGACTCGTTCAACCAAGTGATCAACAGCAGCATCCAGTTTGCCAGGGGGTAGGGCTTCCTGTTTCATTTCCCCAGTTAGAAAGCCCGATACTGCTAAAGCAATTACTTACATCCTCTAAGGGAAAGGTAACTTGCAATTCTCGGGCCTCATCTTCTAAAATCAAGCCCGCTTCCTTTAGACTAGTAAGAAAAACTCGAAAATCCGGCGAACCGATGTTCACAAGCCGCTCAAGCTGTGGGCCAAGGATCTGGAGGAGCTTTATATGCTGGGGATCTGCTTGGACAGACTGAATCAGATCATCCAGTTGATTCATGCTCATCTTAGTGTATTCCCTAGTTATTATCAGCGGAGTAGAAGTTATCGACAAGAATGTTGACTTACCATATTTTTCGACTAAACAGTATCCCAAATCCTAGATTCTTGACCAGCTTCGTACTCAATTTCTGGCCTCTGCTAAGTTGCACGCTGAAATGTCTCCTCTGCTGGCGTCTGTCACTCTTAGTGACGCTGATAGGACTACCCGTTAACTCTTGGCTTGGTTCGACTTGGTTCAATGCAACCATTCCAAGCCCACTGATCCACCTTCCTTCGCCATCCACGTTCGTTGGAGTATTTTGCATCTCATCCAACACATGCATCGTCGCCCCTCGACGGTCCACCTGCTTACCCTTCTTGGTCAAGATCTTCCCTTGGGCTCGTCGCACTTGACCATCATACCATTCCCAGGCTCCCATATACTCCAGCATGTTAAAAATAGTAACTTGGCGTTGCCGGGAGGATCCCATCTCAAGTACGCGTACCCATATCGACCCATCGGACCATGCATTACTAGTAGACGCGGCAAGTGCCTCCGGTTGGCTGCCTTGCAATGACTGGAGGATTCTCCTGTGCACATCCTTTGGGACGCCATCCTGGTGTTGGCTGAGTTGGTAGAGGGTCCGGGCAGCCTCGGCAATCAACTTCTGGACCGGTGGGGCTTCCATAATGGAAGATTTTGGTATAGATGAGCGGGATAAATCGGGGCTCTCAGCTAACGCTGGCACTTTTTCTCGGTGAATCTCCTCAGTTTGAGGCGAGGATCTATCTTCAATCTGGCTTGCAGCTGGGGTCTTTTCGGCAGGCGGTATCAATTCGGTCAAAAGGTCCGGCATGGGGTTTCCGGATTCACTTGATTCTGGAGTCCTCTTCAGTACCTCCGCGTCCAATTTAATATTCTCGCTCGCCGTGGTCACTGTACGGCAAGCTTTATCGACTTCCGCAGCGTGCCCTCCTACCTCGCGGCGGTCAACATCGAGGATGGATTCCGCATGGCACGAGGAACTGTTGATCTTGGTAGACTTCGATGGACGATAGGAGGGATCTAGGTCTGGCTTTCGTTTCGAAGGGACAGCCTTCGTATCAGCCGCCCTTGCGGGTGAGCCGAGTTTGTTACTCCCTTGGATTGTTCCCACAATGGCTTGTGCGACATCGGGGGCTGTCTCGCAAAGTTGACGAATAATTATGCGGAACTTGTGAGATAATCAGCATGTTATTTATCTCAAGGAAAACACGTACCTTTGGCGTTTCCTGGAGATCAAGGATTGTGTGGGAAGCAATCAGAGCAACAACTCGTTCCAGTAGTGTAATGAGTTCATCTCTGATTCCTGATGTCTGATCGTGGACAACAACATTATCAGACGACATGGTTGAAAGCAAGGTTAACTCAGGAGAATATCGGTGATTGCTAAGGGTAAAAGTGACCGGAGAGAAGGAAGGGGGTGGCCATACTTATAGCCGTGGCACTGGGCGTCCTACCATCCTGGCCGGGCGTTCCAGCATCCTAGGATGGTAGAATGCGAGCTAGGGGAAGGTGGTCAGCAGGGTGGCTGACTAGCCAGGGTGCCTACCAAGGAGAGTGCTTGGTTGGCTATCATTGCTCCACCATCCATCCCCCAGTCGAAGGCAGGACACGGCCTATGGTCATATTAGTTGGCCGGCAACATCCTGTGCGCGGCCCCATCACCAGGGGAACCAATAGATTCTCCTTAACATGGTGCAAATGCCCCTTATATAGGCATATCCTCAACCCAAACTGCCCGATTTACACTCTCCTGGATCATTGACGTCAACCGTAGGCAAATGGCTGGCCAGGAACTCTCATCAGAGCGTGGCGATGACAGCCATTGCAGAGCATTATGGCACCAGAGGCCATTCGGTCCTGCGAGTTGGCTTGGACTGAAACCGCCGACGGTAAACAATTGCTCTTAGTGCCCAGTTTGTTCTCCAGCGGGCGATGTAGGTAGCTAGGCAGAGAGAGCACAATGACAATCCAGCATCCTAGGATGGTGAAAAGTCGGGGCCGCTTGCCACTAGGTGAATCTCCGAACGAAGGATCGGTTGACATTCCAGGCAACCAATTAGAGGCCGGTGATGAGGCTATGACTGCTGCGTTACTGGAACACATTTCGTCAATCAAGAGGCAGAGAACCATCATGATGTGCAGGCAGCAGCCAGGCTGGACAGGCGCCTTCGTTTAGTTTTCTGTCTTAGACCTTTCCTGACCCTCCTTGGCACACTTGGTCCTGGGACACGCTCGTAGTAGTATTCATAGACTGTCCCAGCCGCCCTAGTGGCATGCCTTATTTGGTTCGTGCAAGCCCGCAACTAGTTCAGCGACCGTGAGCTTATGAGGGGCTTTAAACTCTACCGCATAAACTGGTATCTGGCGCTCGTCAGCCACGACATGAACACAGAACTGATCAGCGCGGCGATTGCGTCCCCTTCCCGAGCGAGCCCTCTTCTGACTCTGTGCCACTTGTTTCCCCCTCCCTTTTCTTCTACCTCTCCCGCGGTCGGTGTTTGTTGTTGGATGGGGCGCGTCACTAATATGAATCTGCTCCAGAGTGTCATCCAGCGAGCTTGAGTTTGTGCGGTCATAAAAAGCCACTCGACCCTCAATACCAAACTCCTGTCGTAAAGTTTTATCGCCTCGTAATGCCTCAATAATCGCTTCAACAAAGTTATCCACAGTATCTCGCTCGAAATTCCATAAGGTCGCTTTTGAGAAAATCGGCTTGTTCTGGATATTTGTCGCAACATAGTCTATCTGGGTATCGGAAGGAAACAGCGGATGCGAGGTAAAGTTGGCTGTGCGGTCAAGGTTCTTCCAGATCTGCTCCTGGAGCTGAGAGAAATCAAGACAAGGAACGATGCGCTTGGGAAATAGTCGGTTGACCGGGTCGGTCACGCCGCCTTGGGTTGTCAGGGTCGCATTTGTCTCAACTCGGATCGCCTGTGATAGGGAGTCGTGGCAACGATGGAGAAGGTTAAACAGAGTGTTGGGTTGCAGTCGCCGTTCCGCTTCTTTTGTGTCGCCGTTTTGCCTCTTTTCGTAATTCAGCAATATCGTCCGGCATAGCTAGCGATAAATCTGATTCCAAAGAGCCAGCAGAAATGACCTGCTGTTGGGACACCATGCGTGACACAAACAGAACGGGAGTCGGTATGCGGCATCTGGGCACCTGTTTGCGCCCGATTTCTGATTACTAATCTCGAAGTCCCGTTAACTAACGTAAATCCCGGTCAACCCGATCTCCCGGTCGACCCGATCACCGTAATATCCCATATAAAATAGCCTTTTTTTAATGCTTCATATCTCAACCATCTTAGTCTTATATATGATATAACGATGTATATAGGCTTTATATATATAGCCTTAATATATATTCTATCTATACCCCCTGAAACCTAATAGTTCTTCCAGTAATATAAATTACGCTGTATTTTATTGTATTTTATTATATATTTATATATCTAGAGTATTAAAGTGTCTTAGTACTTAAAAGTGGGCCTAGGCAGGCCTAATAGATAGTTATACCTTAGGTACTTTTTTTAAAACCATTGGATTTAAGGTGGTTGAGATATTCAGGGTTAAAAATGGCATTTTATATGGTGTATTGGGGTGATCGGGTCGACCGGGAGATCGGGTTGACCGGGATTTACGTTAGTTAACGTTCATCCCCAGGTTATTAGAGGTCTATCAACAGATTCCTTATAATATTCAGCTAGCGATCTCTCCATTGTCAACTACAGTATTCACAGCCACATGTCATTATTTATAAGAATATTAACCCGATCTCTTGCTGAGAGTCGTACACCAGTAAACCTGTATCGCGCCCTGACTTCTCCCTGGATACTGCTTCGAGAATACCCTCGTCACATCTGACCATGATCGACCTTCGTCCTTCCTCAGCCTCACCAGGAGGTCCACCTCTTCCGTGGACCACGGCATACCCTTTCTCGGGTTCGTTTGGACACTCTTGCGAACACTCCGACTTTGGTCGATCTCAGGCCGGGGCCTTGAGCGGCGGCTTTCCCGTGCCTTCAATTCTTCACATGCTGTTTGTGAGGTGTCAGACATGCAGTGAGATAGTGCACCTTCAAATAGCCAGGATAGAAATTGCAAACGGTCATCCAGTGGTAGAGACGTGAACTGAGACCGAAGGGCAGCAAAGGAATCTCTGGGTACTGACGTGGAGCGAACTCGAGGTGGCTTGCGAATTCCGCCGTCAGATTTTCGTGTTTTTCGCTTAATCTGGTGCTTCCCATGGTTATCAGGTGAAGGCTGGTCTGGTCCGGTGCCGGGCGAGGGAGTTTGCATTCGTTGGCCGCCATAACGACTTCCCTGAATACCGCCATTATCACTACCATCCCTTTCGCNATTCTTCACATGCTGTTTGTGAGGTGTCAGACATGCAGTGAGATAGTGCACCTTCAAATAGCCAGGATAGAAATTGCAAACGGTCATCCAGTGGTAGAGACGTGAACTGAGACCGAAGGGCAGCAAAGGAATCTCTGGGTACTGACGTGGAGCGAACTCGAGGTGGCTTGCGAATTCCGCCGTCAGATTTTCGTGTTTTTCGCTTAATCTGGTGCTTCCCATGGTTATCAGGTGAAGGCTGGTCTGGTCCGGTGCCGGGCGAGGGAGTTTGCATTCGTTGGCCGCCATAACGACTTCCCTGAATACCGCCATTATCACTACCATCCCTTTCGCCAGGCACTTCAAAACGGCTAGCTGGACTGCTGAGAATGGCTGGAGGTTCAGGATACAGGCAGGTTGTCTCCGGATTAGTGATGCCGTATGCTAGGGGGGCATGTAGCTGGAAGTCGTCACTCTCCCAAGGCCCGAGATTGGCAAGAATCACCGGATCAATGGGGATGTTGTCTTGGAGGGAGTCTGGTATCCTGAGGAAGTCCTCTAGACTATCGGTCGAGCTAGATGCACTCGGAGATGGGACATTACGCGCTGCGTCATCTTCCTGGAACCCAGGCGGCTTGGTAGGGGTTCTAGTCTCGTCCTGAGCATAGCAGGGGCGGATCAGATCCGGAGCAGGAACATGGGGCACAGAACTCTGTCGAGACGCGGTACTACGCCCGAATGTCTCTGTCTCCAGCTGGGTGTTGGCACTGACATGCACGCAGACTTCGGCCGGTGGTCGCGCCGGTAGGTGATGTTTGGGAGGCAGTAAAGTGCCTGGAAGTAGAACATGACAGGGCTCAGGTTTAGGGGTATTTGAGGTTTGTGGGGAGGACGCATTGAGTGTTCTGTGTGGTGGATACGGTTTCGCGGGAAGAGGGGTCCATGGCTTGAAATTATTTATCTGAAATGCAGGAAGCATATTGTGGGAATCGGGGTAGTTTTGGAGGTGTAACACGGCGGTAGAGATGCGGTTTGAAGGACGAGAGAAAGAACGGAACTGGGGGAGGAAGGGCAGGCTGTGGAAGAATCAACGTGAGATGCCCGAAAGTCTCGTGGGGCCCAATCGTCCCCTTATACCTCACTCCTGGGTCCGTTACTGTCCAGCATCGCCAGAAGCGGCGAGGCAAAATCCCCTTGCCCGCAAGATCATGACCGGTCTGCTGACGTGCCCACGCTCACCTGCGTACGCTGGGCTGAAACCAAGATCTGGTGCCTGGCCCCAATCGCATCTCTTGACTGCAATTCCAAGCGTCGCATGCCCAAGACACGGAAATAAAACGGATGCGGCAATTTTGCCATTGGCTGGTGGAGCAGGGTAGGGATATGTGATCAGATCCCAGTGGGGTCCGGAAGATGGCCGTGGAGGGGAGAGATGCAACCCTGTTCACCCGAGCGGCACCGGCAGGCTGCGGGACAGGCGTGGTAGCTGGACGATCCAGAAACTGCCCTCCCCATGTCGGATCTTGGAAGCCCATGGCAAGCAGTGAACCAGGTTCCTCATATCGAAGACTGCACCGAGGTAGAAGGAAGGGGATTCAAAAACGGTGCGAGGAAAAGATAAAACGGGCTGACGGGAAGTGTTAGCCAAAGACTCCCAGGTTGCTGAACGCCGCGCGGAAGGTCCCCAAATCACAAGAGTCAGTGACTGGGCAGAATCACAGGTGGTGGATAGGCTCATCGACCAATCGAAGTAATGGTCACAAGGACTTCACGTCTCAATCGTCCAAATAACCTGTCGTCGACGCCGCAGCTGAAGGGGGCGAAGCGAGGAAGGTGGAGATGGCGCTGTGCTGGAAAAGGAGCATGTCCGGATAACGCGGCATCTTGAGAAAAAAAAAAGGGGGCGGGGGGACAGTGCACACTGGGCGCCGTGGGACGGGAAGAGGGAAAAGTGGAAGAGAGAGTGCGTGGTCGTTCGAGGGAGGGAGGCCGGGCTTATATAGATGCAGCGGCAGCGTTGGGGCGGCAGGGGCAGGCACGTAAAAGCGGCGAGACTCCACGCTATTCTCGAAACGGCGGGCGCTATACCGCAAAGGGCAGTGGGATGCCCGTCGACGGCAGGCGGTGGCGGGCGGCAGGCGGACGGTGCAATGGGGGGCCGTTTCCAGCGCCCCGCTAACCGTGTCATCGGATACTGCATGTTTGCCTTTGATGACTGGCACTCAAAGCTACCTGTTATAGGCAACGCCATCAAAGCGTTCTTGGAAGAGTGTTTTGGATGTCTATATGGTAATGGTCAACAGCTTTCAGCGGCCGATAGAAGGGCACTGGCTCGTTGGGCAAGTGTCCTTATGCTCATGCAGAAACGCACAGTCAAAAGGAGAAGATACTTTTAGGGAGCATGACCGCCAGTTAGGCACCCAAAGCTGCGTGTGCTGTACACGACGGCTGGGTGGATCCCGTATAGGGTTGGCTAAGCTTACACTTAGCACCGGCCCGGAGATGCTAGCGCCCCTTCAGCCCCAGCGTTCTCCGGGAGTCCGGGAGCCCGGGACTATACAGCGCCCAATCTCCGGCTTCGAGTGGTATAAAATGGGGTATATACTCCGTCGTACACTGCTCGTCACCACCATCATCAACAATACCCTGGGCAGCATCAGGACTGTGATCATCGGTACTTTCAATTTGTCCTTCCACGATGCCCATCGCTATCGACCAGGCCTTCCCTCCTGCTCCCAGCTTTACGGAAAACAACATTCCAGACCTCACTGGCAAGGTCGCTATTGTTACAGGATCATCCTCGGGTGTCGGCTACCAGTCTGCCGCCATCTTATATTCGAAGAATGCCACCGTCTACCTCGCGGCGCGCTCCTCGGAAAAAGCTGCCAAGGCCATCACGGCGATCAAGGACTCTGCAGAATGCGCAGGGAGTCGAGGCACCCTGAGATTCCTGTCACTTGACCTCTCTGATTTATGCAGCATAAAGGCTAGCGCACAAGAGGTCTTGCGACGAGAGACTCGACTGGATATCTTGATCCACAATGCCGGTGTTATGAGGCCACCAGCTGGCAGTACAACCATTCTGGTATGTCCGGACACAGTGTAAGGGTCAACGAGATAACGGGGCTAACATCGCACAGGGACATGATCTTGAGATGGGAACCAATTGTCTCGGCCCATTCACCTTCAACGACCTCCTTCTCCCACTCTTAAAACAAACCGCGGCAAATGCCCCAAAAGATAGCGTGCGAGTTGTATGGCTGTCCTCTATTATTGCTCACAGTGTTGTACGCGGCGGATTTGTGTTTGACGATCGAACCGGAGCACCTGCGGTGCTCAAGGACCCCATGGAAAATTACATGCAGAGCAAAGTTGGAAACGTCTTCTTTGCCAGCGAGATGGCCAGACGTATGGGCAAAGATGGGATTCTGAGTCTGGTTGGTCTCCCCCTCCCCTCACATGTGGCAGTGCTGGCACTAATGCACGATAGAGCGTTAACCCGGGTCTTATGAAGACTGAGCTACAACGACATGGTGCTCCCATTATTAGTACTATTATGGTAAGTCGATGGTCTCGCAGATCGAGAGCCACGAGCTAATAGCAGGTGTAGGGCCTCGCCTTTAAGCCTCCTCGCTATGGTGCATACTCTGAGCTTTTCGCTGCCCTCTCCCCTCAGATAACAGCCAACCATAATGGAGCATTCATCATTCCTTGGGGTCGATTTGGACTGATCCCTCCCCAAATCAAAAAGGCATTGTCGCCCACGACCGAGGGTGGGACTGGTGTAGCAGAGAGATTCTGGGATTGGTGCGAGAAGGAAACGGCTGCGTATCGGTGAGCCAGGTGAACCTGAATGTCGTGTACGCCTATAGATTGATCGATTCAATGTATGTATAATACTGCCAAGCTAGACATGATGAGAGATGATTCTACAGTGAGCCATCGTGGCTGAGCCATAAGCTAGCAACGTAATTGCGGCTGGCGCCTGGGCTTGTGGTTTTCTTGGCTTCTTTCAGCTGGCTCTTTTTCCTGATCTTCAACTTCTTCTGGACGCTCCTTTTAAGGCGGGGGAATCTCAAACTGGAGTCATGGACTCGGCTACGACTTCCTCACCCGCTACCGCGTTCCAGCTCGCCCTTACTCCAATGGACCAGGCCCGGGCTCCTTCTCGAAGCATTCTATCCTGTACCTTTTGTCGACAGAAAAAGTATGCATACTCCATCCACCACCGCCAAATTTTCATATCCTACAGCTAATCATCCTCGTCAGGTTGCGTTGTGATCGCCTCCGCCCGTGTAATAGCTGCATAAAGCGTGGCCTGCAATGTGTCTATGTCAACCCAACCCCTGCTCCTCGCAATGGCCCCGCTCGCTCAACCAAGCATCTGCAGCAGCGCATTCGACAGCTAGAGGAGCTGGTCGATGTCCAGCGCAAAATCGAAAGCACACCTACTAAACTAGGCTTTGAGAGCGAGAGTCAACATGGTAGCTTCGACGATGCCATTGTCAGCTCTCTTGGCAAAATTCACGTGGGAGAGGCAGGCATGAGCTACGTCTCTGGGGCTCACTGGGCGGCTCTTCAAGATAGTGTACGTTCGACCTATCATTGATCATCATCTTCTAGTTACTGACTATATACAGATTGCAGACCTGAAGGAGTGCCTAGAGGCTGATTATTCCGTCAATCAGCCTTCTCAAAATTTCCACGGCCCAGCACTTTTGATAGGAATGTGCCCGCCAAGTGATAAGGACGAGATCCTGGAATTAATTCCTCCAAAGAACGTAACCGACCGACTAGTGTCGCGGTTCTTCAATTCCATGGAGCCGGGTGTTGGTAAGTAATCCTCTGAAAATACGACGACCTTTCTAATGAGCTCACTATCAGTTGTTTTACATGCCCCTACATTTCAAGCAGAGGTTCGTCCTCCCAGCCTGAGGGAAACACCTACTAACTCTACCAGTACAACCGCTTCTGGGATAATCAACATGACGCCAGCTTGACATGGCTCAGTCTGCTCTTCAGCATCATGAGTCTAGCCATATTCGTCAACTGCCGCGCCGAAGGCGAGCCGGCTAGCCCCATCCCCAATCCCGAGGAAATGGCAGATGAATTTCGACTCCAAGCGGCTTATTGTCTAATTAGGGACAAATACACAAAGCCATCCAAGTACACCATTGAAGCTTTACTTTTGTACGGGCAAACTGAATACTTTCGCAGCCCAGATTCACAATACGAGCTATGGGTGCTATTCGGAGTTGTGATGCGCTTGGCCATGCGTGTTGGCCTCCACCGAGATGGTTCTCGCTACCCCGGAATATCATGTTTCGAGGCTGAGATGCGGCGGCGCATCTGGGCTCTCATGTCCCAGTTGGAATCACTGTTTTCCTTCCAAATGGGGCTACCACGAATGATCCACAAAGGCCTTTCCGATACGCAATTGCCTCGCAATTTATTGGATAACGACTTTGATGAACAATCCACGACACTGCCAGCCGCTCGCCCGGAAACAGATTTTACCGCAGTCTCGTATCTGATCGCAAAGGGTCGAATTGCTGACGTTTTCGGTCTGATTACAGACCATGTGAATTCCACGCTTCCAGGCTCCTACCAGTATACCGTTCAGCTGGATCGGCTGCTAAACGAAGCCTATGCCGCTGCCCCGTCGAATCTACAATTCCGTGGTGTCGGCCAATCAGTAACTGAATTGCCCGTGGTTATTATTGGTCGATACAACCTTGACATTCTCTATCAAAAGGCCCGTTGCGTACTTCATCGAAACTACCTATACGATGGAAGATCGGATCCGCGGTATGCCAACTCTAGACGGATTTGCATTGACTCGGCCATTAAACTATTGCGGCACCACGCAACCATAGATGCTCAAGTTCAGCCGGGAGGAGTGTTGTATTCGGGTAGATGGTATCTTTCCTCACTTACTACTCACAATTTTGTCTTGGCCGCCATGCTCCTATGCCTCGAACTGCACTACATTTCTGAAGGCTGCGGCCAAATAGTAGATGGAGATGTCTATTCCAAGGAGGAGCTCTTTTCCACGCTACAAACGTCGCGGCAGGTCTGGAGCAAATACAAAGAGAATTCAATAGAAGCCTTGCAAGCCTGGAGAGCAATCACCGTTATGCTGGAAAAGCTGGACGGATCGACCGCTACAACGACTCCAATCACTGACAGCCACGACACGTCATCCGAGGACAAGCACAGTGCGGACGTTGGGACGCAGTTCACTTCTCCCCGTAGGTTCCTCCAAGCAATTGACCTCCTGCCCTAGCTAACGAGGAGTAGAAACTGGAGCCGAATCGAGTCTCTATAGCCCTGCACCTGCCAATCAACCAAATTTTGAAAATTCCATGGCATCGATGATGTGCGTCCCGGACGATTTCATGATGGACAACAACATCTGGGACTTTTCTCACAACATTGACTGGGTAAGTTCACAAACCGCTAATATCTCATGACTAGAGATGTCTGACATGAAACTATAGGTCCAATGGGACGCGACAATGCAGAATTTCGACATGACAGGGAATAGGGCTGGTATGAGGGCAAATCAGTAAACGTCCTTGGCCACGATCATGACCAGCATGCCCTAAAACCACTCTACGCGACTCAACAACTGTGGATACCGACTGTATTTCGTTACTAAGCCATGGTAGAACTCCTCGCGGCAGCTTTTGCATATATGTTCTTCTTAGCGTGTTAGATACCAACCCCATTCTTATGACTACAAGATCCCAACCCTAATAAATATGTCTCCTCTCCTATGCAGCAAGATTCATTATTCCACCCAGATCTAGAGGCGTAAACCAGCACAGGCATAGTGAAAGCTCGAGTCTTTCAAGCCTATACAAATGATACACGCTTAACGGACGCCAGAAGCTAGCAAAACCTAGCAATACATAAACGGATTAGATCTCGTCTATATGCCTCTAGCTAATACTTGATGTAAATATGTATCTCTTTATAAGATGAAATGTACCAATCAATCCCTCCCCGGACTCAACCTCCAAGCCCTCAGCGGCAAACTTTGAAGCTTCAACACAGCAGGCTTGATGAACATGACAAACGTCACGGTCCCAATGATCACACATAGGATGTTCGTCATGTAGTACCCGTCCCGCGTGACGTTGCAGGTGCCGCCGCCGTCCAAGCACCGAGCTTTATCTTGTTCGAGCGCGCATGAAAAGGGTGAAGTTACAAGGTCACCCTTTAACGTTTCGGCGGCGGGCTTCGAGGTTGGTGGTATGCAGGTGGCGGATGTGAGCATGTCGACCAGTTTGAGGATGAAGTAGCGTGGGAATGTGCCGCCGAGGTTCGAGACGCTGGAAGATGAATTAGCAAGTGTGAGCAAGAAAGCAAGAAAGAAAGAGAGAAATCTAGGTAGATGAGGGACTTACGTTGCGAGCATGGTCATGTAAGTACCGCCAATGGCCGGGTCAGAGATCCGCGCGTGGAAAGCCGAGACAGCCACGAACATGACCGTGTTCATAAACGTCGAGAGAACATGCTCGAGTATCACGGTCAAGAGGTACCAGGCCGGGATGTCGGAGCCGGACGGATAGATCATGACCGTGAACTGAGCTAGGACGGCGGCGGCAAGTCTTCCGACGAAGGCCCAGCACCACAATCGCATGGGGGTGTACTCGGTCGACCATTTACCAGCGTAGTAGCCTAGACCGATCTCAAAGGGAAAGTCGATGAGAACCACCAGCGCCATGTTATCCTGGCCGAAGCCCTTGTCGAGTAGTTTGAGACTGGTAACTCCGTCATTGGCCTGGAACCCGATTTTCGCGATTAGATGCACGATGATGATCGTCTGAACGTTTTTGAGTTTTAGCACTCTCCACATGCTGTGGTATACAGCTGAGATGCTGTCCTTTTCTGACACCTGATCTTCCTTCTTCATGAAAGCCAAGCAGGTGGTCACGACCAGATAAGCCCAGCCCCAGATTGTAAGGTATGTCCCTAGAGAAAGAAGGCCAGTTTCTGCAGGCGTGGTGCGGAACCAGCGATTCGCAAAATCCTTGGAGTTGAAAGCCAAGAAGACCGTATACGACAGAAAGTGACCAGCCGTCAGTCCGACAGTCTGCGCAGTCGATGCATATGAGATGTTCGGCGGAGACATGAGGGTGATAGCCCACCCGTCCACAGCAATATCCTGGGTAGCGCAGAAAAACACCAGCAAAAACCACCAGTATGTGAATTTCCAGACACCAGCCCCGCCATTGGCACCAGCTTCTATCATCATCTCTTCAATATGTTTGCCCAGGTAGATCATTGCCAGTCCAGCAATGACCTGTATAGGAGTGATCCAACTCTTTCGCCGGCCAAATCGGCGGCTCCATACCGCATCCACAATAGGACTCCAAAGTAGTTTGAGCGAATACGGGTATGATGCGAGCGAAAAGACACCAATTTGTCCGTAGGAAAGATAAGGTTTAAGCAGAAAGGGGACCGATCCCGTAGCCAGTCCCATAGGAACACCCTGCAAAAAGTATAGCAGACAAAGTAGCAGAAAATTTCTCTTATCGCTTGACGGCAGGTCGGCAAAGCTCGTCGTTGCCAATCCAGGCGTTTGAGGGGTCACCGGTGGATCCTGGTCAAGGGAGAAGCTTGTCCTAGACATGAAGCGATCTGCTCGCGCGGAGACAGTGGACTCGGCGGAGGTGTCCCGCTTGCGCATCTCAATGCCAGAGTTCATCTCTTCGGGAGCGTAGCCGTTTTGGCCAGTCGCAACGCTGAGTGTCGGCTTCGAGCGACGTTTGGAGAGCGTGTGGTTCTTGCGCTTCATCTGGGAGCTACGGCCACGGTGGGAGGAGGATGACGGTGCGTCGCCAAGGAGTCGCGTGCCAGGGTCTGAATTGGAGTGAGAGGCGTCGGATGCGGAGTCTGAAGGTGAGAGAGATGGTCGTTTTCTATGTTCTGGCGAGTGGAGAAAGGATTGATGTTCTTGTTTATCTCTGCTGCATGCTAAGGTTTCGAGCTGGACCTCATCGGTGTCTGGCGGATTGTAAGGGTGACGAGAGCTGTAGCGAGCCTGGACATGGAGGGAAGATAAGGCAGAGGAGGAGACAGAAGGACGGCGGAACGACGGAGGATGGACCGGACTATCCTGACTCGAATTGGACATGCGAGGGGAAATGGAGGAGGCAGTGGCGGTTGTTTCAGGATCCAAGTTTCAGGCAAGCTGGCCTCAAGTGGAAATTCTCAGGGTCCGCAATGAAAGGAGCCGAGGAGGCCACTGGCTGGACCCTTCGATCTGCACGTCTTTTTTGACTTGTCGTTGGCTCTGCAGGAAAGCAACCACGTCATGCCCAAAGGTACTCAACTCAATGAGCTGAGCTATTGAGTTGAGCTGTCTCCTCTGCTATTTGTTCAAATTCTCCGTTGAGGAACTCGGAGACGCGCATCGCGCTCTACGCGGATGCAGACAATCCGAAATCGTCCCCTCAAAGGTCTGATTTCTTAATGATCTCGAATCCATGGATAGAAAAAAAGTGGTAGCCATGTTCCTGCTCATAATTTACCCCAGCTTTTTTGTCCAAAAGTAATAATAGATTGGTGATATGAGACAAAACGAATATAGTCACGTGAGTTCCTCACCAAAACAATCGGACGCATTCAGCGGTCCTCTAAACAAAGATCCGCCTCCGACCAGACAAACATCACCATGAACCTGAACGACCCCGCAACCCAGGCAGAAGAGGAGCTGGACGTCGAGATCTCCTCCATTCGCCGCGAAAGTCAGTGTCATTCCTATGCTCGTCAAGCAACACTAACCGTCAACCCACAGTTCGCAAACTGCAACGACGCCGCCGCTTCCTCTCGTCAAGCATTCTCTCCTCCGCCTCGCTCCAGAAACGACTTAGCAGGCCAAATCAAGCGCCCAAGCTCAATCTCTCGAATTTGAATGAAGACATCTCCCCCGTCGTCCGCGCTGCCGGGTCCCACGCATATTCAAATCATCACCGCATCGCCTTCTCCACCACCACATTTCCATTCAAAGATCCGTCACCGACTTTTGACAACGAAACCGATCGCTCAAAAAATCTACTCGGTGCGCGCATCGACGTTTGCGTTCGAAATGGCCGCTTCACGAAACCTTACTACCTTCTCCTACAGAAACTCCGGACGGACGGGCACAATCATGGCAGTGTGCGGGTGAAGGTTCATCGACACACAATACCGGCATTCATACCAGTCGACCGATTGGAGCGTGTATTCTTACCCGGAACACACTCTAAAGCCAGCGCCGGCGATGGCGATGGTACCGAGGAGGCGCAGCCACCGATGAAAGGGAAACAGGGAAGTGCGCGAAAACAGGATCTCCGCGGATTCATCCGCGAAGTACGACGCCAACTAGTCGCGTGGCACATGCGTCTAGATGCAGTACATTATCTTCGCGATCAGATAGGCGTGATTCGGCGGGGTGTGGATGCATATCCAGATGAAGAGGAGGATGGGCCATGGGAACGGGATATCCCTATTGATACCGATCTCGATTCGGGCGTTGGGGATATTCGTCTGAAGCGGAACGAGTTTGGAATTGTTACGCTTTCACCGACGGCGCTGGAGGCTTCGTATATACGGGTAGAGTGGGAGGATGGGCGGGTTGGGAGATTCAAGATCTCAAATTCGGGCTTGGTTGAACGTGCAGTCGTTATTGGTGATAAGGGCAGAGACAAGGCGCTAGAGGCCGCGCTTACAGGGGGTGATAAGAAAGTACTCAGTGTGTTGAGTCGATTGAAGATGGGAGCATTGGCAGGCAGTGATAGCAGCCCATCCTCGTTAGATTCGGAATAGCCTACCGTCAGGAAACTGAGATGATTGAGTCCAAGTCAGGATCATATTTTGTAATCTGCTGAGCTGATAGCACCAACAACGTTTTAAAAGTTGAGTGTATCTATTAAACAAAGCATCGGCCAGCATAATCCACCGCGAGCAGAGCTATCCACGAAAAACAAGGTGTAAGACAAAAGCCACCAGGATGACAGCAAAAGGTCGTGTACAAGGAATCGAAGAAGAAATTACAAGATAGAAAAACCAATCACAGGCCAAAAGGCCAAGAAATTGAGACTTTATGAGAAATGACTGAGATGATCCGCTGATGTAAATGCTGCATCTGAGAGTGCGATATATGAAAAAGGGTATCAAGTAGGCGTCAATTCATAAGTTAGAGCAAAGGTCATGATTTCTGACGGAGTGTTTCTGAATCCTGGTCGGTGTCCACGACGCATATTGCAGAGTCGCGCGTTTCGGATTGCGTGTCTGAGAATGAGAGCGGAGGGAGGGGACCGTATGGCTTCTCGTGTTGATCTTCGAGCTTCTTGCGGAGTATAGCTTCCTCAAGGACCCATCGGTGACGGAGTCTGGCCTTTTTAGCGTCGAGTGATTGCACGAGAGTCACTTCTTCCTGTTGATGGGATTTCTGGAGTTCAGACCATTCAACGGTATGTTTATCAATTAGGGCTTCGAGTTCCCGGTTCATCCGAGCAACGGCCTCTTGCAGACGAATCTCCTGCCGGTCTCGGAGCACTTTGATCTTGGCTTCATGAAGTTGATCCATGGCATCGTAATCGTGATATTCCTGTGCCAGCTGTGCCTTTTGCTGTTGTGTGAAACTGCGACCGGTCGTCAAGTCGGACCCTGAAATGGATGGAGATCGCGAGCTTGGAGGGCTTGAGCTGCTCAAATATCCTTCCATGTATTTTATTCGTGTTCGGGAGTTTGTTTTGGCCCTTTCGAATTCCCGTACTTGCTCCATCTCTACCACCAATTGCCGTTCTTCCATGCGAGAGGCGTCTGCGATATTCTAGATAGTGTTTAAGAACATGAAAGAAGTACAAGTCGCTTGGGGGCAATACCTTCTCACGCTTCTCATCCTCAATATGACGGTTATGCGCCAATGTCTCCTCCACCTTTGTTTGTTGAATGCGCCGCAGCTCACCGACCAGATTATTTTGAAAGGATACATGTCGATTTCTTTCCATTGTGTGAGCTTCGCGCAGTTGTTTCAACTCGGGATTCGCAAGACTCCGCAGCAGAGCCTCGTTGTCGAACACGGGGACCTCGAGTTTCAGGACTTCTTCCTCATCATCCTGGGCAAGCGATCGGCGTGAGGTGCTTGGTTTTGATTCCACGTAGAGTTTCTCAACACCACTTTCGCCCTTGGTAAAAGTGATTTGCGCGGCTGGAGGAAGAAGTACCGTAGAGGGGGTCCTTTTCTTTCGAAAGTGAATTTTTCCAATCGCGGACTTGATACTTGAGCGCCGTCTTTCCTTCTCCTTCTTCTCGCTGCCGTTTATCACGCTCAAAAGCGAACCTCGGTGTCCAAAAGGTCCGATTGTAATTGTGTCGGTTCCTTGTGCTAGTTTGCCCTCACTCGAGCTATACGAGGTCGGGCGCGTCGATAGCGAGGCAATGGATCGAGTGCTTCCACCCTTGGCGGGATTTGATGAGAGGGTATATTCGGAGAGGGACGAGCCCAGCTGATCGAGAGGTGCGGATTCTTGGATTGACGAGGCGTCGCATACCGAATTGCGGTCGGTCGAGGAACTGGAGGAGAGGATCGGAGAGGAAAGATCGACCATTCCAGAGGCGATTGAAGCAGCAAGCGACGCCACAATCTCAACATCTGGAACTTTGAGCCCTAGTTGTTTCGCATCTTCCACCAACTGCTGTTCCCGCGCGCTCTCCTGCTCCCCGGACGAAAGTAAAAGGACATCTCGGCGGTACTGATCATCATCAATACCGGCAAGCTTCGTCGATGCCATAACACAATTGCAGGCCTTTTCGTTACCAGGAACACATGGAGCGCATTTATCGTCAACAGTTTTATCGGACACGGACATGAGGCGGCAGGCGAGAGGACAACCCCCCTATAATGCAACAAACCGAGGCGGATGTTGAGGTCGAAGGGAGTGCTAGGGAAACACGGGATGCGCAACACTCATCGACTCGTCCACAGTACTAGAAGCACAGTGGACGAGAGAAAACCGTTCCAGAGCAGCATTCGACTTGCGTGGGGGAGAGAGAACTCGAGGGTGAAGATGAGGGACGAGGTGGGAGGGATAACACGAGAGGGGAGCTCAGCCGTGGTGAATGGAGCTTTGAGGGACAACCTGATTCGGGTCTGGAGGCCCGCTCTCTTAATTTAACGCAGTTTAGCAGACATTAATTCTTCTTCACATTAGTTTGATTGTTGGGTACTGTTTGCGATCAGGACCCGCCTGACCAAATCATGATTACGCTGCGACCGACCGAGCGCCTTCACTGACGCACTGACGGATCACTTACAGCACTGGACCTGCGGCAAGGAGGAAGAAAATTGTGTGCGTTCTGATCCTTGGGGCAAGAGAGGAATTATCGACTCGAGGTCCCAAGGAACCGTTGGCTGCCAAAACAATAGGGCAGAGTTATCCTGTCCCCTGCCGCCCTGCGGGACATCGACGAGAGCCATGGTTTCAGGCTTTCAGCCACTGCATCACCATGGATCTGGCTCAGGGACAAGTTACAATGGGCTGAGAACGCTTCAGAAATTCGAGAGGCACACCTGCTGCTGATCTCGAGCAATGCTTGTCCGCCTCGAGCAACTCACCGCCACGAGATACATTACAGTATTTGACCTCGCTTCTCCTTTTTCAACCGAGAAAGCACATGCGTATTGAGATTTGAAGTTTGTTCTGCTTCTACTAGCAAACCCCGAGGAGCAGTGATAAGATCCCGTGATCTTCGAACTCGGAGTCTATAATGCTTCCCGCTTGACGGATCCTCCGAGGCTCGAGAACGCGCATCACAGCAAAAAGCCTTGGTTCACCGCGTTTCAAGCAAATCCGGCACAGATCTCGACCGAAGAAAAATTGACTCGAATCTCGATAGGACCTAATATCGGGGCAATCATTTCCCATTATTCAACATAGTAACAACCATGTTGTATGCTCTGTCTCGTGCTTCGCGCTCAACAGGAGTCTTTGGGGAAATATTCCAAGCATGATTGCAACCATCCATCCGTTGGGAGACCACTTCTCGACCCGAATCCTGCCCTATTTTCACCGCTAGTCTTTCGGCTTCCGGCGCCAAACCGTCTCCCGCTGCCGTTATTATCAACACGCGATTAGGGAAACGCTCGGGCGGCGCATAGTATGGCGATATTCGGGGATCTTTCGTGTTATGCGATGACGGAATATAGCACTTATCGAAGAGCCGGGCAAGTGGAGCCGGAAGAGGTTTGCCATTAGGATCCGGTGCGGTCTTCGAACTGGGTTGCGTATAAAGATCCACAGGTGGGTAAAAGGTGAGGACAGCACAGAATGTCTCTCGAGGGAAAAGGGTTGATGAAGCTGCAAGAGCAAGATTGCCCCCTGCGCTGAAGCCCGAAAGAGCAATCCGACTGCGGTCGAATTTCTGGGGCTGTTGTAAAACCCAGTTCACCGTGTCCTCGACATCGTTGAGCGCTGCAGGAAAAGGATGTTCCGGTGCGAGTCGGTACTGGACATCCAAGACTGTGTACTCGGTCCTCTCGCTCACCAATCTGCAGAACTCGTCGTCCGCACCATGGGCAGGGAGCACAAAGCCGCTTCCGTGGAAATTGATGAGAACCGGAGCCGGATTGGAGGCTGTTTGGGGTCTGTAGACATGCGCTTTGATATTTCTTCCAGAGTCCCGAGACTGGATCTGGTAGACCTCATCAGGCTTCGCGGCAATGGGCGATAGACGTCGCGCGATAGTTCTAAGCACAAATACCAGCACTTTGCAATAGATATATGTTAGGAAGAACATATTTGTTGTTGTTTGCCAACTATATGGCCAAAAGGTGTGTAAGGATAGAGGAGAACAAGAGGAGACCCAGATACCCAGCTGGGTCCCTCGGGGGGCTTTAGTAGTTATCAGCTACCAAGTATTTAGGCGTCCCAGCTGGGTCCTCGGTTGGCTTTAGTAGTAGTTATCAGCTACCTCGTATTTAGGTGTCCCAGCTGGTTCATCTTTCTCGAACGCCTCACAGGAACAAATGCACCCACAACCGAGGTTCAAATATCAAGGAATAATATACACTTGGAGTCAAACCATGGTATAATACAGAATAAGAGTACCGAGCTCTTGTACCGAGCTTGTTTGTTGACATTTGGAGTCGCTGCATTTGCATTACATACAGGAAACAATCAATACTCTTTCAATCTAGAAACGATCACTGACATAAGTCTTGGACAACAAGCGAGTAACAGTGTCATATGAAGTAGAGCAAATCATTCAAGGATTACTTTGTAAACCGTCCTGATCTCCTGAAGGCTCGTTGGCTTTGGATCATGTGCCTGGGCGGCTGACTACACCAGGTCGTGGATATAAATCACGCCGCCAAGTTCTATAAAGAAACTGTCTATTGCAACGCGTCCGACAATGATCCTTCCACGATCAGCGTGAACCAACCAAGCCGCCCCATCCTCCTGACCATCGCTTTCCATCAAGCTTCCTCCATCCAAGTGTCTTTATTCTCACCCAAGCCCCCATTTTCTGACACTTTCATCGATATCTGGGACCCACAAATCTGTGGACTGCTCATACAGTCGATTACTTTCCCCGGGACGCATGCAGCGACCGGACCTGCGTTATGCCTTCTCCAACCCAGGTCGGGAACACTAAATTCACGGTTCTGATCCGCCTACCTTTTCCCAGAGGCGATTTTGTGGATCCCCCGCCTGTGGGTGCTCAGATTTCGCGTAATAGTATGTGATCGATCATTGACTTTACCAGGTTGAATGGAATGCTGCCAAAGACCAAGCCCTGTGGGATATTCTGTCGCGACCGTCAAAGGGAAATGACATAGACTGTAAGCCAGGCCAATGACCTTTTGCACCGGGCAATTTCAGATGACTAATAAGCTGCAGGGAAAGCACTGTATGGTACATCCTCCTCTTGTCCTAGCAAAATATTGACCCCCTTCAGCGCGGAGAGCTTTGATGTGACTCTTCAGTTTTTACTTCAGCAGGCAGCATGGCTATATCATCGGCAATTATCGCAAGTCCGCGCGCAGATGCTTAGAGTAGGCACAACTCATTCAAGTACTGCGTCTCCGGTGCCCGGTTCTATCTATGCCAGCACAGCGCTTGGACAGCCCACTAGAGCCGGTCAAGGCAGCGGTAAGATTGCAATTCCAGACTCGCCCTTTACCTTATTAACGCCTCTTGTAGGAATACGAGCTCCCGTTCGGCTCGTATCTCAGTCGAAAGACACTCCGCCACTACGAGGTAAGCATCACAGAATTTTCGTGCCATCAATGTCAACAACTGGATGTTGGAAGGGCGCTAAGGGAAAAAAAAAGCCCCGATGCCTAGACGTACTAGCTCTGGCACTACCGTCCAGCAGATCAAAGGTCCTCGTGTGCCTTCGCAACCTGTAACCCCAACCCTGGAGACGAAGGAGCCTAGATGGGAGAGCCATCACGACCGCCGGCCTTCGACAAGCAGGCGCGAACAAGCTCCTGCTGCAGCCACCCTTTCCAAATCACCCACTCTTGAAGAGGAAGATTTTATATCAAGCTCATCCGAATCGAATTCCGATCCCGAAATTGATGCTTCATCCCGTCGAAAGGGTTTTGGGTTCAAACGATTCGGACGATTCTCAACACATAGACCCGGCTTGCGGGAGGATGACAATGACGACGATGACGAGTCTCCTGCTTTCCTGCCTCTCTCGCGGGGTCTAGTGTCCGCGTCCCGGGGCGCTTCCGGTCACGATCTCAGTGCTACTCTAAGGATGGAACAGGAAGGAATCGCTGCCTCCCAGCGGCAGGTGACAGAGCCAGCTCAAGGTTTAAGAAAGTCGATGACCACAGAATCATCTGGCAGCTCTGTCAGCTCTGGTGTACCAGTCAGCCATTCAAATACTCAACTTCGCAGGCAAATGAACCATCCTAGTCCTAGACGAACTGCTGAATTAGCTCATATGAGCCCTCGACGATCGACTACTTCGGGTAGAGATATTAGTGATGGGACCCCCAGCATGGGCAGCAGCTTTAGTGACCTAGATGGTATGTGGCCCTCTTGAAACTTTGTAGCTTTCGACTTCGCCCTTGAGCTGACACTGACACGTCTGTCCTAATTCAGATACAAGCGTCACAGAGTCCATGCTGCAAGATGCGCTATTGAACAACATGCAACATGGTGGTATGGCGAGTCGTATGAGCACAATTAGCCAAGCCCTTCGCAGTCGCTATCTACCATAAACGTCGCGCGACCGTCGTTCGGGGCAACATCCTAAAGCCCGACCCTTTATTACTACTTGTAATCAGCGAAATGGATGACACTTGTAACCAATCCTTTGCTGCTCGACCAAAGGCTCAGAGGTGTCAGCAATTCGCTTTTTCTGGTCGACTTAACGAGACATCCACAGCGCGGAGCTGACACCGCCGCAAGCCTGCAGAACTTGGCCTAGTATCATGCTTATTAGGTCTATACATTAAATTGGCAACACCAAACGTTCCGCGTTTTCGTCGACCAATTGACCCACACAAAACTGGCTGGTGACTTGGCGACTCCGGACCACCTTACCTAGCTCCTTAGCGAGCTCGTATTGATGACAGTCTAATGCACACTGCTGACAATCTTCTAAGTCGAACAAAGATCGATGCTTCGGACTTAGTCTTAGATGTATCTTGAGCTTTTCCTTTTACTTCTCCATTCCATCTACACAAAGACATCAAGCGCACCGGGATGTATAAAAGCGGACCGAATCTCGTCTATGGCCGTTACCATCGCTATAAACAAGCAAAACTAGCACATCTGAGAAGCTAAGCTTTCTACAGTTCTTCTGTTTACACTCATCACTGCCCTCAAAAATGTCTTTCTGGACCTTTGCGCCTAAGCCCAAGACTCCGTTGGGGTTCCACCGAGTTCTCGCTCCAACTGCGGGTGTCAAGGTCTCTCCTCTGTGCTTGGGAGGAATGAACTTTGGTGAAGGATGGTAAGATCATGCTCAAAAGTTGAATATATACACTCTACTCACACTTATACAGGGAGCATTTCATGGGGAAATGTAAGAAAGAGGAAGCATTCGCGCTAATGGACTCCTTTTATGACTTGGGGGGTAATTTTATCGACACGTATGCTACATCTGTGCTTATCTATGACACTATATTCTCCTGTCTAACAATTTCGCGCAGAGCCAACAATTACCAGGAGGGAGATTCTGAGAGATGGATTGGGGAATGGATGGAAAGCCGCGGAAACCGCGATCAGATGGTGTATGTTTCTACACTCGGCCTTCTGGAAACATGATACTAACCGGTTGGGGCTAAAAGGATCGCCACCAAGTATACGACTGGATTCCGCGAGCCTCACCTTGAGACTGAAAGGATCCAGTCCAATTTTGTCGGTAACTCGGTGAAATCGCTGAAAGTGTCAGTTAACTATAGTTTGAAGCATCTACGCACAGACTACATTGATTTGCTCTATGTGCATTGGTGGGACTTTACAACCGGCGTCGAAGAGGTTATGCACGGCTTGAACTCATTGGTTGCAGCGGGAAAGGTTCTGTATCTAGGTGTATCGGATACTCCTGCCTGGATTGTTGTCAAGGCCAATGATTACGCCCGTGCCAACGGCCTGCGGCCCTTTTCTGTCTACCAAGGACTGTGGAACCCCTTACGTCGCGATATGGAAAGTGAAATTGTCCCCATGTGTCGAGACCAGGGAATGGCTATTGCCCCGTGGGGCCCTCTTGCTCAGGGAAAGTTGAAATCTGGTGAAGCTCGGAAGCTCACCAGTGGAGGTCGATCTGATGATGAGATGACCGAGGACGAGATTCGCGTATCTGACACCTTGGATGAAGTAGCGAAGAGCAAGAACACGAGCCTTCCGGCTGTGGTATGTTACCTTCTTATATCCCCTGCTATCTGGCCGGACATAGAAGCTTACCCAACTGCAGGCTCTTGCATATCTACTCCACAAGTCCCCCTATGTCTTCCCCATCATCGGACAGAGGAAAATCGAGCACCTGAAAGCGAATATCGAGGCACTCAGGATTGAGCTATCCAAGGAAGACATGGATAAAATTGATACGGCAGTGGCGTTCAACCCTGGTTTCCCAATGAACTTCATCTTTCAGGGCAAATATGACTTGACACTCACGGCTGCTGACGTGCCCCTAACACGGAAAGCCGGCCATATTGACGCCCCGCCTCAGCCGAGTATCATTCCACCCAAGAAGGAGGTGTGACTTAGGGAATTAGTTGGCTGTATTGTAGATGAGCACTGAAAGTCTCATTGGAATTGCAAACTCTTGTTAGCTAGTTCGATATACTTGAACTCCGCTTTTTTTAGCTCCGTAGAAACTCCGAGTATCATCCTAATCATGTGATGAAGATATTGAAGGCGGTGAGGCTCTGCCCCTCGGCAATCGTCGGCCGGTCAATGGAAAGACAGTATTGACATCAGCGGCACGTACAAGCAGTACGTCGTACATCACAGAACAATATTGAGACATTTATTCTTAAGAAGTTGACACCCACAGGCAAGGCCTTTAAATTGCCTGCCTAGAGTCAATCCCCCGAAGATCGCGTTTTTCTTCCCTTTTTTTTGACCAAAGCCCTATATTAGAGGGTTCAATTACCCCGCCAGACGAAATGTCGCATGCAGACAGCGAGTCCGCCTATTTCAACAACTACCCTCCCCCGAAAGTCCTCCCGAAGCATGAATCTCTTGCCCGGTCATTCATAGACTATCATGTCGAAGCCGATCGACGGCTGGTGCTTGTCACCTCCGGAGGAACAACAGTACCTCTTGAAAACCAAACTGTCCGCTTCATCGACAACTTCTCCGCAGGTACCAGAGGTGCCACATCTGCGGAGTACTTTCTGGAGCAGGGATATGCAGTGATATTCCTCCACAGACAGTTTAGTCTGCTGCCTTACTCTCGACATTATAGCCACTCGACCAATTGTTTCCTTGACTTTATGGATGAAGCCTCCCCAAGCGATTCAAGCAACTCTGACCATGGTCCCATTGTCGTGCGGAACGAATACCAGGACGAAATGCGAGATGTGCTGCGGAAGTACAAATATGCAAAACAGAACAATCTCCTTCTACTGATTTCGTACACCACAGTGTCCGAGTATCTTTTTGAACTGCGCATGCTCGCCCAATGCATGAAACCGCTTGGTCCAAACGCATTATTCTATCTCGCTGCAGCTGTTAGCGATTTCTTCATCCCGCGCGATCGGATGGCGGAGCACAAGATTCAGTCTTCAGAGATACCGGCGGAGTTTAGCAACAACGACGAAGCTGTGGGCGCTGAGGACATATACACTGGGGGTTTTGAGCAGACACAGCCCACGTCCAGCAAAAAGCTCGTCATAAACCTAGACCCGGTCCCGAAATTCCTTCAGCAGCTCGTGGATGGCTGGTCACCGGAAGGAAGCATGATCGTGTCGTTCAAACTCGAGACGGATCCGAATCTGCTTGTTTACAAGGCTCAAACGGCCCTTCAGCGATATTCTCATCACCTAGTCATCGGCAATTTGCTCTCAACGAGGAAGTGGGAAGTTGTCTTTGTTACACCTGAAGAGCCCTACGAACGCTGGATCCGAGTGCCCAAGTCGCGGCGGAGCAAGAGCATATCAGGTGTCGAAGGGCAGGTTGGACTCGCTGAGGCAGCGAAGCGGTCGGGCGAACACTCGGCGCCTGCGGCATCCGAGACCGACGAGACGTCCAAGGAAGGAGACGGGCATGTTGGAACCAGTGAAGGGACTGAGATTGAGAGCTTGATCATCCCGGAGCTGGTCAAGCTCCACACGAAGATGATTGAGAAATTCTATCATCAGTAAATGGACCTTGACTTTGCGCGCGTGCTTTGTATATTCTTATAGCGCATTCTTACGAATATCCCTGCAGGTTCTATAGCTTCAACGGGCGACAGTCGACCCACGGCCAACAACACCACCACCATCACCCTCATCATCATCATCATCATCATCATACATAATTCCTAATCCCTGATACATGGTGAACTAGTCACTCCCACCAAAATATACCCCGACGCCTTCCGGTATCATATCTGTACTGTAACAATTGGACATAAATCGGGCTTCTGCTTCGAATTTATTCTATTTCTATTCACCCTCTCCCTAACAACGCGCACCCAAATACCTCTCACTTCTGACTCTGCAACTTCTTTTGCTGCTCTGCCCACTCACGAGCACTCCTTTCCGCACTTTCCTCCCCAACCTCTCCAAAAATATCAACCCCAAGACGTGCAGGGAAGTTCATCCGCTGATGTCGCTCTAACGACTGTATAGCTTGAAATGCGTCTTCCGGGAGGACAAAATCTGAAACATATAATCAGCATAAACCAAGTCGATGGCGAGAAATATCAAGTGGGACAGGCGGAGGTGCACACCTTCAAAATTGCTCTGGATCCTCGCCGGGGTCACGGATTTGGGGAGAACGACCGTTCCGCGCTGAACGGCCCAGCTGATTAGGACTTGGGCTGGGGTTTTGTTCAAGGTTTTTGCTGTTTCAATCACGAGGGGGTCGTCGACGGCTCTGCAGGTGTGTGTTAGTCTCTTTTGGCGGGTTTCTTGTGCAAGGGTTAGAGGTCTTCGCGTACCTCGGGATGTTGTAGATGTTGTTTCCTAGGGGCGAGTACCCCGTCACTACAATTCCCTGGATGGTATGTTAGTAAAACATGGCTCAAAGGTCCCTTGTATCAATTACCTTCTCCTTTGACCACTCTAGCAGATCTCTTTGCTGAAGGTAAGGATGCGCTTCAATCTGGTTCACGGCTGGTGGAATTTCTGCCCTATTCCAAGCGAATCAGCTTCTTCCTGTGCCGTATTCATGTCGAAGCAAGTAACATACGTCTTCAGTAGCTCCTCAATTTTCTCCCGTGTAAAGTTGCTGACCCCGATTGATCGCACTTTACCCTTGGCTACCAAAGCCTCCATAGCAGCCCATGTATCCTTGATTGGCACATCGATAACGTCAATCAAACCTGTCTTTTCGTCGACGGGCTGTATCGTGGTGGTTGAATGGCGGAAGGCAACGGGCCAGTGGATCTATTATAGCAAACGCACGCCAAGGTCAACATTTATCGCTCTCGAGATTTAGGGTACGTGTACGGGACAGGAACACCAACAAGGTAGAGGTCAAGGTAGTCCGTCTGGAGGTCCCTGAGGGACCGATCCACGGCAGCCTCGACATTCTCGGGGTCGTGATCCGTATTCCAGAGTTTGCTAGTGAGCTTCTCTAGTCAGAATTGCGGCGCTTGGGTAGTGAAGGAGACTAACGAAGAACTCTTCGCGCGGTACACCTGATGCCTTAATACCGGCTCCGACTTCGCGTTCATTGCCGTATACAGAGGCAGCGTCGATATGACGGTAGCCGTGTTTCAACGCTGCGGAAACTGCTTCTTGGACCTCGTTTGGTTTCGATTGCTATCCGAAAACACAGAGATGTTAGCTTCGTTTGCGTAAGGCTTCGCAAGGTGCGTGCGTACCCATGTTCCCAGTCCGACAGCTGGAATCTCGTGACCAGTATTCAGCTTGAACTTGCGACCGAGTGCCATCGTTCTGTCCGTTTCGCTTCTAAAAATCAATTGAACCTCTTCTATTGCTGCAGGTTACTCAATGCTCAAGGTTATGTATAGTGAGACGCCCGGATTTGAACCCGAGGTCCTTCTCCTTAGTATTGGAAGATGCTCGTTTCCACGCTCCATGAGCTTCGATGTGGATACCGTGGAGCCAGAAAGATATCCATACTTGGTCAACTCAGGACTACTCCATCTTTTGGAGCTGCTCATTCGCCATTGCCTAAGCCATCATCGTGAGGGGTATTCGGAAAAAGGTAGGTTTTCCGGTGGCTTATCCGAGACCACTGCAACGCGGGCGAGGTTGCAAGACTGATGCTGTTACCGTTGGAGACGGATCTCCCTCGGCTAGTATTTGCGAGTTTTAGTGGTTAGTGTCTTCCGAACTCCACGGTTGGCAGGCGCATGCCGACAATATGGAACGGAGACCAGACGATTGATTGTATCCCAGGCGCTACATCCTTGCATGAAGTTTAACTCCTCAATTCAGACTCATCATTCACCAAAGTCCAAAGCAGCATGGCCCCAATCGCAAAAATTGAGTACTTTCGCATCCCCCCAAGATGGTTATTTGTGAAAGTCACGGATGTGAATGGGAATTTTGGATGGGGAGAGGCGTCGCTAGAAGGTCATTCGGAAGCTGTTGAGGGCTGCCTGGTGTCTTTTGCTGAGAGGTTCTGTGGCATGGATGCGGAGTGAGAGATTTCCATGACCACTAGGCAAATTCATCTGCGGTGGCTGATACCTAACCTTTATTAGTGATATTGAACACGTATGGCAAAACGGGTATAGAATGGGATTTTACCGCGGCGGACCGGTGCTCATGAGTGCTTTGTCAGGTGTAGACATTGCGCTCTGGGATTTGAAAGGTACAAATTTGTCACGATCGATTCTTAGCAGAACGCTGACTGGTTCATCAGCAAGGCGATTAGGACTCCCAATATATCAGCTCCTTGGAGGCAAAGTCAGGGACAAACTGAAAGTGTATGCGTGGATCGGTGGAGATCGCCCGGGAGATGTCGAAGCTCAAGCGTATGTTGAACCTCTTCTTGAACGGGACTATAGCTCATCAGACACCCACAGTCGTGCGAGAATTGCACAAGGCTTCAAGGCTGTAAAAATGAACGCCACGGAAGACCTCGCCTGGTTGGATTCCCCCCACTCCCTAGATACCTCGGTCGAGCGATTGAAGACAGTCAAGTCTTTGGGCATTGACGCAGGGGTAGACTTCCACGGCAGAGTCCACAAGGCAATGGCATTACAGTTGGCACACAAACTCACACCACACGAACCCTTGTTCATTGAGGAGCCTCTTTTGTCAGAGCACCCAGAGTCTATCGCAGCACTGTCCAAGCTCGTCCCTATTCCAATCGCTCTTGGTGAGCGATTACATAGCCGCTGGGATATTAAGCCTTTTCTCGAGTCGGCCTCCGTGAGCATCCTCCAACCAGATATTTGTCACGTTGGTGGAATCTCGGAGTTACGGAGAATCGCTATTATGGCGGAAGCTTATGATGTGGCGCTGGCTCCTCACTGCCCGCTGGGACCAATTGCGCTTGCAGCAAATATTCAGGTAGACGCTGTGAGCGCCAACTTTGCTATCCAGGAGATGAGCCTCGGGATCCATTACAATGCAGGATCTGCGGACATTGACACGTATATCAAGAACCCTAATGTATGGAGGGTGCGCAATGGGCTGGTTGAGCTGATGAACGGACCGGGGCTAGGTATCGAGGTGGATGAAGACAAGGTCAGGGCTGCTTCTGTAAACGCAGTTGCATGGCGTAGTCCAAACTTTCGAGGTCCTGGAGGAGAATGGAGAGAATGGTGAGACAGATATAATGTTTTATAGGCTGGAACGAGGAAATATATATTAGCATATTAGCTCGCTGGGAGTTTGTAGCATATGATCAAGCCAAAAGACACTCAGACCTGAACCCACTTTTCAAGAGTCCTGCTATTCTGACTGAGGACTTATGTTGTTATGTCCTGCCGAAACTGACGGGTCTGTCAAGTCCATCACCTGGAAAGAGGCACGTGCGCTCTAAGGAGATGGTGCCTTCGCTTCCCCAGAAAACCGTGTCTCTCCCCGCAGTCCACCAACTCCTCTCCAAATTCCAACCGTTGGCCTTTGCAACAATGTGGTATAAATACTAGGCTATATTTATTGTTTTATATATGATGTTCTGCGCCGCGAATACATTCTCATGGACTCAAATGAAAGTCATCCAAACAAACGACGATGTGTCAAAGAACGCGTCCGTGTTCGCGTCACCCGTGCCTGCGACAACTGTAAAAAGTAAGTCAATACAGACCAAAGACAGAAATAAGGCGCGCGGCTAACTCGGGTTTAGGAAGAAGCTACGCTGCTCAGGTACTCAGCCATGCTCCTTGTGCCAGCGTTCCGAATTAGTGTGCGAGTACACAGCTGGTTACACTCGAGGAAAAGTGCCACCGATACCCAATGGGAGTGATTCGAGCCCGGCCAGCCAGCATGTCGAACATCCAGCAGGTCAAGCGATAGACAGCTCAACTCCTCCCGAGCCGCCTAATGTCCGAAACGATGCACTCTTGCAAACAGATAAGCCTGTCAATCTTCCATCGTCTGGCAATTCCCCAGAACCACACCAGACGGATATGGAAGGCCACTATGTTGGCCCAGCGTCTGGCGTCTCTTTCTTGATACGAGTACAAAAGAGACTTCATGAGAACATTTCGTTTCCACGTACCAGCCCGATTTTCAGTTTCGGTGACGCCCCACTTCCAAAATACGATCCATCCTTCCTGGTAATCCCTAGTAAAGATGACGCGAAAGCGCTCCTTGAAAGATATTTTGACTTTGCGTTTCCAACGCACCGTTTCCTACACCAACCGCAGGCTGAGGGTTGGCTCGATGACTTCTATCGGGATCCCGGCGAGGCTCAGTCACCCAGGCCTGGCGCGATGGCAATACGAGCATTGCTTCTCATGATTTTTGCGCACGCGAAGCAGTGCTTACCAGAGTCAGAGAGCTCTTTAGGCTCTTGCGTAAACAGGTTCGTTCCCCAAACTCAGCAACCAGCTATATCTTGTCTACACTCAGCTAACATAAGTACTCTCCAACAGTGCTGTTTATTTCGCGGCTTCAGAGCATCATCTTGCTGCGGAAACCGGACCTGTCCGCCTCACGAGCGTGCAGGCACGATTGGCTCAGTGCTTTTACCTATTGGGACATTCTCGAATCAATCATTGCTGGAGCTTGTTCGGAACCACAGCACGACTTGCTATAGCCATCGGCTTGCATCGTGGACGGCGGCGCGAGCTTACAGCAGGTGGGGACTTTGTTGAACAGGAGTGTCGCAAACGAGTCTTCTGGTGCATGTATAGCTTGGACAATTATCTGAGTGCTGCCCTGGGCCGCCCGCGCATTTTCCACGACGATGAAATTGACCAAGAGCTTCCTGCGATTGCAAACGATATTCAGATCACGCCGAGTGGCATCGCTCCGGCCATGTCCAGCGCCCAAAGCATCATGTTAGCCCCCGTGTATCATGCTAAACTATCCAGAATCATTAGCGGCATTCTTCGTGACCTGTATGGCATACGAAGAGCGACACTTCAATCGCATTTGACGGCTGCTGCGAAGCATGGAGCAGATATGGCCAAGTGGCGAAGTGAGCTGTCCGCTTTCGTTGATATGCCGAGTGTCGATATGTTGATGCTCACCTACCAACGACAGTACACCGTGTTGAATCTCGCTTTCTACCATGCTCAGATCCTACTTTACCGCCCGTTCATCCTCAAGGACTCGAAAAACTGGGCGTCCTCCGTCTCCGACGGTATTAATCAGCTTCAAGAGTCGGTTAACCATAACATCGAGCACTGCCTGAGGGCCGCCATGAAGATTACTGGAATTTTGCGGGACTTGTGCGAGAGCGGTAGGATGTACAAAACATTCTGGGTAAGTAAGGTAATCCTCCACAAGTGTGAGCCATCTAACGTTCCTCAAAGTTTACACATTACTATGCGTTTTCCGCAATTGTCGTGATATATGTGCACTTTATCCAATTCTCTTCACAGGCATTTAGTGTTGGGGAAATCTCAGCCCGACTTCAAGCAGGCGAACAAGCTCAACAATACCTAGCAGCATGCGGATCACGATCATCTTTCGCTCAGCGTTACGCCATGGTACTCGAAGAGCTTCGAACGGAGGCACATAAGTGCATGCAACAAAAGCTATCCAATAGCCACCGAATAACAAATAATGTCAATATAGAGACGGGGCCACAAAGTCTCGACGGCCCCAGGGAGCAGACCAGCTACAATGCATCGGCCTTTCCTCAGCCTGCATTTATTGGCATTCCAGCTAGCGCAGGTGATGTGTCTGCAGACCATACGTCCCTGGGTCTATCACAGGTGCAAACCGAGCCGCAAGTGTGGATAGGAGATTTGATGCAAGATAGCAGTCCTACAACCTACATCCCCAATCTTACCAGCTGGGGGGACCTCGATTCATTGGCCTTGACCGGCCTAGGCGAATTGGGTTATCTATTTTCGTCTGACAACCTCCAGGGCTTTGAGAATTGATGCCTCGCACCGACAGGCCTTCCTTTAGTACGGACTCAATTCCTTAGCCAGGCGTGGCTCTATTACAACAGTGCACCGTATAGATTGCCGAATGCCCGAGCCCTGGATGGTTAGCCGCGCTTTAAAAATCTATGTTGATCCACCGTGGGAGATTACCTTCACCTTGGCGAGTTCTTAGGAGCCATACCTTCCTTGCCGTTCAGCTGGAGGAGGGGGCACCGTGTTTCCGGATAAGATGGCGGGGGACTGATGACCACGCGCGGTTTTTTGGCCCCGATCTGAGCAGATGTAGGAGAATCCACCGCGCATACCGAGCTGGCTCAAACCCGCGTCCAGCCGGCTTCCTTCATGCTCATTACTATCCGAAAGAGTGCGGGGAAGCTCTAGTCCTATGCAATACTCAATAATGACTACTTGGCGAATGGCGAAATCTAGGAAATGGCCGAATCGGATATTGCTGTTCTCTTATCCGAACCCCGCAATACTTTTCCGAGCACAGCCCTAACAACGCTCAGGGCAGGCCGTGGGGAATAATGCATGGGCTCCTCATTTGAAAAGAAATGTGCTTCCATCGTGCGCTAGTCATACTACTATATTCTTGTTGGGCCCTTACTCGCAATCTAGATGCAGAAATCTTCCTCGCGGCAATCACCTCGATCTTCCACTTGAACAATGCTTGTAGCAACTCAGCTCGACGATGACGTCTTGGTTGACGAAAAGGACACATTAAAGAATGTTACGACTCTTCCTCCAACACCCCCGGCGGACTCGGATGCACCCTTGCACACCATAAACGATATTCTGTTGCATCGCATCCCATATCCGCCTGACGCTCCCTTGGTTGGCTACCCACAAAGCCCCCATGGAGTACGCGATTATGCTTTTTACACGGCAAAGGATCTGGACAAATTCTCCAATGGAGCTGCTAGAGCTCTAAGAGACGCCGGGCTTCCGAAGGTGACTATAATCTGGCTACCTGTTTCCAAACACACTGACAGTCGTGCAGTTCTCGGATCCTGTCGAGAACCGAGTAGTGGCAATAATTGGCCCCTCTAACCTGGACTACGTTGTTTCTTTATTTGCGCTCTCCCGCCTGGGATACGCCATCTTGCTGCTCTCAACTCGGCTCAGCACCGAGGCGTATACGAATCTGCTCGCCAAAACTAGGTGCAGCCATGTTATTTATTCATCTGCGACGGAAAAAGCAGTGGCGCAAATTCAAGACGCAGTGCCAGAAATCAACGTCTTCTCTATCCCAGAGTTTTCAATCTACTCAGAGTGCACTGAGTCCTCAGATCTGCAGCAGACTGCGCGGCCCGAGTTGGGTCGGAAATGGGCTTTCATTATCCACTCCTCTGGCTCTACTGGGCTCCCAAAGCCCATTTTCCAGACACATGCGGCTTGTATTGCCAATTACAGTACGAGCAACTCGTACCGCGCATTGTTAACGCTTCCACTTTATCACAATCACGGATTGTGTACGTTCTTCCGGTGTTTGTTCAAAGCGAAGCCGATTGCTATCTACAACGCCAACTTGCCCATCACTGGCAAGAATATCCTTGAGGTAATGGACGTGTTTGAGCCGGAGAGCTTTCATGGCGTGCCCTATGTCTTGAAGCTCTTGAGCGAGGTTGACGGCGGAGTGGAAGCACTCGCGAAATGCCAGCAGGTTCTTTTTGGGGGCAGCAGCTGCCCAGACGATCTTGGGGATTATCTGGTAGATCACGGAGTCAGACTGATTAGCCATTATGGAGCGTCCGTGTTCCCTGCTTTTCTTACTTTGTAAAATAGAACTAACATATGAGGTAGAACCGAGCTTGGTCAAATGATGACTTCAGACCGTCCTGTCGGCGACAAACTGTGGAACTACGTTCGGCCTTTGAAGGGCGCCCAACCCTACTTGAAGATGGAAGAGCTACAGGATGGCTCCTACGAGTGCATAGCCCTGGACGGGCTACCAGCTAAAGTCAGCTCAAACTGCGATGATCCGCCAAACTCCTTCAGGACCCGTGACACATTCTTGAAGCATCCAACAATCCCGAATGCCTGGAAATATCTAGGCCGCATCGATGATCGAGTGACTTTGGTGAACGGCGAAAAGGTTCTCCCTGTTCCCATTGAACACCGCATTCGGCAAAGCAAGTTCGTGAAGGACAACCTTGTCTTCGGCGTGGGGAAGCCGTTACCTGGTTTGTTTGTGGTTCCAAGCACTGAGTGTGAAGGGCTGAGCAAAGATGATATACTCAATCTCATCTGGCGGGATATCGAGTCAGCCAACCAGAATGCAGAAGCATTCAGTCAGATTTCCCGCGATATGGTGATTATTCTCGATGTTGGATGCTCATACCCTGCTACTGATAAAGGGACCATGATCCGCAATCGAACCTACCTGGAATTTAGCGACCTCATTGAGGCTGCATACCAGAACCTCGAAAATGGCACATCTAAACCCGAGCAAGTGCTGGCATTGAGTCTTGCAGAACTTGAGGACCACCTTCTCAACCTCTTCCGAAGAGAGCTTGGTTATCTGGAACTGGACCTGACTTCGGACTTCTATGAGGCAGGTGTCGATAGCCTTCAAGCGATCAAAGCAAGAGGTCTCATTAAGAAAAATATTGACATTGGGTCCGCGCAATTGGGGCATAATGTGGTTTTCGACTATCCGAACATCAAGAAGCTTGCAGCTCACCTGCATTCCCTTCGGACAGGCGAACAGCAGAATGAGGAGGATGAGTTGGCTGTTATGTCCGAGTTGATTGAAAGATATTCAACTTTCCGGGCACGAGAAACCACAGAGGAGGTCATTGTAAGTTGATATGGGCTCTGCTCGGTCATTCCAAAAGTCACTGATGATTTTTAAGCTCTTGACTGGAACCACCGGCTCTTTGGGGGCACATATCCTGTCTCGTTTGATGCAGAAGGAAAGTGTAAGGAAGGTTTATTGTCTCGTACGAGCGATCGATCCCAGCAATGCGCTGGACCGAGTCCTATCAAACCTGGCCTCAAGATCATTACCGATGATCAATGTCTCCAAAATTGTGGCATTGCCAGGTCAGCTAGGCTCTGAGGACCTTGGACTACCTCCCTCGATCATCAGCGAGCTTCGTACAACCCTAACCAAAGTCATTCATTCTGCGTGGGCTGTAAACTTCACGCTTGGCGTCAAGAGTTTCGAAGCTCAACACATCAAAGGCGTGTACAACCTGATCAATCTATGTCTCTCGAGTGAACGAACATCGCCAGCACAGTTCTATTTTTGCTCCTCTATCTCCGTTGCCGCTGGAACTCCACTGCCTGCCAAAATCGCCGAAGCTCCAATCCCCGAGTTGGCACACGCTCAGAACATGGGCTATGCAAGGTCCAAACTCGTGGCGGAGCGAATCGTTCAAGCGGCCGCAGAGAAGACTGGCATGGTCGCCAAAGTTCTCAGAGTCGGACAAATAGTCGGCGATACTGTGCACGGCAAATGGAACACAACCGAAGCGATTCCTCTCATGCTGCAAACAGCACGTACGCTAAAGGCGCTACCAGCACTCGATGAAACCCCCTCATGGTTGCCGGTTGATATCGTCGCAGATGCAGTTCTAGACTTGGCTGAACTGAACGAGATCTGTGGCGCCGGCTCCGTCGCAGTAAAAGGATTCGCCTACGATCCTCAAACAGTTTATCATGTGCAAAACCCAAGGACATTCAGGTGGACTGAAGATCTATTACCGGCTTTGGAGATAGCCGGGCTGGATTTTGAGGTTCTCCCAAGGCGTGAATGGGTCCAACGACTACGTGACGGCGAGCAGGATCCGAAGAAAAACCCCGCTGTGAAGCTGCTGGATTTCTTTACAGAGAAGTACGATAACGACAACATAGGTCGCGCGGGACTTGTATTCGAGATGCAAAAATCTGAGGCTGCGAGTCAAGCCTTAAATGGTGGTGTTGAAATCATTGGGAGTGGATTGATCAAGAAGTTCGTCGACGCCTGGCGGAGTGAATGGTGAATTTGCACATAATCATGGCGTTTATCCTTAGCCCTATTATTCCTGTTATTACGGTGAAATACTAGAAATGGATGCAATGCCATACACATCTTGAATGGTAGTCAGAGTTCGTCGTCTCGTCTCCTCGAAGGCCCGTCTCAGACTCCAAGGGGGCCTACTATGCACAATGGTTCAAGACCATTATCCAATGAATTCCTTGACCACCCAGAGACCATAGATTTTGCTTCGTGCCGGCAGCCAACAACACCGGATAGAGCAGATCAGTGTCCAACCCATATTAGGTGACCTTGGAACAGCCCTCCTTCGATCTGCTCGGATACCCAGAATCCATCGAATGAAGCACATCCGATTGGTCAGAAAAGGTCACCGGATAAACAGAGCTTGGGCTAATGGAGCTGTTATGTATCCGAGAGTGCGAAGAAAGAGGTTCGGAAAACACAGGTCATGTCCCCACCGAGCATCAGCAGGTCAGTCAAAGCTCAAGCTAGCTCAAAAACCTCTCTTCCGGTTGGACTACTCCATTTCCGAGATCACTTGGCGCTCCGGGCCTGACAGCTCTCACGTTTACCCCGGACTGCGTTGATGCGGGGGGTGATGGAGCGTCGAGGCTTCGAGTATATCAGGGTCCACTGGGCCGTGGAAGTTGTTCTCTTCATCAATCCGTCCCAGCAGTTCATACCTCAGTCGATACTTGAAGACCCACATCCGCAATGGCTGACCACTCCCGCGGCGACGGCATCATCGAAAAGGAGGCCGCCTATGCTGAGCATCTTGACGCCGAGAAGAATGGGCCAATTCCACAGTACGACAGGTTCGGTGCGGCGGCGAAGGTCGATCCCAAGGAGATTGCCCTTGTGAGGAAAATTGACTGCTATATGATGGTTTGACACACTTGTCCACGACACTGGGCTTTTCATGGCTGACGAGTGGAAGCCAACTCTCTGGGCGATGTACTTTCTCAACTTTCTGGACAGAAATGCGCTTGTCAATGGCAAGCTAAACAGTCTCACAGAGGACCTGAACCTGAAGGGTACGCAGTATAATACTTGCGTCAGCATTCTTTTCGTGGGGTAAGCGAAATATTGGTCAGTGCATGGCGCAACCCGCGTTCTAACTGGCATCACTCCCAGATACCTTATCGGCCAAGTTCCTTCTAATATGATCCTCAACCGGGTCAAACCTGCATGGTATATGTCTGGTTTTATGATGGCTTGGGCAATCGTGTCCACCCTTACCTGTCTCGTTCACAACTACCATGGCATGCTTGTCTGTCGTCTTCTTCTCGGCGTCGTTGAGGCACCGTTTTATCCAGGAGCTCTTTTTATGATCTCCTTGTTTTACAACCGCAAAGAGGCAACCACACGTATGGCGATCCTATACACGGGGAATATGCTGGCGAGCTCATTCTCAGGGCTCATATCTGCGGCTGTGTTTGCTACCCTGGATAAGAAGCATGGACTTGCAGGCTGGCAATGGCTGTTTCTGATTCAGGGTGTGGTAACTGTGGCAGTTGCCATAGGCGCGTTCTTTCTTCTTCCGAACTCTCCAAAGCAGACGATGTGGCTCACACCAGAGGAACGGCAGCTTGCGCACGATCGTATTGCGCGCGATACCACTCAGAAAGCAGAGGGAACCAGCGTCTGGACCGGGCTCCGCGAGGCGTGCTTGGATTACCGGACTTGGGTCTTTGCTCTGATGTGCAATCTGCACCTCTCAGCCAATGGCTTCAAGAATTTTATGCCGACCGTCGTGAAAACACTCGGGTTCAACTCCACCATAACGCTTGTCCTCACTTGTCCACCATATCTCGTGGCCACTTTCACCTCAATTGCTGTCTCCTGGTCGTCAGGTTACTTTAACGAACGGACATGGCACGTTACGATTTCCAAACTGCTGGCAATTGTAGGGTTCGCAGTCGCAACCGGGACACTCAATACCGGCGCGCGATATTTTGCGATGATCCTCTTTGTCGGGGCCACTTATGGGGTGAATAATATCAACATTGCCTGGGTGGCAGCCACGGTAGGGCAGACTGATGAGAAGAAAGCTGTGGCGATAGCCATTACCAATACCCTAGGCAATCTGGCCAGTGTGTACACACCCTACTTGTGGCCTGACAGTGATGCTCCGAGGTTTGGGCCCGCCATGTATGCCAGCATCGGGTTTTCGGCTGGAGTGGTGATATTGGCGTGGGTCATGAGATTCATTCTCATGAGGGAGAACAAGAAGCTGCGGGCAGCTGATCCCGGAGTGATCAATCTCTATGCATACTAAAGGAGGAGCTATGTTTGATGGGCGGGATACAGTACGATGGTCGACTTGGCGTTCGATTTTTTGAGGACACTAGTGGTGCGCAGATAAGTCAGATGTCCGGGAAATGTGATAGGCATATGTGACGAATGTCTGGAGTGCCACTCACTCAAGAGCTGCTTTAATTATGATGTAGGTCTCGAGGCGGGCGTTTTCAGAGAAGCGCCGGGAGATTGTCAAGGGTTGCTGTCCCAACCTGCATGTGTAACCCCAGCCTTCAGAGACACCATCCGCAATCACACATCATGAAACGAAAGAGTTTGTCTGAACGACAATCACAAGCGTCTGTTTGCGCATTGCAGCTTCCACCTATACATGCAATGTCAGACCCTCAACTAGCCGAAGATGTATCCGGGTGACGGATTTGAGCCCAAATATGTGATCTCTAGACCAAGAACGGCCTTCCAGGTCTGGTCATTGCAGGATAAACCAGAAAACTATGGTTGGTCGGGGACAGCCCGGCCAACCTCCGCAATCCCAGTCTCCGCGTCTGATGACAGTTATAAGCTGGCTTGTGTAACTGGGAACCTACCTAGGTAGTATTAGTTACAAATATGTGTTAGCGTCTCGATCTCGCCAATGGATTTGCAGGTCCAAACGACTTGTATGCGCCACGACGCACCAGGCCTACCTGCTTCTGACTCGCTGCCACTTCACAACTTTTCTGGTATGTATTGGCTATAACCTGCTCCTTCAGCTAGGAGCATATCTCACTTGCAAGTATATCGCGCGCTAATTCGAATGTGACAATAACCCCTTGGTGTCGCAACCCCTTGCGTCGTGTTGGGGCGCGATATGTAGGCTCGGGTCGGGCAACTACCTACAATCCGCAGCGTTAGAGATGGATCCCACGGCCCTGACCTCACCTGCATGTATGCTGGGTTTCGCAACAACGAAATACTTAACAGTGGGGATCTGCGAGCGTCATACCAGCGCTTCCCTTCTTCTTTTTATCAGATACCCTATCTTGCAAACTGATAGTATTTGCCAAATACCGGTTTGATAGCCAGCAGTGTCGACATGGGTCATGCTCCAATCCACATCATTTTCTGGGCATGTATTGCTCTCCAGGTTCTTTCGTTGGTGCCCAGAGTAGAGACGCTGGTCGCCCAGAGTCCGGCGGAGACGGTTCCTAGTCTCCAATTTAGAGACGAACTTGGTTCGAATCAGCCTTTGTTGGTCAATACTACGGACTCCGGCATTGAAGATGCCCGGGGAGTTGTTCGAGCGGCCATCGCTCAAATGACGAAGCTCAATAAAGCCCGCCTAGAAAATCACGCTCGCGGGCCGAGCTCAGAGACAACGCTCGCAAGACGCAACGGCGATGACTCCTCGAGCTCCTTGTTGGAGATAACCCCGGCGATCTCCCATGCTGCTGCCCTTGTCGCGGAAGCCGATATGGCAGCCAGCCTTTCGGATGGCTCCTTTAAACTTTCCAGGCGAGCGGCTGGCAGTTTCTGGATGGAAGACATCAGGCGCCAGGGAACTGTGCCGTGGGGGAGTGATGCAACATACAAGGTGAGTGGTGGTGGGAGAGGAAAACCCGCTCTTAAAAACCCGGCAAAAAGAGCACGTGCCTCTCAGAGCCGGAGTATCCTGTTGCTCAATTCCCCATCAACCTTCTCTCAACTATGTGAAGTCAGCGAACATGCCCTCTAACTATCAATGCTTATAGGTTTTTCGAAACGTCGTCACCGACTATCATGCCGACCCGACGGGTGCATCAGATTCCACAGCAGCCATCCAAGCCGCAATCAACGACGGCCAACGTTGCGGAGAGAAATGCAATGGATCTACTCGGAAGAACGCCATTGTCTATTTTCCTCCAGGGACTTATCTGGTGTCAAGCACGATTAAAGTCCTGTTCGCTACCCAGCTTATTGGCGACGCAAGTCACTCTAATGACTATACCAATTTTACGCGGTGCTAATTTTCCTCCAGGCGAACAATTGGCCCACCATCAGGGCAGCGAGCAGCTTTGTGGGACTCGGTGTGCTATCGACCAACGAATACATCGGTGGCACTGGGCCCGATGGTGGAGATGCCGAGTACTATGTCACCACAGCGCGCTTTTACAGCCAAATTCGCAACCTCCGTATCGATATTACATCCACAGACCCGAACGCATATGTCTGTGCTATTCACTATCAAGTGGCACAAGCGACCAGTCTGCAGGATGTGGAATTGATTGCCACTACCGGGACCACACAACAAGGGATATGTAGGTTCACCAAATATGGTGGCTTCAACTAAAACTGACAGCTACTTAGTTTCGGAAAATGGCAGCGGTGGAATGATGTCAGATGTCACCTTTAGGGGCGGGAATTTCGGGTTCTGTATGCTATGGCGCCCAACCATTCTCTGAGGAATTTTAACTAACACTGCCTGGTAGATGGCGGCAATCAGCAATTTAGTGCTCATCGGATGACTTTCATCGGCTGTTCAACAGCTATCCAGATTATCTGGGATTGGGGCTGGGTCTGGAAATCCCTTCATATCCAGGGTGGTAACGTTGGCATCCGCCTCGTCAACCCCGATGGCAACGGAAACATTGGTTCAGTCTCCATCATTGACTCGCAGATCACAGATGTGACCACGGCCATCATCGTCACACCCTCATCTTCAACCCCAGGGTCCGGTACTACAGGACTGGTATTGGACAATACCAGGATTGGCGGATCAATCGTCGATACTGGGGGAAGGACTTACCTAAGTGCAGGGTATTATGCAAATTGGGCGCTTGGACCTACATACGCTGGCGGTGCCAGAACTTGGAGCTCAGGAAGCTCTTTGCCGTATCCTCGCGAACAGTCGTTGCTGGGCGCCAGGGTTGATGGCTTGGATAATGCCCCTTACTTTGAGCGAAAGAAGAATCAATATGCAGATAGGCCGGTTGGTGATTTTGTCCAACTTAAGTCTCTTGGAGCCAGAGGTATGCACTGTCTGGCAGTCCTTTTAGTTCACTAGCTAACTAACATGGCCAAACATGGTCAATTCAGGTGACGGGGTCACTGATGACACAGCCGCGATCCAACAAGCGTTCGACGAGTACGGAAACGGAAGTAAAGTTATTTTTGTTGATGCTGGGACTTATATCTTGACGGACACTGTGACAATACCAAAGGACGCCAAAATTCATGGTGAAGCTTGGTCCCAGTTTGCTGCCTTTGGGAGCTCTTTCTCCGATGCAAAGTATGCCAGATGTAGCGCAAAGAACTTGATATACGCTGATGTACCTGCTATAGCAACCCTCGAGTCATGCTCCGTGTTGGCAATAGGGGTGATGTAGGAACTGTCGAGTTACAAGACTTGATTCTAACCACAAAAGGTGGGACGGCCGGAGCGGTGCTGATGGAGTGGAACGTCAGGGCGGCAAGCCCTGGCGCCGCCGCGCTGTGGGGTAAGCACGACCAGAACAGCCATTCCATAAGACTTGGGCACTAATGGCCGTTCTATGAAGATGTTCATGCTCGCATTGGTGGTGCTACTGGAACCTCTCTGACGCCGTCTGAATGTCCTGCGCGAAGAGATGCTATTAACCCGTCCTCCTGTCAGGCGGCGAGTCTCATATTGCACCTTACTCCAGAGGCCTCAGGATATTTCGAGAATATGTGGCTCTGGGCGGCTGATCATATGATAGAGTGAGTCCATTTCTCCTCCGTTGTCTATGATTTTTGAGTGTTGACCACATTGGCTTGTAGCGATCCTGATCTGAATGATGCTTACAATAATATGGTGAGCTCGTTTCTTCGGGAGAGATTCCTATCCTTCCTCTAATCCGTTCCTAGGAGCAATTGAGTGTGTATGTCGCTCGTGGGGTGCTAATCGAAAGTACCACTGCGACTTGGTTATATGGCACGGCCTCCGAACACAGCGTCTTCTACCAGTATAATTTTCATGGCGCGCGGAATATATTTACCACGATGATCCAGACCGAACCTCCCTATTATCAGCCAACTCCGAGGCCGCCGGCACCATTTGATCGCCAAGTCGGTATATATGCTTCAGACCCAAGTTATAGGTGCACTGGTGGAGATTTTGATGGGTGTGACGAAGCATGGGCTGTTATCATTACAGGATGCCAGAATATCCACATCAGCAGCGCAGGTACCTACTCCTGGTTCAGCACATATACCCAGAGCTGCATCGACTCCCATAATTGTCAGAAAGTCTTGTGGCTTCTCAACAATAACCACGACAACGTTCGCTTGGAGCATATCATCGCCATCGGAGCAGAGTATGTTCTTGTCTCCGATGGCAGGGGGGTTCGATCTACCGACAATCTTGGTATCACCGCTCACCCGGCGTGGGCCCAGATATCCATCTTCGATGTTCCCTCTCACGGACCAGCAGTAATATTGGAAAGAGAGGATATTCCTGGAGCGTCTCTCGAAGCTACTGAGACTTGATACACATAGCTCTCCAATGCATGATTACGGCCCGCAGGGCGACAGATGTGAAACTGAACTATGTCCTTAAGATTTCTGACTCCTTATATTAGCACTCGAAATTTAGTGCCGCTTTAGCAGACAGTTATAAATATTACACATAAGCTCTTTTTGTGGCGAAAACTAGCAATGCTTGAGGTTTTATTCCAATTGTTTATTGGCTATGTTTCAGATCTTATCTTAAAATATCTCTTGGCATTTCTTGGCTCTTGTCAACTGAGGGCTGGACATCCATAATTTTTACAACAACAGTGCGAGATAGTACCATTTTCCAAGCTTTAAGACACATTGGAAGCCTCCCATAAAGTACTTCTATCATCTCAGCACAAAAAAACCGAGGTATAGGATGATCCTCGTCAGCTTCAGGACACTTCTTCCTGTGCCATAGTAAAACCCTGGATTGCAAAAACGCGGAAATAGGATCCATCTCCTTCCATTGATCAGAATTCTTTTCGGCACCATGGAGCGAAATATGGGCTCGGAGCATGAAGATTGCTTACAAGAGTCAAGTTAAGAATGCTTATAATCTTCTGCCTCTTCTGGAAGAAACGTATGACCACAGTTGCGGAGGTGTCCTTCCCTGAGTGGCGAAGACATATACATCTTAACCTTGCCAGCCCATTGTCTCACGTGACTGCGAAACTCCTGAGTAGTGCTGGCCGCGCTGAGATCAAAGGTCACTGGTTCGATTCTCGAACTGCTCAATGTTCCCCCTTTATTTTCCCTTGTCATTCCTCCCAACGTAATTTGTGGGTCTTGAGAGCTCCAGGCTTGGCCAGACTTTAGATTTTCAGCCACAGTCTCACATCGCCGCTCCATTCTGGTATCCGTCAAATTCCAGAGTCAATAATGGAACAGCAATGATCCCTAAGCATTTAACGGAAACTCTGCAAAGATATCCAGGGAATGGACGGAATATGAGCCATGGGTGACCTCTCTGATCCCCTGGCGATCGACATTTTTTCCAAGCCTCAGACGCGTTTGTTGGCTTCGCACGGCGATTACTCAAGAACAATGGGCCGAAGAACGCTGATCCAGATTCGACCGTGATTTCAACCTCCCCTGTACCTTTTTGCCAACCCTCGACTGTCGCTTACTCGTACTAATAATATCTATCTGGTTCGACTCTTTCGTCCCAAATTTGAGCTGCATTGCTCCACTCGTGGCTCAAGCTCAGAAGCTGACGTCTCCCCACGGCCTGTTCCATTATTTGTGAAACTTACTAAACGCGTCATCATCATCGACAATCGAACTTCGAGGATCATCTCCTCGACCGAACAGCTTCCCCTAGCTATGAAGCGTGGGTCGATCCTCTAAACTGCCTTCCTTTAAGAACAACCGACGACGTCGATCCTGTCCTCCTTTCTCTTCACTCCTCTGATCGCCAGGCCCCGTGTTTTTCGCTCCTCTCGCCAGCTCCTCGCCGCTCTTTTAAAACGCCCCTCCTCTCTTCCAAGCCATTCCATTCCCACAGAAACGCTATCTTCTCGCAATAAATCCACCGAAGGGCACACGAAGAACCGGAGGATAAGAGGCGGGATTAAAAGATGCGCGGACCGTCCGGGAGCACGGTCGGCAATCGAACACTAATCTAACAGCACGTCCGCAGTCAGCCTCGGAAGAATGACCTACCACCGTGGTATCCGTCGTCGCATCGCCATTGTCGCGACACTCCTCACAGTCTTCCTAATCTACCATTTCACATTCGGCACCGAGTCCCACCCCTCATATCATGCATTCTACAATTATCCGCCGAAGCGGAGCTGTCCGCCCCTCCCGGGCATCGAAGACGTCCTTGTGGTCATGAAGACCGGCGTCACCGAAGCCCTCGACAAAGTCCCCATCCATTTCAAAACCACCTTCCGCTGCATTCCCAACTACATCATCTACTCCGACTTTGAAGAAGACATTGAAGGCGTAACAATCCACGATGCATTCCGCAACGTTTCCCCCGCTGTGAAAGAATCCGTCGCCGATTTCCAAATCTACAACCGCCTTCAAAAGCGCGGGCGCGAGGGCCTCGAATCTCAAGATTTCGCCGACGAAGCGAACTCCGCCATCGGGAAACCGAACAACCCCGGCTGGAAGCTCGATAAATGGAAATTCCTCCCTATGGTCCGGGAAGCCTACAACCACAAGCCTGATGCGAAATGGTTTGTCTTTATGGAAGCAGACACCTATTTCTCATGGTCCACGCTTTTGGGATGGCTATCGCACTTTGACCCCTCAAAACCATACTACATTGGCACAGAGACACAGATCGCCGATGTCATTTTCGCACACGGCGGATCGGGCTTCGTAATCTCGAACCCAGCCATGAAGCTCGTGGCGGAGGAGTACACCAAGCGCGCGGACGAACTGCACGAGTACACAGACGCTCACTGGGCAGGAGACTGCGTACTCGGTAAGGTGCTCTCGAACGTTGGCGTCCAGCTCTCCTATTCCTGGCCGATTCTCCAAAACTCAAATATTGGTGAACTAGACGAGTTCACCACGACATTTTACCGCCGGCCTTGGTGTTTCCCTGCCGTGGCATTCCACCATCTATCCCCAAGTGACGTTCGGTTTTTGCATGATTTTGAGCAACGGAGACTTTCGAAGGTACTCACTCCACTCGTAATGGTTGATTGAGAGATAGTAAGAGTCATTTGGCTAATTTGTGTTTATTCTAGTCTTCAAAACCGGTCCTCCTCCATAGCGACGTGTTCAAAGAGCTGATTTACCCGGAGCTCTCGAATATCCGGGATAGTTGGGATAATCTCTGCAGCCAGGAACAGGCGACTCTCTCTACATTCCAGGAATGTCAGTCATACTGCGAGGATACTGCGGATTGTGTGCAGTTTGTCATGCGAGGAGGAACATGCTATACTAGTACAACGCCTCGCCTGGGGACTAGCAACTCGGATGCCCGTTCTGGATGGCTCATCAAGAAGATAGAGAAAATGGTGGACCAGGCGCCTAAATGTTCTCGCCCGGACTTTGGACTATGATCTGACTACATATATTCTTCTTTTTCGCCGGACGAAATAATTTGGACACTTCAAAAGTATCAACTTCTGTATTATTAGAAGCATCAGATCTAACCACATGTGGGTCATAAGCAATGGTTACAAGAATCACGCGTTGGCGACTTCTGTACACTTCAGCCTTTGTCCTACCAGAATAATCCTTGCCGGGCCCTCGAATACCAAGTCTTCCTTTCAAAACATGCCACTTCTGATCAGAATTATCTTCCTGCCGTGTCCTCTTTGACTACCGGGTCTCGATTCGACTGCACCCTGTATCTCACGGGCCTTCGGTATCGTGCTGGGTCGATTGGCGGACTATCGGGATCCTCGAGGCACTGATCCACGCGCATGATATCGATATTGAGGTTTTTGACAAACTGAATGAACTCTCTGAAGTACTCGACGGTAGTTGGACTCAGATAATGCATGACGACTAGATTGCCTCCGCGACCGACGTCCCGGAAGAAGGCATCTCGCTGCCGTTCGGGTGTTTTGCTGTCCTTCCAGAGCCAGTCCTCCACATCAACACTCCAGTTGATGATGCTCGGGTCTCTTATATACGCTGCAAGTCTCTGCCGAGTTCTTGCACCAATTGTGCCGTATGGCGGACGGAAGTACCGAGCTATCCATTCCGTAACCACATTAGTCGATGCAATTGAGAAGTCGGAAGAGCAAATGCGAAGCAACAGAGCACGTACACTGTATACCAAGTTCCCTCTGGAACGTCTCCATGTTATGAACAATTTCCTCATCGACAGCTCTGATGGTATCCAGACCTTCGATCCTTCTCGAGCGTTAGCACCGGCCTTGATTATAGTAAGGCGCTTACTTTTGATGTGTATCCGAATGTAGAGCAATCTGGTGGCCTCTCCGTAGCATCTCCTTGTAGACAGACGAAAAGTTGGCCCCGTTGGCCCGGAGCCCAGCACCAACCACAAAAAAAGTGACCAAGACTTGTTCTTCCTCGAGGATCTTCATGACGTCTTGGACCAGATGAGGCAATCCATCGTCAATACCGAATGCGAAAGAGTTCGGCCTTGTGCAATGAAGGAACAGCTTCCCGTTTTCCAGCTTCGGGGGCACGTAGAAGCCCCATGGAAGCTCCGGCACGATTTCCACTTTGTATATAGTCAGACTATCCTGAGAAAAGAAACCGTGGAAAGACACCGAGACCGTCCGAGACTTGTCAACCACGAAATGGTCCAAAGGCACATATATATCATTTCCCCTGGCATACCGCTCGGCTTCGACGCTATCCCATGTTTCCAAGAACGGGCTACGGCGAGAGTCGCACTTCTCGTTGAGCTGGTTCAACGAGATACTGAAATTTGTAGACCCAGAAAACACTAGATGAAGATACATATGCTGGTATGGTCGCATGTCGAAGCATGTTGCAGGCCCGAGCTCCGTATGGTAGTTCTGATCTGCATCCGAGGGAAACAGTCGCACATGGCCATGACCATTCTCGGCAGGCAAGCTGGCACTGGGCCCATGCCAGAAACCGAGGTCGTTGCGGTCTCCGTTGACGAACGTATCAATGACCAGAGGCGTGACAGTCTTCGTATGATTTGGGAGGCCAGTATAGCTGTGTGTATCAGCAGCTGTGAAATTGATTGGTATCGGGGGTGGTGGAAGAAGCTGGACTGCAGAGGCCAATATGAGTGGGCTCAGTGTTGCGAAGAGACTCGACCAGGTAACGATAACCCGACGAAGAGACGCTGTGGATCCCATGATTGCTTTGTAGCAGCCGTGGAAAGGGTGAGTAGGAATATCCCATAAGTATGTCTGATGTCAGGAAAGGGGCGCGGTAAGTAGATGTGTGTGAAGGAGAGTTGACTGCCTACACGGCTAGCAGTGCTCGTCCTGTGCGTCTTGGGAAGGAACGGGCCGTGGTTGCTGCTTTACGGAGGTGGCCTTCTGGGAAAGGTATACTAGCAGTCAATGGACGTATTTAAATTTCAAATTTCAACTGATCTACCTAGACTTCAGATCGAACAGAGGCAGCGGTAAGAGCCACCGCCAGAATCGAAGTGACGGGCAAGATATAGGACTACCTATTAGGTAAATCTGAGAACATAGAACAGAAGAGACATTTGCCGAGTCGCGACGAAAGAGCATTTGCAGACCAGCGGAGAAAATCATTCCGACTTGCAAGCTCCCGTGGACTTGGATGGAGCGATCAGAAGATCATTCCCAGCCAGGTGCCTCAGACTGGTCGTCGCCAATCTGCACACCACCCCAAGCCGCGGAGCTGTCGTTTCCCTCGTTGGCAGCTTCGTCAACGCTCTCATCGTCAGTATCATCGTGGAAATTAACCACGGTGTCTTGGGGCTTGTATTGTTCGAGAAAGTCAGGGACTTTCTGCTTACTCTCGATTAATATCTTGACCAGGTCTGGAGCAATGTCTGCATCCTTCTCGCAATAGAAGGACGTGGCGAGACCTTCGTTGCCAATTCTGGCTGTGCGCCCTGTCATGTGTTAGTGTCGGCGCACATGTTTCGAGGTGCAAGAAGAATCATTTCACTAACCAATACGGTGAATGTACTCAGTTATTCCTCCAAAGGAAACACTGGGAAGATCGAAATTTATCACGTGCATCACGTTCTTGATATCGAGACCACGGGCAGAGACACCAGTGGCCACGAGAATAGGGCACCTAGCAGTGCGGAAAGCGCGCCTAAAGTTCATTAGCAAGAGGCATGAATATAGGAGACAATCTCCGACTTACAAGGCATCCTCTCTCTCACGCTGGGTACGGTCTGAATGGATAGAAGTGCTGGGAAGTCCCAGGTTGTAGAGGTAATCATCGAGCAAGTCGGCCTGCCCTTTAGAGTTGACGAAGATCAACGTGCGACTGGGAGGCATCGCGATGAGCAGATCATAGAGACACTGCTTCTTCAGGTGAGGCTCAGCGTACACAATCTATCATTCAGACATCTAGTCAGCAGGCTGTACCACCCAAGCAGGATTACTGTAAAACATACGTTCTGGTCAACGTTCACGTGGGTAGATCCAGGACGGCCAATACGGACGCGGACGTGATCATCAGAAAGAAACTTTCTCGCCAACTCGCGGCAAGAACGGTTGAATGTTGCACTGAACATCATGTAACGATGATCAGCATCTTCGTTCACGTCTGTGGTTGTCAGTATGAACACAATGTACAGCAAGGATCAAAGTCAGTACCTCCGCCAGACATGATCTTGGTAAAGTCAGACTCCCAGTCCGAAAGAAGTAGCTCATCTGCCTCATCGATGATAGTGTACCTAGATTGGGTTAGCCAAAGCCAGTACAAAGGGGAGAAGGTTATACTTGACACGGCGGAGAGACAATATGTGAGGCTTGTCCATGAAATCAAGCAATCTTCCGGGGGTACCGATCAGAATGTCGCAGCCCATCTGGAGTTCATCGCGCTGATCACGGACAGGCGCGCCACCGTAAACGACACAGGGCCGCAACATCGACCTGTAACACAAACGTCTTGCCTCATCGAAAATCTGTGTGGCGAGCTCCCGAGTAGGGGCCACAATCAACACAAGAGGCTCAGCACGCACGGAATCTACACCTGGAGTGTAGCCAGCGGCAAGGTTAGGACGAGGGGCGGCCAGCTTCTTCGCCTTTCCCATCAACTGAGAAAGAACGGGAATCAAAAAAGCGGCAGTTTTTCCAGAGCCTAGTCAAGTTAGTTCATACCGAAGGCATAGGAAATAGGATGGGGACTTACCAGTTTGAGCAATGGCAATCAAGTCATGTCCAGTGAGCACCGCGGGGATTGCATATGCCTGAATTGGGGTCGGAAACTCGTAGCCACAAAGGCGAATGTTCTGGCGCATGATCGGATGCAAACCGGCATCATCAAACTAGTCAAAGTGTTAGTCCAATAGAGAAACGGTTCGTGTAGTTCAAAAGGGTGCTCACGTTCTTGATAGGGCTTGGTCTTTCGTGAGACTCTGCAATAACTTCGATGTTTTGCAAGCTATATTTGGTCAGTATTTGCAACACAGGATAACACAACGAGGACTCACTTTCCAATCTTGAGTCCAGTACGATTGATAAACTCGCTTCGGAACAGCATCTGCTCGAGCTGAGGGTTTTCTGGTCCGACATCGCCATACTCATCCTTCCACTCGTACTTCGCTGCCTTGGCAGCCCACTCAGGGACAGGTTCTTCCTGCCCATCCTCCTCGGCAGGTTTCTCCAGCGAAGGTCCAGCATTATACTTCTGGTAGTCATATATCTCTGGCTCTACCCAGCCCTTTGCACGAGCTAGGGTGGAGGCCTCACTCGCCTTGTTGTTCTGGGCGTTGGTCACATCTGTCAGCGCGTCCCTCATTGCTGAGGTGTTGAAACTTTCGGAGTCATCCATAAAGACGACGAGGTGGGCTGTTACTCGTCAAAAAAGGAGTTAGCTAGATAGATTTTAGATGTAAAAGAACGGAGAAAGAGCCAAGTGAACTGTGGACGACTTACTTTGAAAGAGATGTTGATCTGAGACGGAGGCAAGGATGGAGGAAGGAAGAAAGGTGAGAAACACAAGGAAGAAGAAGGGAAAAGGAGGGAAGAAGGAGGAAGAGGAAGGAGAGGAACACAAAGCAGAAGAAAGGGAAGAACTTTTCATCAACAGTGGCAGGTCTCAATTATTGAGCATGTTTTGAGCTGCCAACAATCATAATAACCACCACCTTCACCACGGCTCCACGGGTTACCACAGTTCCCTAGCAGTGAGTTGCAGTCCAGAAACGGAAGAAATGAGAAGAAGGGAAGAGAAAAGTGAACTACAAGGCCATACTTAGCTATGCGTATCCTGCTGCTGTGCAGAGAGAGAGAGAGAGAACTGATGACCCAGGCGTATCTCGAAGACAACAACCTGGCGTAGCTTCGTCCTGACAACAAGAGATAAGCAAGATAACATTTAGAGGTTCTCGCTAAGTTGCATGAAGAGGAATTCCATTCCTATCTCTCGCCTGTAACATCCGTGGATGTGCACGAGTGGTGTGCGTTTGTCGGACACCTGCACCGAGCAATCAACCAATGCGCCAGGCACAGTTCCGCGAAGCGTAACCCTGTCCTGCATATTTTCTAGCTATTTACGAGGTCTCTCGAGAAGCGATCAACTTGCCATAGCTCTGGGAGTCTTCCATCCGCTTTCGGACTATCTATGAGAGGACAAAGAGGGAGTGCTCCGGTGCCTGTGCGAGAGAAAAAGGACAAGGTGTGGATTCGTATGTAGGCATAGAACTCACATACCAAGGTCGATCTGCCAGCCTGATATATATTTCAGTCTCTGTGTTGATCTCCTTAGACAATCCTCCAATGGCAGGGCGAAGTTTCCAATGTTTGAAAGCTACGCAGGTGAGAAAAATTGATGCCTGAGGTCAAAACGCGACAAGATTGGCAGACGTCATTTCCCAATCTCTAAGCCGCGATCCGACTCCTTCAGGCGCCAGTGGGCCGACATGAATGATATACAATGTAGTAAATTAAGCTGGGGATGCACTGACGGTTAATCTTTTGAGGTAGGGAACTGTTCGCTGATTAGACACCAGCTTATCCTCGGTCTACTCAAACTTTGGTTCCACCAAGCTCTCAACAAATTCCGGGCAGAAGGAGATATACGCCGTACGGACCATCACGGGATCAAGTACCGCCGAACATCGACATGGGAACATCAGCTCCTCCATATATGACCTCCTTTCGGCTGCTAATGTGAATCTCCTGTTTTTCTGGCGCCAATTCTTCCCCCATCTGCTCTCAACACCTGTTGCGACAGCGCCATGTCCTCAACAGACCCAACCCCCGCCCGCACCCCTCGGCTTGAACAAGCCATCACCAACCCGGGATCCGTGAAGATCAACGTCAAGGGCGCCTTCATAGTTGACGATGACCCACGTTCAAAGAGTCCTGTGCGAACCGACGGCGTGCATTACGAAGGCCATGATATTCGTTTACCTCACCACACAGGCGTGGTAAGCCATGTCGCTGTCGATGTGAGTTTCCCTGAAATTTTTCTGGTTTCCGTGGTTCCCCGCACCTTGCTCTCTCCCCGCAATCGCCTTTTCGCCGACCGCCACAAAGCAAGCTGTGTGACTGACGACTGACTCTGATGTTCCGTAGATCGGCGGTTCCCTTGCGAAGCTGGTTTACTTCACGCGCGAGCCAGATTCACCTGATAACGGCGGACGGCTCAATTTCATCAACTTCGAGACCGGTCGGATAGATCTCTGCCTTGAATTCATCAAACAACTAAAGGAGGAACACCAAGGGCTCAACGAGGGCATCAAAGATGAGCTGTGCGTTGTGGCTACTGGTGGAGGAGCATACAAATATTACGATAAGCTTAAAGAAACGTTAAACGTGGACATTATGCGGGAAGACGAGATGGAATGCCTCATTACAGGTAAGGCTCGGAGATACTTTCCACGGGATGTATAACCGGAAGGAAGAATCCGCTGACATCTGGTTACCTAGGCCTTGATTTTTTTATCACCGAGATACCGAACGAAATATTTACCTACAGCGAAACCGAACCGATGCAATTTGCCGAGGCCCGACCGGATGTTTACCCGTACCTCTTGGTGAACATCGGATCTGGTGTGTCGATGATCAAAGTATCGGGGCCCAAACAATTTCAGCGAGTTGGTGGTACACATCTGGGTGGTGGAACGTTCTGGGGCATCATGTCAATGTTGACCGGTGCCCGGACTTTCGATGATATGCTAGCAATGGCGGACCGCGGGGACAACAGTGGCGTGGACATGCTAGTTGGTGACATCTATGGCATGGACTATGGAAAGATTGGCTTGAAGAGTACGGCGATTGCTAGTACATTTGGCAAGGTCTTCCGCCTCAAAAATGCCGAGCAGCACAAGTCTGATGACCACACACAACAAAACGGCTCCGACCATGCTAATGGCGACCCGATGTTCAAACACGAAGACATGAGCCGAAGCCTACTCTATGCCATCAGGTACATAAATCCTACCCAGCTCGGAATGATACCCTGCTAACTATCCCAGTAACAATATTGGGCAAATCGCTTACTTGCAGTCCGAAAAACACCAAGTCAAACACATCTACTTCGGTGGGTCATTTATTCGAGGACATCGCCAAACCATGAACACATTGTCATACGCAATCCGTTTTTGGTCCAAGGGCGAGAAGCAAGCTTACTTTCTTCGCCATGAGGGCTATATCGGCGCCGTCGGTGCGTTCCTCCGCCGGAAGCCAGTCAATTGGGGTCGCAGAAGCAGCGTTGACGAGCACACGCTGGCTAATGGTCTTTGAGTACACTCGTCCAGTTATGCTCGAGCAAGACGGCGTCAAGTCACTTGACAGTCCGTATACCACTTTTACGCGTTTGATACCCGGAGACCATGAGGGTATCCTCCCGTGCTTCATGGTCTCACCTATCCTCTCCTTATGCTAGTCGGATTTGAAACTCTTTATATCTGCGGGCCGGATTCTGCAGAACATTTTCATTTGCGAGAGCGCGTTTGTATACAACTGGGTCCACGGTAATGTTTCCTTTTTCTTGTCTCTTTTTCACCTTTTTTTTGGAATTTCAGTCAGAGAGCTGTGTTCTTCTTTTGTTTGCATGATGTTGATGCCTCCATTTGGCCATCTTGTTTATGGACTTGCGAAAAGCACCTGGTCTTCTCATTTTTCGTTTGACCATCAGGAATAGAGGATAACAAATATAGAGAAGATTTTCATACTAGACTATTATAGCATTACTAAGAGCTCCAAAGCTGAGACTTGATTCTACCAAGCCGGTCCGGGCGTCTCAGACCCTGCTTGGAGTTAAGGTACTCCGTTCCTACTAACTACCTAGGTTGGTAGAACTTGCCCAGCAGGCGCCGAGCTGCACAGCGCTCACACTTCTCAAGTCTGTTGTCGAGCTGTCAAGATCAGCTTTTTCCTTCCTTTTTTCGTTCTTTCCATTCTCTGCTTTGAAATTTCTATTGATTGATCCTACATTCTTTCTCTTCGTTTGATGTGGAAAGAAAACCCCGACTTGTCGTACTCAGTAGCTTTGAGACATCGGATCAGATTTGACCGGTCCAAATCACAACCATCAACAATCACGCACGTTGAAAACATTGCCAAGCATTTAGGGGTCAAGCTGCAGACTGACTGCTCAGCAGTTACTCTTGTTCTTCTCCTCCCTAAGCTCAGCTCGATTGCTTGTCCTGCAGCATTGCCACCCACTCCCTTCGAACGCCCTTATGTCCGAACCTAGTCAAACTGTTCGATATCTGCGGGGTTAATTTCAACTGTTTACTTTCTCAATCAAAGACAATCAAGCAACGGCCATGGAGACAAGTAAGTCCTAGTTTTCTGGGAGTAATGATACGCCCGCTTCCTGGAAATCTCGCTAATCGAAGTCTTGCCGATTGCAGCTTCTCGCAAAGCGCCCTCCGAGCGCCGAGTGGTGATCAAACGAGAGCGCGAAGCCTCAGTTCAATTAGATGCGCCGGCGAGCTCGCCAGCTAGCACGCGAACGTCGTATAACACACGATCTACAGAAAATATAGCTTTATCAACCAATAATAGCCCAACCGGTCCGTCCATCATTCGAGTGACCGTGGAACCCCGGCCCGGGTCCAAAACGGTCCCATTTCCGCCCGCGCTGAAGACTCTCCTCGAAGAATGGCATGAAAAGAAGGGACGAAAGATACCACCGTGCAAATACTTTTACCAGAAAAGAAGAGGAGGCTCGGTGGTCTCACAGGCGTATGATCGAGAGGGCAAGGAGGTGAAGATGACAGAGTTCTCAATTTCAACGCCCGTCGCATACGGAGTCCTTGTTGCGCATTACCCCGACAATTCTGCCAAGCTCGTTTCAAGTCTATTTCCGGGCTCCAGGAAGCATGGGTCCTACTATCGAGGTTGGTCAGGTATCGGACATGGCTTTGAGGAAGAGGCCACTGTTGTACGACATTTTGCGAATTCCAAAATCCCCGATGTGACATATCGACCGGAGGCGTGGCCAGCGTTGGAGGAGTTGCTCAAGAAAGATGACCACAAGAAGGGTCAGCCAGCGTCTACTATGCAGGAGGCTAGATCATCGCCTTCGCCGGAAACACGAAAACGAACCGCCACTCAAGAATCAATCAATGCGACTCCCGCAAAAAGACACCAGACACACCAGCAAGAGAGCTCCTCATCTGGGTCGGAAGAGACCGATAGCTCCGATGAGGATGAAGAGACTGATGAGGAAGAACCCGAGGGGGAGGAGGAAGAAGAGAAGAAAACAAGGGTCAATCAGAAACCCACTGTCGCAAGCAGCCAGAACAATGGAGCGGAACCACAGCCAGCCAACAAGCCACAGCTGAGGTTCAGATTGACCTTTTTCAAGTTTAGGATACAAAACGTCCGTGAGTTTCCTGAGGGCGAATGCAAGACTGGCAAGGAGCTTTCCGAAAAAGCGAGTGCGTTCTTTTCAATATTCGACGACGCTATTCAAGTCAAAGTCCTGTCATGTCAGATTGCTTCGCGCCCAGACCAGCACTATATTTTCTCAGGGAGCGAGGGTGAATTTAATCTTCTTTTGCTTCAGGCTCAAGAAGCTGCATCAGCGTTGGGCAAGCCATTGACCATCGAAGTCGGCCTTGTCAGGTCGTAGTTACGTTCGTGACTCACTGTGTACTTAATATGAGGTCTTGATTAGACATGAAGATACAGAATCCAAGAATCAAAAAATATTCCGTACAACTATTCCAGGGAAATTAAGCTGGAGCTGTCAGCACCATTCCTAAAGCGGAAGGCACTAAACTGCATGCGGACTGACCCAGCATTAGCCCATGAGTTTAATTCCTCCCAAGAGTCCAGCCTGCCTGTTCGCCGTCCACGGCTCCGCAGAGACAACTGAATTGGACTCCTCTCACAACGACCGTCATGCTTTGCGAATAATTACCGGCACTACTCGATGCCTTCCAACCCTGACTCACCGGCTCCCGTTCCTCCCCCAGTCCCTGTCGAAACCCATCCGTATCGCGCGAGTGGGTTAAAGCCTCCTCCGGAAAACCGCGTCCTTCCCGATCCCACTCGCCTCGCCCCTGAGGATGCCTACTACTCCCCTTCTCTTCTTCGAACTCGGCCCGGTAGCTCGAATTATGAAGAGCCAATTCGGCCGCTGAGCGCGAACACTCCTACTGCTGCCTCCGTCGCTGCCCTGCGGCCACCGCCCGCGGTGCCAGGAGCTGCTACCCGAAAGGAGAATCGTAAGCTACGAGGGACTGGTGTTCGGAGACGGCGAAAGGGTGCTTGGAAGAAGTTACTTTGGGTGAAGCAGTCATGTACGCATACCCAAACTTATATTCATCAGGTCTCATTTGTCTGCGGTGGGCTGACTGTTTTCCGTCTTCGAAAAATAGACCCAGATAATTATACCGACACCGAAACGTTCCTTGACCACCTTCAGAGAAACCCCCGTGTGCGCCCCTACGACTTTTGGCCATTAGTCGCTGATTCAACCGTCATTGTACAACATGTTTGCTCGGTGGTCATATTCATCTGCTGCTTTATCGGAATCGTTCAAGGTCGGGTGAGTCCCGTCTCTGTTGTCTGCTGGGGCAGTGTCGGGACTGCTGTCGCCTGGGTTTTATGGGACTGGTGGGCGTTCACGGAACATGCAGAGAATAGAAGGGCAGCTGAACGAGCGATGGAGGCCGATGACGGGTCGAGTTCTAGCTCTATGACGAGCTCTATGGTTCCAGGCAACTCTCGACCGAACGGACAAAAGGAGAACCAAATTCATGGACTTGGTTTGAGCATGGCACAAAACGAACCAGGCGCACCACTCAGACGCCAAAGTACAGGGCTCAGCGTCGATTCCTTCACGGCCCAGGATCCAGGTTCACTTCCACCCGGATATGCGAACGGGAAGGATGAACGATCCGAGTCACAGTGGCAATTAATATATCACTCTTCGTCGTTCCTGTCACGGAACCGCCAGCGACTTTCCACGGTGAAGTCGGCATTTCTTATATACTTTTCATTGCTCGGACTCAGCCCAATCCTTAAGTCGCTCACCAAATCCACCGCGAGTGACTCCATCTGGGCCATGAGCTGCTGGCTGCTGATCATGAATATATTTTCGTTCGACTACGGAAGCGGGGAAGGCGCTGGCGCGACCAAGTTTCCGGCATCTCTATCCACAAACGCAGCTGTCATGGCATCGACAGTGCTTGCTTCTCGCCTCCCATCAACCACGCACGTATTCAGCCTCATGCTCTTCTCCATTGAGGTGTTTGGTCTGTTCCCCATATTCAGGCGGCAGCTAAGACACATCTCATGGACCGGCCATATCTTCTTAACCCTGGCATTGGTTATTGTCGCCGGCGGTGCCGTCGGGATTACACTGCGTGGCGGATGGGCGGGAGCGGTCGTTGGGTCTTTCCTAGGGAGTATCCTTACGGCATTCACCATGGGTGGCTGTAGTTGGTGGCTTATTAGTCTCCAGAAGTATAAGAATGTGGTCTCAGGGCCATGGGATCCTGCCAGGCCGATTATACGACGGCATTGGGACTGAGACCGCTTGCTATCGCCCGTGCAGCGGTGGATGCCCCTGTATCAAGCATTATCATTAGCTGTATAAATAACTATACAAATTCTTTGTATTTTGATCTTGACACACTGGGGTGTATCAGCCCAGCGCATATCTGACACTGTTACACAGGCGGTTCCTCTGATGTTGCCCAATCGATCTGGGGCATGCTTACTACGTACGATTCAACTGAATTCGAACCCCTTGGCATCTGTACTACAGGACTTGGTACTCCAAACCGGGCGCAGCCTAGAACATACCGGGTTCGGAATGCGCATTTGTTGCAGGTATGCGCAATGCGAAACCGCCCCATCATTCACCCGACACACAACACACAGACCCTAAACTGACTTGTTTCCAAGGAAGACTGTCTGGGGAACGACACTGCGAGTACCATCTAGACTCTCTGGGACCGATTGACGAATTGACATCACTATCTATGCAGGATACCGACCGTCAACTGACGACGAGGAGACAGATTACCACACAAAGACCGACGACCTCTTTCTCCCACACCCTGAATTGTTGCTATGCCTACACATTCCATAATGACAGCCCGACTCAGGGGAAATTGTTTTGGACCTTCTTTGTCCTACTTATTGGTGCATTTGCGCCCCCTGCCCTGGTGCGTTCCTTTGACGCTGGAAACCGTAAGCGCCTGAGCTGTCCTTCAGTCTTGAGTTGCTTGAACGAGCCTAAAAATCTGGAGGGGTATAAATACGTCCTTGGCTCTCCCTTCGACTCCTGGGTGTTTATACACATCACGACAGAAAAAGTTCATACCATTTGTTCATTATGCTCAAATACGCAATCCTGGCCCTGGCGGCCTTGCAGTGCGTTGCGGCTTTACGCTTCGCTATGTATATTGATCAGTATGGCCCCTTGCCTCTATCCGAGATATGGTGTAAGCTAATTCGTTCTTAGGTGGCATACAAATGGCCTACCTGGCAAGGATAAAACACAGGGAATCTCGCATGTCATCATGGCGTTTGCCAAATCTGACCTCTTTACCTCTCAAAATCCGCCCACTTTCCAGCCATTTGAACCGGTCTCAACGATGCGTGGCCGCTTTTCTCCGGAGACAAAGGTCATGATCGCGCTCGGCGGATGGGGCGATACCTCTGGGTTCTCCGCGGGGGCAAAGGATGATGCTTCCAGGGAACTGTACGCGAAGAATGTGGCAGCCATGTTGCAAAGCACTGGTTTCGACGGTGTTGATATCGACTGGGAGTATCCGGGCGGCAACGGACAGGATTACAAGCAGATTCCCAACTCAGCAAAGGTCTCTGAAATCGAGACGTTCCCTTTGCTCCTTGCCGCTATCCGCAAGGCTATTGGTACCGAGAAAATCCTTTCTATCGCGACACCAGGCAAGAGAGGCGATATGATCGCGTTTACGAAGGAGAAGGGTCCGGAAATATTCAAGTCCGTGGACATGATCAACGTGATGTCCTATGACCTGATGAACCGACGAAACAACGCCACAATGCACCACAGCGGCGTGGCAGACTCCCTGGATACAATCAAGGCGTACAAGGAGATTGGCGCACCAGCGGAGAAGCTCAACCTTGGCATTTCCTATTATGCGAAATGGTTCACGACGCAGCCAGATTCGGATTGCGATATCCGTCCACTCGGCTGCCCAGTTGTGGCGATGGAAAACGCTGACGGAACGGACAACGGCAAATCGGGCGCTTGGACGTTCGAGACCGCCAATATGTCACCCGTGCCAGCTGACTTGAAGGTGTCGACTGATGGTACGTGTGGCTTTTCCAAGGGAACAAAGTGCCCAGCAGGGTCATGCTGCAGTCAATACGGAAACTGGTAAGTTTTCCTTCCGATGACCGAAATCAAAGTTAGGAATGTTGGCTGACTCAAGCAACAGTGGAACTACCAATGACCACTGCAACGCCGGTTGTCTCTCCGACTATGGCGAGTGCAAGGGTCTCGACATCACGAAATCGTGGCGACGCGCAGAGACGAACGGAAAGACGGATGAGGAACGAGGTGGCCAGTACTATCTTGATGCCGAAACCGATCTATTCTGGACCTGGGATACGCCGGCATTGATTGCGCGCAAATTCAAGGAGATTGTAGACGCGGAGCAGCTGGGAGGAGTGATGGCTTGGAGTTTGGGAGAAGATACCTTTGACTTCCGCCATCTCACGGCGATGCAGGCGGGTGTGGCAGACCGGCCCGATCAGTGATGCGCCAATGTGCTGACTCTGCCGGACCTGATGACTGAATAATGAGAGTTTTAAGCTGCGGTCTAACTACTATAATGGTAACTCTATCAAAGACTGTGGAACGGACTGCCGTGGTTGTAGTACGCTCTAGCCAATCGCGTTCCTGGAACCCGCACGGGGTTGGTGGGTGCGCTGTGAGCGGACGAGACACTAGCAAAGGCAGGGGACCACCGACAATAAACCGCGTTGCAGGTATAAGTAGAGTAGGAGAAGCTTAACTCATGCAGGAGCTCAGGGTCTTCGTCCAAGTTAATTTCCCCCTTTTCTTCACCATGAAGGCCTTCGTTCTTTTTGTCCTCGTTTCCTTGTCCCTCGCTATTCCCATCCATCCTGTTGTCTCTGACTTGAGTTCGCCTCCTCAACAAAAACCTCTCATCGAACACGCAATATTAGCCCCAAACCCCAATCGCGGCCTGCAAATTGAGCATGGAATGTTCCTCACGAGAAACCTGTCCAAAGTGAACTCTACTTCAAGTTACAATCATGCTTTGAAGACGGAACAATCATTTTACCGTTTACTAGAGCGGTATTCTGATGAGCTCCACGCATGGGGGCTCCTTCTCCTCGTACCGATCGCTCTTGGAGTCGTTGAGCTTGCTGAGCGCATCTCACGATCGTTGTCTGTCGAGCAATTCCCCGAACGCGGCAGAGAAATCCGCCGCATGGAATCGCTAAAGGAAAGAGAGCAGTGGGTGCTCAGACGAAAAGAGCGAGAACTCCGAGTTGAGCGATCACGGTCTTGGTGGAAATGGTCAAGATATTGAGGCTTGTCATCAGTCTGTGCATTCTAATATTCTATCATTTTCGACATATCATACAAGAGAGGGCGTTCTTAGTTCATGCGCTTGATCTCCTCGACAACGGCAGCCGTCACTTCGACGGTCTTGGCGGTTCCGCCGAGATCTGCTGTCAGGACACCAGACTCGCACACTTTTTCAACGCACTGCATCAGTTTTTCTGAGGCGGCTTCCTCGCCCAACCAGGCTAGCATCTCTGCGGCCGTCCAGAATGTAGCGACTGGGTTGGCGACGCCCTTGCCGGTAATGTCAAACGCAGAGCCGTGGATGGGTTCGAACATACTCGGGTGCTGGCGTGTTGGGTCGAGGTTCGAGGTGGGCGCGATACCGATAGATCCAGCGAGGGCAGCAGCAAGATCGGACAGGATATCAGCGTGCTAAAATACTGTCAGCAACTCTCGAAGGCTCGGCCTAAGGAACGAGCGACATACCAAGTTGCTAGCAACAATTGTGTCAAGACTCTCGGGCTTAAGAACCATTCTCGTCGTCATGGCGTCAACGAGCATCTTGTCAACCGTGACCTCGGGGAAGTCCTTGGCAACAATGTTCGCGACCTCATCCCATAGAACCATACCATTGCGCTGCGCATTGCTCTTGGTCACAACAGTCAACAGCTTCCTTGGCCTCTTGGCGGCCGTCTCGAAAGCGAAGCGCATAATACGTTCCACACCGTGACGGGAAAAGATGGCCGTCTCAGTCGCAACTTCCCAGGGGTGTCCACGGTGGGAGCGCCCACCTTGTCCGGCATACTCTCCTTCACTGTTCTCGCGAACAATCACCCAGTCGAGGTCTCCAACATTGCAGTTGCGGAGAGGCGACTGTGTACCACGAAGAACACGGGTGGGGCGCACGTTAGCATATTGCTGGAGGGGCTGGCAGATAGCGAGGCGGAGGCCCCAAAGGGAGATGTGATCCGGGACATCTACAATCATTAGTTCTTTATTTATCAACCAAATATTAGAAGCGGGGCGGTGTTACCAGGCGCTCCCACAGCTCCAAACAGAATAGCATCTTGTTTCTTCAATTCCTCCAATCCACCATCAGGAATGTACTTGCCCGTCTGCTTGAAAGTCTCGGAGCTCCAGTCAAGGTGCGTAAAGTCTAGCTTGAAGCTTTGCAGCTTGTCAGCCAGCGCCTGGAGAACTTCGACGCCAGCATCAATGACCTCGGGCCCAATGCCGTCGGCGGGGATAGTGGCGATCCGGTATGTCTTGGCCATTGTCTAGGTTTCCTTGTGCAAGGGACAGAAAAAGAACTCGTATGTATGATCTGAAGCGATATTTCTTTCTCTCCTAGGCACGGCTCCTCCAGACCGGAAATAGGACGTATAAATAACTTTTTCTCTCGCTGCCCGCCGATTGAACCCCCGAGTTCCCCCCCGCACCGGGCAAGAAAAGTCCGCCCGGACGTGTCTTTGTCCGACCGATCCACTTCCGCCACATGACGCGAGCACGCGGCAATGATGAGAATGAAAGATGAGAATGCGACGCCGGTTTGACTATATTCGTTGCTACTTACCAAACCCATGTCTTCAATATATTTATACAGTGGCGAACCGTTGTTAAGCCTTGCTAGGTTTGCATCAGACCAAATCAGCGTTATATGGTACGTTCGAATTCTCCGCGAAATCGAAGCTCTCATGGATCAACCATGGCCCGTCTGCTAGGCTCCATAAATCACCTATACCGAATGTCTCTTCGCCTCCTGTGGTATTTCCGTCCCCTCCTATTGAGAAATCCGGGAGACCGAGGCCCAGTCCGGTACCGAGATTGTTCATTGCTTGGTTTCCGAAAATGAGGGATGAGTTGCTCCATTGGTTGCCTGTGATGGCGGTTGGTAGGGGGGTTGCACTTTGTAGAAGTGTGTCTTCGGGTGCTGGAGTTGGATGGGGTGGTTGTTGTTGTTGTAGGTGGAGGTGTTGGGGTGTTCCGAATGGAATGCCAGAGTCGATGGCTTCGGAGGTTGTGGTGGCTGACTCCTTGTCTTTGGTCTTTGGACCGGTCATGTCGAGTATGCTTGGATTTTGTTGCTCTGGAGCTGTGAGGGCAGAATCAAGGTCCCGAATGGCTTCGATACACGTTTGCGGCCAGGTGTTTCCGCGGCGAGCGAGATTTTCGAGGATGGAGAGGCCGTTCTTGGCGTATCTTGTTCTCTTCATCAGCTTATTCTCATCATGTAGGGAGGCGCTTTCAGAAAGGATAGATACCTCGATGCTAAAGATGCGGGAAATTCGCTTTCCCAAGCGGCGTAAATTAGGATTAGGCAGCTCATCCAGACGGCCCAGGTGAAGGACGGCCATATGAGCGGAATCGAGGATCCGGACGGGCCGGAGAGATATTGTCGTAGTGAGGTTAATAGTGATCGTGATGACTCGATGCATATTTGTAATGCGGTGCGATATTCAGGGGAAGACGCCTCGGCTGCCAGCAGCGGGCGATTCATGGCGATGATGGCTTCATGACGGAGAATTGTAAGGAGAAGGCTGTGGAATGGTGCAATCATGGACGTGGAGTGTGCATTGCCCTCGTCGGGCTCGACTGGGTAGACGTCGTCGTAGACTTCATTCCACCACTGCGTTAGCTCACCGTGAACTTGAGTCGCATCAATGAGCTCCTCTCTGTGGAGGATAGACTTGTTGCGTAATTCAATGATGCGTCCACGGACCCGGGCGAATCTAGCGAGGTGGCCCAGCAAGCGAAGTCTGTGATCTAACGGGCAAACGTGAGAATGGGTTTTAGGGGAAAGGGGTAAGACACACCTTCTTCTGCCGCCGGACCGTGCATCTCCGCGTTAGGATAACACACGTCGATATCGTCATCGCGAATCCCCAGGGGGATACCCAGCGCCTGAGAGAGGTATCGCTCAAGACAGTAGATAGACCAGAATAGCCGACGGCGAGTAGCGGCCTCTTCCGAACTGAAACCTGAAAAGCGCACAGGACACCTGTGTAGACCAAGGTGGAAGGCCGTTCGGATAATGGCACCGCCGACGCGCGAGGCGGCATTGAGACGGAGAAGAGAGGTAAGAAAAAGCTGGATGCTGAAAGCTGCCTGAAGAATTGGAATAGTTGGTGGCTCGCAAAAGAGAGCATGCAAACTCTCCATAGCCTGGTGGACAGAACGAAAGACCAATGCCGAGGGAACCAGGATTTGAGAACAAGGAGAACTGTCCTGGCGACGATCCATCAAGGAAATTGAAATGATTGAGCGGACAAGGATGCCATCTGCTGCAGAGAGACTGCTGTACCCATCGCGGCTGATGTGCTCTAGGATTATGAGGAATCCTGGGCCAGAACAGAAGGGAAACATTGGGTGCCAATTGTGGAAGTAGCCTCGGGTCCATTGCACTAGACTATCAAAAGAACATAAAGTTGCGAGTGCCTGGGGTTTAAGTTCATGAGGCAGCCACAGGTCCGGATGATATTGGTGGTGTTGATGGTGCAGCTGGTCATCTTCGCCTGGCACTTGGGTATCTTTTGATGGCTGCTTGGGCCGATTCAGAAGGGCCGACCGGCGGGCGAAGGCATTATAGACAACGCGAATGAAATGAATCCCGCTTGATGAGCCTAGGAAGGATGCAGACCCGTTGTCGGTGGACATGCGCATTACCCCCAGTTCGTGAGCTCGAGGGGTGAGCTTCTGGCGTTTGGAAGGGGAGCCATGGTTGGAGTTGCCAGAGTCCATGAATAGGTCACGACAATGGCGTCGGTTGAAGAGACATGCAGGCAGAGGCAGGAAAACGGAAGCAAAAGAAAAGAAGAGGACCGGATTGAGGTCAAAACTCGGCGCTTGGATTTTCCAACCGGTAGTTGTATTAATTGAAATGAAATTTCCCCGCAAATCCAGAAAACGATCCTCACTCCCCAATTCCTGTCAAGCAACGCCCACATTTTTCTAATTGCTATTTCCTTATTTCCATTTGTTTCCCCTGTTAAAATGGCAGAGAAGCAGAATCCAATTGCTTGCGAACCTTGTCGACAAAAGAAATGCAAGGTCTTTGTGTCCTATCTTTCTCCTTCCATTCCCTTTTCTGACCGCCGCGACTGACTCTCTTAAAGTGCGATCGAATTTTGTCAGTTTCCAAACCAAAGCTCACCTTTACCTATACCAACAAGCATAGGCCAGTTTGTTCACAGTGCGCTGATCCGGCTCGATGCGTGTACCCCGAGAGTGGAAAACGGTACCTGTACGATTCCTCAAGCGCGACAAATTACTAACGATCACTTCGAGCGGCCTTCCCCAAGGCTATATAACCCATCTGGAAAACCGACTAGCAGCCACAGAACGGGCTTTATATAGTACATACGCTTATTTGCGGACCATCTCGCCTCGGTCGTTCAAGATTGTCGATTCCCCACAACCGACTCTGTCGAGAGCAGCAGCTGTGAACGAATGGGCGCGATTGCCGCTAATTGATCCAGACAATCTGGAGCAATGGTGGGCGGAGAAGGCCCGAGTGTTTGGAAATACCGGGGGCGAAGCGCCGCCGGAATGGAGTCCGGACACGGCGGGCACAGCGCCCAGGGAGAAGGACGTCCCTGCATCAACTATTGGTCTGAGTAGTTTCAGCCATCTTCACACTCATCAACGTCAATCTGAGGGATACCCGAGGGAAGGCCGCGCAGAGCAACTAGTAGAGTTGGAGCCCGCAGTCTATTTCTGACCATCGATCGAAAGGAAAAATCATCTGTCTTTACAAGGAAATTAAAGCCTATGCAAGTAAACGGATTTTGAGAATTGAGGTAAAATGGAGAAGTTGTAGCTCCAACCTTACTGCCGCCGACTCGCCGAGAAGACCGAGAAGCCGATATATATGAGGGGTGCGGGGTCCCGAATCTCTTCTCCTCTTTCTGTTCGTTTCTCTTCTCTTGTTTCTCATCAATCCCAAACTCTCTCAGAATCGAAACAGGTGTATCTGGCTAACGGAAATGGCTCAAGAATATAAATTACCGTTCGACGTAAGTCATCTTAAATACCTAGGATACTGGAGCCATGATCTCGTCACTAACAACGTCCTAGCTCGACAACCCCGATCTGCTTCACTTCGATTCCTTTGTCGGCGGCTCTTGGGTCACAGCGAAGAGTGGAAAACGGTTTGAGGTTGTCGGTAAGCTTTACTGCGACTTTCTTGGGAGTCTGCATACTGACTTGTGCTAGACCCTGGTACCGATATTCCCTGGGCGTCCTGTCCTTCGAACTCCGCCGAAGATGTCGATTCCGCTGTGCAAGTGGCACACGATGCATTTGAGAAGTTCAAAAAAGTTAACCCTCGTCAACGTGCACAGTGGCTTCTGAAATGGGACACCCTTATCCGCGAGGCTAGGACGGACCTGGCCAAGATCCTCACCCATGAGACAGGGAAGCCAATAGCCGAATCTTATGGCGAAATTGACTACGCGACTGGCTTTACCTGGTGGTTCGCTGGCGAAGCAGAGCGTATCCAAGGGACTATCGCTGTGCCCGCCGCGCCGAACCGCCGTGTCTTCACTGTGAAACAACCAGTTGGTGTTGCCGCTGCCCTCGTTCCTTGGAATTTCCCAATCGCCATGGTTCTGCGGAAAGCTGGTGCGGCCTTTGCCGCTGGTTGCACGATGATCGTTAAGCCCAGCCCAGAAACCCCATTGACGGCCTTAGTATTGGCACACCTTGCACAAAAAGCAGGATTCCCTGCTGGTGTTTTCAACGTGCTTACAACGGACTTGGAAAATACCCCGCCACTTAGCGAGGCGCTGTGTAAGCATCCGCTAGTGAAGAAGGTTACTTTTACTGGGTCAACGAGGGTTGGCAAGCTTATCGCGTCACACTGTGCTCATGGTCTGAAGAAGGTAGCACTTGAGCTGGGTGGAAACTGTCCATTCCTGGTGTTCGACGATGCGAACATTGACCAGGCACTGGATCAGCTTATGGCGCTCAAATGGCGTCACGCTGGCCAGGCATGCATTACGGCCAACAGAGTGTACGTACAGGCAGGAATTTACGAGAGATTTGCGCAGTTGCTCAGGGAGCGGACTGCCAAGCTAGTGGTCGGACATGGTGCTCGCGACGGTACCACCATGGGACCTCTCACTACCCCGCGCAGCATCGATAAGGCTATCAGCCAGGTTGAAGATGCGCAACGCCTCGGAGCGGAAGTTATTCTTGGTGGCAAGAAGGTCGAAGGCACAGAGGGATACTTCTTTGAGCCGACCATTTTGAAGAATATGACCAAGGAGATGCTGGTGTCGCGTGAAGAGACATTTGCTCCTATTGCTGCTTTGTATCGCTTCGAGACGGAGGATGAGGCCGTCCAGCTGGCCAACGACACTAGCATGGGGCTGGCCAGTTATGCCTTTACCAAGAACATCGACCGTATGTGGAGGCTGCTGGAGAATTTGGAGGCGGGCATGATTGGTATGAACACAGGTAACTCCTCTGCGGCTGAGTCGCCCTTTGGAGGTATCAAGGAGTCTGGATATGGCAAAGAGAGCGGAAAGGAAGTGGCTGTGAACGAGTATTTGGTGACCAAGACAGGGACGCTTACGATTGAGGGGCAGTACTAGGCAGAAGTCGAGGGAGCAAGTTCGGATCTAAATTGAGAAGTACCTTGTATATTTTTGTCATGATACTTAGCTGTTTATTCTTCGCAGCGTATGACTCGCTTCAAGGTTACCCAGGACTACATATACTACGTGGTACTATTGGCCCGTGACGAGCCTTCTGCGCTTCAGGTTACTTCAGGCCTGCATGGCGCTAGGATCGACCTCGGATTTCGTCTCCGCGGCACTCGTCGAAGATTCCCGTTTTGTAGATTTGACATTCGATCCCTGGGCGCCTGGAAAGGGTGAGATTTCAGGATCTCAAGTCGGGCTACTCCGCTCGGCTGCTCTGTAGATTTGTTGATCGGCACCTCCGCTGACATGAGAGTCCCAATCAGGCAACTGGAGCATCCTCACCCTCAGCTCTGCTTGACGTGCTTCTTCTCCATTCTTCTTCTTCTCCGTTCCCACCCTCTTCCTCTTTTTTCACCCCCACCCCCTTTCTCAATTGAACATATCGCTCCTTTAAGTTTAATTTTTCTTCCTTCTGCTCCATTTTGCCGTGTTTTGCGCTTGTCCGCCATGGACCCTCTGGCTTCCCTTCGTCAACTTGTCCAAACACACCCTCTCATCGACAACCACGCTCATAACATCCTCTCACGTGCTGCTGCCAGAAACTATACAAAGTATCCTCTTGAGCAGATCGTCTCCGAAGCACAAGGTGTCGCTCTAACCAATGCTACCTCTACATTACCGTTCCACCGCGCGGCAGTCCAGCTTGCTTCTCTATACAAGTGCTCATCGTCCGACTGGAACCAGCTAAAGGCGGCCCGAGACCAATTGGTCCAGCATGACTACGAGGGCTTAATCCGCCAGTGCCTGGAAGGAACACATGTCCTTCTTCTCGACGATCTTCTGAGCGACCAAGACGTTGAGTCTTTTGACTGGCATGATCGCTTCACCGCATCGCGCACCAAGCGCATTGTGCGCATCGAAGCTCTGGCTGCCAGCGTCCTGTCTGCAATTGTGCGCGAGGGGTCTGTTCCCTCACGGCCTTTCGACACGTCGGCTTTCCAAGCTCTTTGGGAGGGCTTTTCTAGGAACTTTTCTTCTCGGATTTCTGAAGCAATTGCTGACCCTGCTGTTGTGGGGTTCAAGTCAGTTATATGTTACCGGACTGGACTAGATGTCCAGGCAACCGATGGCGAGGATACGAAGCCCTTACTGCGATCCTTTGCTCGTACGCTATCCGCGGCGACCGTCTCCACTCCCCGGGTCGAGGATAAGTCGCTGAACGACTGGCTTGTTCGCCAGACTCTCAATCTACTCAAAGCCGCCAAGACGACCCAGCCCAACAAGCCCCTGCAGCTGCATACTGGGTTGGGCGATAAAGACATCAACCTGCTACGATCTAATCCCGCCCACTTGCAGGCTCTTATTGCCCAGTATCCTGAGGTTGATTTTGTTCTGCTGCACTCATCCTACCCCTACACTCGCGAAGCTGGCTATCTAGCTTGTGTCTACCCCAATGTCTATTTGGACCTTGGAGAGGTCTTTCCCATGGTAAGCCGGGATGCACAAGAGTCCATTATTCGAGAAAGTTTAGAGATTGTCCCCACCACCCGCTTACTTTGGAGCACGGACGGTCATTTTTTCCCCGAAACCTTTTGGCTGGCTAATAAGCAATTCCGTGAGGTTCTTGAAAAGGTCCAAAACTCCCTCTGCCACAAATACCACGTGCTAACCCCTGCGTATACACAGATCTTTGTTGATTACGTCCGAAATGGGGACTTCACAATTGAACAAGCCAAGCAAGCTGCAGTTGATGTACTCTTTTACAACTCGAGCCGGTTATACGATTTGAACGAGCAAGTCAACTACGAATCGTCCTTATCTGTGGTGAACTCACTCCCTCTCTTGCCACAAACTGACATGCTGCAAGTCTTTATCCGGAGCAATCCGGATGTCAAGTATATATGGATGCAATTTGTTGATTATACTGCAACAGTCCGCCTGCGTATGTTTCCGATTCTGGAGTTTGTTAAGATTGCACGCAGGCAACGCCGTATTGGCATCTGTGTGGCCGTGTTGTGGATGATGCAGGATGATTCAGTCGCCGGTGGTTCGACCACTGGCCAGTTTTACATGATACCGGACCTTTCATCTCTTCGCCGGAATGTCGGGCTGGATTCTAAAAGCGCCACTGTAATGACCTGGTGGAAGACGGACGATGGAGAGCCGCTGGAAGAATGTCCGCGTACAACCCTACAGACTATCACGAACAAATTGCGGGACGAATTCGACATCAAAGCCGTCTGTGGCTTCGAGGTAGAAGTCGTCTTCCTAAGACCGACAACTGACCCCTCCACTGGTGAAGAGGATTGGTGTGCAACTACCACAAACCACTCCTGGTCCCAAATGACCCGTGAAACCCGCCGCATGCTTCCATTACTCGAGGAGATTGCTGCGACCCTCGCCTCTATCGGCATTCATCTCGAACAGTTCCATGCCGAATCCGCTCCCGGTCAATTTGAATTCATCCTTCCTCCCGACTCCCCTGTCGCCGCGGTAGACACCCTCATCAAAGCCAGGCAGATAATCACTTGCGTGGCCGAGCAGCATGGCCTTCGCGCCACCCTCCATCCTCGTCCATACCCCTCCGCCGCCGGCACAGCCTCCCACGCACATATTTCCATCTCCCCACCGACTAAAGAAGCCTCCTTTCTTGCTGGCGTCCTCCATCACTACCAGTCCATCGTCGCATTCACCCTCTCCGGCGACGCAAGTTACGACCGCGTCAAATCGGGCATCTGGTCCGGAAGCGAATGGGTCGCCTGGGGCACCCAAAATCGCGAAGCCCCTATCCGCAAGATCTCCCCAGGCCACTTTGAAATCAAATCCCTGGACGGCTTGGCTAACATGTACCTCGCAATGTCGGCTTTCCTCGCTGCAGGATATGCCGGCGTAAAGGAGGATAGACCGCTCACTGCTAAGGATTGTAGACGTATGCCTCTTCTCCCATCTCGAATGGCACTACGTATCAAGGTTTCGCTAACTTGGGGGTATAGATGACGCAGCAACCCTCACCGATGCCGAGCGGACCGCCCTGGGAATCACAACCAAGCTCCCAACTACCCTGTCCCAGAGTCTTGATGCACTAGCATCTAACCAAATCCTCCAAGAGCTGCTCGGTCCCAATCTAGTGAGAAATTACATCATGGTGAAGCGGGCGGAGAGCGAGAAACTCAGCACGATGGATGAGAAGACGCGGCGGAAGTGGCTAGTGGAGAGGTATTAGCGTTCTTGAAGTTCACATTCACGATGTTCAGGGCAACGCGGCTTCTATATAGATTTGGATATCATTGTGATATGAGTCAGATGATTAATAGGTAGCGCAACAAAGTCATAATTTAGAAGACATAATTGTTATAGATAATGCGATATTTATATTCATCTATCCGACTATGCCCATGTCCATCTAAATCAGCTCCGAATATGTTGCAACAAATGCAAGTCTTGTCTCTATATTTCATTTCGTCATAGATATGCAGTATCATATCATGCCATGTGGTATCAAATCGAACAGGGGTATCACTCATGCTTTCAAGTCCGTGTACGGAGCAATCCCATCGCATGCATAAAAGGAACGAAGAGAGAGGATCAAGTCGGACCGAACCGAGCTGTGGACAGCTGAAAAAAGCCCAAACAGAGAAGCACCAAATACCAAGAAGTAACCCAATAGAACCAAAGACGAACAAATGCCTCCTAGAGTAGAAACCCACGATATACCTAGTACAAGAACCGGATGACAAAGTATGAAGGCGGATAGATGTCAGGTCAGATTTTGAGGGCGTGCGCATTGCAATGGACCTGTGTCGTGATATGCATGATGTGCGAATCAGGGAGCGAGAGGCGAGATAGTATCAGACAGCGTCCGTGCCTCCCAGTCATCGAGGAGTTTAGAGACACCCTTGAAAGAAACTGGCTTCGTGAGGAAAAGGTCAATACCCGAGGCAAGAGCTTCAGACTCATCGCGTGAACTACTCAGCCCCGTAAGAGCGATAATGATGGCTGGTGTGGGACATTCTGAACCGCGTTCTTTTTCAATAGCGCGGATGGCGCGTGTAGCTTCGAACCCGTTCATGACAGGCATGGAAATATCTGCAACCCATGTGTGAGCCAGGTAAGTTGACTGGGACGAATATGGAGAAACTTACCCATGAAAATCAAATCATACCCCTGTGGTGTTCGTTCTACAGCATCGACCGCAAGTTGACCGTTCTCTGCCGAGTCGAGAATCGCCAACTGACGCTTCTTCATAAACGTAAGCATGAGGTTGAGGTTGATAGAGTTGTCGTCGACCACCAGGACTCGTGGGTGACGATCTGATTTGATTGGGCGTGCTGCCGTCATAGATGGCGACTCAAGCGGAGAAGGGGGGACGATGGTAACAGACATAAAGTCTGCCATTTCGGAGGTACTTTGCGATGGTGTCGACTTTACTGAATTCGACACAATCGAGCTCGTTGCGTCAGTCAGATCCGGAGTCTCGCCCAAATCATCAAAGGCCTTTGCCTTTTCCTCAGGGATTGCATTCGACTCGGAAAGCAGTGTCTTCGAGGCTCTGATAGGACGCTCTGGCAGGTCGATTTGGTGCTGTTTTGGACTTGTGATTGTTTGTGTATCCAGGCACTTTCGGATGGTGCGGGCAAGCTTGTGAGGACCGCATGGGCGAGTGATAATGCTGACGATATCAGCGAGTGATGACCATTGAGAACGTGCAGCATTATAATCGATCACCCTGCTACAGATGATGAGAAGCGCTGGAAGGGTCGTGACTGAGTCTTGCAGTGGATGCTCGGTTAATGTGAACTCGTCTGCCAAAACCACGTCGACCGGTTTTTTCGACGGCCAAGGGACCAGCTCCATATCATACCAATCCGTCACGTACCGAGAAACTATTGACCACATGGGATGTTTAGCGGCTTCAGCTGGTCTAAGCCCAAGAATGGTAGCCCGCCTGGGGTTGTGGTTGTCGCGAAGGATGTTGCAGTCATTTGCACCCTCCTTCGTCAAAGCAGGCTGGATGACTTGTGCCCCATCTGTAGCCGAGCCCATAACCTCTACATCATCTCCAGGGCGCGTTAGAGGTAGGGTGACTTTGACAATGGTTCCTTCCTTGGGTCGACTGTGCACATTGATACTACCATGCAATGCTTTCACCAAACTCCGGACTATTGACAAGCCAAGCCCAGTGCCAACTGCAAGCGTGTCTTCTTGAGCAAATGGAGTATACAATCGACCGCGAAGGAATTCTTCGGATATGCCTTTCCCTGTGTCAGACACTGTCAATGTCACTAGGTCTTCTGCCGGCTGCTTCCGGCGCCCTTCGGAAGACTCTGTCGCTTCAAGGCGTAAGGAAACGCGGCCAGCGTCGGTATATTTCATGGCATTGCCAAAAATATTCATAATGATACGTCGCAGCGCTCCTGGTTGAGTGTAATACAGCCAGTCATTCTGCACAATGTCGACAGTCACCTCAACATCATCTTGAGGTCCAGAATGTTCGAGGCGGCCCACCCGCGGCTTGTCGGCGGTGGGACTCATTGGGTTAGATGAAGACCTCTGGCTATATGCATGCCCGAGGCACACGCCTTCCACCACTTCTTCAGCTAGAAGAGCAAGATCAGTCGGCACATCCGTATCCAATCCTTCTGAAGAAACGTCCGTGACGTCCAAGAGGGAGTGTTTGTTCTTTGCCCTCAGTTGGCGAGACTTTCTCTCCAGCGAGACGATCTTGCTGAAATCGAGAACTTGATTCATTGTGTCCAAAAGGGTCCGGCCACAGGCGTTGATCGTCTCCAATAAGGAGCCCTGGAATTCATCGAGGTTCGTGCCGCTTAGGAACTCTGCCGCTGCTAGTATTCCATGAAGTGGGCTTCGTAGTTCATGCCTGTTGAATAGACAATCCGGTCAACAACCCTGTCGTTGGTTGATCAAAAAAACCTGGTTGAATACTTACGAGATACTACCGATGAAATCGCCCTTTTGGCGATCTGAAATGAGCGACTCAAGACGGCTATGTTCGACCATGATGGAAGAACCAAAGCCCAGTATCGAACTCAGCTCGACTGAAGAGCTGAAAACTTGAGTCTCAACAGTATTCCAGCAAAAGCATCCAGCGAACCACTGAGAGCTTGCAGGATTCCAGAGAGGAACAAAGATCACTTGTGTCGCGTTGGGAAAGTGAAGATTCAGGATCGAATTCTCTAAAGACTTCCATTTCTTTTGTCCGCTTTTTGCAAGCTCTGGAGTCGTTACCGCTCTTGAACGACACTTCGAAGCAGAATTGGTCTTCTCGTCGTCCGAACTTGAGAGCATACCATCCCGGTGAAAAGACCACAGTTTTCCTTTAGGATATCGACGTATGAGCTGCTGCAGGAAACTGCTATCGAGATTGGCGGCGGGTGAGACCATCGCCGATCCTGGTCCAGGCGCAAATGGCTCTTCGGTGGTTGACATGGCCAGGACCGAGGCCGGTGACGCATTTTCAGGCGAATAGTCACTCCCAGAATCATAATCGGTAGCTGGAGCGTTACCAACTTCCAGAAACACCACGCCGCCGTCGTCTTCCAACTCTAAGCTCTCGCGCAACAGATTCGCCGCTCTCCTAAAGGCCCAGCAGTTGCCATGTGATTGATCTAACCCATTAAGGTCTTTGCGCTGACTTCCTGACCACCATTCAGGCAGGGCTGTCGGGGGGCTAGAAGAGCCGCCGTTATCCGGCCGGAGATCTGAGACTGTACTGAAGGATTGAGCATCATTGCTGTAGGTTCTCTTCAAAGGCACATCGAGGCTGTTTGACGATCCCACCGATAAGTGATTGGCCCGTTGAGCAGAAGACGGAGGCGTGCTCGGCAACGCAGCTCCACTGCCCGCATACGAGGGATGAATAGAGTCCACAAAGCTGGAGCTACCCTCGACGAAGCAGCTAAGGCCTCGAGAAAGTCTTGCCGCACGCCGCCCTTCAGAAGCTTGTCGGCTCACTTTGAGAAAGTTCATGATTAAAATCGATATTGAGCCGAGCGTCTCCCTCTCCTCCTGCGTCAATCCATTATGCGGTTTCGTGTCTAACAGAAAGAAGCAGCCAATATTGATGTTGGTCTCGGTGGTGAGGGGGGTTCCAGCGTAAAATCGAAAATGAGGATCGGCTTTCACGAAGGGTAAGGATTTGTAGCGATTATCTTGACGTAAATCGTTGACTTCGAGAAAATGATACTCTCCACGGTCTCTGTTCGCCGGAGGAAGGTTTATCGTATTCTGGGGGGGAAAGGTTCAACCCTGTCAGCTTCGGCAGTAACAAGGCGATGCGTGAAAAAAGATACCTTGCACATTGGCCACGCAGTGGTGGAAAGAGTATAACAGCCATCGAACATCTCATCTCCGACCGACTCGTACGGCTTCTTCACACCAAGAATTTCTTTTGAGCTCTGGGCTAGGATGAATTGCGATTGACGGTCCGAGACACTATGATTCGAACATATGTTAGCCAAAGGAATGCGAAGACGAGGAAGTATATACCTGATCAAAACGCGATCCACGTTGAGGCGAAGGGCCGCCAACTGCGCAAAGGAAGTCAAGGTCGCATTATATTCACCCAAGACGAGAGCCTCGGGGAGAAGGCCCGCCGTCGTAGCGGCAAGTTGTGCTGAGAGTGCAGGTGACGAAGGAACAGGTAACGTGGAATCTTCGGCGGTAAAGAAGGTCTGTGATACGGTTTCCGGGTCGCTTCCGGAGGGAGTTAATACTCTATTCGAAAATAAAGATCGCTCTGGCTGAAAATAGCGGTAAAGTTCGCGAACTCGGCGTCCATCAGTGTGGTCCTGGTCTCTCGATCGTGACGATGTCATGATCGTTGACTTCAGAGTAACAGCGATTTGAATGAAAGTCGGGGAAAATGAGGTATTTTACTGATTTCCCATTCTGGGAGTGTTGGGGTGGTAGTCGCTATAGGAGGGGCAGCGAGCGGCTTGAGATAATGGGGTGGTGACAAGGTTGACAGGCGTGAAGCGTGAAAGTCAAAAAATGTTCATGGGTCTCGTCAAAAGCGGACAGCGATCGGCTGAGTCAAACACGGAGGACTGAACACAAGGCAGCTGGAAATCAGACTGGAGTGGTAAGTAGTTATGAAAGGATGGAGCATGCGCGGCTCTCTTACCTCCAAAACTTGGAAATGAACCTGGGAATGCAGCACAGGGCTGTGGCAAGAGTCGGGAATAAGTCGGCTGGCTCCTCCCCACGCATTTCCCTGGGACCGTATCGGTACGGTTGTTAGACGGCGGGCATCTGATTCATGGCCGCCGGACCACCAGGAGCAATAAGAAGGCATTGTGGCAGACCCGATCGCATCCATCTCGATCGGACCCAGAATGAGGTTAAAAATCATGGAAATGCAATGGCAGGACGTAATCCGGTTTGATTGCCCTGGGCTAGACCCCTTACGGGACTAAGGTTCCTGTGCCGTCGGATTCTTCATGCCACCGGCTCAAATATCCGCCAACTAGAAACGCCTCTTTAGCCAACCTTACCCCATAGTTAGTGGACTGAGGCAATGGTGAATCATCGCTGAACATAAGTGATTTATGATCTGTGTCCACATCATAATGCATACTGGTGTCATTTCCGCCTTATATGACCTACGTTGTATGTAGTAGAGTGGCGGCTTTCGCTTGGCTGTATCTTTTATCTTGTACACCATATATTTCGATATAGGTTAGTTCTGTTGCTTGAAGCTGGCGACAGTAAATCGTACAACCAAAAATGTGTGATGTGTGTTTAATGCTACACTAAGAAGTCATTATTCTATCTCATCCACGATATCGATATTCAAATAGTCTCATTAATCATCAATCTAGCATGTCTCTGTATAGGATACGTCACCGATTATATCTGCATATAATAAGCAAACCAAAACAATCGCCACGCGTTGTATCTTCAGAATTTAGAGTGCGGCAAGACATGCGAGTCTAAAATCTCTCCATCAGTCGCTTCCGAACAGTCCACATGCGAGCCCGCTTGCCATAAATGTACATTGGGATGGAGAACAAAAGGAGCCCCAGCTGGATGATCCCCAGGGCCACGAATACCATCCGGGCTCCTTCAGCCTCCATCCAATCGACAACAAACAAAGAGAAGACCAAACCATGGAAAACATCTGCAGCAAGGTTAGCCCTGCCGCAACAAAAGTTGGGTGTTAAGAAACGTACTCTTGCTCCAATTCAACGTAACCAACGCTTCTCCAGCATATTGGCGATAGCTATCAACGCAGAATGTAATGGACGTGGTGCTGCCTAGGCAGCATCCAAACGACACCAGACCAAAGAAAATGGTCGGGACAATCCACGCATCTCTTTCCTGAGCACTCCATCCAAAGCCCATAAGACCTATCGTCGTTGATAGTGCGATCGGAAGAGCCATCACGAGTCGGAACTCGGGCTCATAGACGCCACCGTTGCGCCGAGTCATGTAGCGAACAATGATATCGGATATCTTTCCTGCCACGGCTGTCCCGAGTAACCCTCCTACAAACGGAGAGATATAGACGAGACCAGTCTGGAGAGGGGTGAAGTTGTAGGAGTCACTGTCCTGATAGATATGAGAGACCAGCTCCGATAGGACAATAAGCCATCCGACGGAAAGCGCATATACCACGGTCGACCAGAGAACAGCTGGATACGCAAACAGGATAAACGGACGCACGGCCACTCGTAGCCAGTGATCCTGCGAGATCCGTCCGTTCCATGGCCGCAGGTAATACGCGAAAGGGATCTCTGGCCGCTCACGAAGTCGATTAGTGTACTGCACTGGCAGGGTCAACCCTGCGCTCGGCTCAAGCGACTCGCTACGGGCAGGAGATCGAGAGGAAAGCCTCCCAGACTCAATGTCGGACGGTCTAGTTGCAGTAGGGGCCGGGGCCGATGGGGTGTTGGGCTTCTCATAATACGAGGAAGGCTCGTCAACTGGAGATGCGACTATTGTCGGAATTTCCCTCTCAGATGCCGCATCTGACGCAGCAGGCAACTCTTGTTTCTCTGAATTAGGGTTCTCTTGATCGGCATCAGTGTCGAGGAACCCTACATGGCCTTTCTTGGTCCGTTTGTGGGAGGCGACATCTGGGACATCTTCCGCTTGCGCAGGGTGATGCGAAGCCTCAGTTGCACGACCTCGGTGAAGCCCGTGAGTTACCAGGTCTGTGACACTTCGATATAGATTGGGTCGGTTGCGGTGTCGACGTGGCCTTGGAGTGCGATCCCAGAATGTCTCTGGTAAGAAGAAGAAGATTGAAATGAGGCAGCCTCCAACAATAATAGCGACAACCCAAAAAACCCAGCGCCAGCCCAGGCTCTCAATGATGACCGCACTGACAAGAGGAACAAGGTTCTTGCCACCGAGGAGCAGCAGCGTATAAATACCAACCCGATATGCGCGTTCATGTAAGAAATAGATTTCCGCAATCGTGGCTGATGGTAGGCATTCGACTGGACTGACGGCAATACCCTGGAAAATGCGAGCCACAACTAGGCTAGCGTAATTCGGGGATAGAGCGCACCACACAGCAGAGATGATAAAGAGGATTGCACCCAAGAGGTACACCGGACGTTTACCCCACAGGATAGCAGTTGGAGACATGATTACCGAGCCTATACCTAGCCCTAACATATACAAACCAGTTGTATATGCCACTTTTTGAGTATCCACGTCGTAGTCGTCCGCGACCTGATGGAAGCCGGCAGCAAGAACAGGCGTCATACCGCCTCCGATTAAACAATAAAATCCCAGCGAGATCAAGGCGGCATCGCGTCGCCAGATGGGCCAATTAAGGGGATCATTTTTCGAATCGTCTGGCTGCGGGTTCAGGACAATCTCTCCATTGGCGGTCTTTTTCGTCGGAGGTGCCGATGCACGCGAAGATGAGCGGGACGGGGTGTAGGGTAGCGAAGAGGCTGAAGTACGTCGAGGTTGATGTCTTAAACCTAGGGGCTCGTTCCGGTTGGAAGATAGTAGAAGAACCGTACCGGGCACTTCGTCGGTTTGCCTATCACTAAGAATGCCCAACGTCGCCCGAGGACGGTAGTTCGTGTCCTCTGCATTCGAACTACTATCACTGGGTGACTTAGCACCAAGCTTCTTCCACCATTTTCTTTCTGACCGTGTTGGCGAGCCGGTATCTTCTTGCTCTTGCTCCGTCGGGCGAACTGGTGGGCTGTCGGATGTCGCCATGTTGCCAGAGCGTTTATGGCACGAGAGAATGGGAATAATAAGAGGTCAAGGTCCGAGGGCGAGATATGTCGGGAGCTTCAAGAATAGAAACCTCGCGCAGGTATTCTCTAGAATTCGTTATGCAATGTTAGCGAAGCCAAGCGATTTCTGCGAGAAAACAACTCACATCTGCCCACCCCCAGGATTTGATCGCAGCCTGCGAGAAGCAGCTAGAGATGCCGGCTATCGACGGCTGACGCACATGGCTAGGAAGCGAAGGACGAGATTTATAGGGGAGAGGAAGAGCGTAAAGCCTCATTGACTCTTGAGACCCATTATTAGGGAGTGGATCTCCGATTGTCATGCGGAACCACAAGCGAGCTTTAGATTCGGCGGAGTCGTCGCAGCTAGCAACGGATCGAGGAAGACGCGGGGAGCGGTGAGTGTAGCTCTCGCACCAAGCTCTTGGTAACGCAAAGGTTGTGAGACGCAGCAAGTATGGCTTGATTCAGCCCAGTCGGAGGTCGTTGTTTGCGGAGGAGGGGTTGAGGTAGCTTATCCAAAAATCCAGTGAATTTGCCATGATCGACAGCGCCACCCACCACGGCCACATGGGTCATGGGGTCTCCCTGCACAATGACGCTGCGCGCTGAATGATCAATCACACCAACATCCAACAAGAAGCTGAAGATGGGCAGTCAATCTTGTCTCTCCCGAGGAGAGCATGTCGAAGAAAGCCTTTCGACTCGCATGTTGTGCGACGAGCCTTGTGTCACTTTGCAGTAGTGTGTTTGCTTTTCTGCCGCATGCGGCGCGAAAGCCAAAACCACAGCACAGCATCGCTGCCACGGCCCGCCTACTGCGGAGGAACTCGATGGCTGCTGATGGTTTTCGAATCACAAACATAGGCCGGGCTGTCGAACCATTATTGAATTTGAGCTTTCCTGCAATAATTATCTAATACTCCTTATAGGAAGCATTTGGCTGCAGCTCTGGAGCGCGTGCCTTTTACGGAAATCTGGTTTGTTCGAGTTGACGTGGGATGAGAAGCGTGATCATCGGACCAGAATGGTCGCGTTAGTATACTAGCTCCTTGAGTGTGCCCTCTTTCCTTCGTCCCATTCAATTGAACCGGGTCTTGCTTAAAATCTCAGCCATCTTCGTCATGCTGGGGTTGATCATCTCGGCTCATAACGCCAAGCCTCTCAAAGATCCCTCCCAGGGATCCGCGTCGGGATTCGGGCTGCTCCTGGCGGGAATCAGCGCGACCCCGTGGACTGGAACATTGAGTCTTGACTTTCATAAGTTCACATGTTGGAAATAAATCTGGAACCCCGACATAGGTCTACATCATGTATATTTCAGAGTTCTTAGACAGGATTTGACACTATATGACGACCTGTGAAGATCTCAGCGCAGTGAGGGGCTGGCTGTGGCTTATCTCCGCCCGAGCCCAAGGTCTCACAAGAATGACTCCGGAGTGATACAATCTCCCAGAAAGCTGGGCTGCTTGGATGTTGGAACAATCTTCAAGAGATTATGAGGCTTGGTACTCCGTAGACCTGTCATCTATCAGGAACAACAAGACACTTCCAATAATCGTGTCCTGAGGCCGCAAGGTACAATTCTTGGCACGACCCGAGCTCACCCCATGCTCCACACGTGATCCGTAGGCTTACTGGATGCAGGCTGCTCCACCACGTGCGTGCTCTGAGGGCTTCGATTCCTCCATCAAACACCACGACCAGGATCAATCCCAGCCTCCCAAGAGCTTCTACACGAGTTCCAGGCTTCCATTTGCTTTCTTTTTGCGCACTAAGCGACGCGTTGACGCCGTCCCTGTGACTGCCCACTTTCAACGTGCCTGAAATTCGGAGCTGGATTTGCTCCTGAAGATGCCCCGCCAAGGTGCCAATCAGATGGGTTGTGGTGCAACCAGAGGAGGAGGATTGTGGCCGAGTCAGTCGGCGACATGGCGAGCGAACGGTTGACAGTGGGAGCCGTACCTGTCATTTACTTATATCGCACCCGGGCCCCAGTCCCTGATCTTGATTATGATCCCACTCGTTTGTCTATATTGATGAGTATGGGGAATTCAATGCTATGGCACAATTCTATGATGCAGTCAAATACAATTGGCGCGTATTCACCCCTGCGGAAAGGCGCAACATAGCCGTCTACATCCTGGGGATCATGATGTACAAGTTCGGCCTGGAAGCCTTCAACGGTTCCATTGTGACACTTGCAACAAACCGCTACGACTACGATGCCTGGCGCACCAACACCCAACCCAAAACCTTTCAGCGGGTTGGACTCATGGTGGGCCTAAACCAGGCCTGCCAGTGTGTCGGATCCATCCTGATCGCCCCGCTAATCCGGAGATTCCCCTCCCGGCTTGTTTTGGCTGGTGCCGTCCTGGTGTTTGGCCTACTCAGTGCCCTGCTGCTTATCATCGATGCTAGCACAGGGGGCACATTTGCCCCGTCCAGCTTCCGCGACCGGCACCCTGAACACGACTTTCATTACTACGGTAACTACAATACCGATGGCATCATCCCGGTCTACTGTGTCTCTGGAGTTGCGTACGGGATGGTCGAGTTGATTCGCCGCGTCATTCCTCGAGACTTGGTCGGCGGCAATGTGCAGAAGCTGCGCCAGGTGGATGCTCTTGTGCATATATTCTACGAAGTGGCTGGGACAAGTGGTGCTTTTTGCACTGCTCTAGCTTTGATACCCTACTTTGGAAACAATTATTCTTTCCTGATTACCCCGGTTTGCTTTGCCCTCGCGGCAGTTGGCTGGTTTTTCCTCACCGACCATGGATTCCAGAGTCAACGAACCCAGGTTCTCGAAGACCAACCCCACTACATCCAGGCCGTTGTCGTCGGATTTTGGCTCTTTCTCGAGTCCATCTGGACCGGTGCTCGACTCCTCTTCTCCTCTCGCAGGTTTGTCTGGCTGCTGCCCGGATACTCGATCGCACTGTACGCCCATCGATACCTCGAGAACAGCATCGCCCCTGCTATCGCCCGTCGCTATCTCGGCAACGCCGCCTGGTCCCAAATCATTGTCGGAGGCTCGAACTTGGGAGAACTATTCGGCGCTCTTTTTGTCATTCTCTTCACCAACACGGTCTCTACGCCGATTCCGTGGCTACGACTCGACGCTATCCTTCTCCTTATAACCTGGTACCTGCCGTACTGGCGACCGGAACAACACCAGGTCTCGATGGCCTGGGTTGCCGCCGCAACCTTTCTACCTATCTCCTTCGGCTGGGCAGCCGGTGACGTCTCTTTGGCAGCATACATCCAAGCCTCCCTTGCCCGAGTCGAGTCGAAGACTCGAAACGTCTCTTCTCTTGGTGCCGTCATGGCCTTTCTCTACTCGACCTACATCGTTCTTTATGCAATTACCTCTCCTATCCTCGGAAGCTACATCGATCACGTCTACGCGGACACGGGCGGATCAGAAGGCAACGGAAATATTTTTGAGGCAATCCGGAACGTGGGCAGTGTTCAGTTCACTGTGGTTGCGGTACTGGTGCTAGTGGCCACCTTCGTGCCGAGAGGATCCGTGTCTCTGAACCCGAAGATGCTCCATGATGAGGACCTGGAACACGAGTTGCCAGGTCTTGCACAGCTCTCTTCCAAGGAGGACTTGAACTGAGCACCGGCCGGAACTGCCACGACTATAGATACGATTTAGACTATGATGTTCATCAGCTAATGTTTCTTTCTTAATACATAAATCTAACCATGACCCTCGCTCAACCCTGTTCAGCACTTTTCACAAATAATCCAAAATTACAGAATTCCATCCTGGATACATAACAAAATGAGTGGCAGCATCTATCGAGATGGCTCCCCCTCCAACTCCGAGGGCCCTTCCTTCTTAGGCATGTATGGATGAGGCTGAATACTCTGATCCCAGATCCAATACGGCTGCTGCTGTTGCCCTTGCTGACCTGCATGATGCAGCCCCTGGAGCTGACCTGGACCTAAACTCGGGCGCTGACTGAGAACCTGCGAGGAGTGACCTGTCCCAAATCCCTGGCCATATCCGCTCTCATGCGCTGAGAAGATCGCACTCCGCGGCAAGCTCGGTGGATAATCAAGGGAGGCAACGCCCGTCCCTGTCCCTGTCCCGATCGTGCCAGCGCCAGTCGCAGAACTAGAGCCACTGAGCACAGACCCGGGTCCAGTAGGGGGAGCCAGCCCTAGTTCCCCAGCCGGACTCCCTCCAAACACTGGTGCATCCCCACCTTCACTCTTCCCACCCTCACCCGCAGCAGAAGTCGAAAGCGCCCACTTCGCCGTCCTAAGCGCATTTACACTCCCACCAACGACGCCACTCTCCGACGACGAAACCCACTTCTTATACACGCGGTTTCTTCCCAAGATGAACAGCAGCACGCAGAGGATAACCACAAACGCGACGGCGCCGATGACGATACCCGCAATTGCGCCTGCGCCGAGGCCCGATGAGGAGTGAGATGAGGAACTCGGGCTGGTGTTTGGGTCGGAGGTCGCGGTGCCGGTCGTGTGTGGTGTTGTCCCTGTGCCTGGGTTGTTGGTTTCGCCTTCTGCGGGCATTGATTGACCGGGGAGGAGCATGTAGGGGGAGTCGAGCGCGGCGGAGTGCTGGGAGTCCCAGCTCATTGTTGAGTTCTGGTTCAGGCTGTGGTTAGTTTGAGGCTCTGACGAGCTAGTGGGGATGGGGAGGATGGGGATGGACTTACCGGGTTAATAGCTCCCACCATGCCATTCACAATACAGGAGTCGGTCCCTGTACAATAGAAGAAAATCGGCTACCCAAATGTCAGTACATATTACTCATACCCACGCCAGACCAGTAGAACATACTTCATCTCTCTCGATACTCAGATTCCATGTCGGTAACCTCCCCACGACCTGCCCATTAACCTCCTCAAACTCGTTCTTGATACCGGAGAAGAAATAGTCCCCGTCGGCCGGTATGCACGGCGCCTTCCAGTCCGCCTGCACCACAGAGTGGTTTCTCGGGTAGAACTCGAAGACGACAAGGTCGCCGACGTTGGCCGTTAGCGAATGTGGTACATAACCATGCGGGTCCTCCTTGGGACCGACTTTGATGGTGTGTGTTTCTGCTGCGGCAGACGTGGTTGATGTTGGTGTCTCTGGGCGTCGTGTTGTTGTTGGCGTTTCTGATCTTGAAGATGTGTCGCTTGACGACATTTTCGTTAACTCTGGTATGTGTGCCTTGTAAAATCCTGCCAGAAATTAGAGACTCGTGGGGTTGAGGAGGGTGAGGGAGGAGCCATTGAAATAGTATGGTATGCAAGAAAGAATACTAAGGAGGCGTCGAGTCTCAGATCGTCTGGATGACAAAGGAAAGGGATCGTCCAACGAGGCCAAAGGCCACGAGATCAAAGAATATATCAAGGCTAGTTTGAGTCTGCGAGAGCGAGGCGAGGTATTGGCGGATGGTGATTTGGTCCCGCACAACAATGAAACCGCATCGAGCCCCGTCCACAAGACGCGACAACAGCCCTAAGAGGGGGTTGGTATTGTTAGAACGCCTGTGCTCTTTCCTATTCCGGCTCGTCTGATAATTGGTGCAGTCGTTGTTGCAACCATATCCCAGCAAGTTTCTCCGCAGCATAAATCGTCATATTTCAAAATACTACACAAGATCAGACATCAAAGCATGGACACTACTCTCATCAAAATACATCAACTCTCGCCGCCATTCTGCAAGCCCTGAAGAATCGACTGCGCCTCATTGAGGCGCACTTCTAGTCCCGATAATCCAGCCCTCACCCTCGTCGCAAGCTCGGGAGCCTGTTCGGTTTCTGGTATCTCGTCTTCGTCCATAATAGCGGCTCCCAAGTTCTGGGCAATATTCTGCACCTCTTCTCTTAGTCTCAGCCGTAAATCGGAGAAAACAGTGCCCATGATATCCAAGTAGGCGGCCTTTATATTGTTTGCGAATTGGACGAAAATCTGAGAAGTCCGAATGTGGTGGTCCATAATACGCTTCCGTCGTGCATCACTGTCGGTTCCTTTTTAGATTTAGTGTTAGCTTGCTGGTCCTGTTGTACAGGCCGTGGAAACCTACCAGAGTCAGCTTGGCAGGCGTTGTACGCCGGGCGCATAATTTCTCTGATGTAAGAAGTACTGTTACGGCCATCGAGAACGTCTTGAGTGATCCGCCTATCATAGTCAGACGTGGTTCCTTGTTTGAATTGGGCACATACTCCGTATGCAGAAGAAGATCATCAAATGCCCTCTGAACGGCATCAAGGACAATACCCTTTTGCGCTTCCATACTTTCTAAGAGATTTGCCAGTTGTTCGGGCGCGAGATGGACATGATCTCACAATCAATCAACGCACATTCCCCAAGAGTTCAAAAGAAAGTGCTCACCTTCAAGTGTCTCGCAAACTTGTGCGAATAGCCCGACAACTAAAGTCTCAGCAGCATTGTGCTGCTCATATAGCGATGTTTTCAGCGCACTCCAGCTCGCGACGAGGTCATCATTCGCGTCCTGGAGAATTTCTTCGTTCCAATATCGTAGCACCTGGTCCTTGGGCTGATGGGTTCCATATTTTCGACAAAATGCGAAATATGTTGAATGATACAACTGGCAGAGGTTATAATCAGAAACAGCACGTTGGGCTATCATGTAAACCTACTGTTGCCCAGTCTTGACCAGCCCTAATAGCTCCCGTTATCCATCTTTCTTGTGAAGTACCTAAGTTTGTTTTAGCAGGCCACTAATAAGGGTTCTCAAGAGAACATACGTATACCACGGATGATCAAATTGGTGAACTGTCTATTAAGGCTGCGCTCTAGGTCTTGAACGCATGAATTGCGAGAGGCGAGGCGCTACCCGTCGTTAGCATGCAAAGCCCCCTGGTTTCCACAGGTCACTGGCTCCGTATAGCCTTCCACGACAAGCTTAATAGAGGCTGCACGTGGGTCCGGCGTCTACCAGAAATCAACATACCGCTTGCAGCGTTCTTTGAGCCTCGTCCAAAACCCGGCGTAGGGTTGCAGCCCTCTCCACTGTGAGAGGATTTGCACCGGCGAGTACCCACTGGTTTAGAGACAAAAGAAGACCAGGCACACGATTGGTGAGGAAGCCTGATGTTGCCCGCAACTGAGCCTCGGCTGGGACGGATTGGCAATATTGTCGCAGTCCAGGTATTCCACTGAGCTGGATGTACTCGCGAGTCTGCTCCCTGGAGTCACGACGATGATCACTGTACAGCTTACTGCTTACACAGTACACCTTGACGTCTTGCTGATATTGATCTAAAAGGGCGGTGGTAACGGATGTGTTTCGCGCCTCTATCAAATGCTGCTCGAGTCTAAGGGCGTCAGTCTGTGTTCTGATTTGTGCCAATGTAAGGTCACATACTCGAATTCAAGCCTGTATAGCTCGTCTCTGTGGGGAGATGAAAATATTAGATTCCATCTCTTGCTATCCACTATCCATTACTCACCCCATCTCGACTTCTCGTATGGCAATGTGCGGGCCTTGTCTCCCACTCGAACGGCGTAGAGAGGACAATCTATCAATGGACGCCTTGGTGCTTTTAATCCGATCTTGAAGCTCTCTGGCCTTTGCCTTTGCTTCCCTGGGCATATCCGGGTCACGGGTGAATTCTTCAACGTTCACTTCCTGTTTGGGAATCAATTAGCTTTCGTCGACCCAGGCTTTTCTGAGACTCACAGATTCAGATTTTGTACAAACTATCCGCAGATGTTGGCGTCGAACGAGTTTATCTTTAGTATCTCTGATTGAAGGGTCCGAGGTGCATCGACTGATTTCGCTGACTACAAAGATCTCCTCACACGTGCAACGAAGATATTCCGTAGTAGCTCGCTCACGAGCGTAATTGAGGTCTCGAAGTCCTAGACTCTGCTCAACATACTGAAGCCGCTATCTGCTGTTTTTCAAGAGCTTACCTGGTAAATCTGCTACAACCAAGCCTGTTCGTAGAATGGGCGAGTCAAGGTACACCCTAGTTACTTCGTTAACAAGGCTCGCCAAGACAACCATGAACGCAGATACCTGATCAATTTGACGAAAGGCCAGATTGCGGGCGTCCCTCCGTCACGTCCTGGAGTGACAGTAAGGACATCGAGATTTCCTTTGCAATCATGGATATTATCTGCCGTAAGTGTGAGGTTGAGGGCATTCGGACCGCCAGGCCGGTGGTCCAAACCAGCCAACGCCCATTCTTTGAGGCGTCCAAGGATCCTCTCCTGTGCCCCGGGCGCCTCGCTCGATAGGAACTGTTCAGTCATATCTGCTTCGTCTGGAAAGAGTGACTTTAACGTTTCCCAAGAACGGGCAGATAGCGACCTTATTCGGTCCCTCTCCCCTGGGTCCTCTCGATCATTGACCTCGTGAATGGTATGGTGCATTCGGTATGCCCTGAGCAGCTCCTCAAGGAGATCATTCATTTCTGTCATGTTCATAAAATCTGCCTCCACTGTGAATGGGTTCCGGTGCATCTCGTCTATGTGTCTGAACTCGGTGACAACGGAAGTACAAGCAACCCCACTTGCACTCTAATTAATATCAGTTTAATATACTAAAGACGAGAAAGAGGATTTGATATTACCGTCCGTGCCAAGCCATCACAGTCAAGAAGAGAGTTTATGAGGCTGCTTTTGCCTGGCCTGGGATTAGCCTTTTGAGCGGACGATTCCTTTACAGAGAGAATACACACCAACGCCCGAGTCTCCAATAAACCCAACTATGCGGGTTTCTGGGTATTCAAACCTGCTCATCGACTCGACTTGTTTGTATAGCTCATGTACCCTCGTAGATTCGTCATGTACCAGATGGAACCTTGCCATTGATGATTTGAGATCAGTGAGATGAGTTCTGACCTCCCTTAAAGCATTTTGCAATCCGACGTCGTATATCGGAGCTCTAGGAAGGGCTTCCTCGCGGATGTTGTATGTGGAGGTATCATCGTCACCTTCCAAGTGGTCGTTGCCAATGAGGCTGTTAACAGACTCGTTGTCTGCTTCCCTCCCTTGACCTCGTGCTGTCTCAATGCTTTGAATCACCAACCCACTCAAATCCGAGGTGACAGAGCCTAGACGCGAAGTATCTGGCCCGCGGGTATCGCGAACGGTCGGTGAGCTTGACTCACTGCGGGGGTCTGGCTGTGGAGTTGGAGTGGCGTTGTATAGATCCCGGTAGGTCGATACATGGAGGCTAGAAGGTAGAGCACCAGACGCGTGGCTGCCACTTTGGTCAATCCTTGGAAGAAGAGGACTCGCACTTCGTTGGCTAGGATTGGTGCTCAGATCCAGGTTCGAGAATAAGGCTCGTGTTGATGAGACGGTTGATTCTCGCGAAGAAGACGGAGTAAGAACAGGAGGGGTAGACTCAGAAAAAGTTCCAGGGCTCTCAGTAGGTGGGGGACCTGAGGGAACGCTTGCGGTTGAAGAGGGAGTAAAAGAAAAGGTAAATGTACTGGCGGCAGCTGTTGATGGGGCAGAAAACCTGAACGGGGTTGTCGGAAGAGAAGAAGCAGGGAGGGAAAACGGCTGTGTTATAGCGGGGGAACCAAAGGTAAAGGAAGGAGGAGAAGTTGAGGGAGCACCATCAGGATGAAGAGGAGGGGATGTTCTCCTAGAGCCAGTAGTTGGATCCATGCCCTTTTCTTCAGCTATTGTCCTCTTTAATGAGAGGAAAATGGGATTGAGAAAGTGAAAGCAATCCATTCGAATCGCGACTGCACCCCCATATTTATCCACGGCCTTTGTTATCCAGAAAAGCGACTCGCGAGGCAGAAAGCCGGTCTTGTTGGCTGATGGCCCTACCTAGGCGGGGCTTGTAGGCGCGAGTGTTAGAACTACTGCAGGATGACTGCGCCGCTGAACTACACCGCGTGCGAGGTGTTCCTCAAATCCGATATGCATGCACCTCTGCTTGTCCAAAAATAGAACCGCATTGACTGGACAAAAAGAACTTTCCAAGTCTGCTCATGATAATTTTATTGAGCTCCATCCTTGTATGTTACAGATGGGGGCTAAAATTCCAAGACGACATGTCGAGAGCACAAGTTGATCGCATCCTGGCGCTTATCTCAAGCAAGGACATGCAGACATGTTTCAGCACCGTAACCTAAAGAGACTACCATCCTGCCCATCCTCCCTGGCCCAAGCCTGCGGAATTATCTTCGTCCTCAGTCATCAAATAAGTCTCAGCACCAATGTGAACTATGCTAGAGTATGTCAGCTCTCCACGCATGCTTGGCTTGCCATTTCAACGGAGGGGAGGTGGATGGAATTACACCCAACTCACTTGTTAACACGCCGCTCACGAAAAATATGCTTTGCCATGTCGGCAGAAAACCCAGGAGTGTTCTCGAGAACCTTGACGAAACTTCCTTTATCAAGCAATTCGCTGAAATGAAGGCTGGTGGTCCGAACAATGGCGTCGCGAAGACCCCTGTCGCTAGTGGGGGTTCGCTGCATACGCCTGCGCGATGGCCAGTGGAAAGTCATCCATAACCCAACCGATCTTGATTAGACATTCGAACTGCGAATTTGCGTGCTTTTTCTGATCCGGTAAGCTCCGATATGGATACATGAAGTCGACCATGACTTGAACGAAACGAGAGTCGTTTTCCATGAGCTTCACAGTGCTCGTGCTCGTCTCCTAGATTTGGATGCTAGTAACATACCACGACCTTAACAAAGATTATAGATTCCATACCAGCCGGTTTCCATCAAACATTCGCGCAAAGAATCCCGATTGGCTGCATACTAGGAGCTTGTGTACCTTAAACTCCTTCTCGCTCGTAACTATGGTCATGTCTGTGAACCTCGAGCTCAGGTAGTAGCTATGGCATTGTTAGCGGAATCTCATTGTGCGACTCAGGGAGCTCACCTCTTCAGGCAAGCCTTCAGGTTCCTGTTTCCTGCTCGAGGCATGACTCCATGGTGACCGGCTTATTGTCCTCGGACTCGGCCATTTGTGCCCGATACTGCGTGTTTGTGTCATCTTGAAGTGGGGTGATGTAATTCTATCGCAGATTTGGCTCAAAAAAACGGATACGGATAAGATTTGGCAATGCCTCAACGCGCAGAAAGTCGAAATGGATGTAACAGCAGAATAATTGGGTTCTGAGGTCTCCAGGCTGTGTGGGCAGTCTGAGAATAATCCAGAAGATTAGAATGTGAGGATTAAATGCCTAGAGCGCCTGAATATCCGGGGGAAAATAGGATTCCGAATCCAGGTGAATGATCCTGTCCGCAGCGATCCCTCTCACGCTGAGGTCAGCTGCAAGGAAAGTGAAGGTCTCACTTGAAGAAAGCTGCCATCTTAATATCAATATGAGGGTACTAAAGCGATAGAAAATCTGTCAAAAGTTCGGTTTTCTCGAAAAAGTGAAGGCTAAACGGACAGCAGGTCAATGCTTCAGTGAATCAAAACTCCTAAAGCGAGATTCGAGTACCACGTATCGGCTGTCTGTTAGAAGCAGTTGATGGCCTCACTGCTGCTGTCATCCTTAAAGGGAGAACATGCTTCTGTCTGGCAGGTTGTCGCGATGCCATGAGCTCAAACTTGAATGCTTGATCTCCCGTTTCCTTCTACTATGTTGTTTTTGAGACTTTTGAACACAGAAGAAAAGTCAGGCCTATTGTTGTATACTTCTGCCGGCTCGTACAAGGCGAAGCTAGGATGTTTATATTGAGGTCTCGTTTGTTCAGAAAGAGTACAGCTGTTTTGTAGGGAAGGCATGGGGGTGCGCGGTATCAGATTGGAAGGTGTGAGTAACACCACGGCCCATCGCACCTGCCTTGGGATTGCGAACTTAGCTACATAACCAGGAAGGTGCGACCATGTCCTCTGATCTACCAACCAGTATGTAAACCGGCGTGAATGGAAGGAACGGATGCGCTCAGGGTTGTGGTCCCTTCGAGAACCTGAGGTGTCAATTGTCCTCTTCTGGAATGCCGAGGCTCACGCCACGCCGTGGGAGAGTCCTGCATATGAAAATGCGGGGAAATTATTGGGGTACATTGTGGTAACACGAACGCGACCGAGCGCGGTCTTGGGCTCCGACAGAGCAACGACCCTGCATTCTTGCTTAGATATTTCGCGGATCTGGTATCAGAATAACGAGCAGTCAATCTCTTCGAGTGTTGCTGCTGAATTAGTTGCTTAGCCACCGGGCCTATCCCTCAATGACTTCATGCGAAAACGATCGATTGTCTTGGGCCGCGGCTTGTCGGTTCGGCTTCTAATAAATACGGCCGTACCCATCTGAATCTGAGATTGCTTTTTTTTTATGATTCAACTTTTCTCTGTTTTTACGCACCTTCCGTTGCCGATTTTTCATCGCAATCGCCAAGATGCCGTTCAAAACATGGTTGACAGAGACCTTCGGGATCAAAGTTCCCATCGTTCAAGGAGGTGAGCGCCCATCCAACGGTAGATATGGCATCTTTCTGACTTTCTAGGGATGATGTGGGTTGGTCGCGCTGGTAGGCCTGTCGCTACGATCTCTAGATCCATGATTGACTGTGACCAGAGATGACGTCTGCTGTTGCAAACGCTGGAGGACTCGGGTTCCTGGTACATAGAGATTAGAGCGAAGGACAAGGGTTCGGTCTCGCTGACAATCGACAGACAGCTCTCACGCAGCCCTCCCCAGAAGCCCTCCGAGCGGAAATCCGTCGCACCCGGACCTTGACCGATAAACCGGTAATACTTTGACTGATCGATGAGCACCGAAAGCTAATGGGCCCGTTAGTTTGGTGTGAACATTACCATGCTTCCGGCCATGAACGCCCCCGACTATCTGGGCTACGCCAAGGCTGCGGTCGAGGAGGGTATTAAGGTCATCGAAACGGCGGGAAACCCTACGCCCATTCTCAAATATCTCAAGGACAATGGGGTGATTGTCATCCACAAGTGTGTGTCTTTGGGACACGCCATAAAAGCGCAAGAGAAGGGTGTGGACTGCATCTCCATCGACGGGTAGGTCAACTCTAAACTAGGATTGTGAGTTGCCGCTAACAGAGTCTACAGTATTGAATGGTATGGTTTCCAGATCAAAAATACTTGTTTCCATAACTGACGCATAGGATCTGTGCAGTGCTGGCCATGGAGGTGAATGTACGTATCGTCGCGCTAAACAAACCAGTCAGCCGCTAACCGCATCAGATGACATCACATCTATGATCCTTCTTGGACGATGTGCCCAAGAGCTGAAGATTCCGTTCATTGCCTCTGGTGGCTTCTGCGATGGCAAGGGACTTGCTACTGCTCTTGTCCTCGGCGCGCAAGGGTAGGCTGAGCCAACAACGATTCCATAAGTATTAAGGCTGATAGTGGTAGAATCAATATGGGCACCCGCTGGATGTGCACGATCGAAGCGCCAATCCACCACAACGTCAAGGAGGCAATTGTTAAGATGGACGAAAATGGCACTATCCTCGTCCTCCGAAAGTTCCGCAACACCACACGACTAGCCAGGGTAAGACTGGCCTCTGCTGCAGTCGGAACAATATGCTGATTCTTCACAGAACGAGGTCACCCTAGAGGTGCACAAGATTGAAAACAGCACCCTCGAACCGCAATTTCAACAAGTGGCTCACCTTATGTCTGGACAACGAGGTAAAGGCGTGTACGAAACTGGAGACATCAATGCGGGTGTTTGGTCTGTCGGTCTTGCTGGCGGGCTTATCAAGGATATTCCAACATGCGCGCAGCTCGCTCAGAATATCGAGCGCGAAGCGATTGAGAACCTGTCAAGAGCTAGTGGCTTATATACTAACCGTTCAAATCTCTGAAGTGATTTGGGCCATGTAGAAATGTACGTACTATGATAGAGCTGTTCTTTCGTACTCGGTGGATATTATAAGAGTATACTCAAGCGTTGGTGTCGCATTAATTACAGAGTTCAACTTATTGTAGAGCTCATGAGCATCAGTCGACCAACTGAAGCATATACCATGTTTCAACGCCTTGCTCCAGTTTCTGAGCGATGCGCAGGCCTCTTTGACTCACTTCCCTCTCCCACTCGTCCTGGTCAAAGATTTTCAGACTCCAGGAATAGTTTTGAGCGTAGACGACTGCCTCGCTCCCGACATCAACCACTTCGGTGAAGGAATCCTCGACCACAGCCCCTTACTCTTATCAACCGTCCTCGTCGTTGCAGACTTCCTGTACTCCAGATTCGGCCACTCCAAAGACCGCACCCGCAGTTCCCCGCCGAATTCAACACCATCATCCTGATCTTGATCCGTATCCTCCGTCGCCACAAGAATCAAGATTGCCGCAACTGGTCGTGCTCCGTTCTGCGACGAGCCCGTCTTGCGCAATGCCCGAGCAACCTGGCCCAGGAACGCCTCTCTTTCGCCCTCCGCTGTTAAATGCCCAATACTCCCAGCCGCAAAAGTTATCAGATCGACGGCATCGCGAAGATTAGGATTTTCGTCGACCAAGTCCGCAGCCGATGTTTAGGGCCATGAAACTTCAACCGGTGGGCGCGCTTCAAAGGCAAGTAGCTGCTCCGCACGATTTCAGCATTTCCTGGCTGTGATCGACACCTACAATGTGGATCCGTGAGTCGGTCGCGGTGTCGTGTTTCTTCATGCCGTTGAGGATGCCCTGGATAACGCGGCCTGCACCCGTGCCTACGTCGACGATCCGCAGTGGCTCGTTAGACTGGGCGTTGTTTTGGAGGAACGGCAGCACAAGATTCCAGTAGAAGGCGTCATATTTCTCCAGGGCTGATCCGAAGAGCTGCTTCACCCAGAGATCGTAGAATTCGGGCCAGTAGCGGTTTGTGTAGGCGTACTTGGGACCGTGCGTGGATTGTTGGCCGTCTGTCATTGTCGTCGAGATGTTCCTGACGATCGTCAATAGTGTTTGTAGTTAGTGTTCCTTTGCTGACGAAAATTTGGTCAATGAAGCAGACGGCTCAGTTTTATCTCAAGACAAGAGATATGCCGAGCCATTTGAGCCAGAGGTGGGATGGCTGTGTACATGATTATACGAAGCCTAACGCAACGTCGCGTTGGGGTCAGCCTGTTATTGTGTCGGCTGAGGTGGTCTAAGATTGAAGCTGAATGATGGCTTACTCCGGTTCTAAAACCGCATAAGCGGAATCAAGAAAGAATGGAACATTATTGGAAAATACTCGGAGTCCGGAGTAAGTCAAGGTCAAGGGTTATCTCGTGACGGGGCCCGCTCGGGCTTGGGATTCCAACTTGCTCCAACGGCTCAGTGCTGATCTCTCCAACAATCTCTCTCTCCGTTTCTCTTGGTTGTAGACAAAAATGATTTGGAATACAAATCCTCTTAATACCTACAGTACAATGTTCACAAAAGCACCTAATGAAGATTTATGCAAGGTCCTTCTGCATCCCCGTCTGAATCAGTGAATCAGATCCTCACCTCGGTTGGGTCCCCTTGTTTGACAGGTTCAAATAGCGCGTCGATCACTGACATCATCAGCCCCAAACCAGCCCAATAGGATCTGAAACTCCCAGCCGAATTCTGAACGGCTCCAAAGGATTTCGAACCGGCCTTTAGCAGCCCTATAAGCGAGCAGAGCTCGAACAAAGATCCAGCCCGAAACTCCCTCGGAAAGTGTGGGACGGCGGGGCCGACGAACCAGTTCGAGCATGGCGTTCGATTCTGGAGAAGGATGGTGTCGTTGGATTTGCTGATCGGCATGTCGCTTGTGTTTCAAACCGCGATAATGTGGTTTTACTGTGTCGGGAGTGGTCCGCTGCCCACACCTTTGCAGGACCCAAGGGGTTGGTTTGGTTCGAGGATGAGGATCCCTGGTTCTCCCCGGTTGGGACCTCACTCTTGAAAATTGGTCCCTTTATAAATCTGAGTAGGTCCTGCGAACCGCGGGCTTGGGCAGAAATTTGAGGTTCGCCGTTCACTCTCTTTGTTCAAGCAGTCTTCTGATTTATCTCGTCAATTCATTTCTTATCCAGAGAACCTCTTCTCATCCGCTCACTCATTTCCGAACAAATCTACACAAAATGCATTTCTCCAAGGCAATCGTCCCGCTCGCCCTTCTCACTCTATCCTCCGCCCGGCCTACAGATGACCCATTAGGAGATCTTGTCGGCGGCATCCTCACAGCCGGCGACGGCCCCGAGTCCTCATACAGCGTCAATCCCACAGTCGTGCAGACCGGAGCTTCAATCGCGGCAAGCGGCATTCCAACCGGTGTTTCTGGTCCCGTTTCTGCCTCCGTCTCTGAATCGTCTACTTCGGCCGCCGCGACTGCAGATACAACCTCTATCCCGACGAATATCTTGACAGCCCCGGATACGGATCCCACTAATATCGGATCAATGTCGACGGTCGTTGAGACGGCCACGCTTCATCAGTCGCAGGGAGCTTCGACAGCCTTGTCTGGCGTTGCGACCCCATCGCCGACGGATGATCCTGAGGATGCTGCGAATGTGCTTGGCAGTCCTATCTCGATGTTAGGAATGTTGCTGGTCCCTTTGCTTGCGCAATATTTCTAGGATATAATAATCAGTGGCTATTAACTGTTATACTACCACATGTGTTTAGCCGGATGGGGTAATGGGAAATGAGGGTGGGCATTGTCTTATTGGTTGGAGGCTTATTACTGACGGGCTGTAAGCAGCTCTGTGTCGAGTTTAGTTGGATCGCTGGACGATTTGACAAACTTCATTCGTTGAGATCATAAAGGATCATGTCAGAATCGTTCTGAAACTTCTTATACCACAATTTAGTTACCACCCGAACTACAGTCTTCGGCTATACCTTGCTATCAACAAGATACTTTCACGCATGGTCCTACACAGCATAATTATGAACTATTCCACCTTCGCCCATCCCTTACTAAGCTCCCACAATTTCTCCTCCGCCTCTTGATCAAATGTCCACTTCCCAAACCCATACTCAACTGCGTCCCCATCCGCCGGGCAAGCCTCCACGACCACCGCCGCACCCTCAAGATAAAGCCCACCCCTTCCCTCAATTTCACTCGAAACAGCCCCATAGACACTTGTTGCACTAGCCTGCGCGACATTCGTCAAATACCGCTGCGCACGGTCATCTCCCTCCAATGCATGCATCTCCGCCTGCGAAAACTTTTGGAGATTGGGACTAACGAAGCCGCCAGGGTGTAGACTGTACCCGTGCAGTCCCTGAGATCCGTACAACCGCTCAATCTGCGTCGCCATATAGATGTTTGCGGTTTTGCTTGCGCCATATGCGAGCCAGCCGCTGTAGTTGCCTTCCCAGTTGATGTTCTTGAAGGGCACGGGGGAGTAGCGGTGCGCGACCGAGGAGACGTTCACGACACGCGAGTGGAAAGGGGGCGTTGAGCTCGCCAAGAGCAGATCCTTGAGATGCCAGAAGAACGCAAAGTGTGCGAGATGGTTCGTCCCGAACTGCAACTCGAATCCATCCTTCGTCCTGGCCTCGGGGGTATTCATCACGGCCGCATTGTTGATCATCACATTCAGCTGTTGACTCCGCTTGCGAAACTCATCCGCGCAGGATCTCACGCTCGACAAGTCGGTATTGTCCATGTAGAGAAGATGAACGCGGCCTGTGCCCAGCAGTTCTTCGCCGAGGGCTTCCCTTGCCTTTTCGAGGTTCCTCGCGGTGCCGTAGACAGTTGCACCGGTTAGGGCTAGCACGCGGACCGTCTCAACGCCGATGCCCGAAGAAACGCCGGTGACGAGAACGGTTTTGTCACTCCAGGCGTCCACGAGGTTCTCGTCACGGACGATCTCCTCGGCTGTGACGCGGGAGTCGCCTGGGCCGTTGAGGACTTCCCATCGATTGCGGTCGGCGTACCGGCCGGAGAGCTGAAAGGGGTTGCGCGAGGTGAGAGACATGATGATACTATATGAAGCTGTTCTGAGTTGGGAAAGTGGACCTGAAATTGGGTTGGTTTGAGAATGTTGGGATCAAGTATAAAATCTGTGTTTTCGTGGCCCTGATATACAAAGTCGGACTTAGGGTTGAGCGTCCATTGATTCGGCTTACTCCGAGATGTCGGTATAGTTTTATTGGCCACTTAGGTGGCGGAGCATTGCTGAAAAGACATCTCCGGACGTGATGACCACTGCTCCGGTAGCCCCGAAGCTTACCCCCGCTGTGTTGGTGCCTTAGGCTATCACTTCAAACTATACAGTATCATCTGGAATCAGAGTTTATTAATCATAAAATAAACCCACCACGTGAAGAGTCGTGGAATGATCAGTAATCAATCATGTTTCGTCCTGTGGTCCATCAGCTTCGCAGCCGGCAGCTGCCAATTGAGCATGAAATCCGTCACACCCACCGAGATTTAGATGTATTCTCTGCCCCCTTCACGGTGGTATCTTCGTACAGCGCAATTAGAAACGATCCCCTCACGTAGCTGTAGGCTACAAGAGGTCATCCGGCATCGGCCACGCCTCCGGGACTGAATTTGAGACTGAACGAGAATTCTGGAGAGCTTACCGTTGCTGCCGCAGTTGAAATTGCGTCAGATATGAGCGTGCCCGCCTCTTGCGTTGAGCATTGAGGCTGCGTCCAGAGCTGCGTCTGAGTTCAGAAGGGCAGCTAACATTCTGGAGATTCCCGAGGTGTTCCTGTAGGCTTTCTCGCCCAGTTCCAACACCAGAGCCCTAACGGAGGGTTTGGGGGAGAATCGGATCTCTAAAGTGAGATAGTCAAGCTCTTCCTCACTTTCAATCTTTCAGGTCCTGCTCGCTGTTAAAGGACACTGGGGAAGCTCAAGGTTCCCCGAGACCGAGCCTCTCGCATCACACTCTGCCTTTCAACGCAATCAATCAGGCATTGTAAATGTAATTTGATACGTTAGTCCTGGGCATCCGCATTTTGGTCCTAGCGTGTGGTGCTCTAGTGCATAGACGGTAACTCTATTGGATAGCCGGCCTGACCAAGTTCGTGCAAGGGCTTGACGTTGTGCCTCTGTTGAATTAGGCAAGACATACTAGTAATACCTGCACTGTACAGCTTGTATACCGATCCATATTCAGTTATGGAGCGGAAAATGCGGCGTTGTTGCCCGTCTTGGGATCTGTGAGGGAAGGCAGGACCTGGCAAAGGAGGCGTTGTGTATCGCAATTTTCGCTAAGTATGATCTGAGAAATGTATATGAGACGCTTGTGACTAGATTATGCGGAATTTTGCATAAGACGTAGCTAAATTGCGACCCAGTCAGTAGATTCAAGTGAGTTCAATCTCGAGGGGAAGGCGATCAAAGAGCCGCGGGCATCAAAGGAGTTACAGGGTCAGGGTGGACGAGAGCGCTAAGCCTAATTGGTCGGTGGTGCTACTGGAAGGAATGAATGTTGAAGCTTCATCAACCTCTTGAATCCCAAACCCATCCTCATCACGTTTCGGCCTGGTAGACTGACCTGAATTGACTCTCGTCTTACATCAGGATTGTTCTCATACCTCCTAATACAGCTCACCCGAGCCTGCAATTTTCACCTCCACCCCTCCACCTAGCAGTTTGAAGATTCTATTAGGGACAATGATTTCACTTACTATATGCAGTAATACCCTTGTCCACGAACGCGCAAATCCGGCTACTCGAAAGCCAGAATGATCGGGCTTTTCGCGTCTCAGCGGAATTGTTGGGTTGAAACAGGGATTTCACATCACGTACAAATCAGGATTCAGGTGCCCTGCGGCTTGAGACTCAGCCACCTTCCTAGGTGCTATCTCCCATTTCTGGAGGAGCTGAGGCTAATTCCTTTTTCTCTAACCCCGCATCGCTAGCAGCTCTCATCTTTTATCGACAGATATTTCTGATGCGACTTCATTAGAAACGAAGACTATTGAGTCTTGATTCAAGAGCTTTGCTGGCGATCCCACCTATTTTCCTGTACGCCATGCCACCGTGGAAGGTGAAAGTTAAACTCCCAAGGCTCTTCTCTCCACGAAATAAATCCCCCCAAAAGTCAGGTCAGAGCGATGATTCGACGAAGCCAAAACTCCATTCTACCGCATCACAACAATCGCTCAGCAATTCTTCGCAATGTGCTCAACGTGCTAATGACCTTTGGGAAATAGCGCATCAGACGCTGGAGAATGACGAGGAGATTAGTAAGATTCTAGTGGCAGCTACTGAAATCCTTGAAGTCGATTTCCAGTTCAGTATCCAATCAGCCGGGTCAGCCGCCAGAGATCAGCTATGCAGCTTCCTGGACCGTCAGGCTCGTGATTTGGAGGAGAAAAGATGGGTCGTTAAACTCGGGGATCACAGTGTTGGAGTCAAGGAAAAGCTTATCACGATTTGCCGAAATATTCTCTGTGTCAAGGATGTAGTCAACACAATCGCCATTGCAAGCCCACCGGCTGCGATAGTCTGTGCTGGAATCACGGTCAGCCTTCTAGTGAGTCAGTTTGGTGAATAGTATGATGTCCTCCACTTTCTAATGGGATCTAGCTTGTTTCACAAGCCGCCGATCAACATGAAAGCCTCGTTCAGGGTCTTGAACTCACGTCTGCCTTGATCCCACGCCTTCGTCTTGTGGAAGACCTCCACTTACAGCCCAATGTAGGACTCGCCTCTCAGTTCGTGGACAAATCGAAGGAACAGCTGGTCCTACTCTACTGTAAGATAATCGAGTTCCAGGCTCGGGCACTATGCCATCTACGCAAACACTCAGTCTCTCGACTCTTCAGAAATATGTTCAAGCAGGACGCGTGGAATGATCTAATCAAGGAGATTCAACAACTCGACGATTCCACAGAGAAGTTCACTCTGCGAATTGAAAACGCGGGTGTGAGGAGGAAGCTTGAGGAGATTCATAGCACCTTATCAAACGATCAGCTCTGGCGAAACACTTCAGCTCGAGACGAGAAGATGAAGCAATTCTATAAGCTGCTCTACACCTGCCCGTATAAGGATCGCAAAGACAGAAATAGTCCTCGTGTGCCCGGCACCTGTGAATGGTTTACGAGTCATACATTATTCCAAGCCTGGGAGCAGAGCGATCACTCCGCGCTCTTGTGGGTATCAGCCGATCCGGGTTGCGGAAAGTCAGTCTTAACAAGGTACTTGATTGATGAATTCTTGGCCCTCAAGCCCAAGAGGACAGTGTGTTATTTCTTTTTCAAGGACGATTTCTCTGATCAAAAGAGCGGCGCCAATGCTCTGTCGGCAGTTTTACGTCAATTTTTCATGGCACGGCCACATCTCTTATCGGATACAGTATTGGGTAAGCTGGATAGTGATGGGAAGAATCTTGTTGAATCACTCAGCGATCTGTGGAATATCTTACTTGATGTCACTACCAATCCAGAAGCGGGTGAGGTTATCTGCGTTCTCGATGCACTTGACGAGTGTCAGGACGCCGACCGCAAGCAGCTTATCCAAGCCTTGGGGCGCTTTTACTTAGAACGCCCCGATAAGCACAACTTGAAAGTCTTGGTAACAAGCCGACCATACGAGCACATACGGCGTGGGTTTCAAAAACTGGAAAATCAACTCCCGACGATTCACCTAAGTGGAGAAGAGGAGGTTGAGATCCAGAAGATCTCGCATGAAATTGACCTCGTCATCGAGAAGCGTGTTGAGGACATTGGCAAAGAGAACAACCTGCGGCCGGATGAGTGTGTCTTTCTGAAAGATCAACTCACATCTGTTCCAAATCGTACGTACCTTTGGGTCAGCCTCACCCTGGAGGTCATCGAGAACATGCCAGGGTTTACAAAAGGGAATATTCGATACGCCATCCGAAATCTACCTCAGAATGTTGATGAGGCTTACGAGAAAATACTCAACCGAAGCCCTGACAAGGCCCATGCCAAGAGACTGCTACACATTGTCACTGCTGCAGAGCGGCCCCTATCCTTGAGAGAGCTCTCTGTAGCAATGACTGTTGACGCCGGGCTCCAGTCCCTGATAGAGCTCAAGGAAGAGCTCGAGGCCGATGAGGAGCTCCATGACAGGAGATTTCGAAGAACTATGAGAGAACTCTGTGGTCTTTTCCTCGTTACTGTAGATGAAAGGATCTATCTCCTTCATCAGACGGTCAAGGAATTCCTAGTGAAAGATGGCCCCTCAAACTTGGCACCATCCGATGACTCTGTCCAATCTGTTACTGCATGGAAACATTGTCTTCAGCCGGAGGAGTCCCACAGAGTTCTTGTGGAGGCTTGCATGTTGTACCTAACCTACGACGGTATGACGGATAGTCTGCCTTGTTTTTTGAACTACGCAGCATGCCATTGGCCATCCCACTTCCGGAAAGCCTTCAAGCACGAGGCATGCGAGGCACATAAGGTACACGAGGCAGCAAAACTTGGATACTCCCTTTGCCAGCCAGAGTCAAAGATCTACCAGATCTGGTCTCCAATATTCAGGCCCTCAATTCCGACTCACTGCAATACCGTGACCATAGCCACTTATTTGGGGCTTGCAGCGGTGGTGAAGCTTCACCTCCAAAGCACCTTGGCAGATGTCGATTCCAAAGATCCTGAATATGGTCGAACGCCTCTATGCTGGGCTGCGCATGGTGGGCACGCAGAGGTTGTGCAACTGCTCTTGGAGACTGGAAAGGTGGACGTGAACACTAAGGATCTCAAAAATGAGGAAACACCTCTATCCTGTGCCTCATGGCTTGGACACGAAGTAGTTGTGAAACTGCTTCTGGCAACTCAGAAAGTGGATGTGGAGTCTAGGGATAGTTACGGGCAAACACCCCTAACATATGCCTCAAGGTATGGATACGAGGCAATCGCCAGGCTGCTTTTGGAGACTCAGAACGCGGGGGTGAACTCCAAGGATACCAAGCATGGTCAAACACCTCTGATATGGGCTGCCGAATATGGGCGTGAGGCAGTTGTGAAGCTGCTCCTGGATCGAGAGGCCGATGTAAATCTCAAAGACTCTGCGTTTGGGCAAGCACCTTTATTATGGGCCGCAGAGAAAGGCCGCAAGGAGGTCGTGGAACTTCTCTTGGAAACTCAGGGGGTCAACATAGACTCACGGAACGATTGCGGGGAAACAGCTTTGCACTTGGCTGCAGAAAAGGGACACGAAGCAGTGGTGGAGTTGCTTCTGAACTCTGAAAAGCTGGATGTACAGGCATATAACCGCTTTGGGAAGACAGCACTACACATGGCTGCAAGAAAGGGGTGTGAGGCAGTTGTGAAGGTCTTCCTAAGCTCCAAAAAAGTGGACTTGAACGCACGAACCGAGTTTGGGGAAACGGCTCGAGATCTGGCCATGGAGGGCGGACATAAGGCGGTTGTGGAGTTGCTAGGGTAGAGTCTGTCTAGATCTGCTCCGCTCATTGGATCTGGAAGTCATCCTTTCGGGCCATTAGCGGGCGGCCTGTATGCGGCTTGCAGGTCCGAATACACTGAACCAGGATTTGATGGCGGATGACCAGTCATGTCCTGGACTTAAAGTACCAGTAGTGGACGAGCTTCTCCCATTCCAGGTCACATGGCCATTTTTTGATCCTAGTCAGAACCAGACCGCGCAGCTACCTCTATATTTCATTCTCCTACGATATGACCCAGGTCACCGCCGGTGTACGCAAACCCTGTCTGGGTAAAAAGTATGGATAAAGAGTCAACTAGCTACATTGCAAAAACACCCAGTCCCTCACGCACGACCTAAATAACCAGAACCAAACTAAACCTAATGCTCAAAGAGCGTCCTCATGGAGCCAAACACCTTCACCTTGAGCTCCTTCCCAAGAACCGCAACCTGTCCCTCATTGACCGTATACGAGATCGACTTGGCCACTCGATCCTTGGCCCTCTTCTCAAACCAAAGCACGTGCCTCCAGTCAATAAACACCTCGTACCCGTCCTCCTGGTCGTGCACAAAGATAGTCGGCTTCTCGTTCTTGAAACGACTATCAAGTGAGACGCGGACCTCCTCTCCCCAGCTGTTATTCAGGAATGTGTTGAACACAATCTGCCCCTCTGCGCGCCGGAGAGAGAGCAGGAAGAGGATCTCGCCGTCCCCGCCCTCTGCATCAGAAAACCAGAACTGGGTGTTGTCGATTGTGTGCGTTTCTCTGTCTGGTGTTAGACTGAGAGAGGGTGCGTCGATGATCACGACGTTGTCTGGGGCAAGGGAGCCCTTGAAGGGGAGCGAGGATCCGAGGCGCAGTGTTGCCTTGGGAATATCTGGTTTTGCCGCTGGTGGAATGGTCATGGGTTGCTTCAGATTTGGATCCAAGGCGCCGTCTGCACCGCCGGAGATGGCGGGTTCGGCCTGGAAGTTTTCGAGCAACGGTGCCTTTGTCGGGTCGCGGAAGTTTGTTGCGTCGTTGGTGCTTCCAATGATTTCAAGCTCGAGGGGTTCAAGCGCGTATCGCGGTACTTCCTTTCCGCCTTTGAAGACACGCCAGTAGGCTCGCTTCTGAAGGAACTTGAGAACGTCGTCTTTGTTGAGACTCGGTAGTGACTTGCCAGCTTTCAGGAGGGTGATCAGCACCGGGGTTATGGAGATGTTGGCTGTCGATTTGATATTCTTGTCCTGGTTCGTTTTGCAGTTGCTGCATGCGAGCGCGCCAGAGGCTTCCTCGGGCTTTTGGCTAAAGTTGTAGACCTCTGTTATGAGGTCAGTAGTGGAGTTCTGCGTGGCTCCGCCCTGGGAGATGTAGATGCGGATCCAGAATGGTTCGCCGCCAAAGGCGTATTTGCGGTAGCGGACACTGAATGCGTAGTCAAGGGACTTCACTGCGTCGTCGAGATACTCTACGCCTGGAATGGTGGCAGAGGCATCGACGAGCGCTTTTCTGGAGACGCCGTAGAGATCGTTGATAGATTTCCGGAGGTCGCTGAGAAACTCAGTAGAGGTGTATGCCTTTGGCTCGTATGCCCAAGTCTGCAACTCAGGGTACGTATAGCCAAAACTGTACGGCCAGCGGACGTCGTTGGGTGTAAGGACGGTGCCCTTGGTGTCTTTGTGAAAGGGACGCAGTGGGGTCTCAGGGCTAATCGAGGCCCCTTCGGGGAGACCAATGATTTCTTGGAAGAAGTCGTTGGCCTGGCCTTCTTCAAACCACTTGTCTGGGTTGAGTCCCTGCCATAGGGCAAAGATGCGGTCGATGTTACTAGCTTCAGTCAGCCCCTACCTCATCTCCAAGCAACAGGTCAAATGAAAATTACCAATGATGCAACCAAAACAACGGATCAAACGTCGCGACTGGAATCTGCGACATATGTCCATTATAGTCTCCTCCCACCCATCCATGAACATTGTTGTGGAGATACTCGATATTGACATCACTCGCGACGTTCTGGTCATCCGAGAGCTGCGCTGTCGTTGCAAAAGACGAGTACTCCATGGGCACTGTAAGCAGTCGATAGACCATCTCCGCAGGCTGCCCGTAGGGAGCATCACCCACCCAGCCGGGCTTTTTCAAGGAGTCTTGCACCTTGTAATTGTTCACGACGCCATGTCGCCAGGTTGCACTCCCAGAGGCGTTGTCGCCTTCTTGGGGCCAGCGGCTTGTGCCGATGCATTCGCCGTACTGTTTTCTTTCTGTAAGCTGGGATCATAGCTAATTAGGTGAGAGAAAAGCGTACATAGAGCATATCTCCATCGTCGACCCATGGGTCTACAAAGTTGTCCATACCCGCGGTCGACATTGGCTTGTTGTTGGGCATGCGGAACTGGTAGAGCGGATTGGGAATACGCTCTTCACCCTTCCCATCGCTCGTCGGGACGACCGTCGTCGGATACTTTGACAGATCGGGGACGGAGGATGTGACCCCCCAATCCCAGAACGGAAGTCTCCAAGAGAGGGCAGCCTCCTCCCAAGCACCGCGCTCCTCCCGCGGAAACCCTGGCACAATCTCCTGCACCATAATCTCAAACAGTCTTTGTTCGTATAGAGCCAGGTACGCGCGATGCCAAATCGGGAAGAGGATGTTATTATGCGTGCAGTAACCTTTGCCCTTTGCCTCTGCGGCATCGATCGGCTCGTCCCAGGGAACATTGGGCTGTCCGTGGATCCCCGCAATCTGGAAGTACGAGTCACGGTCGGCAGGGTCGATCTTCTGGAAGCGATCGAGGGCCATAACAAAGAGCTTGACTTGTTTATCGTTGGCCGGGTCAGCACTCCATGCATCAATGTTTTGGCGGATGGGGACTTTGGTTTCGGGAGTGGGGGGAGTATTGTCTGTAGTTTTCACGGCAATGCCGCCGATGGGGTAGTATACCCATTCGGTCTGAGAGGAGGACATTTTAGAAGGGGTAGGGCGTTTCCTCGAGTTCTTGGGCTTTTGCTGGGATCGAGAGGAGGGGCGCCTGAATAGAAACATCTGTGAGTAGGAGCAGTGTCTGTGCCTGGGTTGGGGTTTGGCTTATATCTGCGGGACTGGCTGCTGCTTTAGCTGATCGAGGTAAAAGGACGGCAGTGCTTCGGCTGGTGGCAGCTGAAGGAATCTCTCTGTACAATTGCCAGCACACATGGCTGGCTGATCATCACCAAGGCTGGTCTCAAAGTAAGCTTCGCAGTGCGTAGATTCGATCCAGAGCGGGGAGAACGACAGGGGATCCCTGACGCAAACATTCTTCGCCAGTCAAGATGGATGTACCCCTCGCGAATGGCGAGATGCATAATGTCTTCTGCCCAAATGGGTATAAGGACGACAAACATGAGGGGATCGAGGCAAACCTCGATCCTCCAAAGGATCTGGGGAGCTGTGACGAACGGGTCAAGGCTGCGGATGCTAATGCAAGTGCCAGAGATGCGCAAGCCAACCAACGAGCATCATCCACGCGGGCCGGCTATTTTCCTTTGATTGATCAAAGGTTCAGGTACGCCACTGCAGAGCTGAAATGCGTGAACATGATCGGCACACGAAAACATGGCTTATTGATTGGCCACGGACTGTTTGACGGGCCATCGTCATGCAGTGTGACCACCTGCAGCGTTTACGAAAGGAAAGGGCCCTTCCTCAAGCTCACTGTCCCCTTACAGTCCAGTGTTACACAACTCCTTTGCGTAGATTAGCAAGTGGTAATCATGGGGGATAGAATGGTATCGGAGATTATGCCGGAAGAATATGGAACGCATCAATAAGTATCGGGTATCTGATTGACCAACAACTCCAAGATAACACCCAAGGCTCCAATCGTCATACGGTTTTCATCGCGGGAATGTAATCCCCAGCTCCCTAAGCTTCTTCCGGTCGCTTTCTTTAATCGTCACATTCTCGAAGTAATCGGGCACCGGTAACCCTTCTCTACAATGCGTCAGCAACTCGCCAAGGAGTACTTTAGCAAGGATACGTACCGATAGAGCTTGACCTTGATATTCCGGGCGCGATCCTTAAACTTCACCTGGTCTCGTCCCTCAATTCGCACTTCACCTTCTTGGACCGGCTGAGCCTCGTTTTGCCGTACGATCACCGCCCAGCTTGTGCCATATTCCCTCATCAGCCGCATAAGACGGTTGTCCTCCGCTTCCGTCCAGAAAACTCTTGAGCCCAGGGATTTCCTTGGTAAGGTACGAATATGGGCGGGGCGCACTCTTGCATCTGGGCGGCGTGGAGATTCAACCTCGTCTTCCTCGTCGCGGCTGGCATTGGTGTTGGTGTTGGCAACTTCATGATCGCCTTCTTCATCCGCATCTTCTTCTACAACGCGTCGTCGCTTGCTTCCCTGTTGTGGCTTCTCAGCTCGCCGACGTTCGAGATCCACGTCACGTTCATCAGCATCAAAGTCATCATCGGTGGAGGTTTCTGCCTCGGGAGGTACTCGAGCACGCTTTCGAGACACACGCTCTTCAACTCGTCTAACGGCATTTTGTGAGTCGCGCTGGCTTATCGGAGAAACCCGTTCGGCAGTCTCCTGGCGGTCGATGAATCGTGCAGTTGAGCTCCGAGCTGGTCCTGGAGCAGGTTGCGTAATTGTACCACCTTTGACTACATCCCATATACGTTCGGTCAACGTCTTTGGGTTGGACATTGGTTGCGGGCGCGAGGATGGTGTGCTTCTAGCAACTGGCGGGCTGTCCGATCTCTCTATATCTCTTCCCTCATTTCCACCGTCGAGAGTCAAATCCTCGCCCAAGCTGATGTCGGGTTCTTCAAGTTCTTCGTGTTCCCCCGTTTCTTGTGCTACAAATAAAGATGACTCGAAAGAGAGCGCCCGAGTTTCCGGAGCCGCAGCAGGTTGCTTCGACTGGCTTGCGGGCAAAAGTGTAGAAGTTTTTCGGCGGTCGGGCTCGCGTTCCTTTTGAGACACTGGGGGAACAATGTCGGATTGTCGGCGGTTGACTGAGCCTGAAGCTTCAGATACAGAACGAAGACGCTCTAATCTCTCCTTCATACGCCCTATAGATATGGGGTCCAAGTAGGTCCTTTGACAATTAGTCACGTTCCGCCTGGAGTGAAGAAAGACTTACCCTTTCGAGGACCGTCTCCGCTCCGGTCGCGGTTCTGGTCTTTGCTCTTGTTGCGGCTCTACCTCTACCTGCAGGGTAGTTTCCCCCTCGAATATCTCTTGTTGCGGGACATGTTGAACAACTTCCTCCAATTCGCCATTTGGTTCACTTTCGGGGCCTTCCAACGTACTGGCGAAACTAGGATGCTTCGATGTGAAAAAAGCGTCGTGCACGGCTTTCGCGCTCATTCGCTTTTTGAGCTCTCCATCAATCTCCTCGACTCTTTTACGAACCCATATGGCTGTGCGCATGGCAAAACTCCGCCATGGATGCGCACCCTTCAGATTACCAACTTCAAACCCACCCTCACCAATCTCCGCAAGGAGGATCTCGTTGTAGCGATCCTGAACAGTGCCTGCGTAATTGTCTGGAAGAGTGCCCTTCGAACTACCAAAACCTGGCAGATTAAACCCCCGAAACGTTTTCCGGGACGACCCTCTGAAAAAGAACCGCCTAACAGCATGCTTGGCGTTGAATTCAGGTTCATCCTGGTGCTCTTCCAAATGTAGTATCAGGGACTGAGTTCGAATGTCGAGAGCGAGATGAAAGGTGTCATTTTGCAGAGAACTTTCCCCGGGATGTTTCTCCTGCCCTTCAGCGACTAACCCACTCATAAAAGGCAAAGGAAACGAGGATTCGATATGTCGAATCACCTCTTTTCGGGAATTCAGGCCAGGACCTGCCAATAGTATCTCGTGCGCAAATCGAACACAATTGGCCAAATGCACGACAGGGTCTGGGTCCCAGTCCTGAAAAGATCCTCGTCGCCCTGCGAGAGCAGTGTTGAACGCACGACCGATAGCGTCAACCTCAAGATAGGTTTGATTGCCAAAGTGCCTGAATTCTGCAGCGAATTTGGATGTCAAATAGCGTAGGTGTTTGCTTTGGGTGTTCGCCGGGTTGCTCAACACCTCGGCTTTGTTGACGATGGTTACTGGATTTGCGGTGCTGGGAGCCAGGTAATCTAACAGGTTTCTCCCGGTGCGTTCAAGGTCTGGAAGTGCCTCCAGCATCATCTCAGGTTCAGGTTCAGACTCGGGTTCCGATTGCAAAAGGGTGGTTCCCGTAATGTTGGCCACATCATCTGCGTAGTCTGGAACGGCTGAACTGTAGCGTGAACTTGCATAGTGAGAGACCGACTTTTGCGGCGTCCCAACTGGAGATTCTTCAACCACAGGGTTAAGGGCTACTCATGAATGAGTAAGAAACTTCAATGGGCCATCAAAACTGGGAAGAGGAAATCAAGAACTGGGAGTGAGAGGAGAGTAAGGTAGAACGAGTGAAGTGGGATAATCGAATTGGGTTGTATAGGCGCCAAGAAGTGCAAATCAGGTGCGGATAATGCGCTCAGAAAAAGCTTCAGCTCCAACCAGAGCTTGTCAAACTTACTTTTGTTTTGTCCCCACCTATTCGAACCATCATTTCTGCCAGATGAGCGAATCGCATTGGAACTAGAAGCTGCGCGAAGGTCTTCAACTTCGCGACTCTGACTCCTCGTTACACGTCGACGACTCGGGGAGCTCGCCACAGGCGCCGAAGCCTTGGAGTAGAGACTCTGTCGCGAATGTGATCGTGAGTGGCCCAGCATGATGTAGGCGGTAGCAGAGGCGGCAGATATAGATGCTGTCGAGCGCCAAAATCCGGATGATTTTAGATGGAGTCGCGATGGGAAGCCGTCATGCTTGATGGAGTTGAGGAGAGTATGATGGCAAGTTCAGCCCGCGACTTCGCGCAGTCGAAAAGGGGGGCTGAATCTGTCTGGCTTGGCAAACATTGTTCTGTTTTTGCGCCCGCGACCGACGCAGCTTCCAGGATAGGGTTTGGCCACTTATGTAAGCTCTGACTCAGCTCTTAACCCCAACCCAGCGCCAAGGCCAAACCCTAACCCCCCTAACCCAGACACGTGATATGTCTGAGTTGATGAGCATCGCATGCTGAACTATGAATAACTATGCGGACCAGAAGTTGCCTGGATCTATCTAAGTAGTTCTGTACACTCATTACAGTATAAACGAAGCAGTCCCCATGCGCGGCCCACCTCTGCCGCCTATGGTTACTCCTGAGGATAGCGGACGCGATAATACGGCGCGTAGCACTTGAGAGTGAAAACTTCAAAGCAAGGTCATATTCTTCTCAGTCATCAATATTAAGTAGTATGAAGAGATGTAACCGCTAAAGCCTATGGATCCCGTACTGTACAGCAGCAAGTCTAAGCATTACATCGCCCCAATCTTACTAATCCCAAAACAACGCCTCTAGAAGGTAGATGGCACCGAAGACTAAGAAAGCAACAGCGCCGCCAAGTGTAACTACAGACATGTTAGCCTTTTCTTATTCAGTGAGTGAGAATTCGTCAAAGAATACATACCAACACGCATGCTCACTTTACCAGCGATAGCACTGCCTCCAATGACAGCAGCAGCCGTGCAAATGCCGTGTCCACTGATCGCACCAACAGTCACCCACCAGTAGTCCTGTCCCGCGGCCATGGCAATGGTTGCGATTTGGCTGCGATCACCCCACTCACCGAGGAAGGTCATGACAAAAGTTTGCACCCAGGCAGGACTCAGGAGAAGGGAAAACAGGTTGTTCACGCCGACAAGCATGTCATTCCAACGTTGAGTAGGGCGGGGAGATGAGCCGCGAGAAGAGGACGAGGATAGGCTCTCAGGAGGAGAAGGAAGACGGTTCGCAGAAGACCGCGACTTGCGCCCCAATCGTCCAGCTTCCAAAGAATGAGGAGTGACTGAGGAACGGCGGCGGCTCATGCGGAGTTGCTCGTGCTCCTTCTCCTCCAGCTCGGCTTCGACTTCCCTCATCTCTTCGCCCACACCCTCGTCGGGAGACATTTCCCGGCCTTCTTTCAACATCTTCGCACCGAAGATGAAAAACAGCACAGCTGCCAAGAACTTGGTAAAAGTCTTAGGAATCAACGTAGGAACAGCGTGTCCTAGGACAGCGGAAAGAACGGTCATGGCAATTAACGCAGAGAATGCAGCGGAGAAAACGAGGAGTCGTGGATGTCGCATCGCCATGAGAGCGGCCACAAGGAATGTTTTGTCGCCAATTTCAGATACAATAATCATGGTGAAGGAAAATAGGAGCGAATGGAAAGCGTCCTGAGGAAGATCATTGGCAGGTAACGTTGAACCTTCTTTGTCGAAACCAACGGGGCTATCCTTGGAAGATGCGGGAGGTTTGGGAGGTGGAATATCGTGTGGTTTGTCTGGCAGATCTGCAGGTTTCTTGAATCAAGTCAGTTGATCAATTTAGAAAAAGTTGGCCAGGACTAGTACCTCGAGAACACCGAGGTTCGAGTCGGCGCTCGAACCCTTTGTGTCCTTCGTCACGCTGTCAGCTCCAGTCGATGGAAGCTTTTGTTCTTCGCTATGCGGCAAAGGAGGCGCCTCTTTCGGGCTATCTGGGGACTTGTCCCCATATTCGAGTCCCTTGAGCTTCTCCGATACGCCGCCTTCCGTTCCGCGAGTCCCTTCCTTCGGAGCCGCCCTGTTACGGTCGTCCATCACACCATCATTCGAATAGGGAATTGGTTTTCCATCATAATCGAGGTTTGTGTCTGAGCGAATTTGTTCATCGGACGTTGTCACGGTACCAGATTTCCGGCGATCCCGCTCAGCATTTGTCTCTACCCATGGACCAGCATGTGGTCTGCCATCTTTCCCATCGACCGGGGCATCCAGCGTCCCTTTCGGAGAAGCTTTGGGAGCAAGATCATCGAGGTCTGGAACGATCGTGTTGGAGCTTATAGTGTCGCGTCCCACAGCGACGGAATCCTTCGCGTTTTCATTGCTTGCTGAGTCCGCGAGCGCCGTTGCGATGGCAGGGAGCAAAATGAAGATAAGGGGCGACGAGGAGGGGAGCTTCATGTTATAGAATTGACAGGCTGTGATTTGTAGGTTGCGAAGATGATATTAAAAATGAACTCGACGAGAGAATGGTGGTTATTGAAGAGCAATCAAAAGTTCAATACGTGTTGTGAAATGGAACTCCGATCGTTGGTTCAGATGGATTCGAGATCGACGGCGGGTTCAACAATTAAGGCCACGATGGCATCGAAGACAGAAAGAATAAATGAGGATATTAAAACAATATAAAAGAGAGTGGACTCTCGGAAGTTCCTTTCGTTAACTCGACGACCAGAAAGAAAAGAAACAGCTGAATTGATCTGGAAAAGGAGGCGGAAAAGTGGGAGGACATGACGGCGCTGACAGGCCGGAAAGTTGTAGCCTTCATTTTCTGGCCGCAAAGGGGCAATTTCAACATCACGTGTCCAAATGCCGTTTGCGGCTCACCTGTTCTGTTGGATCCGTCCATCCAGGCATCTGGAGTAGTACTTACGGAGTAGCTATGCGGTGCTTCAATCGCTCGTTATCCAATATTGCAACCGCTGGAAATATGCATTGGTTGCATTCGCTCATGTGTTTCTGAGCCTATGCACCATCGGCTAAACAACCATACCGGGCTCCTCGCGAACTATATTTATCCTTCGGGCCTCTCTTTAGACACTAGAAGACTTGATGTATATCCCGTGCCCAGGTGAAGTAAACAAGCGACCTAGTCGGATCAATCATCATCCACTTTAGTTCTCACATCAAAACGTCGGGGGACTAGGGCAAAGCATCACACTGCCTTATGGGAGTAGCTCCACGTACCATACCAGCTCTGTTATCAGCTTCCAAGTCCTCTAGTACTTGCTGACCTCATTCCTATATCATCTTTGTTCCTCATCGACACGAAAGGGTTGACCATTAGGCGCAGATTGTGCGACACCGCTGCATGTTATTTTCTGGGAGGTATGGTTGTATAATATCTTGAGTTGAGAATAACGAGCTCATCTCGTGCACCAAGTGTTTTCAAACAGCATCCTGAGGGACGACCTAAAAAGCGAAAGTCTACCAAAGCATAGGCTCTTCAATTCTCCCTCCGAGGGCGGTCCTCCCCAGGCGTACTTGGAAGGAACCTTGAATACAGATTTATAGGAGCATGTGCGGTACCTGGCAGCCAAATGTCCCCTACGGCCGGCGAGACCACTTGACGGAAAATTTGCGAGGGATAGACGGAAGGTATCCCAACGAACCTGCCAAGAATGGCATATTGGATTCGAATGGACAATGAGTTGAGGCATAGGTGAGATCTCGAATCGCGTACCACCTTCGGGCGTGGCACCGAAGCTCGTGATGCTCCACACCAACGAGCTCATGAACCAAATGTTTGCCTCACAAGTGAGATTTGGCACCCAAGTTCGTCGGGTTAGGCTTTGGCTAAGAAGAGCTAATGCAGCCTTTCTTGAGATCCTTCAGCTCAAGCCGCAGTGCCCTGCGTGAGATGTAACCTTAGATCTATCACAGTGACAAATCTAGGAGTAGAAGACGGCCTAGCTCTGAAGGCGTGTTTCGATCGTGATCAGTCTGCATAAGGCGACATTTGTGAGTAAGAGGCGACTTACTCGCATGCAGTCTGAAGGGAAAAGAACAGAGATTGGGTCTTGTTGTGTTTTGTAGCTGGGGGAACTCAATGCTAGTTCTTTGATAATTCCAACAGTCCCTCGAACAGGAAGCTGTGTGGGCGATACTCGTAAGATTTGGGAATTCCTATGTACCCTCTGCACTGTCCTTCCTGAACCTGAAATGGCGTGGCAAATGATAAATCACTTGTAAATCCTTGCTTGTGCAGGTAGCTAGCTTCTGATAGCGTGGGGCATTTAGACGATCAGCATTTGGGATTCGAATCACATTATTACTCCATAGATGGAGCAGGGGGCAAGCAGAGAGCGCAAATGACGACAGGCAGAACTCGCGGATGCAAAGGCTGAAACCTCAAGCTCGTCCTCGAAGTATATTTGACTGGGCTTGTTGTTGAGCAACTTCTGATATCGATTGCGAATTCGAGGAGACCTCGCATAAGAGATGTTCAAGAAGGCAGACCTGAAGTTCCTTGGTGGCCAATTGGGTAAATGAGGACTGTTATGACACCAAGAGAACTGCATATGAGCAAATTATATCAAAGGATGTCTCCATCTGTCGTGCTTTTAGGCTCGTCTTGTCGAGGCGATTATTGGCGGATGGCGAAGATCGGCAGGGTGCGGAAAACGAGATCCAGGGGCCGACCTGCTCTGGTTTGGCTGCCAATTTTCTGCATCAGAATTTCTCAGAAAATGCAATAGCTCCTACGCTCGAAGAACAAAGGTTCCCACGGTTGACGGGATATATGCAAGTCGTTTTCTCTACAAACATTACCAAGGTAAGCCATTGCCGAAGCTGCGTTGGCGAAAACCCCGAGAGGCTTGATTGAAAAGCCACGCGCGTTGAAACCAATAGTCCAAGAACATTTTCTGAAGATCATCCCAAGAGCCGGGACTAATTTCACTTAAGAATTAGCTTATGACGTTAGGCTGGGACTAGCACACGGCAGATTTGGGGTTCCTGGCTTTCAACTTGGTGGAAGTTTCCCAAAGGGAACCAAAGTCCCGGGTGGGGTTGCCTTCAACACTATTGCCTCCAGAACGCGGAGTGCTCGCTTTTGTCTTCTCCGCAGCTCCCGTTGACAGTGACTGCTGATCAGGGATATCACCGCGCAAGATCGGCATAGAATAACCTCATCTGGCATCAGTACCTTGTGTCCTTGCATCACAAGATGTCAAAACTTAGGAGACAACCCGAGCGTCCAACATGCTGCCGCTGGTCAACCTTCGACTATGTATTCGGATCCCAATTCATAGCAAAATGACTCCTTGGGGAACCACCTCAGCCCTTGAGACGCCTTAGCTATAAATGTGTTGGTCTGATTGACGACAGGTGGGGTTCAATTGGAGCAGGCAGTGGTACGAGGTACACGTTTTTCTTGTCGATCGCTATTCCTTTTTTCAAATCGCAACGCTCAAGGCATCATTCTCCGAAAGTCATGCTTCTTCACACCGTCTTGTAGGCGCCCCTGATCTGCACAGTAAATGTCGAGTTCGGAAGAGCGTAAAAGCCAAAAGAGATAGAAAGCCATCATGGTTGCTATATAATGCGGTCGTCAGCCCGCAGGAGCTCTCTTCTCTTCAGCCAAGTGTTCAGAGTTCTCACTCAAGTCATTCTTTCACTCATACCCACCGCAGTTCATTCCCTCACCCGAGTCTTCGTTAATTTCTTACCCTTTTCATCATCAAAATGAAGTTCACTGGAATCCTTGCCTCCCTCGCCATCGCCAGCACTGCTACTGCTGCTGCTATCCCCAACCTTGACGTTGTCAGGGTCCAGTCCACTGTCACCCGTATCGAGGGTGTCCTTGACCAGATTGATGTCTCGTCAACTCGCAGTGGCGACGCTGACCTTGCAGGTCTCACATCCCGTACGATCTCGCCTGCCCCAAAGAATCAGCCGGATTGAGTGGTGAAGCTGACTACCCTAGAACTCGGCGGTATCCACGACACCCTGAACGGCCTCGTTGCCGCTATCGTTGGCGGAGTCAACTCCAGCCCCCTTCTGCAGGGTGTCCTCGACCTTGCTGGTGGTCTCGTCACCACTGTTGTCAACGGTAAGCCCCGTAACCATCATCCATCCCTATGTAGCTGGACTAACAAGCCTCAAGTCGTGGGTACGAACGAGCAGGTTCCCGACTTCGGTGTTCTCTCCAACACCCTCGTCAGCCGTGTTCAGAGCGGTGATGTCGACGCTGCTAGCCTTGAGCAGCTCCTGACCATCCTCGGCGGAGCGAGTAAGTAATATGTGAGATAACACCATAAAGTTCTTCGCTGACTGATTTTGTGCAGACGGTCTCTCCAACCTGAACACTGTTCTGTCGCAGCAGCAGTGAACGAAGCATTCCTGGCTGCTTGCGCTTCTTAACGAAAATATCGCTGGGTAGCAAAGGCGCAGGGTTGATCCCCGTGTCGATGCGGGAGAATAATCATAATACCCCATAGTACATAATTGATCAGATGAACATTGACCAGAATTCGTGATTCGGTTCTCCGTAAGCTTTGCCCGTGTCAGGCGTCCTTACTACCTAGATCAGGTCGCGCATCCCCTAGTAGTTCGTTCCCTGCGGTTCAACCGAGCATACGAAGGAAAGAACGGTAGGCACACGCGCTGCCTGCTCCTTCCTCGATACCCCAACTGGGCATAGATGGAAGGAACGACCGATGCCCGCTCTTCGTTCCTTCCTGTCTCGTTTTAGGAAAGTGCATCTTGAGGTCGTCCCTTACTCACAGGTCGAGGATGTATACCAGGAAGGAACGACCGATGCGCCCCGGGGTCGCTGTTCGTTCCTTCCTCTTACGTGTTAGGCAAGTGCCTTTCATGATTGCGCTTCCCTCGTTGGTTCGGCTGGGTATGCGAGAGAAGGACTATCCAGGAGTCGAGTATGTGCTTTGTAGTAGTGGTCTCGGAGTGTAGGCAAAATTCATCATGATGAATGAATGTTGTTTGGATTACGGCAGGGATAGTTATCTTGGACTGAGCCTCCGTATGCTGACTCATCGAGTATCGCACCCCCGCGCATCTTGGCCTCGGGGATAAACAATTTCTCTCCCACGAAGAAAAGATTAGAAAACCCACTCACTACATTCAAGAGCCTGAATCTCGATTCGGATTGCCCGTGTCAACACTCAATATGGCTGCCACTCAAACCACCAACTCCGAATTTCCTTACTCCCTGTAGGCTCAATTTTCCCGGCACACATCCCTTGACTAACCCCGGCGACCAGCACAATCTCCCTCCCCCTCCCAAGCAACCGACTCGCCTCGTCCGCCCTCCGCGCCCTCGAAGTCGACGCCGAACTTTCTCCGCTAGTCCGACGAGATTTCACACTAAAAAGTCCCAGTTCCCAGAATCAAGCAGACGGTGACAAAGCCAAGACTGTCCTTGAGACGACCTACAGAGCGACGACGAACCGCATGCTAAGGGTCGCCGTGAACGGCTTCATGGAGAGTCTAGGCGTTGTTCTTGGAGTTATGGAAGAATTGGATGTGGATGTTCTCGAGGAGGAGAGCAAAGAATGAGGATAAAATTGAAGGGATGGTAGAGCATGATTGAGAACGTGAAACGGCCGCGCGAGGCAGATGGTAACAGGAGATCCGTGGTCCCGCGCCCTGTCATGGACTGTCAACACTGGAACAACGGGGTTAAGCATCGCTTTCACCGTGTGGGCGATGAGCTTAGGTGCAACGAAACTCGCCCAGCGGCAATGAGAGTGGCTCAGCCGATAAACTCCCGGCATACGGAGCATTGGGCACAACTCTATACAGCCGCTTCTCAGCCTACGAATCTCGGATCGATCTTCAAGCTCAGGCTTAAGAACCTTTGTACTTATCAGTATGCGAAGGAATCACCCCCATTTCTGGTGACATGGTCTATCGCTAGAGCAAGACTGACGCTACTTCCGAGGTAGATTGCGGAAGAACCTCAAAGCGGTTTTTTTGACACTTGTTTTCGGAGCCTGTCAACCTGGTACTTTACGTCTCACACATCAGTCGACTAGGTGGAGAGGAAACTGTGGTTTCGTACGTCGACCTCACAGCAATTATCTTGGTGAAAAGTATACCGAATCTATCTGGTCTATACGAACGGAACGTGTCAAGCTGGGTGCGCCCAAGACTTCCGCCTCCAAATTTAACGTGTTTGATCTGCTTATCATTGTATGCTGCTATCCCTCACCGTGACAAGCCCGTAAAGCTAGCAGACTAGCTCGGCTTCTTTCTGCAGAACTGGGCTTCGGACAGTCCGGAACCCGGGTCCCCGGTATACTGGGCCAAGTATTTGGAATTATGAAGAGAACCGTTGAAAGGTAGCTATGTATGGAGTCGTAGCCGCGATACGTATACGGAACGCCACCCAATCACACCCTCCAGGAACAAAAGCACACGAAATCTTAACTAAAATTACCTAAGACAATGAAGTCATCGAGTTTCCAAATCACATTCTGGAACCCTCAAAGAGCCAGAGTCTCGACTATGAGCGCTGACAAAGCTGTGCTTCATCCGGCAGAGCGCCCTCACAAGCTTCCTAATCAGTAAAGCGAAAAGTCGCCATCTGCCACTCAACGGCGCCGCTTTCTGGACGTTTCCAAGTTCCTTCTTTCCCTCCCGCGAACCTCGGCGCTAGCGACAGTGAAACGTTCATGCCTATTTCCCCTGCAGGTTATTCTCGTGGCTTGTCGTTGATTAATCCTCCGAGATTATTACTCCGAGGCGGGATCCGGATACAAAAGGCGCCTCGTCCCTGTGCCACACCTCCTGCCATTTTTCTTCGTTCTACACCACCACGACTTTTCCCACAAGCCACCAAGTTCGAGCTTCGACCTCAATTCAGATCACTACACAGCAAATCGTACACCATGTCTTCCGCGACTACATTCTACGACTTCGAGCCTGTCGACAGTACGTCCTTTCCCTTCCCCTCACTTCATCACATCACCCCATTCAATGTTTAAGAAGCTAATTATCTCTTTTGCTTCTACCAACAGAGAAAGGCGCAACCTACCCTCTCACAGACCTCAAAGGCAAAGTCGTGCTCGTCGTCAACACCGCCTCGAAATGCGGCTTCACTCCTCAATTCAAGGGCCTTGAGAACCTCTACCAATCGCTCAAGTCCAAGTACGGCGACGATTTCCTCATCCTCGGATTTCCCTGCAACCAGTTCGGGAGCCAAGACCCCGGCTCCAATGATGAGATTCAGGAATTCTGCCAGATCAACTACGGCGTTACCTTCCCTGTTCTCGGAAAGACGGAAGTGAATGGTGGAAATGCGTCACCGCTTTGGACCTGGCTCAAGGAGTCGCAGCCCGGCCTGCTGGGGCTCAAGAGGATCAAGTGGAACTTTGAGAAGTTCTTGATCTCGGCTGACGGCAAGGTTGTTGGACGTTGGGCTAGTACCACTAAACCCGAGTCGTTGGAGGCAACCATTGTCAAGGAGATTGAAAAGGCAAAGAAGGAGGGAACTTTGGCATCAGCTGTGAATACTACTACGGAGGGAGAGCCGGCTGCTGAAGAGAGCGCGAAGCTAGCGTAACCTCGTCCAGCCATTTCTTTTCGTCCGTGTTATGGTTTATGATACCTATTTTTGTTTTTTTTTGTGTCTCGCTCTTACATCTTCCATAATTGTTGGGATGCCACCCTCTGGCTCTTCTTTGGTGTCGTGGCCAAATTATCATAATATCCTCTACTGCAATGCATAATAATCATCTTCTATCAGGCGCTCTTGCCTTTGGGAATCAAATTGCGCAGCGAGAGGTCGTAGACCACGTCCTCTACCTTCTTGACCTGTACCATTTTCAGCGCTGACCTTTTTATTCCATGCAACTCAAGTAATTGAGAAACTTACGCTGTACTTGATTCCATCACTCCGCTTCCGCAGGATATCGTTCTTCAAATTCAGCAACTGAAATCCGGAGAACAGCTCCTTGATGAAATTGCTGATCTGTGTCGGACGTTCAAAGTCGCCAAGGGTAACGGAGTTGACAGCGAGGCGGGCCTAAAAGTAGATTGGGGTTTAAGCAAAATATCACGAAAAGAGGTAGGGTGGAAAGCCTACCAGCTCTTCAACCATGGAGATAAGCGCAAGAAGGTACTCCTCCAGCGTGAGATGGAATGCATCTTCCTCTTTTAGGTTCACGGGGACTGTACATGTCAGCATAGTGAAATGAGAAAGGGAGAAAATCCGAACTATCAAGAAACTTTCCAACCTCCTCCATCGTCAGAAACGCAGCAGAACTGGTAGCCTTGTACTCCTGCAGCCCGCCTAGCCAGGCACACAGTTCGATAGACGAGACCTAATCAACAACTGTTAGTTTATTGGCAGACAGTATGGCAACATAAAAGTTTGCATCATCGTATCGACTTACAAGATTCTGGAGTTCTCGGGACCACAGCCCGTTATATTTGTAGAATGGATGCTTATCCGCCACGCCCTTCAGACGGAAGACTTCCTCTTTCTGCGCGAGGATCTCCTTCGTAGCATCTTCGAGAACGGGCTTCACTGCTCAGATTAGCACTCAACTGCGGCTGTAAGAATTCAAGTAGTAATAGGAAGGTAAACTTACAGTGTTCCGCGGGTGTAGAGTGAGCTCGGGAAAGGGTAGCTTGTGTGGATCGGCCTGGGGGAAAGAAAGTCGCTTTGCGTCAGCTTTTCTCCTTCTGGCTTGTTAAGATAGACATAGAGGTGAGACCTTTCCGGGCAAGAGTTTGCACGATCTCATGAAGTTCCTGTAATGCGGTCAGTCGTTGATTCATTATGTTGTTGCGCTGTGTTTTGTTGGCAGGACGTACATCTCTGACGGCAGCCTCCTCGTCAATCTTCGTCTGAAGACTTTCGAAAATGGCGCGATCAATCATTTTGCGTATGAGGGTTCGCTTTCTCTCGGAACTGATGTATATGTGGAATATTGATGCAGTGTTGCGGCAGTGATGAATGAAAGTTACGTCAAGAGAAACAATTGATTGTGGGGCTTTCCGTGATTGTGCCTGAGGTGTGGATCTGATCGTACACTGGACACCCTTTGTTGAGGAGCATAGTACATCCAGCCCTTGTTTCTTTACCACTGCATAGTCAAGAGCTCAGGAGAATACCCTGGCCATTCTCCTAACTAAGAAATAATTGCAGATTTCGTGCAGCGGGTCCATTCATTTCTATATCGATCCCATATCTCTGAAGCGTCATAAATCATAAAAGCGAGCACTGACAGGAACCACCTCTGTATCAAACACCGACCCACAAGATATCACCAAGATTTAATGCAGCCCCCCTCATCCTCATTCCAAAGTAGCTCCATTATGTGTCAGCGTTGTCGCGGCCCTCCTATTGCGTGCTCAGGCGCAGGCTCAAGCTTCAGCTACGAGGTTCGAAAGTCCCGTAACAGACCAAGTAATCGGTACCCTTCGCAACAAGCTTCCGTACGGTAATTTTGAGGGAAGCTCGAGAATCAACGAGCGGGAGAGGCCTGGAGCGTCACCGAGTGGAAATAAGGCCACCGATAGAGACCCTCAGTACCGGTACCTCGTAGAGTAATCTGCAGAGTCATCAGCATTACGGCCCAGCAACAATTCAAAGCACAAGAGAAGCTCAAACTCACCCTTTGGACTCACAACAAGACCGCGGCCTTTGCGCGCGCCCTTGTAGATCGTCTCGATGATATCAATCAACTCCTGCTTATCCTCAAGCACCCAGTTCAACTTGTTGTTGTTACCAGTGCCGAAATCACACATGATGTGCTTATTTCGAAAGAAAAACATGATTGTCATTGGGTCGAAGAGTTCGTACATGGTGTTGAACTCGGGTACCTCGTCGATGTCGCAGAGGTAGATTACGGCAAAGTCTAAGGTTTAATGAGTACATTTTCCATCCTCCATAAAAACAGAGCTTTTCATGATGATGCAAGGCAAGACAACATGTTTCTGACTTACTCTTCACTCGTTCAGCGAGCTTGAATAGAACTTCGTCCTGGCGCATGCCTGGTGAGTAGATGTTAGTGGCACGCCATGGCTATTGCGCAAAGAGATGGAAACCTACAGTCAACATCATGATCCCGACCGAATCTGATGACCTGTTTCATTTTTCAACGATTAGAGGTGTTCTTGTTATGATGGCGGAGTTGGTATGCGCACCACTAGTCTATCCTCCTCTGAGAGGATGGCTTGATCAACGTGCCATGCTGTGCGCAAATGGGGGAGAACAACGGAGCCCATGGTGATGAGTTAGGATGATGGAGGACTTTCTTAGAAATCAGTATTCCTAAGGTTGAAGGAGGTTTCGTCGTCAATCAGGAACATTTATTTGGGTCACGTGAGTCGTCCCATGACAGCCCAAAGCGGTGAGTATGATGTTCCAGAAAATTCTGCCAGAAAAAGAGCTTCATCTACTAGGATGATCTAGTTAACTATGATGTACAACGTTTATCATAAATTTCCTTGACTGCTGCCTTGTATTGCCATGATTGTTTCTCTACTAGCTGCCTTATAACATGATTACTCTGCAATGCTCCGATATTCGTTCTCTTTTGAAGTCGAGGTGCCAATCAGTGTCCTTCTGCGAATGCCCGCGTGATTACTGTACCTATAACCAGTCCCGTCCTTCCGCGCCTGATCAGTATCTCTCTCAATAAGCAGTAAAGCTACGTCGATGTGTCCGAAATAGAATTCTTCACTTGAGCGTCGATGCCAAAGTAGGATGCAAGAGGCAAATGGCCGTCTCGAGCCGGAGGTATGGCCACGTTATAGCGAAACATGCCTTCAGTCTTTGTGCTGGAGTGATGATGGTTTTTAGGTGAGTATTGGGGTCGATTGGCCTATAAGTCAAAGACCTAGGGAGATCTAGAGGACCGCAGATCTTTTCAGGCCACCGGATTCGAACGGTTAAACCGCACAGCTTCGCCCTGAAGCGACGAATGCTGGCTGGGAGACGAAGCCGAATCATCATTGTGGAAGTAGTATCGCGCGACGGCCGAAAACAGCCTTTTCCCAGGTTTCCGAGGCCGAGCGATCACATAACGTCCGACGAATTGCATGATGCTGCTGGATGAGATTGCCGAGATTGTCGTGTGAGATCTTGAGCCGTGGTGGAGGTTTCCCTGTCTTTGGACTTGGTGGGGGCCTCCTGACCTTGGGGTCGAGCCCGGGACCGCGTTCCGCTACTCTCTGCTCCCAAACTTTCAGACTCCTGGCATGGCGATATCATATGGAGTTTGTCATTGATGTCTTCAGTTTCGCTCTCCTCGATTTCCGTGCGAGAGCATATTCTCGTGATGTGACGCCTTTTCATCCTTGAACTGACAGTCCCCCTAACGATGGCGTCAGCCGCCGCCTCAATCGGGTCGCTCCCAAATGAGCTTCTAGACGAGATCATCCTTCTTCTTTCGACACCTCCTCCATCCTCGTACAGGCTACACCGACCTCCGAGCGTTAACATAACGAAGTCGGGAACCCGCAACCTCAAGAACCTGTCCCTCACATGTTCTCGCCTCCTTGACCTTGTCCGACCTCGCCTGTTCTCGCACTGTTGCTTCAAGCTAAGGGACCTGGATAGATACCTTGCGTTTGTCTCATCGGAACTGTACCGCTATGTGATATCTGTGGTGGTAAAAGGAGACTCTCTTTCTGATGATTATGAGGGTTTCGGGCCATTTTGGTGGCGGCGCCTGTTACACTCCGTTCGGCCGCTACACTTCACGATAATTGCGCCGCCATCGTTCATAAAGGGGATGCTAGGGATGCAAATTCCCGAGGAGCATGGCTGGGCTTTTGAGATACCGCTTCAGCTTCTACAGCTGAATTGTGACGGACGAGGTCCGACGCCTGCACCGGCTTCGCAAGTCAACGAGCAGTCTACTCTCCTAGACTGTCTGCCGTGGTCATCCATGTTTTTCAATGAATCCTCCTCACTCAAAGCTTACAATCACTACGAGTACTTTCTATATCAAGTCCCTTCCTTATTCCATCGCTGGAGCTCATTGGTATCCGCCAAATCTCGGCCTCATCGACCGCGTCTATCCTTCTCGTTGGAGAATCTGACGTCTTTCACCTATGTGGCCGTCTTTCCTTTTTACAACCATGTTCAACTCGTGTTAGATGCCGTGGAACTGATGACCAACCTTCGCTCCTTGAGCATACAGTTAGGCCCTTCTCGAAATGACAGGGTGACAGAGCTTGAGCAGCGAGGCTCAATGGACCCTAGTGATCCTTGGATGGAGCTTGCGACAGGATACTCACTGATTGCAAACGCAGTCAGAGGTCTAGGAAGAACGAGCCGCCTCTCCAGGTTCACAGCTTGTGACTACCAAATGGAAGCTGTTCGGGCTGAGATAGATGTGATACTCGGGGATATTCTTTGCGATGGTCCATGGACGCACAATGGACATGGCACTTGGATCAAAAATATGGTCCAGGACTCAAACGTGGAGAGTGAATGAGCACGTAACCGCAGTAAATATCAACACCTAATGCTGCCACAATGTACCGCGTTCTGTTTAGCCATGACACCTAATTACCTAATTACCTAATTACCCAATACTATCAGTGTCGTCGAGGTCGATGCGTATATCTCCCCCTGATAGCTTTCTCTACTAGTAGTACTATCTTTGAACTACAAAAGACACGGAGACCATGTTTGAAATTTCTCCATGACAACAAATTGATGCCTAAATCGTCAGGCTACAAGGTCTGTTTTATCACGAGTGTCACCTTTTCAGCTTGAAGGTTTCTCATACTCACCTCCCTCAGGGCATCATCGGCGGAGGTATGTGCCATGCGATGAATTCTTCAATTACTGTGGATACTGGTCATCCTCTTCCAGCTTGATTGTCTGTTGGGATAAAAATCTAGACGAGCAAGTTTCCGAGGCCTCCACCACACGTCTATAGCGCCCCTCCGATATAATGCCTACGACTACATATAACATCGAACCGGCAGGCCCTGTGCTAGCTCATTCCTTAATCTCATCATCGGCATCATTCGCCGCGAACAGGGATGCTTCGTTCTTAGAATCCAGAGACCCAGACCCAAGCACATCAGAGGCATGGAATCTCAAGCTCGATATTGCACAGGGCTTACACTCCTCCTCCCATATCTTTCGCCCAGGAACAGTGGTCGCATTCTCGAGGCTACGAGGCAGACTTCCAAACGACAACGATGACGAGTTCGTAGGCGAGGTATGCATCAGATCTTACGACTCGCCTCCTGTCAGCATCGATTGTATTGCAAACGACTACTAACCACACTTTCAGCTCCCCCGACGCCTTCTGACAGACTGGCTCCGGCGTACTGCTTCCACTATCGGTACACCAAAATCTCAAAACAGGACGTTCATAATCCATCCTGCAAATCTAACCATCTTCTCGCCCGAGAAACTTCTCGCCTCACTACTATCCAACCAACAACCCCCTCTCTCACGCGCACAGGCGATTTCATATCTTGACTCTGTTCAGCTTTTCCCGGTATTCGACTTTGCTGCCGCCGTACAGGCTATTGACGAAGTCTCTGACATCCTACGCAAGACATGGCAAGCTCACCAACCCCAAGACGATCATGACCACGAGCATGGAAATGAGAATCAGCACAGCACTCCACCGGACACCGGCCACTCAATGACCCTCATAGTCGCCGGTCTCGACACGCTCACGGAGGCTGTGATCCGAGCGTCGAACGCCATGAGGGGCACGGCCGTCTTGAGCAGTGCGCTGCGGACATCAACCCAGCTATCCCGTATGCATCGGCCCGACCTGTCTATCCTATTTGTGAACACAAGCGGTGTTGGGCCGATAGTCCGTGATAACTCTGAAGGAAGGCTGCCACAGAGTCAGAGGGATCCCGGATCCCAGCAAGCTCCGGCTGATGGGCTTCAGTCGATGTTTTCCGTAACGGATGGGCCTCTCTTTCCGAGCCTGTTAATGCGGACGCTTGACCAAGGTATTGACACACATCTTTTGATGTCGAATACAAGGAACGTCCCTGTGGTCGAGGTGATTAAGGATCGGGTGGGTAGTGGTGTTGGGAAATGGTGTACGTGGAGCAGTACTAGGACATAAGTTTACTCAGTTTCGAAGACATCAGTGAAGGCACGACGCCGCCGGACGCACTACACGAGGCACCCGGCGATATACTTTATTATACACGCTATCTATGACGAAAGAAATATGGGTTCTTATATTCCTGTCACCAGCCAGAATACGCCATCCTTATGCACCCAGTGATCAAACCAACCATTAAGCAAATCCAACGCTGAAATGCAATCCTTTCTCTCCCGGAAAGAATGGTATCAGAATCGACCAGAAGACACTAAATCCGGACCAAACAATAAGCATCCGGGGAACGAAAAAAAGTGCAGAAAGCAATGCCTGAGGAGCACAAACAGATAGCTTTTAGTGGCCATTTTGCATGTTTCCGTTCTCAGCCCACATTCTGAGAACGGCTCTTTCCACCACCCCTTTGGCCTCTCTTTCGCACTCTGCGAGGTCATCGACAAGCGTTACTTCTTCAAACGCAGCGTCCTGTTGTTGGACCTTAAGCCATTGCTTGTGCCTCTCGCATCGTTTCTTGGTGCAGACTCCTCGGGTAAGACTCGCAAACTCGTGGGCATTATCGTCCTCCATATTCGTGTCGCCATCAGCGTCAGTGCCGGGGTAGCTTGAAGCAAGCGCTTCAGGCGTGCCCTCCTCTAACGCCTTTCTGCCTGTGTCCGACAGCCTCCATTCGTCGAATTCGTCGTCAGCCCAAGCCAGTCTTGTATCAAAGCCGCAAATATCTTTCCATCCACCTTTGGGATCTTTTTTCTTCAAGACCTCGAGAATGCTCTTCGATCTCTGACGGACAAGGGTGAGGAAGTTACTGCGTGCTTCTAGCATATCTCTGCGATGGAATAAGTCATCACGCCGCTTGCGCAGCTTTTCGAGTTTCTCCGCCTCGTCAGGCGAGTAACCAAGGCCATCGACGCCAACATCTAGACCGAGCTTCTTGACTGACTTCGTTTCCGCATCGTCATTTTCTTCTTCCGGTAGAGGCGCGACAATGTGTGCGCCTAGTTTGCGAAATTCGGCCGCTGACACGACTCCCATTATGACAGCTGTAAGGTCCCCGGCAGTGAGAACCCCGCCTCTGCTTCCAAGGTCTGCCATATTGTCATCTCCTTCATCTTCAATATGGGATCCCTCAAACTCGCTATCATCATCCCTAGGATTAAGGAATCCATTGAAAGCCGCCCTGCGAATAAACTTTGGCTTCGCTAGCTGAGAGGATAAATTAAGGTGCTGGGTTTTTTGGCGCATAAACTCCAGCCCGTGCTCGTCGGAGCAGTACTTGCTGAGGTTTCTCTTGTCGAAGCGACAAGGCTTACGGCACTCTTTCAGCCTGCACATTGGCTTCCAGATAGTCCATCCATGCCCTTGTGCTTTGCAGTTAGGGCCTGTCGCTTCATTAGCAAAAGAAGGTGAGGCATTCGTTTTATAGGACCCACATATGTATTTCTCAATAAGTTCGGCGTCTCGGGGGTCAATGTTGACGCATTTTCCATGATACCAATCGTCGCAAACGCCATCACAGGCGATCATCCAAGTGTGGTTGTCGGGCTTTCGACAAATACAGAAGGTTTCGTTGCTGTCGGAATCGTCCTCGTCGTCTTCCTCCTCCTCTTGCTCCTCTGGTTCCTGTTGGTCCTCCTTCAATGCGGCTTTTTTAGTGCCTTTCTTCTTGCTTTCAGGCGCCGGCGAGTTTGCCAACGACGCAGAGCCCCCCTTTTTCATCCCAAGTGCCTTGCTAGGACGGGAAGGTAACGGTGTCTGGGACCGGCGACTGCCCACGCTCTCGTTATCCTGGTCGTCAAGCTTCCGTTTTTTGGGCGCAGGCTTTCTTCCGATACCTTTCTTTGTTGCTGCGGGAGCGGCCCGTTTGGCTGGGCCTTTCGTGGAGTTAGCTGGTGAAGACCGGTCTAATGATGATGCCCTTGAGTTCCCTTGGTTCTTGAGGCTGGCAACCTTCTTGGGGGTTGGATGCTCCTCGGGCAAATCTGTGCCGCCAAGATGCGGTGGCACTGGCTTGATATCCGCTTCAGCATTGAGAGGGACTCCATCCAAGTCCATATTTTGGGGTTCAGCCTTCACTGAGGAAGCAGGTGCGCTGTGCTCCTCGGTAGAAGTAATTCCCGCCACAGGCTCCTGGAGACCTTTGTAAAGGTCGTCCCAGGGGTCGAGATCCTCAAGACTGGCCCCCAGCTCCTTTATTGAAGCAATCTGCGGAACCCGTACTCCCCGATGTACTTTGCTTGCTCGCTGAAAACCAAAGTAACCGCTATCTCGCCAACCAGTCAGACCGACTACCTTGTCATTGTTCACGATAACGTTTGAAAGAAGCATATTATTGTGAACGAATAAAAAGTTCTCTGACGCTTCGGCCTCCTTGAATAGCGTTTTTTGTTCCAGCCCTACGAGATCGGAAGGGTGTTGCGGATTGAGTTTGCTGCAGAGGTAGGACGGGTGTTGCGGGGGAGTATCGATCGTACTGAGTCGTTCCGATACACGACGACACTGCTGTTTCAACGTCTCAACCTGCTCGGCTGCAAGGTACTTCCACGCAACATCAAGAGAAACGCCAGGGATTCTAGCCTCCACCGTCACATTCTTCCCTGCTACCGTGCCGCAAAAATAGATTGTTGGTACAGCAACTCCCATCTCTCTCAGTATGTCCTCTGCATTTCTTGACGCGCTCAGCTCATTCTCATTCAGAGATGAGAACCGTTCAGCTGCCGCACCGATTGACTCTTCGTGGTCGACTCTGATGATTATGCTGCCAGCAGCATACACTTGCCTCCCACCCGGCACATGCAGTGAGTTTTCCGGTGTCCATAAAGACTTCACGGTGTCTTCCCAGTACTGTTTCGCTTCTGTGTCCGGTCCGCACCAATCAGTGTAACGAGGTGCAAAATCATCATCCCGCGGCTTATAGCGACCGTAGTGCGCACTGCGCCGCCGAAAGGGATCATCTTCGGGTAGGCGTTCGGGATCAGTCTCATAAGGATTGGTGACATCTACCTTGTATTCAGATGAGCCGTCGGCCTGGCCATCTGCCGGCACGGTTGTATCCGAAGCCATCGCAAAGCAGGTTCCCTGCGAATCGATCGCCCAGTGCGTACACCACTCTCCTCAGTGAAAGACGCCGCAAACAAGCCGACGAGGAAATCCAATTATCGAGATCAGAAACAATTATGGCAGCTCGTATTGGAGCCTTGAGAATCAGATCTTGTTTGTCACTCCGATCACATGCGCTTCGCGCATCCTTGACGGCCAGCGTAGGGATAGTGAGGTCTCGAAAGCGGTATCAACCGGAGATGTCGTTGGAAATCGGCAGAGAGTATTAGGGAGATCCAGAGTTTGGTATCCTATCGCAAATATCAACCACAGCGACGAGTGGCGTGGGAAGACTGATCCGACGGGATGCGGAGCTGGCGCGAATCTCAGCTGAGAGACCCCGAAAGCGACACCGGAGCTCTGATCTCAGGGGGTTAGAGAGGTGGCTAGGTGTGAGTGAGAAACGTGCAAAGTCTTCTGGAAATATAGATTTCGTGAGTTCGAGCCGCTTTCAAAGGATTTAAGGCTTGCTCAAACCTACACGTGGAGAGGAAATTTGCGCGGTCTCTGGCGCGGAGTTTGGGATAAGGGCGACAAAAATCGATACCTTGTTTATCGGGCAGGATGGCAGAATGTCAGAGGCGGTGAGGGGACCTGTGCCACTCTTTCCCGATTCGTCTATTATTGTTGCTCCTACGATCGTCGCTCTTGATGGCTCTACCATGGGGTCTATGCTAAAGATTGCGCAGTATATTGTGGCCCGCGAACATGTCTCGCAGCGGCTATTGCTTTTGGCCTAATATTTCATGAATGGGCTCTTCGAATTCTCCGAGGCGAAGAGTAGGATGGTTTGGCGGCTGAGCTTCGGTCTTCATTAGATCAAGCTCAGTCACTCAAAACATCCCGAGATCTTCTATCCCAATTGCAAAGATTCTGTCAAAGCTTTTACTAACATTATGGCCCATTCCTGCGTACATCAGATACTCAGCTGTGATCTATTAACCGGGTCCATGTGGTAACACTTCTTTGTCGTACCAGCTTGTTGTTGGTCGATGTTATAGGCCAAGATTTCCCCCACGAAACAGCCACCAAACATGCCTGCGTCAGCTGTCAAAGCACGTCTACACCCTACCGCGTTGGAAGGTGGAGATGAGGTAGTGATGGCGCTGATGCTTGAGCTTTAGGCTGAGACTCTGAGAGCCTCTTATCAAACCGATTCTATGTTCTGCTTGTACTACCAAAGCTTACTTCTCTAGGAAATAATATGCTGTCTTGACTCTCCCTGAAACGCGTGAGAGACAATATCAGTCAGGTGCACAATGCACAGGCCTCTTTCTGTACGTCTGGGGTGCAGCTTTCGACTATGAAACAACCCCACGTTATGAGATGCGAAGGAATCCTTTGAAGGATGATCTTGCCTGTGTATAGCAAACATATATCGCCAGGTCTTTGTCGATTCCACAAATCTTGCGAGGCCATTCATCGCGAACTATAGCCGTTTCGATCCATGACATCATCACCTGATCTGATAAGCTGAAACCCAACGGGCACCATCCTTGCCCATGGTCGGCATAGAGATGTCGTCTTGAACACGGCGAACAACCTGACAGATCCCCGACAGCGCTAGGTCTGATCGAGTTCGAGAGTCCGACACCGGTGAGCGGCCCCCAAATCCGATCCCTCCACGAGAGGACTAAGCCTTTTAGTGTGAATGGACTGGCGCACGGGATTGGCCCAATACCGCCTGGGTGCTTATCCCATGCGAGCGAGAATAAGAATAATGAACGAGGGTGTTGCCTTCGAGAAAATCCCAGAATCCCTGGTGATAGGAGGAGAACTCCGAGAAGCAGCGGCTGGATGATGGCCCGCAGTGGGACAATATACTTCGATGTCGCGGTGGAGGCGCACCCACGGTTCCAATTTCTTGGTTCTCTGGATGAAGTTTTTCCCTCCAAAGCGCCAAAGCGTCAGAGTGAATAATAATAATGGTGGGTTCAGCCTTAAAAGCGAGATTATCTCATCAAGAATCCCCTCCACAGCCTTGGTACAGAGTACTGCTGTCGCTTTAGCCTTTTATCGCCGCGACAGCTCGTATTCCAAGTCTGTTTCTCTCACCCACCTTCCTTTCTCCCTTTGCTTGCTTATATCTCCGATGCTCCATCTCCAACCTCCGCCTCGCAGGTCGCGAACGCCCGACGTTTTTTAGCTCCAGCTAGTCGCATCAAGTCCTCCTCCGTCACCGATCTTCGTTCTCTTCTTGAAAATTCCGCTGCTTATTCTTGACTCATCCAACCCTGCGTCAGACGGACATTTTCCTGCTATTCCCGCCGCCGTCGGATCTATCCTCGCCTCGTTCGACTTTTCTCTAGCAAGCTGATCTTACCAAAAACAAGACAGGAAGAAAAGAATTTGAAGTTTCTTTCTTTTGTTCCCCTGTTTTCCGCCCACTGTGCCTTCCATGACTCGGTAAGAGCCGTCAAATCCACTTTTCGTGGAGGTGCCAGAACGGTCGATTCGCTGCGCACTGCAGCCTTCTCATATACACCCCTGATCCAACACCCTCGCTCGCATTTCCAGTGCTTCCATCTCGTACCTCCCTCCCGAACGGTATATCCTTGTATGTTACGGCTTTGGTACGCTTAAGCCCTCCATGGCGACTTCAACTTCGTCTTTTCTCGCCGACAATGCGGGCGACGAGGATCCTACACCAGACTCGAGCCTTTATGCCGCCGACGAGGGCGAATTCTCGATAATACCCCCTCAAAACTTCTCACAAGACCTCTCTGCAGGAGATGCTGCGCCCGATGCCAAGGTTAAAGCCCCGCTTCCCATGCAAAAACGGCGCAGGGTGACCCGTGCATGCGATGAATGCCGGCGCAAGAAAATCAAATGCGACGGAAAGCAACCCTGCACTCATTGCACTGTCTACAGCTATGGTGAGTGCTATACAATTTTCTAAAATTCGCTTGCATGGCTAACTTAGCCATTCTTTCTAGAATGTACCTACGATCAGCCCTCGAATCGACGCCGCAACCCCGCACCGCAGTATGTCGAAGCGCTGGAGAACCGGTTGCACAAGGCCGAGGCCCTCCTGCATGTCGTTCTTCCCGACCTTAATCTCGATGACCCCCAATTCGATGTGCATGCAACCGAGCAGTTATTACAAGCAATCAAACGAGAAAAGCTGCAGCAACAGCCTTCAGCCCAGCCTCCGCCTCCGCCGCAACCTTCGGACACAAACGGTTCCGCGGATGCTCCGGGCCCGGACGGCGCGGGGGCTGACGAGTCCTTACTCGAGTCAATGGTCGACAATACTGGATGTCTCGACCTAGACGACCAGGGTCACTGGGATTACCACGGTCATACGTCCGGTATCATTTTCCTTCGTCGGTTGCGGAAGCAGCTCGGCGTTCACCAGCAGCCAGGGACGGCGGAGATACCCCTGCGCACACGGCCCGGCCTGCAGCAGTTCCTCGAGAGCCCCAAGTCCATGTCCGAATCTCCGCAGGAACCATCCTTGCCTCCGACACACGATTTGCCACCCCGCGACGTTGCACGACGTTTGTGTCACAACGCCATAGAGGATGGCTGTTCGATTATACGTTTCGTGCATGAGCCGTCGTTTTATGCGATGTTCGATCGAATCTACGATACCCCTCCGGAGCAATTCACGAATGAAGAAAACTCCTTCCTGCCACTACTCTACATTGTCATGTCCGTCGGCTGTCTATTTTCCGACGATGGGGCTGGGACCCTTGACGTCTGTGGGTATGAAAGTGCGATAGGTCAAGGGTAGGCTACCCGCTTCTAGAAACATCCCTCAGCTAACGGGCATAGATTTCAATATTTTAAAGCTGGTCGACAGTTGTTGGAGATTACTGATTGCCGCGACCTTACATCGTTACAGGCAATTTGCTTCATGGTGTTGTTTCTGCAATCATCCGCAAAGCTAAGCACCTGCTATTCATATGTCGGAATCGCCTTGCGCTCTGCCTTACGACTAGGCCTACACCGTTCAGTAGCTGCGGATTTCAACCCCATTGAGCGCGAACTGCGCAAACGCATATTCTGGGTCATTCGAAAAATGGATGTCTACGTGAGTACGCTGCTCGGTCTTCCACAGATGCTCAGCGATGACGACATCGACCAAGAGTATCCGATGCCGGTTGATGGAGAGTTTATTACCGTAGACGGAATTCTGCCGACCCCGGAAGGTCGGATACATGCAATGCATGGTGCTAATGCTCACACCCGACTGTCCAACATTATCCTGAAGATCGTGAAATACATTTATCCTCTCAAAACTGCTCAGCAGCGGTCAAAGTCGGACCAACGCTATGTCGTGAGCCATTCCAAGATTCGAGAGATTGAGCGAGACCTGCAAAGTTGGATGGAGGAGCTCCCAGCTGCCTTGCGACCGGGAACCGAAGTATCCCCCCAAATCGAACGGTAAGTCATCCATCCTTCTCTGATTTGCTATCAGGTCTCTAATTGTGCAGGATACGGCAACTTTTGCGTATCAGCTATGCCCACGCGCAAATGGTCATGTATCGACCTTTTCTTCACTACGTCTCCAGCGGCTCCCAAGCGCGAGGCGTCGACAGGCGGTCTTATGCCTGTGCCGCTGCTTGTGTGAGTGTATCGCGGAATATCGTTCATATCACCACCGGAATGCATAAGAAGGGGCTTCTTAACGGGTCCTTTTGGTTTACCATGTACACTACTTACTTTGCGATCTTGTCGTTGCTTTTCTTCGTTCTCGAGAATCCCGATTCGCCAACGGCCAAAGACGGTGTCCTCAAGGACGCTATGGAAGGTAAAAACACTCTTGCTGGGCTTGCAAAAAAGAGCCTTGCGGCCGATCGTTGCTCGCAAAGCCTCAACAGCCTTTTCAAGAATCTGCCTGAACTACTTAAGAACCGACAGAGCTCAAAGGTTCAGGTCAATTTGAAGCGCCCAGCCCCGTCCAATAATCAACCAACTCGCGCACCCGAGTTGAAACCCCCTCAGCGGGCAAGTACTTTCCCGATTCAATTGCTTACCCGGCCTTCCAAGCTGGAGGCCAGCAATATTCCCAAGAGCCTGGATGACCACCACGCACCGCGCTCCCCAGCACCAAAAGCGCGAGGTAGCCATCTGCCCACCTGGGTAAAATCACCTGCTGAAGCTCCTTCGAGTGCGGCCTCGACGCCACCCGGTTCCGCCGCACCACCAGATCTTGCACCCACCTCGTCCAGTACACCAGCAATGTCACAGGTTCTCCCTATCAGGGAGCCTGCTACAGGGCAATTCAACGCTCAGCAAATGCCCAATACCACTGGCTTTCCTGACCTTATGCCTATCATGTTCCCATCAGGTGACCCGTTTGCGTATCCCGCTCAACCCATGTCAACGCTGGAGGACGACCACTTCCGTTTTGACGAGCCTGGCGTGACCACTACAGCGCCGTTTACTACCGGAATTCCGACAACTGCGGACCAAAACATTGGCCCTATGAACCTCAGTAGGGCCCAGATTGACAGCCTTGCGGGGTTCCCCATGTTCCAAAGCGGGTCCCAGTCAAGCATGAGTGCGGCACTCTCGGGTCAGCTTTCAGCGTCGCAAGCTTCGCAGCTCCAGTCTCCCGCATCGCATGGGTCCACGCCCGGTGAGGCCGTCAACAGCCCAGATCTTGTGTCGATACCGAATCAGAATTTCATCTGGCAAGGCTACGGGTTCGACCAACAGCCAAACTTTGCACCTGACGCGTCCGGAATGCAGCAGATGCCGACAGGGAATGAGCATAATTTTGGCATGGCGCTGGACGACAGCGGCTTCAATGTGGGTCTCGATCTTCCGGGTGTGCCGCTGGACGACATCTTCGGTAACCAAGACGTGAAGCAAGGGCTCCCTAATGACGAATGGATCCAATGGATGAACATTGGGTAGGCTACGCCTGCATTACGAGAATAAGAATATCTAATGAACTGCATGCACGGATGATATCAGGCGGCGTTAGGGACAAAAATACCAAAACCTTTCTATATTCGCTTGTTTATATCTCTGATCTAACCATCTATATAACCAAATCTGAAACCTTACCTAGTGTACACCGATTAACCAGACCACATCAAATCCCTGATATGCCAGATCACCACCTCCCTGTCGGCGGCTGATACCAACTCCAAATGTTCAGCCCAACTTTCTCCCCCTGCTCCACCGGAAACGCCGCATGCCACGTCTCCGGATACCCACTCCCATCTGCCCTCAGATTCTCCCAGAACACCGCATTACCCTTAATCGGCTTGAACGTCACACCTTCCCTCCCCTCTTGTTGCTCACAATCCACAAATTCGCACCACCGCTTATCCCTCGGCCTCCTCAACCGCGGGAAATTCGTTCCACCCCCCTTGCACTCCGCCTTGAGATACACCATGAACGTACTAAGCCTGTCACCGCCGCGGCCCTTTGCCGTCCCCGCCCAGTCATAGTGGTGCGTGTAGTGGCCTGACACATTGTACCGCTGCGCCCACATGCGCTCGATGTACAGATATGGTTTCCAGCCCTGGAATGCGCGTGCACGGGACTCGATGCAGCGGACGACGCTGTCGCGCGGGAGAAGGGCGCGGTCGGAAAGGCGCTTTGTTGGGTCGGAGGCGTTGGCTTGGGAGGAGGAGTATACGGGGGAGGGGGTGTAGTTGGGGACGCTATTGCCGGTTTGTCAGTCGCTTTGGGCCGTGACTCACGATAGGACAGGGGTAAAAGGGAGGTAGAGACGTGGAAGATACCTGACATTGATTAAGTGATCCGCCTCTTGCCCTGAAAGGAATCCCTCGATGTATACAACGAGCGGGTTATACGAGAAGATGTGCGCGCGGTACATATCGCTCCCTAGCTCGCATACAATGGTCTCCCCATCCTCAAGACTCAGCAGATCCGGGTTCAATTGCAACGAGGTATCCTCCTCCTCCTCCTCCTCCAGCTCCCCTCCCTTTCCCACATTATCAAAGTACGCCGCATCGCGAATATCCCTAGGCACGGATAAGCCCGGATCAGAAGGGAAGAACTGTCGGAGAAGCGGGGCGATGATGAGAAAGTATAGCGGGATAAGGTAAAAGACGGAGGAGAGACTGAAATTGATCGAATTCAGATTCGGCATCTCTCCTCGTATGGTTTCTTTTTTTCTTTACGTTTTCTTCTCTAGGGTTCGCATGTGATTGGACTGGTGTCAGGATCGGAGGCCTGCGCCCGGGGATCCTGGGCCTTAGTGCATCTGATAAGGTCAGGTGAGGACAGGCTAGTCTAGAGTGGGTTAGTAGTATTCCGTATCGTACCTACCTCCGGCTCGGACTCCGCAACCCGAGAAGGTTCATTTAGAATACTCCTCGATGGTATGCGTCGCCATGGTGGTAAACCAAATGAATACATGCTCTGTGCTGATATTTAGTAGTGGTCATTATATCATACTAGTCGAGAGTATGTGTACTATGTACCTGTGTTTTCGGTGGGTATTCCATTTAGTGTCTGCAGATGTATATATCGAGTAGCACATATTACCTATCAGGATGGGTTTGGTGACGTGGAGATGATGATTGCAAATGGAATTGAAGCAGATACGGAAGCTGTATCTTACGAGAAAGGCCAATAAATATGGAGCATTCGGACTAGTCTTCTTAGTAGTCACTGTTGTTTATTATCACTGCCCGGGGTGTCGAAGACTCCCATTTTCGGTAATGCAGTAACGACGGACAGTTGGTGTTGGCTTGTGCTTCCTCCGTCCAGGGAACTGGAGCACTTCTGGGGGCTACATCTCAGAGGTGGAATGAAAACTGACTAGTTGGCCATTCACCTACCACCAACGAACGGACCCGCGCTAGGGGCTGTAACGCAGGAATGGGCGCTGTCACGACCTAATGAGGTGAGTCCTTATCGGTGTTATGATATTTGGAGGCATCGCCTTGACCATACTTGACTTGAAACCAAACGTCAAGACCCCTCGAAGCGCCCTCGTTATGCCTCGAGTTGGTTGTTCTGTGATATGAATTGTTAGACGTGCGTGCAGGCCAATCGGGTGCACATTCTCCCAACACAACAGAACCCCGGTTACTAGGCATGAGCCCGGCGGCTAAACTGAGGAGTTTTTGAGAATTTGGTTCCAAAGAGCTGGACGATGGAGAAGAGGGGTTACCCGAAAACGAAGCGACCACGCTCGATTTCACGTCTTGCTTGTTGCTCTACTGTCATTGAGATATCTGTACCAGCCCCGTTTTGCGTTTCTGACGCTTCCATTCAATCTTCACAAGGACGTTGAAGTCGAAGCAAGGAACGCCATGTGGTCGGAGAATAGTGACTAGATCTTAGTGTGCTCGTACGATCTTGGTAAGGCTGAGCCTACGCAAGTGTTGCTCTCGTTCGGAGTCGTTGCTGTCACGCAAAACGTGCAAGATGTCATGGCGTAAACGTTCTTGTAACAACGACCGTCGCATATACGTAGTCGCTCCGCGGCCCAGGGGAATGTCGAGCAGAACGATCTTAGCCGACATCATACCTGGGAGGAATGAGGGCGATGCGCTGATCATGGCCTCTGAGCAAGCACGACAGACACGAGACATATCACAAGAGCACTAGGTTTTGTCCGCTGGTAGCTGCTTCGGGAAAACTGGGCGAGAATTCACCGATAAGAGTCTAGAAGAGCTGAGTGTGGCCAGCAGACCATCCAAGCAGGCATTTCGGAACCCTCGTGCAACATTCTTATCACGGCACCCCACATGACATGACTGGCCCTGAATTCTTGAACAGCGCACCCAGACTATGCCCTTGTGGTCTGTTGCTGTTTCATGAGGTGTTGACTGTGGCCCGGAAATGAGGCTGGTAAGCAAAGAATTGACCGTTCAGGGTGGCCGGCTGAGGTGCGCTCATCTTGAGTCTGTCTGATTCGTACAACAAAGCGCGAGTCCAGAACCGGCGCGACCCTGACCAGGGATCCTGTACACCGCAGAACTACGAGCAGGCAGCATTATTCAGAAGGCCACTGGGAATTGGCAGTGTTGCCAAGCGAAGATGTCATGACTGTCTGACTAACGGTGCCCTCCAAGGCGAGGGGCTTCCAAGACTTTGACCAAGACTCGCTTCCAAGACTCTCCCACGGAGCGGGATTGCACGCGCCAAGAGTAACATCTGTGGTTGAGATTGAGTGCGTGGAGAAGGAGGCAAAACGGGGGCACTTCTCTTTGATCCTCAACAATCCAATAACCGGCGAAGACGTACATTCGACAACCAACGGGGAGTTTGAAATTAGCCAGAGAAATGGGCGAAATTCGGCAAAACGAGGGATTATTCTCAGGAAATTGGAGGCCTGACTAATCACCGCCTGTTTCCAGTGACATAGAGGGGGTTGAGAACTTGAGGGTGTCTGGCTACTGGTATTTTACCGTAATATTTCCCCGGAGCTTTGCCCATCCGACGGCAACCAAGGGCAAAAGGGGTCCGCAGCCCCTATGCCAGTGATGCTTCCACCGTCGCTCTGGCGCTCGAAAACGGAGTCAAAAAAAAAAGAAAGCAAAGTCGGATAGTCAGACACCTTTATCAAGATGCTCGCTGATCCAATTCTTAAAAATAGGATGCGCCTGCATGGAGATGTAACCTGAAGCGAGTCAGGTCGCTCGAAGCGAAAGTTACAGTAAGATACCAGAAGCACAACGCCACAGCCCCGCACAGCTCTTGGCCCGGCCTTGAGAGTCTTGGGTTCTTGGACACTCTTGGTTGCTCTTGTCCCTGTCCTCCGCCGGGCTGTGCAAGCGGCCTTTTCTGGGCAAGTCTCGGCTCGCTGAGTCCGCACTGCACAAGACCCCAAGCCATTCCCCCTCTCGAGCCACTCCAAGACTTCCTCTCTTCCCCTTTTCTTGTCCTGTTGCCCGTCTTATTACTTGGCCCCCTTCCCCCCTTCCCGTCTCGCCTTTCCCCCTTCTCTTTCTCTCTTCCCCATTTCGCTGACCGGCTGTACATCTGTTTTGGCACGCGTCGCCCTGGTTGACAACCTGATTGTGATCTGTCACGAACACGTTTGATGCTCTAACCATCGCATATCTGGCCTGAATTACCCTGAATCCCTGTTTTCTCGAGAAATATCCTCTTCTTTCGACTATTTGAGTCGATATCCCTTCCGCCGACTCCCAAGAAAAGGACAAGAAAGTTTTTTCTTGGCAATGTCGGAAGCCCAAGACACCACCACACCTGCGACAACGGCCGCTCCTGTAGCTGCGCCAGCGCCGCAGGAACAACAACCTGCTCCCCAGCCTGCTGTTCAGGTCTCGTCGGTCGTGACGCCGTCGGTGACTGCAACGGCGGCTGCTGCCACTGCCGCTGTGGCCAGCCCACCTGTCAACGGCACCGCTACTTCTCCTGCACCTGCGTCCTCATCAGCCCCGGCTGCTCGTCCTAGTGAGGAACTCACTTGCATGTGGCAAGGATGCACTGAAAAGCTGCCCACCCCGGAATCGCTCTACGTAAGTTGGCTTCTACGCACTTATGATTACAGTCGCGTCACGCGCGCGGCAAAGTAAAACGAGTGTAACTAATGCCGTCTTCCACAGGAGCATGTGTGCGAGCGCCATGTCGGCCGAAAGAGCACGAACAACCTAAACTTGACTTGCCAATGGGGCAGCTGCCGCACTACCACCGTCAAGCGTGATCACATAACCTCCCACATTCGCGTCCACGTCCCTCTCAAGCCACACAAGTGTGATTTCTGCGGAAAGGCCTTTAAGCGCCCACAGGATCTGAAGAAGCATGTCAAGACCCATGCTGACGACTCCGTCCTGGTACGCTCGCCGGAACCCGGTTCTCGAAACCCCGACATCATGTTTGGAGGAGCTGCCAAGGGTATGCATTAGAATTCCTCCCCACGTCTTCCCAGAGAATTAACCTTAACCCAGGAGGCTATGCTGCAGCTGCTCACTACTTTGAGCCCTCGCTGAACGCCGTCCCTAGCCAGGGCTATCCTCATGGCCCTCCCCAGTATTACCAGGCTCATCACCCGCCCCAGGCACCTAACCCATCTTATGGCAACGTCTACTATGCCCTGAACACTGGACCTGAGCCTGGCCACGCATCGTACGAATCGAAGAAGCGTGGTTACGATGCCCTGAATGAATTCTTCGGAGATCTCAAGCGCCGGCAATTTGATCCAAACTCGTACGCTGCGGTGGGCCAGCGCCTGCTTAGCCTGCAAAATCTCTCCCTACCTGTTTTGACAACTGCGCCTCTTCCCGAGTATCAGCCAATGCCTGCTCCAGTGGCAGTCGCTGGCGGTCATTACGGTGGCGGCCACCATGCTGCACCTGCATACCATCTCCCACCCATGACCAACGTGCGAACTAAGAGTGATCTCATCAACATCGACCAGTTTCTGCAACAGATGCAAGAAACTATCTATGAGAATGATGACCACGTTGCCGCTGCTGGAGTTGCTCAGCCTGGTGCCCACTACGTTCACGGAGCCATGAGCTACCGCACCACGCACTCTCCTCCAACACAACTTCCTTCCACCCACGCCACAGCGCCTGCCACTGCTGCTCCTATCCTTACAAACACATCTGCCCACTCTCCTTCTGCCAGCACCCCTGCTCTGACACCGCCATCCAGTGCGCAGTCTTACACGTCGGGTCGCTCGCCCATCTCGCTACCGTCTGCACACCGTGTTTCGCCACCCCATGAAAGCGGTGCTGGCATGTACCCTCGCCTTCCCTCGGCAACTGACGGTATTGCGGCGGGCTACCCGGCCACCTCAAGTGCCGCCCCACCTTCCACCCTTGGCGGCATCTTTGACCATGACGAGCGCCGCAGGTACACTGGAGGTACCTTGCAGCGAGCGCGTCCCGCTTCTCGGGCCGCCTCTGAGTCGATGGACCTTAGCGATGACAAAGAGTCGGGCGAGCGTACCCCCAAGCAGATCTCAGCTAGTCTCATCGACCCAGCTCTTCACGGATCTGGGTCTCCCCGTGACGACGAAGCAACCATGCGGACTGCTCAAGCTGCTACTGAAGTGGCTGAGCGGACTGACGTCCAGTCACAATGGGTTGAAAAGGCCCGGCTCATCGAATATCTGCGTAAATATATCGCCGATCGCCTGGAGCGGGGCGAGTTCGATGAGCTCGAGGACGGCAGTATCCCGCACTCCCCAGTGTCGAAAGCGAATGACCGGATGGAGGGAGTAGAGACTACATCGCCTCTTCCTCGCCCAGAACGGTCACACACGCCCGTACTCAAGAGCGACGGAGGAGACACTGTCATGTATCCGACGCTGCGAGGGTTGGACGAGGACGGAGATTCCAAGATGCCTAGCTAGTGGGGTATATTTGTGTGCTCTTCTCTCTCTCTGCTTAGCTTGTTATTCCCCGCTCATTTCATCTCTTTCTGTATAGTCGGTGTTTTGAGGCCCCCGGAGTTAGATATCTATATTACATTTCCTATATTTTTACGGTGTAACTATTATATCCTCTTCTGAACGCGCACTGAAGACTTTCTTTCTCATACCATGCTCCAGAGTCCAGCAGGCAACACTTAGTTTCATGCCAACCTAGTTTCACTAATTATCGAGCCGTAAGAATCTAAGTCCATGTTTGTTGACAGCCGCTTTCAACGGTGTTTGTTTCTGGCTGTGAATGGGATGGAGGATATAGATGCTACGGTGTGAGAATTGGAGTCGTAGCCAAAGCATTCCAGTGGGCTCCTAATGGGCTCGGATGTTGTCTGCAGGGTCACCACGGAGTCACGGATGGAATGACGCAAACAGAAGCTCAAAAGACTGTTCCATGGACGAGGTAGTGGACCACGATGGGCTTATTTATTTGCATATTCTCGTATACGGGTAGGGGTGTCTGAAAGAGGCCAAAGCTGTTGTCTCTGGCTGCATCCGGGAAAACATCACCAAGCTCTGGTACGACGGTTTCCTCTGGCCGTTTGGAATTGAGGATTCGGAACCGCTGAGTGGCTCTCGTTTAGGGCTATAATAGAGCTGATAAGGCTTCAAGACAAAGCAATAGAAAGGCGTCGATTGGTGTCAGTGGAATTAAATTAAAAAGCAAATGGCCGGGAGAATCCCCACAGGGCGTTGATGGAAGCGGTCACGGTTCACGAATCATTCTTTGCCCACTTGAGACAACGTCACTTTCTGACTTTCTGCGCCTCTTCTATTCCTCGACGCCGAGGGGTCTCGTGTCTTTTGGCTACTTTATCCTGGCCTTGTCAGCTCCCTCTACTTCTGCATGAGAGATTCTTTCTCCCGAGATACTGTAAACACCCCACCACCACCGGTCTTACCGAACTCCCCGCGGTGGCTGGTCGCTCATTCTCGGCCACTCTCAGTGCGCGTCGCCTTGCGCGGTGGCAAACCTTTCTAAATCCTTGGTTCTGTCATCCAGACTGTCCATTCCGGCCTCTTTTAGGTCATCATTTGTTGTCGCCATTACTCACCGTCCGTTCTCGATCTTTTCTGTCGCTGGCTCAAGTCGCCCCAGTCTTACTTTCCCCGTCCATCGCGATAAACACTCTCTTCGAGTCCCCACGCAACATCTTCGGCACCTTGCGCATCTTGTCAAGTTGAGCAACGTACAACCCGATCTGCCGAGAAAAGAACTTCGCGTCACTCGATTTAAAAGCCGACTGTCTGATTATGCCTCTTTCCAACCGCCGTCGCGCGCGGCGCAAGGATATTCAACTTCAAGAAACTTCAGACGCGGAGGCCCCGGATTCATCGCCCACGCGACCCTCGAACAAAAAGCGCAAGGTGCGTCCCAACTCGCGAAAGTCACTAGAAACAGCTACATTTCTTCCTCGGGAGTCGGGAGATCGCAAAATTATCTGCAAACTTTAATCTAGACTGCTACTAACCTACCGTGTGCGCACAGGTCGATAATCGGACCTCTCCCCAGCTCTCCCGACCTGTGAAAGCCGAGTCCGCGGACGAGGCAGATGATTCATCTCCGGAGCGTGAATTGTCGGAAAATCAGGACCTGGTCGACCTAGTCATTTCGTATCTCGACGCCGCCCGCGAAGAAGTTCGCGTTCTCCGAGACCATTCCAACGCGAAAACCGAGAACAAGCAAAGTATCCGCGCATACGCAAAAATCGCCGGGCGAAATTGGACCTACTACGTGAAGTCGCTCCATGTCAACATCGGCCGCGAGCCAGATCGCGAACAGAAGCTAGACGAGCAGTCGAGTCCCGTTACGATCGCTGCGCGAGCGCTTCCTGAAGTTCACGTCGACCTGGGCCCGAGCAAGTTTGTGTCGCGCCTGCACGCGGAGATTTTCTACGATGGTGAGGACACGGCTTCCTGGCACATTCGCGTCAACGGCCGCAACGGCGTCCGCCTCAACCATGCGATCCTCAAACGCGGCACCGACGCAGTTTTGTCGTGTGGCGATATTATCGAAATTGCCAATACTCAGATGATGTTCGTCACACCCGGCGACAAAGCGAACATCCACCCTAGCTTCGTCGAACGCGCACAACGCATCGCAAATGGACAAGAGGAGCCGGTGACATGGGCCGCCACTCAGCATGCGCATCCTAATGCTGCGATTGAAGCTCCGGACGGCGCAACAAACCCAACAACAGGCGCTCCAGCACTCGCACCGGCGCCGCAATTTCTCAAACGTCAAGTTACTCCCCCACCGCGCTCGCCTGACACTGTTGGGGCGCGGACTGCCAAACAATCACCGCTGTATAACCGGGGCATGATGATGGAGAGTACCGAGGAGATCGATTATAGCAAGGACGCCGCGAAAGATCTGAAGCCGCCTTATAGCTATGCTACACTCATTGCACAGGCCATTTTCTCAAGTGAGGAAGAAAAGCTTACGCTCAACAACATTTACAACTGGATTATGGACAAATACGCGTTTTATCGACATTCCCAAAGTGGCTGGCAGGTTTGTTTTCATACTCGTTTTATCAAGCTCCTCGTTAACGCATGTAGAATTCGATTCGACACAATCTCTCATTGAATAAAGCATTTCAGAAAGTTCCCCGTCGGACTGACGAACCAGGAAAAGGCATGAAGTGGCAGATTGCGCCAGAGTACCGCGAAGAATACTGGAAGAAGCAGCTTCGCAAGGGCACTCAATCGTCGGCTCCTTCATCGCCAGCGACCAAAGATTCTACGGCCGCGAGGAGCGCCGCAGCAAGCGGAATGGAGTCTGTTTTCTCTGCTGGCAAGAAATCACCACCTGTCTCTTCACCCAGCTTCAGCTCATTTCCTGTAGCTCCTGTCGAAGCGTACACTCCTGAGCGAGGATCGCGAGCCGGGCGAAATGGCGTCGTAGAGCCACCGTCGCTCAGACCACCAGCAAACCAGCGTGACTACGAAGAGCCCTCGCCATTACCGACCCGTTCCGCTGCGAGGCAAAATGCGTCCGGTCTTAGTCGGACGTACGGGCTTTCAGACAACGCCACAAGATCTCCGCCAGTACTGTCATCTTCATATTACGACGACGGGCCATCGTCAATGATTACACCCGCGCCACAACGTCACCAGCCCCGGCTTCCACCACCAAGCACTGCACAGGTTCCGTCCAAGTTCATGCCAATGAGCTCGCCCGCCCAGTTCTGGAAGTTCGCCGATATCGGAAGTACGCCTGCGCGTCCTGTTGCTGACATGAGCCCGCTGAAAGGTGAACCTGGAGATGTCCTTGGTAATATTCCCAGTAGCAGTCCGCCGCCGCCGAACCTTGTCAGTCCAAGCAAACCAGGCACGTCGAACGGTGTTGGAACTGGACGACCTCTTTCTGCTCGGCGAGACGATGTCCGACCACTCAACGGCGTGGATGAGCGGGCACATATAGAGGAGGAGGAAGGAGAAGATGACGGCGCAGGATTCGATCTAGCTCGGTAGGCTTTCTGAACAACTAAGCGTACAACCCAGCACTAATTAAATGACTACAGCGGCTTCCAGCCCATTGGATCATATCACCGCCAACTAAGCAACGCAGCTCGCGCGAGCGCAGCGACAAGCTGACCTTTTTAGTGCAGTAATACTTTGATTATGTTTACATGGTGTTTCTTGATTTTTGCAGCTTGTTTATGTTCAAGATCTGGTTGATCTCTGGATGTCTGACTACGATCATACTTGCAATGATGGGACGAAGCATTTACGGATTGGGTCGGCGGCGCAGGGATGCTTGCTTTTTCTGTGTAGTACGAATAAGAATTGATTGCTTAGAATGAGCTCGCTATCTGAATATTTGGAATTTGTTGCGCACCACTAAGCTCCTTGTATCCATTACGTACCTGAGGGCTGGAGCTATCCACCCTGAGCTACCCCACACCCCGCCAAACAACCATATTTTCGTTCCCATTTGTGACCCTCCTCAACAGTCAACGCCCGCCGCAACGGACAACGGTACAACCGCTGTCTCTCTCAATCCCGATTCTAACGTCATCTCACCTGCAGCCGAACCCGAATCAAAATGAAACTAACAACCCACCTCCCAACATCAACCCGCACCAGCCTTCAACGCGCAACAACGCACCACTTTCTCCGTCTTGCCGGAGCCGGCCAAGTCCCCAAGCCCCTGCTATCGCAATGGCTCTCACAAGACCGTCTCTACGCACAGTCCTACGTCCGATTCATTGGCGGCCTCCTCGCGAAGATCCAGCTACCCCGAACACCCTCCGATCCGTCAAACCCATCTATCCACGAGAGGATCCTGACCGTCCTCATCGATGCGATTACGAACATACAGACCGAATTGGGCTTCTTTGAGAAGAGCGCAGATGAGTTTGGATTGGAATTGAATGCCCCGCTCGCCGAGGCTGGGAAAGAAGGCGAAGACGCACCGGGGAAATTCACCACAGCCCCAATAACGCAATCCTACATTGACATGTTCATGTCCGCCTCCAGTCCCGGGACAAGTCTCCTCGAGGGCCTTGTGGTCCTCTGGGCGACGGAGACTTGCTATTTGCGCGCCTGGAGGTTTGCGGCTAGTTTCCAAGTGGGAAGTGAGAAACGGGATGGGAGAGCAGATGCAGATGGGGGTGCGCTGAGGACGAGGTTTATCCCAAACTGGAGCAGTCAAGAGTTTGAGGCCTTTGTTGATCGCATTGGAACTGTGCTTGATGAGTTTGCGCAAGGGGAGTTGGGAAATCTTGGTGAGGATGCGCTTGCGAAGTGTGAGAGGTGGTGGGGGCAGGTTGTCTGGTTGGAGGAGAGGTTCTGGCCCGATGTTAGCGAGTAGATCTCCTGAGGTCTGTTATAAACTGCAATATTACATGTGCAATGTGCTTGTTGCTTGGCTCGGAGAAGGCATCTTCCCACCCCCCTCTATCAGGGCTGGAGAAAGGGCAGAATACCCGAAGACGGCTATATAGAAGCATCCCCCGCGGAAAAGGACCCTCAGCCGACTCCGCGTCATTGTTCACTATTAGCCCAAGGTAATGAAGAATGATATATAACTAGATTAGTCTCGCGATTCTGAAAATAGTATACTCACCCAGGTCATAGTATATACATATATGTACAACTTCTATGACTATGGCGCAAATAGCCCCGTCACCACTTATCCAGGTGCACCACCCAACAATACCCGCACCAGCATCTAGCCCAAGCCCGACACTGAAGACTCCTACAAAGATTCAATATCCACTATGGTTCGGGGGCTCAGCGTCTTGTATGGCTGTTGTGGTTTCGCACCCTCTTGATCTGCGTATGCCTCCCTCTCCACTCTATACTTCAGTGTAGAGTCGGATGGTCGAAGTACTGACGCTGAAAACCACAGTCAAGGTACGAATGCAGATGAAACCTGGGGAAGCCAAGGGAGCAGCAGTAGAGACAAATACGGGAACTTTTGGAACCGCAATGCGCATTCTTCGGAGCGAGGGCGTTCGCGGGCTTTATGCTGGGGTATGTCGCCATCGCTATACCTCTCCTCTGGACATTTGCTGATACAAATCTCTAGTTCTCGGCTGGGTTCACACGACAATGTATATATGCTCCGTCCCGAGAAAGCTATACGAAGTACCTGCTGACTAGTAATCAGTAACATACGGCACAATCCGCATAGCAACCTACGAAACCCTAAAACACCGCTTCACCCCCACTGCCTCCCACTCGCAGATCCCCTCTACCCCATCTCCTCTGACGCTAACCCTCCTCGCCTCCCTCTCCGGCTTCCTCGGTGCCCTCCCCGGAAACGCCAGCGACATTGCCAACATCCGCATGCAAAACGACGCATCCCTCCCACCCACAAGACGCTACGGCTACCGACACGTCCTCCACGCATGGAGCAGCATGTACCGCGCCGAGGGCACCTTTTTCTGGACGAAAGGTATAATGCCGAATGCATTTCGGTGTGCGATGATGACGGGATGCCAGCTTGGGAGCTATGATATCTTCAAGGGGCTGATTGCGCGGTGGGTGGTTGGGCCAGAGCAGAGGGAAGGGGCTGTTGTGCATACGGGGGCAAGTCTGGGCGCTGCGTTCGTGGCTACGACTGTGTGTAGTCCGGTTGATGTGGTCAAGACGCAGCTTATGGGGGGTGGTGGTGGGAAGAGGAGGTCGGTGTGGAGGGTTGTGGCGGAATTGACGAGGAGTGATGGTGTTTTTTGGGTGTTTAGAGGGTGGTTGCCGAGTTTTGTGAGGTTGGGACCGCAGACTGTTGCGACATTAATCCTACTGGAGCAGCATAAGAAGGTGTATCGGGAGTTGATGGGAGAGGCTGATTATTAGACCATAGATTGACGGCGCAATGTACTTGCATTTCAGTGTTTAAGATGAACAAACGGACTGCGGGAGGTATGCGACCTCGAGTTATTAAACATGTCAGTGCGAGGAATGAAAAGAAAAAGGCTACTGCGAGTCAATGCTGTGCTTCACCAACATGGCAACCAGAACCTGCATGGTGTAACGCGCGTCATTGCCAGCATTGTGCAGATTCCACCCAGTCATGCCCATTTCTCCAATAACAGCGCCCAACGAACGTGGCTCTGTCTCCCCGCGGATGATCATGAATGACGTTGCAGTGTCGATGCGATCTGCGAATTGCGGTTTGCCGTCCGATTCGCCGATAATGTGCACATCCGCAAGCTCGAGGTACTGAATGTCCGAGGCGAGGCTGTGGCCGACGAGGACCAACGGACGCAGTTTCTTCTCAGGCCCGTCAAAAAACTTCGGGAGGGCAAAGCTGTTCTGCACCATGGTTGATACGTTATCTGCTGCAACCCATTCGCTTGTGCCGAACTCAAATTTGTCTGGGCATCCACGGATGTATAGACTGTTGACGTGGTGAGCATGCTCCTGGACGCGTAAATGTCGAGATTTGATCCGCGATTGCCAGTTCTCACCTAGGGGCCCAGGTGCGACGCCGATGAGATCACGAGTATCAAGCGTCGAGATGCCCACTTCTGTGACCAAAGTGTGACAGCGCTCATTGACTTCGACATCAATACTTATGAACACGGGCTCTTCGAAGAAGGTATATGGGGCGGGCTTGTCCAAGGCGAGCTGCGGCGGCTCAACCTCAGGAGCCTTTTGTTCGTCCCATTTGCAGTCAATAATGTCAGTGGGATCTGCACGCAAGCCCAGATAACACTGTGCACGTCTGACGGCATCGCCCGCTTCCACCTCGCGCTGGAAACGGAGGCGTTGCTTCTTGGCCTTGGTTTTGGTTTTGGTCTTTGCCGATGAGAGGGCCGCAGCCATCATTTTCTCAAAGGCCATATATGTTTCCTGATCGCATAAGCCTTGGTTGTAGTTGCAGGCCTGTGGGATTGTCGACTCTAGGGAATCTTTGGTGGGTCTATCGCTCGTCTGCCCTAAGAAGGTTGGCTGAGGGAATCCATCACGGTTGAGTTGCAGCACCAGTCCCCTCTCCTCATCTGCGGGAAGGGATAGCGAGCAATCCAAAGCAAGGTTGATGTCTTTGAGAAGTTTTCGTGCCTGTGCGGTAGGAACAAGCACAATGGGGCGTCCGCCGAGGCGAGGAGGGGCATGGATGTAGTACCTAGAGATGTTAGTGAGTGCGGATATTAGGAAGAAAGAAGAAGAAGAAGATACTTACAAATCCCACGTTCTACCCCAGAATTGGCCCTTGTCAAAGAACCTGCCTGCCACGGTCTGCATGAGATCTCCTCTGATGTGGTGGTATGGAAACCTGGACAGTGCAGTGATCGGGCAAAACGTCCCATCATGGGGACTTGGTGGCGCGGGGTCTGAAGGAGAGACTTTGAGAGTACCCTTATCTTCCAGGACTGGGATCTGCAGCTGGTCAGGGCGGTCCTCAGGCGATTCCAAGACAGGCTGAAGTGTCTGCTCAGCGGCCGGCGTGAAGGGCTCGGCTTCTGGACGAAGACGAGTGTTGATCTGCAAAAACGCCTCGTCTTGGGCAAAGAGCATCTGAAGACGGTCTGCGGGACCCATGATTTGACGCTGTCACGATTGCTAAGAAAAGAGAATTCAAAGAGAGCTGGAAACTGGAGTTAAGGACTTGAATATTCCAGAGGTTGGGAAGAGTGTAGTTTTTGGTCAAGGAGACAAACGGAAAGGCAAAGAGCAGTAACACAGCAAACGCTGACACCCCCTCAGCTGTTTATACATGCCAGGGCGGCATTGACCCGAGACATCCATGACAACAGACACGGTGAAGATTACTACTGTAGAGGAGTGAGCAGTGAATGCGTTGGTTTCATAGCGATATCTGAAGAATTGTTAGCCCTGGAAGAGGTAATTCCTTAATCCTATTTAGTATACGGTGATTCAACGAGTGAATTACCGTACTTTGGGAATTCACTCCAAATTGAGATCACTGGGGAGAAGAAGAGACGGAGTCGCAGATGGTAGCGGTATATACTGAGCGGAACGGAATAAAATTGCCCCGAGACGCTCGGACGTGTGTCACCTCCGCGCCGCTGGCACGCCTCAGCTGCATCTCCATCTTCGATAGCTCGGCAGCACTCTCTTTCTTTTCTCTCATTTCCCGGCTTCAGCTCATGTGCTTTTGACTTTCTCCTTATCCCATATGGCTGCACCATCTCATATGGTGCCGTCTCAAACCTGACTACCCACGTTCCCTTCTTCCCTCACGCTGACTCCCTACATTCACAACCATCCCACGCCTTCATATACCCTGTCGCTCTACTTGCTCGGAGGAATGGCGGAATACAATGACACGGGTGGCGTAATCTTGGATGGTCCTTTTGACCCCGACGCGCAGGCCACCGTCACTGACTTTATTGACTACACCGAATACCTCCCTGCGGATCTCATCCGCTCTCTGACCCTCATTCGCGGCCTGGACAAGCGCTACCTGGACAGTGCGCAAGGCGTCCATGAACTCACCAAGGCCTACGGCCAGCTTCCGGAGCTACCTTCTGACACGCGACCCGATCCGTGCACTCTACGCCGAGAGATTTCGGCTCAGTTGGATAGCGCGATCAATGCTCGCGAGTCCGCCTACGCCGAGGCGTGTCGCCTGTACGATGTTGTCGATCGCCACTTCAATCGACTAGATTCTATCAGAAAGAAGCTTGAAGCCCTGCCCAAGCCAGTCGAGCGCGAACCTACTCCTCCCCCAACCGTTACCAACGCGAAGCGTCCTCGTACCAGCAAGAAAGGAGACGATCCACCGCCTACAACGACGCGAATTACACTGCGCTTGGATGGCGCAAGAGGTGGCCAGAACCAGAAGTCGCGGTCGCGCCGATCCTTGGTTGCAGCAGAGCACTTGGCAGGGTTGCATCCTGACTCCCCCATCGCAAGCACCGAGCATTCAGACAACGAGACCGAAACCAAGACGACCCCTCCCACCCCTGCGCCACCGAAGAAGGAGAAACAGAATCGCCGGTCAAGGCCGTCGGCATCTGGCGAAGCACCGAACGGCAGAGCATCTGCAGGAATTTCTACGAGCAGCGCCCTGGCGATGCTGAAGCCTCCTCCAGAGGACGCAAAACCGGGCAGCGAAGACCTGCCCTGGTTGCGCCTGACGGAATGGGAAATGACCAAACTGCGCAAGAAAATGAAGAAGAATGCGGTCTGGCAACCAAGCGAGGTGATGATTCACCGAGAGCTGGCTCTCCGGGGTCGAGGATGGGAGGCGTACCGGGCGGCCAAGATGGATGCTGAATCCAAGGGAGTCGATTTTCTCGACTGCGATGACATAATGAAGAATTACATCCCTGGACTGCTGACTCGCCGGAGCGACGCGACCAAAGAGTTCGAGGGCGTTGCCCAGCCGAAACTGAGCAATCGAGGCATGAAACTGAATGAAGCCAAAAAGCTCAAGCGCGAGAACCAGGCAAGAGAACAAGCCGCCTTAGCCGCTGCGGAGGCAGAAGCAGCCAAGCGCCTAGGTCAGCCTGGCTCCTTCCAAGGTGTTATCTCCAACGGTGCTGATGGTCCGCAGGAGTCTTTGGCTATGGCGGACAAACCGAGCCGATCATCGAAGAAGCGCAAAGTCGAAACCAGCAGTCCTCCGGCGGAACCCGTCGCTCCACCCGAGGACGCTGAGATTCGGCCTACCCGAAGTTCAAAACGTCGAAAGACGGACAGGGGATCATCTGAGATCGCACCTGAGATCGCACCGGAGACGGAGACTGCGACATCAGAAGTAGCTGAGCCAGAAGAGCCAGCGGAACCAACGGAAGCGGAACAATCCCCGCAACCTCTGCAGCCTGTGCAACCTTTGCAACCTGCGGAACCACTAGAACCGATAGAGCCGGTAGAGCCGGTGGCGGATAACGCGCCTGAAGTCAAAATAGACTCGCCCGAACCGCAAAAAGCACCAGCAGCTGCGCCTGCGTCTGTGACTCGATCCAAAGCAGCGGTCACCCCAACACCATCAGAGTCCCGACCTCCATCCCGGCGCCGCTCAATTCCAACGGCAGATCCTGTTCTTAAGACGGCCAGGGAGCTCCGTCATAGTAGCGCCACCCCTGCGAGGAAGACACCAGTACCTGAAGGGACACGCGCGGCCAGCGTTAGTGCACCCCCGCGACGCCGTAAGAGACCGGCTCCGGGCCCAGTGTCGAATGGGCAGGACGGAGGCGCGGCAGTCAGCTACGGGCGCCGCAAGGCTAAACCTGGGAAGAAGCGGGTAGGCCCACGAGAGCAGGGCCCGAACGTGGGACAAGACATTCGCATCGACGAAGACGGGGTGCTAGAAGAGATTGACCCCAATGAACCGCGGTACTGTCTCTGCGGGGACGTCAGTTTCGGAACGATGATCTGCTGTGAGAACCAAGACGTACGTTCCCCACTATCACTCTCCCGAGCCGAACTAACCTACATAGTGTGACCGAGAATGGTTTCACCTCGACTGCGTCGGACTCTCTGAGGTACCAAGCCGCACAGCAAAATGGTACTGCCCCGAGTGCCGCGTCAAATTCAACAAGGGCACCGACGGGATCATCAGAACTAACTCCGCACGTCGGTGAGAATCCAAATTAACAGATACGAGTCTACGAAATGCAAATTCTCTGTGCGAATTGATTTGGGTGCGCTTTTTCCTAGGTTTGGCTTGATTGGTTGGTTGCGCGCACGGCAAAGCAATGGACGGGATGGATGGATGGTTGGCGCTGGAGTTTGCACGGTTCAGTAATTCAGAGTACTTGTACTAAATAGCGTTTGCGGTTACTCGCACTACCATGCATGAACATTATGGGCCTTGAAATTCTTGGACGATTCGGCAATATTCCATAGAGCTGTTGCTATCCTATCATATATACGTAGTAAGAGGCATCTATTTGACCTCCCACTTTCCATCCACCTCCGTAATCTCAACGGGCCGCTTCTCGTCCAGCGAGATCCGACCAGCGTGCAAGATCGCCGTCGTGGCAATCGTGTTCTTGAGTGTGGGGAGGGGCCTCTTGTCCAGGTCGTCGAGAGTAACGCGGCCCTCGTTGAGGGCTGTGATGGCGTCAATGAACTTTTCGAAACTGATGTAGCCGTATCCGGTCTGGCCGCCAAAGTTGCCTTCTTCGTCGGGGGCGTAGCGCATGTAGAATCTGTTACTGTCAGACTAGAAGTCATTGAGAGAGAGGAATGAGGGAGATCATACGGGTTAATCCAGTTTAGGCCGGAGTCGTCCCCGGTGACGTCGTAGCCACGCTTCGCTTGGTTGACGCGAACCTCACCCGAGGAGCCCATGTCTACCGTTCAAGTCAGCAGTTGTCATCGTAGAATAGACATCAAGGTAGAACGTACAGTGGAAGTACTGATTCGAGTGGACTCCCGCCTTTTGCGGGGCCGTCCAACTAGCCGTATACACACCTGTCGCTACCTTTCCGGGAATCTCCTTGTGCTTCCAGTCCACAAGCAACGTGATTGTATCCTCCGTCTCAGGCACACAGCCCAGCTCGACCGCCGTCCCCTGAGATGCGCTCGCGGTCACCTTGACTGGGGTATACTTGGTACCAACCATGGATTCACAGATATCGATATGGTGCGAGTTCAGATAATACGAGATATCACTCTCCTTACCTGCCCACGCCTTGAACGTCTCGAGCTGGAACTTGGGCTGGCTCATGTAAGAGTAGAAGTAGTTGAAGTCGCCGAGGTTCTGAGCCTTTGCGCGGGCGTCCGAGTACGCGGGGTCGAAGCGCTTGTGGTGCTCGACGAAAACAAATACATTGTGTTTGCGGGCGGCTTCGACGAGAGCAATGTGTTCGGGAAGAGTCTTGACGGCGGGCTTTGTCACGAGCACGTGGATGCCGCGCTCGATGGCGTAGAGGGCGATCGGGTAGTGGGTCGGGTCGGGGGTGAAGATTGTGATTGCGGAGCCGCGGGGGAGGGCGTCGATTGCGGCTTTGTAGGCATCGGGATCGGTGCTGTCGTCGGCTGGGTAGCTGGTGAAGGATGTGTCGAGGTTGTTGTAGACTTGGGTTATGTTTTTGTGGAGATGCTCGCCTGCTTGTGTGTTAGTCTTTGCGACAGACGACAGGGTAGACGGGGGACCGTACGGATTCCAGGAAACTTGCGGCCAGAGACACCGACCATGCTGAGGTCGCCTACTTTGCCTCGTCGGCGCAGATCAAACAGAGTCAAGCCGACGACGCCAACCTTTTTGTCTGAGCCCGAGGCGGCACCGCCGACGTAGCCGGTGGTGTACTCGCCGGTACCGACCATGAGCACGCTGGGAGGAGCCATCTTGCGTTCTATTCTGACCTTGAAGCTTTGTAGCTTGTAGACTCCGGAGAGAAAAGTGGGATGGAGGGGTGAGATGAGAGAAGCGCGGAGTGCTCAAGATATAGCACAAGGTCCCCAACCTAAACAGATGGTAAATGTAATTGCGCAACAAATGCTGAGCCGGAAGAAATGGCTCAATGGCTCAAAGACCTGGGATATTTTGCCCTGAATTGCCGGGAATCAGGCGGATGGCCCCTCATATTTTCCCAGATCAGTGACGAAAGTTGATAGAGTCGGCGTTTGATGGCCCGAGCTCGAATAGGAAATTCAGTTGCCGATTGGTGGAAATTCCCCATCCGGCGCTTTCTCCGGGTAAAAAGTGGGGGACGCGTGGGATGTATGTGGCTAAACCGCGTTGGGGGGTGGACGTGGGGTCAACGGACTGGGAGTATACAGCCCGAGGGGCAGACCCCTCATCTGGTTTATATAACGGTGGCAGGCGCTGTTGAGCCATTGCACGTTTCACTTTCTGTATACCATTCGCCCCGAGTTTGCACACTTGTATTCTAGCCACCATGCCTCTCACACCCCTCCGCCCCGGAGTCTATGCTCCGACGATGACCTTTTTCAACCCCGACACAGAAGACCTCGACGTCCCAGTTATTCGCGCGCATGCTGTGCGTCTCGCAAAGGCTGGTCTGGTCGGTCTCGTGTGCATGGGCTCCAACGGTGAAGCCGTCCACCTAACTCCCGCCGAAAAGCAAACCGTCATCCGCGAGACGCGCTCAGCGCTCGACGAGGCCAACTTTTCCAACGTTCCTGTCATTGCCGGAGCCAGTGAAAACAGCATCCGTGGCACCATCGCCCTCTGCAATGAGTCTGCTGCGGCAGGCGCTGAATACGCCCTGATCGTCCCCCCGAGCTACTACCGTTACGCTACCGGCAATGACGAGACCCTCTACGAGTACTTTACTGCCGTCGCAGATGGCTCGCCTATCCCGCTTATCCTCTACAACTACCCCGGTGCCGTGGCGGGCATCGACATGGACTCGGATCTCATTATTCGCATTTCGCAGCACCCCAACGTCATCGGCACAAAGTTCACCTGCGCCAACACTGGTAAGCTGACCCGTGTCGCCCGCGCCCTGCACGCCATTACACCGTCGTCCCCGCTTGCGCCGACAAAGTCGTCAGTCCCCGTTACCAAGACAAGCGCGAACCACCCTTACGTCGCATTCGGCGGTATTGCAGACTTCACTCTGCAGACTCTGGCCTCTGGCGGGTCTGCCATCCTAGCAGGCGGCGCCAACGTCATCCCCAAGCTGTGCGTGCAGATTTTCAACCTCTGGAGCGAGGGCAAATTCACAGAAGCAATGGAGGCTCAAAGTCTGCTGAGCCAGGCTGATTGGGTGCTCACCAAGGCGGCAATTCCTGGCACTAAGAGTGCAATTCAGTCTTACTATGGGTATGGAGGGTACCCTCGCCGGCCGTTGGCCCGGCTTTCCGAAGAAAAGGTCAAGGCTGTCGCGGCGGGAATCAAGGAGGCTATGGACGTGGAGCTGACATTGCCTGATGTTGCGTAATGAATTGAACAAATTTCCTCTTTCTTCCAAAAGTTTTCAGCCTGGATAATAATATTCGAGTCCGTAGCTCGTAACATCGGCATTTACTCCGAGACTTGCCCCGGACTCTGACCCCGCCCCGCATAGGCTCCTGTAGTCGAACCTCCACTGGTGGAATGAATTCCTCCGACCTCCGGTTGAATTGATCCGCGTATCGTGAGTGGTGGATAAGCAGCATTCGCCCGGTCTAGGCAGAGAGGGGCATCGCGATAAGCAGTCAGCAGGGTCGCAAAGGATGCGCAAAGACGGAACAAATTTTGCCTTTTTGGCTTGAATATACCACCCTTGAGTTTTTGAGATGCCTCAATTGAGCTGGTGACTAGATTCCGCCTGACGAACAGGCCACTTGTCGTGGTTCAGAGGATTTACGAGGGCAATTTTGTACAACCGGCTGGAACAGGAAGGAACCAGTTGCGAGAGAAGGAAGGAGCGTCCACCGGCCAACGGCTTGAGTGTCACGATACTATTGCTGAGATTGTCGCTCGCCTGTGCCCCCACTCCACAAGAATGGAAGAAAACTTTCGTAGCGAAGTCTGAGTGACTCGATCCAGATGGCTTTCTTAAATATCCGGTCGTGCCCGAGAAGGATTGTCGTCCCTCATCCTACATTTTTTCTCCAATTAACTCTTGCCGATTGAATCAAGATGCCGTATCCCGAGGAAGCAGAGGGGTTCCAGGTTGACAGCCCGGATACCTGGACTCAATTCAACAAGCGCTTTGTAAGACATTCATCATATGCGATGAGACGCAACGCATCGTACTGATCGATTGTGGTGTAGTTCCAGTTGAAGCCGTTCGGCGACTATGGTATGCGCGCTCGAGTCCCCAGTACCGATTGGGCTAACAGACAACAGACGTCGATGTCAAGATCGAAGCGTGTGGAATCTGCGGTAGCGATGTACACACCATCAGCGGTACGTTCGGCCATCAGTCATCAAAGTCGAGCTAACAACCATAGGTGGATGGGGATCCCAAAAATTCCCCCTCTGTGTCGGACATGGCAAGACCATCCTAACGAGACGAGACAAGGCACTGGCTGACTGACTGGGCAGAAATCGTCGGTCGAGCCGTTCGCGTCGGACCCAAGGTGACATTGATCAAAGAAGGCGAGCGTGTTGGCGTCGGCGCCCAGTCATACTCGTGCGGCGAATGCAAGCAGTGCAAGAACGAGAATGAAACATATTGCCCTGTGCTCATGATTGACACCTACGGGGCTCAGTGGCCCGACACTGGTATCGTCAGCCAGGGCGGATACTCGTCACACGTCCGCACTCATGAGCATTGGGTGTTCCCTATCCCCGACGCGTTGGAGTCGAACACCGTCGCGCCAATGCTCTGTGCTGGGTTGACTGCATACTCGCCGCTTGTCCGTAATGGTGCCGGACCTGGTAAGAAGGTGGGAATTGTTGGGCTCGGTGGAATTGGTCACTTTGGCATTATGTTCGCAAAGGCTCTGGGCGCCGAAACATGGGCAATCTCCCGGTCACGGGCAAAGGAGGCGGATGCCAGGATGCTTGGGGCGGACGGATACATTGCGACGGCTGAAGAAGGTTGGGAGAAGGAGCACCTGTACTCGTTTGATCTGATCATAAACTGCGCCAATTCGTCCAAGGGCTTCGATCTGGAGAAATACTTGTCCATGATGGACGTCCATGGCCGTTGGATCAGCGTGGGATTGCCCGAGGAGGAAGGGCAAGTGATCAAAGCACAGAACCTGATTGCAAACGGAGTCTTGATCGGTGCTAGCCACCTTGGTAGTCGCCGTGAGATGCTGGAGATGTTGCAGCTCGCGGCTGACAAGGGGCTCAAGGGGGTAGTGGAAGAAATTCAAATCAATAGCGAAGGGCTGAAGGAGGCGATGGAGCGCATGAAAAAAGGAGACGTGCGGTACAGGTTTACTCTGACAGGGTATGACAAAGTGTTCGGCTAATTTCTACACACAATAATAGCACCAAAGGTACTCGATTTTCCCAAGGTCCTTGTCGTGCTCACCTGGCAAGTTACTAGTCTTCCTTTGTCCAACGTCTTCCAACGTCTTCCAACGTCTTACACCGAGCCGTAGAGCGGTCGGAGGCCTCGGTCTGGGGAAGTGGATCTAGGGTGGATCAAACCGAGCCTTAAGGATTCAAGAACAGCAGACACAATGATGAAGAATTTCCGTGTCCTGCCAATCAAAGATGGAGTGAACCGAATTAGACTCTTTGTTATCCAAGAATCGCCTGTAGAAAAGTCTTAAGACTGTCTTTGCCACGAGTCTTTGTCCATGGTCGATGGGCGCGCTGAGAGGCAAAAACTTCACCGCCCCAAAGCGCTGATGGAAAAGTTCGCCGTCAGATTGGCATGGATGTCTAATAATGTTTCTCCCCAAACTTTCTTTCGGGCGTTGACTGACTTTCATATTTTTTTTCTCTCTTCCTTCTTTCATCCATCTCCCCTCTCATTTCTCTCCTGTTCGTCTCTTCTCCATCTCTCTCGTTCTAGTCTCCTTCCTCTTCTCTTTCGTTGGTGTTCTTATCGGTTGTTTGTTCTAGTACTTTGTCTACCGGAGTACTCTACTGGCCTTGTCGCCTCCTCACCAAAACAACCTCATTTAAACCCTAGACTTCTGCATTCTTATTTTTATGTTTGTTTCGATACTCCGGGCTACTAGACCATAGACGCCCCCTTGCAGCTTGTTTTCTTTTCACACCTGCCCCTAGACTCGTGCCTTTGTTCGAAAAAGGGGCATTTTCAATAATATTCTCTCCGATACTGCCCCCCTCCGGCTTCCTGCTCTACAATTCTCCTTATTTTACGCCAACCCGGATAGCATTTCCGCCCACGATGACACCGCGAGACGCCAATGTTGCACCCACAAACCGACGACGACCGTCATTATCCTTTCGAAGACCCCGAACCGCGACCGTGTCGGCTATCCCTACGACCCCTCGTGCAGGGACGGAACATACCGTATGGGACAATTTGTCTCTCGTGGACTCCGGAGACACAATGGACGAGCTAGTTTTCGAAGATGTGAATCACTTTCCCGAGCCGGCGCATAGGCGGCGCGCAGCAAAGAGCTTCTCCAGTTTGCGCCACCCGGTTGAGGGACTGCGTGCGCTCGGTCGTCGCCTATCAGTTACCATGCGCAATAAGTCATCTCGCACATTCAACGTTCCCCATCAACTCGACCACAAACTTGGGACCTACAATGCCAATGGCAGTCATGAATATGCCTCTAGTGCTTCGACCTTGCAAGGGGTTTCTATTCCGCTACCTATTCCTGGCAACGGAGTAGAGCCTCCTGTGCTGCCGGATGGTATGTACTCTGGGGCTGCTGCTCGAGCCGCCGCAGCGGCTCAAAACGAAATGGTTCGCAAGATGGAGTACATGAAGCTGAACATGAGCAACCAAGACTCGGAGAGTGGAATTGGCATTGATCTCCAGGATCCGTCGGAATTGTCCGATCTGGAACCGGACCTCGTTCGCCTCGATCCTATTGCTTTCTTCCCCACAGAGATTATTGGTCAAGTGCTATCCCATCTTGAGCCGGAATCTTTGTTGAACTGTGAATTGGTGTCTCGTGATTGGAGGGAGCAGGCTTCTTCCAAGCACGTTTGGCGCCATGTCTTTCGTCGTTGTTACGCACAACAGCGCTCCGCAGGTTCTCGTCCCCAGAAACACCTTGCTGCGGGGTTGGGCAAGTCTATGTTTCAGCAGGAATGGAAGAAATTGTATCTCGTCCGTCGTGCTTTGGATCAGCGGTGGAAGGATGGCAAGGCGGCGGCCATTTACCTTCAAGGTCATACAGACAGCGTCTACTGCGTTCAGTTTGATGAGTATGTTTCAATCCGTTAGTTCATATCGACTGGTCACTCATGTTATTTAGGGACAAAATCATTACCGGCTCGCGTGATCGGACCATCCGCGTCTGGGATGCTCACTATCCGTGGCCTTGCCGCAAGATCATAGGGCCACCGCCAGGAGATGTCTCCAACAGTGGCCCTGTCCATGACCCTGAGCAACAGTCATCGGGCAAGTCGCCATTTCTTACCATTCGCCCTCCCCCAACTCGTTCTGCTGAGATTGTGGACTTGGGTGCACGACCACACGATTATCACAGCGCTTCCATTTTGTGTCTTCAGTTTGACGACGAGATCATGGTCACTGGCTCCTCTGATTATTCTTGCATTGTTTGGGACATCAAGGATGATTACCGACCAATTCATCGCCTTGAAGGCCACACAGCGGGAGTGTTGGACGTTTGCTTTGATGATCGCTACATTGTCTCCTGCTCAAAAGATCACGCGATCTGCGTCTGGGATCGACGCACTGGGGCCCTGGTGAAGAAGCTCCTCGGTCACCGTGGGCCAGTCAATGCCGTTCAGCTACGTGGTGATCTCATTGTCTCTGCGAGCGGAGACGGAATCGCCAAGCTGTGGAACGTCGCTTCCGGTATGTGTGTCAAGGAGTTTACCAGCAAAGACAGAGGCCTCGCGTGCGTCGAGTTTAGCGATGACGCCCGGACTGTGCTCACTGGTGGAAACGACCAGATGATCTACCAGTTCGACGCAAACACCGGCGAGTTGGTCAAGGAGATTGAAGGGCATAGTGGCCTGGTGCGGTCACTGCACCTCGATACCGCCAACCAGCGGATCGTCAGCGGAAGCTACGACTTGAGCGTCAAGGTCTTTGACTCTCAAAGTGGAGAGCTGTCCATTGATTTTCCGGGATGGACTACAAGTTGGATGTTGAGTGTAAAGTCCGACTATCGGCGCATTGTAGCCACTAGCCAGGACTCTCGCGCGGTGATCATGGACTTTGGATATGGAATAGACGGCATTGATTTACTGGAAGGGTAGACGTTGGGTACACTAGACCTTTGCATTCTCGTGCAGGCTCTGAGAAGAAAAGTCTTTTGGCTAGACCACTTGCTTTCTGCTTTGTCTTTGATCTTTTGTTTGGCTAGCGATAGAGATACTCTTTGGCGTTGAAATCAAATTTTCTCTCAAGTACACGAATTTCCTATCTCTTCTTGCAGTTGAATAGTACCTTTATTGCCACTTTGGCTCCGCTTGCCATGGTGGGAGGAAAATGATGCCTGAGGTGTTAGGCCGCCTTGAGGACAGGATTTGTGATTGGCTGCTAATGAGGCGGCAACCCAAGGTCGTCCAGTGGGTTTTGTCGACAGAAGCCAACAACAACAACAATAATCCATCTTCGTTACCTCCGGGTCTTCTTTGCCGAAACCGAAATCAAAACACGAACACCCTTGCCGAGCCTTATCGCAAAAGGCCCATATACCTTCAGTTTCTTGTCGCTCATTGTTATCCCTCCCGCCTCCTTTCTTCGCCTTTTCCCCGAATTCCTCATTCGCTTACCCCACCATGGGTGAATCCAGGTTCGTCGGGCACTTTGACAGCTTTTCTGCGGACAGGAATCGGACACTGACGGGACATGCTTTTTGAATAATAGACAAGAACTGCTTGCTTGGCTTAACAACCTGCTGCAGCTGAATTTGACCAAGATCGAACAATGCGGAACCGGGTATGAGCAGCCCCTTGCCCTGCGACTGTCCCTCTATGATGGCTTGGGAAGGTCACGTCAATAGAACTGGAGATTTTCGAACGAATGGCAACTAATTGCTAATTCTCAGAGCCGCACTATGCCAAATCTTCGACTCGATATTCAGTGAGTGTCCTTGGTCATCCTCCTTGTTCCTCTGCAGCGTTAACATTGGCTAGTGGACGTCCCCATGTCTCGAGTAAAATTCAACGTTAACTCGGAATACGCCTACCTCCAGAACTTCAAGGTCCTCCAGAGTATGTTGCTTCTCCCTTGATTCATCCGAAGAGGTCGACGTCGAGACTAACTGCTCCTCTTCCACAGACGTTTTTGCGCGTCACCAAGTGGAGAAGCCGATCCCCGTCGAATCGCTCACCAAGTGCCGGATGCAAGATAACCTAGAGTTCCTCCAATGGACAAAGAGATACTGGGACCAACACTACCCAGGCGGGGACTATGACGCTGTCGCTCGCCGAAAGGCTTCCGGAGGACCTCCCGCCTCCGCTCCTCGTGCTGGTGCAACCTCTGCTAGCAGTGCCCGACGTGGAACCACTCCCACCATCGGCGGGCGCGCACGACCTGCCGCCGGCGGAGCTGCGTCGGCCAGTGTAGCCGCTCTGCAGGCGGAGCTTGCTTCGAACAAGGAAGCAATGGCTGGCTTGGAAAAGGAGCGCGACTTTTACTTTGCTAAGCTCCGCGACATTGAGCTGCTGTTGCAGAACGCGATTGAGGCGGATCCCGAGCTGGAAAAGGAGGAAGACACTCTTGTGAAGCACATTCAGGGAATCCTCTACTCGACAGAGGTACGAACCCCGCAAATCCAGGTCAAAATTCTAGATTCAGAAAGACTGACTTCATCTGCAGGAAGGATTCGAGATCCCTGCCGAAGCCGAAGGCGCACATGACGAGCTGGAGACATTTTAAGGCACCTGACCTACTAATACCCTTTCATCGCAATAGCGCTGAAAACTGGATTCCTCCCTGTTTTTACACATTCTCCTGGCGAGTTGTTCGCATGATGTCTAATGGATCGTTGACCGCAACGGGTCTGATCCTGGGAGAAGAGCATGTTTGGTAATTCGAGAGTTCGGCTCGTATAGTTGGGTGGTGGCTGGATAGGATGTTCCAAGAATTCCTCTCACCTTCTAGGTATGGTTCTCTAGATAAGGCTGAATAGATCATTCCTAGAACGCTGTCATGTCCACATTCCTGGGTCCCATCCTCCATTCTTGGTGGGATCAACTCTAAACTGCTGAAGTACTCTAAGACATCGGCCGATGCTATAGATCATGATAATAGCAATACTAGTAATAAGACAAGAGTAATAATATCCTCCAGCCTTGCATGTTTGTTTACGTGCCCCTTGCAGTGGGCAAACCCCCTCAGCTGTTCGGACGGAGCCTGGTGGGGATGACAGACCAGTAGTGGCCGGCTAGAACATTCGAGTGTCAGTTGGCCCATGGGAAGATGCTGTTCCTGACGCTTCAACGGCCCCAACTTACGTACGCTGGTCAATAAATTTCAGCCCGTTACTCCGTAAAATGTGGTCAGCGAATTAGTTGAGACCTGGAGAGTAAGCAAGTGAAACTGTTGTTCCTGTTCTGACCCGCTTGACGGGTCTAAACGGGCTTAGTTTGTCTTGAGTCTGCAAGACTAAGACCGTCATCTCATTTAATTAGAGACTCCAGTTGGCGTTGTTATTCTTAGCCTCCTTTTCGTGTTCGCTTCCTGTTCCTGAATCCTCTTCCGCTTCTCCTCTTTTCTTGCTTTTCGTCGTCGTCGCCCTACCCTTCAACCTTTTCCTCCTCCGAGTCGTCATTGCTATCTTCAGGGCTTCGCCTTCATCCTTTCCTTTCTTTCCTCCCAGTGTTCACCTCTCCCCATTGACGGATACACACCGGCTCGGGTGATCGGGCCAGAACCCTGGGTTTGGGTCTCAACGTGGATCCGCCCATTGACACTGGAAGTTGGAACTGGAACACCCTCGGAACGGAATGAAATATCGGCCGTTTCCATCTGAAGCAGTTCTCTGACGAACCTCCAGGATGGAATAGGCTTGACCTTTTGACAGACTCCCACTTTCATTTGACTCACCGCGAGTACGTATGTCCCAACGGCCCTGTTTTGTGTTTGTTTGAGAGCCGAGAGTTCGAAACTAACTCCGTCCCTTTCTGGTTAGATCGCATGTTGATCTGCTCTCTCCCCAGACGAACTAGTTTCCTTGTCGGCAGCCTTTGTCTGCTGATGTCCACTCCTTGACCTCACAACACTCACAGTCTCGCAATTTCGCGGACATTGTCGCTTCACTCCTTGACGGTCTCGTCTTCGATTCTATATCTTTTCTTTTTTTCTCGCTCGGATACCCCATTACTTTAGTTCGACCAGTTCGCTCATTCGATCAACACATTGCGTCCAGACATCGCAGCGCAGACGGACCATTGAGTGTCGTGCAGGCAGACAGACACCTTCAATTCTACCACACTCATTCTCACTTACCCATTCACCTACAACACTACCGCATACCGCATTATCAACTTCCCATCCTGATAAAGTTTGTTATTACGTCCGATACCCCGCTGTTTGAACAGCCAGCATGACCAGCCATGGCGTGCCCAGGCATGGCCGCTACGAGAGATTATTGAGGAAGCACCGGTTCGACACGAGGAATGTTGAACACGAAGAGACGGTCTTGAATGATCAAAGGGCTACCGTCCCCGAGGGCGAAACCACGCGGTCGAAGAATCTACATGAGCAATGGGTGGCGATGCACGAAAAGCGGGAGCAGGTCCTGAATCCTTCCACGACACTTGTACCTGTGATCCCTGATGTGACAAGTACAACTACTGAAGAGGATTCTGCGACTACGGAGACGCAGACGGAACCGGCTCATGAATCAGAAACAACTACAAACGAGATTCGACCTACGACGGAGACGGTACCGGTCAATGATCCGGCATCAACCACGTCCGAGGACGAATCTGCGACCACAATGACCCAGCCTGTTGTATCAGAAACGACTTCGTTTGAGACGGGCGTTTCCACATCGGATCAGCAGACAAATGAGTTGCCAACCAATACAGAGGCGATTGTTGAACCGACATTGACCACGGTCACGACATCTACCTCCAATCCATCCACTGAAACAAATACAGATAAGGAGTCGTTAACAGTCTCCGAGGTAAATACTTCCGCTACCGTGGAAACATCCACAACGACGGGTCTTTCAGATTCTAAGATCGAGACAGCGTCTGAATCTGCTGGTTTAGTCGCCGGACTTACACCTGAATCTGAGGGTATTTCTACGTCCACAGAAGACCTTCCTATTGCCCCCACCTCTACCCTTGATCCCCCCTCTACCGAAAATACCACTTCCGCAACCCTATCTACGTCAGTTCATGTCATAGGTCAAGCTATTGAGAGCCCAGACAAGAGCCCTATATCCTTAGGCTCCAGTCTCAACATCCCCACTGCTGTCGCTGTGGGCCAGACGCCATCCAGCACAAGCACTGAAGCTGTAATAGCAGCCATTGCCGCGGGAAGCTCTACTTCCAACTCTGACACCACCGAGACCACCACTACCACCACCATAGATGCCCTCACAAACACTACCAACCTTTCTAGCACTACAAGTACAACGTTTGCTACTACGATTACCACGACCACCTCTGACACGACCTTACCACTTACGAGCTCAACGACCACGACCACCTCTTATCCTTTTCACACCACGTACTCAGATTCACCCACTGGTGGTTACGGATGGGGGGACGATGATAGCTCGGATAACACCGCAGGAGTCTCGCCCGAGTCGACTGGTGCGGGGTCTTCAGGCTCAGAATCAAGTTCAGACTCCGGATCAGGGACGCTAAGCCCACAAGCCACTGGTAAAATCGTTGGAGGAGTTGTCGGGGGCGTGGCGGCAGCTACAGTGATCTTCCTACTCATATTCCTTTTACTTCGACGGCGCAGGAAGACCGGCTTCTTCTTTGGCTCACCTGCCAGATTGAGAGGGGATGACAGCGACGGTGGTCTCATTAGGGAACCTTCGACGCGGCAGATGGTATCCCGCGATTCGGAGGGGGCAGCCTCGTTTGGAGCGGCATACTTTGCACCTGCATTTATGAAACGTTGGCGGCAATCCCAAATCTCTACTGGAGAAGAGAGCTTGGCCAGCACCGCACCCAGCGAGCGTGGCTTCCAGAAGATCTCCGGCCGCAAGCTTCCCTCTGGTATTCACCCAGACTTCGATTACAGCGCCGGAGGCCTAGAAGCAGGGTCGCCTACAGAGTCAGACATCAGCCCTACTCTCCCTCCAGTAATGCCCCGATCACCGACATCATCACGGCCGCCGCCTTCAAACCCATTCAGTGCACCCCTCGATACAAGCTTCACCCGCGAGGTCGCAGAAGACGACGTAGTGTTTGTCCGACCGTCGCCAGCACGGACCCCGACAGCCGGGTCGTCGAATGCAACAACGTGGGCCGAGGCCAGCGCACGAACAATGCCAATGGCTTTTCCGATGCCGCCCTCAGGCACGTCGGCCACTATTCCCAAACGGCCAGATGCACTGGGACGAAGTCATCCAAGTTACGATGGGAGTCGCGGGAGTCGGTTTTCGGAGAACTTATGAGTATATACCTATCATGTAATGTACATAGTGGATGTAATGTAGGCTTTTCCCACGCTTTTGGCTGAACATGATCCAGTCATAAAGCCTGATTGACATCACCTTTCGAAATCGATAAGAGATGCTGGTTCTGCCCATCTCGATCTTCTCAAGCCTCTAGAAACCCTGATAAGCTGATTTCTCCCACTGATAAGATATTCCTGCAAGCAAAGCTTTGCCCAAGTGGAGTCTCAAAGCTTAGCAGTCTTCGTCATCCTGATCAATAACAATCGATATCGCTGCCCACCGCGGAAAAGCATGCAGAGTGGACCTCGTCCGTGCCTCCACTGCACACATTAACACAACAAATCACGAATTCGGGGTCTATCAGTGGGGAGACTGATTCTCCGACCGTCGATGCAATTTGCAGTCTTTAAGGCGCGCACTCTCCCCGATCATGGACAGCCACGCTTCAGGTTCCGTGACAGCCACGACCTCGATGGAAGACGCCAACAAAACCGACGAAACGGTCGTCGACCGCGAAATCGGGCACAAACCCTACCGACCAAGAAAATGGCAAAGCAACCTGACCATCCTAAGCTGCGTGGGTGAAACTCCGCCCACCACAAACATACGCATACTAAGATTGAACTCCAGAACATCGCCAACTTCAGCGACGGCTTCCAGAACCAGCTCGCCAACCCAACCAATGTCATCTTCAAGCACTTGCTAGGAACGGGTTACTCTTCCGAAATGCAGACGCGGATCAGCAATTCGTTGCTCATCGGTGCGATCCTGGGTGTTTTGGTTCTAGGATACGTCTCTGACATGATGTCGAGACGAGCTGGGCTGCTGTTCACCTCGGGGCTTGTCACGGTCAGTACGTTGATGGCTGCTCTGGCATTGCACGTGCATCCGTCGTATAATATGCTGTGGTATTTTGTCGCCGTGCGTGGGATATGTGGGTTTGGCGTTGGGGGAGAGTATCCGCCCAGTGCAGCGGCTGGGCTGGAAGAATCGGACGATGTAAGTATTCAACCCAGCCATGAACTCTTTGGGTAGTGCGTAGCTAACGAGGCAGTTCCGCCGCCGCTACCGCGGCCCCCTCTTCATCTCCTTCACAACCCTAATGGCCACCAGTGCCTCTCCCATCCTTATGATAATCTACCTTGTCACCCTAAAAGCGAGCAACAACAACCTGCCCGTGACCTTCCACGCGCTGTACTCAATCGCCGCCCTCCTCCCCTTCACAATCATGCTCCTCCGCCTCTTCATGACCGACTCGACCCTCTACCACAACTCCAACTTCCGGCTCATCCCACAGCGACGCAGTCTGCGATTCTACCTCCTTCTCGGGCGTCGCTACGCCTATCGCCTGTTCACAATATCCCTCGCCTTCTTCCTCTACGACTTTATCAACTTCCCAAACAGCATCATGTCAAGCACAATCATCTCCTCCCTAGTCCCAGACCACAACATTCAAACAACTGCAATCTGGCAAGTGATCCTAGCGGCTCTCCCCGTTCCCGGCGTGCTTCTCGGCGCATACCTTACGCACACCCTTGGCCGCCGCACAACGGGGATCCTAGGCTTCACCGGGTACACAGTAACCGGCTTCATAATCGCAGGTCTATACAGGCCCCTCTCAGCTCACATCCCCGCATTCGTGGTTCTTTACGGCCTCAATGCCTTTGGGCATATGGGCCCGGGTGCAACAACTGGACTCATCTCCTCTGAATCTTTTCCGACGGCAATGAGGGGGATGGGATACAGTGTCACCACGGCGTTTGGAAGGACGGGGGCTGCGGTGGGGACGCAATGTTTCACGCCGCTGAGGGAGAATGTTGGCGATAATGTGACGTTTTGGCTTGCTGGGGGTGTAGCGGTTCTGGGGGCTGTGGTGTATTGGTTTCTACCGGAGAGTGGAGAGTTGGATCTTGAGAAGGAGGATAGGGAATTGGAGGGATGGTTGAGAGAGAAGGGGATTGTGATTTAGTCGTCTTGATGAGGTGCATAGCATTGAGTGTGAGACACGATATGCGTGTGTGCAGCCCAAGGTCCTCTATGGCGCCTTTGTAATCAGTCCATACCGCTATTCTGCGCAAGGCAAGTGCGATCTGGCGATCGCGCCTTCCAAGCTTGAGAAACCTCTCAACGTGCCTTCCTAGACAGCATCAAATGTCGCAAGGCAGGCACGACCGGGCGCCCGCATCTCGCTCCTTCCGCGAAGACCAATATCCTCTGCGCCTTCCTATTTAGTTTCTATCCCTCATCTACGAAGGGCAAGTTCGACGGACCGATCGCTCATTCACACCTCAACAATATCTCACTGAGTGCACCTTTCTACTACGTAATGATCTGTCTTCGTGAACAAGGCAAGTACCCTGAAGGTCGCCTCTCCCAAATTAACCAAGGCGGGGTTGGGGAATTGTGTAATTGATTGGGACTCTGTGTAATGAATCAGATGCAAGTGGTCGAATTGAATTCGGCATAGTCAATCATAAAGCTGTCCAATATATGTAGTTTCTCTTGTATAGACGATAGGTTAGAGCTTTAGACCCAAGATAAAAATAGATTAGACTACAAACTGGACTCCAAAGCATTCAAAGTATCATCCAATCATGATCGCGAATTTCTAATAATTCCCGCCGGTAAAACAGTCCCCATTAGAAGGGTCGCATCCTGCAGTAAACAAGAGTCAAGCAGATCAGTCAGTTGACCTCGATGTAACCTGCAACACTGCCCTACCCCTCTTTTCTCCCTCCCAGCGCCATCTCTTACCCCTCCACTGCTTCCATCTATCAATCCGTCCAACGCCATCCAGGTCGGAGGAAGGCCATGAAGGAACTCACCTTTCTGATAATCGGCGCTGGCTCTCGCGGGGCCGCATACGGCCGCGCAATAACCACCTCCACCCCCGCACGCATCGCCGCAATCGCAGAGCCAGTCCCCTACAAACGACGCATCTTCGGCGAGAAGTATATCTGGGGATCCGACTCACCAAAGCCATCTCAGGAGTTTAGTGGGTGGAGAGAGTGGATTGAATATGAGGTTAAGAGACGGAATGCTTCGAACTCTAGAGCGGGGTCTGGACGACCTGGATCGGGGAATGAGGAGGAAGAAGGGGGTGTAGATGGTGTATTAATCTGCACCCTCGACGAAACACACATCGAGATCCTAACCGCTCTCGCCGAACATAACCTTCTGGATCTGCACATCCTCTGCGAGAAGCCTCTCGCGCTTTCACTATCAGACTGTCTCTCCATCTACGCGGCGCGCACAAAAGCCCAATCGCAATCGCAGTCCATCTTCTCGATTGGGCATGTCCTGCGCTACTCACCTCACAACTTGCTCCTGCGGAAACTCGTCCGCGTTGACAAGGTCATTGGCGACATTGTAAGCGTTGAACATACCGAGCCAGTCGGGTACTGGCACTTTGCACATAGCTATGTCCGCGGGAATTGGAGAAGGGAGACGGAAAGTGGCGACGGGAGTTTACTGACGAAGAGCTGTCATGATGTCGACTTCTTGAGGTGGTTGATTGAGGAGCCGGTTTATAGATCCTCTACCTCATCAGCTCCAACATCGACATCGACAGAGCCAGCATCATCAAAGGATGACCCGGTCCAACCCCAACCAAACCACAAGCTAACCCTCCGCTCAATCCACTCAACCGGCCATCTTACGCAATTCACGCCCTCTCGAAAACCACCAGCCGCAGGCTCAGCGACAAACTGCACGGCCTGCCCCATTGAGCGAGACTGTACCTACTCCGCCCTACGCATCTACCGGGATAACCAACTCCGGCAAGGTGAGACGGGGTGGCCGGTGAACATCGTCTGCCCAGATATAGAGGATTACCTTCCGCCGTCTATATCGTCATCAGAAGAGTCTTGGTCGCTATCAGCGAATGGCACAAATGGTGCAGGTGCGGAGATAGACATAAGCAAAGCAGAATCCCGCCTTATTTCCGTCCTCAGTCAGGACTACGATGAAGCGACACCTGATTCCGAAGTTGCCAAGAGGCCCTGGTACGGCCGGTGCGTTTGGGAGTCCGATAATGAAGTCTGCGATGACCAGGTTGTTACTATATCCTGGGATACCGAACCCATCCATACCCCAAACCCGCACAACTCACGGAAAGAAAGAAAGAACAAGAGCGGCATAACAGCAACCTTACACATGACCGCTCCAACCGAAGCACAATGTGTCCGCCGCGGCCGCATCTACGGCACAACGGGCGAGATCACATACGACAGTCGGCAGATCCGCATTTTCGACTTCGTAACTCACGAAGTGACTGTCCATACTATACCCAGACAACCACCGGAAGAGGAAAAGGCGCATGGTGGCGGTGATTATGGCCTTGCAAGGGGGTTTGTGGGTGCAGTTCATGCTGTAGTGAATCAGCGATGCGGGGTGGAGGATGCACAGAGGGGGTTTGTCGGGTGTGCGTTTGAGGATGTTATTAGGAGTCATGCAGTTGTTTTTGCAGCGGAGGAGAGTAGGAGGGACCAGAAAGTCGTGGGGTGGGAGGGTTGGTGGAAGGAAAAGCTTGGTGAGGTTGGGGTTGCGGAGGCTAATTAGGGTAAGACGGCAGGAGGAGGGTTATATACGAAGCGATGATATGTGACTGCAGCTAATTAACTACTCGTATCTCATTCATTTACCGCCATAGCTGAGTAGACGTTTCCACCGATACAGTCTTAAGTCTTAACATCGGGTTCCTCGCGCCCAACATACTCCTTGAACTTCAGCAAGCTCAGCGCAAGACCGACAGGATCCTTGAGGTACTCCTGCGTATCCTGGTGGTACTTGCTCTTATCACCCTCGTACTTCTCGACATACAAGCGGATCGTCGCGCCGGAGCTTCCTGTTCCGGAAAGACGAACAACAAGGCGGCTTCCATCATCGAACTTCACGTACAGACCCTGGTTCTTTGTGACGCTGCCGTCAAGGTCAGTGTACGCAAAGTTACCGGAGTCAACGACCTTGCGACCGGAGATTGTGCTGCCCACGAAAGACTCCTTGTTGTCGACGGCCTGCGCGGAGAGGTTCGCGATGAGCTTGTTCGCGCCCTCGGAGTCGACGTTCTCGTAATCGTAGCGGGTGAAGAAGGTGCGGCCGTATGTTTCCCAGAACTCGTGCTGGATTGAGGCAATGCTAGGTGTCTCGTTGGGCTTCTGCTCAGCAACGCCAGCAATAATATTCAGCCACGCGACAATTGCCCACACACCGTCCTTCTCACGGATGTGGTTGCTGCCCGTGCCGAAACTCTCCTCACCACAGATGGACATCTTGCCATTGTCGAAGAGGTTGCAGAAGAACTTCCAGCCCGTGGGGACTTCGTAGCTCTGCAGGCCCTGTGCCTTGGCGACGAGGTCTACAGCACCCGAGGTAGGCATTGACCGTGCAAGACCGTCGACGCCGCGCTTCTGGAACCATGGGATGAGCTTCGCGTGGTGTGCAATGATGGCGAGGGAGTCGCCGGGGGAGACGAAAGTATTGGCACCGTAGATCATGTTGCGGTCACCGTCACCGTCAGAGGCTGCGCCAAAGTGGATCGCGTTCTTGTCGACGGCCTCAACGAGCTCGTGAGCGTACACGAGGTTGGGGTCAGGGTGGCCGCCGCCAAAGTCTGGCTTGGGGATGCAGTTCATCGTGCTGCTGGCGGGGAGGCCGAGCTCGTTGACGAAGATATCGATGCCGTAGGGGCCCGTGACGCCGTGCATACCGTCGAAAAGGACCTTGAAGTCGGGGTGTTTTTTGAGGAAGTTGCGAATGAGGTCAAAGTCGAAGATCTCCTTCATCATGTCGACGTAGTCCTCGGTCGAGTGGACAATCTCGACCTCGAGAGGGCCATAGCTGCGTGAGCCAATGGTTGTGGTATCGACCTCGGGGATGTCAATGTACTTGTAGGAGGTGAGGGACTTGGCGACCTCGTAGATCTTGTTGGTGACTTGTTCGGGGGCGGGGGCACCGTTGGTAAGGTTGTACTTGATACCGAAGTCGTTCTCGGGGCCTATCATCGGTCAGCTATCACATCGACGCAAGCGCACACGAAGCGGGGATTATTTCAGGTTCTTGGAGCGTACCACCGGGGTTATGACTAGCAGTCAGCAGAATACCACCAGTCGCCTTTCTACGGCGAATGAGGTTGCTAGCGGCCGGGGTACTCAGAATGCCATTCTGACCGATGAGAAGCTTCTTTACACCATAGGCAGCGCTAATCTTGGCGATTTTCTGGATGACGTCGGAGTTGTAGTAGCGGCCATCGCCACCGATGACGAGAAAGGCGTCCTGAGCGCCCTCGGGGATGGAAAGGAGGATGCTGGTGATGAACGACTCGGAGTAGTTCTCTTGCTGGAAGATTTTGACCTTTTTGCGCAGACCAGAGCTGCAGAGACGTTAGCTTGCCATGATCAGAAAAGAAGAAGAGGAATTGACGTACGTTCCGGGCTTCTGGTCGCTGAAGGGTGTGATGGAAACGGTCTGGACCGACATGGCGGGGTAGCTGGAGCTCAGTTGAGAGACGTTGGGAGGAAGGGAAAAAGAGAAGGGAAGGGTGGGAAATGGAAGCAAGGAGGACAAGCAGGTAATTATAGGCGAAAACAAGGAATGCTCGAAGGTTCACCGACAATTTGTCGCAGGTGAAGAAGAAGGAAGAATGAATTGAAGCTTGATCTGGCTGGCCTGGTCTCACTTGGTGGTGCTCTGGTGGGGGGCAACAACTCAGGGAGATACCATAATGTAATAATCGCATCACTACTAGCCTCAAATCGCAGCTGCACCTTTGCTTTGACTCCGATAAATTTACATTGCAATCTCCAAGCTGCAGTCTATCGATTACTGAAAAAAAGTTTCCTTGTAGTACTTCATCTCCTCAATGCTCTCCAGAATATCCTCCCTCGCCAAATGAACCAGCCTTTTCTCTGGCACGCCCACCAAAACGCTCTCCCCTCCCCACCGTCTGACCACCTCCTTAATCGTACTGACATCCACAATCCGATAGTGTAGCCACTCCAGCACCGCCGCGTACGGTCCACACGCCAGGAACGCCCTGTCCGCATGGACACTATTTCCTGCTAGCATCGCCGTGCGCGCCGTCGGGATGTACCGCTTGATGTAGGCGAGGAGTTCGGTGGCCGCGGTCTCGGGCGAAACTGTTGAACTCTGCACGCGTGCTGTGAGTCCCGTGCGGCCGTGGGTATCGATGCACCACTGTGACATGGAGTCGAGGGCGGATTGGGAAACGTGGACGACGCTTTCGAAGCCCGTGGTGTCGAGGAGGTTGAGCTGGGCGTCAGTGATGAAGCAGCAGATTTGGAGGATTTGGTCGGTTTTCGGGTCCAGGCCCGTCATCTTTAATCTGTGAGAATCATGTAGCTGGAATTGGTCGTGGTGAGCGAACCTCGCAGTCAATCCATACTAACGGATCCGAGGAGCGTGTAAGAGGCATGGCGAGGTCTCTGCGCGGATTTCTTGTGGAAGGATGGAGGTTGAAGAAAAGAGAGCGTTCCGTCTTCGGAAGCATCCAAACACACATACGTAATAGACATAGGTAGACTGGGAATCTTGTAAACAATTCATTATGCCACAATGCATTTTCTATCCGTACTACTAGATTGTCTGGTATTCTCACTGAAGAGTCGAGTCTCTAGTCAAACGCGACATATGCCTCCTGCTTCGTCAAACCACATCCGGCGTTTCAAGCAGCAAAAAGAAATGATAAATAAATTCCAAAACGGGCCACATATATGCCCCTTGCGCCAATCCGTCACGTCGTCATATGATATGTCAAAAAGGAAAAAAAAAAAGTAGGGTAGTTATGTATGAAATGTGACCTCGATAATCACAGCTCTTCTTCCGCATTGTTTGGTGGAAAAACCGTCTTCGGCGACTGCAGGCCATCCGACAAAGCTGACGCCGCGATTGCAGGCGTCTGGTTGTTGGTGACTCCCTCTGTCTTATCACCACTGCTGCCCAACACTTCGCTGATTTGTTTTGAGAGACCGGACTCCATTCGTCGTCTCAGGGAAGATTCGTCCGCTTGCGATACGCTGGGGCGCTGCTTCTTGAGCGGGCTGCCGATGAATTCCCCGTTCAACACGTTCGGCTGGGCTTCAGATAGACTCGGGGCAGCCGGCGCTGACGTTGCCGTCGGCGGGGTCGTGGAAATGTTTGATGCCGGTGGAGTGCCGCCTGTCAGAGGGCTCGCAGTGTCTCGTCGAGAGCTGCCCGCGAGCGACGCAGCCGAATGTTGACGTTTGAGCTAGAGGTTCGTTAGTCACAATCGCGAAAACTAAAGGGTTACAGCCAATCTACCTTGATCTTGCGCACGCCTTCGGCTAGCTCGCCTTGACGTCTGATATCGTCTGGAGACAGGAGATGGTCATCGTCCTTGCCTTCCTCCTCGTCCGCCTGATTGAGTATCCGGTCATCATCATCATCATCGCTGTCCATGTCGTCATCATCCAGCGCTTTGTTCTTTTTGCTCTTCCTTTGACCTTCTGTGTTGTCGCGGAAATTCAGGAACCCAACAGTACCTCCGGGCTTTAGTGGACCGAGGTTTGAGAAGTCGGGCTGAAGCGATCGGCGTTTGACCGACCCAGGTGTTTCCTGGGTCTTGGAGTCTTTCAGGATTCCCATCTTCTGTAATTGGCCTGAAATCAAAAGGTCAGCTCTCATCCACATCTAAACGGCCTTTTGAGTACTCACGCTCTCCCCGGTACATAAAAGTGAAGATCGCATACGGCTTGTCGGACGGGTCAATTCCAGTGACTGTTTGTGTGCTAATCGACTTTGGATCGAGTGTCTTTGGCTTCGCGAAGCTGGTAGTATGATCGATATCCTCATCGCCTCCGCCACTGCCTTGGCCTTGGCCCTCGTCGTCGTCGTCGTGGGCATCGAACTGGGGTGAATATTCTCCCCGCTTAATCTCTCCGGAGGCTAGGACACGGAAAAGCGCGACTTTGATCTGGCCAGTAGTCTCAGGAATTGGGTCATCGTCGTCGGAGTCCGGGTCCGACATGTCATCGTCCGAAACGTCCTCCAAAGGCGACTTAGTGTCGTTGCCATATCGCATAATACCTTTATCGCTCTTGCCCGACTTTCCACCCATGTCCAGTTCCAAGAGTCCATCATTCTCGCGCCTAGCTCGCCGCTTCTCCATCTTTTGTCGTCGCCGCTCAATCTTCGCTGCCGCGTCCTTGCGGCCCTCCAAGTCCAATCCATTGAGCCATCTTTCCAGCCCGACCTCGCGGAAGAGAAATTCCCGTTCTGCCAGACCACCCCCCTCCGATTCTGGAATGCTAACCCATCGGGAGTTCACCCAGGTCTCCTCCCCTCTCCGAAGCAGTGTAGCAACCTCCTCCTTCTGCCGGCCATCGAAGTAGATGTAAGCAGCGACGGTCTCATTTGGAGAATTGGTCAGAGCTTGGTATGGGGAGACGGCGCTCGAGTATTGTCCTCGCTGCTCGGTCTGTCCGGGGAGACCACCAACGACCTTTGGCTTTGGGTGGGGGTTGTCAGAGGTGGGCTTCGGCGCGGAATACGGCACATCCTGTCCGGGATTCAGGAGCGTAATTGAGATGGCAAAGGTAGACTGTTCCGGTTTCCCCTGAGATGTATCCGGGATTTTGGGCGGCGGAACGGGAATGTAGCAGGCTATGCGCGATGCTCGGGACTGGCGTTGGATCGAGTGTTCGGGTAGCGGCCCGTCCGGAGTGTGTATACTAACGGCAAGCCCCTTGAAGCATGGCATGACGAGAGAGGAAGAGTGGGAGGGGGAAATCGGGGTATAGCGGAACGAGGAGAGCTGTAGTATGTAAAAAGTTCAATTTTGAGCGATTTCACGATGAGGGGAAGGAATAAAAATAGGGCTATCGAGAAGCCAAGGGAGGAGAACTGGTGGCTGGTGGGAGGCGGTCAAGATGCCTCGTGCTGCCTTTCGAGACCGCGTGAGGCTGTCGCCCGAGTGATTGTAGGGAGGTCAGCCAGAATGTCTGGCTTCAAGCTTCTTTTTGAGATTATCTCTTTTGTCCTCGCGCCTCGAAATCAGACAGACCGGGCGATGGTTGTTGTGCGGAGTGGAAGAACGGCTGGGGAGAGGAGGGGAGGGGCGAACTTGGTACCGCAATCAGGAAAAACGACAACAATGCGCGAATGAGCTTTCAGCGCGGTGCGCGGGCAAGCCCAGCCTCGAGAGATCACGACGTGTACCCTCAAAGTCTCGAATGATACTCGAAGACACATCAAAAGGTCAGGTAGGATGAAGATAAGAGTCCTGGTGATTTGGATTGAGAGAGTCACTTATCAGGTGAGGAGATCTGGGCCGCCTGAGGCACCAACTCTGGACTAGTACCTACTAGATGGAGAGGTGGGACTGACTTGGTACCTACGAGATTATATTTAAAGGTCTATAGAATTTGCTGTACCGAAAGCTCGGCCTATAGCCCCAGTCTTCGCGCCTCTTCTATTGCGACACCCGCCAAATCAGGGAAATCCCGATTAAGAAATTTCAAGGGCTTTTCGGCCTTCGTCCGCTTCTGCTGTTCAAGCTCAGCCTCCAACTGTGTGATGCGCTCCTCAATTTTTGCACGGGACTCGTCCAAGCCAAGCTCAGTAATGTCATCTGCGTACTGACGAAGAGTACTTAGTCTTCCCTCCATGGCGGGAATACCGCCTAACTGTCAAGGGTATCGGCTTCCTCGTCTGAAGAGGCTAGGTAGCGTCCGCTGACAGCTTGATTCCGCATGTTAGTAGACGAAGCTGGCCATGGCAGATTGAGGTCCTGCGTTGATATTTCAAGTTGGCATACCGATTGCGGGGGCGTAAAGTTCCGGGTCTCAACTTGATTGTCCCTAAAGGACGGCTCCAGAAGGTAAGATATTCTGGAAGTATGTTCTAGTTTGTTGCAGCCTGGCGTCGCTGAGTTCGTGGGATGGATGACGAAGATACCTAATCGTCGTGCTTGACTCGGCACTGTGCTAACAGCAGTACGTAGTGTATTCGCCATCCTGCCATGACGACCTTCCAGACTCGTCATTCCGGTTCGCTTCACGCCTCGGAATGGAACTGTGGTGTTGCTCTTGGTGCCACCAAGCTATCTCGCTTGCCCCGTTTCTAGTCAAAGACATTATCAACAAACCCGATGATGCGCCCGCTGGGGTCAATAGGCTTGATTCGGGCACGCAGCGGTTTGTCTTTACTCCGATATGGTTCGGGAAAGTGACAACATCGGCAGTTGCATATTGGTGAGCATTTCAGATAGCTTCTGTTCCTTAGAAAGCTGATAAGGTCAATATCGAAGTGTCTATGAAGGCCCCTGGAATAGAAAATATGCCGAGCATTGGCCGCATTTTACACCTTTCCAGGATGACTATTACGGCATAAATGGCAAAGACATTCCTGTCAAGTAGAGTAAGCCTCACTCCCTGTTTTATTATAGAGGCCCCACTTACTGATAAATGCTGCCGAGCATCCATAGCAGCCACTACCAGTGCACCGAGCGACGGTGGTCTGTCAGGTATCATCAGTAGTACCCACATTGAATCACCTGCTTTTTGAAGCAATAGCAGATCAACGAAACCATACTTTTCTCCATCCAAATCATCAACAGCCTGACCAAGATTTAGGCGGGACCTACTTTCCGCTGCTTGAACAATATTCTCGCATATGCTGCGCGGAATCATTCCAGCCCAAGCGTAGTCTGCCACATGCTTGCAGCTCCTTCCTGAGATGAAGCATGCTGAATACAAGTCCAAAATCCCCGCACTTTTCACATTGTAGATGGCGGTTCCAGATTGTCAATCCAGAAATGTTGCACTTCACCGCGCCCTGAGTATCCACAAGTTTCATAGGCAGCCCAGGTTTTTGTCCGACATCTTCATCGTCAACCTGTGAACCAAAGATTCTCAAGAGTCACCCCTCGTCTTCCCCCCTGAAGCTATCGCTCTGTAGTGCATGTGGTGGAATCAGAGGTTTACGACTAGTGTCTGAATGGCACTGCTTCTGATATGCGGGCTGTACGTAGTCAAAGAACATTCTAAGCGAGCTCGTACGCATTACATTCCCGACCACTCACGTCACCATGGCGCTGATGTTCCATACTTGGTGAGCTGATGGGAAAACCAGAGATCCTTGGTCCGTGACATAGATGCGAAAAGGGGCAGATCGTAGCTTCTCAATGTATAGGTTGGTCCACTCCGTCTGACCGGATTTCCCCAGCTTGTCCATAAAATCATCGTACTCGTGTTGCGAATGACGATCTGTTCCAAAGCATATTAATCCATGCCCGTTACCTAAGGTTATTGTGTCAGTGCAAGGCCATATCTAAGGTGAGGCGGGTTAAGTGAATAAAAAACGGTTCTCACACTCCGATTCGATCATAAGATTGACAGCGACAGTGGCACTAAAACACCTGTGGAACCCATGGCTATACATAAGGTCTGTTAAGGAATAAGAGGTATATAGCCGAGCAATTCTTCTTGTGCAATGATTTTCCTGTCCCGACATAGGCCATCAGAACTTCTGGGGCCACTTCCTTGGGCAAAACTGGGAAGAGGTCTAGGGAACCAAAATGCCTCAAGGCGGAGGGAAGAAGAGTCTCCAAATACTTGATCCATTCTTTGGGACAAGATAGGTCTTTGGCATAAAGGCTGCCATCGTTATCAGGCGATGGTTCTTATAGTTCGAGGTTGTTTGTTGACGTACGATTCTCGGACGCCGTTTATGATCAGCCTGCGAAATAAGATCTCATTCTAGCCTTTCTCCCGGGTTCGCCGTTACTCACTGAAACTACCAGTGAAAAAAGGATATTGGCATTTACAAAGCTGAGCGTGTAAGCCAAGTATACCTCCCGAGGCAGAAAGATTGATTAAGTTCTCCTTGTTCACGGGAGCGTCTTCCACTCCTTCAGTTGATCAAACCGTCGTATTACAAAAGGCGCTCCTGCATCAATCATGTTATGATTTCCCGATATAGATGCTGGTCTAATAGGACCTGGAGGCTCTGCACCATCTCGGACAATTTGACAATAGGGTGAGCTGACTGCAAGAGATTCCGCGAGGGAATAACTGCTGCTGTTGACATTCTCACTTTATTAAAGCTGATAGGTGTCGTTTTCTGCGCTAGCTAGGTGCCCATCTGTAACCTAATGCGTTAAATCCTTACGATGCAGAATCTCGGAATTGGACGTTATTTCTCAATCCGCACGTGGTTGATCTGACCATGTATAGAACCATATGAAGCGCTCCAAGGCGTACGGGTACTCGGAAATCGCATTGATCGATGTGACTATATTGAGTGAACCTGTAAAAGTCAGTTTCATGAACTTTTCAAGTCAATTGTGACAACACAGTCAAAAAGACTAAGAAAATGCAAAAGATATGAACCACACCAGTTTGAAGGCCAACTACACCACTAGTCAAGCTCCCTCGAGCAGATCAAAGACTAAAGTAACGAAAGTTGATTGTCTTCACTAATGTACAGTACAGTATAAAACTGGTCATTGATTTCCAGCATTTTGCAGGTCGTCAAAATCTATTCATCACCAGTATTGTGGATCTTGTTAGGCAAAGCACGCTCGATCCCCTCGGGGACAGCCTTCTGGATGCCCTTTGGGACAATCGAGTCTTGACCATCGTTAATGGCGTGGGTTTGGCGAACAGTTCCGGAGCCGGTATCATGTATCTTAGGGGTGTTGTTAGTACCGAAGACTTGGGAAGTGCATCTTTGGAACATGGCCAAGCATACCTTGTTGGGCAAGGATTCCTCGAGACCCTGAGGCGCTTTATTCTGGATTCCCTCTGGAACCTTGGAGCCACCGGTAGCGTGGGAGGTTCCCTGGCCACGAGCGTTCTGCATTTTGAGGACTTATAATTGCGTTATTGCGAGATTGCGAGTTGCGAAATTGTCCGTTTGAGGTGGATTAATGAATTTGATTGTGAGACTTGATAATGATATTGATATGATTTACGGCTCAATTTGTGACTTTATAGAGTAGTAGCTGAGTCGGTGATGGGTTGTGGTCGTCATCATGTCCTCACGATGCTGGATGTAGGTATGGGATTGTGATCGAGGTTGGCGGATGATGATTGGTAGATCGTGGATCGCGGGCCCTGAATTACCATAGAGCTTGTCGTAATTACATCGAGATGAAGCCATATCAGAGAGGCCAAGTGAATAGAACTCGATGTTTGGCCGTCTGCGAACTATCTGTGATGTGTTTCTGGAAACAGTGTCATGGTGAAGTGCGGCGGCGAGAAGTTTGAAAGTGTAAGCTGTGAACCTGGATCGAGCGAGGGAAACCAACTCTGCTCAACTGTTCGGTTCGGAATCCTCTGAGGAATTCAAGATCTAGGCCAGGAATCAACGATGGCGGTCATGTTTCATCTCTTGAATCATGTCTGCATGATTCAGCCTGTTGACCATCGGTTTATCAAACTGACGTTTTTGAGGGATAGTTGATCGCTTTCCAGGGAAGAACTACCCAAGACTATATGAAGAATGGTACCTCTTAAGCAAAATCATGGTACAGGCATACCGGGTTTTCCCTTTGTTTAGAAGATCGTAGAATGATAGGCTACTGAGCCATAAAGCTCGGCGGGATAGGGCTTTCTCTTGTCGGGAAGAGCTAAGGAAGGGCTACTTCACTGAGCTAGCTCCTGAGTAAAGAAGTTGGCTTTCCATGAGGTGGCATCAAAGCATCAACTAGGTAATTATGATTAGTAGTTGGCCAGCACAGCCCGAGACCAGATCCCGTACTGCCCGACCTATGAATATTCCACCGGATGCTCATGACCAAAGTCTCAGAGCCTTCCCCGGCTGTCTGCGGAATATTTACTCCTCTGATGGTGCAAAATGAACTCTCTGGAGTGGGCTGATATCATAAAAGTCATGCGGAATGTGGTATGGTTAAAGTTAGGGCGATAGAGTTCGGTCGGTCAACAAATGTCACTTGTGTTCGGCTACTTAGTGTGAGTGAATCGGGATAGGCAAAGATTACCGATGTCCCATGGCACTGAATCGGAGTCGGATCTGGTCTCTTAAATGCGGGTCGCCACCGTTGTCATATATAGATATTGATTGTTGGAGCATCTTGGAGTCTTCACGAAGACAGGTCCTTGCGGTTACACCAATTTGAAACGCAATGTTACACAATCTGACATCGGGGAAATGTAGTTCCAGAAACATCACATCGGCCGGTTGGTTCAAGTACAGCATCGGTAAGTCGCCTATTTTGACGGGTCTCGGAGTGTTTTGTGGTTGGCTTCCGAGTTACTACCTACAGCAATACTATAGGCGGTCTTATACTAAAGTCTTGTCAACATAAACTAAGAACAGGTAGGGAGAAAAAAGAAGGCTTTGTTTCCGAAAACCTCAACGGAGTCTGCACACCGTCAATAGTACTTCAATAGCCGTCTCACAGCCTGATTTGGAACCAAACTGTCCTACTCAAAAAGCAGGACACGCATCGGAACTTCGTGTGCAATCTGCATATAAGGAAGGATACGCCAAGTCCCACCCGTCTAATACGGCACAACTCCGTGCGGCCAGAAAGAAGTGCAGTGTCTGAGAGTCAGGCCCCTCGAGTCTTGACCCTTGACTGTTGAGCCGTCTCGGACTAGGATTCACAGGGCCTGAGTGTTCTTGGCCGCGTGTGATCAACATATGCTTGCACTTATCATGCACGCCGGGAACGTTAATATCGCTTTTATTCTTCGATACTAAGTGACTATGAGGAGCGTCAGTCGATTGTTGTGTCGGAGGTCACAAAGTCGAGTAATCCTTGCCAATGACGCGATCCTCCCCATCCATCCCTGGTCTGACGAAAGGAGGGATCATCAAGGCTCTCTACAGTCTTGGTCATGCAAACAAGGCGCTGCTAAGCCCAATCAAGCTAAACAAGCTCGTCTCACCCGCGCTAAAACCGTCCCACATGGAGTCCGCCGCTTCTAGGCTTCGTATTCTGTTCCCCCTCGCGCCTCTCGAGTTCGCGCGACTTCGAACACGGCCCATGTCCCCTCGACAGACTCGTGGCGTGATGACCGGGTGGCGCTCAAATGGCTTCGTTTCGGCGACGCCGGATGACTTCTATAAATCCTTTAGTGCGCTCGGGGCGTTCACCGGTGACAGTGAATATACTTGGCGGCTGTTTGGCCTACCTCAGTTCGGAAAAATTCCAGTCAGATACGCTGGATCCAAGCCTCATTGTGAGCAAACCTCTTTGTACATCCGTGAGAGTTTGTCCTGCCCGAACCTTGGAGCGTCCGAATGACTTGGAGAATAGTGAGATATGGGCAGCGGAATAAGGTGCAATCTCCGGAGGGCTGAAACTCCTCCTGCTCTGGTTAGAGTTACTCCGTAGAGTTACACTCGGTCAGCTGGGTGGCTTGCCCCAGCGGATAGATCTTCAGTTAGCCAATGTTGGTGGCGTATGTGACCTTGGGGCGGCAACGCAAGTTCTCCAGAATCCAGAGAGTGAGAGACTGAGAGTCTCCTGAATTCGGGTGTTTCCGACCCCAAACCTCCAGCTCCAGATTTCAAGCGACGATGACAGGGGGCCACGTGAGCTGTGGAATGTAACGGGCAAATTCTCCGACCAAACGCTTTGGATTCCATCCTGAAGGCTGAGACTGACACGTTCGTCTTGCGAGGCTCGACTCCGGCATATGCCCACTCAGAACTGAGACCTTCGAATGACTGAGCCGGCAGACACGGTCACTGCTGCAACGTTTGATGATGATGGACCCGTCCCAATAATCATTTTCTCTGGGGACTGGAGAAGAAACTCGGGGAAGGGACTCGACGGGGCGAGGAAACAGTGATTGGCAGGAAATGTGGGCTGAGGTGGCCGTCCATTCCGCTAATCTGTTTTCGGACTAACTCAAGGAATTTAGCTGGCCAAACCCCAGCCAAGATGGGCCAATGAATCTTGACTGCACTTGACTTGCTGGGCGCACCAGCACCGATTTTCTCGCGACCGAACAAACAATCAGCCATTGCTTCGTCCTCGCAATAGTGAGACGCGGGCGCGGGCTTTCTCCGCTCGTGTTGGACGGTTCGAGAGCGCAAAAGCAGCACGAGCAGAAAAAGCAAAGGAAACAGCCGCCAAAACACACTTTTCCGTCTGGAAGTGTTTCGAATGTAGCCTTCTCGAATCCATGGTTCTTTCCATATCACGGGACGATTCTATCTTGACTCTCGCCTCTTAGAAGAGATTCCCGGCCAGATTACTCGCGCTTCTCCCGCCTAGGTACCGTGGTTTGACCGCTGCTACGCTTTGACCGGGCGTATGATGTACCATCGCAAGGTTAGGCTTCTCTTCCTTCAGCCTTTCCCCCTGCTACGTACTACTTGCTCAGACACGCAGGTCATCGGATGATAGGGATCCACAACGGCTCCAAGCCGCCAAGTATTCCGGGCTACAAACGAGTTGAGAGCCTGCAAACGAGCGGCCGACGATCAGCACCATGTTCCCGCTTAACTTGAAGCTGACTTGCTGTCTGCCTTGGCTGTTTGGATACACTCTTTTTTTTCTCCCCTTGTAAAGTTTGAGTCTTGATCATTCTGGTGGCAGGTACTAGCGAGCCTCGCGAGGAGACATGCTTGGCTGGCGGCGCAAGTCACCCCGGACTATCCAAAAGAGAAAAAGTAAATACATATTCAAGCTTGAAAAATAATCTTCGCGCCACCATCTGCCACAGCAGACCAACTGGTTCCACATCTTAAATCCCGCATCAATTGGCCGTCTGGGGTGAAGGTGCCAGACGGTAATTGGGACCCTCCAGCCTCTTTGTCTGCATTGGTCTTGCTTGTCACCAGGCAATTCATTTAGTTCATAATTTCAGTTCCAACCTTTTCTTCTCTTGTGTTCTTCTTCTTCAACCCCTGCTCTTCCTTTTCATCCCCTCTTCCCCTCTTCCCCTCTTCCCCTTCTTTCTTCTTCTCCCACCCCGCATCTCTCTCTTTATCCGCAGTCTGCGTCTCGCGGCTTGCGTCTCACGTCTCACAAGCTCGAGTCTTCTTTCTGTTCTGGCAAAAGCCATCCATTCTCTCCTTCAAAGACCTCTACTCTTTGTCATTGTGTGTTGACCTCTGGTCACGCTTGAAATGGCAGACGAGGTGGGCAAGGAGATTTCGCCCGGAGCGCCTGTCCAGGCCACCCAGCAGGAAACCCCTGTTTCTTCCATCAAGAAGCTGTAAGCACTCTTCTCGTGCTATTCCTCCCTCCCTACTAACATGCTTGCAGTGACAGCGAGTTTGTTGACACCGCGGAAAAGGGTGTCGCTGAGCACATCAACCTGAACAAGAACACTTCCGCCAAGTAAGTAACACTTAACACACCTGTAGCGGCCCGCGCTCTGCTAACCATTAACAGGATCAAGAACCCTCTCGCCGACCTGTCCGAGGATCAGGTGCTTCGCGACGTCGGAGACTTTGCTCAGGAACATGGCCTGAACGATATCCTCCCCAACTTGCGCAAGGGTTCTCTTATTGCTCGCGATCCCGAGAACTTTAGGTCCGTTCCTGGTATGGCCCCAGACGAAGTACAAGTCATTCAGGATGAGACCGATCACAAGTGGCGTCAGCCTCGCTCTCTCTACTTTACTATTATTCTCTGCTCTATCGGTGCTGCCGTCCAGTAAGTTATATCATTGCAGACCTATCGGAAGCTGGAAGCTAACTTGTTCAACAGAGGCTGGGACCAGACAGGAAGCAACGGTAAGCACCTGGAAAGACAACGGACTGCAAATACGTCTAACATTCTTAGGTGCCAATCTTAAAATGCCTGAAGATCTCGGAATCCCCGAGACTGGGCCCCACGCCGCACGTAACCAGTGGCTTGTTGGTGTTGTCAACGCGTAAGTGCCTTCTCTCCTCAATCTCAAGAGAAGCGTGGCTAACTGAACAACAAGTGCTCCGTACATCGCTAGTGCCGTCATTGGCTGCTGGCTTTCCGACCCTTGCAACTACTACCTCGGACGTCGTGGTGCAATCTTCGTCTCTGCTATCTTCTGTCTTATCTCTCCATTCGGTCAAGCCGTCAGCCAAACCTGGCCCCAACTCTTCATCACTCGCGCCCTTCTCGGTATTGGTATGGGACTTAAGGCATCGACAATTCCCATCTTCTGCGCTGAGAACACCCCAGCCGCCGTCCGTGGTGGCTTGGTCATGTGCTGGCAGTTGTGGACTGCATTCGGTATCTTCCTCGGAACCACTGCCAACCTGATCGTCAAGGATACCGGAACAATCGCCTGGCGTCTGCAGATGGGCTCCGCCTTTATTCCTGCTATTCCCCTGATAATCGGTGTCTACATGTGCCCCGAGTCACCTCGTTGGTACATCAAAAAAGGAAGACTTCGTGAAGCCTACGAGTCTCTTTGCCGTCTTCGCAACACCGAACTGCAGGCTGCTCGTGACTTATACTACATCTACGCCCAGATCAAGGTCGAGCAGGAGATTGCTGGCGAAGGGAATTACCTCACCCGCTTTGTGGAACTGTTTACCATCCCTCGTGTCCGCCGTGCGACTCTCGCCTCCTTCACTGTAATGATCGCTCAGCAGATGTGCGGTATCAACATTGTTGCTTTTTACTCCTCCACCATTTTCCAACAAGCCAATGCATCTTACAGCGAGTCTCTCTGGGCCTCTTGGGGTTTTGGTCTCGTGAACTTTTTGTTCGCCTTTCCCGCGGTCTGGACCATTGATACTTTCGGTCGACGCTCTCTTCTTCTTTTCACTTTCCCCCAGATGGCGTGGACCCTGCTCGCGGCTGGCTTCTCCTTCTACATTCCTTCAGAGTCCAAGGCTCATCTTGCTTTGATCGCTTTGTTCGTATTCATGTTCGCTGCGTTCTACTCGCCTGGTGAAGGCCCTGTCCCGTTCACCTATTCCGCTGAAGTCTTCCCTCTCTCTCACCGTGGTACGTACCCTTCTCCCTATCGCAAATGCCAGTTCTAACTTTGGACAGAGGTCGGAATGGCTTGGGCTGTCGCAACCTGCCTGGGTTGGGCCGCCGTCCTCGGTATTACATTCCCCCGGATGCTCCATGCCATGACTCCTACTGGCGCTTTCGGCTTTTATGCTGGACTAAACGTTATCGCTCTGGTTATGATCTTCTTCTGGGTCCCCGAGACCAAGCAACGAACCCTTGAAGAACTCGATTACATATTCGCCGTCCCGACCCGCACCCACATGAGGTACCAGCTCCGACAAGTCCTTCCTTGGTGGATCAAGCGTTATGTTCTCTTTCAGAAGAACGCTCGCCTTGAGCCCCTTTACAAGTTCGATCACGTCACGGCGACCTCGTAGTCGAACCACGAAAGGCATGACGAAGAAAATACAAAATTTGACCAAAAAAAAAACCATCTGAGGAGCCTCATCCTGGTTCTGGATGCGGAGGGCTCATTTTCCCTTTTCTCATGATTGACTAACGTACCACTGTGGGTTTCCTAGCTGATTTGGACCTGGCCATAGATTCCTTGTTTGCTTATTATGCTTACCGTGCATGGATAACCTACTTGGACAATGGCCCTGTGGTCTACATTGGTTCCTTTCCCTTGTGTTCACGTCATATGTAGCAAATGATAACCATAATTTTTATTATACCTGCATGCTTTATTTTGTTCAGATTTGGATCTCGACTCGCTATGCCTGAAATCTGTTTTGTTGTGTTTGACCACGGATTGGGATTGAGCAACGCAGATAGAGTCTAGTCTAGAATGATTGCAAACGCAGAGCATTACCTTCATAGCCCTTTACTGACTCCTACGCGTAGCAGTCTAACTTGGAGCATCCCCGAAATCAATGATGTCGGTTAGGGTGGATTGATACAGGAAAGGTTGGTGAAACTTTGACATATAAAGGTCAGAGTAACTAATGGAGACCTTCCGCTCCTTTTCACTGTGTCAAAACTGAAGGACAGGATTGATAGGAGTCTGGCATCAACGGTTCCTTTCTGGTCCTCGCACGAACTCCGCCTACTCTTCCAACATCGCAGCCTTCCCTCTTGGTTTCCGAGACCCATGACGAGATACGGCCCCCGGTTTGTTGACCTTCTACCAAGCGCTTTAATCCTCCGAGATATACATTCTGATCGATCACAAAGGTACTTGAGGGCCGAACGTCTTGTGTGGTCTAACCCGCTAGGGAGACTTTTTTTATCCCTCCGATTCGAGCATCTGCCATTGCGAGCGATATCTTGCCTTCCTTTGAGGAATATTACCGATTCTATTCCATTCTGCACTGGAAATAAAGGTGAGACCTGAGTATAGTGTCACGCATGCTTGGTATACGCCGAGCTGTGTGGACTCAGATCCCTGTCATGCCTGTGATGGCAGGTCTGGTTTGACCTGGATGCCGATCACGCATTGTAAGTGCAACATAAGTCCATCATTCCTCCACCGTACCCTGGTTCTTTCAACCTCCGATCTTCTCAAGCCAAGCCTATCCAAACGCCTGAGGAGTATTATGGGGGCAGTGCCTGACCCTCTGACTACCCAACGCTATACTCGTGGTAAGCCAACCCAATCCCTTCAGACCTGAGAAACGATTCAAACTGAGGCTCCACTGTCAAGACTGCCCTATTGCTCTCATAGGTTGAGTTACTCGAGTTATATTCATCTCACCTGCTCATTACTCACGTCCAATCTCTGACACCTACGCCCTCTTTTTTTTCGTATTCGGCGACGCTGAAGGATACTTCCTGGCCCATGGGGTCAAAGAATCGTGCCGTGTGGCTGGTAGTACATGATTTGACAAGTTCGGCTCTTCAGCATTGTGCCATTGGCCTAATATCCCATCTACAATCAGGGTTCAGCCACATTTACCCCAAATCCTACACATCCAGATCTCGGTACGATAGGCCAGCCGTCTGGCTAGCCGCTAACCATACAGCCACCGCTACAACCCAAGATACGGACCGTGGGGCCCATTGACCGCGTGGATTGAATTTAGCCGTTCCTGGTGTGATCGACCATGTTCTTCAACGGAGCCATGACTCGCGTGTCGGCTGCACTCTGTCTCTTCCGCAAGATTGCCGCCGTCTTTACCAGGGCACTGTTGTCGCTGGGGGCGGGAAGCCATATCATTATACACGTTGGATAGGCCAAGGAAAGCTACTAAGAGGGCTTTCAGAAGTAGCATATAAAAAGAAAAGTAGACCTACCTTCATTATCCATCTCCAATCCTCCTCCTCAAGCCAAATCCTCAACAAAGCCAGCCAACATGTTGCACAAAATCAAGCTCAGCCTCCTCAACCTAGTCTCCCTCCCGGCGCTCATCGCCGCCGAATGCCGCCTCCAAAATAGCATCTGAAACCCATACCGGCCTCTGCAGGCCCCAAGGCGAGAACGACTAGACCTTTGCCATCCGCCTCAGCGAGCTTGTTGTGCCCACCTTTTGACTCTGACTACATGGGAGCGCCTCGTGCAGAACAAGGGCTTTATCATCTACGACAACGCCTGAGTACCTCGCGGCGTGTGCTCCTGGGGCGATGACTGCGGGCCCCCCTACGTGATCCAGGAGAACTGGTTACCCTATGTCCTTACTGTGACGAATGTGAATTTCTATGCTGCGGATGGGTACTTCCGGTTCGTTTATGCGAATGGTGCCTATATGATCGGGTAGAATCATGCCACGTGCGAGGATTTGGTAGGTGGGCTGAGGGTTGAGGTTGGCTGTAAGACTGGGTTTCCAATTTACGGAGAGCCTTGATATTGATGATGAGTTGAAGGCTGCTTGGAGAGTATTTGTGGGCTAGCCGAGTTATTCAGAAAGAGGGCACTAGGCATATAGGATAAGGAGTGGAGCGGGGTCTAGGGCTTATCAACGCTCCTGTTTTGGTTGAACTATATAATTCATCTCGAAACCTTTCATCAAGTCTCCGAGATCAGGGTCTGAAACTTGGCCTTGCCAAACAAACTATACAATGATCGAGAACAACCCAGTAAATCAAACCCGAATTATGGCAGCATTTCACTATTACTCTAAGTAGAGAAGGCTTGGATCTATGCGGATCTCGGGATGATACCAAAATGCCCAACAATTCATGATACCCCCGCAACTCGATATCCCCTCCAAACCTCAAACCCCAGCTTCTCATAGTACCCTTCCATAGCAACCCAGTCTACGAACACCCCGCGAATCCCCCTATTTCTCATATCCTCCATTGCATGGCTCACAAGCGCAAGGCCGATTCCCGTCCCGCGCGCATCCTGATCGATTCCAACGCAGCCAATCAGGCCAGTATCGGGACCGCAGAGAGGCGGGAGAGCCCAGTTTTCCTGTAAGATAGGTGAAGAGGGTGAGAGCATGAGTGTCCATCCGATTTGTTTCCCGCCTGGAGCATAGGCGACCATTATGCTTGATGGGTGGGTATTGGGATCCAGCGTCTCGAACATTTCGACCCAGGCCTATGCCATGTTATCAGTCCATCTTGTATCAGAAACAGAGAGTGCGGATGAACAAACAGCATTATCCGCAAAGTTCCTCCTCTGTCCCTCGATACACTCCTCAAACCCATCCTCACGCAGAACCCCAAACGTAAACCCACCCTCCCTAGCCCTCTCAACATACCTACTGACGTTCGCCTCCCGCTCAATGTCAAACCCCTTAATCACCCGAAACAAATCAACGGACCTCATCCCCGGATCGCGAAACCGAAACCCCCTCTTCGCAAAAAAATTAACTACCCCATCTGGTAGATCCCTCGGAACACCAGGCCAGAACCTCGGGAACGAACTGCCCAGGATCACGTTGCATGGTGTGTACTTTGCTCTGTAAAAGGTCAATATATCGGAGATGAGCGCCGTTCCAATGCCCTTGTTGTGGTGTTTCGGGTGCACGGCGAGGACGGCGAGGTAGCCGGATGGGCCGCTGTGGTGGGTTGGTGATTGGTAGGTTAAAACGAAGCCGATAATTTTGCCTCCTGATGTTGTTGGTGAGTGTGAGCTTGTTCGCGCGACAAGATGGTGCGCTGTCGGCTTTGGAATGAGCTTCTGGAGGCTTGATGCGGGGAGTGGGTAGTCTGGGAGAGAGGCATTCCAGACGGAGGTTACGCCGGCGAGGTCGGCTGATATATCTAGAGGGCTTATTTGGAATTGAGGTTCAGGCATGGTGTCGGGTAGAATGAGTTTGCTCTGAAACATTCGTGGTGAGGAGAGAGGGAGGAGAACAGCTGTGTTGGATGCGGAGACCGAATACCCCTCATTTGGATACAACGTACTAGTAGTAGACTGGTAGCCAAGACGGTCCTCTACGGAGTAGAGCCCGCCTTGCAGTAGCAAGAGTCTTAAGATTAAGACTCGACTCGAGTCAAAGTGTCACAGAAGCTGAAAATTAGACATCTGAAGCTTATCATTTGCTATTGGGTAAATATGAAGATATGTTTCTACCCCCAAGGACGACAGTTTAACTATCCAGAGTGCATCATATTTAGACATCTACTCACTCACTACTCGAATAAGAATATATTGTTGCAACGCCACCCAAATCAATTGATTCGTGCTTGATTTTCCCATTCCCCAGCCTAACCCAGTTGTTTTGCATCAGTGTAATCCCAACTGTCCCAAATATGTAGTACAGGAAACGCAAAATATGCAGCGCAGCCGACAGTAAGGAAGACGAAGGAGGTTTTTTTGTTCAATGAGGAGAGGAGAAGAAACAAGGGAAACTGAACAGAAAGGAAAAGGAAATCGCAAGCAAATAACAATACTGCCGATTGTTATGAAACCCTGTAAAAGGCAGAAAATAAGTAAGTAGCATTTTCCCACCAATTTCAATACACATCATAACCACGACCCGGCATGAGAAACAGCGACAGTAATAACGATCAGGTCCAAATGAGTAAGCAACAGAAGATAATGAATCCAGCCAAGTTCCCAGTGAGAGTAGAAATTACACTGAGAGAAGACATGAGATGAGGTAAACGGAAAGGAGGAACAAAAGGCATCCCGCAAGTGAACTATAAGATTTTAGAGTCTAGGGTTTCTTTGTCCCTAATCAATCGTGAAAAAGGAAGAAAAAGTCATCACCCGGAAAGATGTGTAACGCCATGATTCTTTAGTGTCCGTAGTTACCTCCCCAGCCGCCTCGTCCAGTGTTCCCATAGTAGTTACCGAAACTGGCACCACCGTAGTTACCATAGCCAGTGGCCTGGTGATGGCCCTGGTTTCCCGCTCCCTGGTGACCACTGAGGCCGCCCAAGCCGCCGTACTGAGGGTTCAGGTGGGGGTAGCCACCGAAGCCCTGCTGGCCCTGTTGACCCTGGAGAGGAGGAAGGCCGGCTTGGCTCTGGGACTGACCGGGAGTGTTGGTCGCAGAACCAGGACGGTTAGCCTGCGAAAGGGAAGGGCTGGGCCCGCCAGTCTTGGAAGCATCGTAAGCCTTCGTTTCCTCGGAAGTCACCGGGGTTTGCTGGGCAATTGGCTGGTTCTGCCCGAAGCTACCCTGGCCACGGCTGAAGACATCTCCCATGCCGGCAGCACTGAACGCACTGGTGCCTGCGGCTGACTGCTGGCTCTCGGAGGGCTGAGCGGATCCAGTACGGCCATAGACCGAGTCACGGCCTGGAATGGCTTGGTTGAAGGTGCCTGCAGTGGCAGGCGACGAAGAGTGATCGTACGAGAACCCGTGGGGCTGGCCGTACATACCACCCTTGCCACCATACGGACCGTACTGGCTACCATAGCCGTACTGAGTGTGTTGAGGCATGTATTGGTCCTCATAACGGCGGGCATCATCGTACATCGGGCGGCTTCGTCCGTACTGGTTCACGTAAGAAGCATAGTGGGGGTTGGAGTAGTACTGTTGGTATGGGTAACCGTAGCCGTGAGCAGCACCTTGACCGGGGATGTGCTGGGCGGAGGGGGTCTGCGTCGCTCCAGGAAGGGTGGGATTGGGGGTCGTATGACCGCTGTTGGGGGCAGCCTCTACGTGACTGTAGCGGCTAGGAGGTTGAGAGGTGGGGACTTGTGGCTGCGCTTCGGCGCCAGAGACACCGAATCCCGCGGCAGCGCGCTGCGCAAGCGAGGCATCTTGGAACTGGTTGTAGTAAGTGTAAGGAAGGCGCTGGTCGCCAGCGTAGAACGGTGAGAAATCGCTTCCGGTGGTGGCGGTCGGCTGAATGGGAGCTTGGTTGGCGAATGGCTCCTGAACTTGCGACTGTGGCTGAGAAACCTGCTGGGTGAACGGATCGTAGGGTTTGTGAGAATCGGTGTAGCGAGCAAAGTCGGAAAAGGAGTTGTCAGTGGCGGAAGCTTGAGGAACGGGGGGCAGACCCGGAGCAGGGCGCGAGACCGCAGGGACATCAGTAGGAGCTGGAGGAGCCTGGGTGGACGGAGGCAACGAAGCACGCGGGGCAACAGGGGAATGCTGAGGAGGTTGAGCACGGGTCTCAGTGTCTTCTCTGTTTTCATCGATATCAGCTTCATTTAGTCCCATGCTGCCAAACTGCACAGCGGTACGGTCAACGGCATGGTTTCCTGGCATAACCACCGCTTCCTGCTGCTCCATGACGCGGCGTTGAGCTCCCGGAGTGCGGATGCTCTGTTTCAGAGCGCTGGTTGGGAAAGCACTGGGCGTGGGGCGCGCGGGGGTTGAAGCTGCGGCGATGCTGGGGTCAATGGTGCTGCCAATAGTGCTGGCAGCGGTGGCGGTCGGGACGGGAGGAGAAACATCGGGAATTTGCGCAAGGTTGTTCTTTGTCAAATCATCCTTGGACGGTTCAACATCAGCGCTGGGAGGTGTTGCGATCTGCGGCTCCTCTGTCGGTTGAGGAACAGCCGCTGGCTTTTCTGCAGCAATGGGGATGACGGGAACGGGGACGGGGACAGGGACAGGCGCGGGTGCGGGCGCTGCTTCGGGTTCGGTAGGTGTTTCTTCTGGGACCGGAGCGACGGCAGGCTTTTCATCTACAGGGGCGGGAGCGGCGGCGGGAGCAGGAGCAGGAGCAGGAGCAGGAGCAGGTTTCTTCTGAGGAGGAGGTACTGCCGGTTTCGCGAACAATGAAGCCCAGCCCTTCTTCGTACCTTCGGGCACCGCTGGTGCTGTATCAGAGGTAACAACAGTTTCCGGGGTAGCTGTTTCGGCAGCTGGGGCAGCACTGGTGGTAGCCACCGCGTCGACCACGGGGGTGGTCTCAGCAGGAACGGCTGGTTTCTCTGTGCGCGCCCCATTGGCATGAGCACCGGCCCGACCACCGCGACCGCCACGGCCACGATCCCCACGAGCGCGACCGCGTCCTTCAAATCCACCGCGCCCGCGTCCTCCTCGCACGGCGGTTGTGGCTGGCTCGGTGGGAGTATTCTGTACCTCCTTCGCCTTGGGACGACTCCGATCGGTTGTCTTCTTCTTTACTTCTCCCCATTGGGAGACGGCACCTGTACGAAACAAAAGAATTAGCCTGGATGCATTCACGAAACAATAATTGAGTTTGGAGGGCGAACCTTCACTAATGCGATCAATTGCCTGCTCAAGGTCACCGTTGGCATCCTCCAAAGCGAAAACCAGATCCTCGTCTGTCCAGTCGGGGAACAGCTCCTTCAGCATAGGTAGGGTGTCCGAGTATTTCTTCTTCATCTGACCAAGCTCTCCCTCGTCCTCGAATGTGGGCTCTGTAGTGTCAGGCTTTGTGGATCTGCTGCCACCTCGACCGCCTCTGGAGCTGTAACCGCCACGCCCACCACGGGCGGAAACCCTGCCACGAGAGGCGGAAGACCTCGATTGAACTTCAGACATGTCTTGTCGATGAAATATCTGGATCTCCGGGAGGGAGAGGTGCAATGGAGCTCGAAGGAGTCTAGGGAAGACGGGAGGAAGAAAATAAGCTGCGGCGAGTGGAAGAAAAAGCGGGTAAAAAGAGGTTCGTTAGTGTTGTCGTCCTCCGTAACGATCACAGATGCAGCCTCACACGAGAGAGGCCAGCACCGAAACGACGGTAGGGGAGCCGCTAGGGGGCTGGAGAGTCAGAGAAGGAATTGAAATAGTGAGAAGACAAGGCTCTCAGCAAAGAAAAGAAGACGGCAACAGAAATGGCGGGGAGAGTGAGTTTGGACTGAAGGGAGGGTAGTAGGAGAGGAAGTTAAGAGTTTCCAGAAATGAGGTTTTCAGTGGAGAGCGACCAGCGACCGGCAGAGAGCTGTGGTTCGAGTGGCTGTCCTTCAGTCCTGTGGCCCGCGCGAGGATTGGATAATCCGAGGGGAGACAAAGACGGTTTGACTGCTTTTTTGCTTCTTGGATTCTATTTCTATCTGAATGCGACTGCCCATTTCCGCCCGAGGAACTACGCGGCGCCTTTTACACTGTTCTTTGAGCGATGGCGATGGCTGGATTGACTTATTGTGGGTGGTTTCGTCATCTTTTTAGGCTTCAATTCACCCATGGGTTTGTATGTTACAGATCCTCCCAAAGCCGGTAAACCAAGGAGTTGTCCTTGCTCAACTTATGTCTACTAGTTTGTAGGGTCCCTTATTGATTTCGCTTCCGTGTTGATCGCCTTCCAAGGGGTTCAGCCCAAGTAGGCATTCCGGAATCATCATCGTGGCAGGTTAAGGTTGGTGGTAGTGGCGGCCCTGGAACCCTTTCTCACCGCCCACGCCCGTTCATCTTGCAATCCTGCATCTGTCGATCGTTTGATTGTCTGATCAAGCACCAAAGAACTCGATTCTCAGTATTCTCAGCGCCCGAATACCACGAACCGGGAACAACAATGAAAACAGCAGTTAGAAATTTTTCTCCCTGGTCAAAGATCCATCTCCCGTTGCCCCGTACTCCACGTCAGTCCGAGCAGCTCCTCACTTCCCTTACGTCCTCCTTCCGTCGTGAGTTGGATCGCGAACATCCGACCAGCGTCGACAACCATGCCTCGAATGGGCTGCCCTCCTCCGTGAAGGAGCATTCCCATTCTTCCGCTCATGCTACCGATCAACATCTCCGCAATATTCTTGAGAACCCGCTCTTCAGTGTGACGCCTCCGAGATCCGTTGCTTCGCCCCACGATGATCCGAGGCTGGCAAAAGAGCCAATGGTAGTATTCGACGAATCAGTTGCATCGGGATCTGCTACTATACACACGGTCGGCCTTTGTCTCAGCTGGCAGATGCTCCTTGCCAGCCCGCACAAGGGGGAGGACTTTGTGAAGGCCTTGAAAGATTCTCGAGCGGGCTCTCGAGTTGTCTCCTGGTGGCATATGTCCAATTCGTCGGCAAAGATGGCATTATTTCGATACGTCAAGCCTGAAACACGAAAAGCCCCCTTAATGGCAGAGTCTGGTAAAGTACTGGTAGACCTGACCAAGTTCATGGTTGCTGAAGGTCTGCATGATACGATATTGGATTGGCTTCGGATGCTGCAACATTCCAACATTGGAGATCAACGCGTGGACCATGCTTTTGCCATCTCAGCCTTCAATAGACTGCTAGGTAGCTTCTTGAAAGCAGAGATATTATGCGGTGGTGGAATCGAATCTGCTTTGCATTATTACATCACAGCATCCGAGAGCGACACAACATTGGACAGGAAACAGTTGCTGACCGGCCCCGGAATGTTTCTCTGCACCTCTACTTTACGCGAAACCGCAAAAGACATGATATCACCACAATTATATGAACGATACGCGTCCATTATGTTGAGCGTGCTGCTGCCCGAGACATTCAACAGGGCTGTCGTGCTTCTCTGCCATCCAACACAGCCTAATGCCAAACCGCTTGTTAAATACATGCGAAATGCACCTTTCGAATACCACGGTCATCAGGGTACAGCACAACGCGAGAAACACATAAGGGCGTGTTTCCGTGCTCTGACTGTTTTGGATGAGAACAAGAACAAGAAAGATTGTCTATTTTTGGCGGGCTTCTTGCGACAGTTGTTGGAGGAAGATCAGGGATTGGGCGCGACAATCAAGCCTCGCTACCATATGTCATCTGAAGAAAAGGACCTTCTCTCTAGTTTGGACCTGGCTTTCACATGAAGTGTGTAGTTTGACCGTTCACTTTCTACGAGTTCGCGAAACACAACACTACAACCAGGAGGCCCCAACCTCTATGGGACACAAATCTCTGCTTTTGGCCTTGTAGTTCCTGCATCAATATGCGATATGGAGCGAGAAGACATGGAGAAGACAGAATACCTGCTGGCGACTTGGATTGTGCTGGCCTGGACTGTACAGTGCCTTGGTCGCGGTTAAGGGATCTCCGCATTCAGCTCCACATCCAGCCGCACCACTCCTACAGAGTACTAGGTAATCGTCTTGGCATGCTTACCAACAACACAAGTAATGAGGGCTTGATTATGCTTACCCGGTGCTGTGTTTCCGGTCTTTTAGCGTGCCTTGCGTTAACTTCTCGCAGACCTTGGGGCCCCGAGAGGTCAAGAGGGGAAGAGCCGAAATTACTATTCTCCGCAAAGAAATGGGTTAGTCTAGATGAACACCACTGGGCTGCCTTAGTAAACGTCACTGCGCAACCTCACCTCGCTCTTCCCACCTCATCCCTTTCAGCTGGCGCTCTTTTCACGTTTTGATTTCCTTCAATAGTCTTCCATCTTGCAATCATCTTGACTGCTTTTACTCGAGAACTTTTTACCAACCCGACAACCTGTCTTAGTACCACACATAATTGCCGGCGTTTACTATATCCGACTCAACACAATGGCGTTTGCACCCCCCATTACCGCGATCGTCTCCGGTATGTCCTTGTCTTTCCAAACATACTGATGGGTTTGCGTTTTGAAACAGCGAATACTAATCTTGCGACGCCTAGAACCTGCGGGCAACCCCGATGGCGAGTTGACCTCTAGCGAGGTGTTGCAACACTCAACTCAAATCTCCTCGAAACCTTCCACTGAGGATCCCCCTCTATTCAAAACCAACGAGTCAGAACCACAGGAAACCTCAAAGCTCAGCGGGCAACTTTCTACTTCAGCCAATGGCACATCCAATGGAACGCCTGTGCCAGAAGCCAAACAAGGGCAGCCAAACGTAGGCGTGAAACGCGACTTGGATGTCACTTTGGCTCCTGGAGGTAAAGCGGAAAAGCCCAACGCGGAGCAACAACAGCCGGCAGAACTGGAAGAGCCAAACACCAAGAAGCAGAAAACGAGCGAGGGCAGCACCGCAGATGCCGCCGTGGGAACCAATGGCATCTCATCTCCCCCGGCGCAAAATGGCAAGGCTATCCCGGCTTCAGGCTCAACCGAAAAGAAGAAGGGAGGCCGGCCCAGGAAAATCAAGGACACGGTCAGAAAGGATGTTCCTACCGATGGTATTGGTAGTCGCACGCGCAGCCGTACCAAAGTCGTATCCTAAATTTCATCAAGTGCTTACAGTGTTTCCCGAATGCCCTGTCTGATGTGGGACAAGATGGATGCGGTGACGTCGTTCCAAGGGATGGGAGGTACGACGTCCTGTTGTGGCTTTAATGAGGAGCAAAGCAAGTTCGAAGCAGCTATCATGTCCGCTAAAAACCCCAGTGTCTTGAGTAATTTCAATATGAGATTCATCACCACAGAACTGAAGGATGCTATCCAAATAAGATAATATGTAACGCCATTCGCTCTTGATTGATGGAATGAGCGTCGCGTAGAGATGCCGACATCGGCAATGCTTGAGACAGGGCAGGCTGACTCACCCCGGAACGGAAAAACGCGGCATTGCAGAATAATTTCCCCCGCTATCGCCAGAGAAGGAAAGTCGGTGTCATAGTTGATCAATTCATACAAAAGCTATTATTTCGTCCTTGCTGCGGTCAATTCGAATTCACCATTGAGCATCTGCCCATAGAATTGCAATTGACTTTGCTACCTACACCATGGGTTCTAACAAGATTTGGCTGCGCGCTGAGACTAAGCCCGCCGAGGCGCGGTCTGCTTGTTTGTGACCTCCGAATTCTCATACTTTTGAGTCATTGAATACTAATATTCATGCGATGAGTAGTGACCCCTACCACTTGTAAGGCTCTCATTGATGCTGGATATGAGGTTACAATCGAGCGCTCGTCGCAGAGTATCTTTGATGGTATGTTTGCTAGAACCCCTACTCGTGTCACTCGGCTAATAAAGCTTTCCAACAGACGAGGAATTCGCCAAGGTGCGATCAAATAGCCCTCCCTTTGCTGCCGCCATCCATCAACTCTAATCGACCATAATAATACAGGTCGGCGCTCCGCTCGTCGAAGAAGGATCGTGGGTGAAGGATGCCCCCAAGGACGCCTATGTTCTCGGCCTCAAGGAACTCCCTGAGGAGGACTTCCCCCTCGAGCACGTTCACATTTCCTTCGCACACTGCTACAAGGAGCAAGCTGGTTGGGAAAAGGTTCTTGCTCGGTGGCCCCGTGGCGGAGGCACTCTCTTGGATTTGGAGTTTTTGACTGATGATGTTGGTCGTCGTGTTGCTGGTGGGTTGATACTGCTCTTCTGGTTATTTGAGGCCATACTGAATGATGCGTAGCTTTTGGTTTCTCTGCTGGATACGCCGGTGCTGCGCTTGCCGTCAAGAACTGGGCCTGGCAATTGACACATCCCGAGGGAGAGCCCCTCCCCGGTGAGACACCGTATGCCAACCAGCAGCTTCTGATCGAGTCTGTCAAGGAGTCGCTTGCAGCTGGTCAAAGGCAGTCTGGCAAGACGCCTAGAATCCTCGTTATTGGAGCTGTACGTGCTCTCCACCTTGGTTTATCATCTAATTCTAACCCGGAGTAGCTTGGACGTTGCGGTCGTGGAGCCGTGCAGCTCGCCAAAGATGTTGGTATCCCCGAATCCGACATCATTCAGTGGGATATGGAGGAGACCAAGAAGGGTTTGTACCCATTTAGTTGTTCCTTGACGTGCTCGCTAACATGTCCAAGGTGGTCCTTTCAAGGAGATTGTCGAAGACTCTGACATTTTCGTCAACTGCATTTACCTCACGTCTAAGCTCCCCGGAGATTTTGTCAACGTTGAGAGCCTGTCAACACCGAACCGTCGCCTGTCTGTGATTTGTGACGTGAGCGCTGACACGTAAGGACAATCCGTATTGGACCATTATATCATTGCCTGCTAACCTTTCCTCCTCATGTAGCACCAACCCCAACAACCCAATCCCCGTGTACAACATTACCACCACCTTTGACAAGCCCACAGTACCTGTCACCCTCCCAGCCGGGGCCCAAGGCACACCTCTCAGTGTGATCAGCATCGATCACCTTCCGTCGCTTCTTCCCCGCGAGAGCTCTGAGATGTTCAGTGAGGCGCTGCTGCCCAGCTTGCTACAGCTCAAGGACCGGGAGAACTCTCGCGTCTGGAAGCAGGCGGAGGATCTCTTCAAGGAGAAGGTCGCCACTTTGCCTTAGACGTCGCCATTTTGAAGAATCTATATTCTATATTAGTTGCGAATAGAGCTGCCTGAACAAAAAAGTTCAAATTAGATAATGAACATACAAATTATGGATGACACCGAGGTACATGATCGAACCAGACAGCGTAACGACTCAGAATGGCATATCAACCAGAGTAGCTAATTCTCACCGACGGCCTGATATTATTGAGCCTTATTGACTGGGAGTTTTGTGTCCTCAGGCGCCGACCCGGGTTGTTGCAGCAAGGTCTTTTCCCTTCTCATCTCCACCGTTTCATTGCATTTTCCCCATCCCACGCCGAGGTCTTACTCTACCCCCACTTCATCAGCACACTTGCATCATTTGCCCTCTCACAGTGACGAGTAGACGCAGGCACATATAGACAAGTTGTGCCCAGTCAAGGTTCATCAGCGTCACAGACCGTCTGTCTCGCCAACTAGCCCGAGATCTGCAAGGCTATCGAAACGAAAATCGCTTCTCGCGCCCACTCCGGCGTCCATCATCGCGGACATCTCAATACCACCATTGGCTTAGTGCTGACACTCCGAGGCAATGAGGTCCCGCTGCCAACCTGAGTGAGCAGTGAGCACAAAGATGTGGGGTCGGAGACTCGGGCACTACAGCGAGTGCGGTCGGCTCTGAAGAACATCCGAACAAGACAGCGGCTGCACGCCCATTCTTTCTCCCGCCTTAAGTGATTGCTCTCTTTCTTCCTTCTGCAGATTACATTTGCACCGTGGCTGCTCTCTTTCCTGAGATACGAGGTTTATTGTGCTGCCTATTTAAGAGGCGGCGGGCTCCGTGATTGCAGGATCGAACCCAGCCAGCCAGCGCGCCTTACTACTGTACCCCGGCCTCATTCTCTCCGCAGTCCGTCCGCACAGCCTTCCCTTGGTTTTGGTTTGGGGTCCCATGGCAAATTTATTCGCGAACGGCTGACTTTCCATCCACTCCTAACCCACTCGGCCTCAAGAGGACTACAGCTCTGGGGATTTCAGCGACCAAGATAGACCTTCCAGAAAATTGCGAGGAGGCGACAGGAATTGCTTTTTCCTCTTTGTTTTCGACCACAGCGGTCAGACTTTTCTACGCTACCCATGGAAGACCAATAGAACGCCAGCAGAAAGCATTATTGGTACATGAACCCGCGGGTTGATGCAGGAAAAATCAACGACGGTCGCCGCGTACGCGGCGGGGGCGTCTCTCGCGGCTGTCGCTCTGTTCTACGTTTTTGGACCGAATTACACGATTGACGGGGATGAACTGGGAGGCAACCGCAAGAAGAGTATCGTCGGGCTCTCCAATCCCGCCAACGACTGTTTTATCAACTCAGTACTACAGGCACTTGCTGGCCTGGGGGATTTGCGCTTGTACTTGATCCGCGAGCTCCATCGACGTGAGCTCGATGGACCGGAGATCTATAATCAACTTCCTGACCCAGATGAGCAGCTACGCGAGAAGAGGGCCGACAGGGTCCGGGAGTTGCAGCAGGGGACTGTCACCAGAGCTCTCAAAGAGATGCTAGATCGGCTGAATGAGCGCCCAATCTATAAAAAGACGATTACGGCGCGTGGCTTCATCCAGGCGCTAGAGTTTGCCTATCGGACTCGAATCAGTCGCAACCAGCAAGACGCGCAGGAGTTTCTGCAGATTGTGGCCGAACGCCTTTCAGATGAGTATCATGCTGGTGTCAAAGCCCGTCAGAGGGCGCAAAAGGCTCTGGATTACTCTGCAGAAGATGAATCCCCAACTGAGATCGAAGTGCGAGTCGATGACGGCACGGAGAACGGCCTCCCAGCTATTATTGACACAAAGCTCAAGGAGATTGACAACGAATATGGCTTTCCCTTCGAAGGCAAGATGGAGTCTCAGATCGAATGTCAGTTCTGCCGCTACAAGTACAAACCAAACCAGACGTCGTTTGTCAATTTGACGCTACAAGTTCCGCAGAAAAGCTCTACCACACTTAGCGCGTGTTTTGATGGTCTTCTCAAGACCGAGTATATTGACGACTTTCGATGCGACAAATGCCGGCTGGAACACGCCGTTGAGGTCAAAATGAAGGATCTATCCAGATCCCGCTCGACAGAGGAGAAGATGTCTCTAGAAATGGAGATTGACAAGATCCAAACGGCCCTTGCTACTGATCCAGAAGCTGCTCTGGATGGAGTCACACTCCCCCCAGCAGAACACGCGCCGAAGCGCAGAATTGCTCGACACATGCGGATTACAGTTTTTCCCAAGATTATCGCGGTCCATCTTTCGCGCTCCATCTTTGACCGAAGCAGCTCAACAAAGAATGCGGCAAAAGTGTCGTTCCCTGAGCGGCTTCCCCTTGGTGGTATTCTCAACCAAAAATTCTTCAAGCTACTCGCAATCGTCTGCCACAAAGGTAGTCACAACAGCGGGCACTATGAGTCTTTTCGACGGAACCACCTCTATCCTCCATTCTCAACACCAGATGTATTCAGTTCCTACGCACAGAGCCGCGCAACTAGCGAAAACCCTTCGCGCGTACAAAGTCCACGCCTCCCCGCTCGCAACGGTACCGACCGCGACCTTCCAGCTCTAAACATCTCCACCCCAGCCTCAACAGGTTCCCCATCATCCCTCTCCCCTTCCGAGCCCTCGCGCTCGCCGTCAACAACCGATCTATCGCGCCCATCCTCTCAACTAAACACCTCCCATCCCTCCCCGCGCCCAACGACATCCAGCAGCTCGCGAGTCTCCTTTCAAAGCACAAACTCTACTTCTAAACAAAACCTCTCGCCGACCTCTGCACCCCGCGGCTCATCCTTCGACGCTACCCGCCTCAGCAGTTCCATGTCAAGAGCATCCCTCGCAGACCGCAATGCATCCGCGACAGACACCGAAGTGTCCGTCGCCTCCCGGCTGCGCCGTCGACGCAAACCGGTTGACCGGTGGTGGCGCATCTCCGACGAGAAGATCAAGGAGTGCAAAACCTCGGATGTCCTGGGTATGCAGAAGGAGGTCTACCTTTTGTTCTACGAGATGGAGAAGACGCCGAATGAGCTTCCTTGACCGGGCCAAGACCCTCTCCTCTTCGAACTGTGAATTTTGCACTCTCGTATATAAATTCCATTTCCAGTTGTTCTGGAACCAAGACTCGCTTGCGTAGAGACGGAGGTATAATGGGTTGTGCTCAAGCGGTTGATGAAATAGACGTCACATTTTTTTTTCGTTATCGCCTTGTGCTTGTTATTTTTCACAATGGTTTCAACTAAAAATAGAGGGATCGGGAATAATGCATTCGGCTTTTTTACTTCAGACCTGGTTCGGGCTTGAGGCTTTGAGGCTTGAAAGCGCAGAACTCAAGACAGACTCCCAAGCCAAACACAAGAGATATTATACTATGTCGTTTAAGGCCAAATATAGTTGGCGTATATTTGTACCATATAATCATCTGTTAGTTTTGTTGATCTCGATCAATATGCAGTCCGATGCCATAGACGGGCAAGACAAAGGGTTCATTGTCCGTTCGCACAGAGCCGATTCCTTTGGCTATAACCACTTGGGTAGGGTTCGAGGAGCTGTACAAGTTGCCCGACACATTCTCGAAATTAAGATGCGGGTCAAAATAACTTGAGCTTCTTGAAATTATCCAAAAATATTTGGGGAAAATAACCAGGTGACAATATTGTCAACATCTAATCACGCCCTATACCTTACTCAGTCAGTGCTAAATTCCTATTCTTCAAGAACTCCTAAATGAAAACTACCCATAAATAGAATCTTCAGCCCTACTATCCTCTGAGACAGAGGAAAAAGGAAAGAAAAGATCACTTCTCGAGGTAAGATACAAAGCAAGGTGATATCAGTCATTGTCAACCCGCCCAAGTTATTTAGTCCGCGGTTGACAATGTTTCATCTCATTATTCCTTCCTCTTTCACACCAGTTTCGAATCTTTGAAGATTGAACGGTGTGACGAACAGCGGATATCAGTTGAAAGGACGGAATTTCCAGAGTACGAGTATCAGATAATGATAATGGATCGACAAAGAATACCCCACTGCCTACACTCACAGCCTTCTTCATTCTTGTGTGCGATCTCTGTATAGAGTGTGCTCCACTAGGTGAATGACTAGGCGATTCATCGGTAAGGGAATGGATAGTCAAGGATGATGTAGGCTTGGATTCGAAGCATATAAGTATAGTGTCGCCCTTACCCTGTCAGATGTGATTCTCTTCTTAAGTCAAATATCTTTAATAGCGCTGTGCGCTTTCCTTACTGATGTACATTCATATGTACACATACTATACTCGTTGATATAATATTCTTATCCACTGTTTATACACATTAATACCCAAGTTTCGAAAAGGCAACCATAGCCACTCAGCCCTAATTATGTCCGACGAAAGTTCCGAGATGTCGTCCAGCGAAACTGTGGGCAGCACGCTTGCCACTGCCGACGCGCAAGCGCTTGTCCGTAGAGCGCAGCTTACCGGGCGTGTCACGACTACGGCTTCTGCTGGTGCCGTTTCCGCTGGCTCTGGTGCAGCGGAGCAACCGGAGGAGTCGGCCGAGCCAACTTCACAGGCATTTCAGGATTCAGAAGAAGTACAGGGTCAGGAGCCAAACACCCAAGCTCAGCAGCATCCCAACCCGCAGCTCAACCCCAATTATCCTTTTGGTGCTGATGAGCCCTCGGACTTTGTGGTAGGGGACCAAGAATCAGATAAGGCGACAGAGGAAGCAACTTCCTCATCACAGGTTGAATCGCAGGCAGGGGACGAGGGCCAAAGACAGAACTTTTCAAACCCGCACCTCAACCCTAACCATCCATTCGACGTTGACAAACCCTCAGACTTTGCGGCAGGGGATCAAGCATCTGAAGAAGCTACAGAGGTGGCCACATCCCCGGAACCGCAAAATCCAGCGCAAGAACAGGCCCAGGATGGCGAAGATGGGGAGCAGCCTCCGGTCCCTAACCCAGAAAACATCGAGAATGCTGATGAAGTACTGGAATTTGTAGTCGAGGAAGAGGCGCCGCCGACCCCGACGACGGTGGAGATAGAACTATCAGAGAGATCCAAGAATCAAAGTCAGGAGGGGGATGGAAGTCAGAGGGGCGCTGGAGGTACCACTTTTTCTTCCTCTTCAGACTCAGACTCAGATTCCGACGCCGAGAACAGCCAAAACTCTGAGCAGGGATCCGACCAAGGCGCCAACCAGCCAGTACAGGAGCAAGAGAGGGAGTCCGGAAGTGATCAGGAAACAGAGCAGTCGTTTGAGCAGGCGAGTGAGGAGGATGAGAAAGAGAAGTCAGCCTCTGCGTCGGACGACATAAATCTTGTTGAAGACGAAGTCAACACGCCTACTACGGTTTCTACCGAGCTCTTGGTGTGGCGTGACGCAGAGTCGAAGCCAGAGCAAAGGCCATACGGAATTCAGCAATATCCAACAGCTCCAGAGGTTGGGCCCACTCCACCAACGCCCAGCACGGTCTCTTCAGAGCTCCTCGTCTTTTCCGAAGAGTCACAATCAGATCCAGCACAGGAAACTGGACCAACACCACCAACACCCAGCACGGTCTGTTCTGAACTCTTGGTATTCTCTCAGGAGGCGCAATCATATTCAGAACAGCACACCGACAAACAGTCAGAACAGGAAATTGGACCAGCACCACCAACACCCAGCACGGTCTGTTCTGAACTTTTGGTATTCTCTCAGGATGCGCAATCGTATTCAGAACAGCACACTGAGCAGAAGTCGGAAGAGGAATCCGGAACGGCACCACCCACTCCCAGCACGGTTTCTTCCGAGCTCTTGGTATTCTCCGAGAAGGCGCAGCAAGAGGATGGTCCAATCAAGGAGAGAACGCAAGAGCAAGAGCAGGCACAGGAAGAAGAAGAGCAAGACGAAGAACCAACCCGAAGAGTGAAGCGCAAATCCCGTGCCCGATCCCCATCTCCAGGGCCCCAACCGAAACGACGACAAACGGTCCAGCCCGGTAAGACCCAAAGACGTGGCACTGCCATCAGATTGCCCAAAAGAAAGGAGACCGAAATCACAGTTGTTCCGAGCAAGAAACGAAAGACGAATGAAGACAAGGGCAAGAGCAGAGGTGGAACAAGACCGAAGCCGAGTACGTACCCTTTTCCTATCCCTCCTTTCCCATCCGCTTGCCACACCGTATGTAAAACTAAGAATTGCTAAAGTAAGCTCTGCAATAGTGAATAATGCCCCAACCGAAGTGCTTGACGTTTATGTCTGCGGCTTGAACACGGAAGGCCAACTCGGGCTCGGCCATTCAAACGACAACGCCATAGAGCCAACCTGCAATCCTTACCTGACAAAGAAAAAGGCTGGCATTGTTCAGGTTGCAGCAGGTGGTGCCCATTGTGTGGCACTTACCCACGACAATAAAATCCTTACTTGGGGAGCAAACCATGACGGGCAGCTAGGGCGGAGGACCCGCAATTTGGATGACGACGAATACCCGTTAGCACAGTCAACCAGACCGAACAAGGAAGAAACCATGCCTAGAGACGTCGATTTCTCTGCGGCTGACCTTCCAGATGATACCGTATTTACTCAGGTTGTGGCAACAGATAGCGCAACATTTGTCCTCACGGAATTTGGAGACGTGTATGGCTGGGGAACTTTTAGGGTACGCTTCCTTTACTGTCTCGGAGTTTGAACGGTGATTGCTAACATGAACAGGATAACAAGAGCAAACTGAAGGAGAAAGCCCGAATTGACTCGTACGATTCTGATTATGAGGACAACAACGATGACGGCGACCGCGAGCCAATCATTGGCTTCTTCCCGGATAATGACCTATGCCAGCTCACGCCGATCAAGATTGAGGGACTCAAACATATCAGATCTCTGGCTGCGGGATCTCAGCACGTCTTAGCCCGTCACTTCAGAGGCTCCGTGTACGCCTGGGGTGCAGCTTCAAGGGACCAATTAGGGCGAAAGCAGCTTAAGCGAGGTCGATGTGCCCATCCTCATCTATTTCCACGGGTGTGTATCTTCCCAGGGAATAACTGTCGGAGCGGGTTCTTCGGCATCAGCGAGATTGGCGCAGGCGGGCATCACTCGTTTGCAATCAAGAAGAGCGGCGAGGTGTATTCCTGGGGGTGGAACATGTATGGACAAACTGGTGTTCCTGAAGAAGAGTCAAACCAGTCAGAGTCATTCTTGGAACGGGAAGCAACAGTGTCTCAACCTACGCTCGTACCTGAGCTCCAAGGCGAAGAGGCTGTCTCTGTGACCGGAGGTATGAAGCACAGCATCGCGGTCACCAAGGATAACCGGTGCCTGAGCTGGGGCGCCATCCAGGGCAACGCTCTGGGGATCCCCGACAGGGATATCGATACCAACCATGTGCATAGCAGCGAGGACGGTTCCGTCGACGAAATCCTTGAGGTGCCGGGCCTCGTCACTGGCATCGACGGGAGAGTCACCTGTGCTGCAGCGGGAGCAACTCACTCGCTTGCAGTTTCGAGCAAGAGAAGGGCATTCGGGTGGGGATCAAATGACGAGTATGAGATTGGACAGCAACACAAGAAGGAGGTTGACTCGGCTACTGTGATTGAAGGTGGTGCACTGAAGGGCGCGAGAGTCGTTGCTGCAGTTGCAGGCGCACAGTTCACCATTCTTCTTGCTGAGTAAACATTCTCATTTGACAGTACTACTTTGTATGTATCATTTTTCGTCTTTGTGTATTTGCAAGATTTAGATGTTTGGATATTGGTTATAGATTTGCCTGCCTTTGCCATCAGTTTCTCGTGATTCAAGGTAAATAACAAGAGTTTGAACAGCGACTTGATCTTAGCTCCTGATGTGCGCCTCGAAATAGGAGGATGCCTCCACGCCATGGAACTGGACAATCAGACTCTGCCTACTTTCGGACACCCCCAAATTGCACTTGTTATCACGTCGGAGGTATGCTGCCAGGGTTCAGCTGGTAGCGTGGGATCTCGGACAAATGTTGTGCGATTATTGAATCAGACTGTCATAGCGAGTTATGTCAAGATTCTATGTGATTTCGTGAAATCAAGGTAATCCTTGTCTAAAACATCGTCATGATCGCTTCTATCCGAAGCTACTGCGACATAGCGCATACTTCCGCTGGTATCGACAAAAGAACGGAGAATAGATCAATGTAGCATTGACCATGGGTTTAGCATGCAAAACCAACGCTTAGGAAATGACCTCCGATGAGCGATATAAGCACCTACCATATTGCCGCTTATCGGAAGTATCGGACGCCAAGATGATATCGGGCAAATCTTTTGCACCAATGTTGTGACTCTGAAATCAAAGCCTGAGGCTGTAAGGTCCGACTGAGTTCAAGAGTCCAGCCCAGACCGGCGAATCTGCGACATGGTCGAGAGGTCAGCTGGGCGCGTGAATAGCCTCAGCGTTTCCGTCAGTCGCCTGCTGCGGACCTGCGGGCAAATCAGATCGATAGGTTTCGCTCGACTTCGAAATCATGGGAGGGGACGGGGAGAACCCCGCTGTTCTCCCGATGCTGAGATGAAGCACGAAAGAGATTCGGAGATGGGTCAATGTTTTGCAGTTAAGCCGAGCTTATGCTTGAAACAGCAACTCCCCTTCCGCGGTTTCGAGGCCCCATTGAGTTGAATAACAGCGGAGCATCTTGGCTTCGAGGGCAAAGCTTGAAGACAAGGGCAGACAGTAAAATCACTAGATAGACACTCATCCAAGTCAAAAGAAGCTGTTGTGGTGAGCTCAAAAGATGATGTCATGTGATAGGGCGGGGATTTTCGGGAGCTTGGCCTGAGGCAGCTAAAAGCGTCATTCCTTCACAGCGACCCCACCAGAGCAGTTGGCAGCACAAGCAGTCAAGGAAAGAAAGTCGAGAACTAGGCCTGGGAGAAGGGGCGAGAAAAGGAGGAATCCGGGTCAATTGCTCATATTAATAACACCCTTTCCCTCTCTCGACTTGCTCGACTTCCTGACCTTCTTTTCTCCTTAACATCACTCATACATCACTACCCCACTGCCCGGTGAGTTCTTTGCCCCTCATTCCTGATTCGGCCTCCCTGCACTTACTTAACCGCCGTATTCGTCGTTTCGGTAAAGCCTCCAGCTCAGAATTTCTTATTTCTAACTTCCTTCAGCTCCCTCTCTTCTTCATCTTTCATCCATCTGCTCAATCTCTTCCCACCACAACCCCTTTTTATTCTCTACAATTGTCACAATGGGTGCCCTCGAGAAGCTCTCCCGCAAATCCGGTGTCATCGTCGGTGATGACGTTCTCCGTCTCTTTGAGTACGCCCAGGAGCAGGAGTTTGCTATCCCCGCCATCGTAAGTTGTTGCCTGACCTTTCTCGGCGCAATTGAACGAGTTCTAACATTTTTGCGACAGAACGTTACCTCTTCCTCCACTGCCATCGCTTCCCTTGAGGCTGCTCGTGACCAGAACTGCCCCATCATCCTCCAGCTCTCCCAGGGTGGTGCTGCTTTCTTTGCTGGCAAGGTATGTGACCATAACAATCTCGGAAATAAAATGTCGCTAACCTGCGCAGGGTGTCAGCAATGACGGCCAGGCCGCTTCCATCGCCGGTGGTATCGCCGCTGCTCACTTTATCCGCAGCATTGCCCCCGCCTACGGCATCCCTGTCGTCCTCCATACCGACCACTGCGCCAAGAAGCTCCTCCCCTGGCTCGACGGCCTCCTCGATGAGGATGAGCGCTACTTCAAGCAGCATGGCGAACCCCTCTTCTCCAGCCACATGATCGATCTGTCTGAGGAGCCCGTCGACTACAACATTGAGACCACCGCCAAGTACCTCAAGCGCGCTGCCCCCATGAAGCAGTGGCTCGAGATGGTAAGATCGGATTCAAAATCAAAAGAAGCATTCCAGTTAACAGCCGCAGGAAATTGGTATTACTGGTGGTGAGGAGGACGGTGTCAACAACGAGGACGTCGACAACAACTCCCTCTACACCCAGCCCGAGGACATCCTCGCCATCCACAACGCTCTCTCCCCCATCTCCCCCTACTTCTCCATTGCTGCTGGTTTCGGCAATGTTCACGGTGTCTACAAGCCCGGCAATGTCCGCCTCCACCCCGAACTCCTCTCCAAGCACCAGGCCTACGTCAAGGAGAAGACCGGCTCCAAGAAGGACAAGCCTGTCTTCTTCGTCTTCCACGGTGGCTCCGGCTCCTCCAAGGAGGAATACAAGGAGGCCATTAGCTACGGTGTCGTCAAGGTCAACCTTGACACCGACATGCAATACGCTTACCTCACTGGTGTCCGTGACTACATCTTGAACAAGAAGGATTACCTCATGTCCACTGTCGGTAACCCCGATGGCGAAGACAAGCCTAACAAGAAGTACTTCGACCCCCGTGTGTGGATCCGTGAGGGTGAGAAGACCATGAGCAAGCGTGTCCAGGTTGCTCTGGAAGACTTCAACACTGCTGGCAAGCTGTAAAGAAAAGGGGGAAAATGATTTTGGATTTCACGTCTTACAAATAGGTGACTAGATACAGATACCAATGGTCAGGAGTATGTTCAACTTATTTATGGTCGGGAGTAGCTGTTTGTAGGGGCATGGCTTTATGGTTAGAATATTTAGATGAAATGTTGATCGTGAGGGGTCTGGGTCGTGACCAAAACGTGGGTGAAAAAGCAAATATTGAGATGTGCTCAAGTACTTACTGGATTGAGTAAATCGAATATTCCTTTGTCTTGAGTCTCCAGATCATTCATTTATCGGAGCTTATCACGCCAGGATTATCCCGAGCGCTGAAGGAATCCAAGCGGGGTTGTGGAATGCAAGGGGCCTCACAACGCTCAGCAGTGTTCTCAGTGGCGCTCAGGTCCTTTACTTCCAAATCATACCAGAAACATTTCATCATGTCGATAGATGAAGACTCACGAAACAATCAAGACACCAATTCCCAAGCATGTCTGGAAGAATATGAGCATCTAATCGGAGCAGAAAACCCACACGATGCTTCAACGACAACACGCAGAGAGCTGTGGTCGTACTACCTTTACTACAATGGTAAGCTTGGCTCATCTGTTACTCCATCATTATCCGTACTGACCAGACGGCTAGGCGACAATGGCGTCGGTCCTATCTCTTATACACCAGCCCTGTAAGCGCTGCGTCCAATGCCTGCATATCACCAGCGAACTAACAATCGCAGCTTCCAATGGGCCCTAACAGCCTCCGGCCACCAACCCAACACCGCCCCTCATAAAGCCTGCACCGAAACCTCCGCCTGCGTAATTCCCTGGGGCTCGGGAGAACGCACCGTTCCGTCTGTCGTCCTAATCGCCAACGGTCTCAGCTTCACTATAATGACCATCCTCTTCGTCTGGCTCGGCAGCGCCGCCGACTACGGCTCCTTTGGACGTTGGCTGCTACTGGCTCTCACGATTACCTGCTGGGCACTGCAGTATGGGATGCTTGGGATTCGAGAGCCAAGTCAGTGGCCGGCCGCGATGGCCATGTATATCGCAAGTTATGTGACGTATGGCGCGACCCTGGTATTTTATGCTGCGGTGTTTCCGAAATTGGCGCGTTTTAAGGAGCATGTGAGAAAAGCCAGAGAGGAGGATTTGAAAGAAGGGAGGATATCGAGGGGCGTGTATGATGGAGTAGAGTCGCTGGAGAGGAATCATATTTCGTGAGATGCCCATTCAGAGATCATCGGAGATGAAACTATGCTAATCAGGACTGTATAGGAACATTTCGACAGCCCACAGCAATATTGGCTACCTGGCTGTCCTCCTACTGAACCTCAGCGTGCTATTGCCGATGCAGGGCAACAACTATGCAAATAACCTAGCGATTTGCGTGACGAACTCCTGTGCGTTTCATCCGCATACTCTCCGCCGCCCATACGCACCAGAAACAATAAGACTGATTTACAAGGATTCTAGACTGGGTCATTCTAGGTATATGGTGGTTCATCTTCCAGCAAGACCGCCCTGGGCCCAAACTTCCGCCAGGCGCAAGCTACGTGACAATTGGCTTCAGGCAGATCTGGCTTGCATTGAGAAAGATCCGCTCTTTACCTCAGACGTTTCTGTACTACGTTGCATATTTTTTGCTTGCTGATGGGCTTAATACGACAGGTGAGCAGATCGATATATATGAAGATATCTATCTCCCTTCTTGATCACAGCCCCATTACTGGCAAAAAGTCATCAAGCGCTAATGTAGTACGCGTCTATAGGGACCCTAGTTTCTATTATCCAAAATAGCTCTATAAACTTCTCCTTCTTACAGCTAACCTACCTAGGTATCACGCAAGCTACTTGCAGCATAATCTCCACTTTCGGCTTCTGGTATCTTCAGCGTCACTTTAAGATTCCTACAAAGCGCATGTTTCTTTTCACTAATTTCTTCTCTGTGTTCATTCCCTTTTGGGGTATGCTGGGGCTCTGGACGACACGGATTGGGTATCATAATCGGGTACGTGGTCGTCAGATTAACAACTATTATTCTGCGACGCTGATATAGTGGGAAATGCAGTGGGAATTCTACTTCTATAATGTTGTCTTTGGCCTGTTTCAGGCACCATATTATGCGGTATGTTTCCTTCCCTGCCTTCTTTATCCAGAGTTTCCGCCGATGCTAAGGACAATACATATATATAGTACGCCCAAACAATGATAAGCGAGCTCATGCCGCCAGGGTACGACAACATGTTTTTCGCGCTCTTTGGTATAACCAATCGTGCTGTACGTTTCATCTCTTCCCTCACTTTCACACCCTTTTCTTAAGCCTTCTATTGCTTTGATATCATACTCACATGAAACCACACAGTCCTCCATAATCGGACCGAACGTAATCCAAGCTATAATCAACAACACGCAGAATAACTGGATGGGATTCCCATTTCTATTCGCAATATGTGCCGTTGCAATGGTTGCTATTGCGTTTGTCGATGTTGAGAAGGGCAGAGAGGATGGGAGGAGGTTTGTTGAGGCTCATAGGGGGTTTGCAGCAAGGGTTGAGGTGGCAGGGGCCGCGGGAAATGATGACGGTGGGAATGGCGATGGCAATGGAGATAGGGTGAAGACAGGAAGGGGAGTCAATGTATTGCCTAAGGGGGTGGAAAGAGATGCTGAGGGTGGAAGCAACGTGGATTTGTTGGAGTGAGCGTGGTTCATGTTCATCTTGGTATGGGTTGACCTCAGGAGACATAATACACCATGACCACGGTTCGAAAGGGGTTGGAAAAGGTCAAGGACATTCAATCGGATGGCCTCCGTATTTGACAAGGGAGGGAATAACTAAGATAAAATTGATGATAGACAATCGAGAGGCGAGACTTCGTTATGTAGCTTTGAGACAAGAGAGCCTGGAGCAAACACAACATCCACTGCTATGACAAAATGATAAATGGATATTTCTGATGACAGATTTCAACTCGAATCTTGATACTTGAGCTCGCCAAGTCATCAGATAAGATCGACAAGCCATGACAGGGCAGGGGTCTGTGGACTAGAAGCGAGTTAGTAGAGAAGAGGTTAGTCCGTCAGAGCCTGACAAGCAAGTAGATTCAGCCAGCGATACGATGAACTCTCCACAAACAAACGTCTAAGAATTCAAGATGAACCTGAAACGAGTCATATACAAAAGTGCCTGTGGTTGCGAAACCTTAAGATCGCGCAAGTCTCGCCGGCTTCGTCATAATTGGGCTGTGCAATCGACGAGAACAGTGGGGAACACCACGAATGACGTCGAGATCGGAGCCTCCTTTGCTGTGTTGGGAAAGACACCAAAGACTGTGGTTTTCAACAATTTCCCCAGAACATCTCCTCCCTTGTTCCTGCACCACCTTAAATCCGTTGTTGAGCTCGCCTCGTTTCAATTTATTTCTCTTCTTCTTCATTTCCTGTTCGTTGCCTCTCAACTCTTCGGTCGTTCAGTCCTTTCTACCCCTTTAATAATATAGCTACCTACACACACCCCTTTGATCTTGTCCCACCTGAGCCCGGAGCTCTTTCTCCCCTTCTTCACCTCGACAACAAAAGAGTACAGCTACAACTTACAAAAATGTCTTCCAAGGAAGCTGGAGCTGGCATTTCAGCCCAGAATAAGTCCACTTGGTCGAGCTTCCTCAAGGCACGTTAACCCAGTCAACCCCTGCTACGACAAAATAGCTAACTTGAATCGTCTCACTCTAGTCGATCGCATCTTTCAACGGCGACCTCTCCTCCCTAACCGCACCTCCTTTTATCCTGTCCGGCACCTCTTTGACCGAATACTCCGCCTACTGGGCCGAGCACCCCGCCCTCTTCGTCGCCCCGGCTCAAGAACCGGATGCGGAAAAGCGAGCTCTCGCCGTGCTGAAATGGTTCTTGAGCACCCTCCGTCAACAATACTGCAGCAGAAGTGAGAAATTGGGTAGCGAGAAGAAGCCTCTGAACCCGTTCCTCGGAGAGCTTTTCCTTGGCAAGTGGGATAGCGATGCGAATGTTGGCGAGACCAGCTTGATCAGCGAGCAAGTGAGGTGGGTACATTCCTGTACGCTGAAAAAGACTGGTAGCTAATGAAGTAGCCACCATCCTCCGGTTACTGCGTACGCGATCCGGAACGAGAAGCATGGTGTTCAGGTTTGTCGTTTTGTCCACGTGTCCGCCTGCCTGAATGAGACGCTAACCTCCAATCGACAGCTACAAGGATACAACGCACAGAAGGCTTCCTTCTCGAGCACCATCTTCATCAAGCAAATCGGACATGCCCTGTTGACCATCACCCCGCCCGGCGCTGACAAGAACGACCCATCTCAGCAAGAACAATATGTCATTACCCTGCCACCGCTACACGTCGAGTCGCTGATTTACGGTACTCCTTTCATGGAGCTTGAAAAATCGACCTACATCGTCAGTAGCACCGGCTACATATCGAAGATCAACTACTCCGGCAAGGGCTGGCTGAGCGGCAAGAAGAACACATTCAACGCAAGTCTATACAAGGAGAGTGAGGGCGAGAAGAAACCCTTGTACACAATCGAAGGCCAGTGGTCAGATACATTTACAATCAAGGACGCAAGGACCAAGAAGGAGGTGGAAACCGTCGCAGTGAAAGACCTCAAGACGACACCTCTTACCGTCACCCCGATCGAGCAACAAGACTTGTACGAGAGTCGCCGCGCATGGCGTGACGTCGCCGCAAACATCGAAACCGGCAACATGGACGCCGTCTCCCACGCCAAGGGCAAGATCGAGAATGCTCAGCGTGAACTCCGCAAGGCCGAAAAGGCCGAGGACCGTGAGTGGGAGCGCCGCTTTTTTGACCGCGTCGACGAGAACTACGATCCTCTCTTTTCCGCGCTCGCGCAAAAGGCCGGTCTTACCTCGCTGGAGAGCGACAAGACCGGTGGGGTGTGGCGTTTCAGCCCAGAGAAAGCCGCCGGAGCTAAATCGCCGTACCACAAGGTTGGCGGTGAGGGCCTAGGTGTTGAGTCGCAGTAAGCCTTTCAGTACGGGGTCTGGAATAGAATGAGCTATATATCCTGTGATACGCTTATCATGGCTCTTTCGTTGGTCTACGAATGAATGGGGACTTATCTTTATAAGAGATAGGTGTTAATATAGATCTGCTTGGTTATGACGCGTATCACTTTGTTGTTACAGATGATATTTACTTCTTGTACATAGTCCAAAAGATGGTGTTTTTATTATGCAATGCAGTATGACCTATTCCTACATGTTTTTACAGTATGAAGACTTTGGTCCAACCGATGTGCTTTTCCTCTCCCACTTGAAGCTCGCGAGTTACCTCAAGATGCAGCCCCAGACTTGCGAATCCCGCCACAAGCGCCACTACACCCAATCCGGAAGGTCGACGCATAGTCCACCGAATCCAAGCAGTGCGCCTCGGCGCCCCAGGCCATGTACTTATCTTTCCCAAAGTATCTCCAACATCTCATTTCTTCAGTCAACCCCCCCGCTTCCCCAAGCCCAATCATGAAACCCACCCGCACCCACAAAAGCTGCTGGACATGCAAATCGCGGCGCCGGAAATGCGACCGCGGACATCCGACCTGCCTATCCTGTTCGCAGCGCGGAATCGTCTGTGAGGGGTATGGTGTACGGCTGCGGTGGGGGTCGGGGGTTGCGTCGAGGGGTATCTTTGCCGGACTGGACGTTCCTGTTAAGGAGATTGATGTTGGGGGGATTGAGTTTGGGGACGGGCGTACTGGTGTCGGTGTTAGGGAGTGGAGGAGGGGAAGGAAGAGGGATTTGGATAGGGAGAGAGACAGAGCTGCGCTGGCTCAACAGCAACAGCAGCGGGAGAAGATGGAGACGGTTGCGTCGGGTAGTAATACTACCGAGGTTGAAACGGACTGTGAGAGTCGAAGGGTGTCTCTAGGCTCGGATGCGAGTCTGGATGAGAGATTATTCGACGAATGTACCCAAGCCCTCCCCGCTGGTAAGCACACTTGGTGAAGCTAACAGTACCAGTCTGCTGCAGCGGCATAAACATTCTCTGCGGCAAAGCCAACGACCCAGACTGTATCTTCAGAAACAGCCTTCCCACCCTATGCCGGCAGTCCGAAGCCCTATATCGAATCTGCCTAGCGCTCCAAGTTTCCGTCTCGCCATGCCGCAGCGACCGATTCTTCGAGTACTTTGATACAGCCCTAAAGCACTTCCGTTCCGAGCTTAACCGCACCGGTACGGCGCAGTTGGCCGATGGAACGTTTACGGCGGGGTTGCTTCTGTGTACGATTGGGGTATGCTCTCTTTGACAGTAATATAGGCAAAATCGTGCTAACTCTCTAGATGATCCGCGGAGCACCCTGGACCATGCACCTCCAAGGCCTCTACAACGTCCTACTCACAAACGGCCTCACATCCCTACGCTGGCAACCGACGCCAGTCCGCGCCCATCTCCTCGAAGTACTAGGGATAATGGACCTCCCAATGCTCACAATTGGGCGTCAACGTCCAGCGTTTGGCGTTTGGAAACAATACTGCCGAGAACGAATCGACCCCGACGGGATCGAAGTCGTCAGCGGACTGCCAAAGACTATGCTAGACGTGTTTTCTTGCATCGACGAGGGAACCGTCGCCGAAGAGGACTTCCGGAACTGGCCTGGGGCACGCGGGAGTCTCGTGGAGTGCCAACTCTGGGAAGCATATCGGGCAGCCGGGATGCTCACTATTCGATATCCAGGGTTGCTACTCGCTTCGTGGGCTCAGCCACAGCGATGTAAAAACCAACAACCCTCTGGAATCCACCTCCCATCAACGGCCATACTCGTGTCACGAATTCTAAGCAACATCGACGCAATCTGTCGGTTTTCTGCAGGTGAAGAGGGCCAGAAATCTCTCGTCCTCAACGCAACCCAATACCCCGTCCTTGTCGCCGGCCTGCAAACAGAGATCGTGAATGGGGACTCGGATCTAAAGCGCGTTATCACGACATGTCTGTCTATAAATACACGACGGATTGAGTCAAACCGATGCTTGCTTGGGATGATAGAGGAATGGTGGCGGTTAGATGGGACCGGGGAGGTAGCGAGTAGTAGTATACATAACATAGCTGAGAGCCGGGGGGTAGAGCTGGGATTGTTCTGATATAGATAATGACTGGAATGTATCCATACTCTGTAAGCGCTTCAGCCGTATTCATTGGCAAATGCTGGTAGTTCCTGCATGGCAAGCAGCGATTGGTTCCCTCGTCTAATCCTCACAGCAAGGCAGAGCGGCGCTCAAGCTTCACAGCGTGAGCCTCGCATCTGACTAATTCTAGTAAAGCGCGACGCTCGTCTTCGATGGGGCCATCGAGCATTGCCGCATTGGATCATTTTAAGTTGTTCTCAATATGAAATATTACGACGTGCTGCTGAACTCTTCGTATTCGCTGATCAGGAAGGTTGCCAGACATCTCAAAACATTCCGCGCAAGCATGTAGAGCGCTTCAAAGGTTGTGTTCATGGCATTCTCAATGCTCTATCGCTTATCAGCCAGTACTAATCGTCGTTGTTGCGTTGTATGTAGTATAGTCGCAGCGAGAATATACAAATGCCAGCGGACGTAGGGCTAATTGCACCCTGCCCGAATTCGGAAGGTGGACGCGCCGGCCCCGCACTGATGTTGTTCTTCGCATAATACTAGCGACCACTCTCCTATCATGGGATACGCCTTACTGGCGGCAACGCGCGATATCTTTGTATTTATCATGCCCCAAAGCGTATTAATAATTAACTAGCTAGAAAGACTGCTTGAATTTCGGGTATAAAAGGGTGCACTTTCGTCCTAGGGCTTTCTATAATCTATACATACTCACGCATTCAGTCAATTTCTTTACACAAGCAAAATGACATCCTCTTCCCACTCGACCCCTGAAGACTGGAGGGCAATCGCGACCAGGCACCGCGCAAACCTCGATGCCCAGATCCCAGCGGAATGGAGACTCACCGCGGAGTTCAGAGCCTCACTCCCCGCCGACGGCCGCCTGTTGCAGGCCGATCCAATCCGCAAAAGTGGGATCCTGACCGAGAGTGAACTCGATATCACGGAGAACTACTCTGCTGCCCAACTTTTGCAGCGTCTAAAGTGGGGGGATGTAAGTTCGGTCGATGTGACGACGGCGTTTTGTAAGAGGGCGGCTGTTGCGGGGCAGTTGGTATGTATATCCCCCTATGATGCTGTTGGGACAGGTCAGCGAGTACCCATTTGCTGAGGATATTTTGCGTGTAACAGACAAATTGTTTAACGGAGCACTTTTTCTCCCGTGCTCTTGAGCGAGCGCAGTATCTTGACGAATACCTCAAGCGCGAGAGAAAGGTTGTCGGTCCCCTCCATGGCCTACCAATCAGTTTGAAAGACAGCTTTTGTCTTGAAGGTATCCCGACGACGGTGGGGTACGTATCGTTCCTGAAAAACGGGCCTGCGAAGGAGAATTCGGCACTTGTAAACCTCCTGCTTGATCTCGGAGCGGTTTTATATGTCAAGACCAATATTCCTCAGACTATGATGGTACACCTTCCTCTTCGTCCACGATGCTTCAACAACACAGTATAGGCGATATCTTGCTGACAAGGTATAGACCGCGGACTCCGAAAACAACATCTATGGCCGCACCCTAAACCCGCACAACACGTCACTAACAGCTGGAGGGTCAACCGGCGGCGAAGGAGCCCTCCAAGCCCTCCGTGGCTCGCTCCTCGGAGTGGGCACCGACATCGCGGGCTCCGTGCGAATTCCCGCGCTTTGCTGCGGCGTGTATGGGTTCAAGCCAACGTCAAACCGTGTGCCTTTCGGTGGCCAGATCTCTGGGTACATGGCGGGGATCCCAGGGATCGAGCCTAGCGCGGGGCCGCTAGGGCAGAGCATTGATGATATTGAACTCTTCATGACGACTGTTCTGAGTGGTGAGACGTGGAGATACGACTCTTACTCTGCATCTGCGCCTTGGGGAGGCAGTATACCCGCCGACAGGAGGGTGGAAGGGCGGCTTCTGACAATCGGCATCCTTCCTGAAGACCCGCAGTACCCACTGCATCCGCCTGTCCGCCGTGCCCTAACCAGCGCCATCGATGCCCTGAGGAAGAAAGGTCACCGGCTTATCCAGCTCCCCCTTCCCCAAACAGACAACAACACATCCATAGCCTACGCCTCCCGCCTCGCCTGGCAGTATTTCACCTACAGCCCTTTCATCAATCACATGGCCCCCAGTGGGGAACCACCCATCACGTCTGTGGCAAAGGGCGCCTCGCCGCTCTTTACGGGCGAACTTCCAATCAGTGAAGAAGATATCTTCAAGAAGATTAGTGCGTTGCACCTCGCGAGGAGGGACTATGGTGACTTCTGGCGCAAGACGTGGACTGAGTACAGTCTTGATGTTGTCCTTGCACCTGGTGCGCAGAATACTGCTGTGCCACATGACACATATGCCTGGCCACCATATACCCTGATGTGGAATCTGGTTGATGTACGTCTTTCTCTCTTGCAACCTCTCTGCATGCGGCTTGACGCTCCTATAGATCTAACATGATTTTCGTTTCTGGTAGTATCCGGCCATCATAATCCCCTACGGAAAAGCATCGGCGGAGCTTGATCCTGAGACGTTGGTTTTAAAGGACGGGGTGCAACCGAGCTGTATGTCTTCTCACCCGTTCGCCACCTCGCATCCTGTTCGCGTTCTCCCCCTGGAGAAGAAAATAACTAGACGATAAGAAGACTGACTCACTCGCACAGACATTCCGGAAGTCGTCAACGGGGCCCCATGCGCGCTGCAGGTTGTAGCACCGAGGTTCCAAGACGAAAGATGTCTGTCCGCAGCACGCATCATCGATCGGGATATTCGCCTCTAGTTCCATCTGGTCAACTCGTGGTATAATCACAGGGATCCTACATTCTCATGAAGCTGCCCTATCATTAGTACCGAGTTCCATCATAACCATGAGGAGCGGGCGGACGTAAGGACCAATATTGGCATTTCAATAGCTCCGAGCCTGTAAATATCAATGGGTGAAACCCCTGGGAATTGGCCAGGGGCCATAGATTAATGCGTGTGAGATATCACACACTAGAGCAATACGAGCTGTATAGTTCAACTGGTCCCAGGAAATCCTGATAGTGACGTTCGTGCAGTCGTGGACGGTCGTTGAACTTGATGGGTCTCAGAGAACCATGGGGATCCCCGTTGGGCCGTCGACCACATTTCAGGCGAGTAGCGACCTGAAAACAGAAGAGTATGCGGCGGTACTTTCAACATCAGAGAAAGGTGAGATTGTTATTGAGTACTGCAGAGAACTGGTATTCAATCATCTAAACTGAAGTAGCATGCGGTAACTTGCTCGACGCCCCATGCGGACTGAGACCACTCTTGGTGAGATGGAAGGAGATTCCAGTCCACGTTTTCCGGCGTTGTTCAGCAAGCTGAACCGGCATACGTGCGCATTGTGGTGCCTTTATCTTCGACTGACCCTCATCGCATTAGGCCAAGGGAGATTATGGAGGGACTGGGGTTAGCACGGATTCCAAACGGATACTACTACCTCATACACGTCGTACATGATAGACTCAGTTATCTTGAAAATTTGGTTAGAGTAACGAATCAAAAGTAATTGCGTAAGGATTGGATAATCAAATATTAAGCGTCCATTGACGAGCGTCATTGAAGTATCCGCGGCGGAGTGAGCCTGTCACCAGGACCCTGGCTGGGCAGCCGCTGGTTTTGGTACCTGCCTTAAGAGGCAGTCGGGCCTCCTGGGGCAGCCATGAGCACACCCGCCCTTTCCCAACTGCCGTGACCCCAGTTGATGATGTCGTGTGATCGACAGCCAGAAAGTCGGATGATCCTGAGGCGTCCAGGTGTCGAGGCGTCACCCTCAATTCAAATCTGAGATTGAAAGGATTGCATGTTTATCTTTTCCTCGCGAGTGACCATTTGCCACGCTGAAAGAACCGTGGAAAGGCACTCGGTGCTCCGAGACATTCAGGTGCAAAAATCATCGATAAGGCAGGCGGTGACGTTTAACGTGGAGCAGATTGACCTTTGAGTAAGACATCCGAGGCGGTCCCTATACTCAGAGCAGATTAGCACCTCGCGACGAGTTATTAATAGGACCGCCGCTATTGATTCTTCTATTTTCTGCGGAGGATAATGCCTTTATTTAATCTGGGACAGGGGAAAGGGTCCTCAATAATGTCTTCAGAATTCGAGTTGCTCCGTTCTGAGTTCCTCGTCACGGTTTCTGGCCTTCGTGGTGACCTGTGACGCGTCGCCTGCGTGATCCTCAGATGAAGACCCGTAATCTGGGCTGAAACGTTCTAGAACCGCTGCTTTTTTATGATCGGCCTCCTTCTGGCGAATCCATCTCTGAGGCTTGTCTTTGCTCTTTGATCTTCTCCGCATCAATCCGCTCGCTCGCCTTTTTTTTCTCCCCGTCGCTTGTTTCCCCTCCATCACCTCATCAACTTTTCCTTTGTATCCATGCTATCTTTTCTCTCGCTACACCATGGATCATAGCGCTCTCTGGCGGCGTGATGGCGCCGAGGAGTTTCTCAAACTCATCCAAGATCCGTTCAAATCGGCAGTAAGTCCGCAGCCCGTCTTCGATCCCGAGACGACTAACTCTCCTACTAGTTCCAAACAAACGCCGTCTGGGCTTCATTGGCCACATCTGCTGCCGTCGCTGTCCTCCTCGCTTTACTCTTCTCCCTCGTCCGGCCTCGCCATACACTCGTCTACGCACCGAAAGTCAAACATGCCGACCGGAAGCACGCTCCGCCGCCTGTGGGCAAAGGCTTCTTTGCCTGGATCAAACCAGTTATTCGTACCAAAGAGCCAGATTTGGTCGACTGCATTGGACTCGATGCTACAATCTTCATTCGTTTTACCAAGATGTGCCGTAACATCTTCATCTTCCTCAGCATCATCGGATGTGGAGTTATGATTCCGCTCAACCTCACTCAAAGTCAAAATACCAACAACGCTACGGCATTCGCAACAATGACTCCGCTGTACGTGAAGGCAGACGCGATCTGGAGTCAGGTTGTTTGCGCCTGGTGTTTCGATATCATCATTGCCTATTTCCTTTGGAGGAACTACAGGGCAGTTCTAGTTTTGCGCAGAAGATATTTCGAGAGTTCGGATTATCAGCGCAGTTTACATGCACGAACACTCATGGTAAGTTTCGGAAGTAGGTTTGCAAACACGCGGTGTGGCTGACTAGGCTGTAGATTACCGATATACCTCCCGAATTACGCACGGAAGAAGGAGTCATGCGCCTGACAGAAGAACTGAACCCTACGGCAGCAATTCCCCGATCTTCGGTAGGACGAAACGTGAAGATTCTTCCAAAGCTGATCAAGGAGCATGAAGAAACGGTACGCAATCTGGAATCTGTCTTGGCCAAATACCTCAAAAACCCGGATCGGTTGCCAGTAAATCGCCCAACGATGCGTCCACCTCGGAACTTACGGGGGGAGGCAGGCAATGGCAAGGTAGATGCCATTGACTTCCTGACCGACCGCATTTCGAGACTGGAGGAAGAGATTCGCCATGTTCGAAGCTCCATTGACAAGCGGAATGCGATGCCGTATGGTTTCGTCAGCTGGGACAAAATCGAGCACGCTCATGCCGTAGCGTACGTGGCACGCAACAAGCACCCTCGCGGAACGACTATCCGCCTGGCGCCTCGGCCGCACGAGCTTATCTGGGAGAATCTGCCTCTGTCAAAATCGGCACGGAAATGGAAGACCTTTGTCATGTTTCTCTGGGTTACCGCGTTGACAATCGTCTGGATTGCGCCCAACGCCCTCATTGCGATTTTCCTTTCCAACTTGTCGAATCTTGGCCTCGTGTGGCCCGCATTTCAAAGGTCACTTGACGCCAACTCCCAAGTTTGGGCAGCAGTTCAAGGTATTCTTTCGCCCGCGATAACCTCTTTGGTCTACCTCATCCTACCCATCATCTTCCGCCGCCTGGCGATTCAAGCCGGTGACGTGACCAAGACACTTAGAGAACAGCACGTCCTCCGACATTTGTACTCATTTTTCGTCTTCAATAACCTAGTTGTCTTCTCTCTTTTCTCTGCTGTGTGGACGTTTGTCGCAGCCGTCATTGAGTTGAACAACAAAGATGAGGATCCCTGGCAAGCCGTTAAAGATGGGCAATTTTACCAGAAAGCTGTTAGCGCTATGTGCCAAGTTTCCCCCTTCTGGGTGACGTACCTGCTTCAGCGGAACATGGGTGCTGCTATCGATCTGGTGCAGCTTGTCAACCTCCTCTGGGTGTGGTTCGCGAAGACCTTCATGGCACCGACTCCCCGCCAGACCATCGAATGGACCGCTCCACCACCATTTGACTATGCCAGCTACTACAACTACTTTCTGTTCTATGCGACTGTAGCAGTCTGCTTCGCGACCCTGCAACCCATCGTTCTCCCGGTGACGGCGTTGTATTTCGGCCTCGACGCATTGATGAAGAAGTACATGCTGATGTACGTCTTTGTCACCAAGAACGAATCCGGTGGACAGTTTTGGCGCGTGTTGTTCAACCGATTGGTGTTTGCGGCTATTCTTTCTAATGTTGTCGTTGCCCTTGTCGCAAAGGCCCGAGGGACCTGGACCATGGTGTTTTGTGTCGTTCCGCTTCCATTCCTAATGCTGCTTTTCAAATGGTATTGCAGGAGGCAGTTTGACCACGAGATCAAGTACTACAACAGGGCAAACCTGACCGATGCCGAAGCCCTCGCAGTCAGCAAGTCGAACAAGGGAGCAGCGGAACGACTCAGCTCCAAGTTCGGCCACCCCGCCCTGTTCAAACCGCTGATTACGCCCATGGTGCACGCCAAGGCGGCGGAAGCCCTCAAGCAAATCTACCGTGGACGGCTGGGAACATCCGAGGTTGAAGGCGAATATTCAGACATTGTCATGGACTCTATGTCGCGCACACAACCTGGCAAGACCATGCAGGATGTCTCCTCAGCTCCGTTCGAGGTGGTGCCGGAAAACCACCTCGACTTTTCTTACTACAAGGATCGCGCAGATTTCCGCGAGGAGTTTGGCGGCGGTATCTATGGGCGTCCAGAGGATCTCATGACCGAAAGATCGCATACCCCGCGGAGCGGGCTGGGCGATTGGTCCCCCAGCTCATCGCGGGCGTCGTCTCCCGCACCATCTGTTCCTACTCTGCCTGGTTTGAAGTCATTCGAGGACCATGATCCACGCATGACTGAGCCGGTGCATCCCGCGTTCCGTCCTGCTCCATTCAGACAGGACAGCGGCCAGAGCCGGGGGTTCTATCAGCAGCAGAATGACAGTGAAACCGAGCTCCTTGGACAGGCGCAGCAGCCAGCGGGTACGGGTATAACGCCGTGGCGCTCACCTGGGTACGGTCCTGTTGAACAGGATGACCCTGCTTTCACCTCATACGAAGCCTATAGAATGCCGCGATGATTTGTTTCTTATTTGCATTTTGTGATAGATATTTAGTTTCAGCGGACACCGATACAGTTTGGGTGGGGTGTTTTGGACATACAGCAGGATACCACTGTATATGATAGCATTGACATAATACGTCTCCTATACATGGATAACTCACAGTCATACTCATTAATCTTTCTTGAATGCGCGTCGAATGGGCGCTGATACTATGTAGAAGTTTTCGTAGGTGCCTCAGGCACAGGGGGCTTACCAATTTCCCGATTCAGCCGATCGTCACTTCCAACCCAAACTCGGCTTTCACGGAATAATGAAGCTTCAAGAAACGACATTGCCCCATCCTGCGCACCCTTTGACCGGAGTACGATGAGGCTTTCTGTTCTTTCTGAGCTCGGACCGCACCCATAGCACACACGCGACCGGGCTTGACCCCGCACAGGAGCTGAGTCTCCTCCGCACCACTTCCGTGGCTGCCTGACACGCGAGCATCGCTTTTCCTGAGCCACGTTACGAAATCAACGGCAATACCTTGCTGGAGCGGCGTTCAACGCTATATAGACATCTGCGCATCGCTGCGAACAGGGACGCTCCTGTACGAAGCTCCGGCCGAACCGGTTAACCCGACCTCCGCTGGCCCCCCGAATTCCTCTCCAGCTCATACTATACCACCTCACACAGTATACTAGTCAGTATGGCATGGTACTCGCTTCTCCCCGCCGAGCTCCTCTACGTCGAAAGCTGGGTCGTCCGGTGCTTCGTATGTCCCTTGCCCCTTGCTCTAATGCCTAGGCCCAAGCTTTCCTTTTCGGCAGAACACGGTCAAGACATGCGCGGCTAACTCGTCCTCCCATCTAGTTCTTTCTCGGCCTTGTGACGATCTGCCCATGGCTGGCTCTCATCATTTTCGACATGGCACTATATACCTGGCGACTGGTGACGTATAATATTCCCTGGGTCGGCGGAAGGGCGAGAGGCATGCAGCGGCCGAGAGCGCCGAGTCTGAATGAGCTGCCCGATCGCTTCGGGCTCAGTGCGGTGAGTGAAAATGAGAAGGCAGGTCTAAATGTGGGTGTGAGTGGTGGGGTCGGTTCAGATATCATCGACGGTGGACTGAAGAGGAGGATTGCGAGAGGGTCGGAGACCTGAAGATCTACCTGGACTGAGCTGGGCCCGTCAGAGTCCATTTTATTGCAAACGCGTGGTATGAACCTCCTGGAGAGGTAGACTGTGTTGGCGTTGTGTCCCATGCTATCATTATACGGTATGGTTTGCTCTGCCGTGCTCGACAGACTTCGCTGGCTGCTGGTGTTGAGCTGATTTATTGATACCCTCTGTACTATATACTCATACGATAGCATAACCAGATATCGTTTAAATCTGATCGTCAACGAAACCCGGAACATCGACCATTCGGCGTTGTTCGGCGGCGAACACAGCCAATCGGAGAGCTAGCGATATCATACTAGTATTCATGCACAGTCATAGCTCATCCAGACCTATCTCCAACTGATAGCATACTTATACCCCTCTCTGGACGGCAATAATGCATTCTCTATAGACAGGCAATATTGTCAGCCATGCATCCTTACCTCGAGTCCATCCCGCTTGCACCGTCTCTCTTGGGGATTGCGATCCTGGTCTGCTTCGGGATCTACATCCGAGTACGATCCATCCCCTCAAATCTACTCCGCATGACTGTGAACTAGTCTAACAGAGATACAGTCCTCGGCTCGCACAAACGCGCAAGTCGCAGATTCCAAGAACACATACTCAACCTATCCTACCACACCGGCCTATAACAATGGAAAAACGACGGAAAATGCTCAAGAACCCACCAGCTACCCTCCGATAAACCCCCTCCCGAACTTCAACTGGGAAGACACGCCTCCTCTCGCCATCCGACCATTCAAGCCGAAGTACCATCTAACAATGGGTGCGCCCCTTCTTCCCATTCAAGCTCATATACCCGCCTCATGGCAAGACCAAGATTAACCTGATATACAGCAATATCAACCCTCGACCCCTCAGAACTAATTCCCATGGACAAAACTTACAAGGAGCGTCTTGCCCTGCGAAAAACCCTCTTGGAATCTCACCCAGACACAGTTCGCGCTGTTAACATGAGCAAGGACACGCCCGAGGTGAATGCCCGGATTCGTGAGGCCCTGTGTGAGTGGTATGCGTTTATCGTGGGGGAGTATCTGCCGAGCCGGTATCCGACCATGTTCCGGCTTGCAGACGGAGAGGAAGGGGTGGTACTTGAGAATATCGTTACAGGAGCGAGGACTTGGGTCGATCCGGACGTTGTTCTGCGCTCTTTCACCAGCGAAGTGGCAGAGGGTGATGATGTCGAGGAAGCCCGGCTCCTCCATCTCATGGATATCCTCTCCTCATACATTGACGAGGACTTCCTTATCCTCTTTCCCAACCCTCTCTCCCCCTCCACCACAACCACCAGCCCCGAAGAAATCCCCTACACCCTCCAACTCTACTCGACCTACTACCCAGCAGGTTTCAACCCGCGCGAGAAACTCGGCCTGCCCCTCGCACAAATCCACACGCCTGTCCCAGGGTACAAGCAGAAACTCGAGAAGAGCATGGATAGGTTCTTTGCGCGCTTGGAGGTGGGGCGGTTTGTGGTGAGGGCGAATTGGTCTATTATGACGCCTGGCGCGAGGCTTTTCGCCGCGTTTGGAGGGTTGCATGATCATTCGCCAGAGGACTTGGATTTGAATGGTAAGAACGAGAAGAGTGAACGGGAGGTCAAGGAGGAGATTATGGATGTTGAGGGGTTTGATGGGTCTGATGTATGTCATCCTCTCCTCTTCTTTTCGAGGATGGCTACTGATACCTGGCACAGACATACCTCCGCTGCGAACGACAAACGCTACACCGGTTGCCAAAATCCAAAGCCCTCGTCTTTGCCTTCCACACGTACACATACCCCATCAAGGATATCAGAGACGAAGGGCTGGGTGAGGAAATGGCTGTTGCGATCGACGGACTGAAAGAGGGTAATGTGCCTGGGATTCATGCGTACAAGAGGGGCGCATATTGGGGAGAGGCTGTGAAGAAGTTTTTGCGGTCATGACCGTACCTAAGCAAGCGAAGAGTGATATCTATCATGTGGTAATGTCGTTGTGTTTGCTTATTAGTTCCTGCTCTGCTCTACTTTACTGCTTTTCGTATGATATGATTTAGGCAATAAGGAAGCTAGGAAAGCCTCTCGAGAACCTTGATCAAGTCTGCCGTCACTCCCATAGCGGTAACATCACCACCCGCACCAGCACCCTGGACAATAAGCGGGTTGCTTCCATACCGCCGGGTATAGAAGCTGATGATGTTGTCGCTCCCCTTCAGCCCGGCAATGGCACTATCCTTGTCGAACTGCTGTAGCCCAACACGCACCTCCTTCTTGCCAACATCCACGCTACCGACATACCGAACCACCTTACCAGCCTTCTCAGCGCCCTCCTTGATGCCCGCCATCTGGGCATCGAATTCCGGGAGACGGGTCATGAATTGCGTAATTCCGTCAGAGGACGAGGGGAGGGAAGCAAGTTCAGCGGGGATGAGCGACTCAATGGGGAAGGAGTCCGGGGACTGAACGTCGAGTCCCGCAATGCGGGCGAGGATGGTCAGCTTCCGCGCGACGTCCATACCGTTCAGGTCGTCGCGGGGGTCGGGCTCTGTATAGCCGAGCTCCTTGGCCTTTGCAACGACCTCGCTCCACTTCGCGTCGGAACCACCGGACGCGGGCGCAAAGGTATTGAAGAGGAAGGAGAGCGTTCCGGAAAACACACCCTCGATCCGGGTAACCTCATCGCCTGTCGCGACCAGGTCCTTGAGCGTTGATATCACAGGGAGACCCGCGCCAACGGTGCTCTCATGGTAGACGAGCGCCTTGCCCTCAGCAGCGGAGGCAAAGATATCCTTCCATAGAGACAGATCAGAAGAGAAGCCCTTTTTGTTAGGTGTAACGATTGAAATTCCTTTGCGGAGGAAGACGGGATAGGAAGATGCGAGGGCGGGGTCGGAGGTGTTGTCGACGAGGACGGAGCGGCCGGGGGCAGAGGCGAGGTAGGAGGCAATCTCATCGGGTGTGAGAGCGCCGGATTTGGTGAGGGAGGGGGTCTCAACGGCGGTTTTCCACTCGGCGGCGGGGATGGAGGGGCTGTAGGAGGGGGTCGGGGAGAGGAGGGTTTGGCTGGAGCGGGCGAGGAGGATGAGCTTGGGGGCGTTGGGAAGGCGGGCGAGCTGGTTTAGAAAGGCGGTTCCAACGCCGCCGACGCCTGTATCTCGGTCAGTATGTAGTTCGTCGTCTGGTTGAGAAAAAGTGTATAGCGGCGGGGTAGTGTTGATGAATATGGGTTTGGGGCTGTGGCTTACCGATAACACCGAGGTAAATTGGGGCAGACATATTGACTGTGATAGCTCAATTGGTAATTCTTCAATTGACCGTCAAAGCAAGAATTAGCACAAGTGAGGTTGAAAAAGAAGCCCAATGACTCCGTTGACGCTCAATCGTGGGGTAACTGGCGGCTTAGTCATTGTCCTCGACCGAGATCGGCCCCGAAAAGATCCAGTCCGCCGCAGCATAACTATCCAGAGCATACAACAGCTCATAATCAACTTCAGAGCCACGCGTACCGTATATCTCAAATCGAAATGTCAAACCCTGCCCTCTACGGCCAAAAACCCACAAAACAACCCACCACTTCAACCCCGTCCTCATCAAACCTCGCGTTCACATCGACCCTCTCATCCCTCATCTCACAAAACAAAGACAGCAACCAGTCATCACGCACCGGCCGCCCCCGCCCCTCGAAATCCAGCAAATCCGACATCTTTGCGCGGCCGAACAAGGGAGCCCAAAAGCGCGCGGCCGCCGACCTCCGCGACGATGACGACAACGCATTCCAACAGGTCCACCAGTCCTCCGCGGACATTGGTTCCGTGGATGCGGCGACACTGCACCGCTCGAAGAGGCGGATGGAGGAGAAGGTCCGCATCTATGAAGACTTGAAGAAGGGCGCATATCTTGCGGAGGGGAGCAGCGATAGTGAAGATGGGGGAAAGGGGACTGGAGACGCGTATCTATCTCGCCTGCGGAGGAAAGAAAAGGAGGGACTTGTTAATTTCGATAAGAAATGGGCCGATAGCCAACGAGAGAAAGAGGGGGCCTCGGATTCCGATACAGACTCGAGCTTTGAACATACGGACAACGACGACAACGCCTCGATAGTTTCCTACGAAGACGAACTCGGCCGTACGCGCCGCGGAACCCGAAAAGAAGCAGCGCGCGTTGCGAAATTGCTATCACAATCTCAGGGCGAAGGGGGCTCAGAAGCCGAACGCTGGCGCCCCTCGCGACCGGAGAACCTTATCTACGGGGTCACGGTGCAGTCTGAGGCATTCCAGCCGTCTGATGTTGTTGCGTCGCAGATGGCGCATTTGGCGAAGAGGCGGGACCGCTCGCCGACGCCCGACGAGGTGCATTACGATGCTGATGCGGAGGTGCGAAATCGGGGCACGGGATTCTATGCCTTTTCTAAGGACGAAGAGGTCCGGAAGAAACAGATGGAGGAGCTTATGAATGTGCGGGCTGAGACGGAGAGAGAGCGGGATGTCAGACGGGAGCGGAGGGCTGAGAGGGAACGAGTGAGGGATAACCGGAGGAAAGAGGTTGACAAGTTAAGGGCGAAGAGGCGCGCAGAGATGTTTCTTTCAGGGCTGGGGGATATCGGAGTTTCTGGATAGATACTTATGTACGGAGTACAGTTGGCTGCTTTTTCGGAGTTTGGTTGATTGACATGCGATTATGATACCCATTTACCGTCGACAGATCACTTTTGCTTTGCTCTCCTTCCAACTTTCTATTCTAGCCAAAACAGAACAACCAAACATTACACGCATACATGCCTTCAAACACCGAACCTCGCCAATTACCATTCATTCAATGCGCCATGCTATCCAAACAAACAATGCTGACTCTTCGCTCTGAAATCAACCATCAGCATTAGTCGTATTAGTCGTGGATGCGTAAGTCATAAGTCGTGCCTCTACTGCTCAGGCAGGTAGCCCCGGAGCCCTCCGCTCTCTTGAAACCATTGCCGTTGAAGGGTCAATCAGTGCTACTACGTGCTGATGTAAACCACGCCCCCTTCCGCTGCGAGTTCGGCCATGGTGCTGATGAAGCCTTCCGCGTCTGCGATTGTTAGCATTACAACTATGGGAAGCGTAGCTAAGACTTACCCTCAGGACTGGAAAACTCAAGTCGATGCTGGCCTCTGTTCGTTTTCGGAGGCGTGTAATCCGAGGAGGTAAAGATGGTCTGGCGGAGCTCACGCAGGAGGATCACCTTGGGTCCGACCATGCGGATCCATCCGCGGGTTTTGACCTGTTCCGTTATAAACGCAGTCCATACGGGGGCCCTGTAGTCTGTGGTTAGCTTTCTCAGAGGAGGGCAAAGGGAGTTTGTGCGTACCTTTTCATCTCGCCTTTATGGACAGAGGCTTGGAGTCGGACTGCGCCGGTTATCCTGTCCCGGTAGACTCGCAGCGCGTGCACGTAGTCATCGTCGAGGATCGGTCTGGAGCTGTCAGCTTTCCTCGTATTGTAGGGCTTGTCATGAGGGGCTTACGATCCAAAGAGCTCCTCTTCGTGGGTGAGCTCGTAATCACGGATCTGTTCCACGGGCCGGCCCGAGTCCTGGGAGCGAAGCGCCAGAAACGTGCAATAGAAGATAACCATATCTGACTCAGGCATGTCAGTACCAGTCATCATTCGCGAGGTTCAGCAACTACGTACCTTCAATCGTACTGAACTTGAGGTTCGCCCACATGACCAGCTCCGTTCCGCCACGACGGCGGCGGCAGAGCTGCAGACATGAAGGCTGGTTGCGGACAACCTCCAGCAAGTTCAATGGGAGGCAGAAGTACTCGCTAGGCTGTCCGCGCCTAGGAGCTTTGCATACAATGCGTGAGCGGTGATCGTCTTCGCGGAGGTAGAAGAACACCCGGAAGTCTGGACTGCCAGGTGGACTGGGAAAAGCCCTAGTACTTGTTAGCATTCCTCTTAGCAGTAGATGGACAAATCTCACAGCTGCAAAACCTCTTCAAATCCCTCATCCAAAAGCCAGGACTTTAGTCCCGTTTGCGCGTCACCGTAGCACCTCGACCTATGGCACATTAGCACAATGAACCGCATATGAAGCTGCATTTCTTACTCGTGGCCCCTGCCGGGAATACGAGTAGCTGTGCGCGGACCATAGAAGACTCGCGACGCCCAATGATCAGCCGAAGTGTTAGAGCCCAATGATTGAGTGGTAGCCGAACTTGTGATCGGCGAGCCCGGAGCATCGGGAACAGTGGGGATGTCAAAGAAAGATCCAGACGACGCTGATATGGGCGACAGTGGAGAAAGATGAGACGGCCGTTGACGCTCGTAGGACCTACGGGTGCGGGGCTTTCTGTCGCTCACCGGGCTACTCGGTGTCGTACTATTGCTGCTCGTCGAGGACGGGGAGCTCACGGACATTGTGCCCAAGCGCAATGCGAGACGACTATCCTGTTGGACCAACAACTCCTTGAACGCTTCACGGAGGCGAGACATGTGGCCCTGGTCGGGATTGTTGCTGTACAGCATCGATCAGTAAACGTCTCAGTCGATACAAGGCTCAGGAAAGTGCGCACTCCTTGATATAATCCTCCAATTCTTGCAAAAATACCTTGTACTTGGCTAGCCGTATAGCCAATGACTCCGCAGACTCGTCCATGAAAAACCTGCCCAAGGACACCCAGATTCGTTTATGGATATCCCGACTTGACGCTCTGCGGCCCTCGAGGTGGCCGAAGAAATCGACAATGTCATCGAGCGTATACTGCAAGCTGGCGCTGACCAAGTCTAGGTCCGGTCGAGCAAAGGGAATGTTGAGTCGGTAGCGACGGTCCGTGGAGAGATCCTCTAGTGTCTTGAGCGACGAGCTGATTGTATAGAGATCGGCGATGAGGCCGGTGATTTCCGTCGCATGTTCGGGGAGAGGGTCGCGAAAGCGACGGAAGCCCGCCGCGACTTCTTCTGCAATACCGGCAGGAACGCTGAGCGCCATTGTAAGATCACTGATGACAGGCCATCCAAGGCCAGAAAAGGGGGTTCCGGTGGCTCGTTATATAGTTGAAGGTGGGAAAAAAAAAACGCGGGGAGGCCGTGAGGAGCGGTGGAGTCAACAGTCAGTCAAGCTATGCAAGCAGACGAGAGGCACAAAGGCCACGGGTAGCGGCTTCTATATCCCGTAATTATATCAAAGGTTTATCGGATGGAAAGTTGGAAGTTGCAGGAGAAGAAAGAAATGGGATGAGCAGTCTCAGTCATAGAACGGTGAGGGGCAAGCCGGGACAACTCAGAAGCCCACAGTCGGAGGTAGAAGAACGAATATTCTTGCATAAGTCAGGATGTGCGGCGTTTCTATCGGGATCGTCCCCCGTATGCATATCGATCGTGGTCGTCGCCGACAAGAGAAGAACTCCACCGGGGTCGGTCAGAGAGAGGCGAGACTGAAGAAGAGACAACAAGCCCATTCAAGTCATCCGCCCTTCCCGTGCAGAAGAAGATGCTGAAGTGGGGTCAGAAGCCGTCAGAAAACGGGCTCAGGAATGCGGCTCTCAAGACAAATTTGGGATAAACCTGGCCAGGGTGCAAAGTCTGGCTTGGAGCGTTGACGTGGTCGCGTCTAATGGGCGGCAGAGATTCATGGCTGGACTTAGTCTCGTAGAGACCCCGCCGCTGTGCTGCAGAGCAGCAGAGGTGGTATAGCGCTGCTTTTGTGCCATGCCATCACCTTGGCAGGAAGACTCATCGCCAGTGACATTGCTGAATCAAACCCGTCAATTGATTAAAAATCCATAGTTAGCCAACTATAAATAAGATGCTCCGTGGAACCATGGTTGCACGAATACGACCAGCCAACACAGACTCGGATCGATCCGCTGCCATGGAGGACGGACGACTTCCTCCAGAATCTAAAGCCCAGACTGTGAAGGATTTTGGCCCGCCCCAAGATTAGGTAGTTGAGCCAGCACCACTTGCGACAGCAAAGAGGATAAGTCTTATCAAAGCCCGGGGACCCTGACCAAAGTCGGGCACGAAGGGACAACAACCCTCGATGCACAGAAGAAAAACCTTCTAGACCATCACGCGACATCCATTAGCTTACCCACCATACGCTAACAGGTCCCGAGATCCTGGAAAGCCAAGATGTCTCTATCGCAATGCAATATCAGAGTCCTGACGATCGAGTTTCGATGGATTCTTCGTGGTGGTGGTAACCAGAGTGTGATGATCAACCTCTGTACGTCCACAGAAAGTCTGTTTGGCATAAAAATCCATATACAACCCAAGAACAGATCACAATGTAGTCCATAGTCATCGCGCAAGTAGAGAAACGTCTTCGCATATACAACCCTTCGCAGGCCCCACCAAGCTTCAGGACTTCCTTCAATCATTGGCAATGGGCAATGCACACTGCAGCGGGCCAGCAGGGCGCTCATCATCCAGCGCACAAACGACCGATCCAAGATCAAAGAACAAAGAGCCTCACGCACGATTTCCCCGATTTGCCAAAACGTCACTTCATCGGAGGATATCGGATATTTTTGCATCCTGTAAGTCAATGCAAGCAATCGGAGCCAGATCATGTCTCTGGCCGGCGATCATTCGTCAATTTGGGACGCTTGCAGCCTGAGGCAACTCGGAGTTATCGGAGCTCGACGCGTCCGACACGTAAACAAACGATGACGTCTCCGCGTTGAGCTCAAGCTCGGGCCAAGATCATCTTCGGGAGCAACACCGCGAAACTTAAGCTTACAGAGAGTAATTGCAGTTGGCAGCTTCACTAGATCATATTTCGCCATTACTTAAAGGCTTCCCGTCGATGAATCCAGCGCCGGGCACCCTCGGATTTCAAGTAAACCAGTCCGTACACTAACATTCCCATTGAAGAGCCTTCATGAACAGAAAAGCAAGCACAAACCACAGTCATCCCATCCCAGAAGCCGTTGATATAGGACAAACATATAAAGCTCGCAAGTACAATAGATGATTATCAGTAATAGGAAAGAAATGGAACACACAACGCCAAGCGGTCAAGCGGTCAAGCGACTCGAGATCTGGAGGTCCCTTAGGACGATTCCTCATCCTCCTCGGCAGCCTGGGATTAGAATAAGTCAGCGCGAGTCATCCTGACCGTCAGTGTGATACATACGTTGTACTGAGCCTTTTCCTCCTCGTACCGCTTCTTGTCGGCAGCAGCCTTGTCGTCGTAGGGCTTGCGCTCCTTGTCGGTAAGAGCCTTCCACTTCTCACCCAGCATCTTACCGACCTGGCCTGCGCAGAGTTAGCATCAAGGAAACCCAAGCGAGGCGTTCAATGCTTACCGAAGCTGATGCCGGGGTTGTCCTCACGGACCTTCTCGCGGTTCTCGTTGGCGAAGAACATGTAGGCAGAGAGACCACGCTTGGGGGCGTTGGGGTCTGGTAAAAATCGTTAGCTAAGCAAAGAGGCAGCTCGAAACCTAACTTACCCTTCTTCTTCCTCTGGGTCTCGCGGGCAGGAGCCTTGGCCTTGCGGGTGGTCTTCTCCGTCTTGGGCATTTTGAGAGTTTGAAGCTATCGTGAGCTTCGTCAGCGGATGAAGAGAGGTTGAAGAAAATTCAATTGAATGCTCTTCAATGCAAAGACAAAGGAGAGAAGGTGATTAGGAGGATGATGCGACAGTGCACACAGAGAAACAGGTGTGGCAGAGAAACATGTGTTGAGGAACGAGAGTGGTGGGTAGACAGGAAGCGCGGTCGCGGATCGCGGTCGCAAGTCGGGTATTGGCACAAAAATAAAGCGCGCAAAACAGCAACTTACCTAGCAGGAAGCTCGGGAAAAGGAGGTTATTATGGGTTTCGAGGTCAGCGGTTTCAGCCTGTAGATGTTAGTTGGTTGTCAAGCTTGCGAAATACATGCTGGCTGTTGTAGTGCGCGACGACGAGACCGCGAAACAAACAAGGGGAAAGTCGAGGAAGATGACGATTGTAAAGTGCAAACGAGAAGCGAAGAAGCAGTTTGAGAGGGAAGAAAGAGAATTGTGTTGGTGGTGAAGAAGGAGTGCTCGAGAATGGGAGTGTTTATAGAGTATACTCACCGACGCGGGTGTACTTTTTTTGTATGGGAAGACACAAATTGTATGGGAGAACTGAAGAGCGTAGTGAGAGCAGAGAGAAAGGAAGAGTGCGGACGAGGAAGAGGGGAGGGTACTAGTAGTTGATCTGAGTGTGAGTGAGCGAGCGACCGACCGACGGGAAAGCGGGCCATTGATTATTACAGCAGTTTCCAAGGGGCCGCAAGGGAAGGAAAGCGAGCTGGTGCTCTGCTGCTACCACTGGCTGGCTGCTGGGGGTTGAATGGCTCGTATCGTTTGTTACCGGTACTATGTTTCGTCACTTTCCACTCTCCCCCAGCGGCATTTCTGCGAGGCCCAGCTGCGCTTTGTAGAAGGCGACCGAAATTATTTCCTCCAGGATGATGATCAAAATGGTCGTCGATAACAGGCATCAAAAATAGTTTGTTCTCGCTTGATTTGAGCCTTGTTGCACGCTAAAAGGCCTGCTCTCAGACACCTCAGTGCCTGTCGTATGGGGGGGTACAGTACCACGGCGATACGCTCTCCTACGCCATTCACTGCCACTGCCATTGGCAGTGTGGACTGTGTGGCCTGGATTACTACTCGTATGTGGATAATTCAGCTCTGAGAAATATCACACCGAGGAGGGGGGTTGTGTGTTGACTGAGTGGTACCATAGATACGGGCAAATCGTAGCACTTTGGGCCTCTGGGCTCTGGCAATCAGAGCGCAGTGTCCAGTCTCTGGGAGGAGTCCATCGATCATACTAGTAGTACTTTACATCATACTACAAAAGACTCGTACAACTCCGTAACAACGGGCGAGTCGTACTAGCACCAGCAGCACTTTCTGAAGGCGCATTCTTCGCAGTCCCAAGCCTATGGAGTGTGCGTGTGCAACTTGGTGGCCACGGGTAAGAAATTATGAGAATAGCCCGTAATAATGGAGGGTCATGATGCCTTGATGTCCCATACGCCTCTGATACCTGAGGGGATTTTCCAGTTTCTTGGGGCAGGGCATGGGCGATTAGTGCAGGCTTTCAGCTCTGTTCTCCCAGTCCCAATTCGAAGGACCTCGGCGCCGTCGTTTTCTCTAAGAGGGGCAACAAGATGAGGACGGGACTGCCTTTGGCTCTCTGAAAAACCCTAGCACGACGAAGCAAGGCGAGAGCAAACAAAGAACCCTTCCAGAAATGCAAGTTCTCCGTTGGTGGCAGTAGCTGCTTGACTGCCGGAATGGTTTCAAAGGCTTCTCCACATGAGCTCAGCGAAATTCGTCAGCCTCTTTCGTTCTAAATCCAGCCCGCGTTCAGGGCATGGGATCTCGCAGTCGCATCTCGCATGTGTCGCGACCAGCGACTCAGTGTTCCAAAGGCGCCTCAAGATGCTGGCAGTCCCGGACATGGCTGCTGGCCCTCCTCCTTATTCGATTAAACTCTGTCAAAAGCAACGCTGCCCACAGTCGCACAGGGAGCGCATCCCTCCCAACTGAGCCACTGGGCCAATGAGATAGCATTGCCATCGCGATGGCAATGAGAAATTAAGACACGACCCTTCCTGAAATGATTCCTCTCTGCTTGCGAATCTACCTGTCACAATTTGACAACGGATCACATTGATCCTATTCCCTAAGAGAGATGGACACCCAACAGCACCAGGGAGCATACCGGAGCTTGGGCCTAGGTATCAATTGTTTCCTGCTCCAAACAATCAGGTCGAGTTTGCTTATCAAGTGGTTGTTTGAGCTGGACTGTGGGCTCTTGAGTTGTTCGATGCCGTTTGGTCGCTCAAAGCGCAGATTATACTTTCCTATTATTGACGGGTATAGTTCAATAACCTGGGTGGCCTATCAAGGTCCAACGGCCAGTGTGGTGCAGTGCAGCAGGAGAAACTTGGAGGCCTCATCGAGAGATCGACCCAGCGCGCTGCAAATAATGCCACCACATTCCAGCGCAAACAACACCACCAAAACTTACCAGCGGAATACTGGTTCGTACCCTCTTAGCCAGGCCCTTGTTAGTGGTATTGTAAGCTGTCGGCTAGCACTTATTAATGTGACTAATAACAGCAACGATAATATCATGGCAGATATGGTGGGGGGTCGCCTTCTTGCCCTCCTCTTCTCTCAGCTGTCGCCAGCCTGTTTGATCCTCCTGCGGTTCTACCCTGTCTTTACGCCGGAGCTCAGCCGTTTCCTCTATTTTGCGACTAGCTTACAATCCGAGGCTTCTCGCATGTTTCAGATTCTAACACGAGTGATCGTCAATGATGCTTTTTTTGTTCTTTCGCCCAGTCCTATGATGGAGCTTTACGTGCGATCCATGATGTCACGTGGGTCGGTACTTAGGCCATAGTAGTTCTTGATTTCGATTTCTGACCATGCAAAGTCCAACACTTAAGCATCAAGTCTTATGTAGCAAGAGATCAAACAAATATGAACGGGGATAACTCCAGTTTGATAAAGGGAAGACTGGGTATCATTCAGATGAGAAACCAAACTCGAACACACAGGATATGCGCCTGTGTAGAACGCCATCCCAAATCAATCCGAAGAAAAAGATAAGAACGAACAAGTATGCTATTATAGGAAAAAGGGAAAAAGGGCAAAGTTACCGAGCGTTCACTGACTACCTCCTTCAAGCCGATAATCAACCGACCACAGCTTCTCCCAGGGGCGATACCGCGTGCTCGGCTGCCGACTTGGGGTCGACACTACAGACGATGAGGATGCGTTGATATAGGGCGGTGGTGAAGAGGCAGCAGAAGAAGACATTAAGCGTTCTGCAGTGTGATGGCGCGGGTACCCGCGCTCACGCGCATATAATCGCTCCACGTCCTAGAAGACAGCTCTGTCAGCCCTGGCAAAGGAGTCTGAAAGGGACCGTGGATTTGTTCACGGACCCTGGAGAAGGTCACGGCGAACCTCGTCGAAGATGGGCGCCGACTCTCTGGGCTGAGAGCTCGCAGCAGCAGGAGTACTGCTAGGATCTCCCTCAGACGCGCGGGCGATATCCGATGCAGAGTCATTTGCTCGGGTTGAAGATGCCGCGGGTCCCTTCTTGTTGGAGGCGGAGCTGTTTCGGCGGCTGTCGAGGCTCTTCGTGAGGGTTTTTGTGACGTGGTCGCCAGCTGGGGTGCGTTTGAGGCGGATGCTTCCTCGGGCGTCGACGTGTGCGGGAGCAACGGTGCTCTTCCCTAGACCCGGGGTTGCTGGCGCGCCGGGTTTCTCTTCTGTGGCATCAAGTAAATACCAGCGAAGGCCATCGGATAATTCAAAGGGGTTTTCGTCGTCGATGGAGGCGGCGTCACTAGTCTCTCCAATTGACCTGCGATCAGGGTTGCCGCCGTTCATTGACTTGGACAGATCAACTACTCGTTCTTCAATCTTGGTGATTCGAGCAAGCAGCCAGTCCCTAGTCTGGAGCTTATGTACGTCCTGCTCACGGAGGAAGTAGTGCGGTGCGCCGACATTAAAAGCGGCCCATGACCGGATGGCTTGGTTCCGGGTTGGCAAGAACAGGGCAAGATCTCCTTCTTTAAAGGTCCGATAGGCGATCTTCTCGTGGGCTTCGCTTTGCATGCGGTGATACTTGTCTCGGTAACCGCGGGCTTCTTTCTGCCATTTCCGCGCAAGCAATTCAATGTCCTTGACTCGTTTGACCACTGCGTCTCCAAATATTTCGATGTTAAACTGTTGTAGTGATTCCATAAAAGCTGCAAACTTGCTAGTTTGTTCTTCAGGACTATCAGCTAACATCCAACCCAGGAGGTTTGCGTCTGGCTTGACAGACACCACGCCAGACTGGCTAAGGGTGTCTGCGGTCTGAGAGAGCGCATTGACTTTGGAGGACCGTTGGACGACTATTTCACCATCTTGCCGAATGGCAGTAAAACCCAGTTGTTCCAACATACGTTCCAGCCTTTCCACTTGGGCGAACAGTTGGTTCGAGAGCTCTTGTGATCTTGTTGTATAGACTTTGGTCTTGGACGTAGCTTTCCGATCTGATTCCAATAGAGATTCTGCACGCTTCTTCCATTGCATTACCTCTTCCTCTGACCGGCGAGCGCGAGCCTCGACTTCGGCAAGTTGATGAGACATGTTTGTCAGTTTTTGTTCCTCTTCTGCAACATGTTCTCGGAGAGCACCGGCTCCTGTCTCGCCTGCAGCAAGCTTAGACTCTAGCTCAAGAAGTCTTTCTCGTTCGTCATTAAGTTCAGATTCGAGTGAAGCTAGCTTCAATTTTTCTTGATCAAGACTTTCGTGAGCCTGTGCCAGTTCCGCCTTGTACTTGTCCGACAGGTTTCGTAGTTCCTGGGCATCCGACTCCATCTTCTCGACCTGCTCCGTGAGCGTCTTATTCTCTGCTGCAGCTTTTGTGGCGTTGTCTTCAGCCGTCTTTGCATGAATGGTTAAACCTTCCGACAGCACGTCAATTGCCTTGATAACGTCGGCGGCTTCGTCGGGAACGGAACCACCCGGTGACAGATTCATAAAAGCGGCGTGCAGAGCATGATAAATATCTTGATCTTTGCGGCTATTTTCGGCGTCGCGCTTCTCGAGCTCCTCCACACGGGCACGGAAGCGGTTCTCTGCATCCCTATGCGACTGCATCTCCTCGAGCAAGTCACTGGCCCTCCGCATCTCTTCGTCCGCACGGACATGAGCGTCCTGCAACTCCAGTTCCAGCTGGTGCATGCGGTCTTCGGCATTCTGTTTTTCGTGGTCGCGACTGTCAATGACTCTATCTAACTCCTCTTCGAGCTCCTCAACACGGATCTTGAACCGTTTCACCTCGCCTTCTAGATACCTCCGCTCATCGTCAAACTCACGTTGCCGAGCCTCGAGATTTCCGATCAGATCGTTCTTTGTTGACTGAGCTTCTTCCATCTTATCGGTGTTGGACTGTCGTTCCGCGTGGGCTTCACGTTGAAGCCGTTGCACGGTGTCTCGTTCAGAGGCAAGTTCCGCCTCCAGGTGGACAATACGGTTCACCAGGTTCTTGTCCTCCGACGTCTGGTTCGAAGACATTCGCCTTGACGAGACCGAGGATCTTCTCGACATAGGGTCAGGGTGAGGAGATGCTGGCGAACTAGGAAAGTCGATGGAGAAATTTCCACTCGAGGGGCGACCTAGATGGCTTTGTCGGTGAAGAAGATCTTCCAACTTTCGTATTCTGCTCTCCGACCCTCGTACTTTCTCTTCCAACTTGAGCTTTTCGTCTCTCAAGCTCCGCACCATCTCGTCGCTATGAAGCAAAAGCGAGCTGCGACTCGTATCAAAGATACTGCCTTGTTTGAAAGCTTTCGCCCTACGGCGCTGTACTCGCGTGGGTGCATCAAGCTCTTTGAAGACTTGCGCCAACTCTTGAGCGGCATTCGTCATGCCAGGCTTCGTCTTCAGTTCCTCGATGTATGCCTCAATTTCCTTCCTACTTACCGTTGGCCATTCAAATTCATGGCCTCGGAGGTTGACCTCGATGCCAGGAGTGGTGGTGTCGCTGGTTGAGAGGAACTCCCCCATATTCTTCATCCACTTCTTCCGTCGACGCTGCTCTTCATCCTGAAATACGGACATTTCTTCCGCCAGGGTGAGTGAGTCGCTCTTCATTTTATCGTTAAACTCCCGCCGCCTCACTGACTCTATCAACACCGATCCATAGACAAGGGGCAAGTGAAAAACGGAGTACAGCAGATCGAAAGCCTCGCTGTGGAAGTCGAGTTTGGCAATTTGGTTTTGCACATCAGCCAGTCGAGATTCGATGGAAGATATCGATTTCGTGTGGGCAAGGGCGGCCTTTGCTGCACTAGTGTACCGTCTGACAGCGTCATTCAAGCCCTCACGCACTTCGACGCCGATCTCCAATAGCGACGGCAGGAGCTCCTGGGTATGGTTGAGGGCAAGCCTAGATATATTGGCCAGGGTCTTTTGATTATTGGGCAAAGCCAATACATGTTCGTAGTCGGATTGTATCTTCCTAGATAATGTTTCCACCTCTTGCAGGAGGTTTTCCACTCCGTCGGAGGTTGTAGGGGGAGCATCATCGAGCAGCTTCTGAGTATCAGCAGCAATATCCGCGACCGCCTTCTGAAGTCCCTCAAATTGGCGAGTAAACCGCGAAGAAGCTGCGGAAGCTTCTGAGCCAGCTTTGTGCACTTCTTTTGAATCCACGTAATCCAGCAACGTCCCCGTCGACCTATCCACATCCGTCTTTGGCGTGGATTGCCTACCTAGAAACGAGAAATCATTTCGCGCAGGGATGCCTTCCAACGCAGTAAGCGCACGTTTCCAACTTTCCAGCGCCGATTTCTGCTCCTTTGTGAGATCGTTCGCCCATTCCTGCGCTTCCCGAAACCGAGCCTCCAAGCTGACCACGTGCGTCTTGAGGTTCTCTAAAGCTACGCCGGCAGCTCGGTTGACGATCTCCGTCCGCTCGTTGTACTCAAAGATTTGCCTCTCCACCGCTTCGCAGCCTTCCGCTAGCTTAAATGCCCATGCTTTTCTAGCCGAGTAAAGGTTTTGCCAGGCTTGGAGGTCGTTTTGATCGGAGAGCGTATCGGGCGGGTTGTTGAGTTGGAAGGCAGGGGGTGAGGGAAGCTTTGGGGGTTCAACGTTGTCTTGTTCGCTAACGTATCGTCTGTCATACACGAATATCTCGTTCTGTTTTCGGAGAATAATTAGCTCTGGGATCCGGCAGAAAGCTTGACGGTCGGCGGCGCACCTCAGTGGCGAGCGTCTGGATCTTGACGTTCTTCCCTCGAGAAGTCATCAAGATCTGTCTTTGAGGCGGTATTGACGTATTTTGTGCAATCCATGCCCGAAGTGTATCCGTCCTAGTAGCGTAAAGATGTCAATGTTAGCCAGCGGCCTCAGCTCGGGATAGCGAAACCGGCGCCTGGAAGGCACATGTGCGCCGGGCGGAGAACATACGTAGCAAACGACGAGATGTCGGCCAGCAGATGCTCACCGGTGTGAGCGATATAGACGTGCAAAGACATCCCCCTCACCAAGCGAGCCAAGCAGCTCAAAAGTCCTTCTGGTGAGGAATGCGGGATGGAGGATGGTAAGGGAGCGTTGAACGCTTTTGGGAAGCTTCCCCAAGTCTAGGCTGTATTTGGGAATGACGCGGGCCGGACTCACACGCCGGGATCTCCACCGCCCAGGCCCTTGGGCTGTTAGTGTTGGTTTAAGGGCACAGTACCTTATTTGACCATCCACTATCACACGATGCTGCTTCTGACCCGCCACGGGGCCTTGCTGAATGTCATCATCCAAGGCCCGTAACCAGCCTCATCTTAGTGCGGGTGAGGTCACCCTGCTGGATCTGGCAGCTGACGATCCCCGAGACATTGTATCTTTTTCAGACAAAGAAGCCACAATCCTCCAGCTGTATCATCAGATACAGGAGCAGGACCTGGAAAAGGCTATTCTAGGGCAAGGTGCGTACGGCTCGTTATTTAGAGCACACGCGCTGACGAGTTTAGAACTAGAGTCGACCTCGACGGACAGCGCTGAAGCGCTTGCGGATGCAGAACGCGAGCTGCTCGACGCCCGAGCCACCTACACTGTTAGGAAAAAGGCGGTCGGCACCGTACTTATAACAGATCCTATTCTCAAAGCTATTCACTTGAAAGGTGTAACCCCCGCTGAGCGGTAAGCATCACGCCTTGCATCTTTTGCTAAGATGTCCGCGCTGACGCGTAGCAGGGCTCTTTTACGTCTTGTCAACAGACGCGATGTCCTGTCCTTGGCGCAAGAGAATTTAGGAGAAGTGCATAATGCGACACTGAAAAAGTTGTCAACTCTAGAGGTTGAGAATGTGCAGCTTCACCAGAAGAATCAAGAGTTGGTACGTGAACTGTTAAAGCTTACAGAGGACGATGAGTCCTGGAGGGAAGAGCTCGATGACTCCGAGCTCAAGCAGCAGCTTTCGGAGCTTGAAGCTGGTTACAAGAAGAGTAAGGCGAGATGGGAACTGATGAAGAGCGTTACGAGTGCGATTGTTGTGGGTAGTGGTGTGGATTGGGCGGATGATGAAAATCTTACGGCTCTGGTGCTCGATGAGTCCAATGACTGACGAGCTGCTGAAAAACGAGGCTTATGGGCTCTACACTGATGTCGATTGCCTTGACATAGAGGCGTTGATTATAGTGTATACTTTTGATTAACTAAGACATTTCCCCCATTCTCTTGCTGGCGCGTCTTTCGGCGTAAGGTGGATCAAACCGCTGACAATCTCCAAAGCAAAGACTACGGAATACTCTGCAGCATGACAATAGATCCAATAACGTGAATAATGGTGTACATAGACCCGCCCCTTCTATAGTCTTCCAACGCCCGCCCAGCCAAAAAGTAGAGTCGTATATAACGCCGAGGGAGTCAACCAAAAAAAAAAAAAGAAAAAGAAAAACCTGAGCTAAGGAAGAGCCCAACGAAGCCTCAAGAGGTACAAAGGAAATGGAAATGAAATAGACAAAGCTAATCCAGCTGGTCAACGCCCCAATCCGCCTCCCCCTCTCCTTCCGTATCTCCAAAGCCCTCCATCCCACCGACCTCCGCCCAGAACGTTGCAAAATCCACACCCGCCTCTTCGAACAGCGCCTTCGCCTGCACCATCGCCGCCTGCTGCCGTTCCGCCGTGAACCCACCGGGCCGCGTGCTCTCGTACTGGATCAGCTCGACCCAGCGGAAGAACAGGTCCTCGTGACCCATGTCCGAGAGCTTGTCCTTGAACGCAATAATCTGGTCCCGCTGTTTCGTGCGTGTCCGGCCCTCGGGCGTGTCTTCGTCGCCGACGCGCCAGATTAGCCAGCCGTCCGTGTCAGTGTTAACCAGGACTGCGGTGCGGAATTCGTCCAGTGGGAGAGCGGGTGTTGAGTCTTTTTGTGAGGGAGGGGTGACGAGGGCATGTGCCTTGATCATGGCGGGGTAGTCGAGGGCCCAGTCTGCGTCGACAAGGAGGTAGCCTGTCTTATTGAGGCGATCGGGCGTGACGGCCGCAACGATCTTGTCGCGCATTTCGTCGTTTTCGCGGATCCAGCGGTTGCGCTGGAGGGGTTTGCTGAGGGCGGGCTGACTGCGGCGGACGATGATTTCGTGGTTCTGAAAACCGACGGAGCGGCGCCATTGGATGGGGCCACGGTAGAAGTTAAATAGCCAGGGGATGAAAGTCGCGAAGAGGAAGTAGTCTAGGATGACGGGGAATGTGCGGCGGACGATGAGGGAGACGAGCTGCGGCCAGGAAAGGGCTGAGGCGTCGACTGTTAGAGGATTCGAGATGCCGATTACGGTGGCTAGAAGGGCTGGATAGAGGGTACGCCCTGTATAGATACGGTAGGCGAGGATCGCAGCGATGGCGGCGTTGGTTATGGCGGGGATGATGAATGTTTGTTTCTTCAGTTCGAGGGCAGAGGTGTCGATGTGAACGAGATACACTTCGTCATTGGAGAGGAGGGGGAGGATAGGCCTCAGAGTGTCTGGAGCGACGGTGAACGGAGGTAGAGGGCCAGATTGTGAGCTCGGAGTTGAGCTTCCGGAGGAGGATAATGGGGATGCTGCTGGGCTTTTTCCCTTTGCGGAGCGTCTGGCGGATTTAGCCATTGCGAAGTGGTGGATATAGCTTAAGAATGTGCAGGAACAGGTTGAACGCGAGGTAAACTGGTCGCCGGAGATATATAACAGCTTTATACAGCTCTCGAAGCAGTTTCGTCTGGAGCCACGAAGCCAAAGGAGCTGGTGATCAGTACATCTGATAGGGTCACATGTTGGTCAGTTGGGTGCTTGGACGACGACAGTGACGGCGGGAGTCCTACCGCGTGTCTTGGATCAACTGACGAGCCGGCTTGCTATGACTCAAAGTAGTACTCGGGGTCGTGCAAGTGAGAGAAAAGTGAGGTATTGAAAGTGAAGCTTTCAAGGTTCCGAGTCGTCATCGCACTTGTTGGTCCACTCCGCGCCGCTAACCTAATTTGGACTGTATGAAGATCGCCGCGGATTATTGTTGTTCTCGCCCTCGTCGCTGCTGTTACTGCCGAGATTGCATACCACGCGTGTATATAACACTCTTCTATTTTTATCCTGCGTGTCGCCCTTCAGTGCCCGAGTGAATGGCGCAACTTCTCTCGCAATGCCCACCCCCGAGCGCAAAACTGGCCAAACAGCATGGTCGCGTCGTCAACGGCAACAGCAACACAACTCTCCCTTCAGTCGAGCCCGCCCTGTGACTCTTAACTTAGACGCGTCTTTTAGTCCCAGTCCTGCCGACGAATCCCCCGCATGGCACCGGAGGAAGTTCAGCCACACAGGAACCTTCGGAGATGCCTTCGAGTACGTATTGCGCGACGACGAAGAGGATCTTTTCAATCTTCGACCCACGCGACGTCCCTCACCCCGCACTCGACGCACCTCCAGCGCCATGTCTTTACATTCGAATCCTCCAGAGCTAGAAGAGGCGTATAGGCAGATTGATGACGCCAACAGCCTTACTGACTTTGATCCGTCCGACGACGAGAATGCTATCTTCCGATCCAATCCCGATAAGCTCAATAGACGAGTACCCACTACGAGCTCACGAAAAGAACACCGGTTGTCCAGCGCCTCGGACGCCAGTTTTACAAGCCAATCGCCCCGTCGTCGAGTCGTCGACCCGTCCAGGGATGAGGAGCGCTTGAAGCGGGCCACCACCAGTCGCTCCCCAGTACTAGACAGATCAATGCTTGCTACAGGGCCTTCATCGGAACATTTACAGCGACGAGAGTCGGAAAATCGAAGTGTGCCTGAAGAAGACAATTTTGGCATAGAGCCATCAATGAATGTGCCGTCGACTTGGGGTAGCAAGGCGAGGCCTAGCCCAAAGTGGATGGAAAGTCTAAAGCGCAACCGGATTGGAACATCCACTGATGCTGGAGAGACTCCCTCCCGACCGTCAGATAAACCGAGTGTCAAAATCAGCGAGCAAAAGCCAGCTCAAAAAGAGACGAACAGATCCCGCCCAACAAGCTCACACTACGAGCGCCCTTCGCCCCCTCACGCGCCGACATCACCTAAACAACCCGAGGAGTATCCGTCTGGAGGACAGCATATTCCAAACACACCTATTTTCACGTTTCCGAGTTCGACATTCACCAAGCGCAGTCCGTCAAAGCGAGACTCGCATGAACTGCTTCGAAGGCTTGCGCGGACCGAGAGCCCGAACCAGACTCCGGAACCGACAACGACAGGGAGACGTGTCTATGACAAAACGCCCGTTGCGCCAGGCGCCTGGATAGATACACCAATGACCCAGCGTGCTCCTCCATCGCAGCCAAAGGATGTCGTTACTACTCTACAACCAAGCCCGACCAAGATCTGGGGTCAACGAAAGCTAGTGGAAAGAACAATCCATGAAGATGACGCAGAGGTCGACACGGGAGAATTATTACCGAACTTTGAACCACTAAAGGGGCAATGGGAAAAGGTAGAAGAACCGTCGAAGGAAACCCCAAACAAGGAAACCCCAACAGAGGAGAAGAGCATAGCGGAGGAAAAGCGATCCGATGAATACTCGGAAAGTGAATCAAATAATCCCGCGCGCGACCTGGTGAACAAACCACAAGAAGAACCTGCGATAGCCTTGCCCGATCATCCAAAGAGCGCCTTGGAGACGGTTCTGGAGGATCACAAGAGCAACAAGGAATCCCTAGACGTGGGTGACGATACAATCGAGTCTCTTCAAGCGATTTTGGATCAGCAGCCATCCGATGACCCTAAGGCAGAAGAGCAGGATGATGCCGCCTATGAGCAGCAAGTCATTGGCCAGTTGGAGTCCGCGCAGTCCGCACCATCGTCGGATATGAAAGACTTTGAGCGCATTGAGGGGAAGTTGCAGTCATTGGCCGACACTATGGCGCATCTAAAGACTGGGTTGAACCAGCTAGGAAACCGTGTTTCTCGCGATACCGAGTATATCATTGCCTCCCTCAGCAATCCACCCAAAAAGACAGATCCTAAACAACCTCAATCACTGAGAAGCTGCGAGTGCGCTTCGAATTGCGGTATGGTCAAGTCGAATATTCCCCTTCCACGTTTATGGAAACAGGGCAATGCTTGGTGGAAGCTCCACCCAACTCTACTAGGATGGTGTGCCCTCATCCCACTGATGTGGTATCTCTCGGAATCCACCATGTGCGACTACTACTGTCATCCCTTTGTGAGCCCTAATTGTGCAGGCAACTGCTTAGACCCAGATGCCCCGCGCTTCCCTTTTGTGATCCCAACCCTGATGTGGCGGTGGTTTCATTTGTCGGATATCCTGATACCGCTCTGGACTCTTCTCGTCGCTTTCTTCAGGTTCTTCACGCAACTACTGGGATTCTCGGATGGGTACGTGGATGATGAGCCCCCGTCGCTCAACCTCTCAAGCAAGCTCTGGGTCGGAGGCACTCCGATCGAAAGCGCTACCGCCGCTGCAACCTCGAGCTCGGGCGGCTTTATACCGCCGTTATCACAATGGACATGGAGACAGGAGACACACGTCCCAGACTCTGTGGCAGAAATAGATCTGGGCGGAGTCCCTGATGATCCATGGGCCGATGTATCAATGGACGAAGACGAGTTTCTTTAGCATGCTGCCTTGTAATTATTTCGTTACTTTGATTTTAGCACTAGCACACTGGCGTTAAGGGCTGGTTGAGGGCAAGGCTGGTGGAACCGCGGCGTTTTTCAAGAGCTATATATCCTTTCCAGCTGAATCGACAGCATACTTTTTACAGACGCTAAAGATCTGACGATTTTTAGGTAGAAACCGACCAGCGACCATAGAATAGCTCACAGGCTTCGAGTGCGGTATGTAAATACAAACAGGGATCCTAATGGACTGGATCAGTCTTCACCCGGCAAGGGTATCGCATGGCATCTATGTAATTTTGAAGTTTCCCGTCTCTATAGCTGGTTACCAGCAGTCTTGTCCAGCCTACAACACCCTCCCAGACACTTTCGAACCTATCTCGCTCCTCTTCTTCACCAGCTTTCCCCATATGAAGCCGTACGCTATTCAACAACAATTACCAAGCAAACCCTAAGTCCTTTACGGGCCATAGACCCCGACGAACCCTTCAAAGACAAGAGCTTGGAAAAAAAAAAAAAAAAAAAAAAAAAAACTGGTTGACATGTCTAGTGCGTACATGAAGCTCATGTATAGTCCGCCCACGTACTAGAGGGTTCACTCCTCATTGGAGAGGGGAAACTGGATGAGATATGGCTTGAAGGGACGGTGGGGGCTGGTAACCCCCGTCCGAGGTAAGAGAGGATTGCGGGGAGGGTCCTTGACTAATACTCAAAACATGGATACATGAGGTCTGGGGGCGTACAGTTTGCCTAGGGTATTTGCTTGGACTTCGTAATCTTGGGGTATTCTCTGACAGTATGTCTGGAGCGGATGTGTTTTGCAAGGGTACGTAACAGTATCTAGGGTTTGCATGTATACTGTGTCTATTTATTGCACTTATATAGACAGTCTCCATTTTGTGAATAACAAATATGCCCGATGGGACTCGCAGCTGCCGTTTGGGAAAAAGAAATAACTACGTGGTTTCCGGTTCTCCAATGATGGGACTCCGATCCCGATTATTAGCCCTAACTCGCCATTCTTACATACATACTCCGTGGCTTACATATTACTCTATAGACAATACCAACTTGAATAACAAAAGGTATCACAAAACTTATATACAACAAGAAATTATCGGACTAAGAAGAAGAAAAACTTAAAGCCGCGCCCTCCCCTCCGCCTTCCAAATCCTCCTAAGCTCCCTCTCGCCTTCAACTCTCCATTCCTTGGCCCGCCTCAGTACCCCCTCAACCTCCTCATCCTCTAACAGCCCTTCGACCTCCTCAAGCGACACCCTCGCACTCTTCTCTGGCTTGAACCCGACAAACTCCAACTCCCCAACCCCCTCACTCCCCTTCTTTATCTTCCCATCGACGGCATCATAGCAGAACGCCCCAAGGTCATCGTAAAACGCCCTCCCGGCCTTGGATCCGGGCATAAGAAGCCCAAAACAATGCGGCATGCCCTCGATCTGCTGCGCGATTACGGGCGCACCCGCGCGATGCATCTTGCGTGCCAGGATGAGGCCCTCGTCGGCGAGGGCTTCTTCGCCCGTGGAGATGAAGATGGGCGGGGAATCTTTCCAGAGATGTATGGGAGCTGCGATAGGGGAGACGAGCGGGTGTGTGATCGTTTCGGCGTCGACGAAGTAGTCGACGCGGGGTGGGGAGGCGGGCCAGAATTCGTCAGAGGGGATGGGTGGGGGTTGGAATGGTTGTTGTTGTTTCTCAGGGTTAGAGGAGTCGGTGTCTGAGTTGAGGGTTTGAAGAGGAACGGGAAGGTAGTCGTACGGTGCGTTCTTGAGGATCGAGGGCATGGATCGCGAGATGTCGGTCCAGGGGGAGGAGACGGCGAGGCCGCCTGGTGGGGTTATGGGGATTTTGTTCCCATGGAAGAGGACGGTGTGGGAGAGGCGGTTAAGGGTGAGGAGGGTTTGGAGGAGGACCGTTGCGAGGTTTCCTCCTGCAGAGTCGCCAGCGAGTATGATCTTGTTTGGCTGGACGGGGGCATGGAGGGAGCCTGGGGGTGGAGAAATGAGGTAGAGGTATGCGACAAGGGCGTCCACGAGAGCAGCAGGGAACGGGTTTTGTGGCGCAAGCCGGTAGCGCACTGAGAGGACCGGCGAGCCTGTTCGCTTAGAGATCTGGGATACCGCTGCTCGGTGTGTGCAGGGATCCATGAGGCTGTTGTACACGTAGATTAGTCCGCGCAACACCGACATCCCAGGGCGAAGTGCACATACTAGTAAGCCCCTCCATGGAAATAAAGCACAACCATATCCTCCGACGACTCCTTCTTGAGCTGCTCATATTTTTCCGCCTCGGAGATTTCCGGCTGTGGCGTATTCTTCTGCACTCCCCTCCGATACCCCGTCCACTCTGCCTCAACCGGCCCAACACCAGGGATATCATACGTCTCACCACCGGACTTCAACTCCTCAATCGCCCGGATAACAGCCTCCTGCACATCAACCTCGGGCTGCTGAATCGTCACTTTGGACACCCACAGTGGACCCTTGATCCCTGGGTCCCGCATGGTCCCCTTTTGCTGCTTGCCGATGGGGACGCCATGGCTCATGAACGAGCGGATTACCGCGACAGTTAACTCGGTGCGGAGATCTTGTTTTCCAAAGCCATTAGATTGCCCGATTCCGTGGAGGAGGACGGTTTTCAGGATTAGAGGGATTCGAGCAATGAGTGCTTTCAACAGCGCTGCTGGGTTTCCGAGGGCGCTCATGGTGGTGTGTGAGAACGCAGAGTATGCGCGCAATACCGGGTGCGGAGTAAGGCTGCAATTGCGTGGGAAAGACTGAACAGCGAGAGGGGGGGAGTATAAGACAGGCCTACCGGCCAGGAAATGAAGGATTCTCTAGCGAGGAGAGTAGAAGACAAAAATAAAGTAGAATGGGCGGCAAAGTTGAGGAATTGCGAAAAGGGACTGCGGAGAAGATGACGAAGTGCGGAGCCTCGGCAGATAGATCCGGTTTTCGAGACTTCGCTTGTGAAGGATTCAGGAACAAAATCAGGAACAAGTAACCAATCATGCTTATCAGTAAATCAGACTAGGTGGCAAGTATTTTCTCCTCTCTTCCCTGTGGCACATACTTCCTAAACTTCCTCACAGGCACCTTATCCTCATACAACCTATCAATCTCCTCGGTAGATAAACCCGTCGTATCCGGTACGAGCAGATATGCCCCCGCGATTAGAAGAACTGTTATTCCAGCAAAAGGAAACGCAGTGCGCGCTCCCAGGTTCCCAGAGTCAACATTGTACATGTAGGGAACAGTAAAGGTTGTAATCCATGTGGAGAGGGTTTGCGCGAATACGCCAATCGACAGGGACTTGACGCGGAGTCTATAGCTGGAGATCTCTGCAGCGATGGGCCAGCCGACGGCTTGCATCAGACTGGTTTGGAATGAGATGAGGACGTTCCTGATCCGTTAATGAAACTCTAGCAAAGCTAAGAGGGAAGAAACTTACATCAAGACAGCAATGGCCCAAGCGGGTCCCATACCAGGCGCATAGTATAGGCAGCCGATAACGACAAGGAATGCGAGGTTTATCAAGCACCCAGCAAGGAGCATCCTCCGTCTTGTAACGAATTTGCCGATAATTCCAGTCAATACGATAATGATGATTGCCAGTCCAAAGCCCCCAATCGATATATCAAAGATGTGCACAGAGGGCAGACCGAGCGTAAGCAAGAAATAGATCGACTGCGAGAGAAATGCAGCACCGCCCAGGTTTGCTGTGCTGTAGAGGAACATCACTGTGAGTGTTCGCTTGAGGTTTGTCCCCTTGAAGCAGTCGAGATAAGAGCCCGCCGAGATCCGTTCTTGTTCTTGTTCCTCTGAAATTGTTTTGACGAGGTAGGCGATTCTATCGTCGATGCTAAAGTTGGAGCTGTACAGTTTTTGTATCACTTTCTTTGCTTCGTCCACGCGACCGGTGTTGATTAGGAAAATGGGTGACCTGAAAGGTAAGTATCTGAACAGAGCATTATGCGAAAGGAAATCGTACTCTGGGGCTAAAAGACAGGCAATCGCGAATATGCCCCCAACAGCCCACTGAATCGCAAAGACGTTGCGGAAAGCTTTCTCATCCATATTAGGGACAAAGATCCTGACGACACCCAGCGCGACGCCCTGCATGAAGACAATGAAGAGCACAAGAGTCGTCTGGATCGGGATGCGAAGTCTAAACGGTGCAACCTAGACGGGTTAGCCCATACCTAGTCTGTAGTACCAGATTGAACTCACCTCAGACGCATAACTCGTCCCAATAGCCATACCAGCGCCAAGCGCCAACCCGCAGACCATTTTTCCAGCAAGCAGAGCGCCTCTGCTCTTCGCATTGTAGATAACAGCTGTTCCAGCAATGGATACAATCCCAGCGATGACCCCAGGCCACTTTCGTCCGAATCTGTCCGATATCATACCGATGCATATAGCTCCAATAGCTTGAAGTAAAGACGTCATTGACGTCCACAATGAAGTCCAGATTGACGGGAGATATAAGCCAGTGGGTCCTACATTGCCAAAGTACATAAGGAATGAAGGCATCGCAATCGTAGATCCGTTACTGATTTGGTCATATCCGAACATTGTACCTGCAGCAAATGCCACGCTGCCTGTCGACCAATGTCAGTTGCTGCTATGTCGTGACACGGATGGTACGTACAGGCCAGGACAGCTCGTGGGTGCAGCTTGATCGTCTCCCAAATGCTCAGCTGTCTCTCCTGCTCTTGGATAAGGCGGCCTCGCTCGGCTGCATCATCGGTATTGTTCATCGTCTTCTCGATATGGGCCGCAATGGCCTCAGCATCTTTGTCTCCCATGGTTGCAGAAGGTTGGGTCGACGTCTATACACAGTCGCAGTTAGAGGGAAGAAGGGCAAGGGGTTAGCCTTGCTCAAGAGACTGTGGAACAATGGAGAAACCCGGAGTTATAAGAAACGGGGCCCCCATGGGGTGGAAATGCGGAGTCGCCATGCTTCGCTCCAGATACCCCGAAAAGCGAGGGCTTTGGGGCACAGATTACCAAATATGGTTACGCGTCCCTTCAATAAGACGTTTGAAAAGAGTAACATCCTCTACTTCGGGATTAAGCTTGGTCCAAAGGAGCGAGAGGTCGTCACGCACCAAAACCTTGGGATATCCGGGCTGTGGAGTCGGATAACCCTGTATGCACTATTGGACAACCACCGCCACCGACCTCTTGACCAGGCATGAAGCTGCGTCGCGAATCAGCCCCAGTGAGAAAGTGAGCCAAGTTGAATATTGATTCGGTCTGTCTTCAACCGAGCTGGTTGTCTGCTGCGCTGAGGTCGGATAACCCGATTCAAAGACGGAGAATCACCCACTTGGAAGATAGTTGTTGCAAAACATTTTTTTGAGTTGAGATATGTTCTTCTGATTGATGGGCCTAGGTTTGTTCTATCTTGTTCAAAAAAAATTGTTGCCAATGTCCTTTGGGGTATGGACGCAGGCTCTAGACAGTCGGCATCGTGGACCACTTTTTCCGCATCGCTTGGATTCCGGTAATGATCACAATATGCAGAGTACACGGATGTATACGATGGTCGAGACGGGTCATCGAACTGACAGCTCACTATCAGCTTGAGTCGGGTGGTCTTGCCCTCCCTTAGGACGATCGGGGGCAGGCTCGAGCGCTTCTGCAGGTGATGGAGAGTTCTTAGGGCTAAGAACTTCCTTATAAACACCTTGCTCTTCCTCCTTCAACCCATAGCCTGAAGGGTCCCTTCGAACAAGAAAATGCTGCACCTTTGCATCCGCTGAAGTCATCTGATTAACCGTGTGCTTCCGGCGCTCATTCAAGAACCGCGTAGACTGCTCATTCAACTCTCTCAGTTTATCATCATACCCAGTGCTGACTTGCGTAATCCACGAGGCCTGTAGGGCGCCACCCATGAAGAACAAAAGTATAACGAACGTCACAAATGTTTTATGGTCAACAATGTTCTGCTGCTTCGGTTCATTCCGGTTATGCCACCGCTCCCAGTCCTCCCAGGTCGCATTGCTATAGATTGGGTCGGTCCCACGGCGAGCAACAATAGGGCTAAAGCTCCATCCCGTCCCTGTCTGGTCGTAGGCCGCACGCTTCGTGGGGTCCGAAAGGATCTCATGAGCCGTGACAACGATTCGATACCGCTGAAGTCGCACTTCCGGAGAGATATCCTTGCATAGCGGGTGGCCGTTGCAGGGCCGGTCGGGATGGTAAATTTTAACTAGGTCGTAGTAGCGCTGTTTCGAGTATGGAGCACTTCTCGCTTGACCGAATACATCGTACGGAGTGAACGATGGAGTGGACGGCCACGAAAGGTCGCGCTCTGAGAAATCATCGTGAGCTGTGGCGTAGTGTCGTGAGCGAGGGTGGCATGAGGATAGCAGTGAGGGGTAGGGCTGGCCTAGCAGCAGCAACCCATTATAGCAAAGTTGTTTGGGATTCCTGAGCATTCCGCATGTTTTCACAAGGAAGTACTATATACTTCCCCCGATGTGCCTCTAATGCATTGCAGATGGATGATGGGGTGATGCGGCGGACTCAATCACGCCGCAGCTCCGACATCCGGGACCGGTCACGTGGGTCACCGTGCATTGAGATATCTTTCGGTTACTTTTACAGAAGCTGCAGCTCACCAGTGTCGCAACCTCGGGGAATAAAAGATGCCTTCATCTAGGGAAGACGACCACACGGATCGCAAGCGTTCGCGAAAGTCTTTCGCCTCTCGAAGCCCCGATCGCGAGCAACGGCGGCGTCGCGACGACCATTATGCGCATAGCTCACGCAGACACCATCGGAGCTCGCGGAGGGACAGTTCAAGAAGACGCTCGTCACACAGTCCGTCCAGCCGAACCAGCCATCGTAAAGAGTACGAGCGCCGTCATCCAGAACGAACAGAAGATCCAGACGACGATCGGAAAAGACTCAGACATCGTTCCCCGGAGGAACGCTCACATCGCCGACATTACGACCGTCACGACCGTCTCTCACACAATCATAAGGAAAAGTCCTCGCGGAGAGATAGGAGCTACTCACGGTCTCGCTCGCGCTCACCCGACAGAAGTTTGCCGGCGCGCTCGAAAGCACCCCTTCCCTCCCAGCAAGATGCATACAAGACAGAGGTTCCACGCGGCGACGACGAGGCCCCTCCGCCTGAGAAAGAGAAGCCCAATTTCGGTAATACAGGTCGCTTAGCTGCAGAGAGTAACACGGTGACTGTCGGTGGGGGTACAGTTGTCCTCAAATACCACGAGCCTCCCGAGGCGCGCAAACCACCAGCGAAGGAGTCATGGCGGCTCTACGTATTCAAGGGGAAGGATCTACTCGAGATGGTGGAATTGAACGAGCGAAGCTGCTGGCTCATTGGACGAGAAAGATTGGTTGTGGACTTTCCGCTCGACCATCCGAGCTGCTCGAAGCAGCATGCAGCGATCCAATTCCGATTTGTTGAGAAGAGGAACGAATTCGGAGACCGCATCGGCAAAGTCAAGCCGTACGTGATCGACCTCGAAAGCGCTAACGGCTCAAAGGTTAACGGGGAACTGGCTCCTGCGGGACGATACGTCGAACTGCGAGACAAGGATATGCTTCAATTCGGCCTGAGCTCTCGCGAGTACGTCCTTATGCTTACCCAACCTGACTAGACGTACTACGAAAATCAGTCGCAACAAAAATGGTTGATCACATCATCATATCATTCGCAAATAATACTATACAGCGTACCGGAAAAGACATATATCCGAGTACATCTCAAATCAAAGAAATGGTCAACATCTCTTTATGACTTCACGTCACTGGCAAACTCCTTAGCCTTTCCCTTTGCCTCACCAGCAACCTCCTGTGCCTTGCCCTTGCCCTTGCCCGCCAACTCGGCAGCCTCGCCCTTTAGCTCTCCGACTTTCTGTTCTGCCTCGCCACTTGAACTTCCGACGGCCTGCTTAACCTTGCTTGCGGCAGCCTCTGTACATCAATTAGCATCCTCTTGACAATCAATCCATGCATCACTAGGAAAGAGGAGCGAGAACATACCACCAGTCTCGATTCCCTTGACTGCAGCGTCAGAAACAACGCGGTCCGCCTTCTTCAAGGTACTCTTTGTAGCATCAATAGGTCCGGACTCGCGCTTAGCCGTTGAGGAAACAAATCTCTGGCCGGCAACTGCAACGGAGGGTGTAGCTCGCGCTGTGCTCAGAGGAGCCGCAGTGCGGGCGGTGGTAGCGAAGCGTGTGAGGAAAGACATTGTGATACTGTGTAACTGGTTATCGGTGATAGATTAGGGTTGGTATTGCGTGTGGAGGAGGAAAACGAAGTGTCAATGGTTATTGTATGAGTCGAAGCTTTCAAGTTTGAAATATAGTATGAGTTCGAAGCTACAAAGCTCTTTGCCTCTGTATATATACCGGTTGATGGATTCTGTTCGTTCAATGTCGTCACACTGACATGAATATGTATGACGTCGGTCCCGACCAGGGATCCGGCTAGAGCTTCACCACATGCTCCATTTTGAGATCTTATAGAATACGATGATTTAGTACTACGTAGCTCTTGTACTAGTTCAAGTTTATGGAATCGAACCGCTGGGGCATGGAGAACTACTACTTGTTGGTCGTTGATGCAGTGGGTGAGTCTGGTTGAACCTGTTCCTCGAACATAGAAAGTAGGCGACGGTGCTAAATATATTCCCGGACGGCATCATTTTTAGCCATCATTTCAGTCACTCCTGTTTCTCTAAGTATGATATGCTCTTACGAAGTAAACTCGTCCACTTGAGGAAGGTGCGAAGGGCGGTGGGTGAGTCGCACCTTCCCTTGTTGTAGAACACATCGTGCCTTCCTGTTTGGGGCAGACACTTCCTAGAGGAAGGTGCGGCCTACCAAACCCCGGTCGCTCCTGCCTCTAGAGACTAATAATGCTCGCGCCTTCCTGAAATAGCAATAGCTCCCAAAAGGCAGGTGCGATGGGCCACTGCAGGTCGGTCGCCCCTCCTCAGAGTGTATATAACTCTCCAGGGCACCTTCCCGAAATTACAGTGGGTGGCCATCCTGGACAAGACAACTACGCCCACTGTAGAGTTCAGTCATAAGAATGCGGTATGAGTTGGAGGGCTTTAACAATTGGGGGTGTTCTTTCGAGACAGAGTGCTTATACTTCATGGACTTAGGGTTGACAAGGAATCGTGTATGTGTATAAGTCAAGGCAAAAATGGCATTGAGAATACTTTTCGAACATGACTGACAACATTGCGCGCCTCAAACGCCATCCGCGAATATAGACAATGAATTCTAGGGCATGAAATGGTATCAAATGTAAAGCGAGACACTCGCCGTGAAACGTCTATCGTCATGGTGATTAAACGAGAAGGACACTGTGACGGCGGTTAGTTCATTTTATACTAGGCGGGCTGAAGGGGGAGGAAGACGTACGCATTGACGCAGCCGTCGTTCTCGGGAGTGTTGGTAACCTGGGCATATTTACCCCAGGCGACCTTTCCTCCTGCTGTGACGATACCGAGTTCGGACACGTTGACCTCGATAATCGTTCCCTTGGTAAGGACACCGAGTTGCGTGTAAAGAGGGTTCTGAGGGTTCTTCTTGACGGAGAGAATGGGTAGCTGTACGGTGACGGCCATTTCAGGGCTGGAGAAATATTAGCAAATCCGGTTCCCAGCTAAAGAAGTAGAACATACTGTGTGACATTGGCCTTCTTGTAACGCAGACCCATAGGACTAAGCAACCGTTAGTATATATTTCCGCAGGGACTAAAAGACGCTCGACTCACCGAATGAAACGTTCATATTTGACAGGTCTCCGGGTGAAGTCGTTTCCAACAAACGTCGGCTTCGTGATCATCCGCTTCCATGACTTCTTGTGAGTCTTCTTTCCGGTATTGACAACCTTGAACATCTCCTCCTCACTGATACCCTTGACCTTGGGCAAGGGCACAGCAAACTTGGCCGCCTTCTCCGCCCGCTTATCCTTGATAGCACTGGACAAGGCCTTGGCATTCGTAGCCTGCGAACGGTCGAGCAGATACTGGGGCAATGGCGTCTTGGAGGGCTCGCTGGGCGCAGAGGACTTGACGTTCTTCTCCTCTTGTGCCTTGATGCGCTTCCGCATCTGGATCTTCTCTGCATGGCGCTTCTGCTGGTACAGCTTGGCCCTCAGACCGCGGAGATTCTGTGCATCCTTGGACTGCTTGTGCGCCTCACGGGCTTCGCGCTTGCGGACACGCTCATCGTGATCCAGACGCTTACCGTGCTGCTTCGTCCAGCGCTCGATATACCTGTTTGACAAGATTGTTAGGGTGGTGGTGGCATGAAAAGAGGGGTGGTTGGACGAACTCGTTCTGAGGCTGTTGTTGAAAATCAGTTAGCGAAGTCCTTGGATCGTATAGCACACTTTCGAGAAGGATAACATACCATGATGAGGATATACGGCGGGGGTAAGTGGAGGATGAAGATGGTGGTTGCTGGAGCGGGCGATCTCAAAAAAGTTTGGAGCGATAAATCACTCACGTGACCTGTTATCATCCCGATTTTCTTTCTCGCCGGCCAGCTTCAATCAGCCGACCAGTCAACCCCAGCCTGGAACACCATTGCAGAAAGAGTTCTGTACTACTCACCATGTTTTCCCGCTCTGCGTTGGCAAGGGCCTTTGCTCTTCCCCTCGAGCACGCCGCTCGCCCATCCCTCACATCAACCACAACTACCTTCCGGGCCTGCCTGCACCAGTCCACCGCGACGACAACATCAACCACCAACCCTCCCCCAGCAGAGCCATTGAGCGCAATCCCGCGAGCGCAATCTTCCGCACCAATTTTGCAGCAAACCCACAACACTCCCACGACACCGGTCCTAGTAACCCGCGCGGACGTCCCAGAAAACAAACAACCCATCGCTCCTACCTTCACAACCCCCCTAAAAGTCTCGCAATCCCTCCTCTCTACACTCCCGTACCTCACAGCCCAAAAGCCGCACTACATCACGGCTCACCTGCACGACCGCCCGTACCTTCTCACAGAAGGCGACGACCTGCGCCTGCCCTTCCTCATGCCAAATGTCGCTCCGGGCGACATCCTCCGCTTCAACCGTGCATCTCTACTTGGTTCTCGCGAATTTACGCTCAAGGGCGCGCCCTATCTTGATGAGCGGCTGTTTGAATGCCGTGTTCGGGTTCTCGGTGTGGATTCGGAACCGCTTAGGGTGAAGGAGAAGACGAAGCGGAGAAGGAGGCATGTGCAGAAGGTTACAAGTAAGCACCGCTATACGCTTCTGCGGGTCATGGAGGTCAAGGTCAAGTCTGTGGAGGAGTTGCAGCGGGAGGGGGTTGTTGTTGAGGAGGAGGAGAAGGCCTGATTGATTGTTGGTGGCATTTGAAGCTGGCTATGCCTATGTACAGATAGAGAGATTATTATTCTTCTGCACTGTGTGTGTTATTGTATTGTATTTGATGTTGCATCGGTTTATTGGAACCGGACTGTCAATTCTTTATATTGTGCGGACGCCGAGTCCTCGATATATATTCTTGTATCACTAGGTCTAGAACATGCTTCGACGCTCGAATTTCAGTAGAGGCAATGCGAAAACCGGGAGCCTGCCAACAGATCCACATCTACACATCTTTAACCAACAGTTTCTTTCTACACCTGAGTGACATAGAGACGTCGTCAAATACTTTAGCTCTATACTTGTCGAACCCTACAGAGCCATTGTTGATCCGGATACTCTGGTTACCCTCACAAACAAGAGTGAATACGTATGACAAAGTAGTTTATCGAAATCTATTCTCAAGTAAATATATACATTGAAGCCAAGTAAGAAGAACCATTAAGTATATCTCAAGATCAACTCAAACACCATGCTAACAGCACACCAAGCTGATGCAGTCCCAGGAACACCGTAAAACACCAGGCCAGTACCCAAGACAATGATGAGATGAATCCAAAAAGATGAGACCGGAACCTGAAAAGCATATCGTACAAAAGGAAACAAACCAAGGTAGTCAGTCAGGTCAGGTTAGGTCAAATAAGTCGTAGTCAGGTCGTAGCGTACTCAAACGGTCAAAAGCCAAAGCCAAGAACAAAGGAAATAGTTGTGTCAGGTCGGGTAGTTGGTATGAATGTTTGGTTAGGGGGTTTCCTCTAGGGCTGCTTTGATTTTGGCAAAAAAGCCAGCGGGCCAGGCGGCTAGTTCTTCATCGTTGGGTACACCGTGCACTCGGCAGTGGTTGACCACGTTCAATAGAATCCTGCCGAGGACGTCCTGCGTGATGGGGACGGCACCCTCGAGCTGTGCGTCTGGGTATAGGAATGGGTCTTGTTGACCGAGCAGGTCGCTGACCGTTGGTCGTAGTGTCTGATCCCGTTGCAAACATTGCTTGAGTGTGCGGATGAGTCCAGGAGGTACTTGGACGCCGCCGACTCCAAAGGCTGGAAAATCAATCTTTACTTTCGGGTTGGGAATGGCCATGATCCGCTCATAGTACTTGGGGATCTTTGCGAAAGGAGGTTGACCGTACACCATCTTGTACAGTATACATCCCAAGCTCCATACGTCACTCGGCTTGCCGAGCTTCATCATCTTTCCAACGCTTGCAGGGAGTCCAAGGGACGCATTCGAGTCAACGAGGGCCTCTGGGGACATGTAGTTTGGAGTTCCGACTTGTTGTTCACGATGTACGTTGACAGTATTGTCTTGAATGGCGTTTGCAATTCCAAAATCGATAAGTTTCAGCCGACCCTGGACGAGGAGGAAATTGGCCGGCTTCAAATCAGAGTGAACGATATTGTGTTCGTGAACCGCTTGCACGCACTCTAGCATTTCCTTCCAGTAGTATCGGGTGAAGTTGATGTCAAAGGTAGCATCTTCCGCATTTAAGCGATACGTCAAGACTTTCTCCAAGTCTGATTCTCCGATCTCCATGAGAACGCTGAGTGTATGCTTGTCGGAATTCATTTCCCAGTCGAACAGTCGTACCACACGATCAATGTTTTCTAGCTTCTTCAAAAGGTCGATCTCCCCCTTGTAGCCAGCCAAGGTGGTTGGGTCGACATCTTCGAGGTTCACACGCTTTAGGGCAAAAATCTTATAATTCTCAGCCATGACTCGGTATACGCGGGAGCTGCCTCCGCGGCCAATGCAATCCAAGCGCGTGAACGGTTTGTGGTTGATTGAGACCTGGCTTCGTTTCTTACGAGATTGGGATGCTGTAGCAGCTCCTCCTGTTGCCGTGGCAGTCTCTAGAACGGACATCCTTGGAGGTGGTGGAGCTGGCCTGTGCGGTGTGTTGTTATTTCGGGTTGATAAAATCTTCCTGGGGGAGTTCCCCGCCGGAGGATCTGACTCCCTTTTGTCATCTCCGTGGATGACTGAAAGCTTTTCAGGCTTGTCGAGCAGATTAAACCCCTGGGCCTTGACGCGTTTGAAAGTTGGCGGAGGCTCATTCTCTTGATCACGAGCGGATGGTAATGTTGGGGGAGGAGGCACTTTAAAGATGGGTTCTTTGGAACTCGACGGTTTGGAGGAGGCGTCCGAGGATGACCCTGGCGTTGACTTGGAGTGTGATGCATAAGACTTGGGAGAGGATGATCTTGAAAATGGTCCGTCACCGGACGAAACAGGCCTGTAGTCCGAGGATTTCCCTGGCGGGTGAGGATCCACCCATGATACCTTAGGTGACGAGGCTCTTGCGCTGCTTTTATAATGGTAGTCGGCGGTTTCGGCCGCACCGAGCTCAGCGTCTTTGGCGGCATCCGAGAGATAGCTAGGCGACTCGTTCTCTTCACTCTGACGTCGTAGCACGCCACGTCTTGCAGGCCCATTGAGGAATGTACCCGTTAGTCTGCCCACTCTTTTCACACGCAGTGAACTTTGGACACCAAGGTCTTCAGGGTTGCGAGATCGAAGTACAGAGGACGTGCCAATACGAGGGGCGTTGTCGTCATATTTGACCTTTCCTTCGTCGTCTGATCGACCGGCGCTTGCATGTTCGACAAGAGGGCTCCGGCTTGCTGATCGCTTCTCAGATGGTGATATGGATGTAGGAGACCGGGTGTGACTTCGAGAGGCATTGATGCGCACACTTCGCGTCCTTGGGGCAGGCGTAATGAAGTCGTTCGAATAGCTCTTCACCTCTGGTTCCGCATTCTCTCCGTTTGACAGTTGTGACCCTTCCCTTCGAGTCCGTGAGCCGCTTCCAAGAGCAGGCGCTATGCGGACCACTCGTGGGGCAGGGCTGCCGTTCGATTGCTCGAGAGGCGACGCGGTCCGAGATCGTCTTTCGCGACTCGACGCGGCAGAACCTGTGCGCACACCCTGGTGGTATTCGTCCAAGTTCCTATTTCTCAGTCGGGGAGATTGGTTCACGCCATCTTCGTCAAGAAGTGCCTTGACAGATGCACTGAATTTCGGTTCCGGTACCTCGTCATCGGAGCTGTCGCCAGCAGAGTATTGCCTAGGAACCAAGCCAGCGCTGCTTCGAGAGACGGCGGAATTCCGGATTTCTGGGGAAGTGCGCCTGGACCCGGAGCGAGAGATCGAGGCGCGGGACATTTGTCGGGATGGCTGTTGATGGAGAGCAGAGGCATGGGCGGTGGAGAGAGAAGTCGGGAAGGCCATTATGTCTATTCATAGGTAAGGCGGCCTGACGCGTTTCGATGCATCCGTGATGATTCCCCGGGGCGACGGTCGCACCTGCGTCGCGGTTTTGTTGGTGTATAGGTCGTCGAAGTCTCTATAAACAAAATCCGGGAGGCTGGTTGGAAGCCGTTGACTGGAGATCTTCGGGTCCATCACGTGATATTGCCCGTTGCTAGGCAGCTGGCCACATTGTCAACAAACCCTCGAATTCCTGAGGATTTGATGCTTTTCCTTTTATCAGGCTCGATCTGCCTGGAAATCTCCATGGCATGATGCCCTTAGCTTTATTTTAGTCGATTAGGGGAAGTCTTGTTCACTCAAGAATTGGTATGGGCGCAGAGTATGGACTAGGAGCTTACGGGGTACTGTAGTACGATCGAAAGGGAAGCATGAGATATACTCCGTAATACTCCTTAAGCGAAAGACTCAAAACACCCACCGGTCGATTTTACAGTATGACTCGTTCGTTACCATAAAAGAACCCGTGGAACATGAGCAGCACCCCTGCCCAGTGCTTTGGGTTAGACTAGACGGTCGGCTTCGCTTTCTATGGCCTTGTAGCCTTTGTGAAACTCGCAGTCCTCCTAGGGCTCCTTTCCAGACCGTTCCCCAGGATTGGTCGCAAAAAAGAGCCCTCTCCCTTTGACCAACACAGCCAACAGGTCACATCGCAATCCAGACTGCTTCCCAGGGAAATTGGCATATAAAATTCTGCCTGAGAGATCCATGCTTCCTGGTGGGTTGCCTGCAACAACTATTCGTTTGCGCTTGAGCAGGGGTGTTTGACTGTTAGTCAGGAACAGACTGCGCCTCCCTCCAATTCTGAAGTATGGAAGCTGGGGGAGGCGCATACATGTTGTCGCCTCTTAGCGTCAGGATTCAGGAACAGGAAAAGGGGTATTGAGAGGGTCAGCCTCCCGAGGGCTCTCGACCTACGGCCCTCGATCGTCTTGCTCTCAGGCTTTGGTTGAGATGCAGAGCTGGTCTGTCAATACTACTATTCCGAGAATTGAGATATGTATCTCGAAATCTTTAGTCGTTGAAGATAACGGGCCCGCAGCACGGAGAGTTCTACGAATCTTGCATTTTCCCCGAATACCCCACAATCTATTGGAAAACGGTACCGACAGAAAAGCAATTTTGAGTCTTCTCGGCTCTCTTCCGAGGATGGATCATGGTTGGGAGATCAATAGTTAATCCTTGGTCTCCTCAGGCTCGCCAGGGCTGCTGGTGGTGGGAGTGAGTGCTGGTGGGCTCAACGTCAGTGTCAGTTTCGCAGGGGGTCGTGGTCGTGGTTGTGTTGTCACGGTTAGCGGGGCGCTGAAGTCATCTTTTGCAGCACTGTTATCGTTCGAGGGGTAGATACCTAAAAGTATTAGTTTCTGCAATCCATTGAAAATTTAGACCCATGAGGAGCCAAAGATAGAACTCCGAAAGAGAGGCAAAGAACCGAGGAACAAGAGCCCAAGAATTCGCTGGACAAAGAACGAAGCTGGCTTCAGCCTTGAGCCTTGCAGTCACATGGGCGGACCTGGCAACTGCCGAGTCCCGGCCTCTTTTTGTCTATTCCCAAGGTTCTCTGCATGCTTGACTCGCTGCTCGAATCCACCAGCACGCTGCGAGTCGTCGATTTTGTTAGCCGGTGTCTCAATAATTGAGAGGCTCCATCACAAGGGCACTTGCCCCCTGGTTGCTCCAAATCGCCCCTGTCCGGCTTTCCTTCGCTTGCACTGTTCAGGTGGTGGTCGCGACTCGGTCTTCTCACAGGCTGGCTAAAATACGTAAAAGATTCATGATTTACCGGTCTCGACCAACTGGTAACAACTCTGTCTTGCCTCTGTGTCCACCAGGTTGAGAAGATCAAGCGAAAGACACCCATGCTCACGACCCATTCTATGATCCGAAGATTGATTGTCCCTGCCAGGGCCAGTCGAGTGGGGCCTCAGGAACCAGGGTTTCGAGAGTTTCAAGTGGTCGAACTTGTGTCAGGAACACCGGTTCCAGCAATGATCGATCAGAAAACTTATGGACAAACTTCGGATCTATACTTTGACTTCAAACCGCCGGCTGTTACAGATTTTGCTTCTCTTTTTGTCTCACTTCTCGACACCATGAACTGGTTCTTCACTGGAACTTAGATTCACTCTGAAGCATCCTAACAGAGTCAGTTCTGGTTTGAACTATGAAGAGCCCCGCTAGCATCGCTAAAACTCGCCAAGAGTCACTGCATCCTACACTTCATGATTAGTTAGTTCAGGCTTCAACATCCGAATCCTCCGTTGCCCGGACCATCATCCAAATCCGTCAAGCCGGCCTGGGCCTGAAGCACTCTACGTTCTTTTCACCAAGGGTGACCTGGCGAGTCGACTCAGTTGAGCTGGATTGCTTCAACTTTGATCGCTGAAGAAAAGCATATTCTCGTCGGACTCTTGCACTAGCACCTAGGTCTTTTGCTCTGCGCCCATCTTAGTCCTGGTCTACTGTCGACTTTGCAGGGTTCATGATTCTTTACGCACGAGCGCTCTCGCCGCCCACACAAAGCAAGCACTGCCAAAACGACTTCCTGTGTACATCGACTGCTCTCGCTTTTGCAGAAAAGAGTCCTCATGGACTTGGTTGAGTTGGGTTACCACTAGTCACCTACCGGATCCTCAATAGTCTTTCTAGATTCTGCAAATAGTTCCCCAGAGTATGGGCCCAAGATGATTCTTCAAAAGTTCAACGATTTACTCCAGAGTTTCAGATTACCGGAGAGAGCCTTTCTGAACGTATCTTCGAGCTGTCCTCGATGGGCCTAGGAGTTTATGGACTGTTTTTGAGTCCCTGAAATAAAAGGAACAAGCTTGTCAAGAGGCCATCAGTCTCGACCTTGAATCCGTGATGTATTCCAAATTGGAGGTCTTTCCGCGCATTGGTTGACCAGCGAGAGTTCTCCATGTTTCGGAGGCTCTGGTTGGTGGTCTGCAGGCCTCTGCAGATGCCAAAAGCCTCCGGTGTCACGGAGCATTTTCAATTAACAACAATCTCACCTGCATCCTCCTTCCATTGACACGCCGTCCGTTCCTCGAGGACATTGTCAGCCGGGAGGCTGGCCGCTGGAGCCCGTACCTAGTCCTCAGGAATTGGTGTGTCCCCTAGCTCCCCACTTTCACATTAGTACGGAGAATGTGCCTTCGGATCTTCTCCTTGGGAACGAGGTTTGTACGGATTGACCGTTAAGACAATATGAATGCCTGAAGTCGCTCAGCTTTGTCCATGCGATTCATGATGGGATCACCCATGACGATGTCACACAAGATAGCCAGTCCGCTGTGGGTAACCAATGCAGGAAGCCCACAGAGGATGAAACTCGTTCTTCTTCGAAGGGCGAACCCCGTGGCCTGAAATAGCACTTCGATCGCACTTTGTTTGGTTCCTGAAAGGGCTCCACACCCAACGGCACTCCATAGCTTGGGCTTGGATACCGCGGACCGACGACGGTCCACTTGGCAGCGAGACTGACCGTGAAGATCCGAGCCCTGATCAGGAGTAGCGGAAGAGGGCTAAGCGGAGCTACCCCTGTGGGCTGACTGACCAGTGACCAGGACCGGGGCATTGATCCTCAGGGGAGGTATATAATCTTCGGATGAGCACGCCTGCTTTTCCCAACCAGCAAGCCCTCTGTCTGTCGTTTCTCTGGCCCTGTGCCTGACACTCTTTTTTTACACCATAGTTTTTAACAGTCTATCGTTAATTCTTTGATACGTCATTCGTTCTTCATTCTCTCCGAGAATAATTGTTGCTGTTCTAAGACCTTCTTTTTCACACTAACGCAAGTATGCGTTCCAACCTTCTCTTGCTCGCCGCTCTGGCGGGCTCTACTCTCGCCCTCCCCACTGCTAGCACTACCGAGCTGGACGCCCGCACCTTTGGCCTCATTGGCGGTCTCATTGACACCATCAACGACATTCTTCACGGCACAAGTCCCGTTAACATCCTCGGCGGCATCAGCGCTGAGGCTGCTGTTGCCCTGAACGGTGGTGCTATTGGTTGCAAGGCTGGTTCTATCGACGTTGAGTACCGCAAGCAGCTCGGCATTTGGCTCAAGACTGGCGCTGGCGTCCACATCGACGCCGATCTGAAGAAGTCCCTGTTGGCCTGGTGCGAGGCTGACGTTTCCGTCGACATTGAGATTGACCTTGAAATCCGTGCTCAGCTCTCCTTCTTCCTCCCCACTCTAGCTCACATCGCTGCGCAGAAGGAGCTCTACGTGACCTTGGACGGTGTGTTCGACTTTGCTAAGGACATTGCTGGTGTCCTTACCATTGGCGCTCAGGCTTCCCTTGAGGCTGCCATTGGCCTCCTTGGTGAGCTCGACTGGAAGATCAAGGCTGGTCTTGAATTCTGTGCTGCTGGCGGTATCCTTGCGGACCTCGACGTTGAAATCATCGCCGCCCTGAAGTTGTGGCTCGAGAGCAAGGAGTGCAAGCTCACTGTTGAGCTCAAGAAGACTCTTAAACTCTGGCTCGAGGGTAGAATCGAAGGCGATGTTATTGAGCTCCCCAAGCTTCCGGTTGGTGGTCTCTCCACCATCTCTCTTGGAAAGTCCCTCGAGGTTCTCATTGAGGCCTCTGGTGCCCTCGTTGTGAGCGCTCAGGCTTCCCTAGGTGCTTTCCTCCAGACCGACATCGGTCTGGAGATTGACCTTGAGATCAGGAAGCTCCTTGAATTCTGCGGAAAGGGTGGTCTCGCTATTGACATCGAGTACGAGAAGCGTGTTGAGCTTTCTCTCTGGCTCGCTAGCTCCAAGTGCAAGCTTACTGCTGAACTCAAGGCTCTCATTGCTTTCTGGCTTTCCTTCGGTGTATCTGCTGGCGCTGAAGTCTCCATTGACTTCTCCAAGAACATCCTTGCTGAGCTTACTGGATTCATCACTGGCACCATTGACGCCCTCCTTGGCGGTCACCTTCACGGTCTGCTCTCCTTCCTGCTCTCTGGTGAAGGTGTCCTCTCTATCTCCATTGAAGCCCGTGCCCAGCTCGCTGCCCTCATTAGTGGTGGATTCGGCTTCTCGATCGACAAGCACATCGAGATCATCATCATCGGTTGGCTCGGTGGCTGCCACGAGTGCTGCGGTGGAAAGCCCCCCGTCTCCTCCACCACTCCCACTCTCCCTAGCACCACCCCCACTGCTTCTCCTTCCACCACTCCTTCCACCACCAAGACCACCACCACCAAGACCGATGTTGAGCCGACTGGCACTCCCACCACTACCCCTGGCGAGCCCGAGGAGACCCCCTGCGAAACCGACACTGATGTCGAGCCCACTGGTGAACCCACCACTACCAAGCCCACCGAGCCCACCGAGACTCCTTGCGAGACCCTGACCACCGAGACCACGATCTCTCACACTGAGAGCCACCCTACTGAGCCCACAGGCGAGCCCAGCACCACCAAGCCTGGCGTTCCCACTGACGTCGAGCCCACTGGCGAGCCCACCGAGACTCCCTGCGAGACTCTGACCACCGCTACCACGATCTCTCACACTGAGAGCCACCCTACTGAGCCCACAGGCGAGCCCAGCACCACCAAGCCTGGCGTTCCCACTGACGTCGAGCCCACTGGCGAGCCTTCCGAGACTCCCTGTGAGACTCTGACCACCGCTACCACGATCAGCCACACAGAGACCAAGCCTCCTGTTCCTACCGACGTTGAGCCCACCGAGTCCGCTTCTCAGCCCCCCTCCACGATCACCGAGCCCCCGGTCCCCACTGCCACCTCCACCGGCGGCAAGAAGACGATCACCATCACCAAGACTGTGGGTGTTGAGTACTGCCCTCCCAACTACTAGAGAAACTATCCGGGCCGCCCCTAATCTAACGAGACGATCGCAATGGCACCAACTCCTGCTGTACACGCCTAATTCATAATCCTAATTTTCATGGCACCGTCAGTCCACCAGCAAGCCACGACGTGGATCCCTTTCGACGCAAGTCCCGTCCCTCGCACGGCAATTGGGAGAAAAAGAGAACACGCTGGCTATACCTTCTCCAACCTGTACTTTTGTCTATTTTTGTCACTGGACTTTTGATATCCCCTTTATGGAGTACATTCCTTAATGTTATGTTTATTCAGCAGGACACCCCAGCTCTTCAGCTCTGGACCTCCATTGCCTGTTACCATGTACATGTACAGCGTCATGATGTTTGTTTGAGTAAATAAAACCGTTGAATTCAAGATAGAAGTGATCCGCACTCTTACCTGATGATCTACACCCTCCTTCTCTTCATAGACTAGCCTCGGCCTCACTTGTCTTGACCATTGTCAACCGCGTGGAGTTTGGAGAAAAAAAAGAAAGGATTTCCGGCTCTGGTTTCCACTCACCCACTCTTCAGTTCCACCGCCGGCTGACTTTCTTCCCCTGATTTCCTTGCTTTGTCGTGCTTTGCCCTGTTTCGTCCATGGGGTGGAAGTCCCAAATCCGCGGACTCATGGAGGCTGTGCCCGCCGTGCTTGCATCTGACAGCCGCTAAATTCTGCAGCCTGCAGCTTGTACCTGCACCGGTCCTGGAGGCTGACGTTTGGTATTGCGATCGGCCAAGGGATTGCGCATCGTTTTCCGGGGATGAGCACTGAACAACGCCGCCGCGACTATCTACTGGCTTGCGAAGCACTCCAGTACCGCGAAGAGGCAAGTCAGGCGCGCCGTTCAGGAACCAGCTTTTCTTTGTTGGAGCCAGGGGGACTGACATGGATGTCGTTGCGTGGATGGATGGGATCCGATTCCTTCGACCGAGCAGAGTTTTTCCATATTTATTTTAGGGCATTTGACCGCCGTGACTCAAATGAGTCCAGGCCCTAGAGTGAGATTTTGGTTGCAGTGAATATCATTGGAGAATGTCTCGCCAAAATTATCATTGAGTGGTCTGTCCGCCTCGGCCCTGGTTGAGTCGTTGTATACTCTGTCCAGCGGACGGAGACGGAGAACGGAGGACGTCCGGAGTGTGGGGTATAAATGTCATCATTCCTGTACTTTGTACATCGATGTATCTACGTCAGACGGAATACAGAGTAAGTACGATCCCGCAAGGTGTCTATTATCATTATTTGCAAGTTGTGGATTTCTCCAATTTCTATGCTTCCTTCAAATCCAACCGGTTATCCCGGGAATCCTTCTGCGCTTGTGCCTGGTTCCTTGCATAATTCAGGATGCATGCATACTTCGCCCGGGGCGGATTATCAGCGGCTCGTCCTCGCGAAACCCTTTCATGGTTCCAGACTCAAAGTCTATGAAGCCACCAATTCCCCAATTTTTAGAGATGGAGATGGAGATCACAGTTATCAGCTGAACACCTCAAGAAATAAGATTAAGATTAATGTTTCTCGTGTGTTGTCTGGATTCGGGTCGGATTGTCCAATTTTAGGGAGATGGAACTGACTCTCTGTTCCTGAGTCTCTGTCTGAGCGGGGAATTGAGGGTGTGAGGCTAATCTAGACGCACTGATGCGCCGACTACGATGGCTCTCAACCCGCCGGCTAGAGGATACTAAAAGTCTAGCGCTGGCTATAGCCTTCGAATAGTCTCTTGCTCTCGTCGTCGTATCGCCTCAAGAAGACTTGATTGCGATTTGCGAACCGCGCTTCAAGTTTTTACCTTGGCAGTAGGAACAGGGTCGGACCCGTCACTCGAAGGAGCCGAGATGCCGAAATTGGACGAGAGCGTTGCACGCCAACGCCAACGCCAACGCCAACGCCTGGGTTGGTGGCGATGGCGATCCAAGAGAGTAATTGCATGCATGATACGAGGTTTGACTATTATGCACAGCGCTTAAAGGAGACGACAGGACGACTGTGCGCCGTGATGGATGGCCCTATGGGAAAGGCTCGTCTTATCATTGATCAGGTGGTGTAAGAACCTGGCCTGCTAACGACTTTCATATAGACCAGAGGACAGTTATGTATGCCTGAATTGCATTATGTGTTCTGTTGTGCCGTTGAGCTGCTGCTACCTACCTTGTCATTTGGGGTGGCTCGTCGCATAGCAACTAATCTTTCACGGAGAAGCTTCTCTCGTAGTATAGTGCTGGAGATGCGTGGATGCGGTTTTGGTGGAATAGCCTATTATAAACTTGTTAGTCTGACAAATGGAAGGGGTCGAGCAGATTACACGGCTGAGGCCGGGGAACATTGTGAATACCTTTACATATGAATATCATTCACCCACCTCTTTGGCATGGTTTTTCTCTTCGGCCTCAGGAGACGGCGATTTGCGCTTTGAATCCTCATCTTGATCAGCCACTCTTTGCCGCTTCTCACTACGAACGGATACGGAAGACGTGTTGCGCCTTCTCCGGGCAGCGGGAGCATATCTCTCAATGGAGCGACGCCGCTTCCTCTCCCTCGTGCGGCTTCGGCTGCGCGAGTCGTGACGCCTCGGGCTAACGCTTCTGGTGGGAGACCGGCCTCTGCCCCAGCTACGACTGCGGCTCGCGCTTCTGAACGAGCGCCGACGTCGACGGTCGTCGCTGCGGTCTCTGCTGCGGCTCAAGCGGCGATCGTCACGGGATTTGTGGCCCTTTGCAATATTAGCCGTGGATTCTGTCTTGGCATCTCTAGAATAAGGCGACGATCTTCGCCGGCCCTCTCGCCTCTCGGCGCTCCGCGATCTCGATCGTGACCTTGAGCCAGATGATTTCCTCCGCCTATGTCGGTGCTTCGGGGCAGGCGAGCGTGACGGGCTACGCGGGGAAGTAGATCGCTGTCGTCGGTCTCTTCTGGGAGTACGTGAGCGCGATGAATCACTGCGGGAGATGGATCTAGCTCGATCACCGTAATCGGGGCTGCGTCTTCTCGGCCTCCGGCGGTCACCTCGTTCTGGCGAGACGGAGCCGCTAGGTGATCGACGGCGTCGGTTTCGGTCAGGGCGTTGCCTGCGTGGCGGCGACCGAGAAGGTGATACAGATCGCGAGCGTGAGGGTGAGCGACTGGGTGACCTAGAAGGCCGACGGCCTCTGCGAGATCCGGAGGGGACATACGAATCGAACTCTCGCCTGGGAGGCTGGTCCCAATGGCGATCCCGACTGCGCCGTCTCGGTGGTGACCGCCGTCGATCAAAGTCTCGTCCTCCAAAGCCGCCTCTTCTGCCCCCGCGACCTCTCTCAGAGCGTTCTCTCCGTCTTAGCTCCTCGATCTCTCGCTCCCGCGCTTGCTCCTGCTCTTTCTTCTTGCGCGCCTCTTCGGCTGCTTTCTCGGCCTCGACCTAGACTCCGTTAGCAAGGGAACAGATATCGTTGGGCACGCTGACCTACCTTTTCTTGCATAAGTTCCAGCTTCTTTGCTTCCAAAAGCTCCTTCGGAACTCCCTGGGGATTTTGCTGGCCACTCAGGCATAACAACCATAATTCCTTGCAAAATTTCGCGGTATCCTTGTCCAGAAACCCCGTAAGCTGAATTTGTAGCGATTTGATGTCCGGCTGAATAACGGCAAAAGTTAGCAATTGTCGCGAAACCAACGTTTAATAAGAGACTCGACATACAAATCGTGATCCTTCGAGCAGGTTAAAGCAAAGCTCAATAACGACGTCATCTTCGTTCCCCAGAATCTCAGAAATCTTTCCTGCGATCCATCTATTGTTGAACAAAAGCCACATTTAGTGAGACATTCCTTTCCCTTAACAACGAACTCGATCCTGGAGAAAGTGAACAGAGGCTAGGCTTACTTTTTCATGACCTCGATATTGACCTTGGTCATGTCAACTTTCTGGTTGAACTCCGGAGGGAATTTGGTCTGCCGGAGCAGCTTTGCATCCACGCGGGTCGCCATACTGATTGAGTGATGGTTGAAGGGCTGGGCTTGCAAGTCTGGGTGTCGGCGAGACTCGAGAGCGCGACTCAGCAATGATGCGTTGCGCGGTTGGTGCTTGTGGTTTCCTGTTTTCGGAGGCAGTCGGACCGATGAGCCTCAATCTTTCCTATCTAGGAAATCGCTCTTGGCGAGGTCTATATCCAATCCATTTATCAGCGCAAATTTAGTTGATCATTAACATGTCATTGCTTCATATCATTACTTCCAATACTCCATATATATATATATATGGACGGTTGCCCACGTCCGAACTGGATCCAATCCTCTCAACGACCAGTCAGTTCTCGTAGCACCCGATTCACCTCCTCCCTCCCACGGCGCAGTTGCTCATCTACTTTGCCATCTTTATGGACGGCCTTCATCTCATAGTGTAGCTCGACGAGCTCTGACGCGAGGCGAAGGTGATCTTTCGCCGTGTTTGCTTTTGTTGGGTTGGCCGCTGCATCTCCTGGGGCACGCCGCTCTCCTGTCTCTACTGACGGTAGGACTTGGTTGACAGTGACGAGGTTCAGAGCATCATTGTAGTCCTATACGGTGTTAGCCCTCGAACATGATGAGCTTCTCGCCCGAGACCGGAGTCCCAAATCCCCGTCCATGTAACAAGTATTAGAATGAGAATGAGAAGGACGTACACAAGCACGTAGAGACGCGAGATCGGATAGGATCTCTGCTACTTTCATGTTGTCAAAGCATCGACTTGCCAGTTATCAGAGTAAGACAATCGACTCTGATGGTATTTTCAGCTTTTACAGTCAACCGGATCTTTATCCGGATCTGTCGCGCAACTTTTGGAGTAGATACAGTCTGCGCAGTTTGGATTTGACGGACTTTGAGGGACAGAGTAGCTCCGTTGCGACGTTGTCACTGTCTCTGACTATGAACTTGAGACACAATCACAAGAGCAACGGGAACCTTACTGAGGTAACCGACGAGGAGAACCGGCGGTACACAGAGTATGATGAAAGTCGAAGAGAAGTCTGAGGAGCATCCGAATCTCGGATGATCCGACATCCCCACAATCCTCGGCCGGACTTCCGCCGCATTATCGGCTTCCCCAGCGACGCCTATATACGGCGCTTCTTCCCTCTGTCTTTGCTGATCACACAAAAAAAAAAAAAAAAAAAAAAACCAAAGACAATTACAATGGCAGCTTCAATCCGCGCCAATTGCCGCAAGGTCATTTGCATCGGCCGAAACTACGCGTAAGTCTCCAGCCCTCTCTATCTCGCACCTCCGCGGCATCGCGACTAACGCCGAACCCACAGCGACCACATCACAGAGCTGAACAACACGAAGCCCAAGCAGCCCTTCTTCTTCCTGAAGCCCTCGTCCTCTATCCTTATCCCCGGCGAGGGTCCTGTTCTCCGACCGCGCGGCACCAACCTGCACTATGAGGTGGAATTGGGTTTGGTGATGGGCAAACAGGTCCGCGATTTGGATCCGTCGGACGACAAGGGAGCGTTGGATGCGATTCACAGTGCGTTACCTGGCCCACTCATATCTCGTATCCGAACGGGTCATGTCCTCGGAATTGGATTGGAGAGTAGCTAACATTATGCCTTAGGCTACCTCCTCGCAATCGACATGACAGCTCGCAACGTGCAAGATGAGGCGAAGAAGAAGGGTCTCCCTTGGACGATCGCAAAGGGCTTCGACACCTTCCTCCCCGTTTCGCAGGAGATTCTCAAGTCGCAGATCCCCGACCCGCATAATGCGTTCTTGCGTCTCAATGTCGGTACCCAGCAGCGACAGGCTGATTCGACCGGGTTGATGCTCTACCGGATCCCTAGACTGCTCGCAGAGATCTCGCGCGTGATGACGCTGGAGAAGGGTGACTTGGTGCTGACCGGTACGCCCAAGGGCGTTGGGGAGGTCAAGTCAGGAGACGTCATGACTGCGTCGATCGAGGTTGATGGGAAGGAGATTGAACAGGGAAGGATTGAGGTTGAGGTCAAGGATCGAGAGGGGCGCTATGAGTACCGCGAGACTTAAGGAGTTCGATTCTTGCCGTGTTTTGAGAATAGATATTGCTGCTACACTACAACATACTGTACATATGTGAGGGATAGCACCAGTTGGGATCCCTAGGCTAAGCTAATAATGACGCCCAGCAAACGGCTCGTAAATAGACTCGGCCGTATCTGGACGTACAATTGGTATAGTTCTCCTTCCCCTCATATTGTTATTTTCCACAAATGCAGGTGGATTTGCTGCACTTATTTTCCCCACTCCGTCCGGGTTTCCTGTCCTTCGTTCTTCTCGACGCCCTACAACCTGACCTTGACCTGGCTCTAGGTGACTTCTTATCATTCCCGCTAAGCTCTCCCAAGAAAATCCCACCTCTTTTGCCATTTCCTCAGCCCGCCTACACTCAGCCACCTCATCATGCCCCAGAAGGAAGGCGTGGATAAACCTGGCATCGCTGACCTGGGGCGCTTCGGCTCTCAAAGCATTTGCGTATTCGAGGTATGCAATCAAGGACCTGCCGCCCTGGAGAATACTTCTCAGAATTTGAGCTTCTGTTCTTGCATTTCCCGTTGCGCTATCTATGTCCAAACCTTGATTTGGAAGTTGTAGCTGTAAATCAAACCTGGAGCCTCTCCTGCGGGCAAGCGGTTGGGTGATATCGCTCAATGATGTTTCCCATGTTGTTGCCGTCTCTGTTCGCTGTAGCTGCTTTGGTGCTATCCATGTCAGGCTCGGATTTCCTGGTGCAGTTCGAGCAGGGATTCGACCAGGCCGAATTGGACCTGAAACGGCGTTTTCAGAAGCAGTACCCAGCCTACTTGTTCCTGTCAAGAACAATCTGTTAGTGAACCAAATCGGCTATAATAGGTTGACGAATACAGCGACATGAAGTCTATTCTCACCTGCACTCGCCACTTGTTCGCTCGTCGTGTTCTTCTGACGAACACAAGTTGACCGTTCAAGAATCTTAACCCTGTCTAGCAACATCTTATTCGCAGACTCTGCCTTCTCGGGTGTAGCCCGAATATCGTCAAACATAGTCTTGTACTTAGCCAACTGCTCAGTATGTAAATCCGCAAGTTCCTCCAGTTTTGTATCCTGTTGGGCGAGAATGAGTTTATCAGTGTCGCGCTGCAGCTCAAGCGTACGTATCCGCGCAAGTAGAAGGTCAACAGTTTCACCGAGGTCGGTCAGAATCTTGGTTGTCGTAGCATGGTCGTTTTGGAGCTCCTTGATCAACTCGGTGAGTACAACGATGTCACGCCGGAGTTGATGTGCCCAGAGGATAGAAGACGGATGGGAGGCGTAAGGTGTTGTGTTAGAGGGATCTCTGGGGTCCAGGTTGGGCTGAGACATCAGAAAGCTATTGGTTCTGTAACCTCCAGGTTGACTGAGTAGATACTATTGGAGGTTCAGCGTGAAAATGGCTATCGCAGGATGGGGTGGGAGGTGGTTAGGAACAACTTTTGCGAAAAAGGCTACAGTGAGGAAAGTGCTACAAACCTACGAGCATATCAAACTCAAAACTTAGTTAACCAAACGGAATGGCATTTACCTCTTGTCTATTGTGCTCCATACTTTAAAGCAGGTATACAACCACCCCAGATCCATGAACATGTAAATGGCCTTCTTCCTCCTGAGGGAGAAAACCATGAGCGAGTAACATTTTTACTCGCCTTCTCAGTCAGGTAACAATGACCTAACTAACGAGCAATGTAGGAAAAGGGGACAAAGGAAAAAGAGGTGAAAAGAGATCCCAGAAGAGACAATCATGAATTACAGCATAAACAATCGCACAAACATTGTCGCATCTCCGTAAGCATGAACAAAGGAAACCATGAGACAGCAGTCAACGGGGAGTCGTTTAGAACCCATCAGCTCCTGATAACACAAAACAAAATGCTGGAGATACAGAAAGCCACTTTTGAAGGATTTCCCTTTACCAAGAGAAGCTGCAACGATCAAAAACAGGTCTTTTTCCACCGCAACTCACCCTTGGAGCGTTATTGGCAACTGCATTCGTAACCCGCATCGAAGACATTAGGTGGTTCGGATTTAAGGAGTTTAGATGAGGTCTATCGCAGTTAGTATACGCTTGATATTTCGTTAGGCTAGTGTTCAACATACCTGCAACGTTCATGGGCATCTCCTCGATTTGAGTGCTGTAGAACTGCTCGATTTCGCGCATCATACGGACATCGTCGGCGGTGACGAAGTTGATGGCAACACCCTTACGACCGAAACGACCACCACGACCGATACGGTGAATGTAGTTCTCACGGTTGGCAGGGAGATCGTAGTTGATGACCAGAGAGACCTGCTGGACATCGATACCACGGGCCAGAAGGTCAGTGGCAATGAGGACACGGGAGGATCCAGAGCGGAACTCCTTCATGATAACATCACGCTGGGACTGCTCCATGTCACCGTGCATGGCGGAGACGGTGAAGTCACGGGCAGTGAGCTTGTCAGTGAGCCAGTCGACCTTGCGGCGGGTGTTGCAGAAGATGACGGCCTGCGTGATTGTGACGGTCTCGTAGAGATCGGAGAGGGTGTCGAGCTTCCACTCCTCCTTCTCGACGGCAATGTAGAACTGCTTGATACCTTCGAGGGTAAGTTCCTGCTTCTTGACAAGGATACGGACGGGGTCGCGCATGAACTTGGTGGTGACCTCAAGGACGTCCTGGGGCATGGTAGCGGAGAGCAGGACAACCTGGGTGGACTGGGGAAGGAGCTGGAAGATGTCGTAGATTTGCTCGGTGAAACCACGCTGCATTCATTAGTATGTTGCTTGCATGTTTGATCAAGATAAGATATTACTTACGGACAACATCTCATCGGCCTCGTCGAGGATGAACATCTTCATGTGGTCGGTCTTGAGGACACGGCGCTGGATCATGTCCTGGATACGGCCGGGGGTACCGACAACGACCTGGGGACCGTTGCGGAGGGCGTTCATGTCATCACGGACTGCGGTACCACCAATGCAGGCGTGGCACTCAATGTTCATGAAGTCACCGATAGCGATAACGACCTTCTGGATCTGCTGGGCCAATTCACGGGTGGGGGCAACGATCAGAGCCTGGCAGCCCTTTACGTTGGGGTCGAGCTTCTGGAGAGCGGAGATGGAGAAAGTAGCGGTCTTTCCAGTACCGGACTGAGCCTGAGCAATGACATCGTTGCCTAAGGCGAGTTATTAACACCATTGGAAGGTAACATTTGCGAATTTCTGGACTCACCCTTGATGATGGGCATGATGGCACGCTGCTGGATAGCAGAGGGACGTTCGAAACCATAGGCGTAGACACCTGTATAGCGCGATGACCGTTAGATCCTGACCCCCCACTCTTCGTGTTCGGAATAGAAATTTGCACATACCGCGGAGCAGCTCGCTCTTCAGGTCCATGGAATCGAAAGAGTCGGTGACCTCATCGTAGTTGGACTCGATCTGAGCTGTAATTTCGAAAAGAATATCGTTAGCTTATTCTGTGCCTTCACGGGTGTTGTCGCCGGTGGTGGTGCGAGACTGCAGGATTTTCCCTCCCGCCGTCCTGTGTAGACCGCGAAAGAAAAAAAAAAAAATCCTCGCCCACGACACCGACATACGGACGATAAGACGCAAAGGAGTACAACGAACCGTCGGGGATCTCCTCGAGACCCTTGTCGTTGGAAGCCATGTTTGCGGTTGTTGTAGAGGGGATCACAGCAACGGACTGTGATCGAAGGAAGACGGTGGGGTTTGGGTAAGAACTGAAGGGTTTGTTCCTTAGCGACGGTCCCAGTGGGGTTTCTGTCGCTGAAATTCTTAAAGTCAAAAGACTTCTTCTCTCGAGTGCTGATGACTAGAACCACAGGTCTCCGGGAGAGACTTTCAAGGAGCTAGTAGTAATGATAAATGTTGTAAAAGTTGAGAGTTGGAGAGTGGAAAGAGAAGAGAAAAAAGATGGAAGAAGTGGTGGATCTTCTGGTGGTGGGAAAAAAGAATTATTCTGGATGGGGTTTTTTTCCCTCTCTGCATTTTTACTCGCTGTTACCGCTGGTGACTCAGCTTACTATGGCAAAATTACCCTTGCCGCCTGAACTTTGGTACGAGTTTTTTGCCCAATGATTGCGAACCGCCTGCTATTTTGAGTCATGCCCACCTTTTCCCTCGACTTTTTGCTGCTTTCTCTTGACAGATGTTGTGACTCTTCTGGTGGCTGTGGCAGGCAAATCTTGTTGTGAATCATCGCTGATTACTTCTCCCACCATTATTGAATCGTCTTTTCGCCTATCTTCACCGGTTCCCAGGGAAATCCCGTTTGATTCCTGCAAAAGGAAGAGTACAAACGAAGCCAAACAGGTTGGGGGACCGATATGCCAGATATTACAACTTTGGGCAGCCAGCTCCAGAATGAGGATGGGGTCGAAGAACTCGCTGCTCAGAATGCAATCCCAGGACATCCTCTCGGCGTAAAACCGAGTGGCAACGCGCTGCTCGCCGCTGTCAATCTCCGCAACGCGATTGGTACATTCGGGTTGCTGCCAGACGAGTTGATTTTGATATTATTGGAGTTCCTTGATTGCCCAAGCCTCCTGCGGCTTGGCCGCACATGTAAGGCGCTTTATGCTTTCACAAGAGCGGAGGATCTATGGAAGACTATTTTCATCAGGTATGGCGTTTAACTCAGCTGTGACGTAGTGGCGTAGATGCTAAGTTGCTAGATCCCCTCCTACATCTTTCACATGGAGAGGAACATGGCGTACGACGTACCTGAACCTTCCTCCATCTAAGGTTGCTTTTCTCGACTGTTCCAACCTGTTCTCGGATGCCCTGCATAGGCCATTCTATTGCGCGCACATTTCGCTAGATCCATATGCCTCCAACATTCCAACTAGGAACCAGATTGCCCGTTTACCCAACCTAACTCCTCAAGAATTTCAGGAGAAATGGTCTGATACACCGTTCATCTTGACGGAACCCGTGAAACAGTGGCCGGTATACCACCAGTGGTCGGTGGAGACACTGCTGCCGAAGCACGGAGGGACTCCCTTTAGAGCGGAGGCTGTCGACTGGCCTTTCCGGACATATGTTGATTACATGAAGAACAACTCGGACGAAAGCCCTCTATACCTCTTCGACAAGGAGTTTGTCTCCAAGATGGGGCTCAGGGTAGGTCCGATGGACCAGGAACCAGAGATAGCCTATTGGCCGCCACCATGCTTCGGCGAGGATTTCTTCTCTGTTCTGGGCAACGACCGGCCCGATAGACAGTGGTTGATTATCGGACCTGAAAGATCTGGAAGCACTTTTCACAAGGACCCTAATGCTACAAGCGCCTGGAATGCTGTTGTCCGTGGCTCCAAGTACTGGATTATGTTCCCTTCGTCTTCCAAGCTTCCCCCTCCGCCCGGGGTTTATGTGTCGGACGACCAAAGTGAGGTGACTTCCCCGCTTAGTATAGCGGAATGGCTCTTAGGATTCCATGCCGAGGCTCGCCGTACACAAGGCTGCATTGAGGGCATTTGTCAGGAAGGAGAAATCCTCCATGTTCCTTCCGGCTGGTGGCATCTAGTCGTCAATCTTGAACCTGCTATCGCAATCACGCAAAATTTCATTCCTCGCGCCCACTTAACAGCCGCGTTGGATTTCCTGTCTAATAAGGCAGATCAGATTTCTGGATTTCGAAAGGATGTAACCAACCCGTACGAACAGTTCGTGGCCAAGATGCAGAAATCACACCCGGAACTACTGCAAACAGCTCTAGACGATTTGAAAAAGAAATCCGAGGGCAAGAAGAGAAAATGGGACGAGATCGTCCACGGAAAGATTAAAACCGATTCAGCTGAGCCCGAATCTGCTGGTTTCAGCTTCGGATTTGGTGACGATGATAGCGATGTGGAAGTTCCTTGAACGCCTCAACTATATATGCAACGAATCATGCAATAATGCAATGAGCTATACAGCAGAGCTTGGCTTTACCTCTTAAAGCGGCATCCGGGCACACTGGGCCTACAACAAAGCTGGACTTCAATGACAAGCAACACTTTTGGTCGCCGACATGTTCTCACCGAATGCCAAGTATCCGACAAACGCGCCCACAGCGACGGCAAGCATAACAAAGCCGTTGTAAGTCATAAAGAGAAGCCTGGGGTTGTCAGCTCATGTCTTCATGAGAAGAGAAGCCCGACTTACATGATGAAAAAGCTATAAAACACCTGCACCGCATAAAGCGCAGCCATGGTGATCTTACCCCTCCGCTCAACGGCCCTCCTATTGTCACTGCCTACAAGTAGCCGTGAGCTCGTGCTGGGGACATGTGTACGTGCTTGGTTTTGAGGATCAGTTTCATTGCCCGTGAGAGCTTCGTCGGCGATCTCATTGCCTTTACAGGGTCAATGGCAGCTCGGCCAACGGGAGGGATTGTTCATCCGAGTCTTATATAGAAAGCACTGTATAGACATATAGAGGAAAATCACTTACTGCCAACAGGAGCTGTCGAGAACGCACTCAATCGTCTCGCGTGCGCAATCTCATACTGCCGAGTAACTTGTCTGACACCTTCATAACCCGCAGCCATAAGGACGATGACGACTAGGGAACCGAGGAGAGAGAGGGGACCGGTTACGTGCCATCCGGAGAAGACAATACAGAGGTTCTTGGTCGACCAGGTGAAGAGCATCTGTTATTCAGGGCATTAACGAGAAATCTCAAGTAAAAGAATGTTATTTTGTTGACTCGTGAAGGCAGGAAGGGGCGCGCTCACATTCATGCTGCACTGGTCCCCTCCCATATCCATATCTCCGTGCCCATGGTGGCCGTGATCCATGTCCATTGTCTTGTAGCTGAGTTGATTGAGCAGCGACCAATATTGGATTGCGTGTATCGAGTTTATCGGAAATTGTCGTGTGGTGGAGGGGCTAATAAAAGTGGTCTTTCGGCGAATGTCAGCTCAAATTCGACTCCAAGAAGTTAATCGAAATAAGCCGCAAACAAGGGGTGAATGAGGAGACGAAGCGTAAGATGATGTGCTGACCAGCCATCACTAGATCAGCTGCAGGCGGGATGCAAACAGCACAAACACTGATAAGGTCGGCTAGTGGCTTGATCTCCGAATCTAGATTTCATTCAAGCAGCTCTTGCTCCGCACATCTCCATCGCTTGCTGGGACTTGACACGGGCACTCGATTCGCGCTTATCCACGTCCGGGAACTCGCAACTGTCATCGCCAAATATCCAAACTCGATTGTAGGAGAAGAAAACCACTACCACGCAAAACACCACAAACCCTAAAATGGCCGAATCCGCAACCGCGACACCGGCGGGCCCCGTCGCAAACACCCCAGCGACAAGCAGCGCTCCAACAGCGACCGGAGACAATGCCACCTCTGCCAACCCGTCTCAATCCCAAAGCCAATCGCAATCAAACAACGTCAACGCCAGCAATGGCACCAACACCACGCAAGCAACCCCCTCTCAACCCGACACGACCACAAATCCCAATTCCAATCCGGGCACCAACGACGAAAACCAACCCCCGGGTTCGACCTCCGACGCCCGCGCAAACCGTGGCCTGCCCTACTATGAGAAACTCCGACGCGATTTGCGCGATACATTGCAGAAGAAGAGGCTTATGGATAAGAGCATGGTAGGCTTTCTTTTCTTTACCATTTACAACATTCCCAGGATTGACACGCAACAGGCCCAACTAGAAGAACAAATCTATCGCTTCGAACAATCCTACCTCGAGGAAACAACAGCCGGAAACATAATCAAGGGCTTCGACACATATATCAAGGGCTCATCAACAGGGACGGGGTCATTAACGGGCGGGTTATCGCTGTCAAGCTCGGGTGTGGGGACATCGAGAAGGAAGGCTGCGGTTACGGATGGCGATCGTGTATTCTCCAAGAGTTCGGCGTCTTTCATGCGGGTATGTTGCTCCCTCTCCCTCCACTCCCCGCTATCCATCCTTTCCGGTTGCTTGACGACCTTTTCAATCCATTGTATATATAAGTGACTGAAACAAACAAACAAAACAAAACAAAACAGGACTCCCCCGCTCCCTCTAGCGCACAAACAACTCCCTCGCACGCTCCAACCCCGAGCTCAATGTACAACGGCTCAAACGGGAAACCAGGAAACGGGGATACCTCTTCCGCAGCGAACAGCGTCAAGGGCGGTTCTTCCTCATCGAAGAACAAGAAGAAGGGTACCGGCGGTGGCGGGAATAAAGGTGACAGAGACGACGATGATGATGATAAGCCGCCGAGTAAGCGCTTGAAGATCAGTTATGGGAGGGATTAGAGCGTTCTTCCTGCGAATGGGAATGGAGTTGGGGTTATTATTGCATGTTATATGTTTAGATGGAACGGTGGGTGATATGTATGTATGATATACTGCTATGTTATGCTGGGAGCTTAGGCGCTAGAGATGGATATGTTTTCTATCAATGTTTTCAGATGGCTCTGATGCTTCCTGAATTGGTGGCAATGCAATGGAAGTACCGACAAAACAAATTGCATATGCATGGGCAGAGATCATAATATATCTTCATAAATCCAGTGACCCCTTCGATCAAAACTGTTGTCAGTGAGTAAACCCCATGACCAGCGCTTTTTCCCCGACCTGAAGCCCTAAGTGCGGCCTCCTACAACTGCAACCTAAACGTCGCAACCTCGAACGCCCTCAACTCAATCTCCACTTTCTTTGCCTCTCCTTGGATATCGACAACCTCCAGCTTTTCCTCATCATCCTCGAGAACGTTACACTTCCAAACTCTCTTGACCGGGAAACTCGTCCGAATGACCCCACGGCTCCGCCCACCGAGACTCTCATAGATCCTCAGCACAATACTCTGCCCCTTGCGCTTGGACGCTGGGATTTCAAGGTCTGGATCTCCCGAGATGTCTTCGTCGTCTTCGCCGCGTTTCACCGTGTCGAGGATCAGAGAGGAGGAGCCGGAGAGGGTGATTTTCGAGAAGAGGTCCTCCCCATCGTTCTTATTCCGACTGAGCGAAGGGCTATGGTGTGTATCCAGCACAAGGGGCTGGTTAAACGCATAGCCCGCCCTTACGGTTCTCGCATCTAGTGGACCGGCATGAGGCATGATCGCGTAGCGAATGGTATGGCGGCCCATGTCGGCATGCGCATCCGGTGCTTTTGGTGCACGGAGTAAAGAGAGCCGCATGAGGTTTCCGACGGTGGCGAAGCCGTACTTCGAGTCGTTGAGGATAGAGACGCCGTAGTTTGACTCGGATAGATCGGAGAATTTGTGGGTGCAGACTTCGAACTTGGCCATGTCCCAACTACGAATTTGTTAGTTTTGAGAAGGCTAGGGGTAGAGTATCAAGGAATGGAAAGGGATGGGGAGGGCGTACGTTGTGTTATAGTGTGTCGGACGACGAATGATACCGTACTGCGTCTCATAAGACGCTTCGGTGTTCGTGATATCAACCGGAAACTCGACCTTGAGGAACTTCATCGTCTCGCGCCATTCGACTTCGCTCTCAAATTCGACATATGACAGATGTGTACCCGTTGTGGCCGCGAGGCTGATAGTCGTCTTGATCCAGCTGTTCTCGCTGATTCTCGTCTCAGTAACGACGCTGGCGCGGTATGGATCCCGTTCAGCGATACTAGTCTTCACAGACTGGAGCTCCTTGCGAGATTCGAGATGGTAGACTTCGACATCCCAGGCCTGCCAGTACAGCGGCTTGTCGTCGAAGATGACAAGCTGACCAGCCTTCCCACCTTTGACAATGACTTCGCGGTCGGCATCAATATCGTAGAGCGAAATGATGACGCCGCCTTGGACATCCACGCGGAGCTTTCCGTTATCGAGACGGAATACGCCCGGTTGGATCTCGTTGATGCTAACTTTCGAGGCGGTTGCGGCAGTCGCTGGGACCGGGATGGCGCCGGGGCCGCCGGTGAGTATGGTGTATTTGAGACCATTGGTAGCTGCTTGGGCCGGGAGCTTGACTACTTCAGAGCGGTGCCAGGGGAGGGTATTGATTGCTACCGGAGCTGAACCCTTCTCGCTGTACCCGAGGACTTCGAGGGCCTCTTTTCGTGCATTCAGGCCAATCGCAAAGATCTTGGCGTATAGCTCGTCAGAGTCGTCGTAGCACATCTCGATCGAGGACCCTGGAAGACAATCGTGAAACTGGCATAGGAGCGTACCCTGCCACATAAAGTCGATATCCTTCTTGGGGTATTTATAATCGGATTGAGTTAGCGAGGCGAGCGTCGCGAGATACTCGAGCTCGCGAAGGAGGAACTCGGCTCGACGGTTGTGGCGCTTGTTGTTCGCCTGCGTGGTGTATGTGCCCCGGTGCAGCTCAAAGTACAACTCGCCATACCATGTCGCAAACTTGGTTCCGTCTGCAGACTTCTTTTCGAGACTTGCAAAGAAGTCGTCGACTGATCCCCCCATCGAAGTGCGAGGAAGCAAACCAGTCTTGTCACTAAGGCCACGGCAGCGGCGGAGCTTTTCCAAGTGCTCAAAGGTAGGCCCACCCCCTCCGTCACCTTTGCCGAAGACGAGAAGTGACGTGTTGTCTGAGTCGAGAGACTTGTGTTGCGACACGCTGCGTCTCACATCGCCAAAGTGGGCTTCCGCAGTGTATGTCTCTGATGGCGCCATATGGCACAGCACCTGGCTTCCATCGAGGGCAACCCATTTGAAAGTCGTATGGGGGAAGTTGTTAATGTTATTCCAGCTAAGCTTCTGCGTGAAGAAGCGGCTCATGCCTGCTAATCGGCAGATCTGGGGAATTTGCGTGGAATAGCCAAATGTATCAGGGAGCCAGAATGTGGTGCAACGTTCGCCAAAATTGCTCTCGAAGAACCGCTGTCCGTAGATGAACTGCCTCACCAGAGACTCGCCACTGGGCATGTTCGTATCGTGCTCAACCCAACTGCCACCGATGGGCTGGAAGTGGCCTTTCTTCACCCATGATTTCACACGGTCAAAGACGGTCGGGTAGTAATGCTTCAGCCACTTGAATTGCTGGGCCTGAGAGCAGGTGAAGCGATGCTCTGGGTATCGGTCCATAAGATCACACTGGTTTGACCATGATCGTGCAACCTTGCGCTTGGTTTCTGCCCATGGCCAAAGCCAGCAGGTATCGATATGGCAGTGCCCTATTCCGTAGATGATCGGCTTCGCATCGGTATCATACACTTCGGCGGAGTCGACCTTGTCGCCCAAATATCTCTGTGCAATCCGGCGACCTTCCTTGATAGCCTCAGTGCTTCCATTGCCAGCAATGAAAGCATCAATAATCGCATTGCCCACCACATTGGCCTCGTGAGACTCCCATCCATCAGCGGGAAACTCCCTAGCGGCATCTGCCCTAATTAGCAAACACACACGAGAGTCCGGATTCATATCGGCCAGGAGCATAACCTACCCGAGATAATCCAAAAATCATAAAACAAAGCCCTAGCCGCCAAATTCACGGCGGTGATCCGCGCCGTATGCAACGTAAAATAGCGATCAGGTTTCGGCGGCTGGATCGAGTCTCCGCCGGGTGCATTTCCAAACATGCCATTGCACGCCATCTCAATATAAAAGACATGCTCCTTCCCATCGCGCCAAGCGTCTGGGATGATCCACTCCACCCGCTCCCCACCCCCCGTGAGACCCTGGAGCGGGTGCCCGTCCTCCGTCCAGACGAGGCCCTCATTATTCGCATCCCAGTGGAACTCTAGCCGCTCCTTTTTCCGGTACTCTTCGGGGATCGTCAGGCGGATGCGGAACCAGTGCGTCGACCAGCTGGGCCCGAAGGAGGCACCGATGTGCGTGGGCTTAAACTCGTTGGCGATTGCCTCTTTGAAACTGGGCCGTTGCAGATCGGGGACGGAATAGACGGAGAGCTTGACGTGGTCTTCGGAGGAAGTGGTAGCTTCGAAGAGCTTACTGTTGTTGTGGTGTTAGCTGCCTCCCGAGTTGTACGTATCAGATGCGGGGACGGGTTGCGGTGCCCGCGACCTTGATGAACGGCAACAACATACCCAATCAGATTCTGCTTCTCATACTGACCGCTAGATGTAAACTGGCGGAGACGGTCAGTGTAGATGCTCCTAATGCGTTGTCCGACGGGGCTTTCGGGCGCCCGGGGCAGAGAGCTGGGAGCTTGTCGGGGAACGTCTCCACCCATTGTTTTGAGCGGGTCTCGCCAGCAAGGGATCAATCCAAATTCGCTCAACGGCAGAGGTAAAAATCTTAAAATTACTCAAGAGGAGTCGAGAGAGTGACACGGAGAGAGAAAAGAAAGCGCCAATCTAATGAGAAAAGAGAAGAGAGGCAAGAGGAGAAATAGAATCAGGACCAGGAACGGGGGCAGGTGACGTTGATGTTGCATGCGGAGAAACACTCCAAATGGCGGGGACCAACGGGAATGCCCACAGCCACGGATTGATTGCGTCCTTCTGGGCACACCACAACTCGGCCTGCTGTCCTACTGTATGTGTTTCAGTATGGTCTGCTAGAGGTCCGAGCTCCTGTCCCTGTGTTGCTTGAGTTTCGCGGGAGGCAACCAGGTTCGACTGTGAGTGGACCGTAAGCGATGATCTGCTCGGCGAAAATCGATCTCCTAGAACTGGTTGGTGATAATCTAGATCATGCGGGAGTATCTGACAGTGACACCGCCGACCGTAGTCTGAATTGCCCGTTTGTCTTACTTTCATCCGTTCTCGTGCATATGTCGCTCCTACGATCAGCAACGGCCGAGACATGTACCCCAATTTTCACTGTTCAGGATGGAGGATTGTTCGTTTATGATGCCTAATCAAAAGCTCAAGATTGCTTAGCACTCGAAGAGCTGGAAAAGAGAGGAAATGTCCTGTCCAACACCGTAACACCTAGCTAGAAGAACAAATAGGTATCAAAGATGAGAACGCTTAAAAAACAAGGAATCAACAAATGGCTCAGCTGAGCATAGATGAGAAGCTCAAAAACGAGCGAGAGAAAGAATGAGATATCGGACTGTCATGGTCACACCCATGGGTCATCCTTGTAAGAAGTGTACGGATTGACAGGCCCAACTAAACGAATCTTCGACTTCAACTGTGAACGTTGTCGATCAATTTTCGCCCCGGCCATCTTCTTTCGCGTGTTGTCAATGGCAACGAGCACGTGGCTCGTTCCGTCCTGCAACGCCCGGACGCAGTGGCGAGTGCCTTGCTGAAACGGCGTACGGCCTGCAGGACTCAATGGCGGCGTCGCAGATGTTACGCACCCTTGCTTGACCGGAGACTTTCGATATTTCGGGAAGCGCACCCGTTGGCTCTGCCGGTAGCTGATACGCTTCTCCTTGCCAGATTTGTCCCATATGGCGGCTCCGTATTTCTGGTATGGAGAGATCGGAACCGCTAGCTGCTTCCTTCGCGGGGACAGAGGCTGCTGCAATCTCAAGGACTCGTCCGAGAGCGATGAACCGGTTGGCGAGATGGAAAGATGCGTCGAGTTCTTGAACGAGTATGTTGGGCTCTGTGGAACAGCGGTACTTCCATAATCGGACCAGTCGCTGGTCGTTGGAGTTATCCGCTGGGGCGGAGTATGCTCTCGTGTGTACTCCGGAGAGGTGGTGGGCCGGGTATTCCGCTTCGGCTTTTCCTTGTCGATGGAGTTTCGGGATAGTCGTCGTTGAACAAGTGAGCGGATCGAGTTGCGCACATCGTTCGCCAGAGCGGCGCCCTTGTCGGTCGATATCCATCGCGAGCGCATGCCATCCTTCTTCCGCGGCCTTGGTGGAAGACTGTGGGGCGAGTTCTGGGGTAGGGCTGAAGGAGTGGCCAGCTCGGGAAAGAAATCCCATTTCTTCTCGCGAAAGTAGTGATTCGGGCCGGTGCAACTAGTTGGAACCCAGTGTGGCGGGGGAGAATATCGGTCTTCCGCCAGAAAAGACGTGTAAGCCAAGGACGATGTTGCTGGTTTATCATAAGGCTCTACAGATTGCGTACGGTCGATCGTGGAGACGGAAGGGTGATCGACAAAATCCGCTAGATCATCCGACTCGGACCGGACAAACACGGGGTAGCTCTCTGTGGAAACGCTGGACTGGCGATGGTCCCTCTCATCATCGTCATCATGGTCTTCGACGCTGTTGACGGTACTGCTGTCGTCGCTCCACGCCGTAGACCCAGCCATGAAGTGGATCTCGCCGGTTGAGGAATCATTTGGAGGTAGTTCGGGGAGGGGTTTATCCAGATGCAGGCGTGAACGAGAAGGCGAAAGAGCACCTGGGGGGACAACTTTCTCTAGTCCCTCGAGGGATCGAGAGGGCCGTACTGGAGGAGCCTGCCTCGACAGGGCATAAGTCGACGGCGACAGCATGGCGACAGTCGACTGCGTCTTGTGACTCCCCCTCCTGGACGAGGGGGAAGTGAAGAAGAACAAGGAAAGATAAAGGGAAAGAGACGAGGATCTGAACTGGAGAGAAGAGCTAACCCAGGCTATGTGACGAGAAGTGGACGGATAAATTAAGCGGAGAGGGACCAAAAATGCGACGTGAGGAGAGTTAATAAGCTGGAATATGATCTTATGCGCCAACTTTCTTTTTCCGATGCAGTCTTTCTGCCTTTGAATGCAGCGTCGACTCTTAGCCTTGTGGCCTGCAGCAGCAGCGGGGATCACAAGACCCCCAGCTCAACCTCGACGAGACTTGAAACTGGTCAAAGAGCGCCCTTCCAAGAAGTCAAGGCAGGACAAAGCGACTGGCGAGGATAGCAATAGAGGATAGAAATAACATCCCTGGTTCCCTGGGGCGGATCCCATCGGGCTCGGTGATTCATGATGATTTCAATCTCGCCCGGATAGCTTCGTTGAGGTCGCACAGCCAAATGCAAGGGAGGAACATCCTCATCAGCAGTCAGCCAGCGGTGCAGCAGCAACACGCAACAGATTCCAGAGACCGCTCCCAGAGACCCAGAGCGTTGGATTTCCAGCTGACCAAGATTCTCTAATTCGTCCTGTCAATCAATCCTGAGGCAGATCTTGCGGAGACTAGGCCAGTAGCTTCGCTGAGCGTTCACCCCAAGAAAAGGTGTCGTTCATGCAATTTGATCCTTCGCTCCACCCAGAGCTGAGTCCGGCTGTCTCAGACACTCTGCTTATTTCGAGCGATCATCCCAGATTCAACACCGGAGTTGGCATCGCTCGCTTTGGAGGGCGGTTCTGAGGTTCTCGAACAACTCGGCAATTTCCCTGCCTGAATTGGGACAGAAACGGTTCGCTTGAGCTAGACGCTCTGGGGGGACACAGTGTGATACATCACTTCGAGAGGCTTGCCTCTCTCCTCAATCTCGAGTTTTCCCACAGCACAGAATCCCTGTCTCGTATCCACTGCATTGCTGTCACTGGCTTTTATTCTCCCTGGAATGCACGCTTTCGATGTCAGGCATCATCGCGCAGCGACTCGACGCTAGCCAGGCGTCCACAGTGCACGATGCCCCCAGCAACCACGTATCTATCCGTGAATAACCCCCTAGATCCTCGATTTCGGGTCCCAACCAAGAGATTAGCTCTTTCTGCGCTCCAGTCATTGCAAAGCAAACCACGCAATGACCACTTTATCAGCACTGAGCAGCAGTTCAGGGGTGAAAAAGCAACACTGGCCCGACGGTATTTTGCCCAGCGCCCGATACGATTCGATTCAATCATCCAGCTCGATTCAATCACAATCAAACACACCATCCATCACAATTCACATCACACTGACAACATCAACGATCAAAGCCAAATAGTTTCCTTGGGCATCTCCAATTTCCCCCAGTCAACACGTCAGTTCTCCGCCCAATAACCCTGATAAACAGTCCTCAAATCTTGGAACAGCCATCCAGGAACCGGATTGGCATCTATAAATGATGCAATTGCGCGTCTCATTTTTGCGTCTACTATTCACTTTCGTACCGATGGCTGGATCGAGATTAGAGACAAGTCCAGGTACACCGGCGCCACTTATCGGCATCAGTCTTGTTCTTGTCCCTTTCGCCGACGGCCTTGCTCACTCATGTATGACTTCCGCACATACAGCGTACCCGCGACGGCTTGAATCCTGCCGCTGCCCATGCTACACTGCTATACAGGACCTAATCTCCGGTTCTTAGCCTCACTACGAATTGAATAAGCTGAGAAACGCCGATGGACCTTCTCTTCCGAGCTTCAATTTGTCGCCTGCACCATGCGCAGCATTAGACCCTGCCTGCTTGCTTCTGTCTGCTTATCATCGCCGTCCAGCGTCAGCAAGCGAAGCAAACAGCAAAAAATCCAACAAAAATAAACCTACATTACCCCCTTCAGGCAACCAGTCCACAGTAGATCCCTACGACACCCCATATCCAGGAAGATCCCTGGACCTTGAGGAAAGAAGCAAGTCTACACCATGTACGTACACCACAACCTCAACGGAAATGCACGAGTTACCACTTCCGGCTTACTTGCCTACCCCGGAAACCAACATAATCAACGTCGCTCGCCTCGCGATTCGCAAGCTCAGGGCCCAGGGAAAGTAAGATCTCACCTGCTTCCCCCGCCGCATTCGGGAATGCGGTCTGTGCCGCTGCGGTCAGCCTGCGAGTGTACTTCTGGGCCTCTGCGATGCGAGTCAGTCTGTGTTAACTCTAGGTCTGAGGCCCGCACGCATTGGCATCGCAGCAAGTACCAATTTCCGAGCGCTGCAGCAGTGCAGTGCGTTGTACGGCCTGCAGCAAGGGCTGCGGGCTGGGGAGCTGCGGTGCAGGACACGGACATGTTTACTGTACCCCGTCGACAGAGGTCCAGTACTTTGAGCAAGCGAAGAGGCAATCAATGCATGATACTAAGAAGACAGATTGTCCCTTATCCCATCTTATTGGAGGTGGTAGCGAGACGTTGATCCTTACTTTTGAGTCGGAAGCAAGGTTTCTGGGCGCCCACGCCTGCCATCTGGCTTTGGATCCGAGACTGACACCCCTATTGACAAAGCACGACCGGGGCAACGGGCGACGGACACCGGCAACAACGGCAACGGCGTTCTCAGCTTTGAACGATGTACCAGAGTTCAAGTGGCGTAGTCGTAAGCGCAACTCATTGCGGATTGTGGGGTTGAGCGTTAACCTTCATTCCAAGGTTTAAGCGTCAATGACAAATGGATTGAGGGCCTTGGGACGTTAAGGTTTTGTACCTTTGCCACGATGGGCGTTGGGTTGACCGCTACTTCTGGTCGTACCTTTACCCTTTTCAGTCCAAACTTTGTTCCTCCTCTCATCTATGCATATCCCACTTCTCATATACGTATAGCAGACTTTGATATAGGAACGCATTATGCGGCGGGGGTATCAAACAGCCGAACCACCTCACCACAAACGACACACACTGAAATCCCCCCTTTGCTCTAGAATTGTGAACAATCAAAACTTTGCTGTCAACCTCCCCATCCCCCTCAACCGAGCAATCAGCTCCTCGTCACCCGAATGCCGATTATGCTCAAACTCCGGCTCCGCATCGTACGCGATCCTCGCAACGTCCACGAGGATCCGCGCCGTCATTCCAAACACCCGGTACCGCGTGACTTCGCCGGCTGACTCCTGCTCTTGGAGCGCGTGCACGGCTTCTTCTTGCTCTGAGTGTTGCGGGCGCGGCTTGACGACTGTGTTGGGGGTTATCGGGACGAAGAATTGATGCACTGTTTCTTCTGTTAGTACTTGTGTGTAGTATGCGAGACACATCGGTTATACGTACTTCTCCACCCAGTCCCATACCACTCCGTCCAAGCCCCCTGATACCACTCCTCCGGATTACCCGCCCTCGGATCCCCCAAGACTCGCAGGAAGTCACGAAAGGGCGCAGTGAACACGGCCGCGACCTCACGGGCGTCCAGCCGCGGGATAAGCGAGGTCTCCGGATCGGCATTCTGCCCCGTTTGCTCGTCGTACGTGTGCAGGAGCGCGACGCACGGCCGGACGACCAACTCCGTGCGCGCAAGGCTAGAGGGGATTTCGCACAGGTGTTCGACTGAAAAAGGGGCTGGGAGGGGTTGGGATATCCCCGGCAGCCCGATCTCCTCGTTTGCTTCGCGGCGCGCGGTCTGAAAAGGGGTTTCGGATTCGGAGTCGGATTTGCCTGTGTAGGTTAGTTTCTTTTGTTTTTGTTCTCGCGAAAATCCAAGATGAGATGGAGCAAAGAGCGCTTACCACCGGGTAACGCGGCTTGACCTGCATCTATCTGAAATTAGTGGTGGGATGTCTAGTTTGTGGCGAGTGCATACAGGAACTCAACGTGCTCGCGCGAATCGTTAGAACGACTCTCAGATCCCCCTTTGAGTCCGCATAAAGAAGGACTAGCACTGCTGCCCGTCGTGATACCGGTACCAACTCATAGTTCGTCGGTGGGGGCTTGTAGGCCCTTAACCGGTTGATTGCATTCTACGGACAAGTCAGTGACTCTACAACCAACAAACAAGATCTACGATCTAAGGCCGGAATAATGTCCGATCCGATCACTTGCAAGGCTCAGCATACTTACTTGGGAGGCGAAGTTCAGACGCGGCATGTCTAGTCTTTGTGCTGTTGACGAACTGAATCGATGATGACGAAGTGTGGAGATGGCAACGCTGGAAGTTGGGATTTGATGGCAACAGAAACGGAGGGCCCAGGGAAAGGGCGCTCTCCGCATGCTTTAGTAGATGACTTTGAGTGAGTACCAAGCAAACGCCTGATCATTTGGGATGAATTGATTGGCGAGCGGTTTGAGATGGATGAAGAGGAGTTGGGGTGTACATGGTTGTTGGGTTGCCGAGGTTGTGGTCCTGACAGGTGGAACCGAACCGAGTACGAGCATCTACTCAGCTGTAGTAGTCTTGATATCTTCTGTATGACATTCATAATCCCTGACCAGAGGAACCCAGCAGCTGGCTGCTGAGTATTTGATATGTCAATCGCAACTGCCCTGGTAAAAAAGCATGTTTCGGTGCAGCGTAACCTGATCCTGACACCCTTTTCCACGATGAGAGGAGTCCCGTTGTGCATTTGATTAGCTTCACACTTTGATATCTGCACCAGATGAATAGCTAGACGGCGTGTATGAATCATATGGGCTACTCCTTTCAAGGGTTCGGCTTAAAGCTTGCATCCAGGGCCTGCCTTCATCCAACAGTTTATCTCGCACATTCGCCACGCCATATAAATAGTTATTCTGATACGTAATGTAGATACAGATAAAGCATGCAATAATGCGTAACTCCTTATCCAGTTTTTGCCTCAAAAACAGTGACCCGGATAGTTTATAGATCTCAACCCAGGATGTCAGCTTCCATCGCTGAAGGAAGAAAGCTGCCTTCTTGAGATCATGTTTATCCGTAGTCCGCCCGCCCAAAATCTATTGACCGATATATCACAAATGAAATATAGTAGTGATGACTGTGCAGATGAACAGAGAGCGCACAACGCAAAGCTGGCTGGCTCTATTTCATCTGCGTCGAAGAAAGGTATTGGGAAACAAGACAAAGTCTATCAACATTAACACAGGGTAGAAGGGTAGGAGGTAGGTAGTTGTGAGGTGGGCGGAAGAGAGAGGGATATGATGGCGACTCGCGGCCCATGAGCGGACGAGATGAGGCACGAATTGCATAACTGAGGGAAGATGCAACTAATCGTCTATTTCTTCTCCTGAGCTTGCTCTGCAGCCTGAGCCTTCTCGGCCTTGGCACCGTCCGCCATGGCTTCGGATGCCTCTCCGGACTGAGAAGCCTCGTACTTGTGGTCTTCGTCGATATCCTCAGTGTCCTTCGGGGCTGCGACGCCCTTCTCCTCGTTCTCGCTATTTTGCTGGTTCTCCTCTTCGATAAGCTCCTGCTGCTCCTTAATGACCTCCAAGCGCTGCTTGTTGGTGGCGGCACCCTCGGCGTTGTGGACCTCGAGTTCAATTTCGTGGAAAAGCTCCTCTGGAATGCTCGACAAGACGGACTGCAGGGCCTCAATCTGAGAAGACATCTCCGCCTCTTTGCCGCCCTGAGCGTAGACGTATGCATTGCTCAGGACCAGGAGCGTGGAGGGAACACCCTGCTTCAATCGAAGGTCAAGCCACTGGGTGAGGTTCTCACGCAGGCGGGCAGGAGAGACGCCATGTGTGCGGATACCTCGCGACGCACAAGCCATCTGAAGCTCTGGAACAGAGAGAGAATCGACTCCCTCGTAGAAGATAGCACGATCGTCCCTCTTGATCTGGCGCATGCGGTGGCGAATGTTGTATCGCAGCATGGCATCAGTTCCGAATGTGTTCAGGTTCATGTACTTGCAAATAGCGACCAGTTGAGGGCGAGACAGGTTATCCAGGGTCAAGTCATCCTTGAAGATCTTGCAGACCTTGATAACATCTTCAGTGGAAGGAGTTTCTCCAGTGGTTCTGATCTTCTTGAAGAATTCGGCAAATTCCTCGTTCTTGACCGTGGCGGCCGTTACCGGCAAGCCTGACTCTTTCAGAGTATTCTTCAAGAAAGCGGAAACTTCCTTTCTAGTAGAGCTCAACCCGAGCGCCTTCTTCTCACGGGCGCTCTGTCCTTCGTATGTGCTAGGTAGGAGGTTGGGGAACAACTTGAGTGCGATTGGGAGCAGCAGCTCGGCGAACGGAATGATGATGAACATGGAAAAGGGGATCAAGCGACCAAGATCTTTGACGGTTCGTTTCAACTAAGAGCATACGGTTAGCGGCGTCAGAACGCGACCAGAATCTTGAAACCAACCTGTCTGTGCTCTCTTCGGGTGAGCTCATATCCACCCGCCATCTTCAGCGCAAGCCTTGAACTGATTCGCACTTCGGTAGCCAGAAGCTTTGTGCCATCCCAGTAATGTTGAATTTCCTTCTTGATCTTCTGGCCAAGGGTCAATTTCTTCGCCTCCTTCTTCGGCTCCTCCGAGACTTTCTTGTCCCCCGCCGCGGTCGGCTTTGATACCAAATCGCTCTCCTTGCCGTTCTTCTGCGCAACATTTTGCGCCGGCACCGAAAGCGCCTCGCCGGTCTGTTGATTCGCCTTAGCACTTAGAGGCGCCTGGTCGGCGGGGATGGGCTTCTTGGCTTGCTCCGCATTGAACCCTGGTGGCGGCAAATTCGACGACGAAGATGTAGAAGTGGATTGTTCTGTAGCGTAGCCGCGTTGAAAGACAAGGATCGCAAGGGCTGAAACGTGGGTTGGAAGGCCTCTTCCGTTGAATCGGAGATTTGTTGCGGCGGCCGCTCCAAGAGCTCCGGAGTAGCGCGGTCGGGCTGTTCAAGATCGCGATCAGTATTGATGCGGTGGAAAGGAAAGTGCAAAGAAAAGAGAAACAGTCTAGATGGTAGCCAGGAATAAAAACTCACCAATGAGATTGGGCCTTAAGACCGGAGTGCTACGCACAAGTCGAGAAGACCGCATAGGAACGGACATGACGAAAGCCTAGAAATCAATTTGCTCAGGAGAGCGATCGAAAATGGGGAATGAACACAACAATTTCAAGAGAAACGTTCAGAGGATCAAGACTGAACCTCGAGATATGGTGAGGATTGATGATTCAAGGTGAAATGAATGGTCGGGTGGTGATGTGTTCTTCGCCATCGATTCTCACCCTGTTGACGTCCGTAGTCCGCAACCAGTGGCGACACGTGACTCCGTAGAAATTCCGCCTCGGAGTTTAGCACTGTCCCCGACTGGCTCTTGTGGCCAGTCCGCACGCTCCGTTTGCTACCATCAGCAAGATCACTGGCTTAAGATTTGACCAAAATTTATAAGGGCGAGTGAACTGATACCTAGGTAAGAAACCAAAGTCTGATTCATCTCTAGAACTGATAACAGCATCGCAAAAGAACATTGACATTGAAGGGACCAATGACGTCAAGCACATCTGTGTACAGCGTGGCAAAGTATATAGTAGGAAAGTGTAAGCAAGACTCTCAAGCTCGTAGACAAAGGAACGACCGGATGGGTATCATGAGGTGACCATTCAAACGCGACAGGAATCGACAGGAATCGACAGGAATCCAAATAATACTCCAAAACAAGAAACCAGGGGGTGATTAGGTATGGGTATAGGTATAGGTATATCGTGATAAACGTGAGAGGTTGCTGGCTCATCTCTTGCCACCTTCAACGGCTGTGGAAACACCAGTTGCATCTAGTAGAGGGATCTTCTCAATGCTAGACTTGTCGGAATTGCTCTTCGGAGACCCGCCCTCAGATTGCTTTCCAACATTGGCAGTGGTCACCCCCATACCAGGAATCGTGGGTGTCACGGCTCCCTCAGGAGATGATTGCCAATGAGCAACATCTTTCTTTAGTTGTTCAAGTTCCTTCTGGAAGCGCTTGCCAAATACGTCGATATAGTAGGTTGCGCCGTTGTGGATGCTCAAGATGAAAAGGCCGGTGATGAATATTCCACTCGCCCAACGGGACCAGAGCCAGAGAGGGCACGGGATCATAGTCGAAAGGGCGTACATGTACTGAATCATCATAAATGCAGGGGCCTGTAGGGATTCAGGGAGACTAAGAACAAATCGTCCAATCCAGGTTTTTGCGTAGGACTTGCGAAGCCAGGTGAAGCTGGTCGGGCGTCCTGCCGCAATCTTGTCGGCGCGGCGAACGGTGATGAACAGATGATACGAGAGCTGCCACACCATGTAGGGTACAGTCGCCCACAGCATCATAGAAAACAGCCCATAATGATACTGAGAGCCTGGCTCGCTAGTTTTGATCTGATAAATGGCCGGGAATCTCTCCTTCATCGTCTCCAAAGGCGTAAGGTGGACGAGGCAGTGGAACGTCACTGGAGGCATAATATGAATAAAAAGGCTACGTGTTTGTTAGTTGGCTCGCTATACGTAAGTGTTAACTATCAAGAACTATGTGACTCACCTGACGACCTTGTCCATGCTATGGAAAACCATAGAGTTTCGCCACATAGCAATCGCAACTGCGTTGTTTCCAAAGACCAAACAGAATGTGCTGATAAAAAGTCTTCGAGACTTCGGAAAGACCCAAATGCAGAGCATACAAAGCATGTTCACAAAGTAGCAAAGATCTGCCAGGAAGTAATGATAGCCGATCTGGTGGTACCTGAAGAACCGTATTGGCATAAAGTAGGCGAGTTGAACACTGAACCAGATGTAGAAGTATTCAGGGTACGATCCGAGGAGATAGCCGCTGATGAAAATGTTGAGCACACCAGCAATGAACGAGATCTTCTCGCGGAGAGTAACAGCTGAGGCTGCGTTCCACCGCTGATTCAAGCGCTCAACCCCGGCCTTCATCCGACGGCGGTATTTCTCCAGTTGTTCATCCGCAGTAGGTACTCGTCTCTTCCACTCACCCACGACGCGGTCTCTGGCATGCTTTGAGGTTGACCTGATCTTTTCCTGCTGCTGTTTGACCCTTTCTCTCTGTGAGTTCAGAGACCGCTGCAGCCTCTCCAGCCGCTGAGACAGAGACAGATTATCAAGAAGGTCGAAGACTGTGAGTTGGTCAAGAGGGGGGAAAGTTTCCCAGTCATCTTGGTACGAGAAGGAGCTGCGCGACAGTCTAGGCCGTGTGGTCGGTGTGCCCGGGGGCGAGTAGAAGTAGTCGGACTCCGAGTCGAGGATATCTTCCATGTTGGATGGCTGAAGTGTAGGTGAGTCGCCGTTCTTCGCATCCCACTTCCTTCGTTGATAGGCGCCGCCCTCATCCATGGTCAACTTCTGTTCGAACCAGAATATTGTCGGGCCGTCACGGCTGTGCAGGTAGGGCGGGCTGAGAAAACGCGCAAATGTTAGCAGGCCCATGATTTCGCGCAGGAACAGATTTGCCACGGAAATAAACAAAGTGCTCGCTTCTGCAAACGATGCAGCGATTTGGTAGGAGAGACAGCAAGCAGAAAGGAAAGAAAAGACAAAGAAACCGCTCGCAAAGACAGATTCCTTATCGACCCTTCGCAAAGGAACATGGGAGGTGGGGGAATGAGGGCCTTACCCTGGATCGAGATGCAGCACTAACTTATCAGTTCCTCACACGGTCCGAGCAAGGTGCGCGCTGGGGGACAAACTTCGGGATGGGTTGGGGAAAGTCGATAACGAATGCACCAGTGACCGTCCACGTTCAAGGAGCATGAGGCACTGGAAACGGCCAGATGGGATGAACAGAGGTGCTGCGGAGGGCCAGAGAGAGTCAGAGGCAATTTTGGGAGCGAGTGGGATTATCAGGTTTACCTTGTGCGTAGGTTGAAGCTCCTGGTTGGGTGAAGCTCATGCTGGAGTCTGGCCACGAGATCGGCGTCAGAGTGAGGCCTGATGACCCAGCTTTGGCCTCAGGCATCAGAATTGTTTTCCATTTCAACCTGCCAAGACGCCTTCTGCTTGCTCTTTGCTAACAACTAACAACTTGAGTAAGAATATGAGTCTTTCTCCTCACGGGGTCCTACCCAGACTTTGTGCATCCCTTTGCCTCTGCTTGACGGTAGCTGTTCTCAAAGTTTTACAGTGGCCGGATACCCCAGGTTGACATCTGCACAGCTTCTAATCAGACACAGCAAGCCCCAAGACCTCACATAGAATCTGATGACCAAGACAAAGGGCCCCGAACTCATATTGATAGTAATATCATTGATTGTTCTTTGAAGTATGAGAATAGCTCATGTACAGAAACCCGAAAAAGGTATTAATAAACGCCATTCACAGTCCGAGATCCTCAACAATATACAGGCTAATCCAACTGCAGAACATTGATCAAGACTCAAACTCGACAAAGGAAACTTATGGATGACCCAGTCGCTCAGTAACTGGAAAAGGAAAACTGGGAGTGCATGCTAGGGATGGTGTCCCAGAAAGCAGAATGAGCATGGTGTCGCGCAGGGGGTGTATACTGGTTAGCGAAATATTCTGGTATGGACGTAGCACCAATAGGCTGAAGACCCTGCAGACAAGCTGAACTTCTAGGCGGCTCGGGGCCCGATAATATGGCTGGGTCTATCCCGGAGGAGTAAGTTGGCATGCTCCTCTCCAACGAACTTTTGCGGCTACCTGAAGGGGACAACGATGGTGATATGGGGAGGTGGCTGTCGGAATTTGCTGGTCGCTTGGTGCTTCGTGCTGGGAGCTGGTATGTATCGTCTAAGATGGTGGGCATGATACGATGCGACGACCTACGCCCAGGCAGGTGATGGTCTCGTTGTGAAAAGGGCATTGTGGATAGCTGATCGCGCACACCGCTGGCGAGACTCTGCGCTTGTAGCTCTTCTTCGAGGTGGACATGGGACACATTTATGATGGTGTCGCCGCCTGGTAAGGTTGGTAAGATGTTAGCCTCAACGACGCACTTTTCTGACTTCGAGTGGGAGCCGTACTAATCTGTCCATCCAGGTATTGTTCCTCCATCTCTCGAACATAGTATATTTCATCCAAGACCCGCAGCCGTATTTCTGGGGAGATCTGCCGCTTTACATCCTGGCCAGCTTCCCTAAGTTTTTTGGCTGTGATATCGTGGCTGTCTCTAAGCTCGCACAGAATATGTACCAGCAGACGCACCCGTTCTACACCGAGATCAGCACGACAGCCTCACAAGTACGGTTAAAGCACGAGGGTCTTACCAGGCTTTCCAAGGTGATCGGGCTCTTTGTGGGTGACCCCTGAAGGCCACCACTTGGGTTTCGTCGCTTCTGGGTTCTTCACCTCGGTTGACCCGGCGATGTTTAAGCGGCCATTGTAGGGATAATTCACTTGCTTTCGAGGCTCCACCAACTTGATATAAGCCTTTGCAACCACCTTGCAGTTGACCTGCTGAAAGTTCTCAAACGCCATCTCGTAGTACTTTCGTAGAAGCCTTGTGTCTCCGACTCGCATTGTTGAACGCTTCAAGCTTGGACTGGGAGACAGAGGCTCCCATCCGACATCAGTAGGTCTATCAGCGCGCTTCACGCCGCGCCTGTGTCGCTTGTTGTGGTTGAAAGATTGCCATTCGCATGGTATGAGCCCGGGCGGCCGAGTTTGACTGGGGTTGGGCCAGGAAGGAGTGTTGGACAGGCTGATGCCTAAGCGAGACAGGTAAGCTTCCGTTCGTTTCTTCTCGCTTCAATTGCGTTCCTTTCTCACCTGAGTAAACATTATGCAGACTAGGCTGCCATTCACCATTTGCCAATTTCAAAAACTTCTCTTGGATCTCCTCCGTGAAGACAGCTTTCTCATATCCCATGACTGAGGGCGATGCTTCTACCTGAATCTCTCCCTGATTGTCGACGTACATGATCGCGAAGTGCGAATAAGGGATGGTGAATTGCATCGGCTGGTGACATTGGACCTCCTGTACATAGCAATGAGTCTTGGGATGATCAGCTTGGCTTGAATGGGTGCTAGATCCATACATTCGCCCTTGGTTGAGCAGTCATATCGTGGTACGATACCATCTGCCTGTGCCCCTCCTCCTTGGGCACTTCGGACTGATCCATCTGGGCCATTCGATTGGTTGGGCTTGTCATGCTCAGAAAGTCACACCGACTCGAGCCTCGACCACTTCCGGGGGGGGACGTGCTGTGAAAGACTGCGTGGGGAAGATTGGAGCAGGCCTGGGTATATACAACGTTTCGCGGGCTCAGCGACGAATGATTTACTTTTCAACCCAGCATCAAACAGGCGAGCTGGGAGAGCCCAAATATATCCTCTTGGTCTACGGCAATCGTACTGTTATGGGGCCCAGACGCAAAAGCGCGAAGAGGAAGAAAGTACGTCCTTCCATATCTTGGCCGGGAACCCATGTCACCCCATCCTGGTGGCTGGCATGGCATCAAGGCTAATGCAAGGAAAACAAATACTTACAGAACAAAAGACCCAGTTTATGGGTCAAGATCATCCTATAGGCGCGCTTGATCTCGCTATCCTGGACGTTGAGCGCTCGATCCCGCTTCAAGGCTCGCTCTTGACAAGGATGACCTCTGTTGCTTTTTCGATAAGTAAAAAGTCGAGCGATGTTAGATTCTTGTTTGCCTGATGATCTCAATTTCCAAAGAACAGGTGGAAACTGGTAACCTTGGGGAGATCTCTTCGGAGCCCATACCGGGGAGCCATGCTACATCTTCGATCAGGAACAACCATGGACTAATGTCTCATCGAATCGTAGCGAGTTCAATTCTATCTCGGATAAGGCTTGATCTAGGCCTGTTCGCGACTATTTGTTCCACTATCCTAGCACCAGTGCCGATCTCTACTAGGTGCGCCTTGAACTGTCGAGCCCCCGTGAGGAACCTTTTTCCTGCTCAACCAGAGCATTCATAACTCGAACGAAGTCGGCCATATTGACAAATTGATCAAGCAAAAGGACCAGGTCATACCTGTCAAGCAAAATGCTCCTCTCACCTTGCGGATTCACGTATAGCCGTATTTCTCTCGGGCGATGTTCCTCGAGTCGAAGCGCCTTCGTTCAGATCCCGATAGAATCCAGACCCAGGCAGTCAATGCACATTGTTTTCAGCTTCTGGTTGAGTGGCGACGCAAGACGCCAATGAAGTTTCACATTCACACGAAGCGAAGCCATCCTTTCGATAGTCAGCAGTTGGGACAAACATCCCGCCAGTGGGATCAGTGCCTCAGACTTCCTCAGGCAATGTACCAACCTGTAACAGCGCTGGAGAGAGAGCATCTGTGCGGGCTGACCGCCGATCAGTTGAACTTTACTCCGGAGTACCCATGGACCCCAATGTGCCAGAAAGGACCCTCATGATCGAAGCTTAATTTAATCCGTCTTTTTGCACAAAAACGAATTTCGCCTCAACTGAGTTTCCTGTTGCTCTCTCCACTCTCCCCCACGGCTGCTCAAGCCCGCGATCTTCCTCTTTCTAATCACCGTTAGAGACTTCGCCCAATATGGCGTGTAACGGTGGAATTGATTTCCTTCCACAATAATTGGGTTCTCACTCTTTCGCTTCCCAACCACACCGGTCACAGCCATGTCGGGCACCTGCATCATGGTCTGCCCGAGCGGGCAGGACAGAGAAATGCACGATCTGGCCAGCAGTACACGGGCCTCTTTGTCAGAGCCTGGTATCCTGGTTGTTGGCTGCTTCTAGCCCCGCGATACAAACAGCTTCCCTGCGCAGACGTACCACGGTTTCAGTGAAAAGAACAGCGAGAGCTGAACGAAACTCCTCACATTTTGCGGGGAAATGGGGCTTCTGAACATTTCTTTTTCTTCAGTATATGCCATCACCCGCGGCAATTTTCAATCACTCGCGTATGGGATGGTCCCCGCCAACCAGGAAAGCTTGCATTCGGGGTCTGACCATCTGAGCATCGTCGCTGAAGGTACCTATGAATCTGATCTATCGCGCACAGGCACAGATACCAACTCTCTTCTCCACAAGACACTCCGGATTGCTATCATCGTCCACTCTTGCCGTTTCAAGAATATATTTGGCATCCGATACATCTGACACCACACGTCTAATTCTCTCCACAAATGGCGGCCCCGCCGTCTGAGCTCTGGCAAAACACTAGTTGAATCCGCCTAGGCATACCATGCAACACCCCCCTTGTCATTGTGTCAATAAGCAGTGCGTGGGTCTGCGAGGCATCACAAATTATCAACAAACCTCACATCCTCCTCTACATCGAGTATTCGAGAACCGCTCTCGAGCCGTTCCTTCTCACAGCGTACCATCAATTGCATGGATGCGGCGGATATGCCCCGTCGTCCATGCACTGGCTCGTTCAGTCTCCAGAAGTACGAGTCTATCCAACTGAGATAGCTTTTTGATTTGTCTATCTCCATCCGCGCCGTCCAGCCAGGATCCATGGCTCGCGGATCAATCGCTTACTTTCCGCCTCCCTCTTCCCATAAGCCATATGGCCGAATAGGCTTTGGTCGATGCTTCTCTAATTGAAAAGGGAAAAGCGCCAAACACTAGAATGCCTGGCCATCTTTCCAGGGAACTGGTTTAGGTTATCGACAAACTTTACCAGCTCCTCCCGGAACTCTATCGAATTCCGCGGCCTGTCATGTCTTGCTTGAGCTGACCACTGCGGTGCCAGAAAGATTTCAATGCGAATTTCGAATAATAATCTGAACCATCTGCATCCATGTCTTGCCACAGGAACAGTCGCGTTATACGTCGTGATTGGATAGCGCTTCAAGTTCCATTCTTTGAAGTTACGGATCGGATCTACCCGATGCAGGTGCTTCCGAATCGAGAATACATGACGCGGAGACGGGCTGTCTGTTCAGTCCATGCGAACATGGCTCTATTCGGACTATCCTACCTCGCCTTTTCCGGCTCTCGGTCAAGTTTAACTCGCATTGAATGGACTGGGGTGCCCAGTGCTTGCAATCGACCCGCGCACCACTGAGCATATCCATGTCCCGGAGTATGAAAGACCGAACATCCCGGGAGAATTATTGCCACCATGACAATGTCAAAGCAAGGGGCTTGTGTCGACGACAGCAGCCTGCTAAGACGATTACCAATAGTTTGATCACAGCTGCAGTCGTGATCGCCGCCATGCTCTCTCCACCACCACCAGAGTTTTTTGCGGCGAAACCTAGACGTCGGCGGAGAACTATGATAACCTCCGCGCTATTATAATAGGATAACTACGCTACTTCTCAAGAAGCACTGCCTAATCTGGAAAATAGAGCTGTCGATATTCCTCATGGCGTTTCCGAGTGGTCATTGAAAATACCCCGGGACATGATGCACCGATTAATGACACGAGATACGAGGTACATTGTACCCTTGACTTTGGTGTCGAAGGCAATGCAGACTCGGGTATTTGGACCTTCTCGGGTTCTCGCCACCTATGTCACAGCCGGGCTACAAACGCTTTCTTTCTCGCTTTATACATGCTTCCACTGTTGGCTCCGCCCGTCTTCTATATTGCGGTTTATTGTTCTTCCAACCCGTTATTTACGCCAACTTAGTTCAGGAGTGGATTGATACTTGCAAGTCCACCATAGGTACATCTGACAACGATTTATACCCAACTGCTGGTGACTCTAGGTTTACGAACCCCTCGAGAGCCTGTCCATTGTCTTGGACCACTGCGATGATTGTGGTTGTATAAGGAAATCTGTGTCCGTATATATCCCATAGAGCGTGTTCGCGTAAACATGGCTGGACACGCTGAATATACTCTGTACAGTTGCAGAGAACTTTTGAAATGTCCGCCCTACCAATGTATAGCATTGGTACTTCAGCTAAAACTGGCAGCTATGTAGTCTATCAATACTTTACTCGTTCGCGCTTAGCAAAATATTGTTTGAAATGTTTACTGTGCCTGATTCCTGGTACCTTAGTGGTGAAGGGGTGTGGGGAGGGTGAGAATATATATATATATTTATGTTGAAACTTGAACTATAACTTATACTTATTTCATAAAACAACACCAGTAGTATAGCAATTAAAGGATTATATATAGTCAAGGTATATCCAATAAAGTGATCAATACTTGGTGATCATCCATGATACTACTTGCCTGTTGTCTCGTGGTAAGGGACAGGGACAATACTAACTCCACTCCCTCTACTTCCTCCTCATCTCGCCCTCTCCGTTCCTTCACATTCCTATCATCATCAAACGAATCCTTAAACAGATCAGGCATCGTATAGACTGCCGCAGGTAAAGACAATTCTATCTCATGTTCCCCACCACCACCAAGCCACGGCCTCCCGCTATTTCCATGCCCATTTCCAAGCTTAAGGGCTGGCTCGTGACTTCGCCCCGAGGCACATCTCGACGACCGCTTCGACTCGGGAGGTGAGGATGAATTATCCATATCCCGTTTGGATGTTGCTGTTCCTGTTCCGGCGGAGCCCCGTTTCCGCATATCGGTCCAGAGGCGGCGGAGGGGGCGTAGTGTTGGAAGACAGGCGCAGACTATGCCGACGCCTTGCTCTACGGAGGACCATGTTGAGGAGTAGATTTGCGTGAAGGTTGGGTCGTCGCGGTTCGCCTGGTTGAATGAAATTATTCGGAGGAGGGAGACGACGCAGACGCTATGATAGTGGTTGTTAGCTCGACCCAGCACGATTGGAACTGATTGGAGCGAAAGATGGATGAAACGTACAAGCCGCCCATTCCGAAGATGCCCGTAAGCAGTAGCCTCCTTCTCCTCGACATCCTCATCCTCCAAACCATCGGCAGCGGCAAGATAAGCATGAGTATATCAAGGAGCATATTCGCGATGCCGTTCCAGCGGAAGAAGGCGACTTCGTTGAAGCAGGAGCCTGGGCCTGGCGGTGTCTCGTAGCGGGTCCAGACGTACGAGACGGGCAGACAGCCTGCGATGGAGGCAATTGCGCATGCGATAAAGTAGCCGATTATCAGGAACCAGGAGATGGCGAGAGCGATGCGGAAGGACCGCACGATACCGAAGATGCGTTGGTATAAAAGTAGGAGGGAAGATTTTGTTAGCACGGCGTTCGTGAAGTATATTAGTTGGATTGCGATAAAGCTCTGTTTGCTTTTTAGCATCTCCATCATATTGAATGAGAAGTGATAGACCCTACCTTCTGATACTCGACTACATCGCTCACAGGCACATCACCGTGATGCCTCCCGAATTGATACATGAGAACCTGAACCCAGCGTGTGATGTCCATGCCCCAGTTGACCACCAACGAAACAGCAATAACCCAATCATCCCACCAAAAACCAGCTCGCGAAATGTGCCGCGATACGAATCGTAGCGCAACCGCGATCGTCGCAGGAACCACGGTGACTATTGTCCCTATCCAGATCCGGCATGAGATGTCTTCTACCTCACCCCCAGGGCCGTCGTCGTTCGACGCCATTGACAGGTACCGCCCTTGCTAGGTATGGTGAAGTATAACGCTCACATTCTCGAGACGAGCCTTGGCGATAGCTCATGCAGTGACCGGAGTAAAGCAAACGAGGGAGAAGTGAGATATATACACCCGCGGAACTTTTGGCGGAGACGACCGCACCAACTCGGACCCGGGATCGGTGTGTGCTGTCATGCCCATGGTTCGCTGTTGGAGGCTGTGGTCTTTGTCAGGACCGAGACTCCGAGCCGCCTAGAACGGAAAGTAGGGGTTTGGTGATTTCATGTGGGGACCGGGGGTGCAGAGTCATTGGAAAGAACAGTTCTAGATCTCTGGAAAGGATTGCGGGTTGAGACGTTGAAGTTTGGTTCGGTTGCTCGGGGGGTGTAGGGCTGCTGTTTCCGGCGCTGGCGCCGGCGACGGCGACGGAGACGGGGAAAGCCCGGCGGATTTGGTTTTCTGGTCGGGGTTATTTGGAATAGACTAAGTGGAATATGGATACTTTCTCTGCTTGACAAGTTAGTGAACAAGAAAAAGGGATTGGGCCAGAACAATCAATGTGCGAAAGCGGATGGGGGTTTCTGACCAACCCTAACCAAGTCACTTCTTCGAGGCCCGTGGCAAGCAGCTACTCATACAGATGCTAAAATAGGGGTCAGTCTGAAGCGTGAGGCAACCGTTCCCTTTTCACAGAGCTAATAAGCTTCGTCGCGGAAATGCTCGGAGAACAGTCTAATCGGTGCGCCCACATACGGTCCGTTATAGAATGAATGAGGCGTAGACCCCCAGGGCATTGCGCAAGAGAACAAACTCGTGTCAGATGTCAGAGAAGACTCAATCGACACGAAGAGCTAAGCACATCTGTATTTGTGGAAGAGCAAGGTGTGCAACTCAACTCATCCGGTACACGGTTGGTTGCCCTATCTCATGGCTGTACTCAGACTGAGTCGTCTCGCGTATGGTATCAATTTCTTTACCCGTTCCGAGTGACGTGGCTCGCTGCAAGTACCCAGAGTACTGAATTTGTGCTTTTCTGCTAGTGGTTGGAGTTGTGATATATTCTGGTGATGTATCGGGAAACCGTCGGAAGCTGTTACGGCCAGAAAGCATCTGATGGAAGAGGCCGAAGCCGATGAAAAGCCATCGTCGAGTAGATCATCGATTGATAGAGGGTGATTGAGTCTTTCGGCTCTGTGAATGTTGCCGCAAGTGAAAGAGCGCTACCCTCGACTTCCCTCGCAGACCAGCGAATCAACATCAAGAATCCCAAGTCCAGTCCGACAATCGAGAGGATGAATATCTTGCAGCAACGGAATGGTTGCGTACATACCGTGTTTCTAGACTCACACTGATTTGCGCAACTTTTGTCTTGAGCAAACCGATTGTTCCAAAACCACATCGGGGAGACTCCCCGAGGTCTCAATGTTGAAAGGTTCATTTCGAACCCCATAGTGCTGATAATCCCAGTACTTGACCAATATTGTCTCTGGATCCTGTTGCTGGTACCATAGCCGATCGTTGATTGCTTAGCAGTGTGGGCGAGTAGGTATGGAGAATAGCCTGGATCTGTTGGCTTTTTAGTACGATAGATGATTGTGGGGAAGATTAACTTGCAAACATCACTCTTTGACAACGTTGAACAAGAATTGGTACAGCGTGATATACAGGCGCAGTTCAAATGGAATGGACGGAGCATCTGAGCCGGCGACAACCAAACTGCGCGCTTTTCGTTGACAACCTCCACGTGCTTCACGTGCTTGCGAGACGTGTCGCGTCCGAAAGGCACAGGTACTTCCTCAACCTGTGCTTCTGGAGAATTCGATCCAATTCATTGGGAAGATGTACTGAGTCATTAACACCTCAAATCTTCTTACAGTGTGATCAAGCTCAGCTGTGCTCATATTGCGCCTGTAAGATTTCAGCAACCCCTCTGTTCTTGTAGGCTCAACCGGAGCAGATATCCCGTGGTCTCTGGCAAAGGTATACCACTGCTCAAAGTATAGCGCTGGATCTTTCAGATTTTTATTTTGGAGCTGCGAAGAAGACGCTTGGAAATCTCTTCGAGGGCTGCGTACTTGAGACAGCACAGGCTCTTTTGCTTCTAGTAAGTATAGTCATTCATTGTTGCTTATTCTATTAGGACAAGTTTGACAAGTTTTCTTAGAGCGCCTTTTGCCAGAACGCACTGCGATCACATAGTGCTGCATGTATTGCGACACGGCTGTCAGGACTGCTGTCAGCATTGGCTTTGCGTCCTGAATTTCATCTTTACCAACTGCTATGCGTAGGTATACGTACTTGGGGGTAAGTTCCATTGTCCTCACCTGGGCCTTTAACTAAGGACGCTGAGTGCATATCCTCGCATGAAGTGTAAGTACACTGGTTCGATATATGAATTGGTCTGGCCTCTTTCAAAGAAATGTGCCGCTCTTCCAGTAGGCCGAATAGCGTGAAGGGACTCCTATTATCAAGTTCCACTTCCCGGGTGGCAGGTACATCCCCTCCATCATCTTTTTCTAAAAATTTTGTCTCAGCTGACATCAATAGGGCTTTGTTGTAAGCCCACTGGAACTCGACGTTGAGGGTAATGATATCGCCAATTATCCCCGCCATGGTAGGCCTGGCGCAAATCATGTCCAAGACCTCTCAGCTGCTTTACCAACATCTTAAACGCTCTACAGATCTAAAGCCTCAGATTTCAGAAAGGCTTGATTATAAGCTACTTTTCTGGAAGTCTAAATTACCCAAATATCTCCATATAAACGCTGTTCCACTCAGTGACCCTGAGTGGGCGTTTGAGCAAAAGCTGGTGCTCTGACTGAGTTAGTTAATGCCATAATCGTATAGAAACAAGCTAACGGTCTAGGACTCTACAATACCCGGATTTTCATAAAACGCCCTTTTCTGACGGCATCCATGTCCGCCACAGGAAACCCCTTGCTACCACAGGCGGCACAATCTACTATACACATGCAGTATGGAGCTTTCTTGCATAGGACATACAATCGAACCTTGTAGGCTTCGATTCGTTGGTCGTATTCTTGATGCTTATAACAATCATAGGTGGTATAATACAACATACGCTTTATACGCCTCCATGATACTGCTTCATATAGTTCTCTCCGGATATCTTGGAATTCACGACGAAGAGTTCTAACTAGGCGTGCACAAGCATCTAGATATTTTTGAATCAATGAACAACGTTATTGTCGCTCGTCGCTGTTCGGAGATAATCCGCGAAGTCCTCGGGATTGCTCGATCAACGACGCCGGGGGCAGACAAACGCACTCGAAATTCCAGCGTCCAGCGAAGCATTCAACGTCGGGTCTGGTAAACCAGCAACGAACACGTTAGGACCAGACATGGCCAGCATCGCCTCGTTTGAAAATGATAGCTTCTTCTTTTCTCTCTTCAATCAGGATTCCCAGCCAGATACTCGGGCCAGTATGCTGGCTGACCTTGTTGACCCTACAATTATGGAGAATTTCGCCTTCGGTAATGGTTGGAATGACTTTTCATCATTCCTAAACGGCGGACATGTTGTTTGCGTGTGGTTGAATGGGTCGACTTCAAGTCGCCGAAGCGCCCAGATACTACTAGATCGCCCTGCGCAAAGACCATGGTGCGTCCCTAGGCCTTTCAAAGAACGCCCGTGTACCCCAGAACTGAAATGATTTCATTTAGGCGCTCAAGCTCGGACACTAATAGGATGTTCATCTCGGCCGTGCACGATTCGACTACTGAGCCTTGCTGACCAACTCTTCCAATACCTCGGCTAGCCTGTCCGGCATGCTCAAAAAGGGCGAGTGGGAACTCTTAACTCGATATAAGAGTTCAGTGCCCAGTTTAGCAGACAGCATCTCCTGGAACTGGATTGGGAGAGCGCGATCTTCCTCGCAAAGGATATAGGCGGACGGAATCTGGTGCCAGGGTTCGAATGTGGAGGCCCCGGAAAAGACGGCGCGCGATGTATGGACAAGACCGGACTGCTGCTCTAATTGCTCCTCGGGGGCGAGGTCATGGAAAGCAGCCTCAGCGCCGGCGTTGCATCGGACGTAATCACCCTGTTTCGCACATCAACACACAGCAACGTCTTTGAACACGGATCATCTTACCTCGACCTCCATCCACGGCAGATATTGTCCACCGAGCATATCCAAGAGACTCTGTCCCTTATCCAGAGCAAAAGCAGCCATATAAACAACCAGAGCGACACCGCCCTCTTGTCCAGCTGCCTTGCGATCGGCTTTTGCGAAGCCCTCGGCCGCACTGGAGGCAACTACACCGCCGTATGAATGCCCTACAAGGACGACATCCTTGCCTTCCTTCTCAATCAAACGTGTCAGGACGGACCGTAGGGAAGCGACGTCGTCTGCGAGGGTCTTGTTCGGAGGTTCGGCGCCAATTGACGGATGTGCGGGTGCTTCGGACGGGATGCCTCTCTCTGTGAGCTTTGCACGAATAACATCAAAGGTATCTGGTTTGAGCCACGCGCCAATTGAAAAGACAACGATGGGCTTCGACGCCATCTTGACTGGTGTGCTATGTGGGATACTCAGCGCGTTTGCTGCTGCTCTCGAGATAAGTGCAGTCGTGGTTCTCCTATTTAACACAAGACTCCAGAAACGCCCTTCCCCTCTTTGGCGGGCAGTTCAGCGAGCGACCTAACCAGATATGCGCGGCCGGGCCCTATTAGTCCACAATGGACGCACTCTTGGCCACCACAGGCTTCACCCATAGGCCGCAGCTCCTGGACGGTCCGAGAGGCGGCAATCGTAAGATCCATCATCGCTGGCCAGATGGAGACTTGGGATTGAGACCTCCCGAGTCCAGTACCCGTACGTGGGTCAAATGAAATCTAGTTACTGAATCAAGGCAGAGGCCGGAGACCGGGGTTCGCAATAGATGAAGAGCCAGAACCTTGCGCCTCAAGCACATGTGCTTGTTGTGCTTCTCGGCGTGGTGCGGAAACCAGTCCCAGACTTGTCTAACTATCCACCCAGGAAAACCTTGTTCGAGTCATTCTTTCCTCGTTTAAAGAGCTAAGAACGCCTTCAGTCTGTGATTTGCGGTTCTAACCGATAGTCCCAACCCAGTGGGACGGGATGGAGATTGGAATCGTCAACTGCAGCCAATCAACTCAACACGTATACTCACTAGCACTTCGCTAGAGTCGGCTTGACTTGAGTTGAAGCACTAGCAGTCCAAATGGATTGGCATCCTCGGTTACATGACAATGATCCCGACAATGTCTCACAAACAAGGGGTCTTTATCTGCTCCTGGCTCTCCTCCGAACTGTGCTTTGCCAGGCAAGGACACAATGCCGTCAAACAATCTCCAAGAGAGTACTGTCAACAAGCAAAGAGTGACCACAATTGTCCTGCTAGTACTGGCGCTATGCTTTCTCATTCTCCGCCTCGTTACAAGAAAGGTGAAGCGGGTGCCTCTAGGGTTAGATGACTGGACCTTAAATCTGGGCATGGTAACTATGTGCATGACTCGTTACAACCAACACCGCTTACTGAAGAAACTCAGGCTTTTGTTATAGCAACAGGGGGTCTCAACTATGCAGGTTCGTCTGTACATACTGTCATTACTCAATTCAAGCATCACTCACCAAATCAGGCACATACCATGGAATGGGACGCCATATGACAGCCGTCCTGGAAGAGGAGATGAACATAACCTTGCTCTTCAAAGTAGCACCCCCACCAGCAAGTGGCATTAGAACCCCAACTAAACACTTCAAAATCACAGATTCTCTATGCCTTTGAACCAGTCTACATCACGGCCGTCGCAGTCATTAAATTCTCGGTCCTCCTCATGTACAACCGTATCTTTCCTGTCCGCTACATCCGCATCGGAAGCTATATCCTCGGAGGCATTACCCTCTCCTGGCTAATCTCGGTTGATCTCGTCGCAATCTTCCAGTGCACACCCATTGGGAAGGCTTGGAATAAGCTGCTCCCGGGTCACTGTATTGACCTTAAAGCTGCGCTCATTGGGAATGGCGTCCCTAATTTCGTTACGGATATCTGTATTCTCGCCCTTCCAGTCCGGTGTATCTGGAACCTGCAGGCAGGGATGTGGCAGCGCATATCGATTATTGCGGTTTTTCTGAGTGGAAGTTTGTACGTCCTCCCACCGAGACCTGATTTTCTCCCTATCCATCTATACTCCAAACATGCGGGGCCAAATCTTGCCCGAATGAACCATGTCTAATAAAGTCATCAACAGTGTTGTCTTCGCAAGCATCTACCGCTTCAGTCTAATTTTCATACTTGATATAGACGACATTCCATGTACGCCTTGCCCCCCACCGTATTTCCCAGTGCCCGAGCGCGCCAAACTAATCAAATGATTACAACAAACAGGGACCCTCGCAGATGCCCAAACCTGGTGCGTCGTCGAAACCTGCGCGGGGATAATCTCGGCGTGCCTCCCCACCGTCATTCCAACCCTCAAGCCGCTCCTAGGCCACGTGCTCGGAGTCTCCTTCTCCACAAACGACATGTCCCGCTCGAAAAAGTCCAACACCACAAACACGAATAACGGCCAGTCGCATGTCCTCGAGGCGGGGAGTCGAGTACAGCGGAGTGAGAATCGGGATAGAGATAGAGATAGAGATGAGGACATGTATCCGCTCAAGGATATTTCCGGGACGGGGACAGGGACAAGGGGTAGTCGGGGCAGTTTAAGCAGTATGAGCGGGATGGGGGCGGGCATGGGGATGAAGGGGAAGGGGCAGGGGTGGACGGTTATTGAGGCGAGTGGAGATAGTGACTAACCTACTAGGTCTTGCTTTGAAGTTGTGGCCGGGCCACTGTTGCCTTGTATACAAAAGTTTAGCGAATTATCTTAATATATGAGACAAGGGTACTTTCTACTAGTGTGCAACTTGCAAGGTTAGGGCTGGCCTCGGTTGGGTTTCCGGGAGGGGGCCAAAGCAGGGGTCTTTCGCCGTCCATGTCTATAATGTTACTTAAGCTTTGCGCCACTATAGAGTGACAGGGTAGATGATTGGTTGCATACACTTCTCAGGGAATGATTTCAAGCGTCGAGTGCGGCCGACCTGGGGGAAAGATCTAGCTGTAGTACTAGTAAAAGCTACGGGATTCAACAAGTTCGCATGTAAAATCATAATGTAATGTATATTCTATCCAGTTCCATCCAGTCTATACCGATCATCCATCGTAAATATGTACAAGTAACAAAAGGTAATCATTCGTCCATCCATCCAGGGGAAGCAATCAATCATCAAGCTACGGTCGTCAAGATCGTAGACAAAAGGTGTATCAAGTCTTAGGTGGCTCTAAGGAAGAGAGCCCAGCTTTGATAAAAAAAAAACGATAGGGTCATTATGGCGTGAGATAAGAGGTGGGTATGTGGGCTCGTGGTGATGTGGTTATATCGGTGCGATGGCATCGCGCATACTGTCCTCGCTGATGCTTGTAGCTGGTGATGCTAGGCCCGATATGATAGAAGAAGTCCCGCCGTGCCCACCCTCCATGTCGAGCATCGATTCTTCGTGCTGTGTGCGGAGGTTCGTGGTTGGTTTTGAGGCGCTTGTCATTAACTCGTCGATGCCCGGTTTCTCTGGGACATGGTGATCGAGGTTTGTTGCGTTGTCCAGACTGTCCAGGGCAAACTCGAGGAATTCGGCGTCCTTCTTGCTCACGCTGAGTGTCCAGCGGTATTCGCAAAGGCGCAGACGGTAGAACTCGGCCTCTTCCTTTGTAGGGGCAGTTACACGAAGCAGGATGCCGAAGGACCCAATGAGCGCAAAGTGCGTTCTAGAGGCGGCAGGCCAGAATGACCGGAGATGCGGCGGGCGAAGTCGGTTCACAAAGTCCATGGCGGATATCAAGCGAGTTTTGGCAGCGGAGCGGCAGATGTGAGAGAGATATGCATCGGCAGTGTCGGGCGAGAGAGAGCGCACAATGCAGCGGTGGAGGGTGATTTCGGTTGCGAAGTAGGAAAGGTGAAGGGCGCCATTCCGCGCGTTTTCCTCCGTGATGGTTTCGAAGATGTCTGTTGCTGACTCCAGTTTTAGTGGCCCAGGAAGTCGCGCAAACCAGTCCTTGAGACGGATCTGAGCGGGTTTGGCCCGCTCGAGGATTAATCTAGTCCTGTTGTTTCCGGCAGCTTTAAATTCCTCAATCGACTGCAGCGTGTAGAAACGGTCTAGAATATCGGAGAGGATGGTTGTCAATGCGACCATATGGCAGAAGAACAATGGACCGTGGCCAATAGGAGCATCGTCAGGTTGCGATGATGTCGTTGTGAAGGTATCTGAAAAGTCTTCCTCCACGAGATCCTGGACCGTCCAGTTGGAGGAAACGACATGGGAAGGCCGCCCATGAACCAAGGCCGACCATTTATCCTGCATATAAAGTGCCCAAGCGAGGCGTTTCCTGAGCCCCTTCTCCCACGTCTCCATCCGCCAGTCCGAGCAATCTTGATGCAGACCAAGTTCAAACCCCGCGGTCACTAGTTGTGCATTCAGTGGCGCGGTGGCCACGGTAGACTTTTGCATGAGAAGTAGGCCGGCCTGGATGGTTGATATTGACGCATAGGGCAGAGATTCGGTCAATAGTTTCAGAGCAGTGCTCTCAAGACGAGCGGCGTCCGGTCGCCGTGCGGACTGAGATGCCGGCCCAATGTCGACAAATTTCAGTGCCAATACATAGACAGCTGATAGCAAGAGCGGCGAGATGCCATTCCTAGTCCTATACGACTGACGAAAGACATCTTCCATTAAGATGGGAAAGGTAGGGTGAATGCGTTCAAAGTACTTCTCCACCAAGGTGGACCCATAGGGAGCAACCAGGCTCTCAATGGCATCCAGCGAGGCGGACTGAGGCGAGTCCGCATGGGACATGGTGTTTACGACCCGCATAAACGTGCCGTCGTCGCCAAGTTTTCGCACGCGTGAAGCGGCTACAAAGCTCTCGTCGTTTTGATCTACCGGGAGATACGCCAGTAGGGCTGGCTCCAGTTCCGTGGTGAGGCCGATGTGCTGGGTTGACTGGTGCCAGTACGCCACAGTGTTCAGCCGCTGATGTTCACTCAAGGACGAACGAACAGGCTCAGACTTGGGGACGGTCGATAACCTGCCGCGGAGACCAACGATTAGCGTCCCAACTCTATCTTGATAAAGCATATCCGAGATCGGCAGCTGGGAAATCGGACTGATAAGTGAGCCGTTACCTTTTTGGGGACTCCGCATCACTCGACACCAACTCATCGATCTTACGTTTTTTCGATGAGATGTCAGCCGTGCTAGGGCGGCTAGCTGTTGTGGTGGTGGTGGTTGTTGTTGTCGTGGCTGAGAGGGTGAAGGTGCACTCCTGGCGATGAAAGTCACACGAGTAACACTTGTTGGTGGCCATGTTTATAGCACACCGACTCTTTCTGCGTAAACAGGCGTCACAACTGGGTCCATCCCGGAGTTGGGCAGGAGCAGGCCGGGGAACCGTAGTACCAATGGGTGCAGGTGGTGAGGGGGACTGTAGAGGCTGTTGCGGCAGGTGCTGTTGCGGCGGTTGTTGCTGGTTATTCTGGGGCAGCGGACGCAAAAGATGACGGTCAGTTGGAGAAGATTGCTGGAGACCAGCCGTCGAGGACGACTGGAGAGTGATAACAGTAGCCATTCAGAAGGGGCCGATAGAGGGATTTTTGAGAAGACGACGACCGTGATAGATGATAGATGATAGGACGGGAGCAATCTGAGATTCCGTCACGTAAATTGCTGGGCTCCGGAAATCCCGCCAGACAAACCCCCCAGGCGGAAGGGTTTACTGGGGGTTGGAGATTGGGGATGAAGACCGAGCAGCGAGGATCCGGACGAGAAGGAGCGACAAGATAATCCACAAGGCAATTGAACCTGGACAGGGATCCGCGCACCGGCCAACCGAGACACCAGCGTTTGATACGCAGCAAGCTTATCAGGGCGCGAGGGGACAAGGCACCAAAGAGCCGATAGTGATAGCAGAATAATTATGTCTGATAATAATGCCAATGGTAATATAGAAGGGCGCGTCTCCGTCCGGAGAAGAGAGAGCAGGCGCAGCGGAATCGGAGGCTCTGCTAATCACTACACCGTCATCAAGTACTAGCAAGTTTCAAGCACAGAAAGCTGCATCCTGCTTTCCGCCGCGATGATGAATGCCTCGATAATTATATGACCCTTCCTGAGCCATCCAGCTTCGAGTCAGATGAAAGAGTGACGCTGGAGATGGTTTCTAAACGTAATTAGAATTCGGGAAGGGACGCTGGGAGCTCTGGGGCAGCTTCTGCTGTTGCTTCCTCTGATAAGAGATTACCACCCTCATTGGTCTACTTGTTCTTGCATGCAAAATTAGACTTGGTAAATTTGTGGTTCGCTCACTCCATTCTATAAAATTTACGTAACTCACTATTACGTTAGTAATGCTTTCTATCAACAGCTTAAAATCACTAGATGACTATTTGATTATTCTAATTGCTATCAGTTATGCAGCTCGACTGCATCAATATCTCAACTGCAGACATAAAGGGCTATCATACGTAGTTGGCGACGGAGACTATGGACCGAGACTCCAAACTCATCAGTTTCCTCGAAGAATCCGCAAAGAACCACCCGACTGGGCCGCGCCTTCCCTACTCCGGAGCTAGGGAGGTCCAAAGCCGGGAGATGTTATGCACACGCCCCAACTTACTTATATACAAATCCCTCTGGCCTGATTTAGCTAGGACTTACCTGTATACAAATATTCTGCAGGCCAACATACCTTCCCTCGTACAACCCCCTAACCTATCCCCTAACCACTGTGAAAGACCAAAAAGAGACTCTATAAGGGCTAAAATAAAAACCTTCCCAAACAGCCCTAACTTTACCTTGTCGATCCTTTAGCCCAAAGAGTTGGAAAGATACATCCTGTGTGCTGGTGGACAATTTCTGACCCAACTAGGCTTAGATGAATGTGTATATAGTCAAGTCGTACGTGAGTGTATATTAGCACCTCCTCCAGAGTCCCCACCAATCACCTATACACGATAAGAAGAAATTTAAGCCAATTAGACACAGGTTGATTCAAAGAGAAAGAGGTCTAGTGCCAAACCAGCAACGGGGATCGGCCCTGCAGGATTGCGGCTTTTCCCCACACTTCGCAGCCCCCGGTTCTGAGCTGTGGCTTTACTGGCTCCGTGACTCGGGGACTTGGGCAGCACTCCGTCCGCCAGCGGTGTCAGCAAGCGCCAGGAAAGCTCAGCCTGCTTCGCCCAGCCCGTGGCGGCATCGCCAATATATTTATGACTAACATAAACCAGATCCATAGGGAGAAACCGGAATCTCCCTTGGCCCTGTTCATCTGGGGAAATTACGCGCTCGTTCATCAATCTCCGGAGTTTTTGCCAGTCGCGGTGCTTCGGGAGGCCTGTCTTGTTTCTTGGCATCTGCGGCCTGCGATATCCTCCGATGCTTAAGCTGACTGATCATCGATCTCTCGCACGAGACATTTTGCCTTTGAGATAGAGGACAGTGTACCTCTTTTTGCGTGCAGATGTCAGACAAAGCTATCTGTCTGTTTTATCTCTTACACTCGCAGAAAAATGAAGGCAATCGATCAGGCAACTTTCGGCGTCCGCACAGGCAATCATAAGCAGAGCGATACTGCAGTGTGTCCTGCAGTGCGTGTGCGCCACCGCCAGACGAGTCTAGCCTATCCTGCAGGATTCCTTCCTTGCGTACCTGAGCCTTGAGGAAGGTTTCGAAATCTGCCTGTTTCTGAGTTGGCCTGGTGGGATCACGCTCCCGGACAGCTCGAAATTTTCCGCCGAGAGTCGAGAGGAACAGAGTTTATCCCGAAAATCGAAGTTGATGACTCGAGCTCAGACCATACCACACAGTCTTGACCCGAGAATATCCCTCAGATAAACATCCCTGTCGTTTGCCTTCTCGAGCAGAGATAGCAGCGATAGTGATCAGTAGATAGGTGATGCTGATGATATCCGAGGAAGAAAAAGAAAAGTGTTACATACTCTTTTCTTAGTACGGAGTAGCATCATTAGCATGTGCAGAATGATATGAAGCTTGGCTTTGTCCAGGGCTCTTGTTGAAGAAACAAATTAACGTGATGCCATCATTCTCAGTAACCAAGGCAAAGAGTCAGCCCTATCAACAATAAAGGTTCTAAGATATTCGAGTGGTGGAGGCTTTCTGACCTTAGCAGCAGGATGACCTTATTCAGATTGTCAATATTGTGCGCCAAGGGCCGCCACAACTTCCATAAAAACCAACAATATCTTTGGAACTCTTTTTCACGATACCAACAATCCTTGACCACCAATGTATCGTCCATGGAGATAGTGTAATCTAATCTCATCTTGTTCCGTTTCTTCGAGTCCTTCCAACAATACTGAGGATTATTAAGTGATTCTAGATTGATAGGATATCGCCGAGTATTGAAGTGCTCAACTGACCCTATTGCGATCTGATATGAGCAGATACACTTCATATCATGGATGCGCATCTTTCTGGGCCCTGTCCAGCTTTTGAATGAACTTTATCTCTACCTCCTGACAATGCCCTCTAGCATAACATAACTCCAAACTCCATGCTACTATACAATGAGGAAAAATGTGGCAGCCCCAAAACCAGCAAAAGAATTCCAAAACGCAGAGGATCCAAAGCACTACTCTGTAAAGTTTCTCAACTTGGTCAGCTCATCCAGCAGCTCCTGCAAGTCCCCATCCGAGATCTTGTGCTGTAGACTGGGGATAAGCGACTTCGCTTCCTCTGCATTATCGCAGCATAGACTTCCTGTACGAGTGTTAGCTCACCAGGATTGGCGAGGTAGTATGTGCAGAAAAATACCTAGCTGGGACCGTTCGAACATCTCCAACTCCGTATGCGAATTTAACAACCGTTCAACAGCCTTGATGTTTTCTTCATCCTTGAAACGCGCAAAGACCTCGAGGTAGTCGAGTGTTTTTGTCAAATTTCTGACCATCATAAACATCAGTATCCAAGTCTTGATTATCAACATCACGTCTATTTATCCATCTTTTCTTTCACCCTCTCCTTGAGTAACAAAACATAGCTCTAAGGAGTCACTCACTCAGGCTCCTCATATTTCTTCCCACCCCGCCGCTTATTCTCAAGCACCTTGTTAATAACCAGGCGGGCTTCCGAAAGGGACAAAGTATGCGTATTCTGGTCCGCGCCGAGCTTGAGTGTTGAGGCGGCTTCGAGTTCGCCTTGTGGGAGCGCGCGCTGGCGGTGGGTTGGTGGGGGAAGTGTGACGCCGCTCATTATTGGTGGATCGGCTGGTGCGAGTATGATCAAGCTTTTTTCTCTCGTTACCAGAAAGAGGGAGAGCAGCAGAGCTGTTGTTCGAGCTGGGATTGTGTGGATATGTTGGGCTGATCTTGTGGTTGGAGCTTGTGGCAGGTGCGGAGAGCGGAAAACTCATGGCGGAAAGAGGGGCAGTTTGAGGCGGTCAGCTGTATACCGCCTTTGTATACTCTACATATCAAAGCCCTTTTACGATATAGTTTGAGGGGAAGATTATGTTCGTGTTCTATTTTGTGCAGCAAAAAGTATCCAGAACGCCTTGCTATGCAACCCAGCAATATAGACCTCACTTGTTAAATGCCACCTCGCGCGGGAGACGGAAACTAGCACAGAACATCTGCTTGTTAGGACTAACCAGTCTCACATTATGGATGGAGAGCTCGAGCTCTGGGTTTCCAGTGCCTCCGACGCAGTCTTCCGTGGTGATGGTATAACCTAACCGCTCGGAGATACGCTTGCAGATGTCGACATGGTCATCGTGCTCGTTCTCCGAATGACCGGAGAAACAGTATACGTGCACCAACGGCAAAGGCTTGTCCGTATGTGGTGCGAATAGATTTTCATGCCCCTCGTACACGCCTTTGAAGGCATCAAGGAACTCGATCGCCGAACCGGGGAGGTTCATCACATAATGGTCGAAGACCTGTGGCCGCTTGTAGATCTCTGGAGGTGGAAGCGGCTTCTTCTTCTTGCCTGCGGCAGTATCTGGCCTTGGTGGTTTCGGGTAGAGCTTTACCGTCAAGGGCTCGTTTTTGAGGAGCTCTTTGGCAGCCCACGGGATAAAATGCCTTCCGTCCATATTGAAAGCGGTGACGAACTTGAGCACCTTGTTCTTCTGGATCGCGTACTGCATCGCATCGTACCCATGCGGGTTGAGGTCGTTGGCCCAGACGAAAATCTTTTTCTTACCCGCAGGCACAGCAAACGGTCCGACGCCGGCCATAACGTCGCAGACCATCTCACCGGGGCGGAACTTGTCCACAAGCCGCCGGTGCTCTACCTCCAGACGGCTGTTGAAGTAGACCTTAGCGAAGTTGAAGCGGAACTCGCAGTTCTGCTCGTTCTGGACGACGTTCATGTCGCGGTCACCGGCAATATGTTCGTAGGGGAATGTTCGGAACTCGCTGTGCGAGCCTACATCTTCGGTCTTGCGGATCACGGTGCGAATCGTCGGGTTCTTGTCAAGGAGGATTTCCGCAATAAGGAATCGATATGGGAGATAGGGTTCACGAAGATTAAAGTGGGCTATTCGGTCAGAGCTGCAATCATGGAATACTAGCAGGGCCCGCTCGACTCACCCACGTGTCCTATTTGCGTGAAACCTTGCGGCATGTCTGACAGCAAATCCTCTGGCAATATTGAGGCAATAATATCCGCTGATAAGGTTAGCCTCGAATTTAAATCTGCGCAAGAAGAAGAGAAACCCACGGTATGTCCAATAGTCGTACTCCAGCGTCAGATCGTACGGCGCAACGCCCACTACCCCGCTGTCAACTAACTCACTGACCTTCGGCGACCACGTCGCGGGTTCTGGTCTCAATCAGTCCTATGCAACATATTCCGGAAAACCACTCCGCATACCATTATGCTTAATCCCCTCCCGTAGCAGCAAAGCTTTCATAATAGTATCGCCCTTCTTGAAGTCAATAATGGGTTGTAGTCGCGGCAGCACAAGCGCATCCTCGCTCTTTATCAATTCATTTCGCACTCTTGAGATATTCTTGTGGTTGAATATCGTCGCGGCGGACACGGGGACTGTTTTCTTGAAGAAGGACCGGTCTAGAACGCGCATTGCGCGGTTCACAGGGGGACGAAACATCTCGGCGACGTCGCTGCGGTGCGAATGCGTCGTTGGGGGATCAATGTCCATCTGAGTCTGTTGGATTCGAGGGAAATGGTTATTGGGCGGGCGACTGGGGTCAGATCATCGAGCGAGCTGCGGAAATTGTTGCGGAAATTGTTTTGAGACTGATAACTTTTTGGCTTTATCTGCACGTGATCGGATCCACCCTTAGGCTCTCAGGCGATATTAATTTCATTCGAAGTATCAAACTAGCTATCAAGCTACGTACGTCGAGAAATGCTTCGCCCGGCAGAACAATCTCAAAGCAAAAGGTCTGAAGGGGAAGCAGCAAAAAGCGTACCAGGGTATCAAGCGACCATATCTGATCAAAACAGCACCTCTCAGCCTCGACAACCCCCTATCCCACCTCAATGACCAGCAGCCATCACTCTTTCTTAACAGCTCCATTGATACTCCGATTAAGCTCCCACTGTGCTTCCAACCCCGCGATCCTCTCATTCAACCTTGCCATCTGCCCATCCTTCTTCTTTAGCGCAGCCCGCGAGATATCCCTTCCCCGAATAACCCCCTTCATCTTATTCTCATGCCTCCCAAATAATCCCTTTAATTCCTCCTGCGCAGCCTTTGGAACGATAACCCCATGCCCCTCGAGTATTCGTCCGACCTCTGCCGCTAAGTCCCCAGTTGCCGCAAGCGGTGACTCTGCAATCGTATCTCGATACCGGCCCTGCGTCGGCGTCACGAACACATCGCTCCCTTTCTTCGAAGACCCCAACGCAGAGCCAGGCGTAAGCGTCTGACTTCTGCTATCTTCACCCTCATCATCAACCTCCCGCTTCCTCTTTCCAGGACTCGTGACAGTCCCCGTCCTCGCCGCCTTGCGCGCAGGGAGCCCGAAATCCGGCTGTCGCGGCGGCACACTATTATCGAAGATCTGGTTCATCTCCGTACTCATCGTATCGTCCCAGTCAAACTCGTCTGCATCCTCAGACATCATTCGCGCTTTTCCTGCCGTGAGCGGCGTCTGCCCTGGCGCTGCTCTCTTTCGCGCATCGCTGTCGCGGCGGCCCGTCTGAGGGGTAAGTAATCCCGTTGTGGGATTCTGTGTGGAGATGGTTCTCGATGTCGACGGCGTCTGCGGCTGTGGCTGTTGCATAGATGAGGAGTCGGTCTCGGTTCGGGAGTTCGAGAGCAGGGTTAGCTTCTCGCGCGCTTCGGCGTCGCTAGCCCATAAGAAGAACTTGCAGCGGTTCTGGTGGTCTTTCTGGCAGGTGTAGACTATGTGTAGCGGGAAGAGTGTCAGCCTTGCAACTCCTCATCCACTGCTGTTTAGCGGGTACATGTGATGCGATGAGCCGCATGCGCCACTAATCACCATCGTCCTCAAGCCAGAACTAACTGTAGGCCCAGAGAGAGCAAGAAAATGGGGTTCAGTACACCACCGCCCATGGTTAACACCATGATTCTTCGTCTGCAGGCGCAGCGCCGGTGGGCGCTCTGGACAGTTACAGCGCCAGATTCCGTCGAGGAGGAGACCCCGCAGGGGTACGGCGGTTCGAGGAGATCGTGGTGTCCCTCCGCCTCCGCCGGCGACGCGGGATTTGTGAGGGGAGATCATTGGTAATATCCCAAAAATTTTGAAGTAGAGCGATGATGCATCTCGAATAAAAAGAGGATAAAATACATAGAACAGAGGAGAATAGGGTGGACTTACGGCGCTTCCAACTGCAGATGACCGGTGGTGGCTGGCTGGTGGGTAAGTGGTCGTCGCTCTGGAAACCGACGTCACTTGGTGTTGAAGATTGGGTCAAGTCTGGGGAAGGGAAGGTGAGTATAAACGTCATGAACAAGTCTGAAGGTTGATATCAGAGCAGCGGAAGGAGAATGATTAAAGTATAACAAGTGAACTATTGATTGATGGCGATGTGATTTTGCGTGGTATGTTTTCAGCTGCTCTGATCGAACCGCCACATTTAGCTATAGAGCGCTCTTCCTCAGAAACTCGTAAAGCACCAGACACGAGTGACATCCAGTGCTAAACTCATTCAACTTAAAATCCTCTAGAACTGCTGTAAACAGATTTGAAGAATAGCGAGGGAAAAGTAATGAATTAACCTCCTCTATAATAATACAAGGCCATGAAACTTAAAATGTATGTCCGTTCTACTCTAGCCATGCAATGCAAAACAATCGACTCGAAAGACAAGCCGAAGCGACAAACGCACTATGCAATCTCGATATGGATGTGGATATATGCGGTGGGTATCGTAAAGAGTGGGTTGATGGTTGGCCTAGTCAGCAAGAACTTGGCGAAGAAGCACCCCAAATGGCTCGGAAAGCTTCAGAATTTCCGTCACTTCGGGTTTGACAGGCTCGCCGGCTGTACGGCGAAGTTGGTCTTGTTTCCTAGAGCGGCGTTTCCGTTCAACAGCAATCGGGTCTAGCTCCTCGGCCTCGTCTTCGGCGTCGAGGTCGTCCGAGGGATCGGAGTCTGCGTCAGAGATGGCAAGGTGCTCAAGATCGGCCTGCGTTGTTAGTAAGATGTTTTGTTGGAGTGTGTTTGTGCTGTAACATACCTCGTCTAGACCAAAGTCGCTACCTTTGAACTTTGTGTTGAAAGGAGAGGATACTGTTCCTTCGGCAGCCATCTTCTGTCGAGTCTTGTTGAGATGCCATGTTTTGCGGTCTTCATGCCACTTTATGAGCTTGTCTATCTCCTCACGAGCTAGATTGTGATCGATCTGGCCGACGTCCTTTGCGCCACGGAACAAGGCATTCATGTCAAGCTTGCCTCCACTTGGGCCATTGCGAAGGAAGTCGAGGATGTTTTCAATCCATGACATCAGTGAACCAAAGAGCCCGTTATCATGCAGATGCACCTCATGAACAAACTTGTAGAGACTGGCTTGGTGTCGTTCGCAAAGCTCAATAAATGCCTGGACTGTTTGGTTTGGGTCGGCGGAAATGTCCTGTTTCTGGCACTTTTCAATGACGGCGATTGTGTCGTCGGCAAACTTGGCAAAGTCGGTAATACTGTTATATACGTTCGCCGACTTGTACACCCGGACCAATGGCTCATAGAAGATGGTGAAGAGGTCGCGGAACAGCTGGACAGTGACTGGCTCTTCAATGATGCTGAGCATCATAGCCTTGTCCCTCTGGCGCGTGTATAGCTTCAGAAGCTGCTTCACATTTCCGAACCAGTCGGCGCCCTCCCTCATTTCTTCGTCCACGTGCTCAACAGCATAGTTCCAGGCTACAAACGAATTGAAGACCTTGCCAATTTGGTCCACCGTAAGCTCACCCGGTATGTACTCTGATCGAAGAATAGCGACAACCACGTCAACATCATCTTCAATAGCCTCTTGGCGGATCTCATTTTTGACCATTTCATCTGCATCGGTGAACGCCTTCAACTTCTGAGAAATGACGGGATCATCAACCTTGGCCGCCATGGCGTCGATCGACCGCTGGAATCCTTTGATGCCATCATTTAGTGTCATGGAGAATATACGCTGCATGAGGGACTTGGAGCCAAAAGGTTGAGCGAGGAAGAGATCCAGTACGCCGGTCATTACAGCGGCGGGGTTGGCAATGCGAATCACATTCTTCAACAAGGTATACGGAACCAAGGAGTGAATCCGTTTCGCTTGTGCAAAGAGCTCTGGCGAATTATCCTCCGCCAAGAAAAGGTGGTAAAGCGTAGCGGCGACCCTGCGGAAATTAGTAGCCAATACATAATACCAGATGAACAAACGTACTCGATGCGCAGCCATTCAGCGAACTTCTGATATTGCGGGCTCAGATCCTCGACGGTTTGTTTCTCTCGGATCTCGGCAAAAAGCTTCGTTAAGCCATCTGCGACCGACAAGTCAGCGTGATCGTACATTTAGTTCGAAGGCTTGCCACTCACTGCTTTCTACAATATCCCGACGAAATTTCTCCATATAGACATCCAATTCTGCTGCGCGCTGCCGAGCGATTTCGTAAAAGCGTTTTTGCTCCTCTATCCTTACAGAATCTACTTCTTTTCGTCTTTCCATGTCAAGGGTCTCTTCCTGGCCAGGAACAAATGGATCAAGGGTAAAGAACTCCTCCAATGCCTTGGATTCTGCCACACGTTTGTTCTGAAGGAGCGTACGAAGGAACGCGCGCAGCGAAATTCGTTGCTCCTCGCGGAACAGCACTGCCTCTCGCGGAATATCTGCCGACGCTCTGGGTGACTTTCTCACGGAGCTCCTTGATCTCGACCGGGTGCGTCCCGGGAAATCGCCTGGGATCAAGTTTCGAGACGAACGTTCCTCAAGGACGTTGCCGTCCGGAGTCGTCGATGTGGAGGAGATTGAGGACTCGTCATCTTCCACGGTCCCACCCCAAATGGTCGAAGTAGATGAGGACTTGTTTTTCCGTGGAAGAGGGGGTAGCGGTTTGCCTGGAATCTCTGTGCGCAGTCTTTTGAGAAGTCTTGCAAAGTCCCCAAATCGTCGAGCGACGAAGATGTCCTTCTGTGCATTCCGCCTCACGCGGATGATAAATTCCTGATGAGCATTAGCGTGCCGCTACTGACAATATCGCTCATAGGTCATACCGCGTGTTGATGGTGGCGGACGGTGCGCCTGACCGATGTAACCCTCACAGCAGCAACGTTGATATCCCACCCGTTGATCGCATTTCCCTCAGGCATGTTCACAAGGAGGCCTTTCTCGTTGGCGCTGCGGTCGACAACCTCCATCTCCGAGAATTGGATGCGCTCCTCGTAACCGGATGCGGTAGGAATACCAGACACCATCATGAGCTCAACAAGTTTCTCGCATTTTCGTGCCAACTTCCTCCGCTTTGTCTCCTCTAGGCGGTCCTCGGATGACGACACATTCTTGTTCGCGAAGGATTCGAGAAACTACACGCCGTCAATGTCAGTCCTGCCAGTACCGGATATCAAGAAAGAAAGGAACGCACGCACCACTTGCAGCTTATCTTGCCAAAACTCCTTCTCTCTCGCCTGGTCGAGGAAGGGGAAGTTTCGCACATGGTGAACGAAGATATACCGAAGGATAGGAAGTTCCGAGTCGATAGGGGCGACTTCTCCAAATTCCGACTTGAACGGAGCACCGAAGCGACGGAGGGCGGTTGGGGAGTTTAATTCGGCGATTTCTGTTTGAACCTGGCGGGCAATGAGTTCGCGCTTCAGGTCTGCTGCAGTCAGTACGCTGCCAAGATGGCCGGGGAATCAAATCACGGACAATGTTCCTGTTTCCCCGTCAGGATCTGCTGATATGCAAAATCATGGTTCTCTTGATGAAGGGCGACCGACGGGAGCGCTCCGTTGGTCTCGTGCATGTTGCGCAATTGATCCGGTAGTCGAATGTCCAGGAGAGGCCTCCAACGAGGCGGGGTTCAACCTTATATAAAATCAAGTAAGCTGACCGAACTGTAAGTCAAATTCCGATAGTTAATCCGTGATTAATCCAGCAAACGGCGAAATTGAGGCTAAGCACGGTGATGGTTCGCGTCTGGAACAGCCCGAAGGATGGAATCCGTCTGCCTATTACTTAGCGTGGGCTGTTTGATGACGTCTGTTCTCGGGCAGCTCTCGGCTCTGAGAGACGCTTGGAACGAGGGCTTTTCGGGGCTGTTTTTATTTGAAAGAAGATAAAGTGATAAAAGCGATTGACGTGCTGAAGAGAAAAAAAGGAGTGGGACGGAGAGTTCTGGAGTGGAAAAGCGAAGAGGAAATCAGAAAAGGGAGATGACGACGCGGCGTCACTGACCACAACGACACTTGACCCAGCTTTCCATATAAACTCAACCAACAGCGTTCGAATGCTACGGCTCCATCTTCTATTATTACCCTCATTATGACCTTTCGCAAATTCTTGCTTCTCTCAGCCCTGTGGCCCCGCTGGGGTAGATGATCGACAAGACATCATGGCTGACCACTTGCGCCGTGTTATGCAGTCATTATTGGAGTCTGTTCATGCTGGCTATTTCAATGATGGCTGGATACAATCACATAGCGCACGCTTGGCAATATCAGACCCAGAATAGGCATCCAAATTCAGCCAAAACCAAGAATTGCCGGGTGGGCATCTCTCCCAGCGTGGCAAGAGGGAAGTTGAGGTTCTACTCCGTATACGAGGACGAACGAAATAGGCTGATTGACGTACAAAATATGGATGAAGGTCGCTTTTCTCGTGTTCTGTCTCCTACTCCCAGATCGGACGGCCCAATCTTTACAGAGTACATGCAACGCTCTGAGAGCTTGCCCACTAAACAACATGATACGTATACGATCACCGCTCATGTCTCTCAGGCGATATGTGGGGTCACACCTTACGGATGCACCGCCACTCAACAGTGAAGACTGGTCTGGCCGACCCAAGATGACGCCCCCTCTACAACGTAGATATTCCTAGGGTCGATGAGGTGAACGTTACTATAGACTCTCTATGTGACTATGACAATGCATCCCATGGCCAAAGCGGCAGACGGCGGGCATATCGAAACGCTGATGAGAATTGTGGCTGACATGCTTGCTGATTGAGCATTGAGTTTAGCAAGAACTCAGAGCAGGAAAGACGGTCGGGAATCTCCGTAATCTACTTGTCAAAGATCTGGGCTCGAGCCTCCAGTACCTACGGTCGCCGCAGACGTGCTGATTCTCTGATTGAAGACATCGGTAGGTGGTTACGGAGTATGCATGGCCCAGATAGGCATCAATAGGAATTGTGGCTGTAGCTGATATCTATCGCCGAGCCTCTTGGTCTCCGCCGCCTCCGCATCCGATCGTGTCATCTCATGCTTCCTTTGCTAATGCCAACACCACACTCTCCTATCGCATCCTGCCTGTACAATTGAAATCGCTTCTTACCCCCTTTTTCTCCCTCCACAGATTCCTTCCCCCACCCCCTTCCCCTTGGTCGTGGACGCGAACCGCGCAGTCCTGCCGCCGACCTCGGTTGCCTCAGCCTCAGCCGTTCCTGAGAAGCAGCCATGAGGGCATCAGAAGACCGGGAGGATGCTGAATTGCTTCCAGTAGCTCGCCATCGCTCCTCATCCGCTGCGTCCCATTCCTCCTCCGACTCCGGATTATCCGTCGATTCCGTCTTCCTGCAAGAAAACAAATACAACATTCCACAGTCAGACCCACTGAACGCCGAGGGAGCGAGATATCGTGATGAGGAGGATGGCGAGCCGGAGCCAAGTGGTTTGTTTCTTCGTGCAAAGCCGTCGAGCACTCGGTCGCGCCGGTTGATTTGGGGTCTGGTCGCACTTTGCGTCGGAGGCTGGGTATTGGCGTTCGTGCTATTCGTAACGCAGGGGCGCTCGAATTATAAAACTGCTTCGAATATACCACACACGAACGGACATGGTCTATCTCCAGGTGATCCAAGCTCTGGAAGGCCTATCACGTTAGAACATGTGCTCACAGGGGCATTCTCACCACGAGCTCACGCCATCTCGTGGATTGCTGGCCCTGATGGTGAAGATGGTCTGCTCATTGAGAAAGGAGAAAGCGAGGGAGAGGGCTATCTGCGCATCAACGATATTCACAGTCCCAATAATGAGACGAATAGGGTGCTGATGAAAGAGCCAACTGTCAAGGTTGGACGGAGGGTTATTGCGCCATCTAGCACGAGCCCTAGCCCTGACTTGAAGAAGGTGCTGCTTATCTCTCACCAAGAGAAGAATTGGAGACATTCTTACACTGGAAGGTACTGGATCTTTGACGTGGAGACCCAGACCGCTGAACCCTTGGATCCTGACAATCTTGATGGCCGGGTACAGCTTGCACTTTGGTCGCCTCAGTCCGACGCGATCGCCTTTGTTAGGGAAAATAATTTGTATTTGCGGAAACTGTCGTCCAAAAGTGTCGTCCCTATTACCAAGGATGGTGGCGAGCAGCTATTCTACGGTGCTCCTGACTGGGTGTACGAAGAAGAAGTCTTTTCGGGAAACAGCGTGACATGGTGGTCTGGAGATGGCTCCAAGATCGCTTTCATCCGCACAAACGAATCAGCCGTCCCGGAATTTCCTGTCCAGTATTATCTATCCCGCCCGTCAGGGAAGAAGCCCCCTGCTGGATTGGAGAACTATCCTGAAGTGAGAGACATCAAGTACCCGAAAGCCGGCGCGCCAAACCCTATCGTTAACCTACAGTTTTACGACGTTGATAAGGACGAGGTGTTCACTGTCGATATGCCCGACGATTTTGAAGATGACGACAGGCTGATCATTGAGGTTGTGTGGGCTACTGGAGGCAAGGTGCTTGTCAGGACAACGAACAGAGAAGGTGACGTCCTCAAGATCTTCTTGATTGATACCAAGTCGAAGACAAGCAAAATTGTCCGAATCCAAGATGTTTCCGAACTTGATGGCGGATGGGTTGAGCCCACACAATCGACCAGATTCGTCCCTGCCGACCGAAGCAAAGGCCGACGATATGACGGGTACATTGATACTGTGATTCACCAAGGATACGACCATCTGGCATACTTTACTCCGCTTGACAACCCGGAGCCTGTTATGCTTACCTCTGGAGACTGGGAAGTCGTTGACGCACCCACTGCTGTGGATCTGAGCCGCGGTCTGGTCTACTTTGTCGCCACAAAAGAGTCTCCAATTGAGCGCCATTTATACCGTGTCAAACTCGATGGGTCTGACCTCCAGTCGTTGACCGATACTTCCGAACCAGGGTGGTATGACGTCTCGTTCTCTTCTGGAACCAAGTACGCGCTGCTCAGTTACAGGGGTCCAGATGTCCCTTGGCAGTCAGTGATTAGCACTGAAGGAGACAAGGTCGAGAAACTCAGGACAATCGAGGATAATAAGGAACTATCTCACAGGGTCAAGGAGTTTGCCCTTCCAACTGAAGTCTACCAAAACATCACTATCGACGGGTATACCCTTCAAGTCGTTGAGCGACTGCCGCCTCATTTCAGCCCGGCGAAGAAGTACCCTGTTCTCTTCTTCTTGTACAACGGCCCAGGATCCCAGACAGTGAAGCGCCAATTCGCAATTGACTTTCAAAGCTATGTTGCAGCAAACCTAGGTTACATTGTGGTGACCGTCGACGGCAGAGGAACTGGGTTCATTGGACGCAAGGCCCGTTGTATCGTCCGAGGAGATATTGGCTATTATGAAGCGTACGATCAGATCGCCACCGCGAAAGCCTGGGCTGAGAAGCCGTACGTCGACGAGTCTCGGATGGCAATCTGGGGCTGGAGTTACGGTGGCTTCATGACACTCAAGACACTTGAGCAGGACGCCGGCCAGACCTTCCAATACGGCATGGCTGTTGCGCCCGTCACCGATTGGCGGTTCTACGGTGAGTTGCATTTTAACATCAAGCTTCTTCTTGCATTACTAACAGCACAATAGATTCCGTTTACACCGAACGCTACATGCACACGCCACAACATAACCCAACGGGCTACGACAACTCCACCATAACAGACATGTCTGCCCTGCAGAACACAGTCCGCTTCTTGGTCATCCACGGTGCTTCCGATGACAACGTCCATCTCCAAAACACCCTTACGCTGATTGACAAACTGGACCTTGCAAACGTTCAGAACTACGATGTGCATTTCTACCCCGACTCCGACCATAGCATCTACTTCCATAATGCTCATGCCATGGTTTATGAACGTATGTTATCCCAACCCGAAAGCTTCAACAGACTGCTAACAAGTATGTAATACAGGCCTGTCGAGCTGGCTCGTCAACGCGTTCAATGGGGAATGGCATCGCATCGCAAACCCGGTTCCAGATGAGTCTATGTGGACGCGTCTCTCCAAGAGGGTCCTTCCTGTTTTCGCGCATTGAGCGTTCTTTGTTCAGGAACTGTTCATCTAATGTAAATGCCATATATATATATATATATCTTCCCCTAGAGTTGGAGTAAAAAGCATTGTATGTTCTATACCTAAGCCATTTGCCTGCTTACTTAAGGTTAACCCAATCTCGTCAATTCCCAGAACTTTGCTATCGAGCGAGCCAACTTATCTATTATTGTTCTGTCCGGCGAGGCAGGTACTATGGACGCCCCTTCGCTCCTTCCCTTTTTGAAAAGGTTGTATCCTCCATCGCGCCTTCCCAGTTGCAATGCTCCGTTGCCCCTTCCTCGCTAAGGCGCCTAGCACCTCATTGCACCTTCCTAGCCTGTCCGCATTACTCTCCGCGCAAGGCAAGAGCGAAGGGTCGGCCACTCTTTCTACTTTGGATTCGGTTATCTTCTGGTCAACAGTGCCTATACACAAGTCCTCGGCGCAAGGCTGAGATGGGTAACCACGACTGAGCTCGCGAATTCCATTGACGTACCACAAGAGGATGCATTGCAAAGTCTACGAACTGCCAGAAGACGCGACGGACCGATCCATCAAATAGGAAGGTGCGGTGGGTTTCTATGGTGATCGCTGGTCGCGCCTTCCATGTGAGCGGCATTGTGCTTATTGAAAGAAGGCGCGGTTCGGGCTCGGAAGGGACGACCGGTACTACGTTTATTGCACCTGCCTCGCAAGTTGTGGGAAACATTTTGTTAACGGGGGAAGGCACGGACGGTCTGTTAGGGTAGGCTCAAGCTCAATCTAAATAACACCGAGAACACCGAGAACATCCCTCAGAGCTCGCTACCCTGCTAACTCTTCCCAGTACGAGGGCTTGCCCAAGCCTCACCATCATCCAACATCTCATCAATCCACTTCTTCACCCACTCTGCGCTTACTCTAGAGACATTCCTCAGCTTTTTACTCCTTTGCACCGCACGGGTCGTCTCAAAGACCTTGATATCGTCCGCATCATCCACAACAAGGTCCTCGAAGAATCGCACCAGCTTCACCGCTGCGTTCTGTTCCAGTGTTGTGTGCAGCAATTCCTCGGCAGTGGTTGAACTGAACCGTCGCTGCTGCTGTTCCTCCTGCTCCTGCGGGCACTGACCATCACCGTTGCCATCACTGCCGTCGTCAGAGCTAAGCCCTAGATCTTGCCTTATACGCTCAATCCATTTGCGGAATCGTCTCCACATTTCTCCCAGAGTGAGAGGCAAGAATCGATGCGATAGTCGGCGCTAGAACTTCCCAAGTTGTTGGAAACGTGTTATGCGGGTGAAGGACTTCCACCCCAGTGTCCTTTCCGACCCCAGGTACAACGGGCTGAGAGAATTCGAGTGCCATCTCAACAAGTATTGCTGCTAAAAGATCCACAGGAACCCAGTCAACACGATCGAGCACCGGTCCCAAGGAATTGGGAAGGGCTCCAAGCCACAACGAGCTTTGCATAAGACTAGGGAGCCACCCTTCCCTCTTCCAGGCACCTGGACCGTTGACCGCAGCAGCGATCTGGCCAACCCGGGCGACGGACGCACGGAGGTGTTGCGTTTTCACGGCATGGTCGATGATATGCTCTGCGAGGTATTTGCTGTTCCCATAACCGGTCGAAGCAGTGGAAGTGGTTGTCAGTATCTCTTCTGGTATGTTATTTGCCTTCGAGGTGGGGATGTGCTGATTCATAACGGAGCTGATGGAGCTGATGGAGGAGATGTAGAAGAGGTGTGGGTTCCGCGGTTATGCTGTGGCGAGATTGATCAGATCTACCAAGCCTGGGCCGGGTATCGCAAGTCATTGGGCCCAATGTATGCTAGGACTTCACCATCCCCTCGACCCAGTGTTCTGGTCAGCCACCAGGCTATGCCATTCACTTTTTGGCTAGGTCATCGGGCGGAAACCGAGATCATAGATCGTGGGAGATAGAAGACATTCTGCATAGACGGCGTCGGGCTTGATCTTCGCGAAGTGGCCAGTCAAATGAGGCAATAGTGTTGAGCATACAGCGAAGTCACCTATGTGTTTAGCCATAATCAGTTGAAAGGAACTTCTGAAGTAAAGACTGTTGGCTTTGGTTGTGTGTTGGGGGAAAATCGTCAATGACTGTCAACTCCATGACCAAAGGCATATACATAAAGGGTTTGCCCCCTGAGGGGCCTTTTCAGCTCCACAGCTTCAACCCACGAGTGAACAGACAACATAGTTGTCCAAAGGCAATATAATATGTTCGTGGCTGGCTGTAAACACATGAAAGCGCTACCGCCCATGCTGAGAGGCTAAAGCACGGAGATATCCGAGACCACGAGCCCTAGCGTTCTCCAGGTCCTCGCCAAGGTCCAAGGCTACCTTCTTGGAAGGAACACCTCATCAATGCAGGGAAGAAACTTGTGCCAAATGGTTATTTCGCTATGCTACTGTAGTGCTGCAAGGGACGCTGCTTCATTATTCTCTTGCGCTCACGAGATGGTCTTCGTGATTCGAACAAGAAGATATCCTCCATCCGATCCGTCAAGCTTGTGCAGACGAATTACGCGGTAGCCTTGCTGTAGTCGGGTCAGTCGGATGCAAGCCCAGGAAGCCAGCGAGTCACGCCCGATTTCGTCATCCTTGATCTTGAATCTACAACTCGGTTAGCGTCATCATTGAATGGAGCGGGTAGGGAACAAACCTGACAAAGGTCAACTCATCAACAACTCCAGAAAGAGCCGGAAACTGAAGATTTTGAGAACCAAAATCCGGGTTGATGCCCTCTGAGCTTTTAGTCACACGCTTGTAGCTGGTTTTTTCTGAATCCGTGCTATCGTCCCCACCAGGCCCATTCGCTGCATCTTCTGGGGTCTCTACATGCAGGTAACACGCCACGTAGGGCTTGAAGCTCTTGACGTTTGTATCTCCAGGAGGCAGTGCAAGCTGCTGTCCCGCGAGGACTTCAATTGAAAGCCCAACCTTCTTGCGGGTTATCGGTGCTGACTCCGGTTCAGTGCTTCGATAGCCTTGAGGCTTGAGGATCCAGCCCTGTTCGCCTGCGAACATTCCCTGATTGAGCATCATGCCCTTGTCTGCGTTTTGCCAATTCAAGGCTACGATTTGAGCGCCGCGTCGCCAGAAGAACGTGGGGTCAAAGTTGGAAGAGTTGACGCGAAGGCCGTAGGGATAGATGCGCATAAAGTGCTTTCGGTTATGTTCGAAGAGGGCCTTGCCATACTTCTCGTCCGCCTGTCGAGCTGCCCTTTCGGAGAGAGAAAAGACGTGTCCTGGTACTTTGGCCTCTGTTTGAGGTTAGCGACAGAACTATACCGTACATCTTAGGACATACCAGGCTGCGTAAACTGCTTAAAGCTAAAGCCTTTCGTGAATACGGCATGTCTGCTCAAAGAATGGAGGATCTTCGCCGGTTTCTGAGGAGCCGAAGCAGACTGGGCAGATGGGGTCTGCGCCAGCTGCTCCAGATCATCAGTGCGGTCATCCCCGTCTTCTCCACCTTCAGCCGTAGGAGGAACCCACTTGACCTTGACCAGAATCTTCTGTTTCAACTCGCTTAGGGGAGGGGGCGTTGAGTTAGCCTCCATTTCGGGCGTTATCTCAATCAGCAGGCCCTTGAATGCATCCTCCATGATCTCCACCATGGTTTCCTGCTGCTCGAGCGACGCATGAACTTCCAGACTCACTATGACGGGCAGATCGCTGGCGACAAATGCACTATCGCGGATCGCATAGCAGACTTCTCGGAAGGTTGTCCCCTTGGTGAGAGTGTGACCGTGTAGCACCTGGGGCTCTAGCTTTACCGGTCCCACTTTTACGGAATCTGCGACCTTGCCTTCACTTGCAGGAGTTTCTTTAGATGGCGATTTCCGGCGCAGGATGCCGCCTATTCGAGATTTGACTGTCTGCTTCCGTTTCGGTAGCTTCGACTTGTCCTTTGTTTTCTCGTCGTCGGAGCTTGAGCTGCTTGTTCCATCTTCGCTGTCGGAGTCAGGCTCGCCGTCCCAGACGTCGATTTCGACGCACCTACACCCGCTTAGAAGGGCCTACTCATATTAGCCATTACTCTTCTCACGCCACTAATCCGAACAAAAACTTGATCGGGCATAGACAACTGTGAAACTCACAGTAGTGTAAGCGCTCGCGGCCGCATCGCTGTAGAGCTGGTTGCCAGTCAAGTACGTGTTATGACTCGAGGAGATGAAATAGTCCGTAATCGGCGCAGAGGTATCTGGCTGACCGGCAGGACCCAGCGCAGCTGAAGCAGGGCTGGCCATGTAGGCATGAAACGCCGCCAAGGAGCTGAGTGGATCGGTCGTCTCCAGGCTATGGGTGTCGCGCTGAATGTCCTTGAGGAACGCTGTGTTCGGAGAGCTGGTAAGCGATTTGTAAAGCTGGTCCAGGCGAGCTTGGAAGGTCGGCGAAAATGTCGCGATAGGCCTTGATAGGGAAGCCGTGGATGGCGGGTTCAGAGTAATTTGGTTTGTACGCTCGGTGAGCTGATCGATGGCAGCCATTGTTATGGGAAGGTCGAAAATGACCAGATCACGATTTCGAGTCTCTTCTCAGTATTCAATAGAAAGAGTTGTGCTGACAGGTGGTCTTGTTGACTGCAGTGTGGTGGCTGAAGAGGGGGTCGGGGAGCTGCCGCAGAGAACTCGTCTCTCTGAAGGGGAGAAGAGTGCGAAAATGTCGTTGCACCAGGCACGAGGGGCAGTCAAAAATGGGAAGGAAAAGTGAAGACAAGTCAATAAGACAGCTGGGCAGAAGATGAGCTTGCTCCACTTTGCGTGGCATGGCGCGTGCATGTCTCGGCGTCAGGTCGGGCATCGCGAGATCGTCCTATAAGCGTCGTCCCAAGCAAGTACTCCTTGAATTGACAAAAGGATACTTCTATATAGTATACACCTTGTATCTCTTGAGCGACAGACACTGGTGAATGAAGAGTCGGTGATGGTTGTGCTGCCCCTCTGCGGGGTAACCTTGAAGCTATTTTAATCTCCACCGTACTTTCAGGAACGAGTCGCCTATTCAAGTAAGGGCGGTGCCGATGTCCAAGGAACAAGGTACGGGGTGCAGGCAAACTGGTACCTATCCGACCACTCTACATAAACGTCTCCTGACGATCTCGTAAGCGTATCCGGTGTCCAAGGCTGATAAATCAAGTCAACCTTCTTGTCGGGAACTCCGGGTTGATTCCCCGGAGCGCATATATATGGTTCATTATGAGAACCAGGCATTGACGATAACCAGCCTCAGCACCAAAACGTTCACAATGGCAGATTCTACCCCAGTGCACTTTTTCGACATTCTGTCAGACTTGCCTGGTACGTCTAATACCTCTGATTTACCAGGATACACTAACATCTCATACAACAACAGGACCTACAAAGGCCTGGTCCCCTAACACCCTGAAAACTCGAACAATCCTCAACTTCAAAGGCGTCTCATACACTCAGACCTACGTCTCATACCCGGATATCGAACCCCTTCTGAAATCACTCTCCGTGCCTCCCCACCCAGATGGAACCGCCCCTGTTCCACACACCCTCCCCGCAATCGTCCACCCTACCATAAAGTCCAATCCTCACGGGGCCCTGATGGACTCCCTTCCTATTGCCCGGCATCTTGAAGAACTCTACCCCACACCGACAATATTCCCCTCAGGGAACGCAAGCTATGCCCTCGCAGTCGCGGTGGAGAGGCTGATGCGCGACATCGCACGGAGCGGGTATACCCTCCTCATTCCAGCAATCCGGGACATCCTCGATCCGCGCGGACAGGAGTACTACACGCGAACGCGGGCCACGAAGGCTTTCTTCGGGAAGCCGCTTGAAGAGGTCAAGCCGACAAGCGAAGGTGAGGTGCGCGCCTTGGTAGAAAAGATGAAGAAGGATATCAGGCCGCTGGTGGTGATGCTGAAGGGGAAGAGTGGGAAGACGGGGCCGTTCTTTGAGGGAGAGAAGCCAGGGTATGCGGATTTGATTTACGTTGCGTTTATGACTTGGTACCGGTGTGCGGACGAGAAGATTTGGGAGGAGCTGATTGAGGTAGGTGATGGGGAGCTGCGGGCGCTGTGGGATGCGGTTTATCCATGGGTGGAAGGGCAAGGCGAGGATAAGGAATGGGGGGTTGCCCAGTAGGTCGGTGTTTGGTAAGTGCATACCAGACAATGTGCGAATACATGACAAAAGTTCTATTCAGGGTTGGCTGTGATCTGAAGAAAATATGGTAGTCTTATAATACACGGTAAAGGGGAAAGCCCAGCAGGTCAGCCACAAATATACACCTAGATTTACACAAGAATGCACACCAAAACTAGAGGCCGCGCAAGAAGTTGTCCTCCCTGATTGCCTTCCTCCGGGCCAGTCTCGCGCTCTTCGTAATTTCGGACCGCTTCTCGAGACTGTCTGCAGCCTCATCCAGGAGGTCTTTAGGAGCCTTCTCGGTGCGGTTGTAATCGGCAGGTGTGAGATCAGAGGCCTGATGGTGGACGGGGATTTGTCGCGGTAATGTTGCGGCGCGGGCGGCCATCTTCTTCTCATAGCGCTTGCGCTGTTTCTTATTCAGAGCTAGTAAGGATAAATGTTAGTACCGTGAGACACTTTGGTTCAATATCCCAATAGCTGGTATACATACTGCTCGGGTCCACGCCGCCCTTCTTAACCTCCTTATTCGAGCTATCCAGCAATGTCCACAGCCACTCGGGGTACTCCTCATCCTCCATAGCAATAATGTCCGGCTTGTTCTTGAAGTAGTTGAGGCCGACAAGCTTCGTTCCGGGCTCGCAGGAACTTGGGGGCCGTTCAACCTTTCTGGCGGCTTTCGAGGGCTGCGTTGGGTCGACATCGACGTGGACACCCTCGGGAGTGCTCAGCGGTTGCGACACGCCAGGGGTAGCTGAGGAGATTGCGGACGGGATCGTGATGCCCTCGCCTATGGGTTGACGAGGCTTGGGAGGAGGAGGTGTGGCTGATACTGTGGGCGCATTATCGCTGTAGCTGCGGAACTGAATGCGTTGGACCTGAGAAGATGCACGGTACGAGGCTGTGATTGTCTGGTGTTGGATTCGAGTCAGGATGCTCGGCCGACATTGTTGGCAGATGATCTTCATGATGAAGGTTGGAATACTGAATTGAGCGCTGAGAACAAACTGCGCCTCGACAGATCCAAGCAGGGACAGCACAATGGATGGACGGAATGGAATCGGATCACGCTCTGGATCAAGAAATCTGCGGATGAATTTGATGCCAAGCCGGAGGTCTCACGTGACATTTTATCACGTGCAAAATAGGCCTTACCTAGATGGGAACCATATCAACCATCATGAGCACCCAAGCTGTTCTTCATTTCGTTAATCCTCTCGTCTATCTTTAAGACTGGCGCAACCAAAAACAACGGTGTATTACACCAAGTTACGTTTTTCAAGAACCTGGTCGAATATTGTTTCTCACAATTTATGATCTTCTGATACCCTGTTTGATACAGAATGATGACACCGCTTGCTATTTCAACCAAGTGGCGTTGGTCCGTAACCTTGGTGACGACAAGCATCATGCTCCAACGAAAAGCTTGGTCTCTCTAGTCTCTGCAAGGCCAGGGTGTTCTTTACGTTCAAACGCTGTCTGCGTCTCCGTCTCGGCTTGTCCCAGCTCAACCACTCGTCGCGAGGTGGCATTACCAATGCGCACACATCTCTCATCATAGTGAACTGCCAGAAGACTACTAGTCTCACTAACCTCCAAAATCACCAACTACTGTAGTACTGATATGAGATATACCCGTGCGGTACTACCTGTGAGCGAGTCACTGTTCGCATATCGCAGCAAACGTCAAGTGACTGGGTCTCTCGGTCAGCAACCCGTACTCCATATCGCCCTCTTACACCGAGTCTGGACTCTGAGCGGCTGTTCTACCTTTTGTTCGAGACTCAAACAAATCACCTTCCCGTTTTGATGTGAAAGAAGTCTTAAACTAACTGAGCATAGCCACAGTTATATACAGAGACACCCCGTCACTCAATTAAGTATTATGAGAGCACAAGTCATGCAAAACTCTGCAACCTTCCAACATCACATATCAAAAAAAAAAAAAAAAAAAAAAAAAAAAAAAAAAAAAAAAAAATACAACAAGAATGACAGACGAAGGTGCCTCGAACAGAAAAAAAAAACATTTTCTATCATGCAAAGGACAAGAAGCTCGTGAGGTTGCTACATTAACGAACAGACAGAATTAAGACAACTGAAGGAAACCCACCAAACGCCTATTATAAACACATGCGCTTGAACTCAACATCTCGAGAGATGCAAACCACTCGATTCCAAGAACTTACACAAGCTCCCGCACGCGTCCTTCAGCGTCTTTTCAGTCTTCCAACGAAGCTCTTGTTCCGACCTGGTGGCGATGGCAACGCAGGAACCGACATCTCCCTGACGCCGAGGGGCAGCCTTTGTTGGGATTCGCTTGGAAGAAACACTCTCCATGGTATCGACGACTTCCATCACCGAGTGCCCTCGACCGGTGCCCAAGTTGAATGCGCGGAAATTTTCAACCAGTTTGCCCTCCAAAGCAACGTCAAAGGCTGCGACATGTCCCCGGGCCAAGTCGGTAACATGGATGAAGTCACGGACGGCAGTGCCGTCCTCCGTATCCCAGTCAGTGCCGAACATTTGCAGTTCCTTGTATTCCCCTGTCATGACTTTTACCACGACCGGCAATAGATTTGTTGGGGTCTGCCTGGGATCTTCACCAAGCAAGCCCGACTCATCGCAGCCGATTGGATTGAAGTACCGGAGCGCGACAATCATCCACTCTGGATCAGAAGCTGCTAGATCCGCGAGTATCGCTTCGCACATCCATTTTGTGCGTCCATACGGGTTCGTGATTCCGGTGCATCCAGCCTTGACCGTCATGCCAAACCCGTCGGCGTTCTGGAAGTTTTCGTCCTTGTGCGCGCAAAGTTCTTCTTTGAGCGGCAGACCAGATGTTGCCAGCGTCCCGTAAACGGTAGCCGACGAAGAGAAGATGAACGTTTTGATACCATACTCGCCCAAAGTCGATGCGAAGTCGATGAGACCGCTTACGTTGTTGGAATAGTATTTGAGCGGGCTCCTGATACTCTCCTCGACAGCCTTGTAAGCGGCAAAGTGGATGACGCCAGCAATCTTGGATTTGGGGGTGCCCCATCTGGACTGAAGCTGATACTGATCGAGCAGTCCCCTAAGGGCGGCGGTATCCCGATAGTCGTGAGTGTCCAAATGCAGGGCTGGCATCTGCGTTCCATGTTTTTCATGGTGGTTTTGCGCCAAAAGTTTGATGCGGTCAAAAACGCTTTGGAAAGAATTGCTGAGGTTGTCGATCACAATCACGTTATAGCTGGCCTTGAGCAGTTCTAATGTCGTGTGACTTCCAATGAACCCGAGGCCCCCAGTGACCAGGATGTACTGTCGGAGGGGGAAGTTACGCAGTAACTCGTCAAGGTTGCCGTCAAACAAGACGGACGACTGCGTTGCTGGCGTATCCACGCATATCGGAGAGCAGGGCTCCGCAGGAGAACTTGCGTCTGACTGTCGAGGACTTTCCATTGTCGACTCTGAAAACAGCGAGGCACAGATATTGATAAAGACCAAGATGTGGCACGAGCAAGAGCGGTTGACCAAATACAACGACCGGTTTCGAAAGAATAACGAGTTGATTTCTCCCGTCAAACTTCAATGAGGATGAGTGACTCGAGGACCGACCACCCAAGAGAAAGGAGAGTTCGCAAAATTTTTATACTTTGTCAAAGCGAGCCCTGCACTTTTCTCTGGGCCCTCTTCGATGTAACCGCTGCGGTTTCGAGTCAAGTCAGGCGAAGATATCGTGAGTCGTGACTCGCCTATTTACAACAACACATAAACCAACCGAACGAATGCAAGCAGGGTCAGAGGTGGCAGCAGCGGAAACAGAAGGAAAGAGGAAAAAAAGATTATTCAAAAAATCGAAGAAAAAGGAAACAAGAGGTTCAGAATAAATTAGCACCGTCAGCTTCGTTTCCTGCAATGAGACGCGACCGAGCACGCTGGGGAGAGCTGGATACTGAATTTAGCCCCCGGTTGGCTAGTATCAGACGACTCTAGGCGCTCTCCACAGGATTGCAGTACGCACCTTGGGTACTTTAAGTCAGGGAGGAAGGGAATAGTCGCTTCGGCGGACGGCTACAATCACTAAAACCAAGTCTGGTGCATGGACTAAACCCCGATCCACTCTATTTTGGGCGCGCGCGGTTGACGAAAGCAGGTCTGGCTCCCTACAGATCACCTCATCTCTAAGTTTGAAGGACCAGGGCTACTTATTGCTAGGCTCTCCGGACCAGTGTCTGACATCGTCGCCATCGCCAACAAAGCCCACTTTTTTCTGGCGCCTTGCCCTTTGTTGCATTATTCTGATGCGCTACTCTTTTAGCTTTGCACTTCTTCCACCGCTATGGGACCTTGGAAACACGTGAGAGAGGCGCTGCCTTCGCAGCCGACGGTCTCGCGTTGCTGCTGCCGCTCTTGCCTTTGTCGCTATCCTCGCAGTCATCCTCCCACCCGCCCTGTTGCTCACCTTGCGCAAAGATAATATTAGTATGGGACCGAAAGCAAAGGTCTTTGTTCCTCTTTATGTGTACCCCGCTCCTGGTGCGTGGGATCCGCTGGTCAATGTGTAAGTGTCTAGCTTTTTTTTGTGGCCTAAATTTATTTTATTTTGCGCCTCTTCTGTCAATCTGCCATACCACCCCCCTGTCATTCGGACAGGACAATCTGGAACCATGCGAACGCCATCAGCCGCCTGCAATGGCATCGGCGTGGGACGAGAAGCGCCTCTGATTTACTGAGAGCTGCAGCTAAACGCCCTAGGATCTCTGCCCACCCCGATGTCAACTTTACTGTTGTCGTGAACCCTGGTAGCGGTCCGGGCCCGAACGTCCTGCCTGACGGCAATTACACTAGGGAGGTTCCCAGATTAGCCGCTCATGACAATGTCCGGCTGCTGGGCTACGTCCCTACGACGTACGCTAAGCGCAACATGTCGCTGGTGCGCAGAGACATCGAGACTTACGCCGCATGGCCAACCGTCAGCGCCAATCCCAACCTTGCGGTTCGGGGAATATTTTTCGATGAAACGCCGCAACAGTACAACGCTGAAGATCTGGCGTACCTGAAGGAACTGGCTTCGATCGTGCGAAGCGCCCCTGGTCTGGGGCCCGACAATTTCGTAAGTGTTGCCGCTGCTGTGTGATGCTCTCCACGCGGAGATCGCCTCTGCCAGGTCATATCCATCTTTCGTTTCCTACAACTTTATCCGGCGCTCTTGGCATGTTCACTTGTTGAAAATTCTCCCCGTTCTAGCCCTTCAATCTGGATCGAGCCTTTTTTTTTTTCAGCTTTGCTCGGCGTCTCGACCAACCCCCTGTCTGGAAACGTCGGGGTGGCCGAACAATTGCCGGACTATTGGGTAGGATGAATGCTAATTCTTGCCAATTCTAGGTTTTTCACAACCCCGGAGTCGTCCCCGACTCTCGCTACCTGTCGACCGCTGACTCGACTGTGGTCTTTGAGGCAACATATGACAACTTCCTGGAGCGAGATGGAGCGAAGATGTTCGAGCAGATTCCAGACAGCGACCGCCGCCAACTCTGCGCCGTGATCCACTCGGTTCCAGACAATGTGGAAGGGTCACAGCTCCGTGGCTTCGTCAGGCAGGTCCGACGAGTTGCAGACGAGGTGTTTATTACGCACCTGAGTACCGACTACTATGCCAACTTTGGCGACCAGTGGGTTGAGTTTGTGAGTTTGATGGCCCAATAGTGGAATCCTTGTGGCAGCAACTACCGTGTGCCCTGAGGTACCGGTACCTAGGCAGAGGAGATAGAGGTTAGAATATGATTCAGATTCCTGCGATGAGGCGGTGCCTAATGCTTGATGGTAGCCTTGATCTGCCGTATCTGAAACCTTGTCTCTTCCAAGAGAATTCCCAGAATCTTCCAAGTTCCAAGTTCCCAGTCTCTGATTTCTTTTTTTCTGTGGCAGTCTTGCTTTTGTTATTGGGTGGGGTATGATATTGATGGCGCCAAGACTGGGTATCGTCAAATTATGGGCGCGTAATTTTCATTACGGCCGTCCTTCCTCGCTCCTTGGCTCGTCGGGAGGAGTTGTGCAACACGCCATCGGACTCAATAAAACCAAACCTCTCCAGTAGTCGCACGATGAGCCTCGACTGGGACAAGTGTAACCAGCAGAATTCAACACATCCCGCGGCGTGCCGGACGATTGGCAGAGCCAGAACCTGCGCCAGGTCAGCGCAAAAATGCAATCGGCGGGGTTTTCTAAAACCTGCACAATAGACGGCGAACAGATGTCCGGTCCACACTGCAGGAGAGTCTGGACGACAGTCAGGGTGGGAGACTGGGTTGATCGGCTGGATCTCGAGAGTCGTCGCTGCGAGCGCTGCGTTTATCCTCACCTATCACCACCCCTGCAAAATAATGGCATCATGCAATCCAAACCGTACACGGCTTCTTCGTCCGAGCCCGATCTGGCCAGCGTGCCATGGCATGCCAGGTTCCTGGTAAAACATACATACATATGGGCGATATTTATAGTTGTGTATGCATTATTAGTTCATAATGACGAAGGTGACGAACACTTGTCTCATCTGTTTGTTGTCGCTCTTTCGTCGTATCATGCTGCCCCGTATGGGTGGCATCCTACGGAGATATACAGGACATTGCTCGGAGTCGGAGATTTCAAAACTGCGCCTGTACAACACAGCCGGAGCTTTGGTGGGTATAATTCTCCTATCTGCCTTGCCTTGCCTTGCACAGCGCAGATTCCGATCTGTTTTCTTTGTCATTTTCCCCGAGGGATCTGTGGCTACCCGGAGACGCCTGGACTAGTTGCTCAAAGTATCGATTTCCACCCAACCAGACATGTATGCACCCAGACTCTCATCGACCAGGTCAAAATTGCCTCTTCCCGTCCACGGGAATGAATGAAAGGAGAGCAAACGCTCGCCGTCACAAATTGGCTCACTGGGCCGAGCAGCTGGGTGCCAGACGCAGACTATCCTGAGAATGGTAACAGTGTACCTTGGCGAGAGCGACGGAAGCGAGGGAAAACAATGAGTCGAGAGAAGGAGAGGACAAGTCCGACAAGGACTCAAGGAGTCGCTGTGGCGGGGTGGTTCGAAGCGAAGCACGCAAGGACAGGAACCGCTCCAAAAGCAAGCACAGAAGCAAAGCAAAGCAACGCCTCAGCCACTTCGCCCAAAGTGATACGTATTTTCAAACTCTTGGGAGCATCTTGGATTCTTGGCGGGGTCGCATCTTGTTACCCCACCGGCGAATTCTGTCTGAGGTGTGACTTGTCCGCGACCGAAAATCGAGGCCAGGCACTGTTGTTTTGTCCTGCCAAGATACTGCTGACAAAATTAGATCAGTCGTCTCTCGTCGATTTTTCTTTGTTAGCGCTCGTCGGAGCTTTGATTCATTCATTGACTGATTATCAATCGGTGAGCGATCGTCAATCGCAACATCTACTACAGAAATGGGACCAGGGCCGAAATTAAGGATGGGCGATTGGCGCTCCCCCCGCGTTTTATTTCCCGTTTTCCCTGAAGGATGAAGAGGATCTCCCTCACTTTGGTTCCTGTGGAAGTTTGGGAGCAGTTCGTACCTCGGTCCGGAGATCTGGAGTTGAATTCCGAGGGCTTCTGCCCTGAACATCTGTCGAGGACATCAAAAGACAAAGGCTTTCGCAGTCCGTGAACTCAGTCTCGACTCGATTTTGGCCTCGATGATCTATCATTTACAATTCCACACCGGCCACGAACTAGTGAGAATCTAGGCCCCTCTATAATCTATTCTTCTTCAGACGGAGAAAGTTGATGCTCGCTAATGCTCCAGCTAAAATAATGCTAACTTAGTGCTCGGTAGTCGGTATCCTCCGGCCCATCCCTAAGGTCAGAAGTCTAACCGAGCCAGCGAGCTATGACCTACCTAGTGACGGAGACGGAGGAGCCTGTGGGCCTGTCTAGGCTCGTCTTCGATCCTCCACCCGTCCGATCGATGTTTAGCGCCTTGCCTAAAATTTTCTCTTCTTCCTCCTCCTTGAAATCTTCGGAACTTTTGTGTCCACCGGGCGGTCTCATGTTCGTTAGGTGATACACGCTTAGAACTAAAGGAGAAACTTGAACCTTCTGGGTAGAACATTGAAGACGAAATCAAAGAGTGAAACACGGCAAACGTCCCCGCTTGATCCTGATCTTCGTCTCTGAAGCGCGATGTGCGACATTAACTCTATTTGAGATCTCCTGTTCGGTGTCTCAGTGTGAGACTGAGGCTGGCTTCGGGGAGATGGGTGGAGATGGATGGAGACGAGGCGGCGGAATGGAATGTGAGAGAAGACGACTAGGGTTTATGCTGGGACAGAGCTGTGATATGTCTATTTACTGGGAGCTATCCATTATATACTAGGTCCTGATTGAGTTGGTTTAGTGTACCAGTTTTGTCTGGTGGGTATTGATTCGTAATGCGTGTTTGACAATGTCTTGAACTGCCGTATCCTCAATACGAAAAAGTACCTCGATACCGAGCCGTACACCCGCTAGATGTACCAGTACGAACCACAATACAGACACTGACAAAAAGCCCTCCGAGTCATTATCATCGCCAGATCAACACGGCCCTGAAATTGAACAATGGAAGCGACAAAACACTCTCCATCACCCCAGGCTTTGCCATCGCAAAACCAACTCGTATCCGGACTCCTCCTTCCCTCTACAAACCGTTCATGCGAAGCGAACTGCCTCACCAGCACCAACAAACCACTCCCAGCCCAATCGCATCATTCACACACCCCCAGGAGTCACAGCCCGCCAGCGAACGCCCGAGTCATGTCCCTCGCCACAGCGCCTGCAGTGGTGCGATGATGGCGTGGTGCCTGGGCCTGTGCCCCTCATTGCCCCTGTGGCCCGTCGGGTGGCTAAGGGGAGCGACGAGGAGAACGGCGGGCGACGGAAACGGGCGGCTAGTCGAGCCGGCCGGGTGAATTCAGAGTTGTGGCTGTGGTTGTGGTGCGGTGTCGACGTGTTCGTGCGGGGGATTTGGGGGTGTGGTTCCGGTATATGTAGGCGATACGCGGGAAGGAGGCCAAGCGGCCGCCCAGCTGCCCAAGCTATACATCTAGTTCTTCCTCCATATTTCGGAGTATGGTCTCTTTGATAGAGTCGGTGGGATCTAGAACATCCCTCGGCCCGTCGACAAGTTAGCTATGACTTACTGACATGTTCGTTCTTGCGACAAATGACGCCTCAGCAGACTATCTAATCTACGCTACCCAACTAACTACACGACTAACTCTGGAGGTCAAGCCGGTCGCCAGCGCTACGCTCGCTAATCCGCCCGGTACCCTTTGAGCAATGCGACGCGACAGGATTTCTCTTCTTTTCATAAATCATCAACTGCGCTATGCGATGCGCGCTACAGCACGCTTACACCACCATGAGGCCTTTGTTTGATTAATTGAAGAGGCGAGGCTGGCTGGACTCGGATTTCGCCGCGGATGGTACTTCTTTGTTGCGGCGCGAGGCGAGGCGATTGGGAAGCGAACTGAACTCCAAAAGGAAGAGCTGGTGTAGCCGTAGTACACTACTTTAGATTGCGGCTGGTCGGTGAACATGAATGGGAGAGAGGATGCGAGGCGATGCGATTCGGTGCCTGGGTGAAGGAGCGAGGAGGATTTTACTATTCAAGGGGACGAGCACATGCTGGCGGGGAGATAGAGACGAGATAAGGAGGCATGTGCGATCGAGGGAAATGGGCTGGTGCGGTCGCTTTTGTACTGTAGCCATCGCAGTGTCCCAGGTGTTGCAGCTCAACCTAGCTCAGAAAGCAAAATCTATAGATGACTAGAGTACGATCTATGCCAGTAGTACGACTACCCCGCACCAGATGAAGAGAACCAACAACTCCACTATATGCTTGCTATGTAGTATGTGGTATGCGATATGCGATGCGATAAGGTACAAGAGCCGAAATGACAGTCTCACGGGCAATCTTGATACCAATTATCCAGATTCATGTTCTTGATGAGCGTCGAGAACTCGCTCGAATCGTCAAAGTTGCACGCATCCCTCCTCTCGCTCCCCGTCACAGCCACGTTATTGTTCACCTCGTCGCCCTTGGGGTACTCGATGTGGAAGACGGGCTTGCCGGCCTGCACAAACGCCGCATACACATCGCACTCGTCGTACTGCGCACACTGCTCATTGACACTCCACTGCATCTTCCCGATAACCGACGAAATCACCGCACCCGCGTTCTTAAGCCCAATCGACAGCCCACGGTCGCTCGCCTCGTCCGCAAGGAACCGCATGTAGTCAATCGTATCCTCCTCGGTCAGCCCAAGCCCGTTTTCATTGTCGTACCCATCGACATTATCAGGATCCACGCCGTCGCACCCCTTTTGTTGCGCAAGATCCAGCCGCGTAATCATGATGTCCCGAATCGCCTTTGAGCTGATATTCACCCAGCTCTCGCCCTCCCATTCATCGAGGTTGTCGCCGATGTCCTCCTTGGGAAAGTCCGAAGCGTCCTCGCGCCAGTCCTCGTAGGTGCCCGCCGAGAAGTAGCAGATGACCTTGCGGTCGAGATCATGAAGCTCTTCAATGGTGGAAACAGGGTTATCGAAGAGATCAATGTCGTAGACTGGTACATCAACCGACGTATCGTTTAGCGCGTACTTGAGCACAATCTGCCAGGGTGTTCCGACAGCCGGTTGCCAGAGGTCGCCGGTGTCCGTTCCGTTGTTGTTGTTGTTGTCGCCGCCTCCATTGTCATTGCCGATGTCGTTGTTGTTATCGTCGTCCTTGAGACCGAGTCCCAGTCCAATACCGAGTCCGAGCGCGAGAGCAAGAGTGAAGAGCATGGCGGTGATGAGTGCGGCCTTCTTCTTTGTTGACCAGGCACTCCATCTCCAGCCTGAGCCGGAGCCCTTTATAGCTTCGGCGGGTGGTGCCATCTTGTCGAGATTCCGTCGGAGACACGTTGAATAGAATCAGGTTGCTCTATTTGGGGGCGAAGGATGGAAGTAAGATGATGGTGGGTGCGATCTGCGATGAAGTTGTTAGTGAAAACGGTCAAGGACGCGGATGCGATGAGATGAAGGGTTGCTCACGCGGTGGTTGCGGTGGGCTAAGATAAACGATTGAGCGACTCGGAAGAGAGTGGAAGGAAATGGTAAATGATCGGGAAGGGCGTGATGCTCGATTAATGATAGTTATTGGGTATATCGGAGCAGCGCATGAATCCTTTGGAGCGGTGAAATGAGCTCTGGAGTAATGAGATGAGTGTCTAAGACGGTCGATGTTTCGTTTCCGATCCTGCTTTGCGCTTTGCGACTCGTATGAGTGATGAGTTGAGATGGATGATTGCGGCGATGCTGCTCCTGCCTCGACGTTTGTAGATCTCGATTTGATATCAACACTGAGGTTTTGCGAGGAGGTCAAATTCGGCAGAGAAAATAGAGTGTATTATGGCGTCGTGGTCGCACGTATATAAGAGACAGGCGACCAAGACAGCGAGGGCGAACACCCTTCAAAATCTCAAAAACGAGCGCAGCAAATCAATCGAATGTCGCCGCCTAATTAGCGCTGGACTATTGCATCCTTAAGCAATCTTAGTATTTGGGGGCCAGTTGGAGCTGAAATGAGCCGCGACGTTCCGAGGGGGAAAATACGAACCAACAAACACATAAAGTGGAAAACAACACGAATCCAAAGTGAAGGGAAAGTGAAGAGAGGAGAAAAGTTCGCGATGGAAAAGATGGTGGAGGATCTGCTGATCCGCAGAGAGTCGGGGGTTAGAAACGGGGTTCAGCCTTCAGGCGCTTGCGCTGCACGAGCAGTGTCGGTGGCACAAACATCCCCTCGACTCAGCCCAAATACAGGGTCAAGGTTGGGCCAGTGTTCCAGAACATGGTGGGCTGTCGCTGTTCGGTGCGAATTTGGTGAGGGGTGTCTTTTGGATCCGTGGGTGAGAGCGAGAATTGCGCGGCTAGCTTGATCGAGGTTGGCGTCCAAATCGTTCTCATGAGCAGAGGGAGTGGCTGAGGGCGAAGCGTTCGATGAAAGAGCAGAATTAGGGCTCGATCGGATCGGAATGTATCCCGGTCAGCCCAGTGGGAAGTGAAAATTACTCGACTGTAGGTACTGTATAATACGAGTGTAAAATGCCCGCGCTCGTCGAGTACTTCTGGTAGAAGTCAGAAGTAGAGTATAGGAGTACGTCCAGACCACGACAGACTCAACACATGGCATCGGGGTACTAGTCTTAGCAGGCTAGCTTGATAAGCCAGCAGCAGTGACTAAGGACGAACTAGCAAGGGCATCGTATGCAAGACAATATAAAACGCCCATGACTCGTCACCCGCATACCCTAGCATCTTCCGCTCTGGGCCGTCTTGGCTGCAGAATCGGACTTTGCTCACTTTCGCCGGTCGAGTCTGAAGCACAGCCAAGACTTGAGCGGAGAGTTGGAATTTTAGCCTCGATATCGCAAATATCGGTAGGGTGAGACATTTTCCGGGTTTATCCCACCGGGAGTTTTCTATTCTCAGTCTTGCTGAGATTCTCGACTTTGACGCATGCGTTGGAATGTCTTTGGGGGTTGCATTGGAATTTGCGCTGCGCTGCAGCAGCTATTGGATATGTCTCTCTCTGCAAGCGCATGTTGCTTTTTCTGAATTTTATTGGGCTGTGTGACTCGGTTCTCTCCAGGTTTTCTCAGAGGCTGAGAGGCCATGTTGTTGACAGGTCTGGGTAGGTCTGGATCGGTATGCGATCAGCGCAGCATATCATGCTTACTCCGTACTGTATCATACATCCTAAACGTAGAAGTCCTTTTGCTTGCCGGCCCCCTCGTCATAATGATGCCGTGACGGAGGTACTATGACGGCACATACTGTACTCTGCACCATGAACACGCAATACGCCCTTCGCGAGAACGCAAGGCTCGGACCCAGGACTCAATATGGTCAAGAGTTTCAGACCGTCGCACACCCCAAATGAAGGACGAAGGATGGGGGATGAACTGTCACGACTCATGAACTTGTAACTAACTACAGTTTTGGGAGTTGGGTACATACGTACATCGTAGACTGCCAAAGCGCGAAGAGCGGTCACTGGCGTTGAGCAGGGCAAAAATAGCCGATGGTGGTGTGTGTTGTAGTTAGCTCCGGCTCTATAAGCATTTCTGGAAAGACTGAAGGTGAGAGTCTATGGATGGAATTGATTATGCTTTCTACTTTACTAAGAACTAAGCAAGTAAGCATTGAACTGTGGTCTGGTCTTTATTGTTTTGGTCAGTAACAAAGTGCCTGCCGGCTTAGTACAAGATATTCTCATCTCCAAGCCAACCATCGCAGCCTCAAAATCAAACATTCAACTCAGTAATCTCCACAAAAGCAAGCACACATGATGGGTCTCCGCTCCTTAACTCCCTTATCTCCATCGAACAATTCTTCCATCCATCCATTTATCCGTCATCACCACCAGCACATCATCACCTCCAAATCTGACTCCGTACCTGGCAAAACAAGGCGACGCCCCCCATTCGCCGATCGCCCTAATCGGCGACTACAGCTTACCAATCAGATGCGCTCGCCCGCATCACCACTCCAGGGCAACGCTGGAGTCGTCTGGGGGAGGAGTCAGATTTTAGGGTTTGGGCGCGACGTGGCTAACTTAATTGCAACATGACTCTTGGGGCTCGAGTATGGTGGGTAAGTCGTAGTGTCATGACATGGGTGAGGGAATGTTTTGTTTCGCTATGTTTTGTTGGGGATGCGATTCTCGCACTAGGGTCAACATGACATGGAAGTCTGGAAGAAAGGAGGGGCAAGTGAGACATTCTGCAGCCAAGAAGGCTATGGTAAGACTGTACTGATGTGTACATTTGCCTCGTATATGAATTGTGACAGGGATATGCGGGATGCAGGCTGGGATCGAGGCGAAACGTACGGGTGACAGGTGGGAAAACGTACCGCGATTGACGAATTGATCGGCCGGACGAAGGAAACTACTGACGAAACGGCCAATCCTGAATCTTCCAACGAAGGACTGGCAAAACAACAGGGAATACTCTGGAAAAAGCAATCCATGCAAAATCCTGCGATAAGTATGACGAATTTCATTTCTTCCCGCTTTTCTCGGTCCCCTCTTTGCTCTACCCTAACTAAATCACGTAACTAACTCAATCGATCCATTAATCATTAAGTACTAAGAACTAAGGACTAAAAGTCTCCATCCTCAATACAGTATGTAGTGGGGGATGTAAAGGATTAGTGCAGCTAGCAGCAACTAAATAAAGGTGTACGCTGCGACTGCGCTGGCACCCCTCGCATCCAACCACACCATCATGCCATCAATCTAGATCATCAATCTCGATCAATGACATTCTACCAGCCGAGACATGTCGCGTCTAGAGCGCAATCGGGCTCGACAGAGGGAAAGTCACCGGCGAGCCGGAGAGCTGCGCCCAGACGGTCACGGGGTCGCTTCCAAGCTGCTCGGTGGTGAAGCCGTGGGTGTTGGAGGGGGCCGTGGGGAAGGTGATGGGGATGGCGGCGTCGCAGGTGTTGCCGTTTGCGGTGAGGGTCACCCCGGTGATTGCGTTGTTGTCGAGCACGTAGCTGAGGGCGTAGCCACACTGGTCGCGGCGGTAGCGCTGGAGGAAGGCGTCGGACATCTACACCGTGTTAGTATGCTGTGTTTCAGATGAAGGAAAAGAGTATGGGGAAATTAACCTGCTGGTGGGTGATGGTCACAAGGGGCCAGGTGACGAGGCGGGTGAATTCCTGGACGACAGTCTCAACCCAGGCCTGGAAGATGGAGAACTGGCCCGTCTCGCCGTTGACGGTGATGGGGTCGATATCTGAGTTGCGCAGGTTGGCCTGGTGGAACATGTAGCCGTCGCGGGCGAGCGCGAACAAGTGGCGGATCGTCTCGGTCCTTTCGACGGCGAGGAGGTTGTTGAAGTCACCAGCACCGGCAGAGGTGTCGATCCACTCCTGCGTCGTGCACGCGGGGGTGTCGCAGTTGTAGTAGATGCGGGTCGCCCAGCGCGGGTTGACCTGTATCCCGTCAAAGCCGTCAGAAGCGACATTGGTGAAGTACGGCCACATGCGGTTCTGCGTGTTGAGCAGAGCAGGGCGGGTGTTGTCACCAACGCAGTTGGTAATGCCGTTGTCCCACCAGGCGCGCAGGGCGTCACCGTTGTGCAGACCAGTAATGGCAGGGGGGATGATGCCGTTGGAGGTAAAGTGGGTTCCGGCGGTGAAGCCGACGCGCTCGAGCCAGATCTTGTTGAAGGAGATTTCCTTGTTGATATCGTCGTAGGTAGCGTTGTTCTGCTCCAAGTGGGTAAAGGTGTGAGACAGATGCGCGTATTCGTTGAGGTGCTCTTGGAACCAGATGAGCAGAGGGTCGGCATTCATGCAGGTGCTGGTCCACGAGAACGAGCTCGGGGTCACGGGCCAGCGGCTCTCGCCGGTACCCAGGGGCTTGCGCCACTCGGCAGGGGTGTCTTCAGGCACATCGTAGTAGATGGCGCCTCCGCTGCAGGTGTCCCAGCCGACGACCTCTTGGCCAGCCTCGATGTTGCCGTTTCCGTTGTGGCCAATTTCAACATAGTAGGTACTGCCCGGGTTGAGCTTTGCGCGGATGCTGGGGAGCCAGGCGGAGATGCCGTCCATGTCGGCGGTGCCGATGCGGTAGATCTGGCCTGCAGGCTGGTAAATGTCCGTCTGCAGGAACATGTCGTCGATCTGGGTGTTCAGGTTGACGCGGCGGTATCCTGCATGCAGGCCGCGGGTGATCCACGTAATCCACGCGTGCTGGAGGTAGTTGGAGGTATCACTCCAAACTGTGTCGAAGCCGATGAAGAAGACCATTTGCTGGCGGCCCGCAAAGTTGTTGATGACCGCAGCGGTTGATTCGCCGCTGACGCCGCCGCCAGCTGCAAAGACGGCGATCTGTTTGGTGGTGGCCGTATCGCTGATGGAGGACGGGTAGTGCCACAAGCCCTGGGTGCTCACACCAGCGCCGGTTCGCAAGCCAGAAGTCGGAAAGTCGCTCACATCGGAGAAAGAAATCAGTTGCTCAACGCCACTGGCGCAGCAGCCGCCTGACAGGGCAGTGGCACCGAACTTGGGACCGGGGTAAACATCGTATTGCACCATGCGCACGCCGTACGCGAGCTGGTACGCATACAGCTGGTTCCATTGGTCGTCGGTCAGAGCACTACGCCAGCCCTCGGTGCCGTAGTCGTAGCTGACTTCGCCGGCGACAACAATACCGCCAAAGTTTCCTCCAGTGGAAGTGTTTAGCGAGGGGAGCTCCACGCCGGCCTGGGGCACAATGAGAGTGCTGTACGGGATACCGTAGCCATTGAGACCAGAGTAAGCCACTGCCGCCTGGGTGTTGTCGCGAGCGATGACCAGGATGTTGGCGGCAATGGTGCCAGTGGCAGAGGGGACCACGCTCGAGCTTGTCGTGGTGACCGACATGCTGGACGAGGTGGTAGGGGAAGTAGTAGGGCTAGTGGTGGGACTGGTGACAGAGGTACTGGTAGTACTAGAAGTAGGAGTGGTAGCACTAGTAGTGGAAGTACCGGGGCTGGGAGAAGTAGTAAAGGTAGTAGAAGTAGAGTCAGGCGTGCCAGTCGTAGAAGTCGAGCTAGTGTCGGGAGTACCAGAAGTAGAGGCAGTGTCCGTAGTGCTAGTAGTGTCCGATGTACTAGTAGGGTCGGGAGTACTAGTCGTATCCGTGGTAGTGTCCGAAGTAGCAGAAGTCGTGGTAGTGTCAGTGCTCGAATCCGGGGAGCTGGTAGAATCGGTGGTGGAGGTGGGATCGCCAGACGTGGATGTCGAATCAGTCGTAGTGACAGTAACGGTCGGAGTAGTGCTTGGAGTCTCGGTGGGTTCAGTGGTGGTCGTGTCCGTGGTGGGAATGCTAGTCGTGGGCGTGCTGGTCGGCGGAAGCGTTGGAGTAGTACTAGTACTGGTAGCACTGGTGGTGCTAATCGAAGTGGTTGTCGCCCACGGAGGAGGAGGCCCAGGGAAAGACCAGGTTGGCGATGCTTCAGGCCACTCTCCCGGGGGAGTGTTGCAGGTTAAAAACCCAAAGAAGCAGCCAACGCGCAGGACTAGATCTGGCACCACCATTGTGAACGCGACTCGAAGAGTCTAGGGCAAACGAGGGACTAGATTGAAACGCAACGAAACGAATGATAAGAGGGTGGGGAAGGGACAGCGCAAATGCTGATCACTGTTGATCCCTCAATCTGGACGAGTTGACATGCGAAGACCACATCCCCATGTACCGCTATTTATGCTGCCCCCAGGACCACTTTCTTCGCTCCAAATTCCCCCGTCTCACCGTGTTTCTGTAAAGCTCCACTACAGGAAATAACTCCATGATTCTTGGACGCTGGGCAGCTGAGTTGCTCCATGATGAATCTACTCTCCAAAGAGCCGGCCGTGCTAGATTGAAGGAGGCCAGATGGGGTGGTGTGGATGTGGAGATGCGCTGGAGAAAGTATAAGCGGTACATTCCTTCTCGTCAGGTTCGAGCCTTAGCCAGTTCCTGCCTCGTCTAGCTTGCAGTAGCTCCAGGTGGCGCACAGGGAGCTGATCGATTGATGCCAGGAATCAAAAGCCACAGCGCTATCGGCCACTCGTCGCCAGGGCAAACATTTGGAGAGAACTGAACTGACCTTTGCGATTCCAAGGGAGGTTTGACTTAATCAATGGGCAGATTGCGCCAGGACCACGACTGTGCGAGGGAAACGTTCCAAAAAAAGCAGCTTGTGTGCAATATTTCTGGCATCGAGTCTCTGTTCCTGCAGGGGTAAACTGCGAGTCGCCACGGGAGCGTTCAACAGGTTCAACCTTTTTCAATGCATGCAGAAACACAATGTATCAATACAGCCGTATGTACTGTAACACTGCGCGGCTAAAAATACACGGTGTGACGACCGAGTATTTGGTAAAACCCTGCACGTATCATGTTTGCTCCCCACTTTGGGCCTAGCGCTATCAGAGCTGTCGTTCTCTTGCAACCCACTTTGTCTGCCATCACATCCACCCATCACCCACTCTTGATCCAAACCGAAACGATCGCCAATGGCCAATCGGACGCTTGGTGCTCCAGGCCCCATGTTGTTTCAAGAAGGCTTTAGCGATATACTCGCTCGAAATTGGGCCGGTGAGGGTTCGCTCTGCGCGCACCTGGGCCATGCAGATTCCGGATTCCACGACATCTGGACAATCCTAGTTTGTGGCAACCTGCACCCGCCGAGCGCGAATAAGAAAATACAGCCATGCGTTTGATTCAATTCTGCTTTTTCACCCTCATCGTGGCCGCCCGGATCGCGTGCGGATGGCTGCCACGCTGTCTGGCGAGATCCTCCCTTCGTCCTCACAAAGGGCTGGACTGCAGCAATTTTGGGACTTTGAGCCTTTGAGACCTAACCATCCCTAGCGCTGGACTAGCCTCTATTTTTGTCACTTTACTCCAGGTTCGGCTTCCTGGAACGCCGGCCTTGACCCATTCGACACCGTCTCGGTGGTTCCATACCCAGCCGTCCATGGAGAAAAGCCCAAGCAACCGGATGGCAACTTAGACACATCAAATGACATGAAAGAAATCTCTGTTGACTCGTTGAGGGGTCCAAGACTCTCCAAGGAGCTGCCACTTAATGAGCCTCGCCGCTAATTCTCTGGCCTCGCCGTCGCTCGTGACCTCAACCGTATCTCGTTCGTCAATTTTGCCTTTCTTGTCTTCTCTCTGTCGGTTATTCTGCCCAGAAACCCTTCGTTTCGGCCACTCGCTTCTATACCTGACCAACGTATGTAATTTCCCAGAGCTGAGACATGATCGTCTCTTAGAGACGCCGGCGGTTACTTGCTACGCTTCGAGTCCTCGAGCCCCCCTTTCCTTATAATCACGGCCGGTTCTTGATTGTACATATCCTTCGTTCAGACGGCCGTTTCCCTACATAATTTTTAATCATGACGGAGATCCTCCACGTCTCACCCGTAGGGTGGGATCATATGAAAGAGGATTGGTGGCAGTTTGTGAGTATGTTCCGTGCGATGATCAGCGCTCTGCTAACGACCCCAGGTTTTAATCGGTGTTCTTCTGGGGAGCGTTACTCTTGGTTCAATATACATCACATATTCTTTGGTATTAAAATGCCTGAACTATTTCAAGGTAACAATTGGCCCAGCCAGCTCTAATATGCGCATCGCTGATCTTCAATAGTCCAGGCAACGTCCGGAAAAAGTGTCAGCAAAAGTCTCCGAGAGAATCAATAGTCTGTCAAACAGACATCTGACCCTGGTCAATGCCCGATCTATAGTTCGCAAACCATCGTCCGTCGGCGTCTACCTCGGGCAGTTTGACGACAGTTTGTCTGAGGACCAGCGACAGCGCTTTCTGGCCCAATGGGACATGTTGATTGTCGACCCCTTCCAGCCCGGGGTAGTCCAGGCCATCTCATCCGCGGAAGACACCCAGCTCCTGGGCCGCCTCGATCTTGAGGACGCGAGCTCTCAGCAGGATCCTATATTGGCAACAATAGAGAAAATTGAATATGCGTTGACTCAGCTGTTCGACTACTCTGCTTTTACTGGTATCTTGTTGGCGAACTGGGAGGAAAAGCTCGGTTCAGAATGCTGGAGACTCGTTATCAAGGCCCTTCGCCAGACAGGGCTGTCGGTATTTCTCGAAACTGCGCCTCCAGACTTTCTCAAGGACCGCAACGCCTTGCAACCGGATAGCATCTCCGGATTGGTTATTCGAAACGCCAGCATCCTTCCCAATGGCAAGAAGCGCGATTACTTCCAGCTGGAGAACGTGAGGCCAACAATCAAGGCTTTTGTCTCGGAGGCTTGCATGCGAGACTTTGTGGTCGTGGCTTGGGAAACGATCGATGACGATGCGTCTCTGTCGAATGCGGTAATTCGGAGGTCGTTGCAATGGTGCAATTTCTACAGCGCGATCCCTTGGATAGGCCGCGAGTCAGCCCTTGGCAACATTGCACTTAACACCAAGTTACCAGAGCCCCTGTCCTCGTTCGGCTGGTTAAAGGACCCTGAGATTATGAACGCCCATGAGAGCTGGCGATCGAATGGGACTGTTGCAGCGGATACGCAGAGCGCTGATAGCAATGCCTGGGATAAGCTGGTTTCTCTTTTCCCGTCTTTGCACCATGTTCTGTCATCGTCCGAGCGCCAGGAGCCGACAAATGAGGATCTAACCACGACTATCCGTGACCCCCCAGATTGGGTCTCTCAAGCCAAGTCGCAAAGCAACCCGCTCTCCACATCCATGGCAGGAGTGGAATACGGGCCATTCGGCTGCTTCCCCCTCGGTGCCGACGCTACTGCAAGCTCGTTTGCCGAGATCCTCAAGTCTCAGCAGCGTCTCCAGTCGCTTGGCCTCCTCCACCCGGTACCTGCTGCCAAGATCCAGAGCCTCGGGTCCCTCTTTCGGCAGTTCCACGATGCCTTTGCGTTGCCGATATGGGGTGCATCAGATCAACTTACTGCGCACCTTAAAGAACTCTGCAACCTGGTATCCGGCGACCAACTCCGTGTTCATCTCGGCTTGGACTCTGGATTTCGCAGAAACACCGATATCCGCTTCTGGAGTGTGTATCAGTTTGATTCAGAGGGGCTGGATGTGTTTGTTTCAAAGAACGTGCAAGGCTTGGCTGGAACAGTCCTTCACACGTTTTTGTCCGCCAAAGGTTGCCCACGCCATGTTTGCTTTGGAGCTGAGGCCGCTCTGGCGAAATGGTCGAAGGATGTTGTAGAAGATACCGGGTTGCCGCGCCGCCTGATGCGCGATATTGATGTTCTCAGCCCCGAGGAGCGACTCCTTTTGTTGCAGCATCTATCCTTGACCGATGCCGCGAGCGACTTGACAAAGGCTATCTGCGCCCATCTTCAATCACAACTTTTGGAAGGAACCTCCTTGATACAGCTCAAGCAGGTCAACACAATCTCGTACCTGGAAGGGTCTGCTTCGCCGGAGACACTCATCAATAGCCGTGTCAAGTGGTATCGAGACCAAGGGTGCGCCCACCCTTCGATTTCCGCCTCTATCGCGTTCTTCCGTGAGGTCGAGTATGTCTTTACTCAGATTCTCAAAGAGCGCCGTGAATCAGACCTTGAGCAGATTTCGAGCGCGCTTTCTCAGCTGGTACAAGCCGGACATATTGATGCCAATGTTGATATTCTGGCATTGTCGCTGTTCTGCGCTGCTAGGAAAGGTGCCATCGACGAGATCTACGAAGAGGTAACTGACCGTAACCCCTTGTTCAACCACCACTCAGATCAGGCTGCTGCATTCGCTGAATCTTTTGCTCTCGGGTCGCGCTGTGAAGCGTATTTTGATATCTCTCCCAGCGCGTTTGGCAAGTTGCTGTCGGATCGGTTCCGCAAGCATTACAAGAACGAGAAGCTTCCCAACTGGATCAATGGTGCTCCTGAGATGGCTACCTCGTACGCCGGCGCTCAGATTGACGTCAATCCCGGCGACAAGGTCAAGCCGATGCGCGGATATCAGCGTTTTACCTTCATGAGTGTTTTTGCCTTTCCAGCTCTGATTGATATTGTCCTCCTCACGCTCATCGGACGTGGGCTGTACCTCTCTGCCTTCATGACATTTGATGAGCAGAACAGTGCCACCACTGCATTGATGATTTCTCTAGTGCTGTCCGGTGGTGTCGGTACATGGATTGCCTGCGGCGGCCCGTACTATCTCATCTCTATGGCGTTTGCTGCCACAAACATGTTCATTCTCATCCGACTCATTGCCGGTCTCGCATTCACAGTGGCTGCTGGACTCATCGGGTTCGTCATCGTCTCCGGCGTGACTAGCCCTCGAGCTGGAATCGTGTTCTACCTCTACCTTGTCGCTCTCACGGCCTACTTCACCGGCTTCGCCTGTCTCGCCAGTTTCAGCTACCCGGGAACCTCGTTTTTGTCCGGTCGCAAAGTCATTTTCATGTGTATTCCTATTTTGTTCATCTCGCCTGTCGTTACGACCTTTGCAGGCCATGACTCTGCAATCTACCTCGCCGTCATCTACGTCTTCATTGGCGCTCTCATGGTGGGTCTGCGGAGCGTTTCTTCGAAATGGGTTACCTGGTATCAGAATATCAGGAGAACAGACGACACGGAAATCCGAAAGTGGTACATTGAGGTACATGGTGAAGGAGACGAGAAGGTCTTTGGAAACTTGAGTGACCCAGCAGTACTCAAGCTATCAAGAGAGGCACTTATGAAAGATGTTTCCACCGAGCTGAACCGGTGGTTCTTCCAGAAACCCAAGACTACCAGCACACTTGTTCTCGAGCTTGCACGGGATTGGGAAGCGACAAACTTCCTTCTCGATTGGTACTGTCGCTATGCTGATGTGCCTCGGCCGATCGCCTTCAGCTCCTCCTGGAACACACAAACAAAGGTCGCGCTCGAGTCACTTCGGGCCGCCCAGAAGGGCATCAGACTGCACAATGCCTTTATTCACTGGCGCCAGTCGAGCAGGGAAATTGGCTGCGGAGTGCTTTACTTTGTTGTTGCTCTTCTCGACAAGTGGGTGGAACTTCTTAGTGGTGGCCATCTCATTGGTCTTTCTGCTTCCCTGACAACTGCTTACCGCATGGCGGTTGGTTTCTCGTTGGCATACTATCTAATTGGCGCGGTGTTGATTGACACAAAAGCCCAAGAGCTACACACTTTGGTCGGAAGCCACACTCCCCTCGCTCTGCAAACCGCCAAGGATATCCGAAACTCGCAAAAGCGAGATGTCAAATTCAAGCGAAAGATCTATTGGAAGATATTCTTTAAGTTCCTCATGTGGCACTCATGGGGACTTGCATTCTCCACCGCTCTTGTGTGGACGTTCCAGGCACATATGGAAGCGATGATCATGTTTCTCGCGTACGTTGGGGCGTACACTGGTTTACTCTGGTACCAGTATACCAAGATCTTCACTGGACCTCATGCTTTGAAGCCTTTATTGACCGGGTCCCTCGTCGGTCTGCCCATCGGCATCGCGCTCAAACTCTGTTTCCCGCACTTTATGTATTCGCAGGTTATTGGTCTTGGGGCTGCGACATGGACAGTCGCTATTCTGTCTCTTATTCCAGCAAAGATGGGCATGCCGAAACGCGTTGACTCTCCCGTGGAGCTAGGCAAGACCTTCCATGCTTACACTGCACCGTGGGGCGACCCCGACTGGAGCCAGCAGGAACTGCAAACCTTCTACGAGAGCATCTCTCTTCTCCCCACAGATGCTCGTCTCAGGTTGGAGCCCGGGTCCCATCCTGGACTCGAAGTGAAACAGCTCATCCTCTCTCGGCGAAGGGAGCCCAGAATCGAAGAGGCCTTCCCGCATTCGCAAGAACTCGTTGACACGGCGCTCAAGGCCTGGGAAACAGGCGAGGTTCTGCTCGAGCTCGTCCCTCTTGGCTCGCTAGGCCCTAGTATTCATGCCTTGAGCTGCAGCTCGAGCGACCAGCTGACGATCGCCGTCGCCGTCGGAAGAGGCCTGAACCAGCGGATCGAGGTCAGCGCCAACTGTCAGGTCATTGCCGAGACTCTTCTTCACGCCGTTGCCGAATCCATTATGCAGATGCCCCATGAGCACGCCGTGCTTGCCGAGTCCCTCGTTGCGGCTGGCGTGACTGAAACCACAGCGCGACAGCTCCGCGATGAGTCCGATACGCCTCTTGTCGTGCGCTGGGCGAAGAAGGAACTCTTGCGCCAGCTATGTCTTGGCTTCGAGTGCGATGTTCACTGGGAGAAGCTGCCCAAGGCTATCAGAAAGGCGTTGCTGAGTCGCTGCCTGGGCGAGCGGTGTCAACTCTCGGAAAAACACTACCAGTGGCTCGAAGAGAGTATCTGCCAGTTCGACATTAAAGACCTTGCCATTCACATTGCGCGAAGCAATCTCGGGGCCGCCGCGGCCGTCAGTATCCTTGATTATGCGAATTATGGGACCGGTGAAGCTGGGGCACTCAAGGACGCCGAAACTCCTGCATACATCCCATACCTGCCCAAGCAGATCCCGGCGATGGCCTACTTTATTCTGAAGCCGTTGGTTTCCGTTTACTATGCGGTCGGCCAGGCTCTGAAGTTTGTGGTTGTGGCCCTCGTCGCCGACCCCGAGTTCCAGAGAGAATACAACCATATCATGAGCGCGTATCCCGCTGTTGTGCGAGTACCGGCTACCTTTGGCTTGAACATGGTCTGGAAGTATGCAAAGGCGGTGCAGGACCTTGGACTGTCTTTTTTCCTCTTCTACCGTCGAGACAACGTTAAGCAGATCTGGAACGAGACAAAAGGAATGACAATCAACATCAAGAAGAGCCGATATATCGTCCAAAGTCTCGATGGCACGTTCACTGCCTTCCGCCACAACCAGCCGGACGGAGGCTTCAAGGTGTTTTACTACGCTGGCACACCCAAGACAGAGCCCCAGGGAACAAAGGACCTCCGCGGTGTCAGCACATACTCAAAAGACCTCCTGCTTCTCATCCGCCAGGAGTACAAGCACGGGAATGTATTGAACGAATATCACTACGACTACCGCGCCCCGAGCAAGAAGACTCTGACACTCAAACTATCCGACTCGAAGATCCCCATGGGTCGTCGCTGTGTCCGCGGCGAGAACCAGCTCCAGAGCGTGCAGTACAATCGCAAGGGTCTTATTGAGGCCGGTTCCTACATGAAGGATGGCAATCTTGTCCGCTTCAAGTACCATTATAGGAAGAACCCGCGGTTTGGTGACGAGTTGCTTCGCGCGGAGTTTGCGCTCTCGCATATTACTTGTACCGTTTCGTGGTGTGCGCCGCCTCTGAGGCACCCCGAGAAGGTCGACCGGTGGATTCCTCATGCTAAGGTCACGGAAGCTACATTCGTGCAAGGGCCCGACGTCTACGAGGCGCGCTGGCTGTACGATCACAAGTTTCACCCGACTATTTTCACCACATTGAATGGGCAGAAACTGCAAACCCCGCCAATGATCGAGCACGATTACCTTGCTGTCCTTGCTAAACCTAGGTTTACAAGTTTTGTGCATGATAACCCGCTCTTCTACTGCGAGAGTTTGAACTCGAATATCTTCACGCGGTTCTTCAGGCTTACCAGAAAGCGATTTCCCGTCTCCACTTCTCGTGCTCGCTCGCTTATTTGGAAGGCTTGGAAGGACAGGGCTGACTTTGATGGCATCACCGTCCGCTGGATGGACGAGCGGCTTTTGCGAAGGGACAAGACTTTAGCACCATACTGGAGCTGTCGTGACCGTGGTGACCTTGCCTCTGCGAAAAAGTATCTCGAGCTACGTGCGGACAGTGTCACTGCCAGCGCGGACCTCGATGACAGCATCTCCAGCTGGACCCCATTAGCAGTGAAGATTAGCGATCTCTTCAACTTTGGCCCCGGTGGAGACGCCGTGGTAAACACACGATCGAAAGACTTCGGCTCTGACACTGAAAAGTCCTTGCACGTCATGGCGGCCGATAACGGTACCTGGCCAAACGAGGGAGGTGGTGTGTCCGCGTGTCGACGAGACATGATCAACTCTCTCCGCACGATCAAATGGCATATGATTTGCGAGTCGGCCAATGATTTCGGCGTCCCCAAACATCAAACGGAGCAGAACATTCTTTCCCTCAAGGTGATTCCCCTCTGGGGCATGGACTTCCTAACACCAACCCACGGCCTGTTCAGAAACAAGCTCGACTCCGAGGTGGAGAGCGTCACGTCCGCGAATGACATGGATATCAAGATGAACTTCATCCCGATCCTGACAGCCCTAGTCAAGGCCGCTCGTGCTGTCCATCTTTCCAAGGCGGATATTCGTCAAGCTACCAGAGCTCTGGTCAACTTGAACACATTTTTTCAGGAGTCACGACACTGGACACAAATCTGGAACAGCAGTATTGTCAAGGAGAGCTGGCGCGAACTGTGGCTTACACAGGAGATGCCCAACACTGTTCCCTCGCAGGACTGGTTCGATACGGAGTTGCCGACCCTCGGGACACTCGATGTTGCGCTGGAGCTGTGGTACCGCTACCTGTTTATCTTCTCGATTCCCATTCCGGAGAAGATCCCCAGTGTGTTTCAAGCATCGCATCACAGCGTGAGCGCCTCTTATGGAGTTGTCTGCAAGATGAAGAGAAACTGTACGTTGCAGATCTGGGATCATGCCATTGCTTGGCGTGAGACTAATCTCTGTCTCTCGTCTGCGCTCTGCAAGCTTTCGCCTTTCGTTCGGAATGCACTGCTTGGATTGATGCGAGTCACGTCTGCTCTTACGCTGTATCATGCTGATATCGTCTCGCCATGTGCTGATTTCTTCAACCCAGGGTGGGAGGTGGAGATAGGAACGTGCCAGGGCGCAATCGAGCATCGCAACATCTTCCGCCGCAAAGTCGACCCCGTTGTCAATGGTATCACCGACATGCAAAAGTTCGCTCCGGTCAAGGAGATCAAGTCCGAACGCCCTACTGTCACGATGTTGTCCCACGTCTGGTATGCCAAGGACATCAAGACGGCTCTTCTCGCCGCGGACATCATCATCAACCAGTGGAAGTTCGATGACTTTACGCTCGACATCTACGGCGCTATTGACAAAGCTCCAACATATTCCACCGAGTGCCAGGAGATCATTGCCTCCAAGGGCCTCCGAGGAAGAGCCACCCTGCGCGGCACAGCAGACCCCATGAAAGTGCTTGAAAACACTTGGCTCTTCCTCAATTCCTCCCTCTCCGAGGGTCTTCCGCTTGCCCTCGGAGAAGCAGCCCTAACCGGCGCTCCCGTTGTCTGTACTGACGTCGGTGCCTCTCTCCGGGTCCTTAGTGACCCCGATGACTTCTCTCGCTTCAGCGCCGTCGTCGCCCCCAACGACGCGCTCGCCCTCGCTCGCGCCCAAATCTCGATGCTTGCCCTCATTGGTGAATGGGCCCCCTACGCCTCCGACGCTGATACTCCGCACCTAATCCCAACCCTACCTTCCTCCCCTACCCCCGCCGACGTCGAAGCTATCACAGCCCGCATGTACACCCAAGCCGAACAGCGCCGCAAGCTCGGCATGATGACCCGTAGAATCGTCCAAAAGTCCTTCTCGGGCGACCGCTACCTCCGTGAACACGAGCAAATGCTCTGGATTGGCAAGTCCGCGAAACTCATGGCCTCCCGTCTCCCTGGCATGCACAACGAACCCGTCGACCTCGCCACAGCCATCGAGCAGACCCTTCCCATCGAGGAAGAGGTCATCACCATCCCTCGCTCGGCCGTGCACTCGTGGCGCTCCTCTGCGATATCTGGTATGTCGACCCTTTATAGCTCAGCAAACAACCCCACATCCACCCTCAACAACCAATACTCGGCCTACAACAACGGCACCGGCAACGGACACGGTAACAATAACAACCGCCACAGCCACGGCTACAGCATCACTCAGCGGCCCTCCTCTCTCTACTCCACCTTCTCCAACGCCTCCACAGACGCGTCCTCCTTCCTACCCCTACCAAACTCCCCCCTCCCCGTCTTCGCACCCCGCCAATCCTTCCACTCACCTGCCACTCCCGGCGCCCGCGACCACCACCGTCGCTCAAACTCTGGGCGGCTATCACCCATGCTTGGTCGCCACGGCGCCGCAGCGGGCAACACTGGGGCTGGGGCCGGCCCCGGGGCCGCAGCAGGGCGAAGGTCACGCTCTGCCAGTCTTTCGACGGGGGGTCGTGAACAACTTCGCGGGCTACAAAGGGAGGATCTTCAGCAGTATCGCAATTCCGACGTTAGCACCATCATGAGGGAGGAGTTTTGGCAGGCTCAGGCGGGGAGTGCCAGGGCGAGTGCTAGTGGGAGTGCTGGGAGTGCTGGGGGCGCTTGATCGAATCACTCTCTTTATTATTTTGAATTAGCATGCGTATCTTCCTTTTGTTTGTCATGATTCTTCTCTCTATCATTTGATTCCCTTTTTTGTTGAATAATCATAGCGTACTCCAGATACAGCGCAGCTTGGGTCTATTTTCCTCTACTGAGGTGATACAGTGTTTAGAATGCCTGTCTATCGATCTTATCTATATATTATTTAGTCCATATTTATTGAACAAAACTTACCACTCCAAAGCTCTGCATAGTAGGACTGAGAAAGGAAGCCTAGCCATGTTGAGTGATCTTTCTATCTTCCTCAATAGAGCACGTATGCTCTACTAATCTATATATATATAAGCCTTTGGTCCGTGGCAATTGCGTAGCGCAGCAACACGGGAAGGAACTTGGAACTACCTGGGTCGCAGCTGCCCCTTCGTGGGAAGGCATATTATTTGCGAAAAAGGAAGGCACGATGGAGGACACAGGTTGGGAAGGAGCGACAGAACCGGGTCGTACCTGCCTCAGGAAGCGAAGATACCGCTGGGGAAGGCACGATGGAGAGACGTCTCAAAACCGGAAGGAGCGATCATCTCTTGCTGGTCGCACCTTCCCATCTATTCAGAAACACGCCTTCCTTTACAAGGAGAATTGCCTTTCGCGGGAAGTTGCGACGGGATTGGTGGTGCTCGGTCGCCCCTTCCGGACAGCTACTCTCTCTCGATTATGCATCGAGGACATTCTTTATAGACATAATCTCGGCCCCGCATTGAGCTCAGGCAAGAAAGTCAAGAAATATTCCTGATCGTTTTAGAGGAGAAAGCACTGCTGCCGAGAAAACACAATTAATCTGGAGAGCATGGCCCAAATCATGCATGCCATCGCGAATGCTGTACCCCAAACTGGAAAATCATGCGACGGCCGTTGTCCCCAGATTCGAATGGGGTTGCGCTGCTATTACTGCTGCAGATTGCGGGTGCACTGTTGCGGACATGGGAGAGATAGAAGGGGAAACTGGAGGCTCCGGAGGGACTCCGAGTGTGTGCGGCACTAGATTTCCTCTGTCCGAGGTGACACAGACAAGAGAATCATTTAAAGAGACAGGAGACTAAGTTGAGGAAGGGCCCCGCTCTTAGAAAACAGGGCATGCATACAAAAAATGGCAGCAAAAGGCTTAGCATGCCCTGTCGAATGATACTCTCTAGCGGTAGGCTTATCATTTCTGGTTAGCGCTCCTGTTCACCGAAGCTACTCCCATCTCTTGGCTCTCCCCCAAGCCCAGTGGGACAGGCGTGCTTACGCCTTCCTCTTTTGGAGGCGGAGTTTTCCCCCGGATCTTGCGTCCTTGTGGCTCCGATTCGACTCTGAAGATGGAAGTTTCGCATCGAAAAGGCTTCAACACCAGTGACGTTATGACCATCAAATGATCTGGCGAGGGATATGGCAGACTTGATTTCCGCGTCGAATGCTGAGAATGATGCGCGGTCGGCGCCAAAGTTCACGCGGTGCAGGACGGGGTGCTTGCGGTGTCGGAAGAGAAGGAGGAAATGTGAGTGCTCTCGACTTCTATACAATGACAACGATTGATAGAAAAATCGATCGCTAATGCGAGCTTGTTCTTCGAACAGGCGATGAGCGCAAACCTCGCTGCCAGAACTGCATCGATAAGAACTTCGACTGCAACTACGGCATGCAAGTGACGTTTCTACCCAAGAACTCCATCACACTGAGCGCGAGAGAACTCAAAAGCGCAGAGGCGGATCACGATAGGAAAGAGAGCTATGGCAAGATACAGTTCATCAACGAAGACCCCCTCGCCATCGACAGTCTCGCCGGCACCTCCTTCGAGGAATCCGGTTCGATTCTCCGGTCGCATTCGCCGGCGTCTAGCGTCTCAGTCTTGAGCACACCCATATCTCCCCTACAAGCACCTGATCGACGGAGGGCAAGCAGTGCAGAAGATAGGGAGCCCTCACACTCAATTTCGACTCCGACCGTAACCCCATGGGCCCTCACCAATCTCATAAACAACCCAACGCCCCCAGTAACCCTCGAACCACCCATTCCGCAGTCGACATTCAGCGCAAAGGACGAATTCGCTGTGCGCGGCCTCCTCGCACTAGGAACCCTGTCCGGCTCGGAGTCGATATCCGCGTCTGCCTCTGCCTCTGCCTCTGCGGGTACGGACCATGATCTCGCTTTGGGAGCTGCATCGCGCTCACCACCTCCTTTGCCGGCGAATACACCGGGCAGGACGATACCTGGGGATGAGATCTCACCTGGGTTTATTGATGGGATACTAGGGATCTCGTCCACAGCTGTACCTGCGTCAGCGCCGCAACCTGCGGCCCATCAACCGTCTCCATTGGGCTTTGATGTGGAGGTGCATGGTCATAGTCATGGCCATAATCAGGGCAATAGCTATGCCCAAAGTTACAGCTATAACAATACTCATGAAGCTGGGGGCGCGAGTAGAAATCCAAGCTCAGAAACGTGGAAGATGAAACTCCTCCAGCATTACCGGTACAATGTTGCTCCCTGGGTGCGTCCCCCCTCTGCTGCCCTTACAGTTCCTATTCGAAACGACCCAGCACAGTCAAAGTCATATACTGACCGACTCGCCAGCTCGATATCTGCGATCTAACACATTCCTTCGGTATAACAGCGCTTCAAATGGCCGTCTCCGCAGAAGACAGACTTCTTCCCGCCCTCCTTGCCCTCTCCGAAGCCTCCGTATACTCATCCCGATCCCACGGCGTCGGTCCCGGTTTGGGACGCGGATTCCAAGCTGTGCATTTTGACGATACGACTACGCCTTTACTATCTGATCATATAATCTCAAACTCGCGCCCACATGCGCATTCGCCTGGTCCTCACGGATTCGACATACATTCAAATCACCTTCATACAGAAACGGTTCTCCTGCGAGTTCTACAAGATTTGCGGGAACTCGTTTCGGATGTTGCGCAGACGTGGGCGAAAGCAAACGCTGACGGCGCAGATAGCTACAGGCCGTTGGAATTGCTGGCCCATTCTGCGTATGGAATTGGTCTAGAGGCTGCTATGTATTGGATGTTCTTGCGGATGGGTAAGTTCACTTGGCTTGATGGGTGATAATAATATGTTGCCAATGGGCTCCAAGCTGACTGTGCGTAGAACTAGGGAAATCCCTAGCGAACAATATTCCCCTCGGCTTACCTCTTCCTTCCCATCCAATTCCAAGTCTAGTATTGCTTTGTCGCACGGAAAACACGCATTCCCGTGTCGGCCACTACGCCCAGGTTCTCCTGTGGCTTTGCGGAAAGGCACTGACATGCTATTACCGCAATCAAGACGAGGACCACGCGTCTTCATCAGAGTCAAATTCCTGGCTGCAAGTCTTCGACGAACTAACCCAATGGCACTATCTCCGCCCGCAGGAATTCCAACCAATGGTCGAACTGGGCACGGACGAAACAAGCCTAAACCCGGAGAGCGAATTTCCCATGCTCCTCTTCACGAACGGCGCGGGTGCCCTGTGTAACCAGCTCTACCACACTGCGATGCTGTACATGCTTGAGTGTAAGCCGCGCACAGCGCTGATAGGTAACCAGCACTCGCCTGTGCTGTCACCCCTCTGGCATGCGCAGCGTGTCTGCGGTGTTGCGTTGAATAATGACAGAAGGCAGTGGTGGGATCCGTGTCTGCTTGCATCGTTTCTGGTTGCTGCGAGGCATATGACGCACGAGTCACAGCGGCGCGAGATAGTGGATGGGATTGCGCGGGTTCAGGTGCTCACTGGTTGGGGTGTTGGTGAGTATTTAACACAGCTACGCGAGGAGTGGGCATTTCTTGATGGGGTTGAGTGAATCATCCCTTCACTCGTATGCCGGATCATCCCACAGCGACATGCTGGTGCTCCATCGGGGTCGACGGAAAATGCTGCTGTCCGCCCTGAGAATGTGAGCTCGTCTCCCGTCGCGTACTATATCCCCATGCAACCTCCAGGTCGCGTATTCGCCAAACAGCACCCCACCCTGTTTCGGCCTCAATGTCACGAATAATCTTGACAATCTGTTCATGCTCCGAGGCATGGCTGAATAACCGCCCCGCAATCCAGAGCGGCTGGATTGCATTGTTAAGGCATCCCTGGTGTTTATTACTCGTGGAGATCCCGCATATCCTCCGTGCATGCCAAAGCAGGGACAGCGTTGGAGACCGCGGGAGGTGTAAGCCCCTAGGCATCATTTTGAGCAGCAGAATGCAAGCCGTGTGATAGAGCTGGTTCGAGGAGATCGCTGCCCAATGTACGAAGAGGATGTGCGGGAATGGCTTGCGGGCAATGGTTTGCACGGGAAGGAGCTCGGCAGGACGCTCGGCGAGCCAGGTCTGCAGGTTGTTCCAGAGCGTGGACCAGCGATTGTTGAAGACTTCCGTCGTGCAGCCGTTATCTTCGCCAAGTTCGACATATTTGGTGCGGTTGGAGACGAGCTCCGTGGTTTTGACCGAGAGATATACCGCGTAATTCGCGTGCATGTCTGGTGATCGGGCTTCTGAAAACAATTTGTATGCATCTTCTTCGCGGCAACCCATGGGAAGCCATTTGGAAGGGTGTAGGGTCGTTGTCCGGGTTCCGTCTGAGATGAGAGCTCCGCAGAGGTCTAGACAACAATTAGCTTCCACCTACTCATGTACCCGATACTCAGTAGGGACGATAACATACCCATCCTAGCATAACACCAGAAGACAGCCTGCAGCAACCCACCGCAAAACCCATGGATGCCACTTGCTTCAAACAGCGCAGCGCAGCCCTCCAAATGCCGATGCCAGTCTTGCGCCCGGGCAGACATCATCTCCAAACAGCAGAGCAGGACACACGCGGCAACGATCTTCGGATCGCGAACTTGCAGTAGCGGCGATAACAGCCGGATAGCCTCCTGGTATAGCTCTAGACTGTCATACCAGTCTTGTGTCCCAGATCCGGATTTCCGCTCCATTTGTCGGGCGGATATGGCGAGGATTGCGTATAGAAGGGCGGGAAAAGAGTGCGAGAGGGTAGGAATCTGTTGGGCGAATGTACAATGCGAATCAAACATATCGAGCTGGATCCATCATTGCATTAGTAAGGACAATCCAGACTTTCCCGATAGATTCTTGTAGAAGTCAAGGAAAACGTACCCAAGGCGCAATCTCGGCAACATAGTTCTTCAGATACTCGATTCTCCTCCGCGACGATAATGGCGATCGAGGAACTACGTCCCTGCCTGATCTCCTCCTTTGATCTCTGGAATAGTGTGGTTGCTGGTACTGATATACAGCCGGCGATGTTGTGGTTGATGTCTTTCCAAGCTCAGGACTACTCGCTCTCGTGGGCGCCGCCGAGTTTGCGAGGGTGAAAAGGATTGCGCGGAGTTCTTCCTGCGATGCTAGAAAGCCAGGGTCTTGCGAGAATCCATCCTGATACCAGCTTCCGTTGAGGCTAGCTGTTGAAGGCGAGGGGCCAGTGAGTGGTTCTGGCGCGGGAGCAGGGGTCTGAATCTGGGGTCCAGGGGAGGTGTAGGTCTGATCTGGATTGGGTGCGTGAGACTGCCATCCTTGGGCATCGTCATTTTCAGTCTCTGCTGTCTCCGGTTGCGGTTCGGCTGTTGGCTCGGTTGATGGCGGCTGCGTGTCGTCGAAGGATCGAGATCGAGAGTGAGAGGAGTAATGTTGCTCAAGTCGAGGCCGCTTCGGAGGCGGCTCAAGCCCGAACATGCTTATCGAATCGTGGATCTGCTCGATCGAAAGAAGAAAGCGCACTGTGGAACTTGCGGGCAGCTGCCGGCTCAGACTCTGCAAAAGCAAGATATCCTTAGTCATCGCAAATCTCGCGATCTCCGCACTTTCCTCCTCCGTTTTTCTTTTGGTTGAATCTCGCCGGCTAAATTTCCCGAATCAGAAGCAGATCACACAACCCGTGGACGCCCTCTTGCCTCGGAGAACCCCCGAGTTACATTCCTCCATCTCTCCATGTTTCACTCCCACGGGCGATGTGAACTCTCTTGTTCCGCGTTGGGGAAACTCCGACATTGATCATCATCTGATCACTCGAAACCCAGGCTGTGGTTCGCTGCGAAAGATACGATGTGGGGAGCCTGCGCGCTTTTCCGGGGTACACAAGGCACGCACCCGAGGGCTCGTACCCGTCGCAATTTTCCTACTGGAACACTGTTAGGGAACAGAAAGACAGTGGCTGATTGGGCGTGCCGATCTACGCCTGTTCCCCCCAGTGTTTCCTGGTTTCATCCAGTAACAGGAAGTCCCTGGGTGGCGTTATGCGGAGTGCGGAGATGCGGAGGCGATCCTGGGGAAAAGATGGGAAACGTTGGCTCGAGATGCTGTTTTCGGCCAATTCTGAGTCTGAATCTGGGGTAGCCGTCGGTTAGGCATGATTCATGTTGCCCTCGTCATCATCTGTTCTTTTGGAAAGGCTTTTGAGGGGGAAAAGTCTCGGGTTGAGGGAAAGGGTAGGTATAAAAAGCTTAGCGTTCCTCTCTCTGGTTTGATCTTTCCCTCTCCACTGCGTGAGGGTTGTACACGCCTTACCTTTCTTTTTCTCTCGTTATCCTCCCTTCCTCACAGACCGCAGAGTTCATTGAGTGTACTGTGTACCTCGGACTGAGATCATGGCGAAACTCAACATATTCGGCACAGGCCGTTCGCTGCAAGCGGCCATCTGGGCGGCCTGTGGAATGGCCTTCATTCTCTTCGGTATGGTCCGCGCTTCCTATTGCTCATGGGTAATCTCCTAACGAGGCCACAGGCTACGATCAAGGCGTCTTCTCCGGCATTGTCGAAAATGAGAACTTCCTCGAGCATATGTCCCACCCCAACGACAGTCTCATGGGTATCATTGTCTCGATTTACAACCTCGGCTGCTTTACCGGATGCGTGATCAATTTCATGATTGCGGATAAACTAGGCCGCCGCCGTGCTATGTGGGTTGCTATGGTCTGGGTCATTGTATGCTTCCCTTCCAATCTCAGCTATTGAGCACAAGCCCGAAGCGCGACTTGACATAACTACCTTGTTTGGCTAAGCACTAACACTATATGTGGTAGATCGGAGCAACCCTCCAGACATCCGCCTACAGCGTTCCCCACATGATGGTCGGCCGGTTCGTCACTGGTATTGGAACAGGCATCGAGACATCGACTGTCCCAATGTGGCAAGCCGAGCTGTGCGAGGCATCGAAGCGCGGAAAGCTAGTTTGCAGTGAGCCGCTGCTTGTTGGAGTCGGAATCGTTATCAGGTGAGCTCACCTATCTTCCCAAGTCTAGACGTCCGTCTCCAGGATTAAGATCTGATTTTCCTTCTTGTATAGTTACTTCTTCGACTACGGAATGAGCTTCGTCGGCGGCCAGATTGCCTGGCGACTTCCCATCGCCTGCCAGATGCTGTTTGCCTTCGTACGTTCTTCTACTCTCACCCCTACTTTCGCGCCCTGCCGAAGTCTCATGCAATTTCTCACTGTGTTTGTGTAGGTTGTGATTTTCCTCGTCTTTGGCGTCCCCGAATCTCCCCGGTACTGCTACCAAAAAGGCCGGAACGAAGAAGCCCTTCAGATTCTGAGTGACGTCTACGGCGTACCAAAAGACGACCCTAAGATCCAGGCGGAACAGACAGAAATTTTGGATGCGCTTGCAATCGAGATGAAGCATGGCGAGTACAAGTGGAGGAATATTATGAAGAGGGACGAGGTCGCCACTGGGAGAAGGGTGTATGTCTCCCATTTCTCTCTCTAACTATGAGGCTTTCTATAGGGGCGGTGGTTGACTAATTGATTGATTACAGGCTTCTCGGCTACGGAATGCAATTCATGAACCAAGTCGGTGGTATCAATCTCATTGTGTACGTCTCGGCCCTACCTCTCTCCCACAATTCAATTAGCGACTAACAAACGCAGCTACTTCATTCCAACCGTCCTAAGCAACAACGTCGGCTTAAGCCACAACCTATCCATGATCATCGGCGGTTGCGTGCAAATCATGTTTGTCCTCGGCAGTTTCTTCCCAACCTTTTTCGTCGACCGTGTCGGCCGCCGCGCTCCCATGATTTGGGGCTCGCTGACGCTAGGCATCTGCATGATGATGGTCGCTATCCTGCTCAGCTTCAAGGGCAAAGAAAACGAGCATGCAGCGTCTTCAGCCTCCATTGCCTTCTTCTTCGTCTATATGTTTGCCTTCGGCGCGTCGGTGAACTGCATTCCCTGGGTCTATGTGCCGGAGATCCTGCCTCTGCATGCGCGCGCAAAGGGAACAGCTGTGGGGATCTCTTCGAATTGGATATGGGTAAGTCGTGCTTTCCTAAGTTTCGTGCTCATCTTACCAGATGAAAGACGAGGTCACGGTAAAGGAGAGTATGCTGACTGCGCTAGAACTTCTTTGTTGTCATGATCACCCCCGTGATCATCAACCGGCTGCAGTGGAAGGCATATCTCATCTTCATGTGTACGAACCTTGCCTTCATCCCGCTAGTCTACTTCTGCTATCCCGAGACGGCCAATCTCACTCTCGAGGAGATCGATTACCTCTTTACGAACAAGGAAGAGGGTGCTGTGAAGCTTTCCAAGCAGTTGCACAAGGAGCGCAAGAAGTACGGGCATACTCGCCGGCTTACGGCTGACAACATGGGCGGGGTCTTGGGCAAAGGCGATGAGGCTGCTGAAAAGTCGCCCACTGATGAGCACGTCGAGAAGGTTGAGGGGGTTTAGACAGCGGAATAGTGAGCGGGGCAAGGGACCTTCCAGTGCTGAGCACAGGCCTCCGGAGTCCGTGACGCCGGCCCCTTTGTGAGCGGTCTCTAATCTTGAAATCGCTAGTTGCAACGTCCGCAGGTCGGCTTTGAGCTGTGGCGTCTAGAGAGTTTAACGTACAAAGTATGATCTGTGAGGTCATCCGTATAGAACATTAAAGCGATATGAGCAACCGAGCTGCGATATTTCCTTACCTTTGCCTTTCATCAAGATCGCATTCACTGTACAAAGGCCAACGGGGGTTGCCACCTCGAATTCGCCCCGTTCCAGGTTCCGGAGTTGTTCGGCGGGGGTTCGCATCACGACTGGGCTCTAGCAAGGTCCTTTGTTCAGCGAGGCTTCGAAAACACTGACAATGGCGTGAGCCCTGCATCTTCTCCCCACGTCTGATAAGTAGGTAGTTGATAACATCCTGATTGAAAGATATGCTTCATTCGGAGGTTGCGGGTTCTTGTGGTTCTGCTCTTTCTCCTACGGAGTAGACTGATGACTCTCAGTAGGATCCACTCATGCTGTTCAGCGTTTACCATATATTGCCTAGAACAAGGTAAGCGTCATCCGACCTCAACAGTCATCCTGGGATCTGGGTGCTCGATCCGCTTCAGCAACTGGCGGTGTGCTGAAAGAGGCTTGGAGAACTTGAATTCGGATCTCCATCAGTTGGAGATTGAACGCCCGTTGGGTCTCACTATCATCAATGAACAGGAGACCGGGTAGTGATTTCAAAGCAGTCTCGATCCTGGGTGGTTGATCGCACATCACCAACGCTGCCACTTTTCCTGATCCGGCGAGGCGGGTAAAGGGGGCGAAGGCTCCATGAAAGCAAAAAAGAAAAAAGAAAGGGAAACAGGCGCTGGGCAGGAGGAGGAACCCTCGTTCAAATCCCGGGCCACCAGAATTTTGACAGGAGATGACTGCAGACCCAAAAATTCGACCTGTCACATTTCCGAAAAGATGGCGGTTCTCAACTTCTCAGAGGACTGCTGTCGCTTAGCGTGAGAAATGGGTCTTCTTGACACCCTGCACTTGGCGCAGCCAATTTGGAATTTACAGCATCAACTTTGGGAACCTGATACTTTCCTCATTCCTTGGTCGAGTTGCCAGACCGTCTCGTATAATGCAGCTTCGGACCCAGGCTGAAGCTGGGATGGTGTGAGTTGCGAGCGCGAATCGTCGGGGAAAAATGATGTCCCGCATCGAGTCTTCACTCGCCTCTTGTTCGCACCATCGCGGACTCCGTAAGCAAGTTCCGGAAATGGAGACAGGATCTGATGCCGAAGTGGTCAGCTCCACATCATTTATGTATCGAATTTCATATCACAGCCGCGTCGGACAACACCGGCCGGCCTGCGTGACAGCGACCATGCATCATCCCAAGGTCAGAAGCCAAGACCTGAGAAATATACTGATCGACGCCCAGTTAGTGGAGCCACCCGAGGAATCAGCTGGACTGTTACCCCAGACCTTGTTAGAGTTCAGCTTTGCTCACCTTAGGACCCGTGCTGCATGCAGGCCGCTTCAATCGTGGAGACCACATTGAACATCAACAGCGTTCGTCGCGTTTCAGAGCTGGAGAAATTCCAAAAGCAACGGAAATCAGAGAGCTCTGGCATGCATTGTTCCGAGAGGATTTGGTGCAATATCTTGTGCGCAGGACTGGCATGCGATCGACAGTAGAGATAGGCTGTTGTCTTAGTCCGAGGGGACGACCGACAATGCTGTCGCAAGAATGTGATCGCGCCTTGCAGAACCAGGCTACCGGCTGAGAAAAGATTCACAACAGAGGGCAACCCCCAGGTTCAGCAGAGCCGTCTCAGCTGTCTCCGAGGGACCGGAACCCAAATTCAATATACAGATAGTTTAATGCAGGATTGAACACTCAAAAAAAAGCTCCAGGGATAAACCATGCCTGTGGGAAAGAAGTTGATAGGCCTCGCGAACAGTGGCGCCCCTGCGCAAGCCTCTCCCTGCAAGATACCAGCGGGATGGCATTTTACTGGTGGGTTCATCGAATCGTGACTGGTATGAACTGGGGACCCTCTGTCGCTTACGCTACTATTGGGTAGCGCTAGATAGCATGACCGTGACAACATTTTGATCGATCTAGCGAAAGAAAGGAGCCGAGACTACAAACTGCGATGGTAGGAACGCGGCGGCACATGGGGGCCGATGGCACACTAGTATCGCTAGGTGCAAAGACTGTAGCTCGTTGGCCTATTATCCTATATACATCATCAGCTAGCAGTCACCAGGCTGGGTCTAACTTGTCTTCGCGGAGCTGAATCAAGATGAGGCGGAATAGATCTTTTCACAATCGCGGGCGCAAGAACCAGTCACATCTGCATCTCCTGGTTACTGGTATGCTCTTGGGTTCTCTGCCGATGACTGAATTCACATCGAATGTCGCACAAACGGTTTTTGGGGCATGCATTTTCCTGTGGGCGGCCAAATTAACGATGTAAATTAATATTTTTGATTTCCCTTGTTGACTTATTGCTTTTCCGGATGGCTTTCGAGCCCGTAATCATCAAGGTTTGGGATGTGCCACACATATCTATCACGCCTTGAGTCGACCCACCTGCCTTTTTATGGAATGCAAGTCATTGACGGGAAGATCCGAACAATCCGAATAAGACCTGGCGCCAACATGACATGTTTGATAACAGGGGGCTCGGGGAATGGGGGAGGCACGGGAGGCGTGGGCATGCGATTGTTCTTTGGATGCATTGAATCCAGACTAACCCAAGAGCAACCCCAATCGATCGGTCCAAGCTAATTTGAAGATCTCCCGGGACCACTTGAAAGGATTTGGATGCATTCCCACCGCCGGCCCCAGGTTATTTAGCCCAAGCCGATCTATATAAGGAGGGGGCCCCAGACAGATTTAAGCTCACCAGCCGAAACGCACTCAGAACCCATTGATCCTTCATTTCTTCCTGTAAAATGTTAGCCATGTTCGACCATCCTTCTCTCGATAAGCAAGCCACTCAGCCTACCAAGAAAATTCAACCAGTGTGCGCTGTGAAACCGCTCTGCCACAAGCTGGGCAATGACATGACAGTGAGTTTATCCAACTCACACCAACGCCTCAAACCATCTCTAAAATCGTATCTCATCATAGATGCCCGGCGTCCGCTGCCCATCATGTCAAAGAACCGGCAAAGAGACCTGGGTAATTCCAGGGAAATACTGTCACATCTGCGGGACTCCGTGTTGAAATCGCAAACTGTACGGCATTCGAATCCTAAGAAAGACCGTTGCATGAGCATCATCAACTAACAAGAGTGCGCGCAGGTATTTTTTAGATGATGATAACGAAATTATACCCTCCCCAACCTAATCTGATCCCACGCCGGGAGCAAACCACGACGAACTGCTTCGAGGGACAGGCAGCGCAATGTCCTTCCCATATTTGCCTTTTCAACGTACGCTCAACGCAGAACGCGGGACGACAACACGAACAAGGCAAGAAGGGCAACCACCGTCCGCCCACCCTCATCGAAGAACCCTCGCATCTGGCGAGTGACGGAAAAACATGGGGGAACAATGTACCATATAATGACAACGGGAAAAAGCTGGGCCAGCGATGTACCATAGGCGATCATATGAGAAGTCCAAATTCCTGAGATCTGGCAGGTAATGAGAGAGAGAAACAGAGGAGAAAAATGCTCGGGTTCTTGCAGAAGATTGATTGATCTCCCCCATCAAACTACATTCTTTCCTAATTGGGATAGCTATTTTCTGCCTAATTTTCAGGGCAGCAAGAAAGCTCACGTGATACTATGCGAGCCTGAGGCAGAAAGACGGCAGTGCCTGAATCTTGACGTCATCGTCAACCTCTCACCCCCGCCATTCACATCCTCCGCATTTCTCATCCCCAATTTTGACGGCTTCACGATATCTCGACTCAAAATCACAGCCAGACCTATAAAATATGGCAGAGACATATCCTATTGGAACCCGCAGCGAGTGCGAGCGCCTCGTCAAGGACTGGGGCTTCCGCCACGTCTTCACTTGGACAGATGGTAGGTAAGTGCATAGTAAGCTGATGAACCGGGTGCAAACCCGTTACTGTCATTTCATGTTATGTTCTCAGCGCCATGCTGATATGAAGTACAGCAACGCATACTACCCACCACACACGCATGGCGGGCCGACAACGCATCTTATCCGGCGGGGAACGCTCACAATTACGTACCCGGACGATAACGCCAGATTGCATAATGGGGAGGTCGTGAAGGAGACATTCGGAGTTGGTGCGAGGGTCGATGTCCCGGCTAATAAGCGGCACGAGGTTTGGATTGGGGAGGAGGGGTGTGAGTATGTGATTGGAGAGTGAATGATTGGTTTGATTAGCGAGACATCTTGCGTTTCATTTCGGATCTTGAGCAGCCCAGCAGCCTTGGCGAGGTACGCTGGACTCGGTCGCGTCAATATACATTGAGATGTTTCTCTCCAAGAACGTTTCTAGAGCTCTATACAACGAGTCTATCTAGGTTTTTGGGGGTGCTTAATGAGTGAACCGGAAGTCAAGTCTAGAAAGGCGATTAGCAGGGCTCCGGTGACTACATCTCTTGGGTAAGCGTACCTTTTGTTGCCCTTACGGGCATTCGCAGCCAAGTAAGCTTCACGCTCAGCACTCGACATCTTATCCCAGATCGCTGCATTTTGCCTGTCGATAATGTCAATGTATGAAACTAATCAAGCTTGATGAAGTGCACATACTTGTTACGTCGAACATAGTACCATTTGGCAAAAACGAAGAGAACCAAGCTCCACGCGGCCAAGGCTATCAACACCCGGTTACCCACGCGATAGTATGGCTTGTCATGTTCGCGATAAATCTGAGCATATATATCAGCACGCAAACACGAAAGAAGCAACGGACAGCAACCTACATTGTTGCCGATGATGTTGGACACCTGGACCATCATGTTGTATAGAGCACTAGCGACTGTCCGCGTAGCCACTGACCCGGCATTTCTGGATGTCATGGCGACGACAATGGCGTGCACATAAGGAGCCCCGATAAGGATCACATTGAGAATCCACAGCACCCACGGACTAGTACCATCTGGAAGGACGGCAAGGGCGATAAGTGGCACCAGGCACCAGACTTCGGCCACGATACCAAGTAGGAAACGCTGATCGATCTTCTCGGAAACCCAGGTCCAAAACAAGAGGTTAAAAATAAATAGAGCGTATGCAGGGATGGTCATCAGGTTGGTTTGGAATGTGTCGAAGCCCAACGCCTTTAGTTGCAGGGTGAGATAACTGGTTGCTGGTGTATTCGGGATCATCCATGTCAAACCAAGCAAGTAAATTGGCCACATGTCATAGTCCTTCAAAGCCTCCCAGAGCATCTTGGGGGCGACTGCTTGTCGGTTATGCATGGTTCCCTTGCTGGGATCATCTCGAATGATGCGGTTGACCAAGATCTTCTCCTCATGCTCGTTGAACCATCCATCTTTTCCTCTCAAAATACCTTTTGTTTGTGTTGGTGACGGGGGCATCCAAAAAGCGGCGATAATGCCGATAACACCAGTTATCAGACCTTCGTAGGCGAACAGATAACGCCATCCCCCAGTTCCATCATCCCGTCTGATGCGAAGGAAACCGTATGCAAGGAACGCACCAATGATAGCAGTCCCTTGGAAAGAAACCCAAAAAAAGCTCAAGCGGATCGGCAGCTCCTTTGATTTGTACCAAAAAGAGAGGAACAGGATCGTATCAGGAATGAATCCACCTTCAAACAGGCCAAGGAGTGCCCTGCAGACGTAGTATGTACTCCGATTCGTAAGAAACGCCTGGCATGCCGCGATCAAACTCCAGGAGACCATCTGTATGGGAATCCATCGGTCCGGCCCAAGTTTCTTTGATATAAGCTGGGACGGAAGCTCCGCGAAGAGGAAGGCGCAGTAGAAGATAGTTTGCCCGGTGTTGTAATCATTGGTGTTCATCCCGAGATCCACAAGCATGTTATCGGACAGGGCTTGCACGATGTTACCGCGATCGAGCTGTAGCGCAAAAAAGGTGATGCATGCGAAGGTGCAGACTCGCCAATCAACCTAATTATTTCCAATTTAGCGTCTGCTATGACTGGCTCGGGGTTGCAACAGAAATACCTTTCTGATGAGTCGTTTCTCTTCTTCCGGTGACCAGTCGAAGTCCGGGTCCCATCGATGAATGCCTTCATACTCCGGGATTGGCTTATAGTATCTGGGATCTTCCGTCGTATCAAAGGCACACTCATCGAACTGCTTGTATCGGGCGCGCACTCTGCTTCCCGAGATCGAAGAGGAGTCCGACTCGAGGACCGCGTCTGGACCCTTCTTGGTTTCGTCTTCGACTGGCACAGTAAGTGTGGCATCATTTACAGCCATCTTGTCGATATAGCTCGCCATAGCTGCAGACAAATCAAAGCCCCTGGGTGGTCGGCTAAGGAAAATGGCGCTATAGTCTCGGGGTATTTGGAGAATTTAAAGCTTCCTTCATGCCCGACCCATTCCACCTTGAAAGCTTTCGTCCCTTTGCGTCTCCTGCCATGCCATCACGCCATCTGAACGTCAAAGCCGCCAACAGCTCAGAATGATCGACAAGTGCTGGCAGAAAGGTGGATAAATTCCGATGCCATAGCCAATCGCATGTAGCTTTTGGTGGAACAGAAGTGTGCATCTTCATGTCCTGCTCATAATTCTGGATAACGGATCATCTCCGGCGAAACAAGATCGACGATGATAAGCGAAGGAAGACAGTCTCTTAGTTATCCATCTTTCAAAAGGAAGCCACTCATAGGCGCTCTGTGCTCCATAGTCCGTCGACATGCGTGGGATTTTGATATCACGCAAGCGATATGGCAGTTGCGTTATAATGAACGAGTAATCGTGAGGCAATGCTGTCAAACCCGTGTCTAGCGTCTGCTCTAGCTCTACTCTTCCTGAGTCAGATAGGTTTTGATTTCGCTGTGGTGAAGCTGGCGAACGACTGTAAGAGGGTCATCAGATTGGCGTGCGATGAGAGTATATGTCGCCATCGTCACAACATCGCGCTAAGAGATGATTGGTGCCCGGTCTTTTCTACCGATCGAGGGGGCTCAACGAGGCTCAGGGGAGATATATCCTGAAATCTCCGACTATAACACATTAGCGATTTTCTTCTTCTTCAGCGTATACCCTCTCAAAACTCGAGGTCATAGTGGTCAGAGTAAATAGAACCGAAGCAGCGCCATTCAAGTGACAACTGTGTCGAACTGCAGTGGAGAGCTGGTGATAGGCAGGTGGGGTGAAGAACCCTTCCAGACTTCCGCAGGTTTATCGGCGTTGGGCGTTAGGCTTTCGGCCTGGCGCAATAAGAACAGCAATGGCGCGATGCTTGGCCCATCATCTTTCCTCCACCTTCCACCACTCCTGCTATGGCCGAAACCCGACAGATTGATACCTAGTAAACGACGCTCTGTTATAAAATGTTGTGAATCGCCGAATCAGGGCCTCTCCTGGTATCATTAATTGTCATCGCTCGGTTCTATCACGCCATAAAGAAGTCGTCTCGATCATATCAGATCTGCGTGTCAGTCTCGCCCGAGAGAATCCTCAACGCTCATTGCATGCAAGCGTCCTCTCCTCGTCTTGGAGTACGAACCCCGCCTTGCTGACTCAAGCCTATCCAGACGGGATGAAGTCGATCAATCATACCCCGCAGATATTGCGACAGAGGCACCGGATAATCGGATGACATGGGCACAGTATATAACATGGCGAAAGGTCCACAGGCCTAAAGCTAGATGTAGAAGACAAAGACCTTCGAGATCTAGCACAATGGCACCATCCCTCGCGGAACCTGTTTCACTTCGGGCACTGCCCAAGGCTATCCTCAAGACCGATGCAGGGCACAATAAGGAGAACCTGATCGGATATGGAGAGGCGTACAAACATGCGGACGAGATCACGGGCACCACTAAGCAGCCTCCTGCAGCCTTCCCAAATTACCTGCCTGTTTGGGACAATGAAACTGAACGGTTAGTGCAATGAGTTAGGACTATGGATCCTCGCAACGAGAGTCTTAACACAGAATAGATATGCACCACTGCAGCCATTCGAGCACTACGATCACGGCAAAGACGCCGACTCATCCTTCCCAGATCTCTTTCCCAAGGACGGCAGCCACACCCTAGACGAGCTGACCCCCACCATCGGCTCCGAAGTCCACGGTATCCAACTCTCCCAGCTCTCGAAGGAAGGCAAGGACCAACTCGCTCTCTTCGTCGCCCAGCGCAAGGTCGTTGCCTTCCGCGACCAAGACTTTGCCCACCTCCCCATCGACAAGGCCCTTGAGTTTGGTGGCTACTTCGGCCGACACCACATCCACCAGACCTCTGGTGCGCCCAAGGGTTACCCGGAGATTCACCTCGTCCACCGCGGTGCTGACGATACCAGCGGTGCTGACTTCCTGGCCGGCCACACCAACTCCATCACATGGCACTCGGACGTGACCTTTGAACAGCAACCACCTGGCACAACCTTCCTCTACCTCCTCGATGGACCCAGCAGCGGCGGCGACACCCTCTTTGCAGACATGGCTCAGGCCTACCGACGCCTCTCGCCTGAATTCCGCAAGCGTCTACATGGCCTCCGCGCTGTACACTCGGGCATCGAGCAGGTCAACAATTCTCTGAACAAGGGCGGCATTGCCCGTCGCGACCCTATCCAGACTGAGCACCCGATTGTGCGAACGCACCCGGTAACAGGCGAGAAGGCGCTCTTCGTCAACCCTCAATGTAAGCCGTCCCCAGCAACCCAGTTCTTAACGAAACTAACTTAGAGCACAGTCACCCGCTACATCGTCGGCTACAAGAAGGAAGAATCAGACTTCCTCTTGAAGTTCCTCTACGATCACATTGCTCTCTCGCAGGATATCCAGACCCGCGTGAGATGGCGACCAGGAACTGTCGTTGTTTGGGATGTACGTCAACTCCAACCTCGCATACCTAAGTTTACACGCCCAGGGCTCATAAACTAACTTATCCATCTAGAACCGCGTTGCCTGCCACAGTGCGCTCTTTGACTGGGCCGACGGCCAGCGCCGCCACCTTGCTAGAATTACACCCCAGGCCGAGAGACCTTATGAGACGCCCTTTGATGGTTAAATCCTCCTTTTCACAACCTTGTCAGGGCTTAGCGATGGTGTGGATGAAATTTTAATGTGATGAGTGACGGCTGCATGACAAAACTGTAAATAACTGAAAGTGCATGCGAGTGGGATGGGAGAAATTGTGCCCTTTACGGGGGCTTAGTTTGAGGACAAAATACCCGATTTCAAATATGTATATTTTTTAATAATCTTTCGCTCATTATATTGAATGGTAAGACTAGTCAATATCCGAAGGGGCCTCAAGTTTTGGATGGACTGAGGTGTAGCTTATCAACTTTTAGCCATATGCCCTACATACTGCATCTTCAGTACGTCACTCAGCTACCTATGCATGGTAGAACACATATTATGGGAGAGAGAAATGCCAAGAAACCTGTTCTTGACTAATAATATTGGCAGTAAAGTCTATGCCATAGCACCAAAGAAAATGCGACAAGCCTGCAACTGGTCCTCAGGTCTCCATCAAGACAAGAACAACTCCTCAAGAACTCCAAAATGCTAATGCCGTGCCAACGAAAGTAAACCCAACCTTTCAAAACGAATGCAACGCTCCTCTGCACATATTTCCCAAAAAAGCCCAACCCAAGCACTTCAGTGTGCGAGCCCGAAAAGACTCCATGTGCTGCAATCTTTTAACGATCCGGCGTCGAACTCCCAGTATACGCTCCCTCAACCCCCTCTGGAGACGTGACCTTGATAACCGGGGCAATAGTCACAGACAGCTGCAGCGGTTCATCATCGGAGGACCCAGAGGTAGTAGGATATCCGCCCTCGACCGGAGGAAGCTGGAACTCGCGGTCTAGGTCGGGTGTGATATGAAGTCTTGCGAATGCATCGGATAGCACGTCGAGTGTGGGCTGTCGCACCATCGGGGCGCCTGCGCTTTCGATGTGCTCCCAGGTAATGGTATCGTCCTTGTCTTCGCTTGAATCTGGAGATTGATTTGGGGTCAAGGTGGGTATCGCCATGGTGTATGTGTACTCGATGATCGAGATTCTTGTTGTGAGAATGTAGAGATACCCTGGTGTTGAATCCAGTTAGAGAGATGGGTATGTGTGTTCCAGGAATTGATTAATCACTTACGTGGGTTTATGAGCGATATAGGATATTTGAAGTCTCAACAATCGATAGAGACAATAGAAGCGATGGTGTATTAAGACCTCAAATTCCAATGGTGAGGGCGAAGACAAAGGCGTTGGTCTCACATAAAGGGATTCTATATATGGAAGGTGCCCGACCCGCGTCCAGGTTGCTCCTTCTTTATGTCGGTTTCACCCTCTCGTGGCGGTGCAGAATTCCAACGCTCCAATCCCGCTGAAACTTCCTTGCTGACTGGGGAAGCCTGCTGTTGCTGTTTTCGAGCGCGTGAAAGAAGGCTGTGAACGTGTCCGGAGGAAGTCTCAGTTCTTCCAGGGATAGAGAGGATGCCTTGCCCGGTTCCGGGTGCAGCAAATCGTCGACATTGTCCGTGGTCTGGAAGAAGGCTTTTATCGCTCGCTGCGGAGTGATGCTATATCCAGTGCCTGTGCTCGAGTACCGCATGTCAGGGTTGAACACCCATAGCTATTAGGGTCAGCAAGTCCAATTAACACAGTGGAGGACATACCAAGAGGCCATCCTTCTTCCCGCAGTGGATGATGAATCTACGAGCACTTTCACGCTCAATGAGCTCTAGCAACTGGGCAGCAACCACAAGATCTGGTGAATGGCTTTCCCATTTGATCTCTGAAGGCCCTTCTGCTACTGGGAATCCTGCGGAGAGGCTGGTCTTGAACAGTCTCCATCCTTGTGCAATCGCATCTTCCACGCCGATCAAGGTGCCGCATCCTTCGCAGAGGAGCTCTTCTCCTGACGATGAAGACTTCTCCATTTGCTCCTCCGAGACCTAGAAAAATCAACGTTAGCGACATGGGCTGATGATAAGGCATGCAATTGCAAAGGAGCGGTTGGGAGACAAGTTCATTCTGACGAGCTACTCGGCGGCTGTGCTACAGCTAACTGATAGGACCCTCATGTACCTCGTTATAATCGCGCCAATGCCATGCCTCTGGCCAGCAACGGAGAAAAAACGGGGCGCAGTCTACTTCCCGATGATACATGCGAAGCCATAACAGCAGTAGGAGAACGAATGCGAAATCCATCTAATGAGGATAACTGCATTGATCATGACCAACTTGCCATCATAGTCAACAGTCATGCTCACTTGCCGAGAGAGACTCTTAGCTATAGGGCAATTGTATCGAAGGCCTGATCACTGAAGGACAAGGTCTCCTTCTTGTTGCCCATCGACTAACTTACGTGAAACCTACGGTACGACAAATACAGTGCGACAAAAAAAAAAAAAAAAGGACCGGAGTAACCCTTGCTTACCTTCTTCTTCAAGCCCTTACAGTCTCTATCAGAGACCAGAAAAGTAGCCACGTCCACAAGAACAGTTCCTGAGCTGGCCAGAACCTGGTTTGACGCGCCGTACCCTTTGACTTTCGAGTTCTCATTCTCGGCAGACTGCTTAGCGGCGGCATCATCGTCATGCTCGTGCTCATCCGGCTTATGGCAGTGCCAAAAATCCATCATCTCGGCCCAGTTGCCACTAGGCAGGTCCTTCCACGTCCAGCCAGCAGACTGCGACTCCCCAGTGGGCGAAGCTACAGCCGTGCCGAGCTCAGGTACGTCCAGAAGTACGCTCTCGCACTTCCTGCACCGCAACTTAGTATAGGGGTCCATATCTCCCGCAGCCCACGGAACAAACGCATCCATAACCTCGTCCAGAGCACTCCGCTGCACATCCTCCTCATCAACCGGCATCCGGTAGGAGAATTCCCGAATGCGCAAACTTCCATTGTCAACAAAATTATTCGCATTCAAAGCTGTTGTCGTATGCCCATTCAGTCTCCCATTGGTGTGCGCGTTCAGCACGCGCTTCGCCCCTTGCCCAACCTTGACCGGCAGCTTCAACGTTTCCGAAAGACCTCCAGCTCCGTCGTCATATCCGGGCAGCGAAACTGAGACAGACTTCCCTGACTCAGATAGTGATATCTCCAGCTCGGCATCGGCATTTGTAGGGGCCTCGACGGATATTTGTAGACTGACTTGGCGGATGTTGGGGAGGTATTCGGCATGGAGGGCTAGGCTGGGTTCGGGGTTGGACTTGAAGGATTCAGGTTCTGCTGTAGGTGATAACATTGCAGTTCTTGTGCGCGAGTAGTCTCGTATTCGATGTTCAATATTCGAAGTTGTTGGGTTGATTCAAATGTTCTGTCGACTCGCTGGGTCCTCAAAAGATGGAGAAATAAGTGCGCAAACAATGCAAACACAGTCGAGCCACCTTAAAGCTCAGAATATCGTTGCCTGAGGCCGCGATCAACCCAGTCTATACACGGTATCGCTAGGATATTTCGCTTCCCCAACAATGTCCATTAGAAGATTTTCTAGCTACACAATCGTGACACCAGGTCCTGACGCCAATTCCCCTGTTACTCAGAAATGACTGCAGAATTTTTGCTCCCGAAAAGGTAGGACCAGCCATATACCTAGTCAAGAATATACAAGATAATATGCAGAACCAAAATCTGAAAGAAAAGAAGCCGACATTGAAAGATCGTAATATAATATAAGATCAAACAAACCCACCCCATCCCGTAAAGCCATCCGCAAACTTCACAGCGGCTTTGAGATAAAACCCATCCTGCTTCCCCCAGGTCGTGGCCGCATCCCTCATCGCGCGAAGGGCCTTGACATAGTGCGTCTCAGTCGCGTACTCCCCGTTCAACGCAGTATGGGTCACATAGCTCCAATCCTTATGGGCGATATTGTACTTATGCACAGAATCGAGATTGATTTCAGGTCTGAGCTGGCCGATGTAAATGGCAAGCGTCATGAGCCACCACTGACGAAGGAGCGGAACCTGGAATTTCACAGGGACGATAGGCAGGAGGACGCGGACTGCGTGGCTAGTCGTGAGCACATGAACGAAGAAGAAGTCGTACTTTGCGTCCGGGTCTCCTGTGCTCTCTTTCGTCGTGGGGAGAGTTGCGGTTAGCAGCGCGGCGGCTGCTTGTTGGCACTCGCGAAGGCAGGCCATGGCGTCGGTGGTTGTGGGTGGGATACTCAAAGCGTTCCAGTGGTCAAGGATTACAGCTTCTGCGTCGCGGAAGACGGCCTCGCTGTTGTGGTCGCCGGGGGTGGAGAAGAGGTTGTGTAGGCGTTTGTCGGCGCGGACTTTGGAGAGGATATCGAGGGGTGAGGTTGAGGTGTAGGAGGGTTGCGCTTTTGAGTAGGAGGGGTCGTCGAGGTATTTGTGAGGTGTGCCGTAGCAGACTGCTGTTAGGGAGAGGGCTTCCATTGCGACTTCGCGGCTGGAGACTTCGAAGGCGTAGGCAAGATGAATGAGGGGGTGGCCAACTATTTTTCCTGTTAGTGTAGCTTTTGAATAAACCGGAAGGGAGCCATACGATCAGCCGTTAGAGAGTTGAACAGCGGCTCTTTCCCGGAGAAGATGTAATGGAAGACAACCTTCTTCCAGTCATAGCTATGCCGGACAAGCTCATCTTCGAAAAAGTCCACAAATGCCCGTTGATATTCCCTCTTCCCCAGGAAATCCCGCCAGTCAAACGTGCTGACTTCTCCCGGTGAGTCGACCCAAGGATCTAGCTGCTTCAGTTCCACTTCGTACAGGTGATTTAATTGCTCTGCGTTTGCGCCGAGCAAGAAATAAGAGGAGAGGGAATGCGGGGCATGGTTGTGGAATTTGCGCTCGTTCCAAAGGATTGCATAGTTGACATGGTTGAGTTTGAGAAGGTGCTTGAGCGCCCGGGCTTGTTTCGTATGAGCTGTGTCAATTTCAATAATCTCGAGGGAGGGAAGAGGAAAGAGGCTTCGATCCGTGAAAGGGAGGAGGGATCGCAGGATGTTGAAAGGGAACATTGCGCTGCTATGTTGAATTCTCGCTGGTGGAGCTCGGCGTCGGAGCAGCGGTGAGGAGACTCGGTTTTGTGAAGCTGATTAGTTCCTACTACTTCGGACTATTAATATTCGAGGCCATCTGCATTAATGATGAGCCCGCACCGCATCGATAGAAATGATCTCGTATTTAGGTGCTGCACAAAGGTTGGGAAGCTGGGGATTTATGGTTGGGGAAGCGATGACGTAAGAGTAGGTATGGTCTGACTCTAATCGTGATGTCTCTTCCCACCAATCTCTGTATCTCCTCCCGTCGTTTCCATTTAAAGGCCACAGCATGTCTATTTCCCATGGTCCTTGCGCCCTGTAACGGCAGCACTCTCTTCAGGACTAGGCGCACTTCCCTCAACAACCGCCAAAACCTCCTCATCTACCCGCGGTCCGGTAAAGTTCTTACGTCCATCAACAACCCACTGAAACGCGGAGATGATAAAGATGATCCCGAAGGCGGCCACACAGTAATCTGCCAAGGAGATGCAATCAGCATCTTTGGAGCCATAGTTCTGTTTTATAGGTAACTTACTCATGTTGCTACCCGTCACCGGAAGCTCCGGAGGGAACAGGAAGAGCACGGTTGTAAGTGAAATATACGCAAGGGCGATCTATTCGTGTTAGCTAGGCGCCATTTTGGAACTGCTCATTCGGAGTTGACAGACCAGGTTCACAATCCAGCCCAGGGTGTGTGGCAGGACGAATGGTCTTTCGGGGAGCATCCGGCGGCCCCGGAGGCAGTTTACTGCAATTGGGACCCCATATGCGATATCAAGCATTACGACAGAGGATGATATAATCGCATTGAATGCACTGTCTGCGTCAGTTTCTTGGTCCAGTGCTAAGTAAAGTGTGGACTCACCTTGAAGATCCAAGGAAAATACACCCGAAAATAATCACCGAGATGTTCGTCAGATATAACCCATTGAGAGGCACATTGAGCTTCGGATGCACTTTGCTGAAGAAAGGGGACGCTGGAAGTCCACCATCTCTGTATTGGTTTTCAGTGACATGCTCATATCTCAGGACAATCCGACTAACCTGGCAAATGCATAGTTCATACGACTACTCGTCGTCATGATGGCGGTAGTCGCAAACACGATGCAGATAAGAGGGAACCTTCACCACATCAGCCTCGACTCAATCATGGTCTGAGTGTGAACCCACATAAGAAGACAGATTGCGCCCGCATTGCTCCCCGTTGCGTTTCTGAAGATCTGCAGGAGCGGAGTGGCAGCAGACTCGATGACCTGGTTGATATCGCCAACAACAAAAAGCAGCACAATAAGGAAGATCAATCCGGTGGTGATACCAATGCCGACACAACCGATCATAATTTTGGGACCGACGACAGAGGGGTTTGGGATTTCTAACAGTCGTCAACGGTGGGCCTCCTAAGCAACATGATTCTCATTCATACCTTCAATCATGTGTGCAACACCGTCCTTGGAATCGTTAGTCACGAACTTCAGTATGGCGAAGGAAACCTACAAATCCGGTAAGACCAAGACCACCTTGAAGCAGCTTTTCAAGTCAGTTGTATACCAGGGTCAATAACACGGCGGACATACTCCAAGCAACCAAGCAACCCCGTCAGGCCCTAGAAAGATGAGCTTTAATTCTGGTTATACACGCATAGACAACTTACAGCCCGTGGTGTTGATGAACTCGCCGAATACAAATCTACCACTGTCAGTTCCCGCTAATACACCAATAATCAATGGTCCCTTACTTTCCAGAACTATAATTCGGCGACGCGCACGAAAGGATCGTGATGCAGATGACAACAAATCCGGTGAGAGACCATATAACTAAACATACATCAGCTCTGCAACTCTCTCTCAACCAGAACGTCAGCAGAACAACGACAAAAGGAACGTACAGGCACTCTTCGTGACCAATGGAAGGATCGAGTTCATGAAGGCATTGATGGTGAAGGCGATAACGTTAATCGCCACATACATCAAGAACTGATGCCAGCGCTGAAACTCGAATAACTAACACGGCCTATCAGTACTGAGACGCCCTAGCAGCTTCTGCGTATTGAAGAGACACTTACCGGATGCATCAGCGAGACGATGCCCATGACGAGCGTGCTGCCCAGCAGTCCGCCAGTGGCAGTCAAAGCGAGCTGTAAAATGATAATCGATTAGTACTGACAAGCCTCATATCGATTAAGTTGGAGCAGCTCACCCATCCAGAAACATTCGCCCAGCCTGTAATCCAGGACAGAATTGGCATCCACCCTTTCCATGAGACTATATAGTGTTTAGCAAAGCTCCTCGAAGGAAGGCTTCGGAGAAACTAACTGGCTATTTCCAGTTGTCAGTAAAGCATCTCTCGGTGTTTATCAAAAAAACTCACCTGCGACCCAATGATACTGCCCACCCGCCCTGTGCAATCGTTAGACACACCACTTTCCCTCAACAAGCCAGGGAGTACGCACGTAGGATAGGCTGAAAGAAACTCTGCAAGTGATGCCGCTATGCACAAATTGCAGATACCAGCTGTGACAAGGCCTATCACGAGAATGAGTAATGCCTCTCAAATCCGAGCTTCATGACACAGTCTTACCCCAGACAACACTCACACACCCACCCGAGGGAAGACTCAGATTTAGACTGGCGGACAGAGCAGTCCATGACTAGGAATGGTATAACTGTAAGCATTTACCTTCTCCTTTTCCTATCCGTGCCTCGTAGTTTCTGGGAAACGCACATTCAGGATAGCAAAAGCCAATCCCAACATCGACCTGATGGCAGTCGAGTTAGCGACCACTCTTCATCCGTATTTCTCACCCCCTAAGGTTACTTGAATTAGAACGAAAGAAAGGCACACTTACAGCATTGAGAAATTCCGCCTCAGTTCCTGTCTGTGACCCAAGGCCGCAAGCTGCGCGTCATCATCCCCCGGTATATTTTTCATTGTGTCGTGTATGTCGGACATGATTATCGCAAGCACCTAAATGAACCAGGTAGGTGCTGAAAGAGAGGTAGCAGCAGAAGAGATGGGAGACATCCGAGTCCACTGTAAGATATAACATCACCACATCAAATCTCCATCAAAATCCCTCATATCATATCATAATCACATAGCGACAATCTCCGGATTGGTTCCATCCTTCTCGGAAACGCTGGAGAGATCCACCACGGCGACAACGCGGGGAAGCTCGCTCCTCCTCCGTCAACCGGAACCGGACGACGAGGAGGAGGTTGGCGAAGCGATAAGCCTTGGTGGCGACTGCATTCCATGCATCCATGTCGCAATCAGTGGAAACTGATCAGCCAAGCTTCATTCACTGGATCCCTTCAGTCAATGATTCGCTCTGGACACCGAGAAAAAGGAGGAATGGGCCAGTTATCGGGCAGATCGCCGGTGCTGTTCCTGGGACCGTCGGGCGCAGGCGTTGCTGGTGGAGGGGAGGTCTTTTCCTGTTGGAGAAGGGGCATGCGAAGAGGTTTGATTGGGTTGGCTTCTCCACTGAGGTTGCAACGGATGACGAGGTGGATTGCGATATGGTACGGAGTAGAATGATAAAGATCGGCAACAGTGGTGAATGACCAACGGGTATTATTCTTGACAACTGTCTTTGATCACTGGTATTCTGGTCTCTGGGGAAGCTGAGATAAGGATGGATCCAACTCGTTAGTTAACTCCACTAATATCTGTGGAATTCCTGATATGAGGGCAACTGAGGTACGTGTATTGTCGACATAGTCGGTGGACATACTTTGTGCATAGATACAGAATCTCAGAATGCAATGCGTGCAATGTGTTGGGTAGTAGTAGTAGTAGTAGCGAAGCTATGCTATAGTATACGACAGGAATAAAAAGCGTAAAGGAGAATACATATTTACAACGAAAGCCTCCTGGGCTTACTCTCTCCACACCAAATGCATCTAATCCGAGTTATCTGGCTGCGCCAAATGATCGGTCCGGATGATGTAGTCATCATTGCCGTTGCCATTGGCCCCATCCGGCAGAGGTCCATCAAGTGAAGAGTCAGAGTCGCCGTTCGCAATCGATATAGACTTGTTCTTCCACTTCACACTCGAGTTGGCGCTTCCCTTCCCTTTGCCCTTGCTGTTAACGGCTTTGCCTTTCCCCTTATCGCCGTTTGTGACAGGCCCACCAATGTTGCCGTCGAGATCATGGCCAAGCTTTAGAGCCTCAATTGCGTCTCCAATGGTCTGCGGAGATGCGCCCTCGGCCCCGGGCTCCTGCTTTTGCTTGTCCGTGGATTCGAACATGCGTCGGATCCGCTCGAAGTGTTCGAGTTCTTTCGCGCTGTGGATTGTTAGTACAGGATAATTCTAGAATACCAGAAGTGACATACCTAACGCTAGGAACAAGCTCTCCCTGGGCCGCGACAAAATCCTCCTCAGTGACCAACACAGCAACATCCTCGGGCGTGGCAAGATGGTCGAAAAAGTACGCAGTGCTGACAGGGCCGCCCGGAAGTTGTTTGATTTTCTCATCCACTGCCGTCGCCTTGCGCGTGATGGCCTTGAGCATCGCATCAGAGCATAACGCATAGAGATCGGCACCGGTATAGGTAAGAGGCAGGCGCTCAGAGACTCGGCCAAGTGAAACATCTGGGCCGAGGGCAAATTTTCGCGTCAAGGCCTCCAGGATAGTGGCCTGCTTATCATGAGTGTCAGAGACACCAAGGTAAAGCATCTTGTCAAAACGACCAGGACGGAGAAGCGCAGTGTCGAGTAAATCCGGTCTGTTGGTGGCACCAATGACAAATACACCACCGCTGTTTTCCTCCCCTCCGTTCATACCATCAAGTTCAGCAAGAAGCTGACTGACAATTCGGTCCATTACACCACCACTGTCTCCTTGGTTACCTCGCTTGGGCGCAACGGAATCGAGTTCGTCGAAGAACACGACGCAGGGTCGGGCATCGCGGGCACGCTGGAAAACCCGTCGGACATTCGCTTCCGACTCACCGATGTACATGTTGAGCAGTTCTGGTCCTTTGACGGAGAAGAAGTTCAAAGAAAATTCGGTAGCAATAGCCTTGGCCAGGAGAGTCTTTCCGGTACCCGGCGGACCGTAGAACAAGATACCACTGCGCTTTTTCATGCCCTTGGCGAACAGTTCTGGTCGCTCCAGCGGCAGCTGGATCGTTTCGACGAGAGCGTCCTTGACGTTTGTAAGTCCACCAACGTCTTCCCAGCTGACGTTCGGAATCTTAGGAGCACCAATGGAATCCGCAAAATTCTTCCTTGCAGCGTCGACAGCTGTGTCAAAGTCCGCTTTGGTCACACCTCGCACTGCCTCTCCCCCAGCGAGAAGAACATCTCGAACAGTAACTTTCGAGCCGGCTTGTTTGCCAGCCGTCTCAGCCAGCTTTTCCACTCGCGCAGCCCTTGCAACCGACGCTCGCTCAACGACGTCCACCAAGTCCCCAGCTACGAGAGCAGCCGTTTTGAGTGCAACTGTGCCAAGTTCAACATCAGGCGCAAGTTTGATGCTGCGCTCAGAGACGGCATTGCGAAGTATCCCTTCACGCTCTTTCTCTTCCGGAGCGGTAATCTCGAATTCATGTGTAAACATACTTCGGATACCCTCGGGGATCTCTTCCACATCTGTAGTCGTAGCGATGATAACCCTGGCTTCCGCCAGGACGTCTGCCATGGCAGAAACAATACGGTCCGCGGTGAGGACTTCAATGTGCTTGATCAAAAGAGCAGTGCAGTCTGCGCCGCAATGAAACGCACGCTCGACTCTCGCCTTTAAGTACGCCTCCGTCTTGACGTCGCCACCGTTCGCACCACCCTCGGTGAGGATGTCATAGGCGTCTATTGGGAAAGTATGGAGACCGATATCCGCGCAAGCTCGCGTCGCAAGGCTAGCCTTTCCGATGTGCCGCTGCTGCGACCTCAAAAGGATAACCACAGGTTTCATACCAAGCTGAATGGCGCGAGCACTTGTGGCCACCGCCATCAGGTCTCGCACGCGTTGCTGGACCGGAGAAATGAACGGTTGTGGTAGCTCGGTCACGACACCATGTATTGTCTGCGCTTCGACAACGGGCTTGGGGATAGATTTGACTCCGAGCCAGTATTCCCAACCGTTATTTAACGTACCCGGGACAAGGCTAACGTCGCTTCCAGCTTGTACCATTCTTGTAGTCGCCGAATCGATAACGGCGACGCCACCCCAGTCAAAGTCATCGAGCTCATCCTGATCATCTGGTAGAGTAGGAACGACCTGGCCGACACGGAACCAAGCGACGCCAACCTTCTTTGGCCCAGCGCGATCTGATTCTGCAGTCGATCCCAGCTTGGTGGTTATGTCATCATCCTGACCGGCCTCATTGGCGCCAGGTCCTGAAAACACAGCCCTGCCGAGAGTTTCATCGATGCTGATTCCTATCAAATCTCCACTCTTCAGGAGACGCCGTCTACTCTCGAAATATTGCTTCAACCCAGCAAACAGAGCGGGTTGCAGGACACGGTCCATCGACAGTGGTGTGCTAACCTTTAGCAAAGTCACCTCCTTGGCCAGAGGTGGAGTTCGAACGGCCGATTTCATCTGATTCAACAGACCAGACTTGGAGCCTCCGATTCCGATGCCGAAATTCATCGGTGAGATACGGAGGTATTTCGGGTTATCGAGGTTATTCAGAAGAAGCGGTGGCACGAAGACAGAAGGCGTAAGACGCAGTCCAGGGCGTTGAGAGATGCTTGAACGCCTATCACCGGACTGCTTGATTGAATAACGAGGTTTCGCGGAAGGAAGGCCAGGAAGACCGTAGATTTTGGCCGCACGCCAGTCACCATCTTGCTGCTCATGAAAGCTTCCAAGCTTGATCGAGGCAAACATATTCGCCTGCGGCTCCTCGGATGCTTCTATGCGTACCCAGTCCCCTGAGAAGCAGCCAATCTTCGCCAGTGTGCTAATGTCCACGAATATCACGGCTTCTACATCCTCATCGTCTCTTGGTTTGGGGTAGAGAAGCTCGCTCGGGATGCTGCGCAGCAAGCCCTCGGCCTTGAAGACCTTCCCGCCACCTTGGCGTCCAGGGCGTATAGTCGAAGAAGTAAGATTTGAAATCACCGAGCCGGGAGACATAATACCATCCATTCGCCGTCCCCGAGGGGTGGCCGAGGTCATCCCGGACATCACCCCAGAAGCTGGCTGGGGAAGCTCGGGCGCACTGAGGGAGATCATGTCGTCCAGTGAGTCGTCCGATGTATCGCTCAAATTGCCAACAGAGCCTTCTGTCTCTGACTCTTCCGCATTGGATGTACTTTCCATTTCGGTGTTGTCATCCACCGGCTTGTCCTCCGCGGCGGAATAGAACTGTTCGTTCGATGTGTCGTCTGCCTCATCCTCTGCGACTTGTTTGAGCAGCCCAGACGCAGATCGTGAAGCTCGTTGAGGTCGGTTTCCGTGAGGTCGCGCTTGAATAAGTACAATCTTGGTACTCGGGAGCAGTAGGCCCTGAGATACCGGCTCGCAAAACGAGATGAGGGCTGGAGGAGCTGGGACGTAGGTGATTGGGTGCGGCGGTAATGGAAGTGGGAGCGAGTCACCGGTATGTACTACCCTCTGCGTTCCCAACGCTTCGCGCACTGCAGCTGTAAGTCTACCTTCTACCTCGGCAGCTGCCTTTTTAGAGTATCTTTTTGGCTCCGGCCCCTTGCCGGACTTTGCCCATAGACCATTCGGCCCATGTGTTGGCGAGGTAAACCCGCCGCCGAATCTACTTTGAACATCATCATGATTGCGAAGAAGGTCTCGCTCAACTGTCACGTACACGGTGTCCAGAGGCAAGGGGACTACATCCAAAACTCGGATCTCGATCAAGCGTAGCGCCTGCGGGGTGTGACGCGTAGGGTCTATCTTGCTCACAGCGCGGACAAAGGGCTGCAAAGAGTCGGCGGAGTCGGGAAATATAATCGTTGAATTGGGAAGCGGGGATTCATTCGAGCGCCCAGCCGATTGCGGACGGACAGGCACAATAGTCCATGCCAATGCCTCCACAGAACTCGGCCCAGGGAGATATGGAGAGATTGCGATATAGCGAATGCCAGAGTCATCTCTAAAGTCCTCTATTGATGATCCATTAGCAATGAGATTCGTCTAGGTGCTATTTTAAAACGAAGGGGAACTCACCAGTCGGGTCTGAGGGCTGAAAGAGGTCGTTGGCTAGATCGTCCGAGACGACACCGACGCTTCCGCGCAAGTGATGATCGAGTGAAAGACGTGCAGAAATAGGCGCTCTGTTGCGTAGCCGATTCCGGGCATGGTTTCTTCTTCGACGCTTTGGCTGATCGGAGCTGAACTCGTGACGCTCGAATTCCATGATGGAGGGGGGAAGACCGCGGTCGCGCTCTGCTGGTTGCCGACGGTCGAACGAGAGGTGTACAGAGAAATCAGGGCAAAGACAAAATTAACAGGTCATTATCTTGGATAGTCCGCATTGACAAAGAGAATTGAAAGAACGAATACTCTCCAGATGCTGGAGAAGCCCTGAGTGCGACAAAAGATGGAGAAGATGGAGAAGGCCGCTACCGCACTCTCACCGAAGCCGAGGTTCACTTGCACGCTCACAAGATGCCCGGCCGGCGGCCTTAGTGGGTCACTCTAGGATGATCTTAGCAATCAAACACTCCTGCATACCTGAACCATCTCTGAACTATCATACCACAGAACGAGAGTTCAACCGATTCAAAGCTCTTTTAGCCCCTGGTTCGTCGCTGATAGAGCCTCTTGTGAGCTTCACCACTGGTTCGGCCATATTCCCTCCAAACTGCCGTCCCGGGAACAAAACCTAGGAATGAGGGTAGTGGCCAAAGAAAATACGAGTCCGATACGGAGTATATGGTCTTTGTTCCTTGCCCGAGTCTCGAGGATCGCACAGCTGGAAACCTGTTTGATATGTGGCTTGGTCGCAGCATCCGTACACGACAAAGTTGCAAAGTCTCCTGGGCAAGAGTCCATAAACCCAATCCTATAAGGGTCACACTGAACGCATGCTCGGAAAGTTTGTTTCTTGCAGCATCAAACTAATCTACAGAACTCAGCCAGCCCAGATTCTGGACTGCTTCATGCTAACCAACTTGAGCCACGTGCAGTGTTAGGGATGCTCTAGGTCGAATCGATTTGAATGTGTCTACCGAACACTGATTGAATGATTATTGCTTGATGGACAGCATTTGCCAATACCAGGTTCCAATGGCGTGCGGCGGTTGAACTTCTCAAAGAGACAATTGCTTTCAAATCCGCTGCTAATATGGATATAGTTACTTCTTCTCCAATATATTCCGGGATATCCCAACTCCGACAGCCAACTGACAGTGCGGAATCTGCTGCCCTTGTCCGCTGTTCATGTATCTGCATGATCATGGCCTATCAGTGCCTCCCATTGGACAGATCCTCTGCGATGGCTGGAGCTGAGTTCGTCTAAATCGAGAAAAAGAAAATACGATTGTGCCAGCTCGTGCAGGGAACAACCCGACTCAACCACAGTCTTTTCAAAGCTCAGCAATTTGTCTATCTTTGCGCCAATCCTGCAGTCCTCAGATGGCCCTGCCCCTCACCAGTGGCAATCAATCTTGGGCTACGAGTTCTTAAGCATGCTCTTCGCCATATTGTGATAGGGGGTTTTGCATAGTCAGTTCTCATTCTGGGTTGCCAGCTCTTCTGTCAATTCTACAACCATGGATCGCCAGCATGAATCAAAGCACGTCGGCCGCAGACTTCTTCTCAACTACATCGATGCGGTCGCTGCTGAGAACCCCACCAAGCCTGTCATCACTCAGGTTATTTCTTTTGAGCCTGAGGTTCAGTTCTCTTTGACTTTCCAAGACCTGTCAACCATCATAAACCGTCTTGCGTGGTGGCTAGATGAAAGCCTCCAAGGTAAAGCCAAAGGAACCACCGTTGCGTATGCACTCTATAGTCCTCTATGTCTCCCGCCCTTTTCAGGTAGCAACTAATGAAGCTCAAGCTATCTAGGTCCGAGCGATGCAAGGCATTTCATTCTGTCTCTAGCAGCAGTAAAGACTGGATCTAGGGTGGGCTTAAACGTCCTTCTGTTTTATACTTGACTGATTGCTGGTAAATAGTTGCTACTCCTCTCTCCACGAAACAGTGTTCCAATCCACGAGCATTTGATCAAGGAGACGGAGAGTCCTGCCATTCTTTTCGACTCCTCCTTCTCATCTACCGTTACAGAACTGACTGACGTAAATGAAGTCGTTGCTGTCGAGGTTCCAGGCCTGGCTGCCTTGCTCACCAACAATTCCTCCATGATGGAATATCCCTACCTGGATACTTTTGAAAATGTCTCGGACAAGCCTCTTGTGGTGAGTATCGTTTTCCTTGTTCAGGCCCAGCATAATCTCTGAACGATATTAGGTATTCCATACCAGCGGCTCAACGGGCATGCCCAAGCCGGTAGCATTTGTTCATTCTGCTCTTGCCGCCAGCGACAACTTGCGCACGCTGTACTCAGAGGATACATACCGTGTCAGTGTCCATCGACTCCTAGAGACTGCCCAGAGTATCTACAATGGATGTCCCCTTTTCCACCTTGCTGGATTTGTAGCCGGGCTTTTTGGTGTTTTTAGTGGCACCGTCCAGGTTATCGGTCCTCCGAATCAGCCATCTAGCGCTCAGATGTTCAAGAACATCCTACACCTGTCCCATATTGACGGAGCATTGTTGCCACCTCTTGTCGTTGATCAGATTGCCCAGGAGCCTGCCCTCATCGAAGAAGTCTCCAAGCTCAAATTCATTACATTTGGTGGAGGTACGTCTTGCTTCATCGCTAGTGATTAAACATCTTGCTGATCATTTACAGGCTCCGTAAGCCAGGCAACCGGTGATATTCTGGCCCAGAAGACAAAGATGATCAACGTCCTTGGCAGCAGCGAATGTGGCCTCATTGGAGTATTCATGACCGAGCCAGAAAACTGGGGCTGGTTCCATTTTGCAGCTAAAGCCCTGGGAATCCACTGGGAACCTATTGACGAAGGCACTGACGGCGAACCCGAATACTACGAGCTAGTCCTTCGCCGTGACGATAGTCTTCCCCAAAAACAAGCAGTGTTCCAAAACTTTCCGGACCTGGATGAATGGCGTACGAAGGATATCTTCCGTCGTCACCCAAGCATCCCGTACTACTACAAGTATCAAAGCCGGATTGACGACGTCATCGTCTTCTCTACCGGCGAGAAGATGAACCCTATCAGCGTGGAAGCTGGCCTCAATGCTCTGCCGAGCGTTCATGCTAGTCTAGTCGCTGGCCATAAGCGTCCCTATCCCGTCCTGCTGGTTGAGCTTGCGCCTTCCGCGACTGCGGAAGAAACGCTGCCTATCATAAACGCCGCCCTCGAAGAGCTTAACAAGCTGAGCATGAAGTATGCTCAGATACACCGCACTGACATCCTCGTTGCGGTGCCAGAGAAGCCGTTTGTCCGAACACCAAAAGGAACCATCAACCGCAGCCAGACTGCAAAGCTGTATGAAGCGGAGATTGAAGCTCTTTACAACACGTCTACGGAGGTCCCAGTGACACTCCAGGTACAAATTGACCCGTCCACTGATGAGACTCTCACAAAGACCATCGCAGAGTTCGTTGGCGGCCTCATTGGCATGAAAGACCTGGGCGTCGATGACGACTTCTTCGCAAGTGGCCTGGACTCCCGGCAAGTACAGATGCTAGCAGCGTCAGTGGCACGGGCCTTGGACAGCCAGAAAGACGTCCTCTCCCTCCGCAACGCAGTGTACATGAATCCCACTGCTCAGGGCCTTGTGAGGCACATACGCCAAGATAAGACAGATGATATATCGGAGATATTCGACGAGATATTCAACAAGTATGCCCCCTTTCCCAGAGAGCCACTACTTCGCTGACCGGGCAGATACTCTTCATCCCTCCCACAACCCGCCAAAGCAGCACCACAAACTATCAAGGACACCCACCACGTCCTCGTAACAGGAACAACCGGCTTCGTTGGCTCCTTTATTCTAACGTCGCTGCTCAAGATTCCGTCAGTCACAGAAATAACCTGCCTCAATCGCCGACTCCCGGACTCCCCAGTCACCTCTGCAACGACGAAAGTGAATCACTTCAAAGCCGACTTGTCACAGGCCTCCTTCGGTCTTACAGAAGCTGATTACGCCCATCTCGTTTCAACGGTCACCGACATCATCCACTGCCAGTGGCCCGTAACCTTCAATCTACCCCTTGCCCTTTTCGAGCCACACATCGCCGGCGTCGCGAACCTAGTCAACCTCGCATACACCTCGCCAAATCAGACAAAGGTCATTTTCCTCTCGTCAATCGCGACAATCCAAGGCTGGACTGAGCCCACCCCAGTCCCCGAAGCAGCATTGGACTCTCTGGTCTACGCACAAGGCGGGTACGGTCAAAGCAAAATGCTCGCAAGCAAACTCCTCGGCGAGGCGGCCGTTAAATCCGGCGTTCCTACCGCCGTCTGCCGCGTTGGACAAGTCGGTGGACCCGTGAATAGCGACGGCGTCTGGCCAGAGCGTGACTGGTTCCCGACCCTTCTGCGGGCATCCCAAATCATGGGCGTTCTCCCGCGCTCGCTGGGCCACTTCAACGAGGTCGACTGGCTACCTGTGGACTCCCTCTCCGAGGGCCTGGTGACACTCGCGCTAGGGGACTTGAGGCACTCCCTAATCGACTCACCCGAGTCAGAACCAGAATCCGGGAAGGGGGCGGAAGGAGCATCATACTACCACTTCACCAACCCAGTTACATCCTCTTACACAACCCTCGTCCCCTCCATCCTCCGCCACCTCGGCTCGCAGCTTACCACGGTCGACACTCTCGCTGAATGGAACGAGGCCCTTGCATCCTGGACTAAGCCCGTCGATGGCACGGACAACGCAGAGACGGAATCCGCGATGGCTGCTGCGATGGCCCTGTTAGAATTCTACCAGAGTCTCGCGTCGAACCTGGACCAGCCTGATGCGAGACTCGATACAACAGTTACGGTTGCTAAGGTTCCATTGTTGAGTAAGGTGGGTGCTGTGAGTGAGGCGTGGATGGAGATCTGGCTGGGGCAGTGGGGATTCGGAAAGCTGGTTGAGTGAAAGGTTGTTTCGATCTGGAACGCAGATAGCGAGATAAGTAGGTAAATGGCATTTCGGGAGCTCTCATGATTTTTTATATAGGAACCACTTGTGGTTCCTCCTTTTTGTCATATTGCCATTCAAGGGTCCTGCTACGATCTCACGAGGACTTTGCAAATATGAAGATGATTAAGATTGGATAGCATCTAATTGGATCTTTTTATCGAAGAGGATGGGTGATCCTCTAGAGGTTTCCAAGTCGTACGCACTGAGACACTTTTAAAAATGCGATCCAACACCTTGGAAACAGATTTTGGCCAGGTACACGGGCTAGTTCTACATAAGTGGATACGGCACAGTGGCAAGCATTCGAGGGTAGTAGTATCGCAATTCAGAGGTCCTTGCTCCCGCTTTGAGGTGACCAGGAAGAGCTTGTATTTATTTTCATTTGGGCATACGATAAAGACGAAAACAATCAATTCGACCATGTTTTCTGGTCGGGAATGCAAAGACAGTGGCTACAAATATTTAGCAGCCTGCTACTACTTAGGGTATACTGATCCACTTGTACACCATATCGATTAGGATGCTGAATTCTCGTTTAATCCCTATCTCTGATTAGCAAGTCTTACTCTTTTCTTCGAGTTGCACAAAATATTATCTATGATGACGAGGCTACCTGAGTAAGGCTGAGGAGATGCAAGGATACTTCCTCACAAGGTTGAATAACAGCAGAGCCTCTCCAACAAGTGTCAGCATTACGCGGAGGTCATGTACGCCTATTCGGCCACTCGGCGTTTGAGTCAGGAAGAAAAGCTTTGGCTAGAGCCGCGTGTCTCTGCGCTATTGTCACAAATCCGCAAGCTTGGAAGAGGGATAGATCCCTTCGACAAGACACCTCACATCTATATCAAAGGAATAAAATCGAAGAACACCGAAGCACAGAGACCCTGGAGTTGAAGCTAAGACCCCGTGTCGAAGATAAACCAAGCCGGGCCATGCATGTGGCGAGCAGTGAGCGCCATGCTAACCGTTGCAGGACGCTACAATCTGTATCGGAGTCTCCTTGCACAGTGGGATGCGGGATTTTCTTGTGCAATGGGAGCGTGGCTGAGTCGCACGATGAGTATTGGTCGGGGGCCTCGAACTTTTGGTTCTCTTGTCAGCTGCGTTGATGGAGTGAGAAATCAATCAGGTACCAGGATTTTGGTCTTCTTGGGGGTTCTTTCTCGTGTTGCGGAGAGGAACCCAACCTCAGCGCTGGGACCGACCCCAGAAGTCGAAAATATGTTAATGCCTAATCATCCAGGCACTCGCATTCCAATACGAGATGATTCGTACAATGCCGCGTGTCCCGGCTGCCAAAGTCTCAGAGCAATCCAAGGGTCCAGAATCACGTCAATCGACAAAAGTCACCGACAAAACGAGCCTGTCTCAGGGTCCTCATTGGCCAGTTACTGAGTTTGAGCGGTCAAGCTGTTGTGGATCGTTCGTGCGTCCGATGAGGCTCACTCTCTGACCAATCCCAGCCGAACTAGTGTTCGCAAGGATGGATTTCGTAAACCCGTGGACTCGAAGCAACTTAAGGTGGGCTGACCATTATTGTTTATTTGTTATTGACCAGGTTGCAAGGGTTCAGAGATGTTACGGCGTTATCAAAATGGTAATGGTATTGTTTGATAGCATGCGAGCTGTTTCGTTGTATTTCGTCAGGTACTCGGTATTTCCAGGATCCAACTTGCATTCTATTGGTGGACCTGTTGAGATGCGAGGTTCGCAAAGCCTGGCATGTGTTTACCGTGCGCTCTCGGGTTCAGATGGTCGAGCTCTGGATACCCTGGTAACTTCAGCTTTGCTCCTTGCAGAGGACACGAAAATGATCTGGAAGCACAGGGCACTTTAGATATGAGCGGCGAACAATGGCAATCTGATCAACGGTAAATCCTCGAGAGCGTCCGCGCTGGAAGAGCTGCTGCAAAGTAAGCAAACGCGTGGTTGCAGGTGACCAATCACACCCAATTATCGTGATGATGATGTTGGAAAATGATGGGTGACGTCGACTTGCGTATGTCGTACACAGACTGTCTCGCATAAGTTTTAGATGGTTTGAAGGTATTGAGCTGGCCTCTCAACGTCTCATCGCCCCTTTCACCTCCACGAATATATAGATTGGAAACGTGAAGTCGGTTGATGACCGTATCTCGCAGGCCGTTGACCATGAGGTGGACTGATCCATGGATCGGCGCGGCGAGAGGGTGCTCCTGCTATTTTCGGAACATTTAGGAGTTTTCAGCTGGCGTTCTCACTGGCCAGACTCAAAACAGGCGGAGAATTGGAATCGCGGAGAACGGGGCAAGAACAATCCGGCGGCGGAGGAATCATGAGGCCGGGCGTAAAGAGCGAGTAATTCGATGAAATTACGAAGAACAGGGAGGGAAAATACTGGCACAGCCATCCGGCTTCCGACGACCAAGCCCACTCTGTGCTCCACAGTACCCAATAAAAGGTACTCAAATCACCACTAGTATATTTTGGGACTAGCGCGCTCGTCTATCAGGCAGACATCCTAACGACGCGCCTCAGCCTCAATCCATCATCAAGACTGTGGTCCCGTCCCTGATCTCATCCGATTCTCTTTCCTCTTTCCAAGTCTTCATCCGTTTTGTCTTGATTTCCGCCATTTTGCGTCTCGATCATTGCCAGGTTGCCAGCCGTTATATTTATTGATCTCTAGCCCAGCCCAGGCACCCCCTCCCCACCCCTCGCATTCATTTTTCTCAGCCCGTGGTTGCTTGCGTCCGAACAGCGTCCGGGGTTTGTCTGCTTATCGACCACAGTATGTATCCAGTCGACTGTTCGGTTTTATTTATTCGAACATAATCGACATTTTTCGCACCACTCTTTCCTACAAGTTCTAATCAACATCAAGGACGGCAGGTTAGCCAGCAGTCGAAACCAGTTACATCCTCACTAGAAGCTTCACCTCGATTCGTTCACGCCTCCAGTGAGTCATTCCTTGTGTACCTGGGTGTGCCCGTATGCCCCAGCTAACGCCCTTTTGGCGACTAGGCCCATTCACAATGAGTTCTGTGCAGGACTTTGACTCTATAAGAGCCCACCCGCGGCGCCGGCCCGTCAGGGCAGCCCCGTCCCTCATCTCATCCGAAGAACATTTATCCTCATCGTCTCCCCGTCTTCGTCTTCGCAAAGGTCAAACATTCCATCCGTCTCTTCTTCGCTCTTCCGATCGTGACCCTCTGGTACCATCGCTGCCTCGCCGCTCTCCCACATGCCCTGGCGCCTTGGAAGCTATCGCCGCTGGTCAACAGCGCATGGCCGACATTTTGGACCGCCTTGACTTGAACTCGTTTTCATCTCCCGCCTCGGCAGAAGACCACGACGACCTTCCCGTCCCCAAGGGACTTCTTCAGCTTCACCTACAGTCGCAAGCTCGGAAGGAGGGTTCTACTGAACCCCGTTCACGCCAACCCAGCCCTATGCCCAAGGAACGTTCTCGGAAGGCTCAGAGAGTGCACTGCCATGCCTCTGACAGTGGACTCGGCACATCGATCAGCAGCATGCAGTCCGTGTCCTCTAACAAAGGTACATGGTCATGGCCGGTCGTTTTCGTGTTTGCATTCGCTAACAGAACTCCAGTGAAAGCAGGCCAACTGTCCCGTGGTAACAGCAATCTGGCTGCCACGCGCTCTCAGTCAGCTATTACCCGTTCGATCAGTGCCATGGAGGTTGAGAGTGCTCAGCAACACAAGCTCAGCCCCAGCGGTCGCTCTGAGATCGAAAAGCATGTGCTTGGTCCTCTTCTCGAAACCGAGGGCCTCAAACCATTCCACCCTCTTCTCCAGGATGTTCGTCAACAGATTGACGACGAACGCATCTCCTGCTTGCGTGACCTCGAGAAGACCGTCTTCTCACTCGCTCCTGTAAGTTTTGTTCCCAGCTTCTCGTAATCTGCTTGTGCTTACCATGATTTTCCTGCTAGGATGTGAAAACCAGTGATGGCGCTTATGCTCGGTTCTGCCAGCACACTATCCTGTGCCTCAGTCAGACAGTCTCTTCCTTGAGTGGCCGTGACTTGTGTATGCCGACCGACAAGCAATACAACAACGGCTATTTCGTCGATCTTTTGGAACAGGTTACCCGTTTCAAGCGAATCCGGGACGAATGGCGAAAGAGGACCGAAGAGGGAAAGCAATCCAAGTATGCCACCGTGTCATGTTTATTTCGACAGCTGAAACTAATATACCACGCCAGGGCACCTGAACTCATTCTCGAGGGTGGAATGTCCAAAACCGGCCGCCCCGCTGAACTTGTCTTTGAGCGTGATGGCGAGTTGGTCTCTCTGCGCACCGGCAAGCCTTATGACGCATGTGCGATTCCTTCCATGAAGCGGTCTCTGAGCGCAGCGTCGGCCGACGAGGGTGCTCAGCGCTCCATGGCCCGCCGCAAGAAGAATGCTCCTCCCATGAACATCAACAAGAAGTGCAAGGATTGCGACAAGGTCTTTGCTCGGCCTTGCGATCTTACCAAGCACGAGAAGTCCCACACTCGCCCCTTCAAGTGTCCGGTTGCCTCTTGCAAGTACCATGCTAAGGGTTGGGCTACTGAGAAGGAGGCCGAGCGCCACTACAATGACAAGCACTCCGACTCTCCCCGCCTCTACTCTTGCCAGTTCGAGTCCTGCTCGTACAAATCTAAGCGAGAGAGCAACTGCAAGCAGCACATGGAGAAAACTCATGGATGGGTCTACACTCGCTCAAAGAACAACGGTAGAACTAAGCGTGCCTCCACCCAGCAGAGTCCCGCACCTTCTAGTGGCTCTGTTCAAATGAAGCCGGACATGTCTGTTTGGAGCATGACTCCTCCCTCCGAAGCTCCTGAATTTAAACAGGAATCAACCGGCTGGGACCTTGCTGCAACTCCTGAAACTCCAGAGTTTTCTTTCAATGCCTTCCAGCACCCTATGACCGGAATGCCTACCCCCGTGACGGGACCAATGGACGCTATCACCCCTACCACGGGTACCATTAACTCTCCTTCGGAGCCGCTCGATTTTCCACCTGAGACTACTGCCTTTTCCATTCAAGATATCTTTCCGGACATGAAGGCTACTGATGGTCTCTTGTTCAATGAACTTGATTTCCCAGACTTTAACCACAACCCCAACCTGTTCGCTGACCCTTTCTCTGGCTACGGTGATTTTGCCATGCCAGCTCAGCCCTTGAGCTACGGAGAGGTCCAAGTGCAGCAGCCTCAGTTCGAAGATGATTCTGCTGGATTCCTCCTCGATGTCTACAATGACATGCACACCTACGGGATTAACCCCGGCCCTGGCGGTCTCTAATCTCGTCACGTCCGTGATTGAGATTGAAACCCCGGCGGTGGACTATCTCTATCTATGTGTTACGACTTGTTCTTAGTTGCTGGCGAATGTTCCCTCTTTTACACGTACGCTGTGAAAGTCTTCTGTATATGAGCATCTGCTCCTGTTAATAATCACCTTGTGTGAAAAAGGAATTCCGCTTCCTATCTCCAATCATATTGGTTTCCATATTTGCCGCTTATTCCAGCGTCCCTCTTAGATGATTATTTCGCCTACTTTCCAATTAGCCCCTTCCGAGTCCTGGGCGCAGCCTTTTGAGCACGCGGAACTCAGGAATCTTTCCCGTGGAGGTGTATGAGCCTAGTCCATCCCACGCGGCCAGACAAACCCTTTGTTGGCAGTCATTTTCAGCTTTACCTGCAAATCAAGAAGTCTAAAGAACAATAAATATTTTTTTTCTCTTCTTCAATATTGGACACGAGGAGAGCATCGGCTCGCCCTCAGCGTTGAGAGACCTTGCTTGTCCGCATGCCAATTCTAATCATTTGCTTCCATAACGTGATGAGTTATCACTCTGTAGAAGGGGCATCATCTAGCCTGCGCAGTTATGCGAATTGCAGTTATCATACTGAGGTCAGTGAGGTCAAATATACTGGACCCAACTGGATATTGTACCAGGAAAGGAATTTTTCCCCTCAAGTTCTAGTATAGATCAAGCGGCCTTGCGCAGCTCGTTGCTCTTTATGAGACGTGTTCTACTATTGTTTCAGCATTATGCAGTCTGTTATACATGGGATTGGTCGACTTGCTTCAATTTGGCTCCAACATCATGTGTCTAATATGGCCGGTCACGTTGGAGGGCAGATAAAGCGGGCCGATTCACCTCCATAAGGGGTCGTAGAGACTCAAGGATATATTGATTTTAACATATTACTACGTGTCATGATACAACACTTTTCTATATTCAATCCAATCCCTATCTAGAAGTGATTTCTCACCTCGACAGGGCAATATCATCAATTCTCAGAATCATCTTCACCGTCTCCGCAGCAAGCTCAATCGCACTGGTACTGACAAGAAGAGGCTGCAAGATATTCTCCTCGGTGATATCGTCCTTTACGCCGCCGCTGCGGATACTGACACCGGCATTGACCTGGCCTTGTGCGTGGCGGTGTCGCAGGTCCGTGACGACCTTGATGGAGTTGAGACCGGCGTTCTCGGCAAGAGTCGTAGGGATGACTTCCATGGCTTCAGCAAAGGCCTTCCAGCAGATTGACTCGGTTCCCGTGAGTTCACGCGCGCGCATGGCGAGGGTGTTGGCGACTTCGATTTCGGGGGCGCCGCCGCCAGCGATAAGGGCGCGCTTCTTGACCAGACAACGGATGACACAGAGGGCGTCGTGAAGGGAGCGCTCGGCTTCGTCGAGGATGAGGTTGTTGGCGCCGCGGGCGACGATGGACACGGTTTGGTTGGCGGCGTTGGCGGGGGTTTTGATGCCGGTGATCTTGACGTACTTGGCGCCGGAGGCTTGGACTTCCTCGACGAGATCAGCGGTTCCGAGCTTGTCTTCCGTGAAGGAGTCGACGTTTGCGACGGGCTTGCAGCCCAAGCTCTTGCACAGGAACTCAACTTCGTCACGCTCGATGTCCTTGATGGCAAGGATCTTGAGGCGGGAGAGGAAGTGAAGGGACAGATCGTTGACGGCGTCACGGAGGATAGATTTTTGAATCAGAAGGACATTGCACTTTGTCTTTTGAATCTTCTTGACCATGTTTAGCAGATATTGACGTTCCTCCTTCAAGATCTTGTCCATTTGACGGTAGTCGTTGACGACAATCTGGTTCTCCATCTATAACAGTCGGTTAGTCCAATGTCTTCCGCCCATCAGGGAGGGCAACGTACATCAGGCTTGGGAGGACTGAGCTGGAACTGGATCAATCCTATCCGAGCCTTTTCAATCCGTGTGGGACCACCACTGCTCTTGATAACAGGCTGATTCAGGACCAGACCGTCAATCATCTCACTGTCCTCAATTGTTCCTCCAACCTTCTTCACAATTCTGATATTCCTCAGATCCACATTCTCTGCCGTCTTGGGATCGACAACCTTCAACACCGAGTCGACTGCCATAGGACCCAGGAGGCTGGAGTGTTGCGAAACAATCTTGGAGGAGAGGGAGGTTGAGGCCGCTTGGAGCAGGGTAGCACGGTCCATCAGGTTGATCGGGCGAGACATATTGTGGAGGATCTCAACAGCGGCGGCGGCGGCTCTTTGGAAAGATTCGGAGATGACAGTGGGGTGAATACCCTTTCCAAGCAGACGCTCGGCGGCACCAAGCAAGCTTCCGGCGATGACAACAACTGATGTAGTCCCATCTCCAGCTTCAACATCTTGGGCGGCACTCAGATCGACCAGCATTCGGGCGGCGGGGTGCATAACGCTCATGTCTCTGAGCATCGTGTTTCCATCGTTGGTCTGCGGCGCGATTAGTGGGTGATGTGCTTCGGAGGCCAGGGTATTCGTACGATGATGGTGTTTCCTTTGGGAGTTTGGATCTATTCGTATCAGTAAGGTGACTAGAGAGAATACGTCTCGGATGCCTACCATCTTGTCCATTCCCCTGGGACCCAGTGACTGCAGCGATTTAGCCCCTCATCTATGATATTTCCCCCAGCAAGACATACCGTTCTGATAGCATCGGCAACAGCTGTAATCAATTAGCATGGCACTACCAGGCACATTTATCATCCTCCAACATACCTCTAGCCGCAAGAATGTTTGATGTCCGCACCGCCATAGGCTTCTCCTTGTCCTGCGAATTATTAGACCCGGCCCACAGTGAATTCCCCTCCGCAAACGACGAACCTTGAAGGAGGTGCTGCTAGGAGCAGCTTGGGGGGCTGCAGTGGCCATGATGTGTGAGGATATGATACAGACACCTTAGCCCTAACAATGGGAAAAAGGGAAACGCGGATGTTGACGATGGGCGCTGGTTGAAGGCGGCTCTTGGAATTTCTTCCAGGCTGCGGGTTTGGGCGGTGTTGCTTCTGGGCTTGGCGGCCACTAGCGTCGACAGCTCAAGCTGGGCCTCAGTGCGAGAACAGCTCTCGACGACATCACCTCTCCTCGCAACTCCACCTCCATCCCTATCTCAGACATTTGCTTTCCCTTTTCCTGCACATTCCTCTTACCTCAATCTGTAAATTCTATCAACCGCCTTTGTTACCCTCCATTTTCTCCTCCACTGACCGGTTTCTGGTCACCATTTGTCACCATGCCGAGCGCCACGGGAGAGAACTGGGAGAAGTACAAGAAGAACTTCGCCGATGATGAAGAGCCCGAGAAGAAGATTACCCCTCTTACAGATGAGTAAGATGCCCTTGCATTCCTATCCCTCCGCGACCCCGTCTCCAGTTCCTTCGCTGACAGTCAATAACCTTAGGGACATCGCAGTATTGAAGACCTACGGTGCCGCTCCATATGCGAACGCATTAAAGAAGCTAGAGAAACAGATCAAAGACAGACAAGCGAGCGTAAACGAAAAGATTGGGGTCAAGGTCCGGAATTCAAGCTATGCTCTTCGGTACACAGATCCGGAAGGGAAGCTGACTTGCTTAGGAATCCGACACGGGTCTGGCACCTCCACATCTATGGGACGTCGCTGCGGATAGGCAACGTATGGCAGAGGAGCAGCCGCTGCAGGTAGCTCGATGCACAAAGATTATCCAGGATGAGAAGGACCAAGACAAGAGCAAATATGTCATCAACGTCAAGCAGATCGCCAAATTCGTGGTCAACCTGGGGGAGCGTGTGAGTCCTACAGATATCGAAGAGGGTATGCGAGTTGGGTAGGTTGTCCCATTGTCTATTATTCTAAGGTGTGTCATTTTTAACATTATGCCAGTGTCGACCGAAACAAGTACCAGATCATGTTGCCACTCCCGCCGAAGATCGACCCGAGCGTGACAATGATGACGGTCGAGGATAAGCCTGACGTGACATACGGAGATGTCGGAGGTTGCAAGGAACAAATCGAAAAGCTACGAGAAGTTGTCGAGATGCCTTTACTCTCCCCCGAACGCTTCGTCAATCTCGGTATCGACCCTCCTAAGGGTGCCCTGCTGTACGGCCCTCCAGGAACCGGAAAGACCCTCTGCGCCCGAGCCGTCGCCAACCGAACCGATGCAACCTTCATTCGTGTTATCGGTAGTGAATTAGTCCAGAAATACGTCGGCGAGGGAGCCCGGATGGTCCGTGAGCTGTTCGAGATGGCCCGAACCAAGAAGGCCTGCATCATCTTCTTTGACGAAATTGATGCAGTCGGTGGAGCGCGTTTCGATGACGGTGCCGGTGGTGACAACGAAGTTCAGCGAACCATGTTGGAACTTATCACACAGCTCGACGGTTTCGACGCCCGAGGTAACATCAAAGTCATGTTTGCAACCAACAGACCCTCAACCCTTGACCCTGCCCTGATGCGTCCCGGACGTATCGATCGCAAGATCGAGTTCTCGTTACCTGACGTCGAGGGCCGTGCAAACATCCTCCGTATTCACGCCAAGAGTATGTCCGTGGAGCGGGATATCCGATGGGAACTTATCTCTCGACTATGCCCGAACGCCACAGGTGCGGAGCTCCGGAGTGTCGCAACAGAGGCCGGCATGTTTGCCATTCGTGCGCGACGGAAGGTCGCGACGGAGAAGGACTTCCTGGCCGCTGTGGATAAGGTAATTAAGGGTAACTTGAAGTTCAACTCGACGGCCACATACATGCAGTATAATTAGACGGTGTTGGTTTTCTCTTCCCCTTCTCGATTATTCTGCATCTTGGGACTGTTGTATGGACTGGATGTGTATGAGCACTTTAGCTAGTGATTCAGTCTACGAAGATCTCATCAAGTGTCCTTGCCAGTCGTTGTAGGAGTATAGATCGAGAGGATATCGGCTCTCACATTCCGATAATCACATGACTTCTGCCATTCAATCGTCTGAGCGGCTCATCTCGGCACATCAGAAGCCGTCAACGACGGCATCTCAGCAGACATCCGAGAGAAACTCAAAAACCTAGAACCGTAAAGCAGTAAATTATTTCCACTGCCAGCAACTGCAAGTCAGTCCCCCGTCAAATAACCTCCAGTTTCTGACTTCCAAGTCACTTCGCATTCAATTGTTCTCTAGCCGGAATAAAAGAAGACCGCCACGTGCCTTGTAGCAGCCACGGCCAATAACCTCGGGAGGTCCACGGTGACTTTCTGAAATACGCCGGCGCTGATTGGGCGGCTCGCCCCGATCTTCCCCGTCCCCGGCGTCCCGGCAAATCAAGACGCATGTCGATGGAGGAGGTTTCGAAATGCACGCCCCATTTGACTATATACACGCTCCTCTAACTCAACCAAAACGCTAACAAGACTATTATCTGACAGGGTGTAAACTTGCCATTTCTAGGTCTCTTAGAGTGGTTAGGAAGGGCTATGGTGGCTAAGTTTGATAATTTTCTAGGGTTGGTTTTCATGAGAGATCTTTCTCCGATTTATCTGGTGGTTCGGGATAGGAATAGGCAGTATAGAGGGAAGAGAATATATGGGACAATCTGTGCGCATACAGGGCAGTCTCATAGCTAAGTGGGTTACATGGGTGTGCATGTAGCCAGCTGGGACGTGAGCATAGCATGATTATTCAGCAGCATGGAATTCCGCTCTTCGCGGGCTTGAGCAAAAGTGTAGCTCTGGCTGTGTCCGTTGGATTCCTCCGCTCTCCTCTCGCTTTGTCTGTGCTGCCCACGCGCTCGCTGCTTGGAATCTCCCCTCCTCATTCTTTCGCTAGGGATTCACTGGAGAAGAGTACCATCTGTGTGATCTGTTCATCATGAGCTCCCTGGGCTTGCGGAGCCTAGCTCCTGCCTCGAAGGTTGGTTGAATTATCTCTGCACTCCCTGATCCGAGGTTGATGGAATTGACGCTGATTTAACTTTTTTTCGCTACGTATAGATCTCCCGTGCTTTGAGAGATCAGAGGCGTCTATTCTCTTCCTCCCGTCCTGCAGGTATGCATTGAACAACCGAGAGAATTGCAACTGCGCCCGTTTACTGACTCGCCCTTGCGCAGCCCGCATCTTCGGCAGCAACCCTCTGCGCGCTAAGGCCGCCGAGGGCTACATTTCAGACAAGTACCCGGTCATTGTAAGCAATTGAGAACGAGGCCTGTGTGAGGATACAATTCTGATTGTTGCAGGACCACGAGTACGATGCCGTCGTCGTCGGTGCTGGTGGTGCCGGTCTGCGTGCCGCCTTCGGACTTGCGGAAGCCGGTTTCAACACTGCCTGTGTCTCGAAGCTTTTCCCCACACGATCTCACACTGTCGCCGCTCAGGGTGGTATCAACGCTGCTCTCGGAAAGTAGGTTTCTGCTGTTATATCATCTGCTTGTCGCATTGCGCTTATTATTTGCCCATAGCATGCACCCCGATGACTGGAGGTGGCACATGTACGATACCGTGAAGGGTTCCGATTGGCTCGGTGACCAGGATGCTATTCACTACATGACCCGCGAGGCCCCCGCCAGTGTTCGCGAGCTCGAGGGTTACGGTTGCCCTTTCTCCCGTACCGAGGATGGTCGTATTTACCAGCGTGCGTTCGGTGGTCAGTCGAAGGAGTTTGGCAAGGGAGGACAGGCCTACCGTTGCTGCGCCGTCGCCGATCGTACCGGTCACGCTCTTCTTCACACCCTCTACGGACAGTCGCTGCGCCACAACACCAACTACTTCATCGAGTACTTCGCCATGGACCTGCTGATGGAGAACGGCGAGTGCCGTGGTATCATCGCCTACAACCAGGAGGACGGAACCCTCCACCGTTTCAAGGCTCACCATACCGTCCTGGCCACCGGTGGTTACGGACGTGCCTACTTCAGTTGTACCTCCGCTCACACCTGTACCGGTGACGGTATGGCTATGGTTGCCCGTGCTGGTCTCCCCAACCAGGATCTGGAGTTCGTCCAGTTCCACCCCACTGGTATCTACGGTGCCGGATGTCTGATCACTGAGGGTGCTCGTGGTGAGGGTGGTTACCTGCTCAACTCCGAGGGTGAGCGTTTCATGGAGCGTTACGCCCCTACCGCCAAGGATCTTGCTTCCCGTGACGTCGTCTCCCGTTCCATGACCATGGAAATCCGCGAGGGTCGTGGTGTCGGCCCCGAGAAGGACCACATCTACCTGCAGCTGAGCCACTTGCCCGCTGAGCTTCTCCACGAGCGTCTGCCCGGTATCTCCGAGACGGCCTCCATCTTCGCTGGTGTCGACGTTACCAAGCAGCCCATCCCTGTCCTGCCCACCGTCCACTACAACATGGGTGGTATCCCCACCAAGTTCACCGGTGAGGTTTTGACCGTAGATGAGGCCGGCAACGACAAGGTTGTTCCTGGTCTGTACGCCTGCGGTGAAGCCGCCTGTGTGTCCGTCCACGGTGCCAACCGTCTGGGTGCCAACTCTCTCCTCGACCTGGTCGTATTCGGCCGTGCCGTTTCCCACCGCGTGAAGGAGATTGCCTCCCCCGGCAAGCCTCACACCGAGCTCGCCTCCGACGCCGGTGCCGACTCCATCAAGGACCTCGACTTCGTCCGTACCGCCGAGGGCCCCAAGTCCACCTTCGATATCCGCAACGCTATGCAGAAGACCATGCAGACCGATGTCTCTGTCTTCCGTACACAAGAGTCTCTTGATGAGGGTGTTGAGAAGATCACTGCCGTTGACCAGCTGTTCGACCAGGTCGGCACCAAGGACCGCAGCATGATCTGGAACTCCGACCTTGTTGAGACCCTTGAGCTTCGTAACCTGTTGACTTGCGCGTAAGTATTCTGCAAATTCCTTGAGCAAGCGATGACTAACGACTATGATTAGCGCCCAAACCGCCGTTGCTGCCGCCAACCGCAAGGAATCCCGTGGTGCTCACGCCCGTGAGGACTACCCCGAGCGTGACGATGAGAACTGGATGAAGCACACCCTCACATGGCAGAAGAAGCCTCACGGCAAGGTCGACCTCGGCTACCGCAGCGTTGTCCACACGACCCTCGATGAGGCTGAGTGCAAGCCCGTGCCTCCCTTCAAGCGTGTCTACTAGACACATCTTTGCGAAATGTTCACCAGATCCAGTGCGGCGTTGTTGCTTATAGAAGGGTCTGGCTTCAGTTTGTTTCCTTGAAGAGCGGGAATTGGAATAACCCCTCGGCTCGGAGGGAAAAGAGCGTCATGAAAATTCGACCGTGTTATTTTCCTTTGTCTTCATATGTATATCCACTGTTATCTCTTCCAGGCGATGAGTTGGGAGTACTCACGTTCTATTGTTTTTCATAGCCATCTGTGTCAGCTTATACAACCGGAGTTTTCTTTTGCTTGCAGTGCCCGAGGTGGTAGGATATCCTGTACTTACGCTCAAACAATAAAATGTTCCGATGTCTGTTAGCTTCGTTCCCGCCTCACAAAAAGCTAATTTGGGCCTCTGCTTAGCGCGATCTCGTTGGACACTCTTTGTCCTCGGACAAAGATCCAGCCCACCATAACAACCCGTCGAGGTCCATAAAGAACGATTGCTTTTCCTCGGCGGATGCATCAAGGGTAGTTACACTTGTGTTTCAGATGTCCTTCCAGAACCTCGACAGAGCCCCATCGCGTGGCATTCCCAAACCAACAAAGCTCGATATCCACCATTTTGATACCATGCCCTAAAATAAACCAAAGGATGCCGGAGGCCGTGATACCTTGTTTGAAGGCCAAGCGGCCATTATCCATGGATCAGTCCTCCAAGGGAGCAGCGTCGGTAAACATGACATGGTATCGAATCCTTGAAGCTCTTGCCTCTGGCTCTCTGAATAATATGCCTCCTCTTTCTCCCTTCCTTGACTGCTGAGCTAGGCTCACGCACACACACTCTCCCTTCCCAAATCAATTTTCAAAGACATACGTTGCAATGGTACGACCTTCGGTTCGTCAAAGTACGATGTGCCCACCCAACTCGCAATGGTATGTCTGCACCGGAGAGGCTTTCCAGGGTTGTTGTTCGATCGATCCGTGTGTTTTGGGGGTATGTCCTGACGAGGGTAGCAACGAATTATCGTCGACGACAGAAACAGAACCCAAGACGGCAATAGCAACAATGACAACCGCGATATTGTCGACCTCGACTTTGACTTCAGCGACAACAAGGAGCATAACTGGTAGAGAGGAATTGACACCTACTACCAGTGCGGCGAGCTCTATATCCACGAACCCTGCCTCGCCGGAGGCCATGAGCCCTAAGGCGACTTCGACTCCCGTCAATGCCCAGGCGTCAAGCCATCAGATCAACACAAAGCTGATTGGTGGTATTGCCGGGGGTGTGGCTGCTCTTCTGGTCATCATAGCCCTCATCGCCTATCTAGTATATCGTGCGACGAAGAAGCGGAAGCGGTTCACTCTTCTCCAGTGGCGATCTGGCCGCCGCACCAAAGATGCACTCCAGGCTATCGAGGCAGGCGAGGTAACCAGTCCCGCCCAAGCGGGAAGTCAGCCGCCAGGAACGGCCGTTGAGACCATCACACTAGACACACGAAACGATCAGTCAAGAACAACACCCCCAGACCCATCACCGACTCAGTCACTAGAACTCCGTGCCCGGATAGACTCACCAGAAGCTCTTCCATCAACCACCTTTCCGGTAGACCCCAAGCCCAGGAAAAGCTCAGGCTCGAAAGGCGCATACTTTCCCACTATATCCATTCCTCGACATCCATCCTCCGTCCACCCAGCCTTCCGCCAACGTTCAGCAACCACGCCAACCCCAGACTCCACGACATCACTTATGAACAACATCAGCGCCTCCAGCCAAACGCCTCTCGAAACCACCCCCGAGCTCTTTGACACGGGATTCTACCGCGGCCGAGTCGAGTTATCCTCAAAGCCCTCACGGGAGCTCATCAACGTGCCCTACGACGACTGATGGCGAAATAGAAAACGGGTACCACTCTGTCATTCTGCTGGACTACCAACGCCCGTCGTCACTCCCGAGGGGGCGGTTCTCACGGCCAATTTTGATACGCTGCCTGTAGAGCCTGATTCTCATGCATTGAGCTTCAGGCAAATTGATTCACCGCGTGATTCAACCCCGCCGCCAGCGTATCGGTTCAGCTGGCGGAGGTGGTCGAGAGAGGGATTGTGCAGAAGGAGAAGGAGAGGGCAAAAGAGAAAACAGAGAGCATAAGGAGAGGCTCAACGACTGCCTCGATTCGACCCAGCATTCAGTCTCAGCGTTATGACTGTGAGAGAGTTGAGGAAGATAAAGAGGGAGAAGAAAGGGAAGAAAAGTGAGGTTGGAAGTGTTAAGTCCCTGAACGGCCGGTGTCCTATTACGGTCCACCGCGGAGTGGACAGTTATCGCTCTTTCCCATTTTAGGTATTTTCTTCTGTTCAACATTGCTTTTTTTTTCGGCCTATCTTGCTCACGGTGTAGACGAACCCCTTAGAAAGCACTCCATAGACTAAATATCCTACTCTTATGCCAGCCTGGAGCTGAGCTTGTTGTACAATAGTACCATATACTGTATCCCCTACACTACTGGACTAGCATCTAGACGAACACCTAAACCACTCTATGTATTAAACGATATATCATGATAAACCTAAAACGTGGCCTTTTTCCTTCTAATTCGCTACCAAAAGTGCTTTCATCTTCTAAAGTCAAGCATTCCTTACAGAATGCTCTTGAGGACAGAGGTCTGCTCTAGAACGGCACGCTTGCTCGTACCGCCAATAGCATCCTTCAACTCAACAGCACGCTCGTAGTCCAGGCATTCCTGGATATCATCGCCGAATCGAGCGTCGACGCCCTTGAGTTGTTCGAGGGAGAGCTGGTCCATTGAAATGTTGTGCTTCTCAGCCAGGGCAACAACACGGCCGGAGATGTGGTGGCCCTCGCGGAAAGGAACGTCCTTGCGCACTAGGTAGTCGGCAAACTCGGTGGCCAGCATCTCTGGGGCCAGGGCGGCGACCATCTTCTCGGGGACGGTCGTTAAGGTAGAAAGGACGCCGGTGGCAATTTGGATGCTGTCACCGACGGTCTTGATGTGGTCGAGGAGAGGCTCCACACTCTCCTGCAGATCCTTGTTGTAGGTAGTAGGGAGACCCTTGATGGTCATCATCAAACCGGCCATGTGGCCAAAGGCACGACCAGCCTTACCACGCAGAAGCTCCAGGCTGTCTATTATATTCGTTAGCTGGCTGAATCAGCCAAGGCAGATAGAAAGACCTACCAGCGTTCTTCTTTTGAGGCATCAAGGACGAGCCGGTGGAGTAGGCATCCGACAGGCGAACAAAGCCAAATTCCAGACTAGAGTAGATGATCAAATCCTCGGCCCAGCGAGAGATTTTGAGCATGAACGAGCTACCCCATTGCATGGTCTCCATGGCAAAGTCACGGTCAGCGACAGCGTTCATGGAGTTGTACAGCAGGCCATCGAATCCCAGCTCCTTGGCCATAGCCTCACGGTCAATCTTGAACGGGTTTCCAGCCAGAGCACCAGTACCGAGAGGAGAGCGGTTGACCCGCTTGGTCACCTCACGCAGACGCTTGAGCTCGTCGGCAAAAGCGGTCGCGTGAGACAGGAGCCAGTGACTCCAGCGGACGGGCTGGGCCTTCTGGAGGTGAGTGTATCCCGGCATGAGGTAGTCGATCTCGGACTCGGCACGGGCAATGGAGACCTTGATCAGGTCGCAGAGGAAGGAGTCCAGCTTGCGCAGCTCATCGCGCAACCACAGACGCATGTCGGTTGCGATCTGCTCGTTACGGGAGCGACCAGTGTGTAGTTTGCCTCCAATTTCCTTGCCAATAATCTCCGACAGACGGCGCTCGTTGGCAGTGTGGATATCCTCATCATTCTCCTTGGCAACGAACGTGTTTGTGCTCCATTCCTCGGCGATCTGCTTGAATCCGCGCTCAATCTCGGAGAACTCGTGTGCGGTGAGGATGCCGGATTTTGTGTTCGCGCGGGCAAAGGCGATCGAGCCAGCAATGTCTTGGCTCCAAAGGATTCGGTCGTAGGGGAGGGACTGGTTGTACTGAACCATGAGGGGGTCGAGGCCCTCTGAAGTCGGGATGTCTCATTAGTCTTCTGTTGTTTGAATGGAGCTTTGAAGGGGGAACTGACGAGTGAATCGACCTCCCCACAGCATGTTCTCTGCGACAGCCTTAGCACCACTCATTCTGAAGCAATTGAGGGTTTTCCGATAGGAATTGACGAAAATCAAGCGCTGTTTGATGTTGAGAAGGGCTGTCTTTCTTCGCCTACAATCGAAAATGATTCATTCAGTGCGGGTGAGGTGCGCTAGCCGTATCGGGATGAGTCATAAGAAGATCCTCTACACCGAGTTCAGTGGCAATTGGGCCAGCTTCAGCAAAGCTGTCAAAAATTCATCATTACCACACATTAGGCTCCGTACGCTGGCTAATACTTAGAAGAATCACCTTGTTGCTTCAAGATTCTCGTATGATGTTCTTGAGCTTGACATACACCCATCCCAGCAATTCATGCCACTATATATTTTTACTCTCCAAAAGCGCATGTAGACTATGCTTCCAAGGTTGGATCAAAATATCATCTTCATACTGTAAGAAGAGCGTATAGGTTGGAAACCGAGAGTTCATGGCAAGTGGTTGCCTGTTGACGAAGCATTGAACAAGTTCTTTTAAGTTGAGGCGAAGTTTAATCCCTGGTTTTGCTCTGCATAGGGTACCTTAATTTTAACATCTTCGCTGTTCTGTTTGTATGTGATGAAAGCTCTGTAGAATGTCCACCTCCAGAATGAGCTGACTCTGTGACACTTTGCCTTATGTGCTTTGTACACTTGTATAGATATGTAGTACCGCATGGTTTGTGTATCTTTCACCACTCTTCAACCTGACTTATCACCATAACAAGCCTTATAAATTGGATGAAGCCCCTGGAGAGTTTGCAAGGCTCGCTCCGACAGACTGGACTGTCATAGAACCCATTCGCAGAGAATCTCACCTTGTTGTTGATATCCTCTTACCGGGCTGCAATGGCTTAGAAGCTGACGGAATCCGCAAAACGAAGCATGCAGAGCCTAGTCAGCTACACTGCTCTAAATAATTAGATTGTTCAACCATGAGAGTAAGTCAATGAACCAGAAATATTGTGGGATAGAATTAAGTGTTAACGAGCGGGGAACTTTCGAACTCTCTATGACGGGAGAGGTCCAACTGGGCATACTTTGAAATGGGTTCCTCTTCGTAACTTCAGAGTGTGATATTAGCCTCACTAACGCACCGTTTTATCCTTGGTCCCTGGTCCATCGACCCGGACTGGCCACTTGATGCTTGATGGCGTAGAAGAAGATGTGCGATGGATGGCTTTCGGGGTAAATAAGGGCATGTGCTTGGCATATTCTTCTGATCCAAAAGTTCTCGATGAAGAAAATCAGAGAGGATTATTATTTGACACGCGAGAGGAGAGGAGGCTAGAGGGTTAGATTCCCGCGTGGTGATGACTCTGCTTGACCGGCCTGCGGAGGGGCTTGCCAGACTGTTAGATCATGCTCTGTTTCTCGGAAATAGCTGTCAAAGACGTGGCTGGCTGAACGTCCAAGCTGAAACAGTACGCGCATAAGACGCTATGGAGATGGTGATACAAATACGGAGTATGGGGATGGTCCACTTGCCAAGTTGGCAGAGCCCCCTGGGTCCCTAGGACCAACTGACTTACGTAGTAGCGTACACCATAGCACGGGATCCTCGTCATACCCATCGTGGCCTAGCATGTACCAGACACCTGGGACGGTGTACATGCATTGTGCACATTTCCTAGACTTCATAAGCCAAGCGGGAGGCTGCCAGGAGCCCAGGACCCGACAACCAGGTACACGACACGTCAGCCCCACTGAGGCTAGCTGTCAAAGTTGAAAAGGGGGAATGGAGATTCAATTCCTGGTTCGAGGAAAATCGGAACCTCGTGGGCTGATCCTCATGTCGATCTCAGGATTCAGGATTCAGGGCTTCAAAGTGCCCGAGGCCGAATGAAGCTGAAGGTGTCGCATACTCCGGAGTAGGGTTGCCCTGGCCGTGCCATGTGGAGGTGCGTAACTAGTGGGACTCGACTCCTCGAGTTTTAGATTTGAGAGGATAGACGTAAATATAGATGAAATGACCCAGAAGAGTGGTCGAGACCCTCAAAGCCTCGACAATGTGTCGTTGGGCATACGAGCAAGCCTCGCTTATTTTGGGCCGTCCTGGATATATTAATGGTTGACAGATCACATCTTGTCTCGTTTCTGAATCATGACATCGCGCCGAGATGCTGGGACGGAAGGACGGGAGCCTGGGAGGTGGGAACGAATCGGTTGCTAGGGAGAGCCAGCTCGCTTGATCGACCCCTGAACGCTGGGTTGGGGACGGGATGATGGGCAAATGGGACCAGATCCTGGATCGCACACCATCACGTAAAGAAACTCATAAACATGAGGCCAGCATTCAACAACAGGGATTAGAATCCAGAGCTCAAGGTACGAACGGGCACGGACTGAATTTAGAACCGAAAATGGACAAGCTCCTGCAAAGTACTACTGTACAGGGTCTCCACCAGTAGGGCTCGGGGAGACCGAGGTGTGGCGGTGCATATGCAAGAGGAAAATCTTGTCTCGCGTCTTTTACCCCATTTCTTAACGATTTTCTCTTCTTAATTTTCTGCTTTGGACTCGCGCATGTCAGAAAAAATCTAATTTCTCCACCTTATTTGGACCGTTCGATAGTGTCAGCATGGTTGAGGCCGTTTCTGTTTCTCAAGTGCACATCGTTGATGTGGATAATAATAGTCAATAACAGGAGTTTGTACATGTTTGATTTTCTTTCTCTCGCTAAGACACGCTCGAAGTAGACTAAGTCTGGGATACTGCTTGTCCGGACACAAGGAAATGGCCAAAAGTAGAATAAGCTGAAATCAACAGAAAGAGCGACAGAGTCGTAGGTCATAAATTCGTCAATTCATCAGGTGCTGCCTTCCCATGGGCTGCGGGGCCCCACCATCCAGTCTTCCATCGCGAGCCACTCGCTCCAGTGAGTTTCAGCCATGCTGAGCTCCTGCTCTGTCGCATCGTGAAGAGGTCGTAGGAACGGGGTGTGCTCGTCCGGTAGAATGTCGTAAGCGGCTTTTGTCGGCGCCCAACCGTTACTCTTCGCCGTGAACAGGTAGTTGATTCTCTCCTGTCGGCGAATGCAGCCAATGCCAGCCTCCCAGTCAGCACCGAAGAGGGCGTCAAGGATGGGCATGGTGTCGTTTCCTGTCACAATGAGACGCCGAATGTAGTGGCGCAGTGAAACTTGAGAAGCCGTCCCCTTGTCCGAAGAGGTCGCGTCGGGCGTAAAAGATGAAATAGGGTTTGATAGTTGCTGGCATGGAAGTCGTATATTGATATAAGCTGCAAGAGATTGCACTGCAGTTGAGTGCTGTGCGTGGTCCAGAAAGTACCGCAAGCAAGCCATGTAGTGCGAATACCAATCTGGAAGAGGTACGTGATAGAGATCTGAGCTGGAAGACAGCCCATTTGGTGTGTTTGGGTGCATGTTGAGGCTCTGAGCTCCTGGAGAGGGTAGATCCATCGATGAGGGATTCAAAGGCTCAGATCTACCGGAACTTTGTTCAGCTTCCAGACGTGTTGACTCTATCAAGGGAGTTTGCGTTTTAGATAAATTGTTGATGGGCAGTTGGGACCGATTAGGAGGACAGAGGGGCCTTACTTGCGAATGGAAAGGGCACTGAGGCGACGAAAGAGCGATCGTGCATAACCATAAACAGTGAAGCTTCCTTGCCGGTACTGTGCACGTTCAGCGTCATTAGCTCTTTTTGGCATAGAGTTGGGTCAATGCTGCTTAAGAAGCGAAGAGAAGCAGGAGGGGATTTGAATGTTTGATATAGAAATTTGGATTGTTGCTATGGATGAGACGTCAAGTGGAGGGAGGTGGTCCTCCTTATAGCCGGAGCCACGACTCTCCTCTCTCCCTGGTACGAGCGCAGCACGGTCATTCCGAAGCACGAGTTGATGTTCCCTGCCAAAAAGGAAAATGGGAGAAGGCCCAAGAACGCGATGATCAATGGTGGAAGCGCCGTCCCAGTAAGCTATCTGCCGGTTCCGCCGGGGAGGGTGGAGCGCGGGACAAGAGATTCTCGCGAACCCGAGGACTTGGTGCATGAGCGAAAGCTCATATCGAAAAATGGCGTCAAGCCACAGATTGCTCTAGCCACAGACAGAAAAGAGGAAAAAAAAAAGCGGCGGTGCGTGGAGCCGTGGCGCAGCCTCGGGGTTCGCGATGGGAGTGGCTGTGCTGAAAGGGCTGGCGCACGGCAGCCTCAGGCACGCGTTGATCAAGCCGTATCAACCCCGTGCCACTGTCTGTCGCTCCTGTCGGTTCCTTTGCCTTATCTAGGAATGGCCCAAGCATCAATTCAGAAGACTATTTACTCCGTACCTTTAGTCTCTCTCGGCGTCTGACCCGAGTACCTGGACAGCATCTGTCCAGACTCTCAGATTCAAAGCACGGACTTGAAGACCGATTAGCGCATCCTTGAATCCTTCTTTGGGCAGGAGTCAATGCCAGAATTAGAGCAGAAGGGGCCTAGCTGCAAGCTCGTGTCCTTGACTACTGGCTCTTCCGTATCCCAAAAGGTCTGGACTCAATGCGCATACGCCGTTGTCTCATTGTTTACCTTGCATTTGTCTTGGAGAGGAATGCTGATTGATTGGCGGAATGCTTTCTAACTCGCGTCTTTTAGGACCAGAACTGGGGTATCCCGTGCCGAAAATCCAATAGTCAACAACCGGGGTTGTGACAGCTCTCCTCGAATACTCGCAGTCCAAGCTTGCAGAGCCACAGAGGCAGTGAGTCAACATTCAACAAGTCAACGATCCTCGGCGATCATATCACTTTTCCGCCCATCTTGGCGATGTGACCCACGCGTCACTGTGCCTAGTGAAATGGCGGTCCAACCTGGACTAGCAAGGGTAACATTGGACGATCGGATGAGAAGGTGAGGGGAGAGTGGAACGGAACCTACGTCCCTGACGTTGTTATCATGGTCACCCTGCAGGTGCAGCCTTGTCTTCTCCAGAAACGTGGACGAGATATTGTACCCGGACGCAAGGGGGCGTCTCCTTTCGCACTCGCTCCATTCGCCCCAAGAGGCAGCCTGGCAGATCACCTTTCGGGCACCCCGGTTGGCAGCGGCAGCTAGACAAGCACACCCCTGTAAGCGTGGAGGGTGGATCAGGTCCCGCGGCGGTGCGGATCCCCAGTTCCACCTCTGTCCAAGGTCACCCATTAGTAATTACTAATTGCGCCTGACCGCACGAGTGACCGGCCACCGCAAGTAGCAACGATCCTGCTGTATGAAACTCCAAATGCCCTAGAGCAAGACACGCGTGTTGATTGCTGTGTTGAACCGAACCTCTCCGAATGGACACCTCCAACTTGGCAATTTTGGCGCTAGTCATGTTTAGCGAAGCTTCCAAGCCTACCATCCGGAGGTTAATCGACTAGTGCAGGCACTTGGGCCTCGTCATTGGGGGGAATGAGATCATTCTGTGTGCTGAATTCAAATCATCTGGCTCGATGTCTCTCGATCTCTCGCTCGATCTTACCGTGCTCCAATCACGATGGCCCAAGCCCCGACCATGATCCTCCCACTGACGCTAGAATGACCTTTTGTTAAATTAATAATAACATCCCGCAGGAAAAAGAAACGAGCAGCTGCGCTGGCCAGGGTCTGTCCGTGCCATGCGCTGGACAGCTCCACTCTCGTCACCACTGCGTAGGACTGCCTGACCTCAGACCTCCAGATGTCCACTTCACGATATAAGAATTGAAGCTGCCTCCCGCGATGGTTATCCAGATCGGTTATCGACAATACAAAACGTGCCTCCATACAAAGACCTTGCTCCAACCTTAACTTTGTTACTCGCAACCATGAGCTACAAATCCAACTACGAACCTTACGTGAGTCTGCATGTTGCCTTCACAGCTCCTTTCGCCCTCTAACAATTTCCAGACAAGCCAAAGTCTCGACTTGAACAGAGTCCGGCCCTCTGAAGAGCTTCTTTACCCATTAGGAGGCCTGTACCCACACGTCGTCGCACTCCAGCTACAATCACACGATGAAAACCCGTGGTCCGCAGCGAAGCACTTCTCAGGATACCAAGACATCTCATACTGGTCAGAAGTAGTTTCTTCTCCACGATCACTACCGGAACATTACTCGAAGCACCCACTACGCAGGTACAGCGGTGAGTTTGCCAGCATTCCTCGTTTTCTTTAGCCCAAGAGTCGAGACGATGGATTGTGACTTGTCTTCTCGTCTCGGCTATATGACCTATCTTTGAACTCATACTAACGTCGGCTAGAAACTACAAAGTCAAAATTCGTTTCTAGAATCCGGCGATTCCTCAGCCGAGATGACCTGCGAAAGCGCCGACGATTTGAGTGAATTCATCACGACTACCTATCTTCTACTTGCTCATATGCTTTTTTGCTGTATACCCTAATGACTTCTTTTCCTTCTCCACTTGATCACATTTGTTAAGCTTTACCCCTTGCATACGCAACGACTTACGTCCCGCCGCCGCTACTCCGGAGCGCCGAGTGCCACTGTCATCATTCATCGATCACCTTCCTCACCTCGAGGTTTCTTTTGTCACCATTCCATCACTATCTTAGCGACCAGAGGCCTCACCAGAGTTCCCCTCATTAATGTTTTTTTTGTCACTTGTCACTTGACCGTTTTATGCTTTCGGGTTTTGTTAGCGAGGAGTTTATCGGGCACCATATACGCAAGGGAGGAGTCCACATTACAGCATTTCGGGCACGGTTATCTTGGCCATTTTACTATCCACGCGTTTGCATTCTTCTGTCATTATTCAACACGTTGCTCGAGACGGTCTGCGTAACCTCCAGTACCGGACTAAGTTTTTGCGCTTGAATATTAGACAACTTTTGGATGGTTAGCCACCCATACAATACCCTCCCTTTCGTCTTGTCCGCAATAGCCCTCTTGCAGGCATACTTGTAGCCTCCCTATCCTAGCGTACTACAGGGCCCTGCTTCTTTTCTAAATCTCTCTCCTAAGTGCTCAAGATATACATCTTTTGAAGTGGTACTCGTGAGTGGGTAGCTCAGACCCCATCGGGACCAACAGGACGCTCTTCCCAAACAGCATAGTCCTGGATCCTGAAGACCATGCTTAGTTCATTGAAGTTCACCCCCCTTACTACTCCGCTACAGACCCGCCTCGACCTGACTTCGGTCTTCACGGACTAAACCCAATCTAATCTATCCGCATCACACCCGATGCCACCTCATTCTAATCTCTAGGCAAGGGATATCTGAAAACCAGTCGCCTATCCCTTCAGTGTGGGTGGGTGGTTGATAAGCTTGGGTTGGCGTGGCAGGTTATTCAACATCGACTACAAAGATATGCTTCAATAAAATGACATTTCCATGATCTCATGGGACACCTACTTTTGAATTCCCACCGACAAGCACGAAATCGACGTCGACAATCAGGGAACCAGGATCGAGATAAAAAAGCAAAAGTCACAGGGGCGAACCGAAAAGCAGGGACGAGAACAAGCAATTACGGAGTACCGGAGCATCGAACTCCAGGCGCCAAGTCTGTGTACCACACAAGTGCGGAAGGAGGGGCAGATCTCCGCAGCTAGTAGATTGATCAATTGACACCTCCCCATCTACCTCTTCTTGTAGTCTTGCAGTGCTCGAGCGCCGCTTATGTAGGTCCTAGCGTAGTATATCTATCGGTAATCTGGTTGTAGAAGGTTCAGATCTACAAGCCCGCGGGCGGGCTCTAGCGGGTTAGCCTGATTATGTGCAGGTGGAGGGGCGAGCCCTGGTAATTGTCAACTGTTATCGACAATCGTAGCTGCAGTGTCTTCTCAGGATGCTCATCTGGACTATCGACCTGGACTAGGATGGACCCCTTCCAAATCTCATGGCTTCCCACCCAGTCTTTCATTGGCCCTGCTGACGCACGGTACTATGAAAGTAACTATTAGCACAGTGCTAGATAGCAGTCGACCATGAGGGCAACAAACAGCACTCGCAATTGACTACTTCCTCCAACAGCCCTTGATCTCGTTCTTCTCGTCTTCCCCATTCAACCCCTCCATTCATACCCACCTTCTGCAAGAATGCAAACAGCGACCCCCTTCGGCACATACCCCTTATACAAGCCCTGCCACCTCGCAGCAAACGACCCCTCAATAGGCCCCAACTCGCCAAAACCTAGTATTTCAGGAACCCACGGTATGAGGATAGCTAGCGCACCAATCGCAAGCAGCGTCGCGTGTACAGGGTGATCAGTTTCAAAATCAACAGCGGCGTCTCTGGCTCTGGGCAACGCGGTGGTTGCTGCGGCTGCCATTTAGGCGCGGTGCTGACGACGTTTGCGAGGGTGTGGAGTATGGAGCGAGCGAGAAGTTCGGTCCACGAGGCGGGGTGGAGATCGTCCTAGACTTGTTTCGGGAGGTCGGGGTCGGAGGGGGGTTCGGCCGTTAGGTCTTGGTGACGATTGAGCGGGCGACGAATTAATTGGTGAGGGGTTGTGTGATGGTGAGGGAGGAGTTGGTGGCTGCTTGAGAGCCGAAGATGCAGTCGAGCATGTGGGTGAGTAGGAGAACCATCGTGCGAGTGTAGGTATCAGAGTGTGTATAGACTCAATTTGAGAGACTCGCCTGATGGTAGACTAACTCGGTAGAAGAAGCGCTTGTGCAAGGCTGCGAGAGGGGGGTTATGAAAAGGAGAAACTGTCCTGGGGGTGCTGAGTTGAGCTGTGTTGCGAGTGTATGCAAACAAAACCTGGACAGGGCATTTAGCAGTCTCATAGACTCATTTGGTCAAGAAAATAGCCTTGCTATCCTAGCCGTTTCAGAGCCTGGCAATGTATAGCTTGGCTAACGGGAAGATCAAACAGTTCTAATTACTTAATCTGCTATTTTGCTCTTGCCTAAGATACAAGCCTGCCAGACATACCTAGCAGTACCGCTGACTTTCTCAATTTGTCCCTTGACTTAAGTCTAACGATGAACCCAGATCAAGTGGTGCGTACTAGCCAGGTAGATGCCAGTCCAATCTGCAATCCGAGCAGGCGTGGCCTCAGGGATCCTCATGGAGATACTGCCTACTGCTACCACTAACAACGCAGTCGATGCTAATACATGGCACTAACGCAGGGGCACATCTGAATCCTGATTTCGAAGCCGTGAACTCTAGGGTGCAAGTCAGCCCGGGTAGATCTCAGAGCCGAGCTTTGCATACGCGTTGAGCTTCATGAATGACGGGAGCGTGACCTAATTCTGATGTTGATGCCGATACCATCTACACCGCATGTTTGTACTCGAGTACGTATGTATGTATATCTCGTGACTGACTTGGTGTGATAAGATGTGCCTCATGCTGAAGGACCGCCCTGACAGATTTGACAGCTCATAATGAAGTTGGATAGGTCATAGAGCGATATCTGCAGGCTTGGGCAGAGTGAGGTATCAGACGTAGGGTCGGGGGCGTATCACTCAAGGGAATGAATGGGTAGGAACCCATGCTGGGTTCGGTCAAGTCACACCAAGGTCTACTCGCTGAATGTGGATACTACGGTTGACATAGCAGTGAGCATGCTTGAGCTTTTGCTAGTTTGTACACATAGTCACATACAACGTACAAAAGCGAATAAACGATTAAACCCATGAATATTAATTCCCTCAAGTGTACGGCGCATTCCAGATAAGCCCTTGCGCCTGTGAAACCGGACAATCTTTGTGAGCAAGTAAAAGTGTCTTCAAATTTACAATTTCTTCCCGCAATTGAGTAACAGTCGTGGTTAGTGCGTCATTCTCTGAGGTAAACAATTCGACTTTGGCCTGCAGGTTGGCGAGCCATTGCTTCTTTCGTTGTCGGCACTTGAGCGCGGCAACCCTGTGTACGGGTTAGCAAAAGCCCAGGAGACAAAAGACCGGGTAACATACCTATTCCTCTCGAGAAAGTTCTTTCGCTTCTCCTCGTCGGTCATCTTCTTCGAGTCACCTTGCTTCTTCTTCTGTGTCGGCTGTTGGTCTTCATCTGACTCGCCCTCGGAAGGAGATTCCGTGCTGACAGAGCCACCGTTGTTGAGTTTCGCACGCTTGTTCGTCGTTTGTGCAGAATCTTCCATCTTGCGTCTGTTTCCTGCTGTGTTTGTGGCCTTTGCGGAAGCGTTTCTCTTGCCTCTACCCCGGGCAGCGGGTTTAGTTTGTTCACTTTGCACATCCGAGACATCGCCGCTTCCTTCCCTCGCCGTCGGTACACCGTTAACATTAATAGACTGGCGTCTGGTGGCATTTGCATCGCGTAATAATTCATTAGTCTGGAGGTTTTGAGGAGGAATAGCGGATTGGTTTTGGACTGCGGCAAACTGGTTTGGGTTTGGCTGACCGCCCTTGGCGAGCATGAATAGCCCATTAGCAGCGTCTGCGGCGTCATGGTGGCCAAAGGGATCGACTGTTGCAGGCTGCGTTGTTTTGATTTCCATTGTTGTTGTTACACTCTGGGGTATTTGGTCTGCTTCGGCGATTGGATTCGATGTAGGCGCACCACCGTTCTTCTTCGCTACGTTCATCGCGGTACGATGAAATTCAATGGTGGAGGGGGTTGCACCTCCGCTTTGCAGCTGCTGAAGCAAGGCTGTTGAGTTTGGACTCGGTGCTGGAAACATGGATCCTCCCCCGCCGGGAGTCAGTCCGGTGCGTAGTGATGACTCGTTGGGGGTCGGAAAGCCCCTGCCGATACCATCAAAGTAGTCACTGCCGCCGGCAGGGCCCGCGAGCATGGCAGGGCTCAGAGGCCCTGAGCGCAACGAGTTGGACCAGTTGTATGCGCCTCCCGCGGAACTGGCACCCGGTAAGGCGGGAGATGTGATCGATGCGACAGGAGGAAGGATTGACTTCCCCGGTGTCTCGCCAGAGCCGCCAAACGATTGCTCAAATGGGTTCGGCTCTAACGAGAAAGGGTTGTGAACGGAGTTGAAGTAGTCGGGGGTGTCAGTTTCGCCAGTCGGGTTTGGGCGAGGAGGCGGTGCTAATGATGTGTCGCCCTTGGGCTTCTGATCTTTGGTGTCTTGAGCGTCTATGAAGCCAATCTGTCAGCATACAGAAGAAAAGGGTAAGTCGCGACAATGCGCGGCGCGAGGAACAGCGACGATGATATTCGACGTCATCGGAGGGGGGAGACAATAAGGATTGTATGAGGTCATCCCGAAGACATCGAAGGAAACTGATAACATTGAAGTCGGGACGAGTGGCACAAAACCACAGATCCAAGAAAGACAAAAGTAAAGATTGTTCCAGACTCGGGATAACTCACTGTCCATTTTGATGCTAGGCCTTTTCGTATCCATTGGCGAATTATGCGCGTTGGAATTAGTTGGGAGGTTTGTGGTGACCGCCGCGGCGACAGCGGCAGACATTGTTACTTTGCTGATATATTAGAATAGGGACGCTGCAGCAGACCCGTGGTCCAAAAAGAAAAAAATAAAATAAAATAAAAGCCGGAAAGCTCTGGAACACTGGACCGATTGGACAGTGTGGCGAAAGACTCGAGTAAAAAATAAGAGTTGAAAAGGGTGGCCAATACACGATAGAGAAGCGAAAGTACACGGAACTCTGTCGACGCCTCGCAAGAAGTTTCGCCAGCGGCGCGTCGAGGAGGGAGAATCCGAAGAGTATGTGGAAGAAAAGTGACGTAGTGAGCTCGACCAAACTGATTTATGGAATCAGAGGCAGAGGCTCAAGCATTATTGAGTGTTGTTTGTTGAAGCTGGATGTACCCCAGAGACGGTCACTGGGTATGATGATGATGATGATGGAAGATGGAAGAGAAGAAGGAAAGAAGAAGTTGTGACGTAGTCTGGGTTGGCCAGGGAGACTGCAATAAATTTAGGGGCAGGAAGAACGAGGGAGAGGGGAGGCGGTCGACGTCTATGAGGTAAGCGGCAGAAGGTCAACGGCTTGACGACTGCAACCCTGAATTCGTACAAAAGCCCCCAGACTGCCGTCCAGGTTGCACTCTTCGATTTCTGCTCGAGGTTCCGGTCGTATCCAGATTTTCGTCGCCTTTCCCTCTGTCAAATACTCTTCTTGTGGCCGCCCTGTTGTCCTGCTTCCGTCAACTGAGGCCTTTTTACACTCCAACCGAGATCCAATATTGATTGAAAAACAGGATGAAAATTTGAGGGAGGAAGAAAAGGCTCGATCCGATTGGTCAGATCGAGAATCTCGATGATTAACGAGGACTTGGTCGAGTATTCTGTTGGCTGTCTTCGACCTGGAGGATGGTGGGTTCCGGCAATTCTTTGCACCAATGTGGATGACGCAACTCCGAGTGGGATTCCGTGCACACACACGGTAACTCAAAGCAAGTCCAGTCGCGATCCAAGGGATACAAAGATCAACAGGTCAAATAATAGAGGTCACAGAACCTACACTCAAAAAGCCAGATCTCACAGTCCAAGACCTGGCGCAATCAAGACTCTCAAGGGGGGAATCAACTGGAAAAGATGAAGTCACGGTGACGACGACAGGAATTTTGCAACACATTGTGGGCCCCAAGGTTGTCGGTCCAGCCGGGCGGGTGGCCACTGGCACTTGCGAAAGCTGGTAGGCCCACCAAGGCCTCGCCTGTCATTTGTCCTGGCCGAAGCCCCCGCTCGAATTTGAAATCTGCTTTCACGCTCTCAGCGAATTGCGATCATGTGTTCAGCCGGGGTTGATATTGGGCGGTGGAATACCCTGACCATTGAGGGCGCTTCTGCCTCTTCTCAGGGGCATTTTTCCAGGAAATCAAACCACCCAGCCAGCTCCTGATTGGGGACTGAAACCGATGACGCAAAGTCGCGAAGCAACTTTTTCGGATTTTGGTCACGTGAGCACTCAATTCTTACTCTCGTTGGCCCTTGATATCGTTCTGCTTGCCACTCGGAATCTGGACACACGCTGAAATCCGTGCTTAGGCAAGCAGACCTGAATTTTGTGCATGCAACCGTGGATTGATACATGGCTAGAAAAGGGGGAGTCCAGAATTCGTGGTCTTGTTCCAGAATTTAGATGCCAAAAGCACAGCAATTGCAACTCTATAAGCTCCACTAGATTCGCTTCGTTATCTGTTATCGCAACTAGCGGGAACACATGAAACATTCCTCATGCAAGCACCACCTTAGTTCTGACAAGAAAGCCATCGCCTGTTACCCCATGCTTGGAATGGGTTTTGTCTCCTGCAGATTGGTACTTTTTGGCCGAAGAGCCAGTACTTTGTCCAGAACAGCATGAATATCACAAGGTAGGTTCACGTTGAAGAGGTCAAAAGAAGGGTTCTTATGGCCCAGGTTAGTAGTAGTATAGTATCATCTCTGGTAGGCGCAATGTAATTGTAGTTGTGGCGTGCGCCTCGTCTTAGACGCCAGTTTCTAGCCGTCCGACAATGCAGTCAAAGAATATAGCTTCACCAATCAATTGCATGAATTATATCTGGTCTTGTTCCAACGTTCCTCGCACGTAGCATGTACAGATGTATAAGATATTATAAGGATCATGTTACTTGTTCTGACCTTCGTTGCCCTGAATAACCTTGGAAGTCTAAATATATTTTGTTGTACGAAGTATAGCAACGCTACCACCAAGCGTTCCTCTTTTATAAAACGAAACGGAGTAAATGAAAGTACGTCATATCGTATCTTGACTCGATAAGATCATCATCTATCTAGACCTCAATCTGATATCGATAATCGATTACTATCGATACCCTCACTGAACAACTCCAACCCATTCCGATTTTGTATAACGTAGTTTCGCAGCACTACAAATCAATACAAACAATCCAGCCGAACCCGACAATGAACTCTACCTCACGACCCACGATACGTCGAATAGTTCCAAGGCCCCAGCAGCACGGGGACATGATAATGCCTCCAGCCCTCTTCACCCTCCTTCCCGCGCCCCTTGACTGTGAACTTTACCTCGACTTCGGGCCAGAAACTCTCGACGCCCTGCGCCTCGAACCACGGACCGACCTCGAAGCGGAGCGCCCAGTTTGTCTTTGAGTCGGCGGCGGGGAGGCTTGCGAGGATCGCGGGGACGGAGGAACTGCTTGCGGATGCTGTTTCTGGGGTAGGTGTCCAATTTGCGACGCGGCCATCGGCGTTTGTTGTCGCGTTGAAGGTTGTGGTGGTAGTTGTGTTTGTGGAGGAGAGAAGGGTGAGTGTGACGGGAAGGTTGGCGGCGGGGGTGCCGGTAAGGGTGTTGAGGACGTGGCAGGTTATTGGGTCGCGGGCGGCCATTGTTGGTGTGTTTGAGGGGACTTTTGGAGTGAAGGTGGTGGAAGAAGGTGGGGACGAGGAGGTGAGGTGGTTCTTGTATAGGTTGAGACGAGTCGTGACTTTGCCCAGCTGGTCGCTTGATGGGGGGTTGCTGCTGGATCCAATGTCCATCAAGTAGGACGATGTAGTTGAAGATAAGTTGAAGAAGAGAAAAGAAATAGTGGAGGAAAGAAAGTTGAAAGACTACGAAGGTTGCGCTGCTTTTCTATCTCCAGTCTGCGTCGGAGACCACCGACGGTGACCTTCAAGCTCCGGAGTATACCTGCAGTGGGGTACTCGGTTCGGCGCCGGGTACAACTACTGACTCTTCAATTGTAGTCAATTGCAACTAGAGGTAATTAGAGGAAAGTTAGAATCCGTGGAATCTTCGTTTAAGCAATGAGGTCGTCGAGTTTAGCTTCCAGGAACCCGGCCATACGGCATAAGCAGGCGGACGATTTATTGGTGGGGGTATCCTCGATCCCAAGTGGCCTGAGGCATAAACGTGCCGCCGCACGTGTCATCTTGACGGAGAGCCAGACGTCTTCTGGTTTCACACACATCGCTGGCAGTTGGATTGGCGCATAATCGTATTATCTGTAGGTCGGCTTTGTTATTGCTCCTTGTCGTTGGTCCTCGACGATATCGCATCACTTCCATTCGCAAGCGACGGGCGCTAACAATTCTTTCCGCTTCCTGAAGCTTCGGCCAGAACTTTTGACCATTTGCGGGGAACCCTCAACAACAACGGTATGTGGTCAACTCAACCCTGTCACACAGGTCATCACCATCTGACAAACTCTTCAACCTCATAGACCCCCCAGAACCATCGCTAGGAACAACCGGTATCCCCTCCTAGACCAAGATGTCCTCGACGGCGATTGTGCACAACGACGATCTCATGGAGCCCACGCTCCAGTCGATCGTCAACCAGAAGACCCTGCGATGGATTTTCGTCGGAGGAAAAGGTGGTGTCGGAAAGACAACAACCTCGTGCTCCCTCGCAATCCAGCTTGCCAAAGTTCGCAAGTCTGTCCTGCTCATCTCCACTGACCCCGCACACAACCTGAGTGATGCCTTTGGCCAGAAGTTCGGAAAGGAGGCTCGTCTCGTCGATGGATATACCAACCTCAGTGCGATGGAGGTCGATCCGAACGGCAGCATCCAGGATCTCCTTGCGAGCGGCGAAGGCCAAGGTGACGACCCAATGGCTGGGCTTGGGGTTGGAAATATGATGCAGGACCTGGCTTTCAGCGTGTGTATCACCATTCCTAGCTCGATGGCTCGAGGTTAGTCGCTAATGGCACCAGATCCCCGGTGTTGATGAAGCCATGTCATTTGCCGAAGTCCTCAAGCAGGTCAAGTCGCTATCCTATGAGGTCATCGTCTTCGATACTGCTCCTACCGGCCACACGCTTCGTTTCCTCCAGTTTCCCACAGTCCTCGAGAAGGCTCTCGCAAAGCTCTCGCAGCTATCGTCCCAGTTTGGCCCTATGCTGAACTCGATTCTCGGAGCTCGCGGTGGGCTGCCAGGTGGCCAGAACCTTGATGAGCTTCTGCAGAAGATGGAGTCTTTGAGAGAAACGATTGCCGAGGTCAACACTCAATTCAAGAATGCCGATATGACCACCTTTGTCTGCGTCTGCATCGCAGAGTTCTTGTCACTGTATGAGACCGAGCGCATGATCCAAGAGCTGACAAGCTACGAGATCGATACACACGCTATTGTTGTCAATCAGCTTCTGTTCCCTAAGCAGGGCAGTGACTGCGAGCAATGCAATGCGCGAAGAAAGATGCAGAAGAAGTACCTGGAACAGATCGAAGAGTTGTACGAAGACTTCAACGTTGTCAGGATGCCGTTATTGGTTGAAGAGGTCAGAGGAAAGGAGAAGCTTGAGAAGTAAGTCACAATGCCGCTCACTGCCCCAGCTCTTACTCATTGTCGTCCACAGATTCAGCAACATGCTTGTGAACCCATACGTCCCCCCGCAGTAAGAGGTGTAGCTATATAATAAGTTTCGGATGAAGTTGCAGAATTTGGCCTGATACCGTTGTTTGCATGAGTTATGAGAATGAAATAGACAATAATACACGATGCATTCTGATGCACTGCCCTTTGTTTATGCCTTACTGTATCTGTCGGGTTACTATTCCCAAGGGCCAAGTTTGTTCATCTTTGTTCATTTGGTTCCAGCTGGCTGGATCCATGCTTTCTTTTGTCCTTCCCCGTTGCAGTTCTCCTCCCTCTACTTCTCATCACCATTGCGCGCCCTGCCATTTCTCATCTCACTGCTCATCCATACTAGGGATCGACGCCGGCTTACTGGCTCTTACAATGTTCGCCGCAGCGCCTCATTCTCGCCTTCTTGAGGCGGCCGGCACTCGTGTCAACAACCATCACACGATCACCTTCCTTCACGGATCTCCAGCTTAGCGCCCCAGCAGGGCAAGAGGGCAACAGCCTGTCTTGACTGATAGGCCGAGCTGCCTTGGCCGCTCAAATGACTGACAGCGTCAGTACGGAGTCGCATACTCCGTACTGCTTTCCTGGTGACCAAGACACACTCCGCGGAGCCATCTATTCGTTATGGAGAGTACCTCGAAGGGTGTCTCTATTATTACTGGACAAAAGCTTTCAACGACCGGCGGGATTATATTCCTAGAAACAATAGCATCTAAAAAACCACGTACAGAAGAACCATCTAGTTCCACATACATCACCAAGAGCACAGGCGCAGATAAGACGGATTCTGGCAAATAATGAGGCGCATTCTGAATTTCTGTCGCATTAGCCACTTGGATGAACAGCGACCATATTCAAAGCCACGAACCCGGGGACTAGAAAAGCGTCGGACACTACACCTTGTCTTGGGCACGGACGACCCAGATGCAATAATAGCCCTAGGTGCCTTCTCTGACCCACAAGAGAAGTCCTTGAGTCGCTCAGCTCTTGACGATTTGTGCCCGGCTGCAAGGCTTCGAACAGTTGAGTGCTGATCCACCACAATAGTACCCGCTTGTTGGGTCTAGACTCTAGCCTCTTGTTTCAACCGCTGAGATATCGAACGGCGAAAATCAGATTATAACTCAGGAAGCGCAGTCGCATTTCATCTCACCGGCTGTCCTGCAGTAAAGCTCCCAGGCTGGGACGTGCGTCGTGCAATGCGAGCATCCGCCAGTTTCATTCAGGCAGAGTGCTCCAACAGCCAAACAAGCCACCTATACCTGTTCGCCGTGTGGCCATTGCATACCAGGCTGCTTTCGTAAGTTTATGCAGCAGCAGGGGCTAGCGCCTGCCAAAGAATCAAGGGCCATTGTTAGCCAACTTGCCGGGGAGCTTCATGCGTGTGGAGTATACTGCTCTGCAATATAGTGTTGTGATGCACTGGTGAAGTGGGCTGGACTCAAGCCTGGAGCCTCCAATACGAGGCAGCGAAGGACCTCGAAAGCGCGACGGATCACAACGAACCAATCGCGATCGTAGGGAATCCCTGTATGTGTTTCTATTGACTCCGACCCTGTCGAAGACACTGCGCTGGAAAAAGCCAAGCATCTTTCCGGAATTGGATCCTTGCATAAGATGTTGAGATTTGGTGTTCGGACGATCTCTCTCCAGCTTGTCAACTTTGCAACGAACCCGACCGGCCTGAAGGCTGAGCATCGAGATTTGAGACCCGGAAAACCAGAGAGAAGAGTACTGCCAGAGAAAAACAAATTCAACGATCCTTTGAGCCCTGTATTGACATGATTGGTTCCTCCTTGAGCAACGGGCTGGGCTTAACCTGGTTTTCTAAACCTGCACATCAAAGCTCCATGCTCTTGAGCTTCGACCCCCCGTTTCGCGCAGATGCCATTTCCGCTTTGGCCGAGGATGTTGGGCCCTATGGACATTGGGACGAGAAGGATACGCAGCCCACCCCCTCCGCGCAAGTGGACAAGCGAAGGCTGCGGGCAGTCCCGAAGAGAATCTACGAGATGGTCCCTCGAACCCCCATTCCTGGAGCCACGGCATCATACATTCCACTGGCGGCCTGCTATGAATGCAGGGAGCAGGTTCACCGCAGAACTTGCCAAGAGGGTCGATGAACCAGAACGATATTATGGACAATTCCGCAGACTGCTTCGATTTGTTGAAAGCAGTCTAGCTCCTCTGATGGTTCAAGCCTCACTTTTGTTTTTTTTTATTACAAGCGCAACAGGGTTGGAGGATACAAAGAGTGAGGCGGTTTCGCCGGGATCCGACATGAAGAGCAGACCCAGAAAGCGCCCTCGCAACTCCCTCGTTGTGCTCCTGACTGTCACAGGATCCATCGTGAGCTCTCCTGTTGCCTGAGTTCAATCGCCTAATGCCGCCGCTGCTTGTTTATTAGACCACGCTGATCAGCGAGCGCCTCCAGCTCCTGCTCCTGGGCGTCTCAGATCCTGAAGGTATCTCCACGTAGATGTGCTGACCGTTTTTATTCACAATTCCTTTTACTAATAACTCCCTTGCATGGCCGGAATATGCGAAGTATATATACCTCTATAGAAGGCGCTTGTATGGGTTTGCTTACAAGGTCTTCATAACCCCTATTGCCGCCTCTCGCAAAGGATATCTCTTAGCCACACGCCCTATGCTCGACCCACGTCTGTGCAGACACAATCCACATACAAGGAGGAAGAAGATGTCCCAAGTTCAACAGTACTGGCTGCCAGGATATGGACTTTCCCGCCAGATTGTATTAGGCCAGATCCAATACTTCCTGGGACCTTCCGCAACTGTTCGGCCTTACACTTACCAGGTAAACCTCCGACATAGCCTCAAGGATCCATTTCCCGCCCCGTATGAAGGAAGCACACACCCTAACCAGTTATTGATTGAGACTAAAAGGGGCGCGAAGGTTATCTGATTGTCGGCGTACCTCTGACACGGGTACGTACTTCTCCTTACTCATACCTGGATGGCTATGCTGACAATTTGAAGGAACAAATAAACGACCTCGCAGTCATGTCGCGAGAATACGAACGACAAGAGACTCTCCGGATGGCCGGCGATCCCAATTCACAGGCAGAACCGTACATCAATGAGATTATTCCAGTTCGGCTCACCACGGGTCCTCCACGCAGACGACCCGGTGAATATGGGTCGGGGCGAGGGCGTTGATATATTGCACTGAACAACTTCGACAAGGAGGCCGCTTCGCCCAGGGGACATTGTGCCATTGGCTGTACTTTCCAGCGTTGCGTATTACGGGTCATCTCTATAACCTTTTCACCCTTTTACTCTAATTTGGCATTCCCTCCTCTGTTTCCCAAGGTCAACACCGACCTTGACCTCCTCCAGGATCCCTACAGTTGAAGGAGTCAAACTACGAACGATACCACAATGAAGGGAGCGGGATCTCACCTTCATCAGACACCAGATGCTCCACATACAGCGAACCCTATACCACGGGCATAATCTCGTTATCGCATATCATCATTGGCATCATAGCCCTATTTCGGTGTTTCGGGTCACTGCGCTAAATATCCACAGCCTCAATCTTCCACCTGCATGCGCGCAACTACATACATACGCAAGATCGTCTAATCCCAGTCATTTATCGAGTCAACCACATGCATCGTCATCTCCTTTCGTGTTTCCCTTTGTTTTCGGCTCCATTCTCCAGATTCCTAGGTTCCCGTCAGAGATATCCCCGTCTAGATTTCTATCCCCATATTCTGGTTGCTTCTTCATCTTCTACCTCGGCGTCTGTTTATCTTGTTTGGACAAGCTTCCGGGTCATCGTTGTGCTGACTACCTCGACGATTGAATAATGACAAGGCTATATGTACATAATAGACGAGACTGAAATTGAAATCGAGGTACTGAACATCATACTGCTTGCCCAGGGATACTCGATGAACTGCTTAAAGACATATATGCTATATCTAGATTACAGATTACATCTTGTGTTTTACGCGGGAGGAAGGTAGAATCGAACACCTAAATATTTCCATAATCTCTATAGGTAGGTCATTCGTAACAACATCGATCAAGTCAGGTCAAGTCAAGTCAATACATGGCGGAATTTCTAGGAAAGTTTGTTTCAGGTCGTGAGGGGTGAACGGATGTAGTGGTTGTTTGAGTGGACTTCGTTCAACTCGACGTCTTCTCTTCCTTTCTCTCGAAGTCTTTTTTTGTCCGAGGAGGTAGTTGCTCAGCTAAATTTCTTCCGAGAGTCGGTCGAGAGTAGGATATGAGGAGGACGCGAAGAGGTAGTAAGGTAGGAGGATGGTAATAGGAGGAAAAGAAGAAACTTCGAAAAGCGGACCACCTGAACGCCGGCCTGATGCCACTCTGCTGGGTTTCCCATTCATTTCAATCAGGAAGCCCGCGCATACTGCAGGGGAATACTACCAACATGAACGGAACCAACGAGGATTGGATTCGAGAAAACAAAAAAGACGAGTTCCTTTGTGTGTAGAATAAGGGGTTGTTTATTTGGCAACGGCCGCACTAGAGAAAGAACGTATGTTAGCATTTGCGGTCCGGCAGTGGATTTGTGGGGGTGGTGACGAACCTGAGGACTTGTGTCCGGAAGAAGGCGCCCTTTGTCTTCTCGATAACTTGCTGGTATACGGATTGAGGAGGGTGGTTCATGATCACTGTGCCTTCCTTGTAGTCGATCTTGGCGTCGACGCGGGTGTCACGGATGAGGTTGACGATCCACTTCTCACCCTCGTCTTGGTTCAGGCCGAGGCGAGTGGACAGATCCCTAGTTATCGTTAGCATGACTCCATTCTTATCCTGGGGGTGGTCGGATGCATACTTGATATCGATCTTTTGGTGAATCTTGCAGTAGCTCTCAGAGATCAGGTGACGGGCAGCCTCAACGAAAGCGTCGGCAGCAGAAACGAGGAAGAAGTCGCTCCGCAGCACATCCTCGGCCTCGCCGAGCTTCTTCTGGGCCTCCTCGAAGTCAAAGTCAACGTACAGAGCTTTGACGAAATCGGTGATCGGGTCGTTGTATTCGTAACCCTCTTGACGGACAACGCGGATCAAATCCTTCAGCTGCTTCTGGTACGCACTGCTGTTCTTGTGTGCGCGATTCCGGTTTGTGATAACTGCGGCAGCGAGGTATCGAAGCACCCAGGGGCAGCTGGTCTGAATGGTGTTGATGTAGGCCGGGGAGAAGAAGAGGTCGGTGAGGACGTCGCGGGCGGGGTCGTGGTTGAAGAAGGGGAAGAGCGACCAGTGGATCAACCACGAGCGGTTGTGAAGCTGACCAACAGGGTTGTTGAATAGCCGGGTCTCGATCGAATCCTTTGCCTTCTGGACTTCCTCCATCGCCGCCTCCCAGTTGGTGGTGAGAATCTCCGAGGCGAGTTTACCCCATGTGGCCGAGGCAACCTTGTCGTTATCGGTGGAGAGGACACGGAACTGATACAGCAGCTCGGCAGCATTTCCGTAACTACCGCAGCTGTACTGGAACCGACCGTAATCGAACAGACTGTTGACCATCTCGATTGTAACTCCGTGCTGCTCTTCGAGGAACTTCAAGTTGGCGGCCTTGTCGCTCCGCAAGTTGCCCACAACAGCCTCATCCTGCAGCAATTCCGTAATCTTCTCGCTCTCATCCTGGTAGTGTTGCAGCTTGGCGAGAACCTCCTCCCTCTTCTTCACGAATTCGTCAGGGATTGTGTCCGAGTTGTTGATTTCCTGCCACAGGTTGGCGACATAGTCGGTCATGTTCGTGTGCTTCAAGAGCTCGTACTTCGCGCGGATAATGTCGGCATCATCCTCCTGGCCAGAGCTGAATTCGAGCAGGGGGAAGACGAGGTGACGGTCGAGGTAGGGGATCAGCTTGGGCAGCAGGTCGTACTGGTTGGCGATCTCTTCGGCGGTCTTGTGGGCGGCGGCGCCGCTGAGAAGGGTCTCAGCGGAAGGGGGGACGTTAGCTGCCATGGTGAACAGCGACAGGATAGAGACCTGGGGGGGACAAAGGGTAGGGCGAGGGGCACGGTGGCTTCGGACTGGATGAGGAGCAAAGTGTGCGGCTTCTTTTCAGATTCAGAAAATGTGGGCGGGAGGGCTGGTTGGGCCGCTAAGCTTCTCTGGGACTAGCGGCAGGTCTCCGCTCAGAACGCAAAAAGTCCTGCTCTTTCCAGCTCGTCCATATCAAATCAGACCATCGTCAGGTCATTCCTCTCTTCTATACCCTCCTCGCCCTTTTCTCCGAGGCCCATTCCCCTGCCGCGGGCATTGAGCGCCACATCAGTGCTGCTTCCTATCAGACCTCGCGCTCCCCTCACCCTTCCTGCACAAATGGCTTCCCTGCTGCAGTCTCTATCTGCCTCTGCGGTTCGCACGCAGTCGACGATCGTATCAGGTCGTCTACACCGCGCTACACAGTCCATTGCATCCTCAGGAATCTGTAGCACAGTGTCTCCTCGCTGTTTCCAATCTAGATCGACCGCCTCTCGTAAGTTATAGCTGTTCCGACAGCGACCGGCACCTAGAGTGTGCAGTGTAGCTATCGGATCCATCGCGGATGCTTTTGATACTAACCTCTACCTTAGAAACACATGTTCGGTCTCAGCGCGCTCTTCCTCATGTATCCACCTGCCCCCAGCAACGTCGCACCTTTCTCGTACAACTGAAACGCCAATCTCAAACTCTCAAGGAAAACACCACCGCCGTCACACCTCCCCCATCAGCCGCTAACCTGCAACTCACAAACCTCCCTTACTTTGTTCGCCGGACACCGTCAAACCAACTACCTGTTTACCTCGTCACAAAGGCTGGTGGGACCAAGCAGCAGACCAAGATTCAAAAGACAGAAGGCGACCTGGATTCTCTGAGAAACGATCTTGCCCGGTATTTGGGGCTCGAGTCGGGCGATCCCAAGGGTGCGAAGAGCTCAGATATCACCGTCAACCGGCTCAACGGGCATATTGTTGTCAAGGTATGTCTTTCCCAACGACAGGTCAAGTTTGTTTGTTTTGGAACTAACATCTTCGCGCAGGGCTGGCGAAAAAACGAGATCAAAACGTTTCTTCTCGAGCGTAATTTCTAATCGACTTCACCATTCCCGTCCTCCGATTGCGTGTCGCGTCTTAATTCATGACCTTTCTCCACCCCCTGATACAATATCACTTCCTACACAAAAAAGGGACAAAAGAGAATTCGAACGCAGTACGCCTATGGATGACGAGTGAAACAGCGTTGACCATGTCCGGATGTTCTCAGTTCCCATTCCATCTATCGATCTCCGTAACTTGTCCGCGGAGTAATTTCCGCCTACCTTTTTTTTCTCACCTCTGGTGATTGACCGTGTATATTTCCAGCTATTTTTCTCTTGTTTGGGAGTTCTGATCTTTTCCGTATTCTCATCCCTGTTTCATTACTCTATCCTGGCTTTCGTGTTTCTGGCGTGGCTTAGGCATTCTGTATGTATTAGTGCATATTCAATGATCTCATGGCTATTGATTTGATATCGAATTGTACTGGTAAGACCGGCTCCAAATTTCAGGGCACGACGTCACAGCTGTAGGCGCCCAGCTATGTCTTTGCACTGGGTTGCGCTTTGATAACCACGAGTTACCCTATTGGCTCATTTCCGAAGGCCAAGCAAGGAACAGTGGATGGGTGGCTTTGGCCACACCTACTATGTTGTGGAATAGAAAGTACGGAGTACGTGTTTGAGTATTTCTCCATGACGAGAGATGGTAAGATGTCCAAATATGATTCCAGAACGGTTTACCTAGACGTCATGATATCTCTTGCCCGAGGGTATAGAGCATTGTACAATGATGAAGAAAACAGGAGTCGAATAAAGAAATCCACATTGTTCACGCCTCACAAGTATCTTTTCCACCGGCGCCGGACACAGCAAGAGTAAATAAAATATAGAAAGGAGGAAACAGCATGAACCAAAGCGGTGGTGGTGGGATGGTGGTAATAATTTACTGAAGATTGAATGGAAGACATGACAGAAGGAAACGTCACTAGAGGCATCTCAAACCCTTCGCTGGAAAACAGACCTGAAAAGAAAAGTAAAAACAGCAGATGATGATCTATTCACCTCATGTTCATCACTCTGCCAGCCGTGCATACGTTATCAATTGCCGGACGACACCTGGGTCGACGTTTTGCATCAGCAGTGCACCAAGTAGGCTTTCCTTTTTGGGAAGGATTCCAGAAGGAAACCGCATGGTTGAGTCGGTATCGGCATACTTCGACTTCTCAGCCAGGCGTCGAAGAATCGCCAAGCCTCGGTTGATGATGGAACCGTAAGCCTCCGCCTCAGCTTCAGCCTGTGCTCTCGCAGCATGAGTTTGGCGGGTGTTTTGAGGTGGTGGAGGTACACGTTCTGTGCTAAGCAGGCAGGAAAGGCGGAGGAGATGTATGGCGAAACCATCGACAGACTCAAGCCACGCCTTGGCTGTTGTCCCTTCGGCGAATCCTGACAGAATGTCCGCAGCCAAAAGTCCCTGCATGAGGAAAACTTTGCGAATATCCGCTATCGCCAGGGGCTTCCGTGGTTGATCGGGAATGGGGCAAATGGCAAGACCAAAAGCACGGGTAAGAAGCTCCTGTTGGGCAGTGGAGACACCATCCCCGGAAAATATTGACCGGAAGAAGGTCCGGTTCGGTTCATCCCGTGCAAGTAGCTTCGCTAAACTATCAACAGCAGCGGGAGTATACTTGTGAACGGAAGGGTTATAGGCTGTGAACATGACGTTGTCCGATGCAATAGCAGGCCCCGGGAAGGGAGCAAATGACAGAAGGAAGTGCAGAAGGCAGAGAGCCTCCTCCTTGCTTGGTAGATGGATGGCATGGGCCACGTTACTTAGATACGTAACAGTATCCTTCATGAAATCCAGCGTATTCTGATGTGTTCGGAGGAGCATGTTTCTCGTGCCGAGATAACGGATGATTGTTGAGATGAATTCAACAATAGGAGGCGTCGATAGAATATCAAAATTCTGCTCGAGAAATGAGAAGTTGCGCATAATCGTGGTAATACAGATGAGCCTGTCGACAGCCCGATCGAGCTCGTACTCGGTGCTTCCGAACTCGGAAACTGTGGTCAAAGATGTCCACTCGGACTGGCAGCCGCGCTTGATCTCTTCGTAAGATGGCAGAAGCATCATATCGGAAACCTCCGGTGCGTACTCTGCAAGAAACTCGGCCTGTTCTTCGGCACACTCTATCAGACTCTCAACTAAATCCTCACAGTTATCCAATGATATTTGGACTGCGGGTTCGGAAGACATCGAAACAAGAGTGTCTAAGGCCATGCGCATCTCAGCATGAATTCCAGACTTTATGCTCATCGTCAACGCATGGATGTCAATTACACCGAGCTCGGCAAAAGATGGCACGTTCGGTTTTAACCTTGAAAGATCCTCACCAAGCTGGTACATCTCACTCACTGAAATAGGCCCGTGAAGCTTATGATCTGTGAGTACCATTGGCTTGAACGTATCTCCTATCGGCCGTCCGAGAGGCTGGTTGAAGGACTGATCAACCTCATCAGAGGGCTTGCCGACTACAGACCCTGGTCCTTTCTCAGATGGGATGGGAGATTGGGTGGATAATTGGCCGTTGAGGTCATGTGGTGTGGCGGGTGGCTGGGACTGCCGTGAGACGCTAAGACGATGTTGGCTTTGCTGTTGTTTATGTTGCGATTTGACTGGTGTCGGCGTTGCGAAACCATTTGCGACATTTTGTGGCACATTATTTGGTGTCGACGCACTTATGGGGGAGGCTTGTCCAAGTTGTTGAGGAGTCTCGAAGCCTTGTTTGACCGCTGGCGAGGGAAACTGCATAGCAGATGGATCACTAGGCTGTCGCGATATTGAAGGCTGCTGAGCTTGGTCCGCAAACTGTTTTTGCTGAGTACTGAGAAAAGCCTGCTCATAGGCACCGAGGTTCCGTTGATAGTGATCTCGAATCTCCTGGACAGCCATTGGGAATTGCATCGGAGGAAACTGGAGCTGTTGAGCTATTACTGGCCACATATTTGCGGCCGTAATCTTCTTCGATCCTCCCAGTTTCATGACTGTCGCGTAGAGCTGCACGAGGTTGACTGGACGGCCCGAAACAACAGGGTTAGGATCAAGAGGTAGGTTCCTTGACATCATGAACTTCTGCAAAGAGCGCATGAATCCTTCGGGGTTGGGAGGCTTCTGCATATTTTGCTGCATCTGTCTTATGGCGGCCATTTGCTGAGGGTTCGCAATAGAGTTCATCCCTGCTACCATCGGGCGGCCACCCATTGCCGGGTTCACGCTCATCGCGCGATTTGGGTTCTGCATCTGCATGGCATGCATTCGCTGTTGCTGCTGCTGCGCGGCGAGAGCTTGCGGGTATCCTTGTGGCATGCCACCAAATTGCGCTTGCATGGGGGCTTGGACGGTGGCAGATGTCATTGCAGGTGTAGGTGTGAACTGGGGCCCCATTCCTTGAGGGAAGTGCTGACCGGGCATAAAGGTGTTATTTTGGGGTGTATTCACTCTGCTTGGGTGATCGGATTGCGATGGGGACATCTGGGATCCGACATGTGGTCCTGCGGGAGAGAAAGGGCTTGGAGAAGCAGTGCCCAGCCGTTGCGCGCCATGCTGATCGAAATCTTGCATAATCGGGGACTGAGATACATTTGTAGAGGCGCCTTGTTGAAGGTGCTGGTACTGTCCGGGGTGGGGGAATTGAGGTGCTCCATTTACTGGTCCTTGGTACCCGGGGAAAGGGACCTGGTGAGGCGTCTGTGACCGGGAAGCAAGTCCTCCAGGAGCTTGTCTAGGCGACATTGACATGCCATCTTCCGGGCGTGGCCGCTTAGATGGAATTACCTGGTTGGGGTTGGCGAATCCAGGAGACGCATTCCTCGGTACGCCATTGTTGAACATGCGCTGGAACTGGTTTGGATCGGGAGTAGGAGAGGCGTGGAGAAAAGCGGCAGAAGGGTCAATGGTCGCCTGATGGAAAGCACCATTTTCATGGTTTGGGAGGTTCGAGGCGTCAAGGGGCCAGGCATTCATGTCGTGCGGTTCTACCAACCCATCTGCAAGGCGAAAGGAGCTGTCAGAAAGGATGACACAAATGCAATGTTCTCATCATTCAACATGCGACCGGCAGGGAAGACGATGACAACAGAATTATCCTCATCTCTCATCACAATGCTTAGCTAGCACATGGGCACGAATTGCGATAAACTTCCAATGTCTTGACGCGTCATGATGGAAAGTCGCCTGTCGCGACCGAGGCGAAGCACCCGAAACAAGATCAACCTTACGTGGAGACGCCAGGGAAAGTCAAAGCATGGGAGGAATAAATAAATTCCTCAAAGGAACACGCAAAGTAAACAGTAGGATAGAAAAAAGGGTACATACCGACAAGGCTGGACAACTAAAATGCCGACTCGCAAGCGGACGATGGGAGCCGGTCCCGAAATAGCAGCAGCTGGCAAGTTGAGAGAGTGTGAGATCAAGGTCACGGGACCGGGTCTAGTGGGAACAAGCCCAGTCAGCGGTTAACAGCAGAGGGAAGCTGCCAAGCTTCTGTAGACATTATGGAATCGGACAATATCACAACAAGATATGCTTTGGGGCAGATAAGCTTAAAAAGAAAGACAATAGAAAGGATCCGAATCATTGGAGAGGCCCTGCGATGTCCATGGTGGTTCCGTAGAACGGCCGATGGTTGCCAGTAGTGCGTGGCCACAAGGGCGCAAGGCGTGTAACAAAAACCAATAACGGGGAAAGAAGCGGCGGGGCGAGCGTCGCAGAGACCAGAGACGTACCTAGATAAAGCGCACCATACACTGTAGTACGGTAGACCCTTGGCCAGAATCCTGTATTTTATTTCTTATTTTAGTTTTCAAAGGGACGAAATTTCAGGAAAGCCAGGCGATCGCTTGGAAAGGCCGATGAGTGGAGGCACAAGGGAAAGGGGATGCCGGGAATGGGGACGGGCGTGGAGGAAAAGGCAGGCAGCTCCCCAGATTTCGATGAGGAGAGGGTTGGGGATATCAAAAGTCAGATGGGGACGGGTGGACAAGATTTCCAGTAAGTTATTTTACCAGATCTGAGCAGTAATAATCTTAGCAGCAGAGACAGGAGAAGCAAGTCAGTCGCGGCGGTAAAAGGGGACAGGCGGAATTTCCCAGTGACAAGGTGAGAAGCACTGGGATCATCTGTTCTTCCGTGCCGGATGGATCCTGGCGGAATGCCACCCTTTGTAGTTGTGGCCATTCATGGTCCAGAGCAAGGAATGCTGTGCTGAGCGGGGAAACAATCAGAATCAAACTATCTCTTGGAAAGAAAGCCTGGAGCTCTGTTGTTGTTACTCAGTCCCGTGGGAGGAGCACGGCTTGGTGCCCCTATCCTGCAATGTTAGCACCTGCTTCCATTAGCCCAGTATATCGCTTGAGCCTCTGAGTCGGCTGTTGTCGGTGGACGTTCTTAGGTCCAGCTCGAACACAACGCTTCACATCCATGATCATGCTGCCTGGACAGCGCTGGAAGAGTCATATACTGCGATGATAACAGCCAGCTGCTTGTCGGATTTGAGAAATACAGACATCGCTGTGCTGGTCGTGTCTCGTCTTGAAGTTAGTAGTATTCATGGTTGATGTGGAGAGTGTAGTAAAAACACAGGGCAAGGAAGGAAATCGAGACAGCGATCCAGAGGAAGAGTCAAAGAGAAGGATCATTCAGTGTTTAAATCAGCAAAGGAGGGAGAAAGGGAGAATTGGAGGAGTTTTGGTTACGGAGACAGGATTATTTATAATGGCTCATGCTGCCCACCTGATGGAAATGATCCGCCCAATCTCGAAGTGCGTCAACAGGTATGGATGAGAATTTACGAACCAGGAACCGTTTGACAACCCCCTCACTGTATCCAAATTTGACCCTTGGGTGCACCCTACTTCACAACGACTAATCCTGGCTTTTGCAAGAGACTATGCCTTACCTATGGATTGCTGTCCCACCTGCCACGTCCATATAGCGCTCCACTGCGATAGAGGGCGGTTGGGCTGATTTTGAAGACATGGATCAGCTTAGAAGCATTGGATTTATAGCAGACTGCGGTAATGCTTCAACCACAACAGCATTCACTCTGCAGCTGCCCCTAAAAGGAATTTGTTAAGTGTCCACGGGAAAGTTGACTCTCCTGGAGGAGAGTCCTCTGATCAGGTGCGTCATTCGGCGAAAGTCTGGCACCCGGACCATCGATCAGCAGCATCTTGTAGAAGTTGAAAGATATTTAAATGTCTCGAGCGAATTACTGTTACACACACTAGATCCAGTTGACGACATTACTAGCAGTAGTCGATATTTCTATCGTCTTGCAAAAGTTAGACCACTCCGTAGCTATAGCAAGAAGAGCTGCGCGCAATGTTATCTTTGATTGGGTCCAGAAATTGACATGAAGCATGGTTTCAAGAACTGTGATTACTTTCCCTGAAAATATATACCCTTTGAAAGAGGCATTTGATATTGTATATTGTATTCAGAAGAAGATAAATTCGGCGCTGCGGCTTCTGCTGGGTTCCTCGCCACGCCATGGCGATGAAGTGCCAAGCTCTAATCACGTGATCATACCGGACGAGAGCTACGTGAGCGGTCCATCTTGTCGTGCTTGCCGCGAAGCTCCAAACAGCAAGGCTGCATTCTACAACCAACATCTGCTGTTCATCTTCCCTTATCCTCTTGAAACCGCCACCCCAACCCTATCCCTGTTCTCTCTGTTTCCAACAAACATCATCCACAATGGGAGACGTCGCCGTGGAGAACCCGGCGAACACCATCTCGTCTTACAACAAGGCAGCTCCCTTGGATACGATTCCCAACATAGACTCTCTCGAAGGCACAGGCGCAGATGACGGTGACGAATATGCTACCCTGAAGAAGCTGCAGAGACACCTGGAGTACGTAATATTGAATCAAGTGTGATGCTTTGGCTGACGTATGGACACCAGGTACATCAAACTCCAAGAAGAATACATCAAGGATGAGCAAAGGTTTGTTCACTTTCAGAAAATCAAGTAACTGCCTACTAAATGTGATTTACCAGGAGTCTGAAGAGAGAGCTGGTTCGCGCACAGGAGGAGATCAAGCGGATACAGAGTGTGCCCTTGGTCATTGGCCAGTTCATGGAAGCAATCGACCAAAAGTACGGTGGCCGATAACTTACTGGACGAGAACACGAACTAATGTGCAATTAGTACCGGTATTGTGCAGTCATCGACCGGTTCCAACTATGTCGTTCGCATTCTCTCTACCCTCGACCGCGAGAAGCTGAAGCCGTCCTCATCCGTCGCCCTCCACCGTCATTCTAACGCCCTCGTTGATATCCTACCACCAGAGGCCGACTCTTCCATTGCTATGCTAGGAGAGAATGAGAAGCCGGATGTGACATACGCAGATGTTGGTGGTCTCGACATGCAGAAGCAGGAAATTAGAGAGGCCGTCGAGCTTCCTTTGACGCATTTTGATCTTTACAAGCAAATCGGTGAGTGCTGCAATGTCGAGCTTCAACCTGTCATCCGGATGCCTAATCGTACCTTTGTGCTTTAGGTATTGACCCTCCTCGCGGTGTTCTGTTATACGGTCCTCCCGGAACTGGAAAAACAATGTTGGTCAAAGCTGTTGCGAACAGTACTACCGCAAGCTTCATCCGCGTGAATGGTTCCGAATTTGTTCAGAAATACTTGGGAGAAGGACCCCGCATGGTCCGTGATGTGTTCAGAATGGCGCGAGAGAACTCTCCAGCCATCATCTTTATTGATGAAATTGACGCTATTGCTACGAAGCGTTTTGATGCCCAGACCGGTGCCGATCGTGAGGTCCAGCGTATCCTGCTAGAACTTCTTAACCAGATGGATGGTTTTGAGCAGACGAGTAACGTGAAGGTCATTATGGCGACCAACCGAGCAGATACTCTGGACCCGGCCTTGCTGCGACCCGGTCGTCTAGACCGAAAGATCGAGTTCCCTTCGCTACGTGACAGGCGAGAGCGCCGATTGATTTTCTCCACAATTGCGTCCAAGATGTCCTTGTCTCCGGAGGTAGACTTGGACTCACTCATCGTTCGAAATGAGCCGCTGTCCGGTGCAGTCATTGCAGCGATTATGCAAGAAGCCGGTCTTCGTGCGGTGCGAAAGAACCGATACAACATCATCCAGTCCGATCTTGAGGACGCGTACGCTGCACAAGTCAAGACCGGACAGGAATCGGACAGGTATGTCACCGTCTTTCGTCGTTTGATATTGAATCTCACTAATGGGTTGAAAGGCTCGAATTCTACCGGTAATGGGGATTATCTCGTATCATATGGTGGGATCCTAGCTATGTATCACGAGAAGATAGTAGCAATAAACTGTATCATCACGATTTGTGCCGACGAATCTGTAGGGTAGTGGTCAAGTGCCGTTTTTAATGAATCAGGGCAAGCCACATGAATTGTGACTCGTCTTTGTAAGTTTACGCATGGAGATAGCGTATGTATCTGCTTTTTCCTTCCATGATTAGGACGACCTCGATCTCATGTAGGGTGTGATCAAAATGCTTATGGTCAGGACATTATATATACGTGTACAGGCTACGTGATTAGGGAATCACTGGGGAATAGAACTTGGGACTGAGATCCAGGGACCAACCCTTACTCCGACTTCGAGTCTGCTTGAGAAGCATACTGTATGATTGTGTCTCCCTGCGAGAGCCCTGTGTTTTGTACAACTCTGACAACTTACTGCTTTGCAGAACGGTGCCTGGCGATCCCCGCTGCTTGCCTCAGGCTGTGAAGGAGCCCAGCATCCACTAACCTGATAAGGGACCACCGTCGGCGCTTATCAAGCCAGCTTGCCTGCGTGATCCAAGTATCCCCAACCTCGAGCTCGGCTGCTCGACTGTTCAAGAAGAATATAGGGAGAATACCCGGATAATTCCAACATATATCAACCAAATGCTAAAATATCGCATAAGTAGAGTTACTTCCCATATGCTATCAAGATACTCCCAAACTCACGCGAGTCTGCCTGCGCGGTGCCTAGGCCGATGACGCAGTTGGGGTCTAGTGATTGGCTGCGCCCCAGGTCGCTCCGCAACCAGGCGGCGGGAGCGCGGCCAGCCTGCATCATCTCACCTCCATCCTCTCTCGTCTCTTCTCCAACTCCTTCCTGTCATCCCCATCTCTATCCTTCCTTCATCGTCCTGGTCCGTATTCGTAAAGTCCATTCTTTCGCTTTATTCCAACGTTCATTTGGCTCCTTTTGACGTTGCCCATCATGAAGTCCTCCTTGCTCACAGCTTCCGTGCTGTTGGGCTGTGCCTCCGCCGAGGTTCACAAGCTGAAGCTCAACAAGGTCCCCCTGACCGAACAGTTTGTGAGTTACCTACCTCACCTCATCTGGATAAAAGCTGGCGAATCTCGATTCCGAATGTTTCTGACCGATATAGATCGCCCGTAACATTGCCGACCACGCGAACTCCCTCCACCAGAAGTACATGGGCCAGTTCCAACAGCAGGTCATCCAGGACGAGCCTGCCAACGCCATGGGACGCCACGATGTTCTGGTCGACAACTTCATGAACGCACAATGTAAGTTTCCTGACGGATGCCGGTCAAATGATACTCACGCCTCTTCCGCTAGACTTCTCCGAGATTGAGCTTGGTACCCCTCCTCAGTCCTTCAAGGTCGTCCTCGACACCGGCAGCTCCAACCTGTGGGTTCCATCTTCGGAATGCGGCTCCATCGCCTGCTACCTTCACCAGAAGTACGACTCCTCCGCTTCATCCACATACAAGAAGAACGGTAGCGAGTTCGCTATCCAGTACGGATCCGGAAGCCTGAGCGGATTCGTGTCGCAGGACACCCTCAAGATTGGCGACCTCAAGGTCAAGGGCCAGGACTTCGCCGAGGCTACCAGTGAGCCTGGTCTTGCCTTCGCCTTTGGCCGCTTCGACGGTATCCTCGGCCTTGGCTTTGATACCATTTCCGTCAACAAGATCGTCCCTCCCTTCTACAAGATGATTGAGCAGGGGCTTCTTGATGAGCCCGTCTTCGCCTTCTACCTTGGCGATGCCAACAAGGAGGGTGACAGCTCTGAGGCTACCTTTGGTGGCATTGACAAGGACCACTACACTGGCGAACTGATCAACATCCCTCTTCGCCGCAAGGCCTACTGGGAGGTTGACCTTGACGCCATTGCTCTTGGCGATGATGTTGCTGAGCTTGACAACACTGGTGTCATCCTTGACACTGGCACTTCTCTTATTGCTCTCCCGTCCAACCTGGCCGAGATGATGTAAGTGATTAAATACCTTTGACTCATTCTTACAAAACGGCTGCTGACTCACTCTCAAGTAACACGGAGATTGGTGCTAAGAAGGGCTTCACTGGCCAGTACTCTGTTGACTGTGCGACTCGCGACTCTCTGCCTGACATCACTTTCACTCTGACTGGCCACAACTTCACCATTGGCCCTTATGACTACACTCTTGAGGTCCAGGGATCTTGCATCAGTGCTTTCATGGGCATGGACTTCCCCGAGCCCGTCGGTCCTCTGGCCATTCTCGGCGATGCTTTCCTGCGCAAGTGGTACAGCGTGTATGACCTCGGCAACAGCGCTGTTGGTCTGGCCAAGGCCAAGTAAACGACCCCAATTTTGATATATATGTATCCTACCGCAAACGATTGATTTTTTTTTTCTTTGAGAGGTCGTGGCTCGGATGCGACCATGGAACCCATTGGTCCGTTCATTGTTTCCTGCCTGGGCGAGTCGCGGCGATGATGTTAAGGTTGTGATTCACTGTTACTGTATTTTGCCAGCTAGTGTTACTCTTTGGCTACGCGGTAACATTTAGACCTGCCGTCAGAAATGACCATACTAGTATCCCTAGATCTGGTGTTTCAGGTGTGTAGAACAATAGATTGATAAAAGTACTGCCATAGAAAGTCTGGGCCGAGTCTGGTCGCCCCCGCACGAGGCAAACCTTGAAGCTCCCGACCGCCAACCGAACCAGATCCTTGTTGCTGCCTTAGTGAGCTGGCCGCGAGATCTCTTTCATCATCCCATCACCACTGGTCCTGCGTGCTCAATCACGCCCACTCCCCAGTCTTTTGCATCTAACTTCGATAGTCCCGAGATATATTCTTGCACGTCCTGAGTGCTGCTAGGTGCGACAAAGTCTTCGTTGATTTGAACCCTTCTCTCGCGCTTTTTTTGCGTCGCGTGCGCTCGTCTCGTTCGACTGCGACCAGTCTTACCTCGCCTTCTCCGCACGATCCTAGCGAGTCGAACGCGTTGCTCTATGAACTGCGCTGCTTAACGAAAGTATCCATTACATACGACCTTACATCCTCAACACCGCGGTCCAGAAACGCTTGCAACTCGCCGGTTCCCGGGCATGGCTCCATAGCTCTGAATTACGAGCTTCAACCACACAATAACTGCCGCCTGCCGGCTCCACTGCTACCTACAACGGTACTACAACAGAGGACGTGGAATGAGGGAATAATCAGGACAAACACCAAGATTGGTACAGGAGCATGCTACTTCGTTTACCGCCGAGTCTCCACTACCCCATCACCGTTACCTCGTTGCTGAAACGGCCCGGTGATGAGGTGCAGAGGGACGAGGCTCTGTTCTGGTATGTGTACCAGACGACTGTCACAGAGGGGGATGGGCTGGGGAACAAGGTCGATGTGAAGCGCAAGTTCCCGACGCGATTCGAGTCGACTGTTGATGGGACGATTTTGAATTGGAAGATCAGTAAAGGAGATGTCATTGATGAGCCGTGAGTTTTGCCATCTTTGTCCAAGGTAGCGGGGGATACTGACTTGAGCTGGGTAGGGTTGAGATTGTGGAGATTGATGAGCCATGTGCGCACGAGGTGCAATATGGCGGGCTGTGCGCGGAGTGTGGAAAGGATATGACCGAGTATGTTGCTGCGATATGTGGTTTGAGACTGGCTAATGATGCAGGGCGACGTATAACACCGACATCACGGATTCGATGCGCGCGCCCATTCAGATGACGCATGACAACACTGCTCTGACTGTCAGCGAGAAGGAGGCTACGCGCGTGGAAGAGGATGCGAAGCGCCGACTATTGGCAGGGCGGAAACTTTCGCTGGTGGTTGATCTTGACCAGACGATTATTCACGCGACCGTCGACCCGACTGTTGGCGAGTGGATGGAGGACAAAGACAATCCGAACCATGAAGCGCTGAGCGACGTCCGAGCGTTTCAGCTAATTGATGATGGCCCTGGGATGCGTGGCTGCTGGTACTATGTCAAACTACGACCAGGGCTAGAGTCATTTTTGCAAAACATCTCCGAGATGTTCGAGCTGCATATCTACACGATGGGAACTAGAGCCTACGCGCAGCATATTGCTAGTATCATAGACCCAGACCGGAAGCTGTTTGGCGACCGCATCCTCAGCCGTGACGAGAGCGGGAGTTTAACTGCCAAAAACCTCCATCGGCTGTTCCCCGTGGACACAAAGATGGTCGTCATTATCGACGACCGCGGGGACGTATGGCGGTGGAGCCCTAATCTTATCAAGGTTTCACCGTACGACTTCTTCGTTGGCATTGGTGACATCAACTCGAGTTTCCTGCCGAAGAAACAAGAGCTGGGGCCGCCGCCAGAAGACAAGCCGACGAGCGCGCCCGCCGAACATCATGTGAATGGATCTACTGAGAAAGGCGATGGGTCAGAGGTGTCAACATTGGAACAGCTGGTGACTATGGGTGGTGGAGATGACCCGCGGTTACTGCAAGAGCAGAGCGATGCGCAGGACGAGACCATCATGCATCAGGTTGAGGATCGTCCGCTATTGCAAAAGCAAAAGGAGTTGGACGCGGAAGACGACTCGATTGAAACTAGCGATTCTTCGAGCATGGACGAGTCGCCAGATACGGCTCGACAGCGGCATCATCTGCTGGTGGACAATGACCAGGAACTTATTCAGCTAGCAGAACGACTGGAGCAGGTGCATTCCCAGTTCTTTGACCAGTATGACAAGAAACGAGCTCGAGGCCTAGGAGGGCGAGTCGCTGCTCTCCGAGGAGAAAAGGCCCTGTCAAAAGAGAAAGATGTCGACTTGAAGCTGGTACCAGATGTCAAAGACATCATGCCGCAAATCAAACGGCGCATTCTCGGCGGCGTAGTCATCGTCTTCTCGGGCGTCCTGCCACTCGGCACAGACACGCAAAACGCCGACATTTCCCTCTGGGCAAAGAGCTTTGGGGTCACGATCGCGCAGAAGATCAACATGAAAACGACACACCTAGTCGCCGGGCGGAATCGCACCGCCAAAGTCCGCGAAGCAACCCGCTATCCACGCATCAAGATCGTCACGACGCAATGGCTCCTCGAATGTCTCACACAGTGGAAGCGTCTTGACGAGGAGCCATACCTACTCCCAGTCCACCCCGACGACCGCGGGCTGCCCATTTCGCCGAGCTCCAAGGAAATGGCCGAGAGCTCGTGGCTCTCATCCTCCGATGAAGCAACTGGCAACGAATCATGGACCGACACCGAAGAGACCACCGAGCTCAACGAGGATATTCTCAAGTCCTCCGGCCTAACAGAAATATCCCCAATTGGCTACGACCAGGACCAACAAGCCGCCATCCACGAAGAACTCAAAGAGTTCCTAGGCAGTGACGATGATAGCGAAAGCGACAGCGAAGCCTCCTGGGCCATGGATCGTGACGAAGTCCCGCCGACATCGTCCCCCGGTAAGAAGCGCAAGCGAGACGACGACGCCACCGACGAAGAGGAAGCCTCTGGCTCGGATACCCAGACCGAAGCCGGCGACGTTCCCGGCTCGCGGCTCTCGCAGCGCATCAAGCGCTCGTACGAGCGGAGCACCGGGTTAAAAGAAGTCGCTACAGCTAGCGGAACGGGGTCTGCAGCAGGTACTGGCACAGGTACAGGTTCACCTTCGAATTCAGGCACAGATCGTGATACACCTGAAGTCTCATTCGTCGAGACCGAAGAAGAGGCCGCTGCTTCGCGGAATCCAGATGCCGCGTATCCTGAGGATCCCGTTGAGGACGACGATGAGCTCGAGCGCGAAATGATGGCGGCGTTTGAGGACGGCGGGTTCGATTCCGCTGCGGAGGAAGATATTGGTGCGGAGAATGGGTAGTTGCTCAGCCTGAAGAATTCTAAGCGTTACCAGTACCATCCTACATGTTCCTACGCCGTCTCCGTCGGTTTCTCCTGAACCCGCTCCAATCTCAGACCACACGCTGCGGTGGACATACTTCGCCGTCTTGGACTGTACATTCCTCCTGCCCTACCTTGTTCCTTGCCCTTATGAGCATAGCGAGGCGTTGGTGACTGACTTGAACTACTGAACCACCTTGAGTTGAGTTTTTCGTATTTATCCTTTTGCAAATGAGGGTTTCAGATTGTTTCATATGGAGGTCATCTCAGATAACTAAGCTCATATATGTATCGGAAGATGTAGGAAATAACATGACAATGCATCACCGCTTGTTCGACCAAATCGTAAATCAGTAGACGCTCCCTAACGCCATATATGCACCAATCGTAACTCGGTAGAGATGCCAAGGATATAGAATAAATAAAACATGGCCGCGTCACTCGTACCAACCATACCATACTACTTGTCGTGGTAGTAACCAGATAATGCCCAGAGCACCTACCCTGGGTATGTTCTCCAAGACTCAAATAGTCTTCCATAGCCTGTCGAGACAATCGCAGGCAGCATCAATTCGTTGAAGGCCATAGAACGGATGCTAGTGGTTAACATCTCGATGCACCTTCCACGCCATAACCATCATCCACAGAAAGAAGACTGTATTCACCAGCTCAAACGCAAAAGCCGTGCGCCAGCAGTTACCTGCCCAAATAGACGTTAGCGACCTCCCTCAAGCTAAACTTGTTCATTCCCCAACGCCCGTTGCCCACTCCAATTCAACGAAGGGAACAAAACCGGGGTGACATACAAAGATTATTCTGCGTAATCCACGCCATCGTATTCAAATTATCCCCTCCGACGCGATTATCGTAAACCCAAATCTGGCAATTATCGTTGATGTTCGCGACGACGCCGTACATCTGCAGGGACGTCTCGATGAGCCCTGTGAGCCAGAGGACGAAGAGGATGAATGTGCCGACGAGGATTATGCCTGGCAGGAGGAAGCCCTGCATCGCGAGAACGATGACGAGGATGATGAAGAAAAGGGAGAGCGTGCTTGTTGTAAGCGTGTAGGGGAGGAGCCTATTTAGTTTTCGGGTTTATGGTTAGTTTGGGCTCGCTTGTAGCTTTGTATAGGAGGAAAGGAGGGGGGAGGAAGGGGAAGTACGTACCATGGCACACCGAGTCGCAGCTCATTTTGTACGGAGATAAACCAGGCGAATATACCCAAACAGATGCAGGATGCGGCGAGGACTGTGAGGATCCAGATGTTGAGTTGGATCTCGGGCCATTGGTAGTGTTTTGGAGGTGGACGGCGGGCCATTGCGGTTCTCGGTTTATGTTAAAGTCGAAGCAAACGGGCTTGTAGATGGTATTTATATGTCACGGTGTATAAGTCGCTGCAGTCGGTACCTCAGTCGAAGAGGGGTCCCGTGTCTCATAACAATTCGTCTCGAAATATAGATACGGCCTTTGAGGTAGGGTATACAATCGGGTAGTGATTCAGATGGATGGATGACCTTGCCACGACAAGGGGACCGATTGGATGAGTGCTATGAATAAGGTACGGCGTGAGGCCGCAGCCAGCGCATCCGCGCCGTCTCTGTGCCTGCCCGGTGGAGTGAAGCTGAAGTAGTTGTGGTGTGTCGATTGAGTGAATGCGATACGCTGGTTCGATCGGCGTTACATAAGCGGGGCTCTTCGTTGGGTTGAGGCAGCGAGGTTGTCACTGTTGGGCTGTTGAGAGGGTGGAAGGACGATTTCGACCTTTTTTCTCAAGAGAGGAGATGACGATGTGGATGACGGTATGAAAATGATGAAGAATGTCAAAGTGGATTGAATTGTGCAACTGAGGTTGAGAAAAAGAGGAGGCGGGGAGTTTGTTTTTCTATACTTCGGCTGCTTAATTCCGGTGGCAGGGCGACCTCTCCCCTGTCCACACTCGAGCCCCCGCTCCGTATCAACAACTTCTTCATAAATCATTACTATTCTTCTTTAGACTACCCGTCTATGTGTTCCAGCTAACAAGTACAGAAAACCGTCTACAGCAAGGTATCGCCCAACGCGCTGCGAACCAGCGAGCACCCGGTGCGAATCGTGTCCGAAGCCCCCACGGCGTCCAGGCTGGGGTTCACCTCGACCAGATCCATCGAGATAAGGTTGCCCGTCTCGTGTACGCACTCGCAGATGAAATCTCCCTCGCGCAGAGTCAGCCCCCCACGCACCGGGGTTCCCGTGCTAGGCGCATACTGCGGGTCGAGAGCGTCGACGTCAAAGGAGAGATGGATTGGGGTATCGTTGCCGATGTGCGCGAGGGCCATTTCGACGACCCGGCCGATTCCGTGTCTGACTTGTCAGCTTATCTTGCAACTAACAAATGCGAGGATATAAGAGAGGGAAAGGAGTACCTGTCAACATCGTGCATGCTGAACGCCTTGATTCCATGCTCACGCAGTAGCTTCTTCTCGCCGCGATCGACATCTCTCAATCCGATATAAACCAGCTTCCGCAGGTTCACCAGATGGTTCTCCTGCAACCAACCAAAGATATCCTTCTTTTCCTCCTTCGCCAGCCCGGTCAAAAACGCCATCGGCATACCATGGATATTACCGCTAGGGCTCATCTCGGGGATGTTGATGTCCGCATGCGCATCGACCCAAATGACACCGATCTCACGACCCAGTCGCTCCCGCGTGGCCCTCGCAATACCAGAGATACTTCCTATCGCAATCGAGTGGTCGCCGCCGAGCGTGAGTGTGAACTTGCCCTCGCGCGAGTGCTCGTATGTCTGTCTGCTGAGGGTCTCCGTAACGGCGGACACAGCGCGAGGCTTCAGCATACCCCGGTGAGAGGGGTCCTCGGCGGGGATCTCATTCTCGTAGTAGTGCACTGTGTTGTCGTAGTCGATATCGTAGTCGAGGTCTTCCTTGAGCTGGGTAAGGAGACCGGCTTCGATCAGGGCCATCGGGGCCGCTTCGACACCGAGCTTGCACTGTGACACACAAAAGACCACATTAGCTCTAGCTCTATTTCTGTTTTGGGTTATGCAGGGTCATAGGGTGTTCGCGCCGCGAAGCATGGCACTGCAGAATGCACTGCAGTGATCGACAGCCGCGGGTATCCGTACCTGGCCGCCATTAAAGCCGACAGCAACGACGCCGAGCTGGTTTGGCTGGGAGAGGAACGTCTGCTTGATGGTGGATGGTTGAGTCATGGTGGCAGAGATATCAATCTGATCTTTGACTGTGTAGATATCGTCGTTGAGCGCGGCGATAAGGTGTCGAACAAAGTAGGCTAAAAAGATTCTAGAAGGACCTAAAATAGCATTCGTCGATGTCAGTCTGGATTGGGTGGAGTCTGCAGTTGCGGTTGCGGTTGCCAGTGGGAGCCACGAACGTACGTCGGAGTATAACACGAACACGAACACCTGAGATGAGATCTTTCTCAAACTGATGAATTCAAAAAGAGAAGAGAGGGAGAAAATGTTTAAGAGTCAAGTCAGACAGCCTGAAGACAAAGAGAAACCTGTTCGACTTTATGTTCGCAGCTTGCCGTGGGGCATCGCTAAGACCTGCTTTTAGGGATCGTGGATTTCCGCTAAGTACAGGTGCAGGAGAGAGACGGCTGCGCATCCCACTCCACCGTGCGAGATCCTGCGTTTTTATTAGCAATGGGTTTTTTTATCGGCCAGGTGGTAACTAGGTTGCAATGCCCAGAGAGTTTACCCCTGTGAAAGCCTGAGGGGCTATGGTGTCTTATGCTGGAACGTAAGGGGAGAATGACGTCCCTGGTATGTATACTTGTGTGTACAATGTAGTATACATGTCTATCTAGCTTACAATTCACGCATCTAGAACGGTTCATACTCGGGTAGGGGCTAGGATAGAATAAGCTCCTTCAGAATCGCCTCCGCCTTTTGCGCCTCAACACGCCCTTTCTCTCCCATGCGTATCATTTGCCCTACAAACCATCCCAGCTTCCCCAGCTGGTTCTTCGTCCGAATCTGCTCCACCATGCCTGGGTTCAGCTCCATAGCCGCCTCCGCTAGGGCAATGTACTCTTCCCTCGAGAGGGGCCGCAAGATAAGGTTTTCCTCTTCAAGCAGCTGTGCGACAGGCCGTCTGTCTCCGTCGAATAGCATGCCGAGCACCTGCTTCGCCGTAGCGCCGGTGATTTGTTTGCGCTGGAGGTTGTCGATAATCGCCGCGAGGGACTGTGCGCTCACGCGCTCTGCGTCCCAAGGGAGGTCGGCTTTTGTTAGAAGGCCGCCGAGCTCGTGGAGGACCCAGTTGCCTGCTATGCGGCCGAGGTCGGATTGGGCTTTGGAGGGGAGATCTTGCTGGAGCGAGCGGAGAATGTCGACTACGTCTTGGTAGTATTCGAGTCGGGCGCCGTCTTCTAGGTCCACGAGTGGTTTGGCGTCTTCGATGGGGAGTTTATAGGTAGGACCGACTAGCATGTCGAGCAGTGTGTCTGGTACTGTTGGTAGGCTAGCCGCAACCTCCGCAACGAGGTCCTCGCCTATCAGTAGGGGCGGAATATCCGGATCTGGCATATATCGATAGTCGACCTCGCCTTCCTTTCCTCGGAGCTTGCGGGTTTCGGTGCTCCCAATTGTCCATCCTCGCGTCTCGCCCTCTATAACGCCTCCGCTCTCGAGGACTGAGATCTGACGGTTCTTCTCCGCAATGATCGCGTCCTCCACTGCCTTGAAACTGCTCAAGTTCTTGATCTCGGTACGCTGACCGAGGCCGCTAATACCACCGTACTGATGAGCACCCGGATCCTCGCTTCGCTGCCTAACCGAGACGTTGATATCGGCACGGAGGCCGCCTAGTTCCATTCCAGTCGTCACCGCATTACACGTCTGGAGGATTGATTGCACCTTGCGCACAAGGGCAGCAGCCGTAGCGGGATTGTGGATTTCGGGCAAAGTGATTATCTCAATGAGAGGGTGGGATACGCGGTTGAAATCAAGCAGCTGCGTGGAAGGAGGGTAATCCTGCGACTTGGCTGTGTCTTGCTCAAGCTGGATCTGCTTGATGCCAACACGGATATGGTCTCCATCTTCCGGGGCAATACCGTCGTGTTTGTATAGGTCGATGTGGCCATTCCTCGCAAAGGGTTCTATCGAGTCAGTACTCGCTACCAAGTCCGGATTTATGCCATACCGTAGTATTGTGTGATTTGATAGCCCGCCGGCTGATCCTGGTAGAAGTAGTGCTTCCGATCGAAACGGCTAACTGGCTGGATCTCGCAGTTCAGGGCAATGGCAGCGCGCAGGGCGGGTAGGAGCGTCGCAACTTGGAATTCCTAGCAGTCCATCAGCATCTCCATCGCCTTAATGACAGATCCTGTACAAACCGGCTGACTCCCCGGAAACGCCAAGTCAAAAAGCGCAACATTCGAGTTTGGGACCTCAGACGACGAAGTTGACGCTCCTGCACACCAGTCAGAGAGACCCCTTGCATGACAATGGCTCATGTATAATTGGCGCACTTGAGAATAACTTTGCCTCCGTGTTCAGTTGCGCATGGATCTCCACCCCCACGGTCAACTCCCACTTCTCCCGCGAAGCCTCCTCCTGTTCTCGTCGCCGTCGTTTTTGGGCCTTTGCGGATTTCGCATCTTGTTTGAGTTGTTTTCGGAGAGGGATGCGGTCTTGCGCATCTGTGGGTGCCGTTTGGAGGCTGCGGATTGGGGTGTAGGAGGGCAATTGAAGTGGAAGCGACTGGTTGAGTGCGGAGAGTCGGAGGATGTTATGGTGCCGGCATTGTGGGCATGTGAATGAGAGGGCAGCGCGGGGCGTATGGCGCAGACATTGTCGGAGCATATGGAAGGCTGCTATTTTGTAGGATCCGGAGCCGTTCTAGTGTTGGGACCGAGCATTGACAGGGAATGGACTATCTGGTAGCTACCGGAGATGTTCATCTGGTGGAGAGATTATATTACAAGCATCGCGCCAGGCATACGGTAACAAACCAGCATTGAGCTTATTTCTTAGGGACAGCGGGTAAGATACGGTAACTCTCATCGCGTTTGGTGCCTAACAAGTAAGGCTTATCTCCAGGGTCTCTAATTGTCAACAGTTCGCGGACAATGGAAGCCTCAGTATGGTTCCCACGAGATGTGGAAATGAGAGGGCGGAACATCGGTTGGAATCGATATCTGACACTGTAGGCTCCAGAATTGTATCAGAGATCAAGATATGCCGGGATGTTAGTGTCGGCTGTGAGAGATCTGATACATCAATGAAGGAGTCGTCGTGAAAACCAGATTGAATCGAATCATCAGTCGTCATCAGATGAGTGAGAGCGAGCAGTTGCAGTCATGTCAATCGCGAAAAGTTCGCGCGTTCTCCAGAAGAAAGCAGCAGCGAGTCAGCGTCAGACACATCAGATGCACTGCGATGTAAGTTATGCAGCAAACTCCATATATTGGCGATGATCTCGACGCTTCCATGCCCCCAGCCGTCTTCTTTCTTTCTGCAAACTCTCCTCATCATTGTTCTTTTTTATTTCCGCTTCTGTCAGGATTCATCACAGAGACAGACCGAGGGATCGATCTGTAACACTTGGCGTTGTGTCAGGCGCGTATCAACCCATCCTCAGCGAATCGAGCCCCTCCATGATCTTCAGCCCAAGAACCTGTGAAAGAAGATCCATGGGGTCCGTCTCAGCTTAACTCCTGCTACTATCTGAGCTAGTTCATTTATATATACCAGGCTCGTCGGCCTTAGGTTCCTCAGGTATCCCTCCTCTTGGGCCTTGACTCGGGATCTCCAGGCTTGACTATTCTATACCCAAACTCGTTGGTGGCTCCATACATACTCACGATTGCTCCACTTCCGCAGCTTTATTCCGAACTATTGAAAATCCTCGTCAAAAACCGCAAAGTCCAGAGAAAACACAAAAATACAAAAGGAATCAAGGCGCCTGGGCTTCGCGCCTACGCATTCTGTCCTACATTCCTCTCTATCGCTATCCGCCTGGAATTCCTCAAGGCCCCTCCATCCTCCCCTTGACATGCGCCCATTGCCCTCGCCTGTCTTCACCGTCTTATTTCTTCATGTCCCCGTCCTTTTCATGTCTTCGGGTTTCACGACCTAATCTGTTTCTGCCGGGTTAAGCTATCGTGATCCTCTACCCTAGCCCTGATCGCAATGCCGTCCTCGTATCCTGGGTTCAATCGCCCAAGGAGGTCTACCAAGTCTTCCGCTGCTTCTGTCATCTCGACGAGCTCGAAGACATCCAAACCTTCAGTCGAGAAATCCAGGAAAGATATTCCTCCACCTCCGCCTCCACCACCCGCGCCGCCGAGCGTAGAACCGAGCGGCTCTGGATATACTCCCAAGGCGCAACCGGCGCCAGCAACTGCACCCGCTCCAAAGAGCAAAGAAAGCAAAGAGAATGCGCTGAACGTGTTTGAATTCCTTCAGTCCGACTCGGAAACAGACAGCGATTCAGACTCGGATCTTACCTCGTCCGATGACGATGACCTGCGCCCTCCATTCCCACCTAGCTCCAGCTCTAAACCCAAAGCTTCTGCTCCCCGCCAACCAAACACGGCTGTTCCCGTGCAGAACCGTCCAAGACCCTCATCTGCCAAACCAAAGGAGACACAGCCGCCCGGCTTGTTCAATACGTCCCCGGCCACAGCGCCGCCACTGCATCTCGCCAAGCAGCCACCGGCTCATCGACGACCGTCCACTGATGCATCAATCAGCGTCGCGGGGTCGTATGATGGCTCGCTACCTCCAGAGCATAGAAACTTGGAACTAGTCCCGGAGGATTATTACCAGAAGGCCTCTACTTCTCTCCGTCGAGCGTCCTTCCCGCCATCTCCTCCGCAAAGCCCAGAGGAAGACCTACATCGCTCTGGCCGGAAGATTAGGCGGAGCACAAAATCTTCACGCCTTCCCACCGGGTATGGCCTCATAGCATGGCGGCTGAGTTCAACCGCGGAGGGGAAAGAGTATAGTATACCGCCCCTCTACCGACGCTTCGAAGACGTCAACCATCGAGTCCTGCTATACCTACAGGATGAAATCGCCCACCTGGAAGAAGAGCTGCGGGTGCTGGACGACTATGAAGAAATGCAGCGCCGAGGAGCCGCCGAACAGGAGGGCACAAAGGTGATGCCTGCGTCTCGACGCATGGACGTCCAAGCTCAGGCCTATTCGTCCCTCCATTACCGCCGCGAGGAGGTAATGGGCACATTGATCCAGAAAACAGAGCAATATAGTATGTTGCCTCTCCCGATTCTGATATTCACGAATCCTAATATATTCCTAGACAATGCTCTCGCAGCCTACAGCAAAGTCCTTCAAACTCTCCCGCGCGCCAGTGAAACAGACGTAGACACCTACCGCAAATGGATGAAAGGAAACGTCCCCGTCGCACCCCACGAAATGCGTTTCCTCGACCACCGCAAGGATCTCGTCTCGCTGACTCCGGGAAAGAAATCTGAGCCCTCATCGGAAACACCACCCGTCTACTCTGCCATCATCATCGCCTCGGCTGCAATCATCCTACCACTCCTGGCATTTAGCATGATCGCCGAATTCGCTGGCCGAATTCTGGTTGTCGCCGTCGTCGGTGGTGCTTCGGCGGCCGTTGCAGCGAATTACTCGACGGGGGCTGAACATCTTGTCAAGTCGCAGGATGGGTGGCGGTGTGCTGGATTGTATGTTCCAATTTTTCTCTCTCGTATATATGTGGCTGAGTACATCCACTAACCTGGCGGACAGATACTTTGGCTTCATGGCCGTAGCTGCGCTATGCATTTAGTATGCTCGCCACCACCGAAATGCAGCCACTTTGATATCGCCATTCTATCTAACACATATACCCCTTTGCGCATCTCATTTACACTCCCTGATACTAACGACATGACGAATTCTTCGACCGGCACGCCAGAACTAATCAACGATTTATCTGACCAATTCAAACGATTGCTTCTATTTTCATATTCTTGTCATTGCTTCATCATTCAATGTTCAAGTTCGAGCGATAGATAAGAAAAAGGGATCCCACATTCGGGACCCTTGGAAGGAGTTATATAGTTTACTCGCGTATGCTGCTGCTGGGATTAGCGAACAGGAAAGGAATGCATGGCGACTACGGTGGACTTGAGATTATTCCTTTCATTCAATTTTATATTCTGTCGTTACTTCCTTCTGCCTTGTTGGACCAAGCTTTCAAGTTCTCTTGGTTACCCAGGTACTAAGTACCTTCTCTTTACGGTCTTTGAATCGGTTACCCTTGATTTCGATGCTTTCTTCGATTTTCGGTGTATTATATATATAGTATCATATCTTTCCTCCTTTCTTAAGGAACACTCATCAGTAGCATAGTAGACGAAGTTCTCTTCTTAAGTGCCATGGTATCAGTCGGATCTTGAGAGAGTGGTGGGTGCCAAAATATATAGTCGGGCTCTATAGCATGACGATCTTCCGGATCTAATGAAGTGTACTAGTCAAACATAAAGGATGAAAGGTAAGTAAAATGCGAAGATAATAGTAATAGTAATACCAATACCAATACGTGAGATACCCTGATGATGAATAATAGATAGTCTGATGGTCTGATAACTGCATGTCAAGCCATGGATGAAACAGAAACAAAGCTGTAGATCATCCCTCTTCCTTACCACTTAAAAGTATCGTAGACATGAGATCCGAGTCTACTACGTTGGTGAGACCAAAAACGAGGTAAATAGGTAAGAGTAACACAATAGTAAAAATGAAAAGAAAGGGAAATTGGAAGAGCGGAAGCAGCCTCCGTAGTGGTTTAGTAATAAGAAGACACTGGAAAGAAGAAACAGAAAACCTTTAGCCTAAACACCCCTCCCTCTTTATCTGCGAAAATCATATTTGTAAAACCGCAAAACGACAGCTTGAATAGAAAGGGGTAGACGTGTAAACAGTACTAGTATAAAGTCTTGAAACAGATTATGCCGGCACGGGTGTACCGTTCTGTTTTGCTCCAGGGGTGACGCTACGGTCCTGCGAGCTGGCATGGTCTGCGGGTTGCGACTGTGGTGTCCCCGGCGAGCTCTGAGCAGCTAGTTGGACCTTGTTTCGATCCATCAGTGCGGCTTGCTCGGCGGCACTCCTGGCGTAGGTAACGGCGGCGGCGGAGTTGGAGTAGGTGTTTAGTGTTTGATTGGGAGCATAGTTGGCGTATGGTTGCGGCTGTTGACCTGACTGGGGATGTTGCATAAACCGTTGCTGAGGGTTCGCGTTCGGAGGCATGAACGGTGCCCGGGGGGTCGTGTATGCGCCTGGTTTTTGAGGGGATGCGCTGCGACCAGGCCCAAAGGGAGTCGCATTGTAAGGTGTTTGTTGTCCAGGTCGCGGGGTGTATTGTTGTGGTGAACCTTGAGCCGGGATCGGACCGGACTGACCTGAGTATGAGTACGCGAAGCCATTTTGTCCTCCTCCTCGTTGGTATTGGATTGGATTGGCCTGGCTATACTGCGGGGTGGGCTGCGCGTACCCGGGGTGAGGAGCGGGCCGCTGACCAGGTGTTGCCGGGGGCCGAGCAGTTCCCGGGAACTGTTGCGAGTTGCCAGGTGTATATGCTCCGGGAGTAGAAGGTTGTCTTGGCGGATAGTACGGCTGGGGAGGAGCCTGAAAGTTCCTTTGTGGTTGAATTTGGGTGTTGGTGGTGAAGGCACGTTGATTGTATTGCGCCTGGTAATTCGTGGGACGCGAGGGTGTTGACGTTCTTGGGGCAGCCGCCACCGCCGCCGCCCTCTCTTGTTGGATTGTATAATCGTCCTTCTCCATGGTGCCCGAGTAGTCGGTACTGTCTATCAAGATCTTCTGACTTATGTTTAGCTCCGCTAGTTGGTCGCCATTCAGCTTGGCGACGGCAAATGGGGGCAATTGCGAAACAAGGACCGCTAGGCTGGACCTGAGCGTCTCGTAGACCTCTCTCTCCGGATCTGATGGCTCATCAGAGGAGACCTCATTAGACGGTGTTTCTTTAGCTTCCGCACCTGCGTTGGCTGGAGTCGGAAGCTCAAGATTGCGAATCTTCTGATAGGAACTCAGGGTCTCTAGCAAGTCTGACACTTCCGTCAACAGGTCGTCTGTGTCTTTTGATGGTTTATCCCCTTCCTCTTCCTTGGCCGCTTCAGGCTGGATGGCAGGATCGACAAACTCTTCCGGATCGAAGGACTTCACCATCTCTTCCAGGGTGCTTTCATCAAGATCCCCAATGCTTCCAGGCTGCGCAGTTGTATCTTGAGGCTCATCAATTGTTATTGATAGCAGGGCATTCAGGCGCTTAGCTCCTCGCTTGCTCCACCATACCAGATTCTTCGCATCAGCTTGTAAGACAGCATTTGAACTGTCAAAGGAAGGAGCAAAGGACGAGTAAACACCTTGCAGAACCGCCGAGTCTTCGTCCGCCCATAATAACGGATCCTCCTGGAACTTCTCTTCGCCATGCTGCTGCGGTGTCTGTTGTTTCTGACGGCGACCCCAGAAAGCGGGAGAGGATGTCACTCCGCCATATTGGAGCCAGTTACCAGAAGGCAGCTGCGCAAAGGAGTGATGATTCCGATCTCCGAGAAAGTTTTTATAGTTCGTCACAGCATCAAAAGGGTCAATCCAGCTGACCTGAGCAGCGCGAGAAGTCGACCGGGCTCTCCTTGGCGGTTCCAACTGAGGCAGAGTCGCTTTAGGAGCAAATACCTCTCCAAATGTCTTCGCTATCTTTGGCTTCTTCTCAGCGTCGTAGGGAGCAACTTTTGTGGTTGTAATACCATTCGGCAAGCCAGCCTCTGGAAGCGGGGTCTGTACCTCCACATATCGCTTGGATTCTGATTCCTCCGAAGATAATGGAACCTTGACAGACTTTTGTAAACTCGAGTAGAGCTGTTTCGGATTCGCAGGGTTGCCCAACAAGGTCAACACCAAGCCATTGTTTCGAACCTCGACAGTCGACGGAGGCTGCTTCGCCGATACCTCTGCGTCATTTCCTGGTGTTTCCGCTTTGACGTTGGGCTGACTGACTTGCGCCTGGCGGACAAGACTGTTGAGTAGCTTCTTGAAGGCAGCTATACGGTTGACAGTCTCCGTTACGGGCGTCCCGTCCGTCGGAGTACCGCTAGCCTGAGCCTTGTTCCTCTCGATCACAGCCGTAGACGCCTTTTCGATGTCGCTCAGGAATTCAGAAAGCGTGTTGTAGCGATCCGACGCGACGCGCGTTTGAATACTCGCAGCCTCATCCCTGTCTCCAGCAATCTTTGCGCGTTTCGACCGGGGTTTCACGGGCGATGATGGAAGAGGGCAGGATAGGAGGTGAAGCTCCGTGTCGTTCCTGTTCGTGATTAGTTGGGCCTTGAACTCGAAAGAGCTGTCGAATCCTTACTTGCTCAAGATATCGACCAGGTTACGCAGAGTTTCTTGCAGTTTTATCCTTTCGTCTGCAGCTGTGCTGGCCTCGTGAGCCGCCCTGTCATCGTGACTTGAGACACGCTTTCGTTTGCCAGGTGTTGCCAGGGTAGAAGGGTCAGGAGTGGCAGTTGAGCGTTCGCCGTTCGTGGCCGCCATCGAAGTTCCTCCGCCTTCGTCTGCGCTCATGGTCTCGGGGTCTTGGAGTCGCGCCGGGGGTGTAGTTTTGTCCTTCACGCGCGAACTAAAGCCCGTTTTATCTCCAAGGGGCTGCAAGCCAGCTTTGTCAAAAATAACAGGACGCGACCGTGGCGCCTGAAATTGGATTATAACGTTAAATAAAATCGGGCGAAAAGAAGACGATCAGAGGGTCCAAGGAACCAAGTGGTAGAATTCGTGATCGATTGTCCCTTGATCTCCGAAGCGGATGCGCCAATAGCCCAAGAGGGAGATCTCGATGCGCAACGGGGAAAGAACTCGAGGAGTAGAGATCCAGCACCACAAAAGGAGAGGATTGACCGTGCGCGGGAGACAATCTAGCCTTGGAATTGATCCAGTTCCAACAGGGAAGAGAAAAAGTCGCCAACCGCGTAACGAAGGGACTCGGAAACTGACAAAGAGGATCGATCTGTTTCTTGCCCGCGCCATGCCAAAAGCAACCCGTGACAGCCAGGCACGTGACCTGGATTTTTCTTGGGGCCGGATTCAACGCTGGAGCTCAAGAGCGTTTCTCAATATCGCGATCCACGCTTTTTTCTTTTCTTTCGTGAATTCCTCGCCGACGACCCTATTTATGGATGTCATTAGCCTGGAATCATGCTTCGAACCGCCCCATGGTCTTGTCTCTAAGAGCGGCGCATCTCAGCAGCCGTTCGTTGCGGAAGGTAGCTATCCAAACTGAGGCCCGCACTCCTTGCCGTGCATTATTGACATGAGCTGTAATTAGGGATGCTCTTATAGCACGTCCTTTCGTCCGATATACCCGGCATCACTTGACTCGCCGACTGCTGCCGTTCTCAGCCCCTCGAGTCCGAACCATCGCGGATCGAACATACATGGAGACACCTCCTCGTGCGAATTCTGGTGCTCGTCGCGGCTTGTTCAACCGGGACTGAACAGGTACTTCAATCCAGTGCCAGAAGTTTTAGAGCCCCGAAATTTCGTCGCTGGGAAGCGTCAATCGATTCGCAACCCGCCTCACCGAGAGACAAATTCCGCGCGACCTACACATGGGACCGCGCAACAAAACCGGCTCGATGCCGGAAGGGAAAAGACTGTTCAGCCATCGCACCATGAACCAAGCCCGTCGGAGTATTTGATTGACATCATCCAGAACTTGGTTCTCTCTTCCAACAATGGTCATGGCAACCACTGGATATTGTCGGGCAAGGCTCGGAGGCCTCTCAACGCTCCTTTAACGTCAGAGCAGCGGTTGGCTTTCAAAAAAGCGAAGAATAATTCTTTGCAAAAGATCCTTGCGGACTATATCCAAAGGTTTTATCCAGTTCTGCAGAAAGGAAATGACCTACGACCTTGTGCGGTGGTGGAGCTCAACCCTACTATGCAACGGATGCCCGGCAGAGATGATATCGAGTACCTGGCTGCCCGGGGATACGACGTCAAAGATCTAATGGCATGGGCTTGGGTGCTTATGAGTGATGATACATACCAGGCTACTCTTCGCATTTTGCTGCTGGAAGCAGATCGGGCGGTCAACCGCAACAAGCCCAGACAGCTTCCTACATTCATACCTCTCATGCTTCTGCGCCAGGAACTTGACTTGAAAACATTCCGTTTATTACTACTCTACTGCTTGCACGCTATTATCGGGCAGCCAATTCCACCTCTCAACCTTTCTCCTGGTGCCGGGCCAAATGCAGCGGCATCTGTACATACTAATGAGCGCGCCAATGAGGGATCTCTGATTGATACCAGCACTTGCTCTATCCTCGTCGTGCGTTTGCTTTCTCAGGCGCGGCGACTGTGGCCGGAAGCGCAGCTCTCCATCACCCAAGCATTCGCGTTCTATCTGCGCAACCATAAGTCTGCGGGGAACAGCTTCGTCACGGAAAAGCTCAACATGTGCTTACGGCTGATTTCGTTGCCTAGCGGGCCCCGCCCGTTCATCTCTGCTCCAGTACGACAACAAGCACAGTTTGAGTTGTTGAAAGCGATGGCGGACAGAACTCCAGCCTTGCCTGTTACGCGACGAGGTTACCAAGGCCTGACTGCCGTTCAGCTAGCGCATAAAAAGACGGCCGCCGAACGCGAGTTTGCGAAGCTAAAGACACCAGCATGGCCGCCGTGGAAGGAGGAGAGGTCAGGCATGGACACGACCAAGGGCATAGAAGGAATGAAAAGTCGCGCTATGCGTGTAATGTCGCAAATGAAGGAAGCAGGATACTCACCCTCTCTTTGGGAAAATGTCACAAGTGTTCTGGCAGGATGGGATACGGACAATAGCCCCACTATACAAACCCGGACCTTGGGGCGGCCACCGGAGGTACTTCGAGGCCGTACAGGCAATGAAAATCACCACGCACTTTGGGAGGCACGAATCCGCTCCACGAGGACGGTGCGAGAGGCCTGGGCCTGCTTCATGGCATATGAAAGCCGACGACTGCCACCACACTGTGCGGTGTATGCGGCGATGGGGGAAAAGCTCGTCTTACAACGGAGAACCAAGAAACGGCTTAGCCAAACAAGCAGTGCCTTGCCAGGAGACGGGCCGGAGGTGTTTCCAGAACCTGCATCCGCAAGAGATTGGATTTATACACCCTCGGAACCGCCTACGATAAGGCAGTTTCTTGAAAGAATGCTTTCTCATGGAATCCGCCCGTCTGGTAGATTCTTAGCGTCTCTCCTGCACCATGCTCCAACCTTCGCCGTAGGGTTGGACTGTCTGAACTGCAGCGATTTGAGCAATCATCAACTCGCGGCATTGTTCAGCGTTGAGATCCCAGAAAATGTTGCCGAATATCAGAAGGCGCTGGACGAGCTACCTGAGTATCTCGTTTCCGCTTTCGCCCGCTTCTTGTGCCGGTTCTCGGTTGTCTCCGAGTTACCTTTGAAAACAGATACTAGTATCGCCATCGCAGAAGCTTTCCCTATCTTGTCGGGACAATGGGCTAGAACCCATGCGCATACGCCCACCCTTTATTCTTTCACCGACCAGCAGCGAAGGCCAAATAAACTCTGGTATATCAGGCTGCGATCGCACGCGATCAATTTGTTACGGAGACGGAATCCTCGAAACTCGCAAAACCCACAGGGGTGGGTCCAGCTTCTAGGAGGCCTTCATCAGACCCGTATACTCGGCGATCCGTATAAACTTAGTCGACATACGCAGATGATTCTCGCTTGGTATGAGATTTTGGAGATCCTCAAGTGGCTGGAAGAACGGGATGTTGTAGTCGGCCCCGAGGGATTCCAAATAATTTGCGAAAGTTTCTCAAGCGCAGTAGTGGCTGGAGTGAGAGAACCAGAAGCATTGGAGAGAGCATTGGATATCCTGATCTCGATGGGTCAAATAAACCCGGAACTTCCCCCACCAACGTTGGAAGACTTGGTTAACCATGGCCTGACTACGCTCAAAGATCAATTCGACCACATTGTTCTTCTTGACCCAGGAACAACTTCATTTGTTGAATCACTCACGGCATCCCTCGATAGCAGCACCGAGTCGCAGGTCACAGTACCTGCGTTGACTCACGTTCCTTCTCCAACCGTCCTCCACGCATTTGTCAGATCTCTTGGGCATGTTGAAGATTCAGAGGGATTGTTGAGTCTTCTTCGGTGGATGAGCCGACATGCCCTGACGCTTAAGCAAACGTCTGATGAGCATATGAACGGCGATGTCGTGATGCGGCGGACGATCGTTGCCCTGCGCATGTTCCTCGAAGGATACTGGGGCAAACGGCGATCACCACCCGAGGCATATGATCCGGGCTCTGCTGTTGCACCGACTGATGTGGTGCCAACTTTCTCAGATCCGATTCTGCAAGAGGCGTATGACATTGTCACGGCTACTGAGATCTGGGGACCGTGGCCAAGCGACGAAGAAGTCTGGGAGTACTTGCAACATGGGAAGAAGTTTGGGAGTCTTTGATCCAAGCTGCGAAGAGATATTTCTCTTCATCGACTGTATATATAGATAGATTTTGTAAAATAGAGGCCAGGCCACAAATGATGATACCCATTAAGAGCACAGTACAGTACCCGCTGGTTCCCGCCGGAAACGTCGCTTACTCTCGGCAGAAAGGCGTCCCCCGCACGTAAGCTCAGCTTCCCCACAGCTTCCCGACGTCACAAAAGCTGCATCTCTCTTGTCCCCTACGATCCGGGAATTGAATTCATTCCTCGACACGAAAACGCTTGTCGCATGCTTGCTGCTTCAGTAGCAACAGCAGTCTGATCCATCATGCCTCCTCGTCTACCGCGCGCCGCGCTCGCGGTCCCGATCTGCACCCCAGCTACCATTTCGCTACGCGTCAGGGTTTCCCGATACAGCACCGCGACCGACGACTCTGTAATTCAGACCCAATACGTCCCAGCGCCGGGCACTGGTAACATACGCGTTCTCCTCCTTAACCGACCCAATGCTCGAAATGCCCTGTCAAGGAACCTCCTGACCTCGCTGTCCCAGCATGTCCAGTCGATCGCCGCGGAAGGTGGGAACGGGCCGACACGAGCACTGGTCATCGGGAGCAACGCCGACTCGGCTTTCTGCGCTGGCGCTGACTTGAAGGAGAGGCTGCATATGACGAAAGATGAGTGCGTTACCTTTTGGTTAATGTAGGCAACACAAGCCTGGCTAACCACGGTCGTCGCGAATAGGACAAACGCATTCTTGGCCAAGTTGAGAGGCACATTCCGGGACCTTGCGGCTCTTCCGATTCCCACGATCTCTGCCGTCTCATCCATTGCCCTTGGTGGAGGCCTGGAGCTTGCCCTATCCACACACCTCCGCGTCTTCGGCTCGAACAGCACCGTTGCGCTGCCAGAGACAAAGCTCGCCATTATCCCCGGCGCGGGCGGCACCTATCGCCTCCCAGCCCTGATAGGCCTGAACCGCGCTCGGGATCTTATCTTGACTGGACGCCGCGTGACTGGCCCCGAAGCGTACTTCATCGGGCTCTGCGATCGCCTCGTCGAGATACTCCCGGAGGAAGAGAAGAAGGAAGGCGCCGGTCGCGAGAAGGTTGTTCGTGAGAGCATCAAGCTGGCTATGGATATCTGCGATGGGGGACCTATCGCTATAAAGCAAGCGCTGAAGGCCGTAAATGAGTACCAGAGGGGTGAGGCGGCGGAAAATGAGGCTTACGATGGTGTCGTTGACACGGAGGATCGGCATGAAGCTCTGCGTGCGTTCTCGGAGAAGAGGAAGCCTGCTTTCCGTGGGCGGTAGGTGCTTACCTGCTCGGTGATGTTTTCTTTGAGCTGTACCTGTATACCACCCTATATAGATATGGAAGGCTGGTGGTTCAATGTTACCAGTAAGTTCGGCCTTGCGTGAACCCTGAAAAGCGTACTTGGCCGTGAAGAATTATATTGAAGAATGTCTTTCAACTAGTCCTAGTGGTTGCCATCCGGTAGGAACACTGCGTACACTCTGGCAGTTAATCAACCAGCTCATTGTTTGTCCCGTTTGTAGAATTAACACAGCACCCTTCAGGTTTCTGCCGCTGAACGCGAAATTGTACCTCTCCATTAAACCAGCTTCTGCCTTTCTGCCTTTCCGAATCCCGAACGAGACCTCATCTTCAGGCAATATTGACACGCCCAACCAGATATCTTCCCTTCCAAAATACCCAAAGCACAACTCACGAACCCCCACAATGCTCACACGATCTGCCGCGCGCAAGCGCAACGACACTGCTGCTATCCTAGAGAGAAAGATGCTCGAAAAATGCGATCCTATGAAGCATGTGAACGACGACACGATCAACATGATCTTTAGCCACTTCACACCAGAGGAACTCGTCAGCTTGGAACGAGTTAGTCGTGAATGGCAAGCGGCGCTGAGATCCTGGGCTGAGATATGGGGCTTTCGCACTTGCTTTCCGTTTATCTGGACGCATGCTCAGCGAAAGGGTATCTCAAATGAGGGCTATGTGGCTTTCAAACGTCTTGGTATGTCGTTGAGGTTCCTTCTGTTCCTTGAGTTGAATTTATAATGACTGGACAGCTCGTCAACAATACTTGATGCAACGCGGACGACCTAGGAAGATATTCAAGCTAAAAGACGCCCTCTTACTCTCGTTAGCTGGCAGCTACATAGCATGATCAACGCCTAGAAGAGACGGAATCTTTTGGCAGTATTTTGAGCGGACCAAGAAAGGGAAAACCCGCCAAGCGACATTCTTCCCTGTTACTCGGTTCTACAAGAGGATGAATGGAAGAGAGCATATCAGGCACCTGTCTATCAACCAGGATCGGCTGTTTCTCGTGGGCTTTGCGAGAAAACAGTTCTGGCAAGATGGAGGAAGGTAACATCAGCCCAGTTTCTCCTTGTACTAAGATTTTGCTGATGTAGATTAGAGACCTAGTATTCTCTCCTACGGATGAAAAGGTTTTATGGAGTCGCGACTGGACGCCAACAGATAAGGGAGCAGAAGAGGTACCGGTGTTGGTTGGGAAGAGCTCCATATATTGCGTAAGAAAGCTCCATATGGGTTACACCTTGTCTGCATACGACTTTCACGGCAGCCCCCTTTATCGCTCCCCCGAGTATCCTCAAACATGGGTACCGGGCACTTTCTGTTCCAATGATATACGCTTGAAACATCCCCGTGATTTTCGTCTGTTTCAAGGTAGGGGTGGAGTGGAACTAATAATCTCAGTACACCACGCAAGAGACGCTTCTACTGTTATACGGATTATCAACGGTGCCACCGGTCACAGAGTCTATCAGGCTGACTATGCCCGGACCTGGAATTGCGAAGTTTATACAGACCTCTTCATCGATACTTTCGCTATTGTCATGTCAGACCCAGCCGGAGTGTTCTTGAGAAACCATACGGCTTCACATATGACCATCACACAAATGTTCTCATATCGTCTTGAAAAGCTGTCCAACTTGCTCTCTTGTCGACGGACGTTATGATCTTTCCAACACACTCGACTGTGCAGTCTTGGATCGTCAATCCTTATACTCGCGTGGGTTTCTCCATTGATCTCAATAAGGAGACCGGTCCCACCCACGCTCAAAGCCATGTTATGACACCTACGGCAGATGAAGAGTTTCTGATCAAGGCTAGAGACTTGCTTAAATTCGCGTTCGAGGGTGAAACGCCCCCGACCCTCCGTCAATGTCTTGTTCCTACCGACGGGGTGGTCATACAGCTCCCGAAACGGCCTAGCAAGAAACGCTGTGATTGGCTTGACTTTGACCTTCACAAGCATCTAGTAGTAGATGTTTGGTTTTCTTCTTCGTGGTTTACAAACAAAAATCATGTACTTTACGAGTTTGAGCAAGGAGCTTTTGTCCTTGAGTTCTAGTGGGCAGTTGGATACTCTCAAGACACTTTGGTATTGGAGCCCAAGTCGGCAATGGCGCACTTTACCAGTGCAGAATGACAGATTTAGAGCTTGATATAGGAGATGTGGCGAAGGGAAAATACTGGGCATCTACAAGATATGGCATGAACTAAATGAAGCTCTTGTTGTCGAGCATAGGAAATGAAGAAATCCAAAAATCTTGTACTCCACCTAACTACCCAGAGCATCTTACCTAGGTGTTACTGAGTTGCTAACACCATGGGCACCCAAAAGATTCGAAACTTACAATGGAGGTTCCAATGTACTAGTATAAGGCGTTCTCTGCATCTGGATTTCGATCACGCCTTACTGTAATGACTCAATGACTCAGGACAAATACACCCAGCAATGGTACGTTAGGTAATAAAAGAAGTAACCCTTCTCACCCCAGTCAGACTATCTGAGTCATAACCTGACACCTACCTACTAGTACTGCCACCTGTCTATAGTTGAATCAAGACTCTCGCTAATAAACACTCCAAAATCTAGTGACAAACCCGCGAGACATGGATCTCCCAACTACTATGCGGCTCAAGTAGCACAAAAGGCTAGGATACGGCGATGACAGCGAGTTTTGTTCGGTGCCTAGGAGGCGAAGCTAGACTTCGCCCAGTTTGGTTCTGGTTTCAGTTCGGTTCGCCTGGTCTATGGTAGTGTAGTGCAGCGTGGCCCAGGGGCGAGGCATTTTCTATCCGTGGGTTGCCTGCGTAGGGCTGATTTTGATTTGTGGTTGTAGAGTGTGGTTGGTTCGTCGGAGAATTGTTTATGGTCCTTATGGCAGAGAACCATAGCTATAGCGAGAGTTCTCTAGTACTACTAATTACTAGCTGTAGTTGTACAGCGTGGACATGCACGTCAGAAGAACAGGCGTACAATGTACCCCTGCATCCGCTGCAAGTCACGTCACTCGCTCCGCTGGCTCCTCTCAGATCGAAAGCACCCCAGATCCGCCCGACCGACCGATCGATCCGACTGTACGAATGTCGATGGAATCATGCATGCCTTGATGCCGCAGTATTGCATAGCCCCTCGATCAACATCTGTTATTTTAGTCACAGACGATCGGTCAAAAATAGCAGGGCGCTGAATAACGACCTACGTAATCCGTTCATCGAGAAAGAAGAGGCTCAGCTGACTGGTTCGCCAGTCTTTGTGAGGACACGAGGCTAGATCCGCCCTGCGCCCAGCCGAAGGGTCAGAGTTACCCTCGCGTATTGATAGGTTCGATCTCACCCCTGCTCTTTTAAGGCGCATGGTTGCTTCCGTACTTGTTCTGTATGGTTAAGCTATATGGTTAGATTGATAGTGGCTGCGCTGTTAGCCCGGGGCACGATATCGGTCGTTCAGAGGAATGCATATTGTGGAAGTTCGAAGGCGCGCATATTCAAGGTCCAAAGGTACCTACCAATAATGATGTTCCAAAGACTAGAATATGAGAGTTCGATGGCGCGAATAATGAAGGTTCAGAGGCATGAAATATGATAATTTCAAAGGCGCGGGTATCAAGGACTCAAAGACTGCCAGATTGAAGGTTTAATGGCGCGAATAATAAAAGGACCTGAAGGCGGGCAGAGTTGTGGATTCGACTCCCGCTCTCTAGTCATGAGCTTAATTCTCTCCAGGGCTCACAGCGTGGATTCCGAAGAAGAGGCATCGGGCGGGACCAGGCACCGGCTGACCACTGGTCATGCTGCCTTGGGTGGCACATGCGAGAATCAAGACTCATGAGGCTGGCGGGGGAGGGATGATTCATTTAAAAGGACAATAGATTGCGACTATTTCTGCTGTACTCCGTACGACTTTTTCGAACAAAGTAAGCGATATCTTTATCGACCTGAAACAGTCTAGACTGTAGCTGCGGGGAAGCCACCAGGTCAGCTCCAGCCTCCAGCCCTGAGCTCTACTACTAGGGGAGCTTCTTCCGCTCATATTACTTTCGTCCTGTCCCTCACCCAACTCTCACTTTCTCCTCGCTTTTCCCTCACTCTCATGCTCACTCACTAGCTCCCAGCGATGGACCTGGCCTCGCGCATCAAGCAGTTCGGACTGACGCTGGTTTACGAATCCCCCGACCCGCCGCTTGTTGACATCGTTTTTGTGCACGGCCTCAACGGCCACCCGCATCGCACCTGGACGTCGACCAGGACAGGCGCGTTTTGGCCCGTGGACCTCCTCCCGGAGGTCCTGGACCAAAGTCGCGTGCGGATTCTTACCTACGGATATAATGCGAATGTAACCTCGTTTACGGATGGCGCGTCGAAGGACCGGATCCTGAACCACTCCGAGACACTGGCGGCGCAGCTGGCTGCGAATCGAACCGTAAGTACTAACTGGCGACCTCTTCCATCCGATGAACCCTCTGAGTCTCGGGTAGTGGATTCGCTGAGATGCGCTTCCGAGACCCTCCTGGGTAACGAAGTTGCTAATTTGCGTCCCTGAAACCTCTTGGCTAATGAACTCGCTAACATGCGCTTCCAAAACCTCCTTGAATCATGAACTTGCTAACAATGAACATGCGTTTAGATCAAACATTGCTCCGAACGCCCGATCATATTCGTTTGCCACTCTCTCGGCGGCCTCGTCGTCAAACGCGCACTCATCTACTCGCGAAGCCTCACAAACGAAAAGGTCGAACACCTCCGCTCAATCTATGTCTCGACGTACGGCATCCTCTTCCTCGGTACGCCGCATAATGGGTCTGAAGTTGCAAAATGGGGACTCCTGTTGCAGAACATCTGCTCTGCCGTGATGCCCAAAAAGTTCATGGAATCCTCCCCGCAGCTGGTGAAGGCGCTGAAGACAAACAACGAGACCCTCCAGAACATCAACAGCTTGTTCACCGATATGATCCCGCGCTTTCATATCTACTTTTTCCACGAAACGCTTTCGACAGACGTCAAGGGGACCCGCGAAGTTATCGTTGACGAGTCCTCCGCGGCGCCGTACGCCGATGGTGTTGAACGAATGGGCATCGAAGCGACTCATAGCCACATGTGCAAGTTCGACGACGAGAATGCGCCGGGATACGAGACCGTTGCCGAGGCGCTGTTGCGATACTCTCGAGATGCGCCTGCTACGATACAAGAACGCTGGCGCGAGGAGGAGAAGACACGAATGATTATTCGCACACAAAAGGCGAGGGAGATTTTCGGTGATGCCGGTGTGGGTGGTGTTGGCGCGGTTGGTCAGGCAGATAGGGCGGCTCCTTCGGGTGAGACTCTCTCTCCTTCAACCCCTGCTTCTCTTACTTTGAGGGAGTATGAGCTCGAGGAGCCCTCGGACGCGGACTCTCGCTTCTTTGCAAAGAGTCCTCATCGCCACCAGTATCGATAGGCTAACATTGCCTATCGGGTGGTGAGCTTCCTCTTCCTCCTCCTCTTACTCACCCCCTGCTTATCTTAAATATCGAACGGAGGACATGCTCTCCTTCAAATCGTGCTTTTCTTAACTATCGTATGGGGGACTATCTCTCACTCAACCCTCCTTCTTATACGATGAGGGAATATGAGCTTGAGGAGTTCCCAGATGATGGGGATGTTTGTTTCTTCCCAAGGGGTTGCTCGTTGCCACCGTTATAAATAGGCTGTTGTCTATTTAGTGGCTTCTTCTTTGTTTTCTGCGCAATTTATGAGTTACGAACAGACTGTTTATGTACCTTAGTGTACGGATGCTCAATAGTAACTCTGCTGACATGACTCGTCCCTAGTTAACCCCGTAAAGTATCTCCCCCCACCACCCGACAAACCACCGTCCCCCGTATCAGACATGGCCAAGGACATGGTAAACAGTGCAGACCTCTCCCTCTCCCGATCGTGGCAACGAGAGCCCCTCTGGGTCGTCCCCTCCGGCTTCCACCGCAACGCAACGTTCTTTGGCATGACAAAGCAGCTCGAAACCCTGCATACCCGACTATTCAAAGCGAAGAAGCGCGCTGAGCATCTCACGGCAGTCCTCATTGCCGGCGTCCCGGGATCCGGTAAATCACACCTCGCCCGACAATACGTCTGGACACACCGGGACGACTATCCTGGAGGGATTTTCTGGGTGGATGCCAAGTCTCGACAGTCGACGTACAAGTGTTTTTGGGACATCGCGCAGGCCGCGACCCTTACAGATGGCGAGGAGTTTCAAAACCCGGATACCAAGTCGTCGAGCAAGTATGTCGACGCTGTACGACAGTGGCTACAGTCCCGGCAGGAATGGCTGCTTGTGTTTGACGGAGTGAGCTTCAACCATGACGATGATATCAATCACTTTAAGCAGTTTCTCCCATTCCGCGAGCGGTGCAGCATCATCTACACCTCTGTCGATAAGACTCTGCGGAAGAAGCAAAGGCTATACGAGCCATATTGCCTACAAGTGCTCCCGCTGGAAATTGAGGATGCGTGCAAACTACTCTTCAAGGACCTCGGTATTAAGCGACCAACGAAGGAGCAGGTTCGCAAGGCGACGGAGGTGGTCACTCATTACGAGTGCCTTCCGCTCGCAATTCACGCTATAAGTCACCGATTGAGCGCCACGGATAAACCGATCGAGAAATATCACATCAACTCGCACTTGATTGACGAGAAACTCGCAGAGCCGTTTCTGAGTATCATGTACGATCTGTACTGGGGCGAGCACTTTCCTGCGCTGAACCTCATCAATTTACTCTCGTTTCTCGGTCACCAAGTTCCTGTTGGCTTGATCACGCTCGGCAAGTCCTTTCTCGAAGCTTGGGATATCGAAGTCTTCACAAGCAGTCGGCATGGCGAGCGCGGCGACCTCGACACTACACTGGGAATCTTGATTCGGTACGGGCTGATCGAACGAACGTCAGATCAATATCCTCTCCTACAGACACCCTCACCGCGCTCGGAAAAGTACGCACTCGATCCCAAAGCCGTAATGCCTGACCTCTCGGAATCCCAAACTGAGAGTAGTCAAGAGGGTTTCTTTACAACATATCAAAGTTCCGGCGTTTCAGACATCATCAAGATCCACAGCGTTGTGCAGGGCTTCTGCCGCGATGAGCTCAAGATCATGGACAAGGAGATTAGGAATCAGCCCGAGTCCAGCGAGGCGAATGCAGGCTTCTACGACTCGTGGCTGGTGGTTGCCACGCGAGTCTTTTGCACCTCTTTCGAGAACGCCAAGTGCCGTATGGACCGCGTAGACGACTGCGGGTCTGTGAAGGATTACCGTGAATATGAGACGCACGCCTCGCAGTTGATGAAGAATTATCCGAAGCGGAATCGAGCAACAGCACCGTACGGGATCGTCGCCGACTCGCTGAAGCAGCTCAAGGAGGCGCTCAAGACCATCCGAAGCGAAATCGACCGCATCTCCCCCAGTTCCTCACAGGAGAGCATCCGCAAGCATCGCTCAGTTTTTGATCGGTCTAGTAGTTCTTCGTCGTTCCCAGACTCGATGGCTTCAGACGGACCGTCTAGACAGTTGACGCTCGACTTTGATGACATCGTCCGATCAGAGTCACCGGAGCAACGCTTGTCGCCGCAAAAAGTGAACCTGGGTCCAATCATTCCACACATCTTTCGTCGATCCACACATGAGTCTGAGGAGTTGCGCACTGACTACCGGTTGGATAAAGAAGATGATGGCTACCTGCGGCACGACGGCTACTCGAAAAATGACGGTTACGTGACAGACGACGAGTCCTCAAAGGCTCGATCACCGGCGATGTCCCAGATAAGTATCGGGACTGAACGGCCTCGCTCTCATCCGTCGACTCCCCCTCAGGACGACGAAGGCTGGCATGTCGTCGAGAACCCCGTGCGCAACCGACCGGTCACCAAAGGTCAGTCCGAGCGGCCGAAGCAGCGGAGGCAACAGCAAGGCCAACCTCAATCGCAACCGAAGCCACTGCGCCGGAGGCCCGCATTCCCGCGAAGTATCGGCGATTCTAAGCCCGTGGCGCCGGTCCTCCAGAAGACGCCTGCATGGAGGAGCGCACCTGAAGTCCTCACGGCGCGCGACATCCCCCATCGAACTGCCTCTGAAGCTCTGGTAGCTGTGAGCAAGGGCAGCCCACCGGCATCAAACGACAATCTGAACCGCCCTCGAATAGCCCATGGGCAGAAGGAGAACGCGCCCACGTACGCTTCTGTAGCGAAGCTCGCCCATCATATCCCTACCGATCAGACACCCTCGCAGCTACAGTCGCATCCAAGCAGCCGACTTGATGCTCTAGACCTAATGGGCGCGCCGGACAGCCACCACTACGGCACGCACCGCATCTCGAACCGGCGACTCGTCCCCGAGGATCTCTCAGCGAGTACGCCAATTTTGGGCATTCCCTACGAAAACAACATTGAGATCAAAATCCCGCGTCGGCCGAGGGAGAGTAACGCTGCTTCTGTTAGTGCAATACCATCCGCGTTTACGAGTAAATCGTCCACAAGCCTTGGCTCAATAAACCAGCATCCATCGGCGATTATGCCGGGTGCATCCCCGCCTTCTTCACTTCCGGCATCGGGATCCGAACCAATGTCGAGGAATCCATCGGGCCAGTCGCAGTCTCAACAGTCGGGAGCCTGGTCTAGCGCAACGGCCACAGCAAGTGATCCGCAGTACCGCACGTTCGCACCTCCCCGTCTCTCCCCGCTTTCCTCTACCTTCCAACAAGCGCAGAGCCACCCGTCGCACTACACGCAGCAGCAAAATACACATCTCCTCACGGGTACCGGGAGCTGGACATCTGACACACCGACTCTGTCCGGCCAGCGAATCAGCCCAGTTCCAGGTCCGATCCAACTCCAAGGCCCAGTGACCGGGTCAGGTCTAGCATCAGGCCCCTCCTATGCAGCTGTCGCACAACGCCGGTATATACCGCCGCTAGACATGGGACTCGACTTTGAAATGGACCCGGAACCTGAAGTCCATGATTCGATATGGAGCCCACCCGCATCGTCATGTGCTGCCGGTGCTGGCAATATTGGTGTCGGCGTAGGAAACGGGACGATGCACTTCGGGACTCATGCTGTTGACCTCCGGACTGCGAGGCGGAGGTTCCAAGCGTCTGCTCAAGCTGCGGCCCAGGCGCAAGCGCAAGTACAAGGACGAGGCCAAGGCCGAACACACCTCCAACCATCGCAATACCACATTTACCACGAGAACCGCTCGGGCCCACTGATGCCCGTATCCTCGCGGCAGAATGAGTTCGAGTATGACCGCGGGCAGGATCTCGGACAGGAGGGCGGATACACCTATGGATATGGGTATGGGCCTACGCTCGGAACCGGATCAGAGTATGGGTTCGGTTATGATGGGTTGTCGCAAGGACCGGGACAGGGGTCAGGGCCAGGGCAAGGACATGTACGAGGCCGGACGCAGGGGCAGGAAGGGATGAATGGACGAGGGAGGGGGTACAAGTATTCCGGCCCTGGACGGCCGAGGAGTGGGAGTTCACCTGGTTTCCAATTTTAGGGTTGAAAGGGTCTGGGACTGGAAGTGGGAATGGAATGGAGCTGGGGGAAAGGGTGTACTGGGTAATTGGTGGGAGTTTTTTGTCTCTTCTGTCTTGTTTTCATTTCTTCTTCTTCGTTTCTTTTTCTTGACGGTTCTTTCTGTTATATGTCTTCAATTTTTTTTTTTTTCGCCTTGCCTTGTACGAATGTGGGCACCACGGTGATATGGTTGCATAAATGCATTACACAGCATGGGCGGAGGTGCTTGAAAAGAAGAGATACATGTATGCGCATCGCATTGCATTTTCGGGGTCAACATTGTTTTTTCGAGAGGTTTACAAGGTACAGGTACGACATGGGCGGTACAATATCGCGAGGCTACTGGATTAAGACTGGAACTTGACTGGACTAGGATGACATGGCACGGAAGAATGTATTCGATGTGGTATGGCATGTATAGAAGGAGCATTGACATGGTATGGGGACTGTACAAAACCGAAGGAATGAGATAATGGGCGGGTTTATTGAGTTAATAGGCAGGCCTATATGACCCTCATATGAACTTTTGTGGTGGGTCTCTCGAGGGTCCATCGTATTTGATATAGATATCACCATTAGTAAGTACTGATAGAGAATTCGAAAGAGTGAAGGAAGTGATAGATGATAATTCGATGATAAGCGGGATTTTGTTCTAAGAAGACGCTCATATTAATGTTATAGGCGAGCCATGGCTCCTTCCTGAACAAAACGGATAAGGCAAGGTCGTTCTTTCCCTTTGAGGTATATGGCCCCTGTGATTTCTCAAATAGGAAGGTACGCCTATTGGCCTGGTGTGCAGCTGGGTCGCACCTTCCCCAACCAGCCTCCATACCATCCGACAACGGAAGGAGCGACCAAGCCTGGTACCTGCCAGATTCAATCAAGCTTTCCACCGCATCTTTCATCCATCCCAACCATCCCTTGTCAACCACGCCATCACAACGCCGACCTCACCTGCGGCCTCAAATACCCTTCCCCGACCTTCAACTGCTCAACCGCCTGCTTCACCATCCCTTCGACGATGCTCCCCGCCGGCGGCAGGTCCCCAATAACGGCTGAAACCTGGCCCATAAGGAACGGCCGATCCGTCTCGACCCCATTCTCCTCATCATACGCCAATGGAATAATCCCCCGGTCTGTGAGCTCGCGGATTTTCTCCGGCTGCCCCTCCTCCCACTTCCGAACATAATCGTTCACACGGACGCGGAGCGGTCGACCAGAGACAATCAGCGTGCGGACTGTATCGTCGAAGCCAGCCGTTGTAACAGCCTCTTTGTGCAGGTTACTTGCACCACTCTCCTGCGACGCGAGGAAGCGCGTCCCAACCCAGACGCCCATGGCTCCCTGCATAAGACTACTCGCCAGTCCACGCCCATCATGGATCCCCCCCGCTGCAACAACCATCGCGGGCTCACCCGTAAGCGGCGAACGATACCTCCTCGCAACATCAACAACAGCCGGGATTAGAATACTATTCGCGATATTCCCCGTATGCCCCCCGCCCTCGCCCCCCTGCGCACAGAGAAGATCAACGCCCGCCTGGAGCGCCTTCTCCGCGTGCTTCGGGTGCCCGACCATATTCATGACAAGAATTCCGGCAGCGTGCAGACGGTCAATGACCCGTTTGGGGGGCACGCCGACGGCGGAGACGAAGAGTTTCGCGCCGTTGCGGACGGTTACTTCGATGAGTTCGTCAAGCTGTCCGTGCGTGTAGTCGTAGTTTGTCTTTCGGGCGCCCGGACCGACCTTTGGGAGGGCGAGGTCGATGGCGAAGGGGAGAGATTTGTCAGTTAGGTTTGATTTGAGGTCGTCGATTATCTAGTTTATCACTTTAGAGGTGGAAGTTGAAGATGGGTGGGTGGTGAGATATGTATATACAGACCTCCTGCAACTGGGCTGGCGTGTATCCGAGCCCACCGACACAGCCCAACCCCCCGGCATTCGAGACAGCAGCCGCAAGCGGACCCCCAGAAGCGCGCGCCATCCCAGCGAGGATGATGGGGTATTTGATTCCCAGTGCCTTGCACAGCGGGGTGGAGAGGGTAAGTTCGGACATGGTGGGTAAATCAAAGTGGGTCGTTCAAGGTGAGTTTGCATTTTGTGGAATTCCGAGTGCTGGAGAGACAAGAAAGTAACAAGTATATATCAGTATTATACATGCTTTTGAACCGCGGTTAGTCGATAGGCTACATGTATATATCCGGCTGCCGAGGGTTGCCCCGCTTTCCCCAGCTTCCCCGGGTTGGGTCGTTCATGCCAAGACGTGAGGGGCTAGAGGATGGGAGTTAGGGCTGGCGGTATGTATGCCTTGGGAGCGTGGCGTCGAGGCTGGGTGGCCCCGCTGCATACAGTATATGGCTGACAGAGTATGGACAGACGGAGATGGGAGAAGAATGATGAGGCAGAACTTTCTTCTTTCGCGTTAATATGATTAAAATATAGCAAACCGGCCACACCGCTAGTAGTATGGGAGATTTAGGCACGAGTCATGAATTACTCCTGATAGAAAACCTTGCCCTCGGAATGATTCAAGGCTTCCATGTTCTCACTCTGGGCTCGAGCGGAGCGTATGGTGATTGGAGGAAGAGTAAGTCAAGTTACATGGGCTTCCAAGGCTACGGTTACCTGCACAATGATCTCGACACCGCTCAACCAAGCCAAAGACTCTAATCTCGTTAATCTCTCGCTGAGATGCAGCGTAGGCTCGGATTAGACCGAGGCCGGGTCTGTGTGACTTGTTACAGGTTCGACTGCATGTCTGCATCGGGCCATTCTAAGCCCGACCTTGGAAAAGAAGCGCATAATGTGGCGGGCGTCACAGCTGACCACCCTACCAGGCACCACCACATGAGGGGTCATCCACGACCATTCGGATTCTTCGGTGACATGCTTTCAGCGATCTGGACGATGATCTGATGTATACATCTTAGACACAAACACAAAGACAACCACCACATCGGAACACGCCACCTATCTCTATGGCAAAGAGGAAAGGGACTGAAAGAAATGGGCCCCAGAACCATCAAGGCGCCCGCTCTATCCCAAAAATCCTCCGACAATGAGCATCCCAAGTGGAACTGGGAGAAATATATCAGATACAGACCCGTCTATCCGGATTCATGATCCTCTCGGAGCCGAATAGGGAATTTTTGAGCGTTGCGAGGGAGAGACTATCCCCTTCTCCTTCTTACCCTAATGATTTTGCGGCCTCGGCATCAACAGCCACAAGAGTCCAAGTTCAAGAACAAGGAGAAGAAAAGCAAGACATCAGTTCCAGATTCACCTACCTCACCGAAAGCGCCATACATTCCTCCGTCGCCTCGGGCGCCATCGACCTCGTCATCATCCGAGAAGCCCTACATTGGACGGAGATCCCTGCGTCAATCAGCGAATTTGCACGGCAGCTGAAGAGCAGCGGGACGCTTTGTGTGCTGCAATATGGGCCCGTGTGGATTGTGGACAATCAGTGCGCGCAAGCGGTTTGGGAGGGACTGTTCTGCGACGCTGTGAGAGATCTCTTTTTTTGAAAGGGAGACGGTCCAGACCAGCAGAGTGTTAATTCAGGGAATGCACCCCCAGGCAACGAAAGCTACATCCTCGCAGGCCGACGCTGCGCCACGGGCTTCGACAATGTCGGCTTCCCCTCTGATCAGTAGAAAGATGGAATCATACGAACGTTTACAGACACCGCCGGGGATCCGAAGAAGCTTGGCATCGCAGCTGGTGAAGCCGGACTGGACGAGGAGGACGATGCAGTGGGCGCCACCGATCAGAGGATTTTCGTAGAAGGGGACCGGGAGTGGATGGCCGGGGGATGTGATCTTGCTTGGCTGCAGGGCGTGTATGTGAGCTTTTTTCCCTGGACGGCGCATCGAGGATGATCTAAACGGGTGGGAAGAGCTGAAGAGGGCATTGAATGGGGGGCCAGTGACCGTTGCGTGACCGAGTGTTATGATCCTTGCGACGAGGAGGTAGCGTAGGTGATTACCCAACTTTCAAAGGGGATATAGAACATGTTTCGTCGTCCACGACTAGTAAGCCATCGCCTGTTCATGAGAATAGCAGTATCCTCACCATAGTGGATGAGCCGAGGGCCCCCGCGTATGTAGTTACTACCGGATGAGCGAAAAACGTCCCTATGGTCTCTGGAGCTTGAGACTGGTACTATGTTGGCTAGAGTTTACTTGCTGCGACGAGGAAGTTAGTCGTGTCGTGATCGGATTCTTCAAAATAATTTGACCTATTATGCGCCGGTTTAGGGCAAGCCTTGTGTCCCACTATGAACAGCCTAGACTGGTGCTTAGCTTGAGCAAAACAGCACTAAATACTTCTAAATTAATAGAACAGATTGCTCTTATGCACTGGAGCTAGAATTGGATCTGGCTCTGATAGATATAGTTCCTCAGGGAGGGAGTTGGAGGAGTGTATGCCTGAAGCGTGAGGACAAATGTAGGACAAGCTGATTGCGTATGTCTAAATACTCCAAAGTGGTCTATATTAGCGGAGGATAATAGTTGGATATCATAGACATAGATCTGAAGGCCCAATCCGTGTGTGCTTGAAACCATTCCTCCATCGTAGACCACGGTCACTTGAAGAAATCCTTAAGACCAACATTCTCTGCCACGCTCACAGTCCCACGCCCTTCCCGGACGGCCGAACACGTCCTTTATATCGTGCGAGATCTCCTGCTTCCCCTGAGGATTGATCGTACCCGCCAATAGCCTGCCACCGTTCTCCATGCCTATCTTTTCCATCCTTGTTCCGTGTGGCGCACGGATCTGAAATCAGCTGCTTCAAGAGCTGCTTGGAATGGTGAAAGACGTCGAGTATTTCCGTGGCAAGGTGCGGGCCTTCTGGGACGTTGTGAGCAGCATGATGAGTGCCGGTGGACGATGGATTCCGATCTTGGGAGATGAAACAAGTGTAGCTGTCAACGGGTGCGCGCGTTTCGGGCGTCAGAGAAGCAAGTTGAAGGTTGATACTCGTTGTTCGTTCGTCAAGCGCTTCGAGCATTTGGGTTAATTCCGTCTGCCGGGCAGCCAGGTTGTCTTTGGTCTCTTTGGTGGTTTCGGCTGTCTGGACGGCGGAGAGCCTATCGAGACATCATGGTTAGCTTGCTTGACTAAGAAAGAGGATAGTCATAAGCTAGGGAGAAAGTACATACAGAGTCGCCAACGCCAACGCGGCATTCATAGTATCATTACTCGCTGCGAGCGCATCCCTCAAGAACTCAATCTTCGCGACCTCAAACAAACCCACGCGAGCACGAACCCACCAGTGCATCTTCCCATCTGTAGACCGAGAAGTCCACTTTTGGACTTTGACTCTAAACGAGTGACACACCTGTGTGCACTGCTGGACCGCCAACCAAAGCGCGGACTGAGTTTCAGGGCGGAGCGTCTGTAGGGTTGTAAGATTGGTAGGCGAGTTGAATTGCTGAAGAACCGCTTGGACAGCCTCCAGGTCTCTCCCGAGTGATGTGATGAGTGCTGGTGCGTTCTGGATTGCTTGAATCTCGTTGAATAACGCAGTTATGGTTTGAAGGGCGAGGCCTATCGTTCCGATTGCTCCTGCCGCAAGACTGAAGGGGTCGGCCATTTTTTTTTTTTGGTGATAACCATGGAAGGTGGATCTTCAAGATTGGACTTTGTCGGTTGATCGCTTTTTTAGAGTTTTTTTTTTTTTTTTATTTTTTTTATTTTTTTATTCTCAGGTCTGCTTTATATCTGCGGATGAAAGCGGTAGAGGCTGTTTGCACCATCCCAGTCAACCCAATTCATTCACCATGTCCACCACATCTTCGTCATATTCTAGATAAGTTTCCTAAACTCGCAAACATTTCTACTTCAAAGCAGAGAGAGTGATTCACCATGACTACCCAGCAGATCTCCCGGATCACGGCCAATGATGGGGCGAGAGTCTTTGCTGGGGCCAATACGATGAACATCATACCACCCCTGGGCGAGTTGATATCAGCATCAGGTCGTGGGTGGGCAGTGACTGACAACTATTCATGTTAGCGGGTGTACAAGGAAGTACCTTCATGACATAATAGAGGGTTCATCGTGGCAGAGGGGTTGGTTTGTGATTAATAGGCCTGAAGCAGCACTTGCCTAGAGGCCTGTTATTGTTTAGCTCTTCCAAACTAGGTAGTGCTGAAGATTTCTCCAAATGGACAGAGGTAGAAATTTAGTGAAGAGGACACTTTGCAGCCGAAAATATGGCGGGTTTGTCAGGTTCAAGCAGCGGCTTGTTTGCCGGAAGAAAGAGCAGTAACACAAAGGAATGGAGCCATCCTAGGCCTGTGTTATTCACCTTCCATTGCGTTCTTGCTACTGGAATCTCTCTTCTTCCCTCCTCTACTTCTTCCCATTTCACTTCCTAGGCTCCTACATATTTCCTCCTCTCCCCAACCTTGCTTCTTTTCGCCAAAGCTTTACCCAACATTTTTCAACACAAGCCGCGATGGACGAGCCAACCAAAAGAATTGTCAAGCAGTGTATTGACTGTGGCTTCGGTCACGATACCGATTTTCAGAGTCCGGCGCTCCAGGATGCGTTCAACTCGCAGGTCATTGGTGGTCTGGAGGAACTCGAGAAGAAGTTGCAGCGGCTTCAGCTGGATGATTGAGACTTGCATCATGAATTACGCTCTTGCCAACATCGAAAACCTCGAACGGCAGTCGTCGAAGTGCTCTCTTGCTTCAGACTGGGACTTTATCATAGGCGAGGGTGGGCACTCAACCTGAGGATGTTGCCTCTGAGCACTTCTGTATTTACAACGTGTTTTGCCCAACTGGGCGCCTCACTAAGTAAGTCTATATACACGCTATCTCTTCTAGCACCGAAAACCCAGGTGTTGATCAGAATTCTATCCGCAGCATGCGGCGGTGCTGAGCCCATCTCAATCTCCTCGCAAGATGACCTCGACTTCTACTCAGACTGCGATACGTTGATCAGTGCGATCGAATTTTCCTCGAATCTGACCGGCGACATCACTCTCGACGGTGTTTTGCTCATTGGCGGAAGACTCAGCATCGAGGACACGGGAATTTCAAGCTTCACGGCGCCGGATCTGGCAAACGCTTCAGATATTAGGATCACAAATAATGCGAATCTCAACAAACTGAATTTTACGAACTTACATTCTGTTTATGGTGATCTAAGTGTGTCGGACAATGAGAAGTTGGAGCAGCTGCACTTTCAAGGTCTGTTGGTTATTTCGCAGGATGTTAACTTAACAGGAGCATTTACGGAGTGGGTGGTTTGTCATTTCAACAATGTTTACAAAGTGCTGACGACCGTGTAGCATTAGTTTCGGCGATCGCCTACAAGGAATTGATGGCGACTTGACTGCATCGTCAACTAAGAACCTCGACTGCGGACCCCTCGACACTCTGAACGACGATGGCATTATCCAAGGCTCATTCTCGTGTATCGCAAACAGCGACTCGTCGTCTTCCTCTCCATCCCCAACTCCCACCTCTGAGAGTAACCCTGCATACCCAACAATTCAGTCCGATAATAGTTCCTCAAATCACAATATCGCCTGGATCATCGGTATAGGAGTAGGATTTGGTGTTCCACTTTTTGCAGCACTCATCATAGGCGCGCTCTGGCTGATGCGCCGACGCCAACGGAAGAGGGCCGCTGTAGCCAGCGAGAAGGGCACGCACAGGACACCAGAATCAGATGAGACTCACAGCAATGGAATCAATTCGCAGGCACCGCTCGAGGTAGAAGATACAGATCGGTATGCACATGAGATGGGTGTTGATACGGGGGTTTCGGAGCTACCGCCGAATAAGAGTGCTCTCGCAGCCGAGTTGGATTCCAGGGGTGGGATTAGTGAGTTGCCGGCCCAGGAGGTGGAACGAGCAAAGTCTCCATGATAATGGACTGCTAGAAGGCTCTTTACGATGTCTCAAGCTCAAGCCTCTGACCGTTGGCTCTTTAACATTTCTCCTGGGCGACCATGAACCCTCACGGTGCAACTCAGCGGTGACAAGTCGACTAGAGTTGCCACAACCGCTACACAAGCAAAGCGTGCCTTGGAACACCACCATTCTATATTCTATAGATAACTGGTGTCACCATTCCTGTCCAGGTTCCTAACTAAGCCCTGCCTCTCTGCTCGCCGCCTAACCACCAATATAGGGCTGGCTGCACGTAACAGTCTCTATTGCACTATGTTGAGAGTGCATCTAGTTAAGATTCTTTCAGACAGCGAGAAGAAGCGAAACAGATATCTATAAATTTAATCACGTGATCCACAACAATGATGCAATTTTGATGTGGACCCTTGGACCGGGTCCGACCATCAGGAATCCTATTTAATCCGGTTCGCGAACCTTGGAAAGCTTGACATTCTGCTCTAGCCACCACTAGCCCTAACTCGACTCTCTCTCAGCCCCCCGGTTCGAAACGGATTGACCACCGAGACACGAATAAGAGATGACTACTCCAAAACCCCCCTCCAAGGTTTTCCCCGTAACAACGTTCATCTCCGATCTACCAACAGTTCTCATCCCACAACCACACCAATCGTCTTCTTCTGCCGAGGACAATGTCTCTGCCGCGAAACGCCTTGTAATCATAGGAGACGTGCACGGAATGCGCCAGTCTCTCAACGCACTCCTCACCAAGCTCAACTTCACCAAGGAGAACGGGGATCATCTCATCCTTACCGGTGACCTCATCAACAAAGGCCCCGATAGTGCTGGCGTCCTCGACCTGGCGATGAAGCTTGGCGCGAGCGCCGTAAGGGGGAATCATGATAACGCGGTTCTGAATGCGGATGCGGAGATTCGAGCGAAGCATGCCGCATCTCCAACTGGGCCTGTGCCAGCGTCTGCGTCTGCGTCCGATATCGATACCGATTCTGAAGTCAATGCGGGAAAGGATATCCAACTACCCGAAGTTGGTGCACCCGCGACGAAGTATAGTACTGCATTGGCGCTTTCGAGGGAGCAGATTGAGTGGCTTGCTGCGCTGCCGTTGATTCTTCGGGTGAGGATACCAGAGGGGGTATCGAGTCCGCTGGGTGAGAACCTGGTCGTTGTACATGCGGGCCTTGTCCCTCGCATTCCACTCGAAGAGCAGGATGCACATGCTGTCATGCACATGCGAAGCCTTACCAGTACATCAGACGACGATAACAACACACCTAGACTTACACCAGGCGAAAAGCACACAGACGAACCCTGGATAGCCGAATGGGACCGCTGGCAGGAGAAATCTCCGTCAAAGACAACCGTCGTATTCGGGCACGATGCGAAGCGGCGTTTACAGCTGGGGAAATATGCCATCGGTCTTGATTCGGGGTGTTTGTATGGTGGGCAGTTGAGTGCGCTTGTGATTGAGGTTTCTGCGGATGGGACGACGTTGGAGCATAGTATTGTACAGGTTGATTGCGTGGATGAACCGGTGGCGCCCAAGGGGGAGCCTAAAGAAGAGAAGGAAGAGAAGAAGACGGAGTAGTCTGGTCCTGATGCATATGGTATTGTATAGAGGTTCTATGCATTGGATCAAAGCCCACAACGCTGCCGCATACACCATCGGAGTTTACAAACTTATTCAATGGATCCTTAAGTAACCGATCCGAAGCCCGCAGCCAAAGAAGCTGTGTACCATGTACTCATCCATGTCCTCGATTACTAACGAGGACTCTGATCTAATCTTACTATTGTACCTGCTGAGATTGGTGTTGATTCGCGTCCAGTAACAAGGCGGGAAAGATGCCCTAACCACTTAAATGACCGAGACGGCCAGGTTATGTTTTACAGCAACGTGGAGCGAGAACTACCAGTTATCAACCGGACTTCGTTTGTATCTAGTCATAAACAACAGGAGCCACCTGTCAGTCATGAAGCGAGGTATTGTTCGCTTGTCTACTGTCTTGTAGCACCTTTGGAGTGCTTCGCCACAAGCTCCATCAGCTGGTCCGCAATCGCAACTGCAAACCCCTCATCATTTATAGCTCGATCATCTGACACCATCCGGACTTTGCTACCCTCCAGCCCCGATTGCAACGTATCAAAAAGCGCAGCATCAGCCTCGGCATCTGCAAACGGCGCTCCAGGCGTTGCAATGACACTCACTCCACCTGTCGGGAGCCACACCTGGACCATATCCGGGTTTGAAGCGAATCGATGGACTTTATCAACGATGAATTCTCCCACTTTCCTACACTCTTCTGCTGAAGTCCGCATGAGCGTTACAGTCGGGTTATGCACATGCAGCTTGCGATCGCGATACTTGGGCGGCACTGTATCCATAGGCCCGAAATTCACCATGTCTGTTGCACCCACGGAGATGATGTTGGGGATTCCCCTTTTGAGGGCAATCTCAAGGCGTGACGGGCCACAGGCCATGTTTCCACCGGCAATGAGATCGCATATCTCGGTCGTTGTGATGTCCAATATTGCGTCCAGCCGACCTTCCGAGACGAGGCGCTCCATCGCTTTTCCGCCGTGGCCAGTGGCGTGAAAGACGTAGACTTCAACACCATAGTTCTCTTCCAGGTGCTTCCGCACGCGGTCGACGCATGGAGTCGTCACACCGAACATGGTCACTCCAACACGAGTCTTCTTCTCATCTGCTGGTGCATCCCCAGCGCGGCTCGCAACCAGACGGGTCTCATACGCCGAGGCCATCCCAAACATCGCCCCAGCCGCATTCCCCAACACCTCCTTGAGCAACCGATTCGTCCCCGCAACATCGACAACCGAGTACATGAGCGTGATATCGCACTCGCCGACCACAGGCCCCGTATCACCGGAGGCGATCGTACTAACAATCAATTTCGGTAGACCAAATGGCGCCGCGTTACGCATCACCGCTGAGATTAGGCTCGTTCCACCGCTACCCCCTGCGCCGAGGATACCGTGAATCTCAGACTTGGCTAGGATGTCTGCGACGCATTTTGTTACGGTGTCGATGAGGAAAGTGATTGCGTCGCCGCGGGAGAGGCCGGGGAGGCCGGGCTCTGCGTCGGATGCATACTTTGCCAGAAGGTCTTTGTGAGTTATATTTATGGAGCTGTCGGTGACAGGTTGGCGACCACAGTCGATGAGGGTGATTTCTAGCGGTGTCGAGAAGCGGGTTGCGCCTTGCTGCAGTTGCCCGTGCAGGTAGAGGAGCTCTGCGAGCTTGGTGTCGAGGGTTCCAAGGAGGAGGATGTGAGGCATGGTTGATGGTTTGGATAATGCTAAGGGTCCCCGAGATCTTTTCCAGGTTAAATTGCCTTTACCATGGTCTTTAGGTTGGAGCCAGCCCCGCATCAGGTACGAGTCTGGGCACCATGAATGGCTGCATTGTGCCCCGCCCCCCGCCTTTCCCGTGATCTATGCTGGTTACATCATCCAGACACAGTTGCCCCTCTCAGTTGGACGGGATCTGTTAAGCATTAATCGACCAATTCGCCTACAAATCCGTGCCGAGAACCGAGTGTGCACTTGTCCCGATTCTCGCTTAAGCTTTTCATCCTCCTCCCTACGCTCTTGCTTCCTAATGCACCCTACAAACCCTTGATCAACTCGAAATGGCACCACCAACAGACCGCACCGAAATCCTCGCTCGCTTCCGCCGCCAGATCGCCGAGGGCAAGCCCATCGTCGGCGCCGGAGCCGGTCCGTCCACAATCCACCTCCCCAAAAACATCATCCCGACTAACAATTCCAGGAATCGGCCTCTCCGCCAAATCCGTCGAAGCCGGCGGCGGCGACCTAGTGATCATCTACAACAGCGGGCGCTTCCGCATGGCCGGGCACGGCAGTCTCGCCGGGCTGATGCCCTACAGCAACGCCAACGACGTCGTGGTGGAAATGGCGGCTGAGGTCCTCCCCGTCGTCAAGCACACGCCCGTGATTGCCGGCGTGTGCGGGACGGACCCGCTGCGCGATATGCCGCGGTTCTTGCGGAAACTACAGGAGATGGGGTTTGCGGGGGTGCAGAATTTCCCGACGGTGGGGTTGATCGATGGGCAGTTTCGGGCGAATCTCGAGGAGACGGGGATGGGGTATGCGAAGGAGGTGGAGATGGTGCGGACTGCGGTTCGCTTGGGGATGCTGGCGACGCCGTATGTGTTTAATGTGGCCGAGGCGGAGGAGATGGCGCGCGCGGGGGCGGATATCCTCGTTGCGCATATGGGGCTTACGACGTCCGGGACGATCGGGGCCAAGACGGGGAAGAACCTTGAGCAGTGTGTTGAGGATATCCAGGCGATTCGGGATGCAGCGGTTAAGATCAAGGAGGATGTTATCGTGTTGTGTCATGGGGGCCCGATTGCAAAGCCCGAGGATGCGAGGTATGTTCTTGAGAGGGTGAGCGGGTTGCATGGGTTCTTTGGGGCGAGTTCCATGGAGAGACTACCGGTCGAGGTTGCTATCCGGGATACGACGGCGGAGTTCAAGGGGATTGCGCTGAAGAAGTAGTGGCTGTCTGGGCAGTATATGTCACGTTACGCATGGAAAGCCCTTTGGTTCCTAAGCTTGAGTAGGCTAAACAGTCTGTATGCCTAGAGGTTCTGCGCTCTACAGGGTCCTGTCAGACTGTCAAATGGCCATTACCATGAACAGCCCTGGTCTTTGCTATATCTATTGCCATCTGTGACAAAGAAAAACACGCCAATCTCCCAGCGACCTTTAGGACAATGCCCATTGTCAGGCCATAACAGAATGTATACCAAGCCTCTGTTAACGCCGTAGAACAACCGTGGTCTGTATAACCTTAGAAGACGGAATAGACAAAGCCACTGGTCTATATAAAACCATCCACCATCCCATGCATTACTGTATCCTCAAGCACTAACATCATCCTATCCCAATCCACTCCTCTACCATTCAAACCCCCTACATCCACTCACCGTTCAATCCCAACTACCCTCCAGCAAACACATCGCAAAAATGTCCGCCCCCTCATCAACACAATCCATCCCATCAACAGGCTCCTCCCTCTCACCCGACTCCCTCGCACCATCGCGCCGAAACCCCTCAGCGGCATCAAGCACATCAAACGCCTCAACAATCCCCGAGTGCGAGAAGATGGACATCTACATCCTCGTCCCCAAGCACTCTACCACGCACCCGTCGCAATGGGTCCTCTACAGCGGGCCCTACACGGAAACCGCGGACCGGCGCAGCGACGAGCTGTACACGTTCTTCCTCATCAACAAGAACGAGACCACCAACAAGCTGGCCTTGGGCTTTCGGATCCAGGGGATGCCGACTCATTTTCCGCTCGGGGACTGGAAGACAAGACGGCTGGTCACTTCGGAGATGGGCGATGGCGCGGAGGATATGGCGAGGCTTGTGGCGGCTGTTACGCGGGCGGTGGAGGTTCCGGTTGAGGTTGAGGGTGAACGAGGTGGGTTTATCGGTGGGGTGAGGCATTGGTTTGTTGGTCTTCTTGAGGAGTTGGTGGGATTTGGGTGGGTGAATAAGGAGTGGGAGAAGGAGCTTGTTGAGGATATTGTGGGGAGTAAGACGGTTTGTAGTAAGGAGGCGGATCCGGATTGGGTTGCTAATATTTTGGGGGTTATTAATTAGGTCCACGGTGTTTGTTTGTCTGGGGGTCGTTTCGGTGAGTGTCGATCTTCCCTGTGTTGACTGCTTATGCTTTTTTTGTCGTTGCTTGGTGGCTTTATTAGATCAGGAAATAGAATAAGAGACGTTTGCCGTCGGAAGGAAATTAAAGGGTTACTCCTCTTTGCTTTATACCCTAATCGAAATGTACAGAACCAGCCAACTATAAAGCCGCAAGTTACAAGGCAGGGCCAGGTTTATGCCTACTTGACTAACCCGGGGATGCCGGTACTAGTATTACAGCAGCCCCAGCCCCATATGCTCAAGCGAGGCAAACGATATCGACGGGTCCCACGGGAAGCCAAACATGTTGGTCTCCAGGTCCGGCTGCACAGATTCGTACAGGGTCGACGATAACAAGTTCTCGCCGTAGTCATTGGGCAGGATCGGTCCCCAAGCGCCATTGCTACCATCAACGTCCATGTGCGCGCTTGTCGAGCGAGCGGCTGGTAGATTCCGAGATTGCCCTTGAGATCTAGGGTCCAAGCCCTGATCCCTCGCGCCCTCGTGCTCCAACCATTTGATATAATCATTAAGCAGCGTGCGAAGCCCACGCCCAATCCAATGAGCGAGATGGTACGAAGTGCAATTCGCGCCAAGACAGAGATCAATCACGGGCGTGATCGCGCCAATGACAGATGTACTATTGAGAGAAACTTGGTGTCGATAAACCTTGGCCGTCTTCAGTAGGAACGAACAGGCAAACGCAATCATCGTCTGGTAGTAGTGCGGGATGCCCACAAAGGCGTCGAGGATATCTGGGTCCGTGACGGTCGTTTCTAGCACCGCCCTTGCCGAGTCGATTGCTACCGAGGCTAGGCCTTGAAATTCAACGGGGAGGGGATCTTGAATCGGATAGCGGCCAATTCCGCGGAAGACGTGCGACGAGACGAGGAGCTTGGAGAAGTGGTGGTGGAGCATAATTGCTTTGCTTGGGTATGCGCCTATAATCGGGTGGTCCTCTACGGAATGTGAGACGGAACCTAGTGAACGTGGGGAAAGGAAGCAACCTACGGCTAATACCCAGCCAATGATTAACCCACTGATCAATCTGCTGCAAGAACGCATCCAATTGCGGTTTGAGGAGGACGGGTACACGCCGCTTTGAATCCTGGCCAAATGTCTCCGAGACAGATCGCAGGATCTGAAGCAGGGCCACCTGGCTGAGGATTCGGATGTCTGTCGGGTTGCGGTGAATAGCGAGATAAAGAGCCCAGTTTTGAATCCCTTCGTCTTCTCGCATTATATGGGGCCGGCCATAAAGGATCGCCAAATGTTGATCGCATATGTATAGGAGATGCCATATTCGTACACTGTCGACTAGTTTCTTAGTCCGAGAATCAAGAGTATCCGGTGACTGTTGTTGGCTTTTGAGCGCGTCAATGGCCATTGGGAAAGACTTGTGGAGCTCCAGCTCGACCGCACGACGGATCGCGACGCTTGATATTGACCACGATATATCGCTTAGCCAGAAGCAGGCAATGCACAGGCCTCGAAGGTCCTCCAAAGAAATCGAATGAGAGAAGAGAAAATCCGCCATGAGGTTTCGGAATTCCGCATAGCAGACGCGGTATAACTGCTCACTTTCAGACCTCTGCAGCGCCTCTACTGTCAGAATTGCTGTTAGAAGCAGTGGCGACGCCTGTCGTATCTCCTTCAGGTTTTTATACTCGCTGGCTATCCCGTAGAGGTAATGGTCCGTCTTTCTCAAATAGCGGTTAACCAGCATTTTCGCATCGGCCATACTTAGCGTCTTTCGCGATATCAAGTCGTCCGCCTCGTGGCCATGGTGTGTCGTCTCATCCGTAGATACCAGTCCCTGCGATCGTAGACTTCGCAGGTGCGTAATCTGATACAGGGACTGGATGGGTGGTTGCGTCGCGGTGGTCTCATCTCGACTTGGTGCTTCGGGGTGTTTGTCTATCAGTTCGGCGCTCGCAGCACCTGAAATATATTGCTCCTCGCATCGAGAATCCTCTGGCAGCTTTGAACCTGATCGTAATCCCCCCAACGCGGCTGTAGACTGCAACGCCGGCAAATCTGGGAGGTCACCAGCCGCACGTAGCTCATTCACGGCAGATTGGAGGGTTTCCAAGTCAGCTAGTAGGGCGCTCAGTAACCTGCAACCGTATGAGCTTAATGGAAATAAGATAGACCCGAGTCGAAACCAACCTATTCTCAGAGGATGGCAGCGGATATGTTGGATCCTTCTTGAATACACATGGCAGGCGCTTCCCCAGGCATCGATGGCATGGCGGTTTTCTGCCCGGTAACACGCATCGGACCTTGTCACCTTGGTGAGATATTCAGACTGCGAGAGTGGAATTCTGACTGTACCTTGTGCTTCTGGCATTGCACGCAGGCCGTGGGCCGCTTTGACCCCGGCGGCGTGGGCTGTGTAGGCCGAGACTCGTCCATTACCTCTCAATCGTATCTATACAAGGGACAATCTTACTACCAAGAGCATCAATAGTCTTTCCGCAGCATATCACTGTCTGCATCCACGATTGTAGTGATGCTTTGAGTGTAACACGTCGTTGGTTCCATGGAGCAGACATCCTGTTAGTCATCTCGGAAATGTGGCCGTGATCACGTGGCCGACCCTACTTTGTCCTCCAGAGACCGACCTATCTTCTGACCACATATTGTCTAGAGTTTTCTATACAAAAGGGGGCGGTGTCGCAAGTCAATGTATGGGTCTAATTAATGATGACGATCGGACTAGCTTGGGTGGTAGCGGCGGTCGAAAGCACATAATCACGACGATGGATATATATATTGTGTGACGGTGTTCAGGCAAACAGCAATATCGCACCAGCCTCATCGAAAACTCATGTTAAGTATTGTGTACAAGGATCTGTACATTTGCAATTAATTGCATTTCTTCCTCTCTTCGGTTTCTTGTCTGTAGAAGTACAAGGGACGTACCTCGCCGAAGCCGCCGAAGCCACTGCTCGGCAAGCTTCGGGCTCGGGGCCGACTCCGGCCGGCCGATGAATTAGGGCCACAATCCCACCACCCATTGTCCAATGAGATCGGCCATCTAAACTTGGATTGGGTCGCGAGCCCGGTAATGCAGCTAGAGAACTCGGCGAGGGAAGGTATGGCAGAGGGGTAATGCGGGGAAGCTATATGAGTATATATAGGTCTGGTAGAAGCGCGACCGTCCTCCATCACAACTATACTCGTTCTACCTATCAATTCTACCGTCAAAATGCCCATCACACTCAAGAAACCCAACCCAAACCCCAGCGGCACCTCAAATGGTCCCTCACTCGACGTCCCCCAAATAGTCCGCGACGTCATCGCCGACATCCGGCAAAACGGCGACAGAGCCGTGCGGGCATACTCGGAAAAGTTCGACAAGTGGAGTCCCGAGAGCTTCAAGCTGTCCAGGGAGCAAATCGACGAGATTATAAGCCAGGTCCCGGAACAGGTTATCGAGGATATCAAGACTGTCCAGCAGAATGTCCGGACATTTGCGCTCGAGCAGCGAAAGTCGCTCACCGACTTTGAATATGAGATTCAGCCGGGTGTGTTTCTGGGCCAGAAGAATATCCCTGTTGCCGCGGTTGGAGCGTATGTCCCCTTACCCAGTGTCACGCTCCCAATAATTCGACCCGCCAGCTAACCTTCCGACGCAGATACATCCCCGGCGGCCGGTACCCCCTCCTCGCCTCAGCCCACATGACAATCGTAACGGCCAAAGCCGCCGGCGTCCCGCGCGTAATCGCCTGCACACCACCCATCAACGGTCAAATCCCTCCCTCGACCGTCGCCGCAATCCACATGGCGGGCGCCGACGACATCTACATCCTCGGCGGCGTGCAAGCCATTGCGGCCATGGCGCTGGGGACAGAAACGATCTCCAAAATCGACTTTGTCGCGGGACCGGGGAACCCCTTCGTCGCGGAGGCGAAACGGCAGCTCTTTGGCGAGATCGGAATCGATCTCCCCGCGGGCCCGACAGAGGTGCTTATCGTTGCGGATGGGAAAGCCGATCCGTTTGTCGTTGCGACGGATTTGCTTTCGCAGGCGGAGCATGGGCCTGATACGCCTGCTATCCTGATCACGGATTCGAGGGAGGTTGGCGAGAAATCGATCAAGGAGGTAGAGAGGCTGCTTCCGATTCTGCCGACGAGGGGGCTCGCGGGGGTTTCGTGGGAGCGGTTTGGCGAGGTGCATGTTGTTGAGAATCTCGACGAGGCGTATAAATTGGCGGACGAATATGCGAGCGAGCATGTGCAGATCCTGACAGAGAATCCGAGGGAGGCGCTGGAGAAGATGAGGAATTATGGGGCGATCTTCTTGGGTGAGAAGACGTGTGTTTCGTATGGGGACAAGGTATGTGCTTCTCGACCTATAAATCGAGCGAGGACAATGTGTACTGACTGCGCCTAGTGCATCGGCACCAACCATGTTCTCCCAACCAAGGGAGCCGCTCGGTTCACAGGCGGTCTCTGGGTAGGAAAGTATCTAAAGACCGTGACGTATCAGGAGGTGACGAATGCAAAGGCGAGTGGCGAACTGGGTCGTTTGTGTGGTCGTGCGGCGCGTGCAGAAGGGTTCGAGGGGCATGCTCGGTCTGGAGACGTGAGGGCGAAGCAGTACCTGAGCGATTCGTTCGAGTGGATGGGACAGTAGTAGGGACTGGAAACCTGGATAAATGCCAAATCAGTCGAGATCTTGTCAGCATATCATAATGAACGGAGTCGATGTTTGAGGTCTGAGTATGTGCCATCAAGCGATCGGTGTCATAATCGTAGAATCCATCTGTGAGTTTCAAGTGTTTAAAAGGACGAGGGGCACACTGCACGCTTGTAGAGGAAAAATCGGACCAGAACGTACCTTGCTCTATGAATTGAGTTTCACGTTGAACAGACTGGCGCGACATGGGAGCCCTGGGTCATGCTTCCTCATATGCAAGGTTGACCAGGTCAAATGAGGAACGTGCGACCCAGCCAGAAGGGACGTGCCTTCCTATCGCGAGGACAAAGCAAGGTAGGAAGGAGCGACTCCGTGCTCGATGATATATGGAAGGTACGACAAGGGTCCCTCTTTCCCTTTTTGTTAGCCTCACAGTGGCAGACACGACAGGATACCTAGGTGAGAGGACCTGGGTCGCCCCTTCCCTTTGCGTTGGGTGACCGGCACTGAAGAAAAGGAAGGAGCGACCTACCTTGGTGGTGCGTAGCTTCCTACCCAGGAGTGGCAACGAGATAGGCAGGTGCGACCCTCAGATAGGGGTAAAACTGGAAGGTACGCCAGGTCAGCCTGGATCGTTCCTGCTTTTTAGGTTGGGTCGTCGAACGCCCGAGGGAGGGAAGGAGCGACCTACCTTGGTGGTAGCGTGCCTTCCTATTTAGGAGTGACAGCCACTTTGGCAGGTGAGACCCTTGACTCACTGAGAATAGAAGGAACGACAAGGCGAACCTCGGTCGCTCTTTCCTTCTCTACTGAGGGTTTCAGTCTATTGGAGAGGAAGGCGCAACTGACATTGGTCCTGGTGTGGTGGTGACATGGTTGGTACCTTCCTATTCATGAAATGGTATACCAAGACACGTCTTACGAATGACATTGTTCGTATAGCGAGGATACGCTCTTTGGAAACAAGAGGGAATGGCAAGTCCGACGCTTTTTTTTAGACTTTTATCAGTTGTTGCAGATGATACGAGCAATAGCTACAATAATCCGGGAAAAAGTATGCATAATAACTCCAATATATAAATGGCGTCGACGTTATTGGTGAGCTAAAGAGCGACTACGGTAAGTAGGTACATTGATGAATCATAGTGCAAAAGCACAGTAGGATCATGTTGTCATGTAGTCCCAATCCAAGGTTATATCATCCTCATCATAAACTCCATCGCAGACCTGAGGGCAAGTTCCTCTGGATATCATTGTCGAAGAACCAGGTGAGCATAGCGTAATCTGGCACCGGAGGCACATGTGGAGATCTCGATCTCTTCGTGGTATGTTTTGAACGTGGCGGTGAGATGGCACGGGCAGAGGATGATACGGCAGGCGGGCTGTTTAGTGCTGTGAAGTTACAGTAGTCAGATGAAGTACTCTAGAAGGGTAATGTCTCTGATCGAGGAGGATGACTTACGCTGCAGTCACCGCAAGAGCAGGAGTTGCAGTCGCCGGCGCAGCAGTTGCAGGAGCAAGGAGACATTTTGAACGTTGGTGGTGGTTGGTCGGGTGACTTTGGAGGCTGTTGTTTGGTTTGTTGGCTTTGGAGGGTGAGGATGCCTGTGGATGATGAGTTAGACTGGGCTCGACGGCCGGACGAAGGTATTTATACCCCTTCTCGAGACGTGATCTCATGCCTCCGGCGTGGGATGGATTGTCTTGTCCATGTCCATGTCCCCAACCCATCGTGAAGTTGTCCAAGTCGGGAAGGGGAAGCCGAATATCATTAAGGAAGAAGGGTTGGGCCAGCTAGGCGTGGGTGGTCTAAAGTGCCTAGGTTCGTTCATCGCGATGGTTGAAGTATCCAAAACCGAGTCAGCCGCCGATAAATGCAAAGGAAGGACGTCTAGGATGGCTTCGAGGCGGCTCCCCACGTAAGCGGGTACCAGAGGGCCCGCCAAAGGGTTGGGAAGAGGCCAAAGCAACAGGCATGATGGATCTGCGATCAGGTTGGAGGTTGCTAAGTCGTTGTGGTGGGTAAGCGATGTGACACACGAGAACTGGGAGAGGGTGGTGTGAGGAGAGCCAACCAACTGATCTCGATGTGTAGTGGTGTTCTTAGACCAGCTGTTTCGTCTCACTAAAGACAAACATAGACGTAGGTACTTTTAATATGTCTACAGGAACAGGCTTTCTTCTTATATATCAAACTACCCCTGAATGAGTACCCTGGAGGCTTTCCCTCAATATTGGCTACAAAGCGGGTGTTGAAGGACCTTGCGGCCCGGGTAAGGAATCATGAAGTTTGAGCTGGGGTCCTGGATATTTCTCAATCACAGGAGACCTCAGCCTGATGGAATGTGGAGCTCTATCCTCCTCTGAAAGATGGTGTGGGGGTTTAGCATGTCACATTAAGCGAGGACGAACATATCAAACCGGATCGTTGGGGGTTAGCCTGGACTCCACACGATGGCTCTCACGAGTCGCTGCACAACTCAACTCGGTCACACGGCACCTGGCATGGGAGGAACTCACCAGTGACCTGGGCCAATTGATATGGCGTAGCAATCTTCAATCCATAAGTGGATGGCAACTTGGCGTGAGATGAGATCGCGCCTGCATCCTACGGGCAAGACTAGGCTGAGACGAGTGCCAAATCCAAAATCTAGCTATGCTATTCTGAAGAAACGACGTGACGGAAGGCAAGGGTAGAGGCTACAAGCTTGTTTTGCTCTAGAACCAAAATGAGGTTGAGGGTTGGCCATGGAGCCATGTTACTTTTTTTTAGACCCGCCTTGAGCGCGTTGAGATCTGACAGAAGTACCTCTGCAATTAAGTCACAGTGCTAAGAATCACGGAGCGTCCTCATTCGTCGCATTCGCTGCATTTCTTGAATCACCAAGGCAGCTCACCCCACGCGATTTCTAGCTGGGTCCGTCATCGATCGAATATGTCAGATTAAACCTGGTATGAGAACTGCCACAATGATACGTAGATCTGTACTCGGGTGTACCACACAATATCAGCTGAAGCATTCCGCGCTGCTCATTATGGAGAACTTTGGTCGCTGCGGAGCAAAAGCCTTGTGCTCTTGGTCTGCTGCAAGGGAGAAGAGAGTGCCACAAAGCCAAACGAAGCATGCACGACTTTACCAACTACCATGCTTGACCTTTTCCAGAATCAATACGCCATTGATTATGTAGGTATTGGAGTTTTCGATTCATATGGCTGCCGGAAAGACATATTTGCCGATCTTGAACAAGTTTTATAGGGGCATCTCCAACGAGCTGCACGTTGAATATGGCTCTATCGACTAGATACGCCCACGCCCTGAAATGGGGAGTATTACGACAGCTCGCTGCATTGTTGAACTCCCAGATCAAGGACACATGCTTCGTTGCACGACTGTGACTCGAGACCCGCAGCGTTTGGGAGCAGATACTTACCCCAAAAGATGAATAGAACTGGATTTGCCAGGTATGTTATAAGTTTCTGGGTACCCAACTTAGAAGAGAGGAGGCAGTTATTATTGAATGGCTATAATGGCATTTTCTCCTGTCTTAAGAGGCTGCCCTATGATGTCCACTAAGGCTTCCAGTCACCCAATTTGGCTAGCGAGGTAAGCACTAAATCTCGACCTGCTCACTAGCGCTCGCTACTCTACATGTATTCAACACAGCGAACACCATAACATCCATCATAGAGGTTCTGATCCATTTTATTTTTATTGAAGGTTGTACCTTGGTGTTTGTCATGAGCCCTAAATGTACCCATGCAGCTGTTATAAGCTTCCCGAATCTAACCGACCGATATCGGATACTGCCGGACCAGATTTTTCTGTGGGGAATCGTGGATACGAGGCGAGATTGAGTCATGACCACATCCTCCGCACCTCGAGGCGACGCGGGGAACCTGAAGCTTGACATATTCCTAACGAAAGGGTCACATAACAAATGGCTTTAAACGACACATCTCTCGTGCCATATGGCGCCGCTATGCGCGAGAGGTTCCTCTGCGACCCCTTTTTCCTGAATCTAAACCATGGTACGGAGAATCTCGACCCCTTCACGTGTCCAGGGAATGGAAGGGCTCACTGAAGATCGCTCTAACTATTTATCAGGCTCGTTCGGAACATACCCCCTTGCCGTGCGGAATGTCTTGCGCCAGTACCAAGACCAAGTCGAAGGACGACCAGATCCATTCATCCGCTACAACACGCCCAAGGAACTCGATAAATCTCGAGAGGCAGTAGCAAGACTACTGAATGTCCCCCGCGACGAGTGCGTATTCGTCAAGAATGCCACGACGGGTGTAGCGACCGTGCTGCAGAATCTGCCGTTTGAGAGCAATGATGTCATCATCCACTTTGAGACCGTCTACGGCGCCGTCGAGAAAGGTATCGCGTCTCTCGTGGAGTCGAGACCTGTGCAGATCCGAAAGGTTCACTATGAGATGCCGATCAGCCATGAAGAGCTCGTGGAGCGATTCTTGGATGTTGTCAAGACCGCGCAGAGGGAGGGGTTGAATGTGAAGGTTGCCATCTTCGATGTGATCACGAGCCTGCCGGCTGTTCGATTTCCATTCGAGAGGCTGACGCAGGTCTGCCGTGAAGAGGGAATCTTGAGTTTGATCGACGGCGCCCACGGCATTGGACAGATCCCGTTGGATCTCGGGCAACTGCAGCCGGATTTCTTCGCTAGTAACTGCCACAAGTACGTACCTCGTTCTGAATCCCTACCAGGGGCGTCACTCATACTGAACTTAATGATAGATGGCTCTTCGTCCCCCGCGGCTGCTGCGTCCTGTACATTCCAAAGCGCAACCAACACCTCATCCGCACAACACTCCCCACATCCTGGGGCTACATCCCGCCCCCCGACGGCCCCAAAACCGCGCCCTCGATCATGCAGAGCGACGACGCCAATAAAACCGCCTTTGAGAGCCTATTTGAGTTTGTTGCGACGAGCGATGACACACCATACTTTTGTGTCCCTGCGGCGTTGGAGTTTCGTGAGAAGGTTTGTGGAGGCGAAGAGAAGATCTATGCGTATCTTGAGACTCTGGCGAAGGAAGCTGCGGATATCGTTGCTGAGGTGCTTGGGACGGAGGTCATGCAGGAGCCGAACTTGAATCCAGGAGAAGAAAGCCAGCTTCGGCGGTGCGGGATGTCGACTGTTCGCCTGCCAATTACGACTAGGGTGGAGCTTGCACGAAGGACTGATTCTGCCGTACTGTTAAGTCCCGGTGAGGGTGGCGCAGTGGTGGATTGGTTCCAGAGAAGGATTACGGAGAGGTATGGCACATTTCTGCCGCTTGTCGAGCATGGTGGGTGGCTTTGGGTGAGGCTATGCGCGCAGGTATATCTCGAGAAGAAGGATTTTGAGAGGGCAGCCCAGGTCCTGAAGGAGGTGTGTGCGCAGTTTGCTGCTGAACGGGCTCGAGAAAAGAGTAGACTTTAGAATATGATCCTCATCTAGAGTAGAACTAGATAGCATGTTAATGGACCAAATATAACGTTCTAAAGCTTTCATGCCATCTTTTTTCGTGATCTTACATGAGCCCCTTGTTCGCCACATGGCAGCCGTCGAACTAGGAAGTACTCGTTCTTGCTTACCTTCCCTTCGACAGAACTTATATAGAGGCCTATATCAGTCCGGTACCCGGCAGATGCCTTCTCTACATACGTCGGGGCTTCCGATCCCAGAGACGTCTTGGCGGAGGATGCCATAATTGGAGCTTATGATCGTTTCAGGATCAAGCCGAGTGCTGCTGTCTATGGGGAGCTTCGAGACGTGAATATAGGCCGAGCATAAAAGAGTTAGCTGGCGATTTATCTGCCGGCTTATTGCCGAAACGGAGTGACAATGGGGTCTTGGGCTTTTCTGTCTATCAGAGTAGAGTTTTGAATTATCATATCCTATCCTACAAAGGACATCCCTTGGGGGCTGATGATGGTGGCGCATAGGCAGAATCACCCAAAAGTCTTATACAAGAACTCCATTCCTCTGCCAGCATCCTGTCCTGCCGCACGCCCAATAATCCTCTCCCGACTTTCCAGAAGCCTCCTTGCGGCCTCCCTCTGGCTCAGAACCTCACCCACCTCGCCATCAATCCCCACATCAACCAGCCTCCCCGCTTCTTTCCTCACAACCCCATCCACAATCACCATCTCGACATCACCCACATTCGCATGCAACAACACCGCAGCAAGCGGATCCTCCTCTGCCGCACAGACCATATTCGGACTCGCCGCATCGAAAACAACAATATCAGCCAGCTTCCCCACCTCGACACTCCCAATCTCTGCGCCCATACCGACCGCACGCGCACCCTGCACCGTACCCAGATTAAACACCTCCTCAAGCTTGATCTTCACACTCGGATACTCCCCCTCCGCAATCGCACGCGCATTCTCCGCCCCACGGGCATGCTGCATACCAAGCCGGAGCTGGGTGAGGATGTCTGCAGAATTATTCGCGTGGCAATCGATGCCAATCGAACCGATGCATTTGAGATCCGGATTGAAAGCGACGGGCTCGCCGAGGCCCATTTGGAGTTCTGTTTCGGGTGTCGAGGAGAAGTGGGCGCCGTGTGTGAGGAGGGTTTGGGCGTCGGAGGGGGAGATTCCATTGATGTGTGAAAAGAGGGTTGTATGATCGAGAAGGCCGTATTCTTTTAGGAGAGCAATTGAGTCTGTAATAAGTGTCAGCGGTTGTATCTCCAACTTTGTTGGGCGCTGAGAAATGTAAGAGGAGGTTGGCTGGGTTACTCTTCATATGCTTCGCCACGTAGTGCGTGGTGAAGAGGCTGACGCCTAGAGATCGACATCTGGCCCAGAGATCCTGAACGACCTCCTTGGGGAGACTAAACGCATCGAATCCCAATCCAAGCTTAACACGGCCATTCCCAAACGGCGCTGCCTTTGCGAGCGACTCGAGTGTTGAGAACCACCACTCTGGAAGAAGCTCCTCATCGTACTCGACCGCCTCATCGGAAACCCACTTCTTGATTCGCCAGACGGGCGTGTAGCAGAAGAATGTCCGTAGACCAGATGAAGCCGAGGCGCGAATTGCTTCGGTAGCTAATAGGCAGAAAATCAGTGACTGACAATCCTTCGGCACACATTAGTGACCCGGAGGAGATAGCGCACCATGCCCCGGTGAATACGTCATATGCGCATGATCAACGACAGTTGTAACCCCCGAATAAAGACTCTCCTGACACCCCGCAAGCTGGCCCAAGAAGATATCCTGGGGCGTATAGTTGAAGGACTGGATATTGCCGGCGACCATGTAGTCCATGAATCCCACGTTGCCGAAGCGGCCGCGCATCTACATTACAATGAAGAGTTAGTAAGGGAACAATAAAAGATGGGTGGAGAATATGAGGGAGGAGGAATAGGTACCTGCGACTGCCAGAGATGATGATGCGTGTCGATGAAACCGGGTGAGATGATTTTGCCGCGACAGTCGATGACACGGTCAGTGGTCCCATCGCGGAGCGTGAGTCCGCGGCCGATGGCTTTTATCTTGTTCCCAACGATAAGCACATCGTGGTCCCGGAGGACCTTGACGCGGTCGCCTTGATGGGTTAGGACGGTGCCGGCTTGGAGTAGAATGCTTGTCATTGTTAGAGGCCGAGCAGGTGGATACAGGGTTCGCATCAAGGATGGATTAATGTGTTTTTATACGCGGCTGTAGTGGCCCTCGGAGATAGAGGAAATAACCCCCGGAGACCGAGTGTGGAGGACGCGTAAGACGGCAGATATAGGCCCCAGACAGTGCCAAGCGACGCGGAAAAGAATTTACCAGTCGAAGCCCTAACAACCGGCGCCTTGTCGAATCCTTCGAGTGCACTTGCCGTCTAATAGGATATTGGTGGAACGAGGACGCTAACAGAACGGGTAGACTGTCGCAGTACAGATGGCGCTATCGACAGGTCGATATATAGCCCGCAGAAGGGCCGCTCGTTACCTGCAATTAGAACCTCAGTCCGCTTCGGATATCTTGGACAGGATAAACACCATCCTTGTGAGCAGCTATATTGTTACGGGGATAACTTAATACAAAGCCATCTAAAATTGGTCTTTCTCGGTCTTTAAGCGGTTCGAACAACTTGGGCATAGAAGGTTACCATACACCTACATTACTGAGTATAGTGGAGGTAAAACCAGCGTTTTGGTAAAGTCATTACTATCACCAAAGGGTAGTGCGACTTGTTTATCGTATCGCTGGGTGATTCGAGACGGATATGCGGTTCGACTGGACTATACCTTGATTGCAGCGGCAAAGGTCGGTCAACGCTAGAGCCTGGTTGATTATGTCGCGGTATGATGGAAACAAGAAACGTCATGGGAGATCGCATGATAGATTGTGTTGTGTCTAACCCTGGCGATCCGCAACCTGTAGGATAAGCTGTCAGGAGGTCGGATCAGGCACCTTGAGGGACCCCTGGTACACTACGGGTATGGTGGAACTCAACCGCCGACCTGGCCACACAGGCCGGGCCAGTGCGTTCACTGGGCAAGGAAGAGCGGCCGGCTGAATAAAAATAAGATACAGCCGCTGTACGCCGTTGCCCAAAGACATGCATGCTTCAGCCGCCAAAATGCCGGGACCTTCAATTGTTGTCGGGATCGATTTTGGCACGACGTTCAGCGGGTATGTTGATACCAGCAACACTTTAAATAACTGCACTGACTAACTCGAAAAGTGTTGCGTGGGCCCTCGAGGGCTCAATTGACGACATTGAAGTCCTGACTAGCTGGCCGGGGGCAGGGAACAGTACGTGTGCATAAATGCTGTGCTTCCAGATTCAATGCACTAAGACTGGTTTTTTTTTTTTTGAATAGGAACCTCCGTGAAAGTCCCCTCAACAATCATCTACAACGGAGAAGATATCCAATGGGGCTACCAAATCGGCCCATTGAGCGAAGCCTGCCGCGGAATCAAGCTTCTCCTCGACGAGGACCAAGAACCATCCTACGCCTACGCACCCTCTCTAGCATCCAAAGCTCTACTGGAAAAGCACGGGAAGAATGCCGTGTAGGTCGCCGGGGATTACATGAGCCAGCTCATGCGCCAGGTGGCCGAGCTTATCCAACGACGACTGGGCTTGACGGGCGATGATGGTGCAATCCAGTTTGTCCTCACCGTCCCGGCTGTGTGGTCTGACAAGGCCAAGGATGCGACTCTGAGGGCTGCGATCAAGGCTGGGGCTCCGGCGCAGGGTATCTCGCTTGTTTCGGAGCCCGAGGCTGCGGCTTTGTACACGCTGCGTGCTATTCAGCCGTGTTTGATTGCGGTCTGTAGTCCTGTTTTTGTTTCCCCAGGGAACGAGTGAGGTATAGACTAACCTTTGTAGAGAAATGATGTCTTTATTGTTTGCGATGCTGGCGGTGGGACGGTGGTACGTTGGCGTGCTGCGCGATGTTTCTCGCCTTACTAACGATGCTAGGACCTCATTTCCTACATGGTCAAGGAATTGGATCCTTTGCGTGTGATGGAAGCAACCAAGGGAACAGGTACGGATTATCCTCCACAAAATCATCCGAATCTAACCGCGGACCAGGCCGCATCTGTGGCTCAATGCTCTTGGACACTCGATTCGAGGAGCTTCTCCGAGACAAGATGGGTGCTGAAAACTACGACGCGCTGCCGACCAAGTCCAAAGAAGCCGCCCTGCTACACTGGCGAGACCGCGTAAAACCTCTGTTTGCTGGGAAATTCGACGAGGACGACTTTAGCGACGTCCCGACCTACATCCCCATTCCCGGCGCAAAGGACGACCCCGAAGTGCCGATCGAGGATGGCTTCTTTGAGCTTACGATGTAGGCTATCAATATCGAATCTTAGCCTCATCAGCGCCGATGGCTAATGTGACATAGTGATGAGATTGCGGCCATTTTCGATCCCATTGTGCGGGACGTTGGCGAGCTTGTCGACGAGCAGATGGAAGCGTTGGCTAAAGTTGGATTCGTTTCCCCGGTAGGTTTTTGGCAAGGGAGTGGAGGATATAAATGCTGATTGCGCCGCCATAACAGACTATACTTCTTGTGGGAGGGTTCGGGGCTTCGGAATACTTGTTTCGCCGTCTCCAAGAAGCACGCCCTTGCATCAAGGTCCTCCAGCTGCCGAATAGGTAAGTTTGTTTCTCCCGTCAAGGACTTCGCTAACTAACAACCATTTAGCTGGTCAGCTGTGCTCAGGTACGAACGCTATTCCCCAATAAATCCACACAATGAGCTAACGTTGATCCAAGCGGCGCCGTACTCCACGGACTCGAGAGCCACAGCGTGGAAAGTCGGATCGCTCGGCGGAATTATGGCGTCACATTTAGGCCTCAATGGGACCTGGAGAGGCATGCAGAGGAGGATAAACAGTGGAGCGCCCTGGAAGAAAAGCACTTTTCTCGACATCTTGAGTGCCAGTGGTATATCCGAAAGGTCCTGTCTCATCATGGCATCTTGCCGCTGAATCGACCTGCTAACAGGGAACAGCATTCAAAGATAGCCGAGAGCGAACCCATACGCATGGACTTCTATCGGGCGGTACGAGTCAGCAAGCGCCCTGATTTGACGTTTAGGCAATTTCTGTATTTCTGCAACGATGACGAGGCGCCGAGCATGGACAACGAGAGTAAGCAACCCTGGCCAGACTAGAAAAAAAAATTGCTGATCGATTATGAACAGGAGTTATCAAGTCATGCCAGCTAGAGGCGGACCTTCACGACATCCCTCGAGAACTGTTTCAGAAGAAGACGAATTCCAAGGGCGATGAGTATTGGGAAATTCCCTTTACGCTAACCATGACGCCCTGCTCGGCGTGTCTGCTCTTCGAGTTAGAGTTCAACGGGGTGTCGTATGGGAGCGTGACAACAAAGTACTAGGAGGGGTCGGAGTGGTTCCATTGAGCTTGTACGTCAGTTTGTAAGAAGCCGAGGATCAGGACGCGTAAACACAGGTCACCAGAATGCGGTTTACTGGGTTGGAGCTTATCGTCGCTACTGGAGGATCAGGTGCTGTTCTTTAATCAGAAAGTTTAATCTTCCATCCAGCTGATCTCATGATCTGCCTACCCCAGAGGGAATAAATGTATGCGGCTCTTTACCAGATGTTCCCAATTGAACTGTCAACGCCATGGAATGTTTATGGCATCTGTTTCCGCGAGGTTGGACGTGCACGGATCCACCGGACCTTGATAATGGTTATGCCTATGTAGGTGTGTTTCACGGAATCCCATCAGGCTCAACATGTCATAACGGCTACTAGAGCACGATAATCTCCTACGGGCGGTACGGCAGGTACATATGTTCTCTATAGAGTACAAGAAACCTGGAGATACACATCGCTAACCAAAGAAGAAAAACCAAGTCCTCGCGCAGAAGCTCTCGGAGTCGAACAAACAACACCTAGCAGATTCAGAAAAGATCCACCGCCTGAACCAGCTCTTCCATCAAGCGCGCGACGACGCTTCTACACGCGAGAGGAGCCACCGCAGAGAATTGGGCGACCTATACCACAGACTAAACTCGATCCAAATGACGCAGGACAGGGTATCCGATGACCAGATCCTCGAGCAAATGCACCGCCTGCACCAGAAATTGGACAACTGGATCAAAACCTGCTTCAAGGACCAAGACAAGTTGGCTGCTGCACTCGAGCCCACGGCTGATGGCTTTCCGCGAACCAGACCGCAACGCCATGCATGGGTTCAGTCCTGCATTTCTGGCTGGATCCATCAGTCCGTCTTTGCGCCGTATCTGCCTGGCCTCCCTGGAGACCACTTTGATTGGTTTTGTGGGAATGTCGAGGTTGGTGTTCAGGAAAGCTGTGCGTCCCTACATTGAGTTATGCATCGCCGGTCTGATGTGTAGTAGGCCCCGAAGCGACACTTCAGACATGGAGAGTCGCAACAAGCTCTGCCATTGAATATCTCGGAGAGAATAACCGCAACGAGACGATTGACAATATCCTGGCGGTGGTTGAATGCCATTTCGGTAGTGCTTCGTCTCTGGAACCGGAATCACGAAACCAACGACTGCGTGAGATACTGGAAAGGTGCGCGGTCTTCAAGTACACCCTGAGTCGGCAACCGGATAGATTTTCCTTTGATTGGTGTCAGGCAGGTGATTTGTTTGCTGCGGACTCAATGACGGCCGTGAGTGGTGACGGGGAAGAGGTGAGGCTGTGCCTCTGGCCGGGTCTTCTGAAGCGGACGATTAGTGGGGATGAAGAGATTCTAGAGCGTCAGTTGGTGTGGACTATGAAGGAACCTGAATACTAATTGTATTTGGTGAATTATGTAAGCTCGACGCTTTCTCTCTCTTGTCAATAATTTTGTGCGACTTTACAAAACACTACTGACTTGGACATCCGATTTGAGCTGATGAAGGGTAGATATCTCTGCAAAAAGGAAACATGGGTTGTGCAGTGTCTTCTTTGCAAGGGAGGCTGAGTCGTAATTGTAGATATCATTTATCTCTAGTTCACCCTCAGCACGCAGTGGAACCGTGGCCTGATCGAATTATTCTACGTCGTACCTGGCCGACAAATTACACTGGGCTTATAGCTTGTACACTATCTTATAGGCGGAGATCTTCCCATCCCTGTACTCCTGAAATCCGTCTGCAACTGCTCCCAGCCCTTCAAGCACCTTGGGTCTGTTGGGCTTTACATGGCCCCTTTCCAACCACTCTGGTAGTTTCTCAAAGAGCTCAGCGACAAGTTCGTGATCGTCCTTCGAGGCCTGCGGAGAAATGTAAGCTCGGCTGACCAAAAGAAGATAGATAATACGGGGCAAACGCATACTGGCCACTTGAACTCCCCGTAACTATGATCCTTCAAAAAGGCCGTCCACACCAGGACATCAGTCACCCGTGTCCCTTCGACGACGTCCTCGGTATTTGCCTTGCCCGGCCGCACAGTACATATCGTTCCTGGACCCGAGGCGAATGCCTGGGAGGCAGCGGCAGAAGTGCCCTTGGCTCCAATCGTATCAAAGGCGTGAGACAGGTTCGGCACCGCGGCTTTGATTTTCTCGGCGACATTCTCGTCTTTATAGTTAAAGACATGCCTGGCCCCGAGTGATCGGACGAGATCAACGTGTTTGTCGCTGCAGGTTGTCACGACGTCAAAGCCGAGGAGCGAGGCTAGTTGGATGCTGTATAGCCCAACACTTGCTGTAACAGGTTATGTGAGTTATTCCAGTCGATCAGGAGTATGGAGAATACATACAACTACCACCCCAGACAAGAACACTACTCCCCCTCCCTTGAGAGCGATAAAGCGCAAGACAGTCCTTGGAGAACAACGCAAGCCACGCCGTAGCCGCAGCGAGCGGAATAGTGCTCGCCTCTGCCCGGCCGATACTTCCAGGCACTTTGAACGAGATCCGCTCATCAGCAAGACAGTACTCGCTGTACGCGCCGAGCCCCTTCACCTCGCCACCCCAGACAAGGCCTGCAATAATGTCGCCCTTGGAGAGCCGCGTAACACTGCCCCCGAGCTCAACAACCTCGCCGACAAAGTCGCAGCCAAGGACGGCTCCATCTCCAAAGGCATTGCGGTCGAAGGATTGTACTGTATGAGCTGGTTAGGCACAATGAGGAGGAAATCATGTGGATGAGCACTGTACCGTCTGTCGGGTTTTGTGCGACGTGGGATATTTTGACGAGGACTTGGTTTGCTGCGGGGCGGGGTCGAGGGATGGATTCCTTGGAGAGCCTCGGAGACTGTCCGTCGGAGACTCGGACAACAAGCGCGGTGTTGGAGTCGGACATGGTCATTAGACCGGCAGACGTGTTCAACGACGAGAAAAGGATTGGAGGATTATCAGTCACTAGGCAAATTGAAGTCGATGATGGATAGAAGTAGGAATAACAAACGCTTAGAGCTTTTTGTAACAAGTTTAGCCCGTATGAGTGAACCATAGATGACGTGGGCGAGCGCCTCCACTTGTTGTTCACAGCCCTGCGGGGAATGAGAGCGGCTATAGCTGCTATTTGTCAGCCGGAAATCTGAGCTATAGTTATTACAACATCGGTCACTAGACTGGTACTGGTGAATGTGTTATGACTAGTCTGCCATAGACAGCAAGTGCAACCATCCAGCCAAGTGTGGTCACAGGCCTGCTTTTCCACCACCTGCACGGCTGTCGGCGTTTCCACCTGCCTTAGCTTCAAGTTCAGCAACACGAGATATCTTCATAATTTCCACCAGCTGTTCAACCTCCTTTGTGTTAACAAGCTACTGCTATTTGCAGGCTCCTATTACGTACTGCCAATATCTCATGGAGGCGTCATAATCACCAGAATCCTGCGTCGAGCGACCCGCGACGAGAGAGCATGTCGCCAGCAAACAGTAACACTCGCGAATCGGCGCCGCCTCGAAAACGGACTCGGACTGGCTGGTTCGTGAGACCCCTTTTCTACATGCATTTTGCCTGGCAAGAGTACGCATTTAGCCTTCCGTGTCGCAATCGACGTCAAAAGTGTATGTTCTGCCTTGAGCCCGCGCTACCCAGCCTCAGGCTCACCAGGTAGGCGACGGAGCTCGGCCCCGCTGCCAGAACTGCCGGACGAATGGCTTCACCTGCAATGATGGATCAAAGCCTCCTTTCACCCCTCTCGCACCTGCAGTCAGAGCTTGTCAGCCAATGACTCTGTGGCGTCGGCCGCGGTCGAACAGCACGGAAGCGTCGCTCGAGCAGGGTACAACGTTCTGTGACGGCATGTCTACCACCCTCTATCCAGCGCACCACTTTTAATTGACAAATGGTCGAGATAATAAGCGAGACAGAGGACACTACCTGCGTCTACACTATCTTTGATTACCTAGATGCCACCCTAGAGTTAGAGGATTCTAGCGACGAAGCTCGTTACAAGAGAGAAGGTACCAGGGTATTATTTCTACTACTTCATGGTTTGCTTACCTCCCGACTCTGCATCAATCACCTGGCTAAATACCAGCTAGATCGCCATATCCGCCATCTTAGCCATAATATGCCCGCTATTCAGGCGTACCTAGGGGTGTGTATAAGACAACATAGATGGTCTATTCAAAGCAAGACAAGAAGTACTCCAGGCTCCAGAACGTTCGCAAGCTCCTATTCCCGCGTTTCTGCTCTCAGTCATGTGTCGCGGCACTTTGACCAACTACAGCCCCGAAACACTCTATGCAGCCCGCTTGACAGGCCGAAACTGTATATACGGCCCATCCTTCAAACTCGTAAACGCCCAAAACGTTTGAAACTGCCCCTTTAGCGGACCTCTCTCCTCCTCGCCAACATCCCCAAGCCTCGTCTCCGCCCTACGAAAGTCATACCGCACAAGCACAGCCGCCATGCCCAGCATAAGCTCCGTCATCGCCAGCCCCTTCCCAACACAGTTCCTCGGCCCAACTGAGAAGGAAGCAAAGGCTTGTTTGGCCAATGCAACTTCTTCTGCGCCGCCGCTAGCCTCCTCACTCATCCAGCGCTCGGGGCGAAAGGTGAGCGGGGCGGGAAAGTATTTCGAGCTGTGGTTAAGCGACCAGATTCCCGTGCCGACTTCGCAGCCTGCGGGAATCAGGAGATCGTGCTCGGGGATGGTCAAGCCACCGGGAAGGACTTCGCGCCACATGGCTCCGCTGACAGCTGGACTGAGACGGATGGCTTCTTGGATGCATGCGCGGAGGTAAGAGCATGAGGAGAGCCTAGGTCCCTGACATACTTCCTCCGGTGAACCAAACACTGATCGAATCTCCTTTGTGACTCGCTCATAAGCATCTGGGTTCCGAGAGAGATAGAAAAACAACGCGGCCATCGCCGTCGAAGACGTATCTGACCCAGCAATAATCAACAGGTTACTCTCAACCCAGAGCTGCTGAATCGACAATCCCTGCCCGGTCTCGGAATCATTCGCAGCGAGGAGATGACTGAATACATCATTCTCCGTCGCGGCCCCACGCTCCCCGCGCGCTTTCCTCTCCTCCATAATCTGCCTCGACTTCGCGTTGAAGCGCATGGCTTTGGCTTTTGCATGTGGGAAGAGGAGTCGGTTGAGTCGTAGTTTTTCGACAAGGGGGAATTGGAGGAGGAAGCCGAAGCGCTGCATTTGGCCCAACACGCCGTCGATGATGTAGTGGTTTTCCGATGAGCCGAGGAGGTTGTAGGATTGGCCAAAGGTTAGTTCGGACATGACGTCGAAGGTGAAGAAGTCGCCTAGAAGACGGCATGTCAGTCACAGACTCTTAAGTGGAGTGGAGGGCAATCAGGATAAAGAAAATCATACACCAATGCGTCATATTCTTCGCCACGGTCCACTCATCGCCATCTCCCATAAGTTGTCTCGACGTATCGAATCGATCCTCCTTCTCACCAAGCGCGCTAGCAAACAACGACGCAACATTCCTCAACTTCCCATCCATCGCCCGGATATTCGTGTCGGAAAGACCTAGGTTCAATAGCCGACGAAGCTTCTTGTGTCGTGCGTTGTCGAGCGTGCATAGACTCGCGTGGACGCCGGGCACCTGAGTTACTTTTTCGTAGCCCTTGGCTTTGTGGACATTTGCGCCATGGCCGTAGATAGCTATTAGAATCCTGCGGTTAGACGTGGGTATCGGGAGAGAATAGAGGTGATGACCGTACTCTTCAATCCTGGCTCGGAGTTGATGATAAGCCTATTTGGACCGTATCGCACAATGTCGCCTACGCACCAAAGCACTGTTAGTTGCATGTTCGTCCTTCCGGCGATACTTGATCGGGACGGACACACCGTATTTCTCGTGGCAGGCCCAGATATCCGTATGGAGGTCTCTGCGATACGCGTGGTAAACAGCATACCCCGTCGTCAGCTTCGCTAGCAGGGGTCCGGGGTATTTGGCGAGCGGGTGGAAGTAGAGTCGATATACACATATCCCCAGAACCGCAACGCTACCAAGAAAGGAAGAGAAGAGCAATGAATGCCATAAACTCCTCGCCAGCTCGATGAGCGCCATATTGAGCGGATGATTCTCGCAGACTCGAAGGCGTGATTAGTGTTGGGAACACGCCGAATGCCCTACACACCATGGATTTATAGATCTACGCCCCTGGAAGCTTGCTTCATCTCGGTACTAGAGAAAGATTACTGATAAAATAAGAATCCCTCTTAAGCATTACCAATCAGCACGATCAACAGGGCTGCATCGCTTGGAAGCACTTGGCGCGATTTGACAGTGCTGGGTGGTGGATCCGCTCCACATGGCCGGAGAATATGCAATGATTAGTCGCATATCACTAATCAGGCTATTCTAGTTTAAATTCCGCCACGATGTACGCCAAGTTTTTGGTGGCTCTGTTTTGGGTATGGCGAGCGCTGTTTCGAGGTTAGTCGGATCAAAAACAAAGTAGGTTGATGCTTGGTCTGGATACTTTGTGGTCTGATTTTGAGACATTTTGGATCGACTATAAGAAGAGCTCGCCACCAGGGTCACAGCCAAATGTTGAATGGGAAGGAGATCACAACATTATGGATAGAATGACTCGCTTAGGCACGTGCCCCATGGTCATGATGGCGCTAACTATACATCTTCCGGATACAGGAGGGGTGGTTGACGTTGCCTTGGGCCAGGTGCGCTTCGCTGCACTATCCTCGCACTCGCTATAGGTCAGGAAACTTGATTGAAGTGCCTAACACAGAAACAGAGGGCGCCTAATCTAGAAGTTGATTGAGCATAATTAGCGCCACATCCTTGGCTTTGCCACAGACCCAAGATGCCCAAATAAACAGGGGACATGTCCCAAGACTGAGATAATTCTTATTACCTCATTCCATCAGAAAACTCCTGGAGCTATCTCTTTAGCATAGCGACTGTGATGTGTGTGACTGGCTATAATCTTTTTGAGTTGATTCTAGACGCTCCATTGCTCCGCTGTGCATTATAAGGGCGCCGTGAGTCTAGGTTCGGTACAGCAGCGGTTTGCTAACCGATGCGATGGGCACCTAGGACAAGAGGTGAAGTAAAGACACTAAGTCGTACTAACGCGGTCAAACTGGGAACGAGAATGGTGTCTGAACTGTGGGGTGAGAGATCCTCGGAAATAGAGTATACGTTGTCCGATACTGATCCGAAGCCCAGGCGGACACGCGGATTGACAATAACGCAGCCACCGCGGCCTTGAGACTCTGACTCGGCAACAGGGCATAGTTTTGACCCCGGACCTACATGCTACTACAGCAAGTGTCAGTTTGTCTGTCTTTTTGTAGTTTTACATCGCCCCGTCGCTCCTAGTTAGATCCTTTCATTATTCATCCATCTAGATAGGTACACACGTCTATCATGAAGTAGTTCTTCATCAGTCTCCTTTCACTTTCTGTCAAAACGTGAAAGCATGATATACCTAGGAGCCTAGGGTGATGGGATTACCCTTTCGCGTCTGGCAAGTACCGCTCGTGGGTTTATTCCTTTTAGTTGTCAAATAATCACACCATCGCCTTTCATCTTTCTTCTATATCTTCTCTGATGCCTTCGCTAACTTGGCAGTGTGAAAATTCACACAAACGTAGTAGGACGCATTTCCCTTTCCTTGGAAAAGCGACGGTCCAGAAATCCTGCTGTTTGTTGAAACAATCGTCCTTCCCTCAGGTGATACTGACTTGAATCCAGTTGGGCTGCGGCTGGTTCCACAACATGATACACTGCCACATCAGGCTGCAACGAGATGGACCACACACCAACCATATTAAAATGTTTGCTTTTGAGGCGCCTGGGCGCGACTCAGCCACAGGCAGCGCTGCCCGATCGATAAAATACAGCCTTGTGCTTGGGTCAGAAGGGGGCGGTGCACCGGGGATGGCAGCTTGGAGGTCTCGTTATCCCTTTAACCCTTCTTCACCTCCAAAGTTCTCGAGAAGCAATTCGTATCATCATTCTCGCCATGGAAACTTACACTAACCCCACCGCAGAGCCTGGATGCTATGATGTTCTCAAGAAGCGAGCAGACGAGCCACAGCGAGACGATACACACGACGAGTGGTGTGAGGATACAACGCTCAGACCCGCTGACCTTTCTTCTGAGATCCAATTGCGGAGCCCGCTTGGAAGGGTCCATGCAGAAGAAGTGATACGCAGAACGGATGGACAAACCAGTGCGTTGCCGCCTCCAGAACCTTGAAGGTCTAGTCGGCGAGCCGCGGCGACGACGACTGGGCATGGGGCACGTCGCAGAGCGGCTGCAGGGGGTGGTGGATATGATAGCGAGTTTGACTCTAATGACGATAAGAAAGGACAGCCGTCGCGAGGTGACGACGATTCGACGTCAATTCGCCGGCCGAGACAAGTTGCGCTGCCCGACGAACAGCCATCATTACATTAAGACGAGGTGAAAGCGCCGCATCGAACGGCCCCCGAGGATGAGGAATTGTAGACGAAGAAGTACAGATGCATGCAGGAGACGCTCAAGTACCTGGCGATGGAAATGACAAAGTACATATCCGTCCAAGACCAGGCAGGAGAAGAGAGTCGCCTGTTACAAGTGATGCCTGGTGCCGAAAGGAGCATCCGCTATCGCTTGTTAACACGTGCGGACAACATGAATCAATATATGTTTACTCATGAACTCGCTGCCTTCATGAGGGTCAATGGTGCAACTGGGGCTGGGCTCAACGCCATCAATCCACACGTTGGAAGGATGTTGCAATCTAAACAGGTCAACAACAACTACGTTCAACTCCAGACCATTCCAGAGTGTGCCATTGAGCTATGCGAGCTATTGGATCCTGCATATGTACCTTATCCAAGTAACTTTCGAGTCCTTGTAAAGGACAACATGCCTATGCATGCGGAGCCAATTGATAATCATACGCTCACCCAAATAGGATGGAAGCCAGTGCTGCAAGAGTACTGGTGGCGATATCGGCGAGGCACTACAGAGTTTACCGAGGATACTATTTATCGGTTCCGGATGACTGGGGAGATTAAAGGAACCTGGACACCGTGAGACTTTACTTTTTTATTGTACCTGGGAGAGCGAGATCCAGAAATCTCTACCCTAGGGTACAGACCTACTTGGGATGACGAGAACCAGGATAGGTTTTCCAGGCCCTCTTACTGTGTGAATTGCCTCGCTGCTTGGGACTGGTTTCCTGCAATCATCTTCCCATTTATGGTTATTTTCTTCTCACTGCCCATGTATTTACCAAGCTTGTATCTTATTAGAAGTTGCCATATCGTAAAAACAATCTTACTATAAGGATCTTCGTAACTAATTTCGGAGACGCCGTAGCGGTAGGTTGAATGGCTTTATATTCCCGTTCAATTCTCTACACATTTACTACGTTGAAGGTGTCACAGGTAGGTGAGCTTTGACAGCGCAAACAGAGGCATAATCCTTATTGGCCATTTAGTAGATTTCAATCGAATACGTGTACCGGGAGGTGAGGTTCCATGTGCCTGTGTCTTTTTCTAACATCAAGGGCATTCGACCCCAGCCAGTAGACCTACTTATATGGCCTGCTTCCTGCCTGGCTTGTGGCCAACGACCTGCAGAGAATAGGGCGTTCCAAAGGTGTGGTAGCGTCCCTGCGCTGCGATACATAATTTACGCCGTCATTTCGATCTGGATAGTACTGGCACCCTGACCATTGCTATTCTGTAAGCACCCTGGCTTCGCCATTTTACATCATAATCGGATGGGAAGGGAGGAAGGGCGCAGCATGCTGGAGCACATAGCGAACAAGTTACATTTCGCTGATGTAAAGCGCGACTGAGAAAGAACAAAGCTGGGGAAGCCATAAGGGCAGCGACATCAGAGAGCCCCTGCGAGGGATCAACTAGTAGGTAATGTGCTCAAATACGCGCAGGGGGCGGCGGGTAGAGCTGCACTTAGATTACGCTCCATTGAATTAGGGCTAGTTCTTCGACCAACAGCAGTCTACGATCAACCAAATGTGATGTGCTGAGTTATTGTAAGCTAGAGGAGCCATCCAATCAGTGTTGTTCGGATAAGATTGGTGTGCCGAGGTATGTACCTAGGTACTCGACTCCAAAGACCGCTTACGGAGATCAAGCTGCTGCTTAATGCAAACTCTTACAGTGTTCTTAACAAAAACTCCGCAGCTATGCTGTAGGGACTTTCGGGTGCCACTTCTCCGTGCACAGAAGCCAGCATATATTTGCCTTTTCCTTTCATTATCAGCTCAGACTTCCTCTTTTGCAAGAGCATAGAGTATACTAAATTGATCGTTATGGGTAAATTTAAATAGTGCTTCAAGTGTACAGCTCTCTCATCCCCTCTATATCATTTACACCATGTTGTACAATCAGAGGTTGTCTTCATCATTTCTAATATCATAGACGAATCTTGCCTGACAGAGGAACTAGCTCAAATCTGCTCATGTACGAAATCCTCCAAGGTATTGATTTATTTCAACTTGTTTAAATAAGGGCGCCTTAAAATCCTTTCTATTGAGACCAAACCTCAACCTGCAGCTCTCCAGCATTACAGGGCTTCACGCGATGGTCGTAACATTGGAGTTAATCTTGGTTCTGATATCGTTGTCTCTTTCTCTCCATGCCTATCCAGACACCTGCCGAACAATTCTCTGGCAATATGGGGGAACCGAGGGGTGGAACTCCGACCCCCACGCCCGAATATATTTCTACGCGAATTATCGCGAACCTCCACCAATCCCAAAAATATGGAGCGATGAGTATGTTCCATACACTCAAAATCGGAAAGAGACGATGTTAATAAAGCCGTTAGAATAACCGAATCAAACCTCGCGATATCTGCCATCTCCTCCGTCGCCTGGATCGTCCGCCTCGTCCTGCGACGCTGCAGACCGAGCGGCAGCACCCGCTACAATAACATCCTCCTCCTTTTCGACGCTGCACTGATCGCCTGCTGGGCGCTCTCCATCGGCAACCAGATCTCCGGCGACTTTTCCGATGAAGCCCATCCGAGCGAATGGCCTTGGTATCTGGTGTATCGCTGTGATGGGCTTGAGCGCCCGGAATATGGATGTTGCGTGTTGGCGAGGGTGCTTCTATGGTTTTCCGGAAATTTGTTGTAGGTGTACCTATCGCTCTGATGGGGATGGGTTAACTAACTACCGTACAGAATGCTGTACTCTGGGAGGTTTCTGTGGGGGTTGTATGAGTTGTATCGGTCGGCTGTGGGGAGAAATGCTCGTCAGCGGTGATACTATACTGCGAGGAGAAGGTCTCCAAAGGTGATTCATTCTACAGAGTATGATATGGTTTGGCCATGGGGAGATACGCCCAGTCCACAGTGTGTTGCATGATTTCGTTGGGGAATCCAGACGATGATCTCGCAAGTGAAACGGCGGGACCGTCTAACGCCAGTAAACCTAAAAGAAGTGGAACTACTCCGGAGTACTCCGTACATGGGGCCACACGCATGCTATGGGACTGGTGCATCATGAGATGAGAGACGAAGTTCCGATCCTATCCTTATGAATTATCGATTCTACTCAATTCCCCTTTCCAGGTAGCACAAAGGGGCAGTTCCTATCGAAAAGGAGCGGGCGCGAGAGAAGTAGAGAAAAATGAAGGAAGGAAAAATCCACTGCTCAGGAACGAAGCCATACAACAGAAAACGGCGGGCCCATGACGTAGCAACCCCTCTCATAAGCCATTGGATAATCGTGATACACACCGTAAGAGATTGACACTGATGGGGACGAATGCTGACCGAGCCAGTCTATCGGACGACTCACGACTCACGAACAGACTGCGGTGAAGAAAAGAAGATTCTGAACAACGCAGGATCGTCATCGGCCCACATCGGGCTCAGGAACCGGACCGGTCTCGCGCTGGCGATTGACCACTCGGAAGCCAAGATTTCGGGATCTTCCCTGGTCCTCGGTGGCCCGGTGGGTCGCACTCGGCATGCCGAAGAACACCCGACGCCGATATCTGCGCACGATGACATCGGTGTCGCCCCAACCTGTTTTCTAGCGTCGTTATGGGTTTCCCGTGTGGGATGGTTTGCCTGTGCATGTCTCCAGTATTTATACCTCGTCTCACCTCCTCCGGTATTTCTCCGCAGTTCAAATCGGGCGCTTCCAGTCAGGAACAATACCACGAGATTCCTAATTACACGCCAAAATGTCGCCATCTAAATCATCCGGCGAGGGTTCTACGCATAATGACGATGGATTAAAGCCAAAGGCGTGGATCGTCGGTGGGAAGTTCCGTGAGGATTCGGAATCACTGGCACCCATTCCCACCGAGCGGGGAGACCCTGAAGAAGTCGATTTCGATTTCCCCGCGACGGCGTTGGAAGAAAGGCATATAGAAGAGTCAAATGAGGACGTTCTCGTTCTTGACTTTCTGGACGGCGACAGTGAGAACCCGTTCAATTGGAGCTCCGGAAAAAAGGCCGTCATCTCAGTTCTACTCTGCTTGATGACCCTGTTCGTCGGTCTCGCAACAACAGCGTACAGTTCAGGAATCGGCAACATGACCAGCGACCTCGGTGTATCAGAAGAACTCGGCCAGCTGGGCCTGTTTACATTCAACTTCACATGCGCCCTGGCGCCCCTCTTCCTCGCCCCCTTTTGCGAGCTCGTCGGCCGAAAAGTCATCTACATTGGCGCATACATCCTCTTTGCAATCATGTTCATTGGCCTCGCTCTAGGCAAGAACATTGCAACCATCCTCGTCTGCCGCGCCCTCCTCGGCCTCTTCGGCTGCGTCGGCACGATCCTCGTCGGCGGCACCTTTAGCGACATGTACACCCCCGACAACCGCGCCGTGCCCATGGCCAGCTTCTCGTACGTCGCGATTCTCGGAACAGTGGCGGCCCCGATTTACGCAGGCTTCATCGACGAAACGATCGGATGGCGCTGGATTGAAGGAATCCAGGGTCTAGCCAACATCCCCCTCATCATCCTCGTCGCCATCTTCCTGCAAGAAACCCGCGGCGGCGCAATCATGGCCAAGCGCGCAAAACTCCTCCGCGAGAAAACCGGCGACGAGCGATACCGCGCAAAGAGCAACCTCGAAGCACCCAGCCTCAAACACATGCTGCACAATTCCTCCGTCAAGGCCATCAACATGCTCGTGACCGAACCCGCCGTCCTCGCCTTTGGCATCTGGATCGGCTTCGCCTGGTTCGTCACCTTTCTCTTCCTCTCCGTCATCCCAATCACATTCCAAGAGAAGCGCGGGTGGAGCGAGGGCGTCGCAGGCCTCCCCTACATCTCCCTGTGCATCGGCACAACAATCGGCTTCGCGACCAACTTTATCCAGATCCGGAAATACGAGCGCATCTCGGCCGCCAACGACCGCCGCATCGTCCCGGAATCCCGCCTCTACGGCGCAATGTGGGGCGCCTTTGCCCTCCCCATCGGCCTCTTCATCTACAGCTTCACGCAGTACGCCGACCTCCACTGGATCGGACCGGTCATCGCGCTCGCACCAATCGCAATCGGCATCTTCTACATCTTCGAGTCGACGTATAGTTTCACGTCAGACTGCTATGGTGAGAATAGCTCATCCGCGATCGCGGGCCAGGGGTTCCTGCGAAACACGCTCGGTGCCGTCGCGCCCTTGTTCGCGTCGCAGTTTTTCCACAATGTGGGCAGCCAGTATGCGGGGCTTATCTTGGCGATTGCGGCGACGGTGCTCGCATTTATCCCGTTTGTTTTCTTTAAGAAGGGGGCGGCGATTCGGGCGCGGTCCAGGTTGGCGAGTTCGCAGGGGGGCGATGATGAGCAGAAGCGGAGGACAGGGCTTTATTTGTATCGGTAGCTCCCTACCTGTAAATATCTCGTGAAATAATGTATTCGAAGGACGTAATTTGATTATTAGTATCCCTGTACCCGATCAAAGAGGTCAAATGCGGAACAGTCTCACAGGCCTACCCTACTTACTATGATCCATTTATACATGGTATTGACCGAAGAATAGCGCATGCTTTGCAACTCTACACTAGAGCTGAACGTAGAAGGTCGTGGGATTGCGACGATATTTCCTCATCACTGCCGGAAAGCAATGCAGGAGCTCGCAGGTCAACGGAGGTTGGGGGGCGGGCGAACGAAGCAAGAGTGCCGAGGGTCCGTCCCCAGCACCGTCTGATATCAAGACACTTCTACATCTTGATAGATCCGGAGTTGCCCTCTCAAAACCTCCATGCCAGTAACCACTATCGGCATGCCCTTCTGCGCCTGCGCCCCGATAAACATCTCGTTCCTGCTTAACCAATGTCTCCTGCCATCAATTGTCGTGATCCTAAAGGACTTCAGCCCGATGATATCTCTGCCGCCAATGCAAACAATTGACAGGTCCGCTCTATCTCGAGAGAAAACAGGGTGCTCAATCTACGCAATAAAGAAACTTAGGATCGGGACGGACGAGATGAAGTATCACGGGGCGGAGGGAATAATTGGACGTACCTCGTATATCTTGAACACGATGGTGCATTTGGCATGCCCTTCAATTCCACCGTCTTCTGGATCTCCTGTCCGGCATTCATTCCCCGATTCACGCGGATATCCAGGGTGAATTGCTTTCTTTTACTTCCCTCGGTGTTGGGGTCCGTTCTGAAAAGGACGACTTCCTTTGCGGCACCATCATGAAGCTCCTCGAGCGTCATCGGCAGCGGAAGACCCAGCTTTGTCCGCATCCTGCCATTCGGATGCGAGACGTTGATGTCAGCCGCTGGGTACACCAACCGTGTGGGCGACGGACGCTGAACCAAGGCATCGTGGTCCGCTGCGAGAGATACTCGTATATTGGGTTTCCCTGGACAGGTCGCGGTCACACTCGTTCCCGGTTCCACCCCTGAGACTATCTTACCACTGTGCGGCGGATAAAGAGGATTCGGCTTGAACAACACGATGTCACTGAACTCGTAGATGAACGTCCTGTTTCCTCCTCTGCTTCCCGCCGGGGCTGCGAAACTCATGATATCTGGGAGCTTGGTCAGGGGGCTGATCATATTGTCTGCCTTGTCCAAATCTTTGGTAGGCTGGCCAGAAGCGTCGCGCATGGGCCCTTTGTCGGATTCTGTGCTGTCCCAGTCGTGAGTCTCCTCCTGGGCCGTGTCCGTCTGTTGAACGTCGACGGCCAAGGAACTGGAAGGCACAGAGTTTACCTCGGCCGCCCTGGCCGCTTCCGTGTGTCGTCCGCCGTCAGTAGACCTCGTTTCTTTGTTGTCCGACCGACTTGAATTTGATCCAACGTGAACCTTCTTGTTCGTCGTAGCCTTTGTACCAACCTCGTGATCTCGTGCCTGGCGGAGACGAGAGACCGGGAGCATCAGAGCCCTCGGCTCAGCCTCCCTAGTATGCGATGAGTTTGGCCTATCGCATGATACTCACAAGTTAGCGGAGCAGGGACATGGGACCGTTGAATCACGAACCTCGCCAGCCCTGCTATTCTCAACTGCGCGATATCCTTGGGATCCTCAGGCTCCTTGAACATCCTCCGGTAGATGTCATTCTCAAACTCCAGATACTTCTGCTTTTCCGCCATCTGCTTCGCCTGTCTAACCAATGCCTCGTGGGCTTCTAGGATGCGATTATGCTGCACTACTTGACTCTGCTGCACGATCAGTTCATGGTGGTCTGTTACCCATTCGGCCAGATCCTTGCTGAGAGCCAAGATCAACGCCACAACATGCTTTGGTGCCGAGAGGGTGTCGCTGATGGATTTGAAATGCGGGGTCGAAAGCCTCTCGCAGATACTGAGAAGAGTGGTTTTGACCTCGTCCAGAAGATCATGATGGGCGCGAAGTGTTCGGGTGATTTTGTGGTTCTCTTCCATGGCTCTTCTCTTGCCTCTATACTGGGTTTGGTGGTGAAGTTGTGGCAGGAGGGTTGAGGCAGAAAGTGGTCTCTGAACCTTCTGGGAGAAGATGAGGAAGAGGGTGGGATTGAGCGACACAGCCTACTGTGGTCACATTCCTCGCCAGGATCATTGGGGAATCAAGCGCCTCAGTGCGCCAAGAAGAAGCAAACATCCTTCTAGGACGGCATGTCTCGGCCTGCCACGTATCCATGCGTCGCCTTCTTGCAGGGATCCAAGCCGCTGTCCCATGGGACAGCAAGCCACCATTAAATGCCCAAGGCAGACCCTGCTCGGGGCCAAAGCCCCATATTTCCCAGCCTGGCACAGCCACAGAGTCCCGTGGGCGCATCAGAATATCCCCTCTTCCCTCAGATACTGAAGCCTCTCGAAACTGACTTCTTTCCATCGCTCTATTCCTGGATCATATTAACCTAACAATAGCACGACCCTTAAGTAACATAAAACATCAAGAAGGAAGAAGATGGAGCCCATGTCAGCGATTAGTCTCGCAGCAAGTGTCTGCCAGTTTGTCGATTTCGCATGTCGCATCATCTCCAAGGGCAACAAGCTGCGAGGCGCGCGGCACGGCCTTCTAGTCGAAGATGCGGACCTACTTGCAGCGAGTACACGGGTCGTCGAGCTGAACAATAAACTCGTCGACTCCCTCGGCGCATATTCTCGAAGCGAGAGAGGCTCCCTGGAAGTGGAGGCCAGGGCTCAAATCAATGCAGCCTGTAGGGGGTTGAACCAGGTGGCGACCGAGCTGATCGATACTCTGAACAAACTCCGTTTGCCGGGTGGCTCTGGCCGGTGGAGAAGCATGCGTCAGGCAGTGAAGGCCGTGCGAGGGCGACAGGGAGTGGAGAAGATGAAGAACGATATCATCGTGTATCAGCAACGGTTGAATACGGCGCTTTTGATATCTATCTAGTGAGTATTAAAGGGGAGGACCCAGCTGATTATACCTGCTAATTGAGGATCAGTGCGAGATTAGATCCCTCCTTCACGTATCAGGACCCGACCCGCGGCGCAGGAAACCGACAAGCACCTCTGCTGAGCTCGAAATCTCTGGAGCTTTTGTTCGCAGGAAGCCGATCGCCCCCACCGCCATGGCAAACTCATCTTATGGACAAGGTTCTCGCCAACACCCAGCCTACCGCACTTTCCGTGCAGGTGGCGATATTCAGAGACGAACTGAGCTCAATCACGGCAAGAAAAGCTAAGAAGCAAACACAACAGCAGCTGATTGGGCTTCTGTCCTTTCCTGACTTGCACGACCGAGATTATCGCATAACCAATGCCCACCAGGATACATTCCAATGGATATTCGCCGGGCCTAATGACCGGCACCCGCGGAAATGGCGCCTTTTCGCACCGTGGTTACAGGGGCAGGAGAGTATATACTGGATCACGGGGAAGCCGGGATCAGGAAAATCCACTCTAATGAAATTCCTGAGCAAAAGCCAGCAGACGACCGCGAATCTGCGCGTCTGGGCGGGAAACCTCCCTCTCGTAAAGGTGCACTTTTACTTTTGGAATTCCGGAAGCTTGCAACAAATGTCTCTTGACGGGTTATACAGGAGCATCGTGCACGGGATATTGACCGAGTACCCGGATCTGGTGCCAGAGGCGTTTCCCTGTCGCTGGAAAACTTGGACTCTCTTTGGCCAAGATATGAGGGACTGGAATGCGCAAGAGATTCACCAAGCATTTCGGGTACTCCTGGCAAAGAGCGGGCACATATACCGGCTTTGCCTGTTCATTGATGGGCTGGATGAGTGCAAGGGGCCGCACGACTCCTTTGTGGAGGAATTATTCTCCATTACCAAGAAGCGCAATGTCAAGCTCTGTCTTGCTAGCAGACCGTGGCCCGTATTTGAGACGGCTTTCTCCACCGGAGCCCATCTGATGCTCCAGGATCTTACATTCCCGGACATTGTTCGCTTTACATGGAAGAACCTCTCCAGCCATAGAGGCTTTCGGTCCCTAGTAGCCGCTGAAGAGAACTTTGCGAGTAGCCTTGTCTTGGAGATTGCGCAGAAATCATCGGGCGTTTTTCTCTGGGTTGACCTGGTGGTCAAATCCCTGCTCCAGGGATTCACAAACGCAGATCGCATATCCGATCTTCACCGCAGGCTCGAGGATATCCCAGGGGATTTGGAAGCCCTGTATCTGAAGATGTTTGATAGCATTGAACCGTTTTACTATCAACACGCGTCGCAATACTTCCAGATTGCCCTGGCGGCGACAGGACAACTGTCCGCGCTGACGTTCTACTTTGCCGACGAGGAGGACCCTAACATTGCATTCACAGCTCCGATCAAACCACTTACAGACGCTGAACGACTGTCAAAGTATCATGCTATTAAGACAAGGCTCATAGCATGCTGCAAGGGCTTCCTTGAGATCCCGAGCCCCCTCAACACACCCGCTCTCCAGGGCAACGGTGTTGGGAGCTCCGGGGGTCCTCTTTCCGCTGAAGGGACAGCAAAGTCTTCTCGCATTGATGAGGATATCGATAGAGTCTCCTTTCATGCAGAAGACCAAGATGACCAGACTGAGAAAGGTTCCTTTGATGCACCTGACGGTGGTGAAATTTCCGAGCCTGACAGAAAGGTTACATATCTGCATCGTACAGCTAAGGACTTCCTCGAAAGCAACGTGATGCGCCAAAGAATCCTCGACCCGTCACTAGGCCAATATGATCCGTATTGCTCAATCTTTCGTGCTGCGCTCCTCGTACTAAAGACACTACCGGAGAATAGAATTACGAGAGAGGAAATCTGGAGAGTCACCGAAATGTGTCTACGGCTTGCAGAATCATCGGAGTCAGTTGAGAAAAGAGCCCTAACAAAGCATCTTGACGAACTGGACAAGACAGCGGCGCAACTGTTTCGCGATTCCCGCATGTGCGGAGAGATCACTGACTGGACTGCAACCCGGTGGAAATCCCCGGTGGATAACAGTTCCCATGCAGGCGGATTCCTCGCGCTCACGGCGGAGGCCAATCTCAAGCGATATATTCTCTCAAAATTCGAAGCTGGGCTCCCGCGGTTTGCATTCTCAGCCAACCGCCCAAATCTCGACTGGATCATCACCAGCCACGCGACGTATCCGGCGTTCTGCGAGCACCCAGACCCAGGTGGGCCGGGAGCAGGGGGGGGATACTTGTTGCCTAGTAGACAGCTCATCAAGCTTCTCCTCGAAAATAAAGAAGACCCCAATGAAGCCTTCGGTGACGACCTGACGCCGTGGATCAAGGTCTTCGAGCAAGCCGCCAAATGCGCCGGGGACAACGCCCTGCCACAACCGCAAAAGATATCAATACTCTCGCACTGGGCCGACATCGCTGACATGTTTATAAGCCATGACGCCGATCCCCTTGTGATCAGGCAGAGTTCGGTTCATTCCAAGGTGCGAGAAATCTTCGGCGCGCTTCTGCCAGACCGCGCGAAGGCCATGGAGAAGAAACTCAGACATACGCGGAGCCGCTGGTCCGCTATTGGGAGATTCATCGTCCCGCGCAATCCGAAACTGGTCAAGTTGAGCATCGAGCCCACGCCGCTCCCAAGATTGAAGACCCTAGAGTCTGCTCATGCTCCTTCCCAATGGGGTGATCAGTTCAGGCCCGGAAGCGAACAGCCACAGCACGTCCACGATCTGCCTAGATATCTTCCGAGCCAAAGCCAAGCAAACTCGGCTCCTTATTCTCCAAGAGAGCCTCGTAATATTACTGCAATTCCTTTTCCGGTGTCTGAGTTAACCGCGGCTTATCGTTCTTCAGGTGATCCTCGCTATATTGATCCGAGAGAGTTTCATTCTGGCTTGGACCATCGTCATTCTCTTCCTGCGGAAGTTGTAACTTCTGTCATAAAATCAATCTGTCAGACTGACAAGCCGGACAAAATCACAGCGGCGTTTCAGCCTAGCGGGGAACGCCTTACAGAGACGACCAGTAGGATGCTCGCCACTGTTCCAAGGGTTTTACTGCCGTATTTTCAGCCCTATGTCAAGAGGCCGGCCGCGGAGCAGCAGGATGGTAGTACTTCCTCTAATACAACAGGAAAAGACAACCTTCAAAGGGACTCAAAGGACACCAACTCAGGGCTCTGAAAGAACGCTCTTCAATCTACAGCTTGTCCCCGAAATTAGCTTCTTATTCTAGGAGGTGGACGTGAAGCAATGGCAATTGCTTTGCCTTATGTCTATCATTGGCCAGCCAAAATCCTGGTGGTGCGACTTTTCGCTACTAAGGTTATCACTTGGTCCATACCTAAAAGGTGCACGAATGCAAGTAGATTGTGGGAAAGGCAGCTTTTGCCTGGTGGTGTATGGAAGTTTTGACATCCAGGTGTGCGGCTAAGATTTAAATTGTGGAGATTCGGAGTCTGCTTTAGGAAGGTTCTTAGTTACTTAGCCCTAGGCCGGCCCTATTTACTACGGATCTCTTGATTCTTTAAGTAGTGGTGATTACCCGTGGTGTCCATGATTGCCATGATTGTAGTACGACCTGCGGACATTCTACAAAGTTGCGGGGATTTATGAGCGACCTTTTCGGCTCCGAACTCGGACCCGCCGAGTACTAGATGTCAAGCAAGTGTATTTTTCGCTACTACGAATTGTCCCCGAAACGCCTCACCAGAAGCCATCAAACGCTGACTCCGTTGGGTCTGAACGGTTGTCGGTACCATCCAGCAACTGCAGAACTTGCTGAATGGCTTGATGGTGAAGCAGAAGCTGCCTCTTCATGGCACGCCATTCCCAGTTCTGCAGATACTGCGGCGATAATAATGTGATTCCCTCTGCCAAAATCTCATCGGTCCCCGTTAGAATAGCCCTTACGGAGCTCAAACCCGACCCATGCTGAGGATCCAACACTGAAATGTTGCCAATCTGCGACAGCATCTCGAGGCACAGCGCCAGCCGAATCTTGATTGCAACCCAGATTCTCGCGCTGCGTATCGCCTCCCAGGTAGCCTCCATGATCTCACCCACGTAAGCGTGTATACCATCTTGGGAAAGCTGGGTAATGGTGAATTTGGACGTTTTACCCAGGCTCTCCATGCTGCTTGACTGCTGAACCAGCGAATTCATTCGGGTGATTATGTCTCGTTTCGCCTTTTCCAGCACAGGAGCCCAAGCACTCCCGGCGAGGGGCCCGAGCTCGTAAATGCCCAGCGACGTTGCTTCCGAGATGATATGGGTCAGATCTTGGTGTGAGACTCTGAGAAGTCCGAAACACTCGTCGTCGGGAATCTGCGCAACCAAGGAGACGATCGAGCTCAGGACAGACTGGGAGGCTGGTTGTGCTCCGGAGTGCACATACTCCTCCGTCTCCAATGTGAGAACCTCGCCAATTGCTTCGTTGGCTGCTTCGTTGATTTGGTCCTCGATTTCCGCGGCACTCGCATACCTCCGAGTCGTTGCGAGAGGACGGAGCGCATCCAGCACATCGTCCTTGATAGTAAACCAGGTACGGGATAGAGCAGAAAATACAACAAGGTTCTTGACGTTGAACCAGAGCACAGATGATACCGGCCCTGCGATGTGCAGCGCACACCACTGCGATATTACCGGCGCGGGCTCGGCTGGGTGAGGAGCCAGATATGGGGTCACCTCGTCCCAGAGCAGAGGGTCGATGCAGTCGTCGCCGGATAGGGTGCGGTTTCTTACCAGCCATCGCCGAAATGATCTAGAGATGGAGACGTTGCATCCCAGATTGGCTGCGGCCGAGGTGGTATAACGCGACTAACAGGCCGAGATTCTGGAATTCCCCTAGGGCTCCGCGTGTTTCTGGTGCGTCGGAAGCGTGGCGGGAGAGACATGTGTAGTGGCGCTCAACCAGCTGGATGGACTCGTTCAGCCGTTTGAAGGTCTTGACGCTCCGCGGGGAGACGCTGGAATCTAGCAACGTCAGGCCCACTTTGAGGGCAAGCCGGAAGGTTGGCGGATCGTCACGAAGCTTCTGCAGTACACAAAGCACCACGCACTCCGGGACCGCGTAATAGGCGCCATTATTGTCTCTTTTGACTTCCAGGAGGAACCGATTCTGGAGGGTTCTTAATGTTTGTTGCGGCATCATCGGGTAAAAGCGGACAGCCACTCTGGGCAAGAACTGTCGATTGGTTCGATATTTTGGAAGGCATTTATCACCTTATCCCCAATATGTTGACTGTGCAGAAGAGCCAGGACGGTCAGGACATAGCCGCCAGGGGTGCCCACGAGCGCGTTCAAGTGCACAAAGAGTGGGAGGGCTACCTCTCGTGGGATATCTCGATGCCCGGCAGCGTCACTTGTCAGCTTCTGGAGGTATTCTTCTACCGAAAGCTGTGGATGCGAGGACAGAAAAGAAGCTGCGAGAATAATTCCAAACCGGTGTGATTTCACTGCTTGCACAATGCCCGAAGCAGCGACCGCCACATGGTCACTTGCATCACCGTAGACGGAGATGAACAAACCAACACCACTGTCTAGAGGCATCACAGGATTTGATCGGGTAATTGTACCCTCAAAGCCGGCCGGATCATGAAGGTTCGTACCCATCACTACGCTGCCCAGGTTGCTTTTCGGGAACAACGTCCATAGTTTTCCAAGGTCGAAGTCGCGGGGCAGATCGTCCACGAAGAGGAGCCATCTACCGTGACTCACATTGGACAACCACAGCTGTAACTTTGAGACACAATCCCAGTGGGATGGATGGCCGCTGCTAGAACTAGCCTGGTGGTCACGTCTGCGGCACTGGCGAACCCGTTGTAAAATACCCGGGGCGTTTTGGCAGAGAACCAGAATATTGAATGTGTATCTTTGAGTTTGGCGGCTAGCCTGGCCATTGCATATGTCTTCCTAAGTAGAAATCGTCAGCGCCTGTGCAAAAGTGGTCCAGTGTTAGATAAGTTTACCCACTGCCCCGATCCCCTGCAACGACAGCCTCAGACCATGTTTCCCTGCTCAGCGCGTTCTCAATACTCTCCATCCACCCATCCTCCACATCGAACACTGTGTTGAGGGTGATAGGCGCCGTACTAAAAACCGTAGGCTTGGGGCTATGCGGCCTTGGGCCAAGGTTCCCAGTATTAGCGCGCGCAATGACACTGGCGACGTCCTGGTGGGGACTCTCTGCTTCCGCAGGAATATGCGACAGTATCTCTTTCGCACAGGCAGCAGCCGCCGCTGCTGCATATGGCTGCCAAGCTTTATTCTTGTGCGAATCCGCGTAATCGCAAATCCCCCGGATGACCAGACAGGGACACGAAGCTATCATGCCCGCCGCCTCCATCTCGAAGCACAGTGCCCCACCCAGCTCCAGACTGATGGCGTCACGCGTGATTGCATCCCTCATCACCTGGTTCCCCGACGCAATTGTGCCACAGTGGATAACCGTCTCTGCAGCGCGAGCACCGCGTTTAACCAGAAAATTTCCATCGCACGCTTCACATGTTGGACCATCAACATGCGGGTAACTAGCTTTGAAGAGAAGGTCACGGCCCGCGTGACTCCGCGAGAACTCTGATAGACGCGCGAAGCGATCCAAATGAATAGAGAGATCGAGACTGCCGGCCATCTGTCTCGCCTGCAGCTTTGTCAGGGCATGAAGGAGGGCATCGGGCGGGGAACTCAGAAACCCCGTCCTCTGAAATCAGCCAGGTAAACTCTTGCAAAAGTCATATTGGACTACCCCTCCATGCCCACCGTGTGGCTGACTGACGACCACGTCCCCAAGCCGGATATCATGTGCATCGGAGGGCACTCTGCCGCCGACGCCGACGAGTAAACTGAATCGGATACAGCGGAACCGGTCCTGCATCCTCGACGCGGCCACGGCTGCCGGATTGTGGCCTAGCCTGCCGGCTGGCAGAGCAGCAATGACGACATTGTGATTGTGGATCCGCCCCAGGGTATAGAGATTGCAGTCGTTGTCATCGTGCGGAGGGGAGGGGTGTTTCTCGTCTAGTAGCACTTCGGCCGCGGCGAGTTCGATGGGCAAGGCGGAGACGTATCCAACGGTGTAGGCATGGTAGGGGAAGGGATGCATTGCATGTAATATCACTAGAGCACGATCGGAGAGGATAGGGTAACGAACCAACCGGGGATGGACCACCTTCGCGCGATAACTGACAGAAGTTTTCGACAGAGCCTGCTCGGTCCTCCGGTCAGCAGCATATATTTCCAAGCACAAGGTCGTCAGCTGACTGCACGCCCAACATATGCATAGGCTTGTGCCCATTCGGAAAGGGCATATTTTGCCGAGCGGATGGTATTGGACGATATTCCCGGTGAGGGGTCCCAAGACGCCCAGTTAACGCTTTTGGCGGTAATGCTTATCGAATATTTAGAGCTGTCGTAGGGATCATGCTTCTACCCAGTAAAGCACATCTTCGACGGGGAGAAAAGCGGTTCAGCTTTGCTCCGCTCTAAGGCTGTTTCCTCGAAGCAGGAAGCTTTACTATCGATGTCGACAATTAGGGAGAAGACTCTGTCCAATTGCGCTTTCCGTTTATTTTCGAATCTGATCGTTCATCCTGCTGCGCTATAATTCGGCAGGTACCATGTCAAGAGACCCAAAAAAATATAAAATTTAAACAAAAGAGATGGAGTTTACAATAAGAATTACTGTAGCGCTGGCTATCTATTATTGTTCTCACTCAAGGAGTACTCTTTCACCGCGAGGCCTCTTGGACAAGGCTCCTCATCTATGCGACCTTCCGCGTATTTCTCCAACGGGCTGGCCGATAACAAATGCCTTCTCTTTTTTTTTTTTTTTTTCTCTCTCCGAGTTCCAGAAGAGGATGTACAAAGATAAACTGTAAGGGATATATAAGATGGAACTCTAACTATGCCGGCCTGCCGTTTTTGAGATATTCTTGCCTATACATGCTTCATCTCTTTTCTAATCTCGGATAGATCCATTCACTCATCTACTAGCATGTGCACATTAGACTGGTTCTCCCTCCGGACGTGGGCCTGCGTCATCGCGACCTGCAATCAGGTCGTATTCAAGCGGCTGGGAGGTGGCTTTCGGAGCCACAAACTTTCATCGGCCGGGCAGAAGCCCTGGTCCGAAGTTTTATCAATACGAGGCCTGTACTAATCCCGAAGGAGGCGGTATCTCGTCCCAGCAGGTGTTTCACGGACGCATCAGCGAGCAACGGATCCTTGTCGGGGTAAGCCTAAAAATCAAACTATCCAAGATCCTGCTGTAGCTTTATCTTTCTAGAACAACGCCAACGACGGCGTCCCCCTCAGCGACCCCACAGTTGTCGACGGCCAGGGGTTCGACGCGCACCTCAACCTCACATTCCCAAACTTGACAGCCGACGACAAAGCAGCGCCGAACAGGGTCTACCGGACCAAATGGACAGAACAGGCAAATACCGGCATCGGCTTCGACACTCTCGGAAACAGCGGCCCAACAGTCCTAGACCATTCGGGGATGGCAACGGGCCTGCAACAAACAGTCTTCAACGTCTACGCCGAAGCGAGATTTGATTGTCCTGCGCAATAGCTCGCAGAAGCACTCAGCCAAGACGGTCGGATAGCCTAGAAGTACCAGGACTCGGTTACACCATCCTACCACGGCTCAGACTTCATCGCGTACTTCTCATCCGATATACCGAGTCCGGGATTCAACCATGCGTTCCAGAAGACCTGGGGCCACTTTATTATCCATAATACATCTGTGATATCCATTTCCAACGCAAAAGCAAACATGTCGAATGTGACGGCTCCTGTCGATTGCCAGGGATTCTTGAATGGCCGCCCTTTTCGATTGGTGACCGGTGGAAGATAGATCTGAATACCACGGCGGAACGCTCAAACTGCATGTTGTGACGGAAAAGTTGCAGTATTATCTGAGGAAGGGACCGGGGATCGTGAATGTCTTTAGACTTCTGGATGCGTATGGCTGGGAGGGCGGTCGAGGGGAGAGAAATGGCTGGTAGAAGGAGTTGGCGGCGAGGGTACCATTGTAAATGCGTTTGTGATTCTCATCGATGCTAGGATGCCGGACAAGTGCAGAGTCATTGATAGATCGTTAGGGCCAGTCTCACTCACCTCATCTACACTCACCGCCAATGAGCTCACTGCAGCTTGACTAATAAATGTCCAAGGCATTTTATACACCAAGTGAGTTGGGGCTTGGGCGTGACGGATGACGGATGATAGATGCCGGATTGCCTTTTTGACAGCGGTTATCATGGTATGCGAGTGACTGGTTGTTGGTAGGTTGGAGACTGCGCGCCAGGACTCGGAAGAGTGTGTGGCTGTGGCTAGTGGCATGTGCGTTGCTGCAAACAGGAATTGGAGACTTTGACAAACTTGATTAGGCAGCCATCTGGTCAAGTCCCTGTGCCGTGCGGCTGCTCCATCCGCTGGCCCTAGAATATCGTCTGGCGGAGGGGGTATCGGCATTCGACCACAGATACTCGATCCAAAATCATGGAACTGGAAATTGATTATCTACCAAATGGATATAGCGCTCAAGGGATTGGCTTCATGTACAGCGCGAGACTTGACCAGGTGACTACATGTTCTACACTGGAGAGTTGAGACTGCACGACGAACACCCCAGATTGAGGGAGCTGATGAAATGACCTGCTATGCCAAGGCTTTGATCCGCCCATTCTGTACAGCCCCAGTGCGGGCAGCTTCCCTAGAATATGTGGCAAGTCCAACCAAGCCTTCTAGCAATGCCTTCCTTGACTGTTGCCAAATCACTGGCTATGTTATAATTATTAGCCGGGTCCTGAACAGTCAATACAATGCTATAGTACCCTTTACCACTTCCTATTATACGCCTCTTCCAGACCCCTCAACCTAAGCAACATATCATCTTCAATCGTACAACTCATGCCCTTGAACTGAATATAGTTGCCTTTTCGGCTTTGCAAGCCCGCAAGCGCGGCTTCGAAAAAAAACCAAATAGAAAACCTCGCGGCTTGTGGTAAGGTTATATCGGTATGGTGCTTCATGTGAATGTGGATGCTGGAGTGGATTGCCAAGTGGATTCCACACGAGGTCCTCGGTCACGCTGCACGGACTACTGGACGTTCTGCAAACCCTTTCTGCGTCTAGTGTATTTTTAGCTTGGTATATTGAAACTCTCCCAATGATAGTATCTTGCATCCATCCATATGGAGACTACTGTCGCTACGTCTGTGGGGTCGTCCGGTGAATGCCCGAGACGCAGGGATTAGCTTTGATCCCTCAGCTGGCCGAGTCGAATATTGGCCCCTGGATTCTTCAAGACTGCTCCCTTCATGTGCCCTCTAGAGTTCGTGGGTCTGTTTCCCTCGTCCCGGGTCCAGTCTGGTAATCATGGTTGCGAGTGCCATCTGCCACCAGCCTGCACATGGGATCAGCCAAGTCATTATTGTTAAAGCCGACAAGCCTCGTCAAGAATGCGACCAAAGCCTCTTTCCTGATCATCACTCGTGGCTGGTATAGCAGTGTCCGTTCGCGATAGATCGGTAGTCTCTTCCGGGAGGAGACAGCAATCGGCGAACGCGACGGTAACCGATCAAAAGCCATACTCAAAAGGGCTTCACCGCTAGGGTCGCCGTCGGGGTTTACCGAATGTGTCATTGGCCCCTTGGGAAGAGACAGGCCGGTTGAATGTACAGCTAAGGGGGCCAAAAATACTGACACCCTTGACTAGTCGTTTCAGCCTCGACCATCGACCTACCTATTTTGGGTTAGTGTACAGCACGTGGTTGAAGATTTTCGAAAGCTAAGCATAATTTGGCTCTAGATCAGACGTTGCTTCGCCTCAATAGTGCGATCTAGAACGCAGGACTAACCGTGTCTGGTTCCCGCTACAAGCCATGTTTCAGAATCATGCCAGGAAGTCAGCTCAACTCTATACCTCAGTCCCTCGGTCCCTGCAGGGTTACAACATGATGACCATGGGGGCCGGGGCGGCTGATTTTGACCAGTGCAAATTTCAGCTTTAAGGTTTATCCTGCTGCCTAATTGTTCTTCGGGGATCATACTAGATCGCTTCTGGGGATCTCGGAATGAGCCGCCATCTTGCTGGCGCGGCCTGTCTCACCCGTGAAGCTTGGCAGTAGCCAAATAAGAACTATCGTGTGTCCCCAGGTAGTGCCCTAATCGATCTCGCCAGGAAAAGGGATGTTCTTGACCAGAGGGCAGCAACGCGAGAGACCGGCGACAGACTACGAACGCTGGTTGAACAACGATACTCCGGACCAGGACTCGATTCCCCAATTCGAGCCCGTAACCGAGCACGGCGTGGTTATGCATCGGCACGGGCAACGACCGACTACGGTCCCGTATGCAGGGGTAGATATCATGTGAGCAATCCAATCGTACCCTGCATGTGCTCTTCGTGGTGCTTAATGCATCAGATCTATACTTCCAGTCAGGGGGACTAATGTATATGACTTTGAATAGCAATGGCTTTGACCAGTATGACCCTTCGAACGTACCGCCGCCGAATTACCATGACGTTTCGCGACGGCCGAGAGTTCCCGACATCATAACGTTCTACGGCGCGCTCCTTGTACTGTTGTTTCTCGTCAAGTACTTTGTTCAGACGCTGCTTCGGCAACTGCGACGGGGGAGAGAAGAGCCGGACCGTCCGTCTGCGACAAGGCGCTCAAATCAGGTTCCGAGCATTGTTGTCTCGGATAGTGAGTTGAAGAAGGGGTAGTGTAGGGAGATAATTGTCTAGGATGGGGTGTTCATGGAGGTGTCATTGCTGGTTGGTTATAGATGAGTGGCGACTCGAGGACAGAGGGGTTGGTCTGTTTGGTTTGACTTTAGTCATGCAATTATGCCAGGCGTATATGTACTAGTAGTAGTACCATCATGGTTTACATCTGCAGCCCACCAGCTCTATGCTCTTATCCCTACATATGCTGCCGTCAAAAGCTCGGGCATAGCAACCGAGACTTTCAATGCCTGGAACTTCGACGGTCGCCCCTATTGCAGAGAAACGATTTGGAACAAATGACACCATCGTGGTGCTGAACCTACCGCCACTAAATCGGGTGTGCCAGGCCAATTTAGACCTAGGTAGTGGCCGCGAAGGGGAAGGTGCATCTGGGGACGTTGAGAAATATACGAGCTCTTTGGTATTGGTCAGACCGCGGAGAGATCTTCACATTTTAACCTGCTTGTCCCAGGGTCGGGATCCGCGGACACCTCGAACGTTGCTATCGACCCCCATCTTACACAGACAGAGAAGATGGAACCAATCAAGTACGATGAGGGTGATGCGGCTGCCTCGCAAATTTTAACATGGTTGGCCAACCAGATGGAGAGCAGGTTATGCGGCTGCCTAGGTAGTGAATACTCTCTATAGGCCAATGATTTCAAGTTCAGCCGGTCGTACTCTCCAGTCCGACACAGATCAAAAGCTTGTTCTGCTTGGGTGCAAGATCCGGAATTAGAAATGGTGGACTGGAATCCATGATCTCGATGACAATTGCCTGGAAGACGATAGATACGATGACCTTGATCTGAATGAAACAAGCTCATTTATCTTCACGAATGAATCCCAGTCCAGCCAACATCTATTAAACAGTTATTTGTTAGCAGAGGCTTGACTATGAGGATCCGCATACATACCCACCTATGGCGAAATATCACTCACCAAACCAAACCAGTCCAGGCCTCTGCTACCAATTTCCTAATCCAGGTCGATAGGCTCCAGCATTCACCGGGAGCTCGGCGCCCGAGCCCGCGGATTCAGCTAAGCTTGCGATGCTTGGTGAGTCGTGGGGGTTACCAGACCACAAGTGATTGGGTTCGTTTGGTAAGACTAAGCCTTGCAGGACTAGTTCTTTTGGAATCTTACGGTATGGGGCACCTATCTCCATAAAAAGGCGAGGCGTGCTTTGCGGTAATGGACTGAAGAAAACTTCACTTATTCTATATCTGCTGCCAAACTTCCTTCGTCTGCCGCATTTTGGGCAGACCAGTCTTGCTCTCGCTCCCACCTTTCTACCACACCAATCTGCCGCCGTGTGTTGATATCGTCTCTATCGTTGATACCAAGATGCTGCTTGAACATACAGAGCCCATTGAACTGCCAGAGACAATACAGCCAAACCCAAAGTCAAAGGGCTGTGAAAAGGACCAAAAACAGAAAACACCACCCATGTCTGCATCTGGACACCGCAGGAGAGAGCTACTTGCTGATACGATTGTCGTGCATTGTCTCGTCGAGAATCCAACCATTCGCGATCCCACTCCGTCTCCGTTTCTGATCAGGGCATAGGCGCTCGCACTGTGTCCATGTGGCTATCCGTCCCCACGAACAACGACTCCTCCTCTACCGAAAGCACATACAGCTACATGACCTCCTCGTCGAGCACGCGCCCTCCCTCCTTCTCCTCCTCCTCCTCTTACGATCCCCGGTCTGAAGCCGGCTCTCGCGGCACAGCCGGTTCTACCGAGACCGTACCACATGTTCCTTCACATCCCTGCACCCGCTATCCATCCACCCTTCGCGTGGCAAGCTTGAGTGGAAAGGCCTCAATAAGAGACGTGGAACAGCTAGCCGTCCAGTACGGCTCCATGGCGCACATGGGCCTTCTCGATCCCAGCTACAGCGTGTTCGTCAACGAAGCTAAAACGGGTGCGATATGTTTCAAGACCCTGTACAAAATTGCCGTCGTCATGGGCGATCCGATGTGTGACTTGGCACAGATTGCCAGCCTCCTCTCCGAGTTTAGCCTATACCGGCGGCGGAAACGCTGGGGCATGGCCGTGTTGGGGGCGAAGACAGAGCTGGTGCGGTATTTCAGCGAGGGTGAGGCCGAGTCCCGATCCACGATACTGCAGTTCGCGAGAGAGCGAGTCTTGAACCCGCTGACAAACAGTGTCGTGAACGAGACCAGTGGAAAGCGTATCTTAACGCAATGCCGTCAGCTTCTGGATGCACGCAAGGGAGGCTTGACCCTTCACATTTATATCCCTTCCCTCCATGGACCCGACCACAGGCTGGAGGCGGAGCTTCGTGCATTATACGACGACTGGCGCACGGCCCGCAACAAGTCCCGCCGACCACAGGCGTTTATCACCCAGTACGATCCATTCCTGATGCCGCACCTCATGACCTACATCTACACTACCGGCCCAGATGGTGCGGTAAACGGCTTCGCAGCCTTGCGATGGATCGGCGCAAATGATGGCTACCATATCGATCCATGCATCGCAGCCCCTGGATCCCGGAATGGCATCAGCGATCTTCTTTTGTTCGCAGCCATGGCATACCTCCGGCAATTGGGTGTCTCCCACTTGAGTCTTGGATTGGAGCCACTAGAGTCTATTGAGCCTGTCTCTGAGATGTCTCCTTTGCTCGCACACCTCACACAGCGGATATACCAACATACCTTTCGGCGTCTGCCGATCCCGGGGAAACGGGCCTACTTTGACAAGTTCAAACCGGACGACAATCAAGATGCACCGGTATATCTAATCTTTTCTTCGACGATTCCCGAGCCGCGGCAGGTGGTTGCTGTTGCTCATATTGCCAATATCAGCATTCGAAGGCTGTTCATTCGAGAGAAGCAGAAAGAGGCGTCTTAGGGCATGCTGGAATTTGTCCACCTTTTTCTTAGCATCTCAGGTTTAAATACGACCATAGACAAGGTCATATCCGAGTATCGTGTTTGGCGGTTGGCACTAAGGGATAGGATCTCGGGGTGTCTGCCAGTGCTGATCGTGACAATACATATATGCTACGAGAATTCCTCAAGCTGTTGTGGGCTGGACAACAATGCCTTTGCCGGCAATGACGCCCTTCAACCCAAGTGAAACATATTCTCCCCACTATGGGATATTATTGCGCGTAGATTGTTGGCCTCAACCGAGGAGGCGATACAAAAATCTCGTCCAGCCTACAACAGCGATCAAAGTCACCTGTTAGGCTTATAAGATAAACGCAAAAAAAAAAAAAAAAAAAAAAAAAAAAAAAAAAAAAAAAAAAAAAAAAAAAAATTAATAATAATAATAATAAACTCGGATATTCTTAATTCGCCGAGACTTGGCCTCTCGACCATCTCTCCTTCAAGGCAAAGCAAAGCTGCGCGAGGAATTTCCAAGAAACAACAAGCCCAATACACGACCACAAGCCCGCCAGAATCATGAGGCCAGTTACGACATACCCCCAACTAACCCTCTGTACAGCCCCCCGGCGCGGAGAGCGGGTGGCATCAATGAGACACAACGCGGCCAGGGAAAGCGAAAACGACACATAAATAAATAGCAGCAGAGCCACAAGATCAGCTAGTAATTAACCTGTTTGCTAGTAAACCTGTAAATAAAAAATCCGCTGTAGAAAGCCCTTGCCTCTCCGTGAGGGCGGCTGCGCGAGCCGCAATGCCCGGTTCAGTCGGGTGCGGCGTAGCTGGCCGAATTGCCAACGCGGAGATACTTGGCTGTCCTTTTATGTCAGAAAATGGGTGGATATACCACTAGAACTTAATATATGACGGTTTTTCTAAAAGCAAATATTTCTTTTGCGCGACGTCAAAGTGGATTCGTGGCGGATGAGGTGTGCATAGGAGCGGACGAAGCCTAGGGCTACCGCATATAGGGATGCTTGGTCGGGTGTTTGTGGCAAAATGGCCAGCAAGTTGTGTCCTCCAGAAGTGAATGTTAGGGAGACAATGAGGCAGAGGTTTGACGTACGGCCCCTTGTATTACCACACGAGATGCAGACCCGGATCTTCAACAACTTTAACCATACTCCCCTTCCCTAAGTATACATATAGTGGGTTAATATGATTACTAGATCTTTACCCAACAAAGAAGAGGTAGCCATGCATTTCCTTCATAGCAGACAGGTTAGCTCTTGTCATCCAAACTTAGCAACGCTTGTAGTATCTACCTATCTACATTTCAAAGAAAATGTTCATTTAGGACAGTAGCTTCACCCATCAGTAGCTAGTATTTATTAAGCAGTACATTCTCATCAGGACAGGCCTAAGCTCTAGACTAACCTATAAGCTCAGAATATTTAGTAAATAGCACCTTATCATCCATGGTAAAAGCTAGCCTTTACTATAGCAAATTTTGGTTACTGAAGTTTGTGCAGCATACGGGGGCTATAACATTTGCTAGCAGTTATATATAGCTAGCTCCCTAGGATTCAGCTAACAATCTCGAACAAATACAAATTCAATCGTACCAGGGTCAGCGCTATGGATAGTAGCATGATCTACATAACACCCATAGATCAATCGATAGTTTCATTTAAACAGCACGCCCAACCACCCCAAGGCCAGAGACTACCTCGTCTAAAGAACATCTCATTCAGCATATACCAGTCGCTGGATGGTATGTTAGTTTAAACATACATGGCTCTGGTCGAGAGATGCAAATATTGCAAGGTGAGCATAGTCGAGCCGATATTGGGTTGCGCGGCATGGGGTCCATCATTTGATCGAGATTGCCGGGGCTTTCACATCCAGGGAGAACTATGTGTATGCGGATATGAGAGAGCTCATGGTCTAGTTGGGGTCTATTGAGAACTTCAGCAATGCCCCGGACTTTTAGCTCCTCTGCCGTATGCCCAGCCCCCCGCGCGATCCTGCCTTGACGTACCCACACATGCATTGATTATCTAGTTCTCCTCCGGTTTCCATCCACCTGCCGTTAGTGTAAGCTACGTCAATGGATTGGGGGATATCGCATTCTCGCTACAGGTAATTACTTTCCTACTGACACCTCCTTTCCATTGCAGATCGTCCGATACTTATCCAGTAGATTTCTCTTGCGTGAGTACAGTCGTCAAAAAAACTAGGGTTTCATGGTCAAGTACCCTAGAGAATCATCGGGGCTATCTCTATCATAATGTATCTGTATTAGAATTATATATCATGACGCTTCAATGAGTGTACACATGGGAGATAGATTATGTAAATTTAGACGTCAGGGTATACCTCCTTCCCTACGACTTCAAACCGTACAGTATCAGACTCCAGCTCACCTCAGATCCTTCAAACACCAGAACGCCTCTTCCAAACTGATCAAGCTTAGCCACTCCGCCTCTGTCCATGACGCTGCTGCTGCTGGTGGTGCTGTTCATCACTGTCATGTCCATCCTCATGTTCACGCTCACCAACCCTCTCATGCGTAATCTCAATCGTCGTCTCCTGATACACCCCGCGCCCAATATTCTTCATCTCCAGATCGTCCTTGCGGACAATCTCCTCCGTCGAGTCGTCCCGCCCATCCGTCACCGTATCATTAAGCGTCTGCAGCCCCCGTCGAAACATGGACGGTTTCCGCCCGCGCTTCCCCTTCCCCTTCCCATCTCGCTCGCCAGTCCCCATCGCACCCGTCGTGCTAATGTGTGTCTGGTACGCGTGCGACCCCGAGTACGCCGCATACGGATACGTCCCCCGCCCGCCGGAGTGACTCAACTCCGTATCAACGAGGAGCTGCCGGCGGGTGAGTGTATACACCGCCGCATCAACCAGCCCAGAAAGCGCCATGAGCGACCCCGCCACGGCAAAATACGCCTTGCTGGGTATGACATGGCGGGCGCTGCTCATGCGGCCCGCGGCGAGCGGGAGCGAGAGGAGGAGGTATGCGAGCGGGTAGATGACCATGTAGATGACGACGCGGTTCAGACGGTGCAGGTTGTCGGTGTGGGAGTGGTTTTGGCGGAGCTCGGCGGCCTGCAGCATGCGGCGGCGCAGGTAGAAGAAGAGGATCCCGTACAGGACGAGGGTCCCGAATTCGGCGAGGAAAATCCACAGGTAGTGGCCCCAGAGGCGTTCGTCTTCGTGTTCGGGACTTATCCAGCACTGTCCAGATAAAAGGGAGTTGTTAGAGGGGGGTGCAGGGGTTAGTTAAGGGTGACGTACCCAGCCAGCTTCGGAAATGACAAACGTCTCGGACCGATACAGCGCAACGGGGATGATGCCCAGCGCAATGATAAACGCCCACAGGGCAACGACGCAAAACACAAACGCGTTATACGGCAGCTGTCGCCCACGGAGGACCACCGCACCGGTATGCATCGCGATCGCGATAACAAACAGCCCACTCCCCGGATCGGCAACCTGGATCCACCACCCCTGCAGCACGCACGCGGCACTCGGATAGGATACCGCGCCCTTGTTGACCCAGTGCAGACACATGAGGAACGCCGTCGCCTGCTGGATATCGGCGAGAAGGAGGTTGAAGATCAGCACGACGTACTGGTTGTGCAGCAGCGGGCGCTTGTAGTATCGTTTCCAGTTTATGAAGCGGTGCATGAGGAAGAGTAAGAGGCCGAGGGTGGAGGTGAAGGAGAGGAGGCCGCAGATTCCCATTGCGATGAAGCCGGCTTTTGTTGACGGGGTGAGGACTTCGGTCGTTGGGCCGTGGAATCGGCGGTGCAGGGCCTTGCTGTGGTCATTGTCCTGTCCGCTGTTGAGCAGCTGGATAGCTCGAATGAGGGCCGCCATGGCGTAGCTGGTTGCCGACGGTCAACGCAACAAGCACGAGGCGTGAACTGGGCGGAGGAGAATTATAAGCTCGGTGAAAAGGAAGTCTCCCGAGCCCTGATACGAGGATTGGGGCTCCGAGTTCTCACTCCGGGCGGCCATGCAAGCTCATCGAGGCTTCGCTGCCGATCGACACCCTCCGGACAGGGTCCGACTGTGCGACGCAGAAGCGCTCGTCGGAAATCCATCCCGCTCGCCAATCGCCTCAAATAGAGTCACGGTAACTGGTCAATGGGGAGTATTGCCTTTTCCTCCACTGGGGCATGGCACGACTAGCGCAGTCTGCACGAATCATTGCGTGTTCTGGGCATCGGTGGGAACGTGTCAGGGCGCCGATCGAAATTAGACTAGAGACAAAACGGGCATCCCAAGCGACGCTTGTCTTGCCAGGCAAAGCTTCGCTGGCTCCACTCTGCTCCCGATAATCGCCCGGTCCATTCAGCTGGGATGCTCGAGGGCCCGTAGTCTGTCAATCGCTCCACTAGTGAACTCTGTTGCTGGTTCCTTTTGCCTCGTCTTTCCCTTGGGAGTTGTTGCCCTCACTCGTTGTTCTTCCCCGTGGGCGCTGATCAACTACATTGGCCCATGTGAAAGAGGGATCATTAGAGTTATTATGAATGACTCTGGGTCGCAAAAGAAAGGTGGATTAAAGCAATTACACATACAACCGAGAACAGTAGCTGGCACAGTGGCAAACTGGTCTGGGCTGTGACGATGACGGCTTGGCTGGGGCATGTGGCAGGGCCCAGGCTGTCATTGCTATGTCTTGGCTCTCCACAGGCAAGAAATCATCTCTTCCCTGGGAAGCTAGTTCGCATTGCTAATTTCCCACGGGATGAAGAGCTTTCATTCTGCGCAATGTTCCAATTGATCAAAGGAGGGCGAAGTATTCTCTGGAGTTGCACCCTTGTCGGACGAAGAGAACCCTTTGGTTCGCAGATTGTTTCCAGGTGATGAAGGAGGTGGATCGTGGTTCGCACACGGAATGAGGGGTTAAGAGAGGATCCACGGTCGACACGCGGCTGAAGTCTCCCAATTGTCTGGAACGGCCTTGGTCTCCGGAGCCCTGTGATGTCGACGCTTTGCCCGTTTGGGAAGGTGTATAGCGATACCTACGCAGTAGTACGGAATAGTACCTAATAAGTACTGCGCGTCCCTGCAGTAGTCCGAGGGGGAAATGGCTGCGACGCCTAGTCTAGCGACGACAGTACCCTAGCTCGATGTGCCTAAGTGACTTTATGCGACCTTTCGTCTCAAGCTTCCTTGCTACAGCAGAACTCATATACTCGTAAGTCTATTGGTACAGCTTCTCTAATGTTGTACAAGGATCCAGGCAGAGCCAAGGACTTGCAGAAAGCTTTCATACCCCACATAGTGCCCTATGTGATGAGCGCAAGGTTCTCAATGCCCGCTACGGGCACACTTCTGTGGCGTATATATCCTGCCGAAGAGAAACCCTCTCAGCGCTCAGGAAGACGTGAACATCACCGCGTGTATCGGCACAACAGAAACATGATCCAGGCCTAGTACATTGAATGGAACGAGTACTCGCGTAGCCTGTCATTAAGCTGAATGCGCGTCTTGAGTAGCAAAGTCGCAGAGTGTCTTGGGCCACGTCTGCCTTGTCTCTAGCCTTGTCCAGTCGCAGCGACGCCTTGCAAAGAATATCGCCAGCATATGTTGTCCCCCTCTTGATCTACATGCTAGAAAGATGTCCTTGCAGACAGGTAGAATAAAAAATTCCGGTCTCTATTAAACTGCTCTATAACGTTTCCAGGTACCCGAGTCCTTTAAAGAAAAAGCACCACACCAATCACAGCCCGGGTGGTCTAGTGGGTAAGAGCAACCGTCTAAGCACCCAAATTGGACTAGTTTCTAACAAATTTCACATTATGATTCTCGCTTAGGGTTCACCCTTGGCATATATGCGAGAGGTCCCGCTATCTATGATTGATTATACAGGTAGTGGTTAGTGGGAGTCCGTCCCTCCATGCTGTCGCTTGCATCTTCTCATCTCCGCGACTGGCAAGCCGCCGAGGTTGAAGCCTACTTTATCTCCATGAACTGTTTGTTGGTAGAGCCCTAATTAGCTATACGTCACGTCTGGCCAAACCACGAAAGACGCGGTCGTGACTTTCCCTTGGCATGAGCCGCAAAATGGTAAGAACTAGCTAGGGTAAGCCCATTTTCATGTCCAAGGCGTCTTGGCCAACCAACCCTTCATACGAGATTATCATGGATTGGTTCAGGGTTTGCTGGCTTTTGTATTCCAGAATCGCAATAGCTTTGCGTCGGTCTGTGTGCCTAGTGAGCAATAGATTATTTTGGTTATTAATTAGTGGTTCGCTCTGGGGCTACCTACCGGGTTATGAGGCTGGTGGTATGTGAAGTTGGTGATGTCTTTCATTATGTGGAAAATTCATGTTCATGAACCTACTAAAACTTGGTATCTAGCTTACTTCTAACCTTGCATCATTTGAATCCAAGAGCATTGTTCAATCTTTCTGTGCAGTCCTCTCTACAGCTTCGAGTCCCAATCAGAGCCCTGCATGTATCAGACGGCTTCCACTAAACTTGTCCAGTCTGCTGCCACAGATCCCAGCTACTTCCATTCAAGCTTGATATTCCCTCGCTGAGTACCTATATATGGGATGACTATCTAAATCTGGCATTAGGATAGTTGTTTGAGATCTTCTTCTTTGGGGTGGTTTCGCTTCCCGTTATCACATAGTAACCATAGATAATACGCTCAGACCTATACACACAGGCCTGTTAGATCCCATACGGTCTTGTGAGATAATGTGCATGTTATCATGTCACAATTTGAGACGCTTCCCTGTCATTTTACCCGCCTGATGCGGTGGAAAAACAGCTCCATGGTGAGGCTCTGTACGCTATATTTGTCTTCACGCTATTAAAGGAAGCAGCCAAGGGCCAAAGACGAAATGAGAAAGAAAAGATGAAAGGGCGTGTTTATTCATGGAGGCTATAATAATCTGAGCTGGAAAAGCTCCATCTCCATCTCGCATCACCTCTAGACAGCCGTCGGGGAATCCTGTCGAACCAGATCGAATGTCCAAGAACGTCCAAGGCCGCCCTCGTACACCTTGAAGCCCTACCCCCCACATCACATCCTAGAACGACGGATTCGCATTCTGCAAAAGCTGCACAAAATATGCCTGCACCACCATCAGCACTTCGTTCAGGCCCATACCAAGCCCACCACTCTGCGCTCCAAACACAAAAGAACAAGATCGTAAACATACCTGGAACCACGTCCCCGCCTCGGGCGCCGGCTTGAGCGCGTCAGAGTACCCGCAGTGCGCATCGTACCTCGTCGCAGACGTATCGGACGTCCCGTCGCTCTCGCCGCCGGGTTTGACCCAGACAAAGGCGTCGAGCAGGGCGTCGCCGGTGTTTGTCGACGGGCGCACGCCGAAGCCCGTGTTGATTACGTTGCACCAGTCGCCCCAGGCTTGTTGGCCGGTTGGTTGTTTTCCGTTGCGGCCTGAGAACACACACCCGAGTTAGAATTGGGTAGTGAAGTGGGGAGTGGATGTGAGTAGCGAGGAGAGCGGGGAAAGTTTGAGGGTTTATGCTTGGTGGGCGAGGGGAAGAGGGAAGGCAGCGATATAGACGAACCAGTATCAGTGATAAACCGCGCATCCCACCCCTGCGCACGCAGGAGCGGCGCAAGCGCATTAATGTAATCCTTCTCGTCGCAGACAGAGTTACCCTGTGTATACGAGGGGCATGTACCGATTGTCCAGGCGTTGTAGTTGGCGACGTTGGTGGCCAGGCCGCGGAGGGAGGCGGGGGAGCCGGCGTCCGAGTACACGCCTGCGTAGAGGTTTGCGGCCGGTTGCAGGTTTGCGGGCCATCCGAGCCAGCCGGCGTGCCCTGTATCAGTCAATGCATGTTTGCGTGGGAACAAGAGAGGGGGTGGCGCGAGAAGGAGGAGGGAGTACATACCGGCGTCAAGATACATGGCTACGTTGGGGAGGTTGAGCTGCGTGACGGCGTAGTTTGTGCATTCGAGATAGGCGTCGTGCGCGTTGGCGCATTTCGCCACGTTTAGGTTTGTGACGAGATTAGCCAAACTGTCGGGTTCTATAAGTCGTGTCAGCGTCGCCTTTCACGGCATATAGAGTACCGCTTACCGATAACAAGAATAACCTGAACATCAGAATACTCCACAAGAATCTCGCGGATAGCGTCGATATATTCCTTGTAATACTGCACCCCGTTATTGGCGATCGCGTACTCGCCATTACTAGCAAGAGCAGCGCAGTCACGGTCCGGAAGGTCATAGACAACAAACTGGCCCGCAATGGGCGGGTTGGCTCCGGCAGCGTTTTTCGATTGAATGTCCGCGAGGTAAGTAGCCATTCTGGGTACTTTGGCGGCGACATCGCTGAATTTGTGTCAGCTGTACTCATGCATCCAGTATAGGGGGAGAAACGTACAGCCACACGAAGGAAGGAACCTTGGCCGCGGCAGTAGCTGCGGGTGCAAGGGAAGAAAGCGACCCAGTGAGAGATGGGATGGCCAGGGTGTGGACCTCGGATGAATAGTAAGGGTTGACGTAGAGCTGGTAGCCACTAAATGGATTACCGGATGCAGTTGCCGTGACGGTAGGCGAGCTCGTGGTGGACGAGCCGGGATTGGTTGTCGTCGTGGCTGATGTTGTGGTTGTAAGGGTTGTCGACGTGGTTGCGGCCGGCAAGCACTGCGCGTACCCTGTGCGCCTGGTCAGCGATGCTCGGTACGGATTTGGGAAAGCATACATTGATTGACGGTAGAACAGGCCGCGCCAGCTACACAGCTCGTGGCACCTGTCCAGCCATTGCCTCCGCCTGATATCGTTAGCACGGGTATGTCACTGTGTGAGGTGGCGTATACATTGCCCATAGAGAGTCTGCTGAGCCTCAGCTGCAGCCAGCACAGAGGCAAAAGCGAGCCTTGCAAAAGAGTGGCGCATCTTGAAGAAGGTTGATGAACGGAGCAAGAGAACTGACTCGTAGTGAGCTGTTATCCAGGCGTCAGAATCGGCGTTGCTCTGCAGGAATTATATAGGGCTCACTCCCATGGTTCCTGACGGACCCATCGCCGCCGCCTCCCCTTGTTAGTTAGAGCTCTAGCAGCCCCCATTCGGGTTGATGCACCGTTGTAAATGTGTCGATGTGAAATTCCGTCTGGTCGTAACCGGATTGGGAAATGTAGAATCGGCGGGATACGCCGTCCGTTCTGTGTTCAGACACGGCGCAACTAAGAGATGTCGACATCCGCGATCAATTGAACGGCAAGCGATTATTCGCCAGTCCGACACTCTGTTGCTCCTCGGCTGAAGTCGTGGGGAGATTAAACCCCCGGTGGCGTCCACTGCCGCAACGCCCTGAAGAAACTAGCGGCGCCATTTCTCGGGGTGCACCTGCAGATCCCCAAAAGGGAGCGGAGATTGTGGCACAGTCATATGATTCAGGTGAAGCTTAATCTATTTTCCCCGCAAGTCTGCAGAAGAGAAACCGGGGTAGTTAAGGCGAGTAAGAATTGGCGATTGGCTGTGGTTTGCCGTGGCGGCTGCACGGGCCGGCCTGCCTCGTGAATTGCCGGAGTGGCTGAATTGGGGTTCAGAAGCCCTGAAGAGGTCTAGGTTTTCCCTTGTTAGGAGAACGGTTACCATGCGAGCCAGAATAACCTGGTTGGCTGTATGGGGACAAGTACCTGAATGCTCTAAGTCGCCCATCGCCTGGGCCCGGTCCCTCCTGTGTAATCTTGAACATCTCGAGAACAACCCTTTTGCACGAATTGGAAATGAAATACATTCCTGCTGACTGACCTAGGTACAGTAATCCAAACGAAAGTAGCAGCCAACGAGCGCGCCTACGTTCGCTAAGTCTCCCGTACTCAGGCAGAGCACATCCTAAATCCAACAAGCTCCTCCTGTAACCAAAATCGAACTCTGAACGGGCACATGATAGCCTAGCCACGCCGCAGCAGCGTTGTGTCGGGGATAGAGGATGGGTGGTCGGTGGGCTGAACGTGATTCTTCCGGATCAGGGCGGGAGTTTGGTGCATTGGAGCGGGCACGAAGTGTGAGCTAGCCTGTATCTTTGTTCAGCGATGTCGGGCACTCTTCAAGGGAGTGTCTCGGTGGTCTCATACCTTCAATGTCAACTTGAAAGGAAAGAGGCTCGGCGACAAAGTGATCTGGCTTGGCCCAGCAATCCCTAATGACCTAGTGGCAGCCTAAGTCATCCAAGGAAGAACGACTTTCCTACTCCTGCTCATCTAGACACTGATTGCACAAGTCATCCGCATACTCATTCTGGGCACGAGGAATATAAAGGTAGGTCACATCTCCAAGCTCCTTCACCTGATCATCAAGATTCGACGCCCACTGAATCAGATCCCGGTTTGCGACCTCGTCGCCCTGAGAATTAACCCAACCCTTCTTAGACCACTTGTAAATCCACTCCGTCATGCAACCCACAGCGTATCGGGAGTCGGAGTATATCGTCACGTCGAGCCAGGGATCTGAAGATAGCTCCTTGTGCTTCGCAAGAACCTGCTGCAGGGCAAGGATGATGGCGCTGATCTCGGCGCGCTGACTGGTCGGTCTGGGCGTCGAGGGTAACGCTCTGTACCAGCCCTGGAAGGTCCCGTTCCGCTTCTTGAAGGCCGCGGCCGCGGCGCCAAAGGCCCAGGGCTTTCCGTTGCCTCTGCAGCCTCCGTCGACGTAGATTTCCATCGTGTAGACCATTGTGTTACTGCGGGGAACTGTCAGCTATGATCGGGATTGGGCCAAGATTCACTCAGCTTACTTTCTGGATACTTCTGGGGTCTCTGAGGAGGATTTCTTGGTCAAAAGCTGCGGCGAGGAGAATGTTTTTATGGTGGGGAGAAGAGCAAACGAAGCCGTGGAAGATGATGGTAAAGCGTAGAGCAGCGGAGGGGAGATACTTCTGTTTGTCTTCCGGCCAGGAGAGATTTCTCGGCATCAGCTGCCTCAGGCTAATAATGGTACCAGTCCATCAAGAATGAGCCACGCTTTGTGTACATCCAGGTCGATGTTCCTTTTAATCCACTGCAATTCGTAGTTCTCAGATTGTGCCATTAAAGACCGGGATACACTCTGACTGAAGATGCGCTTTTCAACTGTTCAGGTGTTGTGGAATGGCGCATGTATCTCATGTAGGCGCGCGCCTATGCAAGACATCATTCAATATCCTGGTCGTTTCTCGTTTGGTGGTAAACGCACTCTGTTTGTAACCTTGCTAATGTAGGACGATGGACCTAGCAGGACTTTCCCAGAATTTTATAGATTCCTGACTCTCGATTTCCTACTCAGTTGTTAGTAGCTTCCAACCAATTTTATTTTCCGCCCTCACATACATATATATCTTCTGCTCCCACCCACAACCCAGCAAAGAGTTCTTCTGACTTTTGTTTATTAATTACTTCAAGGGGTAGAGTGAGTAGTTACGGTCGAATGGAATTTTGACTAGATTTGGTGACACCTCATCGGCGAGATACAAATCGCGCTGCTCCTACGCAGTACCTAGGGTGCTTATGACACCTTGAATGCTATACCCTCGAGGGTGATGACATTTACAAGCCAGGGCAAAATGGACTCGGCGCTGGCATGACTATATGCTTGCCACAGGCAATGAGAACCCGGATCTAAGAACAGAAAAGGTATCGAAAGACCGCTGGAGAAGTGACTTGATGTGTGCCGTTCTACTACGCTGTCATCCCATGACTTTGGAGATTGTGCGGACTGATTCAGTTGTGGTTAGACCTCCACAAGAATGTAATCTCCTCGGAGTTCCATGGTTCCGGTTTATGTTTCTCTTCGACGGGGTCGTCCCAGTGTCCAGTCTAGAAGACCTTTGTGGCTACTGTCTGACATCATCTACGAGATGCGAACCGTACTGCGGGACTGATGGGACGAGTATTGTGTTGTTCTACATCAAGAGCAGCCCAAAATGGCAGTGCCGGTAGAACAATAGAGAAGACGTGCCGGAAACCGCGTACTCCTGATCTGACCCTGCGAGCCGGGTTTGGAAACCTGCACGTTCGAGTCTCAGAAACCCTGGTCCCCGACTCCCACTTCTTGCAGGACGGGTTTGACAGATTCCGGCCCTGCTTCTCGCTGTCATGGCAAGGTATCCAGGTTTTCAATTCCCACCTCAGCGAGTTTGCTTCTTCAGTCTGTTCCTAGACAAGCCACATCTTCTCTCTTCTAAATCACCGGTAGCTCAGGAATGAGGAAACCAATACCCAACGTCATCCTCTGCCCACGCTACCAGACTTTCAAGGTTGCTGGTCAAGTCCATCATTCACAGCAGCAGCTTACCCCTCCTTCCTGGCTACTTCTCATCGAGTTGACACAGCAACCTGCCTCTTAGCGTTATTGGCTTTCTCTCAGCAAGATTTCCGGCTGCTAGCTGCAGTCGAGTGGACAAGATCGGCCACCCTCCTGCCCAAAACTGCACAGAGACTTGAGACATTTCTTTGTTGCTGCAGGTCGGAAATGAGGCTACAGGTGTTGTGAGGCCACGTGCTCCGATGTGCTCCGACCTCTTGGCTCAACAGGGAATCATGCTCCTCCCCCGCGCCAATCAGCGTTTAAAGTAAAAGAGAGCTCCAAAAACAAGAGTGAATATGCGTGAATATCAAGTTCAGCAGCACACAGAAGTCCCGACCGGTGGAAATTATAAAATCCCCCAAGATTCCCGCCCTTTCTCTCCTTCTTCTTCTTCTTCCTCCTCACCCAAGTCTCGTTCGTCAATTCCAAGGTCACCACCATGAGGGCTTCCTTATTGTGGACTGCCCTTGCGGCTGTCACTGTGACTGCTACGGCAGAAGCAGAAACAGCTTTCTCAGAGCCAGACAGTGCCCCTCCTTCTTCCACTTTCGTTGAGGGTAACTCTACTACTGTTACCATCTCGGCGAACCCCTCTTCTGCCCTTTCCCCCTCTGCTGCACCTTCCACTCTTGCCATTCCTACTGTCATCCCTCCTCAAATCCACCCTCATCCTCCCGGTACTTGGACTGACGTTTCGGCTCCCACCGTTACTACTACTGGTTCCCTCAACCCCTCTGTTTCTGCAATTCCTGGTCCTGTCCCCCCTCCTGTCTTCACTCACACCTCGGATGATTCCCCTCATGTAACCCCTTCGTCTCTTGGGAGTGGAACCACTGTCAATACTGGTCAGGATGGCCAGAGCTCTCTTGTCCCTCCCGCTGCCAGCTCCAGCACAGTCATTGTCGAAGACACTTTGACTCACTCTAGTGGTGAGAGCTCTCCTGGTGCTGTTTATACCTCGGGTGTCTACACCAGCGAGACTCGCACTTTTCCATCCACCACTGTTGACACGTCTGTGGCTTCATCTGGAACTTCCGGTTCTTCTGGCTCCGAAGTAAGTGAAACCCCAACCTCTCCGAGTACCAGTGGGTTCATTGCTGACGTGAGTTGACTGACACTTTTTCGTCTACCTCCCATGGTACGGCCGTGACTTCGACTGGAACCTCCAGTTCCTTTGCTATCGACACCAGCGAGACTCGGACTTTCCCATCCACTACTGTCGACACGCCCATAACCTCATCTGGAGCTTCAAGTCCTTTTAATGTCGGGGTAAGTGAAATCCAAACGTTTTGGACTCCACGAAAGCCCAGTGCTGATCTGAGCCAGACTCATACTTCGTCTACCTCCGTTGGAACAACCGTAATCTCTCCTGGAATCTCCAGTTCCTCCGCGATTGATACCAGTGAGACTCGGACTTTTCCACCCATCGTCGGTGAGACGACCATGGCTTCATCTGGAAGTTCTAGCTCTTCCGCTATCGAGGTGAGTGAACCATGAATTTTCCCACTACATGTGGCAGTTTTGAGAACACTGTCGGTGATTTCAATGCTGACTTGAGCCAGACTCACACGTTTCCGTCTACCTCGGTTGATACGACCGTGCTCTCGCCTGGAATCTCCAGTTCCCCCGCGATCGACACCAGCGAGACTCGAACCTTCCCGTCTATCACTCACAGCACTAGTGTCATTCCGAGCGGGACATCCACCCCTACGTTCACTGAGACTCCGACTGCTTCAAGCAATCTCGCTGGCTCCTCCACTGTCTTGGCGAGCGAGACTAGGACTTTTCCGAGTACGTCACCTGTCAGTTCTGTGTCCCCCTCCGGCACCGCTAGCACCGGGGTCAGTGTTGGTACCGGTAGCTCTACTGTTATCAGCGTCAGCGAGACTCGTACCTTTCCGTCTTCCTCTGGCACCACGGTTGCTCAGTCGTCTGGCACTTCATCCACTGGGACCGCTTCCTCCGGCATCACTACCTCGCATGTTCCCTCCTCTGTCGTCACTTCGACTGTTTTGTCCTCTTCTTCGCTTTCTTCGAACGAGGTTTCATCTGGCACTCTGTCTGGACCTTCGACTGAGCCGGTGTCTGGATCATTGACCAGCGCCACACAGAGCAGTGAGACTACCTCAGATAGCGAGACGAGTTCTAGCATCCCGGCTTCTTCCAATGGCTCCTCTTCTGGTGTCGGCTCTAGCACCGGTTCTGATGCCTCGATAACCAGCGGAGGCACCACGAGCACAACAGCGAGTGATAGCATCAGTGTTACGCCTACTGCCAGCACCACGGACGTTACCGGCGCTACCGATACATTGAGCACGATCGGAGGCAGCAGCACGACGGAGCCAGTTAGTGAAACCGACACGACCGGCGGTCCCATCACTGGGTGGCTCATCACCAAGCCGGAAGTCACCAACAGCCTCCATGGAATCTCCGACACTTTTGTCCACAACCTTCCTACCTTTAGCTCTTGGGAGATCGACCCAAAGCCGCCCCTCCAAACGCAGATCATTGACGATATCAAAGGGTCCAAAAGGCAGATCGAGAACCTGATTGACAAGCTGGGCGGAAGCGTCAAAGGCCGCGGCTGCAAGAGCAAGAAGAGGAGCCTGTTTGATAGCGTTTTCAACGCTGTCAAGAACGGCATGGACACTGTGACCGATGTCATCGACAACCTTTTGTGCATGGCCGACAAGTTCGAGGACCTCATCGAGGCTGTCGGGAAGAACAAAATCAATCTCGCCAAAGATACCATCAACATATTGATCGACCCCAAGCCGAAGGACCAGGGATCTGACGACAATAACGATGATAACGACGACGACGATGATGATGATGATGACACTGAGTCGTCGAGCTCAACTTCGACGACTTCCACAACCTCGACCTGCAGCGAAACAACCGCCGAACAAGTCACGATTCTCTGCGAGCCGACGTTGATCACATCAGCCGACTCCACCATCTCGACCACCACCTGTTCTCCCACAATAACCGTCACGACTACTGGTTGCTCCGTCACGGACACGACGACCACCATCACTGAAACCCCAACCCCCGAGTCAAGGCCCTTGTGTTCTGTCAAAAAATGTGGGGACGCGTGCCCTCACGGACATGAGGGGTGGGGACCCGGCGTCTCTCTCGCGTGTTCGCAGATCCCAACTTTGACGGTATCTGAACTTCCCGCTGTAACATATCATTCTCTGGCGACCGGCGATGATGACGGCCTTCGTGAGGAGAGCGTCAATGAAGAGAGCCTCATCAAGCGCGCTCCCCCCTCTCTCATCCCGCCAATCATCCAGGACGATCCTCCCAACGCCGAAGCGCACCTGACTCCCCTCATCCAGTCACTCGATCGCACTGCAAACTGGTGGGTACCGTACCGTGACGTGATGACGCTATGGGCTCCTTTGCCTCCGAATGCCCAACAATACACAGTCTGGGGTATCAAGCCATTGTCCGGTTGTACTACCATCCTCGTCATCTCCAAAACAGGTCTGTACGCAGCACACCTCTCCGAAGACCCGGTATTCAAGCAGACGTACCGTACTATCGAGACGCGGACGTGGGGGCTCTTGTCACATGGCGGCGCTCCTGGGGTCATACCGTTTACCGATTTGGCTTCACGTGCTGGCCAGTCAAGGCCTCTGGACGAGGAGAACAAGCCGATCGTTATCGTGATTACGCCTTTCAAGGAGAGACTGACAAGGTGGGGGCCTCGAACTCTCAAGTACGGGGCGGCGAAGCTGCTTGGGCGAAAATATGCCAAGTCCATATACGGCGATGGCGCCGACAGGGACCGAGACCGTACAGATCCCCTTGTGGTACCGTACCAGGTTTCGGAGGAGGGCCAAGAGATCGGGGACATAACACCCAGAAGCAAAGTGATTGTGGAGCTGAACCCAGTCAACAAGGTCTACCATCTCCGCAATCGTCAGTTACGCCGCGAGGAATACCATGCAGTCGGCCGATGGCGCGTCTGGGTTGACGGAAAGGCAGTCATGGACCAGGATTGGATGTACGGCCCCTTCCTGACTCCCCCTACTCGACCGGCTGGCCCAGTTCGCCGAGACGATGTCTGCCTACTGCCCGCTTTGGCTTCGACTTCTTCTGCGGTATCGACAAGCCCATCCACCTTGGTCACCACCACGCGGCCTCATACTCCGAGCTCGAGCGAATCCCCGGCCTCCACAACGTCAACAGACACTTCCTCTTCGTCTTCTTCAACAACATCGTCTGTTTCTTCCGCTTCCACCTCGTCCGTGACTGAGGCCCACAACCCACCAGGGCAGCCCCCAGGGTTCACTCTCCCCACTGCCCATCCAACGACCACACGGGGCCACAATCCGCCCGGCCAACCTCCCGGGTTCACCCTCCCGACAGCTCAACCTGCCAGTTCTGTTCCTGTCTCCGAACAGGTTTGCGATTACTTGGACACAACCACCTCGGACAATCACCCCATCATGAACCACGCCGCGGTCATGCAGCTCGGCAAAAAATGCAACTGGGACACCAACACCCCACGCGACAAGCCAATGGGGCGCGGTGATGGTGAGTTGATTTGGCGAGTCACCAACCCAGCCCGTGACACAGACTACTATGCCTCTATCAAGTGGAAGAACGGGTGCGAGGGTCCGGCAATGAACGTGCGCAACCCGACACCCGAGCTGACCTGCGAGCGCATAATCATCAACAATCTCGAAAAGTGCCAGAACAAACATGGATATAGAGGATATATCGAGGTTGGATGTCTTCTCTATATCTCGGAAATGACCTCTTCGCTTCCTGCCACTCATTATGGTTCGGCTGGGGGCACGACGGGCGACACTGGTGAGGATGTAAGTTAGGAGACTGATCGTCACCCTATTCCAGCCGGTGGATGGCCGCCTAATAAGGGCAACTAATTCGTCTCATCCCGGTCATCATGTACCTGACACGGCATCTCCTGTCCATCACTTTTCTTTTGTCTATGGCTTCTCTCGCGATTCAAGATCGCTCTCATGTATGAATAGCGTCCTTATTGTCTTCCATCTTCGGCGATTTCAGATCCTCGTTCTCGTTCTGTTTCTTCGGGTCCCGCCCTGTTCGACTCAATTGATCTGCCTCGCTGTGTGCTCTCTTGTTGTTCGATGGATCCATGAACAGAACAAAGACTGATTTCCATGTCATGTACCACAACTACCTGTATCTAGAGCTACGAATGAAATCTAAACTTCAGCTCAACGGCCTTGCGGTGTTTTCGATTGTAGTTACTTCCTGACACTGAGAGTCTGTGTTACAGCAGACGGAGAAGACGCTGTTTTCTTGTCTGGTAAGCTCATCACTCTACAGAGATGGCCGTGACGCTGACGTTGGAAAGGAAGGCTGCTCTGACCGTCTGGTGTTCCAAGCCACGCCATCGCCAATTTATAGCATTCTCGACATCCAAGGTTTTCACACGGACACTCCCCAGCAAGATACGTCGCACCCATGTGAGGAACACGGTCAAAACCTGCTCTGTGCTACTGTTCCAAGGTTTACACTCTTGCTCCTCTGTCCGGTACGCTCCTTCCTGTTTCTGTGGGATAAGAGAACTAACTTGGACGGTCCTGGGTAGATGTCGCGCCTTCCTCGTGCCGTGGTAGCGAATCCGGTTTCTGGGGAAGGTGCGAGGCCGGGTGTCGGGCAGTCGTTCCTCCCCTGGTACGCAACCTGGGAACATGGATATCTGAGGAAGGAGCGAGGGGGAGGATCCAAGGTCGCTCCTTCCTGCTCGGTGACGGAGGGGTTTTGCCTCGTAGGGAAGGTGCGAGACAAGGGACAAGCGGTCATTCCTTCCCTGAACGCTCCAGAAGGCAACATGCGTTTTCGAGGAAGGAGCGAGGAGGAAGAGGCGAGGGCCGCTCTTTCCCTTTGTATGTCAGGATTTTTGCTTGGTAGCGGGCCAACGGTTTGTGCGAGGGGACGCCGGGCGGGGAAAAGTCCTGGGAGTTGCCCATTCCTTCCCTCACGTCAGGGTCAGATAGCTAATTGACGTTGGAGGATCGTCGAGAGAGAGCTGAGACGTTGTTCCGTCTTCCCATCATGCGAGACCTGGTTTGTCCCACGGGTTAGGACAGGTACAAGGCCTGATTATATGGTCTTCCGTTTTTCTCTCAGAAGCTATGAAATTTCGTACCCTTTCTTTTTACCACCGTGGTAAGTTTGACTCTGTATCCATCCATCCATTCCTATTTACAAAGCCTAACACCGGTACAGAATCTAGCTCATCACACAGCCCTCCACTCCGCAAAGCTGAAAACTGCGGGCTGCAGACACGGCATCGCATACGCGCCCTGCGCATAGATGGCAAAGTGCGCGCCTGTATTCGGTGATTCGCGACCGGGGTGTCGCACGGTGAGTGCGGCGCTGGATATCTCGCCGAGTTTCGTGAAGTCGTCCGAGTCCGAGGGGGAGAAGAGGAGCTCGTATTTTGTTGGGCGGGCGCGGATGAGGAGTTGGATTTCCGTGTTGGATTGCAGTGGGTGGATGTTCTCCTGGTTCATCATTAGCATCAAACCTTGGCTGCATGATTGAAAAGGGGGGAGAAAGACATACCTCGAAAAGATCCCCCTCTGCCTTTCCATTATACCCCCGGAAGAAGACCTCCACCCCCTCTCCACTGACCGACCTCCTCAACCCAATACTCGCATACGCAAACTGCGACCACCAAATCGCCGTCCCAGCCTCCTCGAGCGGATTCTCCGGATCAAAGCGCACTCCAACCCGCCAGTCAACCGAAACCTCCCTCTGTTTCCGCAGCAGCATACTCGGACACTCCGAGTCGTAGATCCGGTACGCGTTGCCGTACAGGCTGAGATTCCCGGGGTTCTCGGTGAGCGAGTATTCGCGCTTGAGCGGCGTGCGCAGGTGGTACCAGCCGAGCTGCAACTCGGGCGAGTCAAAGTCGTCGCGCCAGGACGTGCGGATATCCTGCTTTATCGGGGCGTCATGTGCGCTTAGAGACGGGGATGCAGCAGCCATCTCCATTTCGAGTCCAATCCTCGCCCCGCCATTAACAAGCGGCCACCCGTCCCTCCACTGCACGGGGGCAAGGAACGTCTCGCGCCCCAATGCCGAGAGTCTACCATCGACAACCCTCACACCCAGGAAAACAGCAAACCAGTCCCCATTGCCGTTTTCGACGAAATCGAGGTGTCCCGTGCACCGGATTTCCTCATCGTCCCCATTGAAGATCACCGGATTCACATTCAGACCCTCAGACGCATTGGGTTCCTCCCACGGGCCCAGTGGTCCAACTTTGCTTCTGCGAATCCACTGCTGATGCCCCTCGTCCGTCCCGCCCTCGGCAGTCGAGAGATAATAGTATCCATCATGCTGGAAAATATGCGGCCCCTCGGCAATGCCAATCCCGTGCTGCGAGATGCAGTTCCACGCCGGTTTTGACAGGCATCGACCTGTAGCGAGATCAATTTCGACTGTGAAGGTTGCAAGCCCGAGGGCGTGTTTGTCGATTCCAGGCTGTACGATTTGGTTCACGGCGCTGAGGTAGGTTTTCCCGTTGCTGTCGAAGAAGAGCTGCTCTCCATCAATCATGGGCTCCAGGGTACGGAGTAAAAAGGGAAAGGGGAAGAAAACGAAACGAAACGCAACGCACATCCTGATCGATACCGGGAACATCAAAATAAACCGGCTCCGACCACGCCCCCGGCGCCCAGATATCATCCGTCGTCACGTAGAATCCGCGCGGGATGACAATGTCCCACTCCCTCGGCCGAAACCGCTGCGTGCACCCGACAGAGACATAGAACCGCCCCTTCTCATTGCCCGCGCTATCCCTCTTGCCTTCGGTCCTGTAACGGATCGTCGGCGCCCAGATCCCGCCGCTCGGCTCCGTCGTGCGCATGTCCAGCTGTTCGCGCCGCGTAAGGACGTGGCCGATGACTTTCCAGTTTAGGAGGTCCGTGCTGTGGTAGATGGGGATCCCGGGGAAGTATTCGAATGTCGAGGTTACGAGGAAGTAATCGCCCCGCACGCGGATTATGCTGGGGTCCGGGTTGAAGCCTGGGATTATGGGGTTGCGGAATGATATGGGGGTTGTGGGTGACGACATGATGCTTGCGTGGGGTGGTGAGGGATTTAGGGAGGAAATTGGAATGCTCTGGGGTACTGAATCCGGAAGACATTTGGAGGTATTTACTTGAGCTCCGATAGCTAGGGTATTTACCCCAACTTATTCATGTGGGTGGTTGGGGATGCGCCAAGGTGGACGGGATTTCCGAGCGGCAAGTTTGGGTGGCACGATTCTTCGATTGGAAAGTCGGCTCACAGGGAGCATGGGAAAGACAGGATATTATCCATCGTAAGGAGATGCGAGTTCCGGCTGGATAATGGGTGGAAGTGGAAGATTAGATTAGATGACCAGAAGTTAGGGCTAGACTCACCCTGAGAGTTGAATTCTGATTGGTCGCTGCATCTCATGTAGAACGTTTCCAAACCAACGCCGAAACCGCCGTTCCAGACAAACGTTGCCTTCCCACTCAGGTTTGCCTGGTCGTTGTTGGTGAGGCACGGAGCAATAGAATTGGGCAGCCATTGTCAGATTTCGCCTGTCAATGCAGAGGGACTGCATATGGGTGTTTGTCAACATCCTTCTGGTCAAGGTGTAAGCATTCAGGGTATGACTGAGAGATGTGGTAGAAGGCCGATCTTCATTGTCAGTTACCACTGTCCAAAGTTCTGTACAGTGTACCAGCATTACCCCAGCCAGTCTGGTGTGGGGAGACGCGGGGTCAACGTGTGGTCCGTCACCCGGATTATCCGGGTGTCTCCAAGGGCAGGCCCGGTGGACGGTAAAGAGGAATTTCAAGAAGTGGACGGTCGAATTGCTTTAATTTCTCAGATGTCTCTTGCTATGGCCGTCGGCCGAACTGCTCAATGGCAGTTTGGGTTTGGTCTGGTGTATACCATGTTTGACTATTCCAAGCTTGCTCTACAAGAGGTGGACGATTTGGACGATTCAACAAGTTTATTAGTGCGAGTAAAAAAAAAAAACGGGTATATACACTGGACATGAAGTCGTGCAGGCGTTTGTGAGTCCAGGCAGCGTAAAAGGCTGGCGGCCTGCGCGCGAGCTCAAGGGGTATGTGAAAGTCTGGCTCCTTCCGGGCGAAGCGAAAACAATTGATCTGAGCGAGTCATGGACCGTGGAGAAGGAGAGATGAACAGAATTGCAAGTGGACGGAAAACCCGAGTGGGTCCCCACTTGTCCCACGCGGTCGCTCCTCCCGCTCTTCTTCCACTTCACTTGCACCTCATCGCCTCGCAGCACGTCCGCTCACCATGCAGCCCACAAAACGGCCACGCACCTCGATGAGTAGCCAGGTGGAGGGTCCATTTAACTGCCAGTTGTGTGAAAAGTCCTTTTCGCGAATTGAGAATCTGACTCGGCACGCTGAGAACCGTACGTTCCCCGCGCCGTCCACTCATCGTAGATTCAGTTCTGACCAGTTCAGACAAGCCTAGTGCGAGATTCTCGTGCGCAGTATGCGCTAAACGTTTCACGCGGAGGTAACGTTCAGATCCTTCCGTCCACATCGCTCATAGATCCTGGCTTTCGCTGATTACCTATCAGCGATATTCTGAAACGCCATATGAAGCTCCATGGCACAAATCAAGACCAGCAACCGCGGCCTTCCAGCGGCGCGACATCGCCGACGGCACCGCATTTGCTCACCGAAATTGCCCGGTCTCAATCCCATCATACTCCAGATAACGATGCTCTGGAAGGCGATTCTCGCGTACAGGCTCCCTGGCCCGACCAGCATGCACCTCGGATCAGCCAGGACAATTTCGGTACAGCGCCATCTGCAGTCTATGACTCTCCACTGAGCCATCCATCATCGTATCCATCCTTGAGTGAAGGGCATTATGGTGTCTATGGTGAAGGGACTTTTGACGCAGATCTCGCATGGATTCTGGATATGCCTCCTCCGGACTTGATGTCGGCCCCCGCGCCTGCTCCAGAGTATCCCTCGCATATCAACCCAGCATCTATCCACGCAATAGTTACCGAGCTGCCCGGTAATGAAGCATCGCTTGATGAAGCTCAGCGCTCATCGATTGAAGATCGGAATAATTGGCCAGATGTGGATGGCGGACTAGAACCAACTACCTCGCGTGAGATGCCAGCTGTCAGTATTCCCGACGCGGATGCGTGGGTGGATCACGGCGAGATCTCCTCTCTTTCTGATCTGCCGGGCGATAGGCGAGGGCACCGTTGTGCGGTGGATGATCGTCTCCGAGCACGTTTGATAGCTGCTCTCGAGAAGGAGTCCTCGGTCAAGGATGGCCTGCTCGCGCCCGACCAGACCAGATTTCCTACTCCGGCAATCTTGGAACATTTCCTTCGACTCTTCTTCGAGCATGTCCATGTTAGGTTCCCCGTCATCCACCAACCGACTTTCTCGATCGAAACCGCTCCACCATTTCTGCTCCTGGCCATGATGCTTCTGGGGTCGAGTCACTCTGTCACCAATCGTGGGAAATTTGTCGCAGTCTACCTCTATCCTGTAGCAACCATGTTTTCAAGGATTCAAGCACTCGATACGAGATTTGTGAGCATCCCAAGCTAATCTTTAATTCAGATCTGATGAGCGTTCGAAAATGTTTCGCTGACCTCCTGTTCACCTAGCTGCGAGAGACGGACAACATCCTCACGTTGCTGTTCCTCTGTGTGTCGGCCGCCTGGTGCGGACACAAATTCGCCTTTGAATTTGCAGAAGGTGCTCGCGGAATCCTCGTAACTGCCTGTCGCCGGTGCAGGCTGCTCGATTGTCGGCAGAGACCACCTTCCGATGTGGGATCATCGCGCTCGATGCGGGCCAAGTTACACCATGCATGGCAAGCCTGGATAAAGGCAGAGCAGCGGAAGCGCCTCGGACTTTGTATAAATGTCAGTACCGCTCGTATCTCCGCAGACAAGGACACTGACAATGAAAGCTATTTGACCTCCAATTCCCGGCCCTCTTCCACAACCAGCCGTACATCTCGAAATCCGAATGCGTCAACCTCGTTCTTCCATGCCACGAGTCCTTCTGGGAGGCAAAGTCCGCCCCAGCCTGGAAGGTGCTTCTTGGCCCTGCCGAGACTCCCCCAGCAACGTACTTTATGGTCCCCCTGGATACGTGTCTCTTATATCCCGCCATAAAGCGTGAGCCACCGTACGCCCCAATCGACTCCTTTGGCAAGACGATCCTCATCTACGCCCTCTTCACGCACATCTTCGAATGGAGACAGGCTGTGAACATAGTGCTGCACCCCGCATTTATCCGTGGCCCCGAAGGGACACGACCAGGCGAGGGACTGATGGAACGTCAACAGTGGCTGCACGATGGTCTCGACGCATGGCTCACTACATACCACCAAAACGGAACCTCGGCGCCAGACGAGGCCCTTCTTCTCCACTTCCTCGCGCAAATCCATCTCTACATCAGCGTCTCCGATCTGCATCTCTTCGCCGGTCGCTCAGGACTAAGCGAAGACATCAAGCTTGCCGAAGACTCTCTGCGCAGGTGGTGCCGAAGCCCAGAGTCAGCGAGCACAATGCAAAACGTCTACAAGATGCTGGACCTCGCCTTTCAGATCATCGATCGTGGCGATGATCACCAGTGTGGGTTCGAGATCTCGGTTGCCCTGTTTACCGGCGGGCTGATGTGTTGGATGTATGCGAAATTGGGTGGGCAGGTTCCCGTTGGATTTCAGGTACGTTTCCACTCGGGCCATGTTGGAGTAGGCTCCTAACTCTGGATGTCAAGATCAATCTGGCAAGCGACGCTCTGGAAAAGCTGAGTTGCTGGGGGATCTGTTCCAACTTTGCGCAGATTCTCAAGCGGTTTGGCGAGTAGAGAATGTGCTCTGGGAAATCTATTCTCAAAATTGAAAGAGATGGTTTAGTGCGGCGTGCCTACGATAAATGTGCAACGCACAGGGATATTACTGCCTCGGCTTTGAAGGGCACACAATAACACCACTGATAATTGGGACGTATCATAGGTATTCTCTTCTTCAGGTCTATACCTCATACCGCAAGATATCGGGTCACTTCTGTCAAATTCCCCAGGCAGCAAGCGGTGCTACTTGAGATACCCAAAGAACTTCAGATCTCATACGCTAATTTACGAATCGAGTGGTGGTCAGAGGAGGTCTTTCTCGCATCACACCCCTGGTATTTGGCGGATCCAACGAGCTTCTCAGGAACTGTGACTGATGGATTAGGCAGCAGGGCTTATTCGCTTCCATAAGTTAGGACTGGAAGCCTTCCCCAAACAGCTCGCTGCAAAGGTGCCAACAATGCGAATGGCTCTGATCGTTCGTGTCTTGACAACCACCGTAGGCACGACGACCTGAACCCCATAGCCCCGGTTTCTCCAGTCCTATTTCGGACTAGACGACCTGAATGTGAACCAGCACACCCACGATATTACCCAACATCCGCTCATATTCAATCTTCTGTTACTGCGACAGGACCGGTGCGAATATGTTGCGCGCAGATCAATGAACTCTACCTAGCCCACACGCCGGAGTCCCCCGAGAATTTGAGCCAGAATATCGCATCGTGAGACGATGCGATCACGCCGCCCATTAAAAGCAGCGTAGATCAAAAGTCTTGCGTCACCCGCGGTGGCGGTATATCTGTTCCCGCGCGTGCAGTGGCTCGCGGAGAAGACTCGGTCGTATTGGATTGGATATGTCGCGACTTCAGATGGCTGCGTGCAATTTCTATTGTGGCTTCGGCTAGGGAGTCATGGTGAAGAATTGTCGACGGCGTGTCGCGATTGGCGAGATGAACAAATGCAGCAGACTCTCTCACCTTTCTAGATCTGACATCTCCTGAAATCCAGTAGTTCTACTTTACCATCTATATCTTCCTGTATCTGCCGGGGAGCTGACTGCCAACCCCGCCTTGGCATCGGTGAAGAAGCCATAGTCACTGTAAGCATTCGAACCGTCCTTGTTGCCGTAATCTGTGTCCCCCAGTCTCACACTGATGACGACCGGGCGTGCCACGAGGGAGCAATCCGGCTAGTCCCTCTAGTATTGGTAAGGAGGCTATAAATCCGAGGCTTGACACTTTTACAATCTAGTACGTATAGCATACAACTCCTATGCCCTCAATCTAATCTCCGCCGCCTCCACCTCCCTCCTCATCCGTCCCTACCTCGGACTCCACATGCCTAAGGCCTCCACAAAAGATGCGGGTTCCCATCGGGATCATCCACATTCTCCGCATTCGGAATCGTCTTCTCAACCCCCTCCACCCTCAACCCACCCAGATCATCCGCGAGCGCGCGGTCCCGGTCCGGAAACTCGCCCTTGTTATACCCCCGAAGACACAGGTACTCAACCTCCCCACCCAAGAAACTGGAGAAGCTCCTTTGGCCATCGCGGACGCGCTCCATCGCCGTGGGGACGTCGACGCCCCAGGCGAGGTAGAAGAAGAGGCCGACGCCGATGCTGAGGCGTTTCAATTTCACAAAGTCAACGAGGGCGCCGCGCTGGCGCCGAAAGTCCGCGGGGACGGACCGGTCGGGCCCGTCGTCGTACATAGTCTCTTCGCTGTCGAATGCGTCGCGGGCGTCGGCGGCGGGGATCTGCGGGTCGAAGTGGTAGATGTACGAGTCGACGTCGAGATCCAGGTGCTCGAGCGTCTCCCTGTGGTAGAGCAGGGCGCGGATCAGAGTCTTGGGGTTGAATGCCGGGTACCCGCCATCGTTGGTGCAGCGGCCGCCGACCGAGTACGCGAAGCTCTTTAGGGTCCTGCACGAGCAGACCAGGGAGGCGAGGTACGAGGCGCTGAGGGAGGAGTGGTGGAGGGCGATGTTGGCGATGTCGGAGGAGCGCGGGGCGAGGCCGGGCCGGCCGTTCTCGTCCTCTTCCACGACGTCGCTGCGGACGGACTCGATGGAAGGGAGGGTGCAGACTGCCGAGATGGGGGTGAAGAGATCGCAGGCGATGTAGAAGCGGTCGTCCTCCCAGTCGAGGCGCGGGTTGTTGATTATGTAGACATCGCGCAGGTTCTGCAGGTACGGGAAGTGCCTTGTAGGGTCGGAGTTTACGGTGCGCAGGAGATGGTCGAGCGGGTATGTGACCTTGGGTGATGCGGGCGCAGAACCTGGATGGCTGTACTCGTGCGTTGCCATTGGGGACATGGCCAGTGATTCGAGAAACGGCGAGACGGAGACGAGCAGCGCGGCCAGAGCCTGCGGGATGAACACGTTGTCCGCCATTCTCCGTCGAGAGCTATGCAGATGCAGTGTCAGCCAGCGAGATCTAATGGATTCGATTCAGTGAGTGGCTCGTACTGGATACCAAGATGCACGAGACCATAATCCATCCTCTGCAACAGCATATTGACCACCCGCCCCTGCAACTCCGGGGCCTCGAACCCTGCATTCCGCACGGCATGCCTCAACAGCCGCATATCCGCCTCCCCAAGCTCCCGCTGCGGGTCCTGCTGAGTATAATCGAGCCGCAACGGGGGCGGTGCCCGGACCTCAATATGGCGAATATAATGGCCTAGCGCGGGCCGCCGCAGGATATCCATGAGAAGATCAAAGGCGATATCTAGCGAGCCGGTCTTGGGCTCGATTTTCACACTGTGGTACGTGTGTCGTGTCTCCATGTCGCAGAGGCGATGCAGGGATTTGCATTGCGCTGAGAGGGCCGCGACATCGCGGGTGGAGAGGAGGTAGGAGATGATGTGTTGTTGGATGCTGAGGGGGAGGGATGTTAGAGTGGCCATGGTTGTGTGCGCCAATATGTATGCATGTCGTTGGGTTTGAGCATTTTGCTGTTAGTGAGGCTAGACCCGATCTGGTATACCTCATTCATCAAGCCAGAAAGCTTGGCGGGTTAGATTCAAAGCCCTAATTTGCACCTCCAGCGAATGGAGACCACCACGGCCAACACGGTCAAGAGGGTTGAACATTGGTGGACAGCGAGACGACCGACATCTCGCTCCTTCATATTCTCCTTTCGGTAAGTGCCCGGGGGTCGTGCCTTTCATTTTGGACCATATCACAACAGGGAAGGAGCGGCCCTCTACCCTTACTGTCTCGTGCCTTCCTATTCTGAAGTAGGATGGTGCGCCCGCCCGAAGATTGGGTCGCGCCTTCCTTAGTTAGCCAGTTTGACAGACAATAAGCACGGTAGGAACGATCGACATCTCTCAAGCCGCCCGTTCCTGTTTGGAGCTAGGAAAGAGCTCCGGGCCTCTGGTCGTGCTTTCCAGTTTGAGCTATATCGAGTATGCGAGGAGGGAAGAAGCGACCCTCCACCTGCCAGTGCTCGTTCCTTCCTATCCTGTATTAGGAAGGTGCACCACATGGCTCGGGGTCGTGCCTTCCTTGGACGACGAGCTCCAAAAGCAGAAGAGGAAGGAACGACCGACTGTCTCATCTCCCGCTCAGGCCGGCCCTTCCTCTTTGAAACTAAGAAAGAGGCTCTGGTCGTGCCTTTCCCATTCTCTTGGTTCTTACAAGCAAGGGACCCGGAGTGACATCCTCGTTAACTGACTAATTGAAACTAAGAAAGAGGCTCTGGTCGTGCCTTTCCCATTCGCTTTCTGCATAACTGGTATGTCCCAGCAGTGGTTCGGTGCCAAAAGGTAACTATTCAGCCTATTTAACCTAGTAAATTAACTAGTTATTATAAATTTATATTTCTACCTTGTGCATGCTTAGCTCTGTAGAGAGAGATTAAATAAAAACTGTCTTTGTCTATAAACTCCATGATGAAAATCAGAGGAGATGCCACTTGCCCGCCTACATCACAGGAAGAGTCAGGTCTCAAGGCCTCTGCTCCAAATTGGTGGCCTGCATCATTTGCGCCAGCGAGGTGAGGATGAAGTCCAAGTGGGGCGTGTAACAGTGACACCATCCACTTGAGGGATCCAACTGGCCAATGACTATGATAAGCTTGGGCAAGAATGTACCAGGACCCACTTGTGTTATACAAGTAAGACCTAAAGATGGAGTAGCTCGGTTGGTTACCACTTAAGGGCTGGTAGCAAATGGGGACGAATGGTCTCCAATAAGCACATACCAGTGAGAAGAGAGCCAAAATCTGGGGAAACTCTCCCAACGCGGAGAGTGCAAGCACAACCTTGCATGACAAAAAGTTAGCTGCCCCAAGGAGATATATCTAGGTCTTTTCCTGCTTCGCTATTATTGCTCAGTAAGAATTCATTTAAACAAGACAGTCAACAACACACAACTACTGAATTAACCACACCACTCAAAATGTCCGCACTAGCTGAGCCCAAGGCAGCTAATTCTGTCACCAGCCGTCCAGCCAATGATATCCTGGTAGCATAATTTTTGGTATTGTGTTGGGTAGTCATGGAGTCAATTTTCCTCTTGTTTCACTAACCAGGCAATAAGCACCAAAGGTTCGTGGGCTCAAGGTATCCCGAATATGCAGTCTTTCTGGATATCAGTCTGCAGGCGGACACCCAGATAAGGGAATTATTTGGGGGGCAGTTGGGATCATGCGAGAGTGTTAAGAAACACCCACACCTTCAGCATGTCTATATTAAAGGGACTTTTGACGTCAAAAGAACTCCATTAATGTGGGCGTGACGGCCTGAGGCTACCGATCACGTGCCTGCTTCCTAGATAGCTTCGTCTTCCGCTAGCTAGCACCTACGAATGAACACACACATCCCACGATGTCTCCTTTCTCCCACGGCCTCCATGCCGATAATTAATCTTACCCCCGATATAACTTTTGATGGGAGGGAAGTATCAATGGGGCAATAATCACGCCAAATCAATCCAAGATAAGAGGTAAAAGGCTTCCTAGATGCAGCAAATCTTGACCTGGGGGTCGCGTGAGTTTTCGGCTTGGGGCGGGTTTATGCGCTTATACTATTTTCTATGGAAAAATAAGACTGTCAGTTGGCCCATAATAAGTGATAGTATGGCCAAAGGCTATTGCAAGCAGGTATTATCCGCGGTGGTTGGGAAACACGTGAGACTCAGTGAGGCTATTAATAATGTATGATAGCTTACGTTGAATGTCAATAGGACCAGCGACAGTGGACATAGGTCTATCGTCGTGTACAGACTTGGTCCCTTAGCTAAACGCCAAAGTCGTTATCCTCGTCAATGACCATTTCATATGCTTCCTCGCGCTTGAACCTACCCGGGCCGTATATGTCTTCCTTGGACAGCGGCCTGGCCTTGGCCATGATCTCGTCAATGGTGGCGTATCTCTGCTCCCAGCCTCCCGCAGGCTCCTGGTTCCGCTCAAGCAAGATCTGGGGGAATGCCGTGACGTAGTTGTCAGTTGGGCGCCGGTACTCGGAGCCGAGAGAAACAGACTCGGGCGGGAAGAAGGGCTCTTCGTTGGGTGCGTATTGGTAGTCCATGCACTCTCCGAATTTGAATCTGGGGAATGACGCAAAATACCCGTCGAACTGCGGCTTCATTGCCTGCCTGAAAGACGAGATTCGGCGCCCTGCATCGAAGTTCGCCCATGGTTTGCGGCACGTGTCCTCCCCGCACGATTTCATGAAGAGCATCAGCGCATTGAGGCGATCGACTGTTCGCTCGACCTCCGCGTCATTAGATGCTATTAGATTGTGCATCTCGTACGGGTCGTCCTTGAATAGTGTCAGTGGAAATGGATTGTGACGATTGGAAGCCCACGAGCCGCTTACAATGAGATTGTATAATTCCGACTCGCCGGAGCACCACACGACGTAGAGCCACGCTGTATGTTCGCCCACCACGCGTATCGTCTTGTATGTAGCCATAGGATACACTTTGGGCACCACGGGTGCCTCGATACTCTTAAAGCCCCAGTGTTCGATATTGATCACCTCTTCATCCGAGCCGGTGCCCTTGCCGGGATGTTGAGGTCGCCGCCACTGACCGAGCAGGCTGCGCCCATCGAGAAGTTTGGGCCACTTCCTGCGCTCCACGCCCGCAATGTCGAGCATAGTCGGCACCAGGTCCACATGAGTGCCCGGCAGATTGGACTCGACGCCCTCCGGGATCCCTGGACCCCTGACGACCAGCGGCACGTTGGAGTCGGTGCCATATGGTAGCGACTTTCCCGCCGTAACACGCCACTGACCGAGATGATAGCCGTTGTCGGACGTGAATATGACTTGGCATTATCAGCGAGCTTGGCTCTTGAGAAGCGGGAGAGGGGACGTACAGTAAGTATTCTCCATCTGTCCTTTAGCCTCGAGGTAGCTAATAGTGTCTTCGATGATGTCGTCCACTCCTTGTAGACACTGGAGCCGGCGGCGGTGGGTCATATCGGCCCAGTCGATCTCCGTCTGGTTCATCAAGCGCAAACCTTTCAAAAAGTACCCCTTTTGTTCCTGGAATTCTTGCTCAGGGTTAAAGTCGGGCCTTCTGGGAGCGTTGGCGTTCTCGAAATCGTTCGAATGTCGCGCGAGTGGCTCGCAGTAGTGGTTGTCGTTACCCACATGGGGACTGGTGGGCGCCAAGAACAGGAGCCACGGATCCTCATGGGACGTTAAGTAGTCGAGACGATCAAGGCTAAGTTTGCGGAATCGGTCAGAATGCTCCCGGCCTAGGAGTTAAATGTTTGCGTACACCTTGGCTCTGATTATATCCGTCTGGTGAAACCCCCGGTAGTTCAGCGGTACCTCTCCGTTCTTCGACATCACTGCGGTATTGAAGGAATAGGTGTACGGGTCAACCTGACCATCGTCAGCAGACCATCGTACGAAGCTCCCGGATGTAGGTCACCTTACTAGGCAGTCGGTGTGATCCCAGCCCTTTGGACGGATGTCGTAATTGAATACCGAGTACCCATTGAGCAACTTGCCAATATCGTTCCATCGCGTCAGCCCGCCCCAACCCAGCCATAGCTCGATAGTATAAGCAAATCTCTTACATTCGGTTCGGTAGCCTGCCTGCTTCATATAGTGAGGCAGGTACTCGTTGTCTTGGCCGGCCAAGACCCATTTGTCGTAGTCGCCCCTGAACCGTCAGCCGCGAATTGATCAAGAAAGCATCACACTGACCCTGGCGCTCGGACGTGGGTAATGTTGGTGTTGTGTGCCAGCTGTCCTTTGAGGAGGGAGGCTCGGCTAGGGCAACACACCGCTGTTGTTACATGGTGGTTCATGAAGCTGGCGCCCTTCTTGACGAGCCTTTCTTGCAGCACCTGTTGGTAGTCGGGTGATCCAAGACGGAGGTCTTGATCATCGGTCAACAGGACGACGATGTTCGGGCGAGCGCACACAGCGCCTACAAGTGCGAGAAGCAAATTCAGACGCATCTTGGTTTAATATGACAGCCACCTGTCTTGACCAAGGTAAAGTCAGTTAGAGACGATAACCAGGGCCCATCTCGTCCTTTATACTTCGATTTCGATGTGTCCCAAGTTAGAATATCGCCATCCGCATTAAGATGGCGTTTAGTTATCTGCCTCTTGTCTGCGAAAGAGATGAGATCTACCAGTCGGAACAAATTAGATGGGCAAGAAAAGTGGGTCGTGGGGTTATGGCACGGTTACACTAAAAATTAGGGAGTGGCATGGTAGCACAAGTACAACAATATACAGACGAGGAAAACAGGAGATAAGACCCTGGTAGTCCTTTATAAATTTTACGTGGTTATTTAGATATGGCATGGTGTTAAATAAGACATGGTAAAGTTAAGTTGTTGTCTTATTAGTACCTTATAGGTGACAGAAATAAAAGAGTCCACTATATATACTGATTTTAATCTAGGGCGTTATGGCCCAAGAATCACTTGATTCTGTTAGAAAATGACAAGACCACATTTGAAGAGCAGATAATAGAACAGAGACGCGTATTCTAAGTGGTCTACAAAGGTGTCGTCAACATTCGCTCTTTCTGCAGGAGCACTATAATATGTATCTGGTGTTGGCAGAAATATAAACCCAACATCATGCAAGACCTGCTGCAGGTCGGCTTCGCGAAATTTATTCATAGAGGACTCTTTTCTCCAAGGGAAGTTTAGTAGCTCCCACGTATATAAGAATAAGGTCATGTTGATAATATAGGGGAGTAATCCAACTGGCTGTGCAGTCGCTGCCCATGTTGCTTACTACCTTACGCAGCCCCAACAAGCCACATTTTAATTAATCATTATTCAGGGCATTCTTGGCGAATGGACTCGAAAAGTTTGCATGCTTGGAAGCGCGGGAGAATAATTCTATCTTTGACCCGCAGTGTAAGGAACGAATTTCCCTTCCTCCTTTAAGACGCGTCAGGTAAATTGTGATCCTTAACTCTACTGGCCAACTTATTACGTAGATCGGCCTGATTAGTGATCTACCCGACTGGGAAATGTTCGAGAACCGCGGCTGCAGAACTCAACTAACCAGACTGGCTGTGGATTGTATTTTATAATTGATCGGAGAAACGCAACTCCATCAGATAGGTTGAACTGAGTTCTGAATTCATCCGATAAAGAATCATGAACAGCAGCCTTTGCAAATATGACTAAAACATTGGAACTAAATAGTTAACCATTAGGTGCCGGAACCGCAGCCGCCGAGCCCCGAGGAGCGGAAAGTCCAAGGAGGAAAGGACTAAAGAGCGTAATTATCAGAGCTAGGACATTTGTTGGCAGAGATGCAACATCATCCTTAGTAAAGCCAGCCGGGATCTTCACCATGAGATCTGTGTCAAGAACAGCATACTCTTGAAACCCGTTCTAAGGACTTCTGGTAAAATCCCTGCCTGGCCAAAGACCTTCTCCAAGACCGACAGGCCAGACACATCGGAACCAACGGGGACGATTTCTCCCATAACATCGTTCCCGAGGATAGCAGGCAGATTTTCGGCAGTAAATAACCTCGGGAGCTCTCTAATAGTGAGGGTTCAGTCGGATAAAACAAGATTACATCATTAGAGCAGATAATCGGGCTTGATGAATAAACATACCCAACCTGTGGATCCGATGAGCTACTATACCATTGATTTCCAAGAGATTGGAAATCTAATATGGCCAGCTTGCCTTCCAAGAGATCAATCAGACAGGATATTATTACCGTGGATGATTCTGGGTACTGTGGTGGATGGATATGGAGCATATAAAGTAAATATTAAATGGCACTTCCCCTTGAATCTTCCTTCTAGTGACAGTCCCTAAGACTTGTATTATTTCAATTTATTTTAGTCACCTTATTGAAGAGCGTATCATCTACAATGACCGCATTCAAAAATGTTCTGCTTATTGGTGTACGCTGGCACAGTCGTTTAGCCTCCACCCTACCCGTAACTCGATAAATAACTAACACAACTTGTAGGCAGGCGGAAACCTTGGCGTTCCGGTCCTTGAAGCATTCCTAGCCTCTCCGTACCGCGTCAGCGTTCTAGCCCGCAAAGAGTCGACATCATCGTTCGCCGAGGGTGTGCCTGTCTTCAAAGCAGATTATGCCGATGTATCCTCCGTCAAGGCGGTAATGGAGGGCCAGGATGTAGTGATAAGCATGGTTGGTGGTATCGCAGCAGGTGACCAACAGGTCTTTATCAACGCCGCCCTCGCCGCAGGGGTGAAAAGATTCTTCCCCAGCGAGTTCGGCCCCTACTCGCGCAACCCAGAGTTTGCCGCACTGAACCCGCATGTTTTGCCGCACAAGGGCGCCACCGTTGACTATCTTAGACTTAAAGAGTCTCAGATGTCATGGACAAGTGTGGTTACGGGCGCCTTCTTTGACTGGGCCATGCGAGTTGGGTTCTTTGGCTTTGACCTCGAGTCCAAAACGGCGACTCTCATCGACGGCGGTACTTCGGTATTTACTACAACAAACCTGCCGACGATTGGCAGAGCCCTAGTTGCCATACTTGATCATGCGGAGGAGACAAAGAACCAGTATATCTTCTTGTCATCCTTCAACGTCAGCCAGAGAGATATTTTAGACGTGGTCGAGAAGGTAGATGGGCAGAAATGGACAGTGCAGCATGTTACATCCGAAGAGGTCATTGACAGGGGGAAGAGAAGGCTTGCAGCAGGTGATTTCGCCGGGATCATGGATTTAACCACGGGCGGAGCGTTTGGAACGCAAGCTCTGGGTGATGAGAGTCGGCATGGTTTCTGGAACGACCGGTTGGATCTTGCGAAGGATGATATGGAACAGATTATTAGAGAATTGCTGTAAGAGAAGATGGCGTACTTGCTCGATCTTGTGCAGTCAGATGTATTTTTCCGCACTCTAGGCCTCATATCTACCTATGGAAGCACATGGCAACTGTACTATTATTGCCTTGAAGTCTATACTATTATAACTTGACTGGTCAGAGCTTTGATCGCGCTGATTGACAGAACCGACCTCCACAGTAGGATCTTTGCTACACCAGAAGCTGCGCAGACGCAATATTTTATCGATATTTACTAATCTTAGTCCAGAGAAAATTTCACATTGCCCCCCATTCCTTAGTAGCCAAAATCTGGTGGTATGTATATCAGCGTAGTGTTTGGCGCTCGGCCTGTTTAGAAATCTTGGCCGGGATGATCACTAAGTTATGCTGAATATTGGAAGATATACCAATGACACACCTGGATTTCTTTATCTACCTGGTCCCTCACTGTGTGGGATACCATGACTATGATTTAAAGGACGCGATTCTCCTTCAGCATTGCCACTCACTTACTCCATCAGACTACTATCCCTTTCTCTCATGGCTTTCAGAAGCTGATTGTTGTTTATTGGTATGGATGCCTGAGGTAGCAAGGTTACAGTGCCACACCATGTTTCTTCCCAGTCAGTCTTCCCGTTAGATAGGAATACCAAGCGTTCCATTTCATCAGGATTCGTCACTAAATGGAGTATATGTCTGTCTGAGTGTGCCGGAACTGCACGTCCCAGCTACACTTTTTATCGCGCCAGACGGAGCCTAGACATTCATGGTTTACATGGATTACATGGATATACTCCACAACGCCGCGTTGAACCGCAACAATCTCGATGTAGGACAGGATTTCTGCTTGCGAGGCGTACATCGATGACCAGTTTGTGTTTGGCGCAAAGGAGTGAGAGTAGAGCTGTACGTATAATGAATGGTTAGTACAGATCATCAGTAAAGTCGAACCACATTACCCGAATGTAACATCTTTCTCTTTTGACGAACATACCTCAGAGGTGATATCACACCGTAACCTCGGCTACGTATTCTTCGCCCAGGTCCCACCGATTCTTGTGTTCTTTTTAGACAGGCTGAGGGTCGCTTGCGGTTATTGTTTTCGTAGGTCAATGGCAGCGCATATTCCTGCGTGCCTGGTTCAGTTTTGGGGTCTTGCATATGGTGGTAATTTCAGGGTGGGCTTACCTCCAAGTCCGGCGCCGATAACTACGATGTCGAGGATGTTTCGTCTGGCAGCGACATGCCAGAAACAACAGGCTTAAATAAAGATACGAGCCACGACCCTTAAATAGTTTAGGTCACAAGCTTAGCATTGGTCGTTAACTAGTGTCAGCAGAAACATTATCCACACATATACTACTAAATATACACCCTACTATCATATCGCATCACTAGCATCAAACAAGCTCAGCAAGGACGCCCAAAAGAATCATATTATCAACACGACATCCCTCTCCCGGACAAGTCGGCATCTTATATCCAGTTCGCAGCCTAGTTTCGATCTGTAGCACGTCTTTCCCTGTGCGGTTGCATTGGATAATCAGATGAAACGCGACGCTACAGAGTGTCGTCTCGCTGTTTACGGAGTTGTTCGGATCCGGTATTTCTCCGTCCAGACGTGAGATGACCCCCACCAGGTCCTCGGTCATTGTAAGCCCAGTGTTGGGTTGTATAACCTGGTTGTGAACCATGTTGAGCGGCAGATCCACTGATTGGGGGGTCCGAGTCGAGTCGAGGTCAAGCGCGCCGAACAGTTCGGGATTTAGAGCGCTGGAATCGGGCTCCATTGTCGCTACACCTCCAACCTGATCCACATATCCTGTGCCATAAATCTGCTTCAAAGTCAGCAATCGACACCACCCCCAACACGCCATTCCAGAAGTCCTTACAGCGGGGCCCCCCGAATCTCTAGAAGGCGAATACTGCCGTAGCAAACCCTGCAAATACCCCTCAAGTACCCCGCGCTCAAACCCAACAGACTCCAACAACCCCTTCAGAAAGCGATTCTCCATCTCGAGACTGGGCGCCTCGGTCGCCACTGATGCGTCAGCAACTGCCACTGCAGCTTCCAGTCGCTGCACCTTGTCCTCCAATTCCGCGACATGTGCCTTCTTGCGCTCTCGCGAGCGGCGCTGGTTATTCCGCACGCGAGCGAGGTCTTCTTCCTGGATTTGATTTGTTAGTTGACTTTACGGGCTTTGACCTTCGGGGTTTAGCGGGCGTGCTTGCTTACCTTGGTTTTTCGTTTGGAGCGGGCCATGGTGATGAGAGATGACTATAACAGGAAGACCTGGTAAGCGTCTTTTTCTGTAAAGGCTCTAGATGTAAATGTTGGGATAGACCAAGTGGAGTCATGCAGACGTTTGATGGATGAGGTGAAGCCGGGGTTGGGGGCGGGGGCGGGAATAGCTTCGGTTACATTAGTCAGCAATGCCATGTCGGATTCACCTGCATCATGCGTATGTAGTACAAAGTTAGAAGTTGCTATTAATGTGGATATGGCAGAATGGGCGGCGACAAGCTGACCATGGCTCCGTATCTCAAGTAATTTCCGTCAAGTCAGCCTCGTCGCAGACAAGAGCCTTCCCGACTACGTACGGACGTCCAACTACCACTGGCAGCACTACCTATATACACGTTGCCTCTACCGATCTATAACAGCCATCCAATCTACTTCCCCTCCTTCGCCCTCCTCTCCACCCGCTCACTAAATCGATCCCCAAAACTCTCCACATGCGGCCTCATCAGAATCGTATACTTGACAAACTCCTCCATACAATCCACCAGGCGATCCCGATTCCCGCTTGGTTTCAGCCGCTGATCATCCCCCGGTTCTCCCGTCCCCTCGTCCGGGAAATGCGTATACGCCATCGGGATCGACGACTGGTTCGGGATCGTGAACATGCGCATCCAGCGGCCGAGGATGCGGAGGGAATTCACGGCGTTGAATGATTGAGAGCCGCCGCAGACTTGTCCGATTGCGAGGGTGCGGCCCTGCGTTGGGCGGATGCTCCCTGTGCTTAGGGGGATCCAGTCGATTTGGTTTTTGAAGACGGCGGTCTAAACAGTATCAGTATAATGCAAGTGCGGATGACTACAAGCTATCAATGGCGGCGGCCTAGAAGAAGTGAGGCAATAACGCACAAGATTCCCATGCTGCTCCGGCGAAATCCACACGTGCCCATCACTCCAGATACTCAGCTCCCTAAGCTCCTGGACCTTCGGATGCGTATGATCCGTATCATTTTTAACGGGTAGACCTTCGGGGTTAAACACGCGGACGTCACATCCCAGCCGGAAGAGGATACGCGAGGCCTCGAACGCCACGAGGCGCGAGTATGAGCGGCGACGCAGGCTGCCATAGAGAACAAGAACTTTCAAGCGACTATTTGTATCTGCAATGTTCTTCTCCGCCATACTGAGGACGCTTTCTAGTTCGAGGGTCCTGGTCCAGTCTGAAGCCGCGGGTGCGTGGGACGGGATGGCGTCGAGGAAGGGGCGGTATTTCTGGCGGATTGAGGGATCATCTTCTGTGACGGGGATTGCAAGCGATCGATGGGTTGGAGTCGGGTGCATAGTTGCGTGGCTAGATGGGAGGGGTCTTGTTTGTGCTGCTGCTGTCTGTATATACCGTGCTGGGCCTCGAAGAGTGCAGGTGAAGGCGAGAGGCTTTGTGGGTGGAGATAGGGCCTGTCCTAGGCGGCGCCACATTGAGGAGTCCGTCACTGTGTTTCCAACCGGTGGACCCAGAGCTATTCAAGAACTGGAGGTTTAAGGAATCGGAAGGGTAAGTAGTATGCCAGCCGTGAAAGCAGATAGAAAGGCCGCGGCAGGTGGGCGATAGGAAAAGCAGAGCAGCATGTCATTGGTAAGCGATGATTGGCTGCACGTAAGGTTGGTTCCTGTCCCAGGGCCCAAGTGGGTCTTTCCCGAGTACCCACAGAGGGTCCACTCTGCATACGTAGTATTGGCACTGATTATGACTACTTTCAGGACGGTTCGTCGCGGGAGATAACGCTTGGCTATGGTCGTCAAGTCCACCTGTTCCCTTCCCGGAATCGCTTGCGCCAGGGCAGCTCCTACTAATCCGTCTCCGAGGCTGCCGCGAGAATGTCTGCTGAAGGTGACTAGACACCTACTTTTAGATAGTTATGCCGCTGGCATTGGTAATTATGCTGATGGTGCTCAATCACTGTAACAAAGGGGTCCCTGGGCCGGCCTCTTTCCCGAATAGGCGTCTCCAGAAGCTGACTTTAGTCGTTCCACTCTCAATCGTCCGATGAGGTAATACGGTTGTTGATCTCTCTTCGGTTTTATCATTGACATCGAGGTGGCCATATCGACGCTCAGTACGGTTAAGTATGTCTTGGTGACATACCCACCATGTGTCTCCTCTCTGAATGGTTCCCGTCCGCAATCCATAATCAGCTTGCTTGTATACCTCGTGATTGTTCCTGTCGCGCTCTAGACGCTGTTCCAGAGGACCGTGTATCCCTTCAGCACGTGTGATTTCGGTGTTCTGCCTCTTTCGAAACGCAAATGCCTGACCGACCTGTCCTTGTCGTGCCATGGCAAGCATGATGTTGTAGTATATGACATCCAACAGGCCAGTATCCCAGTCAACGTCATAGATGGACAAGGCGATCCTATGGTACTTCTCGGCCCCCTCGAATAGACCGTGGTGCTGAAGGATAACACCTCTTAAATTAAGTGTTTGAGCCAGAATATGTGGCGGGATGTTATCCAGGCCGGCGGACTCTTCGGCATCGGAAAGCAAGCTGAGAAAGTCGATAATTTCATTTTCTTTACCGTTAATGCGGAGCATGGTCAAGTATTGAAGCGAATGCGACCATGTGATGGAAAACGTCTTAGCAAACGCTCCCTCAACTCTGATATTTGCCGATACGCAGGCAGTGAGGAGTGTTTTCAATATTGGAGCTGCTTCATCGTACCGTTGCAATTCCAAAAGCAAAGATAATGCGTTATTTGCCCCTTTCCAAGTGTCAATGTTGGCAGGACCAAGAAGTTCGAGAGACTCATGATACACGAAGAGGTAGATTTTCAATATCTCGTCATGGTTATACTCATCCGAATTTGACTGCGAAGAGGCATCTGCTCGAATATGTGCTTTCAAGTTCATCATAATAAGGTATAGAGACCGGGGAACAACCTCTCTACCTTCAGCACTTTCAGACCACGCTAGAAGCTCGTCATTGATTATCCTAGCCTCTTCAAGCGCCCCTTGATCTCTTAGCGCGTGAGCCAGGTTGTGCTTTACATACGCTTCTGAGGTTGGATCTCCCCTGATTGCTTTACTTTGAAGCTGTCTTCGATGCACTCTTTCAACGTCTTTATATCTCTTCAAACCACCTAGTGCTTTTGCCAAGTACCCTTCGATAGTAGTACGTTCGAGCTCCAAGTCGTCCTCGGTGAATTCAGCCTGAATATTTCCGAAACCCAAGGACTCAAGTGCAAGCTGACATTCGATCTCGGCATCAAGGTAACGAGCACTCGCATTTAGGCAGCATATCTTCACTTTCCTGGTACGCAAAATTGCGGGATCATCATGGTTCCAGACAGCGGTAGCCATGTTCAGAGACCGTGTAGCCAAATAAGATCCGTGTTCGGCCAAACCAGCCATCAAGAAAAAGCTTGCAACAAGTTGGAGTAACGTAGCGAACGATCCAGTGACAATTGCAAAGCTTTCGCCGAGTTCGACTTGCCGAACAGCATGGGCAATCCAATCCTGGATCAGAGGTGAATCCTCATTGATGAGCAAGTCAATGCATGGCGTCAAATATCGCACGGCTTCTTCCTTTGTGAGTCGATCGATTGCTCTGTCATTGACAAGAGGGTGGACGCTATAATAAGTTCCGCTTCCTGTCCTTTCCGACTCATCGACTAGAGATAAATTCAGTGGACCCTTTACAACCTGCTGGAATGCACTTGGGTCCAAATCTTGAAACTCTGGTAGGCAGGAGATGAGTCGCCTTGGAATTCCTCTCCAGTGGAAGCAACCAAGGTACGAAATTAACGTCACCGATAAAGGGTTCTGCTTCTGTAAATGTTCGAATGAGAGCTCCCAAGTAACAAGGATTGACTGAGAACTATTTCGTGGATCTTTGCTCTGATAGTCCCGAACGGGCGACTGCATTAAGCCCATGCGACGCTTCTTGTCTCGATAAAGAGACACATATTCCGTGAGACTCAGATGCTGGTCAACGATGTTTGCTGCTGCTTGCGCTACGGCCAATGGAAGGTTCCCCAACTCCTCGAGTAGCTCCTGTGCCGCGCGATCTGTCCTTTTAGAATTGACTCTACTGAGGTGTTCGGGAATGGACTTCAACAGAAGGCACTTAGCCTCGTCATTGTCCATAGGATCCACGCGTTGGCCATCATGCGCGCCTGCAACAAGCCCCTGGAAGCGTTGGTCACGGGTGGTGATGAGGATCCTGCCTTTCTGTGGTATGAAGTTGCTGACACACATATCCTGCTTAGTTTTCCCTCTGAACTCGTCAAGATCATCGGCATTATCCAAGATCATCAACCAGCTACCGCAAGTCTCCTCAAGCTTCATGAGTGTTCTTCGGAGGTACGCAGGCTCATGCGCCTTGTCCTCTGTCTCAACTGCTGTCTGATCAAGCTTGGTTAAGATGTGGGATAAATCAGCAGCGAAGTTGGTGAATTGATCCCCGCGTACCCAAAACACGGAAAATCGATATTTCATGGCGTGAGCAAAACTTAGGGCTATCTGCGTCTTCCTTGTCGACGGTCAGCTTATAAGAAACATCAAAATATGTGGGTAGGAGAGGTTTGATAAGAGGGCTGGTTTAATCCACCAGAGTTTTGATGAGCATACCCTGTGCCTCCGAATCCCCATAAGACGAAGATCTGCTGGGTTTGCATATACGGTGTGAAGAAGTCGCGAAGACGACGCTCATACTTGGAACGCTGCACAAAGTGTGTGCATGCATTATACTGCAGCAAAGAGGGTTTGGTGTCTACTCCGTGCTGCACTAAACATCCGTTCAGTCAGCTGGAATTGAGATAGTCAAATTTGGTTGTAATACTAACAGTTCTCATCTGGATACAACAGAGACTTCGCGCATTGCTCAACTTCATTACCACTCCCGACCCTGCCCAGATACTTGGCTGTCAAAGCTTTCATCTTCTCTGTTTCCTTGTAATCCTCCAGCTCAATCTCCTTCATTCCTTGCGGGACACTGAATCGGAAATACCGCCTCGAGTTTGCCAGTTTGCATCCGTTCTCTGAGCTAGCAAACTGATCTGCTATGTCCTCTGAGTCGGTCATGATGTCCACTGATCCCTTGAGGAATCCCGCTACATTGTCCGAAACTTGATTGATCTTGGGGGCGCCGGTACCCAGACTAACAATGCAACCGCTTTCTCTGCCTTCCCAGTCCTTCTCACGGTTGATTTCGGCCAACGCTTCATTTATAGGGTTATTCCTCCGCATACCACCATCACACCATGTCTCTCCAGAGCCCTCGAATTTCACGTGCTTGAAATACATGGGCGCAGCTGATGTCGCACTTGCTGCCTCCCATATTTGACAATCGTAGTTCCCTTGGGTAGCGTGCTGTGACTTGTAGTTCCGAAGAAGGTCAGCCCCGGATGTCACTTTTCGCGTAACGCACAACATCCTATCGAGAAGTCGTTAGCCATTAATCATTACGAAGTGACTCGCGTTGACCGGCCTCAACAAGTGTGACGTACACCTTGCACCGAGGGGTTCCTTCTTCAAGGAGTGCCTCGTTCCGAGGAATGTTCCTCTCGTCGAGCACCTTCTTGATCTCCTCCTGCAAATCTCTAATGTCGTAGAATGGTAAACTAGCCAGCCCCTTGACCAGCTTGCCCAATTGCCCGAAAAGAGGCCTTCTTCCGAAGATTTTCTTCCCAACCTCCTCATACTCGGCAATGCATTCGTCGATGGTCATGTGCAGCCTCCCGAGCATCACCGCAATCAAGCCTCCAGTAGATGTTCCCGCGATCAGGTCGAAGACTTCGAACGGCCGAGGCTCTTCCGCGAGTTTTCCTTCGGAGATCATTGTGCGGAATATGCGCTTAAGGATTAGGAGGGAAGTGTATCCTTTGATCCCACCGCCGTCGATACACAGGACTCGCAGGCTTTGGGCCGGTGGAAAAGTAGCCATGGCGACTAGTTAACAAGCAATGCGGAAAAGAGCTGATCATATTTTATTTTATCTTTAGCTGTAGATAATAGAAAGCGCCTTGTCTGAAGGAGCTATCAAAGCAGAAGCTGTACAGAAATGGCTTTCATAGATCTTGGATAGCTCATGTGGCGTGATGCAATCGTCAGAGATTGTAGTTAACCCATGGGTGTTTCAATATCAAATACTACAAATTTGACCAATGATTCACCCATTACTTTTGATCAACCACCTCCTATACAAAGGATCAATGGACGCCTTCGTTCATCCTTGGTTTAGACTTTCCCTTGCCCTAATCCGTCCACTTCCGAGGTCCCGAGAGTCATCCCACACCACTAACCCTTCCAAATCCGTGGTTCGTCCACCGCCACTAATCGTCATGCGAACATCCACAAGCCCTTAGGTGCTGTCTGTTATTCCAGACATCAAGTCGTCGGAGTAGTAACGTAGATACAGTTGAGGTTGTATTGCTTCATTGCCTTTCTTTTCGGATACACGCCACTCAACGCTTGTCGCTGGAGAGCTCCTATAATTCTACATGAGTAGCGTGTCAGTATCAGGCCTAGTACTATTCTAAAAGTTCAGGTGATGAAGTTGGAGCTGAAGAATTGGCAACGAAAACAGCCAGAGCCTCTATACTGACACGAACGAACATGGAACCCATATTCGAGGATGTCGAAATTTGTTATCCATGGATACAAATGTTGTACGATAGTGCCAGAGAACCCCTCTGCTAAACCTGCGAACATCTCATCTAGATTGTCATTTATCGTATATAAGGATATGTTATACCACATCTTATAGTTGTTTGTCAGGTTCTACATACTAGTCGACGGTAGATAATATATCCATCTTAGAGTGGATTGCAGTGGAATTAGGTAAAGAGATTATATATAAAGTTATACAGGAGGGAAACGGGATATAGTAGTAGAATATAGGCGATTTCCCAAGGGGGTGTTCGGTGGGGTCATTTTGATACTTCAGGAAGCTGTCCAGGCACGCCGCGCTTTGATTGATTGCTAGGTATGACCATGCGTTTTGAGATTTCTCGTGCAATGTTCATAGGTCCTGGGAAGGCGACGTCTCACTCTCTTACGTTTCTGTCCTTAGATGAGTAGAGAATGCCCACCTAATAAGTTGGACAGACTTTCTCTAAACGACGTCACCATACTTCAGAGCATGAATTCGGCACTACTTGAAAGTATGCCCTCAATCCACATCTCTCCTTCGTTCGGTGGTAGTCACTTATACCCTGCCTACACGGTGAGATGAACACGAACGACCAAACGCATCAACTCCACAGAAAGCACAGGAGAACTAACCACAGCCTTAAGCCGAGAAATCACACGGCAGCGACCCACAACAGTACCCATGATGCGCATCAAGTGCGCCCTCAAAATCGATATTGTAGCTGCCAGTGCTAAGTATACGTGGCTACGGCTTGATCATGGTAACATTTAGTCAAATGGAGCTGTATGAGCAGTACTTCGGGATTTCTGCAGCATAGCCCAGTGAAGGAGGATTGTTCTGGAACAGGGGCATCAATTTACTACATGGTAGGACTTTTCGAAGACGAAAAATGTCAAGCTAGGGATTGACATGATAATGTAATATATGCAGTGTCTCAACTGGGCATATATCGAGCGCTTGAGCTCGAATGCGCGATAACGTAAACATAAATCTCCTCAGGTCTCGATTTACTTTTGAACAATACAAGACAGTGTCCTATATCTTATCACACATTGCCGTCCAGCTCAGTTCCTACCAGCTTTACACTACTTATATGACTAGACTAACCTGTGGCGGAAGCCGACTTCATTCCTGAAAAGCTTGTACTACTAGTAGCAGCCACAGTGTGAAATACATATCGGGATGACTAGTCACGCATCAAACTGGCGCACGCAGCGGATATCCACGCTATCCACGTGGGTCGACTAGCAAAGTGTCGAGTTAGGGTTATCTAAGGGTGGCTGAGCTACTTGGACAAGCGTGCGGCCGTAAGAAAGCGGGCTAGCGGGCCGACGCCTCGGCCCTAATTAAATAACCCAGCAGAGCTCACAACCAGTTGCGGGTCAGACCGCACGAATAACCCCGGTATCCGGACATTGTGGCGGCAATCATTTGACTATTATACATTGCTGGACGCCTATCAGATAATGTCTGACATCAGACGAATCCTGGCGTAAACAGAAGTAGAGAGCTGGTAAATATATAAAACCCCCCGGCGACTGACGTGTCACACTTTCTATAAGCACGTGAAGTCGTGTCCCTACAGTCGCCCACGTCTTGCGGCCGCTCGCTGTCTACCACCGTACCCATCTACAAACAGATAGGGTATCAACATCCACAAAATATACGCCATAATCACTTATCAAATCCTCACCATGTCTTCACAACAATACGCCCCCGGCCCACAAACCTTCAAGGCACCCAACGGGATAAGCTTCCACTACCTCATCCGCGGCCGCACCAACGGCCCACTGCTAGTCGTCCAAAGCGTCGGCTGGGGCCCCTCAATGCACCTCTACAGCAACAGCCTAACCCGCCTCGAGGAAACCTTTACAGTCCTGTACTTCGAAGCGCGCGGGGCCGGTAAATCGTCTCGTCCCGCATCGGGCGATGAAATGAGTACGCGGACGCTAGCCTCAGACCTCGAATACCTCCGCCTCCATCTGGGACAGGAAAAGTTGTCGCTGCTGGGCCACTCGAACGGCGGCGCGATTGTCCTCGCGTACGCGGAGGATTTCCCGGAGCGCGTTGAGAAGCTTGTTCTCGTTAATACAGAGTTGCAGGGGTTCACCTCGGATAATTTCCAGACGTTTGCGGTGGCGCGCAAGGATCATCCTGTGTATGGGCCTGCGCTTGCGACGATTGCCGGGTTGATGCAGAGCCCGCCTGTGACGGACGAGGAGTTTCAGGAGAGATTAACCAAGGCGCTTCCGTACTATATGCACGATACGGAGAAGACGCAGTTGTTGGAAGAGGCGATGGCGGGTGGGACGTTGTCTGTTTGGAACTTTTTGAATCAGAGTCGGTGCGATGCGCAGGAGAAGTTTTCGGCTGTTGATGGGCTAAGCAAAGTGCAGGCTCGGACTCTCGTCGTGAATGGGAGGTCGGATGGGATTTGTTCGGAGGCGGCGGCGAGGAGGGTTGCTGAGGAGTTGGGAGACAAGGCTAAGTTGGTGCTTGTTGACGAGGCTGGCCACATACCCTGGCTTGAGCAGCCGGATGTCTTTTTTCACGCCGTGGAGAGATTTCTTTTGTCAAATAACTGATCTACTTGTTAGTCACTATTTTTTGAGATATATGCCGTTGCAACTGCTATGTCTACTGAAAATAATTAGGAGCAAGCTTGCATGTGCTTGTGCTCATAGGTCCACTACTCCACATCTATCAAAACAGCCAGTCCCACTATGAACATCAACTACAGCCCCATCATATAGCTACTTTGGCCCAAGAAAGGAACAGCCCCGGCAAAACTCTCCAATGACGAGCTTCCCTCGGTCCGTTCCCAAGCCTTTGGTCGAACCACAACCGCCGAGCTCATTGGAGTATTCGATTGTCCGGTGGGCAGTTTGAGACTCGCAAACTTAGCGTTACTCCCCCCAGCCCGGCGTTCAGACTCATATGATTGTGCGGAGGGTAGCGATAGCAACAGTGGAAGGTACGACCCCGGAACTGTACAGACACGGCAGGCACGCCCGGTCGCTCTTTCCTATTTTATTAGAGTAAACACATACAACAGAAGGAAGGTGCGGCTCACCGAATGTGGATAAGGTTTACGAGCGCACCTTCCTCTGAAGCATGCTGGCTGCATCCGGAAGGTGCGACCCTTGACCCCGGGGTAAGTTAGCAAGGCAGGTGCGCGGCTTCCAGTCGCTTTTCCGTGTCAAGAGTAGCGATAATAGATGCGTAACTTGGTGGTCTACGTTATATACTAGTTAGGGTCATGCATGAGCGAAACGGTATGTTGGCGGGATCACAATTTTAGCCCTAACTCGAGGCGCGCTTCATATAGAACAGACAATACAGCCCCACGAAAACTCGTCACGCGTGATAAACTATACTTTGATACCGAGTTAACTAAGCCCTCAGTTGAAATGTGGCAAGAAGAAATATTTCCCCTGTTCATTATCACTGGAAGATTGGCTCGCGGTTCTTCTGGCAAGAAGCTCGCCTGTAATAGTGTACATAGATCACTATTTGATGTTGGAACATGTACGCTACAAAAACCACTGTATATCCTCAACATATACCAGCTACCTGCACTGCTCGTGCTCGTCTCCTCCTTCAAAATAGTAGACTAAGCTAACTGGATGACCTCCAAATATGCATCTCCGACTCGTCTCCCCATCACCCAAGCTGCAACTGCATTGGTTCCGAGTTATAGTCCCGTGCTACTATAAATTCCTGACGGTACTACTAAGGTAGTAGGGATATGCGGCAACAAGGTGACTGGTGATCTGGGATGTTTGCCTGCAAGACCTTGTCCCTCCTTCTACCCCTCGCTCGACGACGTCTACCGAAACTGTTCGCTCTCCAATAAAAGCCGCAGATCAATATATCATGTGGGAGAGGAGGCAATTGTAACGAGAAGGCCGAATGATCTCCCCGGCCTGACACGGCTTCTATACATTCATTGCTCTTCAAGTGCCATGAATGAATCACTCATGAATCCATTGGTATAAGTGTATTCGATGCGATGTACTGTATGGCCATGTACAAGCCAGGCGAGCCCTAAGCACGTTGCAACAGGACTGCTCAAGAACAGGGAGATCTTTTGTGCATCCCTAGTAGTCTTCCAGTACAGACTAATGGCTACTAATGTTCAGCGGTAACTTGGTCGTCGATAGGGCAGCTCATGCTATGGTGTAAGTGCCAGGAATGTGGGCACAATGCCCGTAGCTGCGCTGCTGAAGATATCGTCGAACAGATAAGACACCTCGATGGGTACTTCCTTTATCTGCTTGCAGGGGGCTCTAGCGTCCGTGTAGATGTTCGCATTATTCATGTAGCTTAGCTATATCTAGCAGGTATCTGTTAGAAAATCTCTTCCATACTGCATGTGTCATAATATGGCTCACATATCCTCGGTTCCAGTATTCTGGAAAGCACTCGGCGGTATGTTCTGTCTGAATCATACGGAGTCCACTTTAACCAAGCCCTTACTAGCTTGAAAAGTCCACAGACTGAATCTAGGGGTTGGACGCTGCTTCAATAATGGTATAGCTGGGGGCCTTTTAATGGTTGCTTGTGTGTCTCGCAGAGGGACTGCCTGATAGTATAGATATGTACCATGCATCTCTGCGCGTTACTGGAGGTGGAGCATCTATGTACCTAGCATCCGTTTGGATTCCGTCCAAGAAATATCAGAAATTAGATCTAGGACAGTACCAGTCGATCTTGTGCCTCAGGCAAGCTGTCTCCTTTGAGTCTAGGAAGCAAATCGGAGACGGAGTCGGCGCCGTGGTGAATGGAATAAATAAAGTAAATACTTTGGACTCCGAACAGTGGAGTTCCAGAAAGATGGGATCATCAGAGACGCTCGACACGGGAACTGCACCAACATGGACGCCGAGTACACCAAGAGAGGTATGAAGACTATTTCCAGCGAGATAGACGGTTGGTTATGTGTGAAGGTAGCCATGGTAGCCAGGCTATACTGAATATTAAGGACGCGTCGGGTAATACGAGGACTGAATATTGGAGGCAGCTAATACGGCGCAATCCGGACAAAACGCAGTGCACAGCTCAGATTCCGTTAGTGGTTACTAGTAGTATGACCGCAGTAATAGCGAAGACAAGGCACAGAGTCGTATTGCCAAACACGAAAGTTGTGCCTTGGTAGGGGAAGAAAAGAAAGAAGCGCGGGAAAGTGCTCGGGCAGAATACTCCATGCATATGCTTTCCATAACAACGCAGAATACGACACGGGAACAACTTCATACATAATATTGGCAATGAAGGTGATATCAATTTATTTCCCAGTCTCAACATGAGCCCTCAGACGTTCAAAGTTCAAGAGAAGCTACAGTAGCAACTCATCTTCTGTCTTATTTGCATAACCCATCACATGAGCATCAAAAGTCTCAACATGCATCCAATCGTCCTGGATCTGGTTATCTCCCACTTGCCAGGAGGACTCCGTCGTTCTATTTCCAATTGTGCTGGTATGAGATTCGGAAGCCTGCCCATTGGTATTGGCCGTGGTGGGGCCTTCACGGGTAGTGTCGGGCTCAGTATGGGCATCTTTGAACGGAGAGGGCGAGCGGGACCGATAGCAAGGACTTGGCCGGCGGGCTGGTACGCGATATCGACGTGAATACGGAAGCGGCCGCGCTCGAATAGGGCCACGAGGGCCAACTAGCCTAGTATTTGGACGTGTAATCCGATGGCCAAGGGGTAAGGTTATTCGATCACCGAGGGGGAGAGATATTCTGCTTTCAAGAGGGCGAGGCGAAAGGGGACGGGGAGGAGGGTAAGCTCTGGGAGGCCTATACGAGTCGACCCGGCGTGCGCGAAACTGGCGCTCCAGAGCCTAGTTGATCAGCATGCAAACCAGACTTGAAAGATTGATCACAGGTCCATACCATCCTTCCGAGCTCAAGTATTCCCTCCCGCCACAGAACTTCCGGGTTGTCTGGGCAATACTTCCTTATGTGACCGATTGTGCTACAGTACCAGCATTCCCGTTGTTCCTGCTCAGGCCGTCTTGGATTAGCACAGGTCGCTTCATGGCAATGTCTCAGGGTAACAGAAAGGTTCACTCAAGCGCTGCCTTACCTCTAGATTGCACTCTCTTGCAAAGTGTCCGGGAACGCCGCAGTTCCAGCACTCTAAGCCTTCCTAGAAGGATTTAGTCTTGATTCCAGCACCATGATGGTTGATGAGATTGCAGCGAAGGGAGAGCAGGACGGTGGTGTTAGCCTCTTTTGAGGCCGCGGAGAGTGGCCTACCATTTGAGAGTTGCCGAGAAAAACGCCTGGTTTGAGAAGTGCAACAGTAAAGGGATCGAGAGATCGAACTTGAAAGCTTCAAGCCAAGATCACAGGCTTCAACCTGGCTACGAAAAAGGGAAGAAGGGGTTGGAGGAGATGGAAGTGGGAGGAGAAAAGGCGACGATAAGGAAGTCGCGGGGAGAGATGGCTGGTCGAGTCAACCCAGCAAACGGGACCAAATGAGCAGATTACAAACAGATGTGTTTCTCGCTCATGCAAGACTAAACACTGCACACAGATCCTGGAAAGCGCGAAATAAACAGCCCATAAACTCGAAATCGAAAAGGTATTCGCATTGCAAAGCTACTTTACACGTCATTAAGTAAATATAGATCAAACGGACCCCCTTAGACACCTTGGAGAAGTAAACAGCCATAGTACGTTACTAGTTGTACTTCCGAAGCTGCAAGGCGAGTTAGTGTTTGCTCGGCAAGATCAGGGAGACAGATGCCGAGAGGACTTACATCAAGAGTCAAGGATTTACTACTATTCTCCACCTGGTCTCTGTAAATACCAACCAATGCCTCACTATTCTGGAACAGTCCGTTCTTCAAACTGATGACAATAAACTGCATTCCAGGGGCGGCATGGTCGTAGATGTAGTTGGCGATACGAGCGACATTAGTGTTGTCAAGCGCAGCATCAACTTCGTCCAGGACGAAGAATGGCGAGGGCTGGTACGAATGGATGGCGAACAGGAGAGCGAGAGCGGCCATGGTCTTCTCACCACCTGACAGATGTTCCATGTCGCGGAAACGCTTCAGCGGAGGCATAGCGTGGTATTTGATGCCGTCGAGGTACGGCTCGTCCGAGTCCTCGATATCGAGATACCTATCTGGGTTAGCTTTATCAATCAGGCCGCGAGAAAGTGAGTACGTACGCTTGTCCTCCCAAGGGGTAGTTGGTGCTCTTGGTCAACTCCCGATAAATAGGACCAATCTGCTCGGAAATGTGGGAGAAAGCTTTGTTGAAGAGTTCAGACCGACGACGCATTGCCTCTTCAAAATCTTCTTTGGACTTGCGAGCCTGCTTTCGTGCTGACTCAAAGTCCTTTTCTGTGCCTCTAAGCTTGTTCTCAACGCTCTCCAAGCGCTCCATTGCGCGGGTATTCGGTGCCATCTTGTCAAGTTCGCTGCCGAGATTCCGGACCTTCTCCAGCAGTTCTTCTTCAAGTTTTTCATCGGAATCCTGATTCGTTAGCAAAAGCCAGCAACAAGATTTAGGTAACTCACCTCCTTAAGAGTATCGCCGAGTGAATCAAAGTCCACTTCTATACCATAGTCCTGCACGGCAAAGTCGCCACCGTCGCCTTGTGTGCCATCCACATCCATGGCATCTGGGTCAGCTCCTTGGACAAGCTCATCGATAGGAAGCTGGTCGAGCGGGTTTGAATCCTCGGTCAATGGAATGTCAATGTCTTCAAGCTTGCAACGTCGAAGGAGGGCATATCGGCTTGACGAGTTACGTTGGATCTCCGTCTCCAGACCGTTGATGGATTTCAGTGTAGATTCGACGTCCCGGCTGCGTTTCTGAAGCTCTCGTCGATGCTGCGCGAGGTTCTCGGCCGACTGGGCGTATTTCTCCTTTTGCTCGTCGAGTTTCTCCCGAAGGATCTCGAGTTCGGCCTCAAGCTCATCAAGCCTATTCCGAACCTCCTCTTGTTCAGCCTCGAGCTCCTGGATCAGGTCTGCATCGCGCTGATGCTGCGTCTGTAGGCTAGCAATGCGGTCACTGGTAGCCTGTAGTCGCTGCTGCTCAAAGCTAAGCTGGTTCTCGATTCTGCTCTTTTGCGTCGTAAACTCGAGCTTCTTCTGTGCAGCCTCTTCATGCAGAGAGCCTTGTTGTACTTCATACTCGCGAATGTTGCTGTATCCAAGTCGCTTGCAGAACTTGCGATAAATCTCATCCTCGACATTGCTGACCGAATCTTGAGAGGCAGCAATGGCCTCGTCAAGTTCATCCAATGTCTCCTGCTTCTCGGTATACTTGGGTCGAAGATCCTCGAGCTGGCGTTTGGCAAAGTCTAGTTCGGTGTTTTTGCTCTTCAAGTTCCTTTCAAGAGCCTTCAGCTCTTCACGAGCGTAGGTAAGACGTTGCTCCAAACCGACAAGTTCACCTTGCAGGGTCTCCTCCTCGGTTCCCCGGCGATGGCCCTTCGGTAGATTGGCGAGGTCGGCCATAAGCTTATCCTTCAGCTTGAAAAGGTTCTCTACTTCCGAGTCTTCCCAGCGTTTGGAGTTTTGTTGAGGTCCACGACCACCGGTCATCAAACCTCCCTTGTGGATTACAGTGCCGTCAAGAGTTACAGCCTTGGCGTCCACATGTCTTTCATAGCAGAGATACTTGGCAGTTGCGAGGTCGTCACACACGATGGCATTTCCGCAAGCATAAGTGATGGCTCTCGAGACTGAATCATCGTAATCGACAGTCTCAATTGCCGGGCGCATACCACGGTGCATGCCCTTCAAGTTCGAGTTGAGAGCTTTAACTTGAATGGTCTCCAGAGGAATAAAAGTAGCCTGGCCTGCTCGCTGATCACGCAAATGCTGGATACATTCCTTCGCGGTCTTCTCGTTATCCACAACAATGGCATCGAAGTGGCGTCCTAGAACAGTGCTGACTGCATCGGCATACTTCTTCTGCTTGGGTTTGCACAGGTCACTGACACGACCTTTGACGCCTGGGAAGATGCGCTTGAGTGTCAGGATAAGTTCCTTTGCTCGGATTTCTCGCTCTGACTGTTTCTTCCCATCGTCAGCTTCGAGGAGTTTCTTCAAAACAGCCTGGAGCTTCTCTTCCAGCTCAGTCCTCATCTGCGATGCGCGCAGCCTTTCTGAAGTAATAGCGTTGAGCTCCTTCTTCTTCTTGTCAATTTCCTTGGAAGTCGTTTTGACGGTCTCGTTGGCGGCTGCCTTGCGCTCTAAAAGGGACTTTGTGTCGGCTTCCAATGCCTCGAGCTGCCACTGTGTGCTGTCGAATTTGCTCTTCAGGCTGTTGTAGGCTTCGCCGTCGGTCTTTCGTTGACGCCGGAGGTTGTCGAGCTTCAGCTGCTCAGCAGATGATCGCTTGTTGACTTCTTCCTTGAGCTTATTGTACTCCTGCTGGTCAGCTTGGCTGAGCTGGCGACCTTGCTTGCTCAGAGTCTTTTGCCACTCAGTCTCCCATTGAGCCTGAGCTTTCTCGACAACCTTGAGGTCTTTTTGCAGCTGCTTGACGCTAGCCGATTGTGTGTCACGTTCTTTGCCAATTTCTGCGATACGTGAATTGAACCGATCTACTTTCTTCTTCGTGATGTCGACCTTTTCATCAATCGGAACAAGGGCAGTCATCGACTCCTCGATCTCCTTTTCTTTCTTCACAATGTTCTTCTCCGCAGTTGCCACATCGCGACCGACCCTGGCGTGAGATTTCTTTGCATCTTCGACATTGCGCTCGTACTTTTCCACGCCTCGGCGGTACTCCTTGAGCTCGTCCTGATACCTTTGGATCTCGGCGCTAGAATCGTCAATCATGCGCTGGAAATGGAAGAGTTTCCACAGAATATGAGTAATGATGGCCTGGTCACGTTCTTCGGCCTTGCGCGCGTAGTTCTCAGCCTCCCGCTTTTGCTCCTGGTACTGTTTGATCTCGGAATTGATAGCTCGGCGGCGGTTAAGCTGAACCGTCTGCTGCTCCGCAGCCTCCTCCGCCTCCGCCTTGAGCCGTTCGTACTCGGCCTTATATTCCAGACTGCCCGAAATCTGCTCGATCAAGCGCGTAAGATCCTTCGGGGATTGCGATGCGATTGCTTCCACATCACCCTGGAAGACGAGGAAATTGCGAGCTTTGATGAGAATGTTCTCCGCCTCCAGGGCTTCGTTGTACTGCTGGGCGGTGACGGTACGGTTGTTGATTCGGTATTCGCTGACTCCCTGGCTAGTGATAGATCGGCGCCACTGCTGCTCTTCGCCTGCGTCGTCCTCGTAGACGGCCATAACCCATGCGGTTCGGGGATCGTTTCCGCTGGCATCCTGCGATGGTTCCACGTCGTTTTCATCTTGGGTCGGCTCCGTCCCGTTTGTCTCTCCATCTATCACATTTCCATCGGCGTCGAGTTTGGATGTGCGCAAGACACGGCCTCGATAGATAAGATCGCGCAGGTTGGTCGATCGGAGGTGCGATGATTTGATTCCTAGGACGAACGAAATCGCATCCATCCTAAACCAGTCAGTGAAAGAACAAGGTTCTCGGGATTCAAAGGACCCACGAATTGGACTTTCCTGACCCGTTGGGGCCGATGATAGAAGTGAAATAGGCATCACCAAAAAGTAGCACATGGTGACCCTTGTAGGACTTGAAATCTGCGAATAGGTCAGTTTTGCAGCGGAAATTGGTCGTAGTAAGACGTACTGTAAAGCTCGAGCCGAATTAGCTTCCCCATTGCGACCGCGAGTCGCTTTTCGCAGCGACGGTAAAAGCACGACGAGCAAGTCTTCAAGGTAAAGCAAGGCGGTGATGCGGAATTGTGATGTTGTTGAGGGGTCCGCGGCCTCGCGTCCAGGCGCGTCGTCAGGTCACGTGAAACAAATCTATGCTGCATCATCTACAACGGACATGGATTGCACCGGTGTAGTTGACGCTGTTTAGAAAATCAAGCAGCAAATGCCGCCGCTACGGGTACGAGCTTACATCTGACTGATGAAACGTTGAAACTGTTGTACAGAATGCAAGCGCTGCAGATCTATGTACAGGTGATGCGCTCAATAGTTATACATGTTGGAAGAAGAGGTGCATATACAGCAAACTATCGCTTCAGAGCCAATGGATTCCCAATGACCAAAAAGTCTGTTGAGACATACCCACCAGAGTCCAGTCGGAAAGTGCCCTTCTGACCTTGGATCTCAAGAAGGATAAAGTCCTCGGAAGTGAATATTTGCCGGACAGACCTGAAGAATCGCCACAGAAGCTTGCTGAGCGCTCTGGCAGGAGCTTTGAGGATACTCATTGAGGACGACGAACGAGTTGGCTCCGTGTTGAGAGATATCCGTTCGCCACGCATAGCCTCGGGCGAGACCACCAGGCGACGCGTAAAAGCAATCTGGCCAGGGAGTACATCGACCTCATACGGCTTCCGGAACGGAATCATGCGCCGGATACTGAAGCGAATGTACGTTTGGCCGTTCAAGTTGACGCCCTTGACCGTTTTGATGAGCCTCAAAGTCTTGGTGAGGAAGACCGTACCCATAACACTCATCATGACACAAATTCCGCCGGCCAGACCCTGCTGCCACATGGGCATCTCAATGATCGGGTCTCGGAAAACGATGTTGGAGTTGTATATCGAGTACGCGAAGCAGAAAGCCGTGAGTCCGTAGGCGCCGAGTAGATAGCTGCGCTGAGAGGGGGCTTTAAATAGGAGTAGCTCTCCTTCTTTGGCGACTTTCCGTTCCAGCTTCCCGAAGCCTTGTGGTCGTCGTCCGGCGAACTTGAGAGTCTCTTCCTCCAGGGGTGTGGGCTTTGGCTTTTGAGAAGGTATTTGCTTTGACGGTAGCTTGACCTTGGTGGCGGCTTTCGTTCGGGCGATACTGGAAGAGAAGTATCTCCATGTCGGAGCAGACGTGTACAATCCGGACGGAGGCGCGGCAGTCGGACACAACTGCCCAAGCGCCCTGAAGGCGAATGGTCTGGCAAACATCCTACTCTATAGCATGTTTACTGATTAGCGAGCGATCTTATGATTCCAATTGAGGCACACAAGCTCAGTGAATGAGCAAGGTGTCCCGCTAAGACGCTTCATTTCATCGCTTCGGCAACATGACAAACCAATGTCAGAACACTAACCTGTGAAGAAGAGAAATCACCCCGGGGGAAGCTCAACGGCTTTTCTTTGCGGTGGTTGAATCTGTCTTTGTATCGGCAGAAAAATGTTCCTGTCCCGGCCGCCGGTGAGAATCGAATCCGGCCCTCAACCTCAACATCTCCAACAAGACGACCGCGCAAGCAATTCACTCCGGAAGAGCTGATCGCACGTCTGTCCAGGCATCATCCGTGTCTCGACTATTGTGGTTGCTTTGCTGCCTGGATATTTCGACGGTCCGGAGCTTATCTTTCGATCTGAGCTGCCGATCTCGAACTCTGCACCATCTCGAGAACATCCCGAACACGGACCAAGACGACGGATCGCAGAGGACGATCAGTCTTTGAACAGCAATGGCCTCCAACTACACTCTCCGTCACATTCCAGCCGTTCTGGCTAGACGCCAGCCTCGCATCATCACCTCTCGCCGTGAGTCTTCCGAGTCCGAACAAGTGAGCTTGCTCAAGCTCACTGCGATTCCCATCGCGAACCCAATAAACCCTTCCCAATCCTCCAGATCAAAAGACTAACATCAAGTACAGGCCTCGCCTCAACTTCCGCCCCCCAAACTCAGAACCCCGCCTACCCGCTCTACCCCTCCGTCACCCAACTCCTCCACGAAAAGGGTATCCCCGACTCCGAAATCTCCAAGATCCCCGCCTCCGGTCCCAAGGGCCGCCTCCTCAAGGGCGACGTCCTCGCCTACCTCGGCCTCATCCCCTCAGACTATCCCTCCTCGCAAGCCTCGCGCATCGAGAAGCTCGCCCACCTCGACCTAAGCAACATCAAGATCGCGCCGCCTCCCGCGCCCCCTGCCCCAGCTACCCCCGCCGCAGTCGAGGAGCCCGCCGCGAAGCAAATTCCCACAATAGACATAGCCATCTCGGTCTCGCTGGCTACTGTTCTCTCCGCACAGAAGAAGCTCAAGGACTCCGTCGGCGTCACCGTCCCGCTCTCGACGTTCCTCGCCCGCGCAACGGACCTGGCCAACGACGACCTTCCCCGCTCAGCTACTGCGACACCCTCCGCTGCCGAACTCTTCGATGAACTCCTCGGCGCGGAGCCCGTCCGCTCCTCGCGCGGCGAATATATTCCCGAGCTGAACGTCCTTGAAGTCGCCGAGACAACCAGCCCCGTCCAAACAGCCAAGGAAGACATCATCGACTTCCTCAGCGGAGCGACCAAGAAGACGCCGCGGGCCGTTCAACAGGCCGGCTCTACCTACTCTGGTGACTCCGCGCTCAATGTATTCAGCTTGACTGTCCCTGTTAGCGAGGAGAAGCGGGCGCGGACCTTCTTGGAGCGCGTCAAGACGCTTTTGACTGTTGAGCCGGCACGGCTTGTTATATAGACTTTTTTCTTTTTGTTGTAATTTCTTACTCCTCCCTCTACTTTGTACCAATGGAATAGCGTTAAGAAGATATATACGTTTGTAGCATTATCGGACATGCAAAAATATATTTTGCTTACTACTAGCCCTAAGACACCATTACGCCGAATACAACTCTCATTTCTGTGTCGGATATATCTCTACGGATTAAAAGAGCAGCACATGAATTCCGCAACGCGATTGAATAATTATCCATCCTAGCAATGCAATTCGCCCCGAAGAACCCTATAAACAGGCCGAGGTCTTTCCATGTCATCTCGTCATCAATGCCAACGTCAATGCCGCAACAAAAAAAAAAGAAAAAGGGGAAAAAAAAAAACAAACCAGCTCAAAATGAAGATGAAGAAGCAATCAAAGTGAAGCAGAAACAGGCATAACTCACATGCAAGCGTCGTCAAAGCCGCCCAGAAAAGAAAAGCAACGCCACGTTTCTGTCCACCGGCCAACACCATCAGCGCCATCGCTTACATCCAGTCCCAGGATTGAACAGCGGGAAAAATAAAGGGGTTGTGTTCGCATGCAAGAGACTGCCTCCGCCTAGCATGTAGATATAAGGGGTTAAGAACGAAATAAGAGGGGATGAGGTATTGAGTAGGTTATGCGGGTGAGGATGCGGTGGAAAAAGCAAGCAAGGGCAGCGGTACATGAGACGAAGATCCGATGATATCAAAGTTGCAAGAAACAATCAAACAGTCGTCGCCCGCGTAGAAACAATGCTGTAAGCCGCACAGATGCGACAAATGCCAAATTAGACCCACCAGGCCTTCCGTCCGAGTACCCTTGTCCAGCATCGAGAAAGAAAAAGCCAACGCCAAAGCCGGAACGCCGCGTCTAATGCATGATGTAAACTCCAATGGGAAGTCGTCAATGGCGCATAGCACCATGTTATATCAAGTCGTTACCGAATCGTACCCCATTCCGACAGCCTGCTACCTTCACGTCCGTGCTCTCTGCCAGGCCGCCTGTTGAAGATTTTCCAGAACCTCAGGGTCTCATCTCCAGCACCCGTGACCACGGTTTGTCCGTCTGGGCTCATCGCGAGATAAAGCACACGGAAAGTATGGCCTGTGAGGGATACAATCTGCTCCATGCGAGGATACTTCCAGACGACAATCTGATTCTGACTGTAACCGTGGGTACTGATGATTTCATCGGAATTTTTCGACCACGCCAAGTTACAGACTTGGCTGCCTGTATCAACTTCTTTAATGAGAGACCCGGTCGCTGTGTTCCAGAACTTTATTGTTCTATCGGCTGTACCTCCTCCGGAGGCGAGGAGGTGGTGTTGGTGAGGGGACCATGTGATCGCCTTGACGGCCGCAGTATGGTCAGAGAAGCGATATAGTGGCGTCTCATTCAGCTTGTCCCACACCATGAGCTTGTTGTCGTTGCCACCAGATGCGAGCTGCCCGTCTTCTGTGTTCCACCTGAGACCGCAAACTTCCTGTTTATGCCCGGAAAGTCGACGGAGAAACTGATCAGGAGACCGAACGTCACGGTGATATATGAGCCGGTCTCGAGAGCCAGAAGTGAGAATATGGTCGTTCCAAGCCAGTGCACCAACACGATTGGTATGCCCGATCATCGTTCGTAAGCGCCGACAGCGCTCTGCATCCCAAATTTGCACAAGACCCTTCCCGGTACCAATAGAAAGATGCGTGCCCTATTCGCCGATCAGTAAGATATCGTCTAATAAAGTGAGGAAAAATTACCCTTTGAATCCAGCTGACGCTCGTGACAGTGTCATCTTTGAGCTCACAGAGCTTCGTCACTCTGCCGGTTTGCGAATTCCACATGTAAACAGAGTTCCCCAGGCCAACTCCCAATACATTACTGCTCCCCCAGTCGACTAAATTAAGATAGAAATCGTCCTGTAAGTCGGGCGCATCGAGCACTTTGTACGGTACTTTGTTCACATAGCGTGGCTGTTTGCGAGGCGTCTCAAGTATTCGCTGGCTGTCGTAACGGATGGGAGAAAGGCTGTAGAGTTCTGAGCGGACGTTGAGATTGGGGCCATGGCTGCGGGGTGTTTTGGATGGTGTAGGATGGCTTGAGCCGGCGCGGGGTGAGGCGTAATTGAAGAGATTCTTGTGAGGAGTTGACGGGGTGATGCTAGCTGGTGGTAAGGCAGATACTACATGTGCAGGTGGAGTGTGAGAACGAGTTTTGTCGTTGATTCCGGCCGTAAGTCCGCGTAGAGGGTCGGGAGAAAGCGAATCTAGGTCGGCCTGAGGAACTGTACTTCCGAAGAGCTCGCTGCGCAAAACTCGCGAGTACATCCTGTTTGCTTCTTCCGCTAAAATGCTTGTCAGCATGCGCTTCGAACTGTGAATGGACAGGACATACTCTTTTGGAAATGTAGTTCCGAGTGAGGGGGTCGCTTTTTGATCTTTGATGGCGTTGAAGGGCAGCCATCCTCGTGCAGCAGACTGTAAGTTGCTTGGAGGTCTTGACCTTCTCGATTTGGAATAAACCTGCCAAAGCATAAGATTGGTGAACATTCACCAGTGCCGCATCGGTCACTAACCTGTCACCATAAACCCTTTGCCGTTTCCGACTCGGACTAGTACCTGGCGTCCTTTCGCGAGAGCGCCCTGCGTCTTCATAGTCTTTCAGCGCCTTGGTGAGCGCATTGGGATCAATCGGCTCGGAAGGAATTCGACTGCTTTGTCGGCCTGCCATTGAGTCGGGAAAGAACAATGTCGTCTTTGCTGGCATGCTCGGGGGTGTTCTGGAACCAGGAGGGGACACGATATGTGCGGCGGTTGACCTCGCCTTCGCAGCGCTGCGGGTGGCAGGGTTGCCTGAATCTCTGTTTGTGTCGGCCATGGTGTTGAGAGAATACAAGGAATCGCTTCAAATGGCGGTCAAACACGGCGTCCAGCGGAATCGAGCTAACAAATGCGACAGGTCTGAAAGTCGAAGCGCAACGAAGCGGGCGTCAACGGGCGAATCAGATGCCAGCGACGGCGTCTCCGGCCAGATGTAAGGATGGAGGATAGATAAAACGGTTGTTGACATTCAATCAGGCGTGAGTTGGTCGTGCAGTTGGCAAATGCAGCAGCTGGGCCCTTCAGCTCCGCTCCGGACAATAATCGAACGGGGTGGTTGGAATCCAGGCGAGAGTGGGTTGAGGGAGCGACGAGAGTGGTAAGATGGGCGATAAGGATGCTGATGCCGATGGCGGTTCTCTCACCAGACACAGAGGTGAATCGAGCGAGGCGGACGGGTCATGGAGGTCATTGGAGACTGACCTGACCACCGTCTGGCGAGGATGATGGGCTTCAAGGATGCTGGCTGGCTCCGTCGGGGTGATGGCCGTTAGAAGGGGATTTCCTACTTGCGGTCACGCGTCCGGTGCGCTAAGCCTAAATGGGAGCCAGGGAGGCTGGACTGGCAAGTGATTGTTTTGATTTCTCTTTGAAGGTTTCTTTGATTGAACTCATTGATTTATAATTAGACAACAGCTCATCATCTCAGGGGAGGTCTGCGATATTTTACTTCAGCTTCTGCTCTCGACAGCGCTGATGTTGCGGTTTGGATGTTGTGTTTACGTCGGTTCCTCAGGCCTCCACGCGATTATCTCCCCATCAACAGAACAACAACACTAGGGAACCATGAGATGGCCCAAGACACTACTCAATCAACCGGAAGGGAAATCAAGACCGCAGTGCCAACTCTAGTGATTCGATGATATCACACGTTGTTCCTCGTGTCAGACTAAACACGGTGTTCCAGGATTATTGACGCGAAGCGCCCACCAGGCGATTGGACCAGCGCGCTCCTCGAGGCTGTTATTGATGGGGATGACCGTGGTTATTGTTGTGGTCTTCCATATGGGGTTTTGTTATAGGTTTCGCGACTGTCTCGCATTCCACGCGCCTGGAACGCGAAAAACGCTCGGACCACGCTGCGTCCCTCTGCCTTTGAAGTTTGGGAGGCAGAGGTGCTTGGGCCTGAAAATCTCCGGATGATCTTCTTGTCCCACGCTTCTTTCCATTCCGTTCTCGGCTTTCCGAAGATAAAGAAAGACTTGTTTTGCTGGAGATTTGAAGCCTTTGTGAACGCATTTGGCTTAGCCTCCAGCGCGCTCCGCGTGCTCCCTGGAAATCACGCGTAGTTCGATAGCTTAAGCTTGAGAGACGTCCACGAGCCCATGTTACTCCTGTCTTGGTCTTGTGCAAGGAGTTGTTGAGCTCATGCACAGCTGAGCCTATCTTGCAGTGTGGTCTACACCGTGCCTTATCACATGATGGACTAGAACCGATCAAGACAGGTTGGCTGATCATTGTTGTTAAAAGAAACTGATTTCCAGTTCAGATATAGCTATTTAACAGCAATTGGGCTTGTGTTTAATCGATATCTACTGGCTGTAACAACTGAAGGCTGTGTACTTGTGCGTGATGTCAGTCGAGAGCCCAAGGATCGGTGGGCGGAGAGCCAAGACTTGCGACAGATCAGTGCTCTCACAGTTCCACAATCCTCGACTCCACATTGTCCCTCCTCATTGAGCTCCGTGCCGCCTCTGCAACTATCCCAGGGTGCTCAACATGACTTCCAACCTGACCAAGAATCTGAAGCAGCCGGCTCTGGACTTTCTGTCCTTTGTCAATGCTTCTCCAACCCGTAATTCCCCCCGCATTCCCAGTTGAGTAGATCCAGCAGCTCACGTGAAGCTCTCCAGCTTTCCATGCTGTCCTCTCAGCTAAACAGCTGCTTGCAAAGGCGGGATTCCAGGAGATCAAGGTATTCTTATCAAAGCGTTTCTGGAAAGAGTCTATACTGACAATAATGACAGGAGAAAGACTCGTGGGCTTCCACCTGTCGCCCTGGTGGAAAGTACTACCTGACCCGCAATAGCTCAACCATTGTGGCTTTTGCTGTCGGCAAGAAGTGGCAGGTATGCGCTCCAGTCCTTGTTCGTGTTGGGGCTGTTTATAATTTCTCTGAAATAGCCTGGAAACCCCATTGCTATGATCGGAGCTCACACCGACTCGCCTGTGTTGAGGATCAAGCCAGTAAGCAACAAACGCGGTGAGGGTTACATTCAGGTAGGTGTCGAGACCTACGGCGGCGGTATCTGGCACACATGTGAGTATATGGTCGAGCTCTCTGCTACCGCTGTTGACATTATCTAGGGTTCGACCGTGACCTGGGTGTTGCAGGCCGGGCCATGGTCCGCGCCGAGGATGGCTCCATTGTTCAAAAGCTGATCAAGATTGATCGTCCAAGTATGTTGGCCTCTGCATTCTCAATTTTCTCATTAACGCCATATAGTCCTCCGTATTCCTACATTGGCCATTCATCTTGAACGGCAGGAGACCTTCAGCTTCAACAAGGAAACACAGCTGTTTCCCATTGCTGGCATGATTGCTGCCGAGCTCAACCGCACCGGTCAACCCAAAGAGGACAAGAAGAGCGACGAGGGCGAGAGTTCCGAATTCTCCCCTCTGAAGTCTATTACAGAGCGCCACCACCCCCATATCGTGGAGCTCATTGCGGCTGAGGCTGGTGTAAAGCCAAATGAGGTGCTTGATTTCGAGATGATCCTGTTCGATACGCAAAAGTCTTGCCTGGGTGGACTGCTTGAGGAGTTCATCTTCTCTCCCCGCCTGGACAACCTGAATAGCTCATACTGCGCTACTGCTGGACTGATCGAATCCGTCGCTGATGATTCTGCGCTGGAGAATGAGTCTACTATCCGCCTCATCGCGCTGTTCGACCACGAGGAGATTGGAAGCTGCACCGCCCAGGGCGCCGACTCCAACATTCTGCCTGCGATTATCCGCCGTCTCTCCGTGCTCCCGTCCGCCTCGGGCGGCGCCGATACATCTACCGCATACGAGCAGACTCTGTCTACTTCATTCCTTCTCTCAGCTGATATGGCCCACGGTGTCCACCCCAACTGGTCAGCCAAGTACGAGAGCGACCACCGCCCGGAAATCAACAAGGGACCTGTCATTAAGATCAACGCCAACGCCCGCTATGCTACCAACTCCCCTGGTATCGTCCTTCTCCAGGAAGTGGCGCGCAAGGCTTCGGACGATGGCGGTGAGGGTGTCCCTCTGCAGCTCTTTGTCGTCCGAAATGACTCTAGCTGCGGGAGCACGATCGGACCTATGCTCTCTGCCGCTCTTGGTGCCCGGACTCTAGACTTGGGTAACCCCCAGCTGAGCATGCACAGTATCCGTGAGACCGGTGGAACTTATGATGTGGCACACAGCATTCGGCTGTTCAAGAGCTTCTTCAAGCATTACGGTAGCACCTCGCAGACCATCTTTGTGGATTAAGCGCGATCTCAGGTTAGCATAGCGAAACTAGTAAGCTGCAATTGAAGATGAGAATTAAATGTCATATCCACCCAGATTCAATGGCTTGTGGGCTATAGTGGTGTGTTGGAGATGGCCGTTGGGGTCAGTTCGGGCCGAGAAGTTTCCGACCCCAGCGTCTCCTCTCCGCCCGCTGGAGCCTCCATCCAACATCCACTTCACCCTACAGCTCTCTCCTCACTTCCATAATACTAAAACAGCTCACGGACTGTAGTACCTGGCGCCTGCTACACTGTCCTACTCTACACATCTTGCCGCCTGCCGCATCACTCACCCTATCCTATGCCGTCAATGCCCTCATGACCCTCTATGACAACACCGGATGTCTTTCGAGATGCGGAATACATCGCTGACGTGTCCGGCATCACATATGGCAGCATCACGGACATATCACCGACGCTGCATGACGAGCGTCTAAGGAAGAGGTTGCAGTCCGCTGCGAAGCTCGCCCTCATCGACCGGTTGCTCCGCGATATTGATATCCTTATCTATTGCGAGCTATCGGCGCTCTATTACCTAGAGTACGTGCGCTTATCGCTCCATCCACCAACTGTTTCGCACCCGCAACACAAATGACTGAATGATTGACTAACTGGTGTATTATCTAGTTGTTCAATAGTCCTCTTCGCCATCCGCGCCATTGTACAACTAATCTTCTTCACACCCAAAGCGCCCCCCTTTGACCCGAATCGCAACCAGCCATTCATCGGAGCGATAGTCGCGAGTAATCTCTTTTGCATGACCTTTCACAAATTCTTCAGTCAACCTGAAGCTGGAGAAGCGACGAGAGGCTATCTACATGGCGGTATCCTCATCGACTTTATCGGGCAGAAGGCCCCCGTGCCGGTCACGCGACTCCTCTGCCTTGACTTTCTCGTTATGCTCCTCAATATCGTCATGCTAGGCCTTATCGTCGAGCGAGTAAAGGTCGCTGATTCAAGGGAGCCTGTCGCACCCAGTAATACCGCAAATGCTGAAGCAGCTACAACAACTGCCGCCACTCAAACCGAACAAACCCAAGCCCAAACCCAAGACCACGACCACGAAGAACGAGGCCTCCAACGCCACGAAACACCCGAAACCTCCTCAACACCGCCCACCGAACCATCACCCTCATCCTCACTCTCACCTAGAGACCAATCGCAAGAACCACAGCAGGAGCAGGCCTCCCCCTCACGAACCCCATCCAACTCCAACCCTGAAGATCCGAACCTCAACCCCGAAGTCTACACGCACACCCACACCCCAACAGAAGAAGACCTCGAACGCACGCGCCTCCTCGCCGACCCCTCCGAACACGGCACCCACACAACGCATCAACACGCCCTCGACGCCTTCTCCTCCGGCGACGCCGTGATCATGCGCATGGGACTCTTCAACGTCATCCGCGACCAGTGGGCCTATCGCCCGTCTACGACGCGGTGGTCGTCTGCGCCTTCGGAGCGGACGGCTGCGCTGCTGCGGGAGAGGTTTGGGTTGCAGGTTGGGGCCGACGGGCGGCTGGAGAGGATTCCGGCTTGAAGCTGTGCTTTGCGAACTCTGCCGGTATTGTAATCTGCTTGTTAGGGAGGGGTTTATGTGTACATACGACTACGACTGCTTAGTCTCAGCTTGGTATTTCTAATGGAAATGAATACACGATGTCCCTACCATGAGGTGAGGGTGATTGACGTTGTAGCAAGTAAATCTGTATCATTTATATGAAGTAAAAGGACGAAAACCATGGGAATCTATATGTCATCCAAAACAGCGCCAGGAACTCAGACTCAAACAACACCACGGGATGCATGGACAAACAAGAAGAGGATCTATGTGCATATTACGCCGAATCTGCTCTTTCGGACATGTAGGAGAGTAGACGAGGAAAAAGATTCGAAAAGAGAGACTTAAGCAGTAAGCTGCTGACCCTGAGCGGGAGCCGGAGGAGGAATGTCAACCTCCGCGGTCAGTGTCTTTTCTTCGGTCTTGGTGGGCTTGGGGAAAGAACTTGTGCGAACGGGTCCAGGTCCACCTGTCGCGGGAGAGGCAGCCTTCGAGCGCGGTGCGCCGCCCGCAGCTCTGGCGGTTTCGTTGTTTGTCTTTGCATTCTCGACGGCTTTGCTGCGCGTGCTCTCGCTGTTTCTAACATGGGACTTATGCGCGATGTTCAAGATCTCGTCAAGCTTGATAGCATCATCCGTGAGGTCGTCGAACTTCAGGATATGGCAGTAGTCGTAGTAGCATCGAGCATGGTGCGCTTCCCTTGTCTCCTTCGACTTGCCGGGGACTATGATGTTCAGGAGGAACTTTGTGTTGCCAAAGCGATTCTCGGACTCGATGCAGAATTTCAGGTAGGCGTAAGCCACGTCTCTCCAAGGGAGAAGGCCGCCTTGGGCCTCGGAGCGGAAGCAGGAGGAGTTGGACTCAGCGGCTGTGGCGATCATGGCACCGTCGGCGCCGTACTCGGCCATGAGGGCGAGGGCCTCGTCGCGGGATGTGACGTCTCCGTTCATGACACAGGCGACGCCGGCGTTGTGGCAGGTTTCGACAATCATGCGGAGTTGGTCGCGAATTGCGCGTTCGCGGGGCCGCATGGGTGTTGTGCGGCAGTGAATTGTGAGGCCGGTGATTCCGGTTCTAACGAGTCTTGAGACGAGAGCTTCTGTGAGCTCGGGCGTTTCGAGAAGGCGGATCTTGACGGAGATGCCAATCTCGTAGGGCTCGCCGACTTCCTTGACCAATGCCTCAAGAATCGAGACCAGTTTGTCTGGTGTGCGGAGCAGCGCAGCTCCCATTCCACCACTTGTGCTGAACGGCTTCGGGCAGCCAGAATTCACATCGATACCGGCTACATCTCCTGCAACCATCTTGGCCGCCTGCACAGCCAGATCCGGTGAGGCCGTCCCCATCTGGAATATGAGCTTTCCCTTCTCGCGCTCCGGATCGAGACGGTAGATAACGGATTCTTGCGGTGGTCCAGTCTTTTTGGCGTTGTTGGATGGAATCCGCGTAAACTCGATTGTGCCGTTGCGGGGATTCACACGGCGGACGGCACCGATCATAGACTTGTCGATCGTTTCAGGGCCCCAGACGAGGTCTGCACCGTACTTCAAGGCGAGGAGACGGGATGGCAGTTCTCCGGAGCGTACCATCGGCGCAAGCACGATCTTGCCACGATAGTCGACGCCTTTGGCGGGGATAGGAACTCGTTTCGGAGAGGAAGTCATGGCGGAAGTTAGAGCGGTGCGAAGGAATTTCAGCATAGCATAATTTAGCCAAAAGATAGACGCAAAATAGCAGCCTAGATGAGCCTAGGGGCGAGGCCTGTTTAGATCGAGGATAGAGATCGGGATATTGATGGCAACTTGCAGCGGCGGAACGTGGAGATGGAAATAAAATTAATTCACGTGATGATAAGAGCTTCCCTGGTCGTAAATTTCGATCTGTACCACAACAACTCCCGATCCCGGAGCCGTACCTGCCAAGACAGCACACATTGATTGCGACTGCGAGGAGGCCACTCGAGAGAGCCTGTGTTTCCAATTCATCTAGACCAGTTCAAACCTATCTAGACATGCTACAAATAGCGAATAAGCGATTGAGTTATCCCTAGTTGCGTGAACAATAGGTCAACCGTGGCGCTAATGGCGAGGCTCTGGGCGCTGTATAGTTGTGTATTTTCGTAACCGCCCATACAGCTAAATTTACTCCAGCTCAACATCTCGGTGGGCAGCTAAGATACTCTATTGCTAGCGTTGATCGGGTTCAAACTTGGAGGATCAAGAGCATCGCTGCAGAGAGATCGAGTCGGGCCTTTTGTATAATCACAGTCATCATCCAGTAGCATCCTCGGAACAATCACATTGTGTCCTACCGAACGACAACCTCGGAGGTTGCGACCGATTTTTCCCTTCCCGACAACTCCCATTCCTTTATAATCCTCAACGGCGCAGCAACTCCGATCCTATGGTAAGCTTCCCCAATTCGCCCTGATCGCACGTATTGACCGGTCGGCAAGGTTTCTGCTTCGTTGGCCTGGACCTCCCTTTCGATGCTCCCGGGGAAAAGCATCCTTGTACACGGAATACGTACTGCAGCTCCATTGACCCGGCGACTGCTGCCCACCGCCTGTCCGATCATCGCCCTCACTCGCTGCTCGGCGCCTCGTCGCACATCAGCAACGCTGGCTCCCCCCACTAAACAAGCCCCTCCCCCCTCCTCCTCTTCTCTCTCTTTTCCTCCCTCCTCTATCCCCTCCCTCACATCATCCCAATCACCGTCCTCTCGAATTGATCGTTCGATTGTTTCTGTGACAAACCGAGCCGCTCTTGTTTCCAGACATTTTGCTACTACCGCTACCCCTCCCACATCCACAATGTCCTACACCGTTCGCAAGGTCGGCCAGCCCTACACCCTGGAGCACCGGGTGTACATCGAAAAGGATGGCGTCCCCGTCTCTCCTTTCCACGACATTCCCCTCTACGCCAACCCCGAGCAAACAATTCTGAACATGGTCGTTGAGATCCCCCGCTGGACCAACGCCAAGCAGGAGGTACGATAACCCCTCCAGGGCAGATGCTGTCGCTGTGGCGAAATACCAGGGCGCTGATAGGAATATTATAGATCTCCAAGGAGGAGTTCCTCAACCCCATCAAGCAGGACGTCAAGAAGGGCAAACTCCGTTTCGTCCGCAACTGCTTCCCCCACAAGGGTTACCTCTGGAACTACGGTGCCTTCCCCCAGGTACGTCAATCAACACAAAGAAAAGTTAATCAATTACGTGTCTTAACTGTCGCAGACCTGGGAGGATCCCAACACCGTTCACCCCGAGACCAAGGCCAAGGGTGACAATGACCCGCTTGACGTTTGCGAGATCGGTGAGCTCGTTGGCTACCCCGGTCAGATCAAGCAGGTCAAGGTCCTCGGTGTGATGGCTCTGCTCGATGAGGAGGAGACCGACTGGAAGGTCATTGTCATCGACGTCAACGACCCTCTCGCTGCTAAGCTCCACGACATTGAGGACGTCGAGCGCCACCTCCCTGGCCTCCTCCGCGCCACCAACGAGTGGTTCCGCATCTACAAGATCCCCGACGGAAAGCCCGAGAACCAGTTCGCCTTCTCCGGTGAGGCCAAGAACAAGAAGTGAGTGACCTTATTTATATAACAATTGGCGTAAAACTAATTTGTATAGGTACGCCGAGGAGGTCATCCACGAGTGCGCCGAGGCCTGGCAGAAGCTTATCAGCGGCAGCGCTCCCCGTGGCGAGATCAGCCTGTAAGCCACGATTCCCGTCTAATTGTTCACCCAGGATGCTAACATGAATCAGTGCCAACTCTTCTCTCGACAGCCCTGACCGCGCTGACCCCTCTCAGCTCGGCTCCATCCCCAGGGGCGAGAACCTTCCTCCTGCTCCTATTGATGGCAGCATTGACAAGTGGTTCTTCATTTCTGGAGCTGCTGTGTAAATCTATGACAAGCAAAAATTATAAAATGCTAGTCTTTGAACGCCGAGTGGGTGGGTTGGGTGAGTTTAAAATTGCCTATTAGCCTAGAAATACACCGCACTGGCTTTTTCATTGCCTTGTGAACCAATGTGTAGACCTATGTATCGTTCTCGAGCTTAATCACAGCTACGCAATGTGCACACGCTGTATGGGCGTGTTGTGGAAGCTTCATGGACCTGAACCGCAATAATTCATACTACAATGTACAGCAGGGATCTTGAAGTATACCCTCCCTGAAAATAGACGCCTGACGCACTCATTCTTTGCCTGTTGACAGTAGCACTTCGGCTGAGTAAACCTCAACATGCGCCAATGGCAAATATAATGATCATTTATCGCATCCCAGACCTAACGAAATTGGTTGTAAATATACAATATGCAATAGAAATACATGAATATCGCCCCTCCACCTTCGTCTCCAGAAATCGTTCCCACCAATCCTGATAGCAGCTTAACCCTTCAGACTCTCCTCGCGCTCAATGACTCTCCCAATGCGCGCAATCTCCTCAACAACATCGCCAATCTTCATCTGCTGTTTCCCGAAATCGATCTTGACCTCCTTGCCGCCCTTGAAGCCCACCGTGAGCTCCGGCGCCTTCGTCGAGTTTCGTGGCAGCTGCGTGACCTTGATGTCAATGTGTGTTGGGCTGGACGGGGGGACTGTGGAGGGATTGCGGAGGATGGAGAGGAGGAGACGGCAGGGCCGCGAGGCGGCGGAGAAGGGGTTGAAGGTTGTGCGGAAGGAGGTTATTGTTTGGAGAGGGATCGTCATTTTGGCTGTGGCGTTTCGGGAGGTTTTATGGGCGTTTGCGGTTGATTGCGGGCTTGCGATTGATTGTTCCTGGGAGGTTTCGTTAGTATGCGTCTTTGTGGATTGAGGAGGGAAGGGCGTACTAGTTTGAAGAAGGGATTAATTAATGCGATCTATATTTGTAGCCCGACAGGTCTTGAGTCGACCGCGAATAAACCAGTGGTTACAATTGAATGGCTTGTCTCGTCGTCGTCCTGCGGGAAAATCCCGGACAAATTAGCTGGAGAGTGTTGAATGATTGCGTGCAAACAATGCAAAACCCCGAAGCGGCCTCAGGAACCGATGACGATGCCAGCGCCATACTGGACAACTTGTCGGGGAATTCAAAGCCTCTAAGATTCCTCGCGATATCCGCAACTACAAGCCTAGTCTCGCGATGAGAATCTATTGGAAATAACACACTCACGAGCTGGAGCATATGTGCGACAATACTATAACTTTCCCCCACGATGTCAACAATATCTGTTCTTCAGTCCCGCCTCAAAGAGCTGTCAACAGCTCTCGCTCAAATATACCCACTTGTTACTCGACTACACAATTTTACCACAGCAGTCGGGCAAGGAGATGAAGCTAGGACAGAACTCAGCGCGGAAATCCACTCTCGACTGAAGGAGGCCGAGGATGATCTAGAATTGCTAAAGGTCGACGTGGATGCTTTGGAGACACCGGCGGATAGCAGACGCAAAGGACAGGACTCCGAAAAGGAAACAGAGAGAGAGCGGGTTATTGCTCTAGCACGGAGATTGAGTAGTGAACTGAAACGGTGGGTTGAATTCATGGTATCGTCAGGCTTGACATGAGGCTAATGGCACTGCGCATTTTAGAACGAGAGGAGATTTCCGCAACGCACAGTTACAAGCAAAGCGCAATGCGGAGCTTGCACGGCGGAAGGAAAGGGAGCTGCTCTTTTCTGGACCCGAGGGTGCTGTTGAGAAACGAAACCAGACCAAGGAGAAGTTGACGCAGGATGATATCGTCAAGAATGCGTCGAGGGATGTTACGGCGGCACTGAGGCGGACGCATCAACTTATGCAAGCAGAGTTGTCGCGGAGTCAATTTGCCCAACAGACTCTAGGTATGCTGTTTACTTGCTTTGGTGGTGATTGGTGGTCTAATGTGCTCTGCAGAACAATCAAGTGCCGCTCTTTCTACGCTCTCGGAGTCGTATAGCGGTCTCGACACATTACTCACATCTTCGCGGAACCTTGTCGGGTCTCTTCTTCGTTCACAGAAATCAGATACGTGGTATTTGGAGACAGCATTCTACATCCTGGTCGGCACAATCTCGTGGTTGGTATTTCGACGGCTACTCTATGGGCCGCTCTGGTGGTTAGTGTGGCTGCCCTTCAAGCTTATACTGCGCTCCGTTTTTGGGGTTTCAGCAGCAGTGGGGATAGCCAGCAACGCCGTTCAGCCTTCAGCAACTACAGCAACGCCCGACATTCTAGCCCAAGCGACACCTGTCCTGGATCATATCCCACAAGCTAAGGCTCATGGCGTTGCAGGAGATATTATTCCTGACCAGGTTCCAGGCACGGACCCGGCAGACCGCGACTGGATAATTGACAAAATTGGCGAGTTTGTGGAAGAAAACGATGAGGAGTTGGGGACGAATCTTGACGACTTCTCGCCGGAGGAGCTGCAGAGGCAGGCGGAGATTCCGCCTAATACGAAGAAGAGGATGTATGAAGCAACCGAGGTCTTGCAGAACCGAAAGGATGAACTATAGAATACGTTGAGATGGGCCAAATGAGGTATACTCCCACAACAGCCCTTTGGCCTGTTCTCAATCTTAAGAATGTAGAACTACCTCCACGACTTAATCTACTAGCAAGTAAAAACCAATAAACAGCCGTTCTTAACTTTGACTGGCCCAGGCCCATATCAAGCTTAATGGATTTCGATATCACGTGACTGCGCAACGCGTGACGCGCCTCGACACGCTTCTTGCGGCTTGAGCTTCATCAGCTCGCTGAGGAGTGGTGTTTAACAAGCATTTGCTGCTCATTGAACTCCACCAACCAACCAGCTCATCGCTTTGGCATCGAACTGAGAAGGCAAAATGGCATCCAACTTTTTCAGCAATAAAGCTCGCGCAGCCGCTGCAGCATCTGGCAGCTCAAAACCGAAGCCAACAGAAGGAAAGGAAGAGCAAACGAGACAACAACCATGGGTTGAAAAATAGTATGTCCGGGATTCTTACCAATGGCTGCATGAGACATGAATTGACAAAGTCTAGCCGCCCAAAAACGCTAGACGATGTCGCTGCTCAAGATCACACAACCAAAGTGCTTCAACGAACACTGCAAGCTTCGAATGTACGTGATACTCCTTCGCAAAGTAAAGGGCACGCCTAACTTGCTTATACAGCTGCCACACATGCTCTTCTACGGCCCTCCGGGCACAGGAAAAACATCAACAATTCTCGCCCTCGCCAAATCCCTCTTCGGCCCTGCTCTGTACCGATCCCGCATCCTCGAACTGAACGCCTCCGACGAACGTGGTATCGGAATTGTCCGTGAAAAGGTCAAAGGCTTTGCGCGTGTCCAGCTCAGCCATCCCACAGGCCTAGACGCCTCATACTTCGAAAAATACCCTTGCCCTCCTTTCAAGATCATCATCCTCGACGAAGCCGACAGCATGACACAAGATGCGCAGTCTGCCCTGCGCCGCACAATGGAACAATACAGTCGGATTACCCGGTTCTGTCTCGTTTGCAACTATGTTACGCGGATCATCGAGCCGCTGGCTAGTCGATGCAGCAAGTTCCGCTTCAAGCCGTTGGATAACTCGGCTGCTGGGGATAGACTGGCGCTGATTGCGCAGACGGAGGGTCTGTCGCTTGAGGATGGTGTGGTGGATAAGTTGATCGCCTGCAGTGATGGTGATCTGCGTCGTGCTATCACATATATGCAAAGTGCGGCTCGGCTGGTCGGGGCTGCGAAGTCCGCTGAGAGGGACGGAGATGATGACGAGGAGATGAAAGACCAGGGATCGGGGACTATTACTGTCAGGACTATTGAAGAGATCGCTGGTGTGATTCCGGAGAGCATTTTGGATCAATTAGTCCAGGCGTTACAGCCGAAGAAGCTCGGATCCTCATATGAGGCTGTGTCAAAGGTGGTCACGGATATTGTGGCGGATGGCTGGAGTGCAACACAATTGCTCGTACAGGTATTTTTACTCTTATATCTTCCTTATGCGCACCTGACACTGACATCTCAGCTCTACCGACGGATGATCTACAACGACGCTATTCCTGATATTCAAAAGAACAAGATCGTTATGGTGTTTTCCGAGATGGACAAGCGGTTAGTCGACGGTGCAGATGAACATTTGTCTATACTTGACGTCGCTCTGAAGATTTCTGGAATCTTGGGCGGATCATAGAGCAGTCTTGACATCGAGAAATAGCTGCTATACCACCTCTAGCTCCCGTGAAGAGCATATATTAGGGCCAAGCCGCTTGCCCTGACTGGACGATTGTCGGATACAGCAATGCCCCTTCGCCTACTCAGGGGGACGGATCTCAGGAGTTTGCCACCCAGCGAAGCATAGTCAAAATAATCTTAATGACCTTATGAACTGACTCCAGAGGCCTTCCTCTGATAGCAATCATTGTCTCCCACTGATTGTCTGGGCAAGCGTTCGACTTTACTAGAAGAAAGTCGAGCCATACACATCTGTAGTTCGGTGTAGATCGGAAAGCCCACTTTTTCTCCGAGGGATGACGGCAAGCTCTCCGAACTCCTTCAACTCGCTCTGACTCTTTTTTAAATTTCTCAAAACTCAAGCGTGTACATATACATACGACTCTTCACCTAAAATCTCATTCTGATTCTCTCCGATCTCTCTCCCTTCCCAATTCCTCCCTAGCACATCGTTGCGCACTACCCCGCAATGGCAGTGCCCCGCTACCTGACCGGTGATGCCGCGGGCATCAAGGAATTCTTGGATAAGTTTGATGTAAGGCTACCGAACATCAGTCGAATACCGCAAAGCATGAACTTGATCTGACATGAGCGATGATAGGTCTTCCTGTTCGATTGCGATGGTACGTGCTCTCAAAGCCGCCGCGGCCCTTCGCGACACTAGTACTACAAGATAAGGCCAGAACTGAAATCATATACACCAGGCGTCCTATGGTCAGGAGACCATCTCTTTCCCGGAACAGTTGAGACCCTCGAGCTCCTAAGATCAAACGGTACGTCTACCTACGCTGGTAAACCAAACGCGGACTCACACTTTGGATCACCAGGCAAGCAAGTCGTATTCGTCACAAACAACAGCACCAAGTCACGAGCAGATTATAAGAAGAAACTTGAGGTTCTGGGGATTCCTGCTACAACAGTATGATCGGCCCTGCCTTCCGCATCCTGTTTATCGGCATCTCAATCCGCCAGGCGCATAGCCAAATAGCTTGCTAACAAGCAACAGGAGGAGATATTCTCCTCATCATACAGCGCCTCAATCTACATCTCACGCATCCTCCCCCTTCCACCCACCAAGCGCAAAGTCTTCGTGCTCGGCGAAAGCGGCATAGAAAAAGAACTCCGCTCAGAAAACGTCCCTTTTATCGGCGGCACAGACCCCTCCTACCGCCGCGAGATCAGGCCGGAAGATTACAAGCTAATTGCCGCCGGCGACGAATCCCTCCTCGACCCCGAAGTTGGCGTCGTCCTTGTCGGGCTCGACTTCCACCTTAACTATCTCAAGCTCGCGCTCGCGTACCACTACATCCGGCGCGGGGCAGTCTTCCTAGCGACGAATATCGACTCGACACTGCCAAATTCGGGGACGCTGTTCCCTGGTGCTGGGTCCGTGAGCGCGCCGCTAATCTCCATGTTGGGTGGGAAGGAGCCGGTTTCGTTGGGAAAGCCGAACCAGGCGATGATGGATGCGATTGAAGGAAAGTTTCACTTTAATCGCGAGCGGGCCTGTATGGTTGGGGATAGAGCGAATACTGATATCCGATTTGGAATTGAAGGGAAGCTCGGTGGCACCCTGGGCGTTCTAACCGGGGTGAGCAGTAAGGAAGAGTTTCTGGAGGGGGAGGTGAGGCCGATGGTTTATTTGGATAAGCTTTCTGATTTGCTCGGGGGTCAATGAGTACGGTAAATAGGAGGGTGACCAGTTATTCATAGATATAGAAACGGGTATAGGGTTGAATAGAGTACACTCAAGATTCGCTAGTTGACTGCCCGTCATTTAGGGGGCCGGTTTTCTCATATACCCCTGGAGCTTCCAGAGAGCAAGGGCAGTCTCAACAGTCCGCTCGTTTGTCGGCCTGAAGAAGACCGCAAACTTTTGAAAGCGCGTAGAATAGCCCCGAATCTCCTCAAGCTCAGTCTTTGAAAACAGCCGCGTGAAATCAAAGACGGGAACCTTGCTTCCAATCGCCGGAACCTCAATGAACTCCGGCAAATCATTCTTTGGGTCGCAGTCTCCCAGAATCCAAACAGCCCCTTCCCCCATCCGCTCAAACGATTGCAGCCCCTTCAACCCCTCTACCAGAGCCTCCTCCGAGTACGGAGCCTGGACGTCTATTGATGTCCACACGCCGAACCGAACATCTTGTATCTCGAATATACCCGAGACCCGCTGCAAATGCTTCATTACGTATGCCCGGAGCGTCCTACGCATAAACTTGGGCATGTCAAGGCGCCATCGGACCCTCGCGTCCTCTTTTGTGCCCCAACCAACCTGGGTTCTCCAGCGGGACGGAAGAAGTTTAGTAATGGGCCATATCTTTTGGTTGCGCGCACGCCATATATACTGGGCCATGTCTTGCAATATCGACATCCGGTCATGCATGCGGAGTTTCAAGTACGGTGCGGGAAGGGCACGGCCATCTGCCTTGGTTAATTGCGGTTCGACCAAGTCGTCTTGTAGAAGTTCGATAGGCAGGAGCCAGAATTTTGGAGCGTCTGGAGCGTTTTTCTCCTTGCGTCTGGCGGGGACTACCTCTGTTTTTGCCTCCGGCCCTGACTCTACAGCCGAAGCCGGAGTGGGCGCGGATTCGGGATCCAGGACCGGGGCCCATTCCGTCAAGAAGGCCTTTGGCATTCGCGTCGAGCTCAGCTCGCAGTATCGAACTGGGGACGCGAGTGCCATGGCCCAGGGGTTTTTATTGAGCCTGGTGAAGTCGGCAGAGGTTGCGATGCGCTTCTTGCGATGGCGGACATCGCGGCCGGGGTGCGGGCGTGTGATGAGCGGAGATTGAGGGAGGAGTTCGGAGGGGCGCTTTGAAGGCGATGGTTCAGGTTGGCCCTTGTGGCTGCGGTTGTGGTTGCGTTTGTGATCGAATTGCTTCTCAGGAGTGGGTTTTGTCTCGGAGTCTTCCGGACTGGTAGAGTAGAGGCGACGGGATTGAAGGCTCTTATTTGACCCATTCGAAGAGCAAAACAGCTGTCGGAAGACCTTGAGACGCCATTGCGCGTAGGGAACGCGACTGTGTAAACTTTCCATTGTTGACGGGGAGATTGAAGAGGAGAAATTTCCCCGAGCGGAAACCGACTTGGAGCTTCTTCCGTTGCGGCTCAAAGTCAGCAGCTCTGACTCCTCACTCTCTTCCACCTCAACTCCATACTCCGCACATCTTCTCGTCCGGCACTTCTTCCCTCAATTTCCTCCCCTCACATTCGCAATGAGCGCAAGACGGTCGTTACTGCGACTTTGTCGCCCTGCATTCCGCCCTTTAGTAACCCGGAGCTTCCCCAGCGCCATTCCAACCCTGTCACAGTCGCAACCTCCGCGGGGCTGGACGCCGACACCCTTTGTAACAGAGACGGTGGTAAGTCTTCTCAATTGAGCATTCGGACCAAATGAGTATACAGTAACAATTCATAGGGAGGTGGCTGGCACACCTGTACGTGGCTATCTATTTAACACATGAGACACCACTAACTAGACCGTCTACCAGACGACATCTTCTCCAAACTCCTCAAGGTACGTCCGCAACGCTCGTCCGAGTTCTCATCAATTGCACCGTGCTAAATAAATGAAAAAAAGGAACGAATAATCTGCCTAAACGGCGAAGTAGACGAATCCATGTCCGCTAGCATCGTCGCCCAACTCCTCTTCCTTGAAGCCGACAACCCCAACAAACCAATCCACCTCTACATAAACTCTCCCGGCGGCTCCGTAACAGCCGGCCTCGCAATCTACGACACCATGACCTACATCGCCTCGCCCGTGTCAACAATCTGCGTCGGGCAGGCCGCCTCCATGGGCTCACTCCTCCTCTGCGGCGGCCACCCGGGCCAGCGCTACTGCCTGCCACACTCGTCGATTATGATCCACCAGCCGAGCGGCGGATACTTTGGGCAGGCGACAGACATTGCGATTCACGCGAAGGAGATACTGCGCGTTCGACATCAGCTGAATCAGATCTATAAGCGGCATTTGAATGGGAAGAAGGAGATGACGCTGGATGAGATTGAGAAGTTAATGGAGAGGGATTATTTCATGGGGGCGAGGGAGGCGTTGGAGTTGGGAATTGTGGATGAGGTGTTGGAGCGGAGGGTTAAGGAGGAAGAGAAGAAGGAGTAATGATCATGCTCTCCACTGATTTTGCGAGATAAGAGGTTATACCCAGTATTCGGATGTGGAAATGTAATATTAGTATGTATGACAAGCTCTCGCTGCTCATGACCCTGTATCGCTGTCTATTTCAGACGAATAGAAAAAGTCCAAACGCCTCTAAGTATATTGTATCGAGAAACGACGCCTGAAGATTAGATTCTAGAAGAACCAGCATATAAGAAAGAAGGAGCCCAACAAGTATATCTCCCAAGTAACTGGACTCAGCCATAGTGCACGCAATGGGCCACACTGCACTGCCCAAGGTGCAAGTATATCAACCAACCACCGCTAATAAACAAGCATAAACACTGAATCTACACTAACCGAAACAAAAACAGGGAGGGAGCCTTATTCAATAGATGCCTCCTCTTTAGCCTCCTTTTGCGTCATATCAGCGAGAACCATCTCCTCAACAGCCTTCATACCCGCCTCCTCAGACTTTTTGCTCTCGGCCGCGTCGTCGCCCGCAACGGCTTGGTCTAGCGCAAGTTTCGTCTGGCCGAGCGCATAGATCTGCTCTTCAATCGTATCCTTCGTTACCAGCCGGATAACTTCAACTTCGCGAGTCTGCCCGACGCGGTGCGCGCGGTTCTCGGCCTGCACGTCTTCCTGCGGGTTGAAGCTCGAGTCAAAGATGATGACTTTGTTCGCGCAGGCAAGGTTAATTCCTGCACCACCTGCTTTCGTGGAGAGGAGAAAAACGGGGATCTCGGTACGCTCGTAGAAGGTATCCATGATAGATTGCCGATCCTCGACAGAGGTTCGGCCATCCAGACGGACGAATTTGAGGTGCTGGTTTTCAAGGACGTCCTCGAGGATATCCATGACCATGGTAAACTGGGAGAAAACAAGGGTGCGGTCGCCATTTTCCTTGAAGCGGCGAAGGAGTTCGCATAGTTTCTCGACTTTGCCCGAATCCATCCACTCGTTGTTCTTGAGAGCGAATTTGCCGAGGGATTTAGGGTTGGAGAGGCAGAGTTGGTGGCATTCGAAGTCGTTGTAGGCTTGGAGCTCTTCGAAGATAGTGTTTGGGTCTGAAAGGGACCATTGTTCTTCCTTGAGGCAGGCTTTGGACATTTGGAGGAGGATTTTGTCAGTGTAGTGGCGGCGGTGGAGGAGGGGGTGGATGGCTGCTTGTCGGAGCTTCATCAGGATGTTGGCGGATTTGTTACCAGTCTTCTTGCCGGCTGCGCGGTCTGCGAGGAGTTTCTTCACTTCGTTTTGTTCGTGTTCGTAGATTTCGCGCTGGGCGGCGTTCATCTCACAGTAGCCAACGTGAGATGTCTTCGCGGGCAGGTCAATAACTTGGTGCTTCTTCCGCCGGAGCACGAATGGCTTGAGCATTGACTTGGCCCGTTCGATTCGCTGCGCTGAGAGAAGGGCAGAGTGTGATTCGTCGACAGTCTTTGCTTTGTTGGCAAAGATATACTGCAAATCCTCTTTCCGATCCTGGAACACCTTTGGAAGAATAAACCCTAGCAGCGAAGCCAATTCCTGCAAGTTGTTTTGTAGTGGCGTGCCCGTCAGAAGGAGGCGGAAGCGCGCGCGAATTCTAATCAGTTTCTCATACAAGACTGACGTGCTGCTCTTGAGCATGTGTCCTTCATCGTAAACACAAACGCAGAAATTCATGTTGCGCAAGAAGTGCGCATCCACTTTAGCCTTTGCAATTGTATAAGTTGTGATAACGACATTAATGCTGTCTCTGTTTTCCTCGATTTGCTCACGTATCTCAGCGCGCATCGCCTGGTCGGCGTAGTACGGCATGACTGAAAGGGTGGGACAGAACTTTTGGAACTCGCGGAGCCAGTTTTCGATGGTGGAGGATGGAACAACAATAAGATGAGGCCCCTTGATGCCTTTTTCGTACAAGTGGGCTAAAAAGGCAATGACCTGGCAGGTCTTTCCAAGACCCATATCATCTGCCAGGATGCAGCTGAGCTCTTTCTCAAAGAGCAGCGATAGCCAGTTTATACCAACAATCTGGTAGTTCTTCATCTTCAAATCCTCGGCCATGATGCCTGGTTGGGAGATAAATCGAGACTTTTTGCGAGACCTTGACTCGGGGCTGTCGCTGTCATCGTCTGATCGTTGACTCGCGGGTGTGCCAATTCCAGAGTCATGAGAGCCTGGAAGCTCCAGAGACACCAGCTCAAGCTCGCCTTCGCGCTTCCCAAAGATATCCACGCCCCATTTCTTCATCTCCATTGCAATAGGTTTGCCTAGGGTCTCGCATTGCTCGACAAGAGAGTCAACAGCCTTGTAACCCACCCACATGTCAAGGCACTTGTCGACGATTCGATCACCAACCGGTTTGGGCGCCTTGCGCCGCTTGCCAGTCTTGGTCAGTGGCTGGTCAGCAGGCGGAGAGGGGATAACTCGAACTTCATCCAGAGAAGTGAAAGGTCGCTTGCCGATGATGTACTCGGCGAGGTCTTCGGTAATCGCGGCGATATCGGCTAAATCTGGAGCAGTACATGTGTTGAAAAAGCCTAGTACTTCCAAAACGATCCCTGAGCCTTCCTGGCCATCGAAAGCTGAGTCTGAGTCGTCGGAAAACTCTTGAGGCGCCTCGGGAGATTCGGACCGTGCTGGTGATGGACGCCTGCGTCCTTGCACCAGTCGACCAAAGGTCTTCTTGGGAGGTGTTTCATCTCCGGCTCCAGGAGATTGAGTACGCGGTCCTCGAATCAATCGCTTCCGCGGCTTCGACTCTTCCTCTTGTGACTTTTGTGGCTTGGGTAGATTCATTGCGGCCCACTTGTCCTGAATCCTTCCTTGAGCTTTAATGTTCTGCTTCGCGTGCGACACCTGGGGGGTACTTTGACTTAGTTCATCCTCGGACGAGATCTCCTTGCGATCCTCAATGCTGGCGAGATATTCCATCGCATGGTCAAAGTTGCCCCGCTTCGTCAACAGAGCTTGTGCGCAGTCATTCACTGATTTTTGCGGCAAAACGTTCTGTATCCTCTTGATTTTGATTCGCAATTGGTAGTCTTCAATGTCGTCTAATGTCAGTGGTTGTAAGTCGACTGGCTGAGCCCGTGAAGGCCCGCCTTGTCGAACCTTCTTCACCGCGACACCCCTCGCGGGAGGATCAACAGCGGACCGTTTGCCGTTCGTATTCGCAGGATCGTAAACGGCGGAGGACGTAATCTCTTTGAAGCGATCAAACGTGCTCTTCTCCGGGCTCTTTTTCATGAACATAGCAGGCTTGATGTCCGTACTCATCTGGATATCGTCATCTGAAGAGCCACCGCGATACGTCGGCTCGTCATCCAGATTTATGACCGGTGTCCGTTTCGCGGGAGGACAGAATCGCGTGCCGCTTGGGGCCATCATGTTCGAGAGGCGACCCCCAGCAGGCGAAGGACGAGAAGGGGACGACGCAAGGCGGAGAGGCGATGAAGCTGCCACCTGCACGATAGAGTTGCCCTTCGCGGAGTACGGCTGTTCGACTAGTTGCGTTGGCTGGGTAAGGCGCTGTATGGGGGACAAAGCTTGTGTTGCCAGCAAATGTTGCGGAGGGTTCGCAGGGAGTGTGGCGATCGTCTCATATTCAGCGTCGTCCACGACACTGCCGGGAGGTGTGCTGTGGACGACATTCTTATTGCGGATAGGTGTATCGGGGACGGTGTCGTCCATTATGGTGGTTTTTGGAGTGAATCTAGCCCGACTGTTTTCCAACCGCGGTTGCGGAACCTGGATTTCTCCAAAGCGACTTTTTCTGCTTCTCCGCAGTCGAGACGCGCCGGCCGCGACGGGTCACGTGAGCGCGAATCAATTAAAAAATCTGCCAATCAGGGCAGAGCAGCTTTTGGTGTTGAGCATGAGTACGGAGTACCACTGAAAACGTTGCTTGGAGTACTCGACGAGGATTTAGCTTCAGCATGGAAAAATAATACTTCGCTGTGGTCTGAGCCTGGAACTCCCATTCTTAGCAAGACATATTGAGTTTGTGCCTACGGCGCTCAGGCACTAATCTCCGCAGTACTCACTAGCCCTAAAAGCTTGAAACGTGCCACAGTGGTGACCTGCGACTGGTGCCTTTTGAGAGTTGAATATACATTTAAATATCCTCGTCATATAGTTTGTATACAGTGTGAGATGGACAACTGAATCCTGAGAGGATTGTGATGCTTTGTTGGTTACCCGCCAGAGTTAGGGCTATGTAGTGGATCCCGCCGTAGCTTCGCAGCGAGGACTGTCGGACACTCAACTAAATAGAAAGTCCCAGCTTTCTCTGTTTTGAATATTAACTGTACGAGAGAACTGGCCATCTCACTAAAAAAATAGAAGGGAAAACTCGGTTCAATGTCCCAGTACTTCTCACGACTAGGAGTGGAGAATACCTTAAATCGCCACAGTCAAAAAATATTCTGATATTAGGAGGAATACCTTTGTTCTTGCTTCAGCAGCGCAATCACATGGTCATATATATCCTTTCTCATAGTCAGATCCCGGAGCAGCACTCTTTGACCTTCGGGAAACCAGTCGAGCTCCAGGCAAGTCCGAATCGCAGCACGGTATGGCACGTCATCCAAGTTCTTCACCACGCGATGCGCAACCTGGAGATCAATATTTGCCTCTGTCTCTAGTCGTGCCTCTCTCCTACCTTGTTGCGGTTCGAAACCATTCAATTCCTGACTGAGTGAAATCTCAATGAGGAGGATGCCAAGTCTTAAGAATGTTGTAGTTGTGATGAAAGACATTCTCCCCTCTTATTCCAACTTCAGTATTTCCTTTGTTGAAGTGTGTCGTGATAATTATTTTCAACTATAGAATATATGTGAATCTCTTAGGATCTGCCTCACCAGCTTTAGATTACGCATTCTTATGGAACATATGTCCGGGCAGCAAACTTTATGGAAGCTGGACACCAAGCCTAGACGTCTATGCTTCTCTCCCGAGAACCCAGTACCTTTGAAAGACCTTCTCGATAACTTTTACATCATGGCCTGAGCCCAAAAGTGCGAACTCGGACTTATCATTACTTATGCCTTGCTATTATTTCATGATAGCCCATGGAACGCCATTCCATGGGGCAAACACAAACTATCCTTCTTTTATAGAACAGTTGACGAGCCAGACTACCTCCGACCACTACCACCGTGGGAAGGAGAGTTGTGTAGACTGGTTATAACTAGTTCTAGAGGGGGAAACCTACGATAAACCAACCTCGAAAGTTTAATTAGAATTGTTCCTTCCTTCCAAACAACCACATTATGCCCCTCCGCGACATTGATCACATGTCAAATATTATGGGGATGTCCTGCCCTGCTTGTTCCAGGGCATCCTCCATATTTAAGCACACTCTGGCTTCATGACCACCAGGACAGCTGCATGTCCAATAGCTAGATAATGTAGTATATAGTTCGCGCGTCACTTCATGGGCTATCACAGGAGAACTAATAAGGGTATAAAGAAATGGACTTATTTACAAGCTATTAGACAACTTATGTACTATATACATTAAAGTTAATTGATTATGACTTTTAGCTTCTAATATAAGCTTCCTTAGACGCTTATTCCAGATTCCCAAATTTTTTAATGAGATATCACGGTGTGTTTGTTCTTTAAAGAATAGAAACTACTCTATAAAGGACATTTTCATGTTGCCTAATCCCTTATTAATGGCGAACTCATGCAGTCTATTGAATATGAACTTAGAAAGCGAGGTGGTAGCTAAGGCTAGGGTGAGTGTTTTTATACACCTACAAGCCCCTCTTCACCAGCACTTTGATTAGGTTGGATATCTTTATTAAAGATGGGTAGTAACTTAATTCTATTAAATATTTTCCTGAACAACTTTAGTTTCATCAATCTGCATCTTATTATTAATATGTCGACGGGGCTTCTAGAACATCCCATGAAACATGTTCATCATCTTTAGGATTATGTGTGTTCTCACTACTATTCACTTCTTCTTTATGTACCCCAAGACCTGTGCTAAGACTCTTGGGAGATTAAAGACTTATTTATGCTTAGTGGGTTAAAGCTATGTCGCATGAAACCTAGTGATTTCAAGCTTGATGAGCATCTTAATGAAGCAAGAGCGCATTGTGATATCAACAATGGGACTATAAAGGTTGCGCCAGCCGGTGTGGCTGGGATACCCAAGAAGACTACTTGAGTGGTGTCTTGCTTGTTGGTTTGCGGGGTGAAGGTGAAGGTGATGTGAGGTTGATTATGTGTCCACGTACCTAGTGGTTGTTTTCAGTCTGAGCAAGCGTACGCGCTTCAAACTCTGCTCTTGGATTATAGTCTTCTAATCAATATAAGTACACATTACCATTGAAGTAGCTAAGATCTTAGACAGAGCTCAATTGTCTGTATAGTTCCCATGCAGCAACCAGAGCGCAGCTAAAGCGGCCACACCGTAATAAAAGTCATGACAAGAGCACACACTCAGAAAAGACACCACTTAACAACATTCTTCAGTGCCTCCTAAGTTAGTATAGAAGATACTTCTACTGAGAACCCAATAAAACCAGCCTGAAGCTTCAGAGTACAAATAGCAGTGCCTCCCAGCAGGAGAGTATAGTTCCCAATCCGGTTAGCCCCGCCAAGACCCCATCTCTAACCACATGTCCATCAACGCCATCCCAGAGAATGTTCATCTGCAGTTCTCCACATTTCTTACCTCGAACAACAACTATCACTTGAAGTCGTTGGGAAGCTCTGGAAGCTCGTCAGCGCTCATATTACCCTGCTTGACTACTCGACCACCCTTTGGCCCAATCGACCGGATCAAAGATCCAACTTTTCTACCTTCGCTTTTCTCGGGCAGTAGCCATACATCTATCTACCTTACCGGCAGCAGAGCTCCCTTTCTGCTCCCAACCACGCCACCCTCTCTATCAAGAGAAAAAAGCTAAACACAATGGCGACCCGGCGCCCCGGAAAGTCCTACGCAGAGGCCGCCGTCGCGCCCTCGCCAGGCGAGAAGATCGCAGAGGGCGATTCTGATACTTCGCCTGCTGTTCCTATGTAAGGCTGTCTATTTCCTTCTCCTTGCATTATGTACATGCTTAACTATAGAATATTCAATTGCCTTCTTCCGTTTTTTTATTTTATTTTGGCTTGGCTTGATCTTCGGAGTACACATTGGACTAGTTCAGTTGGCTAACAAGAACTACAGGCACGTCATCTGGAAACTCGTGGGCTTTACAGCGGCTATGATCACCACGCCCGTGGGGACGTATTTTGTTTCGGTGTCGTTTGCTTGTGCGTCTCCCCTTTTCCTCTATCCCTTTTGTCTTTTCTACCTTTCACTGCCTCCGTATCCCATTCTTCGGGCAGTTACTATACTCCCCTGATAACCACTCTACATACACAAACACGATATGGGTGTGTACTGACAATCAGCCAGCAAGTACAACGGTAGCCGCAATTCTCGCGGCTGTTATGGCTAATATTATCTTGTTCTTGTATGTTTATGTTGCGTGGCAGGAGGATAAGGAGGAGAGGGAGGCAGAGGCTGCGAGGAGGAAAGGGCGAAAGGCGCAGTAACGTCCTCGATGAGTGTATGTTACTGTTAAAAGGTCGGGTCATTTAGCACATGCTCTAAATATATGCTGCTGTAATTTACGAGGACTCATATCAGAGTGCCATTGTACCTAGACAAAGTCTTGTCTAGGAGGGCATTTGGCCTCTATCTAGCCATATGTCCAGGATCCAGTCAGCCCATGTTGAATAACTGCGCCTGGAAATGCATGCATCATGATCTCAACAGTCGAAACAAGATAGACAGCAACCGCGGAACAAAACGATATATCAGGCGAGCGAGGCAAAATCACGGCCTCCTCCTGACAAACTCCTCCAAATCGGCCTCCGTCACAACACCCAGCACAAACTTCCGCTCGGAATCCGTCACAACCGCGAACCCCTGCTTCTCCCTCTTTTCCCCATTCGCCCCAACCTCGCTCTCAAAGAACCTCTGCAGCTCCTCCAGCGGCGTCTCCATCGTGATAACCTGGTACGTGCCGCGCTTGCGGTTGAACCGCTGCATGGCCGCCGCGACTGTATCCGATTCCTTGACCGTCCCTGCGGCCAGAAGCTCCTTGAGACGGGGGATGCTGAGGTATCCGAGCAGCGAGCGTTTTGTCGAGGAGATCACGGTGAGATGTGTGTAGTCGCGCTCGAAGGCGGCAAGGAGAGCGGAGGAAATGGGGGTGCTGGGGGAGACGGAGAGGGCTGGCGGTGGGTCGAGGTCTTCGACTGTGGCCTAGAGAAGGGAAGAAACAAGTTTGTTAGCAAGTGCTTGTGTAAAACTGTGAGTCAACGACGGTAATAATTCTGCAGGTCGATTCGCCGGCCGTCTCGGCGCCGTAGTTTGGGGGCGGCCGTGTCTGATTTGGTGCGTCGGGTATGGGGGCACCGGGTTGGACGGCGAAATTGAGACTTACTCCGCGGTACTTATCTGCCCATGACGATTGCGGAATCGGGTGGCTTGTGCTTGCGTCGAGCTTTTCCCGGGCGAAGGCTTCGCTTGCGTTCATGTAGGAGGCCATTGTGCTGAGATTGAGATTGTAGGAGGGGTAACGAGACGGGGATTTGATTGCGCGATTGCGATCAAGGGGTTCCAGCGTGTCGATTTCGCCGAGGTAGGATTCGACGAAGTAAAGATAACTTCAGATGTTGTTATGAGCTGTAGTGGTATGCTCGTGCGAAATTGAGGTGAGCAGTTGTATCGGAATCAAATCTTGTCCGTTGAAATCAAAACTGGAGCTGTCTGGGCGTTGATGGACCCACTACCCGACCAAGCGACGAGGATACGACGTTTGTAGTCACGGGTCACATGCTTCTACGTCATCCGCGACCAACACAGTGAGTTATTATTGAGGGGAAAGGCCTTATCTCTGTCAGACTTTCGCTGTTCTTTTTTCCGTCGTCAATTCTTCCTCAGGCACATTCTCCTGGGAGATACAGGTACCCGTATTTGATGTGAAGAGGTTCGAGGTATGTATTTCATCATTGTTACCCTTGGCATCAGCCCTGTGGAGACGATTGGCATGATAGGCGTTAGTATAGCTATCCACCCAGCCATCTGGTCGCTATAGTCCGTACTGCAACAATTACTGCCACTCTTGATGTCTACGTGAATGATGTCTAATCAATCCAGTGTCAGATTTCCAGAATCAGTGAAGCCATGATGTTTCCCTCGGACAACGTTATCGCCAACGCCTTCTCCTCGCAACACCCGTTGAAGCGGGAGCCGCAGAATGCGGGAGCTGCGGAGATGAGGAGGCGGGATCCATTTCCGGCATGGAGTGTGATCGAAGATACCAAGAAGAAGGCAGACGCCATCGGCAAAGAAGCGGCCCGAGAGTTCGATATTGTGAGCCAGAAAGCGCAGGCCAAGACTGGTAAGATCGAGCCATGGAGTGCTAAGTACTATGCCGCCTGTACCTTTGGTGGAATGTTAGCTTGTGTATGGATAACCTCTTCAGTTTGTGTTATGGAGACTGACTATGATAGGGCCTCACCCACACTGCCGTGACGCCGTTGGATCTCATCAAATGTCGGCGTCAGGTCGACTCTGCGCTATACAAGAGCAACATGGATGCGTTCCGAAAGATCCGTGCGGCTGAGGGTATTAGAGGAGTATTTACTGGTTGGAGTCCAACTTTCTTCGGATACAGTGTAAGCCAGACAGTCTCGTCCACGTGCATTGGCTAACTAGGTACAGGCCCAAGGAGCGTTCAAGTACGGAGGATACGAGTACTTCAAGAAGTTCTACAGTGACCTCGTCGGCGTTGAGAATGCAGCACATTACAAGACGGCTTTGTACTTGACGGCAAGTGCATCGGCCGAATTTATCGCTGATATTGCGCTGTGCCCTTTCGAAGCTGTCAAGGTGCGCACGCAAACGACCATTCCACCCGAGTTTCGCTCTACCTTTGGCGGAATCTCTGCCGTTGTCGCTAAGGAGGGTACAGCTGGGTAAGGCATATCCCCAGATTACGAGATTCTGGCTTACCAGACAGACTGTACAAGGGTTTGTATCCCCTCTGGGGCCGACAGATCCCCTACACCATGATGAAGTTTGCCTCGTTCGAAAACATCGTTCAGGCCATCTACCACTATCTCCCTGGGCAAAAGACCGACTACAACAAGGGCGCACAAACTGCAGTTGCTTTTACGGGAGGTTACCTCGCCGGTATCCTCTGCGCCATCGTGTCGCATCCGGCAGACGTAATGGTCAGCAAGCTGAACGCAAACCGCCAGCCTGGTGAAGCATTCGGCGCTGCCATGAGCCGCATCTACAAGGACATCGGTTTCAGGGGCTTGTGGAACGGCCTGCCCGTCAGGATTGTAATGATTGGAACCTTGGTGAGCTTCTCAATCTTCTCGTCCAAGACTGTGCTAACCGATGATGTGATTAGACCGGGCTCCAATGGATGATGTATGTATTTTGTTTTTGCTTTTTCCAACCCACTTTGCTCGGAAAGATCTTGGAAGACATGTGCTAACTTTAAGCAGATACGATTCGTTCAAGATCTTCATGGGACTTCCAACCACAGGAGGCGGCCCTCAAAAGGAGCAGAAGTAACCGATGCATAGACCAGGATCAGACAACCCCAGGGGAAAATTGCATCATCTGCGAATTGTTCTCTGTCGTCGAATTCCGCGCGCTCATACTTGTATACACTTAATATGCTTGAGGCAATCAATCTGTTGGCTCTCGCAAACTAATCACAAAAGTAGACTACCCCTTAGCCCACTTTCTGAAGAGATGCATCGCGAATGGTGTTGAAACGCCAAGCCCTACTCCATACTCGGGTATTGCTCACTATCAACCAAAACCTTAGTCACTACTTTATCTTATCAGCGCACCCCAGCCCTGCCCAATGACTGTTGAGTGCAGACTTGCCCGCCGGCCGCCCGCTATAGATCGGACTCGCGCTTTGCCTATCAGTATCGACGTCATAAGCCTCGTCCCACTAGTTCTTCCTCTCAGTCCGAGTGAGCCAGCCGGGCAGTGAAGTCTCGGCCCTGACGTCTCTTATTTATCTATCTCCGCCTGCTCTCCCCTTTCTGATCCATCCAGGAACCACGTTCTGCTTTTCCGACTGACCCTGACCGTACGGCGCATACTGCAACCGAGCGCATATATACTCCGCATACCAGCTATCGCTACCGTTATCTGATCTCAAAATGACTGAGCACGAGGCTCCTATCGTTTCGCATGGCCGTGGAGGTTCGTATTCCTTTCTTTCCTGGTTATTTTCGTTGCCCCACCATGCCAATTTGATAGCTCTCACTACCTATCCTATACCTCAACCTCAACCTCACCCTCGATATATCCAAACACAAATGAGCTAACAGATACTCAGGTCAGGGAAATATTGGCCCCGACAGCAATGAGTAGGTTCACTCGACTTCGACTTCCATTTGCTAACCCTAACCAAACCATCAATCTCCCACCACCTCCACTTCAGGTCTAACATCTGATGGCAGATACGTTGACGGCGGCATCGTCCGCGAAGGTGTTTTCGGCGACCAGGGCGATGGCGCCTATTCTGCCGGTGTACGTTTCTATACTCTCTTCCTCTATACTCTATGATCTTTCCCCACGCCGCCCAGCGCTACGGAGTGTTTCAGCTGCGCTGTTCATCTCCGACCCACTCTCGCTCATATGCACGCCTCTACATCATCTTCACCAAGTTCCCGACACCCTACTAACAACCTGTGTTCACAGCGCGGCGGCGCCGGAAACATCGGCTCCCCACACGTAAAGCCCACAACCAAGACGCCCCACGACACAGAGTTCATCCCCGAGATCTCGGTGCGCCAGTCCATCGATGGGGATTATCATACCGGGGTACGTACCCTGTTATTGCTCCCGTTCTTCCCTCCGAAAACGGTACTTTGCAAAGATCGCGACTGGGCAACTAATCCATTCAATAGCGAGGCGGCCAGGGCAACGTCCACCTAGACCCCGAGCACGTCAAGGCAAAGGAGGAAAAGAAGGAAGAGAAGAAGGAGAAGAAAGAGGAGAAGAAGGCCGAGAAGGCCGCTGGTGTTACGCACGAGGGGTTGGCGGATAAGTTGAAGAATAAGCTTTTTGGGAGGAAGTGAAGTGGTCTTTCTCGCGGGTCCAGCCCTCTTGTCCTGGCAGACTGTAGACGCGCGTGCCAATTGACCTTTCGCTTTGAGTTTGCCTCTGCTCCCCTGCGCCGCGCTGGAAGGTGGTGATGCTAGGCGCTGGTTTGTTCTGCGCTTTATGTTTGTGCTTTTCGCTGTGATTCCCTCTGCTTGAGTAATACCTTGATTGTTTGTTTGATCGACTTAATCTACCCAGTCCAAAGTACCCCAAAGATTTGAATATAGTGCGTTGAGTATATAATATAGACGGAAGTACATACCAGTGTACAGTGATACAAATGCAAAATATACTAGTATTTAATTGTCAACAGAGCCGGAGTGGCTTCTTTTTCTTCCGTTGCGGACCAAAGTCTTGCTCGAATATGGGATAGAAATGCAAAAGGGGCCTGCCTGAAAGTAAACTGTGATAGTATCCTTGCCATTATCCATTCCCGTAAGGTATAAAGTAAGAAAGAGACAGAAAAAAATAACAAACATATCCCATACATATATCGTATCGTAGTCTCATCATCCGTCAATAAGCTAGTAAATAACGCCTTGCAATATCAGGGTTGCTGGGTACCAATCACATACGATAGAGTTGCCAAATCACGGAACCCCAGTGCCGCAGTCGAGTAACGCCGATGGTACACCTGAAATATGAGATGAAATGTAAAAGATTTTTAGTAGGAAACGGGACTAGTTCTTGCTGAATGTCCGCTTGAACCAGCTTTTTCGTTTGGTGCTGTTATCGCCTGCGTCGGAGGAGACACTCTGTTGCTGTACCGACTTGCGTTGAAGATGGCGTCGGCCGCCTGCGAGTGGCGGCTGCTGCTGTTGTTGCGGTCCCCCGACTGGGCCGCCCATGTTCGGATTGGGGGAAGCCGCATGTGCAGGTGGCGGTGGCACTTGGCCGTATGGTGCCTTTCCTTGCGCAGCCGACGAGAACTGCTCACTGACATCTGGTCCGGGACCGAATCCTTGGAAACCATAGGCTTCTGCCATAGCCCTCTCCTGCTGCTGCGATTGATCGATGGAGCTGTTTATCGAGCTAGGATCGGTCGAGTTGGCCCATTGATCAGGGTTGCTCCCGGAGCCGGAGGGCGACGCCACGGTGACATTGTCTGATGATTTATAGTAGCCATTTTGCGCATAACCGTTCTGGGGGGTTGCACTGTTGCTTGCGTATGACGGTTGTTCTGAATAACCGCGAGAAGGGTGTTGCCGCGGTCGAGGCCGACTTCCGCCCTGGCTGTATGGGTAGTAGTTCTCCGGAGGAGGCCCACCGTTGTGGTAGCCGTTGCCATTATCGATATAGCTGTTCGGTCGCGAGTAGTTCGGTCTATTGCTGTATTGTCCTCGATCGTTGTATTGGCCATTGGAATGTCCATTGAAGTAACTATTCCGTCTGCTGTACTCGGCAGGAGAATCTTCGGCTGTATACCGTTAGCGCCCAAACCTCAATCAATCTAGATTTCATTCACCTGTCCGGATATAGGACGCTGGTCGGCTGTGACTGTGGCTATATGGCCCATAGATAGCGGCTTCAAACGAGCGGATTGTGTCTAGAGGACGTTCGAACCGAGAGCGAGTAGGGTTTGAGAGATCAGGATCGGCTGAGCGAAAGTCAATTGACGCACGAGTTAAACTACCACAAACAACGTACTGATGGGATTGCCGAATTGGTCCTTGTGTTGGAGCGCCCGGAGACTGCCTAGGTTTGACTTTTCAAGGGCAACCAAATCTAGAAGAAGGGTCAACAATTGCTCCGTAAAAATGAAATGGCGGTCGCGTACTTGGCTGCGCTTCGTTTATAGCAAGCATCGGGTCGGCTTTGGTTTGTAGACTGCGCCTAACTTTTTCTTCGTGAGATTCGGTGAGATCGAGTTTATGGCCAGAACCGCTTGATCGATGGGTTTTGTCTGACTTTCCACTGGAGCTAAAAGCACGACTGCGCCTAGGAGACGCTGGCTGGGGGGAGGAGGCCATTTTTATGACGAAAGGCTATGCCTTAGCGGCCGATAGAGCAGGCTGGGACTTGGAGCTGCTGGACCCGTCGCGATCTCCGTTGTGGAGCGCGGCCACGATAGACAGTCCGTTAGTGGACCACTGCCAAGGAATGGTGGGTTGAACGGCGACAGCGATTAGCTGGGTTTTGTACGTAGACGCTCGATCAAGTTTTGAAGAAGGCAGCCAGCAAGAGCGAACCGTGCGTGTCCGAAAGCGCGTAGTAGTCGCGGAGCAGCGAACGTTCGGTGCGATTATGATTATCAGGGGTCTATACGAGCTGTGATCTTTACAGAGAATGACGTTTTGAGTCTTAAAAATAGGTCGAGCGAGTGACAGCGCCAAAGAACGAGACTCGGTGGAAAGGTGGAGGCAGGAATTCGGCTCCAGTCAGGCGATTAACCTGCGACTGAAAGTCAGCCAACAACGACCAAAAAACGATGGTTGGGGATCGACAGTGAAACCTGATAGTAACTATGGCTAGGCCAAGAGGGGTTAGTTACCTGTTGTTCAAGAGGCAGCGTTGAACGGCGTTCTCAGGATAGAAATGAGGGTATCCTTAAAGAGGTGGGAAAAGCTGATGAAAAGATGAGGTGGACGGAAAGTGTGGATGAGGGGGACGATTGAGGCTTTTTGACTGAACTGGAGAGTTGACGACCAGCGCCACGCAAGCAACCACATGAAGGCCGTCAGAACTTCATGGAACTTCTCCTATCAGCGAACACCCCAAGGCGTCCGGATTTTGGGTCAATAATTTTTCTTCGACCCAGACTGTCTTTGATCTTTGATGCTGTTTCAAATGCAGCCACGCATCTAGATCAGAGTTTATTCTTGCAAAATCATCCTTTGTCGAGCTGAAGTCAATGCCTCTCTTTTCCTTCCCAGCCACAGTCTTCGCTCGCTTCCATGGAACATCCCAGGCACCAAAATCCCACCCCAAAACAAACCATTCGTTCGCACTCGAGCCCAGCACTAGCAATTTGCTGGTGAGACAACTGTGCAACCACAATCCAATTATCAACTCTCAAGCCAATCCCCCGCCAGGCCGATTGGATTCTTGCTGATTGCTTTCCGGATCCTACCGCCGCAGTCCAGAAATAGCAAAAAAACAACCGGGCCCATGGACAACTTGCCAGGAAACCAGGTCTTTTCACGAGAGAGCTAAGGCACCTCTCACTTGGCTTTTCACATTCTCGCAGCACGGCCAGGATGGTTGGTCCGCGTCGTTCCAATTGGCCATCCGCCGCGCAACGACTGTCAGATCCTGACTTGGAGGCGCGCTGAACAGCTTCGCCACATTGCTCAGAGCGGGTCCTGATCGGTTCGTCGTCAGCCCATTCGCGAAGCTTAGCGTTGGCTGTATGATCCCCAGCGCATGAACGCAAGCCCAAACTCGCGACAGCTTGCCTCGGCCTAGCCTGCCTGCTCAAAAGATTCCGTGGCGGCGATTCATCTCTCCGTGTCATTTCCGAGAAATGCATTTCCCTTACAATCACTTCAGGTGGTTCCTGGGCCTTTTTCGCTATACTCCACCCTTCCAATACTCCTCCACCTGGCCGTTGACGTCCAGGGCGATCTTCATTCCAGAACACTGTGGGTCGGGATGGTGGGGGGGATGGCGCCTACTTTAATCCTCATTAACTCAGTTTTTGCAGAGCTTCATGCAAGGAGGTATCTATTCCTCGGCGTTCCCGGTTTCCAGAGAATAATTCAAGTACGAAGGACCTCCAAACCTGCACCTCGTCATGCTGCTTCTACAGCCATGACCTTAACGAAAGCCGTACATGCTTCTTATCAAGGGGTTTGGGGCCTTTGTCGAGTCAACTCGGATAACCATCTCCTTGCTCGCACATTGTAAGATCGCTTTTCGAAACACTAGGGATGGTACGAAGACAACATTGCTGTTATGCGGCGTTTAATCTGGGGAAGTCAATGTTCAACTCCATAGGCCACTTATATATATCGGTACTGTATCCTGGCCGTCCTGCTTCAAGCAAACTTAAGATCCCCTTTGCTACCAGTTCCTATACATTCGCCTATGCTCAAATATGTGACCGCCGGAAATACCTTTCAATGCCCGCCTTTTGATGATAACCTTTCAAGTCATCTCGACTTTATCGATATGGCGCCTACGGTTGGTATACGGTTAGATTCCAGTCCACGTACTAAACCACGCCACGGATGGGATACACCTCAACAATCCCGCCAAAGAACCGCGAACCGAAAGTATTGATGAGCCAACACGGGTTCAAGCACTAAGTTAGGTAGCAACTGTCCCTGGGGTGCCATGGGGACCTACACTATATACGCTTCCGCACCGGACCCCACCCATGAGAACACCGTAAGACCACCAGGCGCTCTTGATCTTTCTCCAGCGCGATGCATAGCGCCCATTATCAGTATCAACTATGTTTGAACGAAGAAGCTACATGGACCAGGAAATCTTGTGAATGATCCTTCCACGTCATATCGCGATGTAGGTGAAGGTGCTACGGGGCAACCCCAATGGTAAGAGTATACCTGAGCAGTGGGCAAAGATGTGATCCAGCCTCGCTTAATGTAAATACATGGGTTAGACCAGTTGACCCCGGCAACATGCCCAAGACAGCCCTGAATATATAACCTCAATGCATTCATGCCTGACTGTCTGCATCATATGAGAATGCCCAGAGCAAGTCCAAAGTTCAAATATATATACCAATTGACTCAAAAGCTGACCTTATTTTGGTCGCGCTAGAAGTTCACTATTCATAACATACTATGCAAGTAAGTGTTGTACACATTTATTATCTACACCATTACGCGCTTATTGGCTGTGTGGTTGTAAAGATGTCGTTTCTTGCAGATATTACGTTGGAGCTACGAACGCGGCGGGAATTTGCGTCGCAGGAGTTCTACGGTGTCCATATTGCGGCAATGCTGATCAAGGGTCCTGGGCCTTCACCTGCAAGTAGGCAAAGCTTCGAGATTTGACCTCGCGTCTACTTTATGCTTGAATGGCAGAGCTTGAGCGGATTACAGGCATATATCTTATATGGTTCCAATACAGCACATAAATGACGTGTGGATCGGGTTGACACGGCGACTCTGGGTATCAGATATCAAGAATGAGGCGCGATTGGTGCATTGGCAATCGAAAGACAGAGGTGCGGAGAATGCAGGTCGGACGATGACGATGTTATGGACTGAACTCGAATCGAAGCGCTTGATTGAAATGGTGTCTGCATTGGGTTGTTCATGAGTATCATATACAGAGGGTTGCAGCCATGTCGTCAAGACAAAGTATCACGGACAAAATATCGAGGCATGCCGTTTGAAATTGTCTATCGGAAAATGGACCAGAAACCGTGATTTGGAAGGTAGACAAGAGAATCCCATTTTATCTTTTTATTTTTGATTCGTAGGGCTGATCGGCCCTGCCTCTCCCACGATCATTATCAACCTGCTAACTCCATCTCAACCTTCGGCTCATCCCGTGTACGCCTTTGCCTGTTCGTCTGCGCAAGGGTTCCGGTATTGTGCTGCGAATTTGTGCGAAGAAACAACAAACAAACTGGTCGTTTAGATGTTGGAGGGGTAGAGCATGACGCGGACTGTGGCACCGAAGGACTTGGGAGGGAGGTTGTGGCGGAACTGAGCACGGACAACGCCGGAGTTACCTGGAAGGTCTTGTCAGTTTGCGAGTTCTTCCCGTACTTGTCTCTTCCTGCTGCGAGCGCCGGTGCCATTGAGACGACCGAGATTAACGTACCGTGAGAGCGGGTGACCTTGCCCCAGATGACCCGGATGTTGGAACCACGGACCTCACGCTTGGCCCGGTAGACGAAAGCGACCTTCTTTCCGAGGTAGAAGTTGGCGGCCTCAGTGTTGTCAACACCGTCGATCTTGATCAGACTGTGAACTTCGTCAGAAACCCCTGTTCTTCCCACACATTCGACGTATCGAGAGATTCGGATCGGTACCTTGTGTTCGGGTTGACAGCACGCTTTGAGCGCTGGTAGCTCAGGTGGCGACCCCTAAAGAACACGCATATTAACATTCCTGTCCAATATCCATGATGATATATCCAATGCTTCGTCCGCGATTTCGACTCGAAAAGGGTTTCCGTAATCCAATCTCGTTTTCGGCAGAGGCGCAACAACGCGATGAAGTGAGCGGAACTTACTTAACGTAAACTAGATTGCGAAATCATTCCATGTTAGCATCTCGTTTCGAAAGTTCGTTTCTCCCGCGTATATCGACCCCCATCGCTTCCAAATCTGTCCATCTCCGGGGGGCGTCTTCCCAAACTCAAAAGGGCGTACTCACGTCTGTGACCGTGTTCGGAAGGCATTTTGAGGGTATTCTGAGCCGAAACACAAGCAAGTCGAAGGTTGTCAAAATGACCCGCAGAAGTCGTCGTCGGGTTGTCGTGGTTGTCGTCGCTTCGGTTGGAGACCGCACAATGGTGTGAATCACAACGAAATCCCGCAGTGTGAGAGCGGTTGCGCTAATCCGATTTCGGCTCTTAGCGAGCAGTAGGGCTTTCTAATACGGCAAACCACACTGACCACATCCGACACTTTATTTTTCTGCTGGGCGGTAAGCCACATGACCAGCAGCCATATCGGAGAATCTACTTTTCCTTCATCCGAGATAATCAAGGGCTTCGTTCGTCTTGATGTTCTGGAATTGTAGCTTCAACCCCACCATGTCACCATTTTGCCGTCGGGCTACTGTAGTCCGAGGAGCTCCTGGGCTCTTCAGCTGACAAAACAGGTCACTATTTCAGCCGGGGAGCAAGGTACCAATCCCATGCAGTTTGCTGTAGTTCCCGGCTGCTCAAAAACCCTCCTTTGCTCGCACTGAGATCCAGTAATCCGTGTACCTGGATGGCAGGAGTAGACTTATACTACGGTGACTGCGACGGCGGAAACTTTACCGCTATCGCGGCACCTGTGGAGCAAGCCATCAGAATCTCTCCCCGTTCTTCGTTCTGGAAAAAAAACCGAGATCAACGAGAGCACGCCGCAGACGTGCTCAAAGGATCAGACCGAAGCACTCATTTGGAAAGGTCTCGCCCCACATAGATTCGGCAACCGACCCTGAATGCTCTGTTCTTTCCCCGTGAAGCATGTATTTCCACATAGATCTGCTGTTGTAGAGTTAGGCTTATCCTGTGCAACAGAGCAAGGTGATCAAAGTGCCGATATACGGCGGCTCGGTTTCTTTGTGTAACCTTGTCAACGCAACATCAAACTCGGAGATCAACTTCTAATCAACCCTGGAGTTCTGGATCTTAAGTCCGGAGTTGGCTGCCGGCACAAAGAGCTGCCCCGGTCTGATCAGTAGATAGTGGTCACAAGTGATCACACGGATAAGTCAACGGGAAAATAGAATCCGTGTCGTTCTATCAGTCTATATGACAAATCTGCTGATCAATCTCCACGCAGCGGCAGATCCATATGCATCCTGCAGTTAGTGGTTCCTTGGGATGGTGTTCAATGTTGAAAATCACTATATTTGGTGCTGGTTTATCATGTTGAGTTCCCTATTATTCAACACCAAGGGCTTCAGAGCTGCGATGCCTCCAAGTCCAATGCTTGGATGTCAGCTCGGCTTGGAACCGCGTAACTCCGGGGGCATGTTGTTAGTTGACTATAAGAGGTAACTGCTGCCACCGTCGAGATATAGACGCGACATGCTTACACGTGGTTCGGCCAATAATAGCGGTGGTACAGGTTCGGGAACACGAGCGATAACTGGCGGTATCGCAATAATCCCAGGGTATCAAACTGCAAGAGAAGCTCCGTGGAGACATTGTGATTTCTCAGAGTATTTCATAAGAACCAGCGAACGGGCCTCGTGCCGCGGACATAGAATGGGATTTTGATATTGGCAAGTGTAAAAGAGGGGAAGATGGCGCTCACACCAAGGTGGAAAGTTGTAGTTTGTTTTTTCGGGCGTATAAAAGTCATCCTGTCAGATCAAAGGTCAGAAGTAAGATGACCGAAACAGCTCGCGCGGGGTCGATGAGTTAGATTGCGAGTTGGATTTAACGGAATTGATGCGAAGGGAGGAGGGTCATCCGCCCATGGTTGAACTCGTTACTGGATGGGCTCTGGTGGAGCTTTGTTGGTTGAGATTTCAGACAACTTGGCTTTCTGGGCTCGGATAAATCGATTTGTAAGGCAGAATAATCATGGAGGATACTAGATTAGTACGACGCCGGAGGATACCACATCCCCGAGCTACGAGGGGTGAAAAAATAACGACGGCAGCTCTCTACTGTAGTTAGTTAGGTTGTGGGAGGGGGAGTTGATGGAGCTATGATATAAACCCAGTGTGATGGCTGCAACCAGTGAGTAAAGGCCCGCGCAGAAACCTGGGCTTCCGACAACTCGTTGCAAGATCTCGGTCATGTTATGATAATCAATTAGATAATGGGCAATCAGCTTCACAAATGTGCAGAGACAGAAATACCAGGAGCCGTTGTTCACCCTTCCTCCCACGGGAGCTTCGGCATCACCTCGATGCGATGTCAAGCAGCATTCATCATCAGAGTGGAAGACACCAGCCCGGCCACTGGCGCCCCACCTCTAGAGTCATAAAGCCCATAAATTCTAGCAAGCAAGCAATCAAGCAGTCGCCGCAACTCCGTAGCTCGCAGAAGCCCTCACAGCGTTTTAAAAGGTACTCTGCTCCGCCGGGACTTGACGGTTGGGGAATTTTCCAACCAACCTCTCCTCCCCCTCCTCGAGCTTCTCCTAACCATCGACACTATAAATCTCGGCCTCATTCCCCTTCAGCCTTCCTTTCCTTCAACAATTAGTGTCTGCTCGGACATATCCACCCCGACAAGATGTCCGCCACGATAGCTCGCACTGAGGAACATTCCAGGTGAGTACACTGTTCTGCGCGGTAGCGTCTCTGACATCACCGCCACCCCTCCGTGCTCCGTGCCCGCCGCCGTCCGCCCTCACCAAAAGTCAAAAAGAGCCGTCCTTATTTTAGTGTTGCGTTACACGCACTTCCCAAGTCAATCTGTACACAGGCGGAGCGTGAAGAAGTTAATTGACTGCTTCTGGCCCTTTTATTTCTTCTATCGTGACGCTGTTTCCAATCACGCTACTGGCTCTTTTCTGATCGACAGCACACACCCTGGTCATTTCATCCCTGCCATTCCCTTGCTAATATGGATTCCCCACGCAGCACGGTCGAATTGAAAGATGACACCGTCATTGTCGTACTAGGTGCCTCTGGTGATCTGGCAAAGAAGAAGACTGTATGTATCCCCGGCATGGCTCTTTTGAAAATAAGGTCGTCCAAAACTAACCTCTGACGATAGTTCCCCGCTCTTTTTGGCCTCGTACGTTTTTGCCGACCATAGCTACTCTTCTCTACGATTCCCGGCGGGTACCCTGATTAACCATTTCCACAGTTCCGCAACAAGTTCCTTCCCAAAGGAATCAAGATCGTCGGATATGCCCGAACACAGATGGACCACAATGAATACCTCCGACGAGTGCGCTCATATATCAAGACCCCGACGAAGGAGATTGAAGAGCAGCTAAACAGCTTCTGCGAGCTTTGCACCTACGTTAGCGGTCAATATGACCAGGACGAGTCCTTCATCAACCTCACAAAGCACCTCGAAGAGATCGAGTCGGGTCACAAGGAACAGAACAGAATCTTCTACATGGCGCTTCCCCCTAGCGTCTTCATCACAGTGTCAGATCAATTAAAGCGCAACTGCTACCCCAAGAATGGCATTGCTCGTATCATTGTGAGTTGCGATACTCTTTTGATAGAGAACAGTTCCTAACCGGTTCTCCGTTAAACAGGTCGAGAAGCCTTTCGGAAAGGACCTTCAGAGCTCCCGCGACCTCCAGAAGGCTCTCGAGCCCAACTGGAAGGAGGAGGAGATCTTCCGTATCGATCACTACCTTGGCAAGGAGATGGTTAAGAACATTTTGATTATGCGCTTTGGCAACGAGTTCTTCAATGCTACCTGGAACCGTCACCACATTGACAACGTTCAGGTATGCCCAGATATACGTTATGTATCAACATGGATATGGACTGACTATGATTACAATAGATCACATTCAAGGAGCCTTTCGGCACGGAAGGGCGTGGAGGTTACTTTGACGAATTCGGTATCATCCGTGACGTTATGCAGAACCGTATGTTTCTAGAATTGGGCAGGTCAAACTACATGCTAATCCGTCAATATAGACCTTTTGCAAGTCCTGACATTACTCGCTATGGAACGTCCCATCTCTTTCTCCGCCGAAGACATCCGTGATGAGAAGGTGCGAGTTCTCCGCGCTATGGACCCTATCGAACCCAAGAACGTCATTATCGGTCAGTACGGCAGATCCTTGGACGGCAGCAAGCCTGCGTACAAGGAGGACGATACCGTTCCTCAGGACTCCCGCTGCCCCACGTTCTGCGCCATGGTTGCTTTCATCAAGAACGAACGATGGGATGGTGTTCCTTTCATCTTGAAGGCCGGCAAAGGTATGCGTGTCTGACCGAGTTCACAAACGATGAGATGCTTACTAGTACCAGCCTTGAACGAGCAGAAGACCGAAATTCGTATTCAGTTCCGCGATGTTACCTCGGGCATCTTCAAGGACATTCCTCGCAACGAACTCGTTATCCGAGTTCAGCCCAACGAGTCGGTTTACATCAAGATGAACTCGAAGCTCCCCGGACTCTCCATGCAGACTGTTGTCACTGAGCTGGATCTCACCTACCGTCGCCGCTTCTCCGACCTCAAGATCCCCGAGGCCTACGAGTCCCTGATCCTGGATGCCCTGAAGGGTGACCACTCCAACTTTGTCCGTGACGATGAGCTCGACGCTAGCTGGAAGATGTTCACCCCTCTGCTCCACTACCTCGACGACAACAAGGAGATTATTCCTATGGAATACCCCTATGGTAAGCACAACGCGTAGACTTGTTATTATCAATCTACATGACTAACAAAATGTATAGGCTCCCGGGGACCTGCTGTTCTCGATGACTTCACCGCGTCGTTCGGCTACAAATTCAGCGATGCTGCAGGCTACCAGTGGCCCTTGACAAACACCACGCCCAACCGGCTGTAGGTGTATTAGATATAAAAGGTTTACGGATTAACAAGGACAAGAGCGTCTGGGATTTACGGCGTCTGTATCTTTTACATGGAAAATAAGTGCATAATGTTGAAATGAATGTATATGGAGATGGCATGATCTGGAATCTAGCCAGTCCTGCATGATGGAATTGAGCGGCAGTCGAGAAAGTTCTGCTATATACTACGCAAGTCTTGTAAGATGCAACAAGTCCCATATATTCCCTCGAGCGCTGATCCACATCGGGCGTGGGTGAGGCTCGGGCTTGTTCTTTTATTGCGGTGGGTCTGCCATGAGCCCAGAACTGGAAAAAAATAACTGAGTCGGCCCGCATGCAGCCAACAACAGCTTAGGGACCAGCCAGGATTCTTTGGCTGATGCTTTTTCTTCTTGCCAGGCTTTTCTCTTATATTTATAGCTCCTTACGCCCTCTCACTTCTTCTTGAGATCTCACTCTCCCATCCGCTGTACCGTACGAATTGTTTGTTCTACTGTAGTCGAATCTAGAATCCACCCCCCCTGGATTCGCAATTTCCCCGAAACGCCCGTGCGCGCCTTGATCTCAACCCACATTCTTGTCACTACTATTTTTATCCCCTTTAAAGCTCTCCAAACGTGCGACAACCGTTGGAATCGCAATTCCGCAGAATCTCAATCGGTCACCATCGGCCCGGCACCGCGTTGTTGTCGCCTGCTAATTGATAGACGAGCGAAAACGGGCGCATCCCCTCCTGTGCTGCGGAAATCGCAGGCACGCGACCAGTGCACCTCGCCCGCTCATGGAAGACTGAGATCTGGAACCTGGTATATGCAGAACACCACGCTCAGGAATGCCACACGCTGCAAGATGGGTGGGCTCACCCTCGATCAAGGGCCGGACGGAGTCGATGCGGATGGCCCTTTTGACATTTAGTTTGCTGGGACTCCAGTATGTATTGATTACCCTGTACCCACCTGTATTGTTTCTCCATCGGACTAGACAATTGACTAACTCTCTTGCTGTTTGAAATAGATTTACCTGGGGCATTGAGATGACCTGTAAGGACAAGCACTTTGCAACGAACCCTTCCTGCGATTCATTCATCTAATCACCTGCCTTCCTCTCCGACAGACTGCACACCGTACCTCCTCCAGTTGGGGCTAACTAAATCGCGAACGTCCCTCGTCTGGATTGCTGGACCTCTCTCGGGTCTCATAATACAACCTCTTATTGGAGTCATCGCCGATAGGTCTCGGTCGAAATGGGGACGACGAAGGCCGTTTATGATCGCGGGCTCGTTTGTCGTCACACTGTGCCTGATAGTGCTAGGGTGGACAACGGAGATCGTTAATATGTTCGTTACGGATACAGAGAAGGTATTGCTGGTTAGCTATGATGTTTTTCTGGGCCTTGACTGATTTGCTCCTCTTGCCCTAGGTTTCGAGTGTGACAATTGCTCTTGCTGTACTCAGCATTTACGCCGTGGACTTTGCCATCAATGTCGGTGGGTACTCTCGAACACCAATGACTTCCAGGTAATTTTGGTCTGACTTTGGTATAGTCCAGGCGTGTGCGCGCAGCTTGATTGTCGATACATTGCCCATTCCTTCACAGCAAGCCGGGTCAGCCTGGGGTGAGTCGCTATTAGCATTGCGCTATGAGGGAAACAAGCTAAAATCCTAAAGCTACTAGGATGTCGGCTGTTGGTCAGTTAATTGGATATGTGATTGGGTCCATTGACACTGTCAGCGTCTTTGGTACCTCCATTGGCGACACTCAATTCAAGCAAATGACGGTTATTGCTGCGCTAGCTCTCCTGGTGGCAGTAACAGTAACATCGTACTCTGTGAAAGAGAGAGTCCTGATTACACCTAGGTGGGATGATGTTGTATCCTTCCACCAGAATTCAACTGACTTGGCGGCAGAGATTCCGACGAAAAGGCTGGAGCTTTCCAAGTGCTGTCACAGTTGCTCAAAACCACTATGGATCTGCCCCCACGAATCCAAGCCATTTGCTGGGCTCAGTTTTGGGCGTGGATTGGTAATTTGCTCAGTCTTGACTTCCGGAGCTGCAAATAATCTAACATCTTACTAGGCTGGTTTCCTTTTCTCTTCTATTCCACGACATGGGTTGGTGAGACCTACTTCCGGTACGAAGTCTCCAAAGAAGCAGCTCGTCCCGCGGACATGCTCGGAGAAGTCGGCCGTGTCGGTAGTCTTTCGCTAGTTGTTTTCTCGTCCATCACATTCATTAGCTCTATACTTCTCCCATTTTGTGTCCAACCACCAGATACAAAACGCCCTCGATTCACACCTCGTCCTCCTCCCGGCCTAGCAGCCTTCCTCAGCAAAATCACGAAAATACGCCCGGACCTCCAAACGACTTGGCTCATTTCCCACATCGTCTTTGCCGCCACCATGATCTTCGCGCCTCTAGCCCGTTCCCGCGCATTCGCAACCTTTCTTGTCGCCATCTGTGGCATCCCCTGGGCCGTCAGCAGTTGGGCTCCTTTCGCCTTCATGGGCGTTGAAATCAACCGCCTTGCCATGAATCCCGTCCAAGCATCGCGCCTTTCCGGCGTAACGATGATCACCTCCACTACTATCCGCTCAAATGCTTACAACAACGACCTGAACGCCACTGACTCCGAAATGGACGTCCTCCGCTTAAACCACCATGATCCAGACAGCGACAGTGACACAGAAGATGGGATGTCGAATATACCCTCCACAGGCGAGCTAGCGGGTATTTACCTCGGTGTTCTCAACGTCTACACAACTCTTCCTCAATTTGTTGGCACATTCATCAGCTGGATCATCTTCAGCATTCTCGAGCCGGAAAGTACGAAGCGCAATGATGCGGCCTCGGACTCGACGTTCTTGGATCTCGACAAGACCACGCCGAATGCAATCTCGATCTGTCTGTTTATTGGCGCAATCAGTGCTCTTGTTGCTGTTGAGGCTACGAGGAAGCTGCGCTTCGTCCTATGATTGTCATAGAATTTCAGTTTATATTCCGCACCACTCTTTGCTCTTGTTTCCCTCCTCCAAATCATTCTAGACGAGACTAGAATGGATGACGGAACGAAAGAAGTGAGGATGTTATACATACATACCCTTCAGTCCGCTTGGGCAAACTCCGGATTACGTTTATACTTCGATACCCTGGATATGATTTTCGCATCATAGAGCATGTCCATATTAGCATTCACATACGTCTACTTTTCGGACATCCATAATTTGTTATGGAGATCTTGGCAGCGCTGCGTAAGCACGTACGCTCACTGCATTGATACGATGGTGCGACTAATCGACTTACTTAGCTAGACCTAATGTCCTAATATAATGAACTGTAAATTATAAACTATATCGTAGTGTATACTACTTGTTAGTTAGTCATACATTGATCATACAATGAAGTCGTCATACTATTACACTGAGTAGAAACAGAAAGCTCAATAGACCACTCTTGAAGCGCACGACAGCCTGAAGTACAGCGTGCGGCTACACATCAGGAAAGATCAACCACTCCTTCCATGGTTACACCATCCTCGCGGATTTCGCCGCAACCCATGTAGGAAGGAGCGGTTGCCTGACATGAACCGCAAAGAGAAGGCGATATGGGCCACTCGTCCGTCGCACTTGTCTCGTAGGGTGAATATTACTCTTACTGCTATTTGAGGAAGGAGCGGCTGTACCCATTTGGTAGGAAGGAGCGATGAGTATTTGAGGTGCTGGGTCGCACTTGCCTTTCGCAGGGATGACGGTGCTCCTGCCGATTTAGAACACGATTATGGTGTTATTTAGGTCTATATGGTACGTGCACTGTAGCTTTTGGCTGATGATCATTTATTCACTTTTTGTTCCTTTACTAGATAGATAGAAGGGGGAAGACAGAGCTGAAGGCAGGATAGGCAGAGAGATACATGCTTAGCGAGAGTGTGGTCAGAGCTGAGGCATATCGATATAGGATATAAATAGACAGATAGATATGAAACCAGTCAAGGAAAGCATGTATAGATCAAATCAAGTTCGACTAATACAAAGACAAGATGGGGAATATAACAGTCTCCAGAGGGAGGAAAAGCAAAGGGAGGTTCAGTGACAGAGCGCTGGGACAAAGGGCCTGAAGCAGCGGCCACGAAGAGAGAAATGGGTAACGATTACAAGGCTTTCAAAACAATCGTAAAGAACATGGCGTCACGGCGTTCGTCTGTCTTGCGTTGCGTTGCAGCTTCGGGACAGGGGAGGCAGGGGCCATGAGATGGTTTATCTCAAGAAAGGTGATTAGGTCAACATCGGTGGGGAATATAGCTATTCAAGAAGGGGAATAGATGCAGAACTCGACGTGTATAGGTATCAAGATGAGCGGAAGATAAATAAGAAAGAGAGGTAGTAACCGGTGTCTATCCTCAAGGGCGGTTGGCAGCTTGCATGTTGCCGGTCAACTCGGCCACCCTAGCCTTGATGCGGGCAGCACGTGTTTCGAAGCCTGGCACAGAAAGTCAGAACTATAATCGAAATGGGTACCGGTAGGTTAGTCTTACTCTCTTCTTCACTGGTGTTGCCGCCATCATCATCAGCAGTACTTGTCCGCACTTCGGCCTGCGCAACCCGTTCCGCTGCATTTTTCCGAATCTGGGCCCATCGATCCTGGGATGTGTTGTTGCCGCCGCGTGGAGGAGAGCTGGGGGGAGAGACGGGCTCAATCTTTGCGTTCTCGGGCAGCGTCTCCTGGGTGGGCGAATCCTCAGGAGCAAATGCTGGCTGGTCCAAGAGGGGCCCCTGGTCAAATCTGGAGAATTCGCGGTCCGCCGCTACTTGTTCGTTTGTATCCACACGGGAAAGTGCATCATACTCAGCCTCACGGCGGATCTTGGGTTTATCAGTCATGACCTGGGGAGAAGGAGCTGGTGGGGCCTGAGCTTCAGGTGCACTGGGTTGGGCCGGTGCTACAACAGCTGGTGGTTCCGGTGCGACCTTTGTATCCGCCTTGGTGGGTTTCACAGGGGCTGCTACAGGAGCCGGCTTTTTCCTCAGAGTGGCGGGTCCGTTGCCCTGCGATGCTTTTGCCTTGCCCTCCAACGCGGCACGAGCAGCAGCGACGGCCGAGCCCTCTGCTGGGGTTGGTTTGGTGGGCGGCTTTGCTTCGGGTTCCTTCTTCTTGCTGGCTCCAAACATGTTCTTGAATCCTGTGTTAGCTGGTTTCTTCTTGAGTTTGTGAGGTACGTCCGCGTCTACGGAATCCTTGGGAGGGGGCGCCATAGTCGCTTTCGCTACAGGCTTGGTACTGACTTTCGCTTCGTCGGCGTTTTTCTGGGTTACATTTGGCGCTGTCGTAGTCTCAGCGGGAGTAGCGTCCTTTGGCGGAGCAGCCGGTGGCTGTTTTGTACTGGCTGTAATCGAGGGAGTTGGCTGTTCCTTCTGCTCATCGGTCACAGCACCAGTGCCAGCACGACTGTCTTTCAGATAGGCAGCTCTGACAGCGTGCTTGTCGTAGTTACTAGCCCACTTCATGGCCTGGGATGCTTCGTTCAGAATTGATGGCTGCAGCGTCATTATGGAGTTGGTCTTCGTTGAGTAGGATGAATATTGTGCCGCATTGGACTTCGTGCCATTGGCAAGCTCCTGCTCCTCCCGGTGTTTTCTCTGCAGTGCAGCAGCGGCAGCTTGAATACGGGCATGTTGGTCCGGAGCAATACTGGCTTTGCTATGCGGCGCTTGGTTGTTCGGCCGCTTGTACGAGTCCTCCACGGAGTTGATTTTCTTGGCCGAAGACTTGCGACGACCCAGCTTGTTTCGTCGGGTGGAAAAGCCAAAAAACCTCTTCTTTTCGACAATGTACGCACCTGGCTCAGGCTCAGGCGCTGCACCCTTGACCTGCTCCTCCAGGACTAACCATTTTGCGTTTCTGATAACTGTTTCCAGCAAAGCACATCGTCCGAAAACCGCTTTACGAGCAGCAGGTTCTTCACCGGCCAAACTGCTGATCCAAACCCACCAGAAAGAGTCATCTAGTTCGAGATTGGCAATACTCGCCAACTCGCCCGGATCTATGGATGTTTCGTCGTTCAGACCGTTCAGACCACGTTTGTGGGATTGGGAGCTTTGGCCGCGGACAGCAGCGATCGGAGGTAGAACCTTGTCAGGCGGAAGCAATAGAGGAGCAACTGGGGCCTTGAAAGAAGCGCTGTCGTCGCCGCTAAAACCCGACGACATAAAATCTGCCCAAGATGGGGTTGTCGGACGACCAAGGTCACCTCCACCAGAATGAGGCACTGACCTCAGACTGCCTCCAAAGTCTTTCGGGGCTGAAGTCGAGATGCTACTGCTTTCTTCAAGCGTAGCGTCCAGCGCGCCTCCGAACCCAAGATCCTCAAATCGAGACCACGACGCATCGCGATTGGACGCAGATGGCTCAGAAACGGCATTAGACTGGTTGGTAGAAGAGATACATTTTAGAACTCGCAAACATTCATCAGTAAGGGCCTTGAGTGGATCTTCGTAGCCGGCGAATTCTTGCAGATGGTGATCGCTATCCCTGTACTCGAAGTTCTTTGCGCGGCGCAGCAGGGCGAAGGGTGTGGGAGAAACCGTGTCAACTATCATGACAACTTTCGTGGTAGATACTTGAAGAAGCGTGGGCGTCTCAGGTGGGTATTCTGTCGCTTGAACCAGGGTCTGCAACGCGATAGGTAGGGCTGAGATACCACTCAGGCCACGAGGAGTGTCAGGCGAAAGCGATCGTAGATAGGCAAAGAACAAATGACTCGTTGCGTCCGCAGCGCTTGCCCAGTTTTTGTAGGCGGCTTCGAACCCGTTTCCAGTATCGGTATGTTCAAACGCCCACCATCCAGCATACCTAGAGAGCTTCCGGCCTCCTAGACCGTTGGACTTGCCATGCGCTGCAATGGCAGTGAGAAGGTCGAAGAAATCGAAGATGATCTTTGTTCGCGCGTCCGAATCTACGCTGATAGGGATGAAGGTCGAAAATGCATCGCGCGCAAATTGCGAGTCTATATTGGTGTTGGTCCTCGGGCACATCATAGCCAAAACTTAGACAACGTACCTTGTTCGCCAACTTTGAACAACTCGTAAGCTTCCCAGGTCACGACTCCTCCAGGGAGTCTACTCCAGCACCATTTCATTATGCTGCACAAGACCTATCAAATGCGCAAGCCGAGTGAGAACTGTGGCCTGGAGAAGTATCGGGGATACGGATATTGGAGCTCACCATCGGGTCCGTAAGTCGCAATTCTTGCGCCAATTCATCTCCAGCAAAAGGCGATCCCCGTTTCATAGACTGGCTAAAATAATTACGTATAAAAGTACGAGCAGTAACAGTATCGGAGCTCGGGCGGAATGGCAGTAGCATGAACGGAGTTTGGAGAGCTGTCATGTAACAAGGAGGAAAGGATCAGCATACGAAGCAAGGAACTTTGGTCCGCGTTCAAGGGCAGGTGGAATTGACATACCTCGTGCCTTAAACTCCTGGGTACAAGCCCTCAGAAGCTGCTGGACTTCTTCTGGTGCGATTTCTGTTCGTTGCCAGGCATCGGTCCATGCGGGCTTCGCAGGCACTGTGCTTGCTGCCGCAGGGGATTTGGAGCCCTTTTTGGCGGCATTGGAGTCCTTGCTCCGGAAAACGCGAGAAAAGAAAGACATTTTATGTTCTGAGCTCTCTGGTTTTTCTTCCGCCGAGAGACGCGGCCAACACCAAGACAGCGGAATGGTCGTCGATGATGCCCAACGGCCGAATTATTGATTTTCCAGATTGGAGCAAGTAAGCGGGAAAGTGGTTCAGGGTCGCGCGATGACGGAGCCGTGGACAGGGGTAGAGTAGTGTATCAGGAAAATCGAACGGTCTATGATCACAAGGGCGAGGTATAGGTCGCGCAGTTCGAAGCGATGGGAGGAATTGAGGCGGAGGGAGATAATTAAGTTAGATAAACGATGGGAAAAAAATAACGGGAAAAAAAGCAAAGGCCAACGGGGGTGTGCCTAAGGATCGCCTGCAGCACAACACGTCTAGCGTGCAGCAAGCCGGATGACGAGCGGAGCCACAGCTAGATCGTGGTACGTGGGGAGGAAAGGGGAAAAACGAGGAAGAAGAAGAAATGAAGTCAAATCGAAGAAGAGGGACGAAGAAGAGAGGGTGTTGATAATGGATGATGATGAGGATCTACTCGTTTCAGGGGTGAAATTTAGTATGCCGCAAAATACAGACTCCTGGAGCCATGGTTCTTTCCCCCGCCAGGCTCCAGAGCGATCAATTATCAGTTCCTCTGGACAAATCAGCAGGCTCTGCCATCTACTTGTCATTGACTACTATCACAGCCAGCATTGTAAGACTCCCGATCGGCTGGGGATACTTCAATCAACGGCCTTGTCCTGGCTTTACGCGGGGAGAATGGTGCTGCAGCTCAGCTCCCATTTGTCGCCGCAACCCACGCTTAATGAAGCAAAACAGCCAACCATGTTTCAACCTGTCAATTGCTGCGCTGTCAAGCAGGGGTGCACCTTTCTTCAGTCGATAGGCTGGCACAGCTGGCACAACAGGCCGGAGGATTACTGGCCTACCACCCAAAGGACGACATTTCCTATTTGCTTTCTATCTTCCAGATTGTTCAGCCTTTGCCAGTTCTTGCCAGCTCCAGATGTTGAAAATTGAAATTGCAGTCTGATCAGGGGCTCCGCCCAATCAAAGGGGCAGGTCCGTCACGCTATGCCGAATAGGAGGCCACGATCTAGCCCCAGCGAAGACCAAGCTGCTCATCACGGGATAGCTCGTGAGATCAGATGGCCTTCCATCTGCGCGAGCACTTGTATACATAGTCGATCACTTCGTACCGCATCATGTTCAGTCGATGTGAAAAGAAAGTAGTTTTGCTAGACTTCGGTCATGCGTCGCCCAGCCCCCAGGGTCTAGCCAGATCAGCCTCCCAGATTAGTGCTGGCCTTTAATTTTAGCCAGTGGAGCAGTTACAAGGCCGTGGGCGACCGTGCACACTGCAGTGTGCACAGAGCAGTTTGGCTTGGCGATACACAGATCAAAGATCCATCATCCAGAGCACGACTCCTGTACACCAGACACTGGAATTATCTTCGATGTTGAACGGCTGACTTCACAGATAGCGAGGAAGGCTAGAAAAGAAAATAAAAGAGTAAGAAAATGTCTCTTGGAACTGAATCGCTTTTAGTCAACTCGCATATCCAGCCAGCACTGAAGGGCGACATCACGCCTCTAGGCAAAATTTGACAGCCATCGCGATTGTACCAATAAACGATGCGATCATAAGAAACGGGATTCATAGAGGACAAGCCATAAGATCGGGGATCAAGGATTTTATAGGTTCGTGCTTTTGCCATAAATAGCACGGCGGCTAACGGGCAGTTAAGCGGCGGTTACGGGTTGCCGCCCTCAAGTCAAGTTTAGTCAAGGCTATCTTTAGAATCTTCTGCATCTCATCCACCCGCGTCTCGACCAAGAATCATCCGTTCTTCTCCCATCCCTCTCAGTACCTATCCCCATCTGTTCCATCCGAGAATTGTCTCTTGTCGATCCTTTCACTCCCATTTCTTCTTTCACTCCAAAGGTTGGTAACCTCAGGCTCCGTTTCTCGTCTTTGTTTGCCCCAAACTTCGGCTCCCCTTGTGCGAGTCTTCCCCTCCCGACCGTCAGTCAAGCTGCCACCACGCATTCCAGCCTTCCCACACCTTCTCCTCCCACATGGTTCTCGCTTTGGTTTCCCTTCGCTTCTTTGTCTCTCTCCGCCCGATGCTGAATTGCCCTCTCCTTTACTTCCTTTGTTCCTGCGTGCGCCCTGACTGTCCGGAGCTAGCCGGATAGTCGGTATAAGTACTGTTGATAGAAACTTGTCTGACCAATTGCCCAGGGCTATTATCCTTCTTCTGTCGCGTGCTTAGAAAACTCCCTTCGCTGGGCGGCTCTTCTCTCGGGTTTCATCGCTTCTATACGCGCCGACGTTTTGTTTACAGGGCGACTCGATATCATTCTCTTCGCTTTCTTTGTTTCCACCTCCGACCTCGATAGGCCCGTTGTTGCGCACCTCGCTCGCACACCTTCTACCTCATGGGTCGAAGAAAGATCGAGATCAAGGCGATCAAAGATGATCGCAACCGCTCAGTGTGGGTTCTTATCTTTGGCGATGCACGGATTGTGCCTGTCGTATACTGACAACGCGTTCCATAGGACCTTCTTGAAACGAAAGGGCGGTCTCTTCAAGAAGGCTCATGAGCTAGCGGTATTATGTTCGGTAGACGTCGCCGTCATCATCTTTGGCCATAACAAAAAACTCTATGAATTTTCTTCTTGTGATATGCGAGAAACCCTTACACGATATCAATATGTTTGTTGTTTCCTTTGCGCCCCTGCGTCTGGTCCTATTCGCGATCTAACCTGAGACCTGTATAGTTCGGTCCACCTCATGAACACAAAGGCCCAGAAGACTTCAACGGCAAACGTGATGATGATGACGACGACGAAGATGATGCCACGCCTGCACCTGACGACATCCATGCCGTATCTCAAAACCCTCCTCCACAAATGATGCCCCACGTCCCTCATCACAACTTCCAACATGTCAACCATGCACCCTCTGCCTCGCCGCCAATTCACAACGGCATACCTTTCGATCCGCGCCATGGGACGCCACAACCGCAAGGGGCTTCAAGGCCCTCGTCGAGGAATCATTTACGTCGTGTTAGCTCCAACCTTGGGGGACCACCCCACCATGGAACGCCCCCGCCCCCTCCACCACCTCCAAACACTTTTACATACATGTCCAATCCGTCGGTTTACAATCCTAATGCTCCTCACATGGGCCAACCGCATCAACGACCACCTCAGTATGCGCACTTCGTGAACCATCCCCCCGGGCCGCATCAACCTCCACCCCAGCATCAGCCCATGCCGGCCCATACCATGCCTCCTCAGTCGATGCCCCCTCAGCCAATAGCTCAACACGCCCATGCTCATCAGCAGCATCTTTCCCAGCATCCGCAGCACAACCAGCACACTCAACACACTCAGCACACCCAGCATCCAATGGCGCAGCCTCCACCGACGATTGGCATTTCCCAACCACCTCACCAACCTATACCCCAAATCTCCCAGCCGTACCTAGCAGAGCAGCAGCAGCAGCAACCACCGCGGACGACTTCTCTACCTGAGACCTCAACGGATCAAATTCCGATTTTGAAGACTGAAGGAACGCAATCCCCTCCGCACATAAAACCTCTCTCCAAGTCCCGTAGCATATTCACGCCTATCGATGACCACGGATCTGTTCTAGCGCGCCATTTCGAATTCAGCGGCAACACAAGTCTGAAGCTGGAACCTGATGAGAAGAAGCCTTTCAAGAAGATTTCTCCTCCACCTCGTCCCGCCACAGATATCCCCATGTCCAAGCCCGCTCCGGATATAAAGCCTCCTGCGCGGACCAACAGCGCCCAGCTAGGGACAAAGCGACCCCAGCTGAAAGTTCAAATACCCAGCGAGCACTCGGATGGGGCAAGCGCAACAGCAGAGTCTTCGTCTTCCGCTGGCAATAAGACTGCAACTCCTGCAAAAACCAACGACGCCAGCCACACTGGCGTGGTATTACCGCCTCCTTCTCCCTCCGCCGGTCCGATCCTCAGCGCAGGTGCGCAGGGGCCGCCGAACCCATTCGCTAGGCCACCACCCCCAGGCACGACGGCAGGCGCGGCGCAGAACAATACCACTGCGTACAATAACAATAATAACATAGAGACACCGATATCCGCATTACCCAGCAGATTCGTCTCTGATGCGCTACTTCCGTCACCATCCAGTTTCTTCCCTGAATGGGGTTTTGGCCGGTCTGGACCAGACAGCGCTATGCTTCCGAGTCCTCTCACTTTCCCTACACCTGCGATCCAGAATGGGCCTGGATTTGGTCGAGAGGATGAGCAAGATAAAAAACGCAAGAGCCCGGATAGTGGGCCCAGTGCTGAAGCTGCTGTGAAGAAAGCGAAAACGTAACATTCCTTCTTTTCACTTTTAATGATGTGACCTATCATTTTCTATCGCGTCACCGCCCGGCTCTCGCTTATTTGCATTCTCGCGGCGTTCTGGAAAGTCGATAATTTGGGTAGGAGTTGGATACTTAATTCCTGATTTTCTCGAGACCTCCGCTATCCCTTGCTCGTTTTCTTGGGCCTCGATCTCTTTTGTCCGCTTATTCTCTGTCTTTTCTCTTTCATTATCTGTTTCAACATCTTATCTCTATACCCCTTGTCTATGGCGAGTACTATTTCTGCTCCTAACATTCTCAACTTCGAATAGTCTGTCTGCAGATTCAAAGAATGAAAAGACCGCAACGGATGAAAAAAAGCCTCAAGGATGGACCAAATGAGCAACCATATACCTAATTTTTCAGTTCACTTGGGGCTGGTTATTGATATACCTACAAATTGTACTTTTTTGGTGTTCTCAATATGATCAGGGCTTAAGAGATAAGCAGATTTCAATGGTGTGATGAGATTATCCAATTATGTACTTGATTATTTTGTAGATGCTACTATATACTAGAAGAGCCATCCATGGGCTGTACTATGTGCAAGGTAGGTATGCACCAGCCTAGATACAACACGCCGATACATACCCAGCATATTGCCGGTACCTAAGCAGTCTGCTTCCCACTGCTCTCCACCTTCGCGCCCCTCGCCCTCGCCTGGTCCGCGAGAATCTCCTTCCTCGCCCTCTCCTGCTCCTCAAGCCCCGTCTTGCGAACCGTATGCGTCTTACTCAACTCAACCGGTGTAACAAAGATACTAACAATCAGCCCAACGCCAGCCATAGCGGTATAAAAGATCCAAATCCTGCTCAGCGAGAAATTGAAGACGTCGAGGACAACGTCCTTTTGCGCCTCGGGCAGGGAGCGGATGAGCTCGTGGCTGTTCTCCGCAAAGGAGCTGCTGAGCGCCGAGGCTGTTTGGGGGCCCACGGCGGCGGAAATGGTGGATGATTTTGAGACGAGGATGTTCTGGTAGATGACCGTGCCGATGACGATGGAAATTGAGGCGGAGACTTGGCGGAGGAAGGAGAATGTCGAGGTTCCGGCGGCCATGTCTGATGGGTGGATGTTTGCCTGGAGGGCGACGAGGGGCGCTTGAAAGAGCGGGCCTGTGCCGAAGCCACCGATGAGTTGGTAGATGATTATGCGGGGCCAGGAGGCGTAGGGCTTGAGGTCAATGAGGAGGCCGTAGCCGAGGGTTAGGAAGACGAAGGCGGCGATGATGAGTTCGCGGTAACGGCCAGTTTTGCGGATGAAAATTCCCGTGACGATGGACATGAGGGAAAGGGAGAGGACTTGCGGGAGGACGTAGACACCGCTGAGGATTGGGGAGACGAGGAGCACGCTTTGGAAGTAGAAAGGGAGGTAGTAGGAGCCGCCCATAAAAACCATGCTGTGCATGAAGCAGATGACGAGGATGAGGACATTGTGCCAGTTTGTGAAAAGGCGAAGGGGAATCACAGGATAGCGGGCTATCTTCCATTCGTTGAGCATCGCGAGGACGTAGGTGAAGAGGCCGAAGACGATGAGGCAGATGACTGTTGCAGAGTCCCAGGGGTAGTTGACGCCGCCGAATTGCAGGCCGAAGAGGAACATGAGGGTTCCTCCGACGATTAAAAGGACGCCTGACCAGTCGATCGTCTTGAGGCCACCCAACAATGGGGTCTTCGGGGACTCAATCTTGAGGAAGAAGAACAAGATGGCAAAGGAGACGCCGCCAATCGGCACTGTGGACGTTAGCATATAGCCGCAACTTGCAGGGCATTCAACGTACAGTTGATCCAAAAACACCATCGCCATGTCACGCTGGTAGTAAACGCTCCTCCAACGAGTGGTCCCAAAGCTCCTGCGATAGCCCACGTTGTTCCGAAGAGAGCATAGTACATCGGCCGTTCTCTGTGAAAATGGTCAGGCTCCCTCCAACAAATAAGCAAGGTCTCGAAGAGGCACCAACCGAACACTGAACAGATCCGAAACACAAATATTCGCCAGAGTGATGATCCCACCAGCTCCAGCACCTTGTATCGCTCGACCAGCCAAGACCATGGGCAAATTCTTAGCCAATGCACAAATCAAGCTGCCAATAAGAAAGGCAAAGTTGGCGAGCAAAAGTATAGGTTTCCGGCCCCAAATGTCACTCAGCTTGCCCCAGAGCGGGACAAACGCTGCATTGGTGAGAGAGAACGACGAGGCCATCCATGAATATCCACTTTCCGAGGCGTTGAAATCGGCGGCCATCGTCGGTAGGGCTGTAGATATAATCGTCTGTAGAGACCCGTCAGCATTAGAGCTAGTAAACTTCGCGCTCAGTGTGTCTTCATACCATATCCAGCGCCGCGAGGAATAGAACGAGCTACATAGTCAAGCAGTAGTTAGCCATGTTTTCAGCAAACAAGCTCCAGCACAAGCAATAAGAGAAGCATACACAAAGCGCCCCCATAACAACCGCGATCTTCTTCCCTCCTAGCTTCTGCGCCTGCGAAGGAACCCGATCCAGCGGGTTGCCATCACCACCACCCTCAGAAGTATCTTTCGCTGCTGTCGCATCATCGCTTGTCTCTGTTGCATCAGTCCACAGTTGGTTATCTGACGAAGATCGCGCTCTTCCCACGGTATCTGACGAGCCATCGGGTTGGTCCTCGGACGAGGGCTGTCTTGCCGGTGCGGAGAACTTCTCGGAAACGGTCATGTCGTCGACTGCATGATGAGAAGGCTGTATAGGTTCCTCCGCGGTGGGTTTCTCATGTAGCGCCATTTCCTCTTCTCCTCGACGCAGGGCGAATGCGGGTTTCCAGCCAGTCGAGGGAAGTCGGGAAACTCGAGTGGCTCGAGACTCGAGAGGCGAAAAAGGGACTCGGACTTAGTAGAAAAAAAAGTGCTTGACTCCGTGGGCGGGTCGAGCCGATGGCGATGGGGTCTAGATCAAGTACTTGGTACTAATCGCACAAGGAGAGGAACAAGGAACGCCTGGACGGAAGTGAGAGCTGGATAGATATATAGTGCATTTGCCGAGGATTCTCTATAACGAAGCGGGCGTGAGGAGGAATCTTAGCAGAGCGGCCGAGTCGGCCATTACGTATAATTTGCGCGAGGGAAGAAAGCTTGCCTTCGTAAGGAGATTGGATAGCGGGGGTCTCCGACATGTTCGCACTAAACTTGGACCTCCGCGCGGCCGTGTTATCCGAGGGCGAGATACGAGTTTTGGTCCCGTTGTTCAATATTATTGTCTCCAGTGACTCTCTCAAGACAAGTGTAAATCAACACGAGGAGAAGATGCATGACGGCACTGCGGAATGCGGAATGCTGCGACGTCAGAAGACACAAGGCGAAACAAAAACCTCCGATCTGAAACACAGCATTATCTCGAAAAAAAAAAAAAAAAGAAACTAACATATCAGAGGCGCCATAAATGGAGAATCTTTCCCTGTTTTCTACAGTTCTTCCGCTTCTAGTAAGAACATCTTCTCAAACTTCAAGGTATAATCACTATTATGCTGCCAATATCGAATTATCAAACGAGGAGGTGAAAATGCAAACAACTCCAGAGCCCAATTCACAGTTTCCATGCACCATGCTTCTTAGTCCTGTAATTGAAGTATCTCTGCGAAAGGCATTTAGATCCCGTGATCCCTCGAGTTCAAGCAGATGACTTACCTGTGAGGAACTCTTCGAAACTCAACGTGATATACCCATCACGATCATCATCATACCGCTTGAAAACATCGGTCATACGCCTGAGGCTAATGCATGCCTGAACAAACAAATCAAAGCTCATCCCTGTCGGCGGCGGTCCTGTCCCGCTGACCACCCGCCCTTTACTCTCAAAGGCAGTAAAGAGGACCGTCACAAATGGCTGGCTGAGACGGTATCCGAACGCAACCAACGCATTCTCAAACTCCCGCAGACTGATGCGGCCACTTCGGTCTTCATCAAACCGGTCAAATAACTCCCGCCACGCTGCTAGGTACCGCCACAACGACACGAATTCGTCAAACGAGATCGATCCGCTCCTGTTGCGGTCAAACATGCTTATCATCATCTTCACGGTCTTGGGGTGGAACGAGGTATAGTCGCCGTTCACCAGAGCAGAGCCCAGCTCCTGCTCGGTCAGCGCACCGGAATTTGAGGAATTAGCGGCGCGGAACAATGGGAACAATTGTTGTGGATCGTCGTTGGCGGGCATAGGCGGAGGTTGCGGGGTCTGGGGAGGGCGCGACGAGGGAGGGGGGCGGTTGCGCACCGGCTGAGACGGCGGTGGTCCGAAGCCATAGTTCTGAGGGGGAGGAGATGGGTGTAAGAGGCCACCGGGCCCAGGGCGTTGTTGAGCGGGCACAGTGGGTAGTGGTCGATCCAACGCTGCTCGCGGGGGTCCTGAGGGCTGCCGTTGCCCGTAGGGGTGAGGAGAAGGAGTGGAGTGAGGAGGAATGCCGCCAGGCGAGGTAATCTTTGGTTGATGCGGACGTTGCTGTTGATTCGAAGTCTTAATATGCATGGCACCGATCATTTGGGCTGCCTAGATAATAAGAAGTGAGCCGAGGCGACGAGTGGAGGGGCAGAGTGGTCAATGTCGGCGTACCTGTTCAGGCTCCGCATGCCTGGTGCATTGTATTTCAGATTAGCAATTAATCCCTTTTCCAAAGCATAACTCGCATTCGGGTTCAACTTACGCCGGGAGCGCATCCGGGTTGTAGGCTTTGTTGTACGCCATTTCGCATTGACTGAGGTAGTGCGGGCGCAATCAGGAGGGGTTGAGACTGAGAGGGACAAAGCAGGGGCGCTTTCGTTAGGGGGGAGCGAGCATAGTCAACAAGATAAACAGAGATAAGAAAGGATGAGAGAGAAACGAAAAATTGGCTTCGAAGGAGATCAGGAGTTAGCCTCGCTCCATTCTTCCTGAGCGAGGCTGTTGCTCTCATGAGCGGGCGGAGCCGTGGGTCAGCGATGGATCATGGACCAGCTGCCAAGAGCCTGCGTGGAGAGCCTCGTCGGTACAAACAAAACGAATACGAGAGCGCCCCCTTCCAGAGCTGAGCCATCACGGCGGTTTGCTTTCATTCTGGTCCTCTACATGGTTATAGAGGCGTTCTTTCTTTGTCCGTCGTGCGCCTGACAACTGTGCTGGAGCTAGGCGACGATCCATGGTTTCCTATACTAGAGTATTAATAGTAACAAAGCAGCGCTTATCCGAGATGACGCTTGAATCGTCAGCCTAAATCTAACTCTAAAGGCCCACATGTCCCGCTTATTTAAGGCCCAAATGTACGATAGAAGTGTAGTACGTCAGGTCTTTATTGAGCTGGTTCATAGGGCCGAAAACTGCCTGGACTGGCTGTTTCATCCTGGTCCTCTCAATGCACCTTCAAGACCCTCCGATTGTTGCTTGAGAACATCCATAATCTCCTTCCAAGCTTTTGCCTGGAATTGCTTACCCTCCACTCCTGTTGTGAGCGCCGCCGATTCGCTGTCTCCCATTAGTGTAAGATCCCGAAACGCCATGGTCATTGGCAGGCTTACTCTAGATATCCATCGCTACGCCAGCACCGTCCGTGCGATTCCACACCCTGGTATGTCGCACTGACCAGTGACCGGCTCCCTTGCTCGGTCGTCCGAGCGAAAAGCTTATACATGACCCAGACCACCAATCGGTGGTAAAATCTCTTATATTGTCGTCCAAGGGATGACACGCAGAGCCCAGGGCTAACGGTGTTGATGATCACCGGGACGGTCCCATTCTCATTTCGCAAACGACCAGCTACCGTCTTCAGAACATACTCTAGAAGAAGCTTTGAAATGCCATACTGCTTTGGGCCGCTGAACGCCTTCGCCTCGTTAAGATGTTTTAGTAATGGCCCTTCCGTCTGGAGGCTCTTTGCCTGAACTCGGGCAAATTGCTGGCTTGAGACGACAGTCAGATGTGTTGGCTCGGATGCAGATGAGCAGCTTCTCAATTTCGGAAGCACCAAAAGCGCCAGCAAAGAAGTCGATAGCGTATTAACCTGCAAAGTTTCTTCCCACCCCTCCGGCGATGCAGTGTATTCTCGGTTCCAAAGGCCCGCATTGAGAAGGGCAACATCCAGGTGTTTTAGCTCATTCACTCGGCTAGCAAACTTTTTGACGCTCTGGAAGCTGCTCATCTCCAGCTCCCATACTTGTACGACCCCGGGCCTGTTTGTGCGTTGCTCAAGCTCTTCCTTGGTTGCTTCGCCTCTTTGCAGGCTTCGGCTGCCGATGATCAAGGACTCAACCCCCAAAGTCAAGAGCTTGATGGCAGCTTCGAATCCAAGCCCGGCCGTTGCGCCAGTCAAGACGACAGTCTTTCCTGCAAATGAGATCTTAGGGTCTGTCGGAGGCGTATATTGTGTCCGGATGAGCCGGATTATGCTGGCCATAATGCTCAGCCAAAAAAAAAAAGGCGTAATATTGAGTTCGGCGGAGACTGTAACGCGGGGGGCGGTCGATCTGTATCAGGGTCTTTCAGGCGGAGAATCAGATTGCGAGATGGGGTTCAGAAGATGCCTGCGCAATTCTGGAAGATTTGCGCCATAACAAGTTTGCGAAAGGTGCGTTGGAAGTGAACCATGACGTGGAGTCAATAATTCATCATCATAACCACCAGCAGATTTTAGTTGATTGCTGGCCCCGCCTCCTGTGTCTGGGCAGCCCCGCTGTGCCTGATATCGGCCGCAACGGCGCAGGAAGCTTCGGGATGCTGGCACAATTATGTGGGAGGCTTGGGTCTGATTCGCCTAATTGTTGCTTAGTTGGTTGTCTTTCCGACTTTGGATTGCCTGACCACAAATCTAAGCCGAAATATGATGCGGAGGATCCTAGGGTTGTCTTGGGAGAGACACTGGATTATGTCTCGCGAGACCAAGTCAGCATCTCAGAGTTGCGCCTGTTTGTTAAATCCCATACTCAGACAGCCAAGTAAGGTGTTTTTCTGTGAGGGTCAAGAAAGATCAAACATGGGTATCTGCGGCAACCTGATGCCTGAGGCCTAAATTGCAAACAGCGCAAACATGATGTGATTTGTGTACCACCTTTCATCACCAACTCTGTATTAGAAATTGTATATCACAACCAATTCTCACTGTAGTAAGTTCTACCAGAGTCAATTTGCCTTCGGTAAATAACAAAAGCCATCTAGGCTAATCCGAAAGACAAAGAATAACCCGTTTGTTGCGAATTGACGCAACTCTACCTTAAATCCGTGCTGCTCCCGAAATATATGTTGAGAGCCTTGCACGTACCAACCCCCGGACTCAACTAGCCTACCGGAAGCACAATGGGTTCTACAAGCCAAGAAGCAGAGACGCCAACGCCACCAAATGGTCGAACGTGGCGTCAATATTTCCCCAAAGGTGATTTATGGGTATTTGGTTATGGGTAAGTCACTCATTATCCTTTAGAACGTGAGAGCAAAAGCTAACGAGCTACAGGAGCCTAATTTGGAAGCCTCCACCACACTATGGTACGTTGCAATAATTTCCCCAAGTCGCATGCAAAGGTAAACGACCTAACCAGGCCGACAGACCAGCGCGTACCAGGCTATATCGAAGGCTACGTCCGGCGCTTCTGGCAAGCCAGCACAGACCACAGAGGTACCGCCGAGCAGCCCGGTCGTGTGGTGACGGTGATCGAGCGAGGTTTCTGGGAAACATTAGACGACGCAGTATGTACACCAACCCTGCGTTACGCAGATGTACCGACTACTTTGGAACAAGAAACAAGATCCCATGTACTAACAAAAGACACGCAGCACGCACCCCTCGAGCCAGCCTCCACGAACCGCGTCTGGGGCGCCGCATACCACATTCCGTCTTCGCACGCTGAAGAGGTCCACGACTATCTCGACGTCCGCGAGATAGACGGCTACAGTGTGCACTATACGCCGTTCCACCCCTTCAGCCCGACCTCGCCAGCATCCGAGACAACATCAGACCCCGCGTCTGCATCTGCATCAGGCCCGATAACCTGCATGGTGTATATTGGACAGCCGAGCAACCCGCAATTTCTGCGTGACTCGGCGCGCCGCGAGCCGCAGGATGTAGCGGAGGTTATTAGTCGGGGCCATGGGCAGAGTGGGAAGAATACAGAGTATTTGTACTTGTTAGAGAAGGCGCTTGAGGGGATTGGGTTGGGGAGCGCTGATGGGCATGTTACGGATCTTGTGAGGAGGGTTAGAGATATTGAAGGGAGTGGAGAGGCGAGGAGAGAGGAAGAGAAGGCTGAGAGGGATGTGAGGTTGTCTTTGAGCGAGGGTGCGAAGGGAGAGGAGGTTGATTTGTTAGAGTAGCAATTGTGCAATCGGACTGGGGCTCGAGTATAGATGGTAAGCTAGAATAGAGATTACTAGAGTGACCCTGGCATCACTTTAATTTTCCTCTACATTAGATCAGAAGAGTTTGCGGACCGACCGATTAGATAGAACTGCGACTTTGATAATGGGGTTCATCGAAGTGGATAGAGCCCCGGCGATGCTTCAACCTTGTCGGAAGTGGTACGATGTATAATAAGTTGAAGCAGATGTAGACCCATGCATTAACGACGGACGCGCCCCTAGTCAAAGTTTGCGATATAAGGCATATTGTCCCTTGCTGAACAGAATGGTGTATTGCCGAAGTAAGTCGCGGTTCTAGGTGACCGCATGTGGGGATTGCTGTTCAGGTCCAGTCCAGAAGTCGAGATACCTGGTGGTAAGCTCCTACTCTCATCTACTCGCAATATCGCCTTCATGTGGGATGCCAGATTAGATATCAACCACTAGCTGAGGCAACAGAAATTCAAAATCAACCAACGGGGGCAATCATCGCGACCAGGGAACATAGAATCAGCATTATCTTTCCACGAGCGTCATCAACCATCAAACTGGGGGTCATCGATCGTATATCATGGTCGGCAACCTGTAAGACGAGGAAACAGGATCTTCAGCAACAGGAATGCCCGGTTGAAGTATCTCAAGGACCAGAGGGTTGGTTCTGGCGCCAGCCTGTTTGCAACGTTAAAAATAAGAGCCACATGGAAATTATCGGGGAACGTACCACCGGCACCACCCCCACGGTAGGCCTGTCCTTCCGGTCGGTTGTAGCCACCGCGACCCTGGAAACCACCTCCGTTGCGGGGATTGGGTCTCTCCGAAGCCTTGTCAACACGGATGATGCGACCATCGAACCTTGACCCAGTCAGAAACTATATCACGATGCGTGGGCTCGCTAGGTACATACTCTTGGTTGTTCATGGCGTTCATGGCTGTCTCTGCCTCAGTCTCACTGGCAAAGCGGACGAAACCGAAACCGCGGCTGCGCAGAGTGTCATGATCCTTAACGACAACCTGCGACTTGTGAACAGCTGTCTTTCGGGACGAAGAAAAACTAAAAGTTAAGGCTCAGAAAAAGCGGACCACGTACGGCTTCTTCGATAGTTCCGTACTGAGAGAACCCGTCGCGAAGAGTTTCATCGGTAGTGTGCCATGCGAGGCCGCTAATGTGGGGGGTGTTTGTCAGTTGGGGGGTCACCATCGGTCCGATGAGAAAGAAAACAGTGTCATTGAGGATAGATGACCATAAGAGACGGATGGACAGACCCAATGAATAGTTTGGCCATCTTTACGTCTCGCTGTGGTGTTGAGGAGCTGGAGGATGAGCAGTGAGATGTTGGTCGAGGAAAGGTGGAACGGCTGCGATCACCAGATAGATGGATGCAACAAAGTTCGGGACGGTGGGAGACAAGAGCAACAGATAAAGCTGTGGCGAGGGGGATGGAGGAAGGAAGATGAAACTCCGGGAAGGAAAAAGAATTTGGGTGTAAGAGGGGTGGCACTAGTTAGACTGGGTAGACGGCGTGAAGGTTGATTCGAGAGGTCAAGCCCACTTCACACTCGACTTCACTGCTCAATTCACTTCGGCTCAAGAGCTCGAGCATTTACTGCCGACAGGGATCCAGATGATGCGAAAATTCTACCTTGAAAATTACACTGCAGAACAGCTTCAACGCCGGAGGGGAAAGAACCTTGGAAGCTACAGAAAACTCAGGCCACTACTATTCGACTGCAGCGTCAATCTGCACAGAAAAGCGATCTTCCCTCCACGGATGAGGCGAAAGGCAGAGACCGGAGGACGAAAGCAACCGACGGAGCGGGGGATGTGTATTGGCGGCACAGCAGGTGAAGGTGGGCTGGCTGGCGAAGGAACTCTTGAGATGGAGCTGCAGAGATAACCAAGCAAGTCTCGGAGAGATGGCATTTTTGGGCCTAGCCGTCGCGCTTGTGCCAATAATTTCTATTCTTTCTAGCCAGGTGGTCCTCTTTTCCTTCTCGTCACATTCCCGCCAGCGAATCGGACGCCAAAGAGGGGTGAATTTCTCATGTCCCTGTAGTAAGGCGACGTCCACGGTCCGGAGACAAGATGGCGGGGTGGTCTCTGCTCTTCCACTCAGTGTCCCTCTCTTTCCCGTTTTGTTCTCCGTTGCGGCCATGATTGTCCTTGCCTTACTTAATTGGTGCTAGCGGCCCTTTTAGCTGACACTAAGCCTGCACATGCAGCTCAAGTCAGATTTACAATCTCCTGAAAGCTGCAAACTTTATGTTCATTATTCAATGTCTAGACCTCCTCCAAGCACCTCATAAGGCTAGACCAGACGCTTGATCTTCAAACCAGCAGGTATATATCAGCGCGGGACCTCGGGAAGTCGAAACTGTTGGCTGTTTTTCATCACAGATGTGTCTAGAAATCGATGGATTTGACTTTCTTGCAATATTTCTCCAAGTGAGCCAGCAATAAGCTGGTCGTTCCCGAGCTGACCTTTGGGAATAATCGTGCGCTCTACTGCGGACACTGGGGAAATAGATTCCAGACAGAGAGCATGGCTGAACAATGTGCAATTGGATTTGAGGGAAGAACTCAAGTTAAGCTCTCATCAATTTTTCACCATGGTTACTACTACGCCGGTGCTCTCGAGGAGCCTTGTGGCCTGGAACCACTCCAGTGCCAAAGCGTTGACCTCTCTTTTACACCAACACCGCTTCCACTCCTTCACTTACCATCTTGTTCTCACTTTGTTCATGTGCCTTTCTTTTGCCAACTCTCTTGCCCGCTACCATGCTGCTCCTTGATTCAATCGACGAGCCAAGCCAAAGGCTTATCCTTGAGATCCTGGAGCAGGATGCCATCGAGGCATCGAATCGCTCAAAAGGTAAACAGAGAGCCGGTATGCTGACGGATGGTGACTTGGCTCTCAAAAACTGGTCTGACCAACTTCATGAATCATCCACCGTCCTCCAAGACCATAAGATGGCAAAGAGCATTGCCAAAGCCGTACTGGAGGATGGAGTTGCGTTGACCATTGCAGCTCAAGAGGAGAACAGAGCACTCGCAGACCGCAACCTAGCCTTTCGACTTGCTGGGCAGCGACCGCCGCCGACACAAGAACAGCCTTTGAAACTCCCCCAATACTTGCTTGGCGAAGAGAGTGCTTACGAACTTGATGACGAGCTTGAAGAATTCCTGCTACCTGACGGCCAGAACAAGAGACACTGCACCGCCGAAAGCTCGCAAAGTGCTGCGAATCGTAAGGTCACTCAACTTCAACGCGAATGCGTCGCCTGCACTGAGCTCAAACTTGCTTCTGAGATGCTCCAAGCACAATGCCCCCACTGGTATTGCAACGGATGTGTCATGCGCCTCGTCAAGGACTCCCTCGTGGATGAATCACTCTTCCCTCCACGATGCTGTCGTAAGGCATTCCCCCTATCGACCATGAGAAAGCATATAGGTGCCGATCTCTCTAGACAATTTGAAGACAAAGAAATCGAACACAAGGATCCCTACAGAACCTACTGTTCGAACGCAGGATGCGCCAAGTACATCTTACCTCCATTTGTTGAAGGATATGTGGGCACTTGCCAAAGTTGCCACTCTGGGACATGCACATTGTGCAAACGGGCTGCTCATACCGGAAAGTGTGTCGACGAACACGACGAGGTGATGAACCTAGCGAAACAATCCGGCTGGCAACAATGCCCGCAATGCTCCCATCTCATCGAGCTGAGCACTGGCTGCAACCACATCACGTAAGTCTTCGAGGAGTGGTACATTGCGAATGCTAATAATCTTTATGACCCTAGTTGTCGCTGCGGATTCGAGTTCTGTTACGTGTGCACGGTCAAATGGAAAAAGTGCAGTTGCGCAACCTGGGATGAGAACCGACTGTTGGATCGAGCTCAAGTGCTTGCTGCTAGGAATGTCCAAGGTCCGCCCGCAGCACGCGACGTACAGGTAGCGGCCGCACAGATTCGAGAAGTACAGCATTGTACTCACCCTGGCCGTTGGCTCCGCGTTGACGAGGGTGACAATTGTGAAGAGTGCGGCCAATACCTTCCAGACTTCATTCTGGAATGCCGTAACTGTCACCTACGCGCATGCAGACGCTGCAAACTCAATCGACTGTAATTAACGCTAAGAACTAGCTGCTTCTAAGGGAGATTATAACGCGATTTGCTGTATGTGATGCTTTAATGTTGAGGAAAAACACCTACTAGGGTGCAACGCGGTGGATGTGTACGAGTGTCGCAAGCGCATGTTTTTCTAGTGAGAGGTCACAGCTCAATAGCGACCTCCTAAACTCTCTTAGCCGAGTTTTACTATGAGGTTGGAACCATGATTGTGATCTCACTTGTCTTGCCTGTTATGGAATCCCGTGCTTCCTTCCTTAAAATTGGGTATGCTGCTCTCCGGATTCAGAGCCGCGTCCATGACGCAACCCCTTTAACGATGCGACAGAGCTCTACTACTTAAATATTCTCATTAATTCTTGGAATTGATATATAAGACTTGATGAGCGTCGAAGACCGGAGCAGAATCCGGAGCTGGTTGTCCCAAGCGGACGGTGCCGAGACGGTTATTCCACACGCGGACAACCATCCCTCCGCAAAGTTCATATTCGATGGTACGCACTCTCCGTCAAGCTAGTGTTTGATAGCTACAGGCACTTCTAACTTACCTTCTTCAGGTATCCCAATAGCAAAACAGGCTGTCGGCGCGGGCCACGCCCTCCAGGGAAGTCAACAAGCAGCACATCGGCAACAAGATCCTCTTGACTCTGGACGCTTGGAGCAATCAAACTCAGGCACTCGACCTACGACCAGAGCAACTGAGTCTCACCAGTCAAGAAAAGAGAAGAACGGGTATGAGCGCATTCCAAGGTCGAAAACCAAGCAGGACCGATACGAATACAAGGGCAAGAGCTCGCGAGTGAAGGGCGAGAGTGCGACAACACGGAGGAAGGCTCAGTCAAAACAGAGAAGGCGACATAATATTAATGAAAATTTTCATGCTTCGAACGTACCAACGAATCGCTTGACGGTAAATCGACCCAGGACTCTAGGTAGGCGGGAGACAAACTGACATGATTAGCTCCATCCTGTCCCAAACCTGGGTATCTTCAATAAAGGCAAAAGGTCGTCGCCTGTCAAGACCCGTGGTAAGATGCTAAGCTATCGTCATTAGGATGATGCTAATCTATGTTGTAAAGTGCTTGATCAAGGCTTCTCCGAATCAGATTTCTTCAATAAATCATCGGTAAATGAGCCGAATGACCAGACCTTGCAGCAAACAAACCGACTGAGCATGTTCGACTATGATACTAGGATTGAAGATCCCCGACAATTGAACCTTGAGCCACGAGCCGAATTGCTGGGACCAAGAATAGAAGAGAGTCCTCGAGTACGACTAAACAGCCCGGACATGGGTGTAACGCACGGTGATACTGCTACATACGACGAGCCCGAGCCTGGAAATCCAGCGATAATTGATGCAGCACCTGGGCCTTTCAGCCAGCTTGGGAATCAATCCTTCGAATGCGAAAAACAAGACATACTCCACGAGAAGACTACAGTTACCAGCTGCATGGATGACTCCAGAGTTGTAGAGGCACTAGAGAAGTACCTCTGCTCTGCGAACACTCGTGCTGCAGAGGATTCGGGTAAAAGGTATTGGTCTCTGGAAGATCTCAAACATTTGATGCAACAGAGAATCTCCCGATGGTTGCCAGAACTTAAGGACAGCACATCAGCACGTATATCCAGGCCAGAACAGATCTCACTCAAGCGCAAACATAATTCATCCGAAAATGGAACTGGAATTCTTGCCGAATTGCGCAAAAAAAGAGAAAAGGTGCTAGAACCTGCTCAGAAGTTGGACGGGAACCCTGCTGGCAGAAGTACGGGTTCTCAAGTTACACTCTTGGGTCCTTGTTCGGTCTTTGACCAGCCCATCAGCGTTCCAGCAGCTGAGGGGTTTCTTGAACACAGGCACATGAATCACGCCTCAGAGGGGAGGTACTTTCAGCCTCAGCGCCCTTGCCGAGACATAAGACCGAGCATGACCCACAACGATGGTACATCGCTCATCTCTGAAGCCTTTGATAACGCGTATGAGGCAATCATGCGGTCAGAAACGGACGTTCCATATCGATTGCCTGACCTGCCGGCTATAGGAGATACTATTATTGGTCGTCATGAAGACAGTTTGGCCGCCCCAGTGTTGCAGACCCCTTGGATGTGGGAAGCACAACGTGAAGAGGAATTGAACCCTTTCCAGTTTCGACAGGGATTCCCTCACTCAGATAGAAGAGTGCCGGGCTCAGTTCCCCAGATGACGCAGGCTCGACAAATCATCGATCTGCCCCTTTATTTCAGTGACTCGCGTGCTAGTCAAGGGCCAAAGCTTTCCATAGAACTGGAGCCAGCCTCCGAACCAGGGCAAGCTCTTGGACGGGAGAGATTGGAAGTGAACCATCACGATTTTGACAGTGGCCCTCTGAAAGACTTTTGGCTGAGCAGCAAGTTATACTAAGACAGCGTTGCTGCGCTCAAGCAACATGCAGTATAAATGTATTCTTTTCTCTCATTGGGCTTTTTGTTTTTGTATAGGTTTCGTATAATCCCCTTGGGTATGTTCGCCAAACGGAATAAGGAGGGCATGATAACAGCGATACTGGTGCCTGTTGGGAACAATATGTGTTAACTTGGTCACAAACAACGCCTCTCGAGTGGCCTCATCATTGCGATCTACACTGCAACTGCTAATTGCTTTTTGAGTCCGTTCGGCTGCTGGTAGAGCAAAAAGCAGGCTACAAAAGTCCGCTTATCAAGAATGGGGGCCAGACTCAGACGTGGAATAGAAGGATTGCTACTAGATTGCGTTGCTTTGCTTACTGTGCTCTATTAAATCCCTCGACCCGAGCGAACGGTAAACTAATGCAGCCCACCATGGCTAAATGTTGCGGGACACTACTCCATTGCATATTTGCTTTTTACGTCATTTCCACGCCCCTTCAGGTCGTTGATAGAAAGAGACCAACCTCACACGGAAACAATAAGAACAGGGGTTTGCTTCAGCCAGGAGTATGTATGATAGCAAGCTTTTACCATTCCACTGGATACTGACCAATACACATTCCTTTGCTGACCGTCTAGGCGGTGCTTTTTGCTCCTCAATAATGCGCACTAATATAGCATCTGGCCCAGGAACCTGGTTCTCGGGACTCGAACCGGGTGCCTGCTTCTACCTATCAGAGAAAGCATATAATCTGACCGACTCCTTCCTGCAGTATGGCTGAAACGGATGCTGCATCGATGGGCTTGTGATAGACCACTTCTCTTTCCTAACTTTGTCAAACATGCATTGGACTATGCGCTATTTCGAGGCCCCTCCAGTTGTTGCCGTCGAGTACACCGCAATATCAACCTAAGGACAGGGGTTTGCTTTGGCGTCGAGTGCAATTAGATGCTTGCTTGAGGGCGGGTTACCGGTGCACCGGTCGTACTTTCGTTTTCAAAGTCTGAACTTCCAACCCCGAAGCTCGGCCTTAACCTTGTTATGAGCAAAGGCACCGATGAGCAAGCGCTAGGTTCAAGGTACCCTGCTGTCGGTACTGACTCAAGAGGCAAACTACCTAAGGCTCATATTATTCCTAAGCGAGTTGCTTGCAACCCAGGAGATGTATAAAAAGCACTCTCTTGACCACTCCTACAAAGTTCATCATCTCACCTCCCACCTCTCATTGTCGTTCACGAGCGCCAATTCTTCCATAAGCGAGGTCCTCTATCCTGCCTGTCGTTCAGCCGCCGAATCCAAAATGGCCACTACACAAAGTCAAATGGCCTCAGCCAAACGCGGGCTTTCCGCCGGTGCCGCCATTGTACTACCGTTGACAGAGTTAAACCTTGCTATCCATAACAACCGTGTACACCCAGTGAGTCTCTTTGATTAACCTGGAATCAGCCGTCTATATATGGACTTGTTCTGACCAAACCCTTCTGTCCAACAGCAAGAGCTGACCCACGAAACAATCCGCGAGTGGGCAGAAACAGCCAAGGCGACGCACCTATACCCTGTAGAACAAGTTGCTGATGGCTTGCCTTGCCTACTCGATGGTGATAAGCCCATTGAGGAGAACGCCTCGGAGGGCTTCTTTGAGGGTATAGAAGGCTCCACATCCTTACAGTCTACAACTCCGGCCAGTCGTGAACCGACCTGGAGAGTGCGGCCTTGGGCGCCGAACCCAGATGGAAGCAGAAACGTCGTGAATAAACCACTGGCGAGCGAAGCGACGAGGGTTGAGGGCTCGAGGACTGAGCAGGAGGACTGTGGGATACAGTCCGAGGATCACGAAGCGTCTAGTGACTGGGTCGTCCTAACAACGTCTCCTGCGTCAGGCGATACGATTATACTCCCAAACGTGACACCCAAGCAGAAGAGCGGTTCCGATACTTGAGGAGCTCGGGCAAGCTAATTGGACTGTTATGATGTCAGTTTCGTGTCTGCGCAATATACTCCTTCACTAAGGTCCTTCGATATCGTGATCATGTTCATCTGCCATGTGCATCTGAAGGAAGTCAGGACAAGCCGATTGAATGTTGTATTCGATTGGGTATAATTAGCGAGTATGCTTTGTTTCAATTGTGGTAGAGTATCTTTCCACCAAATCCCAAGACAACGCCGTTATTTCTATGCCAAAGCGTGCAACTGCCGTCTTAAATAAGACCTCTGATATAGCCCCAGCAGCCCCAGCCAGTCATATTATATAAGCCTTCTCGAGAAGATGACTGCTTCCATATGCTCAGTGACGTCTTCTCCCAAGCCACCGAGCCATGAGATTCAGCACAAGCCTTGCGGTTTATAGTCCCTTCCCTTCAAAGCGACGCAAAGGCTCTCACGCTCCCTGCCGCGGCCCCTTTCTCACCTCCCGCAAACCCCTCAACTGGATACTTCCACTCCATAAACCTCGTCCAGCCTGCATAACAGTTAGCCTTCTGTTATCCCAGCCCACCACAGTAATAAAGGAAGAGAATCGGGGACCATACTCCAATAAGCACACCTCCGCCCCAAATACTTCCCGACAACCGGCACAAGCACCATCGTTAGCAACAGCTCGAGCTGCTCAATGCTTTCCTGCCACTCGGCCTCAGCATCCGAGGAGAAGTCTGAAAGCGATGAATCGAGGTCTGAGGCTGAAGTTGTTTCGGAGGGGAGTGAAGCAATCTCGTCCTCGTCTGTTGAGGTTGTGTAGGAGCGGGATCGGGGGACCATGTAGGCGGACGTTGTGAGGGAGGGGTCTGAAGTTGATGGAGAGTAGGACATGATGGCTATAAGTTTGTAGACCGCGCGTGGTGGTCTCTGGAGGGTTCGTCAGGCCGAGCGAGGTACGATGTCGTTGGGGTTGTGGTGTCGGTGGTGAGGTGCGGAGGTTTACGGACGTTCGTTTGGGTTCTTGCGACGAGAGATGGATCGGTAGTGATTGAGAGAGAGACGAGCCAAGAATTTAAGCTGGGAGAGAATATGATAGAATTTCAAGCAGTGGCCCGCCTACCGCGTGAACGATTGCGATTCAACGGCGAGGTATACAGTTCAACTGGGTTGGAGAGGACAAGATGAGGATGTTGCTGCCTTGCTGCCTGAGCTCTGCAACTATACCAGTCACGTGTAATTTGGTAATACGAGTACCAGCGTTGACTCATCTACCCCACGTGACGCTCCTCCGCGATAACAGGCTCGCCATCAAACTCAAAGCAACGGCGGAAAGGCGAGATATCGACCCTCGATTCGTTTGCAAAAGCATCATCTGAGTCTTGACCGGGTAAGATTTATATTTTCCCTTGAACACACCACCGGGGTCGCTTTATACCACACCTTTTTACCTTCCAATATGGCGGATACTGTACGTCACACCCTTGTTTTCTCTGTCCTGTCATTGTACCTTTACCGATCGCCCACATTTTCTTGTGCATTTCCAGCCAGTCGAGTCGGTGGCTGATCGCGTTACTCCTTTCTGTTCAACAACTTTTTGCCTGCTTTGTTGTTGCTTTCTCTCTCAGAAGCTTCTCTTTATCGATCTCTCTGCTTTATCCGCCTTTTCTTTAATTCTTCTTGGCGCCCTTAAGGAGAAATTCTTTCCTTCCCCCTCACTAACCTGTTATCTGAAGGCCGAACCAACAATTCAAAAACAACGCAAGTCCGTCGCATTCAGTGAGGGAACCATCATTATGGACACGAACGGCGAGGTCACACAAAAGCTCGAGAAGCCTGTTGAGGAGCAAGGTACGCGGTCCGGCCAGCATCCACCCCCACCCACCAACAGCACCTCGGAGCCTCGAGAGCACAACGTTTCTAACATCCAACCCGCAACAACAGCAGACAAGGCCGTTGACGAAGTCACCGATCTATTCAAGGGTCTGTCAAAAAAGAAGAAGACCAAGAAGCCCAAGGACGATGCCGCCGACGACGAAGCCCCCGCCGCCGCGGACGGCGAATTCGACCCCACAGCCCTGAAAAAGAAGAAGAAGAAGCCCAAGAAGGTCGACGCCGGCGACTTCGAGGCTAAGCTCGCCGAGGCCGGTATCGCAGAGAAGGAAACCGAGGAGAAGGAGACAGAAGTCCCCGAGGGCGACCTTGAGGCCGGCACGGGTATCTGGGCCCACGACGCAACCCAGGCGATCCCATACTCGCTACTCGTTTCGCGATTCTTCTCCCTCATCCAGAGTCACCACCCCGATCTCTTGTCCAGCGGAACTAAGAGCTACAAGATCCCCCCGCCGCAGTGTCTGCGTGAGGGTAACCGACGTACTATTTTCGCCAACATTGCCGATATCTGCAAGCGCATGAAGCGATCCGACGACCACGTTATGCAGTTCTTGTTCGCTGAATTGGGTACCAGTGGCAGTGTTGACGGAAGCAGACGTCTGGTTATCAAGGGTCGTTTCCAGCAGAAGCAGATTGAGAACGTTCTTAGACGGTATATCGGTACGTTTGCCATTTCCTTCCTCCTTTTGTCTTGGAAAATCTATGTGCTAATATATCTCAAACAGTCGAATATGTTACCTGCAAAACCTGCCGCAGTCCCGACACAGAACTCAACAAGGGAGAGAACCGTCTGTACTTCGTCACCTGCAACTCGTGCGGTTCCCGCCGTTCCGTCGCCGCCATCAAGACCGGTTTCCGTGGCCAAGTCGGCCGCAGAAAGAGACAGGGTTAGATATAGTTTTATATCTAGGTTATGGTTGTGGCTTTTTAGCGGAGGTATACATGCGTCCGCCGGCGGAGGTAGAAGAATCATTTGCTTTTATCTATCTCTTGGCGAATGAAAAGTATTGCCCCTTTCCTTCCTCTTCTTCTCTCTTCCTTTCTCGCTCTCACGCTTTTCTCTTCTTTCTCTTCGAGCTTTTTCTATTTCTTCCATGTAAAGACATTTTTTATGTTTTTGATTCATTTGGATGATGGATGGTTGCGGGGAGTCGAATGAGACGAAGCGGGAGTGATGAAAGTATGAAAAGCTATGGTGTCGAATGAACGGAACCAAAAAGCAAGAGACGCCGTGAAGATTCCTTAGATTGGCATGATAGGTATATGGATTGATATGACTATAATCTTGCTTTTTTTCAGTAAAAAGTACTACAATAGAGCGTGAGGGTCTGTATCTTGTAGGCTCCGCCACCATATAAACATGAGTTTTATTTCTTGAGGTATATCACTTGTGGGATGGGAATAGAAAGACAGGGAAAAGCGCTACATAATTCAGCTGTACAAAAGGAAACCAAGAGACGCAAGGTACACCTAGTGCAGCTTTGCGGCGCCAATTTGCATAGCAAATGCAGCAACATTTCGAGTTTGGAGGTACACGGTACCAGGTCCAGTAAATTTGCAAGCCAGACCCTCACCTGCGCTCATATTGGAGATGATTCCACCGGACGCCACGCGCTCGAGCTTGTACTTGCAGTTCCAAGCTACGAGGTGACCATTGTTCACGAAGTAGGACTCTCCGTCCGCGAGCTAGACCATATTGCTCTGTTAGCAACAACACGTTTGGCAGATTTGACAGTGATACTCACGTCTTTCTTGAGGATTGCGCCGAAGCTTTGAATCCAGAGCAAACCGTTTCCCCAGAACCTATAAACAAAGAGGCCTTCGCCAGAAAAGAAGGTCTTGGCCAAGCCCTGCGTTTTGTGATCATGGCTGATACCGCTTGTTGCAGCGAGGAAACCATCTCGTCCGACTTTCCACTCTTGTCCCTCACTTAGACGAAGGACAGTAATGTCACCGAGTAACGTCGGGGCAATCAGTAGTTCACCAGGACCGGTGTATGTAGACATGGCCATTTCCCCTCCTGCCAGAAACTTCATCCACCCGAAAGATAATGTACCTTTGAGGGTCATCGAAGGAGACATTCCAATCATCACACCTAGTGCATCGTTAGTCGCTGGGCACAAACGGAGCAGATACGGATAAACGAACCTGGCTTCACTTGTAGTGGACATCCGACCGCCAACTGCAAAGTGAGGAGAGAATTGGTGTCCCGGTGGCTAATACGATAACTTCCACCATTGAAAGTCCCTACATCATCCCCGGCCGTGGATGTGGCACCTTGGAATGCTGCACCGCCGAGTGATTGCGACATCCGATGGGATGCTTGAGGCGGAGGCGACTGAGGCATTGACGCGTACATCTTTTCATTTACGGGAGGCGGCGGTGATTGGGGCAGGCCTGTGTTGGCAGCAAATGTCGCAGCATTGTGGCTGGCGTAGGCCTTTTCACTCGGAGGGCTTACAGAAGGTGGAGGGGGAAACTCGGTCTGCGGGGGAGGCTGTTGTGTCGGAGGGGGAGGATAACTGAAGTTTGGAGGCGGGAAACCGGGTGAAGGCTGAGGGAAGCCAGACGACGGTTGGGGGAAGCCTGGAGAGGGTTGTGGGGGTGGTGGAAAAGCTATAGATATCGTTAGACTGTGCCTCGAAGTCGCCGGGTTCTGTGGCACGTACAAGGGGCATTTTGAGGATCTGTTGCGCAATTAGTGTGAGTCTGCTATACATGGATATCAATGTAAAGGTCATACGAGAGTATGCGGCTCCTTGACTTGGGGGAGGAGGGTAGTGGTGTTGTGACATAGTCAGCTACAGCGCGAGCTTCTGCTGGCGCCAATATGCTCTGATGCGGAGTATATAGCGGAGCTCTGCGTTGGCCCAAATACGAAGGGATATTTTCCTGTCAAAGGGCAGGAAATCGTCGCTGAAGGAAGATTGTAAAGTCGGATGAATTGATGAGGAAGCAATAGCAGAGAACCTGCGCCGTTTTAAAGCTCCTCAATCTCACCGTGGGGCTGATGATCGAGAGGCAATGCAATGAGCAGGATCTCAAGCAAGCTACTGCACGGTGAGCCCCAGTCGGCGCTTAGAGGCTGCTCGTGAATGGCAGAGCGCGTTACAATTGGCTTGGTGATGTTGGCGCCCGCTCAGAAGCCAAGCGCCCGAGCCTGTGAGAGAGAGGTAGATCCTCGAAACATGATGGGACATGAATGAGATGATTTCCAAGTGGAAGGCTGAAAATTGAGGATGCATCGATAGACTTCGTGGGGAAGATCAGAACCCCATTTCATTCATTTCAGTGGATTGGGAAGTGCTTCTCATCCGCTGGTCAGGGACGCTATTTTCTCCGTATCTTACTTAACCTTTAACAGATACGCGCCGACTATTACTAGTACCAGTAGGACTAGTGTTTTGAGGGAAATCAGGAGTACAAAATGAAGGAGGGGAATATCCTATAGTGGTCTATCCTCAACCTCGTATATGATGAAATCCAAGGCTCGCAGCATAGGGCCTTGTCTATATATCCAAGGTGCAAGAAATAAACCGACGCTGAGTCAATAGATGAAAACCCAGTATGACTGAAAAAAAGCCCTTCCGAGCCTTTGCCATGTGACGAACCTGCTGTTAAACTGGGGTTGTACTCCGGCCTTCTTCCATACTCGGCAGTCCCTTCTTCCTTCCTCTAGAAGGTCTAAGAGAACGAGAAACTTGCAAGAAAGACAACTATGTAGCCATATCCGAAAGGAGATTGGGAATCCAGTCACCAGCAGAGCCATCCTGTGCCTTGCCGAATTCGACTTTGTAGCGAGGTGTGCCATTGCATGCAGTTGTAGAAGTGTGCCGTAAACTTCACCCGCGAGACTAAGCTAAGTTCTAACCTTTATATCCTGCTGCGGTCTCTAAAATTTCATGTATCGGCCTGCGGGAGCCTATATCCCTCGCGATGTCGAAGACCGTCCTTCCACGATCATCCCGTTGGTGCGTGTCCGCGCCGAGCTCTATGAGCAAGCGGAGGACATCCTCGGACCCGGTGAATACAGCCAGCATCAATGCGGTGCTGCTATCGATATCTTTAGCATCTAGATTGGCTCCTGCTTGTGCGAGGAGCCGAACCACCTCAGGAAAGCCACTTGCCGCAGCCGATAAGAGGGGCGTATTTCCGTTACGGGCCATGCTTTCGATATCTGCGTCCCGCTTCAAGAGTAGGGCAGTAGTGTTTAGCTGCCCTTCACGGCTTGCGGTATGTAACGGCGTAAACCCTTCCGTGTCGCGCGTTTCGAGGTCTGCGCCATTGTCGAGAAGCAGAAGTGAGATCTCTTCATTGCCTTGCGCAGCCGCGAGACTCAGAGGCGGGAAGTTACTCCCTTTGACGCAGACATTTGTGTCAGCCCCATTAGCAAGCAGTAGTTTGGCTGCTTCCTGGTGATCTTCAAGGACAAGCTCTATTAGGGCCGTGCAGCCCCCAGGACCCGGCTCGTTGATGCCTGCGCCCCGTCGGCGAAGGCACTTGATCACCATGCTCGAGTTTGTTCTTGCTGCATACATGAACATCTTTGAGCCCACTTCTGAGTGCTCCTGGCTGATATTGGCCCAGTGTGCAGATATCCAGTGACAGAGCGCGTCTTGGGCGCTGCGAGTTATCCATCGTAAACAGCTCTCCACGGCTCGCTGGTCGTCAAGGCGGAATCCTTCCTCAGACGGGGCAAAATCGAATTCGGGGATGACCCATCCGAGAAATGTGAGTTGTGCGGTCGTACTTGGGATATCCTCTCCTTCTTTTCCGCTTGAGTGATATGTTGGCCCTGCCGATGGTCCCACAGCTTCTGGAGGCGTGTTGATGGCGTGCCGCTCTCCTCGCGCGCTCATCGCTCGTCCTGCAATGGCGTAGTTTGGCTCAGGTACTAGCTTCTCTGAGACTCCCAATCCTTCTAGAAACGACTTCATGCCGTGCCGGTCGCCTTTCGTTTTGACAATGTGCCATGTGACCCACCCGAGCTGTCTAGCATAGCCTGACCACCAATGCTGTTGGTTCGAGGAGTTCATCCAGTGTGGTGGTCTCCGAGAATTGAAAAACTCCGCCCTGATATCTGTTTCTAGGAGAGAGCGGGCAACCCTGAAACCCTTTTCGCGGACGTTGGCATCTTTGTGGACCATTGCTCGCTGAGCAAGAAGACCCAGCTCATAGACAGAACGCTCGAATTCTTGGCCTTCACATCGTTCACACAGCCATCGCACCATAGACAATGCAGTGTCCCATTTGATCAAGTTAGAACCACTGCTAAGCCTCTCCACTCGCTCCCTTACTCCTTTTGAATCAGCAGCGAGCTCCGGCAGAAGGTTTTGGTGTCTTAAGACAGGCACAATACACAGCAATGCGTCCTCTCTCGAACCCATGTTCCCACCCTCAAAGCAACCCACAAGCTCATCAATGCGAGTACATTGAGCAGAGAAACTGCTCTGTGACCTCGAGACGATGTCGGCATCCCAATCAGAGGCTTTAAGGTCTGCGAGAATGCTCATGAGGAACTGAATGTAGATATCCTGGGCGGCCATGACCTCCAATCTGTTCTCAGTCTTGACGACGAGGATTTCCTTGTTGTCTGAATGGCTGTCTGAGTAACAGCCGAATGTCTGCTCGGAAAAGGAGATCATTTTAGACGATACCATCTGGGCCTCCCTTTGCCGAAAAATCCATTTGTGAAAGTATAGATCTGTTGCTTCAGCGCTAGCCTCGGACTTAGTAAGCCCTACTGATCGACCGAGGCCATTCTGCAACCACTTTGGATTAGATTTCAGCAGTGAGTAGGTCCAAAGCCCAAGTATGGCCTCCAGCTCATGCGTGTCGACCCTCCATTGAAAAGTGTCGTTTGATCGTTTGAGAACAATGGGATACGTCTCCAAGGAAGAGCCCGTGGATTTGTAATCGTGAGTTTGGCATGCAAAGGAGAGCTCAAAGCTGCAAGTGCTCCCGGGCAGTCCCTTCCATCTTGAGACCACTTCCATGGTCGCCTCGATCGTACATGCCAAGTCTTGTGCCACCTGTCGGATTGGGAGGTCATCCCAGTTCATGCATTGGTGGATACCGGAGCAAGAGGTGAGCTCTGCTAATCGAGCACGTGTCTTTATAAGTCTTGCTCCACGGCCGGAGGGCTGAGTGGTAATTATAGACGTATCACTGGTAGAGCATGACCCGGATCGAGACCGGGCAGTTTGATGCACAAGGCTCGAGACAAGCCGAAACGACTCAACTTCCTCAAGGCGAAAGGCAAAGCAATCTAGCTCTTGCTGGTTATGAGAAAACAGTTCCTGGTCCGCTTTGCTAAAATTATTTCCGTCTGAGCCGATTCGTTTTGTCCTCAGGCATGTGCGAACTACAGCCATCAGAAGTGTGGACCCGACGTCCGCTATTATAACCGAGGGGTGAAGGCCGCGGAGACCAACAAATTGCAGTATAAAACCGAGCATTGTGACGCAGATAGAAAAGATGAGCATCGGTCCCCTTCTTTTTGGTGAGGGACTGCGGACGGATTTCACATATGTTAAACCCCGCGTGAGTTGACCACTCGGGCCTTCGTTGACGGCGAGAAAGGCCCCGAAATCTTGATCTCCAATTGTCTGCCGCCCGGGTTGCAACCAGTAGATCTTACTGGGGGTTGTTGGAGATGCACGATACTCGGTTGAAGAGCGTTCGAGCATGAAGGCGCAAAGAAACATGCCTATGCTTAGGGTTACTGACCCATAAAGATAGAGTGGGAAAGCATAACTGTCGGACGCCTTCTCGCTGTTTTCGAAAAGGCCTGTATACCAATATACAGTCATGGCTGCGTAGGCGAGTGTGCCTAAAATGGCTAATAAGTACCTCTCAATAACAAATGACTTGACGACCTGGCGCATACCTCCTTGCATGACAATGCCCAGCAAAGCTGCAGCCCAAAACCACCCTGGGCCTCTCCTTTTGATACCCTTGTTCAACGACAAATTAGGAATGTCAAGACCCGGGCTCTTCTCATCAAGAGCCCATTTCCCTTCATGCTCAGACCAAGCACCTTCCCGAATCGCCTCTCGAAGGGTTCCAAGCTTGTAGGACGTCTCCTTTGTACACAAGTCCATCTCCTCCCATACCATAACCTCCAGAAGCCTGGGCCTACCAGGTACCCTAGAGATGCCACCATTGTTGAACAGCTCTGCAGTGGCATCAGAGACGCATGATAGAAGCTCATTCTCTGCTTCTCCGGGAGCCTCGTTGGCCCGACCCACAAACGCTCGAAGAGAGGAGGTTCCGCAAATACGAATGACAGATACCACGGCTGTGAGAATTCCGAGTGGTGAGAGGGCGAAGATGAGGTTATCGAGGAGGCTGGTTGATTCAGAGAGGTATTGCTTGGTGAGGCGTTCGCCAAAGAGGGCGACAAGAGGGGCCTGATTGCAGCATTAGGTGGTTTGAAACAATGTCTAGCTGGTTGTTGGTTTGTTTGACTATGGGTAGCAAGAGGTCACATACCAAGTCTGTAGCAAAATTATCAGCAAATTCTTCCCACCCCTCAGCCGACACGGCTCCAAAGAGAGATATGAAGACAAAGCAGTGCCAGAGCGCCATAGTATATATCAACGTCCAGGGTTGAAAACAACAACAGATAGACCGTCGGAAACGTTCTCCATTATTTTCACAGGAAAAGCGCGAACAGGGGCTGAACTGACATTATATTTCCAACGAGGCTGGACGAGCCATGTCGGCCTTGAGGGTCGCCTCGCGCGCGCCCCTCATCAGCAACTTGACTGCGGCATCAAGCTAGAACAAGCCAATGAACTTGCGCAACCCCAGTTACATTGGGGGTTGTCGGTGTTTTGCATCGCAATGTTGGAGAATGAAAATCTACGAGTGGGTGCTGCCACGTTTGCCGGCGCTTATGTGCAGCGACTCCTTATTATAGAATGAAGGCGCCAGTCTGAAACACGAACGGTTGGAGACGCTGCGCCAGCTGCTGATCGAGGACTTTTCAAGCAGATGTCACTTACTTGTTTCTTTTCCTAGTAATATTATGGACCAAAAAACGCCGCGTTGCAGACAGATACCCTAAAGCCAAGTTTGACACTTGGAGACTGGCCCGTAACTATTCCGTGGAGAGCAGACCATTAACTCTTCCTAGGCCATCAAGATCTCTTGATGAGGCCTTCATAAAACAAGAATAGGGTAATTCAAACCACCAACGCCATTCCCATGAAACCGATGAGGCGACAGAAAACTGGAGGACGAAGCGCATCTCGCGTTCGACTCTAGAAACAAATGGCAAACCAGGCCATAGTTGTGAAAGATGGATTAGAAAATGCTGTTGACGATGTTGGAACCAATTGTAGCACCGGCGCCAAAGATCGCTGCGACGATTGGCTTTGTTAGTTTCCCAGAACTGTCAAGCAAGAAGAGGACATCACAAGAACGACTTACCAGCATTGCCCATCTTCTTGCCGAACTTCTTGCCGTGTTCCTCGAACTTGTTGGCCTTTCCAGGTGTGGATGGAGAGCCACTCTGGCTGACTTCAAGCGGCATGTTTCCGTAGCCGGAACCTGATGGAGCGGGCTTCTCGTCTAGGACATTGACGTAGCTACGGGGGAATATACCCTCCAGGTTCGTACGCTCGTTGCGACCACGCCACCCTATGATAGATTAATGACCAGCTAACAACGGAGTTTTCAAGGCAATCAGCATACAGTCGGCATTCATATGCTCAAGAACTTGCACACGATCGTGCGGTTGCAGAGCAAGGTCCCCAGGGTCTGTTGGACTGTATGCATAAAGTGCCGAGGCAATGGAAAGGATGGTCGGAGCCTGCGGATAAGCAGGAGGTGGGCTCGCATAATGCTGTTGAGGTGGGGGTGGGTTCATTCCATATTGCGCCTTTTCGTTCAGAGTGGTGTTGGCAAATTGGGTGGTCGGGGGTGAGTACGGAGTGGGGGAAGGTAGGGTCTGTGTTGGAACTGGTTGCTGCACTGGAGATGGGTCTGACGGCGCCGACACTTGACGCTGACTCTCAGTTGTGCTGGGAGAGTTGGGTAGCTGTGATAGAATGGACGAGAGCTGCTGAGGAGTAATAACTGCGGATTCTGCGAGAAACTCCAACTCCTAAAACACAGAAAAATATTAGAACACACGACACAAGACTGAGATGTCATACGGCAAATCAAGGGGTTATCGTACCGATCGGACATTACGGAGCGACCGGTTGGTCAGGGCCGAGTAGAACGTCTCTTGAGACGCCATGACAGGCTTGGAAATGGACGGAAAGGCAAATGCAGGGTATCAGGCAGAAGAAATTGGTATAGTAAAGATGGACAAGCAAAAGAAAACGACTCCAAACGAGGAGACTATTGCAAAGTTGTTGGTTGACGATGGGATGGATGGGTGGTTGATGTTTTAGTACATGGGGCCGAGACAGGGACGACACAGTCGCTAGCCTGAGGCCGAATCAGGCGCCAGGCAGAACAATTGGAGATGATTGATTCCGGCTCTTGTCTCCTCAGGGCCTCAGGCACCGCCCATAGATTTATGAATCACAATGAATAATAATCCACCAATTGCCTCAGCCACACTCAGCATTTCACTTGGCTTTGTTACTTCAAGATGTGCCCACGTTGTATTGAGGTCTGGGTCCCAAAGTGGAAGGCATTCAATACAAAGGTTTGCTTTGTACTTAATGGCCGTCGGCTTTACAGATCCTCGATGTCTGGCTTATATCCACGTCCTACTCTATACTTCGGCACTGATCGCATGCGACTGTGAGAGCACCTTTGCCGATGAAGCGTTATTTGCCCCTACAAATTGAGCCAAGGATCCCCGATCCATGGTGTTGTCCCTCTGATCACCGATGGCAAACGTGACATTTGCCTCGTTGAAGGCTTCGTTCCAGAGCGATTTGACTCAAAGCCAAGTGATGTCAGCCACACTAAACCCAAATAAGGCTAGCGTTTTCCGCCCCATCCAAACTCCGCCATCAAAGGCTCGAGAAACTTCTGTGTCATCGATATAAATACGGTGGACCGCCTTGAGGCTTGAACATCTCTTCTCCAAACCTCACGCGATCGAACTCTTCACCCGCCACGCTCTCTACCGATAGACCACATAGACCGATATACCGTCTTCTTGCTTTCAATCGATTCTCCATAAATACCGCAACCATGAGCGACTGGGATTCTGTTACTCGCATTGGCACTAAGCACCGCTCCGGCCCCGCTCCCCGCGAGACCGTCGTTAAGGGCAAGAGCGCTCTGAACGCCGCCCAGCGCTCCGGCCTTGTTATTGGAACTGAGAAGAAGTACGCTTCTGGCAATGCTGTAAGTACTATGTAGCCTCCCGGGGACCTTGGTTTATCTTGTCCGCCGCCCTTGCTAACCCCTCCTTCCAGGCCGGACGTGCAGGCGCCGTTGAAGGCCAACACCTGACCAAGGTCGACCGCAGCGACGACATCGTTAAGCCCAAGACCGTCGGCCTGCAAGTTGCCGACGCTATCAAGAAGCGTCGAACCGACGAGGGATACAAGATGACACAGAAGGAGCTCGCCACCAAGTGCAACACCACCGTCACCGTCATCCAAGACTTCGAGAGGGGAACAGCCACGCCAGACCAGAAGGTGCTTAGCGCTATGGAGCGTGTGCTGAACGTCAAGCTAAGGGGCAACGACATCGGAGCCGAGAAGTTCCCTAAGAAGAAGTAAATCGACCGGGGGTGAGCCCGCGACTTTTTCTATGGGAAGGGGGGACATTTGTTGATGAATTTCTCCTGTTTTCTCTTCTTCTTCGGCCTTTATGTCCCAGGCCTTTTTCGGTTGTTATGTTACGCCTTCATTGAATGATATGACACATCTTTGCCCTCCGTGATTTTGGTCTGCGTTAGAAGAGCGTCAACCTGGTGTTGAACTGATTAGACCTAAACCAACAGTTTTCGTCAAAATGAATACAATTTACCTACGAGACAAAGATACAGTGAAGTAAGAATTTTTTTTTTCATTAGGACACGAAAAGCGACCCTGAAATAGACTATGATACCAACTCCGTCTTATCATGGAATAGATGAAATGTAACTCATGACTTCAGTCACCCCAGGACCTCCTTGTAAGTACTCACCACCCTGTGGTCATCTCTTTTCTGTGCTTTTGTTGGAAACAAATATATGCCATCACTTCATGACACATCAAGAGATGCATAAACTAGGAAAAGAATTCTACCATCATCTAACATCATGCAATTCACCGTCTCAGTTGCTCCCTCTCGACCTCGTACATAAAGTCAAAGTAGGGCTTGTCGAAGTGGTGCACACGGACGTAACCGTCCTCTCCGCCTGAGGCGTAGGCGGTGCCGGCGGGGTGGACGTGGATAGTGTTGAGAGGGCCGAAGTGACCCCTGACACGGCCGATCTCGTCCTCGAAAACCTTGTGGTAGAAGCGAGCCTCGAATTTACCCTGGCGGGCGGATGTTGTCGTGACATCCATGGCGGCTTGACCACCTCCTAGAATCACGTAATCTTTCTTGGGTGTGATGGCGGCGCTGTTCAGTGGTGTGTCGGCGACGTAGGTCTTCATGATGGCGAGGTTACGGGCGGACATGAGCTGTGGATTGTTAGTGTCGGTTGAGATGCAATATACGGAAACTGCATTACCTTGGCGGACTTGTCCTTGGAGGCAGTGAGGAAGTAGGTGCGGTCGGGGGAGAATTGGAGATCGTTGATCTGGTGGTCGAACTCGTGGGCCTGGACGTTTTCCAGCTGCTCACCGGTCTAAAACAGCACACTTAGCATATAACATCACCTTCCAATCGTCAAGTCGTCTCGTACCTTTCCATCGTACTGGCTGACACTTCCATCTTCGTGACCAGCGATGATGTACTTGGCCAGATAACTCCACCCGGCAACTGTGGCCTTGCTCTCTGTGCAGGTAATCTTCAGGCTGGGCTCTTCGGCCTGGTTCGTGAAATCATCGTCGTAGTTGATATCCAGCACATTGATCGTACCCAGAAAACCCATACGCTTCTCCGTCACGGCCAGAAGTTTGCTTCCATCCGGAGTGAATTCGACCCGCTTAACGGCTGTAGGGAACTCCCACACCTTCACGCACTCGCCAGTCTTAACGTTCCATAAGCGCACGGAGTTGTCTGCAGAGCCGGTCGCGAGGAGAATAGTGTTGGGGCTGACATCGACAGTCCAGATAGCACCGAGATGTCCGGCGTAGGTACCAAGTCGTTCACCGTTGGCTGACCACCAAGCGCACACAATCTTGTCTTTGGCTACCGAGAATAGAAGATCGCCGTCGCGGTTGAATTTGATCTGGTTGAGGGACCGTTCCTGGAAGAAAGAAAGAGGTCAGCGACTCGTCACAAAGTGTCAGAGGCACCAGGAGACCTCGAGCAGTCTCTTCTGGGCCTGTCCGGGGAAAACGCACATGGCCCGCAAGCAAAATAGGTCTCATTTTGGCCGAACAATATGGAATTTAAATGAGGTCGCGGCGGGGGGTAAAAATCCTCAGTCACAGATGAATAGTCTCTGTGACACACCAGGCTGGCACTGCGAGTTGAGGCTGATTGTCTGGCGGGGTTGATTGCGGCGGCGTTTCTCTTAACTTCACCCGTCAAGTTCACGAATTTCCATCGCACAGTCCGCGGGCCCATGCCAAGACCTTTCCCAATGGGCTCTTTCTTTCTGACCCAGCGTACCGGAGCTCAAGATTTTCCGGTATCTCTGTATTGAGTCATGTGATCCAGACAGCCCTCTGGAACTTCCGTGGCCATCCTCAACCAGGGAAAGTGTGATCGACGCCAGCCTCGGCCTGCTGATGTCAGCGCCCGCCTCCGTGGAGCCAATAAACATTGAGCATTGTCGGAGATTCCCGTGCGCAAGCCGGAGCAAAGGGAAGAAAAAAGCATGAGCATGAGCCTGTATACAATCGAAAAGGGGACCTTGATGAAGGCTGAGAAGCTGCTGCTGTGTTAATTGACACCTTCTAGGCGCTGCCCTTATTCAGTCATCAAATTTACTGTCCATATTATCCATTCGCATTTCAAATTGGCTCCGCTAGATTGACCTTTTCCTATCTGCCCACCAGTTCTCCGGCGCGCTGCACCCGAAAGGAGCAATTGATGCCATATCCCCCCGCCTATTCGGCGACCGTACCCCGCTGTGCTGCTCGAGCAAAGAGCTTCGGCCTGCATCCGAGGGTTCAGCGTCAATCAACTGACTTTCGCCAATTTTCTCTCTGGGACACATCCTTTCTCTCATCTTCCCCTGCTCGACGCGGGTTTTTGACTCTTTGTCGTCGGACATCAACCCTTCCCCGACGTTGTTCGGAAAACCTCAGATACTTTCCCGACGTACAGTGCCAGACCCGTCGTCTTTTTTCTAGCACCAGAATCGCCATGGCGGCCGAAAAGATCGATGGCACCCAGATCGCAAAGGATATCCGCGCGGGGTTGAAGAGTGAGATTCAGCAGATCCAGCAGTCTAACCCTCGATTCAAACCCAGCCTTGTCATCTTTCAGGGTACGTATAATCTCTACCTCTATGAGAGCTATTAGGAAAACACTGACGGTGCAATTCAAAAGTCGGCAGCAGGTCTGATTCAAGTGAGTGAGAACTGTCACAGGCGCGGGGTAGGATTCGGAGGGGCTAACCTGTCATACCTTCAGGCACATATGTGCGCATGAAGCTCAAGGCTGCCGAGGAAGTATGTTACTATTCTGTCAACCTGCAGTTACAACCATGCACGATTGGCTAATTCTTGCTTATATCTAGGCGGACATCCTTTGCAAAGTCATCAACTTCCCCGAGTCTATCACACAACCCGAGATCCTCCAGGAGATCAGCCAGGCCAACAATGACCCTTCAGTACATGGAATCCTCGTCCAACTGCCCCTACCCCAGCACCTCTCTGAGCACACAGTTACCTCCGCTGTCGCTGACGAGAAAGACGTTGATGGATTTGGAGCCATAAACATCGGGGAGCTGGCCAAGAGGGGTGGCCGCCCTCTGTTTGTGCCATGCACTCCCAAAGCCGTGATGGCCCTTCTCAAGGCCAGCGGTGTTGACCCTGCTGGCAAGGAGGCAGTTGTGCTTGGACGAAGCGACATTGTCGGAAGCCCTGTTAGCTATCTTCTCAAGGACGCGGATGCCACTGTAACTGTCTGCCATTCCAAGACCCCCGATATCCCCCGCATTGTGAAGAACGCGGACATCATTGTGGCAGCCATTGGAAAGGCTGAATTCATCAAGGGAGAGTGGGTGAAGCCCGGCGCTGTCGTGATTGACGTCGGTATCAACTACAAGCCAGACTCTACGAAGAAGTCCGGTCAACGCCTTGTTGGCGACGTCGACTTTGAGACTGCCTCCCAAGTGGCCTCGAAGATTACACCCGTTCCTGGTGGTGTTGGCCCTATGACCGTGGCCATGCTGTTGGAGAACGTCGTCGCCTCCGCCAAAGCGTACTTCGAGAAGCAGAAGGAGCGCCACATTACCCCGCTCCCAATCAAATTGACTACTCCCGTCCCCTCAGATATCGCCATCTCTCGCGCACAATACCCGAAGCCCATCACACAAGTGGCCACAGAGATTGGTATTGCGCCTCACGAGCTTGAGCCTTTCGGTCACACCAAGGCCAAGGTAAGCCTTGGAGTCCTCAACCGTTTGTCACACCGCCGCAATGGCCGATACATCTTGGTCTGTGGTATCACTCCGACTCCCCTCGGTGAGGGCAAGTCGACAACGACCTTGGGTCTGAGCCAGGCTCTCGGTGCGCATCTCAACCGTGTCGTTTTTGCAAATGTTCGTCAGCCGAGTCAGGGTCCTACGTTCGGAATCAAGGGAGGAGCTGCCGGTGGAGGATACAGCCAGGTTATTCCCATGGATGAATTCAATCTGCACTTGACTGGTGATATCCACGCAATTACCGCCGCCAACAACCTTCTTGCCGCTGCTATTGAGACTCGGATGTTCCACGAGTCTACCCAGAAGGATGCCGCTCTCTACAGACGTCTCGTTCCCGAAAAGAAGGGCAAGCGCGAGTTCCTGCCCATCATGTACAAGCGCCTGAAGAAGCTGGGTATCACCAAGACCGACCCCAATGAGCTCACTGAAGATGAAATCAACCGATTCGCCCGACTAGACATTGATCCCTCGACCATCACTTGGCGCCGTGTTCTGGATGTCAACGATAGACATCTCCGCGGAATCACCGTTGGACAGGCTCCCACAGAGAAGGGACTGACTCGTGAGACTGGATTCGACATCTCTGTCGCGAGTGAGTGCATGGCTATTCTTGCACTGAGCAGCAGTCTCGAAGACATGCGAGAGAGACTCGGCCGTATGGTCGTTGCTACTTCACGGCGCGGCGAGCCAGTTACTTGCGACGATATTGGTGCTGGAGGAGCCCTTGCTGCCTTGATGAAGGATGCTATCAAGCCTAACCTGATGCAGAGTCTGGAGGGAACGCCCGTTCTCGTTCACGCTGGTCCGTTCGCCAATATCAGTATCGGAGCTAGCTCCGTGCTGGCGGATAAACTAGCCCTGAAGCTCGCAGGTACTGAGCCCGATGAGGACCACGAAGCCAAGACTGGGTTCGTTGTCACAGAAGCTGGTTTTGATTTCACCATGGGCGGAGAGCGTTTCTTCAACATCAAGTGTCGGTCCTCAGGTCTGTCACCTGATACGGTCGTCATTGTAGCCACCGTTCGGGCCTTGAAGGTCCACGGCGGTGGTCCCGAGATCAGCCCAGGCGGTGCCCTACACGAAGTTTACCGCACTGAGAACACTGAGATTCTGCGCAAGGGATGCGTCAACCTGAAGAAGCACATTGAGAACGCCCGGCAATACGGAGTCCCAGTCGTCGTCGCTATCAACCGTTTCGAGACCGACACCGAGGCCGAGATCGCCATCATCCGCGAGGAGGCTATCTCTGCGGGTGCCGAAGACGCCGTTTCCGCCAACCACTGGGCGGAAGGTGGAGCCGGTGCTATTGACTTGGCCAAGGCCGTCATGGTATCTAGCTCCAAGCCCAAGGACTTCAAGCTACTCTACGATTTGGATGGTAGCATCCAGGAGCGCATTGAGCGCATTGGCAAGGTCATGTACGGCGCAGACAAGGTGGAGTTTAGCGAACTGGCGCAGAAGAAGGTCGACACATACACCGCGCAAGGCTTCTCTAACCTCCCCATCTGTATCGCAAAGACACAGTACTCCCTCAGCCACGACCCGGCGCTAAAGGGAGCCCCAACTGGATTTACGGTCCCCATCCGTGACGTGCGGCTGGCGGTGGGCGGTGGGTATCTGTAAGGCTTAATCCGACGCCCGGTTATGCTAAACTTGACTAACAAATGCTTTTTCTTCCTCAGGTACGCGCTTGCAGCCGATATTCAGACAATCCCCGGTTTGCCGACGGCCCCTGGCTACTTAAATGTGGACATCGACCCGGAAACTGGAGAGATCGACGGGCTCTTCTAGACGTGCTGGAGAGTTGTGGTGGTTAGAGTTGTTTCGTAGGTATCATTTATTCACTGCATATTATTGGGTATGGCTTTCGGATGTCAGTTACGACGCGCATGGTAGCACTATTGTGAGGGTTCATTTTCAACGTGACGAACCCAGGCGGGTAGAAGGAAAAACATGGGACATACCTCTTCAACAGGATAGGACTAAAATATACACAATATAATTATTCGTCTTACCTTGTTGAATATCCGAGGAAAGTCGGCAGCGTCGCAAAGGCCAGCCGGCTAAACATGCGAGGGAACATCCGAAGATCGCAGGAATCGGGGTTGCAGCCGGCGGAAAATTTCTCGAATTGCCGCGGGAAAAACAGATCAAGGAGCGATCCTCGAGGATGCGCCAGGATCACATTCATGATCCCAAGCAACAGACGGAGAATTTCTGCAGATCTGATTCGAAAGATATTCCGCGTTAGCAACCCGAATGACACAGCATGAAGTGGCAGGTGGGTGGACGGGGAAATGTCGCCTCAACGCCCGCCATCTGCAACTCCGCATGAACCTCTTCGCTGCTTCTCCATAGTATGGCAAGTCGCCTGATCAACGTCATCATCACTTTTATACCAACCTGTAGACCTCGCTGCTCTCAGAGTTTCTGAAATGCAAAATCCCAACTCCCAAGAGCTCTGATAACGCTGTAGACCCTTTCATTCCCATTATTGATTCTGTTATTCAGAACGGCCGGCTTCGGCGCGCACGGTGGGCGGAAAAGGAAGTTCTCCAGCAACGACGCTTGTGCCTTGTGGGATAAGAAAGAGTCAACCTCTTCTCGCCCACGCAGCTCTCTCAAGACTATCTCTCTTCCACTCCTCTGGTCGTCCTTGAATCATTTTCCGGCCAGCTCCGTTCTGCTCCGCGACAGTGACTCCTGCCCTCCTGTCGTCCCTCTGCGACTCCACTGCGCTCTCCTTCCACCCGAGCCTCCTACATCAAGTTCCCTCGGGTACGTTCAACTCGCCTTCTCCAGGCTCCCAGGGTCGAGTCTCCTACTTACCGATTGTCGAATCCGCTTCCGCAGGCATTGGGCAATCATCCGCCCCTCCTCCACATCCTACTACCCTTCTCCCGTTGCGCTGATTGCGAATTCCCACGATGTCGTCGGTTCGGTTCACTTCCGCATTGGCTCGCCGCTCCCTCAACTCCCCTCTTCATTTGGCTGCCCCTCCCTGTTCCTCCGCTCTTCGCTGTTTCTCGTCTGCCTCTTATTCTTCGCCTTCTGCTTCCTCCTCTCCTTCTTCTGCTTCCCCCTCTACCGCTCGCGCCCTCGCCTCAACCTCCGCTCACTTCTCCCGTGCCGCTGCTACCCGCTCTCTGTACCGCATTCAATCCCGCACCATGGCGACTGAAGGACCCAAGATCAAGGTCAAGAACCCCGTCGTGGAACTGGACGGCGATGAGGTAGGCTTCAATCCCAGAGCTGGAAGGAGGACCACGAGAGAAAAAAAAAAAAAATTAAGAAAATAGAGTTTCCTTCCGCGTGTTGTACACTGGGCTGCATGATCTCGCGCTGTGCGACTTATATCTTGGTTGACTTGCTCCTCGGGAGGCGCATTTTCGTCGTGACCCTCCCTAAACGCGGGGAAAAACGGCGAAAGTCGCCCTGCTCCGTGCTGCACCAACGTCAATCATCCGAGGATCATTGCGCTACAGCCAACAAGCGTGCTCAATCCCAGCTGCCATGTCACATGTCACTGACCATCCCGTTCCCTAGATGACCCGTATTATCTGGAAGGACATCAGAGAGAAGGTGAGTCTCCATACTTGCTCCCCGCAACGCCATGTTTCATTTTGGCTTCCGTTCCTGGCCGATTCTGAAGCTAACGATTTGTTGTGTAACAGTTGATCTTGCCGTAAGTCTAGAACTATACCTCGGCTCACCTTGCCCACTTGCTGAGACAAGCCTAGTTTCCTTGACATCGACCTCAAGTACTACGATCTGGTATGCTCTCGGTGCTCATCTGCTGCCAGGCCTCGACGAGCTGACCATTTTCTGTAGGGTCTTGAGTACCGTGACCAGACCGACGACAAGGTCACCATTGAGTCCGCTGAGGCCATCAAGAAGTATGGAGTTGGTGTCAAGTGCGCCACCATCACTCCCGATGAGGCCCGTGTCGAAGAATTCAAGCTGAAGAAGAGTAAGTGCTGAGTGCTTGAGCTTCTCCAGCGCTTGCTAACCATATATCGTTAGTGTGGCTCTCTCCCAACGGAACCATCCGTAACATTCTGTACGTTCCATACCATTCTCCTCCAGATCGGCGCATAGCTAACGCTCCTTGAAGTGGCGGAACTGTTTTCCGTGAGCCCATTGTCATTCCCCGCATTCCCCGCCTTGTTCCCGGCTGGACCAAGCCCATCATCATCGGTCGTCACGCTTTCGGTGACCAGTACCGTGCTACTGACCGTGTCATTCCTGGACCTGGAAAGCTTGAGCTCGTCTACACCCCTGTGGGCGGCGAGCCCGAGTCCATCAAGGTCTACGATTTCCAGGGTGGCGGTATCACTCAGACCCAGTACAACACTGATGACTCCATCCGCGGCTTCGCCCACGCCAGTTTCAAGCTCGCTCTTGCTAAGAGCCTCCCTCTGTACATGAGCACCAAAAACACCATCCTGAAGAAGTACGATGGCCGTTTCAAGGACATCTTCCAGGAGATCTACGAGTCCACTTACAAGAAGGACTTTGACGCCAAGAACATCTGGTACGAGCATCGTCTCATTGACGACATGGTCGCTCAGATGATCAAGAGCGAGGGTGGCTTCGTCATGGCCCTCAAGAGTAAGTGTCTAGCATTCATTGCTCCTACCTCAGTTCTAACAGTTGGTAGACTACGATGGTGATGTCCAGTCCGATATCGTTGCCCAGGGCTTTGGCTCCCTCGGTCTCATGACCTCTACTCTTATCACCCCTGACGGCCAGTCTTTCGAGTCCGAGGCCGCTCACGGTACCGTTACCCGCCACTACCGCGAGCACCAGAAGGGCCGCGAGACCTCCACCAACCCCATCGCTTCCATCTTTGCCTGGACCCGTGGTCTGATCCAGCGTGGAAAGCTCGATGACACCCCCGATGTTGTTGCTTTCGCCGAGGAGCTCGAGCGCGCCTGTATCGATGTTGTCAACGAGGAGGGTATCATGACCAAGGATCTTGCCCTTGCCTGCGGCCGCAAGGACCGTGAGGCCTGGGTTACCACCCGTGAGTACATGGCTGCCGTTGAGCGCCGACTCAAGTCCAACCTCAAGGCCCGCCTGTAAATATACCACGATCAACCGTTGAACAATTACGATACCTATTCTAGCATTCAGCTTTCATGGACTGGCTTCTGACGACATCTTGGTGACGCGACACGAACCCCAGACGGCCACATTGTACATTCCGGACCGCTGGGGATGAAAAAGGGAAGGACTCCTTTTTGAACAAAGGAACGGATCATACACGACACGGCGCTTGTGCTTGATCATATTCATACCAAGACCTAGATATATAGATTTATCTAGGTATGTTGTACCTTGCGATCCATTACTTCGCAGGCACATGCAAGCTTAACAAAGCTAGATAGAAATCAATTTTCTTATCTTTTTCTTTAGTTCGTCTTCATTTGCAACATTCCCAGTTAAGAGGTAAGAATTTTGCCCCTTGCCGGGAGCGTCTTGACGACTCGAGTCATTGTTACATAAGGTCGGCCACTCCGCCGAAGGGGCGATCCGAGTACCCTAGGTATGCACAGTGCACACCGAACCATGGGCCGGGCTATTCACCTACCCAACCTTATCTCCCCGATCTCGAAGGGCCCAAGCCCATTTTGGTTGGTCGCCACTATGAGTCCTTGACGCAATAGGCTATTGCACAATTTTCTCAGCAGCTTAACCTAGGTCCCGCGAAACGTGCTCGAGGTCATGGGTCCCTGACAGTCACCGACCGCCTGCCAGCACGCAAAATGGCATTTATCATCATCTCTGCATTTGATGTGGCTCAGGCATAGCATCTACAGCTAGCTGTCCTGCACCAATCGAGTCCTTGTCGAACCACAGGATGTACGTGCTTCCTGTCTCGATAAGTCTCGTCGGTCTGTCCACGATCGTCGTGGCGTTGCGGCTGTATACGCGCATCAGACTGGTTTGCTCGCCAGGGTGGGATGATTGGTTTCTGCTGCTTTCTTTGGTACGGCTCTATTGGGTTGTTTGAGGAGGTCGGGGTATTTGGCTAACTGGAGACAGCTGACGGATTATGCATTCTTCGGGGTCCTCATGGCTGGTATAGAATGCGCTCTGCTAGTGTTGATTTATTGATATTGATACTGTGCAGAACATACGCATGGCTTGGGAAAGCCGCAGGCGACTCTCACGCAAAGCGAATATCAGAATCAACTCAAGGTAAGCATGCCACTTCCGAATATCATTTGAGCACCAGCTAATCTACTAGATGCTTTGGATATCAGTGCCACTATACAATCTGACGCTAAATCTCACCAAAATATCCATGGTTTTATTATACTTGCGCCTTTTCACCACAAGGGTCTATCGAGTCTTGTTATGGGTTCTCCTGGTCCTGATCGTTTGCTCAGGCCTGTGGATGGTTATCGGCACATTGCTCATCTGCATCCCGGTCCAGGCATTCTGGGATCCCAGCATGCCGCATACGTGTATCTCGCGAGAAGTGGTTTGGTTTCTCAATGCGGCGCTGCAGATCGCCGGTGATTTGATTCTTGTGATTCTGCCCATGCCTCAGTTGGTCAGGCTGCGGATACCGCGAAGGCAGAAGGTTTGTGTGATGTTTATTTTTGCCCTGGGGCTTTTGTGAGTTGTACCTTTGCCGAACTTTACAGGTTTAGGCTTCTCCGTCTCTCCACAGTGTGCTGACACTTTAACATCTAGTGTCTGTGCTACCAGCGCAGTCCGCTTACACACGCTCGTCCTACTTACAAGAGCTACAGACTATAGCCGTATGCCTTATATTCCATCACTCATAAACGCTTCTTAACGTCCTCTAGGTTTGAACGGCATCGTCGCCATCTGGTCCTTTGCCGAATGCAACGTCGCCATCGTCTGCGCCAGCCTTCCAACCTTCAGACAGCTCATCTACCAGAAATTTCCCTGGAGTCTGCCGTCATGCGCCAGGGCATCCCGTAGTCAGGGCGAAAAACGATTACGGGATCCCGCGATGCTCTGGGAACCTTTCCACGGTAACGCCGGCTACTCTGCGGATGTGTCTGTGGATGTTGGTATGGATTCGAACTCACACTGTCATTCGGGTGCTAGTGGTATTCAGGTGGTAAGGGAGCTACGATGGGAGATGGGCTCGGCCCCGACCAGGTGTGAGGGTGAGGATGAACCTCGACCTTTGAGTGGGAAGGCTGAGCAACCGGATTTTGATCGTATGCCAGATCTACAGTTTCAGGTATGAATATACGATTCGCCCAGACTTGAGGAATGGGACGAACAACATCAAAGAGGCCTGGGAGTTGACTCTCTAAGTCCGGCGGGTGCTAATGGCTGTATGGGGCAAGAGCAAGCTGAGGCTTATGCCTCGTGGTGGAAGGTGCATCTAAGGGTCCTTCCCTAAGCGGACTTGGATGCTCATGGCAACCACACAGGACGCTGATACGAACGACTTCTTGCTGTGCAACACTTCAACTTGGTCAACTTCATCTCCCAATTATCCCCCGTCATTCGTTTATCACCACATTCGTTATTCTTTCAATCCATTTAAACCCAGATAAATTATCGCCATGTGGCAGCCATTTCCCAAGTTCTACATCATTCGACCAGACGGCAGACAAGTCCCGTTGATTCCCCTTGACGAGTTGCCATCGTGGCTACGAATCGGCTACATGGACTGGAATGATCCAAATCCGTACCAATTCATGATCTTAGCAACCACCAGCCTCGTACCTCGCGAAGGAGAGTACGATGCCATGTGCTACTACTGCTTGAGCAGCGTCGACAACATGTTGCATCGGAGCGCCTCCGAGCTCAGCACTGACGGTGAGGATGTCTGTCCATCGTCAGCCAGCCGTATACCCCGGAAGGACGCCCAGTCTCTCACTGCTCTGGAAATCGCCAGTCTTGTCCCCCGGACCGTCGATCGCTACAAGAGCCGTACTACCCTGTCTTGCTCGCCTGAAGCCAACAAGGCTTATTCGAGCTCTTCCCCATTCCTTCGACATCCGCCATTCCATTCAAACCTTCAGAGCCCCTTTGTTGGCATGTGCTTGGTGCGTATCACAAAAGGTCTCTGGAACCTCTTGCCGTTTCCTTCGTCACAGCCTCTGCCGAACCATGTGCCGAATGAATCCACGTCGGACGACGAGCCACCGCCATTACTAGGAGCCTGTAATGAACCCCATGAGGTTGCCAGTGAAGGAATAAGGCGGCGACGGGAAAGCCCAGAGCGGCAGCCCTCAGACCACGAAGGCGAGCGGTCTCAGGATCAACGAGAGGAAGACCCGGAAGAGGAAGGCCAACCGCAAGAAAACGATAGGCAGCGAGGTCGGCCAAGGGCTAGTTCACGCCACAACTCCGGACCGCAAAACAACCGACCAGAGCCAGTTTTATCAAAGGGTCTATGGCAGAGACCTCAACCACAGAAAGATGCTACACGGCGAAGTCGATCAAGGCCTAATCCGCAAGAAGACGAATCACAGCAAGACCAGCCTGGGGCGCAAGGACCTAAAGGGGAGAAAGGCCCTCAAGGGCCGCCGGGTCCACCAGGGCGACCAGGCCCACCTGGGGCGCAAGGGCCACCGGGTCCAATGGGAGAGCCCGGGCCACAAGGGCCGCCTGGGCCACCAGGGCCTCGAGGAGACAAAGGGTGTCGAGGTTATACATGCCGTGGCTGGTGCCGGGTACTCCACGATTGTTCCGACGAGGATGAGTCTACTAGTGACGATAGCGGCTCGGAAAAGCGCGGCAATCCATGTGGCCTAGACATGGACGCCATCAGTGCTCGCCTACAGGTATATCTCAACGAAGCACATAGATTGGACGAAGTCGATCCCGAGATTCTTGAAGAGACAGTGTCCATGCTCGTACTCGGTGCATATTGCAGGGGTAAAGCAGACAGGAGGGCCGTTGTCCAGAGTGTGATCGGCAGGCATAATCCACACGATAAAATCCACGAGCAGGGCAACTTTGGCGTTAATTCTCCCCAACCAGTGTCCGAGAGTTCGTTCGGACAGGATACAGATCAGCCGAATCCTAGCCAAGGCTTCGATGACTCGCGAATCACAACCGACGAAGAAACCGGCGAGGGCAAGGTGAGTGAGAAGGGCGCTGCTGAGTCAGATGGACCGCGATCGGACCACATAGATTCTGGACATGCAGCAAAGGAAGAAGACGCCGAGAAAGAGGGAGATGAGGGCTCTTCTGGATCGAACAGCTCAACATCAGGTTCCAAAGACCCGGGACATGCTTCACAGGAAGAAGACGACGAGGAAGAGGGAATCGAGAAAGACTCTGCTGGATTGGACAACCCACCGTCAGGCCCTAAAAGGGACAAAGACGATGAACATGACCCATCGAGCGCTGCGGGCTCACAAAGTCAGCAAGGCCAGGAAGGGGCCCCGGATTCTCAAAACTCCAGTCAGTTCCAGGATTCGCCACCCCAGGAAGAACCTAAGGGCTCATCGGACAATTCATCTCAGTCACAAGATTCTCCAGGCCAAGAAACCCTCGGAAAGCAGGGTCAATCGCTCCCGCAACGACCTGAGCCATCTCATTCGCCCCGTTCTCGCACACGCGAAGACGAATTGGTTTCGCGAGATGTGCTGTGTGATCCGAAGCGCCCAGTCGAGTCAGGTTTAGGTTTGACTCGCATGTTTCCCGACTCCTGGCCATCGGTTTCTGATGGTCTAGCCGCCCAGATTCAGTCAGATCTACCCAGCCCTAAGCTCGATGATTGGTGTCTCCCTTTCATGGCGAACAACGCTGGCCTGGATACCCTCCATGTCCAAAGTGCCTCGAGAGATGGCCTGGACCAGCATTCGTCGGCCTACAGCACTAGTGTACTTGATTCCCCTGTGGACTCGGTGATGAGAGTCCATCGACGTTCCTCATTCCCCTTCCGGGCTGCCCCAATGTCACACTTTTCAGCTGGCTCCGACCCCCTTGGGCATGCAATCTCAGTGCCAATGGGCTACCCACCACAACCCGCCAGTAACGGCGACAAACTCGCCGATTTAGTGAAGGAACAGGCAAAGTCGTCGGAAAGAGTATGGCAAAAGACGATTGTCCTGGATGCGATGCATCGGCACCATCACAAGCGACGCAAGCTTGTTCGGTTCGATCTTCCCATAGAGAATCACCAGCCAAAGGAACGGCAAGTTCCGGTGCGAAAGCCCGGTAGTCTTCAAAAGCCGGTGGTGGTGAGCAAGTTATGAACTATGTTTACGAGATGAAATGAGGAGTCGAGACTTGTGATGCATTCTTACCTTTACACTCTTGACGATAGCTCAGGTTAGACAGATCAGTCTAGATATGACAACGTGGCAATGTGATTAGTGCCCCGCTATTTTAATTAAAACAGTCATGATTCCAGGAAGTTGATCAGTATGCTGCATGTTCATCCTTACAGTCAGAGCCTGTGCCGAGAAATATGGTCTTCGTGCATGGTCACGTGGAGGAGCTATAGCTCCCTTACTTGAACCTCCTCTCGTCATCTTACCTGCATCAGATCGACAAAAGTTGGAAATCGCATCGACATAGGATAAGGTTGTACTTCAGGGCCTCAAAATGCCGGACGAGCACCCCAATACACCCAACATCCCCTCCACCTCCGCAGTCCTCCGCATCCAGAGCTCAACCGTCATCCACGGCCCCATCGACCAAGTCTGGGCCGCACTCACAGATACCTCAACCTGGCCCTCATGGAACAAGTTCGTGCCACGAGTTACGATCCGCGAACAGCCCGAGAACACCGAAGATGACTCGCCGACCCTAAGTCTCGGATCGCGATTCACCTTCCACGTCAACATGTACCCCGAACCAGAAACCCCCGCCGACGCCGCGACAGCAAAACAATTAGGCAACGTCAATCTCCGCGACACGTACCTCAAGGTCATTGAGTGCGAAGCGCCGACTTCCGCTTCTGCTTCAACTTCTACTCCTTCACAGGGGAGAAAAGCGCGAATCGTCTGGGCGAGCGACGGCGCTGCAGATGGGCTCATCATGTCCTCGCTGCTGACGGCGGAGCGCGTGCACGAGTTAGTCGAGGTGCAGGTTGAGGGTGAAGAAGGGAAAGTAGTGACGGAGGTGCGCAATTGGGAGTCGCAAGTTGGGTATCTTGCGTATGTGGTGCGGTGGATGTTTGAGGGGAGATTGAGGGAAAATTTTGGGATCTGGGAATCGGGGTTGAAGGGGTATGTTGAAGGGAGGAAGTGATCGTCTTCATCCGTACTCCGAAACTAGCTACCAGGAGGGCTGGTATTTCGGAGATCGCGCCGAAAACTAGTTTGTGTTCTATGCAAGTATTCATGTCCGAAGACTAGGGTAGCCTCGGCAATGAACAATGGAGCCTACTCCGTAGTATTCCACGATCCATTTGTGATGAACCGGGGACTCGGTGATGGATGATATCATTGTGCAGAAAGTCGGAATGAGCAAGGCTGAACGAGCTCCAGCACAAGACCTGCTTTCACAAATCACAGAGCATAGCGCGGGCGCCTCGGGAAGATCCTCCGGGCGTGAGAATTTAGCTGCCAAGCGCCTGGGCCGCTGACCACGTGGGGTTAAGATTGGTTGGAATGAGAGCGCTTTACCGGAGTCTGAGATTGTTCAGTGATTGAAACTGGGGAAACGAGGGGTCTGAAAGGGGTCAAAGGGTCGTCGCGTTCGATCTTGTAAATGTTACGTTTCGCTGTTCTCTGTTGCAATGATAAGATATCGTGTCTGAGCTTGCTTGAATGCTGATGGAGTCATAAAGGTGCCAAGATTTAGCACTCGTACATAGTAGGGCGTTTGATAAGATATGACAGGTCAGCTGACGATGATTACAGGGGATGAGTGTCAGAAACTAATCAAGTGGATTGACTCACTCAGCATCCCCCAGATATCGACTTGTTTACTTCCAAGAGCTCAAGGAAGCTGATGCGAAAGTCTAAGCTCTCCTGCTGAGGAAGTTGACAAGCCGTTTGACCCGCAGCAATCCCGGAGAAATGCAGCAAATTGCAGGGTGTACCAATAACGGATTTCCGCTTTCGTCGTGCCGTGTTCGTCTGCCAGATTCTGAGCGGCGGGTCGGGCTAGTAGCGCAGTAATCAGGATGAACTCCGTAATGTTACGCCACCAATGGTTTTTCCTGTAGGGTCCAGAGTAAGACTGGCCTCGAGTGAGACGCGAGTTCAGTCTAGTGTCGAGGACTAACTATACGCGGCAGTTCTTTGTCCGATATCAAGATATGCTTCTGTCGCGCGGATAAGCAGACGTCACTGGCTATTTTTTTTTGCTCTTGGGCTTGGAAGTTGGAGAGAGGTGCCCTGTGCCACACAGTCCAGGCAAGGAGCCGAAATTGATTGATACCACGGCTCCTCGATGGCAATTAAGCTCGCGGGCGATCTCTCATTTTATTTTCTGCCCGTCGGCTTTTCTTTTTCTTCCTCTGCTTGCCTCGTCGCTTGCGCGGTCTTTTTCTCTCTTTCTCATATTATTTATTTATCTTCTCTCTCTTCCTCAATAATCTCACTGCCCTCTGTCTGCTCCTCGAAACTCGGTGTCAAAAGAGATTGTCTTGCGTACATATACTTCGCCATGCTCCTCGCCATCAAACTCCGTCGCTCCCGTGGTTCGTCTACCAGTTCCTGACCTTTGCGTCCTTCTGAGTTTTGGTTCACGTCAACTTGACGAGCTTCTGGAATCGCAACCGGAATTGCCACCAGCCGTCGAGTCACTGGCTCTCGAAATCCTTGTTGAGGCGGAGGCTGTGCCGCTTGCATCTCTTCTGCCTATCTCGACCACCACTATAGATAACCGCTTGATCGATACCAACCCACGCCTTTCATTATATATATCGATACGCTTTCATTTCTTACTAGATTTTATCTCTCGTCCATTTTCTCCGCATATCCATACCCCTGGGTATCGTGAGTCATGTCGTCGCATACGCCCATGCAGCTATCTATCTCCACCAAAGCCCAGCATGGCGCCGTCACTATGCAACCGGCGGCAGGGCTAACTCCTCCAGTTACCCCAACCATCGAGAACGACCGCACCTCGGTGGGTGGTTCCACCGCATCTCGTGCTGTGACGAGCACGCCCACTGGCGGTCATATTGTGGCTGGATCCTGCCCTCTAGCGTTTTACGACCAGCTAGAGTATCAGCGCGACCATGAAGGTCACCTCAAGGAATTTGGGCGCGGCGCTTGGAGCGTCGTCCGCGTGGCCTTCTCCTCGCCGCGCACTGACACTATTGTCCGCCCATTTACACCACCGAGCTCGCCCACTCCTGCGAGCCGAGTGGTTGCTGTCAAGTCGCCTGCCCGGCGTGACGGCTGTGCTGTTTTACAAGCGGAGGCTCTCACACTCACTCGAGCCTGTTCTGTCCCTGGCTCGGAGCGCCATATAGTCCGCTTCCATGGGTTCATCGCGGAATCAAACTCCATTGTCATGTCCGCAGTCCCCCTCCCGTTGTCAAAGTACATCGAAGAGAAGGCTCGCTTTGCTGAGGAGAACAAGACCACGCGCAACATGTTCGAGCCCGTTCAGGGGATGGCGCAGTGGCATGATCTCGCCAAGAAGCTCATTACCAGTCTCTCGTGGATCCATTCCCAGGCACTGGTCATCCATGGGGACATCAAGCCGCACAACATTCTGCTCAAGCCACGCATGTCCATCGATGACAGCGCAAATTCGACAGAGTTCGCCTACGAACCGCTCTTTGCAGACTTCTCCTCTTCGCACCCAATCACACCCTCAGAGACAGCACCTGCCGGCGCTCAAACTGCCTTAACGCCGCCGTTCACTGCCCCTGAGATTCTCACTTCGTTACTCTCGTCGCCTGACACGCCGCCCACCCCGGCGTCAGATGTGTTTTCCCTTGCTGTCACACTCCTTGCCGCGGCAACAGGCGATCTACTCCTGTATCCTAGCCAGCGACGTCTCCTTATGTCAAAGAATGGGCATCAGGTCATCGAGTTTGTCCAGTCAGGGCATAGCGGTACACGCGTGCCCAAGAATGGGCATGTCGAGAAGATCTTGAAGCCTGCTGTCATGAAGAACCCAGATCAGAGGATCAAACCACATCTTTGGTTGGATCAGTTCTTTTCCTGAGTTCCGTACGTCATTGTTAAGTTGCTATAACCTGTCGAGATTTCAGTCTCGCGCGCCGTTTGGCATCATCTGATCTTATTTTCCCATCTCAAAAGATCTATCCTTCGTCTCTTATCACATCACCATCTTCTCTCTCGATCTATACTCCATCCTATGTACCCTATATCTCTTTTTTTTTCTTCTCTCCTATTTTCTCTCTTAATATCGTATTCTTATCTATCGTTTCCTTCTCCTTTCCAACGACAAACTTACAAGATACCCATGATTTTACTACTTTTCCTTTACTTTGCTTTGTTTTACTGTTACTCTAGACCAAACACGACGCCATGTCGTGTCATATTCTGTGTTATGTCAGCTATATGTCGTGTGATGGGGAATGTGGATACAATGTCTGACTTTTTCCACATTACTCCAAGTCTCCAACACTGTTTGGGCGTATGTTAGATTATGCTATTGTTACACGATAACGCTCTTGTGCAATCTAAATTGATCTGGTCTGGTCTGGTCTGGTCTGGCCCAACCCGGCCTGGATACCTCGTCCTACTGGAAGTTTGCTTCTTCATTTCTGTTCTGATCCCAGTACCTATGGAAGGGACGAGTATATCCCTTATGTCTCGGTTCTCGTATACGTGTCAATATCTAGATGTTGATGTACGTAGTTCGCCTTGCAACTTATTATAGCTTCTCCAATATCTACTCGATCACTAGTAGTCTTGAGACGTGATGAGTAGTCTGGACTACCCTAGTATTAGATAGATCCATTATTAAAAGATAAAAAATCATAAAATACTATAAGGGTTAGTAATAAGAACTATGGTATATTCCTACTCTAATTTAGTATCTTTTCTAGACATGGTATATAAGACCAGTGATACTTCTAGACTATCTATTTTAGCCTATGTAATAACTTGAACTAATAGGTTTAAGAAGTACCTAGGCCGGTTCTGCAGTTGAATGTCGATACTACATCCTTCTTCATCTTTATATTCTTCAATCCTCATAATATGTACAGTATACATGATGGTACAACCTATAGAACACTCCCAACTCGCCGTATGACTCCGAGAATAGTCCAACAAAAATCTAGTGTACATACACAGCACCCCCGCACCCGCTGAACAGAAATGCAAAGAAGGGACAAAAGACAGGAGGGAAAAGAAAAGTGGACACGACATGAATAAACAACCAAAATTTGAGGAGAGGAAAGGGGTAAAAAAAGAGCACACACTCGACAGGGCTTGGCTCCCTCCTTTACTCGTCGGATAACCATATCCCCCCGCGAGCCGTCGTCACGGTTCCCCCAAAGTACCGTGTAAGCTGCACAATGGAATGTTGCTTCGGGTCGCAGTCTGTGGCGTATTTGGCAAACAAATCCCAGAGCGTGCTGATAGGCAGGACGCGGGACCGCACGCTGCTGAGGTTGTAGTCAAGATTTTCTTGGTAGCAGTAGACTGGGTCTTGGGTTTTGAGTGATGAGGGCAAAGGCGGAATCTTGTATTCGGGATTATGGTGCACGGTTCTGGGAAGAGAGTCAAAGTCGGCTTTGGGGCGTTTCGAGGCGTATTGGGCGAGGCTTGGAATGGCTTTGATGATCTCGTTTGTGGTAAGAGCGGGGAAGAGGCAGTCCGTGACGTTCTTGATGGTGTGGATTTGTAAACCCGTGAGGGAGAGGGTATATGCCTCAAGGGCGTCATACGCGATGTATCTCTGTTCTGGGGTGAGCTGTTGAAGCTTTCGCGCCGCATACGCGTTGGGGTCGGCTTCGAAGTAGAGGAGACATTTGCTTGTTTCGCGCGGGTAAATCTCTTCTGAGCCGATGAGAAGCGGCTCAAAGGGGCGGCGGTCCCAGAGAAGGACGGCGTCGTCAAAGGAGCCACTGTGTAAGCTTGCGAGTCTGTCGTCGACTAGGTATGGCACCGCGCGACTGGTATCGAAATGGTGCTCTGACATCCACTCAGCAATGGATTCTTCGACGGCTTCAATTTCCTTGATGACTGGATCGAAGTCTGTTAATTTAGTTGTTTGGTCTGCCGCTAGTCTAGAGATGGACTTGTTGAGCTCGTCAAGTTGAGCATACTTGTCAACAACGAGTTTCCGGGCGTATGCCTGGCGATTCTCTTGGTTGAGTCGGGTGAATGCACGGTTCCGTGCTCGTCTAAGTTTATCATAATCTGGGGATTCCGGGCGAGCGTTGTCAAAAGCCTGAAAGGCCGCGATGTATTTTTCATGTTGAGCGGTTTTTATACGCGGTTGATAAGGTGCAGGGATTTTGCCAACTAGCGAGCCATCAGGCGCCAGTTCCAGGGTTGATAACGAAAACTCTCTCTCGACAGGAGTAACAACACCGGCCTCAGAAGCTCTCTGGGCAACACGGGCCGCACCGTCTCTCAATATATCGTACTGCTTTTGGAAGGCCCAATCGCCACTCGCAGAATCGTCTGTGGCTGCCACCAGAAAAGCATGACGTGCGGCCTGTTCGGTGAGTATGGCTGGGCGCTGACGTTCATGAATAAGGGACGGCAGAATTGTTTTGGCGTCCTTTGCCCCTACCGAGACCAGCAGCCGTACGCTCCCATAAGTGTTTAGCTGCCTTTGTTGCAAACATGCTTCCATAAGTGTCATGAACCAACGTGACACAGTAAAGTGGTCCTTAGTCGAAGTAGGCGGCGGGGGGCTCGCCAGCACAAGCAGCGTATCGTTCCTAGGTAGAGGGCCGCTATTGTCCGTACATGACGGCCCTTGCTCCGGAAAGTGTTTGGAAAGAAGCGCCGGCCCCCAGTCTTTCTCCGTCTGTATCTTTGTCGAGACCAATTCGTAACATGAGCGGCTTTGGGCTAGAGGTTCAAGAAAGTCTTTGAACTTTTTCAGGTCCGGCTCTACGAGGACATGTCGTCGCGGTTTCAAAAGATCGTTTATCTTCGACGAGAACAGACCTGGGCCGGGCCACAGATCTAGGATGTCGAGAGGACGGTTTCGTAGGAGGTAGGGAGACAGTCGCTGTAGAATATCATCTGGCAGGTAGAGATTATATTAGCCTCGTAAAGGTGAGGTGAAATCTTGTACTGACCACACAAGCTCTCGCTCACGAAGACCGGTTTTTTGCCTGCGTTTCCTGCCGTGGGCATGAACTTGGACAGTGATTCGGTCAAGGGGTATCGGCTCAAGGGCGACCACCGAGTGAGTGCCGGCATCTTATGTTAGAGTGCCAACTGGAAGCTGACTTTGAATTTGCAGCATTCCAACCCGTGGGCAACGCGACGGAGCAGGGGAGAGAGATGGAAGAAGCTCAGACCGCGGTGCGGAGGACAGGATAGGCTCCGAAACCCCCGCCGCTTTTGCTTTCGCTTTCTGCTTTCAACTCCTTCGCATCGACCACCTTCCATGGCGTGTTCTTTCCCTTGACCATTCCGTTCTTCTGCGGATGGGATAGATATTCTTTGATTATGAGCAATCCACCTGCCTGTGACATCACGCTTGTCTGCTGCCTAACACCTCTCGCCTAACCGGACTTTGACTGCGCGACTGCCTGGGCTTTTCCGTCCCACCTTGGGTGCGCCTCTGCTTCGCTTCCCAGAGCTTTAGCAGTCCGGTAATTATGGCTTCTCTGTCTTCGCCGCCGAGCACTGGATCCTCTGCTCCACAGAGCGTAGAGAAGATCAGCCGTCTCGCCCAGGACTACAAATTTGACCCCGCGGTTCCGCTGCGGTACTGGCTGAGGACGGCTGCCACTCTTGTTCGCGAGGTTTGCATATTGCATGAACATGGTATGTCTGGTATGCTAATCTTTCAAAGGCTCGGATCTACCTTCGCGAAGGACACGATGAACAGGCGTATCTACTTTTGTTCCGCCATGCCCAGCTGGTACTCGTACACTTGGCCGACCATCCTGATTTGAAGGACGGGAAAGATGTGAAGGAAGAACGGAAGGCTCTTGTGGGTGCGGAGAAGGAAGTCAAGCAGAATCTTGAGATCCTGGAGAAATTGAAACCACGCATCAATAAGCGATATGAGAGATACACACAGTTGATGCGCGAGCGGCAACATCGCATGTCGTCGGCTACGGCGAGCCCTGCCGTCTCGACTCAGCCACCAAGCGCATCTGATCCTGCTCTATCAGGCGTTGCCGAACCCTTGGAAGCTGGGAAGGACAGCGAGCTAGCTGTAAAACTGGCTCGGACGGAGATTAGCCGTAGAGCAACAGCTAGGAATGCCATGCGCCATGGGCAAAGCGGCGGTGATGAGTCAAGTCGCCGCGCAGCAGGAATATGGGGAGACTGGGAAGAGGCCTTACAGCGGAATGAGGGTCGGGAGCCAGATGATCTGAGCCGGCGCATCCAGGAAGTGAGGCTCAATCTGGAGAATGGTCCGCAGGCACGGTCTCGCCCAGCGAAGTCTGCAACACGCCCGTCGACCGAGATTCCATCCACATCCGCTTACAAGTATCCCACCGTTCCCCGTCAGAAATCTTTCGATATCACCTCTCCGGCAGGGATCCCTCGGCCGATGCCTGAGAAGCCCACAAAGCCGCCAATACTTCCCCCAAAAGAGAGCTACGGCTCTCTTGACGGACCACCACCCCGGCCGGACAAGCTATCGGCCGAATCTCTATCAGAACTTGCGCCTGCAGTCCCTGCTAAGGTAACGCCAGACGAGCGACGCAAGGGCCTAGATCCGTCCAGTTTCACCTTCAAACCCTCCGCCTATCTCGAAAACGGCACACCCCTCCGCACCGTCTTCCTCCCGCCACATCTACGGACACATTTCCTGTCCCTTGCCGCATCGAACACTCGAAAGAACCTGGAGACGTGTGGTGTCCTTTGCGGCACATTAATCTCCAATGCTCTCTTCATCTCTAGACTTCTAATTCCGGAACAGGTTTCCACATCAGATACTTGTGAGACGGTAAACGAATCTGCGATATTTGACTATTGTGATTCAGAGGACCTAATGGTGCTTGGCTGGATCCACACGCACCCGACTCAGACCTGCTTCATGAGCTCAAGAGATCTTCATACGCACTGCGGCTATCAAGTGATGCTTCCGGAGAGTATTGCTATTGTGTGCGCGCCGAGCCAAACGCCAGATTGGGGCGTCTTTCGCTTGACGGATCCACCGGGGCTCAAGTCAGTTCTGAGCTGTACTCAGACTGGACTGTTCCATCCACATGCTGAAACCAACCTGTACACCGACGCATTGCGTCCGGGACATGTTTTCGAGGCGAATGGGCTGGAATTTGAGACAATCGACCAGCGGGTGAAGCAGTGATGTTGTGTATGGCTTTTATCTTCTTCCATTACCAATTCCCCATATGTTCAAGTGCTTTCTTTTCTTCATTGTATATAATTGAGAATTGATGATGAGAGAGAATGATGAGGGTAGACTTCTATACGTGTACTCTTTTGAGCAGTCGAAGCTAAGCTACAGCTAAAGAGGATGAAGGGGAATCTCCCCACCCGACCAAACCAAACTTCAGCCTCAACTCCACCCCAGCTCAACCCTCATTGACACGTTCCATCCAACTCCTTCCCACCAATTTCTCGCAAACAGACAGCTCTCGATGTCGTCTGCATCACACGGTGATCCTTCGTCCTCTACCACTCCTACTCACGCCGGCTCCACCCCCTCCTCTACCTCAGCCTCTTTCCCAGGAACCGACCCTCCAAACCACGACCACAAAGAGAACAACAGCTCCCACAGTCCTCCCTTCCATCAATCCGCGGCCTCCTACTTCTCCTATCCTGTCACACACGTCGTCTCCGGCCTCTACCGCCGCCTAACAGATCCCCCAGCGAACAATAACAACGGCACCATGATGTCCCGACTACGCCGCAACAACCCGGACCCATCCTCGTCGTCCTCGTCCATTTCCTCCCAAGCACAAATCTTCACGCCCGTGCGCACCGTCTCCCCTTTTCAACCCCCGCCCTTGACGCCTCTTACCCTCCTCACAAACGAGGAACACTCATACGAAAACACCTTGCACCCGCAAAACCAGCTCCTCACCCGCGCCCTCGCCGAGGAAATCCGCTTACTCGTCCCGCCCCGTCTCCAGCTCGTCGACACATGGCGTTTAGCATATAGTCTCGACCGGGACGGCGCCTCCCTCTCAACTCTTTACGAAAACTGCCGCGCGCTCTCGAACCGCAGCCCGAGGGCCGGCTATGTGCTCATCATCCGCGATGCTTCACCCTCCGCATCCTCCGTCTTTGGCGCCTACATGACAGATCCCCCGCACCCGAACTCGCACTACTTTGGTACAGGCGAATGCTTCCTATGGAGAGCTAGCGTCCTCCCACCACCATCAACAGCCTTCTTCTCAGCAGACGGCGGAATCCCCGACGAAGAAGCCCTCGAGAAAGCCGGGCTACCGCCCCCGCCGAGCGCAGACACGACGAACGTCGGTCGATCAACGACGCTACGAGGCGAAAAGCTTCAATCGAAGCCAATCGCCCCGCATACGCATGTCCTCGCTCAAACCCGGTCATCAAACAGCGGCACATCTACGCCCGACCGCATCCGCTTTAAAGCGTTCCCGTACAGCGGAGTAAACGATTACATGATGTTTTGCGAAACTGGGTTTTTGAGTCTAGGCGGAGGGTGAGTTTCCCCAACTTTATCATTTCAACATCTATCCACGATAGTCAGGAAAACGGGAGCAGATTAAGCTAATACTATCGTCAGGGACGGCCATTACGGCCTGTGGGTCGACTCCAGCATCGAGAAGGGAGTCAGCGCCTCCTGCCAAACGTTCGGCAACGAGCCGCTCTCGGACGAGGGTGTGAAATTCGATGTCATCGGCGTCGAGGTGTGGTATGTCGGTTCTTGACCGGTTATCTACCCACAACACTCGAATTTGGTTCAACAATTGGCGTTTGTTTTAGCAATAGCATTGGTCTCTCCCGTCTTACGCTCCGAAAACCCCGGTGTCTGCTCTCAGCCCTGTTTCGGTGGCCTGGGCGACCCCGGGCTTCATCTACATATGCATTATCTGGTCGGTTAGTTGATTTATTGGAGCAGGACAAGGTGGATATAGGAAAAAGTGAGGAGGATGTCAAAAGAAAGGAGCAGTGTGTGGCGCATTATAATAGTATATAATCAAATACCTGGGCATGAAACGGCTGGTTTCCGTCATGCCTACTTCTGTGAGCACTTTTCTTGCTGCTTGGTTACGTCTTTTGTCCTTTCGTTTTTTCCCTCTTTTGCTTTTAGTTAAGTAGGCAGGCAAGATATATACTCCGTAACGAGAAGGGAGCCAACGAAAGAAAGAGGGGTACAAAAAGCCGCTGATGTAGGTGCTGTGTATCCACCAAATATATGTGACATGCCAATCAATTAAGATTAAGAAGATATTCACCGTATGTGTTTATGTTACTAGCTACTTGTCTATCTACTTTGATGGTTGAACCAAACGCAGCCCGGCTCAACAAAGAACCAACATATACTAAGGTTACGAAAGTCAGAAGCCAATTGGAAGATTGAAGACGATAAATCAATAGCTTGAAGTAAAGCAGTAAAATACAAACGACAGGGGTATGCAGTTGTCGAAAATCGAGAATCATCACAACGTGACCGACGTAAGAACAAAAGGAAAAGTATCTAATAAGGCGAGTTGACAATGTCGTCTCTTCCAAGTCTACTGCCCCAGCGAGTGCTGCGGCGACTGGGTGTGACGGGACCAGCAATGCTTTCACGAGTGGGCTTCTGAAGGGCCCTCTTCGCGACCATGTTGACTTCGTTAGGAAGAGCGACAATGACATTCTTATCCGAACCAAACCGGAAGTTGTCCGCCATGACCTCCTCGGAGTAGCGCTTAATGGTGTACGGATCCTTGCGGCCAGAGGTGACCTTCTTCAGGCTCCACGTGATGATGAAAGGACCAGTGGCTGTGACAATGGATGTTTCCTGGCTATCGACACCAGTATTGAAGCGGGCAGGGGTGAAAGAAATCGGTTTCTTCGTTTCATGCTGGAACTGAGCAACGTGGGCAGGCTGGAGACCCAGGCGTCGAGGTTGAGGTTTGGAGTCTTTGGCAAATGAGCGCTCAAATCCAAGCTTGCCTTCATTCTTGCCTTCCTTCTGCATTGAGTCAATGAGGAGGAGGTAGGTCCGGCAAGTAGCAAGGACCCAGCGGCCATCAGCAGACACGTCTAGACCGATAATAGCTTCTCCCAGCGCAGGAATATGCGTCTTGGCGTTGATTCCCAGGCGGTCGAACATGCGAATGTCACCCTTATTGGAGGCGACAGCAAGGTAACCCTTCTCGGTCGTAGCCAGAGCGGAGAAATCGTTCTTGCTAGCGTACTGCTTGAGTTCGGCTTCCACTAGCTTGTTTCCGGATACACGAGGATCAACCCGGAAAAGCGCGTTGTGAGAGGCTCCCACAAACGGCTGAGCGGAAGTCATTTGCGAGAATTTCTGCAATATGTTAGTATCGAATTCTCAAGGGCCTGCATAAACTGGACTTACACTCTCAGGCGCAAATGTGTGCACGGGGATATCATCGTGAACCTTCCATTCGTCGACGATCTTACCATACTCCAAATCCATTCGGTAGAGAGAGTTAGGGTTATCGCTGTTCTGGAGAATCATATTTGAATCCTCCGCGTGCAGCATAACCTTCTTGGGACTGAACAGCTTGCCCTTGGGCGTTTCCACCTTGGAAATATTGGTCGAAAACTCGAGATTGTTGTCCGGCGTGTGCTTGAAAACTCCAATTTTTGAGCCACGCACGACGAAAGAGCGGTCATGCTTGTAACCGACAGCAAGCTGGGAGTTGACATTTCCGTCATCATCACGCGTTACTACGTCGTCCTGCTCTTCATCGGAGTCGTAGTGTTCGCTGCGTTGACCATCGTATTGGTCTTCTTCTTCTTCCTCCTCCTCTTCCTCTTCTTCATCCGCCTCTGCCGCTTGATCGGCATCCTCCATAGTTAACTCCTGGAATGCGTCGAGGACATAGTCCTTGTCGTTGTCTTTAACCTTAGTCCATTTGACCTCGTTCAACTGTTCCCAAAGCGCTTGTAACAAGCCCTGCTGGAATCTCTCTTCAGTAACTTGATCCTTGAAGCGTAAAAGCCAGGAGTACGCAGAACCATTTTCGTCGTAGTGGTTGAAAATGAAAGACAAGTATTCAAAATTGAATACCGGGTTGATATCTGCAACCACAGCTTGCCCTAACCAATCCCTGTCATCGCCACTGATCTGAAGCCAGTATTGCCAGTCACCAACCTCCGTCACAGTTGCAACAACATTAGCGTCTTTGAGGACAAAAGTTCCAGATGGCAAGTCGAAGAGGTGCAGCTCAGCTTTCTCTTGAGTCAAAGTTTCTCTCGCCTCTGGATGGGCAGCAGAAGGGGGAGCGACGGTGGGCGCATCGGTCGCGGCCGGAGCAGCAAGCTGCTTTTTGGCACGGGTATATTCTGTATCTCGAACCATAGTTGTGTCACCAGAAGTGAGGGAGTGTGCGGGTGACTTTGCTGGAGATGCAATAGGGCTTGCGGAGGGTATCGGTTTCTCTTCCTGGAAGGAGAATTCCTGGAGCTCTTCTTGTGTGGCCCGCTGGGCGCTTCGACGGTATTTGCGCTCGTACTGGCACTGGAGAGCTGCTAGCTCAAAGGTGGAAACCTTGTCCGACGGGACGGAAGGATCGCAGACAAACTCGAAGAGGTCACCGACGTCGCCACTCAGATCCCTCCAAGCGAGGATCTTTGAGCCGCCCTCGCGAACCTCGGAGCGAAAGTGAAGGTTTTGGTCAAGAAGGAAGGCCTTCTCGTCCTTGTCCAAGCTATCCGCAACACCTTCGCCGTCTTCGTCTTCACCAAGTTCCTCCTCGCCCTCCTCGTACGCGCGTTGTATAACGAGCTGGTACTGGAATTCTTGGCCGGTCCGTCGGATCGAGGCGGCGGCGTCCTTGAAGATAAGCTCAGAGTAGCCTTTTGGTGAAAGCGGACGAACAAGGTAGAGCTGGCCTTGAGGGATGTCTATGATAGATTCTTTGGAGCTATCGCCGAATATAAACTTGCTCACTGTAGGTGTAGGACGAGGAAGTCAATGACAGATGGCCAAACAGAAGGTGGTGTGAGGGCGGTATGAAGGAGGGGTAAATCGCGGGGTAACCCTTCAAAAACAAAAGACGAGGATGAGCAAGCAGAGAAGGAAGACATACCATTTCGGAGCATAAACATGTTGGTGGTATCTCTGGCTGCTTAGCAACAGCCTTGGAAGGGCGGTTTGTTTGTTTTGCGGATGCGGAGAGCAAAGTGGCCCCAAGAGCAGGGATTAAAGAAGGAGCCGTATATAATTTTGAGACGTAAGAAATGAGGTGCTTAGCAGAGGGTGACGACTCACCACCCGTCAAGGAAATACCCGGTGCTATAGTCCAAAGCACAGGCTGAAGTCAAAAGAAAAAGTGATGATATGCTGGACTTTTTTTTCCTTTGAGATTCCCTAACAAAATACGTAAATAATTGAACAAGCTTGGGTTATGTCATCGCTCAGTGGCAACCTTGTGGCGCAGTGTGGCACAGTGTGGCGCTCATTCTTGGGACTTTTTGCACTGAGTGAAGGGCTACACAGCATAAACTGAGCCTGTAACATAATACTAACATCAAGTCGTCTTCATGAGCAATTTGGCCAGCAAGTTCGACTTTTAGGAGAAATAAAGGTCATCGGGAGGCTGACAGTTTACTATGTTGTGAAGCAATTAATACATCGCTAACCACCACACCTTCTTCTCCCCGAACATTATCCAGATTCCTTCCACCTTGACTGAGAGGCGCATCTGGGATCCTGTCTGCAAATGTTCTCTTCAGATCCTCCGAGCCTCCAGGTCTCTCTCGTGTTACTGTCGGCCTGGCCTGGACTTCAAAGTTTACGGAGTGAGCTAGCGCGCGCAATTGGTGGATTTAACCCCTGATCAAGCAACGTGATCCGATTCAATTGCAATTTCAGCGCTGGGTCCGCTAGTCCCGTAGTCGAACCGTCAACTGGTTCAGAAAAGGGTCTCCGCAAGTCCGTCTGGGCCCTGAATTGCGATCTCGACAATTGGCCTCCAAAGCCGCAAGCTCGACACATGGCCAACCAAGTTGCTGGACAATTCGCTTTTTCATTATCTTGTTCCACCAAACCTGTCTCACTGCTAGACACAGTGTCTTCGTGCTATTGCCTTGGCGTCAGCCATCGTTCGATTTCACAAAGTTTGGTATATGAAATGAGCTCGAAAGGGTCGAGAACACGCTTTGACTGGCGCCAGCAGCTGAAGACTCCCCCGCTTCTCGGTCCGCAAAATGCGGCCGACAGTGCCAAATGACCCATCCCAAGAGCCTAAAAGGCGCAAGGGGACTCGAATATATTATGGACAAGGGCCCTAAATTGAGATTCTGAGAATGTCCTGATTGCGGATGAATTGCTGGATGTTCCGCATCCGGTCGTCTAACACCCTTCCCAAGTGCGAGGCAAACGACTCTCTTATAAGGATGTGAGCGAGCAGTCGCTTAATACGACACCAGAGCAATGATTCTTATCTTTGTGGTCGCCTTTTTTGCCCTCAATGCGCTTGGGGTGAAGCTGTCCCGTGATTCTGTGCCTGAGAGCGACCCTCAGGTTTTACTGACGCAGGGTTCTCGCAACTCTCTTCATGGTGGATACGGTCGAATGGTTAATGAGAAAAGCTCGCTTACTCTTCTTTACCAGAACAACCTGAATGCATCCGATGATGGAAACCATGTTGGTGCGATCCTTCTGGACCCCATGGGGCAACATGATATCCGCGACGCTTGCGAAGAGATCGGAGAGTCGATGATCTCCTTTTCCACCTTTTTAGAGTTCAAGGAAGACTTTCTGGACTTGTTTTCATACTTCTTCTACTCTAAAGGTTTGACCGGGGAGGACGCACGCGGCCGTTTCTACGTACGAAATGGAGTGCTCACTGTCAACAAGGCTGATGAACATTTCGAGCACTCCTCTTTCCCTTCTCGAGACGTCCAACTTCCGGTCCTGTGTATTCAGACAAGTGCCGGTGGCAGTACAAAAGGAAGGGACATGGCGCGGAAACTCATCCGAGTGAAGTCAACGGGCAACACATACATTGGATCTCGAGATCAAAAGTCCTTCCGGTTCTTGGGCATACCATATGCCGATCCTCCCGTCCGATTCTCCTATCCAAAGCCATATTCTGGCAAGTCTCGCACGATTTACGCCACCGAATACGGGCCTAGGTGTGCGCAAGTCGATGGAGGAAGCGAGAACTGCCTCCATTTGAACATACAGACACCGTACATTCCGAGGCTAAATTCCACAAACGACCTACGACCGGTTCTCTTCTGGATCCATGGTGGGGATTTCACAGATGGCACGGGTTCAGATCCTATGACTGACGGTGGAAATCTTGCCTCTCGGGAGGATATTGTGGTCGTTTCTTTGAATTATCGACTCTCAACGTTAGGCTTCTTAGCTGTCCCGGGTACTGATATCCGCGGAAACTATGGAATTGCTGATCAGGCCCTCGCTCTCCAGGTACCCAGTCCTCTTGCACCAACCTAAGAATCTTTGGCGGATTTGCTAACGAATGCAGTGGACTATCAAAAACATCGCTCAGTTTGGTGGTGACCCTAAGCAAATCACCATCATCGGCCAATCAGCCGGGGCTACCTCCGTGAAGGCCCTCTTAGGTTCGCCCACCACCCTAGGCAAGTTTCAGGGTGCTATTGCGATATCAGACTTGGGCGGACGTACTCCTGGAAGCAGTGAAACCACATACGGCACCTATATGAGCATCCCCGACTCGTACCACAGTACTGGCCTGAATATCTTCTCTGAAGCAGGCTGCAGTGAAGGTCCTATTGAGCAGCAAGTATCCTGTCTAAAGGAAGTACCTGCATCAACTCTGGTGAATCTTCCCACAGTCGCGCGCCACATCGTTCAGGACGGGAAATACATCAACACGCCGACCCTCAACCTTCTTGAACGAACACAAGGCAGACCAAATGTCCCCGTCATCTTTGGAAACACAGCTAATGAGGGCGCATCTTTCGCTACCTACCCCTCAACCACCCTAACCACCGAAGTCGAAGGCGTCGCCGAATCCCTCCATATCACACCTGCAAAGGCCCAACGCATCCTCGACTCAGGCCTCTTCCCCTCCCCAAACACGGGGAACCTCACTTTGGACGCCTTCACGATCGCCCAACGAATAGCCACCGACCTTCTAACCCGCTGCCCCACGCAGGCCGCCCTCATCGCAGGAATCTCCACCCGCGTCTTCAAAAGAGCATACTATTATCAAACTCAACGCACAATAAGCGGCAGCCGTAACTCTAACTCCCTTGGCTCCCCATCCCAAACACCAGACTTCCCGCTCGGCGACCCGGACCTCCCCTACTTCCGGCTCCACGGCGACGACATCCCTTTCATCTTTGGCAACATCGAATACACGCGGGACGCTCTAGATCTACATGCTGCGCAGCTAATCTCCGCGTACTTTGCGCAGTTCGTCAGGACGGGAAATCCGAATCCGCATAAGGACTTTCTTGCTGCACGAGGTTATCGCCTTACACTGGACGCGGTCAATGCGTTTGATAAGTGGCAATCTGTGAAGGGGGTCGAGGGGCCAATTCAGCTGCTGGATTTTCCGAGCGAGAAGGGTACGTTTTGGGACGTGGAGCAGTGCGAGTTTCTGGGGTTGCCGATTACGCATTATCTGGGTCATGAGCCTGATAGTGAGGTGGTGGAGGGTTCCGCTGAGTGACTTTGGTTGACTGTTTCTGGTTAAGGTTGTTTCCTTACTACTACTGGCTCGACGGAGCTAGTGTATATAACACAAAGTTGGGTCCATCTATATCACTGCGCGAGGTATATATATAATGAAGATTAGGGTACTACAATTTCGAGATCTACAATTTCATTTAGGTGCTACGTTACCTGGAGATATAGATGACCAAAAATATATGACCATTTTAACAGTTTAGCTTGGATATATGTAATTTGTCCATTTCTGTATCATATCCATATCCATATCCATACCAACCATTCCAGTCCATTCCAGTTCGTCCGTCCCATAGTACCCAGGTCCAATCGAACCCTTGTAAAAGGATAACGCGGAGAGAAACAGAAGATGTAAAATAGAAAACTCTTTATACAGCACAGAAAGATGCATCAATGGTTGTAGTATAAGTCGCGCGGGGATGTACATGTTGCGATGGTGATAAGCGGAGCATAAAAACCAAGCCAGGAGGGTCGTGTTGTATGTTGTTGGGAGGTTGTTGTGTCGGAGCGTAGAAGGTACCAGATCATCCAGGAATAGGTGCGATCATTATCTTTCATGATGTCCATACCGATCATCGGGAGATTTCTCATATTATTCATGTGTCGTCGTTTGCGGTGCGGGTATTCGTGTAGTTGTGTGTCGTGGGTATTTTGAGCATGAATCGGGAGATGTAAAAAGCAGAACGAAAGTCGGGAAATAACATAGAAAATTGGCCAAGGGTCCATCACTCCTCGTCCGTCAATTGCCCAAGTAACCGTAGGTTGAGAATCATGACGAGCAATCCAATTGATACGATCACCATCAGGGCGAAACCGAACCAACCCAGAACCATTGCGGAGGTTCCAACACCACTTCTGACACTGCCGTTCCCTAGATCTTGAGCTATTGTGCTTGCTGCGACTGACGCTGTATGCTGCCATAACACGGACACGAGCACGAAGACCGCGGCAATGAAGATAAGGGCGAGGGCAACCTGGGATACAGGGCGCGACGGGAAAGGCTTGACTTCGACTTCGGATCCGCTGGCGTCAACTTCCTCGTGCCATCCAGGGAAAGTTGCGAGGATAATGAAGCAAAAGAAGGAAAGGATGACGGCGATAATTCTGTGGCAAGTTAGGGTTATCGTCAACAACGGAAATTGCTAGACTCACATCAGGTACGGGAACACCACTGCATCCTTGAACGTTGACGCAACCCAGATTAGATTCAGAGGATCTTGATCGACAGTAACAATCTCAGCCAAAGCTGTCGCGTTGGCGTTGCAGATGTACGAGCCACCGTCCGGTTGGACACAGATTCCAAAGTATCCCACGCGGACCTCCATCTGTGCACCTCCAACAATATTTGCCGTGGCCGTCACAACTCCAGGATCTACCTGGGCAAGACTGAATACTGGATCGTACCGCTCATAGTACATGGAAATGAGGAAAATGTCAGGTATTTGCGGAGATGATGACGAGCATCCCGCGAGTAATAGTGCTGGCAAACCATGTGAGCTGCGATTCATATGGTCCAGATGGGGAGACGACTCACATAGAAGAATGATAATAACAGCGATCAAGATCATCAGCACGTGGTGATATCCGATCATCGGGATAAACCCTACATTCCCACGGTTAGCTGACGTCGAGTCGAGATCGAAAGTACGTAGTACTCACGGCCAAAGCCGGTGCCAAATCTGGTCGCCATCTTCAACAAAATGGTGCCTTCTCTTTTCCTCCGTTGCGCTTAGTCCCTCTCTTCCCGGAACCCCGAGAAGGAGTGTCTTTCGTCCTGCACACCTTGCCTAGTAGCCAAATGCCACCCTTATCAACCGAGTAAACGATTCACGAACTCGCCGAACTCGAATGTCGATTGTAAAGTGTCAATTCCCAAGTAGACCAACGCCGTCTGACCCGCTTAAAGAATGTAGTGACAGCAGCGACCTGGAATGCGGGCGTCGATAATCGAGATGGGAGGAATGACGACCAAGATCGAAAGAATGTACGGGAGCTATCTCGCGGTATTCGACAGGATAACCTGGGAGTATTCAGAGTGGTCAGATATAGTGTGTCAAAGTATCGCCGCTCAATGACCCAGTTGCAATGGCAATTAAGGTCTAGGCGGTAGTTGTAGAGAGAGGTATAGTGAAGATGGAGAGGGAGAGAGAGTTCGTAGCTGGACAATCCACAGTTGCAGCCCAAATGACCGGGTTTTTCCTGCCACCGAATTTGCGAAACTGAAAGAGCGTCACCACCTGGGTCTCTGGGAGAATAGTCGGGTGGCTGGACTGTATAGAATCTCACTCCGCACTATTCGGGAGGCTGGGCCAACGCCCTTTGTTTACCTGCTCCGCTTCCCTGGTAACCAGCTCCACCGCCTTCTGCTCCAAGGCAGCCACGGCAGATCGGGCCCACAGATCAGATTACAGCTATGTCGGGACTAGCGCCAACCACGGACTCAGGGATCTTCCCCAAGTTTCTAATCTTAGATGAGCCTCTTCAACTTCCAAGTCCAGGTGAGGGGACGATTCATGTTTCCCGACTTCCAATGCTGCCAAAAATGAGATTATTCAATATACCAACAGAAACTTGTCACCTAACTCCTAGTCTGTCTACCAACAATCAGAATGAGTAACCTGAGGCAATGAACTCAACCAAACTCTACTGTGCCGAACGGCTAGAAGGATGCTATGTTATGCCAACAATCGTGCTCTACTTAGTCGTGAAAGAGAATCGCTTGAGATCCAAAGCTGCCAGCCTTGCTCGACTAGTATCGTCGCCATCTTCATCACCCTTGTCTTCCTCTTCGCTATCTGGGACTATCAGATCTTCGCTACCCTGACTGGGTGCAGGACTCGGATCGCTTGGGGTTAAAGAGAGTCTTTTCTCACTTGCAGCCGAAGTGCTCCATGTCAAAGGAGATGTAGGCATGCTATTCATGGATCGTGACCTTGCCAAAGCATTTTGACCTAGACGTTGCAAGGGCGTGAGCCTCTTGGGTTGAGAGGTTCTGAGCAAGTTACTACCCAGTTTTGGCACCGGTCCAGTTCCCGGTGCCCTTACGGCTGAGGCCTCTAGGTTAAAGCTAGTCGCATTAGCATCAGCCTTGAAGCGGTATTTTGAGAGTATCGCAGAATTTTGTGTTTTGATGTGATAGTCGAGCACCTGATGGAAAACTTGAGGGTCAGAGTCTGCGCTCACTGTTTTAGACTGCGTCTCGCAATCAACCGAGCTATTGAGGATTTGTTCCTTGCGATTGGCCTGCGCGCTAACGGCTGCATCTTTCAGGGTCGCCGGAGTCTGGACTTCTTCGCTATTTGCCTCGGTATTCTTGCTAGGAACTTTCGAAGATTCGCAGCAATCCTGCTTCTCAGGTGCTTGACTCGGGTCGACAAGTTGCGACATGATGTCTTCCGCCACATCGTCCGAGAAAACATCTAGCGTAGACTTGCGCGCTTTTTTGGTGCGAGTAGACTTTTGTCCTCCACTAGGGGTACACTCGCTCGAACCGACTGCAAAGAAGCGGCTGCGGCCTCCTGGTGTACTGACGGGGCTAGCTTCATCAGTCTCCGAGCACAGCCTTTGGCGTTTGGCAGGCTGCAGGGTTGATAACTTCGAAGCGCGCGCTAAAAACGAAGACCGCTCTGCACTTCTCACAAGTGGACTCGAGAGTCTATTGACCGGCCCGGTTGTAGGAGCAGATCTCGCGCCTAGTGGCTGGGATTGAGCAGGGCTAGCGTCCCAGGAGGTATTTGCATGACGCTGAAGCAGTCGTTGTTGGCTCGGCGAAGGTGTAAGGCTGTTTGGGTCCAACTCGGCAAGTGGAACGCGTTTAGGGGTGAAGAATGAATTGATAGGCTTCGATGGTTTGAGTTCGGATAACGAGCCAAGAGTTTGCCGCCGATCCAACGAAGGAAGCATCTTCTTGTGCTCCGCTTTGATGGAATCCAGTGGCTTCAATTCAAGCGTTTCTTTTGTTGTGGGGTCCAGATCGCCGCGAGCGACTCCGACAGCAGTCTCAGGGTTCATGTCATCACCAATGAATGCAAGTTCTTCGATGTTCACACCTTCCTCAGGCGGCGTCAATGTCACAAGTTTACCAGCCTTCGGGCAGAACACGCGCTGGTACAGAAACGTAAGTTCAGCCTGCTTGAAATTCTGGAGGTAATCAGCGGGGACATGGTACTGGCCCTCGTACTGTAACATCCGGAGAGCCTTTTCCACATTCTTGAACTTTCGAATGCTGCGATAGGCGGTTTTTAGCCCAATCCGAGAAATGTTGGGCAAGTAGTCGCAGCCGCTGAGGATACACATGCGTCTGAATTCAGCGTCCGTCCAACCTACAAAGCTGACTTCTCGACAGGCACTGAAATCAGCTCGGTTAATCTCAATGCAGTCGCCGTGCTGATCAAGCTTGGATAGCAGTCGCCTTGCACCAAACACAAGCAAATCGGAGTCCTCAGAGATGATGCCGTCAATAAAGCCGTGTTGCTCCAGATATACCAGTTGTGCATCAGCTTCATACGGAGCAACCACATATTGCACATCCAGTTTCTTCAGTTCTTCAATTAACTGGCGCGCCATCACCGGTGTCACGTCGACGGCTTTCTGAAGTTCTTGGTACGCCTCTGCATTTCGTCCTTTCCGGTAGAGCTCCAACCCGAGAGCCTTACTCTCCCTGCGTCTCTGCTGTCGGTCCAGCTCCGTACCAGATTTGCTTGGTAAATCATCACCATCGAAAACAAGATAGGGCGAAACCCCAAAGTACAAAAGCATGCGGACTCGGCTTAGGACGAAATCAATGTGCCTTGCATCCCATTAGCACCAGATCAGACATGGAAGACCCAGTTTGAATTTTACTTACTTGGTCGTGGGCCTATCCAGCACCAGATCAACGGCACAAGCAACCGTTCCACGATGTAACCACCCATATGCGTCCACCCCTAGGGTTTGCCCACTGAACTTCTTCAGGTGGCATGGTTTCTGGATTGATTTGAGAAGGCCATGAAGTCCTAAGTAATGTTAGACAAGATTTGCTCAAACACAATGATTTTGCAGCGTGTCTCACCTTTAATGCCCATCGTGGGCACCCTTTAAGGACTCGGTACACCTCGTGTTGATCAGAGAACCAAGGGAGACATTAGTGGAGCATGAGAAGCAAGCCAAGAGAGAGCAAACGACGTGGTGCGCATGTCCTAGAGATCAAGGAGGCAGCCGCCAGTATAACCATGAGAGAATGACGACAACAAGAATGGAATGCTTGACATGGACTCCCTGTCGAGTCTCTCGTCCCTCCCCAAAACGCGCCTGAGACGCGATGCGAGCATGTGCTCCTGATTGGTTGCCTTGGAAGCGGACTTGTGTCCACCCCACCGCCTTGAGTTTCTGCCAGCCAAAAGAAAAAAAATTCCCCAATGGACAAGCATAAGGCGGAGATATCAACCACTGCACCAGAGAAATTAGCCGTTGATAGAGCTGAACTTGTCGAATAAGTCTCATCATGCCCAAGTCACTGCAGAAGGTGCAAAAGCACATCTCCAAGAAGCGGGGGGCCGTCGATGCTCTCCACGAGAACAGCAGGGACGCAAAGTTGCTGCGGAGGGCTGGTATTAGAGATGATCGGGTCGCTCGTATTTCCGCCACCATGGCAAGGGGAAGACAGTCGCACGGTTCGTACTCTGGTTGCCACTTCTGTGAGATGTTGTTGGGCACGGGCTGACGTTCCGACCTTAGTGGACCGCATCAGGTACTTTAGAGAATCAATCTCGGAGGAGACGGTATCGTTCTCTGATAATGACATGGCGGATCTAGTGACAAGGTATGCCTTCTTTATGATCCATTATATAGGATGAGCCGTGCTGATCTTGTCGACTCTAGGTTTATTAATCGCAGCGTTCCCGAGATTGAACAACTTCAGAGTGAGAGGAGGAAAGGTCGACCGCCCAGCAAGAGGGAAGAGGCGCTTCTCCAACGGACAGATGCCGAAAATAAAGAATTCAAGACAGGCTTTTGGATGCCTGATCTGAGCCAGGAGGATGTGGTCAAGGCCTTGTCCAAGTGGAATGAAAATTGGTCCGGTCTTAGCTCCATGAAGTTCATCCGCCTTACAAAAGATGGCGGAAAACAAGCATCAAGCTTTCCACCGAAGGGACTGTCATGATGGTGCGGATAGTTACTCCGTACATGTGCGTTTACTGATGACTTGGACATATTCATGATACTCCATGGGACAATGGCGTTATTCTACATAGTTATACTCAAAGCTGGTTTTATCTCATCGACTCGTTGCACAGCGTCAGATATCCACTGCAATTCTACACAGCGCCTGTTGGTTAGCTGAAGACTGTTGCTGTAGAGGTTGGTAGCTTTAAGTTGGTTCTTGGTTTGATGCTTATGATTGGCGGTTGGCGAGAGGTCCCGATGGAAGTCTTGGCGCTGTCGATCCTGATCAGGAAATGTTCACATCATCAATTTGCCTTTGCTTTCTCTTCCTGCTCTCGTTAGTACCATCAACTTCTCTTACATCCCCATCTCTCTTCGCATTATAAATCCAAAATGCTTTCTCTTCGCACACTTGCCCGCTCGGTGCCTCGCACTTTCTCGCGATCAATCGCGACATCGTCTCGATCTGCCATTCTCCGACCTTCGTCAAATCTTCCCAAAAGCGGCTTCGTCCAGCCCTCCTTGAAGCAAGCCATCAGACCTTCGTATGCTGCCTTTTCGACATGCAGGGCCTTCAGACAAGCTGAAGGTAAGCACCTGAAGTAGCGGAAACTTCTGAGAAATTCTTTGTCCCTGACCCGAAGATTTCTCCTTTCCGCTCAATCTGGTCATTAAGCTCTCTGGAGCTTAACGCGAACCATTCTTCCGAACAAAAACGCTAACTTGCTCGTCCCAATAGGTGATGCTGAGCTTGCTGCAAAACTCGAGGATGAACTGAAGCACGAGAAGGAGTCCGGCCTCGAGGATCTGGACTCCTCTGTTCAGAACATCCAGTATGTTCTGCAGAACAACTCTTGGGAGGTATGTGCATACCGGGATACGCTTTTTTGCAGCTCGCGGATACTAATTATATCCAGGTCAAGGATGTTCCCGGAGAGCAGGAGGTTGTTCTGACGAAGAAGTTCGGCAAGGAAGAGTGAGTATTTCCCGCAGTACAACACCTATAAAATCCAAGCAATCCCGGACTAATTCAGATTCAACGTCTAGGATTCGCCTTACATTTACTGTCGCCGACCTCCAGAACCTGAGCGAACAGGATGACTTTGATGCCGGCCTCACCGACGATCTCGACTTCCAGGGTCACCAGCCCGTCAACGCCGGCCGTGGCGGAAACATCGCACAGCACCCCGAGGACAGCGTCGCCCCCGCTGACCGCGAGCTTGACGATGTCGACCGTGACCTCGAGCCCAGCTTCCCCGCGCGCGTCAATGTGACCATTGAGAAGCCCGGCAACGGCGCCCTCCTCATCCAGACCCTCGCTCAGGATGGCCTTTTCCAGATCGAAGAAGTTTCCTTCTTCTCCAAGCCCGACCTTGCCCATGCTGTTACCGCTGAGAAGGACTGGGCCCGCCAGAGCCTGTACGCCGGCCCTCCCTTCGAGAACCTCGATGAGGATCTGCAGTCCTACCTTGAGCGTTACCTTGAGGAGCGCGGCATCAACGCCGAGCTTGCCAACATGATCCCCGACTACATCCAGGTTAAGGAGCAGAAGGAATATGTCCGCTGGCTCGAGAGTAAGTCGCACCCTTTTTGAGGCCCCGTATTTACCTTTCTAACCCTCTTCTTCAGGCGTCAAGAACTTCGTCTCTGCTTAAGCGCGTTGAATTCACCCGATAATCCTCTCTCGACTCAAACCCCAACTCATCATTCTTCCCTGGTGAAAGCTTTTGACTTACCTTTGTTGTTCCGCTATGATATCTCGAGCTGCTTCTAACAGTGGGCGAATGGACATGTATTTTTATAGAAAGAAATGAATTAAGGACCTGTTGTAATTATGCATTCAGCATTAATTGGCCTTATCCTGGTAAAAGTTAAATGCAAAGTCACCTAGTATATACTCGGGCGGAAACTAAGTCCATCAATAGTAGAATCTCGTAGATACAAAAGCCTAAACGCCATTCGTCAACCCATCGAGACAGGAAAATATGCATAAACTCCAACCCGCTCAGCATACCCAAGGAAAATTCATCACGTATCGATAAAGTAATCTTAGAGACTTAGCTCAAAACTCCATACTTTCAGTCTTGACCTCCGCAGGCTCATCATCCCGCTCCCGCTTCCCCGTGCGCTCCTCTTTCAGAAGCCCGGCGATGAAAGAACGGAAATAATCAATGTACGGCTTGAGACTAGTTTTCTCATAGTCCTGGAGCCTGCGATTTCCCCTAGCATCAGAGCCATCCGGCACACTTCCCTCGCCTTCTGGACCCTCCGCCATACCACCACCAGGATGCTCTGCATCCCAGGCATCGATTTCCGACAAGAGCTGAGAAACGGTTGGCGTGGAGAGGGGATCGAAGCTCTCGACATTGCGAATGTCGATGGGAACACAGACGCGACCAGTTCCAGGGTGGATGACAAATGGGCTTTTGAGCAAATGGATCATCTTCTTGCTGACCTCGGAATCGAGGCGAGGGTATGTGTACTCGAGAACGATGTCCTGCTTTGCGTCGCGCAGTGAGGTGGTATTTAGTGTTGAGCTTTTGCCAGTTTTGGCGAGGGCGTCGATGTCAGCCCATTTGCTGGTACTGGAGCGGTTGGGCGCAGAGTCCCATTTCTTTCGAAGGGAGTCGTTGAGGCCCTTGTCTGGCAGTAAGGAGAGAAGACGCTGGGTTTGTTCGGAGCTCAAGAAGGTGTCTTGGTCGATGAGGGTTGTCTGAGCGAAATATGGCTTCAGGATTTCGAGACTGCGGTTAATGTGGGGATGGAGAGGGCGTTTGAGGTTGACGCGCTTGCCGCTCTGCGTTCCTCCCCTGATGAGATCTAGATAGCCCGCAATAGCCCGTCGCCGATCATCCGGGAGGCTTCGCGCGCGGGAGTCACAGACCCAGGCGTGAGCACCACGACGACCTGAATAAACCCATAGGATATGTTTGAAACCGAAGTCCTCGCGGAGGGCGGTGTCGACGACTTTGATAGCCATTGTCACGAAAGCCCAGCACTTTTCACAGATATTTGCCTTCGTGCAACACGAACGGATGTCATCGTAATCGGTCAAATCAATATCGAACACTAGTTCTTTCGAGAGAGGCTTAAGTTGTCCACTGCCCAACGTCTTGCGATCTCGGGGGTTTCTGTTGTAGACGGGACCAATTTCGAAACGCGAAGGGTTCATCTTCAGGATATCTTTGCGAAAACTAAGATAGAGTTGTATTAGTACCTATTCGATAGGAACAAGGCTTTCGCGCGCGAACTCACAGATCCGCAGTTGTATATGATTGATATCGTAGATAAGCATCGTTCTGTAGTGTCAAGGCGAACTCGCGATTTCCAAAGTCAGGTGAAGGAACGATCCCATGATTCAGCCATTGAAACAGATAGCGAAAGGGGAATAGGCGTTGGTAGAAAGCTAGCATGGTTTCTGTATCGACTTCAACAGGCGGCCGCGCTGGTGCACTTGATAATCAGGGTTAGACCGTATCCCTGTTGCATTGGGGGTTAAGCTCACCTAGTATTCTCCATTTTGACATCGGTAGGTGCGCTGGAAGCTGGGAACTCGTTATCGTCATCATCTTCGTCGTTGAAGAGGTCTTCTAGCTTCACACCGGCAGTCTTCTCCGCAATGTTGTCTCCATTGAGCTCCGAGGTGTCGGCAGTATTTTCGGTTGGAGGAGCATCTGGGAGGAGTTCCTCGTCTTTATGAGAGGCTGGAGAGCCACCTGAAGCGACCGAGTGTGGCATTGTGATGGATTTGTGGTTGTCGAGGCCTGTCGTTAGTCGTTCCTACTATCCCCGCAATTAACGCGACTCAGTGTGAAGACGCGCAAAGGACGCGTCTTCAATTAGCCCTGAGCCCTGAGTTGCATTATAGGAAAATGCCAAGACGCATGTAGCTCACGTGCAACTTAATGAGTCAGCCAATCATGGCCGCAAGCGGCCACTGCGTCAAACTTTCCAACTTCATCCCACCCATGCATCAACGTAAATCAACCTTCGGTGCCTCTTGGGCCCTGCAGGAACATCCTAGCTACGTCTCCCGTTTGCGGAAAGCGGGAGCTCCATGAATATTTTCTGTCCTGTTGGATGACCCTTACATTTTGCCCAGTTTTCTTCCAAGAGACCTATCACCATCTGCGCCGAATGCACCACGCAATGGGCAGAACGGCTCGTCTAAAGGTAGTCCCAGGCTCGATGAAATGCTACTCAGCGCTATCTAGCTGCTGCTTGGCTGAACATTTCCACACCCGCCACCATGAAGTCATCACTTGCACGCCCAGGGCTCTCAGTACTCTCTGCTGCATTACTTTTCGGGGACCTCCATAGTTTAACGGCCCTCAAGTGGCCAGCGACCCTTCAATCGCCGAGTGGAACCAGGATTTCATGCTCATAGGGCTTTCCCCAACCAGCTCCGGCCAGTACGATTATCGTGAAATGGATGCTTGTCTTGTGCTGCCATCGAGCTTGCTTATTCCCAAATTTCCCGGCGAGTCATTGGGGCAGGGCCCACATTCCTCGGAGAAAATGCCCTCAAGCTGTTAGCAAGTAAGCAGCAAGAGGCGATCTTCAGAACTAACATAGGCGACTCTCCAAGGAGTTATCTCGAAGGCCCACGATGATATGTCAAAGGATATCGCTGTGAACCTGTTCCTGGCCAAAACTATGCTTGCGCCCTTGATTGTTTGCCAGTTGCCGAATATGCAGGTATACTTTCAGGGACATGTCCAGTTTGGGGCTACAGCCATTCGATTGGAGAAATCACCGGACGCTTTTCTCCCTTCAGGAGTCTTGTTCAGTCTATGACGCCATCATCATAAGTAGTCCCTTGGGACAGGATTCATCCTACCATCCGTTCCTACATTGGAGTGGATCCTATGGAGCCTTTTTCCGATGGAACTATGATATGCCACACTCAAGCTTTGATCGTGAGGGGCTTCTACAGCTTCTAAAAATTGCTTTCTGCTTATCTGCACACCTGAAGTGTTCCTCTAGCATCCATGGTACTGCCGGACTACTACCCCTATCAGTCGTCATTACTGGGCAGTAGGATGTGCTCCCCTCATGACCCAGAGGTTGTTAACGCATGTCTCCTGGTGCCAGCGGATACTACAGTGGTATCCAATTCTATCACGACCGATTTACAGTCGGAAACGGTAATCACCCTCGTTCTCGAGAGATATAAGCTTGAATCTCCTCCTGTCTAGAGCTCCTTTTCTTGTTCACGCAAACTTACAACAGGCAGAGGGTCACTCGCTCTCACTTCACTCGTTTATCGCAAAAGTTCTCCTGCCTGTTCTTTCTACTATTTCTTCGAAATGGTCAACAAGTTCGCCGCTCTCTTGGCCTTGTCCGGCCCAGCCTTGGGTGATCTCCTCCACCACAAGGCTCCGGAGTCCTCTCCGGCCGTGGGGCCCCAGGTTACCAAGACCACGACCTACACGACAACTTCTTGCCCGGTTACCTCGTCTGTCGTTACTTCGGGAACCAGAACCTTGACGGTCCCAATTACTCTGACCGAAACCATTACCGTCACCACGACCTTCATCGAGGACGAGACCAACCCTCCGGGTTCCCCGCCTACTGCCCCTCCTGGTGTGCCTGGTCCTAACCCAACTGGCAACCCTGGTCCTGGCCCTACCGGTCTCCCCGGTCCTGGCCCTACTGGACTCCCCGGCCCTGGTCCCACTGGCCTCCCCGGCCCAACAGGCGGGCCCATCCCGACTGGTCGCCCTATCCCGACAGGCCAGCCCATCCCGACAGGCCAGCCCATCCCGACTGGTCGCCCTATCCCGACAGGTCAGCCCATCCCGACAGGTCAGCCCATCCCGACAGGCCAGCCCATCCCGACAGGTCAGCCCCGCCCTGTGCCAACTGGCGCCGAAAACTCGACCATCCCTGTCATCCCCACCAGCACTGCTCCGTTCCAGAACAGCACCGCGCCGCCTGTCTTCCCTACTACACGGCCTGTGCCCGTGCCACCGGGCTCTTCGCCTGCCCCAGTGCCAGTTCCAGTTCCAGTTCCCGGACAGCCTGGTAGCCCTGCTGCACCTGGACAGCCTAGTGCACCTGGACAGCCTAGTGCACCTGGACAGCCTAGTGCTCCTGGACAGCCTGGTGCTCCTGGACAGCCTGGTGCTCCTGGACAGCCTGGTGCTCCTGGACAGCCTGGTGCTCCTGGACAGCCTGGTGCTCCTGGACAACCTGGTGCCCCCGGACAGCCTGGTAGCCCTGCTGCGCCTGGTACTCCTGGTGCCCCTGGCGCTTCTGGTGCCCCTAGTACTCCTGGTGCCCCTGGCGCTTCTGGTGCCCCTAGTACTCCTGGTGCCCCTGGCGCTTCTGGTGCCCCTAGTACTCCTGGTGCTCCTGGCGCTTCTGGTGCCCCTAGTACTCCTGGTGCTCCTGGTGCTCCTGGCGCTTCTGGTGCCCCTAGTACTCCTGGTGCTCCTGGTGCTCCTGGCGCTTCTAGTGCCCCTAGTACTCCTGGTGCTCCTGGTGCTCCTGGCGCTTCTGGTGCCCCTAGTACTCCTGGTGCTCCTGGCGCTTCTGGTGCCCCTAGTACTCCTGGTGCTCCTGGCGCTTCTGGTGCCCCTAGTACTCCTGGTGCTCCTGGTGCTCCTGGCGCTTCTAGTGCCCCTAGTACTCCTGGTGCTCCTGGTGCTCCTGGCGCTTCTAGTGCCCCTAGTACTCCTGGTGCTCCTGGCGCTTCTGGTGCCCCTAGTACTCCTGGTGCTCCTGGCGCTTCTAGTGCCCCTAGTGCCCCTGGTGCCCCTGGTGCCCCTAGTGCTCCTGGCGCTCCTGGCGCTCCTGGTGCCCCTAGTGCCCCTGGCGCTCCTGGCGCTCCTGGCGCTCCCGAGTCTCCTGGAGTTCCTCCCACTGGCGTCACCCCCGAAAGGCCGGGTTTTACCGGCGCTGCCGACAACGTCCGCCCGACTGCTGGTCTCCTTGCTGGTCTCATGGCGGTCATGGCTCTCCTGTAAACAGTTCCATGGGAATTGTCATCAAAACGCCAGGATTTCAACCACACGAGCTATGAAGAGCCCGCTGACTGCGTTTAGAGGATAAAAGAAAGTAATATGGAGTTTCGATTTTGTCTTTGTGAACTTTTCCGCCCTGGGGCCCCTTTGCCTGGAGGATCGCGGTTCCCCGTGCTAATTCAAGCAAAGGACTCCATTTCAGGTCAGAGCAGTTGGATTTTGTGTTAAATATGCGGTAGTAATAGTAATTTATAATGGAACTCGCATTTGCATAGTTTATTTGCTTTTCTTATTCATCGGTAATCTAAAAATATTACGCCAGAGTACGCCAGGACCCTGGTGGCGCATAGTACTTACTTCTCTCACCTCACTTACTATTGGACGAAAAAGAAGTATACAATCAACTGCAATCCCCAAGATGAAAAATAATGCTCAACATCCCCAGCACAAAAAGCACCTCCGAATTGTTGCACCCCGGAAGATCTCCAATTATTAATCCAGCCGGTTTCTCCCTTCTTTTAGATTCCAAGATGGATCTCCCCGGGCATGTGGGACCGCACTTGCCGGCGAATAACAGTACCAACAACCCAGCCGAGAGTCCGAGAACCACCTACACCCTCCCGAGTCCCGGTCCTGATAAGGGACTCGATCCGTCGAGTGTCTCTCCAATTTTCTGGTTTTCGCTATATTTGCTGCTTTTCGTTCATTCTCTTGCCTTCCCATACATATACGGCCTCACATATTCAGTTATTCAACCTCGTACATATCAAAACGAAAATGGCAGCGCAACAAGACTACAAATTCGAAGGCTGGATGGGCCTTGACCCCAAATCCGCTGATGGAAACATGGTCTGGCAGGAGTTTGAGCCGAAGCCCTGGGAGGAGACGGATGTTGATATCAAGGTTACACACTGTGGTATCTGTGGCTCGGATTTGCATACATTGAGGAGTGGTTGGGTAAGTTCACTTTCATTTACCTTGGTATAACCGGCAAGACAAGACCACAATTGGCAAACGGAGTGGAGTCTGGAGTTTGTCCGAGATACTACCGGATACTTGGCTCCCATTTTGTTGCTAGTTGTGGCGTGGACATGTATAAAATCGAACACACACTAAATCTAAACAGCGCCCAGCCCTGTACCCGTGCTGCGTCGGCCATGAAATTGTCGGCACAGCCATCCGCGTCGGATCCAAAGCAGTCGGTGGAATCAAAGTTGGTGACCGTGTTGGCGTCGGCGCCCAAAGCGACGCATGCCTCGGCCGTTTCGGCGACTGCCCCGAATGCGCCATGGGCTGGGAGAACTACTGCTCGCACAAGTTCGTGAGCACCTATAACAGCGTGCATTTCAATGGCGGCAAGTCATATGGTGGATATGCGCTATACAACCGCGCGCCTTCTCACTTCGTTATCAAGATCCCTGATGGTGTGTCCTCGGCTGATGCGGCTCCCATGCTCTGTGGTGGTGTGACGCTCTACTCGCCGCTGAAACATAATGGGTGTGGACCTGGTAAGAGGGTGGGAATTATTGGTGTTGGTGGGTTAGGACATTTTGGCGTATTATTTGCCAGGGCACTTGGGGCGGACAAGGTCGTTGCGATTTCGAGGAAGGAGGGTAAGAGGGCGGATATTGAGAAAATGGGTGCGGATGCGTACATCGCGACGGATGAGGAGCAGGGGTGGGCGGAGAAGTATGCGAGGTCTCTGGACTTGATCGTGTGTACGGTGTCCTCGACGAAGATGCCGATGAATGAGTATGTGGGTTTGCTGGCGACGAACGGGAGCTTTGTGCAGGTTGGATTGCCCGAGGATGGAACGCTCAATGCGCCTGTTGGGGCACTGAAGCGGAGGTTGAAGATGGAGAGCTCGCTTGTTGGTAGCCCGGATGAGATTAGGGAGATGTTTGCGCTGGCTGCGGAGAAGGGGATTAAGCCATGGGTCGAGGAGGTGCCCATGAAGGAGGCCAACAAGGCTATTGTTGATATGCACGAGGGCAAGGCGCGGTACCGCTATGTGTTGGTGAACGAGGCATAAACCGGTCTATTTTCCATAGGCTGCTCAGATGCGATATACATGAAAAATACATGACCAATAAGAAGAAAGAAGTAGTGCCACCGACACAATTGTGCAATCGAATGGTAGAAATTAGGAAAAGGCATACAGGATAAAACGATACAATGCTCGTTGATTCCACCCGACTATATAACATCGAACCCCCACCCGCTCGTTTCGCCTGCCTAGAACAATGACAAGATGTCTTCGTTGGTCTTCTTGGGCTGGCTTGCCCCTGCTGGCGGCGGTGAAGACATGCCGTCTCCAGAGAGATCCAGCCCGCCAAAGCCATTGAGCAAATCAGCTCCAGCACCGCCATTGGGGGAAGCGGCTGTGCTTGCCGTGGGCGCGGGTGTGTCCCCGAAAACCCCAAGCAGATCATCCAAGTTATTGCTTCCTGAGGGTGCAGGTGCCCCAGCTGCGGGAGACTCTACCCGGACAGGAGTCCCGGCGAGACCCTCCAGGCCGGACATGCCACCATTTGGTTCCTTGTGAGCAGATGCAGGCGCGGTGCCATCGAAGTCGATATCCAAAAGGTTCTCGACGTTGCTTTGTTGCTGTGGAGCAGCCGTACCGTCAACTGCAGCAGCCGCTGCGGCAGCCAATGGGTTGTCGCGAGCGTTCTGGAGTTGTTCCCTAAGTAAAAACGTTAGATCATGAATACACGAACAGAACAAGAGAGGCATACTCAATAGCTGCCTTCTGGACAGCGTCTGCACCGAAGCGGCCCTGGCCAACAAATTGCTCTGGAGGCTTATGGTAAACAGACGCAAGCGTGGAGAGTTCGGTTAGAAGTTGCTCAAGAAGAGCAGGAGGTAGGGAATGAATGGTAGTGACGATTGGAGGCTTTTTGGAAAGCACAATGTTTCTGGCAGCATTGGTGTCGCTGGTGTTTGATAACAGGCGCCAGTAGACGTAGGCTCGGTCACGCACGTCGGGGTTGTCGTTCTCTGCTGTGGCTGCCTGCAGCACCTTTTGGACTAAGCCTTGAGCCTTGTCAGGTCTTTTCAAGAAGAGCTTAACGACAGCGGTCAGGATCTGTAGTTGGGTCTACAATTGGCAGTTAGTATATATCCGCCATCAAGAGCCAACAGGCGACAAACCTGTGAGAATTCCTCGTTGAACCCTTCCACAAAGCCTGCCAAGATATCGCCAGCATTGCTAATCTTCTCAGCATATTCACCCACGATCCATATAAGTGCGGCTCTAGCATTGGGCTCATCCAGTTCGTCAATACACTTGCAAAGAGTGGGAATGATGCCCTCGTATCCGGGGTACTTGCGGAAAATGTCCTTGATCACCACAATCGCTTCTTGTACCACGTAGTTGACTTTTGTGTTGATAAGGTCTAACAGAGTGTTGACGCACTTCTCGCAAGCACTCTCAATCTTGATGGCAACCTGGCCGATAGCCTTGACTGCACGGCGCACAAAATCCATGTCCACTTCCAAAGCATACTCCTTTAGTTCCGCTAGCAGCTGGTCAAAGTTCCGGTCGTTGGCTATCCGCACCATAATCTCGAGCTTCTGGAATTTGACATAGGGCGGGTCATTGTACTTGCAGAAGAAAACCCGAAGTTCCTTGTTCAGGATATCCGGCTGCTTCTGCAACAATAGATCGATATTGCGCAAAGCGACATATTGTACTTCGGGAGCGGATGAAACCAGTGTCACTTGAACATACATTAGCGAGTCGATAATGGTACTGGAAAGGTAGAATTACCTAATGGAGGAGCCATTTTCTTGAGATAGTTGCTGGACAGCTCTGCATTGACCAGTTTCATGTGAAGGAATACTGCTTTGACGGCGGCCAGCACCACACTAGGGTTGGCGTGTTGGAACTGAGGGGCAACCCGTTCACAGATCTGTTCTGCCTCATTCACGGCGCTCGTTCTGTACTCCGACAAGGTTGTGAGAATCGTGACTCGACCCCATTCAGTACATTCATTCAGCGCCATCAGGAGTTTCCGAAGGGTGTTCGGAGTCACCTGCAGGGCTTGGGTTTCCGGTGCAGCGTGGTGAATTTCAGACAGAGCGGTGACCGAGTTAGCGACGACCATTGGGTTGGGGTCTCCGATCATCTCTTGAAGCATCTCGAGGAAGCCGTTCTCCAAGCACATAGCCGGACTTAGATCGAAGAGCTTGGCAACGCAGATGGCAGCGGTCTTGCGGACGTACGGCGACTCGTCCCGCAGCGTCTTTCGGAGCGGCTCTTCCATGTAATCAATCATCTTATCCACCCGGATACATCCCATTGTTCGGATTGCGAGTGCCCTGATCAGGGGGTTTGGGTCTTCGGAGTCCTGTACAAAGGTGTTGACAGCGAGAATGCAGAGGTCTGGATGTGATTTGGCGTAGTTCCTATCCCGCGGAGCTAGAATTAGCGGTAGGCAATGAAGAAGGCCACCGAGGTCTCACATCAGATAGAGATATACTAGCTTCTTCTGCTCCAAATCGGTGGTCGCAATATTCTTGAGTACATCAGGGAAAAGAGCGGAAACGTCTTTGCCTAGGGTCATGGCCATGATCGTCTTTTGAATCGCCTCCTTTCTGTAACAGTTTATCAGCCAGTATCCTGGACATCGAATTGCCGTCTCCGTCGATTGATTGTTGGCGAAACATACCTCTCATAGGCATACTGTGAGCTATCGATCCGGTCAGCATGGAGACTATGACGGGTACGTAGTCGGGGAATGTTCATACACAAGACCAGCTCGCAACTCAAAGGTCTCTCCTTTTCTAGGCACCGCAAAGGCGCCGCGGATCCTATTCATCGCCATGCTGGGTAAGGACAGGCTTCAGCGACGACAAAGTCGCGCCTCCGCAGAATATGATGTGGACAGAGGGAAGAGGTCGGGACCGTGGTGTTGTCGACCACTGCGGGGGAGTTGGGCGACGGGGAGTTCGCTTCAGGGAGAAGTGCACACTTGAAGCGAGCTGCGAGGGACCAGGACACTGCAGGAAAGCCTCGTAGAATTATTCGAGCATGATCCCCCGGAGACAGGGTTCGGAAAGATGAGAGCGACGGAGGTAGAAGACGCGGACCGGGGAGGTGAAGTTGGTCCAGACCCAAAAAGAGTTGCTGTCCACAAAAGCGGCTGATCTGAACCACTACGGGTCTTCGTCTTCCCACCCCAGACCACCAGCTTGCGCAACCGCCTCCTTTCATCTGCTCTCACCGCAACAAGCCACCATGGTACGTTCTCACTTTCTCCATCCTTGCCAACAATTGCATGTTCTCACAATGCTCATAGGCAAACCTCCCGAATCTACGACGCCTATTTGTCGAGGCTAGATCCGAGGCGGAGGAGAATGAGTACTCTCGGACTGCCGTGCGCCTACCTGTCTATCCGGTTAGGAAATACATGACGCTGACTTCCATTGCAGTTCTATAATCTTGTCCTGTTTATATCCTCCGTGGCCGTATTTAGTCTTACTGCCCAACGCATGAGCGGCTCGAAATCCGGGAGATAATGGCTGGATGCCTCTTCTGAGTTCATTAAGACATTATTAACTAATACATATCGGAGATACGACCGGAACCTATGCTACTTCACACGGAGTTGGGACTGCGCAATAATAGCGCCCCGTCAGTCGGTCTCCTCCCCATCGCTCTCGAGAAAGGCGAGACTCTTTAGTCCTCGATTTAGCCGCCGCCGGGGCTGACCACTGTCACTGCCGTCGTCTCCCTTCTCCTTACCCCAACGTTTTGCTCCTTCTTGAACCATTTCGAGATCCTCACGGAGTTCGCGCTCTTCCTTGATCTGCCTAGCCTTCTCCACGGAATACCGGCCTTCCATCCCCGCGTCCTTCAACATATCTTTGAGGTGTTTGATTTTCGCCTTTGGTGTTTCATACGGAGCCAGCTCTCGCGCCCACATCTTGCGAATGCCACATTTGATCAACCAGCCTTGTAGCCGCTTGATCTCCGCCTGGTTATGATCTGCATCTGTGTCTTTTGCTTTCGAAGGGGCCCTCTTTTTCGCCTTTCCGGAAGTTGCTGCGGCGCTCTTCTTCTGCCTTTGGCGCTTGGGTTTAGGCTCTTCATCTAAAACAATCGACATTTCGCTTTCCGAGTCGCCGCCAGCGCCGGCATTTTGCCTAGGAGATTCGGTGCCTTTCTCGTTGGTATCAGAGTCATCTAGAATCTTCTCCTCGGACAATTCAGGATCTGCCTTCTTTGTTGCGGGTTTCTGTTTTTTCGTGGATTTCGTTTCTTCCTCACTTTCGCCATCCAACTCACTCTCAGAGCTCGTCTTACGGCGTTTTCGAGGTGCTGAGGACGTCTTTGGTTTGGCGCGTTTTGTAGGTATGTTTGCATGCGGAGGTGTGCTATTGTCCTCATGTTCCGCTTCCTCTTGTGTTTGACATCCCTGCCCAGCGGCATCTTGCACCTCCTACCACCACAGCACAGTTAGCCCTCAATGTCCCAATCAACTCAAGCCGCACTAATCGGTTGGCCACATACCACTTCATCCTTGATAATTTGCTCACTCCTCGCCTTCCACTCACCATTTTTCTTGAAATAACCCTCCTCAAGCTGCAGTGCCTTCTCAGCCGCTAGTCGAACTCTTTTGACCGTTAATTCTTCCATCTTGCCCGTTTTGTAGATCTGGGCGACGGCATCACGTAGAGCTTTCTCGAGCTGCTTATCGGAGGGTTGGGATGGGACGTCGGATAATTCGAGTTCGGAGTCGGAGTCGGAATCTAGAACGATGCGTCGTGGCATCTTCGTTGAGCTCTTTAGAAACTTGCTGCCTCTATCTAGAGTCGATGCATCTAGAAATTGGATTTCGATGAACCGCGGAAGTCAGGACGCGACGCGACGGGGATGAGAATTTGAGCCGCAATTTGAAAGTTATCCGAACAGACAGAAAGTTCGCACTCGTTCACTAGTATCTCAGGTTTGCTATAATAGAATAAGCCAGGAGAAAGAAGTGATCCGTATCACATCTTTGATCAAGCTCCAAGTTGCAAATGTCGGCTCCAGCCAAGCTTTCTCAAAGAAAAGTGGACCTCATCAGATCGGCGTTGAAGCTGGCCGCTGACAAAGCAGCTGATAGTTAACTAAATAAATTCCCCGACTTCTCCGCCGTACATCTATAAACCTTGTGTAGAGGTTGATACAGATTTAGACATAGCGACTACGAGGTATAGATCAGATACATCTGCCTCTTGCACGACACTTTCTGGGTCCGTACAGGCGACCAGCTACACCCCTCCCTTTCATAGCGAGATCAGGAGCCCGCGAGATGGCGGACACTTCTTCCGAGTCGTATTCGCAACCACAGAAGAATCTCTTCGCGCACCAGTTCCAGAATGCTACAGCGGCTGCTTCCTCCTCTTCCGAGTCCAAGCGCGATGAATCCGCAACGACAACGAAAACGCCCAGTGGGGTCGTCTTAGATAAAGATGGGAAACCGTGCGTCTTACCTACCACCACCGCTTTCGACCCTTCAAGCCATATCAATGAGTCGGGGCTAACTTTCCTAAAATATCAGATGTCGAACCTGCACATCCGCCGCCGCGTGGAAAAACCTTACCAAACAAGCCAAAGCCATCCCCTCATCAACACCAGCATCAACCCGCCAACCACCAAAAGAATGCCCTCCAGACGTCGAAGAACTCGGGCGCTCAACCTGGACCCTCCTTCATAGCATGTCAGCAACATATCCCGAAAAGGCCAACACAGAACAGCAAAGTGAGATGCGTGGCTTCCTGAAGCTTCTGTCGAAGCTCTACCCGTGCTGGGTATGCGCCGACGATTTTCGGACCTGGATGGCGGAGCCGAGTGGGAAGAACGAGCCGAAGCTGGGTGGGCGGAAGGAGTTTGGGAACTGGATGTGTGAGGCGCATAATGAGGTGAATCGGAAGCTCGGGAAGAAAGAGTTTGATTGCCGGCTCTGGGAGGAGAGGTGGAGGACTGGGTGGAAGGATGGGAGGTGTGACTAGTCCTATATTGGTGATGGATGCAATGGCATGGGTAGCTGGATACTCCGCTCTAATGTATTGATAGTATAGATGTATATGTATGTATATAAATGAATAGACATCTCCACATCATGGTTAAACATGCGTTGCATTCACAAAAGAAGAATATTATACTAACATCGCTCAATAATTATTGAAGACAAGAGGCAACAGATCCATGTATCTAGAAACAGGATCTCAGGATCACGAGACCTTGAAGAGAAGATAGTAGGAGAGGGCCCACTTTTCTATCTTTAAACATAACCCATCACACGTCATGGAATCAAATCTGGCTTGGGACAAACAACCGCAATCCGCTTGCGGGCGCGCCGATCTCGGTCACTTCTGATATCCGGCAGACGCTGCCCTTATATTGTTCGTGGTACTTGGCGCCAGTGAAAGGATCTGAGACGCTGGGGGATCCAGTGTAGATGGGAGTATGCGAGGCTGCGCAGATGTCGAATTCGGCGAACTGGTCGAATTCAATCTCGATCTTATCCTGTGGGTTACGCTCACACTGAGCCTTGATCTTCTTCGCCTGTCGAAAGAGTTAGATGTCATCTTGCGGGTAAGGGAACGACGATACTAACCTGGTCCAAGAGCTTAGCGGAGCCACCATTGGCCAGCATGCGGTTGGCGAAGCTGAGAGCGGACGAGTAGTTCTTGTTGGCAAAGGCGAGCTTCATCGCTGCCATTAGAGCCAGTTGCCTGTGAGCAACTTCAAGCTTGGGAATTGTGAAGTAAGCAGAAAGCTCCAGGCTTCTCTTGAGGTCATCTGGGGAGTCCGATGAGAGGGATCGGCGTTCCAGCTCAATAGACATGGCAAGGATATACTCTCGGGCAGTCTCAATGATCTTCTTCGCCTGCTCAACTTCGGCCTCGGATGAGACGACGTTGACAAGGACAGATTGTAAGATACCCTTGAAGATCTTGACACCATCCTCGAGTTTGTTTGACCTCATTGCTGCGTAGCCTTCTTGCAAGTCCACGCTAGCAATAGTCTCGAGGTCCCTGGGGATAGCAGGGAGCACTTTACGGCTGTCAGTCTCATCCACAGTTCGTCGCACATAGTTGACAAGAGGAGGAAGGCCGGGAGAGGCGGAGAGGTAGGTCTTGGACGCCTTGAAAATCTCAAGGAATCTAGGTTTCAATGGAGCGAAGTGAACAGCTCCGACTTGGCGGTTGAGAAGCTGCATAGCCGTGTCGAAAGAACCAGCAGCAACGTGGTCGGCCGCCAAAGGAGAGTTACGGGCCCAGAGGTCCGCTTCGGTGCTGCCAGCACCTGCCTCAGCGCTGTCAACGTTGACGAAATCAACGTCCTCTTCAACATTGACCTCATCGCCCATATCCCATCCGGCAACATCCTCGTCCTCATCTTCAAGTGCTTCGCCTGCGGTAACAGCATCCTCCTCTTCTTCAGGTTCAAAGCCAAGCCCAGCAGCCTCTTCATCTCCGGCGCCAACTTCGCCCATCAAGGCCTTTTCGAAGGAAGAGTGTGCAGCAGCCTTGACAGGCCAGCTTGCCTTGTAAGTTGGCACAATGGGTTGCGCTACCTGTAGAGGTTCTTCAATAGTTGGGAGGGAGATCTGATCTTCTGTTAGGCCAACGGCCTCGAGGATGGATTCGGCCTCTTCTGTCAGACCATGGGACTTGGCAGTAAGGTATGCTAGAGGGTCTGTGAAGAGTTAGAAACACATAGTGAGCGAACAAGAATAGTATCAACTTACAGAGATCCACCTCCTTGAACATCTGAATCCTGTCCTCGACGTCGCCTCGGTAGAGGGCGTTCTGGAACCTCGAGGTGAAGTCGCCACGGTGCTCTGCAATCTTGGCCATTCTTGAGAGCTTCTCCTGGTCACCAGTGGCAAGGTACAGGAAAGACAGTTTATCAAAGTTTCGTTGTTTTTGATAAGCCATCTCAACTATTTGATGGTTGCCATGTGCCAGCGCTTCGGTTCCGAGCCGGCTCCACAGGTTGGGACGGTCCAACTCTCTAGCCATTTCGATGGCAACGTCAAGGTTACCGCACTCCAGGGCTAGCTCGAAACGAGTCTGGGGATCTTGCACAAATTGTAGTGCGATCTCGGGGTAGCCCTTCTTCTGCAAGTAGGAGATGATACTTTGACCAACCAAGCTGGAAGTCTTGATGATTTGGAGCATCTCATCGTAGTTCCTCTTGACCAGAGCAAGCTTGAAGCGGTACTCGGTAGGGTCAATTTCCAGGGTTCTAGGTTTAGCATTGCGATCCAGGCAGTAAACACTGCGGCCCTTGACCTTGACAAGATAAACCGTTTGGTCCAGTGTCCGAATGATACCGCTGTCACTATGGGGTTGTTAGTCGGGTCATTCAGGGGGAGTGGGAAAACGTACCCATTCAGCAGCGAGTACTTGACATGGTTCAAGGTGGAGTAAAGAAGGACGCCAGCGTCATCCCAAGCTGCGCTCTTGATGCGGATTGTCTCGTGGAGGCTGCTCACTTGTTCGAGAGTCTTGGTGACAATAGTAACGTTGTGCTTGCTGAGCAAAGCTGCATAGAGCCCATCGTTAGACCATACAACGTACTTAACGCCACTGACAGCTAACTCTGCCAGCTGCTTCTTCTGCTGAATATCGAAGAGAACGACAGAGGTAGGGGTAATAAAAAGCAGTGAGCCAGTTCCACCGAAGTATATGTCGGTCGTTCCAGACGGGGGCTTGATGGATTTCGTGGTTGAGTTGCTGAGGTCCTTGATATCAACCTGCTGGTTTGCCTGACTAAAGACAGCGAATCGGTTCCGCGCAACAAAAACAGCGGAGGAAGCTTGGCCGCGCTTGACGTCCGTGGGTTCGATGGCTCCAGTAGCATCGCGAGGGAGGTGGATCAACTCATATACACCTCCGTCTGTAGGAGAAGTAACTAGAATAGCACGCTCAGCAGGATTGTATGAGAGGGTTCGCGGAGGCACCCAAGCGGAACCGAGTTTGCGTAATGACAGCATAGGAGGGGATTCGACGTTCTTGGCAAAGTCAAATGACTTGACATGCTTCTCCTTTGTGATGAAGAACAATTGGTTCTGGTACACAGCGGACGCAGGTCGCTCCCTCTCCAGCTTGAAGACCATGACACCAGTGTCATGACCAGCGGCAAACAGGTTGATCTTAGGGTGAGCAGCAATGACCCAGAACCGATCCACATCCCGCTTGAACGACTGGACGGAAGTTCTCTTGTTCAAATCCCACGCACGAATTGTCTTGTCTTCGCCGACGGAAAGGATAAGGTCTTGGTGGGGGTGGAAGAGACAGGCGGACGCATTCTGGAAGTGTCCTCGGCAGGTGTCGACTTCCCATGCCTTCGTATCTACATCAAGTCAGTACATATGAGCAAGTCCGGTGTAGTTCCAACATACCACTCATTCTCCACAGCTTGATGAGACGATCATCACCAGCTGAAACAATCAAGGGCAGCGAGGGGTGGAATGCAACCCAGTTGACACCCCGATCGTGACCTTCCAGCACGAACTTTACGACAGCATCGGTGTTTCCGAACATATCTGCTTGTGACGGGTTGGACCGGGCCATTTGGTCTTCGAATGATATGGTGGTTGGTGCCGAATGTTTCTTCCGCAACCCCGAGATATCCCAGATACGGACAGACTGATCTAATGAGGCGGAGGCGATTAGGTCCTCGGTCGGGTGGAATTGCGCGCACATCACGTAGTGGTTATGGCCGGTCATGGTACAAACTAAGGGAGAAAAGTCAGTAAATCGTCAAACAAGGTGGCCTGAGTGCAACTTACTTAGTGACCTATTTTGCCAGTTCCAAATCCTAATTGTCTGGTCGTCCGACGCGGACAGAATCCAGGGAAGCTCATGATGGAAAAACACTGTTCGGACATAGTCCAGATGTCCATTCAATGTGAAAAGACACCTCCGTGTCTGGTAACTCCAGACCTTGATCTTATAGTCGTCACCTCCGGACACGAAGAGGGGTTGAGTCGGGTGGAAGTCAATGCCTCGGACCGGACCGTCGTGCTCTTCGAATCGGTCAATGAGAGTTCCCATGCGGTAATCCCATAGCTGGATCGTCGAGGAATGGAGAGATACGAGAATCCATGGCCTGCTCCGGAATTAGCCCTCAGCGAATGCGACGAGTAAGGGGAAGGAGGTCGCTCCGACTGACCGCGTAGGATGGAAAGCAATTCCCTTGGCACGGGACGACTTCGACTCAAACTAGCCATTGCACATGTATTAGAAGCAGCACCAAAGACGGAGCAGATTAAAGAGAGATTGTACCTTGGTAAGCATATTTGGGGAGGACTGCATCTTGAAGGAGGGTTGGCCGAAGCCGCACCGCAAAGAAGCAGAAGCAAGCTCCGCGCACTGAAGACAGAGGGATCACTCGGGCGATCGCCTCATCCACTGCACAACGGGAGGAATTGGCAGAGGAGCAGGAAGACGGGGATCAGAGAGCGTCTGTATTGACAGTCGAGTAGTCTGGACAGGACACCTTCGATGCTGGTAACGTGGACTTAATGAATAAGCGAGTAGCGCCGCCCAATGATGCCGCGGGCGGTGAAGCTGTCCTAGGCGATGTCAACACCAACCAGCTTCAGCAACTACACGCGGTTATCAACCAATGTTTAAATCTGTTCATGCGATTGAATCAGCTCACGACTGGTACAGAGCCGTTTTTTTAAGACATTATCTAGCTCACTCTGTCATCACACTGAACCTCGCGACTACACTCCTTCAATGAGCATGACGACTCCCAGTCCATCTAGAATCGAACAGCTTCCCCTTCCGAAATTTGGATAGCGACACGCCGTGAATTATGGGGTCAAAGGACTATGGGCCTACTTGGATTCACCAACAATCACCGAAGCAGACGAATGACATACCTCTTTCCCCGTCAAAGCAAGCCCGATGCAGCCATGCAGCGCCTGATGATGAGGTGGAAATCTTGGATATTGAAGACCTCCCGACAAATAGCCATAGCGATTTTCTAGGCGCTCAGACTGTGAAGCCATATGAAATTGAAGAACCTGATGATGACACTGCATCCGAAATCCATAAGTCCAGCTTACCACAGCAGGAACAAACCCGACTCTGGGAGGACTTAGTCGGTTCAATGCAAGACCTTTCCTGCGACTCCGATACCAACAACCCGGTGACAATGTATCCATCAAGAGGCAGAAAGAGGAGGCCCAGCAATATGGCGACCAGCCATTCCCACCCTGGCGAGGCCCGCCTCTCTACGTCCGGGCGGGATGGGCAATACGATGAGCATAGCTTAAACCCGAAGCGACGGCGGAGTCAAGGCAAGCCTCCAAAGAACTATGAATACTCCAGAACGAACCAAGAGCAGCGCATCCGCGCAGCTGAAGAGGGTGGCGGGACCTCCAGCGAGACTCTATCAGGGAATACAAGCGGCACAAATATCGATAGCACTAGCGGCTGTACAACCGCGGATGAGATGGACATAGATTAACCCTTGATTTTTTGGTGCGTGCCCTAGAACAAAGCAAGCCTGAGGTTGTACCTGCAACCTGCTCTCTCCAGCTCCATGGATTCATTTCACGTGACTCGCTCTAGAAGGAGCTATGGTGATGACGTCAAACCATTCTCACTCTTCATCTTAAGCTGAAGCTTGACATTCCGAGTTTCATCTTCCATGCAATCAATTGACCTTGCGGAGTACTTACTTCCTTAATCGCTCGTAGCGAGTGTTCTACTATCATTCTTTGACCATGGCAACTCGAACTTCTACTCGTCACGCAGCTCAAAAGGCCAAAGAGGCTATTTCAGCGGCCCCGGATACTAAGAGAAGGGGACCGGTTGGTACCAAGCGTAAAGGGCCCACCGAGAAGGCCCCGGAGCCAAAGAGGGAGAAGAAGGATATCGACAAAGTATCGAAGGAAGCTGAGACGAAAGAGCCTGAGAAAACGCCTGAGCAGAAAGTAGAACCTGAAGAGAGTGAGTCGCATCAAGTCAGGAATTACTGCTTGTGTCTAACCCATCGCAGAGAAAGAAGAGAAAGAGTCACAGGCAGAAGTGAAGCAGCAAGAAAAGCCCACAGAAGAACCGCAGGCGGGGCCGAAGGCGCAGCCCGAAGCAGAGCTCGATGAACAGCCAAACGCAACATCGAAGGAACCTTCGCAGGACAAGTCCGAAGACAAGTCAGAGAAAAGGCCAGATGAGAAGCCGAAGGAGTCAGAAACAAAGCAGGACACTGCCGCCGATGGAACCGAGGGTGATTTGAAGACCTCTCAGAAGCGAGAAGAAATCGTTCCGTCCAATATCCTTGAGAAAGGCATCATATACTTCTTCTATCGCGGTCGGGTCAATACCCAGGAAGCACACAGCATGCAAGACGTGGCGAGGAGCTTCTTTGTGCTGCGTCCTACCCCTCTAGGAGCTGCAGTGGATCCTGAACAGGGTGCATTGGATACGGGTGCAAAGTGCCGGTTGCTGATGTTGCCCAAAAAGAAGTACCCAAGATCAGGTAAAGAGAGGGAGATGGGTTTCGTCGAGAAGTCTAACGTTTCGGTCAAAGAGCTGCAAGAGAGCTTTATTGCCGGTGATACCTATGAGACCTCTACTCGGGGCACACGTGAAGTCCCCGAAGCCAAACCCTATGCCGAGGGGGTTTATGCCATCACCTCTACCAAACGGGCAACTCACCTCGTGTATCATATTACGCTCCCCGAGCAGCTGGGAGAGATCCAAGAGGACTTCGGCCTGAGCAATCGCGGCAGCTGGCTCCTGCAGTCAAAGAATCCCAAGTTTCCTGGACCGCCGAATGCCCGTCTCCCGAAGGAACCAGAGTTCCCTGCGCATATTCAAGAGAAGTTCAAAGACTACCGCTGGATTCCAACAGAGCCGGAACTACTAGAATTCCCCAATGCGCAGTTTCTCATGGTCGGTTCAGCCACGGGAGACTTTGGAAAGGCAGCAACGGCGGAGTCGGGCGATAAGCGACCGGAAGAGGAGCAGCCCGAAGAAGAACTGGTCAAGATGGAAGATGAGAATGAGTCACGAATCGAGGCCCTAGGAGGTAAGACATTCTCCATTCGTCTTCCCCTGCATTGGACTGTCAGCTAACCCCCACAAGGCGATCACGCGATCTACCAAGACCTGGGTTATCATGCGAAGGAGAAGTATTCCAAGTTAGAGACCACTTGGCAAGCTGGACACGAAGAAGGCAAGTGAAATGTGGCGTCTATAGGTTTTGTGTTCCATCGGGAGAGACAAGTAATAATGCTGTACTGTTCAACGTGTGGAAAAAAGTCATCTTATCTCCAAGATCGTATCTGGTTAATCACACCCGTACTCTGGGGCTAAATCTGCCGCTAAATCCATGGACAGTTGCGTTGCTGATCTGATAATCTCATTGGGTCGGCTGCCATGGCCCTTGAAGCCATTCGCGAATCACAGTGTGTGTTTCTAGCACGTTGAAAGGCTTCATTTCTGCTGGCCACTGTGATCCCTGAACCATCTCTTCCAGAACGTCACAATTCAATGTTCCTTGCATCGCTCCTCCCGCACCTGTCGAGCTATTTATTCCTACTAAGCTGGTCGCCATGGTTCTTGGTTTCCCTTCTCAGAGTTCTTGGACCTTCTCGATTACTCTCATTTGTCCACAACTACTCCAACCATGAAGTGGTCCTTTTTCCTCCAAGCTCTGCCTCTGGCAGCAGCTGCAGCTGTCGGTGGTTCAAACCACTGCTCTCCCCACTATCCTCACAGCGTCGTAAACGAGACCACTTGCGGCGGCACACGCTATGCCTATACCGGTCTTGAAGGCTACGGCTTCGTTGCTTCTAACGCCCGCGATAAGTACGGCGACACTCTGGCTGGTCTCGGTAGCTCTGCAACCCTCGAGAAAGGCTCATGGCGTAAGACAGGCAGGGACTCGTACTCGGGTATCTTCTGGCTCCTGCCTGACCGTGGCTGGTAAATTATCATGTTGTCCAGAAGCACAGTCATGTCGCTAACAAGAGCAGGAACACAAACGGTACCCTCAACTTCAACCCCCGCATCCACAAGTTCGAAGTGTCCCTCAAGCTAGCCCCCAAGGCCTCCGCGAAGAACCCTTCCAAGCCCAACATGGACTTGAAGTACCTCGACACCATCCTACTACAGGATCCCAATGGCGAGCCTCTGACTGGTCTCGACCCGGACTTTACCGGACATGCTTCTTACAGGGGCTTCCCACCCCTCCCTGCGGCAACCTACGTTGGAAATGGCTTCGGCGGCGAAGGCTCCGGTGAAATGCATGTGTCAGTCGACTCTGAGGGCCTGGTCATTGACAACGAGGGTTTCTTCTGGGTCTCCGACGAGTACGGCCCGTACGTGTACCGCTTCAACAAGCAAGGCAAGATGGTTCTCGCCCTGCAGCCCCCGAGTGCCTATCTTCCACTCCGCAACAACAGCGTCTCCTTCAGTGCCGCCAGCCCCCCGCTCTATGCCCCTGACAAAATGCCTATCCCAGAGGACACCGACACCGGCCGCAATAACAACCAAGGCTTTGAAGCCCTCACCCTCTCCGAAGATGGCAAGACACTCTACGTTATGATCCAGTCTGCGCTTAACCAAGAGGGCGGCCCCAAGAAGAAGAACCGTCAGCCCGTGCGTGTCCTCGAGTATGACATCTCGAATCCCAGCAAGCCTCGCTACACTCACGAGTACGCCGTCGTCCTCCCCAAATACGTCGACTACACAGACAAAGACCTTGACGAGAAAGTTGCCTCGCAGTCCGAGATTCTCCAGCTCCCGGGAACCGGCGACTTCCTGATCCTCTCCCGAGACTCGGACTTCGGGCACGGTCACGAGGAATCCCTCTCCGTGTACCGCCAAGTTGACATCTTCTCAATCTCTTCCGAGACCACCGACCTCAAGGGCGAAAAGTATGATTCTGTCGGCGGGAGCATTGGAGACTCAAAGGGAAATCTGAACAGCGATATCACGCCGGCCGAGTACTGCCCATTCTTGGACTTCAACGTCAACTCGGAGCTAGCCAAGTTCGGGCTGCACAATGGCGGGGAGCAGGATGCTGGGCTTCTCAATGAAAAGTGGGAAGCGCTTGTTCTTGTTCCGGTTGAGCCTGATGCTCCTAGGAAGAAGGGGGAGAAGAAGGAGTACTTCCTCTTCACTTTCAGTGATAATGATTTCATCACGCAAGATGGTGAGTTACCATCTATCCATTATACTATTATGTGTAGGATGCGTTTACTAACGAATTAATGTCTAGGCGCCATGAACTTCGGGAAGCTGCCCTACTCGGACGAGTCCGGCTTCGACCTTGACAGTCAGGCCCTCGTCTTCAGAGTAGAATTTTAGAGCAACGCCTGAGTATCTAAGTTCTCTTCCCCGCTTGAGAGCAGGCTTCTCTTTGTGCATCTTTTTACTACTACCACTCATTCACTTGTATATCGATTTCATTTTCCTATTGGACTGTATATATAGTAATACAGGTTATGTGACAAGTCACGATGAGAGATACCACGTTCCATAATAACGCCTGCAATCAACCCAGTAAGAGCAGTACACCAAGCCACCTAGAACACAGAAACTCCGAGACCAGGAGAAGGAGAGTAAGTTGAATGCAGTTAGCATCTTGTCAACCAATGCACAGAGAAGACTCAACCCGCAGCTTCATCTTAGTGCTTAAGGATATTAACCGCACGCAGAATTTCTTCACACGACCAACATGGTCCGCCAGGGACAATCTCCGTCCAGACCTCCTGGGGCACACCGTCGTCCTGGCCAAGTAGACTCCAGTTCGGGCTGGGCTCTGGCTTGATCCATTTGAAGTCTTCGACAAGGCTCCAGCGGTCGTCAGTGTCGAGGCGGTCGTGATCGAGGGCTTGCTGTTTTTCAAGTTTAGTTAGTACACCATAGCGTTTCACCTTCATGTTTGAAGAGACTAGGTGAGGGTATGGACAAAAGCACTTACATATCCCTTCGGGATCCTCCCAAATCGGATATCCGTGCAATCCTCGATAATTGGGTTGCTGGAGGAGCTAAGGTACACGTCTACGTTGTTGCAGTCGTGCATGCGGAACTGCCGACAGTCGACGACGATAATACTATTGCGCACTCCAGTCAGGTGTGCAGGCCCATCAATCTGCCCACAGAGGAGCAAGCTGTCAGAGACGGTCTTGACCATCAAACTGGCATATGGTTTGCCGTTGGCGGTGGGAATAGACATATCGACGACGCAACGGTCCATTGCTGTGACGGATGCCGGGACTGCGGCGGTGGAGCCCGACGATGGGAGCATAATGTGTAGTCCCGTGTGGTCATTTACCGTGACCGCGTTAACGGACTGTGCTGCGAAGTTCTGCTGGTTTGGTTGTTTCTTGCTCAAGCGGTCCGTGACGTTGTCCACGGTCACTTCGGGAACGGAGCTAGGGATTGTGCCTTGCCTAAGGAGGTGGAGTTGTTTGTCTGGCTCGTTTAGAGGAGTGTTGACGTAGTTGGGCGTTGCTAATCCGGAAGAACCGACGGAGGATGCGCCGGGGGATGGGTAGCCGCCTATTCCTAGCTGGCCTTGGACCATCATTGACGCTGTATCGGGGAGGGAGAGGAGGTTGCCGGGTGAGTTTCGCTTGTTCTTGAAGCTGAACTTCGGGCGCGGCTCGACTGTAGCGCGTGTTTCTGCTAGTTTGTCCTGGAGAGCTTTGATGGCCTGTGAGCATTGTCAGAACATGACACTTCGATTTGAACCCCAAAGAACAGAGCATACCTCGGCATATATCCGCTGATCATACGTAGGAATATAGCTAGCAGCGTCCTTGACCTCATTGGACAACCGCGCAATCCCAGCTAGACAATGATCCGTAGCATCCGTCCGCTCCCCGCCAACTAGCGAGGTATCCGCGAGGGTATCCATCTGTCCCTGCAAGGCTACAGGAAAGAGAAAACAAGAGTCAGATTGGCTCTGACGAGTGAATGCATAGCACAGAGAGATCAACTAGTCCATACCAGTGATTTCATGCTGGAAGTAGCGGAAGAACCGTTCCTTCAGTGGGATATCGGAGCTCTGGATCGTCTGGTTCTCGGACATGGACGGCCGGCGAGCCTGCTCCAATTCGGCTTGCGACATAATGGCGGCTCTAACGATAATGTGTTCTGATGGACGTAGTGGCCAGAGGAAGATCGTTCGAGATGCTAATGTGGTAACGAGGTAGGCTTGATGACGTCGATATGAGAGGGGGCTCAGTTCTTGGAAGATTGATCACGCTCGACGATATATTGTCAGACAACGAGCTTCCAGAATGAAGAAGCTTCCTAAAAGGTAAATCACGCCTCGTTAGTATAAAATCCAGAAACAAGAAAGCTTGCTTTCCATTGAGCCGGCCGATAAGCAACGAGGTGGACCAAAATGAGGGGTGGAATGATACCAAGTCAATAACAGCACGCGACCTCGTTTCGGGTGCGAGTTAGTGATGACTATTGCCTGTAATTATTGCGCATTTCTGTGGAGAACACCTTACAGAGGAATTGCATCCCGCAATCTCTGCCAGGTCTCTTGACTGGTGGTGTGATTGACGAGATAAAAGTGAATGACGTCGGTCGATCATCACGTTTGAGCGGCGAGGTGCAAAAAGGGCTTAGCGTCAACCAGCACCACTACTCCGGTATATACTTTTGCGGCTTGAAGATGGTTTGTGATTAAACACATTAGTGGCTAAGATGATTCGAATCTAGGGGAATTTCTGATGATGGCCCAAAGAAGCTTACTGTCCTGGCTAGCCCTTGTTCCAAAGCTTGAATAGCATCACGAATCGACTCATTAGGGCATACTCAAGGGGCACTGCTCAGCTAGGACTTTGTTCAAGAAACTTTCATATACTATTAACAGATAGCAGCTCTAATTATCTCACAATGTCTTCAGCCTCATGTAGCCGGCAGTTCCGGCAGGTTAGGCCTTGGTATTGACTGAAGCGCTTCTATACCTGAGTCAATCTGCCTTGACAGCGACGACGGCTGATGCCGCGGCCTATAGAACTCGTTCAGCAGCGGCCTTTCAACGACAAGCCGGTCAAACTCTGGTCTTAGGTCATAGTCACTAATGACCTCTTCTCCGGTATGCAAGCTAATCGTCCTGAGCATTAGTTTCCCCTCCTTCGACCAAAATGCAACCACCTCTGTTTCCTCAGGAAAGGCCAGAGCCAAGTGGCCTGGTCGAAATGCAGACGGGCTGATCTTTGATATGGCCTTTTTCATCTTTGTCGGGATGAGCGAGCCGCTGGCTGTTGAGTCGCAGAGGTACATCTGTTTCATGCCGTTTGCCATGACGAACCGCGAGCCGGACGGTGATTGCGCTGCGTGGACGATTTGAGGGCTTAGTGGGTTGCTGGTGATGGTATTGGTGGAGATGGAGTAGGATATTGGGTATTCCTTTGCGAGGAAGGCGGTTAGGACGATTGTTTGGTTGAAGTTGTCGTAGTATACGGAGGTGAGGTCTTCGTCGTCGGTGGTCCACTAGAGACGATTAGTGATGTCGGACTGGAAGGTGGGAGAACGAGATATATCTTACAGGAGGTAGCTTGAAGGACTTCGAGCTATCCGCGTCAATATTCCACTCCTGATCAATGCAGTTCCACACATCAACATAGGCATACTGATCCCCGAGATGTGTTGCAACAATGAATCGTTTTCGGTCGACAGAGAACTGAAGCCTTCGTGCAAAGACTGTCTCGTTACTCTCTTCTCGAACTGTTATTTCGGTCTCGGAGCTATTTTTGATATGTGCTGTTGTTGAATGTATATATTTTCTAGCAGGGTAGCGGTCCGATTTACCTCCCAGTCGAATCTCACGGATACCACTATCAGTGATTTCGTACACTCGAACCTCCTCTTTTAGCGCAAATGCCACAAACCGATCGTCGCGCGACATGACCATACAGGTAATGGGCAAGGTGCGCTGTTGTGTCTCGATGGTCACGTACGCTTCAGGAGTGGGGCCGTTGTTTCTGAATATTAGAAGCTCGTAGTGCTATAGGCATGTCAGCCGCGAAATATATCCATAGACATCTAGTGGATATAACTACCTCTCCGGCAGAAGCAACCACAGCACACCGCTGGCTCCCAGCTGCAGCATACTGGACGCCAGTTACATCGTACCGATGGCCTCTAGCCCTCCTGCCATCCAGAGGCTTGAGCTCAAATCGCATTACCCAACTGCTTGGCGTGTCCCAGAACAGGAGGCTTTGCCCCGATGCTGAGAAGGAATAACGAGCCTGGCGGGGTAGGTGATGCCCCTTGGAGGAGTTTCTTCTGAACAGGGACGTACTTCCGGTCAGGGAAAGGGTCGCATTCTTGAGGTCTTTCGATAGCGACCGAATCAACTGCTTTTCCTGTGGTTGGCCCGTTCTAGGCCGGGTCAAACTTGAGATTGAAGTTGGCGTCTCAGGCGTAGTAGAAGATCGATCTTTGCTTGACAGTTTGAAGAACGAAAGGCTCTGTGATATTGGTGACACTGGGCTTCTCAAAGCTTCTACCGAGTCTTGCCGCGATAACTGGTCTGTGGAGTTAGTCCTAGAGCTTGAACGAGAAGTTGTATGCCTAGATGCCGAATCTGGTAGGGAGTACCGCCCACTGCTCTCTGACTCGGTAAGATTGAGGGAATCGGAAACCTGCTCAAGGGGTTCGATCATCCGAGCATGCTGGATCTTGACACTCCCGGGGCACAAGGGACAGAGGGTGTCCATTGTGAGGAATCGCGATTTCTCTTGCAATTGCTTCAGGTAAGTTAGCTCGGCACAATCGTTTGGAATAGATCAGCAGAAAATAAAAGTCATTGTCGTACTTCGTATGCCTTCCTGTCGGAAATTTTCAGCTGTTCGTCCAACAGAGCTTCAGGAACTGGATGGACCGCGGGACAATTGACAACATATACGGCACCTGCTATGCTCCGTCTGCCTTGGGCCTGACTGGACCCTGGGAAGGATGAGTTCTGCAACCATTGAGTCAAGTGCTGCTGATAGTCATGAGAGAATGCTTCCAACTCTCCATTACAGTCCCACAGTTGAACCCTGCGATTGATGAGCCATCTCATAAGGTGTCCTAGACCAGAGTCCACAAATTCCCTTGTTGGCGCGAGTTGACTCCAGGCGTCTCTGATTCTCCTAGTTTGTATAGGTGGATTATCACCGCCGGTTTGGCTCAAAACCACGGTTGCCAGAACTTGCAGAGATGGTATATTGAATTCATCGTCAAAAGCTGCTAAAAGCGTCCTTGCCAGCTTTTTCCGGCTGTCCTTTGTCTGATTAAATGCCTCGTCCACCTTCAGAGCAGCAGCACTGGTATACCCTTGCTCTTGTGAGATCCGACGACGGTCGATGTGGCACTGAACGGATGCAGATTCAGCCGCCCATAGGAGGTCAAGCAAGAGGTAGAACGACGTCAGCTGATCATCTTTATTCTTTATGAGTGCGGTCAAGAGGTCTGTTACTAGGGTGTCCGGGGCACCGGGGAATGGATACTATGGTAAGGTTAGAAACCACTAATTAACAGGGAAAGGGAAGCGCACAATTCCAGATGTGAAAACGGGGAGATATGATCTGCTGGATTTGATTAGGGATTGCTGAGTGCGATAGAGATTCAACGACCCAATGTTGGTGATTGCGCGTGGCAAGAGGTCATTTATCAAGAAGCGCTCCGAACTGGAGAGGTCAGGATGTTCCCAGGCTGATCGCATCGCCCGTTCCAATCTGAACTTCGAATCAGAGTTGAGTGCCTCGCCACGCAATATAAGCAGCCGAATGCCGACGAGAAACGTGTGCGCCATGAGGTGTCTATACTTCAAAAGGTCGGTAGGTGTTGCCTTTGTGCATGGAAAGAGGTCCATCTTGACCTTTGTCAAGTACATGAGGGTTGAGAAGATAGAATTCGATGAAATCAGGTACGGAACGAAGTAGGGATGACAGTCTCGTATAGTCGCCAGACCCTGGAGATACGTCCGTTGCACATTGAAGAGAGTCTGTATCCATAACACAGACCGAGTCAGGGATTCCATGTCCGAGGCATCGCCATGCTGCCCTGCGCGCACAGCGAGGCTCGTAGCATGTTCCCCGATAATTTCATGAAGGATGTTCTCGAGGTCCCGGCGACCTAGCTGTTCCCACACTGCTGCTACCAATGGATGGGACATGGAGAAAGATCAAAGAGAATGGCTAAACATAAAGAGCGATTTGAAACCACACAATGCTCGCTTACGCCAGAGGCATTTGGCGATGAGGGAAGGCCACCACCGCGGCAAACGAAAAGCTGAAAAATGCGACAATAAAATTGTTTGTGGAGCGGTTCCGAAGGTTGAGGAATGGAAGATGCTGCGACGTATTGAGCTAGCCAGACGACGAGGGGAAGGCATCAAGGCTAAGCGCCCGATTATTTGATTCTTTGCTGCAAAGTCTTGAATAGTGCTTTCAGCTGATGCAAGTCTGCGTCTTGTCTTACCCGAGCGTGCCTGCGATTGGCACAAATGTAAGCCGGACGGATAACTGCCAAAAAAAAGAAATACTCGGCGATCACCTCTGCAGGCAAGATTGCTGCTCAGCTTTCGAAGCTACTAAGTATGAGTTGTTTGGCAGGGTGTTGGGAGATCTTTTGTAGAACAATGCTCGCGGAGGGGGCTTAGAACAATATGTACCCGGTTGGGCCCTATTCACGCGGTGCCTGTTCAGCAGACAAGGGAGGATGGGGCGATTGGACGAGGGCAAAGGCGCTCCGAGTTAAAGATCTTGTCTACCGAAGAGCCGCAAGGGCAGAGAGTCAGCATGGAACAGAACATTGCAGAAGGTGACATCCTATCAGTGCTTAGATTTGAGAGTTCGCAAAGATTAAATACCAATGTTTCAGAATAGGATTGTTCAATGCATGACATCTCATCTGCAAGATTATCATGAAGTTGGCAACTCTTATTCGTTGAAGTTGGTGATAATGCTACTGTTACAATTAAGAGGAGCCAATCCACCTTTTATAATTGCTGTGGGTCATGTACTCCTACGTACTAGGAATAGTCCTCTGGCATCATCACCACAGCAAAGGTCTATATTACATGGCTGCTTCGTAGGCATAGCCTCCTGTGTGTGTTGCCGCCTCAGCTCTCTGCCTGTTGGTGTCTGACTCTAGAACAACTCAAGAATTCTTGATTTACTTGGAAAAGTGCTATCAAGAAATTTGATAATCCAGCTGTCGGCAAACAGAGAGGCCCTGCCGCCTCATGCCAGAACTATGACTTCCTGGTTGAGCAGGCACATGTGGGTCAGCCCCGAATCGCCCTTCCCAAATCCAGCTAGCGCCATAGTTTGTTCAAAGCAAGAATCCAGGTGGGCCCTGATGATCGCCGGCTACGATTGGCCAGAACTTTCCATTCCCTTGCTTCTTTGGGGCCTCAATAACACAGGGATATTTTCTTCTCAATAAACACAACAAAGAAATGAGCAGAATGCACTGGCCTCAGCGGCACAGAAAAGACTTGCCCCTCATGAGCAGAATTGCCGAGCAGATGACTCGGCTTTCGGCCAATGTGCAATCTGCACCATTGGCTTGGGAGGCCAGCGAGCTTCAACTGCCGAGTTCTGATGATCGTGCGTAGAGGGTTGTCAAGCATACCGAGCACGGTCCTATAGTCGGTTGTGTCACATTCCTTCCCAACAGGAACGGATGCCGGTTGACTTTGACGCGTCTTTTTCCCGGATGCTTCATGGAAGTGAAGTGAACTGACCGGCTTCGAGGAAGAAGAGGCTGGTTGTCAAGCACTGAGAACTCTGGATCTTCTCCTTCAAAGCCGACCTTCACTCATTGAGCTAACCTCGAATGAAATAGTCGCACTGGGCAAACGCTGCCCGGCATTGAACCAAGGAACGTTGCGAGGTGGAGACATTTTGGCAGGGGTGTATTCTCCGCGATAGAAATTCTCCGGGTTTCCTTCATATGTCAAGTTCTGAGTCTCGCTTTCTCCTCGTGTCACCGATTAGTCCTATACAGACTCGATGAGCTTACTCGCTTCTATTGCAGGGGCGATTTACCTCGTCCTCTCCTGCTTCCTCGCCGTCGTTACTGCAGAATCTAGTTATGTCACCGTTGAACAACTACAGAAAGCCCCCGATGGCTGGCTTCGAGGGCCCCTACCAACACCCGTAAAGCAGATGCGATTCCATATAGCTGTCAAACAAGAGAGAGCAACTGAGGTGGAGCAGATGGTTCTCGACATGTCCACGCCTGGCCACCGCAACTATGGAAATCACTTGAAACGAGACGATCTCAGAGCTTTAGTTCGCCCGTCCAACCGCACTATGGAGCAGGTACTATCGTGGCTTGTGGCAGAAGATATACCTTCAGAATCCATAACTATTCATGGGAATTGGGTTGAAGCGACGATGTCTGTTTCCCAGGCGGAGTCGTTGTTGAAGACCAAGTTTCATCGCTACTCACATCGCACGACGCACAAACATACGGTCAGAACGCTCAGTTACTCAGTACCGCGGGAGATTTACCCATATATCCAGCTAATACAGCCTACGACGCACTTTGGCCAGCCAGGAGCACAGCTTGCACGGCCTACTTTTGAGCCAGTCGCTGCGACATTCCATGACCTAACCTCCAACTGCACAAAGTCGGTGACACCAGACTGCCTGCGTGAGCTGTATGGTATCTACGACACGATTGCAGAGCCGGACCCTCACAACAGGCTTGGAATATCCGGGTATCTGGACCAGTATGCACGCTACAGCGATCTGGAACAGTTCATGGAAACATATGCACCAAATAGGACAGAGACCAACTTTACCGTCGTCTCTATCAATGGAGGCCTGAATCTACAAAACTCTTCGAGAGGTAGCACTGAAGCAAGCTTGGATGTCCAATACGCCCTCTCGCTTGCGTACAACACACTCGCGACGTTCTATAGCACAGGAGGAACGGCCCCATTCTTACCAGGCGTAGGAGAGTCGGGCGAAGACGAATCTACCAACGAGCCCTACCTCGAGCAACTCCACTATCTTCTCAACCTACCAGACGAGGAGCTACCCGCCGTTCTTACAACATCCTACGGAGAAGACGAACAGAGCGTCCCGGAATCATATTCCGACGCAACCTGCAATCTGTTTGCTCAGCTTGGGGCTCGTGGAGTCTCCGTAATCTTCAGCAGTGGCGATGACGGCGTGGGAATGTCATGTTTGACCAACGACGGTACCAACAGGACAAGATTCCAGCCCATTTTTCCGGCATCGTGCCCTTTCGTCACCGCAGTTGGCGGTACGCACGGCACAAACCCAGAGAAAGCGATCGATTTCTCCGGCGGCGGCTTCTCAGAACGGTTTCCACGCCCCACGTATCAGGATGCCAGTGTCGGAGCCTATCTTAAAAGGCTCGGTGACAGGTGGGATGGGCTGTATAATCCGCATGGAAGAGGCATCCCCGACGTGGCCGCTCAGGCCAACAACTATCTCATCATTGACCACGGTCAGGCATACAGGATTGGCGGCACAAGGTAAGTGATTCATCCCTGATCTTATAATGACCCTTGCCCCGCCTTTTGTACCTTTCTAATAGTAATCCAGCGCCTCGGCCCCGGTATTCGCAGCCATCGTCTCCCGGCTAAACGCAGCACGACTGAGGGACGGCAAGCCGAGACTCGGCTTCCTCAATCCGTGGCTATACTCGCTGAACCAAACAGGCTTCACTGATATTGTCAATGGGGGTTCGATGGGGTGCTACGGCGACTATGGTGTTGAAGTGCCGTATGCGAGCTGGAACGCAACGCCTGGATGGGATCCGGCCACGGGGTTAGGGACGCCTTTTTATAATACGCTTGTGAAGGTTGCGAGTGAGTTATGAGCGTTGCTTTTGATGGTCGTCTTTTGTGTTTTTCTTTCTTTTTCTGGACTAGGTTGGTTTTCATCGGCGCGCGTGTTGAGTTGGAACAATAGTGATTTTTATCCTAGGCGGAGTTGCGAGGTTTTCTTCTTTCATCAAGGGTTGTAAGTGTTAGCTGCCACTGCAATTATACCTAGAATGTGTATTTCATCATTCGTGCAGACATTCAAATCTCTTGTTAGCCAGACGCTGAGGTTCGCTTGCCAGTAATCGATCTCAAGGTGCCGCTGTTGCGGTCTTCAAGGGTCTTTGGGCGCGCTTCAACATTGCTCAACGTGATCCCATCGAGCATCCATCTTTTTGCCCCAAAGCTCCATGATAATTAATCAACATCCCTTGATCTTCAGCCGCAATTCCAGTTCCAACTCCAAGCGTTTGCAAAGCAAAGGCGCTAAAAAAGCAACGGGTTTGTTCAAACGCCAACTCAATGTTTCACCAGGGGTTCCCGGTTAAGATTGCTGACCGGATGACCCGAGCGATGAGTGTCACACCGTTGAAAGGTGGATAAAGGAAGTCAAATGGGTCAACTTCGGAGGGTAACCCCTGAGTAAGCGGTACCTTAATCATAGAATTGAGTTTCCAGCTTTTGACATCAAGATAAACTCGAAAGTCTGTTATCATGAACTTTGAAGAGGTGTTCCCGCGTCATGATTGAGGGTTCTGTGGGGCTGAGAAAGGCAGTCTTCTGGAGGGCCTGGACAGCCCGCCCAGGACTTGGTGCGTAAGCTTAGAGGGCCAAGCGAGCGCGACCCGTTTTCGCCCCCATCCAGCCAGGCCAATCAAGCTGGCGACTTATGCCTGGGAGGCCCCAGGATCTCGTGTCGCGACTCGCGAATATCTAGCGGCTGGAGCCGTCAGTTCGTTCCCTGAATGAGCTGGCTTTGCCTCGACTCTCGAGTGTGCGCCAGGCAACCGAGGTCTGAGAATTTCTTGCGTTACAACAGTGCTAGGCCGAGTCTGGCGCGTACTTGGCAATATCTCGTCCAAAGCGTGCCTTGACTGAGGGTGCAGATTGGTTCAAGCAGTTTGACACTCCCGAGTACCTCAGCCCCGTGGCAGTGAGGCTCCTTGAGGGTCCGAGGGACTTTGCCCGTTTGTTAGCCTATGTTGGGCGATTACGTCTTCGCCGCTGGAGAGCTTGCGCCGATCGGCCAACCCATGCGGGGCGGGCCTCACCAGGCGCCTATGATGTTTGCCCGGCCTCTTTGAATCCCTTGTTCAAGGGACATTACGGGCCAACTAGCGATCAGCCCATCATCGATTTTATTTGGTTGAATGAAACACGGGCCTCCGCCACCCCATGTCACGCTTTTCTTCTCTCCCAGCCCGTCGCGGCTGTCATCTGGCATCGTCACCATTTTTATCGAGATTTCCGGGGTACGCGCGAACAGCCTGCACCCATCAAATGGGTGTGATCCCTACCTAAAGCATTCTTAAACCTTGCGATGCCCCTAGGCCGGGCAAGCTTTCCAAAGCCATTGCGGTGGATCTGCCAGGCTTTACTGCTCGGTGGACTCATTGTCATCATTTCTCAGTCAGCTTATGTGCTTCACACTCAGAAGCCAGAATTTGGTTGGGAAAAGACTACTCCAGAGCCGCCAAATGGGAGCCCACCACGACCGCATCGTCCGGATCCTTCATCCAAAGACACTACTGAGCCCGAATCTCCTCCAGATTGCCACCTGTTCCCGATCGATGCCTTTGCGGAAGATGGCATTCAGGTCACATTGAAAATTGGGGGAGCGGAATCTCAAGAGCGACTTCGGTCCCACGTCGAAGGTGCCACCACATGCATTCCGAATCTTCTGGTTGTGTCTGATATGGGCCAAAAGCTCGGCCCCTTCCACAGTCATGACGTGCTGGCAGACGTGATCCATGTGCTGTCTGAAGAGGATAAACGGGTGTACCAGCAACAGCGGGAGTATCATTATTACTGGGACAAGGAACTCGCGCCCACTAATGCAGGTTGGAGGCTGGATCGATATAAATTCCTGTCCATGGTGGAGTATGCATATGCCCAGAACCCAAATGCCAAGTGGTACGTGTTCATGGAGACCGATACGTTGGTGCTCTGGGAGAATTTGGTGCAGCTTTTGGCGCGATATAAGTGGACCGATCCCTTATATATGGGATCTCCGACTCCAGGCAGAGACCTGGGGACCTGGTGGACTCCAGTCAAAACTTTCTTCGTTTATGGTGGATCAGGAATTGTGCTCTCTGCAGCTGCAATGGACAACTTGCTCCGGGAGGATCGCTCAGGAAGCGTCCGAGGCGGGTCGGATCAAGAGTCGCAGCTTTTGATCACAAAATATCAGGATATGGTCCGGGAAGACTGTTGCGGAGACTCAGTATTAGGCTGGGTTGCTGCCCAGAGAGATGTCCATATAGCTGGACTCTGGCCTATGTTCAATCCCAACTCTTTCCACACCACACCCCTGGGTCGAGCGTACTGGTGCCAGCCTGCCGTCAGCTTCCACAAGAGTGATCCCTTTGAATCGGTAGAACTATGGAAATGGTCCGCAAAAAGACAAACTGATGGGGGAGACACGCAACGACCGATGCTGTACTTTGACCTTGTCGACTATTATGACTTTGAAAACCGTCCCGTTCGCGAAGACTGGAAAAACGCAGACCACGATGCCTTTGATGCCCCAAAACACGAAGATCACGACTCCTTTGAATCTTGCCAGAAAGCATGCCGCGACCATTCCGACTGTCTCCAGTTCACGTACCACCAGAAAAAGTGCCGACTCGTACGCACCATCAGTCTCGGATCATTTGCTGGGCCGGACGTGGGAAACAAGTCGGAGAACGGACGGTGGATAGCAGGCTGGGATGTAGAGAGCATCCGAGAATTTAGAAAGGAGCGTGCTTGTGAGGAGGTGGACTGGCCGGAGCCGAGTACAGAGCGGATATATTGAACCCTTATCCATACCCAAATTTTTGCATGTTACGATACATTATGATCCATTTCAGGTTTTTATAACTAATATAATAAAATTCAAAGAGAAGAAGACCCTTAGCTCAAACCAAAGCACGTGCTTATTGCTTTGCTCCTTCCAGTGTTATTCAACAACCGCATTTCATGTCCTACCCTGCGGAACCTGGTACGATGGTGGTCAGGACTTACCAACTTGATTGTGCTCAAGCCCCATCACTCCAACCACTAGAACTCCAATAATGAACAAACCTAAACTTAACATAAACATAATAATGCTCAATTCAGCGACTGGAAGACTAAAATGCCGGATCAGTGCCCATCGTAGTGTTGTCAAACAGTAGGTAGTTGAATGTGTATTGAAGAGGGCAAGGACGCATAGAACAATGGTCTCATTACTGTCAATATCATCTATATGGCATATTTGACCCGAATGTTGGGAATTCTAACTGGTCATTATCACGTGACTTTGTCATGCCAAGATGATGCCGCGAAGCTGTGGGAATCCCGAAGTGAAGCTCCTCCGGACAACGTCAACCACCAAGCTCACGATCCAACAACACTCTTTCTCGTCTAAACACTCAGCCCGCCTCGAACTCATACATATACTAGCATTTACCTGCCGCTGTACTTTCCTCACTCATCCCGACATCATGGCCGGTGAACTCAAATCACTCGTCTCCGACCTTACCAACGCCGTCAACCGCAAGCAGTTCGACACCGCAAATGACCTCCTCAGCCGCGCGAAGCGCACTCTCCTTCTCCAAAACGCCCTGATCCCCACACCCTCTACATCTCCCGAACTTATCATTCTCGCCCGTGAGATCCTTGAGACCGGAGCCCTCGCCGCCATCCGCCAAACCGACGCTCCCTCTTTCACACGCTACTACCAGCAGCTACAGCCCTTTTACGACCTCGAGCGAGACGCCACGAGCGCTAAGAAGGTCGATCCGAAGAACAGCCAGCGCAGCAAGATCACAGGGCTGTATCTCCTACTTCTATTGAGCTCCGGGGATAGCACAAGCTTCCATACGGTGTTGGAGGGGCTTGTGGAGGAGGCCAGTCTGAATGGGAAGTCGGTTGAGGATGATCCGTTTATCAAGTATCCGGTTGATCTTGAGCGAAATCTGATGGAGGGCAGCTATGATAAAGTTTGGAGGGAGACGAACTCTGAGCGGGTGCCGTCGGAGGACTTTGCGTTGTTTTCGAATGTACGGCTTCCTTTGTTTGCCCTTCTAATTTTTTTTATCCGAGTAGATGGAGAACTAATTAATGTTCTAGGTCCTCGTCGGAACCATCCGCAGCGAAATCGCCGACTGCTCCGAGAAAGCCTACCCATCCCTCCCGATATCCAACGCCAAGAACCTCCTCTTCCTCGAATCCGAAGGCGCAGTCATGGAGTTCGCCCAGCAGCGCGGTTGGGTCCTTCGCGACGGCCGGATATACTTTCCCGTTGAAGCAGAGACCGCCACACGCTCGGAGAAGGATATCCTTGTGGCCAGCGGGACGATCATTGAAAATGCGATTGGGTATGCCCGAGAGCTGGAGACGATTGTCTAGATACACATATACAACCAACACATGTTGTTTCCCGGATGTACACGCTGCATCACATTATGAATCTTAGAGCGCTTTTATGACTTCGCGGTCTTGACTTCATTTCGTGTTCAGGGAGTCAAGTGTATGGAAGTTTTAGGTTCTATTTTCAGACCTTGACGCTCCATACACAAACCCTCTTATCGTAAAAACTACTCGACACGACCTTGATCTCAGCGCCCCCTTCAACAGCCGGATCCAGAGAATCCAACCCCCAAACACCCGAGGCGTAGTTCATACTCTCATGCTCTGTAAACTCCGCCAAAATCTCAATCTCAGCACTCACATCCTCCCCTCCATTTTCAGCAGAAACAGCAACCCTAACAACCCTCGTCCCGCCATGCATACAGCTCGCAAGCACCAGGAATGTCCACGTCTCCCCTCCGGCTGTAGTAGTGGTGGTATCAAGCAACTCCAAGCGCCAAACCCCACCTCCCAACCCTTCCTCCGCAACAACCCTGCCTCTTCCAGCCGCATGATAGACACGCAAGTCTTCATCGTAGCTTCCCGTAAGCAGTAGCGGGGACCCAGACGTAAGCGCATGGTCAAGCGGAATCGGGAGCGGGAGGATGGACGTTACGCCAGCGGTGTGGTGGAGGGCTCTATCAGATATGTTGAGGAGGTGTGGCGGGAGAGAATCTAATTCTGAGCCTGATTCTTGGTCCGCGGCTGGGTCTGTATCTGGGAAGCGGATAGTCTGCAACGTTCCGAAGTCGTCGCCTGTGAAGAGGTAGGGGGTTGATCTGCGACTAGTTTTGTCCTCGGTGTCTTGATTCTGGTAAGGGAATGTTGCTGCCGCAACAAACCATATCTCGATTGGTTGCTTTGCGTTGAATGAAGCGAGTTCTGTCACTTCGTCATTCTCATTACCAGCAGTACCACGCTGGACAAGAGCACCGGAATTAACACCGAAGACGCCCGTCCGTCCATCTGAGAATGTTACCGCGAAACCATCCCTTCCAAACCCAGGAAGCCAGCTCTTGGGCAACCAAGCCAGGAATAGTGTTGGAATAGAGGGGTCTTCGTGCACGGAGTAAGTAGCCAAATGAGTGAATCCCGTATCCTTCCCGTCCGAGTCCGAGTCAGAGACATTGACTGTGAACAGCGAGACGGTCCCCGCGCTCGTGGCGATTCCTAGCAGGTTAGGGATCCGCGGGTGGAAGTGCAAATCAAAGACTGCATGGGGCAGTGGGTATCTTGAGAGTTGTGTTCTGGTTCTCGGTTAGCATACAAACTATCAAACAGTATGCATAAGTGGAGAGGGAAGTGGAAAAAGGTCAAGTACAGTGCGTCCGTCTCCGGATCCAAGTTCCACAGCTGCAGCGAGCCAATTTTTGTTTGGCAAATTGTTTCTGTCTGTTCATTGTCTGAGCTCTCATCCTCTTCTGTGGTATTTGGGCTTTGGTTTGGTTTTGTCTCTGATGAGAGGAGGTATGTTCCTATGGCAAAGTTGTTCGGCGATGCTGGGCAGAATTGCAGGCAGCTTGGGGGTTGATCGAGGTAGGTTGTTGTTTTTGAGGCTGGGTGCTGGGGGTTCATTTTGATTACTCAAAGCTCATTTGGCAGTTCTTTGAGATCGAGTTTGATTGGTCCTAGAATTGGATGTAATGATATTTTACTATAGTTGGGAGATGTAGAAATATGAAGCAGATCGCGTGAGATTTGCTTTGTGGAGGTCTTGGCGGGGCAGCGAAACTATATCTAGAGCAACCAGAGATACCTGAAGAATATATGAAAAAGTATTCGTATATCGAAGCTAGAAATGACTATTTCGAGACAGTAGCAGGCCAAACCTGTGAAATGAATTCCACCAGATCCTCTTTGATCGCCTTTGGCTGCTCAAGAGCGGCGAAATGTCCACCCTAGTACATGTTAGCCCTGAGAAAAAGCAACGTTCTAATTCAACAATCCCACCTTTGTATGCTCCTTAAAGTATACTAGATTCCCAGTCTTGGCAACCCACGACCGAGGCACCGGCATCAGCTCCTGCGGGAAATATGAGAAACCCAGTGGTTTGTGGATGTAGAAGTCCGTTGTCAGAGAAGCTGTAGCATCGCGGGGGGCAAGGGTATTCTGGATTGCATTAGTTTTATCTCTGGTATAGTAACGGATAGGTAATCACGTAGGGGTTACCTCGCGGTACGGATATATAGCCCTCGGGTAGGTGTCTGTAAGCCAGTACAGGGTGACCAGCTCTAGGATGGTCTCCGACGATAAGGGAGCATCTGGCCATTCGAGGTATTTTTCTCCAATCCTATACACTTTTAGATACGGGAAGAGGAGATTTAGGGAAGGAGGGTGAAGCTTACCATGCGAGTAACGCCAGAGGACTTGACGATAGTACATGTCCAATCGTTGCAGGCCTAGTGGCATGCTCCTGGGCATATGCCCTACCCGACTCTAGAAAAGCGCGGTAACGCTCTAGTCCCCGTTTCTCAAGGTCGCTTAGGCCCTCGTCAGAAACGCCCTCAGGACGGGTGGGCGTCGGGCAGAAGTTCACTATTGGATTAACCTATGCTGTCTTGTCACTGGGCTCGACACTTACAATGGACCGCTGGAAAAGTCAGCACTGGTAAATTGGTTCAACTAATACCCAAGATTAAACTCACCTTTGCAGCCATCATAATTCAAGGTTAAGAGCCTGGAAATCCTGCTCCCAATATCACCTCCTTGAGCCACATATCCGCTCCCAAGACCTATATTCTGCATCAGCTGGTTGATGACGCGGGCACTATCGGTATTGGTCCAGTTCTTGTGCAGCGGGGGCCCAGAAGAGAAGGCATAGCCGGGGAGTGACGGGACGATCAAGTGATATGGCAAGGTGCTAGGCGTAAATTCGTCCCGAAGTAGCTGGAGCAAGGGGAGGAATTCAAAATAGCTCCCTATAAGTCCTTATGAGTATATGACTCCACAGAAGCATTATGGGGCATACCAGGCCATCCATGAAGCAGAACAATAGGCACCGCGTCGGCCTTCTCAGAGAACAAGGCTGCAAAGTGGACGGTGAGGCCCTCAATCTCTGTTGTATACTGAGGAAAGCTGTTTGCCCGAGCTTCAACTTCTCGCCTGTGAGAATCAGCAACTGATCCTCCGTATACCGCTCATCTCATACCAGTCAAAGCTGTTCAGCCACTCATCTTTCCTCGCACTAATCCAGCCATGTGTCACGCCAAACCGGCCATCTTCCCGCGTATTCTCATACGTCTGGGGTCCGATCTTCGAGAGCTTCACCAGCGTCTTGAACTCAGAGAGCTGCTCATCTGAAACCGCAATGCGAAATATAGACGGCGTGATCTTCGCAGTAGATGGTAGCCTGGAGAATGGAGCAGACATTCTGATGGCTTTGTTGAATGTCTCGCGAGGCTTGCTTTGTGTAATGTGCCGAACGAACAGGGGAGACTAGGAGAATGTTGCTATATACCGTCCGAGAGCATTAAGAATGCGGGGTAATTGGTCATGAAAGGGATCTAGATGTGCCTATCAATTTTGATTCTAATCATGTTGATGCCTGCTTGCGTCTCATCTGTCTGCCTGGTAGAAACATGGATCAAGGATCTATTGGTGTCATTTTCGACCCCACTGATATCATTGGAGGATCTGGGAGAATGTTCATGATGAGCCCAAGTGAGTCATGCTGATTGGAAAGTCCCATTAAATTCCATTGTTGGCAGCTGAATATTATTAATCGAAGGAGAAGATCTGACGTCTACCGGCTGCAACCTCAAGAGGCGTCTAGAAGATGAAATTGGTTGGGGGACGTGGTGATTTTCGCGATTGAAGAGATGAAACAGAAACCTTGAGAGCTGACGGCAGGAGTTTCTGCGAAGGAAGAGATTTCAATGGGAGAGGTCATACAAAGAAGCCGAGTCTTTGTGGTGGATCCCAATGAGGAAAGTTGAAACAAACAACAGCTTGGAAGAAAGCTGCTCAAGTTTGAGCAAACACAAATCCATCATGACATTTTTAACATCAACATAAACAGTAACTTTCTACCAAAAACTGCAAGATGGGAGGCCTCAAGCCAGATGACCTCTCGGACGACTCCAGCTTTTATGGTAAGCCCTCCAATAGTTTTCCAGGTCATTGCTAACGGTATGACAGGAGAGGAAGATGAAACCACACGATTGGAGCAGGAAGCAACAGAATACGACACAGAGAAGTACTGGACGAAAATCCACCCACATCTCCTCTCAACTCTCCAAGAGAAAGTTCGGAACGAGGAAAAACAACGAGCCACACAGAAAATGTCGCCCACGCCCATGGACATCGATAAACCAACATGCATGCCACCCGACCGACTCGGTCGCGGTGAGTCGAGCTCTGCGTTCCTCGCACGTCTCCCAGCCTCAACTACAAAAGAAGAGAATGCTGGACCCTGGATATATCTTCATACACCCGAAAGCGAAAGGGAACAACCCGAGATCGCCACTCTCCAACGAAGGGGCCAGGAAGCGCTCTACGCCTATGAAAACGAAGAAGCGCGCTTACGACAGGAGAATGACCAGAAGGGTGGTAGTAACGTTGCGCTTTCACGGAAACTTTCCCCGCTAAGGCGCGAGCTCGAAGCGCGTCTCTTTGCGCTGGCGCAGGAGACGGACGTGGTGTCTGGTAAGTGGCTGCTGTTTACCACGCCGGATAGAGTTGATTCATACTGGAGGCGGGTCGTTGAGGGGACGATGCGGGGGGAGCTGGGGTACGCGGCTAAGGTTGCTACGGATGCCGGTGGTGCGCAGAAGGCGAGGCTCATCTGTGTGTATACGAAGGATTATCGGGATCGCGAGGATATCAAGCGGGTGCTCATGAGTTTGATGGAGCTGGGACTGGTAAGGAAGGGGGAGAGGCCGGTTTATTACAAGTGTGATGTGTTGACGTATCTGGAAATCATGTCGGGGAATCCGTATGGATTGAAGCCGACTTTGTGTTCGAGCGGGGATGTTATGAATGGCAAGGTCTAAAGCTCTTGGTATCTGAATTAATGTCTATAGACGGGACAATGAGATGACGACTGATGACTGTCACTCTATGCTATATATCAAAGGGTCGTTTCTCATGGCCTTCCTAAGTCTGTCAGTGCAGAGGTAGGCATGGCGTTTAGTGTACGCTGGATCTTGTTTTGGCGAGACCATGGTGACGGCCGCGAACAACATGTTCTGTTGCTGGGGGCTGGCCAGACCAGTGAGGCGGGCTAGGTTGCTGAGGACAGTGGTATCCGCGTGAACGATTGAAAGTGTGTAGGATACCAAAATCCTTCAAGCATCGTCGACTTGCATAACCTTCTCACAAGCCTCTCGTACCTCCGCAACACCCTTGACCTCGTGCCACTTATCGAGCAGCTTGTGCACCTCATCCCAGTCTTTCTCCGCCTCCTCCCTCTTCCCATCCATAACAAGCCCCTCTAGTCTCTTCGGCGCCGCTAGAACCCACTTAACTGTCTCCTTCTCCGCTAGTTTCCTCCCTGATTCATCCCCCGCATTGTCCTTCGCCTCTCTCATCCGCTTCCTCAATTCCTCCCCCTCCTGGATCAACCCACCCGCCGTCTCCGCCACAAACGCAATGGCCGGTCCCAATGTCTTGGTCATAGTCAGCGGCGCCCCTCGCTCATCCATACTCTGCCTCATCTTCCCAATCGTCTCGACCGCGCGAATCAGCTTCGAATAGTTATCGTACACCAACGCCTTGCGCTCGCCATCGAGCGTGCGGATGTCGCCAACGAGCGTATTTTCCGCTTTGAGTATCGTAGACAAGGAGCTCGTAGCTAGGAGGTTATTGACGTAGCGCTGTGGGTCAAAATCGGGACTGTCGAGTTCTGTCCCCGTTATAACCACGGATGGGTTGGAGATGTCGCCGGCGTCCGTGTGCCGGGGGACGCTGCGCGATCGGACATTGGGGGCGCCGTCAGCGACGGCCGCGGCATCGGATGGCCTAAGGTTGTAGTAGTCTCTGAGGGCTGTACGGTTTCGGCGTGGGTGGAGGGATGGTGAGACGGCGCGGGCTGTTGAGGGGGTTGAGGCAGCGCTGAGGCTGCCGGTGATGGATGTGTTTAGAGCGTCGAGGGATGGGCGGCGCGAGGAGGCCGGTGTGGGCGAGCGGGCTCGGGATGAAGCGATTGAGGGGCGCGGCGAAGAAACTGTAGACATTTCGTGGTGGAGAGAGGGGAAGCAATTATGATTTACGACGTCGAGGATAGTAGATGGTAAGGAGAAAGAAGATATCTTAGATAAGATGACAGCTCTACGCGGCGATTCCCCGGATTTGCTCCGCAGCCTCAACTTTTTAGCATTCCAGCCCCAACTCCAACCAAAACACAAACACCCACCTAGCGACAATGCTAATGTGAAACAACTCACAATGGCAAACATTCAAGACCAAATAACTACCCACCTTCTCCAGACGAAATCCCTTTCCGTCTCCCCGACCTGGCTACGCAGCTTCCTCTCTACAATCAGCGCCGCCCAACGCAACACCCCAATTCCAGCATTAACCCAAACAGCGCTCTTCCGCCTCCTCACCTCCGATATCCGCGAATCCCTGACCTCTAGCCCTTCTACAACACTTCCCGTCGACATCTCCGACACCAACGTTCGAGAACGCCGCCTCACGGGGACCATCCCCGTACAAGTCCTCGACATCGAAGACATCGGAACCAGTGCCTGGAGCCAAGTCGAAGCCATCGAGCGTGTAGAGCGGGGTGAGGCGGTTCGAGGACGGGAAATTGTGCGGACGGTCAATGTTGGCGATGAGGATCAGGATGAGCTTGCTACTACTGCGAATGCGAATGCGAGTAATGGGCCGCATCGGTTGATTCTGCAAGATGCGAAAGGGGCAAGGGTGATGGGGATTGAGATGAAGAAGATCACTGGACTTGCGTTTGGGAAAATGGCTATTGGGGCGAAATTGCTCTTGCGGGGCGTTGTTGTGGCGAGGGGTATGATTCTCTTGACGCCGGACAGTGTTACATTGCTCGGGGGAAAGGTTGAGGCGATGGATCAGGCTTGGAGAGCTGGGAGGAAGGAGAGGTTGCTGCAGAAAGTCACCGAAGCAGGGACAGATACTGGACGTGCATGAGAGTTTAGCTAAAGGCGGTAAGTTATGGACGTTGAAGGTTTATCATTCATTTCTAATGCAAGTCTAGTTCATATATTCAAGGCTGAGCCAAAATGGGTCAAGTGGTCGAAGAGACCACATGGCTCAGTTCCTGCCAACCGCTCTTCATCCATGGCGCGACCATGATCGCCCTTAATGCATCACTAGCCTTGCCGGTCTGTGCATATGCGTTGGATAGATCGGCTGCGTTGAGGTTGCCACGAGGAGGAACACTCCGTAGCGCTGTCTTGACGCTCATTTCAGCAGGGTATGGCTCCTGAGAAGCGGAAGATAGCTCTAACCATCCCTCAGGGTCCCATGGTGCTCTCATCACTGCAGCGGCCGCCTCTCCAATACGTCTTGTCTCTTCAGGAACCCCCGATTCATTGGCGATACACAAGGAGATAGCTGTCAAGAGCTTGACAAGTCTCGCTCTTTCATGAATCTCAATGTCATCTCTCGTGATCATGTTGTGGAGGTTAGACTCGACAGCTTCGATAACGTCTTTGTCGTCATCAAGTAGGGCAATGGCTCCCAGCAGCGTAACTGCACCGACGTGGTCTGGACGGTTTTCCACGCATTCAAACAGCTGTTGTCGAGCGACTGTTCGCTCCTCCTCCCCACCCTTCGCCCACAATACCTGTGCGAGAAGACAGACGACATCTGGCGCGTTATCTGCTTCTTGAAGCGCATCGCGGAACATATCGATTGCGTTGTCCATCGCTCTCATGTAGTAATGCGCTAAACCAGCCGTCAAATGTGCCGACAGGCGCAAGTTCTTGTACATTTCGGGCTCGAATTTATCGGAATCATCCTCGCCTGACAGCATAAGCGCAGTCTCTGCCTTTTCGGCGGCTTCTTCGTATTCCTGACGTGCTAGGAGCACGCGCGCAATATCGGCATTGGCTTGCACGAACCTGGAGAGCGATGCTGCGGATTCCGAGACCTCATACTCAGATTCAACATGAGAACACAGACTTCGCAAGCTGGCTTCAGCGTCTGTGAGTTCACCAATTCTTTCGGCAAGAAGAGAGAAGAGATGGACGAAGGGAAGATCAGACGGGTCTTGACTAGTAAGCTGATACAATGTGAAGAATGGCTGGATAAGCTGCGAGACCTCGTTTGAGGCGGAGGCATCCGTGACAAGATGGTCGAAAAGAGTAAGTGTGTACTGCTGTTTCGGCAATTTTGACGATGACCGGGAAATATCAAAGGCATGCTCGAACAATCCTCTAGCCTCTCGTGGTTCGCCGAACAGGAGGGCTAGGAAACCCTGACCAACCCAGGCAAGTGAATAGTCTGGATCGGTTGACTGCGCCCGAGTAAACGCTTCGTTGGATAGCTGGATATCGTTGTGTACGAGGTAAAGAGTTCCCAGGTTTGTCCATACTTGCGCGCTCCTGTCGTTCAAGTGCAGACTTCGGACAAAAGCGTGTTGTGCGACCCGTGGGCTCATGCTCGTAGTCACCACTCCGAGGGCGTTCCAGAACTCGGAATTTCCAGCTTCCAGCTCAATGGCCCTTTTGAAGCAACGCATTGCTCCTTTCAAGAACTTGCGAGACTGCTTTTTTCCATCTCCACTTGGCCTGATGCTTTTGTATGATCGATACTCTGCCCATCCAAGATTGTACCATGATACTGCCTGAGCGTGGATGTCTTGTAACGAGACATGTATGGCACGCTTGTGGGCTAGGATAGAAGCGTACATGCACTCGTTTGCCAGAATCGAAACCTCCTTCTCATCCTTGAGTTCAGGCAGGTAGTTCTGTCCCACTTCATCGATATCTGTAAGAATGTCAAGAGCGGAGGGTTCAAGCTGTGTAGTAAGCAACCCCCGAATCTCGTTCATGGGTAGCTTGTTGGCTTTCGACTTGATGTAAGAGAAGATCGTGCATGCATCTCCCACGCCTTTCCACAGGTTGAAAATGTCGACGCGCTCGGTTGCCAGTGACTTGGCCACCATAATAGCCCTTCCGGCAAGCTCGGCGCAGTCATTGAACAGTCCGGATTCCAGACTCTTCCAGGAATTTTCTGTAAGTGTTTGAAGCAGAGCGATCGTGACACCCAGTTCATTGGGGCGAAACTTTAGCACGTCCTCGTATCTTCTGATCGCATCGTCGTATTCGCCCAGCTCCCGCTTCACGTTAGCCAGCATGTATCGAGCGAACCATATCTGTTCCTGATCGGACTTTGATAATGTAGATTCCAACTCCTGGGCATGCTCAAATGCCTTTGTAGCGGCGATGTATCTTCCGGAGTTATGGTAGCTTTCACCCAAACCAACCCAAGAATGGTAGTCGCCTGGGCTGATACGCAGAGCTGCTTGAAACGAAACGATACTCTTAGGGTATTGTTGCTTGTTAATCTGAACTGTACCTAGAGCAGCGTAGGGCCAGCTGTATCCCTTTCTTTTCGAGCCTGGCGCGGGTTTGGCCTTCCCTGAGTCGACGACGCGTTGAGAGACAGCCTCAACGAGGTCCCATTCTTTCTGGTCTGCAAACGTTCTCGCCAACCTCTCGGCTGCAACGATTTCCGACGCCGACAACTCGAACGCTTTGTGGAAGCACCTCCGCGCTCTTGTTTTGTCCTTCTTATAGTCGGCATAATAGATACCCAAGCTGGTATATGCCGGCGCGTAGTTTAGACTGGATTGGATGGACGCTAAGAAACTAGCATACGCACCATTTCTGTCTTTGCGCGCGGACGATGATGGGTCGATTTCCCATTGACAGTAACCGATGCGGTAGAGGATTTCACCTTTGAAGTCTCGATTTTCGAGTTGCGAGGTTTGCAGCTCCTCCAGCACGTCCTGAAGTCCAGATAGGCCTGCTTCTAGATCTCCGTTAAGCGCTCTAGACCATGACAATTCGCCACGAACCTTGAGGTTTGACGGGTCTCGTTCGAGAGCGCGCTCCAAGAAATTGACGGCTTCGGGGTAGTCTTCGTCGACCTTGAGGATGAGACCAATGCCGAGAAGACAGCTGGTTGAGGTGGGCTGCCTTTGCAGAATATCCTGGAAGATACTCCGAGCTTCTGGGTGATTTCGCGGAGACTGGTAGTAGATAAGGGAGTTTGCAAGAGCGATGTTCAAGGAATCAGCGGTATTTTGTAGGCTGATACCCGTCCTTTTGACAGCATCGTGTAGGTTCTGGAGGCCTTTGCGGCACACATGGATGACGCTCTCGTATTCCTCAAGCGACAGGTAGAGTTCACCCATGATCCTGTGAGCAACAATGGAGGTAGAGCACATTTCTAGACCTTCCACCATCAAAATAAGTCGGTCCTGGGCAGCCACTTCACTATTATCTCCATTAGCGGTACCGTTCTCGACCTTCTCGACCTTGTCCGCCTCTTCTTGACCCGGCTTGGTGGGCTCTTTGGGGAATGGAGAAATGTCACTACCCAGAAAGCCCTTGAGGACCTTTGTGAGGTCATTTTCAGGGAAAAATTCGATAAAATCCTCCAAGAATCCGCGGTCCCATTGAGAGAAGTCTTCGACATCCTGCCATTCTAGGACGATCTTCCAGGCAAGCTCGAAAGGGTGTTTGATAATCACCATATCACGAGCAGCCTGCACCACCTCTTCTCTCTTCGCGTCCTTTTCATTGGGAGGTAAGACAGTAAGTATGTCATAAGCCCTCTGTAACAACTTTTCCTCGTACGCCCGTCGAACTTGATCATCATGAGACCAATTGACTATTCCACGGTAAAGCTGTTCCAGCTCGCTTCGTTTGTAGGCCTCGCGTTTTACGTCGAGCGTCACTTGGTCGATTCGCGCACCGAGCCGGGTTCTTCGTTCACCAATTTCACGATTGATGAATTCTCTTTCTTCCGATTCCGTGATCTCAATGAGACGCTGGTAGGTGTGGGCAGGATTGGGTATGCGACCTTCGAGGAAGCTGTATAAAGGACTGGTCGGTAGATGTAGCTCAAGGGCTTTCTTATACTGTAGGCGAGTTCCATTCTTCTTAACAAAGGCGATATATTTGTCCACAGTGTCCTGGCATCGGTGTTTATCGTCCCTGGCCAATTAGCAATCATGGCTGGTTGTAACTGCTCGGTTCCTCGACTTACAAGTCGGCAAATATTTGACCAAGGTTTATAACCACCTCTCGATATTGCTCAAGCTTCTGATTTCCTTGCTTCTCATAGAGGCTTATAAGTCCCTGCCATGCCGTCTTGTCATCGCCCTTGATGCGAGTGGCCGCGAAATACGCTTTTTCGGCGTCTTGGGTTCGATTGAGTTTATCCTGTGCAAGACCGAGAAAGACATTCCTATGAAGAGAACAATCAGTCAAGGACTCGAAGCTATCGAAATGAGCACCCACGCATGGTAGTTCTGCGGTTGTTCCTTCACAAGAGCTTTGGCTTTGTCGGCTGCAAGCTCGAAATTCTTCGAGTCGAGCGCTGTCCGCACTTCCTTGAGGGCAGCCTTGCTTGACATCCTAATGCAGCCGCCTCATGACCTTGCCCGCAGTTGATTCGTGATATGAGAGCTTCTTGAAGGTGGGAAAATGCTCTCGGCTGTGGGGCGCCGAAGGACAGTGCGTGGGCTGTGGTACGTCAGAGCGGCTTATCCTGAGGTACCGCCGTTTCTCCGCACCGCTTGACTGCAGCTCTCCCCTTGTTCCTCTCTCGTCAAGAATAGGCAGATCTTTTGATGCCTATCGATGGTGAAACGCCTGGCACACCTTCCCCTGAAACAGGTCTCACTGGGATGAGGTCTTTGCAATAATTGCAGCTGATCGTCGTAAGTTTATCCAGCCTGTCGGTCGCATCGGAGTATGGTCCGATAACCTTATCAACGATCCTGGTGCCTGACCCTCGCAGTGAAGCTAGAGCGCTGAAGCTCCTGCCAGTGTCTCGATTGTATTCGACTCGGTTGCTTTTTCTGTTGTACCTCGCCTTCACATATCCTTTCCGTCAACAACCGCCGATCCTCCATCCAACGGATTGTAGTCAGCATGGCGCCCCGTCGTCTCCGAATTGACGGCACAAAGTTTAAGGACCCCCAGAATCGTGAGATTACACTTAGGGGAATCAATGTTGCCGGCGAGGCCAAATACCCCAGGATTCCTGATGTCCCCTCGAACGTCGCGGATGGATTCTTTGACGCCGATCATGTCTCTTTCGTTGGACGGCCATTCTCGCTTGATGATGCACATACACACTTCTCAAGGTTACGCGAATGGGGCTACAACACTATCAGATACATATTCACCTGGGAAGCAATTGAGCATGAGGGACCTGGCAAATATGACGATGAATGGATAGCTTTCACAATTGAGGTCTTGAGGATCGCAAAGCAGTACGAATTCTACGTATTTATGGATCCACATCAGGATGTGGTACGTATCCTAGTTTGGAATGAGAACCATTGGGGATAAGCTAACTGACAGGCTCTTATAGTGGTCAAGACTTTCGGGAGGCTCTGGGGCACCTGCCTGGACGCTTTACGCGGCAGGCCTAGACCCCAGGGGCTTCAAGAAGACACAAGCTGCCTTAGTGCAGAATACCTGGGATAGTCCGGCTGAGTTTCCAAAAATGATATGGGCCACAAATTATACTAGACTGGTCTGCCAAACGATGTTCACACTCTTCTGGGCAGGGAGAGATTTTGCACCGAAGGCGGTAATAGACGGCATGAATATCCAGGAATATCTCCAAGGTCATTTCATAGCCGCGATTAGATATTTTGCCCAAAAGATACACGACGCTGGGGACATCGAAAATGAGGTGGTCATCGGATGGGAAAGCCTTAACGAACCTCAGCGAGGACTAATTGGTTACCAAGACATCTCCGTCATTCCCGCAGATCAGCAGCTCCAGCTAGGCACATCACCGACTGCTTTCCAAGCAATCCTTACGGGTTCAGGACGTGCATGCGAAGAGGCAACTTGGGGATTTGGAGGATTCGGCCCATACCAAAGCGGCCGAGAACTGATCGACCCAGAAGGGGAGACTGCTTGGTTACCGGTGACCTATGATGACACGAAGTACGGTTGGAACAGAGACCCCAACTGGAAGTTGGGGGAATGTCTGTGGGCTCAGCATGGAGTCTGGGATCCAGTGACAGATGAGCTACTACAGAAGGACTACTTTGCTAAAAAGCCGCGAACCGGGGAGCCGCTCGACTACGACAAATTCACGAATACCTACTTCTTAGAGCATTATAGAGCATATACCGAAGCGATCCGAAGTGTGTGGCCTGGTTCGATCATGCTGTGCCAGCCTCCTGTGATGGAAATTCCACCTGACCTCAAGGGATCGAATGATGATGATCCCAACATGATTCACGCTGTTCACTACTATGACGGACTCACCCTTATGTCAAAACATTGGTGAGTCAAGATGATGGAGCTCTGAATTGCCCACCTAACATGGACAGGAACCGGTTATACAACGTGGATGTTATTGGCGTTCTTCGTGGAAAATATCTTACACCAGCTTTTGGGGTCAAGATAGGAGAGACTGCTATCAGAAACTGCTTGCGCGATCAACTCAAATTTCTTAGGGAAGAAAGCTTACGATACATGGGCAACCACCCTGTAATCTTTAGTGAGACTGGCATACCATACGACATGGATGACAAGCATGCCTACAAAACTGGCGACTACAGCAGCCAGATCAGTGCTATGGATGCCATTCACTATGCCCTAGAAGGGAGCACTTCGAATGGGTTCACATTATGGGTCTATACCGCAAGGGTAAGAACCCCAAAAACGATGTAAGAGCACTGCTACTAACACCGGTTCTAGAATGATCACGAATGGGGCGACCAGTGGAATGGAGAGGATCTTTCGATATACTCTGTCGATGACCTGGAACTTCCTAGCAGCAAGTCCCTTCAAGATCATGAATTGCACAGCCGGTCAGACCACGGTTCCCCCTCCTACTCGTCCAGTCATCATGCAACCAACCAAGAAATAAGCCCTCGGAATCTAAAGGACGCTATCAAGACCCCTTCTATCACCTCAGAAGTCTCACAACTGGACGAAGATAAACTTGGGTACCGTGCTGCCGAAGCCTTCATCCGACCTAGTCCTATCTATACAAATGGACTGATATCTGACCACGTCTTTGACTTGAAGAACTGCACTTTTACCATGTCGCTCATCGGAAACCCAGCTGATGTGCCAACGGAAATTTACCTGCCTGATTTTCATTTCCCAGACACGGCCACCCGAGTGGCTACCACCGCTGGAAAGTGGTCCATTGATTACGTGGAGTTTAAGCATGCCCGGTTTCAGAGACTCCAATGGTGGCATCCCGAGGGTGAACAGGGCATCAAAATCGAAGGCAAAAAGCGTAAAGGAGGCGCGCTGGCAGCTCCTTCGGCAGAGGACGTAAGCTATCTTGAACAGTGCCAAAAGGGAGGATGTACGGTGATGTAATGCCTCGGACTCTCGTGAACCAGTGGCTTGTTTATGGCGATGCTGTTGGCGCTTCGCGGTTGCTTTAGACTCAAGGTCAATTGATTCGTAGTATTGGCATGATTATGCTCCGTTCGGCATGGTACTTTACTAAGTCATAGGCGGTACTATATGGTAGTCTAGAATATACCTGCATAGTAGGCCTGAAAGCAGAGGCAACCAAGAGCTTCTTATCTGATGGCAGCTCTTATCGATAAGCCGGGCGGTAAAGAACTGCCCCTCCGTGTCAGTGTCGGTGTGGTCATTGCAGCTTGAGCGCGTGGAAAATTCTCCTGCTTGTAAGAGTACCGCCTTCGTTAACTATTCACCAACAACTTCTCGGTCAAGGCAAGAGATTCGGCTCTGGATTTTGAAAGGCATCGCTGGGGAAGGTTGGAAAATCCCCCTTCCCCCTCTTACAGCAGAGCACGAAAGCGAGCTATCTTCGTCAAGAAATCCGGACCTCAGCCGCAACTACATTGCCTAACCAAAAGCCTTGCGTGGTTCCCTGTGCTTGCTGTCTGAGTCGCCGTTGGCCGCCACGCGGTTTACTTGCTTTGATCACTCAATTTTCTGCGTTCACAAGGGGGGGAAAAAAGAAAACATCACACCCGGTTTTCTTCTCTTTGTTTCTCACCAGCTGCGGGCATTGGCGGATTCTAATCGCGCTGGTCCTATCAACCCGGGAGAATCCAGGCAGAATTCGCATCTAGCTCGTGGCCAATTGGCTTCGGTGAAACTATGGCCGCAGAAGATGGACTGGCGGACGGGAGCATGGCCGATATCGTTCGGGCACTTGAGCTCATCCACAATCCGTCATCGACAAATGAGCTCCGCAGAGAGGCCTTGCAATTTGTGGAGTCGCAAAAGGGAAGTCCTTCCGCGGCTCGTAACGGCTTTCTGCTAGCATCACGGAGGGAGAATGATGCCTTGGTCCGGTATTTTGGGTTGACTCTTCTCGATCATGTCTTACGCCATACCTCATTCACCGCTACGGATGAGATTGTGGGTCTGAGGGATATTGTGCTGAAGCTTGCCGAATCGATTCAGCCAGAGGACCCTGTGTATATTCGAAACAAGATTCCTCAACTATGGGCGGAGGTTGCCAAGAGAAGCTGGGGTTTAGATTGGCTCGATATGGATCAACGCCTAGTCCAGTTCTGGAATGCTAGTCTTGTGCATAAAGAACTGGTCCTATCTGTTCTCGAGACACTATCGGAAGATATCTTCTATCGAGAAGACACTGTTTCGTCGTTACGCGGAACCGATCTAAACCGTGCATTGGTAGAAATCTGTACGCCGCTGGCTGTATTTGAAGAGGCGTACCCAAAACGAGACAACCAGGTTGACCTACGGTGCGGCAATGAAGGTTGGCTTGCCCGGACATGCGAGTTCCTTCAAGACTGCATTGGAAACATACAGCACTCCAAACAAGCAAAGGATGCCGCCCTGAAGGCTCTGGCGAGCCTGAAATCGGTCTTGGTTTGGTCAATCCCCAGAGCTATCCTGATCTCAGGATGTGTCCAAAGTATAGCCAGAGCTTTTACTTGCGATGATGAACAGGTGTTATTGGTAAGTCTCATGTCGTTTGGGCAATACATCGCTTTAACAAACTATTCAGGCCGCCGTCGAAGCCTTGCATGCGTTATATAGCAGGTCCAGCTATGATATCGAGGGCTTTCAGCCATTGGTACACCTAATGTACGAGACGGAGTCCTTGAATGTCTTGTTGAAGCTGTTTCAGTGGTCTGTCGTTGGCCCCGAGGATACCGATGACACCAAGTACACCGTATCCAAAAAGCTGTCGGAGGTAAGTCTGACAATCCCGATTATTGCAGTATCTCTAATGTATCCCCAGATGGTTTCCTACATTGCAGGTTTTCTTGAAGAAAAAGGCTTTGCCATCGAGAGTACGCCTAATGCAGACTTGCCGTTCTTTTTTCATCTCATGTTAAACGTCGTTCAGCATCGCAGTCTTACCGTTTCGATTCCAGTTCTGCATATTTGGTCCAAACTTATAGCGTCGTCCAAAGTTGGGGACTCGGACGTCGTGATCAACCTCATTCCTCCACTCTTGACCATTTGTACTGAGCGTCTTGTCCACTGGGAAGCCCTTCCTACTGATTCAGAGGACCCTACTGTAATGTTTCTTAATGAAGATATTGACACTGTCCCGGAGAGACATGCCTTTGTTGGGAATTATCGGCGCTATTGCTCGGCAATTATTGAGACGATAGTCCAAAAACGACCGCAAGAGGCTATTCCACACATTCTTCTTGGGGTTGACAATAACCTTGATGCCTTGTACAACGGGGTCGAATCTTTCAGCGGTTAGTTTACGTTGCAATCGATCCAATCTCAAGCTAACGAACAGCAAAGTCAAATCATTCTCGAAGAACTCTGTCCCGTTGATGCGCGCAGATACCCAGTTTGCGGTTGTTGAAGCTACCTTGAAGGGCTACACTAAGTGGGTGTCGTTGCATGGGAACATGCCTCAGCAAGATGTATGTGTTTACTACCTGATTCCTGTGGCCCAACTGACAAGAAGTAGGAGCAAAAGCGCAGTGAGCTGGAAAACGTTCTTGAGACCTGGGCATTCAAGTTGATGCAGAGAAACTTCGAGGTCTGTTCAGCGCTAGCTTTGGTTGTATTGACCAAGGAGGCTAATCGAGTATAGGATCCTATCTTGAAACAGCGAATTGTGAAACTCATTGTCGACATCTCTGCTAAGGCTCTTGATAAGACCCCTAATTTCGCCCTCAAAGTCTTGGAGTACGTTCTTATGACACGCCTACCTGATCAGCCGGAGTATCCGGCTTACGCAGAAGCTGTGAAAGAACTACATGGGCTAGCTAGTCACGAACTGCGGCGGCTCGCGAGTCGCTATGCTGATTACTTTTCTGTGAGCTTCTTATGATTTGTACTGAGAGACTCTGCTAACACCCTTCATAGACATTCTATGATCTCTTGGAACCGAAGATCCAGGAGATCACGATGGCTAACCGAGTTGATGACAAACTTCACATGGAATTTACATCAGTCCTCCTCATCATAATGTATGGCTTGTACTCATCGGTGCCACGTCTTTACTAACTCGATTAGGCAACGTGCAAACAACATCGAGCCCTACCTACGCCAGACTCGGCTGGCCTCGTTTGTGGAGCCGATAACACAGGCCTGGCAAGACGGTGAGCTGCGAAACATGTCTTCCACGTTTGAGGGATTCTGTAATCTGCTCGGTTTGCAGAATGTGGGGCCATATATGCAATCGAGACAAGCACAGAAATTGGAGGATTGGACAGAAGCAGCTCTTGACCCAGAGGGCAAGGCAGTGCAGGAGGAAATGACCAGGAAGTTCCAGGTAACACACAGTCGAGCGATAGGAACTACACCCAGAAGCTGACACGTTATACAGCAATTGCCATTGAGAGGCACGAAGACAATGCTAGCAGTCTCAACTGATAAGCTCAAGAAATCAGAGCCAGCGTATCAAGTTGCGTGCACACTTTGGCATGATGTTATTCCAACTATTCTGCCAACTTTGCTGCAGCTGGTTAGGTAGGTGTAGTATCGGAAATGGAGAGCACTGAGCTAACAGACTCACAGCAACGCGCACGCTTTTCACAACCCGGAGAACTGGGTTGGCCTACCCCAAGACATGCGAGGGGTTCCTGAGCGCATCCTAACGGACAGGTTTTGGCAAGCCGGTATATCGACAGGAAGTCGAGATGATTTTTATGCCAAAATCACCGCTTCGCGCTCATCTCTTGAAGGTTTCGCTTCCTCTGTCAGAGGCAAGGTCAGAGCCGTCAGAGAGTCGTGCTACTCGATGCTTTTCAGCATGAGTAGGCTGCGTGAGCATTTCTATGGCTTTGCGGAACTTCCAGGACCTTTGTCACAGGCCCTTTTCAAGGACTCCTCTCACCTCTCCTCTCACCAGTTTTCTGTTCTCCTCAACATCTCTAGGTGCCTAATCGACGACTGCCCTGTCCGCTTCCGGGCCCAGTTCCTGCCGCCAATGCTTTCCACACTATTTACTAATATCGACAGAAAAGTCACTTCTGAATGGGAGATCATCGAGCAACGGAAAGCAGGATTAGGAGACGGTGACCTGGCCGACGAAATGAAATCGGAAAGTATTCTCCGGCAACTGACTTACTCGGCGGTCATCATGGTAGCAAGCCTCCTGGACCCGCAACGAGGAGGTAAACTACGCCTCGCAGTTCCCAAAAGCTTGCCCATCAAGCTGACCTTTGGACTTACAGACCCTGACGACGAACCCACGGATCCTAGCGCACCCCAACCCTTACCAGTTCTCGCAGACTCGATCCGACATTTTGTCCTTTCATCTACTGAGATTTTCGAGCCCGTAATGCTCTTCTGCACTCATGCCCTCCGCATGCGCGACACCAGATGCTGTAGCATCATCACGCGCGTCATCCGTTCTATCCTGCAAGATTTCGCCCCGCCACATAACTCACAGACAGTTGTAACCATCCGCGAGTTCATCTCCTCTGAAGTGCTCAAGGCCTGTATAACATCCGTGCACGAGCCTTATTTCGTCGATATGCAGAAAGACCTCGCCCAACTCATCGCCTCGATCTGGGTCCTCTACGGCGCCAGCACCCCGACACCCAAATCCCTCATACTCAGCCTCCCCGGCATGACCGAACAGCGCGTGGCCTCCACTGAGGCAGCCCTCGTGCGCTCGACATCCGCTCGGCAGCAGCGTGCCTTGGTCCTTGACCTTCTCGAGAGCTTGAGAGGAGTCAGTATTGCCGAGCAAGGCAAGATCTTGGGATCCCGCGAAGAACGCCGCAAAGCACGCAGCGCCCTCCAGGAGAGGTTCATGAGCAATGAGATGGATGGGCAGCAGGGGCACAAAGTCGATATAAACGATGGGCCAGATCTATCTGGGGTCGCAGACATGTTTGGTTGAGGACCTACCTCGCCAAGTGTGGGCGGATCATTAGGTACATGCATACATTGGCTTTGTATATTATTCTCTTCAGCGTATAATTGTTTGATCACTGGTATAAAAATAGATCTTCTATATTCACTTTGAACTTAGTGGACAGCTCATCTGATATCGCACTCTTGTAATACATCCCACTTTTAGTATAGTTTACTCGCATTGTTGAAGCATAAGATGGCAGTCAACAAGAAAAAACAAATGAGAAATTGTTGCGAATCTAGTCTGCCCCTTCGCAGACGGTATATCTACAGTAGTACATGTTTCCCCCATTCGCCTCATAACGACTCGATAGTATCAATTCCACCTCACCTTTCAAGCACCCTGCACAAGTTCCTTTTCCATAAACCCACCCAATCACCTCTCTCGACCATCCACACCTCCAATCTAATCATAAGCCTTGGCAGGCACAACAGCAAACGTAGGACGAACGAAACTAAAAACCAACAGACCCCATCAGCACAAACAGTTCCAATCCGACCCCCAAGAAACACTCAGGACAGGGAAACAGGGAACGCGATACGCACCGGTCAGAGTTGTAAACCTTTGTCACCTCACCCGTAAGCTGCTTCTCGCGGTTCGCGTCCGCAATCGCGCGACGGACCTGGTCGCGGTCTTCCTCGGCCTGCAGGAGGGGGAGGATGTGTAGACGGCCCCAGATCTTCTCGCGGGCGAGTTCGCTGTTTGGTTGTTAGTTATGATGATACTGGCATTTTCGGGCTGAATATAAAAGGCGAGTGAATTGAGTGCGGAGAAAGCGTACTTCTGTTCCCGGATACCGTGGAAGAGCTTGTAATATCCGTACGCCATGAATAGGTGCATGCCGACGAGGTAGTAGATGGGCCGGAAGCCGCGGGCAGGGACGTTGCGCTGTCAGATAAAATCATATTAGCATCGCAGATTGGATCCGGTAGCATAGTGATCCAATTGGGCGCTGTGATTCCGTGGTGTCGTCCACTCGACTCGGGCGCTCGATGTCACGAAGGGAGGTTCGGTTTGGCGTAGCGTACCTTGTACTGCACTGGCCGGTAGCCCCCGACGGGGGGCATATCTTGAGGCATGGTGGCGGCTACTGACGGGGTCGGCAGTGGCCTTCAATTGCGTTTGTGAGGGGGTGCTTCGCTCGGGATATTCTCGTGATGATGATGGAGCTGGCGGAGAAGTTGGAGGGCTGTAGTCATGTGACAGGATCTGAGTTTGGTCATTGGTGCTACGGGGGCTGTGATTGGTTGCGAGCTCACCATATGGTCGTCCACTTCGAGTTTGTCACGGTCATGCATTTGGAAAATAGTGCATTATGTACCACCGAGTACCGAGCTACAGCAAGGCGCGGGTTATCTCAATTCACATTTATTCGTACGTGATTGAGTACGTTGGTAAGAGCTATCAAGATCACCTGACCGTTAAAGCAGCGGTATACACTTGCCAGATGTGGGGCTTGCTCTAAGCCGAAGCTTTTTTTCCTTGCACTCACGACGATTACCACAAACGGATTATTCCAGTCGCGCAGAGAGAATGGACGGAGAAGAACGGCCCAGGAAGATCCAGAAGCTCGACACTGACGAGTCGCATGACACCGAGCCGCTAATGACCGGCGCAATTTGCGGCGGGCAGGATGAGAAGCTCGAGCAAGCTCACACAGAAAACACCGCTCCCGCAACAACTCCAGAGAAAGAATCGGAGGAGCCAACAGCTGCGGAAAACGAGTCCGAGGAAACTTCACAGAATCTATCGAAGCGGCAATTGAGGAAGCAGCGCCAGCGCGAAGCTTGGGAAGCAGAACGAGAAAACCGCAAGGTGATACGGAAGGAGAAAGCCACCGCGAGGAAGCTCAAGAAGCGCGAAGCCTGGGAGGAAGCGAAAAGGCAAGGTAAAGATACAAAGGAGGAATTGGCAAAGTTATTCCCTTCGACGGGCAGGAAAGGTCAAAGAACGACACAGCTTCCAATTACTCTGGTCATCGACTGCGGATTCGACGACCTCATGATGGAGAAGGAACGGGTATCTTTGGCGCAACAATTGACGCGGTCCTACTCGGAGAATAATAGATCACCATTCAAAGGGCATCTCGTACTGTCCTCATTCAACAAGTTGCTAAAGGAGCGCTTTGAAACAACCCTGCACAGAACCCATGAGCATTGGAAAAATGTCCGCTTCTTGGACGAGGACTGGCTCTTTGCTGCGAACCAGGCAACTGAATGGATGCAAGGTCCACAAGGAGGGAAGCTCGTTGGGCCTTTTAAGAATAAAGCGGACGCGAAGCCCGAGGACGGAGAGATTGTCTACTTGTCTAGTGACAGTCCGGATACCCTAACGGAACTCAAGCCATACAGTACGTATATTATCGGAGGGCTAGTGGACAAGAACCGCCACAAGGGAATCTGCCACAAGCGAGCAACGGAGCTCGGAATCAAGACGGCAAAGCTGCCAATTGGCGATTATATCCAGATGGCGTCGCGCTCTGTTCTCGCGACAAACCATGTTGTGGAGATCATGGTTCGCTGGCTGCAGCTGCAAGACTGGGGCGAGGCTTTTATGCAGACCATTCCATCTCGAAAAGGTGGCGTCTTGAGAGAGGGTGGGAACGAACAGGAAGATTCAACACCACAGAAGAGCGACGCGGTGTTGGACAGCGAGCAAGAGGACTCCACAGAGCCTGTTGCTACGATTGAAGCCGGAGAGAAGGCTTCTGTTAGAGAAGAGGGTCTTCAAGCCGAGCAATGAACGGCTTGCACAACCCGAATCTGATACCACGGGTACTAGTATGAGGCCCTCAACCATATTGAACTCTATAGCTTTATAGCGTGTTCTCAAGGCAACTACACCCCCGACCGAAGTCCTACCTGCATCGCACCTTCCTCCGCATGTATCACCTTAAAAAGGAAGGGGCGACTATCGTACCTTCTACTTTTGTCAGCACTGGGTCGCACCTTCCTCGGTATTCAGCTTCTTCTTCAGGAAGGAGCGACCACCGTGCCTTCCAGACTAATAACCTATGGGTCCCTTCCTGGAAATACCACTGGAATGAAGCCGCCAAGACAATTTGAACTGCATCTTTCGCCAGATGCAGGTCAGACCTTACTCGGCATATGCCACTGGCCGTTGGTATCGAGGTGCTATGAATGTTGCACAAAGACAAGATCTTGAACAATAATAGTGAAATACCTGATTCTTGTGACTTCTTCGGTTGTCCGATACGATACATGGAATATAGTATTTCGAGAAAGCACATCAACGAACCATTCGCTGATGTTTATGATCAAAGGAAACAAGTAACCTGGTTCGATGGATGAATGATTGAAACTCCATACCACAAGCCCATAACGCTTTACAGACTTGTCTGCATCTCGAATTTTTTCCGGGTCATCGGACAATGACCTTGACTTGGTAAACTCTAGCGCCGAAGCTGCAATGAATGCATAGTAATACAAACGAAGCTTGCCGTGTATCCGTACCTACACGGGTCCTAACTTGAATCGGAGGAAGATGAACTATAGTTCCGAAGTGAACAAAGCTAGGCCAGGTAACTAATAGTTCATGGCCGATTTGTCCTCATAACCGCCGCCGCCACTACCACCTCCACCACCTCCTCCTTCATACCCGCTATGGTCATCGAGAGACCTGTAGCCTGCAGGGCCTGCATTATGTCCGCGACCTCTGCCGCGTCCGCCTCCGCGGTTCGCGTGCGAGTACCCTCTACCTCGCGGGCCGGCACCACGGCCACGACCGCGGAAACCTCCACGACGAGGTCCATCATCGTGCTGGTTGCGGTTGTTATTACCATGTCGCGGCCATCCGTGGGGTTGTCGACCCTGCGAGCCTTCGGGGGCACTTTGGGGTGGGTACAGGATATCTTCGTCCCGTTCTTGCTGATGGCGTCTCTTGCTAGTCTTGTTCATGAAGCGGTTATCGTAGTCACTTGCATTCTCTTCTTCGATGCGGAGGACGACCTTTTCTCCGACCACACTCTCTATTTTAAGAGCATTGTCAGAGGGGATAGGGTGCCAGTTATGGATCTTCTGGGCATCAATTGGGCGAGCGCCTTTGCGCACTGCTAGGACCACGAATGGAACTCTGTTCTCTGTGTGATATCTCTCTGTGTCTGGCACAGGCTGAAGGCGAGCGGCCCAAACTTTGTTCTCAAAGACACCAGTCCCAGTGACGATCCAGCTGAGCTTCTTGCCAAGTCCACCAACTTTGTCCAGTATTGAACGAGTTGCGGGTCGCGGAGCGATTAGGATACTGTTAGCCATATACTTCAAGTCATTTGATTCAGCAAGCCCCGAAGGCACCAGGGGATTTAGTATCCGCCGGATTAGTTGATCCGAGTCCGAATTCGGGATAAGATACCCAGTGAAATATGTGGTGCGTCTGATGCATAGCCGACCATACGGCGATTTGCTCACATTTAAAGCCGGGTCACGAGTAGCAACGTTATGCGAATTGATCATACGTTGCACTTCAGCTGCTTCAATTACAGGGGGGAGATACATGGTCTCTTCGGCTACCTGAATCACTTCAGCTGTGAGTGGTTTTCGGATGTCGGAACCATTCATTTTGTAGCTCCGGTTCAGTTTCTCAAAGAAGTCACGGAAGCCCTTGACACTGGCAACAAGTTAGAAATCAGAGAACCTCAGACTTGCAAATACGGTGCGGCGATACTAACTGCTTAGGGCGATCCTCGTAGACCCGAATCTCATCAGCCTGCTCATAAGTAAGAACAATATCCTCAAGGAATGTCTGTTTGAAATCCATAGTCGACGAGAACCGCTCGCCATTGGGCCCGACTTCGGGCTTCAGGCACACGAGATCAAACTCGAGCTTTTTACTGTCGACCATGCGTTTGATGAGCTCAGAGAACCCAGCTTCGCTCCGGCCAGTTAAGAGCACTGTGAGGGCATCCTTTTGTTTCATGCTCAACTCGACCAATTGCGCCTAGAGAATTAGTGAATGTCGCATATGTGTTGGGTATGTAGTCCGCACAATCCGTTCGTTCCACCACCCCTTCCAAGCGCGGGGTTCTTCTTTCTCTATGCCATCACCAGTTGCAGAGAGGAGCGTAGGGTCGTGCCACCATCCTCCGTTTGCGAAGCTTTCGTAGGCCTGCAGAAATCCAATGCTGGGACCGTTCCATAGCTGTGGGTTCGGAAGCGGACTCGAGAATACTGAATACAGGTATTAACCGGGGGATTTTCGAAGCCCACGACTCAAGAATCTGGCCTTACATGTGTTGTCGAAGTCGTACACGTGAATCGCTCTTACCTGTGAGGGACCTTGAAAGGGCAAAACATCAATAAGGTATCTTCTTGGCGATACAAGGGGCAAGAAAGCCTTACCTGGAAGATCCTTGTTAATGGAAGACCACCGTTTCAATCCTGTAATCGTCCGTGAGGCAGGGTGGTACTCCATGAAGGAGCCGTTTGCTGCTCCGCGCGCCATTTTTGCGTAGTTCTCAGAGATCACTGCTTTGGCGGATCTCTTGATCATATTTCCATCAACATGATAACGATATGCAAGGAATAGTCGAGCAGGAGTATATTCGCCCCGGATGAGGAATTAGATTTCCAGCAGAGCCTCGGAAGTTGAGAGGAAGTGTTTCCCTCGAAGCTTCCGAAAAAGTTGCCGCCGCCAACAAACGTGACCGGCCCGTTGACGTTCCAAGCTCTCGCAAACCAACCTCACAAATGATCGCTTCTCACCCGGCTAGCCAATTTTCTCAAACCAGCGCGGCTCTCGACTGATGACCGATGATGCCGACATCCAGCAGCAGATTCTGCAGAGAACCCTACAGGAGGTAGCGCAGGAGCACTCCCAGCATCAAGAGGATGTCTCCGATCCCTGCGTCATCTGTCTGGAACCCATCACAGAACCTGCAATCGCGGTGTCCTGCAACCATGCGAATTTTGACTTTCTCTGCCTCGTGAACTGGCTTGAGCAGCGTCGCAACTGTCCCCTCTGTATGTCCCTTCTGCTTTCCCTCACCTATTGCAAGTACTAACTCGCCCACAGGCAAGAGTGACGTATCCTCCGTCAAGTACAATCTCGATAAGCCCGATGGTCCGCAAACGTACCAGCTGCCTGCAGTCCCTCAAGCATCGGCTGATGCGCCATCTAATGCCCACTTCCCACACAACAGACCACTTTATCGAAACACTCGTCGCCCGCGACGTCCCCGGAGCCCCCCGCCACAGACGCCCGACGACCCCATCAGAAGAAGGCAGCATGTCTACCGCAACCACCTATATTCCCTCCGTGTCGGCTCCAACCGCCTGTCCCAATACCGCGAGTTTACGCCCGACATGTTCAACACAGATGAAGAGCTAGTTTCGCGAGCCCGCAAATGGATTCGGCGGGAACTCCGAGTCTTTGAGTTCCTGAATCCTGACACTCAATCGGACTCCCAGGTAACTCGGCCAGGGCAACAAAGACTTGAGAGTCGGCGGGGGAATAATGCCGAGTTCCTCCTCGAGTATATAATTGCTATCCTCCGGACCGTCGATATCAAGGGAAGTGCTGGACAGGCTGAGGAACTCCTGCGGGACTTTCTTGGAAGGGAGAATGCTTCCTTGTTCCTACATGAACTTCAGGCTTGGCTGCGGAGTCCGTATACGTCTTTGGAGGACTGGGATCGCAATGTGCAATATGGGGATCCAGCCGCACAAGCCAGCCATTCGCAGCCCGCGGCGCCAGACAGGACATCAACTCCTGTATATAGAGCTGGTCGGGGACGTGGCAGGGTTGGGAAGCCGCATGACTCTCGAAGACGCCATCATTCACGAAGAGACCGCGATTCTCTAGCGAGAAGAATGCAATACGCGCGGGACCGTTGTAACCCGGACTGATTGAATGGCATGGCTTTATCGACTAAGCTGGAAACAAACATATCGATAGACCTTATAGGCAGACATAACATAGACTCCTCTATCGCTAAAAATGGTATCTACAATGCAACGCGACGAAATAATAAATCTCAAACAGACAAACAATAGTCGTAACTCATAGTCCTGTTCAAGTCGCTCACCTCCGCCGAAACCTTCCAAAATTCCTCCCCCCTCTCCCGCCTCTATTCCGAATTTTCAACGACCTGTAATTCGCATGAGCCTGCGGGTTCACCTTTCTCGTCGAGGGCTTCTTGTTCTCCTTCCCTTCGTCTCCCTCCCGTTCCTTCTTCTTTTTCTTCTCCTGTTCCTGTGCCTGTTTTGTCTTCTCTTGCTGGTTCCCAGGTCCAGATCGAGGAGTATCAGCCCCAATGGCCTCCTTCATCTTCTCCGAGAAGCTCTTCGCTCTGGCTAACGGTTTTCGCTCGGCGCCGTACTCAGGATCCGAGTCGGAGTCTGCGTCTGGTTCTGCTTCGGAGATGGAGTGGAGAGAGTCTTGGTCGTCGCCAACCAGGTCATGGGCGTTGTCGTTTCCGGAAGTATTTGTATTCGCATATGCTTGCGTCTCTGCAATCGCCTCCCATTCATCCTCGAATTCACTCTCTGCGCCTTCGTTGTCCTTGGTATTCGCGCTTAGGCTCGACAATGGAGCATGCTGAGGCTGCGACTGAGACTGCGAGTTTCGACTCGGCCGCGACCTCGGCGGCGCTGAGACAACCGGCTTCATTTTGACAAGTCTCGTCGTCCTCTTCTGACCCCTCTTCTTGTACGTCCGTCCCATCGCGTCAGGCGCCTGGCTATCCGCGACATCGACGTATGACTGCTCCTGCTCCTGCTCGATCTCGATCTCGCGGAGTATGTCCCATTCATCTTCCATTCGTTCCTCTTCCATGTCGCGCAATCCCTGTAGGAGCTGCGAGAGGCCCTTTCCGACGAATTGCGGTGGTTTGCGGACGGGAATCGGGCTTAGGCCGGTCATGCCTCCTACACCTTGGCTGGATGAGTAGAGGCCGGATGTGGAGCGGCGTAGGAAAGAGGGTGTTTCGAGGTTTGCGGTGTCGGAGTTTGTTTGTTGTGGTGGTACTTGTTGCGTAGGCTGGTTATCGTTTGCGCCTGTGAGATTCCCCAGTAGATTCCTCGAAGTAGACGGATCATCCTCAACCATAGCCGAGTACCGAAGCGTCGTAGGTGTCGCAAACAGCGCAGAGAGCATATACTTCTTCCCCGATGAAGCAGGTGTGCGTTCCACGCGATGCGACTCTTCCATTTCTCCCTCCTCGTCACCCTCCTCGCCTTCCTCCGCAATCGTATCCATCACCTTGCGTTTCTTCGACGGCGTCTGCGCTGCCATCCCATTTAGACTTGCTATCCGAGTAGCAGATGGAGTCGCAGTACTTCCGCCCGATTCTGAGAGGAGGTCGAAGAGTCCGAGAGCCTTGCCGTCTCGTTGCGGCGTCGGGCCGATGGCGGCTTTCAGCGGGGAGGATGATTGCATGTGTGTTGAGGGACTGAAGAGGCGGCGGAGTACAGAGGGCGAGTCATATGGGTCGACGGTCGAGGGATGTGCTGTTCGTGTTTTCGAGGGCGTTTGGAAGATTCCACCGGTGGATTTTCGTGGGGTTGATGTTGTTTGGGTATGCGTGTGCGCTTGGTCTGGCCCATGGGGAGAGGAGTGCTTCCGTTTTTTATGTCCATCTTGTGGCTCAGTTTGTTGTGAGTGCGAGTGCGATTGTCCCTTCTCTTTCTTGCTAGCAGTTGATTCTTCCGCCTTCAGTCGCGAGTATTCTTTGTATTTGGCGGCTATGGTTGGAAATAATCAGCTGGGTTCTCAATTCTCAACAACTTACCATATCTGAAAAAAGGAACATACCAATCTCAGGAACCTGCTTGATGTCATTCCGTCCAGCTTTCCGTCCTCCATTGGCAGCTGCAAATCCCCTCTCCCACTCCTTCAGCTCGGCGCGCAGAGCGGCCGCGTGGGCCGCAATCTCCGAGGCAGCAGCGCTAGGCATTATTGCATTTCGGACGGTTTGATATACAAAGCTGAGATGTATAAGTTATAAGGCCGTTTGGCAATATATTAGACGAATATGTAGACAAGGGTGCCCTTTGCTGGTGGTGGTGGTGGTGGTGGTGGTGGCAGCAGTGCCTGTCAACGGTTGTTGACCCGTCGCGTGCGCGAAATCAATTAACGCGGGTGGAGAGTGTGGGTGACGTAGCGTGTCGTCCCAAAGGGTCACCCCCTCGAATCAACTTCTATACTCTTTCTATTGGACAAATATTAAGCAGTACTACTAGCTCTACCGTGCGATGCAGTTGGGTATAGGATAAAAAAGGACAACACTTCCCCCCCTCCAATCTCATCCATCACCAACTCGTCAACCCCCTCGCCCGATCAAACCCACCCCTCAACTGCGACTCCGGATGCACCACCTTCCCCTGGAGCAGCGTATAATTAACAATCCCCTCACAATGCTCAGGCCTCACCCTTGCCAGCCAAATCATCTGCTGTTCCTTCTTGCGGTAAACCAGCACATTTGCTGAGAACTTGTGCCCGCCGACATGCGAGACGAAGAAGATGCCCACGCCGCCGGGCCGCTCGTCGTCTGCGTCGCGATACAGGCTCTTGGGCCGAAGATGCCGCTCGAGTTCGCGCTTTATCAAAGGTGCTGTGATGCCGCAGCGGGCGTCGCGACGCTTGTGCGAGCAGAGGAGGACGACGTAGTCGTATTCGCAGGGCCGTGGTTTTAAACTCGAGTTTGCGGGTGGTGTGAGAGTCTTTGATGCCGAGGGGTTTGAGAGAGGTGCATCGATGAAGTTGGTGATGAGGTCGGTTACGTCGCTGGTGTTTACGGAGTCGATGAAGGTAAACGATGGGAGGAGAAGGACGGTTGTCCCATTCCCTGTAGAGCCGTCCTCAGTCTGTGGTGATCGGAGATTTGATGCTGAGACCATCATGCGCTATGAACACAGTTAGGCATGCGTTCTTCCCACGGACTTCAACATTCATATGAAACACTTACTCCATGCTTCGACCCGGACGAATCATGAATCGCCTCCATCAAGCTCCCAGGCTCGTTCTCAACCTTCTCCTTCCAGTCTGATTTCCCCGTCGCAACGAGGACATGTGTGTGAAACTGTTTGATATGGCCGTAGAAGGGTAACGACGTTTCGATTTTAACTTTTGCCGGGAACTCTATTGTGCAATTTGCGCAATCCTTCTTGCAGTCTATGCCATCTTCTTTAGGGTCGACTGTGGGGAAAATGTAATCTTCGCGTTGTAGGCCGGTGATTGAAAGGAGGGATCGGAGCATTGTGCGCGCAATCTAGGCGTGGGGATGGTTATAATGCTTTGAGTATATACTGTAGTTTCAAGATATATACGAGTATTTTGACTTTACTGTTGAGGTTGCGGGCGAGAGAAGCTATATAGCTCATGACAACAGTTCGGGAATTGACAATTCCCCGAGAAATCCGAGGATTATCTCCGAAGTACCCTACACACTATTTGCAAGTTACACGCATGGGGCGACCTTAAGCTTGTTTCTGCCTAGCATTCCACGGAAGCTCGTCCAGGGGGTGTATTCGATATTTGCCTCATTGAAGTCTAGTATTCCTAATACAATGCAAACGTCCCTGCCTACGGAGCGGAGTAATTGTTCGTCCTGTTCTTCCGGTCACAAGGCCGAGATTTGGGAAAAGCTCTGTGTTCTCGAGTATCAACACCGCATGTTCACAAAATAATGACTCATTATGAGCTTAAGTTGTGTTGTTGATGTATATCTATCTAGTACGTAGGACGGTTGGTGCAGAGCTGGTCCGCACTAATAGTAGTGAGCGTGGCATTGGAGCAATGTACAGTTCTAGTTCTCCAATCTGAGCCATCTCGCGACTAAGACATGGAGACTCTCGGCTTTCCAAAACACCTTAAGCTTCGTCTGTTCCGGTGTTCTCATTAGACGACCGCCACGTGGAGAAAGCTACCATGAAACAGGGTAGGACCTTAACTCCGAACCTTGAAGTTACTCCAAGTAAATATGGATTCTTGTCTGACTTCTGGGGTCATGCAGCGCTTGCATCGATATACAATACTACCTATAACCGCAGATAGGCTATCGCTCACCTTGCCACCAATCTCGACATGAACAAGGCTGCACCATTTATAATGGCCTGACTGTACTCGGGAGTCCGGACCGGATGCGGGCGGAACTGCCAGTTACGGCTAAGAGGGCCGGCCCGTCCAACACACGTAAGCCGTGGTTTTATCTGCACTCAAGCCTCTCATCTGCTCAGGAGATTCCGAAATATGAGAGGGTAAGTACCAGAGGAGCGTTGAGATGGCCGACGTGCAACCCCCACCGCCGCAGCCGCATCGCGTCCGGAAGAGGCGGAGACGGACCATCGCCTGCTCGCAGTGCCGCAGCAGGAAACTGAAATGCGACCGCGAGTATCCGACATGTGGCCGGTGTCTGAAGGGGAAATCGCCCACCAAGTGCTCTTACGAAGATGGCTTTCTGTGGCAGCAACCGAGCACGGTGGAAGCTTCGTCTTTCCCCGACCGAGTGGTTTCCGCCCCCCGGACGCAGCCTACTATGCACTTGGTCGATCCGCCGGTCGCCCACCCGACCCCAGACTCGGGGATAAGCAAGTCGTCTCGGCCTCAACTGACGAATTCGATGCCGGCGGCATGCCCTGTGGAGGAGAAGCGCGATCGCTTTCTGGAGACTGTTCTAGGTGCCCCAAAGGCTGCTGTCAACCAGAAATTCATGAACAGCCCCGAAATCTTGCACCGTCACAGACACCACCCTGCCACACAGGCCGACTCGCGCACCAGCTCGGTGCAGGACGATGAGCCTCCGGTTTCTCCATCACAGCCGCTTGACCTCTCGCCTCGAATCATGATGAGGGGGAGAGATACAAAGACTCGCTTCAACGGGTCAGGCATCTTTGCGAGCCTCATTGCTCAGGTACTCTTGCCATACATTTATCGTTTTGGGCATCCATTAACTCGAGTAGTTTCCCGATCTCAGAACCTTTGCAGAGGAGATTCGACTTTCAAGTCCTCATCTATCTGCTCTTCGGCCTGACCTGATGAGGGTGTCGAGGGGTCTTTGGAAGATCAAACCGCTGAGCGAGCCTATCCCGGACACCGATACACTGTCCCTGCTTGCGTTGCTTCCGTCTCGGCCAGTCGTGGATGAACTGGTCGTTTTGTTCCTCACATATATCGAGTCCACACATAGGATACTCCACGTCCCGTCTTTCCTAAAGGAGCTTGATGAATTCTGGGCCCGTACAGCCAGTCCTGAGCTCATTTCCCCAACATTTGCTGTCCAGTTGCTCCTTGTCCTCGCCTGTGCATGGAACCTTGCAGACCTCGCTAGCCTCGAACTCAAGAATGGGTCGAGCTTGCGGTGTTATACTGCGTTGGATTGGACCCTGTTTGCTGAAAAGTGGATAGAGAACGCTCCCATTAAGCGTTCAGACATTACCGTTCTCCGTTTGCATATCTTGCTAATAATTGCCCAAAACAAGCATGGTATGAAGCGCAGCAAAGCCTGGCTTTCAAGCGCAACGCTGGTGAAAAAGGCCATGTTAGCTGGATATCATCGAGACCCTAGTTTGTACGCCAAGATCTCACCCTTCAACAGAGAAATGCGCAGGCGCATATGGACCACCATCGTGGAACTCGATCTCCAGGTCGCTAATGAGCGGGGAATGCCGCCTTGCGTGCAAGAATCCGATTATGACACGGCGCCGCCTCTTAATGTTAATGACTCTGATCTTCAAGAGGACATTGAAGAGCTGCCAGTGGAGCGACCGCTGGAGGAATTCACCGACTGCTCTTTCCAAGCAGTCCTTACCCCAAGCCTGTCATTGCGCTTAAAAGTCTGCAGGCTGATGCACTCTCCACGAATAAGATGTCGCTATGACGAGATTCTCCGCTTGGATTGGGAACTGAACCGGCATCTGTCGAAGATACCCAATTGGAAAGTCTCCGAACTCGGCAGCACCCAAACAGGTGACAAAGTGATCTTAACGCAAGCTATGCTGGAGAATAAGCTCGGACTTAGTCTTCTATCGATTCATACTCCATTTGCTATTGAGGCGTCACGAGATCCTTTGTTTGCTCCATCCGCCAGGGCGCGGCTGGAGCTGGTGACTATGATGCTCTCGACACAGAAACGACTGCATGAGAGGTCGAGATCTTTGTCTCTGTGCAATCTTGGTGATTGGACTGTACAGGCGTCTTGCTCAATATGCCAGCTTCTACATGAGGCAGCAGGTAACCGCGGTATGTTTCCACCTCTTTAACGCTTACTTGTGCTGATCTCTGTAGCCGTTAATTCCGTTACCCTGCTTCATAGTCTCCCAGGACTGCCCGAGTCATTAGTCTCCTTGGTAGAGGTCGCTTTGACCTGTCTTGAGGCCCGGCTTCTCCAGGTGATCAAAGGAGCAAAGGAATACTTTTTCATGTCCACCATTCTTGCACTTGTAAAGGCGAAATTATGGCCAACACAAGCAACCGCCTACAAGCAGGAGGTTGTAGAGCGCGTCATCCTATTTGCCCAAACACTGTTCTCTCAGCACGCCAACTGCTCTCACTTGGGAGAGCTAGGCATGGGTAACTTCAAATCCAATCAAGTTCGTGGAGCTATAACACTGTCTTTTCTATTGCTAACTCGCTTCAGATTCTGGGTTTGAATAGCCTTCAACCCGTGCCGCCGCAATATGTCCCTGAACTCAATGTTCCTCTGCCAGATGATCTCGGCCTCATGGTAAGTCAGTCCAGCAATTTCCGAATATCTATTGTTAATACTATAACAGGCTTCTGGCGATTTAGATCCCTTCTTAGAAGCATTTGACTGGGATGAATTAGCGGGTTTTACCTTTGAATGACTGCCCAGCACTCAACTATAAATAATACCACCTCTCCATTTCAAATACTGTCATGTCATCCCAAGCCTATAGGATGGTTGGCCATCTGATAGGTGCGGGCTGTCCCAAAACCCCGGCTATTGCGTCGGAGTTCCGGGTTCGCACTTGGGATATTGACAACGCAGAATAGCCGGGGTATTCTTGGACTTTGAAACATTGTCTCAAAACTGAGCTCTTCATTGACTGTGGTCACATTGCTAGTCAAGGAGGCAATCTCCCTCGGCGCCACCGAAGTCATCACGAGCAATAGCCTTGTGCGGGCATAAAATCATAGAACACGCATCCCGGTGCTGCGAGCCCTGATCGAAAACCTATATACTCCACGAGGGGCCTCGTGCAGATCATATCGATCATCTTTCTTATCGCTTGAGATATTCCTCGCATTCCAAACTCGTTTATATCAACAACCGCAATGTACAAGTTTCTCCCCTTCACGCTTCTGGCGTATGGCGCCGCTGCAGCCCAAGAAAGCCCTACTATCATTGAGACGACAATCGCCGACAACTTCCCAACCGACTCCGCCATCTCGTCGACCATCATCGCCGACCCTAGCTCCGCATTCCTGCCCGAGCCCTCGACCGAATCTACCATCATCGCTGATCCAAGCTCGGCCTTTGATCCCGAAACCCCTACTGGATCTGACACCTGGGGCGACCCGACTCTCACCCCCTGTCCGTCCGACCCTTCTACCAACATCCAGCATTGTTCACCCCAGTTTCCCGCCCTGGCACACCCCTCACCCAACCCCAATTGGCGGCTGGACTACATCAACTAGTATTGCGGATCCGACTCCCGGGTCTTCAGGCGCTCCCGGCGCTCCCGGCGCTCCCGAATTCAATGGTCCTCGCACTACTTCGACTACGATCGCTGATCCTGGGTTCACCGGTGCTCCTTCTGCTCTCAATGCGCCTCTGTATGCCGTTTCAGGTGTTTTGGCCAGTGAGGTTATGATTTAGCTGTGACTAGCTGCTAGACTTTTGTATAAGGGCTCGACGGGATGGGCATAATAGCGGAGGTGTACTTACCAGGTATATATAACATGCTTATTGTTCTCAAGTGGAAGTCTACATCTTGTGTTTAAGAAGGCCAATATTCTCATTATTACTAAATTTTGGTCATATTGATACATGACACAGCTACTGAATGTGCTACTGATAATTATAGAGGCTGTCTCAGGCCCAAGCCCCTGGCTCGCAAGGTATGGCCCTCGTTGAATATAGCCGGTCATCAGGCCCCCCGCAACCCTACTGTAGCCGCCTATGCAGTCAGTGGCAGGGGCGTATTTCATCGTCCTGGCTTGGCCAGTCGATTGGGTATCCCGAACTATATTTTAGCCTTGCGAACTTGCGAGCTGTTTCAGCGAGATGTATTATGAGTTGGTCACGTCGTGGGAGGTATATTCAACACAGTTGCTACATACTTAACAAACCTTGGACAATATTCTTTACGTTCACTCATTCAACTTCGTCTTCGAATCAGCAAAGACGGGCGCCAACTCTAGCCAAGATGTTTAAACTCCTTGCCCTCTCCATCCTGGTCCTATCCGATCGGGACACCCACTACGATGTTGTCGTCGTCGGGTTCAATGGTCCATCCTACGGGGAGCTCTACGAGTCATACTATGTCGACCGCGAGTACGACTACAGTTGAAGATCCGGCGTTCACGGGACCTGCGGCTGTGTTGCGAATGGATGTTCCGATGCCGTTTTATGTTCTGCTGGGGTTTGGGTTGGCGCTTCGATTAATTGAGGAATCTTGTCCTAGGTAACAATTCATGTCAGAGGTGCCTACCTGCTTTTCTTTGCGTGTACCTAATAATCCAATTTGCTCTGCTGTTTTGCTGGGTATGGGTTTGCAACTTCTTTATACTACTAGAGTTGTAGTTAAAGCATATATAATTCACCTCGATCAGCACAAAACTGTTTGTTTTCAACTTTCCCCAAGCAAGTAGGAAAGAGCCATTGAGTTTGATACTAGATTAAGGTTTTGATCAACTTAATACTTGGCCCATAGATATTTCCAAGTTTTGAAAACAATGTTGACCTTGTGATGCCAGTTTTATGTCATGATCACCGAACCCGATCGGCGGACCTCCTATCGATAGCTGGGATCTGGACCTCTCCCGACCCAAGCCCAATTGCTTTCCTTCTCCTCTCCAGCCATTGCGGCCTCTCTCTTATCTCCACTTTGTTTATCGCGTCATGTTCACAATTCGCCGTTCGGTTACACAACATGCCCTGACTTGTCTGCGTGGCTGGTATGATCGCCCTGCCAACCTGTTATGCGATGCGAAGCTGATCTAATTGTTACTCACAGGGCTAGGAGCTGCAAGCAAATTCCAATGGTGAGATCACCTACCGATCCTTGATATATCGAACCCTTCCTCCCATCAAGCTACCGTCTCCTCCTCTCGACTGCGAAACACAGACCGCATTTCTGCATCTCTGCACCAATGGTGCACATCACCTTGCTGGGGCTGGTCCTCTGGCTATACCTCGCAGCAGCAACATCACTCGATTCGGACATTTTCTCAGATACAAGCGACTACCCGCTAGCAAACCCCGGTAATGTCGCCGCGCACGACCCAAATATCCTCGAGCACAACAACTACTTCTACCTCTTTAAAGGCGGCATCCGAGTCCCCGTGTTCCGCTCCGCAAAGCTCGACGGACCATGGGAGAAACTCGGCACAGTCCTCGAAGACCAAAGCGTCGTCCAGAAGCAGAACCGCAAACGACCATGGGCTCCCATGGTCACGTTCTGGAAAGACCGGTTCTACTGCTTTTACTCGATCAGCCAGGCGGGGAAGCGGGATAGTACAATTGGCCTGGCTTCGTCCGACTCGATTGAACCGGGTAATTGGACAGACCACGGGGCGTTGATCAATACGGGAACCCAGGAAAGGTCGGAAGTGTACCCGTTCAATGTGACAAATGCGATTGATCCGGCGTTTTTTGTGGATCCGGATAGTGGGAGGCCGTTTCTGCAGTATGGGAGTTATTGGGAAGGGATCTTTCAGGTTCCATTGACGGATGAGCTGCGTGTTGAGAACTCGTCGAGCCCAGATGCGGACCACCTTGTTTATCTTCCGGATGAGAAACGCAAGCCTAATGAGGGGTCTTATATGAGCTATCGCTCGCCTTACTATTATGCTTGGTTTAGCCATGGGCAGTGTTGTCAGTTCGAACAGCAGGGGTTCCCAACGAAAGGGAATGAGTATGTTTTCAGTGTTTCTCAGCTCTATTAGGCTTCTGGCTAACTGAGTGCAGATATAGCATCCGTGTGGGAAGGGCGACAAACGTTCACGGCCCGTTTATGGACCGGGACAATACAAGCCTACTCGACGGAGGTGGATCTGTTATCTATGGATCGAACCACAAGAAAGTGTATGCTCCTGGTGGACTTGGTATCCTTCCTGGTACCGGGGACCGGCCTGATGTCCTCTACTACCACTACCGTGCGTGCCGTGTTCGACCAAATTCAAACCCGAGTGCTGACGTTTATAGACAACACCAACATTGGCTTCAAGCAGGGGGTAAGTGATACTGCCTAACCTTCACTACATCTGCTAATAATCCTCTAGGACGCACAACTAGGCTGGAATTATCTTGACTACGTGGATGGATGGCCAGTACCTAGGTATGCTCTTCCTCTGTACTAGCAAACCGGCGCTAACAATCTCCAGAGCCCCCGAGAGCCACGGCACGAATATCAAACCCGCTTCCCACCTCAAACTATTCGCAATGCTGTGTATGTGCTGCCTGGTTGCCACACTTATCTACAAAGGAGTGATTGGTCGCAAAACGACAATACCCCTTGTTTTCCTGCTCGCTTTAGCATTCCTCTGGATTCAAACTCAGCATTTATACTCGTCGTTTGAGCGCTGGCGCTTCTAACCTCGAACACACAGGTCTGGTACTTTCCTTCCTTGTACACCTTTAACGATATATCTTGTTTAATCTTCGGAGAGTCTGCGTCGGAATTTGTTGGATTGGACATGATAGCTACATATAGACAGATTATAGACATAGAGATCTATTCACTTCATCAATTCTGTTGGCAACAGCTATGCCACGCTAATGGAGCAACAGTTAATCAACAGCTCAGATCCTCGCCCCCTTCGCTGCCTCATTCGCCCTCTTCCACATTCTTATCCTCCGCTCATGTCCCGCCGAAAAGTCATCCACCCACTTCTGCTCGAACGCCGGCAATCGCCTTCCAACACCATCCTCACTAGGTTCCCCAGCCAACGCACGCAATTGCTCAAAGTACTCCTCGAAATCCGGATTCACCATAAGGAACCCAGCACCATCGCCCTTTACCGCAATCCGCTCGGCTTCCCACTTTCGTCGCTCCTCCAGCGGAGGCAGGGAGGCCTTTCCGGCAAGGACCCGCGCCGCAGCGACGGCCTGCCATTCGAAGACTTTAAACGTCAACCCTGCTCCAACGGCGCCTAGAAAGACCAATCCCGGATCCGATTCGTGGAACACATGCAGATATAGTCCGGGGACACGATTGTTCCGGATCTCGATGTTTGGCAAGAACGGGAGAGTCCAGGAGAATCCCGTTCCGAAGATCAAGTGGTCGACGTCGAAGATGGACGTTCCGTCTTCGAGGTGCACTGTGCATATCCCAGTCTCGATGCTGCTCTCAATTCGGGATATTGGGGGCCGTCTCTCGATGGATGGGTGTGCGAATGCGTGGTCGCCGAAGTAGACGTTGTATTTGCCGCGGACGATAGCGTAAATCGGGGACTGTGCGGTGTTGATCAGTGAGACGGCGGTGTCGGCTGCTGAGACGGAGGCGCCGATTGTGACGACTTTCTGTCCTTTTATCAGTATCAATGCTCATGATGGTGTGTGGAGAGGTTCGAAGTTATCAGGATGGCCTACCTTGCCCTTATATTTCGCCGGCCCCCGATACTGCTTCGCATGCTCAACACGCCCGGGGAACATCTCCGCAAACTCCTTCAACCCCGGGATCGCTGGAACATACGGAACATGATACTTCCCCGACGCCACAACGAGCGCATCAAAGCTCTCCGTCCACCAATAATCCCTCCCCGCCTCGCGGTCAGCTCGCCTCAACGTCAAAACCCAGCTGTCTGTCTCCTCATCCTTAACCGCCCGCTCAACAGTCGTCTCATATTCCACGAGACCCTGGTACCCGTTCCGATTCAGCAGATCCTCAATATACCCGCATATCACCTCGTGGTGTCGAAAGGGCGTGTCTGGTCCATGCAGGTTCACCGACCACTCTGAGCGTTTGGTTGGGATTGGTTCGGCTGAGTACTCCATCACGGAGGCGTCGACGTTCGTATGTAGCCCCGGGTAGATGTGCGAGTCTGTATACCTATGCGCTGTGATTGGGCGCGTGTAGGCGGGGAGTTTGGAAGGAATTTCGATTGGGACATCTGCTGTTCGCGACGACAGGGCGTCGACGTCGAGAGGGGTGGCCTTTTCCGTTGGGCGCGAGACCCTGTTTGTGCTTGTTAGACAGGAATGGTCCTCAATATGGATCTGAGATGTAGACGTACCAATTCCCGCCAGCCCTTTCCTGCCTCTCGAACACGCGCACCACATCAAAGGCGCCCTCTTGCACCAGCGCATCGACCGCAATGGCACCTGAGGGTCCGGCGCCGATGACTGCGACGCGCTTCGCTGGTAGTGGCATCCTCACTTTTTCTCTGTCTCGCAATCTAATCTAGAATCTGTAGAGTCTACAAGCCTGGACTATACCTTGCGACAACAATAGTTAATAAATCAGACAGCTCTCAACCCTGAAAGAAAGCTTAAAACTGGGGAGCTTTCTTCAAATATAAAAGCACAGACAACCCGGTCCTTATCTCAATTTTCTTGAGCCCAGGACGCCTGATTGGCCGGTGTTACACTTATTTTACCGCTAACGGGTATTCTCAATCCAGGGCGCAAATCACATCATTTTGGGGTGTATTTTTGGTTTCGCGGGGTGCGGTGGTGAGGGGTTCATGGTGTTTGGCGCGTTATCGTGAGCGGCTCGAGGAGAGTTTGCGGGGAAAGCCGGGGGGATTTCTGTCATTTTCGATAGGTTGAGTGCACTCACCAGCTTGCCCTCGAAGCTTTATCCCAATTGCTGTTCCTTTGGGGAAAGAATAAGCTTGTTTATAGATCAGGGGCTGAAACCCAAATACAAAGGTAATTTATCTTATCGGCCGATAAGATATGCATAACGTCCATACCGTATATAAGCATCTTATGCAGAAACTTATGCGGACACCCCCGCCACGTCCTTCCTCGCGCTTCTTGAAGTGCACATCCAACCACGCCACCTGTGCTCTATCTCAGTCAACATATAGTAACTGTGGCTGGCCCCAGAAAACCCTCATTTCCACGTCCGTGTCAGGTACAGGGCTGACGCGGCCGGCCCGTCTTTCTTCCTCTCTGACACAGAGGTCCAGACCTGAAACTCGCCCGCCCGTGTTTCGAATACTCCGAGGCCCTGGAGGAGTCTCACTGTCTCACGGTGGCCGGGTTTGAATCCTCCCTGTTTGCGGGCCGGACTCCGGAGATCCTTCGGGTCGACATGAACTGACTTGGGGATGGATGGAGCTAAAGGACAGAGGTTTCGTGTGACACATTTTATCCACCATGCATTGAGCCCAGTCCACGCAAGCTGCACGATCGAACAGCAAGTGCACGAAGTTGAGTCCGAGGTACACAGGTACATACCGACACCAACCGGCATTTCCCTGCATAAGCTCGAAAGTGGATGCTTGAGAGTTGAGACAATTGGCAGGTTCAAGTCTCGTCTATGATTCTCCTCTACATGTCGTCATGCCTTCGCCGCCTCTCTGTTGTTGTAGAAGTCCTACGGCGCAGGGTAACTGGGGCCGGAGGCTGTCTCTGCTACACAGTACGTAACGACTTTCCTGGGCAACAGTACATGCCGACAACATCGGTATTTGGTCTTGACTCATAGTTCTGAGAAGGTGGAGACTGAGGTGATACGAAATATGTACGATCGTTGGACACGATGCGCCACTACCAAGCCGAAAGGCTTGTTGTTCTGGGCTTTGCGTTCCCCAGGCTTTTCTATCAGGTCAGCTGGGTGGTAGTTGTCTTCGGAGGGTTTGAAGGGTTGGGATGGGTTGTACTCCATGGTGGTGGTTGAACATGGAGGTGTGTATGAATTGCACATCTATGCAATTGCTTCAAGGAGCTTAGGTAGGTCTATACTAGAAAGTAGACACATTGATAGAGAACTAAATATACGTAGATAGAAAAAGCAGAAAAAGAAAGAATCAACATTAATGACTCAGGATTTCTCCCATAGTCACAGTCGAATCCGCTAACCAATTGGGCTGGGATAATGTGTTGAGCAAGCGCAAAATTTTGCGTCTACGATTTCGGAATCAAGGGAACCTCTGGCTCATCTGGGCACGTTCCTGTGTCCTGGACTCTCAAGGCTGGTTGCACCTGTGAATCTTCGCCATCCGCGGATCTTATCTTCTTCTGGGCATGGCACCGAGAACACTGCGCTGCGATCACGAAATCAACACAACTAAAGACATCGCTGCTGGATCTATCGCCCAATTTTCTAGAGACGAGTGAACAGGGCACGCCAGCAGATAGGGTTGTCGTCACACTTGATGCTGTCTTGAAGGTGGTATACCCCAGACAGGCTGCAGTCCTGTGCAGTGCCAGTCGACCGTGGTTCTCAGATCTGCGCTCCAGTTCCTGATCAGCAGTTTCACCTTCGCTACCAAATCTCCAAGAAAATCAAAGAACTGGTCTCGCAACCTGGACTTGCCCAAGCATCGCCGGAATAGGCATTCCCGTCCTCAACCAAACTTGGCCTCAACCTGGCCCTCCAAGCTTCAGCATGATTCGTCTCGGTCGCGTCGCCTTATTTTCGGGCAATGAGGAAGATGATGATATCGCTGGGAACCGGGGTCCCCGACAACCGGCGTCTGACCCTGGTGTTTCAAGTGCCTACGGACAAATCAGGTCAGCCCGGCTGCGCCTGTGCAAAAGCGGCCGATCGCGGCCTGTACCTTGACCTGGCATGTCGAATTAAACGTGGCACACAGACTTTTGCGTCTGAGGACAAGCACTTTAGCGCGGGATTCGTCATGCTACGAAGATCTTTCCCCACAGAGACACGGGAGGATGGCATGGATGGATAAGGATGGCCTTCTCGAACGACCATGGCCGCACGATGCACCTTTGCGCGTGTGATTTGTTGCTTCAACTCTGGCCTTGCTTACCGAAATCTTGGGCGATTGAGTCGATATCCTGATCTCTTCGCTGCGCCCGAGCTATCACTATTTGTTGCAACTTTTGCCGCAGGGGCCGCGTATGTCAGTGCGGGTATACAGCTGTACGACCCTACGAGGCAATCTAATCAATCAATATCATGGGTCGGCTCAGCAGATGATGATCAGCCTCTTCAGGCCCTATAACGGTCGAGGATGGCACTGCACCACGGGTGATATTCGGCGAGGAACGCTTCACAGTTACACTTTGCACTCGGCTGCTCGATGCTGAGCGATTTAGTCATGGGAACCACGGTTCTCCAACCACATGGCATCCGTACCTGATGAAAACCGAATGGCGAGACTCGGCCATTCCAAGTATCCAAGTCCTTGTCGGAGCTGCCGACCGATGAGCACCTGCCACCAGCACGCCATCTCGTCATCTCGTGTTAGGGCATGGCGGCATATCCGAGGGCGAGGGCGCAAGACGGGTCGCAGCCTCGCCGGAGCTAATTTATGGTTTCAGAATGCAGTCCAACCTTATGCTTATTCCGCTGGGAAAGTGGGTAACAAGCTATGCCGAATCTTGGCCCTGTTTCCGTTCCTTGCGCTAGTCCCTGATTCCAGAATCCATCGGCCCTGGGTCGTGGTATAAAGGCAGCTTGCCTCCTCACGGCTTGTGTTGATTCAACCACCCACAGTCACTATCTCAATCAACTTGACAGAATCTGGTATTCTCGTCCAACCACTCTCTTACGATATCCTCTTCTTCAACAACATTCTTTCACTTTTACATCCATATTCAATATGAAGTACTCCTACACCTTCGCTTCCCTCAGCATGCTGGGCTGTGCCCTCGCCCTGCCTGCCCCTCAGTTCCCCGGTTTCCCAGGCTTCGGCGGTGGCGATGACGAAGGCAGTGTCCCTACCGGCCTCCCCACCCCGACTGGCGACTTCCCCTTCCCGACCTCGGGCTTCCCAACCGGCCTTCCGACTGGCCTCCCTACGGGCTTCCCTACGGGCCTCCCAATTCCCTCCGGTTTCCCTGGATTCCCCGGCTTCCCAGGCGGAGGCGAGGAAGGCGAATCCGGAGAAGGCAGCGAACTCCCTACGCCCACCTCCACCACCGAGAAGCGCCAATTTCCCGGCCTCGGCGGCAGCGACAGCACCGGAACCGAGAGTGGAAGCGGCCTAGGCGACCTCTTCCCCTCTGGCTTCCCCGACCTCAGCGACATCTTCCCCTCGGGATTCCCCGACCTCGGCGATCTGTTCCCCGGCTTCGGTGGTGGCGATGAGGGTGAGGGTGACTCCGCCATCCCAACACCTACCAGTGGCTTCGGCGGCTTCCCCGGCGGCGGTAGCTTCCCTACCCCCACCGGCGAGCCCTTCCCCTCGGGCTTCCCTGACTCTGGAGCCCCTGGACCCAGCGGCTTCCCGTCTCAGACTGCCGTTCCTTTCCAGGGTTAAGCTTTTCAAAGGTTATTGAACTTGGCGGGTAGGCCTGTTCTGGTTTGTGATGGACAAATGTAATGGGCGAGTGAGAAGCGGTATGGATGGTACAACGCTGCCGGACGGTCGTTGGATGCGGTTATGCATGTATGGATCAATTGTCTTGGGGAGTTGATGTGGGATGCGGGTTGGTCATGTACAACATCTGCAATGTTAGATAGCACGCGTCTAGCTTGAATACATGGTCGACTTTTGTACAGGAAAGTTCCCAGTAGGCTTGTGGTATACCTGCCCTAATTCCTAAGTACAATCAGCCTATATGTAAACAGAATGTACTCCTTACTGAATACATACTCCCTACAAAGCCTCCCCCCCACTCTTATTATTCTTACCCAATCTCCCCAACCAACTCCCCGCGGTATACCTCCGAACCCTCTTCCCGCAAACCCAAAACGCCGCAAGCAACGAATTATTCGCAACGGCAACCGCACAAAAAACCCCGGCAATAACAACCGCATACCCCCTCCCCGTTATCCAATCCAGCAAAAAGCTCCCCATCCCAAAACTAACCGCCTGCTTCCCCAGGTTCATCGCAATGAGCATCTCGCTCGTCCCCACATAGTAACTGTCGACCGCATACGCCAACGTAAACGTGAAGAAGAAGTAGCTTCCGAATTGAACCATTGCAACACCCGCGAAGAAGCCTGTCCAGTGTAAACTGTGTTCAGCGGTTAGCCCGTAGACGATTAGGCCGGCGGGTGCCAGGAGCGCGCCGGGGAGGAGGGCGGGCAGGCGCATTTCGGCTTCGCGGACGTGGTTGTTTCGTCGTGTCAGGTGGGCGGCGAGCCGGTCGGATGTGGAAGTAAAGGGGAGGGCGAGGGTGAAGCCGAGGATTGTGGCGAGGGCGATTAGGCCCGAGGAGGTTTGTGGCCAGTTGTAGGGTGGTGCTGTGATGAGGAGGGGGAAGGTGTAGTTGAATGTTAGGGCGCCGAGGCCGATGTAGATTCCTGTTTTTGATTTGTTAGCTAGGAAGAGCTATAGAGAAGAGAGTTGAAGCTGGGTAGTAGACCGAAACTGGTTATAACCCAGAAAACAGCGGGGACGAGAAAATATGCGAAGGAGCGCAGAATTGTAGCGAAGAATTCGGCTTCATGGTCGATTGGGGCCCACGGTTTTAGGGTTTCGCAAAAGGACTTTCGGCGAGGAATCGTCGGGTCTGGGAGGGATTCGACCTGCGTGGCTTCGGTCTGCTTCTCGCCTTCTTCCTCAGACACTTGCGCTTCTGTAGGCTCGGTCTCGACATCTGGCCGGTGATATCTCGACTCCTCGGCTAGGAAGAACGCAGCTACGAATAGGGCTCCGGAGAAGGCTGCCACGACGTAGAAGAAGAGGCGCCACGAGTAACCGCCGGCGAGCATGTAGCCTGCATATAGAGGGCCCGTTGAGCCAAGGCAGAGGCACACTACGCTTGTTAGGGTGGTGTTTAGTGGATCTAGAGAGAGAGAGGTACCTGTATAGTATCCAATGCGCTTTCCTCGTTCATGGAGGTAGAAGATATCATTGACGAGCTGCACTGGTAGAGACTCGCACACGCCACTGCCGAAGCCATGAAAGACGCGGGCAGCCATGAGGCCAGTGTAGCTTGTTGCCCTGGAGGCGCCGATGAGGCCGGCAACGAACTTTACAGTGTCAGTAGCAATAGTAACCTGGGAGGGGGAGAGGTACAATCGCCATGGATAAGAGTGTAACAAAGCGCCGGCCGAACTTGAGGTACATTGGGACGAGGATCAATGAGCCTATTTAAATTGTCAGCACATCTAAAATATCATTTTAATAAGAGAAGAAGCGTACCAAATCCAAATGCAAGATTCGGATACGAAATCAACCCCGACGCATCAGCATGCGAGATCCCAAACTCCTCACTGTAGATACTGATGTATACTGAAGGTCCAACGAGCGCACAGTTTCCGAGAAACGAGTAGACAGAGACGATGACTAGAATGGCGTTCTTCTTCCATGCTGGCCACTTCACAAACAGCCTGATCAACGTTTATAGTAAGCAAGAAGGATGAGACGACATACGTTAAGAGGATCGTTAGGATCATCCGTCGGAACAGGATACAGTGCCTGGCCGTAGCTGGCACCCGTATCTTCGCCTTCAATGACTGAGAGATCGACGGTACCGGGGATATCCCCTTCTCGTACACGAGCCGGCGCAGGCATTGCAAAGGAAGTAATGTAGCTGTGAAACTGAAGTGAGAGATTGTATCCCACGTAGATCGACAGCGCACCTATTTCCATACTTAAGTACCAGGGTAGCCCCGGACGACGACTTGCGGGGCCATTGTGGGACAGCTGTCATTCTATGGATAGAGATCAAAGCTTCTGACCAGAAATCCGGGGTCGAATGTGGAGGCGGGTCAATTTGCGGGGACTTTTGGGGTAATTCTATGAGCTAAGCTCGATCGATAGCTTCTCAAGGTTCAGCCCCACAAGAACCACTGGTACCAGGTTAGAAAAGTGAGGATGGAAAGGATCTGGGTAGCTTAGGGTTTCCTTTGCTAGCCTATGCGTCGTACTAGTACCTGTAATGTCAGCATTGCAAGTGCCTCAGATGCCTGAAAATAGAGCCACCGATGGGCTGAGGTGTATTCCTGACCTACTGCTTGATTAGCTCTATCCCACATTTGAAATCAAATATTGGCTTGAGATCTATAGCTAGCTAGTGCAACCTTCCCACAGCAATTTACTACTTAACCCTCGAAATTGGTTTTACTACACGCGGACGGGTGCTACATGCCTTATTTGACATTGTTGGGTTGACAGTGATACAGGAAGCAGGCGCGGCTTTAACCGATATTATCCGGCTCCTGACATTCACAGACCTTGGGCTAACACATACCTGCTGCCGATTTGATTCTGAGATATCCAGCCTGATGATGTTTGATGAGGACGATATTGCGGAAATCCAGGATGAAGAGAAACTTCTTCTCGATGAATTCGACGACTTGACTGCAGAGTTTGAGAGTGACTATATCACTTCAGGCCTTCCCTTGTTGAACTATATAGAGACATCATGGTGTGCTCAGAAGAGAAAATACCTAGTGGAGCAGGGAGAAGATGTCCGTGATGATGCGCTATGCATCATTTTGGACAAGACTACATGGGAGGCTGCTGCATAGCAGTATGCCTAGCACGTGGGGGAACATCATACCACAATCTCATCGTCTCTCATCAATCTCATCATTATCAATCGGCCTACAGATGGTAGTAGTGACCATCATGTATTTCCATCTACTACCTTGATTGCGCTGGTTGCTACGCTGGCCTACATCTCTGTCCGGCAATTCATCATCCGCCGTCAATTTCCTTTCACCATGGCTGCCAACCAGTAGCGCGATCCTCCAACAAGGATCCCCTCTTGGGCCTAGACACAAACCCGGGGACTATCCGTGCTTCCGTCAACACAAAATCCTCGAAAGGATTAGCGAGCTCTTTTGTGTCCACGGCGCCACAGTAAAGGAGCTGCAGCGAAGCGGAATAGTAGCCCTCGAGCCAGAAAACATCAAAACCATCCTATCCTTGGCCACCCAACATTTCAATTCAATAACCGGATTTGTTCAGCGAGCTTAGTGGCCGCTCAGTTCGATATTGTCGCATAAGTGGCGACCACACCTGTAGTTACCTGGACGCCTTGATTCAGCATTGGTTTCTTGCCCATTGCCAGAAGGTGATGATTATGCACATTTCCGTGCTCTTCTAAGCTGGACTTGGAATAAGATGGTTTAGAGTAGCGGATAGTCTTTAAGTTGACATGGCGAACATGCCTCTGAAATTCATGGGTGTGGTTTTGTTTGGCACTCCCGGCGGCTCAGTTAGGGCTAATTCAGGAGAGGGCCAGAAGTAGTCGTACTCACTGCGCAATTCGCTTTTTATCCCTCTTCTTTGCGAGACAAAAGAGCAAAGAACTAGGGGGAAAAAAAGAAGAAGAAGAAGAAGAAGAAGAAGAAGAAGAAGAAGAAGAAGAAGAAGAAGAAGAAGAAGAAGAAGAAGAAGAAGAAGAAGAAGAAGAAGAAGAAGAAGAAGAAGAAGAAGAAGAAGAAGAAGAAGAAGAAGAAGAAGAAGAAGAAACAGCATAATATAGTAATATCTAGGGGCTTAGAGTAATAAGAAGTGATTAGTCTCACAGAGCTAAATAGAAGTAAAATATAGATTCAGCGATCTCGAATCTGGATAATATCCGCTCAATATACATCTCTACCTTTTCCTTCAGCTCCATAGAGATAACCTGTGCAATGAGAGTAATCCAAATGGCGCTCTGAGCAAGAGGAAATATGCAGGTGCATGGGCAAGCACTGGTCTTACCTTCTTACCGCACTAAATCCACCATCAAACTAGCAGAATACAGATGGCGACCGCAAGAACGACGCCAATCATGGATGCTACCTCTGCGCCGCGCCAACGTCATACCGTTGTTGACCCCGCCAGCTGGGGTGGCAGGGGAGCCGCGAGGTAGGCAGGAACCACGATTCGTCATTGCTTGCTTGTATAAGACCGTCGTCGAAATGACAGAATCTCTGTTTGAAGATGATATGCTGGCTCGTAGGTGTAGTCGTCGGAATGAGTGTCGTGCCCAGCATAGTATTGCAGAAGGCTCTTGATTGTAGGTACTCCTGTAGCCAATCCATTGGAAAACGGAGAAGCAGCATTTGTCTCATGCCAGTCTGTTATTTAGCCAAGGCTTCCCATGCTGGTTCTCCGGACTATGACACCCGGAACTAAAGGGCTCTTCGGGGTAGAGACTTCCCATGACAGCCGGCATGATGTTGCTTGATGTCACATGGGGTGAATTTAGTGTGAGTAGTCTTTCTAGTATGTCCTATTGGCAAGCCTGCAGTTTAAGACCACATGCATAGGTGGCATAAAGCCAGCTTGTGGGAATCGTATAGGATTCCGTCTCATAGCCAAAGATATCCCTCGTCTGACAAGATGATATCAAGCCCTATGCACATGTGCATCGCACCCCAGGATATGCAGTGTCAAGCGTGCTCCTCCGACACGGCCTGGTCCAACACGAAGCCGGCATTCCTGCACCATCACATTTGACGAACGAGTGCGTTCAGTATCGTTGGGGGCGACGACCGCCTACGTGACAAAGCAACACCCTGGTCAAGAATGTTTGATTCCCAGAAAGGGCGCAGCACATCGTGAGCGCCTTGCTCTGGGCACGAAATCTAACTGTTCCAGATTCTAGGGCCCGGGAGCCTCGAGTACTGTCTTCTAAGGCTTTGTGGTAAGGCCCAAGAGACAAGCAAGACAAGCAAAGTTGCCCCATGTTTCAGGTCCGAGACACCCTTTGCCTAGAATCCTTAGACGCCCTAATACTGAGTCTCACGGCGTATATGTACTACCAGGACCACGGCTATCACGCCTTAACCGCTACCATGGCCACTTTCTTCTTCGGCTCGAATGTTATAGTTCTGACGAGTATCTAGCTGTGTTTTTATAAAAGTGATGGTGTACTTTGAGAACGTGATGAGACATGAGGCAGCCTGCAAACGAAGATGGTAAAGGTAGCCAACTTAATCCAGCAGCTTGAGTTTCACAGTAGTGCAAGACTCCGCGCCAGAGGAGCGACTTGGACCCGGAATATAGAGTTTCAAGCATATTCTAGATCCCTGGATCTGCCCCTTGACGGATAAATTGTCCACCTCTAACTCGACTCGTTTGCGGACGGTTAGGGCATAGAAAGAAGTAGACGTTGTTCATGAAAAGAAGGCGGCTTGGCCTGATCAAGATAGTTAGACTAGCTAGACTAGAGTAGTTGCCCACGTAACAGTCATAGTAGCACCAGCGTGGCCAAAACACATGTCTAGTCGTTGTAATCTGGCAGCCCAAGGCTCAGAATAGCTAGATGCGCTGGTGTAACGAAGGCAACCGGAGCATGTATTGCGCGATTTGGCCAAGTACTCTGTGTTTCACCAATGATAATCTCCCTGTCGGTATAAGAGAGCTACTGACGTGGAGGGACACTAGAATCAAAGCTTGTTTTATATGTTGTGCTCGGGGTCCGAAAGGTAACTACCTGCATCATATGCCGTCTGAGGATTTCATCTGCCATTCCGCGGCGTCTCTCTCATTTGTAGGCCGACACTGCCCCCTTCAACGTTCCTCGAACATTGAATCTAAGGTCGTATTGACAGCGCTGTGGCAGAGGGTCGGCCCTGCGCCGACGGTGTAAGTGTATGGCCCTTTCTCGGAGGTGTCCCCGAACCGCACCAGGGATACCTCGACCTTTTTGGCCTTCGTGGGAGTTCATCAGCCCGAAGTTGTCGAAGAACCCGGAGTTGAGGTGGAGGGCGCTCAGGAAGTTGGTGTCCACCAACACCTGCGTCAGGACGTTGGTGAGGTCCACGACGTCGGCGGTGACGGTGGGCAGTGCCTGCATAAGCTGCGGGTTGCCGGTGAAGAAGGCGCCGTGGCGGCGTTGGAGTGGGTGGTCTGGGCGGGGTTGGACTTGTTACATTTCCCAGGCGCACCAGTATACTATATCGTCGCCTGCGTTCAAGGAACTCTGCTACCAGATATGCGGTTCCGGAAGGGTTAAGACAATAGAGTACTTGCGCGTGCTCCCGTATCCATACAAAAAGTTTCTATATCAGGGTACCGCAGAGCTCCAGTGCCTTGTGAGTGAGATCGAGTGAGGTCCAGAGTGCCAACTACCATTAGAACCACGCCCTTTTGACCGAACGTTGCGGCTTCGTCTTTGGTCGAAGCCGGGCTTATGTGCTCCCAGGTTTAGCGGTCGGCCTGTTGTTAAAGCTTGCGTAAGGCGCTGCAAAGCTCTCGCGAGACATGACATGTGTATCGATCGAGGTATCAGTCCCAGGTTCCACCGCTCGCGGGACCATCCTCATCCGCTTATTGCTGTTGTTGCTTGGTGTCGCCGGTAGACGTCTCTTCGTGAAAAGCAGCAGTGGCCAGCAGAGTATATATCTGGGGCTCATACCAGTTTCCGCGCAAAGACCCCGATGTGCATTGCATGTCTTGCAAAAGTTCGACAAGCATGCGAGACTAGCAATGATATCTTTATCAATACTGAGAACCAAATAAAACTATCGAGATAAAGCCACTTACAGCGTCGGACACTTTCGACATCAAGGTATCGGCATGTTCCTCGCGATTCCCAGCCTAGTTCACATGTCAAGAGTCATACGCAGGCTGTACATACGTCTAGATGAGTATGTGGGTTACCACGCGTAGCTCCTCCTTAGCAGGAGGCGTGCGGCCAATGTGGGAGTCGGCGCTACCAAGTACGCCTTTTACTTCGACAACTACCATGTTGGCCTAGGGACTGAATAGAAGAAAGGTCCTTCGACTAGCGGTAGATTCAGTGCACATGGCGACCTTGGCCTCCTGATTGTAGAAAGCCTGCAAATCCTCCCAAGCTTTCTTGTGTGCGCGGCGAGAACCTCATGGTTGCCCATGACTGACTTGCTGGAGCTATTGTCTCCCTCTGCGTCGATCTTTCCTCGATGCCAGAATTACCGCGGTGTATTTCCACAGACTGCTCGCTAGTATCAATATCACGTCCCGTAAGACGGACCAGCAAAAGGCAGGACATATGGCCTGATAGAATGGCCAGAGCAGCCATTTGGTCAACGGAGTGTGCGATGACCCATGAGGAGGTCTTTGATCGTGCGAGTGCTTCCGCTATTAGCGCATACCCATATCTTCCTTGTCATCTAGGGTTGTGGGTGGTGTGAACAGGTGTGCTATGCCATTATTCGCGGCTCGGCGGGGATGGCTAGATGTAAGCTTGCGCCGTCTAATATAGACTGGAACGCGACGCCAGGTTTTCACCACGTTCATCCTCTTCGATGTCCTTCTGCAGACACGGAAGTTAGTGGAAGCTTGCCGATATGCCTTGACATGGCACTTACATCAGCTGTGGGACATTCTATTGGATTGTGGAAGGAAATCAGCGCAGATGGAATATAGTAAGAGCAGCATGGCACCGTTTTCTAGCCTAGTTGAACCAGACATAATCTGGGATTCAGGAACTTAAGGGCATGATGAATTAAGGGGCAGGCAGGCGACGGGGTGGGAAAGAAAGATCGTGAGATGTGAGAAGATGGGGGCGAGAGACATTTAAACAGGGCGTTGTGGGAGTCCTTTATTCACAGCGTGAAGAGATAGCTTGTTTGTGAAGGAGTCGGAGAGGAAGATTGTACATATCAGTGAAGACGAGCGATGCACGAGGGTTTTTGAAGTTTGGGTAGGATATGATAGAAGAAGCGAAGATCTTAGATAAGGACCTCTGGCCATGGAGTGGTGGCTGACCAGTATCTTTGTATCAACTTAGGGCTTGCATTTTCTACAGGTAGACTAGGCAGCAGAGTAAGAGAAGACTCAATCCTGGTCAAAGCACAAAGAGTTGACATGCTGTTTTGGCCGTATAGTCGATGGAGTTGTCCAGGCCCCAGTGAGTACGACGGCAACATAAAAAAGACGAGAAGTATGGCCCGTGGTGGAAAAGTTGAGATGCATCTATTTTTGGATGCGATCATATCACGGAAATGAGCATCCGCGGGATCCGAGTGATATCAACGCTCGCCCTCCAACTAAATAGGGGCTTGAAGCCCTGAAATAGTTCCATCCAGAGCCACGCCATGACGCAGTCACGAACGCCTCACGGCTTGTGCCGAGATGACTTGACAAAAATACATCCATCCAACAAAGCCCCCGTCCAAGCCTTCGCAACTTGGATGACGCTCGGAATTCCTGGTGGAGTTTGGCTAGCGTCGTGTCACAGGGCCGGCGCGAGTCGAGAATCTCGAGTCTCGATTTGAGCTCTGTTCACACGACCAATGCATCGCAGCTGGTGACTATCAACGACTAATTTTGTTGACTGTTTCACGGAGAGATTTCGCCCTCGTTACTTATTGGGTGCCATTGGGTGGATCGATCATCGGAGAACTGGGATCGTCATCGCCAGTTGCATGAATCAGTCTTCAGTCAGATCTGCTCTGTACTCCGTAATTTGCCACTGATAAAAACACTCCGTTGATAACGATTCCGTTAATTCGTGTGAAGTTGCCGACGTCGAGGAAAAGTCAGGGAGAAGCCCAGAGGCCAAGAGCCCGCGGATGCCGTGACGAGAAATGTCGCACTCGCACTCGTTCGCAGTGGGCTTGAAGCAAGACAAGCCCCTCAGGTCTCATTTACCATGGATTATTATCTTGGAAGCAATGGGCCAAGAGCAGCGACCAAAAGGATTGGCGAGTGGACTGTTATCGGGCCAATCACCATTGGATGTTGTCTGTGTGGATTGTACCCCAAAGACTTTTGAGGAGCATGTGCAACCCACAGTGTTTCACTTATATCAAAAGCAAGGCTTTCTTGAAGTTTCTCTGAATGAGATTCATCTCCGTGTCTTGGATGCAGTCCAACCTGGACTAGACACCCGATTTCAAGCCAGAACAAGGGATGTGTTTGGAGTCTAAGGTCCGAGGGGATCAGTAAACTTCGTGTTGTGCCCTGACTAAGCGCGTGTTCCTTGCTGGGACGGTTCTACCCCTGCGAGAGTGATTGGTCCCCTGGTGCTGGATTTCCCCGCTGATCCACACGCAGCTGCCAGAGGAGGTTAGGATAAAAGCCAAGTATCAGAGCGTAGCCTCGAGAGGACTAGTGATGGCTGGAAAGCTTCCCAATCTGGGCTACCCCTGAACGCCTTCCGCTGCAGAAACAACCACTCCAGGCTCCATACCTCGACCGACTCGAAGAATTGCTCTTTTGCGGCTAGCTGATAGGTTTAAAAATAATCAGTCTGAAAACATTTGACTAATTTCATCCAACCAGACCCATTGCTGCCAATGTCTTTCGGAGCCTGCCAAGTGCGAGTGTGTGTGCGTGCCGTGCCTGGGCGGAGGTCCTCCCTTGCCTGGCTCTGCTGCTCTTCTTCTTCTCGATCCCCTCTCTTGTTTCTCCTCCTCAACCTCGTTCAAACCTCTCAATTGAGTGGGCGTTTCAATTCCATCTCGTGCGTTTCGTTCGCACGTCCATTCCTTTTTATCCCCCGCCCACGACCTGTCGCTCCTTCCGGGCAATCGCCCCTTTACTGCCTTATCTCGGCACAGGCTAACACGATCCCCGGTCTGCACCTGCCGTACCACAATCGTTCCAATACACCTTCGACAGCTCTCCCGTAGAGCTTGCTCTTGTTCACCATGACGCTCTTTAGAAATCTGGCCCTTCTGGCCGCCAGTGTCGCTCCTGTCTTTGCCCAGACATGGACGCACTGCAATCCCACCCTGGGAGAGGATTGCGACCCCAACCCTGCGCTAGGAACCAACTATACCTGGCACTTCAACGAAACCATGGACGAGAAGATCTGGAACACCACCAACGGTGTCATCAACTACGGCGACGAGGGCGCCGAATTCACAATCGCGAAGAAACTTGAGTCCCCGACGATCCAATCCACTTTCTACATCTTCTTCGGCATTGTCGAGTCGCACGTCAAGATGGCCGCGGGGCCAGGTATTGTCAGCAGTGTTGTCCTGCAGTCAGACGACTTGGACGAGATTGATTGGGAATGGGTTGGGTACAATACTTCGGAGATTCAAACCAACTACTACAGCAAGGGAATCACGGATTATGAGAACGGCGAGTTCTTCAAGATCGAGAATGCCGATACCGAGTTTCACAACTATACCACCTACTGGGATCAGAACAAGATTGAGTGGTGGGTGGACCAGAAACTGTTTCGCACGCTCACATACGACGAGGCGAAGAACAAAACCACCGGCAACAGCACGTTCCCGCAGACGCCTAGCAATGTCCGTATAGGTGTCTGGCCTGCAGGTGACCCCGATAACGCACAAGGAACAATCGAATGGGCTGGAGGCCCCGTCAACTACGATGATGGACCGTTTACCATGGTTGTTTCTCAAGTCCGCGTGCACGACTTCCATACTGGAAAAGAATATGAATACGGTGATGACTCTGGTCTATGGGAAAGCATCAACGTGATTTCGTAAGTCTTCTGACCCCATGCAATGTGACAATATGCTTATATACCATCAGAGGTAACTCGACTACGCTGGAGGAAATCAACAAGCCCCCACCAAAGTCCCTGGCCGACAAATGGAACGAATTACCTAGCGGTGCAAAGATCGGCGTGTACTGCGGTGCTGCAGCTGCCGGAGCGATTCTCATCGCCTTGTTCATCTTCTTCTTTATCCGGCAACGCAAGAAGGGCCGCCTCGAGAACGCCCTCGACGACGCCAAGTGGAACACCGAACGCAATGAAATGAACAACTTCCAAACCAACTGGAAGCAGAGCGAATGGAAGCACGGAGGGTACCAACCCGTACAGTAGTGAGCCTTACCTGCCGCAAGGCATAGATAGACTCACGAACCATGCGATAAAAAGAAATGCTCGCTCCCCCTTCACCCACCGATGTCGGTCTCGATCACCTCCAGCCTGCAAGGGCGTCCCCCTCGCAGTCTGTACCAGTGCCTGCATGCGGGCTGTAGGACAAACTTAAGCCAGTCAGTCACCCTCGCGTCGGCTTTGCTGGCGAATCTCGCGCGGGGCAGCCTCAGTTCTCGATTTTTCTCCGCAAGTTTTCTGTTGTGGTCGAGTCTAGACTCCACTGGACTCATGATTCTCCTCGGCCCAAATCTTACCCCATCTCCCTTTGCTCCTGCTCATATTTAGCCATCTTCCTTCCTATATTTGGCCCACGACACTGTTCTATCTCCCACCCTTCTCTGTATATACCATTTCGCTTGTTATGAGTTTGTTTTCTAGGCTTGTTTTATTTAGCTTGCCTTGTTATCCCCGCGTCGCAGGCACCTTCTTGCCGCCTTTTCTCCAAGGTGTTGTTCCATCCTAATTTCCCGATAAGGATAGCGCACGATTGTGCGGAGTGTACCGGTTCCCTGTACTCTATAGATCTCTCTCACTCGCTATAGGAGCTGGTCGCGGATGTAAGGCGTCTAGGGTTCAATGCGTATACCACTCGCTTATTTCTTCATACTTCTTGCTTATTGCCACTTGCATGAAAGTAGATACGTGGGTAGCAAAAGAGGGGAGGGAAGACCTACAACTCCACATGCCCCAACGAAGGCGGCACATCTCCTACCTCCCACATCTTCATCTCACCCCCAAGCTCAAACTCAATAAGGCCCCCATCCACCATCACATCCTCATGCTCAAACCAATTCTTCTCCCAAAGAGTCCCATTAATCCGAACACTCTGCACGAAAACCCCGTCCTCTAGCCCCGTTGCTATAATCCGGAGCTTCTTGTCGCCGTTGATCGTCATATTGAGATCTGGGAACCATGGCGAGACGAGGAGATAGACATTTGTTGTTGCGAGTGGGTAGATGCCGAGCATCTGCCAGAGGAGCCAGGTGTTCATGGCGCCTGCGTCGGAGTTGCCGGGGAGGCCGTTGGGGGCGTCATGAAAGCTGGGAATATTATTAATATCTTTTCAACTCGTAAGGGTTGTGGGGGAAGATTATGGGATGGTTGTAGGTGAAGAAAGAGAATGAAGGGAGGGGAGACATACTATTGATAAGCTAGTTCTCGCGAACGCTGGACGCTCTTGTATTGTTTGTTGACGTAGTTGTATAGATAGGGCGTGGCGAAGTCCGGTTCGTTTCTTCAGTGGACAACTTGTTAGCATTTACTTTGTGTCTGCAATTGGTGTGTAATATAGGTCAAGTTGGGTGACCCCAGATAAGGAACGTATATACCCAATATTCATGAGTGTTGTGATGCCTGCGCCGTTGGGGCCGAGCTGTTGAACCGAGGTGTTTGGTTTGAACTTTTAGCGGTTAGACGGTTTGTTCTGCTCATATGGGAGGTGAACGGTATGGTAATACCATGAGGTCAAGACGAGCTTCGAACGTCTCAGGTCCACCCATGAGGTCGATTAGGGTTTTCATGTCATGGGGAATGACGAAGGAGTATTCTATACAGCACTTATTAGGCGCGTTAGGGCTATGGCGCAGGGACAGCTCACCCCAAGGAACACCTTCATATGTATACGCATGCCACTCGCACTCATAGCAGTAAAGCGGATCATACCCCGAGTTATTGAACTCTCCATTCGAGAATCTTGGCGCCAGAAATCCCGTGAAGCCCAGACTTTCCACCTCGGCATTCCATATCTTCTGCCATCCAGCCGAGCGGCGGAGATAGGTATCCCGATCCTCAGGCATCTCGCCAGCAGCAACCTGGCTCAGCGCGAAGTCATTCAGACTATATTCAACCGTCCGCGAGATACACCGAGTGCTTCTGTCCTGTGAGACATAGCCGAGCTCGAGCCAGTCTAGCAGGGCGCCGCGGCCCTCTTTTGTGCTTGCTATGAAGTCCGTGGGGTCGTAGGTGTTGTATGGGACTTTCTCGGCGTTGGTCTTCATAGCGGCGTAGCCGTCTGCCCAGTTAATTGCCCCGCGGAGGCCCTTGACGTAGGCATCGGCTAGCACATTGTCGGCATTTGAGCCGCCTTGCACCAGGCCGTTCCAGTTGCCGGAGCGGCCGTCTGGAAGAAAGCCTTGGTGTCTTCAAAGATTAGTGGCATTGCCTCTTGCTGTGGGTAGAGACTTGCCTCCATATATCGATCAAGCCGCGGATCATGGACTCGTAGTAGGTGGGCTGGAAGATGTGGTAAAAGCTAATAGTGCATCGGAATATATCCCCTGCGAAAGTTAGCGACTGGGATCATGTTTGCTGAGACTGCTAACAAAGTGTGTAGAAATCATCCCACGATGGTTCGTCAGATTCCCAGAGAGGATTCTCGCCTGTCCTATCGGATGGCATGAGGTGAATAAAGTACAGCGAACTGTACAGTAGCCTCACATTCGTCAAGTTTGCGGTGTCATCGAGCGCCACCTGGATCTTGCTGAAAACGTCCTCGTTCCACTCTTTGACAGCTGACTCGACTGTATCGCTCAGTGTCCACGAAGGGATCTCAGAGCGAATGAAAGCCCGCGCCTTTTCAACGGAGATAAAAGAAATGCCAACCTTCGAAATGATGCGAGCCTCTGTGTCTGGCTTCCAGCTAAACACCGCACCAACACGATCGTTCATCGGCCCGGATGATTCCTTGTCTGTGGAATTGTCGTAGATAGGAAAGCTCGGCTGCCCATTTGCGAGGCCTTGGGATCCTCGCATTGGATCTGTATTTGGTCCTCTAAAAACTTGAGCAGACTCGGGTTTGATATCGAATTCACTATAGAAATAGACGGTGAATGGTGCGCCTATCAGCATTAGTATAGCCTTCACCAATATCTACGCCATCTTCACCGTTATTCCAGCCTCCAATGTATGTCCCGTATCCGGAGTATGACTGCCCACTTTCATGAAGTTGAATTTCTCCACCAACGTAGAATTGGCCATTTGGATCAAATGGAGATCCTGGAAGGTACTTAGAACTGTCAGCTCCGAATCTTGCGCCGCGGTTAACACGTACATGTGAGACGTCGACTAAGACATGTTTCTCCCCATGAGGGAAACGGTACTGCATGATACCAGCATGACGAGAGGCAGACAGCTCTATCTGAACGCCATTTTGCAGCTGCGTCTTAAAGTACCCTACACTGGCCGTATCGTGACCGATCTACAGATGTGAGCGCTGATGCTATAGCGTCAAGAAAAACATACCCTCGGTTGGTGATATGTCAAGTTATCGAGTATATTGACCGGAGGGCTAATGGATGTCAAAGGCATCTGTGGGATGATTCCATATTTGGGCGCGCCTCCAGTGCCGCTCTCATGCATCATTGCTAGACCAGAGTCACAACAAGGCCTTTAATGCAGGCCAGGATGCTTACTTATTGCGGTGACATTTCCATCTGGAGTCCAGCCGCCATTGAGCATAGCAACACTCCAGTTTGCGGCGGTTGTGTCGATTCCAACTTTGGCTACTCCGAAGGGCCGAGCACCACCGACAAAAATGTCGCCTCCACCATACCCTTGACCAGGAAACGGGCCCTCTGCCCCAATAAAAGGATTGACATATTGAGAATAATCGATCTGAGCTGTGGCAACTAAAGCGCAGCTAAGGACCCACAGCGCCCTGGGAAAGCAAGTCAGAAACTGCATTGTTGACTCGGTTGATGGAGATGTACCAATGGAACGCGGAGGAAAGAGGGGTTTATATCAAGATTTTAACTCGGCCTGTGATGGCATCTTCCCCTCAAAGCAGCACAAGCAATGCGGAATGATTGACTATTGAAAGTGGCAGCCAAACAGAAGAAGCAACAGGCCGATCTACAATGCCAGTCGGAGGAACCTCCCGTTTGCAGAAAGTTAATCCGGGCCTCGGAACAACCCACACAAGCAGAGCACTAAATCAAAATTCATCCAAATTTGTCCCGCATTGCGAAGAAAGATCAATCAAGTCTCGAATCCACCACCTCCTCGCCCTTCTCCCACACGGTGGCCGTCCTCCCCCCCTTCTTTCTACCACTCTACATCCGACAAAATGGGCGTCGCTTTCGACAGGTGCGACACACGGCCGGCCAACATCGATGCCATCCTCAGCGGCCTTGACCGATATAACCCCGAGACAACCACAGTATTCCAGGACTACGTCGTGCAACAGTGCGAGGACCGAACTTTCGACTGCTATGCCAACCTGGCTCTGCTGAAGCTGTGAGTGCGCCCTAGCTTCATACCTATCAAACAGCAACCCAACCCCTTGCGGACCTACAAGCTGGTTCAGGCTTGAATGATGCAGAATTCATACCTTATTATCACGTTTCCTATTACCTGAGACCCAAATTTGGGCATGTTGAGCGTCAATTCTTCTGAAAAGCCCCTCATAAATGCAGAATGCAGTCTCGAATGCGTCCCTTGCACCTGCTAACAGTGTTCTCTTGCGCAGCTACCAATTCAACCCCCACCTCCTCCAGCCCGAGACCGTCACCAACGTCCTCGTCAAGGCGCTCACCGTCTTCCCCTCTCCCGCCTTCTCCCTCTGCCTCGCTCTCCTCCCTGCCTATACTCAGCCCTTCCCTGCCTCTGAGGCCGAGGCCCAGTCCGCACAATCCTCCGACTTTGTCGAATCCGTCCAGAAGCTCGCTCGCCTTTCCTCGCTCCTCGAGTCCGCCCAGTATGCTCAATTCTGGTCTACCCTGAACTCCGATGACCTGTACGCCGACCTTGTTGCCGACGTCGCTGGTTTCGAGGAGCTCGTCCGCATCCGCATCGCCGTTGAGGTCGGCAAGGCTTTCCGCGAGATCAACGCTGAGGTCCTCGAGCAGTGGCTCGATGTCAGGAACCGCGAGTCTCTGGAGAAGTTCGTTACCGAGGTGTGCAGCTGGGAGGTCGACAATTCGGGCGACAACACCATCATCCGTGTGCCCACGAACAAGGAGAACGAGGCTCGCAGCGAAGTCAAGAGCGAGCGCGTTGGCATGGAGATGTTCGGCCGTGTTATCCGCCGAGGATTCGAGCAGGCCGCATAAGCGCCTCTTTCTGTTTGAAACAACCATAGGAAATCCTTACTGCTAATAACTCCGCACAAGATCTCACTGATCTTGACACGTACCAGTCTTCTCTCCGAGACTTGAAACAAAACGGACTGTCCCGGTTCGAAGTGACGAGTTGAGATGAGCCAGAATGAAGCCCAAAAATGATGATGACGGGGAATAGACCAGCATGGGAAGGATGGGCGGAAGTCTGGACCCGGCGCACTTTGGCGTTTTGAATTTGCTTCTCATTGTCGAGTCATGTCATGTTCCTTTTCTAAGTATACCTAACCTTTAGAGGATAGCCTATTTCCGCCACCTTGTATCTACCTCGAGACAGTCTAAAGGATATCCTATCAAATTGACTACGAGTTATACCCCGCTGTACGCATGTTGTCGCAGTATATGTAAACACCAGTTGAGACGTTCATCAACTGTATTCGGCGAATGCTTCTAGAATCTCAGTCATCAACATTAAAACGTTAAGATATCAGCATTATTCATCACTTCGTCTCCTCCCACTGTACACCCGCCCACTCTTCCCTGTACCCAACAACACCGACCTCGCGAGGGCCACAGTTTCGACTACAAACACCCATAATGATAGTCCCCCACTCCATCCCGCCATCATCCTTCCCAAGCCCAACGCCCGCACGCCCATCCTCAAGGACACTGATCGCGTGTGGAACAAGCTGCACCTCAAATACGCGCTCAGCACCGCAGGACTCACACCTCGGCATACGGCTGCCCACGCCGTTCGAAACCGTCGTCACACCACCAAATCTGTTATTCGTAGCATCATGCAGCCGTTTCCCCACGGCGTCCGTATGCGAGTAGAGAACCGGAGTCCCGCGGAACTCATACCGCAGGACCTGCTCCGGGTTATGTCCTAGGCGTGTAGAGAACTTCAAAAAGGCTTTGTCGATCTCAGACTCGAAGGCGTCTTTTACGTCGACGCCGCCGCTGGATGTACCCTCGGCATCTTCGGTGTCGATGGTGACATTGTCGGGGATCTTGGGTGTTGCGGGGCGGGAGAGAGTTTCACGCTCTGCATCTATGTAGAAGCTCGTGTAGGGAGTTGGAAATTCGGATTGCGAGGGCCAGGGGGTGACGGGGCCGGTGGGTTCGGTGGATGGTGGAGGGGAGGAGACGCGGACTTTGTCGGCGAAGGATTCGGCGAGGGCGTTAGGGGTGGTGGTTGCGGGTTTTACAGGAGCAGGGGCGGAAGCTGGAGCTGGAGCTGGGCTGGCGACCGGGGCAGCGAATGGGTTGGCACCTTGTGTGGCCGACGGCTTCGATGAGAACGGGTTCGCGTTTGCAGAGACGCTGTTGACGAGGGAACCTCCAAACAGACTCGCACCAAGATCCGGCTTGGGTGCCTGTGGCTTCTGCTCAACCTCCTTCTTCTCGGGTTCCTGCTTCTCTACTTTCTGCGGCGGCTGGTGGCTCTTGTGGCTCCGTGTTGCTCGGATGGCCCTGATACTACCAGGCTTGCGGTTGCATGCTTTGCGGGGGCATGAGAAGATATAGAGGCGTCGGTCGGCATCGGGAAAATGCTCGTATAATTCGGCGTCTATTTCAAGTAGGAGGAGCAATGGCTGGTTGCAGACTTTGCATTTCGCAAAGTCGCCGGGAGGCGGGGTAGCGCCGTCAAGCCATGTCTATTATATCGACGGTCAGTATGAGGGAGAAGAGTCAGCGTTTACATGAGACAAGGAGATCGACATACCGGCCATCCACCCAGGTGCGTGACTGTGTCCTCTATTATCTCCTCCGAAGCATAACCCAGGACAACTCCGGTCTCAGTGTAGTCCCCCTCATCCTCAAACCCAGAAGATTCACTATCATACGGATCCATTGCTGTGATGACAAATTTGTAGGGGCGTTGAGGGCACGAGGTTCAATTGTATGTGGCGACAAAATATCTTTGCTAAGTTGCAGAAAAAGGTCGTGTACTTGAAAAGAATATGGAGTACGTTGCGTTGTCCCTCTTGGGCGTATACAAGGAAAAAATTTAGGCCTGGGCGATAAGCGATAATGGAATTCGGGATGCGCTATACCAGTCATGGACTAGCGCAATATCGGCAGCTCCTGTACATCGGCTATGAGGCTATGGTGTGACAGCTCCTGTCATCTTCAACCTCAGCCAACTCACCTTTGTCTTATCCTCAAATTGTTTGCCAACCTCAGTATACTATTAACCGTATAATAGAAGCTGTCCTGAGCTTCCGAAACTTGAAATGATCTGAATCCACTCTTGAATCATCGACTCGGAAAACGCGCTCAACAAGCTCAGCCTAAGTACTGCTAGTACCCCTAAATACACTCAATTCATTCACCATGAATCTTTTCTCCGGATCCAAAGCCCTTAGCTGGTGTCTTTGCATCTGGGCCCTATTATATGCCACAGCTTTAGGCTTCATTCCACTGCCCAAGCTTCGAGGTGTCGTCCAATCATCCCTTAGCCCAGCTGAAGCTTCGGAGTCCGCTGAACCCCTCCCTAAACGGGTTGCAATCATCGGTGAGACCCTTCCACCGCGTGGACTATCAGACAGTCTAACAGGACATTTAGGGGCTGGTGCCGCTGGTGCATCCACCGCCTACTCACTGCGAAAGTATGCTGAAGAACAAGGCGTTCAACTCAACATTACTGTTTTCGAGCGTGCTGATTATGTTGGAGGCCGCTCAACGACAGTCAATGTGTTTGATAACCCAGCTTATCCCATTGAGCTTGGGGCTTCGATATTCGTCGAAGTGAATTACAACCTCGTCAATGCATCCAAAGATCTTGGCCTCGGTGTTAAGAGCGCCGGCTATGAGCGCCCCCATGAGACAGCAGAAGTTCTCGGCGTCTGGGATGGGAAGGAGTTTGTCTTCGTGATGGAAGAGTCCTCCAGCTGGTGGAATATTGCAAAGCTCATCTGGCGATATGGCTTGGCCCCGGTGCGGACCCAGAACCTGATGAAGAGCACCGTCAACAAGTTCCTCCAGCTCTACAACGAGCCAATGTTCCCCTTCCAGTCTCTTACTGCAGCTGCTGCCTCAGTAGGACTTTTAGATGCCACATCCACCCCGGGAGCCACATTCTTGACGAAAAACAGCATTGGCGATGACTTCGCCCGTGAAATCATCCAGGCCAGCACACGGGTCAACTACGGGCAGAACATACCCTTGATCCACGGCCTCGAAACCATGGTCTGCATGGCAACAGACGGCGCCGTAGCCATTGAGGGCGGAAACTGGCGCATCTTCGACGGGATGCTCAAATCCGCTGGCGTCGACCTCCGCCTCAACCACACCGTAAGCACCATCACACGGAACGTGGACAAAAACACCGTAACCCTCGACTTCTCGGACCAGCGACTCAAACGGATCCACGCCGCCGACTTTGACGAAGTCGTCATCGCAGCTCCATATCAGTACTCGGGCCTCACCGTCAACCCTCCACTTGAACGCACGCCCGACACAATCCCCTTCCAAACCCTGCACGTAACCCTCTTCTCCTCTCCGCACCGCCTCTCCTGGAAGTACTTCAACCTCAAGGGTCCATCGGAGCATACACCCGAGACGATCCTCACCACGCTCCCACGGGGTACAGACCTCGGCGACACGGAAGAAGGCGTCGGGCCCGCCGGATTCTGGAGCATAAGTACCCTCCGCACGGTGACCACCGAGAACAAGGAAACGCACTACGTCTACAAGATTTTCTCGCCCGCTCGCCCAACAGCAACCTTCATCAACGACATCCTAGGCATCCAACAATCCGACTCAACATCAGCAAACTCAGGGTCAGACCCTGACTACTCCGTCATCGGCGACATCCCCAAGGAAGACGTAAGTTGGTTCTACGAGAAATTCTGGCACCCGTACCCGTTCATGTATCCGCGTGTCACATTTGAGGATCCGATCCTGGCTCCTAGTGTTTGGTATACGGGCGGGATTGAGAGTTTCATTTCGACAATGGAGACGAGCGCGTTGATGGGGAAAAATGTTGCTGCATTGATTGCGAGGTCCTGGGAGGACCAGGATGAGGATGGGGAGGTCAAAGGGCTGGATGATGCGCCGGTCGATGATGAGAGGGTTGAGCTTTGATTCCGGCTTGATCGACGTCATACTCCTGGGTCCTGGCAGGACGTAGTAGACAATATACACTATTTTGAATAGCTGCTTGGACTTCTACCATGAACTACAGGCCTGGTCATATACTCGATGGTCAGATGTCAATATTGACTCTGTCAATTGATTCATGTATTCATTAGTTGTAATGTAATGTAGCTGTCTGTAAAAGACAGTATAGCAAAAGCCAAAGGCGGTTAAAGCCTTTGGGATCACGGCAAACTTTTCCTGTTGAAGAAGGTGTTGAAGAAGCCATCCCAGTGCTATGTTTTTATTCACATGCTCATGCATATCCATGTCCCGTGACCGCGTAAGGTTGAAAAAGCAGACCCGTAAACCCCGTTAAAACACTCCCTGCAACCCGATTTTATGCGCAATGATGTTGAACTCGTAAAGAAAATAATGAAAGAAAGTAGCAAACAAACGAGAATTGGTATCATATCCAAGCTGTGGGGGTTGACCCCAGGTGATATCAACCCGCTTAGACGGGGAGAGGGAAGGAGCTGGCCCACTGGGAAACCTCCTTGCGGAGCTCGAGGATCTCGGGGACAGTCTCAGAGGCAACCTTGGCCTTGAAATCCTTGAGCTTGTTGGCCTCCTTGGGCAGCTCACCCTGGACCTTCTTGCACAGGTTGATGGACTGGTCGATGTAGCGAGCGATGCGCTTGAAGTCTTCCTCGCCCATACCACGGCTGGTCATGGCAGGAGCACCAATACGGATACCGCAGGGGGTGAGAGCAGACTTGTCACCGGGGATGGAGTTCTTGTTGCAAGCAATGTTGATCTGCTCCAGAACAGCCTCGACACGAGCGCCGTCCAGAGCCTTGGGGCGGAGGTCGACGAGAACCATGTGGCTGTCGGTACCGTCAGAGACGAGCTTGTGGCCAAGAGCCTTGAACTCAGACTCGAGAGCCTTGGCGTTCTTGAGGACCTGCTCCTGGTACTGCTTGAACTCCTCGGTGGCGGCGTACTTGAGGGCAACAGACAGGGCAGTGATGGTGTGGTTGTGGGGACCTCCCTGGTGACCGGGGAAGACGGAGAAGTTGATGGGACCCTCAAGGTCATAGAGGATGTCCTTGCCGGTCTTGGGGTCGGTGTTGCGGACACCCTTGCGGAAGAAGATCATGGCACCACGGGGACCACGGAGAGACTTGTGGGTGGTGGTGGTGACAACATCGGCGTACTCGAAGGGAGAGGGGATGACACCAGCAGCGATCAGACCGGAGATGTGAGCCATATCGACGATAAGGTAGGCACCGACCTTGTCAGCGATCTTGCGCATGCGAGCATAGTCAATCAGACGGCAGTAGGCGGAGGTACCAGCGACCAGGCACTTGGGGCGGTAGAGCTCAGCGTTGGCCTCAAGGGTGTCGTAGTCGATGATGCCAGTCTCGAGGTTGACACGGTAGGGGAGGGTTTCGAAGTAAGTAGAGACGGCAGAGATCCTACACGGAGCCAAGTCAGCAGCGACTCACAAAAATTATATTGTGCAATCGGACTCACTTTCTGGCAGGGGTCTGGTACCCGTGGCTCAGATGGCCACCGTGGGGGAGATCGAGACCCATGAGACGTTCATGAGGGCGCATGAGAGCCTGGTAGACCTGCAGGTTGGCAGGGCTACCACTGAGGCACTGAACGTTGACACCCCACTTCTCAGAGTCGAGGTTGAAGGCCTTTAGGGCACGGGACTGGCAGAGAAGCTCAATGGCATCGATGTGCTGGTTTCCACCGTAGTAACGAGCACCGGGGTAACCCTCGGAGTACTTGTTGCACATAGGAGAGCCGAGAGCGTCGAAGACAGCGCGGGAAGTGAAGTTCTCAGAGGCAATCAGGACAACAGATTCACGCTGACGTTGGATCTCATTTTCCTGTCACGACCAACCAAGTCAGACATCCTGCGATTCGCAATTGAAGGCACTATTGACTTGGAATAGCTACATACCATGATCTTAGCGACCTCAGGATCAGCGGTGACGAGGTGGTCCTCCATTTGCTACACCTGTGAGTCAGTAACGCTCCGGAAAAGATCTCCCGCTGTTTCGGTGAGGGTCAAGGGAGAACTTACAGCCCGGTGGGACTCGGACAGAGCGTAGCTGGCCATTATGAGATTGTGAATGGGGATGAGTTTAGAAAAAAGGGAGAGAAGAGAGATTGAAGTGAGAAGAGGATGGGGAGGAGGAAGAAGGACGGGAAGAAAGAAAAAAAAGATGGTGGGGTAGAAGAAGCTGCCTCAGGAATCTGGACCTTAAAAAGCAAGCGGCGACTTGGACCGCGATATCGGAGTTTCTTTTTTCACCGGCCCGTAGCGCTCACAGAAAGCATTAATACAGCTCGCGTTTTACGTTTACAAATGCAAATCAAATCACTTCTTGGAAAGAAAGGCCAATTGATGGCATTAATATTGAGTAGAAGCAAGCATTTCATCTTATGTTGGTGCACCCAAGGTAATGAAGAATGAGGACCGCGGTGGCTCTGGAGGGGTCAGTCATCAGTACATCGTATACCCCAGGTACAGCCCCTCGCACAAGCCTGGAGGTTCAGCTCAAGTGCGACTGTTCCTGGCTCTGGCTGCTTCACCAGAAACTATAGGAATTTTTTCCCGGGAATAATTGTGCCAGCTTCATAGCCAGCCCGCATCAATGGGGTTGAGGTCTGAGATGGCTCAGTGACCAAGACTTAAGGGCGGAACATTCAAAGTTCTAGTCTGGCCTTATACCGTCCGAAGCACAAATCGCTTGATCATCATTATAGGCTTAGCCAGGGGCGAACTGCCGTCTGAATCCCAAGAGCTTGTTTGGGTACATAAGCCACTTCTATTTGGCTAGCGCAGTAAGTCGACGAGCATTGGGGATAGCATCGCTTCTCTCGGTCGCTTTCCAGAGAGCCACATCTAAACTTCCAAGCCGTTCTCATGAGGTATTGCTCACGTTCTTCGACGGCTCTCACGAGCCGGAAGGCTTGGGTTTCCCCGCAATTGCATTGTTCGCCCTTCTTCCAAAGTCCGAAATGACCGATTTGAGCCTCAAGATCCTGTCTTCGAGTTCTTGTATCTCCATCTCCTGCTCGGTGACCGTGCGGTCTACATCAGGGAGGTTCTCCACAACTGCCTGTGCTTTTTGTATCCGAATCTTGATCGAGCTGACCTCCTTGGGAAGATTCTTGATGTCCAGGGGTGGAGACAGATTCGACCCCAAAGCCGCTATATCAGCAGCAGCAGATGTGGGACCGGGCGCTGAGGACGAGACAGCTCCTAGCAATTCAGCAGTGCTGCTATCATTGCCGACACCTGAAGTTGGCTGGGGTTGAGACTGTCCCTGGCCGGGCCCAGATTCGTCGTTGCCGCCAGCTCCTTGGGCATTGGTTGCCCCTTCGCCGCTTGTCTGGGGAGAAAGGAGTCGGAGGATCAGGCCATGTAATGGCGGGATGAAGTCGAATGTCTGCGGCGGAGGGAAAGGGACGGCCTGTGGTGTTGTGGGCGCATCTCTGACGACGGGGGTATCAGGCGCAGATGATTTTGGACCTGGAGTGATGGCTGTGGGCGACCTGGACGACATCGTCAAAGCGAACAAGAGATGCGATCCCAACTGAGCGAACCAGGAGCGAGAAAATACTGATTCCACAGGGCTTTGTGATAGCAAGGCAATGTTGACACCCGAAAGTAGGGAAGAGCCGGAACGCGGTCGAGAACGGAAGAGCAAAGCGCAAAAGTGAGGAGTGACGTAGAAAAAAAGCGGAAAAGAGAACTAAAGCGAGCCCCTCCAACGTTCTATAGCTGTTAATTCTCACCGGACAGACAGCTTTCGGCTCCTCAACTTTTCTCTTCACTCCCGCTCTTTTTCTTCCTGCTTCAGGTTATTCTTTCTTGATTATTTCATTTTTGTAAGTTCACATTTCCTTCTCGACCCGGATCATACCATCTGGATCCGTTAATTGACCAGCTCTTAGGAGATTGCAAGCCAGTTATCCATCATGGCCAAGGTTGACCAGAAAGTCGTTCTGAGTATGTTGACTTCGCTCCATCCTGTCACTACCCGAAAAACCTCCATTAACATCGCTATATAGTTGTAATTGACGGTTGGGGTGTCTCTGGCCCCGAACCTGAAAAGGTTGGCGATGCCATCGCAGCCGCTGAGACTCCGGTCATGTCGGGCTTCGCCGAAGCCAACTCGAAGACCGCCCAAGGTTACACCGAACTCGAGGCCTCATCCCTCGCCGTCGGATTGCCCGAAGGTCTCATGGGAAACAGTGAGGTCGGCCACTTGAACATTGGTGCTGGTCGTGTTGTCTGGCAGGACAGTGTGCGCATCGACCAGACACTCAAGAAGGGAGAACTGAACAAGGTGGACAACATCGCTGCCTCTTTCAAACGCGCCAAGGAGGGCAATGGACGTCTGCACCTCCTGGGCCTCGTCTCCGATGGCGGTGTTCACTCCAACATCACTCACCTCATCGGACTGCTGAAGGTGGCCAAGGAGATGGAGATCCCTCAGGTCTTCATTCACTTCTTCGGCGATGGCCGTGACACTGATCCCAAGAGCTCCGCCAAGTACATGCAGCAACTGCTCGACCAGACAAAGGAGATTGGCATCGGTGAGATCGCTACTGTTGTTGGACGTTACTTTGCCATGGACCGTGACAAGCGCTGGGACCGTGTTGAGGTCGCCATGAAGGGTGTTGTTTCCGGAGAGGGCGAGGACAGCTCAGACCCCGTTAAGACGATCGAAGAGCGTTACTCCAATGGCGAGACCGATGAGTTCCTGAAGCCCATCATTGTCGGCGGCAAGGAGAGACGTGTGCAGGGTATGCTCAAGCTAACGCTTCGCCGTGCAGCAAGATAATTACTAACAACTTTACCAGACGACGACACCCTATTCTTCTTCAACTACCGTTCCGACCGTGTCCGTGAGATCACCCAGCTCCTCGGTGACTATGACCGCTCCCCCAAGCCCGACTTCCCTTACCCCAAGAACATCCACATCACCACCATGACCCAGTACAAGACCGACTACACCTTCCCCGTCGCCTTCCCTCCTCAGCACATGGGCAACGTCCTGGCCGAATGGCTCGGCAAGAAGGACGTCCAGCAATGCCACGTCGCCGAGACCGAGAAGTACGCCCACGTCACTTTCTTCTTCAACGGTGGTATCGAGAAGCAGTTCCCTGGCGAAGTCCGTGACATGATCCCCTCCCCCAAGGTTGCCACTTATGACCTCGACCCCGAGATGAGCGCCGCGGATGTCGGCAAGAAAATGGAGGAGCGCATTGCCGAGGGCAAGTTCGAGTTCGTCATGAACAACTTTGCTCCCCCGGACATGGTTGGCCACACTGGTGTCTACGAGGCTGCCGTCAAGGGTGTTGCTGCCACCGATAAGGCCATTGGCGTCATCTACGAGGCTTGCAAGAAGAACGGCTACGTGCTGTTCATCACTGCCGACCATGGGTAAGTGCTGTAATAACGCCCATCGGCTCGAACCTATGCTAATCATACTTAGAAACGCTGAGGAGATGCTCAACGAGAAGGGCACTCCCAAGACATCTCACACTACCAACAAGGTTCCATTCATCATGGCCAACGCCCCCGAGGGCTGGAGCCTCAAGAAGGAGGGTGGTGTCCTTGGAGACGTTGCCCCGACTGTCCTCGCTGCCATGGGCATCGAGCAGCCTGAGGAGATGTCTGGAACAAGCCTGCTGGAGAAGGCTTAGATGTATTAAATATAGACCCCATCTACGCGTTATTAGAGTCGGCTTTGTTTATGAAGAGATGAATATCATGGAGTTTTAATTGTGATGCAGATATTCCGGCTATTTCTTAGTGTATTCGCAGTTGTATACCTGAAAGGCTCAGTTGGGTTGATCTGCGGGCTAGATTCAACTAGACAACCACTCCGAGACCTTGCTAAGCTCCAGGCCCTATAAAGAGGCCGATATGTAATCGGGAACGATCGACCTCGCGTTATGGATTGCGCATATAGTTGCTAAGCCTTCGTCAAGTGGGGAGTCATGCAATCTCTGGTCAGTTTCCGTGGCAATAGCCCCGTGTAGTCAGAGATGTCCTGTGACATTGCGAACTGAGTTTGCTCGTCCGAATCGAAGTAATGGGTATCTCTTTGTTCATTCTTTTCTGCTATTCAAAGGCGGTAACACTCCTTGACATGCCATCAAGTTCATGCAGAAGCCGCTGCCGCCTGCTGCTGCTGGATCTGGCTCTGGAACTGTACAATCTAGAAGGAGGGATTAGATATCTTGCAAGCTAGCATGACGGCATCAAAAGCCCACCTCGGTCCGCTTCTTATCGCTCTTTTCTTGGTTATCTTTGATCTGACCCTCGATTCGTTGGCTTGAGATAGCAATTAGCACCTGTCACCTCCATCATAGACAACCCAGGTCCGCCGCTTCTGCGTGGAGAACAAGGGCACAGGCGAAAGAAACGTACATCTCTTTCTCAATGAATTCAAGACGCCCCGTGACTGCCATCAATGCCTCAGTCTTATCTTGTTTCAGCAGCACTGGTCCGATCTGTTTATAGATATTGGCATCGTCATCGAGGGAATTGAATTCCGCCTGCACGCTCTTGTTCTCCTGTTGCTGAGATTCGAGCTTTTGGCGCGCGTCGACGAGGCCATCGAGTTCTGTAGATAGAGGCTATTAGTTCTATGGTTGCGCGATAGATTAATCGAGTTTGTAGAGGCTATGGAGGGGTCACGCATGAAGCTTCCCCCTCCCCAAAAAGACCGACATACCAGTCTGAAGCGCCTCGTACTCGTTCGAGAGTGCCTGCATCTGCTTCTGCGGGTCGGCCATCATAAAACGACAAGCGAAATTAATGAAGAAGGAGATGATCACAAATAATGACAAGGTCGAAAGGAAAGCGATGGACAGTGGCAGAAAAGCAGGGACCAGGACGGCGCCCGTCAACAACGCCGCCTTCCGATGTCCTTGGACGATCCAGGCTCGCTCTCCACTCCCATCAATCATCCCCGCGACCACAGTTTATTTAAATTTTGAGCTGCCTGGAGCCTTTTTACGTTACAACCCTTGCATCGTCGTCATAAGGAGCAAAGATTGTCCTCGGATTCTCTCGTTTTACTCCGCTCCAGCCAAGCAGGCAGCCTTTGCTTCCTTGATTGCCGTCCCGTCACTGTATCTGCTCCCCGCCTTCGACCCTCTCCAACGCCCCTCCCCACCCCTACAGCACCACGCATTCGTGACCAAGAATCCGTACGGAAATTGATAAGAAAAGTACAAGCCTGGCTAGAGAAATCCCCGCCACAATGAGCAACACAGACTTCCTCGGCCGAGCGATTGACACGGTCAAGAAGGCCATTGAGAGCGATAACGAGGGCGAATATGAGAAGGCCTATCAGCTATATTACTCCGCGCTAGAGCTATTCATGCTCGCGCTCAAATGGGAGAAGAACCCCAAGTCAAAAGAAATGATTCGCGCAAAGGCCGGCGAGTACATGGATCGCGCGGAGAAGCTGAAGAATCATCTGGCGCAGCAGGATAGTCGGAAAAAGCCGAGCGCTGTAGGTGCTAATGGGAAGGTGTCGCAAGGGAGTGGGAAAGGAGGGTACGTTACCACTTTTTGCCCTTTGGGCATTCATTTTAATGCTTGGTTGCTGACCGCCTGTGTCTGTCGCGTGTAGCAAGGACGACGAGGAGGGCGAGGACGCCGATTCGAAGAAGCTACGCTCCGCGCTTGCTGGCGCTATCTTGTCGGAGAAGCCGAATGTGAAGTGGGAGGATGTTGCCGGTCTCGATGGTGCGAAGGAAGCTTTGAAGGAGGCGGTTATTCTTCCTATAAAGTTCCCACACTTGTTTACTGGAAGACGACAACCGTGGAAGGGTATCCTGCTCTATGGGCCTCCAGGTACCGGAAAGTCCTATCTCGCCAAAGCCGTCGCGACGGAAGCAAACAGCACATTCTTCAGTGTCAGCAGCAGTGATCTGGTCTCGAAGTGGATGGGTGAGAGTGAAAGGTAAATCTAAAGTTATACTGATGTCTTGTTCTTGACTAACGTATCTCGACAGACTTGTTAAACAACTATTCAACATGGCCCGTGAGAATAAACCAGCCATTATCTTCATTGATGAAGTGGATGCGCTCTGCGGCGCTCGTGGAGAGAACGACTCTGAGGCGTCCCGCCGTATCAAAACCGAGCTGCTTGTCCAAATGGACGGAGTGGGCAACGATTCCAAAGGTGTCCTAATTCTCGGTGCAACAAATATTCCCTGGCAGTTAGATGCTGCTATTCGTCGAAGATTCCAACGGAGAGTTCACATTTCACTACCTGATATAAACGCGCGCTTGAAGATGTTCATGCTGGCTGTGGGTTCAACGCCATGTCTTATGACACAGGCCGACTACCGAACGTTAGCAGAGATGAGCGAAGGCTATTCCGGTAGCGATATTAGTATCGCCGTTCAAGATGCACTAATGCAGCCCATCCGTAAGATTCAAACAGCAACACACTACAAGAAGGTAAACTTTTACTTTCCTCGTTAGTTGACAGTATGTTTGCTAACAATACATAGGTCACACACGAAGGCCAAGAAAAACTGACCCCGTGCTCGCCCGGCGACAGCGGCGCCCTCGAGATGAGATGGGAGGAGGTCGAAGCCGACCAACTTCTAGAACCACCCCTCGTCCTAAAGGACTTCATCAAGGCCATCCGCAACTCCCGACCAACCGTCAGTCAAGAAGATCTGAAGAGGAACACGGAGTGGACCGAGGAGTTCGGTAGTGAGGGAGCGTGATCGATCACCTATGCGTATTTCCGGCGACGTTTGGGATAGATCTTGTCTAAAACATACCTTTTTTTTACCTCCTCTGTTCGTTATCTTTGGCGGACGTTTCACTTAAAGCCTTGGATTCTTCTCTTTCAAGCAAAATCCCCCGCCTACCTTCCACGTCCACGCCTCACGAATCCCACTCTATCCCCTTTTGCATATGCCTCCTTGATTTATGATGCGTGATTATGTCCCTTTTTTCCACATACTGGTGTTCAGCGTTCTTGTAATACGATTCCAATTCCAATATGTCCAGGCAGGCAGGCGAGGCGAGGCGAGGCGAGGCGAGGCGTTCCAGCACCTACATCTGCTTTTTTTGCTTATTTGCTGAGGGAAATCTCCCTTGTTTTTAACCTAGTCCAGGCCTGAGAAGTCTCACAAACCACTTGAATAACGCTAGTAAGTTCTATCCAGTCATGATCAATTGACATTTCTCAATCTGTGTATGCAACATCCAACATCCAACATCCAAAGAACAAATAACATGATACCTATGCCAGGCAGGTAGTACACTTAAGCCAAAGGTACTAGTATACCTCAATCCCAGAAGAACCAACAAACGCCCCTAACTGCGGAAACAGACACACCATGAACAATGACAACAGAGCTAGACATACCAAGAAACGACACTCATCGCTAGGGAATCACGTAAGGAAAAGAAATATCAACAGCATGATAGAAATAAACACCTCACAAGCCCCCAGCCGTACAAAAGTCGGTTAAGGAGCCTGAATCGAGCGGGTGAACTATGCCTTTAACCCGTCCCTCTCCTTCTGCATCTCACGCCTCCTCAGAACATCGTTCTTCGCGCGCTTCAGGCCCTCGCCTAGTTTCGTGGCCTTCTTCCACTCCCGGCTCATCTTCTGCATGCGGACGACGGCCTTCACCATCGAGACGGCGGTCTTGAGTTTCGCGGTAGGCGTCCGGATGTTGCCGCGATCGCGGGGCCTGACACCCATATCCGAGATCATGCGGAGGTCGGCTTCGTTACTATATGACGGAAAATCAGTTAGTTGGGCTTGAGGTCAGGGAAAGCATAGGGATGAGATATGAGATACGCACCAAGCAACGCGAACCCGCTCCCCAAGCTCCATTAGCCCCTTGCTCCAGGCAAGATCCCGACGGAACTTCTCCTCCCTTTTGAGTCTCGCGCGGAGCCAGATAATCTCCTTGCCTAGGCCTAGCATTTCCTTCTCGTGTTTGGTCCTGTTCTCAGACTTGGTGCTTGCCTTTTCCATCACATGCTTGTAACGGTCGTGCAGGGTGTCGAGTTCCTTGATTGCTGCGTTGGCCTTTCGCGCGTAGTTTGCGCGCTCTTCGCGGACTCGGCGGAGTTGAGCCTCTGTTTCGGTCAATTGGGCTTCTTTTTCGGAGACCTGGAGGGCCAGGGACTCGGTTTCCAAGGTGGATTGTTTGAGGAGTTCGTGGAGATCGCGCTGGTCCTCTTCTCGCATGACTGTGCGCTCAAGGCTGTGGTTCTTGGACTTCAGTTCCCGGAGGGCCCGTTGGGCGTCTGAGAGTTGTTTCCGTAGGGTGCGGACTTCCTCGTGTAGCTTGTTGGAAGGTGATGATGCCGGCGACTGGGTTTCGTACTTCTTGATGAGCGCGTCGTGCAGCTCTTTTTCGAGTTCGACGACCTTGGATTGGTACGTGCGAATAGAGGACTTCTGGTCTGCTTCGCGCTGGAGGAGCGCCCTCTCGCGCCTGCGTACCTCGTCCAGGTTATGCCGAAGAAGGGACAAATCTGCTGCAGTTGCCGACTGCTCGTGGTCTGCGGGTTGCTGCTCAAGAAGTGCTTCGAGTTCGTGGATGCGCTTCTCGAACCTCTGAAGCTTGCTCTTCGCTAGAGCGAGTTCGCGTTCTCTGCCGCCGGAGGTGGTATGTAATTTATCCTGAAGCTGCTCGATTTCAGCGGATAGTCGGTTCTCTTCCAAAGCAGCTCTCTCAACTTCCTCGTTAAGCTGCTTCTCGAGTGCCTCCTTGACCTCTAGCAGGGATGATTTGTCGTCCTTGAGTCTTTTGAGTTCGCTCTCCAGCCGGAGAGAGGATTTGCGGAGCTCGACCTTCTCCTTGTCAAATCGGGTCGTGTCGTCAAACTGGTTTTGGGCTTGCTCGAGTTGCGCCTGAAGCTCATCCCGGTCTGCCTCAATCTCAGCTTTGGCCGCTTTGAGATCATGCAGTTCAACATGAGCATTAGCAAGCTGGTCTCGAAGCTTTTGTTTCTCAGCTACTAACTTCAGCACCTGGCCGTCTTGCTCGGCCGGTCCTTTCTGTGAGCGGATCTTGGCGTATTCTTGCTCTTCTTCCAAGTTTGACTGTAGGACAACAACCTCTTCCTCCAGGGACTGTACTCTTTCCTGGAGTGTCACTTCTGCGCGTCTAGTGATGCGAAGCTCTTCCTTGACTGAGAGCAGTTCCTGTCGTAGTTGATCGATTGCGTCGCGCTTGGCCGATAAGTCATCGTTCAGTTCCTTTATTTGACGGCCAAGAACAGCTTCCGCGTTGAAGTGCCTTGCCTTTTCACTGTCGATGACTTCTTGTAGTTTGGATTCCTTGCCTGTCAGCGTGTGCTCCACCTGTTCGAGTTTCTCAATTGTTCGCTTGAAACCCGCCGCCTGGTCCTCTGCCCTATCCTTCTGTAACTGCAGGTTGCGTCGGGCACTTTCCCATCTATCTTGTTCCAGCGCGAATTGGCCTTCTTTGTCCTCGATCTCATGGTGAAGCGATTCAATTTCCTCCTGCAACCTCTCAACGTCCTCCAGGTAATGAGCACGGACATTTTCCACGTCCTCTGAAGCCTGCTGTTGTTCGGTATTCAAGGCTTGTTCCAGTTCGCGGATCTTGGCTTGCGCCCTGGCTAGGTCGCTCTGTAGGCTGCCGGACTCGTCCGTCAAAGCATGATGTCGGGTGTGGAGAAGATCTTTCTCGTCAGTCTTGCGTTGAATTTCATCGCGTGCTTCTTGGAGCTGGGCAGATAATTCGTCGCGTTCCTGGCGAGCCAGCTCGCGTTCTCGTCGGATTTGGGACAGTTCCTCAAGCATCTTCTCCTTCTCCCCTTCTGCACTTTGCCGAGCTTTCTGGGATTGCTCCTCCAGCTCGCTCGCCCGCTTGGTCTTCGATTGAAGCTCCTCTGACAATGCGCTGTTCTTTTGCCGAAGTTCCTTGATTTCTTCCTCTAGTTGACGCGATAGTCCCTTGGTGCTGATTGACTTATTGGCCATCTCGTCGTGCAGCTCTTGAAGGTTCTCCTCCGCCTTCTGCTTCTCTTCCAGTGCTTGGTGTTCAGAGGTTCTGGCTTCTACCGCGTCGGACTTCGCCTGGTCGAGAGAGTCCTGTAGTTCCTCCAATTGCTCTTTCGCTCGTCGCAGTTCCGATTCCAATTCTGAGAGCGCGTCATTCTCCTCGTTTTCTTTGTCCTTTAATTCCTCGATCTGTTCTTCGCGCTCTTCGATGGTCCGGTCCTTTTCTCTTAGAGATGCTTCGAGGTCCTCGATATCATCCCGAAGCTTGTCGATCTCTTGCGATTGAGCGTCTTTCGCTTCTCGCAATTGTTCTTGGAGTTCCCGCACGCGTTCGTCTTTACTCTCCAGCTCCTCTCGCATTGAGTCCATCTCTCGCTGCAAAGTCTCGTCCATGTGTTTCCTTCGCATCTTCTCCTTCAGCTCCTGAAACTGCTGGCGATATGCTTCGAGGTCGCGTTCGGCTTGTTGGAGGCTCTTCTTATACCGTGATATGTCGCGTTGCATCGTCAACTTCGAGACCTTGAGTTCCGAGTTTTCCATGAGCGCCGCCTGGTTGTAGGCCGGCCCGGCCTTTTCTAATTGTTCCTGGAGGAAATGGACCTTCAATTTCAGTCCAAAGTTGTCCTTGTCGAGCTTGTCTATTATCTGTGACAGTCAGCAGCCGTGTCGCAGTCACATCCACTGCGAGTTCCTACCTTCTCTTGCTCTTTCAATGTCATGTTGTTTCCATCACCAAGCACCCCACGATCCCGACTGGCAAGTCCCGGGAGTGGAGTACCCGCAATACTGCTACTCGCAACCTGCGGAACAGGCGTCGGATCATCAGCTGTCGCATCCTCTTCCTCGATATCCAACATGCTCATAGCCGGTAGCCCCGGCGTACCTGCGGAGCTCCGATAATTCGCCTTCAAATAAGCCGGTGTCTTCAACCCGCCCGCTCCGCCGCGCGTCGTGGACATATTCTTCAGCTGGTTATTCTTCATAGCACTCCTAAGCATCGGTGTAAATTCGCCCTTCGCCGAAGGGAGCTGCTGTCGAGAGTTTAACGCGGTTCTTGTTGATCTCAAGCCAGCCGTCGCGCGCGGAGTGTTGAGCTTTGATCCCGCAGAGCTGCGCCGGCGCGCGTCGCCCAGGACTTTCAGGACATCTTCGTCCTTTGAGGGGGTTTGGAACGAGTTTTCGACTGAGTCCAGGGCTGAGAGATTGTGGCGGCCGACGCTGCGGTATCCGTTAGTCAGGTACGTCGCGTTTCCGTCGACTTCGGTGCGCGGGGTGTCGATGTACGGGTAGGCCATTGTGGTGGTGTGACGCGCGTAAAGATTGTTGGGTTAGTATATCCAAGAGTAATTCAAGACCCTTCAACGCGTAACCATCCCCAAAAACACAGAAAAACAACTCGAACTCAATGTGAAGGACCAAAAGGCAGCATGATATGTACGGCGGTGAAGATATTCTTCCGTCGTTTTGTTTACACCCGTCAGCGATGGGCCGCTGGAGAACCGCTCTAACCAATAACCGACTAGCGTGTATTATGAAGTCATTGGGCAATGATACTTTTCGGGTTTGCCTCAAATTTCTGGGTGCTGCAACAACAAGGGTCCTATACAGCGGCGCTTTTCAGGAATTCAGACACCATGCCACCTATGTCGGAAGAGGACCTTGAATGGTTTAAATCCACTTTTCGGCCCATACCGAAGCCTGAACTTCCCGACGACTGCATCGAATATTCTCTCCACTATATCCCTTCGGACCCCGCCCCCGCCGTTGTCGACGAGGTCGCAGATACACGATCGCGGTTAATAGAGGTACAGAAGTCCGCGGCCGAACTGGTGAAATCCTTGCTAAAGGACTATATATGGCAAAGGGAGGGGTTCAAGTTGGAGATCACTAAGGCAAACGGTGCGCCCCTCTCGGTATGCGACTGGCTTTTTGTCGGAGGTATATTAATGGCTTGTGTCTCTAGGCATAACATCATTAAGCGGACGTACCAACTTCGGAGACTCAATTGAAGATGAATGGGTGATTGTATACCTGTTGCGCGAATTGACGAAGAAACATGAAAACGTCTGGGCTACAGTTACAGACAGCGATGGCCAGTTTCTCCTCGTTGAGGCTGCCGGCGCATTGCCCGCATGGCTTGAACCGGACATTGCAGATAACAGGGTGAGCGCTATTCCGGACGGTTTTATTCTGCTGTCGACTGACTGAATGCGCAGGTATGGATAAACAAAGGAGATTTGGTCATAATCAAGCCGAAGAACGAAAAGAATCGAGTGACGGAGCAGATATCCTTATCCGAGTCAAGGAGGATCATAAAAGAAGATTCCAAGCGACTCATGCGCTCGGCTATGATAGAGGAGGAAGCATTCTATCGACTTCGAAACTACCCCAAACAAATCAGCGAAAACCTCCACTCAGCTCGGATAACCCTGCCACGCAAAGTCGCGTTCCTCTTACACCAAAAGCCTGCTTACATCTCTGCGGCCGTCGAAGCGTTCTATCTGAGAGACCCTATCGCCCTGAAACCTCTCCGGGGAAAAGACGCGGAGGGCCTTATCTTCAAGCCCGAAGACTTTGTTACAGTCAGCACTCGTTTCACACGCGTTGGCTATGCGCAAGTCAAGAGTCAAGACTTTCCCGTCCCGAAATCCTGGGCTGGCAGCCTACCCGATACCAAGAACCGAACAGTTTATGACCGCGCAGAGACGGGTATGAAGGTATCTTGTGGCTTTGAGATGCTTCTCACAGATCCGCAAAATCAAGATAAAGCACTAGTGCGAGAAATAAACATTGTTCTCGAGGACCTGGAAACCGGCGATGAGAGCCTTCCAACTGATGAGGAGATACGAACCTGGGATCAACGCGAAGATGACGAGAAGTGGCTAGATATCAGCTTCGAAGACCTGGACACAGAGCTAAAAGGAAAGGGGAAGGGGAAGGGGAAGGATCCGACGGGAGGAGCATTTGGGGACGCAAATGCGCAGGAGAATCTGCAGCGGATCGTTGCCCAGTTTGAGAAGCTCTTGAATGACGACTCGGCTGGTTTCGAGGGAGCAGACTTCATTGACGACTACGGGTCAGATTCCGATGATCACGAGGATGATGACGATGAACTAGAGAGCGACGGAGAGGACAAGGATGCGTCATTTGATGAGGAAGAATTCTCAAGGATGATGAAGGAGATGATGGGCATGCCATCAAAAACCGGCTTCAGCGGCCCGTCACAAGCCTCGAAACCTCTGAAACGAGTGGAGGAACTCGACTCAGACTCCGAAGATGATACGGAACAGATCCAACAGCTTTCAAGAGAAATGGAGGCCGAGTTGAAAGGAACCGGGGTTCTCGATCTGAATCGACCAAGCAACGTTGCCAAAGGCAAACGCGCCGTGACCCAAGGAAAGGAAGATGAGGAAGATGACACAATGCCTGCCCTAGAAGGTGAAGAGGATGATGATGATAACGTCAACATCAACCTTGTAAAGAACCTGCTGGAAAGCATCCAAGGGCAGTCGGGCGCAGCAGGCCCAGCGGGGAATATGCTCTCCATGCTGAATTTGCCCATGCCCAAAGACGATCGTCGGCGTTGATTGTTGGGATCTCCAACGCGGCACAGTCATGATATTGAGTTTGCGTTTACAAAAGCAATGGTACGTTTAGAATAAACTTTGATAGAACGTGATTCTACACAAACTTTCCAACTGGGCGGAGCTGAACTCAACCTCCAGGGCTCAGTCAACAGTGAACCTTCCAAATGGGGAATGCGGAGAAAGTCACGGGCGATAAGGCCTTTTGTCACGTGCAGGCCTTATCGGTTGCATTTCCCCTCTCTCGGTCTCAAGGTTCTCTCGTTCCATCCCACTCCTCTCATCACCCCACCACGGGCGCAATATCGGTGTTTCTTGGGCTGTGCATTACGCTGCCAGTCGTGCTTCTTTTGCCGCAGTCTTGGGGCGACCTGACAGTGCAGGCAGCTTTTACAAAGCGTCTTGTCTCCATAGTTTTCCCCTCGTATCCACTTGGCTGCGGTGGTGGTGGAGCCACTTAGTGTCGTCGAGTGATACACCCTGCTGCGCCTACAAAAGCAGGTAAGCTGGGCAAACAAGTGGCAAACAAGCACATCAACCTTCTCAGCTCCCGAGTGATATCGATAATATCGGTTCTCATCAAGACTATGGCAACTCCGGCTCATTGCTTTTATTGCTTCGAGAGCCTGGCGGCCTCGTATGATGGGAATGACCCTATCAGCCTCACGGCCGTGGAAGAGCTCTGGGAAAGATATGAGCAGTTCAAGAAACTTGCCGCTTTGCAGGAGGACGACGAGTCACCTCCTTTAGGAGGAAGCGAAGCATCCGGCCAGCAACCTGGAAACGCCAGTGGGCAGCCTGATCCGCGCTCACATAACATTAAGCTCCCAAGCATCGATCGTCTTCAAACCCAAGCGGCATCCGACGGCAGCGTATCCACGACACCATCTGCCATGTCCAACAAGTCGTCGAGCTCTGTCTTCTCAAGCGCTACCACATCCAGCTCAGTGTCTTCCGAATCTGATACGCCGGCCGGGAGACAACATAGGCTGAGCGAGCAAAAGTACCCACTCTTTGTGACGTGGAACACGCTGTCGAAGGGTGGCCGTAAATCCTTGCGTGGGTGTATCGGTACATTTGAGGCGCAGGAGCTTTCTCGCGGGCTGAAATCCTACGCGCTCACTTCGTACGTACACCTGCTGCACTCCGCTGGATATACCCCGGCGTTTTCGTAGGTCGGGCACTAATGGATGATAGGGCATTTGATGACACTCGGTTCTCTCCAATTCCAGAGTCACTTCTTCCCTCGCTATCGTGCTCCTTGACACTCCTAGGGACATTCGAGCCATGCACCAACGCTCTGGATTGGACACTCGGCATCCATGGTATACGGATATCGTTCATCCATCGCGGCAGACGCTACGGCGCAACCTACCTCCCCGATGTACCGGTGGAGCAGGGCTGGACCAAGGAAGAAACCGTCAAAAGTCTAATGCATAAAGCCGGTTGGGACGGGCCGTCCGAGAGCAACACGAGGAGATTCCTGCGTGGCAACAACAGTGGCGAGCACACCAACTCCACGAAGCCATGGGACCAAGTCTCGGATTTCCGAACAGTCAAATACCAAGGGCTCAAGTCCTCTGCAAGCTACGCCGAATGGCAGGAATGGCGCGACTGGGTCCTATCCTTAGATGACGGTAGTGAGCAGTTGTTAGATCCAGCAGATTGAGATTCGGCTTCATTGGCGAATAGATGGTTTTATGAACGCCATCCGCGATGGCTACGATAATGGCGTTCGTTTATAGGGAGGTCATGGCGTCTTGTTTTGGTTGTTCCAGAAGATTTCGGGCTATTGTGCAGTGCCTACTATAGTGGCAATAATTTACCTTTAAAATCCCCTTTTTGATGTTGGTATCGAACCGAAGTCCGAAGCGTTGTGGCTATCTATCCTCGGATGTGTAGCGGGGTAATCAAACATTGGTGCAGGGGTCTATAAACCCACCCAACTTGAATGGTGAAGCACCATCAACATATCCGGCAAGCATATATTTTGTCATAGACTTGGAATATCATTAAGAAAGATGTTAGAACAGCAAGTACACTCTTACTTAGTTAGCCTGACCTAAAGATAGAAAAGATGTTTGTAGAGATATGATGTGGGAGGGGTATACATATATAGTTCGTTGGATATATCTCATCGGCTACCGCTAAGATGACTCGTAGACTCATACTGAGCAAGACAAAGGATATAGAGATAAGAAAAGAGATGTGCACAATAAATGGCCATGAAATCAACTTCCACCGCACCCCGACGGTCCTACCTCTTACTCCACAACCCAGCAACAGTCTCCTTGACCTTCCTCTCCTGCTCACGAATCTGGTGCTCCGTCTGCCCGCGCGCATTACCCCGACTATCGATATCCATCGGGTCACCACCACCACCGTAGCCCGGCGCAGGACCCTGCTGCTGGTGCCGTTGCTCCTCAAAGACCTCACTCCCATTCACCTGCTCGGGCTTCGGATCAACGCTCATCATACCATCCATCATGAGCCCGCCGTTCTCGCGGAGCTTGTTGATGGCGCGGACGGTGTCGATGGCCTTGTGGAGCGTGCGACGCGCGTTGAAATTCTTCTTCACGGTGGGGAGGAGGTCCTGTCCTGCGCCGAGGGCTTCGCTCTTCCCGTAGGGCGGGTTCACCCAGGGGTGTTGGAGGGCAGAGTGGGCCGTCATACGCTGGGAGGGTTCGACGGTGAGACAGGCTTTGATGAAGTCGCGGGCGGTTTGCGAGACGTCGCGCCAGTGTTTTATTGGGGTGAAGGAGTAGTCTGCGCGGAGAATGGCTTGCATTTCTTCGAGGTTGGAGTCGCGGTCGAAGGGCGTGTAGCCGCAGAGCATGAAGTAGGTGATTACGCCAATGGCCCAGATGTCGCTATGCGGAGTTAGTTTTGACTGTTGAATCAAGCAGAGGGGAGCTGGAATGGTGAGCATACACTGGCTTCCCGTGCCCACGTTTGCTGAAGATTTCAGGCGCCATGTAGCCGGGTGTGCCGCATGTTGTTGTGAGGACGTGGAATTGCTCCTCGTCCATGATCCGAGACAGACCGAAGTCTGCAATTAGCAGATCCGCATTGTCTTCTGGTGTGCGGAAGAGCAGGTTCTCCGGTTTCAAGTCGCGATGCACAATGCCATGGTCGTGGAGATATGCGACGGCGGACAAGATGGCGCGGATCAGATCAGCGGCGTCGGATTCATAGTAGCTGCCCTTACGGCAGATGCGATCAAAGAGCTCTCCACCCAGCGCGAGGTCCGTAACAAGATATACTATCGCAAAGAACGAAGTGTCAGCCCACAGCGGTCGCCAGGCACCCGTCAATCATCGGAAGCGGGGGACAGTCGCACAGTTATTCATAGTCTCGAAGTAATCCACCAGAGTCAAGATATTCTGATGTCCCATAGACACTTTCTTCAAGATCGCGATCTCATTTCGGACCTATATGCATCTTAGCCCATGGCTCCTCCGTCTCCCGAGTGTCCACCACGCCGTCCGTCATGGACAATCTGCTTAAGGCGGCAGCGGTGCGATTGGACTCAGCAAATACCATATGTTCTCGTCCGGCCATCAGTCTCTTATTTATCACTTTCGCCGCATAGTATTGACCAGTGTCAATATGCACGCATTCCTTGACCACCGAGTAGGAGCCTGCTCCTAAGGTCTTTCCAGTCTTATACCGACAAGGTTGGATCTTGGGTTTCTGGCCCGGTTGGACCTGGGAAGCCATTGTTACCGGACGATCGCTCTCAGCGATGCGAGATTTCAAAGGATTGGGAGTTATTCGAGTCGGAGGAGGGAGAGCCGGTTGTTATCGCTCGGCAGCAGGCTGTTGGGCGATTAGGTCAGTACAGAGTAAGCGAAAGAAACAAAGCCGAAGCAGCGACGCTAGCCTCGAGTTCAAAAGGGGAAATGGACCTTGAACGAACCGATAATGAGCTGAGGACAAAGCGACACGGCTGAAAGGGGCGTGCCCGGCCGTTGGTGAGACTCGCGAGCTTTCTTCCTATCGGGATGAAGACTGCGGGGTTTCGGTGTAGTAAAGCAAGCGAGATCAGCGTTTCAGTCCGCAATCCCCGACCCTCACCCGTCGCAGAATATATGGGGCTGATCTATAACAGGCCAAATATAGTATAGTCTTGCCACTCTGATAAAGCCAGATCAATGACGAGGACAAGGGCCGAAAGGAGTCAGGGCGAGATGTCAGGGGAGTTGGATGATGGGGAAATTGTCTGGGTCGGCGAGAATTAGCCGTCCAGTCGACTCTCACCAGGGCGTCTCATGCTGAAGAGGAAATTAATAGCGAGGAAATGTAGACAAATGCATTGGAACATGGGCTGATCATTAACTATATACTACCATAATAGAGCATGCCCTCAAGCGCCGATAACCCACTCCAAACTATGCTATACAAACAGACACTCAACCCAACGCCATTAGTAGACAAACAAGAACAAAGATCAAACCTGCCCAAGAACCTCCTCGACAACATTCTCCAGAAGCTTAAGCTCATGGAACTTCGCAACACTCTGCAAGACACGTAACTTCTTGTCAATATCACCCCGATTCATGGTTTCCTTCCAAGAACCACTGCACGAGCAGTGTTCCATGAACTCACTGATCTTGAGCCCTCCACATTTCGAGCACTTGAGATCCTGTGTCTGCCACGCGACGATCATGCCATACACCTGACCGATCAACATTTCCTCCTGCGCCAAGCGATCATACTCCGTCTGACAGAAGGGACAGCGCCATGGTTTCGACGTCGTGTTACTCGCATCAGATCCAGCTTCAGGGAGCACGTCTTCGTCTCGGCACAGATCGAGATCGCGAATCAGACAGCATGCACTGCACGTAAGTTCGGGTATCTTGAGGCTAGCGCCCGGATTCTCGAAGCGGCCTTCCTTGCTAAATTCTCGGACTTCGAATAGCGCGAGCAACTCACGACGTAGGAGGCGAGTCTCTAGGGCAGTTGTTTTGGACAGGCTCAGAACCTGCATCAACAGCTTGACTAGTTCAAGTACTGGGTTGCGCTTCTCGTCGTTAGGGTCTGACAAAACCCCAGGCAGGACTGGGAAGACGTAGTCCGATGCCAGCTCTGGATGCAACAGCTCTTCCCGCTGACGGCGTATTAGCCCCGAGATCTGCTTCTTGAGCGGTTTAGAGAATCTCTCTGCAAGCGCCGCTGAAAGCTCTTCGCTGTCCTCTCCATTTGGCTGTCCGATAGGGATTTGAGTCAGGCGCTGGGTATGCAAATCCTCGAATTCTGGTCGCTTGAAGCCGTGCATCAATTCGATGTATTCCACAGTCCAATCATGAAAGATAGTCTGCATCGGCGTTGGCAAGAATCGGCTAAGCTGCCAGTGCATAACCGTTTCCAGCGGCTGCTCTTCAGTCTCCGCCACTTCTTGACATCCTTTGCCGCCATAGTTGTACTCGTCGTACCAAACTAGGTAGTCCCAGTACTCCTTAATGTCGAGGTCGATAAAGTGGAAAGACGGGTTCGCTCGTATCGACTTTAGAACGTACTGACTGTAGGCATAGGCGTTCCCGACTTCCGTCTTTGATGTCTGAAGTAAGAGACGTGTCGGACTAGCAAAGACGACGTTTGAGCCGACTCGCCTAAACTCAGCCATAAGCTGCTGGAAGGATTTCTTTGACAACATCCGCACGTATTGGTGGAGTGAGCGATCGTACAGACACGAGGCTGGGCTCTCGACCCATCGGATGAGATGCTGAACCATGATGTCGGCCATGTTGTTGCCCTGGCAGGCCTCTGACCACCAGTGCTTCACCATCTCGCGTAGCACGACTGCACCGGCCGATGCAAATGCCTTTTCTGAGTAGAGAACACCGGTACCACCCTCTGCGGTTTGTTCAGCGGGTGCTAGCAGCGAATCGGCTCCTTCCGCATCATTGATGATTGAGGAGGTGAGAATGGTGTTGATCGCAAGGTTGCGAACTTCTAGCTCAACACATACGGTGGTATAGGCGCTTGGGACGTTGATAGACGGCATACTAACCTTCTCCAATGGGCCGGTAATATCATCCTTCTCGTAGCCTGCATGATCAGGTCTTGGGTTTGAAGACCACCAGAGAACGACGTTGTTCTGTTGAAGCCGCCTGGCATACGAGATATCAATCAGGAATCGTGGGTCATCGCTCTCGAGGTTGCAAAGTGGAACATCGCCGTATCTGGAGAGCAATGTAAGATGCTGAACCCAGGATGAGAGATAGAGGTAGTGTGTGACCAGTCGTCTGGCAATGAAGGACTGCCAGCCTAATGGTGGCAGATTCATGTCTGACACTTCCGGCTTCACCGGGAGAATAGGATATTCTCGCAAGATTGGAATATCGTGGCAAAGACGGGTCCTCTGCTGTGACTGTATGATCATAACAGCCGGATAACTCTCATCGTTTCGAAGTTTCTTGATCAGATCACCCACTTCAAGGTAAGCCTTCCTTCTTGTCGTAATCTGTGTTGTTCTGAAGTGGATCTTCTCTTGATATTGGAAAGCACCTTGTGCCTGGTCGCCAGACGTTTCTTGTAGCTTGCGGGAAAGAAGCTCCGAGTAAATCTTGTCAACATTAGGCAGACCTTGAACATCCCTTGCACGGTTGAGGATGACAATGTGAGCTTCGCTTTTCGTGCTCGAGAAGATAGCAAAGATCTGTCTGTCGCCGGAGGAGATATGATACAGGTAATGATATGCTAAGGGCGAATCTTCCAGATAGGTCTGTTGAGAGGTCGTACGGCAAAGAGTCGAGAGGTCAAAACCACTGTCTAACCCTTCTCCTAGCACTCCTCGCTGTGTTTCGTCAAAGGTACACACACTCCCCAGCTTCAGAACGGCCCGGAGATTCAGAGGAATGTTCCTCTCATACACACCCTCGACACTGGGATGTTGTAGTAGAGCGTCAATCTTATCCGCTTCTCGCAGGAAAGTGTCTTCAGAGAGAGTAAGCTTGAACAAGTGAACAGAGGGATGCCCATTTGGTAGTGTATGGTTGACCTTCTCGACCTCGCATTCTGGTACCTCAACGTTAGGCAGTGAATCTTGCTTCAGGTTAATGTAGACAGTTCGCGGGACCTTGACTGTGAGAGCGTGTATCTTCCGGTCAATCAGAACAAATGCTCGTACGATACCAGGCCTGCTTGTTTCAGCAAGTTGTAAGACTTGCCATGTACTAATGTACAGCAGTTCAGCTTGGTTCCTGAAGAGGTGGCTTAACGAATCTCCACCGGTATTTGCCCTCTCACCAAAGAGTTGTCGGCGGCGAAGTCGAGCTTGCTTTTGTATTTTCCACTTTTGCTTCTGATACTTCAAGAACCCAACATAATCATCTGTCATGGACGGCATTTTCGGCGGGAGACTGGCAAACGGGTCGAGAGATGTCTTCTGGGCACCCTCAGGATGCTTTCGTTTCTGCGAGACCTTGTTCGGGGACGATGATTTGAGCTTCTCCATTGAACTGGCCATGGCCTCGTCTAAGTTGTCATTGTGCTGGACACGGTGGTCAAGGATGTTGGCTGATATATCGGACAACGGGTTCTTTTCGGATTTCCCAAACATGTCGGTCATCTTCACCTGCTTGAACCTGTCATCCTGCCTATTGATTCTTCGCTGCAGCCAATCTGGATGAGCGACTCTGGGTACCGGGTTACGGATCTTCTGTAGAGCAGCTGGAATCGTGATCAGCTTCTGTACAACGGACCCCAACCGCTCCAAATAGTAGTCCCAATCTATAACGCTCCGAGGGTCCATATCACCAGGGTCATCCTTCAGCCACTTCCGTAAGAAATGGCGCTTGATGCTGGGCTCAGCTGAGAAAATGGTAACCGGGATAGCTCGTTCGGTGACAGGCGTATTCCTTGGCCGTGCCGAGATAATGTACTTGCAGTTGAGGCCTTTATCTTTGACCATCTGCTCTCCCAGGAATTCTGCCAAACGTCGCGCAGTGGTGATGGATGTCGACTTCTGGTTGCCATATTCCTCAAGCGTCTTTGTCATGCTCCTGTTCTCCGAAATCAGCTCGATAAGCTCTTCATCAGCTAGTGTGGACCCGTGCTCGTAGAGGACGTCCAGCCATCTATCAGCGACACGAGCCACTGCAGCATACGTCTCAGCTAAAGTTGTGCCCTCGAGGAAGAACTTGAAAATCTGCGTCTGGAAAATCTTGATGAGCTTCAACTCTCCGCGTCGCTTGACCTCAAAGCCCTTCAACTCTGCTAATGAACCGTCGTGGTTGAAGACCGCATAACGCTTCTTCAAGTTCTTGTCTTCTTCCTTGGACGTCGGCAAGATCATCGCTCTGTAAGGCCCATCGACTTCGAAGAAAATGGAGTTCTCGCTGTGCGTCTCGTACTTGAATGTTGCGGGATTGACTAGGGCCTGGTATTGGTGATTGGTGTATCGACCGTGAACAAGATGATTCAACATGACACAGGGATAAGAGATACCGAGCTTCTTGCCATTCTTGAGAGTGAAGGAGAAGTTCTCCGGAAATGACCCGGGAAGCATACACCAGATACCGTCGGTGTCCAGCTCGAGGGGTCGTCCGATTCGCTCAACAAGCTCTCTGGCCATTTGAATGATATGTGCACCTGTCAAACAAGTCACACCGGCCATTTCCATAGAGTACCAGCGAGATCCCTTTCTCATGACATATCCGTAGAAACTGTTCAAGATAACCTTGTGCGCAAGCTGTAGCGAGTCAAACAAGATAATCATTTTCTTTGCATCTTCGACTTCTGCGGATGAGGCGCCTGCAGCTTTTAATGCGTCGGTTTTCCCCTTCCAGACCTTCTGCTTTCCCTTGAAATCGTATCGTCGGTCTCGGAAGCTACGCACAGTGTCCACGTAGAATGGATTCTCCCGTTGACAGATAATGGCCTCCCGGACCATGGTCTTGCTGTCGTGAATCTTGTGGTAGATCTTCTTGCTGTAATCCTGAAGACGTTTCTTGATAATCGCCGCCTGTTCATCGGCGCTCATATCGGTAAAAGCTCTCATGGGCGCTTTCTTGGTCCTGCCAGGGAAGCGCTCATTCTGGACAGCTTGCCGGATCATGTTGTACTCGTCACGTTTAGCAGGGAGGAACTCGCCACGCCACGCCCACGGTAGACGCCTGTCACAGGTCTTTCCAGGCCGATTGAAATCGCACGCTGCACAATTTGACTCTTGGATCAATGAATCTGGTTGCAGTCGATTTGTGATCATGATGTTAGGGTACATAGAGGCGACATCCAAGTGATAGATGAAGGGCACTTCGTTTCTTTGCGGTTTCTCCTTCAAGTCAGTGAGAAGTTTGACAATCTGCGCCTTGACCTCATCGTAGTTTGTGACATCGTCCATAGACTTCTTCTCTTCAACCTCAACACTGAATTTCAGAGCTGCATCAAGATCTCTGAGAAGTTCATCCACCGCAGTCGGGTCAATATTGAATGTGACTGGTATGTCGCTTCGAAAAACACCAGCTTCAATACTTTCGACGTGTCCACCGACGTAGGTCTCCGACTCGAGCAAGTGACCCTCATAGAAAGCTTCCGGAGGATCCTTGTGCTTATTTGGCAGAACAATATTGCCCTTGTATGCTTGGACCATCAGCAGCATTTCGCAGAGCGTTCCAGTACCCTTGCGCAGCGTGTCATCCGGATTCAGAGGCAGAATTGTGCAGAGAGAGAAGATGAATGGGTGGACGTATTTCATGTATAGATAGTACGTAGCGACAGCATCGGAAACGGAGTATTCGGCCAATGTCTGCGGGCGCTCACTGGCGTAAGGCGTCATGAGTTCCGGATCAAGCTCATCAGGGTCATATCCGAGCTTCGCAACCGTGACTGCTTTCAAACCACGAGAACCCTGTGGGAGGTAACTGTCTCGGTTGACCCAAGCAAAGCAGTCCATATGCACACAGTGGTCGCTCTGGTAGATGTCTTCGTTGTTTTTTCGGAAGCCAATCTCCATATACATGTCGATTCCCAAGACGCTTGCTCTAGCTTCGACGAAAGGCCAATCGAAAAAGTCACCGTTGTACGTGGCAATGACTGTTGGTTTCGCGAGTTTGATATGGTCGAAGAACCTCTCAAGGACGGCCCGCTCGTTTGGCTCGTTGAAGATCATAAAGGGTCCGTTGTACTCGGGTTTAGGAGTGTACTCAAAGTCGTTGATATCCTCCGATACGATCTCGCGGTTGGTGATCAAAAACCCTTGGCCATCAATCATGTACGAAATCATCATGATCTGATCAATCACTGAATCGGGGAACTTCAGCGGTAGCTTTGTTGTCTCGATATCAAATGCGAGGACGACGGGATCCGCTCGTTGAAGTCGTTCTTCCAAGCAAGTCAATGAAATAACGCCGTGCTTTGCCTCTACCGTGTACCATTTTCCTATTCGTATATCTGAGCGGAGATAACGTTAGCCACCCATTCGATGCGTTGAGGTTCGTTCATACCCTTGTCAATAGCCACTCTAACATGGTATGGAACATCGTATTCTCGAATATCAATTATAAAATCACTCGCATCCACATTGCCATTAGGTCGTGTCTCATTAATCAGTTCGTCGTCAAAGAGATCGAATCCAGCGTTCGCGCTTGGAAGAAGTCAGCCTCTTGAGACAAAAAGTATGCTCGTGTACTAACCTTGAGATCTCCACATATGTATCCATCATGTTAATATTCTTCTTGTTTTTTTCCGCTAGAGGCAAAAGCGTCCTTCGCACTTCAAGCAAGTGGCTCACACTAGCAAAGTTCAGTTGAAGAAACGTTCTTCGATGCCCAAGTAGATGGTTCGGCAGGTCAAGATCTTCCTTCTCAAGCCTCCTAATCTTCTTTATGAGCCCTTCAAACATTCTGCGACACCATTCCTCAACCTCTGCTTCACGGCCCGTCTTGACCGCAATGAGGAAATAAGGGTCATATTCCACAGTCGCCTTGAAGCTGCCTCCGTCGTCTTCGAGGAAATAGTAGTCCACCCCGGCGCGTCCTCCTGGGATCTTCGGGTCCTCTATCGTTGTGCTGTGCATGTTGATGAGCCAGCCGACTCTCTTCTCGCCCGCTTCGAAGCGCGGGAAGCCCAGCGACTCGTCGATGCTGTTCGCCAGCCGGATCGCCTCGAACTTCTCATCTTGGGATGTCGCTTCTGAGGACCGGAGGGAGGAGAACTCGACTGTTTTCGTTCGTTTTGGGTTGAAAGAGGCCGCGCCGGAGCGGAACTTGGTCCCGTATTTACTCGGCTTTCTTAAAGGCATTGCGACACGCCCCGGCCGGGGTGAGGATCACTGCAGGGTAGAATGAAGGATTTGGTGGAACATCGAACACGTTGATGGGATGGAGCAACAAAGATATGACTGTAGGTACGGAGTACAACCTCGCGAAATCTTAACTTTGGTGAGACCGCGTTCAGAGAGTGGTGATCTAAGGTCCAATGGGTCTCGATTGGGCCCTCTGAGCAATGCAGAATCTCCCCATCAAAGGGCCGCCTCCGCGGCAAGACCGACGCGTTTATTCGCGTTGTACTATACGCGTGCCATATGATTGGTAGCTCCCTCGTGACCGCCGGATAAACCATTTCGTTTCCGGATCGGACTAACTATCCTCCGTAATAGCATGATTGTTACCGAAAAAGACCAGCAGATGTATACCGACTGCATTGGCAAGCAATTTCCCGTTCAACGGCACAATTAATCATGGCAGACGATACGCGAGAATCCGCGACACCCAACACAAGCCAGAACGTGGCCGAATATGACCTCCCACCGAAACCACAACCGAAATACGACGTCCCAAAGTCACAAGTCGGGAAGCTATGGGATGCCTTTGGAAACCCGGAGGAGCCGGTGAATATGCTGCCGAACGCTGGAAAGACAGCCAAGGATGCTTCGGTAACAGAAGCTATGAAATCAATGTCGCTGAAAGATGCGACCTCGTTCTATAAAGCGCCGTGCGCGCGCGACTCTTTGCTCCTTGGAATCGGAGCTGGGTTTGGGGTTGGCGGGGTGAGGGGTGTTCTTGGAGGTATACACTTGATCAAGCTTTCGTTTCAGGATATCGCAACCAAGGCTGACTTATCTCGTTATAGGACTACGCTCAATATGGACCGCATGTAACTGGGCCGTCGGCGCATTCGCTATCACATCCCTCGCAGCGCATGAATTCTGCCAGCGCCGGCGGATACAAGAATTGGATGGAATGAAGCAGGCCGTGGAAATGATGAAGGAACTGAAGCTGAAGAAGCAAAGGGAGAAGGAACAAGCAGCTGCGGAAGCTGCTCGTTTGGCGGAGGAGGAGAGGAAGCGCAAGAGCTGGACAAATCTTGCAAACTACAAGTTCTGGTAGAGCTTCTGCGCATTGTTTGGTGTCATGGAGTTCGTTGGGCTCGTATTGTATATTAATTGGGATGTAAAGTATATGCTTCTGGTTTTCGCTGAACGCCGCCAAACTACCCATGTCATTATTCAAGATCCCTATTCCCAAAGCCAGATTCCATTCAACGCCGCTGTTCGCCTTTTGTGCTCCGAACCCACAATCGCTTGTTGTATAATGAGGGATACACCAATTGCCAAATGGTCGCATAAAACTGGGTCAAACGTCAAATTTGACCCTTTTGTTGATACCGCCTGATTGGACGGTGCGCAATTTATCCAAGTCGTTGCCATCTCGGCGCTCTCTTCGTCGCTCGCGCGCTTCTCTTGCTTCACGACTTTTCCAATCTGTGACTTGTTTCTGCCTTTTTTGCGACCTAGCCCACGCAATCGCCGCAGTGGGCTTGAAACCTATGCCGTTGATACCATAGCCGTCGTCATCAGGATCGGTCGGGTTATGACCTGTTATTTCCGAGTCACTCCATGTGAGTAATTCCACACCCGCCTCACCGGGAGGTGGAGGCGATTTTCTTGCACCACGCTCTTCCAGGGGCGCAGGAGTAGTTCGATTTTTGCGAGGACTCGCAGAGGCTTTGCTCGGGCTCACTGAAGTTTGTGCAGGTTGAAGCTGGGGCTCAGCGTCAGTGGCTGAGCACGAAGCATGTGGTTGTTCATTTGGCGAACGAGGGCGTTCTATCGATGTTGCTGAAGGTTGCGAATCGGGCATCGCATGAAAGCCATGGAGGTCGGAATGCTTGGGCAAGCAGCTTGTCTGCAGAAGAGGAAGAATGGCGGTTTGGTGGAGACTGCGATCGGGAAGCTGCTGGTGGAAATCGCCCCGTATTGCCAATTCACTAAGGCGGCCAGCCACCACGGCTCGAGGGCTGTACCTCCCCTGGTCTTCCCAGTCTCGGAGCCTCGCTTCTTGAACGCTTATGATGGACTGGCCAGATTCTGGGGATCCAGGCCAGCTATGACTGTTCGAATCTTGTATAGAGGTGCTGAATGGTATTGAAAGTGCTGATGGCATCATCTTCGCGGGGTTCGGGTGACTTGTACAAGTAGGTGAGGGGCATTGACAACGAGGGACTGCCGATATTGGAGATAAACCTCACTTTTACCGGTTGCTTTCAAGTATAGAGGATACCATTTTTATATCAGGCAGCTGACACAAGGAGAAGAAAGTCGGGCCATTGTCATGGCAGCAAGGAAGTCAGGAAAGAACTTTGTAGAACCCCCCCCTTGAGAGGAGAGGGGACGGCCACTTATTCCGCCCGAGCACATTGGCAGCCAACAAGCTCAGGTGAGATAAGAATAGAAAGATTCAAAGGTTAGATTCCGTATCAACAACCAGATTTTGAAAGGCGTAGGCCCAGGTCACATAATTTACAGAAACAAAGCCCATCAGATCATGAAGGAGCAAACTGCAAACAGACACAATGAAAAAACCAAGAAAATAGCATAAATCAACCGTACAACGCCGCGATAAAGACGCCCTCCTGCCCCCAAGAAACTGTGGCTCTAGACCTTCTTCTTCTTCTTGGATGGCTCCGCATCGGTGTCGTGCTTCCGCTTCTTCTTTTCAGACTCGCCGACGTCCGACTTGCGCTTCTTCTTCTTCTCGTCTTTCTTTTCGCTCTTCTCCTTCTTCTCCTTCTTCTCCTTCTTTTCTTTCTTTTCCTTCTTCTCAGCGACGGCGTCCTTCATCTCCTCATCGCTATCTTCACCGTCGATGTGCACATTAGCGAGGGCAGCCTCCATAGCGTTTTTCTAGAGGAGAAAGTTAGTCATCAGTCTAGATCAATGACGAAAATGACAGGGGTTGAAATGGTGGGAACATACCATGGCAACCTCGTTCTTAGTGGGGGCAGCGCCAGAAGCATAGAACTCGAGACGCTCCTCAACCTGCTTCTTGAGAGCATCACCGAACTTCGTCGTGGGCACTTCGGAGAAGTTGTCAATTCTTGAGGCGATAGAGCACTTGTTGGCCAAGAATCGCGAGATGCGGCCCTTGTTCTTAGGACCAGCCCTCCCGATGAAAGAGGAGTGGTACAGGAGACCGTACTTGGGAGTGTTTCCCTTGGTCTTGAGGGCTCTGAAAAGAGCCTTTTCAGCACCCAGAATTTGGACAGTGGAGGCAGGGTACTTGGACAGGTTGGTCAAGCTTCCAGCGTGAGAAATGAGACGCGCACCAACGATCTCACCAAGGAGAGCAGCCAAGTTGGGAGCGACCACGCTCATCTTCGAGACCAAGTAGGAGTGAAGAGATTTGCGGTACTTGGAAAGGCTGACGACACGCTGCGCGAAAGCGATAACATTCTCCATGTCGGACTCGGAGATTTCCTGACCCATACTGTGCTTGGCGGCATCAATGATGCTCTGAGCGACACCCTCATCGTCCTCCACAAGCGCGGCAATGTCGTGCAGGCTCTCATCAGTGAGGGTCTTCTTGTCCTTGACGAATAGAGCGACTTGAGCGTAACGTTGGTTGTCGGACACAATCTTAATGAGTTCGGGGAAGTGCCAAGAGTACCATTCGCGCACTCTCATGGAGAAGGTGTTGATGGCCTTGTCGAGCTGGTCGAGGATAGCGATGGCCTGAATGATGTGGTTGTCGTCGCGCTGGACGGAGAACTTGACCTTGGCTCGCGAGTATGCGTGACCGAGACCGAGTTGAGCAGTATCCATATCACCCTCCCGCAGTTGCTTCAGCAGCTTGCTAGCGTGCAGTCTGACTCCACGGAGCATGTCCTGAACGACTTCGCTGGTATCACCGGTTTCGCAATCGACGAAAGAAAAGGCGGACTTGATGCTTCCAGCAAGAGTCTTATCCGAAAGTCCCAGCACAACCTTCTTCTTCTTGCTAGGCTTGGGGAGGTTCATTTCCAGGAAGGAGACGAGCGTTTCTGAGGCGACACCCTCCGAAATGTCGTTAATTTCGCTCAGGGCCTGCTTGTTGTTCCTGCAGTGTTGTTAGTTGGAGACTGCGCAGAGCGAGTAAACGACAGAACGTACTCGAAAGGCAAGAAACTGGACAGCTGGACCATTTTTCCGAACTTGGCTAGGTCGTTCACACCTTCCTGAACCTCCTTCAAGCTGTGTCCCACGGCGTCGCCCTGGTGGGCAACCTTGAAAAGTGAGTAGCCCATCGGGCCCTCGAAAAGAAGATAGTCGGCCATTGCGAAAATCGGGAAAGCCCCTGAGCACAAATAGGACTTTTTTTTCGTGTAACTGATCGAGACTCTTTCGACTTTCGCAGAGCTTCGAGGCTGTTGACCTGGTGTAGGCCGACGTGGGGATTGAACAAGTGCCTCGAGGTTAGTTTTTGCAGAGTCGAACTGTCGAGACTTTTTTTTCACGCAGCCGGCGCTAGTAAGAATCCCGAATGTGGGCTTTGCCTGCTCACCGCATTCGACGGCAGCACCACGAGCTTTGCGGCTACACTTTCGCAGCAGCAAGCCCAATTCTTTCTTTTCTGTTTGTCTCAGCTCGGTGATAATTTTCTGGATACGTCTGTCGGCTCTTGATAATTTGTGCAGATATGTCCGCAACTCAACTGCTGAACCCCAAAGCGGAGTCGAGGGTATGGAGAAATACCCCTCAGTGACTTTTCAGAAACTAACAATATACAGCGGAGGGCAGAGGCCTTGAGGGTGAATATCAGTGCCGGTGAGGGTCTTCAGGATGTGCTGAAGTCCAACCTTGGTCCTTCCGGGACTCTGAAAATGTACGCATCAAATTTCTTACTTTCAGTACAGAGCTAACTGCAATCAGGTTGGTGGATGGTGCTGGTGGTGTAAGCAGTACCAAAGCTATTGATGGGTTATGATGTCTAACAGGATTACAATAGATCAAGTTGACCAAGGATGGAAATGTTCTTCTGCGGGAGATGGTATGTTGATCTACCTCGACGTGGCAGTTCCTGAGCAGATAGCTAACAGCTGGTAGCAAATCCAAAACCCCACTGCCGTGAGATCCTCTTCCCTCGTTTTCGGACGACAACCCCCATATTGACAATATAAGGTCATGATCGCTCGGGCTGCGACTGCTCAAGATGATATTACCGGTGATGGAACGACATCGGTCGTTCTTTTGGTTGGAGAGCTTCTGAGGCAGGCAGATCGTCACATCTCCGAGGGCTTGCACCCTAGGGTGATTACGGATGGCTATGAGATTGCGAAGAATGAAGCCCTGAAGGTTAGGAGGACGAGCATACTGCTGGCTATCATTGGCTAACACCGCTCTTATGCAGTTCCTCGATCAATTCAAGATCGAGCGAGCGATCGATCGCGAACTCCTCCTCTCTGTCGCTCGAACATCGCTTAGCACAAAGCTGAACAACGCCCTTGCCGAGAAACTCACTCCAGATATCGTCGATGCTGTCCTCGCTATCCACCGGGCTCCCGAGAAGCCTGATCTACACATGATTGAAATTATGACCATGCAACACCGGACCTCGTCCGATACGCAACTTATCCGCGGTCTCGCTCTGGACCACGGTGCCAGACACCCCGATATGCCGAAGCGCGTCGAGAATGCCTTTATCCTTACACTGAATGTCAGTCTGGAATATGAGAAGTCAGAGATCAACTCAGGATTCTACTATTCATCTGCCGAGCAGAGGGATAAGCTTGTCGAGAGTGAGCGCAAGTTCGTGGATTCGAAGTTACAGAAGATTGTGGAGCTCAAGAAACAGGTTTGCGGTAATGATCCTAAGAAGGGCTTCGTTGTCATCAACCAGAAGGGTATCGACCCGTTGAGCTTGGACGTCTTGGTGAAGAACGGAATCATGGCTCTTCGGAGAGCTAAGAGGAGGAACATGGAGCGTCTTCAGCTTGTTTGCGGTGGTATCGCGCAGAACAGTGTGGAGGATCTTAGTCCTGATGTTCTTGGATGGGCTGGGCTTGTCTACGAGCACCAGCTTGGAGAGGAAAAGTACACTTTCGTGGAGGAGGTCAAGGATCCCAAGTCGGTCACGATTCTGATCAAGGGCCCGAACCAACACACCATCGCACAGGTCAAGGATGCGGTCCGGGATGGTCTACGATCAGTATACAACACAATTGTCGATGGCTGTGTCATTCCTGGTGCAGGAGCCTTCCAGGTTGCCTGCCATGCCCACCTGTCCTCTGATAGCTTCCGCAAATCAGTCAAAGGCAAGGCCAAGTGGGGTGTCGAAGCATTTGCCGATGCCCTTCTGATCATCCCCAAGACCCTCGCGGACAACTCTGGACATGACATCCAGGACTCTCTCGCGGCATTGCAGGAGGAGCGAGCCGATGGAAACATTGTTGGCTTGGATTTGACCACGGGTGAGCCGATGGACCCTGTGCAAGGTGGTGTCTTTGACTCGTACCGTGTCCTGCGTAACTGCGTCGCCTCGAGCACGGGCATTGCCTCCAACCTACTTCTCTGCGACGAGCTTCTGAAGGCTAGGCAGATGGGTAGACAAGGTGGACCCGGTGGTATGGAGTAAGGGATCTCATACGCAAAACTATAGATACAAAATCATACCATAATCATGGAGCTGCCTTAGTTCTGATTAGAGAATTTCTGCCTAATTGTAACAACATTAATGCTCTTGACACAACCTTTCCTGCTGCCTAATCAATCAGAACCTCTCCTTAGACTACGGGCGGAGTCGATATTCCACTGAGCTAGTGACTGAAGATCGCCACATAGCTAGGTTGAAGCATTCATTACCGATCCGGGTGAGTACGAGACTAGAAGGTTCGTAAAGAAACTGTCGTTCGTAAGGGTCCAGTGTAAAACTGAATGTAGTTGCCTACACTTGAGCAGGAATGCAAGAACTTAAAGTACATGGGGCGAAACAAGCCAAATGCATTACTCGTCATCATCACTGCCTAGAGAAGCTGTCTCGCGGACCACACCGGCGGACAAGTGGTTGAGGAGGAAGCCTTCGTCCCTTACTGGGTCTCGCAAGTTGACATTACTCGACTTGGCCCAGTCGAGAACCTTGGATCTCCTCACGACGAGCGGGACTGCCTCGCTCTCCGCAGACGCTCCCTCGCGTGTCTTTGACGGTGATGCAGGCTCGACAACTCCCAGACTCCGAAGGGTCGTGATTATGTCCTCTGTTAGCATGCCGGTGGCCAGACCGATCTCCTGGACTGTCATGAGTTCATGCGTAATTTTCTTGCGGGAGCCCTTGGCTGATGAGGACTTTTGCGTCTTTGTGTCTTCCGATTCGCCTGCGGTGGTGGTGTTGGAGGATAGCAGAACAAGATATCGTGCTATACGCTCCTCCCAGAAGCGACCGTAGCTCTTGCGACCCATCTCGCTGAGGGGCCGTTCCGGACCGCCGATTCGGCTGCTATCCTGCTCCCAGCCGCTGAGTTTGTAGCTCACCCCCATTAGCAGCTTGCCCAACTGTTTGCGCTGATATGGAGGGAAGACGAGAATGCATGCTAGGTTATTCGCGTCCCACGAGAGCTTCTCCTTGGAGAAGAAGCCCAGGATGTGATAACTCTTGTCCGGGTCATTGGGGTCCGTGAAGACGAGGATATAGTAGAGGAAGGAGACGACATCGAAGAAGACGGATTTATGGTCGACGAACAGTTTCGCGAAAAGCGACAGGTTCTGCCCAAAAAGTTTGTGGTCTGCGCCGTCAACCTCCCAGACGGAATAGCCTCCGTTGTCGTAGACCTTTGTCCCTGGCGGCGTCGTCCGGTGCGGGCAGAGTTTTGTGTGTGTTGCATGGGTGTTTACGTCACATGCGTAGCGGAAACACCAGCGGCAGACGTACAGAGTGTCTGTTTCCTTGCTCACGAGGTCTTCGGGGTAGATTGATTGGTACCAGGTCTGGAAACGCAGGTTTCCGAGGACGACGTGCTGGACGTTGCGGGTCGAGGGTTTCGCATGCGACGAGGTATCGTCAGTGGCCATCGGGTGGGGGGTGCAAGAAGCTATGACTAGCTTAGGCGACGATGAGGAGGACGTGTAGTATCCGGCGTATCAGCAGGTTGTGGGTAGGGGTCCGGTGTCACAACAATCCCGGGGCTGGATCGAAGTTCGAGGCGATATGGCCCGAAAATGAGGCCATTGGCGAAAGTGCGGGTTGATGCTGTTTGCCGTCGAAGCGCGATCCCATGCCAATTTAGGCTTTCATGATGGATAGCGTGAATGTGTAGATATTGTGTCTGACACCAAGCTCATCGCACTATGTCGACGCAGAATGTTGCTGCTTTTGGGCCTGTCACGTGCATCGCCCTTCATCTAGAATTCCGACAGAGTGAATACATTCCGCTAAAGTTGTGTGAGATTCCTGTAGTTTCTCTTCTCAAACTCAAGATACCGGTGCTTACTGTAATCATCCTTCAGGCACTCCAAGTCTTTCCTTCAGATAGTGGCAAAATAAGTAAGACGGCCTCAACACGAAGCCAGGCATCCAAAGTCGATATCACCGGATAAAGGATGCTCCAACTTGGAACCTCCAGACAGTGATTTATCGATCCAGCTGCAGCCAATAAACCCTTCATCGCGCGGGGTACAGCCAATCGTGGTTGATTATCGAAGCTTGCACAAGACCCTTCTGGTTCGAGGAAACCCTCCCGAAACCAGCTCCTGGAAGCTCCTCCAAGCCCAATTATCTTGTTGCCTGCATCACCCTGACCGCACTGTTTGAACTCCCAACTCCTGTTCCACTGCACTCTGACCCTGTGTTACCATGACCGACTATAATTTGCCTCCTTGTGCCGTCTGAGCGGGAGCTTTGCGATACAAACGCGAGAGGCTTTGATAGGTCCTCCGACCTGCGGACGCAGGCAGCAGTAATCGTATCGTCCTCCGCGCCACCTCCTCTCACCAAATTTACGCCTCTTGCCTGCTCGTCCATCAGCCCTTTTCATCTCCTCGGTCCCTCTTATCTTCGTTTCCATTCTTGTTCTGGTTGCACCTATACTTTATTCTGTGCCCCTCTCTATCGGACAGCTTGACGCAACTTGAGCCTCCCCGGTCTAAAAGTGGACCCGCCTTTATCAACAATGCTCAAGCCTTTTCTGATAAGAGATCTTCACGATGATCCTCAGCAACAGGACATCGTGGACGATGCGGCATCTGATCTTTACAATGCTACAGATATCATAAGTATCGGTCCTCATCGGCGTCACGGCCTGGTACAGTTATCGGCCGCAGATTACGATGAGATCGCCTACATACATCCTCAAGCACGCTTGACTTATCTAGATGACGACGATGGAGAAATGATTACTGTATAGTCTCTGGCCACCTCTAAGTTTTGCCTTCTCTAATGATGAAACCAGGTCGGCTCAGCCCTAGAGCTCTCTCAACGTCTCGATGATCCGCCCGTGCATGAAGCAGACACTGGCTTTCCAGAACCCATTCACCTATTTGACATCAGACGGAGGAGGTCTGTTGTGGATCTATGGAAGAGGTTCGGGCATAATGAGCGCACAGCAAACTCAGAGACCTCAAATAATATAGATATTGTGGAAGATTTCAACGACCGCTCAACCACCCCTGTCGCAAATGCCACTCGTGACGCGGCTCCTTTCGTCGAGCACACGCAGGGCAACACGGCGGAGGATGATACCTCAGAGTCTTTCTTGTCGGCGTTCGAGGCCGAGATGTCGAGGGTGATGAATGAGCCGCAATCCAGTACTGAGCACAACGCTGCTGAAGGCGGCTCTCCTTCAACAGCACCACAGGCCGAGCCAACGTCCAGTTTGCCTCGGGAAACTGCTGATGCGTTTGCATCTGCTCTGCGTAACCTGATCGAGGTGGCGGAGCTCATCAGTTCCGGTGTGAGGTCAAAATTACCAGAGCTTGAGAGGCAGCTGGAGCACGCTCGACGAGCCCTCCCGAGTGATATCACAGACTCTATGCGGAATGCTTTTCTCCTCTTCGAAGAACAGGTCAAGGCAATGGCCGCAACTCTCAATACTATCCCAGAGGCAATTCGACGAGAAAATGGGCCAGGAGGTGTACACCATTTCCCGGAATTCCCAGCATTTCCGGCTCCTCACACTGCCATCCGCGGCTTGCGCGAAATGGGCGTTCAACTTGGTGGCATGGGTCAGTCATTACTTGACGTCTTCGAATCAAGCGTTCGCGGGGCGTTCCCGGGGCAGCTGGATAGCTACCTTTCAGGCTTCCCTAACTTCTCCGATGCGAACCGACAATCCAACCCACCGAACAATCCAGCAGAAGATACATTGAATAACCGTAATGACAATACATTGGGGCCTGAGGTGCGGCCGGACGACGTGCCAGCTGCCCAGCCTGCTCAAACTGACAGTGCTGGTGTGAGGTCGCCCGACATTGTATCAGGCGGGCCCGATAGTTCTCGACGACATGTGCAACAACCTACACAACCCTATCCCTTTTCCTGGCAGAATTCTCCGTCTTGGTCTTCCTGGTGGCTACCTCCTCACCTTCCACCCCAACATCCCCACTCCTTCTGGAACCATCGCCCACGTCGTCACCACAATCATCATTTTCCGCCTGCGCCTCCAAACCCCTTCCCAACTCTCCATCGTCCAGCACCACCACCACCTCCTCCTCCTCCTCCTCCTCCTCCTCCTCCTCCTCCTCCACAGTTGCACCCGGGCTCTGAATCCAATACCGCTGAGCAGCCTCCGCGTCCGGCCACGGAGTCATTGCTTCATAGCAGACCTGGGCCAGACGCAGACTCTACTCGCTCGCTCTTCATTGGCAACCTTGGATTCAACGTGACTGAGCGGATGGTTAGGGATGTTTTTATGTCCAGGGGCTTTGCAGTTGATGTCAATCTACCGCTCGAGTCCAGGACCGGTAAGCATGCAGGATTCGGCTATTTAATTTTCTCCACTGCTCCGGAGGCAACACTTGCATTGAGAGACTTTCAAGGAATGGTCATTGATGGGCACTCTATCAACCTGGAATATGTCGATAATTCTCCCATCACGTCTCTAGCGGGGCAGGACCAAGGCGAAGATGCCAACACTGCTACCGCAACCGCTCCTCAAACCTCGGGTGTTGCTCGACGTGGTACTAGCGGAACAAACGCCACACGACCGGCCAACACTGTACCTAACGATACTGTTCACGACATGCTACTTGCGGAGACGGAGGCACGCTTCCCACCTGTATCTCAGCTCGATGCACACATATTGGCTGAGCAATCAGCTACGCCACCAGCCTCACAGTCCGCAAACCCATCCAACCCGAGAGAAATTTTGCAAGCACCGATTGAAGAAAGCACGGGTGCATCCCAATTTCTTCCAGACCCCTCGCCGCGGGAAGGTCCGAGTCCGTCATATAATGCGCCGACACAAGCATTGAATACACAGCCTCGCCACTCTCACCGTCACCTTCATCGATCGCGGTCCCAAGCTCACATTCCTCGCCGTGCAGCGACTGTGAGAGCGGCTGAACAGCGCCATGTATCGATCGATCCATTTGATGCCCAGCCGATCTTAAGACGACGAGCCACTGAACGCCATTCTCTCCGGAACGGCCCAAGCATAAGCATATTCGATCCTCGGCACCCGGTCTCGAACCCGCATCCTTCTCAGCGCTTCCGACCACAGTCGCAGAACCTGAGCGCACACGAAGAAGAGCCTAGTGAAGAGGCGTCTAGAAGGCGAGCAGAAAAGGAAACGAGGAGACAACGTGCTATCGATGACTGCGTCGCTTCACTAGTTCAGTTGGGGTATGGAAATGAGCAAGATGGTGGGACGCAGAGGATGGCTGTCTACGCTGTGGCAGCAAATGGTGAGCTTGTTGATGCCATTGAGATGATTGAGGAAGAGCGAAAAGCGTACGAGCAGCGTGGCTAATTTTGACGAGTTTCCTTTTCTCGCAGCTTGGTTATGTAGCCTATCTCCTCTTTGGATGTTTTATTGTAGGTAACGATTGAATTTGAATAGTTCTCTGCGGGCTTCAGCCGTGTAAAGCATGAAAGATAAGGTAGTAGATAGGCTATCGATAAGGTTCCCAGGCCACGGGTGAGGATCGGCCCGGGGCCATCCCAGGACAACATTCCGTCGCAACCGTCAATCATCCAACTCTGTTGATTTATCCCCGCAGTCGTTTTCTTCCCTCGTTGAAAATGCTACCCTGGCGACGGGCCTTTTCCACTTCTCTTGGTAGACTAGAACACGCGGCCGTGACGCGCCCTCAATTTCTGAGGTGCGCTGATGTCGATAGAAAGAGCAAGCAGACACCCTGCGCTCTCGAAGGCCAGGAAATAAAATTACGAGGACTCCTCCGATCTGTACGCAAGCAAAAAGAGATTGCTTTTGCGGCAATCAACGATGGAACCAGCTTCACTCCCCTGCAGGTGATTTTAAGTCCTGAGCAAGCCGCCGGGTACGTCAAGGTTTCTGATCTTTGCGCTGCCAACCTCTAACCAGGTGCGCATCGCAGGTTAACAACCGGAGCAGCAGTTGAGGTGTCGGGGATATGGAAGGCTAGTAAGCCTGGCTTGAAGCAAACTCACGAATTGCACGCGTCAACTGTGACTGTTGTGGGTGAATCAGATAAAGTTGGCAAACCACCCTGAGAGCGTCACACAGAACATCTCTAATCTCTGATATCCATCATAGACGTACCCTATCCAAAAGAAGTACCACACCCCCGAGTTCCTCCGTCAGCACCCTCACCTCCGCTTCCGGACCCCGTTCAACACCGTCTTCGCTCGTTTCCGATCCGCATGTATAGCGAACTTTCCAAAAGCATTCCGCGATTCCCCGTTTGGGAATTTCCTACAGGTTCATCCGCCGATAATCACTTCGTCTGATTGTGAAGGCGCCGGCGAGACATTTGCAGTGGTGCCGCGGGAGACGCTGGTGACGGGGCTTCCGGAGCGGGAGCAGGATCACTTCTTCCGAGCGCCCAAGTACCTGAGCGTGTCGTCGCAGTTGCATCTTGAAGCGTTCTCAGCAGCGCTCGGTAATGTTTGGGCGATGGCGCCGGCGTTTCGGGCTGAGAGGAGCGATACCCCGCGACATTTGAGCGAGTTCTACATGGTCGAAGTCGAGTCCAACTTCATCTCGAATCTTGAGGATCTCACCAACATGACCGAGGACATTCTCCGCCGATATGTGCGGCAAATGTACAAGCTCACATCTACCGGTGAGTTTTTAAAAATGCAGGAGAACGCCAAAAAGGAGCACCCCGAAACACAGACATCGGGGGATCTCCACCAGCGCTGGGGGCACTTCCTCAAAGGGCGCAAATGGCGCCGTATGACCTACACCGACGCCATCGCTCGCCTTCAAAAGGCCGTCTCGGAGGGCAAAGCAAAGTTCGAACACGTGCCAACCTGGTCTACCGGCCTACAGCTCGAACACGAGCGTTACATTGTCGACGTTATTAACAAAGGCCGGCCTATCTTCGTGACCGACTACCCCAAAACCATCAAGCCCTTCTACATGGCCCCGTCGCATAGCCGCGACCCGACCAAACCCGCAGAAAAAAATCCAGGCAAAGAAACAGTCGCCTGCTTTGACCTTCTTCTCCCGGAACTTGGTGAAGTCGCTGGCGGCTCGCTGAGAGAACACCGTCTGCCTGAGCTGATCCAGAACATGCGCGAGCATGGACTTATTAAGAAGACTGCCATCGCAGTTGAAGAGACTGAGGGGCCGGAGGTAACAGAGCCTGAAGCCAAGGAATCTGAGGTTCAGGAGTCCGATATCAAGGACACTGAGGTTGAAGAGTCTGAGGTGAAGGAGTCTGAGGTCAGAGAATCCGAAGCACAGAAGACCGAGGTTCAAGAGTCAGAGGTCAAGGAGGCAGAAGTCAAGCAAACAGAGGTGGAAGAGACACAGGTCAAGGAGACAGAAACCCAAGAAACAGAAGCAAAGGAGTCACAGGCTACAGAACTAACACGCAAGGAAAAGAAAGCAAAGCGAAAGGCAGAAAAAGAGCAAAAAGCCAAAGAGAGAGAAGCGAGGGACAAGGAAGCCAAGGAGATAGCAGCAAAGGAGCAACTGTACCCCCATCTCCTCCCCGGCGAAGACCTCGGGCATCTCCAGTGGTATGCGGATCTTCGTCGATGGGGTTCAGCGCCGCACGGCGGGTTCGGTATAGGCTTTGATCGGCTTATCTCATATCTGACCGGTGTGCAGAATGTAAGGGATGTCGTTCCTTTCCCAAGGTATGCCGGCAAGGCGGACTGCTAGACAGCTCTTCGGTCACGGTTTCATGTGTATGTATCTCATAGGAAGGAAATGTATGATAGGTTAAGGAACATATTCCCTTTTTTCTCTCTTCATCGAACTTGAACTACAATATCCCTTAACTTCCCCCTCTTCTACCAAACCCGCACTCATACTTAGGTTGCTATGTTGCTCCAGCCCTCTCAGACCCAGGCATGGCTTCATGTCTCTGTCACAGTCACAGAGCACCACTGCGAACTCCGACCCTCGTGCTGCTGTCTGTAGTAAACCACCTGTACTAGTAGTCGTCTTAGAACAGGCCGGATCTGCACTGGGTTCGGAAACTAGATCCGGGATGGCTCATCTCCCAAATTCGAAAGATAATGTTCGCCATTGCCATTCTCGCCGTTGAAACTTAAGAGCATATGTCGGGAGATAGATCTGTATCCATTGTGGTGCATCGTGGTATCTTGTTGGTGAGGCCGAGGAGCAACGGGCCGGAATTCCGTTGGGCTCGTATCCAGTAGGTGGACAGGTAGACCTCAGGATTTTGGCTGTGAGGTACCAGTGTATTCACAGAGGGTCGGACAAGGCAAAGTCATTTCGAAGCTGCTAGCTCGTCCCTGTGGCATTGAAGCTTTTGGTACGCATTGCAGTTGATACTCGTGTTTGTTCATTAGAAAGGAGCGACCTTCTTTTACGAGAAACGATCCCATAATTGCGAGCATATCACTGCCTATGCTCGTATCCATATCATATCATATCGACGACCTGGGTAGGGACACGGCCAAGGCAGTCTTGTGCAATATGCAGCCTTGCCACCACCACCGAGCTCATATCGACCTGTCTTATATCCCTCCGGCTTGCGCCTTGCATATGTATGTGCATACGGAGTAGATAGATAGGAAACTGGCAGCCATCTATTTCCAGAATAAAGTGCCTAGTCTTCTTGCCACCTTCGACGGTCAGCTCTCACCCCGGCCCGGTCCCTTACAGTAGTCGAGTCTAATCTACCTAGCATCGTATTCGCAAGCACGGACTCGGAGCACCAAATATGGAACTGAAATTAATCTTACGGCACAGCCCTGCTCCAAGTGGCCCTGGGCCGAAGGTCGAGAGATCAGCACGTTATCTTCATATGGAGTACGAGCCTCCGAGGGCAGTGACCGATTATTATCAATAATGTTACATCGCGGATGAGGCGAATCAAATAATTTCCCAAGGTCTCGATTTTTTATGCATTGGGTCCACGGCGGTCTCCGCCCGCTTGTTCGGGGGCGCCGCCGTCGTCTATACTACGGGGGGGGACCCAGATTGATTGTAACCAAGTTACCGGTCGTAATCCTTCACTGCGACATTATTACTCGAGAGGTGGATGAGTAGGTTGTGAGCAGAGTCAATCGGATGATGACGATTGTGATTAGTATGATTAGTATGATTCGATTACTCAACCTTTAAAAACAGACATGAGTTAATCGAACCCAATCTGGACGTTGAAAACTCGAGACAAAACAGATCAAGGTAAGATGAAGAATTAACCTCCGCTGTCACGAGGGAACAAGCTCAGAAGGTCTCAGACAGACACAACGGCAGTCATTCGGCCTTGGCTCAGCTCGAGTTGTTGAATGAATTATAATAGAGTTGCTTAGCTGGGCACGTGGCAATAAGACCATCTCACTCCAAGACCAAGACACGACAAGAAGACCAAGAATGACGGAGGGACGGACCCATTCGTATAAATTCGGCGATTCATCGTCATTTCAGCCCCAAGACCAAGACCAAGACCAAGCCAAGCGGGGGCCAGCGGCCCCAAGCGGACCTGGCAGTGGGATATGTAGTAATATTGGATTCAGCCGAATCAGCCCAACGCTTTATTTCCGATCCAAACGACTGAGCATCAGCAACGATTGAGGCCAGAATTAGAGTAGTAACTCGGCACTCTGTTGTAAGTGTAACAGGCTCTCTCGTCAGCGACAACTCCAAGCTAGCGGATAGTAGCGGCAGAGAGTGAGAAGACAAGAACAGCAAGAAACGAAGATGAATAAAATAAATCCCACGAACGGAGTCCAGTGGAACCAAAAAGTAACGAGAGTAAGCCATGGCGGCAGTGTCTCGGAGGCTCGGGGCGAATAGAATGCATCGATTTAAGCGATTCGCAGCCATCCTCGGTTGGTTCTGCTTCAACTGTCGCCACGACCCGACAGACTTGTCGCTTTCGCCCTGTGGACAGGTGCTTGCAGGTTGTGGACACAAGACACAGTTTGTGGTCCAGTGGAGCAGCGAGCCGACGATACGATACGAGGGCGCTGCTTTCCAGGCGCCAAGAGGCTCGGCTGGGCGCAGACTGGGGACAGTTGACAAGGCTTGGGGGTTTCTTGGGTGGGATGGCACGAATCATTTTCATTTGCTGTTTGTCAGATGGGTGGGAAGGCCATGACGGAGGGGGGATTTTTATGCGAGCATTTATATTAAAATTCGGGGTGGATAAGCAGGAACGAAACTGGTTGGGACTGGGACTGACTTGGGTTGGGATTACTACTTTATTGACTCCAAGCTTGGCTGGGCGGTCCACTTGTCTTACTTGAGGTGTATATATAGGGCATAGACGGTGGGTAGTGATATGTAGTGGTGATTATCAGAAATTAATCGGGAAGGTAAAGGAGAAGCTGACATGATTATAAGGGACCCCGTAAGCGAGGAAGCAAATTCCAACAGCGGGTGAATAAAATCTGAAGGCTGCAAAATTTAAAAAAGAAAGAACAGTGGATCCCACGCGGGGGAAATGCCAAGTTGCCAACCTTACTACCGTTAAGCATATCTCCTGGATGAGGTATTTTTCTGACCTGAAAAGTGGGAGTGTGCCAGAGACAAGCCTTGGCCCTGCACGCTTTGACTTCGCGACTATTGACCACCGCAAAAAGAAAGCAGAGCGTCAGCGACTTGTCTTCATATACTTTAAACCAATTATGCTAGTGGAGATGAGCCTGTGGAACGTTTCACAACACCCCTGATCAGCCATCGACGCGCTTCCAACTAACCGCAGAGGGCCGAGGGAGGAGAGAGAGGTTACATTAGATCGATGCACAATTATTTAAGAGAAACATAAAAGCCCAAGGGCCGGTTTGCAAAGATAAAGGAAACCGAAATGTGGACTCGGGAATCCGGCACACTTCTATCCCCAGTAACAGCAGCCGACTGGCCACCAGAGGATGAGGTGATTGCGGGCTGTGCACCAGGCGACCCGTCTCTTCTTCTGACGGACTGTTGCAACTTGTGCCGGAGAATACGGAACGCGGAGGGATCAACCATGACTCTTTTAGGAGGATTAGCTTATTTTAGTCTCGTTTAGCTGCGTGGCCAAGGAGCCAGAGGCAGATTGGCCCGACTCTGTTGGCGATACGCTTATCCTGGCGTCTTGTCGCACGATGATACTAAATATCCTGGATTATTATTGATTTAGTGCGACATATTACGTGAGTTCGGCGGCCTCTGACCAGTGTTCCTCTGTCGGCGACCTGGGTCTGCGAGTATAATAAGAAGAAAAAAAGACGGAACCTTGTTGTGCAGGAGGGGCAGATGACTGATCCTTCACGCTGGGCTGCGAGTCATTGGACACGGGCAACAAGCTTTACGAAGGGAGAAGACGCCTCCAAACGCTGGTGCCTGTGAGGTGCGCCTACGGTCGTTTATTTTTCCTGCGAAGGGCACAGGAATCAGGTGGCTTGGAATACGAGTTGCCACTCTGCTTTATGTAATAGTTACAGGCGTATTGTAAGCGAGTTAAGGTTCCTCGTGTTGGTTTAAGCTTAAGCTTCAAAAGTCACGCCCTAATCAGTTTCCGGTTGGCACAGCGCCACTCCAGTCACAGACTCGCTGCCAGGCTGCCAGATGGCCTGTCGTTGCGAGGGTGCGAGTTCCTGATCCATGGTCGGCCAGCCTACGGAACCACAGAGTCTGCTGCCATTAAACTTCTTCGTGCTTTTCTTTTTTCTCCAAGCAAAAGTCAAGAGCCCAAGAAACTTCTGCTAAAACAGCCCAGCCAGTGGGGTTCCCCACTTGCTCTAATTCTCGAATTCTTACCTGAACTGAAGACAACTGGAACTAACTCTGACCTTTCTGCCTTCTGTCACTTTCTTCTCTTCTCACTCTTCCACCTCCCTGCTCGAGAGAATCCTACACTACACTTCGATTCTGGCCTTTACTTTAACTCTTCATCAACCTTAACTCTCAGGTAAGTTCTACCCCCATCCGACCGGCCTTTTTTCTCTTCTAACCGCCGCTCCAGCACCCCTTCGCTTCGGCACTGACCCGAAATTACCGCTTTGGGTAATCTTGCACCCCGTCCCTGGGAGCGCTCAAATCTTCACCATTTTCGACCCAAACTCACCCCTCGTGGCCCTGAAACCTTCGTCTCTTTCGGGGTCCTACCACCGAAGCTGGATGGAGACGTATCACGGGCACGTCCGCACCCCTGCGGACGCTATTATCCTCTTCGAGGCATGTCGCATAGGCATGCTGCCTCGCGTGCAGCGGCGGCTTTCGGAGAAGGAGCGCCAGCTGATCCAGTCGGGCTCGGTCTTTGTCTGGGATGAGCGAGAAGCTGGCATGCGGCGATGGACGGATGGAAAGTCATGGAGCGCGAGCCGTGTTTCGGGCAGTTTCCTCACATATCGCGAAATGGAGGGTAAGCGCGGAGGCACCAGCGTACCGACACAACAGCCTCGCGCTGGGAAAACGCCAGACAGCGCACGAGGGAGCGATGATGACCGAGATGGACCGGACGATGGCCCGGATGGGTATCGGTATAAGCCTGACGGTCTGATGAAGCAGTCATTCAGTATCACGACCTCTACCGGCCAGCACCTACATCTCATCAGCTACTATTCGCGGTCGCATCCAAATGCCGCGAATCTGCCACAACCGTCCAATGATCCCAACCTCCGCAGTGTGCGCCCACAAAAGGGTCTGTATCCAGAGTCGACGGTCAACGACCAGCAAAATCTTCCCGTGGTCACTCGCGGGCCGATGACCGGCGGCAATCCATACGCTGTGCCCCCACCGCATCCCCAACACCATCCCATGGCCGCCGCCTATGCTGCTCGCTCTGGTGCTGCTACGCATCCTCAGTCATATGCCACCGGCTATCCCTGGCCTCCGACACCGCTCGGCACACCTCCCACCGTCACCATCCACTATCCCGCCTACTTGTCGCCTGCTCAACATCCAACATATCATGCCCTCCCACCACCGCCGCCGCAACCTTCAGGCCTTCCCCCTGGCTACGAACGAGCGATCCACCCGATCGAGAGCGCTGTACACGCACCACCGCCGCCGCATGTACTACAGCAGGGCCCTCTGTTAGTATCCGCCCGGTCTCCGCGTGTAATCGCCGAACCCACCCCGCCAGATTACGCAGACCCCCGCCGAGCGTCCCCGCGCACCCAACCTCACCCAAGCCCCCACGCAAACGGAATTCCCGTCCCACTACCAGCCACTCGAAGCCCGCGCGTGATCCACCAGGCTCCTCCTCCCCCAGCGTCAGCATCCCTCAGCATCCCGCCTCCTAATTCAACCCCCAAACTCTCTCCTCCTGAGACCAACGGCTCCGGTACCACAGTCCCGAGCATCAGCGCGATCATGAACGGGAGCCAGGCAGGCCCGCTACCTTCGATCTCAGCAGCGCCACCGCCTCCGCCAGGCGCTCCATCACCCGCTGGCTCGGGTTCTGCACCGGGGGCGCGGCCTGCAGATGGGCCGCGCGATATCCCCAGCGACAAGATTGGCTTTGGCGGCGAGGATATGCGAGCGCTCCGTCAACTCGATCGCGTCTTTACTACATGATTTCCTCGTTGACTTTCACATGATCAATTTATCTTCACACCTGATTTTCTGTGACTATGACTTTCGACCTACACAGACCCTGCATGCACCACCGTGCTACTTACTTTTCCCACCACATTTTTCAATTTTCCTCGGTTTCCATCGGCGTTGTACAAGAGGAGCATGCTGCATAGGCTGGGTCTTTGTTTCAAGGGTCTTCGTGCTTCTTCTATCTGTTTTTATCTCCCTTTTCACCTTTGCATTTGGCGGCTCGTTCGGCTTGCCCGGATTGAATGTGCAATGATACAGTGTTTGATCATAACCAACGGGGTACATGTACCTCGATGATGCGTTTGTGTATTAGCTATCTGTCCATCTATATATCTTTCTGAGGCTAGGTACTATGATGATCGAGTATCGATGAGTGGATTTCCTCCTGAATAGCGTAGTACATAATTGTGTACTTTCGACATAATGTAGCTCTACCAAGAGCTACCAAGTGTGCTCCATGATATTAGAGACCTATATGAACGAAGCCCCAAGCTCAAGTCCTCTGATCTTAGAATCAATAACGTCGTCCCAACATGCAACGACCCTATACTCCGAGACTGTGTCGCCGGTTCCAAATGGCTCAATCAAGTACCGAAAATGGCGGGCACTACGGGTCGACCCAGGACAGAGTTGCGTCGCTCCTCCCCAAATCCTTCGTTATATAACTCAAAACAGAAAAGGAATGAACGACTGCGCCCCAGCAGCCAAGGCGGGAAGGCACGACCCGCCTGTGGGTTGCACCTGCCTCACGTACGCTGGCTGTTCAAATAGGAAGGTACGCTCATATGCCAGGTGGCAGGAGCGACCCTATGGGCAGTCAGTCGTTCTTTCCCCAATATGCTACTACTCAAATAGAAAGGCACATTGATTTGGCAGGTACGACCTGGTGGGTCCAATAATCCGCTCAAGCCGAAACAGGAAGGAACGACCTCTGGCTCCTGGATTTGGGAAGGTGCGTCAATATGGAAGGTACGACCCAGTGGGTTGCTCCTTCCCAGTTCCATTCCATAAGTTGTTATCCGAATAGGAAGGAACGACTTCGGGTCTCTATACAGGAAGGCACGACCGGCCGGTGCTATAGATATGCTGGGTTGCCTTTTCCTTGTACATGGACGCACTCCATACTACCTATAAAGGTGCCTGGTAAAATCATGAACCTTCAAAGATGAGCGGAGCTATACTAACCATAGCTCTACTTGCTCTATTCCCTATTGCCACTTCCATCCTCGGCCCCCAGCAACCACCGCAACCCATCCACACAATCCATCTGCGCGGCCTTTGCCACAGCGAGTTCGTGGTTGTAGATCCAGAAGATGTGTGGGAGACTCTACACCGTGGACACCGTTGAGTTAGTTCAGGCCTTTCAGCAGTTTGCGTAGGTATATCGACAGTAGATAGTCGTACGCACCTCGTAGAACGACTCCCGAACTTCGACCCCGGCCTCCCGTAAGCCCTGCGCATAGCATACTGCGTCATCGCGGAGGATGTCGAGCTCGCAGATCTGTATGTATGTCCTGGGTAACCCGCTGAGTGTTCCCCAGAGCGGGTAGGCGCTCGGTGATGTCTTTAGGTGTGCTGGGACGTCGAGGGAGTCTGGTGACAGATATATAGTTAGCACAATCTATGTACTATATGCTCTGCGATACCCAAACAGTCCAATCCAGAACCCCCATGACCCAGAATATTAACACAGAAACAAGGGAATCAGGCTTACTATGATTAACCCGCATACTCCCCCGATTTGCATCAGCCCCCTCATACCCCTCCCCCCAAGAGGCATGAACCCGCCTCCACCGCGCGGGAATCAACTCCTCATCCCCCGCATCAACCGTCACAGGCGCCCTGAGGAGAACCCCAACTAGCCTTACCCTTTCCGCGACACTCTTGTTTCCTTCCTTAGCTAGCCACTCGCGCGCATGCTGCGAGATAATGGCTGCGAGGTGACCGCCTGAGGATGTTCCGCTTAGAATTAGCTTGACGGGAGTATTGACGCGGTTGGGAATATGGAAGCTAGGTTCAGAGCCTGCGAGGATGTCGAAAAGGTGTGCTGCAATATACTCAAACGCATCGATCCCATCGTTGATCGGGACGGGGTACTTGTATGCTGGACTGAGGCGGTAGTCGACGCTTATCAAGATGGTTTGTGTATAGAGGGACATGTAGCGGCATGAGACTGTATGGGGAATTGTTAGAAAGCAACATATCCTCAATTTGCAAACTTGATATGATATCTATGTGTCATTAGATGAATGTACGTACCATCCTCGGTCTCCAACCCCCCGGCCGTAAATCCCCCGGAGTGGAAGAAGATCACGACGCCATTCACACTCTCATCTTCACCTGTATCTCTACCACCACCTCCAATCTCAATCCCAGCCTCCTTCTCATGTCCTTGTTCTCGGACCATCACAGGAGTATAAACCCGAACCGGAATCCGGAACCCATCACGCGCAGGAACAGTGGTGACTCTCGCCACCACACCTGTCTGTAGCGACCGGCCAGCGCGAGTAGAAAGAAAATGCGGGTCTCGGTGCGGGTCGTCGTGTAGGAGCTTGGGGGTTTCGGCCTGGTATGTGTTCCATTCGGAGAGGGGGGTGGTCATTTTGGATTTGCGGGTGTGTTTCGGTTGCTGTCGTTGTTGGGATGCCGATGCGCATAGAACAATGAAAGATGGAAGGGGGCGCCGGGGGTGGTCTTTTATGTCATTAAGGGAAGTGTAGGTCTCGTATTCGGGGTTTGGTGGTCAGTCAAAGGGCGTGTTCTCGGATCTGGACAAGATGAGATGGATTAGGCAGACTTTGGGACTAGGTATCGAGGCAGGCTAAGGACTCACTTGCCAAAATTCTGCTCATTGGAATAGCTGGATAGACAAATTGGGTAGATGCATGCAAACACTAAATATACATAAACCTAAACGTCACAGTGTACACAGAAACAAAATTTACACAGTCAAGGTACGTATATATACTCGAATAATATTTACAACTGCTCGCACAGTAGAAGAGGTATACCAACATATATATAGTAGAAAGAAACCTGAAACCTGAAACCTGACCTGACGCTCCTGAAAACTCATGGCAAACTCATCAGGGCATACACTCCATCAATCAATATAAATACAAGCCAATCAATGCATACACTGCACACGACTGCAGACAAAAAGAAGCTGAAAAGCAGCCAGCCAGCCGATTTCTCTCCCCACTCCACTCTTTTGTCGTTTTTGTGGTAGTTAATGGACGTGGACTTAGTATGGTACTGTTGTGCCAGGTCCAGTTTTTTTGTTTCCCCAATTGACCGGTGCGAGTATGCAGAGTAGACACTCAATCCGCCTTCTTTTTTGTTGGGTGAAAAATGACGATGAAGAAGAAGCACCCCAGATAACCGACCTGACCTGACCTGGAAACTGATCGAACCGCACCGGATCGCCAAACATGATGTGGGGATATGCAAGATGAAACGAAGAAAACTCCAGATCTACCCTAGAGTAAACCATGCAAAGACAAAAAGTAAAAAGGGTTAGGTTAGGTGATGAGGAAGTCCATGTTCATCTCCTTGATGATCTTCTCCCAGTCCCAGCTGTCCTCGGTCTTGGTGTCCATGACTTCCCAGACGCGGCGCACAACTTTGAAGGCTGGCTCGATGTTGCGGAGGTTGGAGTAGGCCTTGAGTGCTTCGAAGCCTTTTTGGATTCTTTCGCGCTGTCGGGGGAGGAAGGCGGAGCATCCGAGGAGGAACAAAGGCATAAGCACGATGCTGAAAGCGCCAGCGTCCTGAGGGATCAGATCCAGAAACTCGAGCCCGTCGTCCACTACTTGGGCGATTTTGTCGCTTGGTCGCGAGGGTCGGATGGTACGGTACAGGTACACCCAGGTTGACTGTCGGTACAACTGGGCGAGATAGAAGTTTGCGGTGTTGGGTGGATGTGACGTTTCCCACGTTCGGATTGAAGAGTCGATCTGCACGGCGTCGCTGAGGATCTGATAGTCGACTGCCGGTTCGTATCCCTCGCTGAATCGCTGCCGGATCCTGTCACGTAGTCGGGTCACCTGCGAGATGTATCGGAAGAGCCCATCAAACACACCCAAGAACGTCGCGGCCTGTGCGTGCGGTACGAAATCCGGGAGGCGCAAATCCCCGTCCAGCGAAATCGGTCGTCGATCCAAGGAAGTGATCGAGTTAGAGACGTCGTGATACTGGAAGAACTCGACAATGAACTGGCGGAACTTCTCATTGCGCGGCTTCTGTGTCACGAGCAGGTACCTAGCTGCGTCCATATGTGGCCGGTACTCGCCATTAGTTTCTCCTTCACAGATAGTGTTCAGGCTGAGGGCGATCGTCGAAGCGATGATCGGGTCCTCCACCAGCAACTCAGGCTCCTCCTCCGTCATGTTCTGTCTGGCGGTGATATTCTCCTTCAAGTCTCGAATGGCGCGATGGAAGTGGTAGTATCTTCGTTCATTCACCCCTGAATCCGGCTGTAGGACCGACAAATGTGACCCTGACAGGCACATCAACGAGTGCATCAAACCTCGGTGTTGCGTCGCCATGGGTAAAAGGATCTCTTTGAAGGGGTTCGAGTCATCGTTGATAAGGGTCAGGACTCGGCTGAAGCCGTAGACGAAGTGATCGAGGAGCTTTCGGTCCATATCGGTTTCGATGCCGTCGATGAGGATGGGAAGGGAACGAGTGATGATCGAATTATTCCTGGCGGCTGCGAAGCAATTAGTTAGACGGGTTGCGACGAGGATTCCTGGTATTATGTCGCACCTTCTTCGAGCTTTTGCTTTCCACTTCTCCATATCTCCTTCGGAGGATATCCTTCGCAGACGACCGCATTCTTCTGGCAGTTCAAGCAGCTAGTAGTGGCCCCGGGTCAGCGTCTCTCCCTGACCTGGCCGAAAAGTTCTCGCACTTACGCAGGCTTGGTCTCGTCGCATTTCTTCTTGCGACGTCTACATGTGATACATCCAGTCTTGGAGCGGCCCTTGGTAACCTTGGTCTGACCCCCAGGGATGGGTAGTGGGTGCTTGCGCGGACGGCCACGTTTCCGTGGAACATTGACGGGAACAGCCGTGGCATCCGTGGTTGTCGCGGGCGCCACCCCGACTGGTTTGATACTCTGCAACCCGTCGCTGTCGTCCAACTCCTCTACTTTCGGCACTACATCAGGCTCTGGGGATGCGACAACATTGAACTGGAAGATTGTGGATGGGCCGATCAGGGTTCTTGGGATTTTTATATTTGTGTCGCCTGGAGGGGAACTGTCCGAAGGGCCGTCGCCGTCCCATGATTCGGGCGACTCGTTGGACGAGGAGTCGGTGCTCACGCTGGCGCGGTGGTGGAGCGAGTCGCCCATCATTGTGTAATCTGGGTAGGCAGGGTGGTCGGCGAGACTCGAGCGACAGTCGGAGGGCGGCGAATGCGTCAAGTAGCCATGGGAAGGGTTACTTTCGAGGTCGGGGGGAGGAGGGAGGATAAAGGTGGGAGACTTTTGCATGGACAACATTGACCATACAGGCTGGACCCGAGGGTCGGAGCTGACGTCGGGAAAGGGGAGTGGTTGTGGTCGTCGAAGAGGCGAGCGAGCCAAAGCGAAAGGAGGTGTCGCCTCTGTGGGAGCCGCTGAGTGGGATGGGGGAGGCGAAAGAGAGCGCAGCGCAGGGACGGAGGACGGAGGGGAGAGTCGGACGAGGGAGATGGGGTGGAGAGTGGTCGAAGTAATGTTCCTGGGAGAGGTGGGGGCGAAGAGACTTGGCTGCGGTTTGGAAGAGCAGGACAAGTGCGAAAAGAAGGAAGAGGAGAAGCGAGCTAAGGGAGCAACGACGGGGCCAGGTTCATATATTGACCTGCTGCGAAGCAGAGAGGAGTCATGGGAATGATTTGAATGAATAATGACAATCAGGTTGTCTGCTGGAATCTTACTGGAGCGAAAGTATGGGGATAACCGAGTTCCTGTGAGAAGGTATAACAGCCGGCGTTATTGGGTGCGAGTTGTGAGGATCAGTGGACCCAACAGAGGCACCCAGACTAGGCAAACTATACTTTCGTATACAGGTATTTTATCTGGAAATAGTAGTACATATACAGTATCGAGTACATACATGAGTACTACTACTACATATACATGAGTACTCCGTACACTGTACAATTCCCTCTATCCTTTCGAGTAGTACTCCGTACTCCTCTCTCATGTTGTTCCTCGTAGCTGTGTCTCCCAGCTTCTTTCACCCAGTTCCGTCTAATGCGGGGATTGACACGAGAAACTTCGCTAGAAACTTTTCGCATTTTTTGCTTTTTCTTGGAAAAAATATTTTCTCCTCATTTTTCTCCTCTGCCTCTGTTCCCCGCCGACTCCGGAGTAGTGGATGGGCAAAAGCAAATAAACCAGATCGAATGAGAAAAATTAGAAATGCAGCATCCAACTCTGTCCAATGCATGCGTGACGACGGCGGCGGATGATCCTCTTAGCAGTCTTCCCTGGATCCCAGGTCGCCAGCCGCTGGGCCAGAATTCCCCAGCCCGTCTCCAGAAATGCAGATGTGCATCTCGGACTCGGGAGGCCAGAAGCCTGAAGGGGAACTGCAGAGTCGACTCAGGTCAGGTCAGCGATCAATCATCAGGCTCACCTGGTAAGCTTTAGTTGCTGCCCTAAAGGCTCGTTATAGAGGTCGCATGCCACCACTGTGCCTCGACTATGAGCTATTATTGTCCTCCTATCTCTAAAGCTGGTGGACGGACTGACCGAGAACCTCTTCCGAAATGCGGTTCCACTAACACCACATTGAGCCTTTTGAGGCCATCGCATTGGGCTCTCTTTTCCTTCCTATTTTCCTCTCTCCCTTCCATTAATCTCCAGAAGGGATGCGAATCCCCATTCTGGGGTGTCTGTATTACGTGCATATAGGATGATGACACGGCTCGCTCAGCTGGACGCTACACCCCACGCTACGACTTGGAAAAATTCAACCTGGCCGGTTCCGACTTTGACCGTAGTTGTCCTGTGTGGAGATGGAGCAACAACCAAAGAAACAGGAATCCCACACGCTGATGGCCAGACTGTGACACTGCAGACCACCTTCCTCCTGGGGCAACAAGGCTGGCTCTGCATTGGCGACCCTTTCGTGACCAGTCGTACCAGTCGCCCGATCTCGACGCTGCGAGTGTTTCCTTTCTTTTCCTTGCGTTCGCCGCAAACTCCATGCACCTCGATAAATACATAAATTGTGAACAGTGTCCTCCACACTATCATGCCTCCAGATTCCAGAATCGAAATCCCCATGCAGTGCAATCCGTGTGAATCTGGGGAAGTGGACCTGATCTTCCCATTATTCCTCATCCTCCAGCACGGACGCCCGCCCTTTCCCGTTACCAACTTTTGAACTTACCATTCGGAGGAATTTTGACAGCTCCTCCGCCATCCAGATGATCAGAGCAGGATCAGGATCAGAACCAGGATCAGATGATGGCTGGAAGACCGAGGAAAATCCATCTAAATCCAATCTGGCAGGTCGGGTCAGGTTAGGTTAGGTTTGAGATCTGGTCTCCGCTTCTTGTTTCTTCAAGAGATGACCTCAGGCTTTCGTTCAACCCGGGAAGCCATTATTGCCATTCCATGCACGCAGCGCACGAGAAGGCGCCTCAAGGCAATCATTGCCGCCCGGTCATTTTCTGTTTCTGTTTACCGGCACGGTCAACCTTGCTCTGGGGGTTGGCGGCGTGATTGGCCTGTATTATATCCGAAGTGCTTGGGCCTCCACGTCGTTGCGCTGTTCGAACTTTGCTTGCTTTCTCCGGTTCGCAACGAGGCAATCGAGCGTCTGTCAGACGACTGAGCGGCGAACGCAAAGAATTCCAGCCTCAACCCTTTGGAAGAGCTGCGCGGAAATGCTTGTCCTGTCCATTCTGTACATTCCGTACATTTTGTGCGACACTGGCCTGGAAGTGAAGGTCGGGGCGTATGGTAACAATACGAGTATACGAAGAATACCACCACGAGGGGTAAGAGAAACTTGAATCGATCTTGTTGGGCCTGGGAGCGAAGTCGACGGATTACCCAGTGGGGAAAGCCGCAAGAACCGCAGGGCCAAGCAAGCACTCTCGTCAGACAGAATTTAACCCAGGACGGGGGTTGAAGTCTGGCCTGGTCTTTTTAGGCACGCAGGCAGGTACTGCGAAACTCGAGTGGGCAAGGGGAGCTATGACCCCTAATTTAACCTGAGGAGATGAGCTGGGCGCCCGCGAGCTGGCGAACATGGATGCTGTTCCGCCCGTGGGCAAAAGTGGGCGCTCTTGGAGTCTTGCGAGCCATCACGTTCCGGAGCTGCACACACTTAACCTGACACAGCGAGCTAGAGAATAAGCATCAGGGATTCACAGCGCGGATGAAACGGCTGCCTCCAGGACGATGTCATGATGAGATAACTCGAGTACAGGTCAGCCGATGCAGATTTTCGACTGGGTTACTCGGCGATCTCAGTTTGATCGCATGGGTCTCTGAAGTTTTGGATCGCAGTTCTCCATGAAACAATTTACATGTGGATCCACGGGAGGGAGCTCCCGTCAGCTGTCCGTAATTGAGTGCAGTGGAGTTAGAGAATCATCCCTCATCTCGATCAAATATAGTCACTCTGTGTAGAGTGACTACTGACCACAGACCCAGAGTAAAGTACATGTCTACCCCGGATCACATCATTACAAGCTCATCGCTCACGAGCCCGTCCGGCGTCAACCGTTCCGTCCTCTGTGCAACTCCCCAACAAATTACACCCGCAGCAGCGCTGACATCCTTGCATACCTAAACGAAGCGAAATGCGGAGACGACAGGGGCAAGCGGGGACGGAGCATCACCCCAGCACTGCCGAGCCCAGCCAGCTGTGCAAGCCTGGGTACAAACACCGTGCTGTCGACTCCTTGCCGGAAACAGAGGATGCCAAGACGCTCGCACGTCCGAGTTCGCTCAGTTCTTCACGAGTCCTGTGCCTCAGGCGTTCGCCGAAGAGTACTTACTGTCTGTACTGTTTGTAGAAGAGAGCGCCCAGCGGGCCTGAAGAGAGCTCAGCCATGGACCACCAAACAAGGCATCGCTCTGCTGTGTTCAGACCTCTTCCAGGCCATCATCTGCTCATCCTATTCTGGCCGTTCGCGCTTCTCGCCCGAGTGTTGATGTTGTGAGCGTCAGGGAAAGTACGCGTAAGTCGCTGACCAGTGACCACATGACCATCTGCGCCGAGCTCGTGTCTGCCGGAATGTGAGGAAGGTCAGCCGAGGATGGAATCGCGGGTGGTTGATCGACCTTCCTTGTGTGACCTGTGGTGTACTGAATGTCCAAGGCAAGTCCTCCTCTTGTCCACCTAGTACAAAGTTAATTTGGGGTCGTACAAGGTCGAGTTGGCGTTAACCACGAGCGGGGATGAACCAAGATGATCTGGTGAGGTTGGCCTCCGTTCTCGCTCTGTATGGAGGTAAGGCTTGATTGGGGAACTTGATTCGTCAAATCGTATGACGGCCTGCTTCCCGACTGTTTCTGCCTTTTCAGTCCGATGGAGATTGAGGTCCATTCGACGTAGTTCTGTGGGTTTCTGAGGCCCATGTTTTTTGCCTACATGCATTGTTGTCTCTGCAAGGTCGCTGCCGTTGGGCCTCAAAGACATCGCATCGAGTCCACGGTGTTTCGAGTCTCAAGAACAAGACAGATGAGACAGATGTGCAACTACTCAAACGGGAAAGGTGATGCGCCAGTGATTGGCATTTTAGAGTCCTATTACCTGCATTATTGCGATGGCCTGATCGTATCCATCCTGGCTCTTGACGGATCCACTTGCTACGTACTTCCACAGTACGCTCTCGCCCAGGAACAACCTGCAACTCTCGTCTTTCTTGAAGCGTGTCGCATGGCAGTGCTGGGAGAAAGGAATCCAGTCCGGAGTATCTGACCTCACCCCGCCAAGCTCGAGCTTCACGTAATACGCTGTGAAACTGAGTCTGGATCCTTCAAATTCGATACATCCTCGTAAGTAACTCCGTCCCCAGAACTTGATTGTGCAGGATTGTACTTCTCGCGTATGTACTCTGTAACTTTGTTTGGTTGAGCTTGGAAGACATTTTCGAGTTAACTTTAAGAATGCGGGGTTTATTCAGGCCATTCATTGGAAACTCAAGCCTCAAAGTTGAATGGAACCTTTCCTTCCTTCGTTTCGGTCCTTTCCGCCTTTCCACTCGGTCACCTGTGTTCCTCCTGTAATTTACCAGCTTAACGCCCTCCTAACACTTACACGGCCTAGTCCCCATTTCTATGACTAACAGTTTGCATCCCCTGGAGGGCTGGATGTTCACATTTGGACTCGCGGCTTGCTGTTTGAACTTTGAGGAGACCCATTCTCCACGCCGAGATCCTCCTCTCCATCCAATCTGCAATTGGCATCCGTCTTCCGTTGCGGTGGGTTCGTTGAGTGGATACAGTGGGGAGTCAAAGGAGCGTCAAAGATGGCCCTTGTCGGCCTGGGTTGTCTGATCTCAAGGAGTCAAGAGCTTGCACTGTGCAACGCAACTGCAGCAGCCTCGCTGACAACCGAGGCTATCCTATTGGACCTCATCCATGATCCGTATCACTCGTCACAGCACCCAGTCCCGGCTTCGACGCATTGGGTAATTCTCAACGTGCCTCGATTCGCTTTCTGGCTTTGTTACTTGTTACGGCCACCCTGGGATTGGGCGCAGCGTTGTGTCCGGGGCGGCCGAGGCGGAGCCAAAGTACCAACACAAGCAGCAAGTGAGAGCGACTGGAACGGGACAGATGACCTGACTCGCATGACCAGTCATAACGGGCTGAGAGCTAACTCGGCCGTTGAGGTCTGAACGTTGAGGTATTTGTTGCCTGCGACGAGATGGGACGGGATGCGATACGTAATGGATACGGAATGCAAAGCAATGGACGGCCTGGTGAGTGACTGTGTGTGGTGGGCAACGGGCGTGGACAGTCACACCATTTGTTCGTCAAGCCGGGGGGCGAGTCTTGGGCAGCGAGGCGTACAGTGTCCCCCCCTTTGCCCCAGGAGAAAACGAAAAGAAGGTTGCGCAGGACGATCTTGTGCGTAGGCATTCCAATCCAAGACCCTAGAGTAGACATTCGACAACCATGAAAAGGCACTCCATGTCCAGTGAGAGCCTAGGACTCATCCCCGTGCCAATTTGCGCTGAGCTGAAGCGCTCTATCGTCCTACACGTCCTGCGCCCGATCCAATGTCTTACAGACAAATCCCATCGCGAAGAAAACCACGTTCAGCCTTCAGGGACCAGATAACCCGACGCTTTGGGTCAGGACCCTTAAGCTTCGAGGAGGCTGAATATTGCGATGGCGACATATCTGCCTAGCGTGGAGTGCTCGCTGCATTATTTGCTCGAAAGGTCCTCTCGTGCCTGCAGCTCCTGGGTTCTGGCCGCTGTCCGATCCGATCGTGTCGAGAATTTGAGGCCGCACGTTTCCTGGGAGAGGAACCATCGTGGATGTGTCAAGCAGAAATCATCACTTCTCAAAGCCGAGTCAATGGTGTGATTGTGAGTTGTGACTTGTAACGGACTGGAGATCTTAGATAGATCTATGGATATCGTTTCGCTTCCTTCGCTCTGGCTCCGCGACGCTGGAATTCGAGCACACTCCTTCAGCAACCACCATCGTTATCCGCCATTCAACGAGCGTCCGGGAAATAATCTCAGCTCTTGGCTCCCGCAAGGTTTCGATAGCCGTCCCTGTGAGTATGGATAGTTGAGCCACGGCCCGCTGCAGCGGCCTGATTATCGAGGTGGCTCTGGCTGACGATGTGACGGAACTGACTCCCGAGCCAGTACGGTGTGTCCGTTGAGATATGATGCTCGGTAGCACACTGGGATATTGACCTGTCACGGCTTCATCCTGAGTTCCTAGGAATTGGGACCGCGACTTGATCGACGGTCCGCGGAGATGGAGGCTCTTCCTAAGAAGATGGCGCCATCAATCGGCGATGTCGATCCAACAACGTGCTGTGGCGATCATGGTGACTGAGCCAGCACTACCTAACAGTGTACTTTGGTCGAGGGTAAGCGATATCAGACAACCCCTTTCAATGTTCGAGGTCTCTAAGCGATCTGCCGTTTCGGGTCGTCTTAAATGGCATTGTTGAGACTGAGAGGAGTGCCATGCATACCTCACAAGAGGGCAAGGATACATTGTGACGAACTGCAAAACACCCAGATTCAACCCTAAACAAAATCCGAGAGGATATTATCTATATTTATGCAGTCGCACGATACACTCCAGATTCCCATGTGTCATCCACACTCTTATCACCACCCACGCCTGATAAGAGGAGATAAGAGCCTGCATGGATCAATCATCGATCAATACGGATGTTGGCATCGCATCATTCTCCTGCAAGTATATCTCTTGCCCTGCACGTACGCGACTCGCGACTCGTCACAAGGATGAAGAATCACGACCATCGGCCCACCGTAGCCCCATCGTCATTGCCACTGCCATTAACCCTCGCAAGGATCATGGAACTCTTGGAAGATCGATAGATCGGCTCGGATCTTCATCGCTTACCCCTTTCACAGGACCGCAGCCCGCTGTCACAGTCAGTACCCGATCCGCCGCACTGGTTGCCCGCCCCCGCTGCCTTGCGATGCGCTCCACACCCCATTGCACATCACGCCTCATCACTTTCTGCACGTCGACGATTAAGGTAACATAACCCCGGTTTTTTCACACCTCGATTCAATAGCTTTGCTGGCTAGGCTGTGATGGTGTTACAGTGGCTATCTTACTTCCTGCTGCTCTGGGCTTTCGTGGCTTTCCGACGGGCGGATTACTAGGTCTTCAGAGGAGGGCTATTTTAGGAGAACAGTCTCGTTTTTGGGATCGAACATTGGCCGAGATTACACCGGGCTTGGGATGTTACTGGGTTGGGATGCCAATGATCTCGATGTGCGGATATTGGTAGATAGGTATAGTACTCCGTACTGGTAGGTCCAAATGTAGTTGGTAGAGACAACGTTTGTCAACACTCTTCGTCAACCGGAGGATATGACAAGGCTAGATTTACAAAAGTAGGGTACAAATCGAACAGGCTGTAAATCGCGGCATCTATCCAGTGAGAACAGTAAGCCCAACCATATATTCTTTTGCGATATGCTGACATTCTAACTGGATACTAGAGATTCGCCTATATTCCCAGACCCGGACATCTCCTCACCTCACTCTAACCCATTTTCCAAGCACATCAAACATGGACAAGCATGCAACGGGCAACGGACCTTCAGGATGTTTAGACGCAATGAGGATCATAACAGCGGTATCTGCTGGCAAGGCAGAGCGCAGACAACATCTACCCTACACTATCCCAAAACTACCATGGAGCCCAAACTAAAGATGCTTAAGACAGTCCTTGCGCCTTGTTCAGCAACGTCTACGGAGTACTCATCACCCGATAGTCCCTCCTTCAACGCAGATTCCGGAGATATCTTCGTACATACCCTGTACAGAAGTGCACTGCTTGAAGACACATGCTTGAGGACTGGAAAAGGCTTCATGGGTGATCTTAAACTGGATCTTTTCTTTTCTAGAAGGAAATCGAGGACGACCTACACCAAGATGGTACCCGCCCTACGGAGCCCTAATCGGTAGTACGATGCACGTGGACATCACTCTTGAGGAAGGTGCGAAGGGGCTGGGGCCTGCGCAAATTGGAAAGGGCGATGAGCTCCGATGTCCTTCGCACCTGCCTTGCAAAGAGAGCAACAAAAATATCCAGATTGGGAAGGCACGAGCTGGGTTGGCCCAGTTTGCACTTTCCCCAGCGGGCAGACTTTGAGCACCGTTTAGGAAGGAGCAATGGACGTTGAGTCCTAAAGGGAAGGGGCGATCTGAAATGCGTCACGGTCGTACCTGCCTCGCGGGACGTTGGAACCTCTCTAGGAAGGCACGATGGAGGTCAGACCGAATCAAGTCAGCGACCAATACCCGGCTCTTTCTTTTACCTCTTGTGAGGGAGTGATGGATCCGGAGATACAGATTTGCAACGCGCGAGCAACGGCCTGTGGCTGCTTTGATTGGAAGTGAAAGGAATCCAGTGGGCCACAGGGTCGTGCCTGCCTCGTCTGGCGAGGAAATCCAGCACCTGCTTGGGAAGACACGATGGAAGCCCGAGTGGTAAACTCGGGTAGGTACAGAAGGAGCGGCCTTTCACGTCCGTGGTCTATAGAAACAAGAGACAACGGCCGGTGTGATAGAGCTTGCCGACAATGCGATGCCATGCCAATAGCAATACTATCCATCGTCTGCTGAAACTGGACGGTTCTCCCCTGCTGTCGCTATTGTCGCTACGCACAAAAGTTCCAGGGTACGCTTATGCCCCATCGATTAGCCGAGGGAGTTGCTTTTGATCAAAGAACGTTACTCCATGTGTCGACCAGGCCAAGACGCTCATTAACGGTCAATTGGGTGGGGAAGATATTCTGCGTCGGCCACCGAGGTGGCCCCAATAGCCCCGAGCTCGTACATGAGCACCCTTGCCCTTGCTTGTGGCTTGGCTATGCCAAAGCCTAAGAGTGACTGAGCTGATATCGCTACTTTCCATACGACAGTCTGCACTAAACGAGTGGGGCGATCGGATCGTAAGTGCGATAGAGGCGCTGAAACATGCGCGTGAGAGTGGCGGGCGGACTGATCACATTGGGCTTGGCTTACTACTGCTGCTCTGCAAGGGAGCTCAGGTACTGTTGATCCCGGCTTCAGCGCCGTGGTCTATGGTATGGCAACGGCTATAGGTGTTTCATTCCGAGCTGGCTAATGCCTGCTGCTTGGTGGCAAACTCCGTTGCGAAATCAAGTCTTCAATCGCGCCATCCCTTTGCACGCCCCCAGAAAGAGATCCCGAACCCTGCTACGTTCTCGAGAACGGAGACCACAATAATGGACACCGCGGCTTTGCAGCCAACGTCGCATCTTCTCTGCCAGATATCTGGCTATCTGTCCTGCGTATACGGCAACATGCCATCCAGCTTGCCAAAAGCCTGCACGTCAACATGTCCCTACCTGAGATTGCGATTCTTCACGAGCAGCTAACCGCCATACACCAAGCGCTGGACACCTGGTATGCCGGAATGCCGCTACGCCTCCAACGACCCTGTATCCCACCCGCCGCCACCTCAGCAATGCCGCACTACGGAGCCTCACTGGACATTGGCGCGCTGGGGATGGTCTCCGTCTCGCAAGAGTCCGCGTACCTGAAACTCCTGCGGCCGTTCCTCGAGCGCAAAGCAACGCTCGGGGTTGATGGCGCCAGCTCCAGACGTTTCTTGCGTCCTCGCTTTGCGATGGATTTGCCGAGTACTTCCGTGGCTTGGATAAGGCGCGGCCTGAGGAGTTGGCAAAGTCTTGGGCTTTTGAAAATTGTATCGAGCGAGACGGGCTGGATGCCACTCTGGCGCAGATAAAGCAGAAGTATGATGCATAGCATTTCTATAGACTCCATCCACGTTGAAGTATAAAATGCGATCTATTTGTTGGCTATGATTATAACAATATATGGTGGACACCAGCGATTTAGGCTGTTGGAGAATGACTGCTATAGGGGGTCTAAAATGATCATTATCGTGATTCAACGAGATCAGTCTATGGGGGACCCTTTGCCCTACTTTACTGCGGTCCGGCGATTGTAAGCTGATTGACATCCAAATGCCAAGTGCCTGCAACTGGGCCTGCAGGACAGCATTCCTCGAGCCAGCCGACGCCTGATTGATGTGATGGGCACTGTGCAGTCTACATGAATGCGGCCTGAAAAGCTACGTCGGCCCCCCTGTCCCCTAGTATGTAGCAATTGCCGACTACCCACGGCGAGTAAGCTGCCTGCTCCATATTTCCCAGATCAAGCATGTATCTTCTTATCCCACAACACTGGTCGTACCCCAGCACTAGTAAACTAACCCTAACCACCGTTTCTTCCCCTCGGCTTACACTCTCCTGCCGCAGCCAACGCTGGCTACGCTAAATAAACAACAATCTCCCGCCTCCAAATCAAACACCACCAACTTGAAACGGATTAGTCGGGGGATGTACTTGTTGAACCCGGTCTTCTAAGCTGCGAGGATTGGAAACCCTGCTCCCTGTTACCACGCCGGCAGTAATAGCAAGACCCAACTCAGCGGAAGAAAACCCCTCCTCTCAGCAGGGCCCAAAACAACCCCTTCTCCTCCCGCGACACCGCATATCCCGCGCCCGAACCTACATAACAGTCCAGGGCATCTACGAAGCACACCTAAACGGCCAGCGCATCGCCGATCACGTCCTCGCGCCCGGATGGATGTCTTAAGATCACCACCTCGCGTACCAGACACGGATCTCCTCACGGATGGGGAGAACGTGCTCTGCGCGCAGGTGGCCGAGGGCTGGTTTGCAGGACGCTTGGGATCCCTGGGTGGACAGAGGGATATTTAGGGGGATACGCTTGGGCTTGTTGCAAATGTTGTTGTCGAGTACGAGCAACTAGATTCCGAGGAGGATGATGGCATCCCCCCCGGCAAGACTGTCATCTGTACGGACTCGGAGTGGAAGGTGTCCACCGGTAGCCTGGTGACGTCCGTGATTAGGACGGCGAAGTCTGCGATTAAAGCCTTCCGCAACGGCATCGCAGAGAAATACGCCCGCCAGGCAGCTAATCTCAAAGCCGCCTTCCAAAGATGCTACATCACCCCCGAAAGCCGCGTCGTCTCAAATACGCAAACCGGCCTCGTCCTGCCCCTAATATTCAACCTCTTTTCAACCCCCGAACAGGAAGCCATAGCAGGGGCCCGCCTCAAACTCCTCTGCAACGCAACTCGCGCTTCAAAATCGCCACCGGCTTCGCGGGGACACTGATCGTCCGCCACGCTCTAACCGAAATCAACGAGACACACCTCTTCACCCGCATGCTCTACCACCACCACAAGGCCGGCAGCTGGCTGTACCAGGTCACCATGGGCGCGACGACGCCCTGGGAGCGCTGGGATAGCATGTTACCCGATGGGAGCGTGAATCCCGGGGAGATGACGAGCTTCAATCATTAAGCCCTGGGCTCGGTGGCCGATTGGATGCATAGTACTATTGTTGGCGTGCGCTGACGCCCGGATGGAAGAGGTTCAGGGCTGCGCCCAGGCCCAGTGGGGATTTGGGGTATGCAAGGGGGAGGTTTATTAGTTCGTATGGGGAGATTACTGTTGGTTGGAGTATCAACAATAATGGTGGTGACGGTGATGGTGGTGGTGATGGTGAGTACTCTCACTTAAAGGTACAACTCCCTCCAAATACCACTGCGGAGATTATCCTGCGCACGAGCGGCCGGTCGGTTGACATCCTGAGCGGGAGCCACGAGTTCAGTGAGGTCTACAAACGCCCCGTTTGGCCTCCTTTGCCCAGTTACTTGTGGAATGACCCGAATGTTGATGATGAGCCGTGAGCGCGAATCAGAAATGTAGTACTACTCCATCGCTTCTGTTCTGAATAGATCAGCTGGATTAGAGGATTAGTAGCCTTGCCAAACATCACTTGACCATCTCTATAGCAGCACTCCTATCACATAGTATAGGGCTTGACGTAAGAACCATATACCAAGCCTATACGGAACCCATCCATGCCAGAGGCGCAGCAAGCTCGCCACAGCTCGAACGATTCCCGTTCGAAAGTGCCGGATTTTATGTACTGCCAGCCTGATAGGACGATATATCTGGAAAAGACGAACACAAAAATTGGTCCAAGTCGCACGCCGTTTTTGTACATCCCGAAGGCCTTCCTAGATGGCGCCTCGGAAGGAGAAGGTGACAAAAGGCTGTTCTAGGGTGCCAGATGCTGCCAGATGCTGGATTGGCGAAGCAGGAAGTTGGAACTGCTTGCAGTGGAGTATGCGGCGAATATTGTCTGGACGAGAGGGAGGGAGGGCTCCCTAGACAGGTCAAAATCTTCAAAAGCCCTCTTCTGGCACGATCGTCACATCACCACTTCGAGCGTCGAAAGAGAGAAGGCACATCATACGTTGTACGTGGAGGCCTGGAGAGTGATCAGCGTAGGCTCACACGATATTCTTCCTAACAAAGCGATCCAAACGAGGAACATCATGGACAAGGCCCGAAAAGCAACGAAAAGTCTGGAACACGTTCTCTCCTTGGCAGCCGGAGAAAGGAAGTTCAAAGCCCACGAGCAGAAGACAAAGCGAGCGAGCATGAATAAGTTGGAACAGTGGGAGCCTGAGAAGACGGAGGAAGGACATACACCCACAGCCACGTCAGCGCTTCCAACTTTTCACATCCCAGGGTTTTCCGTTCGTTGGAGAAACCATCCGCCCAGAAGAGCTGGATCCATGTCTCAGTCCACAAGATCCATTGAATCCAGCAGAGTGTGGGGTGGATTGGGTAGAAAAGCTGATTTGATTGGCTCAGGTTTTCTGTGCTTTAGCCAATCACACTGCTTTGAACAAAGTCCTCTACTCCGCCTGTGCAGAGATCCAATAAGGGTAGAGGCGCAAATTCTCCCCGCAAAATCATTTGCTGAACTGGGGAGAGGAAACCCCACTGGAGCCCTGATTTCGACAAGCGCACATCAATCTTATTGTATGACACCCCGGAGCATGGGTCCACTGTGGCTGGCTCGAACAATCGAAATGGCAATCCCCATTGCCCACCTCTGCAATTGAATGGGGAGGCAGGTTCCTCCAGCCCTGTGGTCCAGCTGTTTTGCCTGCCGCTTCGTGAGAGGACTCAAACTCCACGAGGAGAAAATTCGGACTTGAATTTTCTTCCGGCGAACAACGTCACTCTCCGCTCATCGCAGACTCATCCCGGATTCCCACCGCTCCTTACTGAAGACTGCCCGCTCTCTGCCTGCGATGGCGAAAATGCCGCATTTCGGCTTCTTGTGACGGAAGAGGCGCCCGCGTTGCGAGCGCTAGAAAGAGTTGAGGATAGGTTTGTGGGTTTTTCCTCTTGACGATCGGCTCTAGATTTTTCGGAGGCGTTGGAGATCGTTTCTTCATTCGTGATGATTGTCTTCTTGTTCCTGGTTTCAAGTTTAGAGTTCAAAATCTGAGCAATTGAGTTCGAATTTGAGTTAGTCGTAGTAATAGATGAGGTGAACAGCGTTGAAGGGAATGAGATGGTTGAGGCAAAGTAGAGGAGCCAGCTCTATGACTCTGCATCGAAGATCAGAATTCACGTAAAGGCTTGAAGGAGAAAGAGTGCTGGATGAGAGAAAAGAAGATGGGGAATGGAGTGGATAGAGAATAGGAAGAGAAAGCCTCGATTTCGGAAGCTGCGGAAAGGAGCGAAGCACGAACTACCCTACGGAGATACAGAAATTAGGAGAATCGGGAAGATGTAAAGGTGGGAAAAGATTGAAATCAAAGTCTATCAACATATCGTGTTCTGCTTGTCAAGCCAAAGTCTCTCTTCAAGAGAACGGAATAGATACATAGTGTAATGGTCTTTCAAAACTCAACCAGGAGTAACAAAAACATGAACAAATCCCATAGGCAAGTCAAGAGTCTGCATCAAGCAAGGCTTTTTGTACCCGCTCCTCCCAACTAGGGAGACCTTTTATTTTTTACCCAGTCGTAAACCAATCCGTAAACCCAGGAAGTCCCGTAAACATAAGCGTTAAAAGTTGTCGTGGAAACGTAAAGTGGAAGTCATAACAAAGTTGGAGAAAGAAAGAAAGAATGATGACTCGCGCGCTTATGCGCCGAGGCTCAGAGTAAAGCTGGTGTCGATGGGGCAGCCGTGGGTGGCATGGTCGTCCTTGGGCTGAAGGTAGGCCTCAGCGCAAGAGGCGTCACCAGCGTGGCAGTTGACGGCGGGGCAGTCGGCCGAGGTCTGGCTGGGGGAGACGTCGAAACCGTGCTGGGTGAAGGTGGAGGCAGCACGGTCCATGTCGATACACGACATGTCCCAGAAGATGGTGTCGCCGGACTGGGTGTACTCAAACTGCAGGACGTCGGTCTGGTCCTGGTGGGTGGACAGCTTGATGGAGACGCCGCCGCCGTTGGAGTTTTCTTGCCACGATTCGGTGTAGGATCCGCCGCCCGCAGAGAGGGTATGCATGTTACTGACTCTATCAGTAACAGACCACGCGTAGACGTCGGTATCCATGTTGTTGACGATGGTGACACCTCCACCGCCGCCCTGGCGACGGACAACGGTAGGCTGGGGGAGAGCCGCAGCGAGGGCAGCAAAGGTAGCAGCAACGAGGGCCTTGGTGAACATCATTTTGACTGAAGGAATAGACAAAAACGAAGTCTTTGAAGTAGTGATTGTAAGTGGTTGAGCAAAAGACTCAAGAGAATGTAAGTGTCCTAAAGACAACAAGAGAAAGACAAGTCAAAGAATGACTGAAAGACTGTGGTTTGATAAGAGAGTGTTGATGCAGAGGAAGAAGAGAGTCGAGGATAGGCCGGGGTTCTGGGGGTTCTTATAGCTCAGCTGCCCTGCCCTGACAGCCCGGTGGAAACCCGTCGACAGGCTGACATACGAGACATGTCGATGGCGAAATGGGGCAGTCCGGACAAGGAAACGTTCGAACTTCGAAAAGGAAAAGAACCCCACATGGATCCAGACCCTGTTGCGTACGTCCCCTGGCGGGACTCTGTGGTACCTGGCGCCTTGACGCCATCCGGGCCCCGGGGGATCGCAGCGATTGGGGTAATACCTGCCCCGCCGCTCCACTGTGCCGATGCATGGCAGTTGCAAGTTCAAAATCCAGTTCATCCTTTTTTCGGCTTGCCTTCGGTAAGGGCGGCAGTGTGGGTATCGAGGCCGGCTGTGGCACGACGCGGAAGTGTCTGGCAGGTCGTGGCAACAGCCATTCTTGCTCGGTTAAATCGCGTGGCAGTTCCTTCTCAGCGAAGCTTGGTTCAGATAAAGGCAAAAATGATGTAGTACCACGGTTCAATCGAAGAACAAAAGAAGGCCCAAGAAGGCCCAAGAACTGGACCCTACCGAAGTTCGTTGCCGGCCAAATTCTGGGGCAAAAACCACGAGCCCTGGACCTTGGTTCTCGTGGAAAAATCGCTGTACAATTCTGTTCGACAGTGGAGGCAACGAGTCTCAACCACACTTTGATACAGTTTGGTCTTCCTTCCAAGGGGTTCTTGTCGAGACTGATTGCCTAGTGCGGTGTAGTGGCGTGAGAAAATGGGGGTTACCCCCTGGTGCCTTTCGTTTCCAAAGGGCGCAGACAAGGCCCGCCACTGCCCTTGATCGGAGGGTACTTGGTCCCTGAGCGGGAGGGACGGCGTTGGAGATCCGCCCCTGCTAGCAAGTACTCTAATCAGGTGGACACTCGCTGACTCTGTGGCGTTCTAGACCACACTACCCGTAGCTCTCTCACAAAGACCGCCCATAGGAGTAGGATGTTGCTAACTCGCACAGCCATGGTATATTGATAGTCACCTCAAAGAGATTCAAGATACAGATGCAATGCAACGCAACGCAAGAAAAAAAAAAGAAAAAAAAAAGAATTAGATTTGGAATAACTTTCATTTACCAATAGGGTGCCCGTAAGCCAGTCAGACCTGCTATTGACGACTCGTTGGAGGCGTCCTCGCGTTTGCGACGGCCCGCAAGCTCCATGTTAATCTGCCGGTGGATGTGGACCAGCCAGTCAACGTAGCTCTGAGCTTCATTGTTGCGGTCCTCCAGCAGTAACCGTGCAAACTCATACTCCGCACCGTCGAGTCCTTGACGGGCTAGCTGGATGGTCACTGCCTTGGATCCTCGGGTTGTGGCGAAGTACTGCAGCAGATTGCGCACCTGCGCATTCAGATGCGTCTCCAATACAGGCAGAGCCGAGGTCTGCGGGTTGATTCCTTGTAAGGATGTGTGCCCCTCGCCGAAGAGATCCTCCAACAGGTTGGGCGATACTTGCGCGTGAAGCCATAGAAGGCATTGCTGACCGTCATCTACTAGGTAAACTCCTCCTTCTTCAATCTTGGAGTAACTCGCCCGAAGTGAAGGCGGTACTTGTAGTTGGCCTTGCTCATTCGGGAAACCGTCCTCTGGCTGCATGTTGTGAATAGGGAGAATACGAGGGTACAAGTAAAGTGATAGTTCGGTGCAGCCTATTGACCGTAGCATTCGCATGTCGTGAATCCGCCGATCTGATGCCTCTTGGCCGCCTGCAGGAAAATGTTAACAACGCATGTACCTTGCAACGGCTATCAATCTTACCTTTGAAGGCCCTGGATTTGATCAAGCTGAGCATAAACATGGAGAATTCCTTCAGGTTCTCTGGCAGAACGAGCTGTCCAGGAGGATGTGACCCTGAGAAAATCTTGCGGTACCCGCTGAAGATATCCACGGTCTTCTCTGTGATACTGGCCCTAATGTCCTTGAGAGACTTGTCCACGGTTTTACCAGCCGCTGTGCCAGTAATTAGTATGGTAGTCAAAATGGTGACAGTAGAAACGTACCCTCTTTGGCAATTATGCTAACAACGGCGTCTTGATCGATATACCTCATTGTATCCATCCCTCCCTCATTGACGGCGGCAACTATGTTGATACAACGAACACGACGCTGCCCGTTAGCCGATGTATATAGTAGTGCGGCTTGGAAGTGAGCGTCGAGTTTCGTATCGAGCTTGCCGTCGTAGCTGAAAAGAACAGCAATCGCTTTGTCTGCGTCGATTGAACCGATCTCAAGATCGGCGCCGAATGTATGCTGTACAAAATTACCGTGGTATGATGATACTTGCAACCCGTTAGAGCAACGGACCTTCATCAGGGCTTGATATCCTGTCTCTCTGGTAACTGCATGCGCAATCTCCTCGGAAAGTTTTCGGATATCCCGCGGCGCGTGGAAGTTGGGGTAGAAGAAGGTTTCACCACCGGTGACCTCAGGAATATGGCCTGGAGACGGATTAACCACAAACAACTTTCAAAATCTCCGAAGGTAACTCACCAATGGTAGCCACATCCAGGTACGTTCCGCTGGGTGCCGCTATAAACATATCAACACCAACACCTGCCTCTGCAAGCTTGCCAGCGGTTTCTCGCCACGCGGTATTTTCGGCCGTGAATAGTTTCTTCTCCGCATCCGTCCCATGAGCTTTCGGGTCGTCCCGCAGTGTCAATGCGCCAGGGCCAAAGGTTGGCAGCGAGCAGATTGAACCGATGATTTTGCCGCCCGTAGCATGTAGCGCGGACAATGCAGCATTGACAGCGGGAAGCAGTGCCGTCTCCGGTGTCTTGACGCGAGAGAAAATGGTCGGAATTTGGTTGAGTAGAGAGGTGATCACATCCCTAGCAGCAATTAGAGTCGGAATCCAGAAAGCAGACTCAGCAAGGCTTACTTTGACTCGTATGGGTCAACGAATAACCCGTCGCTCAGCGGTACAAACGGTTCTTGTAGATCGGTCATCACCATCATCTGCGCTTGCTGAAGCTCCGGCTAATGGCTGTTAGTATCGTTTCTTACACAATAAAGAGAGCGGGTATGTACACTGAGGTTATAGAATTGCACTTCTCTATTGTAAGTAACAATTCCGACCTTTGACCCTTCGGGTATCCGCCGTGCGGGTTCGGTACCCTCGGGATTTTCTGACGGCTCCTCTTCGTAGAGGGCCTTTAGAATACCCTTGCATACGCCCTTCAAGAATCCCTTGTTGACTGATTCCTGGCTGGCATCAATCAAGAACAACCATCTAAGTCCAACAGGCTCCTTATTCCAATAATCCTTAGGGACAAGGAATTCGACGGTTCCCATCATGAGCTCCGGGCGCTGCATGCGGTCTATACGCGACCCGGAAACATCAACTGGGGCAAAGTACTCAGGAGGAACGTCGTTGGGAAATGTGCACATGTTACAGACAAACTTGTTCCCACCAGATCGGAATGACATGAAGGGATTGATGTACGTTCGGCAGCGGCGACAACGCGGTGGCCCTGCATCCCCGAAATCAAGTACGGGAATAGGCTGTTCCCCGGCGTCCAGGCGGGCGAAGGGCTGGAGTATCATTCCTAGTGGTAGACCGGTGGAGGTGAGGAAGTCGGAGGCGGAGGGGATATTGTTCAAACTCAGGCGAGCATATTTCGGAGACGAGTTACCCTGGTCGTGGGCCACAAACGGAACGGCCGCGGGAGGAGGAAGATGGCGTTCCATTGTAGGATAGACGTGGCTGAAATAGTGCTGTGCTGGCCCATCACGCGAACGTGGGATACTGGGTATCTGCTCAGGGTTTATTCCACCTTGTGTAGGGACTGTGCCGTGGGCTGCCATGGGTGCAGCTCCGGGGACCGCTGGCTGCGGGATCATCCCAGAAGCACTCAAAGCGGGAGAGACAGAGCGTGGCGCTTGGTTCAGCCCGGTGTTCAAGAATTGGGAAGACGGCGGTTGTAGAGCGTCAGCGGAACCTGTTGGAAACTGCTGCGCAGGAGCAGGCGCAGATCCAATGTCGTGGTATGCGTGTCGGTGCTTCTTTTTCGAGGACCTGGCTCCTCCTTCTCCCCCCATTATCCCCAATCCACTCATTTGAGATGCTAGACCTGCCATCGCCGGATCGGACGGTTGGCCCATAGGAGCTTGTATATTACCATAAGCCGGTTGCTGCGCAGGCTGTAGAGGCTGGTGAGGTACAGGCGGAGGAGAGCCATATGCGGCGGCGGGCCATTGTTGACTGTTGGGAGCAGCGGCTCCGTAGAAAGCCCCGGGTTGGGGAGGAGAGGGGCCAGGAGGAAATCCAGCGGCGTGCTGGCCGGCATAAGGAGGCTGAGGAGGAAATCGGTTCGGGTTGGAGGGGTCCTCACCAGGAGCGAGGCCCTGGGCGGGGGATTGATAGTAGTTCGGGTCCGCCATGATGGCTCATCACAAACCGGACGGGGGCTAAACGCACGCGATTAGTCAATTTGTCAAACTCAGAACATCGCTGGGGAGAGGATCCAACCACAGACAAATGTACACTGGACGAACAGCGCCCAAGTTGAAGCTGCTGGCCGAGGGTTGCGGAGTGAACTGACCACCTTTCAATGCGGCCAAACAAATCCTCGGATTTACTTAACTCCGGCTGGTGTGTCCCTCATCGCTCGCGTCGTCGGCGACATGCAGCTTCCTGCGTCTAGTCTTATCCCGATCCTTCTCATCATGTTCTCTGCATGCTCCTCACCTAACCCGGTGGTGTCACTGGGGAAGTTGTGGTGGTCCCAATCCGCATTCACCTCCCATTCTATCTCCCGAAACAACAGATAGAAAAGCTGCCCGCACAGACCTATATGCAAGAGTTAGTCAACAGCTACAATGCCTGCAGCTCATGATGATGATGAGCTCCTTTTGGCCAGAATTGGCTATAAGCAGGTACGATAAGCAATTCCTTCGTCCCTAAACGCTGTCTGACATTTTATACAGGAGCTCAGACGAGAATTCTCCAGATGGTCGACCATTTCATATGCAATCTCCATTTTGGGAGTCCTCGGCTCAGTCCCAGCAACCTTTGGAGCTCCCTTGGCTGCCGGAGGACCCGCAACTGCAGTCTGGTGCTGGTTTCTAGGCTCTATCATGGCCTTCTGTATCGGTAGCTCCGTGGCGCAGCTGGTTTCCGCCTATCCAACGGCTGGGGGAATGTACTTTGTTACGAAATTCGTTGTTCCCAAGGACCAGGTGCCTATTTTCTCCTGGATACAGGGCTGGTGTAACCTTCTGGGGCAGACGGCTGGCGTTTCCAGTGTCGCATACACGGTCAGCCAAATGCTTCTTGCTGCTGCTAGTATGAACTCTAAACTTGTGGATGGAGACTACTACTCATATACACCGTACGCGAATGCCAACGATTGGAACATGCATATACTGACCGTGATAAGGACCGCATGGGATACGGTGCGCTTGTCCATCGGGCTCTTGATTTTCCTGGGTATTATCTGCTCGATGACGACAAAGTCTCTACATCGCATCTTCATCTGGTTCGCTCCGATCAACAGTACGTCTTGGTCTGACTACAGCTTGCATATGCCTAACAATCTACAGTCGCCGCGACGATATGTATCTGCTTCGCACTCCTGTACAACACTCCCGACAAGCAGCCAGCTAGCTGGGTCTTCACTCATGTTACCGATGGATCAGGTTGGGGATCCAAGCTCTTTTCCTTCCTCCTCGGCTTCATATCCGTTGCCTGGACCATGACCGACTATGATGGAACCACCCAGTCAGTCCTCATCCCTCATCTTCAACACCAGAATTAATAAACCCAGCATGTCCGAAGAAACCCACGACGCCGCCACCCTCGGCCCGATAGCCATCCAATCCGCCGTCATCGTCTCCGGTGCAATGGGCTGGCTTCTCACAATCTCCCTCTGTTTCTGCCTAACGGATTTCGAGGGCATCCTCAACACCCCCACGGGCCTTCCAGCCGCCCAGATCTTCCTCAACGCAGGCGGGAAAACAGGCGGCATGATCATGTGGGGTTTCGCCGTCCTCGTCCAGCTCTTCACGGGGTGCTCGGCCATGCTTGCCGATACACGGATGGCCTATGCATTTGCTCGGGACGAAGCGCTCCCGTTTTCTTCGTACGACCCCATTCTCCCCAAATACCTCCTTTCCCACGTCCTTTCGGCACTATCCACAACTAACCCCAACTAGAAGCCTCTCAAAGATAAACCCCCACACCCAGACCCCCGTCAACGCTGTCTGGTTCGTCGTCCTCTTCAGCATCCTGCTGAACTGCATCGCCATCGGCTCCACCCAAACAGCAACAGCCATCTTCTCTATAACAGCACCGGCCCTCGACGTCTCGTATGTCTCCGTGATCCTCGCGCATCAGATCTACAAGCATCAGGTTAGCTTCATCGAGGGACCCTTTACGCTGGGGGGATGGGGCCCCTACATCAATTGGATCTCGATTATCTGGGTGGTGTTTATTAGTTCGGTGTTGTTCTTCCCGCCGAAGGTGCCTATTACGTTGGAGAATATGTGCGTATACTGCCTAGCTCCCTCTCTTCTTTCGTGGGGCTGGCTTCGAATGAAGAGTGTGGGGAGGCTAATTTTGGTTTGGCAGGAATTATGCGATCTTCGTCGGACTCTTCATTGCTGTTTTTGCGTTGGTGTGGTGGTGGGTTGATGCTCGAGGGTATGTACACATTTCTTGTTCTTTTCTCTCTGTCTCAGTGAAGTAAAAGCACGGACTGACAATTTCAGGAAATACACTGGCCCTCGTACGAACGAGTATCTACAGGAGATTCCGACGGAGGATTATCCAGAAGATTACGGGACCATTGAGTAAGATGATAGACGAACACCATAGAGAAAGTTTGGGATTTGTCAACGCTAGGACATACAGGACTTAGATGGACTGTATATAATGATGTTTGGACAATTTTAGATGCATTGATATCTAGAAATACATGAGTTCGAGAATTCTCCGTATCCAACAAGATAAGATACAATCAATCAATGCCCCGCAACAACAGCAAGTCCCTCATAAATCTTCCGCTTAACAGCCAGGAAACTCCCAGCCCCCTGCGCAAGCGCCGCATTCGGCCCGCTGGAATAAGCAGCTGCCTCGACCTCGATCCTGCCAGTGCCGGACTTGCGCACGGCAACCATCCCGTCGATGAGGAGTGTTCCCTCGCCGCGGAATTCTGCCGTGTGCCCGGCGCCCTGCATGATCTTACGGAGGTCCGCGAGACGAAGGTCTCCGACGTGGAGGGGTCGGGTCATGGACCGCGTGCCGGAGGCCATGTTTGCGGGGAGGATGTCGAGGATTGGGTGGGCGTCGGCTTTGTTGTCGACTGTTGCTGCTGCTGGTTTTGGATCAGCGGGTGCTGGTGTGGCGGTTTCGGAGGTTTCATCAGCGAGTTTTTGTTTTTTGCTGGGTGTGCCTTCTATTGATTCTTCGTCGGTTGATGTTGGAATCACGGGACCCTTGAGCTGGCCTGTTAATGTCACGACTCCGAGACTTCGGACGTGTTGCCATTTCAGGCGTCGAACGAGGTTGTTGCTCAGCTTGACCATCCAAGCGCTAGTATCGACACTGGCATCGATTATTTCCTTGTTCATCGGCGTGAAAATGACTGCAGCTGTTGCCGAAGAGGCGTCGACGCCTGCTTTAGCGACGAGCAGTTTCTCGCATTCTGCTGCCAATGCCATCGTTTCCTCTTTCATTCCACCAACGAGAATCAACTTTCGTGGTTGGATGAGAGGGATCAACATCTCGAGACTTCGCTTATCGTGAATACCTGTAAAGTCCACAAATGCAAGACGCGCATTGATGGTGAGAGTAGCCCTTTCATAAATCGCCTTTGCAGGCCCCTCAAATGCCTGCTCATCGGGCTCATTTGCTGAAGCTGCGGCCTCATCCGCGTCCTCGCCATCTTCTGTCAGGCTGAAATTATCAAGCATCTCTGCCTCCTTTTTGTCTGCGTTATCGCCGTCCTGGTGGCGTTTTCCTGCTGAAGTCTGGCGTCCGCCTGAACCGGTCTCATCCCATCTGCGTTTCTGACCGAGCTTGAGCTGAGACTCGGTTCTACGCTGTTGCATGTCAATCTCCTCGCGCTCTTCCGCTCGAAGGTACTCCTCCGGCCGAATTATTTCACCGTATTCGTCCCCTTTCTTTCTCGGCGCTACATATGGGAACATCCGCTCTCGGCCCTTCTTGCCTCGAACATCGTAGTCAAACACATTTTTGCGCCGTAGAAGAACGTTCACACCGAGGTCCTCGTCAGTTAGACCTAGCTTGTTTCGATTTGCGTGTGCTAGAGACGTTGAAAAGTTTAACACTCGGCCTTGTTGTTCGGTTTCTGAATCTTCAGATGTAGAGCTGGAGCGGTCGTCTAACGCGTCAGCGGCCGTGTCAAGGTTTTCGTGGCCCCTAGTCTGGGCTGTATCTTGGAATTGCCGTTTCGTGGCAAGATATTGTTGATAAAGTAGCTGGTCCCCAGACTCGAGAGGCGCACGGTGCACATCCGTCCATGACAGCTCTCTTCCGCCGCTGTGAACCTGCTCAAGCATTTCGCCGTCGGATCCCTTTTCCAAAGCAACACCATCCTGTCTTTCTTCGTACCACTGCCAAATCATGCTACCAAGGGTTCTCCGGTAAGTCTCGTCTGTCTTGTCAGAGTACTTCCGATAGTTGAGAGGCTCAGTGAGCAAGAACAGGTTGTTTTCGCCACCGGCCAGTAGCCGCAGAGATTCCTTTGCGAAGCCCCAATCCAAGGAGGAGTCAGAGGCAAGAATGACTTTCGGTGTTCCATCGCTGAGAAGTTTCTCTAGTTTCTTCTTTCGCTCAACTATCTTCAGATGCTTGAACGTAAACGGACCAAGGCCTTTGCCGTCTGCTTTGTTCTGTCGCGGGTCATGGCTCGCCTGGTTATTGGTATCGGCAGCCTCGGCAGCCTCGAACTCCCGCACTATGCTTTCATCCATCCACTCCAGCATACTCCGAGCCAGCCTCATGGTGGTGTTTGCTCTCCTCCCGGCGAGATATAGCCCACCCCTTTTCAGCACGTCATCCTGAGTATCCCGAGCAGCATCGCGCCACGCATGCTCTAGAGCATACGCTAGTTCCAGTACCCGTGCGCTTGTGTCAGTTGGAATAAGGATGGTGCCGCCTTTGACCAGGGTACTTCGAATCATATCTAAGAGCATTTCATCACGCTTCTTCCTTCCACCCGAAAGTGCAAACTTGTCGCCTCCGCGAGTACTGCAGATCAAAGCAGTAGGTTTCCGCAACTGCTCAATAACTTCTGTCCCACTTGCGCCAGAGCCTCCGAACCATGCCGCACCCGCTACCACACTTTCTCGCGCTTGGTTCCAATCCACTGCGTACACAATAGACTCCATGCCATGCTGAATGTGCCATATTGTTCCACCCACGGTGTGACCAGCATTATAGGCAGTAAGGGTAAGGCCATTTAGAGGCGGAGAGAAGGGAGACGGGATAGGTTGATGCGGTTGGGAATATTTCAATGGCTGGATAAGAGAGAAGTATCTGGCGATTTCCTCAGTAGTGGGCGGTGGGAGCAATATCCGCCCGGCACTGGTCGGCCCAGCATTACCATCCTCTTCTGTCACAGACGCAGCGGATGCGGCAGATGTTGAAGCACCGGGTTCGGAGATAGAGGCTTTGGGTAAAAATGTTGCAGCTAGCGGCGCCGAGGCGTATAGTTCCTGTAATAGAGTGCGGCCTAGTGCGATGACGGGGCTCGTTGCGTAGACCGGGATTTGAGTGAAAAGCGGGAAGGTCTTGCAGCAATGAACGTAGGCACCGATGTGAGACGGCGTCGCGTGGGTTAGAAGAATGAGCGAAAGCGTGGGAATATGTCTAACCAGGCAGTCCAAATCAGTTGCTGAGCCAGGCGCAAGTCGGATGAAGGGAGCTTCGTGTTGGCTCATACTTCTCTAGTTCCACCAAATCGAGGGGATCAAAGGTGTCATCCCAACCCACATCTACCAGGATTTTCACCCCGCCATCTAGCTCAAGAATGGACTGCGAAGCTTTGGAGGCCGATGACTGGGCACCAAGCAACGGAGTAAATGTGAACATGTTTCTGGAAGCTGTCGACCCAGGAGAGCTTTAACAACGCGGGCGACAGGTACTCGGTGGATCAAGGCATCGGTTCGGGGATTATGAGGCCGTATTGGTATCGGACAAAGCGTCCCTTCGGCGATCAGCTCCCTAGAATGCACTGGGTGCGACAACTGATCGTGGGTTCGATAGAGAGTGGCCAAGCATTCAACATGGGAGCGCGATCAAAGCTGGAGCAGTGCAACACGTGCTTTTTGCTTTGTTTGCACAGAGCCGGGGACATTCATTCCTCCGATCCGGCGCCAGTTTTCGCCAAGCCCAGAGCTCCCAAGTCACTTTCTACACTATACTACACGGGAAACGCCAGTATCTCATCGAATACCTCGTTGACTCTCTGTGCCATATACACATACCAGGGTGACCATTTGATTGTTCAGAATGACTGATCTCTGACGGGAAACAGTATATATCGGAGCAAAGCAAATCATGTCCGAGGCTGAGTAAGCCGGAGTTAAGATAACCTTCAATAACGCCGGCATCAGCCAGTCACAGCTGGGGCTGTGAACAAAGACAGCGCAAACGGGCTGAGGAAGGGGCTGCGTCCCCACGATGCTGCCTGATCTCACGCGACCTTACGCACACGCTGCAGATTACTCCTGAGGTCAGTGTGTATAAAATCAAACAAGAGACCCTTGTGTTTATCTTTTGGAAATCAAATCGTCTGTTCTATACCCATTGTCTGCTTCAATGGAGCCCGATCGGGATCAGGCGGCCGCGCCGGCGAAAGCTGACCATCTCTGTGTGCTGGTACACGGGTAAGACATATGGTTGAGCGATAAAAAATGTTGCTAACACGAGACTGCTGAACAGACTATGGGGTAACCCTGCTCATATGAACTTTATCGCTTCGCGCTTAAGGGAACGGTACGACGAGGATCGCCTATACATACTGGCCGCGGAGAAGAATACGGGCAACCTGACTTACGATGGTGTCGAGGTGTGTGGAGAGCGGCTTGCGCATGAGATTGAGGAGACATTGGAACGATTGGAAAAGGATGGACATAAGATCAAGAAGCTGAGCGTCGTTGGATACTCTCTTGGTGGACTGATCGCGAGATATGCGCTGGGATTGCTATACTCTCAAGGCTGGCTCGACAAGCTTGAACCAACAAACTTTACGACATTTGCCTCCCCGCATCTCGGCGTCCGGGCCCCGGTCAGGGGTGCGCAAAACCTATTCTTCAATGGCCTGGGTTCTCGGACGGTGTCGCTCTCGGGACAGCACCTGTTCCTGACCGATAAGTTTCGTGATTCTGGAAAGCCGCTGCTTCGAGTTCTCGCAGAACCAGATAGTATCTTTATACAGGGTCTGTCCAAGTTCAAGAACCGCTGCGTCTACGGCAACGTCGTCAATGACCGCACCACGCCCTTCTACACCACGATCTTCACCAGTGTCGATCACTTTCAGGGCTTGGAGGACCTCAACATCAACTATGTGGAGGGTTACGGCTCGGTGATAGTTGATCCCGATCTGTACACCCTACCGTCTCCGGAGAAACCAAAACTCCCTTTCTTCGCCCGAGTCAAGGAGAACATTCGGTGCTTCTTCAGAAAGATCCCGTTCTGGCTCTTATTCACCGTAGTCCTTATCATCGCCGTTCCGATCTTCCTTGTGTACGCTGTTGTGCAAACCTTCCGAAGCCGGGATCGATTACGTGCGCATGAGAAACATAGCGGAACCATCTTCAAACGGTATCGGGTCCCCGTTGCCGTCAAGCGTGTCCGGACTGCGATGGACGAAGTGTTTGAGAATGCGGCCGCGAGACAAGACCCCGACTACCTTTCTGGTAGTTCAGTACCCTCTGACATTGAATCTCAACCAGAGTCACCCGTCGGAAAGACAAAAACAGTGGAGGACGCACCAGGGATTACCTCTACAGCAGAGAACTCCGCCGAACAGCCCGAGGGGTTAGCTCAAGTCGCAACTTATGCCACCGCAAACGAAGCGCAAAAGCCGACGCTAGCCCTTACCCCGGATCAGTTCTCCATGATCAAATCGCTCAACCGCGTGGGTTTCCGCAAGTATCCAGTCTATATCCACAACCACCGGCACACACACGCAGCGATCGTCGTCCGAATGGACAAGGAGGGCTTCGAAGAAGGCCACACCGTGATCAAGCACTGGCTGGACAACGAATTCGAACTATAAAGAACGTTGCATACGTATCGTGAATTACGCTGAAACGTCAATACAGCGTTCTCCACAGATACCCACCGATTCTCATGTACCCACCGACCGACCCCCACATTCCACTCTGGGGGAGTTGCCGCTAAATTCAACCTAAACTAACACCTCTGGATTACTCTAACTTGAAAACAACGATCATCTTCGACATTCGAAGCCACCCAATAAGCGGTATGGAATGGGAAAACTTCCGCTTTGTCGACGGACTTCCTCAAATAAGCGAGCCTCTTCCATACGATGTAGAAGGGGAGGAGAACGAGGCGCCCTCGTGGACGGAGGACGGATCCCCGCCCCGCTCCTACCAGTGGCCGGCTTGATGCCCAGATCCTCGGTCCTTGAGTGATGCACTGCATCATCTCTTTTCACACACCATACACTTCACACACCTCCTAGATATTTAAAGCAGTATAATACACCTATTAATCACAATGAACCAATGACTCCTCAAATCCTACCTGCTCAACCGTCCAGGTAAAGTAGCAAAACAATATCACCCGGAATATAGTTACCCGCGCCACACCGCACCACGGTACATCACATACCTACATCACGCCTTCCCGGCAGCCAGCGGCTGCCGGCATCGCCTCAACGCCTCCAGGGACTCCCCTCTGACGTCGTCCGCTGGGACAAAGTTACGCCACCGTGCGCTACCATCCGGCTAGGCACTTCTAACTCCACATTCATTGGAGAAAACTATCTTGTGGTACAGGCACCACCACAACCTACACGGCTTCCAGGGGGAAAGCAAGTTCGAAACTCTCGCGGATTTGCCGGTTTGGGTCTTCCCGTTTTGCTTCCGAGGCGCTTCTCTTTGTTTCCCGGTAATAATAATAGCTCGGCCTTATGGAGGGAGAGCTAAGATGTTATGAATATGTGGTGGCTGATATAGTACAGTTCACAACCCCGGAGCTTCTACCACTCACAACTTCGGAGCCATGATCTCCAACGACGCGTATATTGGAGATTAATACTATTGACAACCCGGGTATCGCCGATTTCAGGGATTATCGAGGAAACCCTATCTTTAACCCGACCTCGTAGAACCACCACTGACAGCATAACCAAACAACAACGGCACAAATGACACCAGAGAAAAGTGGCGCGGGGATCAGGCGAAGGAGGAAGAGCCGAGGCAAGCCCAAGCAAGTGTGGACACATAGCATTGCGCAGGTTATGGAGTACGTTGTACTTTGATGTAGCAAGAAATGCAACATACATCGGGCATGAAAGCCACTAACCAACCCTAAATTTTAACCTCTCGGGTAGTTGGAGGAGCGGTGATGGGAGTATGGTAGGCTTCCTGCATACGGCATGCAGCGTGTGTTGCTGCGAAGTCTCGTCATGGTGCATTAGGGGTCCCGCTCGGGGCGTCCGGGGGAGGGGCTTCCTGCATGTGCTCTATGCTGTATGCTACGATGCTTCGTGGGTAATAGTGTGAGGGGAAGACAAGGTAAGATAGGGTCGCATGTCAAATCAGTACAGCGGCCTGATTAAAGTGGATTGAAATAAAGCAAGTCGAATTCGCAACTAGCAAGTAGTGTCTAGACTATCTAAGTAACTCCCAGTCCGTAGCTAATGTGAAGTAGAACGAATGGATTAAGCAGGAAAAACATGCAGTTCAAATGTCCTCCGGGTGGGGTGAAACGAGAGAAAAGTAACTATTCGTCTAGCCAAAAAGGAAAGGTAGTAAGGATAATGGGGTATTGTAAAGAAATGAAGTTAGTGTAGCCGTCCGAGATGATGTGTCTCAATCTAATCATGCTTCGTGAGGAGAAATAAAAGGAAAAATAGGTGATGGATCAGCCGTTATACGTCCGACTTTGAACGGAGCTCCCGCTCCATAGCGAATTTGACGGCATCGAGAACAGTGTTGCAGGTCTTCTTGGGCGGGTAGCGCGGGATGGTACCCTCTTGGTAAACACCAGTCTTGACTAGAATTGAGAACCAATTGGAGTCGCTGTGCTCGTTGAATTCGTTGGTTCCGCGAATGTCGGAATCGGGAGTATCTCCAACAAAGTAGACAGTGCTAGGAGGCTTGTTGATACCGTGGGTATCTTTGCGCCATTGCCGAAGAAGTCGAGTCGCAAACTCGTAGGTACCGAGTTGAGGCTTGCCAAAGGCGACTGTATGCAGCTCCTTTCCGGTCACTGCTTTGTACAGGGCTTCCAAAGAAGCGCGAAGGGCACCCATGCCAATGCGGGAGTGATGGTGAGAGGTGGCCCAAACAACGTCATTGTGGGAGAAATAGACAGGTGGGTGCTCGTCAAGAGTATCTGAGCGCTCCAGGAGGTTGCCGTTCTTGGACATGAGGACATCTAGGATGATCTGTTGGTCACCAGCCCAGTCGCGGCTGTCCGCAAAGACGAAAATTGCGTCGATGCGCAGCTTCTCAAAGTCTAGAGTCCGCGAATTCCGATACTCTTCGTCTGTCAGTTTCCGGAACGGGGTAGTGTCGTGTTTGGTCTTGATAATGTCTCCAGGTGTCACGACGTCCTTGAAGCCATAGCCCTCAGCTACTACTCGACATTTCTCACCCTCTCCACCAACGACGAGAACGGTGTTGTATTTTTCCGCCATCTCCCTCATCGGGGTATGTCCGCAGATGAACTGGCCGGGGGAGACCTCAAGTTCGAGTTGCTTGCTGAGGTCTACGCATCGTTCTTCCTCTGTCTTTCCACCGCCGTTCGTGACAAAGATATAGGGACTAACAGAAGTCAGTAAGTCAAAAGTCGAGGCGGCGGGAGAGGCTTACATTCTGATGCCGTAAGGGTTCGCTCCATTGATGTATTTCATAGCCTCGACAGCAGCAGGGATAGGTTTTCCTCCTCGGATGAGGACACCATCGATATCGAAAGCTAGGGCAAACTCGTCTGTAGTGGTGCTAGTGGTTGGGAAAAGCGGCGTGGTTAGGGGCGACTCGGCAAGGAGCGAGCCATCCTGCGAAGAGCTGTCGTAATCGAGGTGTTCCTTCGCCAGTTCCATCTCCACGGCGGTCTCTTGAGCTTCGCTTGTTGCCATTAGGTGTTGCGGGGGAATAACCAGGTTCCGGTGGCAAACCAGGTCGGTGGGCTCTACTAAATTGTTCGACAGTCGGCGGACGTGGCTTCCGCCACTCGGCATAGCCTGGTGTACAGACATCTCGGGTATGCGTCCGAAGGGAAAGCACGACAAAGAGAGTTTGAACCGGGGAAAGCTCGTCCCTCAAAAGGCTATTCTCGCGGGGGTCACTCAGGCAGAAACCTAGTATGGAAGATTCTGTGGTTGACACAAGCTTTGAAGTGGGTAGGCCTGTTCACTCTAGAGCAGAGAGGTGGAGATTGAAGATCGGTGGGAATGCAAAGAACAAGGTGCGAGGAGGTCGACCGTTGATACCGGCAAGCTGCTTGCCTTATATACTAAACAGAGGCCATAGTGGAGTAGCAGATTCTCTGGATGGTGCTGCCCCAGAACTATGACATCGGCCATGTATGGCACAAAGCGTTGGGTGGATTCCGACATACAATCTTGTTGGGCCTCGGTGCCTGCTCCACCAGGGCGAGAAGTTGACCTCAGACCGGTCGGTTCGATGTCGTAGCCTAAGGCGCGCGGTGGGTATGTTGTAGAATCTGTTCAACCAGAGAGCATGGAGGTTGCCTGAGCAGATATCGGACCTATCAACGGCGTTGGAAGGGTGACGTCCGGTGGTGGAGCCTTGCTCTGGAAAACGGGGGTTTGACAGGTGAAAATCAAAATAATTCAGGCCGGCTGTGGCTCGGGGGATGTACGTTGTACATCATCATATCGGACCAAAGATTCCATTGAATTGGCGACCATGGCAATTTTGGAAGACAAGCGGAAAACGGTTGAAGCTGGTACCATCGCAAGCAGCGGCAAGAGCTGTCGTCAGTCCAAAAACTGTCACCATCGAGAGGCACTCGTTCGGAGGGCCTGCAAAACGAGGCTCTCCGCCGTCCGCCAGCGGCCCAGCGCCAGGGTCATTTGCACAGCAGAAGTGATAATTGGTTGAGAGGATGCACAACCCTGTGCTCAATCTCGAGTCTTCCCGCTATGAGATCATCTTCAAACCGGCATCGATTTCGCTTGAATCGAGTGCTCTAACCCGATCTCTGTCCGCCTGTCTAGGCTGCGGAGGATGAAAGCTGACACAGATCACCATTCTGACATCACAGTGGAGCCGAGGTCCGTGTTACTGCGACACTATCCAACGTCGAGCCTATCAAGCAGCCAGAAACTTTACATGACCGTACATGTATCCAAGCCTCATATGTAAGCTTGCTTGAATGAACACTTCGAGTCAAGAGAACCTCACCCATGAAACAACCACTCTCCGAAGTCAAAGGAAAACACAATCATCCGAACTGATTGGCTCAAGCGAGTCAAGCGTCATCGCAGCCTCCCAGGTCCCTATCAAATACCGCTTACGGATCTTCATGCATGCGGCAGTCTCTAGTCCACTTAGCGGCGTCCAAAGTGCAAATACTGAGTCGTATCTACTACCTACTATCCGATTTCGCAAGCGCGGACTGAGCGTATTTGCTTCACCACAGTCTTTTGAGTTTGTCGGGATGTCGTGCATGTGAACTTGTGGGTACAATGCAACCTCTTCATCATAGACTGCTCCATCCAAGGTGGGAGCAGTGGAAAATGCCGGAGGAGGCCGTAGGTTTGAGATTGGCCAGTATGCCCAATTTGTTCAACGCTGTGTTTAGCTAAGGGGTCAACAAGTGACAATAGAGAACAGAATTAGCTGCAGTGGAACAGATACCACCATGAGCAGTTGAGGTAACTTTCCTTGGAGCAAGCTGACTGCCCAAGTGTGCATCATGCGGGTGGCTTGGGCTCGGATTCCTTGGGATGCGGGTTGAGGGGCCAACCATGAAGACTACCATGTAATGTATGTTGTATAATAGTTGCGCGGCCCTATTTCCTAGCGATGAGTAGGAACATCATCATCACCACGTGTAGCCCTTGGGCCTCTTTCTTCCACAGGGCTCTCGAATTCTTCTAGCATGTCGGTTCCACGGTTCGTAGTTAGACGACTGCAGGCCCGGACCACTGGCAGCCTCCGCTAAAGATGAGGTTATTCGGACGTCGAAGTGCCGCGACCCAGTTTCACTCAGCGATGCAGGGAGAAGAATGAATCATCGTCAAATGTCCGCAGCTCAAGACAACAGCAAGAATGTTGTCGAGGGCATGCAGCCAAGGGGGGATGGGACCAGAAATATATAAGAGCCAGAGAAATGAGTAATTCATGTTATTACTTTTAGATAGTAGTTCTAAGCCTGAGAAATGCGCCCAAACCATGTCCATCAAGGACATCCAATGCATATCCCGAAGAGAGATAGAGATAAAGGGAAGGTGGTATGCTGAAGTAAGGTAGAGAAGAAGGGAGAGAAAGAGAACGAAAGAAGGACGGTGAGAAAAGAACGCTAAATGCCACACGATATACATAAATAATACAACGAAGAAAATATGTCCGTACAAACGTGAAGCCCATGTATGTATATGTTCAGTTAGTCAAGGCAGCATCATCAACCATTTAATCAATCAATCCACCTGAAGAATCAAATCTTGGCCCCTTCTTGAGGGTGTCAGATTCCGTTCCATCGGCGCAGGCTTCTTCTTCGGCATGCCCAGGTTGCCTTTACCTCCAGGTGCAGCAGGAGCGTACTTGTTACTGTAATCTCCTGATTGACGCGGTGTTATGTACCCCCATGGTCCTGCTTGTTCTCTTCCTCCGGAAGAGGGGCCACCGAAGGATGACGGCTGATGCTGATGCTGAACCTGAGCCTGAGCTTCACTACTCTCCGGCTCATGCCAGTAGTCATCAGGGCAGTAGGGAACAGTAACCTCCTTGGGAGATGGCTTCCCGCGACGAATCTGAACACGCTTTATATCATCTTGCCGGACGATTCGCGGACGAGAAACGATTTCTTGTGCTGGGCCTGGTTGAGTCGGCGGGGCTGAAAGTGAGGATGGACCGGGTGGATGGTATCTCGCCGGCTTATTACTCTTACTCGGGGTGTTGAAAGGATTGTCGAGAGTCTTTTGTACTTCGCCAGTAGGTGTCCGGATTTCGCGAACCGGTGTAAGGGGACGGAAAGACCCTGAATGGCGGGATGTGTGGCGTGATGGACCTAGCCCTAACCCGGTGCCATCGCCGTTGTAGTCTAGGCTCTCGAAATCGTACCCTGGATAGTCGCCAAAGGAATTCCGCTTCGCGCCGGCGCTGTGAAATGAGCTGTGTGGGGGCGGTTGCGGTACGTTCTGTTGTGCACGTTGAGGCTGGATGACCCGCGCCCCGACGAAACCAGCGTCGGTGCTGGGCCAATAGTTGTCAATGTTGTCATCGTAGTCTATGTGTGCAGACTGCTGGTAGGGAGAGGCCGAGCTCGAGCTCGAGCTTCTATGTATGGCGGCCTGTCGGGAGGGGGGGATGTTCTCTTTGGCAGCTGCGTACACGGGTTTCTTGCCGTGATCGGGTCCCTTTGTTGTTGGTAGCTGATTCGGTCCTGGTCCGAACCCGTACTTCATTGCCCGCGGGTTGGCAGGGAGGCCGGCCATGTGGGGTCGGTTGCTGCTTCTATCCGTCGAACCGGTGAATACGAAATGCTGGAGGGACGGACTGGGGAGGTTCCGTTGGGCCGGAGGATTCTCTTCCTCGAAGTAGGTTGCTGTACTGGAGGGCCTCGACTTTTTATGTTGACTCCATCGTAGTGGTCTCGGGTAGAGCTCGTATGTGGGTTTGTCCGGAAGCAAGTCGGAAACCGTCCTTGAGGAGATGGATGAGGCTGCGTCAAACTCCAGGTTAGAGGACGATTGAATTCCCGATCTGTCTGTCAGCCCCGCCCTCATACGCTCGTAGTCGTACTCGGCTTCAGGTTCCGTGACAGTGACTGCTGGGTGCTGATATCCAGGCTCTGCAGGAGGGACAAGTCTTGCATCCTCGGCGTCTGTATTTTGCGTGCCAGGTGTCGGGCGAGGCCCCATCGGAGGTCGTCTCGGGGGGAAACTGAAATCTAGAGGCTCAGCCATGTGTCCTCCAATCTCGAAGAATTCCCGATCCTGCGCGTTTCTGCGTCGGATTCTCCTAGAGCAGAAGAAGATGATGACTCCAAGGATAAAGAATCCGGCAAGGCCTGAAGCAACGGAGACGCCAATAACTGCTCCAGAGTTGAGACCGCTACCTCTGGCAGGTGCGGCAGGTGGATCGCTTGTGGTCGCGCTCGGCGACGTCTCGGGAGATGTAAATGTCGGTTCATCGGTTTCTGTACTGGAGGGATCCGGCGTGCTGTCGGTGGTTGATACTGGAGTTTGAAATGTTGTGACCGCTGTCGGCGTTGAATTCATCTTCGTTGTAGTCGAGATTGTAGTCGTACGAGTATCTGTAGTCTCGGGCTCTGCGGTGATTATCGTAGTAGGTCTCGTCGCGGTAGAGGTAGGGTTAACTGTGGGCGCGATTGTGGCGACAATGGTGGGGTGAGTCTGCGGTAAAGCTCCGGGTACAGAGTCGCAGATACTGTATGTATCGAAGCTCATTGCCACTTCCATGGAACACAGCGAGAGACTACAGCGCAAGGCACCCTCTCCCAGGGTGTAGCCGCTGGTTGTATTCGTCGTGCACAGATAGTCAAGGTCACAACCTCTCGCGCAAGCGTTTCTTGGATATTCGGTGCTGATGAAGTTCTCGATGCATTGTGAAGCACATTTTGGCATTAAGTCCAGCAAGGAAATGACGGTGGTCTCCGCGCCCTGCGCGAGGCATACAAGACAAATAAGGATAGATGCGAACAGTATCCGTCGAAAAGGATATGGTAACATGGTGCGGCAGCCTATTGGGAATCTCTGTTAGCTGCCATGCCCTCATTCTCCCAGGTGTGCAATAACAGACGACCACGGGGGAACAGGAACTGCTGAGCGCTGTCAATACTGTACATACCCCAATCTTGAGCTACAGAGGAGCTCTAGCCTCTGAGTCATTAGTGAGTGTAGTATATCATTCTATAAGTCCTGGAAGTGATTAGAGAGGAAACAATGAGTAAAAGACCAGAGAACAATCCATGAGGAAAACCGAAGGGCCGGCGACAGAGTGGGAGACAACATCATCATCCTCAAATCTCAGGGCGGCTACAGGCATTTTGCTGCTATTGGTGCAGTAATGGAGATCAAGTCCTTCAGGCCCGCTGGCGACTGGCTGGTCCATAGATTCGTCGAACCTGAGACGGGGGCGCCTGTAGCTCAGGTGTACGCGCCGTGATGAAACACAGGCCCGGGAAAGACGTAGTTGGCGAAGGAGAGAGTACCGAAGTGTGAGTACTAAGCGCTTTCTCTGGAGGGGTGACGATGCCTGAAAATAGGCGCCGGGGTTGGCGTTGATGCTGCACGATGAGGCAATCAGCGTTCGAGTCTGCTGACCGTGGGGTCCGGCGCTTCGAGAGTGAAGTCGTCAGGGCGCTAAAGATTGATTGGCGCTCGCTCGTGTTCTTGAAAATTTCTGTACATGCGACGAACTTTGGTGTGTGCAGGTTCCCCGGTGACAACGGCGGGAGGTTGGGCGATCTACACAAAAGTTTACAGGTGAGCCCAACCGCGAGCCGCGAGGGTACATTTTCAGCACCACGCGACAATCGACTGGCTGACGATTATTTTCAGGCGATCAAACAAGTAGGGTCCAAGTAGATGAATAATTGATACGTCATTGAGATTATCCATTCAGTATAGAGTAAAAACAAAGCCCAGTAGCACCATGAGCTGGTATCATCGAAAGAGACTCGCGAAACTGACATAAACGGACATAGGAAACGATATTATAATCCAGCGACACATCAAGCAAACTCGGTCATCAGCGTGCGACGGTCGTGAGAGATGTCGAAGGAGGACGAAAAGAGGTGGGACGCCAAGGAATCAACACAGGGATGCTCGAGCTCGGCCCCTCTGCCGGACCTCCACGGAAGCAGCGGATAGCTTGGGTTTCCAGCGCGAAGCCACGACAAATTGGGGAAAGACTGCGGCGGGTCACGATGCGACTTCACAGGGTCGTCTAGGTCTAGTGTTTGAATATAATGTAGCTGTTCGAGCACGTTAGCGGCCTAGACTCTGCAAATCTCGGGTTGATTGCAGATGACGTACATGGCGTGGATAATACCAGGAATCCAACCCAGGATGGTCAAACAGATGTTGATGAGAAAGTCAGCACCGCATCCTCGCTCAAGGAAGACTCCAAGAGGGGGGAGGATGAAGGCGAAGATAAGCTTGCAGATGTCGCTGTACCGGAAACGTTAGTCAAGGAGCTGGCGAGGCTCAAACGGCTGTTCGTGAGAAACTCACGAGGCGGTGAAAGGCATTTGTGGATTAGCTTGTAGGAGCGACCTGTAAATTGCTGAGGAAGATGTGATGGAGGAGGATGACGGACGGTTGGAGGAAAGATAGGAGAGAATAAATAGCAGGGACGAAAAGGCGGGAGAGATGAGCGGTTCTTAAATCCTCGCGAGCGGGGGCAACGTCAGGACTAGTTGAGCCTTAGCTCGAGTGATTATTTGTAGATGAGCAAGAAAGGGTAAGCCTTTCAAACGAATAAAGCTGAACCTAGAATCCCCAACCACATCACCGTTGGATTGGAAATGGAAATGGAAAATCATGCTTGCTACCAGCCTAGTTTGCTACGTCATACTCGCTGCCACTGTGGCTCATGACTATGGGCCGACGCCCTGATTGGTTTCTGCGCGGCTGCCAGGCCAGGACGTGGATATGTCATTCAAAGGGATCGCTGCTCCGAGTCAGCAGTAGTCAAACAAAGCCAAGTTGTATCTCCTCTGTAGTACGACGTGCCGGTGTTCGTGCTCCAGCAATCCAAAGTTCCTCCCAGCTTGCCAGGGATGATAGCCGGCCCTTTCTCTGGTTCTTCCATCAACCAGAACCTAATTTATTCGGTACTGTTGATCGCATTTTCGCGCGCAATTCTGCTGCCTAGGCTCTGGGTCTTGGCCCTTCGGGCGCTACCAGTAACGAGCAACTTTATGCATCATCAGACTCGCCAGGGAATCGAGTTCCTCATCAACAGCGAGCTTAATTCTTCATAAAGAGGCAGACATGGTTATTCATAGAAAACGTAGCCGCCTCCAGTACAGCCCTACAGCCCCATATTCCATGTCCAGCCACGTTCTGGATCCCGACCCAGCCCAGAGCGTTCCTAACGTACATGATATCATCCCCAAGTAGACTATTTTCAGGAGCAAGATGCGCAAGCGCTGGAAACGCGTGCAACAAGATTCAATAATGATAATAATGTTGCCTACGGAGTACCAAATTTACACAGCAGTTCCAAGGGCCTTGAACCGGACACAGCGGCAAACAAGGCAGATCTTCGGTGATACAATCATGATATCGCCTGCTGCCGTATAATCTACGTAGTTATTCTCCAGCTTTGTGATGTAATCAAATACTAGTTGCTCAGGATCCGGGTGCTTTCTCGAGCTCGTTGTTATGTTAAACTGCCGCTCCGCTTGGCCATACTTTGTACTCTGTTACGGGTTGTTAAGGTGAATTCGAGCATGCTTATCACTCCAAAGTAACAGAATTCTCGATGTAATAATGCCTGGCTGTGGGAATTGTATATTGATTGATCTACTCATGGCTTGGCGGCCGCAGAACTGACTAAAAAGTCCTCATCACTTTCCGGCCCAAGACCTCTCTCCCAAGATTACCCACACGACACCCCAGAGGCAACTCGCCGGCGCTGGGAATTTTACTTCACTTACTGGGCTCATCTTTGTTACCAATGCTTCTATGTCGGTAGCTCCAGGGTTCGCCCCGCGCCTTCTGCCAGCGCGGCTGGCTGTCAAGGCAAGCTTCCCTCGGCAGGGGTATGCGCATGCACGAGACACTATTCGGGTGCGGACGCGGACATCTCTAAACAGATCAATTGCAACCAAGATCAATGAAGTTGCTGAATCACATTTTGCCTGTACCTGGCTCACTTCAACGCCCGAACAGATCGTAAGCGTCCTCTAGCTTTGAACACTCTGAGGTGCTAAACGTCCAAGAGACTCCAGATGATATACTTTCCAGTTGTCCCAACCCCTCGTCCGGCCTCTACGGAGATCATGCCCAAGTCATTCTCGTTACGCCCGCATTCGCGCGCTGGGCCGATCCGAAGAGCCCTTTCCTCGAACAATGGATGAACCAATTCAGCAATCGCGACGTGCAGTCTTCCGTTGGGGAGCCTGTCCACGCTGTCATAGCTGTTGTCGATCGTCTGCCAGGAGGTGATAAATCCATGGCTGAATCAGAAGGACTGTCCATGTTGTTTGTTCGAAGCGAGAACATTCAGGGCAAACCTATCGCGTCCCGTCAAGTCCGGTCGGCTGAAAGAGAAGAGCCCACGATTAAATTCTCATTTCTCGAGAGCGTCGCATCTCAAGAAGCTATGCGCCCACACCTCCATGAAGTTGGTCTACGACTCGCGAAAACTATATTTATCAATGGCAAGGAAAACACACTTTTCGGTACCCGTTGGGCTTATGATGCTTCTGCGGGGAAGCTTTTCCTCAAGGAATCTGTTGATCTGTCCCTTTGCTCGATCACGGTGAATCATACGGGTCTCCAGAAATCGCTCGAGCTGCCGCTATATCCGGTTGGCGAGCGACGAAAGGTGATAAATAGCATGGGCAATATCCTTCGTCAGATAGGAAAGCATGCCGATGGTAAATCGGACGAACCGATGCCAGCTTCCTCTGAGTTAGAGAAGGAGCTTCCGCGGTATATTGATGAACATAACATCGCAGACCGACGGGTCTCTGTTTGGGCTCTGATCGAAACCTCAGTCGAAAGCCCCTACAGCAAGTCAAAGCATTCACAAAGCGACCTTGCAAAGTCAATCCAGGCGGGTGCTAAGCTTCATCGTGTCATGAGTGGCGGGGGTGGATGGGGTAAGAAGCAGGGCCTTCTGTCTCTTGATCCGGAAATAAGCTTTGAAGAAGCCGGAAAAGAGGGTGTAGCTGCCCTCAGTTCTGTATTTTCAGACAATGCCCAGCATGCGACCCACGAGGCAATTCCTGCTTTCGAGCAGCGAATGTTCATGGAAGATCTGTCTACGCTCTCACAAGCTGCGGAACCGGGTGACTACGTTCAATTCTTTGCCTCCATTGAACAAGACGAGCCGCTGAAAACCCAGAACACACACCCGCCAGTTTCGGAAGGAAGCATTTTGTACAACTTCGGCGTAGTGTCTGACGCGGAGGCATTGCCGAGCCAGATTGAGCAACAGAGGGACCTGGCGGTAGTACCAAACCACTTCGGGGCTTTATCGGAGAAGGCCATCACATATCTGCAGCCAGTCGACGACGTGTACGAGTCTCGTACGAAGATTGATGTCCCTGGCTCACGGGTTGTCTTGACGCACTCGTGAAACGCATTCGTCACCTTGGATATATTCGAAAATCCAGCCATATATGTAATAAAACTGTACTCTTAACATGCAGAAATACTCAGTGTCTCAAAGTAAACTCCTTTGCGTAAAGCAGCTTCATTGGACATACTTTGGAGGCCCACTTGCCAAGTCCAGATCACGTGATAGCGTAGGAGGTGCATCAGCCTCTCCGAAGCAACCAGCGTGTTCGCCTCCAAGTTCCAACTCCAGTTCCGACCTCCATCGTCAAGTTCTCGCTTTACCATCGCAACAGCATCCCTGCGGCGATCTTCTACCTTGTGATTATCTTACTCTTTCGCTCTTACAGTTTTCTACCCGACCTCATCTACCCCGAATCTGGTCCGTCTTCAAGATGACTGAGCTTTGGTACGTAATCATCAACCCTCTCCTATTTGCCCTTCTCTAGCATTAGAGCTTGTACTGCGGCATTGCTGCTTGACTTTCATCGAGTGATCTATTCTAATGCTAACGATTGTTCGAATAGTCCCGTCTACGCGGTGAGTATTCCTTTACCTTCCACACCCTCTATGCCAGCTCCCGATCGACTCGGCCCTTGTCGGCGCACGAAGTTCGATGCTTTCATCGCGAGCTGAAGCATCTGGTGGCTGACTCTGGATGTTCTAGCCGTTCTTCGGCTCCCTCGGCTGCACTTCAGCCATCGTCTTCACCTGCTTCGGTGCCGCCTATGGAACCGCTAAGGCTGGTGTTGGTGTCTGCTCCATGGGTGTCCTTCGCCCCGACCTGATCGTTAAGAGTATGTCAAACTCGCCGGCACGTCATTGAGATACAATTCTAAAGCTTCATATAGACATTGTCCCCGTCGTCATGGCGGGTATTATTGGTATCTACGGTCTCGTCGTGTCGGTTCTGATTGCAAACAACCTTGCCCAACAAGTTCCCCTCTACACCTCGTTAGTCCAGCTCGGTGCTGGTCTTGCTGTCGGTCTTGCCGGTTTGGCAGCTGGGTATGCTTCTCAAGCTAAGTTCATTCGTGCTCTAGAGCTAACTCGGAATTCAGTTTCGCCATTGGTATCGTCGGAGACGCTGGTGTCCGCGGAACAGCCCAGCAGCCAAGACTCTACGTCGGAATGATTCTTATTCTCATTTTCGCTGAAGTTCTGGGTAAGTCAATATATTAGGAAATGTCCACGCAGGCCGATTTGACCGATGTATTCATTTTAGGTCTTTACGGTCTTATCGTTGCCCTTCTCATGAACTCTCGCGCTACCCTCGACGCCAAGTGCACTCTCTAGAGCTCTGACGAGCTTCAAGCGATGCTACCGTACGCCCAACGAACCCCGTGAAATGACCCCGTTCGCATACGAAGCATTTAAGCTCTTGGATTCGGACTCTGAACGTATTTGTATGATCTGTTGGTTGGCGCTTAGCTCCCAAGTGCGATAGACGTCAAGCTATTGCTTCAAGAGCTGAACTTGCGCAATGATTGGATGGAAGGGGACGGAAGAATGGAGGAAACTGTTGGATTTACACGCCCTGGACAAGAAATTTTATAACACCACTTCCCTACTGGCCTCCCTATCCTGCAGCTCTTGTAGGCTAGAGAGCTTTCAGGGAGTGGGAAAGTTTATCGTAGATACATAGCATGATTTGCGGAAACTGTACTTTATTGGAGTTGCTTGCTTTGATCCTAGAGAACTGGCTGGATCTTCTCATGTGCTTCGTTCTGTTCTTCTTGAATGCTTTTAGTTTATGCTATGGATTTCATACTGTTATGAATATCTGCCTGCTGGTTCTTGGTGTTGCGTTCCGAGAGGTAAGAGATTCTGTGCTATGCAAGGTAGGATAAGTTGGGTTTTTGACTACTGGATGAACTCCGCAGATTACGCCCGTATGCATAAACAGGGGTCTATTGATGTACGATGCAAACGGTATGCACTAGTTACAGAGTAGCAAAGTAGATAAGGAGGACAAAATGAACCAAATAGGAGAGTGCACCGCGTGAGGCAAGATATTCTAAGAATGAGGTGGGAAGTTAAGACAACACGACGGTTCCGGAGATGAATTGCCTTGAGGGGCCAAGCCGAGAGGTAAAGAGCAAAGGGAAATTAGCACCCGAAGGGAAGAACTACTAGTGTACGAAAATGAACAAGGCCGCTGGATTCAACTAATTAGGCCTTGTCAAGCTTGCGTCTCAGCGTTCTTGTCCTGCGGAGCAACTTCTTGAACTTGTGCTTCTTCATCTTCAATCGGCGGCGTCTTTTTGTGCTAAGCGCCTGCATGGTTCCAATGTTTCGTGAACGTTCGATGTAGTTGTTCTCCGAATTGTAGGGGTGGTCGATGATGACTTCGGCGCCGTCAGCAGCGGGGGCTTCCATGGACCGAGCCTGGACAAACGGCGTCGTGTGAGCCTCGTATGTCTTGCTTCCGTCGGAGTGAGTGGACTCCTGAATGGTCAAAACGGTCGAGTAGCTCTGGGAGTTATGTACGTCTTCCGCCTCCGCAAGCGCGGCCTCCTTGGACTCGTCGAAAGGTACGGGAGGAGGTGGAGGGTTGAAGGGACGAAGGCGTCGAGTCATTTCCTCCACGGACATTTTCAATTCGGTCATATCTAACCCGTCGAACTGAGCTCCGTCAACCTCGTAGGCGCCCATGTGGCCGTCGTTTTCGACGAGGCGGTGCGTGGCATTCTCCATAGAGTTGACGGCGGAGGAGAGAGTGAAGATCACATCATCCGCCTCGCCCTTCGTGCGCTGCCTAGGAGCGAATATAGAGTCAAATGCTTCTGAACTCGAAGGCGGAGGGACGGTTGTAGAGACGGAGATTGGGCGGTGAATGGAGAAGAAGGATGCGATATGGACGTCTAACCAGATTGCATTTTGTTAATATGTTTCGGCTAATAAAAGCAAGATAGGCGGAAAGCGTAGCTATGTTACTTACCATGCGGTTGCAGATGTTGCGTTGAAGGAACGCTGGGGAGGGGAGGAAGTGGCCTCGAAAAAGCTGTCGGCCGGCCATTGCGGCCACTACCATCTTTCCCCCGTCGGCGCGAAGACTTGCCCTCACGCTTCTCTCCAGAGTTTACTTCTTTCGCGGGCGTTTGAGAGGAGGCGTCGATCTTTCTCGAGCCATCGCTAGGCTTGGAGGATGACGAGGAATAGCGGCGTTGACGTGCTTGCGTGGTGCGGACGATGCCTGCGGAGGATGCAGCAAGGCCCTGGCTGGACGAGCGAGAAAGGCCAGATGCCGGAGCAATTGGCGCCCACGCTGCCCGGCGCAGTGAGGAGGATAGCATGTTTCGGTGTCGGAGAATCCCAAAAGGAGGGAGGATGAGGTTGGCCGGGTCAAAGACGCTGCTCATGAGGCGAAATCGAAGTTGCCGATCATGGTGGAACTCGGATTAGGTAAGTCCCGGCCTTAATGCCTCAGGCACAAGTACTCTAAAATCAGGTGATCGCAACAGTTGACTCGCCATCAGTTAGTACGTTCAAGGGCAGGAATTTTCCAAAGTTGTGATTAATTTAGCTAAAATACAAGGTGAAGGTAGAAGGATTCTGCAATATTGGTATCTCAACGCATCGATTCAGAGCCAATGTCAGCCTCATAAGCCAAAATACCTCCAATGATCAACTTCTAACATATCAACTCCATCACGCAGTTTTAATCGAAGATTCGGCGTGAAGTATCGAGAATTTCTGGCAGGCCAGTCCGCGAGGAAATTTCTGGGCAATCTTGAAAACATGGCTAGTCGGAGAAAGGAAAAGACAGCAATAGGGCAGTAATGAAATGAGTCTCGGCATGAGAAACAAGAATAAAAAGAAGATTCGTGAGGCATGGCAGGGCATTCCGATAGGCATCAGGAATAGATGGTATCAATCAGCATTATATAGGAAGTGAGCCCATCGCTGAACCGTAGAAAAGAAAAGTTGTCGGGCAGCAAAAGCTCTTGACATGGAAAGTAATGCAATGCGGGTGCGGCAGAGACAATAAGCCTCGATTGGAGGATATGAATGCAAAGAAGAAATGTATAGGGTGACGTATAAGGTCTGAGAGGAGGGTGTTATCGGAAACCCAGACGCTCAGGCAAATGCAACGTAAATCGAAATGCAGAAAATGCAATGGGAATCTCATGATCGCTGAAAAACGATTCAGTCGTTTAGAAAAGGCCAGCAGCTCATAGTATGAGAGTGTGGAGATTCTTCTGGATAATCATATCCTGTACTGAGTCCATGGTAGCCTTCAACAATGTTGTATCAGTGGCATTAGTGTAATGAATGTAGATTTCTCGGTCCGGGATTCGGTTGATACCGCGGAACCGATCAGCGAAGTATTTTGCAGCAGCATCGAAGTTCGTGTTCGAATCGTTGTAGTCTGGGAAGTGTTTCGAGATGGGCGAAATCTCGAGTTTATCCTTGAAGAGGTCAATCTTGTTTAGGAACAAGATGATGGGCTTTCGCTTGAACCATTCACCATTAACCAAGGACTCGAAGAGCATCATTGCCTCGTGCATTTGGTTCTATAAAAAGGGTGGTTAGATGTTGTTATTCACGTTAGCAGACGATATTTCCACTTACAGCATTTTGGTCCTCAACCAAACACTGGTCGTAACCAGACAATGCAACCATAAAGAGCAAGCATTGCACACCCTCGAAACAGTGGATCCATTTCTTCCGCTCGGAACGTTGCCCACCAACGTCCATCATGCGGAAATTCATCTGCCCAAGCTCGAATAGTGTCTCTGTGATACCCGTTGTCCGTAAGCGCGCCTGCAGCATATCCTGATTGTCGGGAAGCCAGCCAGGCGCGAATATGCGTTCCAGTGAGCTGAAAAAGCTGCATTTGGATTAGTATACTCATAGACGCACGTTTGGCGGTGAAACCTACTAATTCAGATTATCGTGGAGAGCAAACTCGTGGCCTTTAGAGACTGCCTTCTGGACTCCGCCGTCGTTCCACATCTCGGTCATCGCATCACGAACTCGAAGGTCGGAGAATGCCTCGTCGATACCCACGTCAGGTTCCACATTATCTATGAAATCCGCCAAAGGCTGGTAACGCTGATGTTAGTAAGACACCAAAAAGCTGCTATTACTAGTCGAGCTTACTCTTGTTTGCTCGTGCTCAAAGTCAAGGTCTTCGGTACGCATGATCTCCAGAAGAACCTTGAAAGCGACAACAATATTCGAATAGATAACCGCTCGGGTCTGGCGCCGTTCGTCTTCAGGAAACCCTCCCGCATGAATGATGCGCATCTGTTTGATAATAGTCGACTTGCCCGATTCTCCAGCACCTGAGGAACAATCGGTAAGTATAAACGTGATTTAGGTAGCGGACTTCGTACTCACCAAGCAGGAGAATCTTGATCGTTCTATCCATCACTTTCTTGTCGTTCTTGAGTACCTTTTCTATCCTAGCATTCCGTTGAATAGCATCCTTCTCCTCCGCCGCATCGACGGGCTTGGAGCTCATACAACCCATGGCGTTTAGCTAAGTGCAGGTAAGCCGGCCGATATCTCGAGCACCAATTTTACTGCTTTTCAGAGATATTATCAGTAAAGTCCTTCAGCGCCGATGTGCGTACAAATCTTCGACACCGGTACCGACAGTCGCCGGGTGAATCAGGGATACCCTCGAACTGCGCTAAGAACCTACTCAAAGAGGGGCAATTGAGACATGCGGCGAAAGCTGGTCCGAAACTTAAGTTCTGCACTTACTTCTCCTTGCCGTTGCTTCCTCGGAATAAAAGGGTTAACACAGACAGAAAAAAAGAAAATCACCTACCAACCAGGTCGTAGAAGAGGTCGCCAGTGAGCATCTACCGAATCCGGTCACAGGCAGCGGGCTGACGGTTTGACGATGCCCAATGAGGCGCGATGACAAAAGCACAAGCTTCCTATTTCTCTGTGCGGAACTTCTTGCGTCACTTCAATGCGCAATACGTCCTTATATACGATCTGCTGACAGGGAAAAGCGTGGTCGAAGAGGAACCGGGACGTTCGAAGGAAGGTACTGAGATTTCCAGATATAGGTTTCAACCGATTATTGCCCTTCGTCGCAGCAATTGAGAGTTAAAGGTGCGGCCAGGTGACCCGGGTTCGCAGCGAAGATTTGGCAGCACTTATCGTCAGTCGCAAGATCGGAGACGCCGTCGCAGGTTGCCCGAGCAAGTCAGCACAGTAAACTCGGGGGCTGAAGCTGAAAGCGCTTTGACGATCGAAGCGGGAGAGCACCGGGCTTCTCTGTAGTTTATGATGGGCTTGGCAAGGTCCGCTCGAGAGAAAAAGCAGAGAGCCGAGGGTCAGGGTGATCGGAGCTCAGCGGAGAGGGTGTGGTGCATCCCTTCCAGACGACAATGAGCGATGGAGCGAGGTGAGAAAGCGCGAATCGACGGAGAGGTTCTAGAATAAATCTTCGAAGATTCGCTGCAGGGAGCAGGAATAAGGGTGGTGGTGTGAAGGAGAGATTGTCGTTGGAGCGTCGCGCAATTCGTTAGTTATATTGATGTGTCTGATCGGAGGAGGGGGCATTCGTCGTCTCATTCGAGACAGGGCATCAAGCGCTAGGTGCTTTTCGGAGTAGCCATTGTCCTTGGGGCTAGGGGGAGATAAACTAAGAAAAAGAAAACTAATAAAAATTCAAGGAATGAGAGGAACAATCCAGGAACCAAAAGGACCAACGAAGGCAGAGTCAGTGAGGAGGAGCAAGCCCATGGCGGTTTAGCCTGCTTAGCTCTGATTTAGCCAGTGCTAGTTTGACGGGTAGACACTCCTCAAGCAACTTACCTCCCGCTTCGGTGCTAGGCCCCTCCCGTATGCCTCTTGAATGGCTCAGGGCTCGACCCTCTACCCACTCTCGGCGTTCTTGATGAATCCCATCTGCTGGCTGACATCCAGCAGGACTCGCAGAATGGTCCACCCGCCATGCAGCCCACGGATTGTCCCATGGTCGGGAACCGCTCCTTCACACTGAAACGGTTCGCTTTTTCATATGATTTGGTTCAGATGGTTGATGGCCGGTACGATGCACATTATCTACTCCGTACCTTTGAGATGGATCGAGACCCTGGCTTTTGAGCATGTCTGTCGCGCATTCTTCGGGACACCAAAGGTCCTTTTGAATGCTCCAATGTCAAATACGGAGCAACATTGCTCGACCCAACGATGGGTCCTTTCGCGAAGTCACCGGCCCCAAAGGAACTAACAACACACGAGCCCACGACATAGGTGACAGGAGCCCTAACTGGCAAATTAGCCTCAGTCGACGCCGTTTCTAATGGTTACAATTGGCGTCGCCCGCGTCTCGCATAAAGGATAACATTCACGGTACACAGGAAGTTGTGTGTCCATGCTGATATGCACTTTTGCACATGTTGGGCCTCGAGAGGACGAATTATTTACCTCGAACCCAGGCCGCCTTCGCCAAGAGCTACAAAGCCACGAGGCCTGACTTCGGCGCATTCTCCTGCACAGATCGGCATATATTCTGGATCCCGGAGACTGGGCAGTGGTCTCTTTGAAGTTGGACTCTTCTGAATCTCTTGTCCTCACTCCTATTCAATATTCCAGGGTGCGTTGGACAGATCGACTAGGCGCCTCAGACAGTATGCTGGCTCCCCGCCAATGGCCTTTCGCTCTTATGTTCTTCAAGCAAAACGATGATATCCCATCAGGATTTGAATCCTGTGTCTTCCTCGCTTAAGCAGAAATTGCTCATGAAGATCAGATACAGATACCGAGCGCGAGCAGGCCTTTTCGACTCTTCGAACCTTCGGTCTTCGAGTCCAATGTGGAGCGAATCCTCCCTCGAATCCTCCGTCGTCATTGGAGCTGCTATCCCGCTCTGATGTGTCAGAGTCTACCCGCCCGTCCAGTCTCCAAAGTACCGTTTGTGGCTGAGAGGTAGATAGCACTGCGAACGAAGTACTGTCGTCGTCTTTGGCAAATAGATAGAGATAGGTAGCAAAACAACACCCCGTCGATTGATATTGATACCAAAAGTATCGAAAAGTCAAAGTCGAAATCAGATCATATACCAGGATTGCGGAGCTCTTCTTGAAACGAGGTGGATCTTCTGACTCCCGGCCAGCCGGTTTCATCTATTCGACCGTCAAAACGCCGCCTTCCCACTAAGGCAGGGGTAGTCGAACCAATTCGTCCATCATTTCTGGGGTTGTGAGAGGCACCTGCCACGACCGACCCTGGCGTGGCAGAGGATTCCTCCTTTTCGCTCCGGATCATATGCAAGCCTTGAATCGGGAGGGATATTGCGACTCACCCGAAGCCGGTGGTAATTTAAAAGGAGACTCGCCATTGGAAGAGAGGATTTACTGCTTCTGGGATAATGCACAACTCTGCATATGTATTCTAGCCATGCTTGCTTTTTCTTTTTTTGGATCCTCAGAGGCTCAGACTCTACCAGCAAATCAGCACCGATCATTGACCAGAGAGTCCTCTCTATCTGTGGAAGGTCAATAGTGCCCGCTACTATCGGAACTCGGCTTTATCTCAGAAAAGAACCTCTGTCCTCCCTCGTTGATTTCTCGACGCTCGAAGCGAACTATCACACCGGTCTCAGGGTCAAGCAAAGAAACATGTGTTCAGCTTGAATCATGTCTTGCTCGAACCATGGACAGGGTACAGCTAGTTGTCCAACGTCCAGTAGTGGGCGATCATGGGCGAGGTGTTCCAAAGGCAAAGTATAACAAAGCGCTAGTTGGCAAATGTCTCCTCCGTAGAGTCTCCGAATACAAATTTTTCCAAGACAACCACGTCTATGATCTGGTCCCTCGCCTTCGAGCACTTGAGGTATCTCTCAAAAAACTCATTTTACGTCATCAGAGAACATGATCTGAGATATCAGATTCATTACTATTCGAGATACCTACTGTATTTGTGATGATGAGGGTCCGAGTGATTGAATGATATCACTTAATCGTCTCCAATTCTTTGACCATCTGTTCTTTCCTCATCTTACCCTCGGGTGCCAATCAGTCCCAGGGCTTCGAGATACGCACATGACAGCTGCAGCAAGCCACGGCGCGTCTCGCTTATGATATACATATGTAAATGTTGCTCTCTCAGTCCCGGACTTCCAGCGATCTGAAGGGCTTCGCCAAGATCTATCATGGGCTAAGCATCCATCCAGTTACTCATTTCCTGCAGAGGCATGCTTCCCTTCCAGGTTTCGGTCGAGTATACTCGGATAAGGGCGCCTCTATATTTCGTACATCTGATACTGCGTTTTTGTTGTCGGGGCTATTGAGTGATTCGATGCAGACCGATACGAAAACGCCCTGAAACCACTTCTGCGCTCAGGTGTTCAGGCGTCTTTTTAGCGGGTGAGTTCGCGCCTAACAAGCTGCAAAGGAACAACGGGCCCCAGTCCTGTGGTGGCCCAAATGAGATGTATAAACTCGACCAGTTGAGGACTCTGTATGCGGGGCAATCCCCAGGATTGGGGAAACCGCTATATGAAATGGCCGAGCGCGACTCGGTAACCGGCGGTCATTGGTGCGCTTCGCAGGTGGATTCGTATCCGCTGGCATGAATGTTTCATTCTGAGGTCTCAAATGCGCTTTTCTGCATGTTATATTGCTGTTGATGAGAGCGCATTGAACCCTTCTGGCTTGTGCGCCAGCCTCGCGTTGGGGTAGGCTTGTCATGCGGTCGGCGACGTCGTCTGTCCTCTGTCGGAGCGAGCCATTATTCGGCGGGTATAAATGCCGCTGAAGCATCATTTATGGCTTGAAGGCGCCTTCCGAGCCTTGGAGTGATGGAAACATGGTTTCATCCTCAGCTGTCAATGCCTGACCCTTTTCACTCCGCCCAGGGGATCCAGTTGCTAATCAACAGGTTAAAGGTCTGAATCTCTCAAATATCCCAGAATCTACTTAGTTGCGCTGCGACTTGCTTGGAAATATCGTCTGTGCAAAGCGTTATACATTGATGCCGATCGACATGGTTCATACTCTCAGTGCTAATATATATTGCTAGCACTGGCCCGCCTCACCTTAACTTGATCTTTGAATTCACTGGCGGAGAACCAAGGTCTCGGTCCCTAGGCAATTTATTGATACCTGGACGATTAGTTTCTCCACGGTATGTTTTCCATCAACTTCCAACTTGGTTCTTGATGCTCTCCTGCTCTGGGGAGCTCTTCCGAGGTCAGTTGCAAGTCCCTGTTGAGGCTCACGGAGCAAATGGGCAGATATCACTGTAGATAACAGGATTACACAGTAACATAGCACAGACTTAAACTCAGCTGTTGATTAGTGAGTAAAACATATACTGCCTGTGCAGTCCAGGAGGGCAGTGTTAGAAGCATTGCTGAGGAAAGGTTCGGGGTTTCGTACGGTATACTGAGTACGTGGATTGCGTAACTAAGAGTAGATGTCATAGTCTCATAGCTTCAAATCTGTAGATACATCATTAGTTGCGGATTAACAGCTCAGGACTAAGCCAATTTGAACTCCTACACCGTATGCTCCCTCAAGAACCTGATGTGGAGTGTCAACATGCATGTTACCCCACAACCAAATAATTATTAGTACGGTGGTCCGTGGGTCTGATTACTCACCGTCCAGTGAAACATGTGATGATGTGACGGATGTGGAATCAATAGCCGCATTCAATGGGAGATCTCGGCCTCCCGAACGTGTTTTGCAAACGACCTGAGGGGGTGCATGTCCTCCTTCCTATTGCTATCCTCAATTCTTAACTACCAGATGAGCCATTGAGCTCGTCGAAATTGAAATGGACGACAAGCATATCCTGCCCAGCGAGCCCTTCAGGTCAGTACTGGCAACCGTCCAGCAAGCGCTGATCATCATCTGACCCTAGCAGTGACGAAGGCTCCGAGAGTGCTTCTCTCCTACGGGACTTTGATGAGCCTCTGCTTGGGAAGCGCCGCATACATGAACTATCAGAAGGTGCACTAAAACTGGACGGTCAACCAGCTGCCGCGTCGCGTGGCGGTAGCTCTTCATCATGGCTCTTCTCCACAACGCGCTACGCCGTGATTCTAACAATAGGCGTCTTCTTGATTCTAACTGCCGGATATCTTGGATCGCTTGTTCCAAGTACGTGACTGCCAATAACTACGCTTCCCCTACCTTGCTGACGTATACCCCGTCATGATAGAGGAGCCGGCGAACCATGAGACCCCACACATCCAAGCCCCTACCATCTGCCAGACCGCTGAATGCATCGACGCTGCCTCCGAGATCCTTCACAGCTTGGACCCCAATTACGCCGATATTGATCCTTGCACGAACTTTGACCAGTATGTTTGTGGCGGATGGAGAGAACTACACGATATGCGGCCCGACCAGGGAGCTATCTTTTCCGGCACATATATGCAGGAAGCATCCCAAACACGCCTCCGCCATTTGCTTGAATCATCCGAACCGTCCGACCCTGCCGACTCGAACATTTTTGATAAGCTGAAGGCTGGTTACAAATCTTGCCTTGATGAGGAGACTGTCAAGAAGCGCGGAACTGAACCATTGGCCAAGCTGCTGGAGGAATTCGAGAAGGTGTATAGTATCGGCTCCAAGTCAGAAACGTCAGAGGCCGGCTTAACAGACGCCGTGCTGTACCTGACGAAGTCCGGCGTTCGTGCTCTGCTGGGCACGTATGGTTCGGTAAGTTTCTCCTCCGCGGTCATGTCATATCCACGTTAACTTAGAGGCACAGCCAGATGATCGTGATCCGGATAATGTTGTCGTCTTTGTAAGTCCTCCTCGAAGGATTGGACTTCCAGCTAGGGAATACTACAACAATACAAAGACCGTGAGCGAGTACACCGCGGTGGTCGAGAAAGTACTTGGTAGCTTCGTTGGCGACGGGAAGCAAAAGCAGCATCTCAAGGATGTTGTGGAGTTCGAATCTAAACTCGCAGATGTGACTCCCGACACGCAGACCCAGGAGGACGTCACAAAGTACTACAACCCACGCACTCTCGAGGAGACAAAGTCGCTTCTTCCAGAAATCTCACTGGCTGATATCATTTCGGGTCTCGCCCCGTCGGACTATGAAACCGACCGTGTGATTGTTGGATCCCCATTGTACATGGAGTCTCTGTCCAAAATCCTTAAGGACACACCAAGGGAAACCATCCAGCTATTCTTCAAGTGGAAGATTATTCAAAGATATGCCGAACACATTGAAGATGATGCCATCGAACCCCTGCGTGAATTCGACAACGTGCTAGCTGGCAAGGACCCCAAAGCTAAGAAAGATCGGTGGCGAAAGTGCATTAGCACTCTGGATCGTGATCTAGGGTGGATCCTGAGTCGCTTCTACGTGTTGAACGCATTTTCGGAGGAGTCGAAAAGGCTTGGAGATCAAATCGTCTCCGATATCAAGGATCGCTTTGTGTTTACCTTGGACTCAACTAGCTGGATGTCACCCGAAGTGCGGAAGCTGGGCATTCAAAAGGTTGGAAACATTGTGCAAAAGATTGGGTATCCGACAAAGAGTCCTGACTTGATGGACCCTGCCGACGTAGAAAAGTATTACGAAGGCCTCGCCATCTCGAATGATACCTTCTTCGAAAACGGAGTTGCCGTCGCTAGATTTGATACTGCGAAAGATTGGGCTAAGCTGGGGAAGCCAACGGACCGGAACGAATGGAGTATGACTGCTCCGACAGTTAACGCATACTATAACCCGCCTGGCAATGAGATTGTGTTCCCTGCTGGGATCATGCAGCCACCGGTCTTTTATGGACCTAAAGCTCCCTTGTACTTGGCGTACGGAGCCTTTGGTGCCGTCAGTGGACATGAGCTCTCTCATGGTAAGTTTTTTTTTTTTTTTTTTTTTTTTTTTTTTTTTTTTTTTTTATATATATATTTATTTTGGAGAGTCATGGAGCAAAGGTTTACTTACATTGACTGCAGCGTTCGACTCCACGGGAAGACATTACGATGAAACGGGGAACTACACGGATTGGTGGGATGAGAAGACTGTGGAGAATTTCGAGGAGCGTGCGCAGTGCTTCATCGACCAGTATGCAGAGTTCACTGTTCCTGGGAAGGATTCGGAGCCATTGCATGTCAATGGCCGCCTGACTCTTGGTGAAAATATTGCCGATGCTGGCGGTCTTACAGCATCATATCATGCTTGGAAGAAGCGTGATGAGGCTCATCCAGACTCACAGCTCCCTGGTCTGCTCGAGTTCACCAAAGAGCAGATCTTCTTTATCTCCTATGCGAACTGGTGGTGCAGCAAGTCGACACCGGAAGCCGCCCAGGAGGCGATTTACAACGATCCTCATGCACCCAAACCGGCCAGAATCATTGTGAGTTCCCTTGACGCCCCCATGTAAATGTAACCTTTATTTTCTCAGCCGGACTAACCCTCTTTAGGGAACAATGGCGAATTCACTCGAGTTCCAAGAGGCATTCAATTGCCCGAACAAGAAGGCAACCTGCAAGCTCTGGTAGCTGGGTTGGATGTGGAAATCTGCTCGTAAAGTATACAAGAATTCTGGGCTTTTGTATGAGTTGACCTCGAACCAATTGTTTTTGTATTGATGTAACCTGCCAATGGCCTCAATGACTTGCTTGTTTTCAAAGGTTCTAAATCTCAGCTGAGCCCCAAAGGGCCAAAGTAGTGTAGGTTCACTCACCGACTTGGCTAGTCATGCCTCTTTGAGATCGATCTGCGATCGCGGAACTGGGTGAGGCTGAAATCTGACGGGGATCTACGCTTCATTACCTTCACCGACAGATTCTCAGCCAGCTACTGCCGGGAACAAAGCGTGGGAGTTTATTGGGAGCATCACTTGCCGGAGAGTGGCAACATGTCTTCGCTCGGTACGGTCTATCGATATAAACGAGACTAAAGAAACCCCACGAGTCATGGCCAGCAGTAAACCCTAGACGCCTTCCCGCCTATACTAGACTGTTTGTAGAAATGCTAAACCGTCCGCTCTGGGCGGCGGAGCAGGCTCCATGAAGAAAATCGCGAAACTGCGGGATTTCCCGAGAAAAAGCAAAGAGACAAAATCCGTTCTAAATTCTGACTGGGAAAGAGAGAACCAAGTTGTCGGAACAATCGCCAGCTCCCAAAGGAGTGGGATTGTGGATGTGATCTATCAAAGTGGCTTGGGATGAGCGTGATTTGCTGCACTGCAGTGATGACATGGTGTCTGAATTTTGCGAGACGTGATGGGGGTAGAGGAGGGTGGAATGAGAATCCTGATCCTGTCTTTGTCCATGCCATTGCAGTATTCTTGAATCCGGAGTCCGGTTCGCTATACGGGTACGAACTGACCAAGGGAATATGATCAGAGCCTCGGTTCAAAGTAGTTTGGCGGAAACCTTCTCATTTCAAACTTAACCAAATTGGTCGATGGCATTTAACGGTTGCAACTCTTGAATCTGAGCTAACCCTGGAAAAAGTTCAGCCTGGATGCTGATCTGGTGGAAGCACTGGAAGAGAGGTGATAAGCTAGGTTTTCCAAATCGACACATGATTACGCATCGAGGAGGTTGGAGAAATCATGCACCCAGAGATCCAATATCCAGACGGAGCTGTTGACCGATCGTCTGGCTCTGTTGAATCTGCCTGCTGGTGGAGCATCCAGCCTCCGCTGGATGGAATCAGCTGACACCAACTTCGACCGGAGCTTGACTCCTGTGATTTGATTGATGCTCTTTCTCCTGCTCCTTCGTCGTGAGAGAGAGTCCCTGTCGTCTTCGTCTTCCTTGGACTGGTCAATGGAATCCTGGCTCGGCCTCCTTTGTACAGATAATAAACCGAAAAAATTGAGTGAGGCGACCACGGCTCAACTGTCCCCTCCCTTTGAAATTTCGCGCCTCTGCTCGCCCTTCCCGCGTTTTTGATCCATGGATGGAGATATTTAGGCTCCTGAGCATCCTCCCCCGGCTGGGCTGAGCTGACACTCCAGCTTGCAGTTGGGTTGGTTCCGCTCCTGGAACCGCCGTTCCACAGGGCCGGCTAGCAAAACAAAATCTACTAGTAATCGTCCCTCTCGCGCAGCTCGCCTTGCGGGTGTCTCACGCGGCTCCTTGGCCTCCACGCCTGCTTCATTTTTGATTCCTGCATTTTCGTCACATCATCGCTGTTCACATAGACCGGGCTTTATGATTACCTCTTGATCGTCTGCCTCTTCCTCACGCTGGATTTCCATTCCTGCTACACGCGAGCTCGTATTTATCCACGCTGTTTATGGTCGGCCCGGAACCTCGAACGGGGAACATCGTCATCGCCGAGCGAACCGCGTCTATGCCTGCGATTCGTTGCGTATAAAATCAAACTCCGCGTGAACCTGGTCATGTCGTTGCACAGACACGCCTTTCGATCCCAGTTTGGGCTATTGATACCTCCATATCCTATTGTCGCCGAGACTCCCTGGTGAAAGAAGAGGCCGGAAAATAAGAGAACAAGTTTCGCGTATACGAAGGGGTGAACGTCCTGCCCTGGGGCTCCTGGTCTGCGGTCTCAGTGCACAGCATTGCTCTGCACCATGGGACCTAGTGCGGCTGGTTTAGACGACCGTCCGAAGAAGTCGGATGAAGCGCAACCAGGTTCCTCCCCCCCTGCTCTGACTAGCAAGGAATCCAAGTCCAATGCGCCTACCAGACCCGCATACGTCACGTCGACTCTACGACGCGCCCACACCGTTGCACAAGGAAAAAACATCGCGAAAAAGACAAACATTGGGTCGAGAGCGGCCGGAGAAAAGCCGGCTGTGCCATTAATACGTACCAAGGACAGCCATGAACTGCTGCGAAGGCGGTCGCTCAAACACCTCGATTCTCAGAAGATTCCGCGTGAGACATTTGCGGGACTGAGGGAATCGAGTCACTTCACGGTTGGAAATGTAGGCCAGAACGGCAAAATATTTCTCAGGTATGAGCAGACCTTAGTTTCCCGAATGCATGGCTTGGTACCACAAGCCTTGGGCAAACGCGCTAACCTGCCCTTTTCGTCCAGACCCGTTCAAAATCAGTCTCTCAAAGGATCTCGTCGTATACCAGTCTCTTCTCCGACTAGCGAATCGAAGCCAGACTTCTTACAGCCGCAAGGGCAGGGTGGTAGCTATGGCAAGGACGATCCGTCACGGTGGTCAAATTCACAACTATCAGAGTTACGGTTTGAAGGAGGAGGAGATAATGGAGACACTTCATCGATAATCTCGGATTTGTCGCGGTCTGGCGCACACCAACAAGCCCGCCAACATACCCTGCAGAGATCCCATTCCTTTTCCACCATCTCAGAACAGCGATCGGTGTCTCGCGCTGAAGGAGGTACGGAATTTCGAGTCATCATTGACCGACCAGATGACAGGCCCAGGTCAGCGGATGGAGCTTCCCTTCGACACCTAGAGGTGGCTATCCCTGATTATCACTTGGGTATCACACGGTACAATACATCGACCAACGTTCTACAGAACTCGACGCAATCGATGGAAGTATGGAACTCTAGCACTGCTCGCAACACATACTTACATGACCGAGCTGGCCCTTCGTTTGCCCCCTCAATCTTTTCGGGCGTGTCCGCCATGGACTTGACCCGGAGTGCTGTTGTTAGTCCTGACCCGATCGCGTATGATCCTGGAGACTCCATCAAGCCTTCAATCTTTGAAACACTTGTGACGGTGATGGATGACGAGTCCGTAGTTCGCTACGTTTCAGGCACTAAGAACATCAGTGCTGCAACACCTGCGCGTATTGTTGCACAGATATCTTCAGAGTCTTTCATGGACTACGAGCTTGTGTCGGATTTCTTCCTCACCTTCCGGCCTTATCTTACCACTGGATCGCTGCTCTCGCTCCTCCTTGCTCGCCTACAATGGGCGATAAACCGTCTACAGGAAGATGGGAGAATCATTAGGATACGCACATTCGCTGCGCTGCGCCATTGGATTCTGAATTACTTTGTTGACGATTTCGTCCCTGACTTCAAACTACGAGCTCATTTCTGTGAGACAATAAATCGTCTATACGACAGTGTGAAGGCACGCCACGGTGGTGGAATGAGTGATTTGAAGATCCTCATTGATCTCAAGCGATGCTGGCATGGAAAGTGCTCTGCCTATTGGGATATACCAGACCATCACATCCCATACAACAGTCCCGATCGACCCATTGATCCTGGCGGCGATGAGCCGGCCCTGGGAGACGATTTGCAAAATGTTGTGCCAACGCACAGCACTCAGATTCCTGGTGTAATGGAAGCTAGGAAGCCTGCACTGGCAATACACCATGAGCGGAATGATTCAACTGCTACAGCAAAGAGCATGCCCGCGTCGGCCGGCAGTGATTGGAGTGCTCCTGCAATATCTTGCTCACTGCCTCCCAAATCTCCCAAACGCCATTCAATGCCATTTTCTCCAAATAAAGCACCACACCCAGTACCTGTTATCCCAAGACAATTCGGATCGAATCCTGCCTCCCCTATGTCACCAATCAGCTCGAGGCGCCTTCCCTGCTACAGCCATGCACACAAGCGTAGTGGCAGTTTTTCGGATTCATTTCGGGATGATAGGGCGCCTATTTCGTTACCACATTTTGACGCTAAAAGCTCATTCTCCTCCCACGAGCCATGCTACCTTGGTAACTTGATACGTGGCGAGTTATATCCTCCAGTAGAGTCTTATACGATTATGATGGCACCGCCCTCCCCACCTCTTCCAACTGTACCTTTCGGCATGCGGGTTGACCGTCGGAACACAACAAACAGTGCCCCCTCAAAGCCTACCACTTCTGGTTCGGGTGTGAAGACCATTATCGGATCTATCCGTCGAGCTTTGCATAGCAAGCCTCCGGCGCACAATGTCTCCTCACGCGATGTGAATGGACCACTAACGAGAGGGAAGATTTCCGCAATGCCAAACAACGTTGCGTTCGGGTCTGATCTCTATAAAGAGAAGAAGACTGCTACTCCAATCAAGAAGCCAACCAGACTTGACTTTCTTTGCGAGGAAGCTCTGCGACAATATCGTCAGGTTTCAGGCGAGATTGTTGAATCACCAGGCGAAACCCAGGAAGTTGAACTGGGGCAGATCCCTGTCCTAGCGCCGCAGTCTTTTCTTATGCCCCGAGACGACAGAGCGCAGCGTCCCCTGACGGGTGTCAGTGAATCTATAGTCATTGTGGATGACACAGGCGTAGGCATGCCTGTCATGACCGGAGGCGTTGGAATACCGTCTGCGGGGCTGGAACAGCCTCCAGGGTTCCTTGCTGGTGAAAACTCTCCTGCAACACCTAGAGCACACACGTTTCTTGCCTCATCCAAAGGCTCTACTCTTGATGCGGATGAATATTCTTTGCCGATATTCTACGACGAAACTAGCATAAGACAGTCCCGAGGAACTTCGGCCGTTCATGGTGCAGCTGCAACACGGAGATCTTTATCTATCGAGAAAGGTTCGTCTTTCTGGAGGAAACCCGCGCGATCAAGCCGTCTTCGGAAATATGCTTCATTTCAAAGCGGATTCTCGAGGCATCGCCCTACCCTTGATAGTGACTCTGGGATTTCAACAGCTGGATCAAGCATCCTCGATCTTGCAGATAAGCCGGCTGGGCCTACTCTACGGAGGCGGCCTGGGGGTGATTTACGTCGGATGCGTAATGGCGTTGGTACTCAGTCACAACCAGATTCAGCCTCGATTTGGTCTGACGTAACTTATCAAAGCTCGATCGCGGATAGCACCGCGAACACCATTGACCATGCTGTGTCGAGGCCGCAAACTAGCCTTGTTCCACCGAAGCCTCGTTTCTCTCTGTTGAAGACACACTCGTCTCAGCTCATCCGGCGGTCTTTCGAGTCCGCACTTGCACGCTTTGCCCAGATTCCTGATGATGAGGACGGGGGAATCGAGTCGACACTATTGAAGCTGGAAGGCAAATGGAAGGGACAATCAAATGATGGACCTGGCAGTGTGGCCGCTGGTTCTAGCCAGCCTCAAGAACGGCCTCATATCTTGGCAAGTGCACGTGAAGTAGCAATTGCCCCTCGCGACTATTACCCACGTTCTAGTGCATCCACAAACGATCACACGAGACTGGGTGCCAGCCTGACGTATTCGCAAGTCCAAACACGGATTATTACTACCGGTCCATACTCAGACTCGGTCGCAGACTCGGAAGACTCCTACAGTTCTATACCGCTCCTTGAGCGAGGGCTCAGTGATGAATCAATGAAAAAGCCTGTGACGGACCAGATACCTGGTGTTGTCACTGAACCACCCGAGAGCTCCGTCAATACAGAAGCGTCGGATGTTGGATCATCACACCCATCTATCGACTTGGTCAAGAAAACAGAGAGTATGCAACGCATTCCGCGAGGATCGACTCTTCCTGTGCCTAAGCCCATGGGCATCAAAGTTCGGACATCACGCCTATCCGGGTTATCTTCCGAGCTTTCTGTTGACGTTATCGACGCGAATGAAGCGCGGTTATCGTTTGATACACGGAGTCTGGACGAGTCGTCCATCGGAATTCCTCCGCATCCTCTTGCCCATCCCCCTTCGCCTCCGATGACCATCCAGAATACTCGTTCCGTTAATTCATATAGAGCTTCCCTGATTCCCAATCCCGCTTGGGCGCAGCCTTTGACGCCCGACCCGTCACCAATCAACAAGGCCGTGAAGCGGGCTAATATACCCTCACTTGATATGCAACATGTGTCCGGTGATATTCTCTGCCGCTCGGAAGCGGAACACCCACCTGCAGCGCTCGCAACAGGGCCCGGTCACAATCATGTACCGTTCATACTTTCTTGTGAATCGCATATTCTGGCTCAACAGTTTACCTTGGTCGAGATGGCTGCTCTGGGTGAGGTGGACTGGAGGGACCTTGTTGACATGAAGTGGAATAGCGGACCCCCATTCACTACAAGTTGGGTGCAGTTCCTCATGGATGAGGAACGCCGCGGCATTGACTTAGTAGTGGGCCGTTTCAATCTGATGGTCAAGTGGGTTTTGTCAGAAATCGTTCTGACACTGGATATTAATGAACGAGCGCGCACAATCGTCAAACTCATCCATACGGCGGCTCATGCACGGAGAATCTGCAATTATGCGACCATGCTGCAAATCGCTATTGCGCTGACCTCTACCGACTGCTCTCGGCTGCAGAGCACATGGGACCTTGTGTCGGCGGAGGACAGACGTATGCTAAAGGATATGGAGCTGCTCATTCAGCCCGTCCGCAACTTTCATGATCTTCGCGTTGAAATGGAGACTGCAAACGTGCAGGAAGGCAGCATTCCGTTTGTTGGTATGTATTTCCATCTCCAAGCTACTCAGTGCATAAACTGACTAGTTTGACAGGACTCTATATTCACGACCTCACGTATAACGCGCAGAAACCAGCGCAGGTAGCGGCCACGAGAGAGGGGGAACCCCTAATTAACTTCGAACGCTACCGGACAACAGCCAGGATCGTCAAAAGCCTCCTCCGACTGATCGATGCGAGCACCAAGTACAACATCGAACCGGTCCCTGGTATCATCGAACGCGTTCTGTGGATCGCGTCGCTCTCAGAAGAGCAGATACAAATCCGCAGCAAGCTGTTAGTATAAAAACTGATTGGAGGATGGAATCTTCACTATATACGAAAATTTATCGGATCAACCAGCATCACCATTATATTCGACCTGGTGTATACTGTCTGCATAATACCCCTTCTTCGTCTTTCTCAGTCTTTCGGCGTTTAGCGACTGATATCCCTGATGAACTTGTGATTAGCACTTATGGATTGACGGGGACTGCTCGTCCCTTGGATTTAATGTATAGTAGACCATTTGTTTACGTGAAATATTTGATCAATCGATTTATGACGATGCCTTTCTATATCTATACTTGAGGCTTGGTGGGGGTTTGCGCAATGGTAGTGAAATGCCTAAGAATATTGCATGTAACAAATAATGAAACTACGAATGAAACTATTTCTGGGGCTCTGTTCTGAATTTTGAAACATACCTCGTGCCCCGGACGTCAGGCAGTGGAAACAATTTCCCAGGCTGCCAGGAATTGCATCACTGGCACTCTTGATCTACGTAGTCTATGTCAATCATCGCCAGGAACACCGGCTTCGCCGTCCGCCGTCCGCCCTCACTCTTTTCTTCCCATTATTCTACCGCCTGGGTCGGATTTTCGCCTAGAACTCAGAGTTTCATATTCGAGAAAGAACTTTTCTCCCTCATGGAGCTACTGCTCCCTTCATCGAGTCTCCTACCCCTCCTCGTTGACTCTTGATCATACCAGGCCCTCTGATCCAGCAGAAAGACGACACAGGCTCGGCACGACTATGGATTCTCCCCGCGGGGGTTCTCCTCGCGCCGCTGATTTCGATCACGAGCCCCGAGACTCAAGCTCGCTGGAGATCGATTCGAAACCGAAACAGCTTCCGGATGATTTGCCCAAGTCTTTGGACGACCGTCGCTCGTTTCCGGGGTTGCAGCCTGAAACGGAGATGTACGATGCCTGGCAAGGTGTGTTGGAACTTTCCGTTTTTGCTCTTTTGTGTAATTTTTCTTCTTGATTTTGCCTTAGCTGGATTGGGTCTTCTGCATCGGCGGCGGTGTTTGTGGTTCCGGGCACTATGGCATTGAGGGCATATCATGCGGGGAAGCGAGGAGGGGAAGGAAGAACATGAACATTCGGGAAATCATGGAACGAATACTGACGCTGTCTTTGTTCGTTTGTGTCTGTACAGGCCAATCCCAGTTTCTTACCCCGGTTGCCGCGAAGCCTCTCAGCTTTAGCCTCGCTCTAGACGACCATCCGCTCGACGACGAGCACTCGTTACACTCACAGTACGGCCGCAGCTTCGGGGCGTCTACCGACGATGACAATGAGTCGACTACCACGGCCAGACTGGAGGATAGCGACGCCCGGCTGATGGAGATGCTTGCTGCGCAAGCCGCCCACCGCGAGGTGGACTCAATAAACGCGGACGAAGAAACAATAGCCTCGGACGAAACGTTGACGGACGAGCGGAAAAGGGATATATTACAACGGAGCTTGAACATGGCTGCTAGTAACGGTGATGTCGAACGTGTTCGGAAACTAGTGCAAGGGAAAGCAAAGGACTACGTCGACGTGAATAAGCCGGATGAGGAAGGCACGGTGCCGTTGATATATGCAAGTTGCTTTGTATGTCCCCTCGTTCGTTCCTTCTTCGCCGCGGGCCTATAATTAGAGCTTCCGGAACTAACGGTTGGGCTGGCAATTTACAGGGGCACCAAGATGTTGTTGCGGCGCTCCTTGACGCAGGAGCGAATGTTGACCAGCAAGACCGGAATCGATGGAGTGCCTTGATGTGGGCTATGACCAATCGACACAAGACTATTGCAAAGATTCTACTTGACCACGGGGCGTCGCCGGATATCAAGTCCTCTTCAGGAGGCACTGCGTTCGATTTCGCTCAACCAGGGAGTGAGATATCCGAATACCTTCACGAGAACGGTTATAGTTTTGGACCGAGTGCCATAGAGGACGATTTCTACGACTCAGGGTTTGCGCACGGCCGATTCGAGGAGGAGATAGCAGAGAACGAATTGAAGCGGCGCATGATGATGGAGGAGAGTGCGATCAATCTGGAAGTTGACTTGTCCAGTCTGGGACTGGATGAGAAGTTCGATGTAAGTGGAGAGCCCGATACAAAGCTCCTTGATACAAGGCTGATCGTGTCTTGTTATGATGTAGTCACAGGACGAAGACGAGCTCGAGGAAGAACACCAAGAATTCGTCTGGGACCGATGTTTGAATGACCAAATGTTCGTCTTCCAAGAACACGAGCTTGAAAGGATCCTCAATATCATCATCACCAATATGACCCCACAAAGGTCACCCTCACAAAAGCCGGTCCCCGCCAACCTACTCTTCCTCAGCGCTCGATATGCGCACTATCATGCGAGTCCAGAGCTACTCGCAACGCTGCTAGTTTCGGCAACTGACAAGATCAACGACGTTGTTGAGCGTTATCAATGGGACATGACGATCCTCGCCTTCTGGATCTCGAACGCTACCCTCCTCCTTCATTATCTCAAGAAAGACGCAGGGTTGGTTGAGTCGACTGTGGAGTTTCAGTTGCATTTGGCCGAACTCATCAACGAGATTTTCATCCTTATCATCCGTGACGCCGAACGTCGGATGAACAAGGTGCTGGACTCGGCAATGCTGGACCACGAAACCATTCCGGGACTCGACGACATCCCATTCCAGAACGAGTGGAAGCTGTTCCGCTCCAAGAACAAACCCAAGGTTCCAGAGCCCGCTGAGAACCAATTCCGACCACCTTCCCCCCGGCGTCGAGCGCAAGTATCGCCGCGCAACATCACGTCTCTCCTATCATCCACACTCTTCGTTCTCGATCTCTATGACGTACACTCCGTCATCACCACACAGATTCTCTCGCAGCTCTACTACTGGTTAGGAGCGGAACTTTTCAACCGGATTCTATCCACCAAACGGTACCTGGCCCGAACAAAGGCGATGCAGATTCGCATGAACGTATCGACACTGGAGGATTGGGCCCGGACCAACAACCGGCAGCCGGAGCACTATGAAAACGGATCCACGTCGTGCACCGGGGATAGCACGATGGAGTCTGCCCGTAAGCATCTGGCACCGGTGATTCAGCTTTTGCAGTGGCTGCAGTGCTTTTCCTCGCTAGGAGATGACTGGGAATCCTTCATCAACACGCTCCTTCAGCTACAAGACCTGACGCCAGCGCAGCTCCTACATGCGGTCAAATCATATCGTCCTGAAGTGGGAGAAAAGGGTCTAAACAAGCCTGCGTCGAAGTTTCTGGTAGAGTATCAGCGAGACCCTGAGTTGATATTCAGAGAGCAATTAAGGATCGTACAAGCGAAAGCAGATTCGCTGGCCCCAACCTCGGCACAGACCGTGGAAGGGCGCCCGCAAACCCCTCGCCAGGATCGCACCCCTTCCGTGTCCGAAGTGACGGGCTCACCAACCACCTCTGCGGCGTCTGTTACATCACCTGGCTCGAGCGTTGCTTCTCCGCGACCGGGAGCATCGTCCTCTCGGATCGACGAGCGGAACGGCGCAAACACGGTGTTTCTGGACCCGGCCCTGACGCTCCCCTTCTCATTACCGACGAGCACAGACATGCTGATCAGCTATGGGGCAGGATGGGGCGGAACCAACCGAGAGCGTGCGCGCAAGTACATCCCAACAGTGCCGCCAGAGGTATTGACTCGATTCGATCGCGACGGTTGAGTGGAGGACATACATTCCAGTACGGAGTATATACTGTGTTTCTTCTTTTTATCTCGCTCACATTAATGACGAATCGACGACATAGACAACATGCATGCAGCGTTGGTAGCAGCGATTCACCACTAGTGCTAAATTCAAAAAAGTTCAAAATCAAATCGAGTCAAGAGACGAACAAAGAAGATCCGGCCGAGGAGCGCCTTGAGACGCCCCCAAGATATAGGGATAATCATTGCGATTACTGGAAACGGACCAGCACACGACCGAAAAGTCTTGTCGTTCTAGATGAAACAAGCATTGGAGGGGTAGAAATGAGGATCCGACGGTCGGGAATATCAGAAGATCACAGGGATGATTTTCCAGAGATTAAACAATCTAATAAGATGACCTTTATATTTCGGCTTTTCCACCACTTTTGATTGTGTCAATAATCGGAGCGGGCCGTCGCCTCTCGGACATTTTTCTGCTGGTTGCTTTTCCCTGGCCTCGAATCCACGTTTTCGTTTACTTTGTCGTCAGCAGTCCCCAGTCCACGCAATGGGGCTGTGGTGCCGGATCCTGAGTTAGTATGTATTAGAGAGTCTAGTCCCTCCCAGCTCTGCAACCACCTGTGCTCTTGTTAACGAGGTCTCTTACAGATCTCAAGGTCCAGGCAGCCTCAGGCAGGATCAGCTAAGACGGCGGCCCGCCTGAATTTGCCCGATCTGGCCTAGCCGAATGTCAGATCCCTTCTGCATCCGGTAAGCACGCCCTTCTAGCGCTCGAGGCGCTTTCCTCTTTGGGCGATCTGGGGGGATGAACTCCTCACCTTACGCTTTACGATTCAGTCTCCAGTACTTTTTCCACTCACTCGATTCCTCATTTCATCTTTCCTTTCTTCCTGCTGCTCCTTGTCATCCTCCTTCATCATGAGTTAGCTGCCAATTGCTCTATACCCATCCCCTCAATGTCTTGTGCTTGCGTCATTGCATGCAATTGTCTGAAAATGCGGTTGCAATCATAATATCCCGTCGATCTCTATCAATTTGCTGCCTTGCTGTCATCTGGGAGACATGCTGCTCACCCTTAACCCTTCTTCCCAGCATGGGATCCCAGGCCCTTATGAACATTCGCGCTTTCGTCATTCTGTCCCGACTCCGCGGTCTCCTTCACCATCCACACCTGATACTTCCCCATCTGCAGCGCCTATCAGGCCGATGGACCCTTCAATAGACACCGCTCGCGACCGCTTACCTCGGCCTTCGTCGTTGACTCTACCCCCGCCGGATGTTGGCTTTACGTCAATGGCCAGCGCCGCGCCGAATCAACCGCTACCGCGCCCTCCAGCACAATGGCAGAATTCCGAAGACGCCTTGCATTACTGGCGGGCTAGAGCCGAGGAGGATCGGAGGAAGCAGGAAGAGGAGAAGACGCGCCAGGAGACTTTACGTCTTGAGCAGCGGAGGGTTGAGCAGAGCATGCTTAGAGACTCTTTGATGGCGGGCATCCCCCCGCATATCATTCCGCTGATATTTGCGGGAATCTGTCAAGGTGGACTGCCGCAGCCTGTTCTCGAGTTGACCCAGCATTACCTGGCTCAGGTCTCTGGTGCCCGCGGGTCTAATCCACCTGCTCCTCCTCAGCCTCAGTCTCGTTCGCATTCTCACTCTAGTTCTCACACTCAGCGGCCATCCGTACATACTCGCCAGGACTCGCGCTCTATGCCTGCTAGTCCCTTCCCCAGTGCAGCGCAGCATGTAGTCCCTCCCCCTCCCAACGTCCTCTTATCCCAGACTTTACCCCCAACTGCAAGTGGACTCCACACCCCACAGCCACCCGGACGGCCCTTGACACCTAGTGGCCCACCTGATTCACGACATGTGATAAATCCGTGGTCGAATACAGTCAGCTCAGTCCAGAATCAGCCGGGGTCAATAAGTATGGGCAACGTCCAGTATGCTCCGGGGTCATCGATTCCTGCTCCTCTGGGCCGAACTAGACCTAGTTCGCGGTCGCGTCGATCACCTCCATCCCTATACTTTCACCACTGGGTCCCCCCTTCTCAACCTGGTACGGCTTCTGGGAAGATGCATCAGGAGGCGCAGGCGAACTCGGGTAACCCTCGGCGGTCCGAGCATCAGGCCTCTCCTGGGCGGAAGAGGAAAGCTCCTGGCCCTCATCGACCTGCTCCAGTTCCATCGTCCCTTCCACCAGAGTCTCTATCTGCGGGCACCCAAATTCCCCGGTCAGGTTCCCCGCGGAGTGTTGAACAGCAAGAAGGGCCGTTGAGGCATCGCCATTACCCTAGCGACACTTCAGTCTCCCAAGGGCCTCGTCCTCCAGGAGTCGTTAAAGCTGAAGAAATGGAGAGCATAAGCCCTACTCGCATTGCTTCAACTGCAACCGGTTCTCCCGCTGGCTCCGGTCAGGACAAATGATATCCGTGAATCAGTCTCGCGACACTGATTTAGAGAGCCGCTTCCAGCGTTCTCCCACCTCGGGAATTCAACAACCTTCCCCCCAACCTAGCGACAAAGAGTCACCTCGATATATCAATCGGTGGCTTGCATGGGTCATATGGATTAGACGGCCTCTTGGGTCGTTTTTCTAAATTTATGAGATAATGAGTTGACCTAACTCGAACGAGGTCATGTTTCGATTATCTGAGGCGATACACCGCACATTCAATGGCCTCGTTTTGGGGTTGAGATTTTACTATACCACTTCCCAGCGTCAGATTTGGTCAGTATTTACTGTAAATATTGCGCCTTCAACAACCTGAATCCCCGGTAGCTGGTATGCTAGGGGTTCTGGAGGCACCTAAAACATAGAACAATACACTGTACATGCTTAGTGTTGACTTTCTTTTCCTACGGAGGAACATTCGCTCTAAACATACTTAGTCTACAAGCACACGAGGGAAGATTCAATAGGGGGTTTAAGAGGTATTAATGGATATCTTTTAGTCAACGACTCGACAAGTCTAGTGTGGACAACCAGCCCTAAAGAGAACTCTAACACTCTCTTCCACGTTTTAACCACAGATGCGGGAAATGACGAGGATTCGGAGAAAAAAAAGGTTGTAGGATTACGATGTAGGAAGATGGGTAGGTGGAGGAACAAACACTAAACCGAGGCGAGACGCATACAGAAAGAAAGAAGGAACTGATGAATGAAAAGGCGAACAATAATTGAACAATGACATACGGGGTAGTAGTAGTGTGGAAAGGTATCAATAGAGCACATACATCAAGGGGTGCCACTGGCTGGGTATGTATAGAATGAAGTAGGAATGGGAATAAGAGTGTAAGCAATAGAGGTAGAAGTAGTAGGGAGAAAATAAAGGGTATCAGAATTAGGTGACGCGACAGACACGGGAAATACTAAGGTATATAGACGTGAGTGGTAGTTTATACGGGGCCGACAAGGAAGATAAAGAAAATAAAAAGAGAGTCAACAGGGTATCGTAGTAAACGACAGAACGAGGGTATAATGTGGATGATGCGTCGGGCAGTCTTGGTTGGGAATGAGACATGAAGCGATTGTGCTCGTGGTTAATTCCGAGTGGGTTCAGAACTCATGGGATGACGGGCCAACCCAACAAGGTAAGTGCTGATTGTGCTTGCTGGCGGTCGATATATCTCCGGGGTCGTATGGCGGAGGAGAGCGCTTGGTACTAGGTAGACACGAAAGGTTATCGCAGACGATCATAGTCGGCCGTACAATGGAACAACGGAAGAATGGCGTTAACAGAGCTCGGAAGTCGGCCGTAAGAGTAGAACGAGAATAATAATTATATGAAAGCGAAACGACGTTTGCCCAGTCATCACAGATCATCTCGCCTGAAAGTCATTGGTAATCAGCCTGGGAGAGGGATCTGACTCTCGAGGGCCGAAGAAAGGTATATTATAAACAGGCTGTGCCGTAAGAATAGAAGGGCATATAAGGGATCGTTCGTTGGTAGTGGCGACTTGATATTTATGCCAACTTCTTTCGACGGTGGACTTTCCACTCGGCCTTGGCGACACGCATAAAGAGCTCGACATCTTTGATCGGAATCCAGCTAGTGAGGACCTTCATGGAGTTCTCAAAGTCGGAATCGAGGATAATCTCACGCATGCCGTCGATGAGGGCCGCTGAAGTTGCATGAAGGACGTCTAAGCCCCTGCCGAAGCCGTCTGCTTTGGCAACTTCTCCCTTGCCACCTTTGCCGGAGCTCGATAAAACGCCGTCATCTGCATCGCCGAGCAGCATGAAGACATCCCAAACTCGAAGTTGGGCCGGGAATGGGATCGAGTAGTTAAACAAGGTTAAGTACCAACGAGTACCGTATGCTGTAGGTGGAATTCCAAGTTCGGTCTAAAGACGCAGTCAGTATACGAGCAACTGTATCTGCGGGAAACGAACAACATACCAACTTAGCCGCAACTTCTCCTCCTTCCAGCCATTCCCGTTCAAAGTCACCAAGAGCCTCCATGAGCCCTGCGAACCCTGAGCGGTAGAGCTTCTCTAGTCCTCGCAATTGCCACAGCCGAACGAGCATAATAAATGTGTGCTCCTCATCATAGTAAGCAAGCAGTGTAGCCGCCAGAGCTGCCATGCCCTGAACATATCCCGTGTCTGGAAAATACAGGGACATTGCGTGCAAGACACGGAAAAGAAGACGTTGACCACCGCGGTAGCGTCGTCGAAACATGATATGGCTGGATATTGTTCTCGGAACGTCGATATCAATCTGAACATCGTCGGGGGATGAAACCAACTGGTACTCCTGGAAGGCTTCAATGAGGTCCTTGTCTGTTGGGCTATCTTTGTGCTTCTTGGCGCTGGCTTCTAAGAACGCGTACCATGCTGAGGAGCGCCAGCGGTCGGGTATACCTTTCCACGTCCGTTCAATGAGCTTTGAACTTTTCGTGTCAAATTCAAACGTCATCCCACCGCCATCTTTGCCCTTACTCGTGGGTTTAGCCATTTTAGTCCACTTATCCTCTCGTTCCCATTCTTTTTTCCGGGCCGCACGCGCAGCAGCGCTATCTAGCTTGTCGAAAGTTGCGGACTCGGTCGGCAGTGTGAGCATATCTCCAGCTTCATCCTTGAAGCGGCGATTGCGATTGTGGGGAAGATGATTTGTCGCTTGTCGAAACCGTGAGGTAGACCGGCGCAAGGGAGAGCTATACATGCTCTGTGAGGACGCTGGGCGCATAGACGCCTCTGAGTTTTGTCGCGAGGGAGATCGCCCTGTGAACGAACGGTTGCTTGCCAGAGCAGACGGTGGTCGAATCGAGCGTTTCCGCCGTGGTGTCTCCGAAGCCAGGAGTAGGCTGGTGGAGACCCTTTGAATAGGGCTGAATTCCGAGGGCTCACCAGAACTTGACGGCGAGGCGCGAATGAAGCCGTACCTATCCACATCTCCGGCTTTTATATTCTGCCAGTACTCAATTCCTCCCGCTAACTCATTATGCTCCCTTTTAGGTACCGGACTGCTCTCATGATCAGTGGGCGGTTTCGGGGAACATTCAGCAGACTTGGTATCTCCGTCGGAGACACTGGTTTCAAATGTCTCCGTGTTAGTAGGAGTTGGCTCCTCCCATAGAATTCCATTCTCCAAGGCATATGACCTTGCGACTTCCGAGTCTGTAACATTCTCGTCCCCTTTTGCGTACATTAATCTGACCCTCCGGGATAACATATCCTCATCTGCAGAAATCGCCCGGCTGGGGATGCTACTTCGGCTTACGCGAAGCAGGGAACGAGGTTTTGGACGCCTCCGGGCGGTCACAGGATTATCCACCGCGGATCCGTTCTGACCCTCTGTGTCGTTCTGATCGTGATGGGTTCCATCCATCTTCGCACTTCCCTCCTGGGCCTTGAGCTTTCTCTCGAGCTGTAGCCTTTCCTCCTCCTGGATAAGACTTCCACGTTTGGAGAATCGCATCGCTTGCGCACCAAGACCATCAAGAGACCCAGTGGGAATGTCCAACGAAATGCCGCTGAATTGAGGTTCGATTTGCGGTACAGGCGGCGGGGATTCGGTGTCTCTCACGAGCTCCGCCGACCGCTTACTTCTCAGAGTGCCCCATTTCCGTTCTGACCAACGCGAGCCTGGTCGAGAGCCGGGCCGTGAACCTGGACGAGAAGCCGGTCGCGACGAGGGTTCATTGACAACGATGCTGGGAATACTGCGCAAAGAGCTCAAGCTAACGGTTGTCGAAGTTTCGGCTTCCTGTAATGTGGTGACTCCCTTGGCTTTTGCAAAAGGCGGCGGAGGCGTGAGTTCTGAGACTGGTTTTGTAGCTTGATCATCGGCGGGAGCGTCAGGCGCGGGCTGATCTAGGCCGCTGGACGATACGCTTGACGCAGTTGATTTCTTTTCGGAGCATAAAGATTGCTCATTTGGCGGCGGTAACGAAGAGGAATGGGTCGTTGAAAGATCTGTTGCGGCCATGTCTTCGGGGGAAGGGGGCTCCGACATATCGACGGGCGACAGGGGGGATCGCGTGTCTCCCATTATCCAAACATGGCTTGCACTCGGCGCTCTGTGTAGCTCCAATCTCCAGCAACGGTACCTTTTGGGACTTGGACGATTGTTTTTAAGGGTTGTATCCTCCTTTCTTTTCTTCCTGACGAGTTGTTTCAAGGGAGTGAGGGGGAGATCTTCGGGGGACAAAGTCGAAATTGTCGCACGAACGTCGCGCCAGTCAACGGGACCGAAATTATAGACCACGAGGCCTAAGGAACGAACGAAACGACAGTAGTGGTGGGATAGCATGCACTGAACAGTGAATCATGACCGTCCCCAATAGATAAATGCCCAAAAATGGGGGGCGACTGGCAATTGGGTCAATGCTGTCACTTGCACCACGGCTTCCTGGGACACTTGGCAGGCGGGCAAGCTTCGAGGAATGCAAAGGGGCAGTAGTTGGCTGCAACGATCAAAGGAAGGTGGCGAGTCTCTGGGCGCAAGACTCTTCTGGTTCCATGGGCTCAAAAATGAATGTGAAGAGAGGAAAGTAACAAAGAAAAATAGATCGTGAGGATGAGGTTGAGGGCGAGCAGCGCAGAGAGTCGAGGCCCAAAGAAGAAGGGATCGCGAAGGGGGTTGCGGTTGCGGGTCACTAGTTGCGAGGCAGGAGAAGGAGCCTGCCTAGGATCGATTCCCTCGGAGGCAGTAGTACGTAGTATCTACTCTCACCAGTGCCTTCAAGGAACATATCTTTGAAGAAAGAAGAACAAGAGCAGATTATTTGCGAGGTTTCGTCCCAATCTTCAGATTCGGCTATATGATGAAACTCGAATCCACCTCTGCGGCGATTCCATGGTTTGCAGTATCTGCTCAAGAAAGCAATTGTGGGAGATTTTTCTGGTAAAAAGTAAAAAAGGCATCCAGTCACGCGCTCTCAATCCTCAAGTATCAATAGTTGTAGATTTTTATCAATCTATATGCCTCCTTCAGGCCGCGCGGCTCTGAGACAAAAGGAGCCAGCCCTGTTAGGATAGGATGACTCCAGCTCCCAGCTGTGTATGGTTCCTGCCTCTACTGTGCTAGCTAGTAGATACACATTTAAAATCGTTTATCCCAATTCCCAACAAATGTCAATGCAAGGACTGTCGCGTCTTTTCATATTCCTCTGCCTATTCCCTCCCCGCTCCTTGTTCGCTAACGTTTTGATGTTTTGACAAGAAGCTCCTTTTCTGCCAACCCCAAAAGAGAATGCAAACTCCAAAAGGCCAGATACCAGCTGGCCATAAATGCAACCCGTACATACAGTGTAGTCGGTACACGCAGTGCAACCAAATATTTCTACAACGTCAAATGTAGTTATGAAGGCGACCCGCGAATGTTGCGGAAAAAGGGAAGGGGTGGAGTTGCACGAAGTAACGACGAGCAGAGAATTCACCGAAGTAACAGCGTTTTGGCACCTGCTGCATATGACACCATCTATCATTCCTCAAGGCTCATGCTACGGTCGTGGTGTTGGCGGTTTGACGAGACGGCTCGCGAGCAGAACGTGTTGGTTCAATGGGTTCCTTGGGTAAAAGTTCGATCTGCCGAACCAGGAAACTCTTCTCATCGGTAAACTGGTCATCGTCCGTGCGGTCCTCGAGGAATTTCGGCAGGAATTTCAGTAACCGATCTTGATTGTTGATGAGAATCCGCTGTACGGCCACTGATTTGTCTGGGTTCGCGACGAATACCTAATCACATTCCTGTTAGCAATGGTTGCAGTAAGCGGAGGCAACAATAAGATACCTTGAATACATGGAATCCTTCGTATTGAACCATTTTGCGATCATCCCGAAGGAGCTTCATGCAAAGTTTAAGGTTGTCTCCACTTTCCACATATCTCATCATCACACTGTAGTTCGCACGGTCCAGTAGTATTTCACCCAAGAGCTTGATGCTCTGTCTTTTGGTGACATAAGAGTCAGATTGTACGAGGAAAGTGTTGAACTGCGCGAAGAAGTAATCGAAATTTGTTGATAGATACCCTGTCACGAGAGACTTGTGGCGCGTGAGGATTTCCTTAAGATTGGCTACCGGTTAGAACCGCCTTCGGGGATGTAGCTCGGAACATACGTACCCTGAATGTGGTGAATGCGTCTGCACTCAGCTCAAAGCTTCCGCGGTCTATCCAATGGAAGAATCTCCAGAATATACCAGTTCCGTGCTGGGGAGTGGCAGGTTGAACTTCGGTGAGCCTGATGGCGGGTTCACCCTCCTTGGACTGATCATATAGAATAATCGCAGCTATCACGTCGAACTTCAGTGCTTCCCTCAGGATAGTCCCACACGGCATCGCGCTCTGGCTGTGTTCGTAGCCCCTACATAATTCGATAATGATTTCAGGACGGTTGTGCACGATGTAAGAGACGACGGGAGGGTCGGGTGAGTTGGCTTGAGGAGGCTTGAAGCGGAGTATGTGAGAGAATATCGTCTGGGTGTCCTTTCTTGCCTCGAATGGAAGGTTATGAAGAGCGCCAGCAAGTTCGTAGAGAAGGTCCTCTTGGAGCATAGCTTGAACTAGGGCATGTACTTGGTCGGGGGAGACTTCAATTTCTGCAGGTTGTCAGTGTTCAAGGCAAGATCTCTGTAATGATGAGATAAAAGAACCTTGAGTTCCCTGCACCATAAGTTTCATCTGCGAAAGTTGCTTGGCCAATTCATCTTCCACCTGAGAGAGAATTGAAGTGTTAGCCAGCACCTCACCCGTGAGATGGAAGAGCACAAGCTGATAGAGACATAGGACGGACTTTTGCTGTGGTTGGAGACTCGCGGAGCCTCACTAACAGATCTTTGATTGATCTCACAACATCAGATGGCTGCCGAGATCGACCGCGGTTAAAGAAGAAAGACATCCTTGTTTATCTTATCAATGGTGTGAAGTGCGAAGAGAAGCGGAGTGAAGTAGCGAAATGAAGGTTGTAAAACGTAGGGGTGAGAGTCAGAGCATTTAGGAGGAAGCACTAAGCCATTGAATATTTGAGAGGATGCATATATGGGAGGAGAGATGTATCAATTCGTTCCGAGGGGAGTCTTCGGTCTTAAGCGGTGATTGATAGTTGGCGGGGAAGCAGCTGGCCTGAGGCCCTTATCGGGGGGTGTAAACAAAGCAAACAAACCCACTGGACGGAGGCGGGGCAACCGATTCTGGGAAAATTTCCCCTGCTTCAGGTACTTTTTTTGCGCGGGGTCTTTTCTAGAATTTTGCTTGTTGTTTGATCAACTCTTCGTGTGCGCTCCATACTGTTCCTTTACAATTCGTCCGGTCTCAATTGCCACCATGTCTGCTCCCCTGTCTTCAGACCGCCCGCTAAACGACGTGGATCGTGATTCCGTCACTTCGGAAGATTCAGACGCTACGGATGAAGAGGGGTGGGAAGATGTTGAGCCCGATGATGAGACACAGCCGGTTGTCGGTCTTTTCTCCGACAAAGTCTATCCAGATGTTCGATCCCTGCTCGTCGAAACCAAAGAGAAACACGACTTTGACCTACGGAGGATTCTGAAGGAGCTTGGTGTGTAGACATTCCATTGAACCTCGAACACTGGAGTGTGATAATCCGCGACGACGCCTCCGCAGTTCAGCTCAAGTGACATAACATGGTGCGCAGATTGGCTAATCTTTTCCTTTTCCGCTCTTCGCACCAGACTTGGACGACTTGGATACTATCAAGTTGGTCAACTATATCCGTTCCGAGGTCAAGGCTGGCAATTTGACCCCCGATGTCTCGTCGAAGGACAAATTCGAGGACGATGCCTATTTGAAGCCTGTTCTGGAAGATGACGCCCTCCTGTACAGCCTAGGCGACATTGCAGACGAGGAAGCCGGAGAGGTCGGTGGTACACAGGCCGAGCGCCAGGTTATTGCACTTCAGGAGGAGTTGGAACGCCTTCAGATTCAATTCTCAGAGTACAGACTTGCGGTTCAGAAATCGTTGGAGGAGCAATTGACCAAGGAGGATGAGAAGCTCGCTTCTACTCCAGACCAGGCTTCTGCTGCTCGCGCTGCTAAGAAAACCGACGAGGTGGATTCGGACTATTTCTCATCCTACTCCTACAATGGTACGCCGTTTCGATCGTCGTTTGTCTTTCCAGATTTTCTCTTGCTAATATATGCTCAGGCATCCACGAGTCCATGCTCAAAGACACCATCCGCACTGACTCCTACCGGGATTTCATCTACGAAAACAAGCACATCTTCAAGGACAAGGTCGTCTTGGATGTTGGATGTGGTACCGGGATTCTATCCATGTTCTGCGCCAAGGCTGGTGCTCGCAAGGTGATCTCTGTCGACAATTCGAACATCATTGACAGGGCCAAAGAGATTGTGTATGAGAACGGATTCGGCGATGTTATAACGTATGTACTCGGCTTTTCTTATATGGAGTCACGGAACTAAATTTTGATATCACAGATGCATTCGCGGAAAGATTGAGGAGGTTACATTGCCCGTCCAGCAAGTCGACATTATCGTATCCGAGTGGATGGGCTACGGTCTGTTGTTCGAGGCAATGTTTGATTCGGTCATCTACGCCCGAGACCGCTATCTTGCGCCAGGAGGACTTATGGCTCCGTCACACGCTACGCTTCGCATTGCACCGCTGGCCGATCCCGAGCTGATCGAATCTCACATTGGGTTTTGGCGCGACGTCTACGGCTTCAACATGAAGAGTATGCTGACGGGTATTTATGATGAGGCCCTTGTCCGTTTCTTGCCGTCATCGGTACTGCCCGCGAAGTCAGAAGTGTTCCTCGAGCTTCCGCTCCATACTATCACTACCAAGGAACTGTCCTTCCTCAAGGAGTTTAAGGTCACATTGAACGAGGATATCGACTCCCTCGACGGCTGGGTGATTTGGTTTGACATCTTCTTCATGCCCTCGAGCGATTCTACAATTCCGGCCGACGCTGTCCCCTCGGACCTGCAGAAGAAGGGCATCGTGGCTTTCACCACGGGACCTGATGGCAAAGAGACCCATTGGCAGCAAACTGTCCTCCTGATCGACCACGGTAAGAAGGATGCTGTTCCTCTGAAGAAGGGCCAGACGATCACAGGAAAGGTCGGTTATCAGAAGAAAGACGCGAACTCAAGATCCCTGGATATCACTGTGGAGTGGGACGCACAAATCAGCAAGAAAGGATCTCAGCAGTGGTCACTGCAATAAGATAGACTCAAATAAAAGTTTGGTTTCCATTTACCTCTGGTCTAACATCCCAATCAGCCGCTCGCTTCAAGAACGTGATATTTCAACGGACTGGGTTGGCAAAAGCCTGTAGATTCAGCGAGACCTGCTTTACTCATAAAACACGCAGTCAAGCAGCAACAATTTGCGAGTATCTCGTAATGAATCTCGACGACTTCGATCTGTCCCACGGTATCGTCAATCTCGACTATCGCGCCTGTGATGACTCGCAATGGTGGCGATGAGAATGGGAGCGAGGCCTTGAAACGGAGTGGTGTCTGTGTGAGCGACTGGACGTTTTATCGCGGCCATGCCGATGACTTTTGTGTGACCTTCGTTCCTTATCATTCCGGTGCTTATCCGAATATTCGTCGAGCTTGAAATTTTCAAGACTATCTTCCGAAAGCGAGCGTCTTCTACGGCGACGCGACCGGGCCTCGTCAACGGTTTTCAACGCATCAAGTTCTCGACTCCTCTCCTCGTTCCATTTCTTTCGTTCTGTTTCAACAGACCTAAGCTGACGGACTCCCTTCTTCATGGCGAGAAGAGGATCGTTAGAGTCCATTCGCGCTTTCTCTCTTTCTCTTCGCATAGGGTCCTCGTTACCCCAAACGTCCTTACTTGGTGCTGCTGCTTGCGCCGCACTATTACTTTGAGAAGATGAATACCAAGGGTTCTGGCCAATGTTCTGTCGGAAACCAGCTGCATTCGAGAACCGCATCGTATACTGGTCCTCATATCTCCGTTGTTTGTCGGCCGCCTCTTTCTCTGCTTCGGCATTCTTTTCTGTGCGCTTGCGGCCATCCTCGTCGGGGAACAAGTTTATATGTCCATTTATGTCGTGAAGTGGCGCGTCGCTTTTGTTCTTGTGGGCGCGTACTAATTCCTCTCGCTTTGCCCGCGCGAATTCTGCATCTTCTTGCGCAAACCTGATATCTCGATCTGTATCGTTTTCACCTGCTAGGCGCCTTCGTTTTCTGTAGCTTCGTGCTGGATCGGCGTGAGCTTTTCTGTCATGTTGCGATAACGACGGATCAGACACTCGTGGCGGAGGAGAAGGTGGTTCTTCGCCGCGAAGGATTGCAATCCGCCGCTGAGCATCATCTTCTTGCATGCGACGCTCCTCCTCCTCCTCCTGTGCTTGAGCTTGGGCTTCATCGCGCCGGACGCGGGCTATGTTTTCGGGATTGTAGACGTTCCATGACTTCTTACCAAGAAGGTGACTATAAAAGACAACATATTAGAGACGTACGATAGTTTGCAGAACATGCGGACTTACAGAGGCATTCTCGAACGTTCGCGTCGGGTGGTGAAGTTGACTCAGGGATCGATAATCACTACGTCAGAAGCGATAAAGGGCGGCAAAACGAGCTCCGCCCCGAAGAGCTAGGCACCCGATAACGTGACAAGCTGCCACCATCATCTCTCCAGAGCGCATCAGCGATCAGCATTTCCTCCACCTTATAAGTCTCAAGGTCAGATTGAGTCTTTTGAGGGAGAATGTTCAACCGCAACAATTACTCAAATCCTTTCGGGTCTAACCCTCCGCAACGAGATGGTTACTCGCGAACCCCGCAGGGCTACCCGCCTCAGCATGGAGCGCCGGATGTAGGGTATGGAAATCACCCATTGCAATCTGCCATGAAACGTATATAGCTAATGCTTATGGTCCGCAAAGGGGATACGGAACGCCGTCGCCGCAACGACGACCCACGCCAGGTGGTGGTGGCCGTCCGCCTGTACAAGCTACGATGGGCGGGGGGAAAACGGAGGGCTCCTGGGTTCTGTCGCCTAAAGAAAGCCCGAACAAAGAGTGTCAATTTGGAAATCTGTAAGTTCGGATGACCTAGAGATTAAATCCGAGGGAAACACATATACTAATTCGTCCGACAGAGTCGCTGTCTCGACGCAGGATTTCCCCCGAGCCCGGTTCGGACACGAAGATATCCACATCATTGTCAAAGGTCAATATGTATTCTCTGCGCGCCTGTTTGATGAGTTTCCGGCGGGATTCATCGGTCTATCCAGCATCCAGCGACCTTGGGCTAAAGCCGGGCTTCGTGACACCCTCGATGTACAGATATTCGATCCATTCCGCCAAGGTGGAGGAGCATACATTGGGTCTTTGGATGTCGAGGTCAAGTTCGCGGGCAGATCGAGAACAGATGCCTTGTATGACCAGGATGAACTTGCTAGTACAGTAATAAGGGTAAGCTAAGTTTCTCCCCAGGTTTGTTGACTTTGACTGACGTGTCTAGAATTTTGAAGGACAAATATGGTCACCTGGACAGCCCATCCTTATGGATCATCACGGAATACCTCTCCAGTTGACAGTCAAAACTGTCGTGCGTGTCAATTTGACGTCCGAGAAAGAGACAGCTTCTGTCCCAGAGTCAGATCCTACTGCCAGAGCTATTCTTACCCAACATACCTCGATCAACTTCTACAAGGACGCCCAAAGCGATATTCAGATCAAACCTGCTAAAAATCGACCCGCGGCGAATGCTATCATACAACCGGATTTCAACACAGAGAAGATGGGAATTGGTGGTCTTGATTCAGAGTTTCACACAATCTTCCGCCGAGCCTTTGCATCCCGCATCTTCCCACCGGACATCGTGGCAAAACTTGGTATCCAGCACGTGAAGGGCATCTTGCTTTATGGCCCTCCAGGAACGGGTAAAACATTGCTTGCCCGACAGATCGGAAAAATGTTGAACGCGAGGGAGCCCAAGATCATTAACGGTCCGGAAGTGCTGAATAAGTTCGTCGGACAGTCAGAAGAGAACATTCGAAAATTATTCGCCGATGCAGAACAAGAGTACAAAGAGAAGGGCGATGAGAGCGGACTTCACATCATCATTTTCGACGAACTTGATGCCGTATGTAAGCAACGTGGAAGCGGAGCAGGCGGAGGTACTGGCGTCGGAGACAGTGTCGTCAACCAGCTGCTCTCAAAGATGGATGGTGTCGACCAGCTTAACAATATCCTACTCATCGGTATGACAAACAGAAAGGACATGATTGATGATGCATTGCTCCGTCCTGGACGTCTTGAGGTGCACGTCGAGATCTCCCTTCCCGATGAGGCTGGCCGAGCCCAGATTCTTGGTATCCATACGCAGAACATGAAGCAAAGTGAGTTGATGGACCCGAGCGTCGACCTGGCAGAGTTGGCGGCCTTGACCAAGAACTACTCCGGTGCTGAAATTGCTGGTCTTGTAAAGGCAGCCACATCTTTTGCTTTCAACCGTCACATTGACTCAGGTAAAACCGTTCGAGTGAAGGATGACGCGGCGGAAATGAAGGTTAATCACTCCGATTTCATTCATGCTCTGGATGAGATCCAGCCGGCCTTCGGTGTATCCGAAGATGAAATCAAGATGCGTATTGAACACGACATCATCAACTACTCAGAAGAGATTGACATGATCCTCAAAGAAGGAGAAGCGTTGACAAGAGGGTTGACTCTCCCTGATCAAGCATCCCTATGGTCTACATTGTTACATGGTCCAGCTGGCAGCGGGAAAACTGCTCTTGCAGCTCAAATTGCGCTTGACACTGGAGCTCCGTTTATCAAAATGGTCTGCCCTGAAGATATAGCTGGGTTAAGCGAGATGGCGAAGATTCAGCATATCCTGAGAGTATTTAACGACGCCTACAAGAGTCAGAGAAGTGTTGTCATCGTCGACGACATCGAATCCATCATCGATTATGTGTCCACTGGGCCCCGTTTTAGCAATTCCGTGCTGCAGACACTGCGAGTCTTGTTCAAGAAGCATCCGCCCAAGAACCGAAGGATCCTTGTCTTGGCCACTACATCCGAGCGAGCACTCATGAAGCAACTGAACATCTACAACTCTTTCAATTCTGATATTAGGGTACCAAATGTTACGCATCATCAGGAATTGAAGCTTGTCATGGAGAAATCTGGCATTTTCACAGAGGACAACATTCGGGAAGCTTTGGGGCGTATCGACGACATGACAGAGGACACAGCCACTGGTGTGGGTGTCAAGAAGATCTTTGACGGAATTGAGGAAGCGAAGAGGAATCCCCATGCGCCGGTGGATCAATTCGTGCGTGTTATTAACCACGCTATTGAAGAAGGACGAGTGCGCCAGATACCGAGGGGTCCTAGCTATGAGTAATATGACCTTGACTATGAGTATATAGGTACGCTTATCACTATAGGTTCGAAATAGAATTGACGTTATTTTTTGCTTCCAAGTTCTGTGTTCACTAAAGCCAAGTTCTAATGTTTGTCAAAACACGTTATATAATTCACGCAATTCTTCTCTAATACAAGGTGGCCACCTGACTGGAGGTCTGCCTGATTAGCCTTTAATTGTGAGTGCATCTTCGCTTATTCTGTTTGAATATTCACTACCAGCTAAAAAAAAAGGGCCGCTGGGTGTTACTGCCCTACTCTGTCAAGTGATCTATGGATGGTGGTGTTCCTCTCTACCTACCCTTTTAGTCACTTCCTTTCCACTACCTGGGTCACTCTCTTAGATTGTTTCTACACTTTAGAGATAGCCTCCAATCCTTCTTTACTATCTATCTTCACGTTTTTCCTCACCTTCAAGATGATTCGCACCTCCTCTCCTCGTCGCCAGTCGGCCGCCTTGCAAACGGCTAGCATCAACGCCACGGGCCACCCATCTGTCCCCAAACAGATCCTCAAGAAGAAGGCAATCTCAAAACGCGAGTACCTTCTTCGCGAAGAATGGGCACCGGAGACAATCAATGAGTACCAGATGGTTGTTGATGAGCCTTCGGTCACCCCTGTGCCCCCGCCAAAACCCGCACCCAGAGTACAACAGCAACAGAGGCTACAGAGGTCACAACAGCAAACAAGCACTGTTTCCAATATGCATGGTCAAGGCCGTGGCCCAAATAGACGCACGCAATCTCAGGCTCGATCGTCGTCGATGTTTGAAGAATGGAAAGCGCGATCTTTGGTTAGTCCAGACAAGGCCAATGGGGAGGATAAAACCATGGAAATCGATGGGAATTCTACTGTTTCGCTGCAAGGAGACCACAAGCCTAGCCACGGCGCTACACCCAGCGTACCAGAATTACTCTCAAGGAAACTAATTCCGCCCCTACTATCTCGTCGCCAAAGAACAACAAACCAGACCTCAACGCCGCGCCAGCAGTGTCAGAACACACGGCCAAGCAAGCAAGTCTTACTCCTGTTGCTCCGTCCCACGGACCCAACAGGACGGGCGGCGGTGCTGCATCTGGAGACGACAAGGTCAGGGAATCTACAGTCGTCCCTACTGCCTCGTCACAGCCACTAAGAACAGAGGGTAGCGCTGCACCCGTTGTTGAAGACAACAAGGTCAAGGAAGCCAGTGTTACCCCTACTGCCTCATTACAGGTTCCCAAGCCAGACGATGGCGCTGCACCAATCACCAGGGACGACGAAGGAGAAAAATCTCATGTCGCTCCTACTTCAGCGTCAAGAACCAAGCATAGACGGGGTTCCAGCGCTGCTTCCGGCGTTACAAACAAGATCAAGGGTACTCGTGCTGCTCCTACCTCCTCATCGCAAGCACCCAAGACTGATGGTGGCGCTGCGCCGGTTGTCAAAGCTAACAAGGTCGACGGAACTGATGCTGCTCCTGTTTCCTTGTCGAGAATCAAGCACAAGAGGGGTGGCAGCGCTGCGTCCATCACTTCGAGCAACAAGACCAAGGGAGCTGGTACCACTTCTACTGCCTCCGCGCAGGCCGGCCATAAAGCGGAAGTCAACGCTCCCATCATTGGTGACAGCAAAGTCGAAAGATCTGGCGTTGCCTCGCCACAAGTGAACAGCAAGACGGAGGAAAGCCCCGCATCGGTCAATGCTGCTGGAGAACATCCCGATAAAGCAGTCGACAACCAGATCGAACCCAAGCCGACTTGTGATGTGCAGTTTCATCAGCAGAAGCCAGAGGAACTGGCCGGCGGGTCTGCAGGTAAAACGCCCAACTTTAAGACTCATCAAACATCGCTAACATGTCGTCGAATCAGAAACCCATGCGCCTGCTCCGTCATCTGGTGTTACTGCTAGTACTGCGGCCGCGAATCCCTCTAAAACCACTCGAAAGAGAGCGAACAAAAAAGGGACGATGATTGACAAACAAGATGATAAATCACGGCCCCGAGAAAGAGTACCGGAATATGCTTATACAGCTCCAAGCGGGACTGGATTCACCCTCACTGAGCTAGGGAACCTGAGGATTGGATTTAAGCTCGGTGGCCCCGATAAGGTGTATTTCCTCCCGTGCTTCATCGAAGACCCTTGGAGGGGGATGGAGCCGAGTCGCGCAGTCCAGCCGGCTCCCGAAGCTCGCGAAGTCCGACCAGCCGAAGCGATGAGATGGTTGCCTGCATCTATTTGGTAACTACTGAGTCCTACCTGGCTCCGAAGGCGTGGCTGTCTGTTATGAGGTTATTGAGGTTATTGGCTGGGACAAAGAGCTGGTTGGATGAGAAAGAAGGAAAGGATTGTTGTTTGTGCTTTCTATGTTGCTCGCCGTCCAGTTCCTTACTGGAAGGATGAATGTATGACTCTAGGAATTTGACCGCCCATTGCGATAATATGAGACCCGGCCTCCGAACTGCGAATGAGCTTTTCCTAGCGAAGCGAAACGTCTCACAAGTTACGGGGCCCCTCGCAAGAACATACGGCTGAGCCATCCATGTGGGGTAGTCGTCATGGCTAATATGTATGTACATAGAGCAGCCCAAGAAGCGAGCTGGAATCGAAGTACTTAGCGTGAACGATCTGTCAATTGAGGTGGATGAAGGGAAATATAAAACAGCTCAAGCTTGTGTCGCACTTGAAACGCCAAGCCTCGACACTTTCCTCACTGGTACATCATATCACGTGATCTTTACATCCACCCCTTTATCCCATCACATCCTGACATCAACACTCGGGCACCTAGCGTACGCATTGGGCACCGCCGCGGCGGACCAGAAACGACAAAAGCAGCAATGCGCCTTACTGAAACGAGAGGGGTGGAGCGGAAACGTGGCGCTGAAATCGCGTGCTGAAATGATGGCAAGGGTTAGGCAGGAGAACTTCCTCTCCCAAACACAGCTTCAGCGGAAATTTCGACTCTCTCCTGGCTTGTCTTGGCAGCTCTCGCCTCATTAACCCTTTTTGCATCCTGGGATGAGGAGCCTTGTGCGAGCTGTGCGCAGGTCTGCGGTTTGGGCTCGGGTTGAGACGTTACGCCTAGTTAGGTGTTCAATCCCCCACCATATCACCGTTGTAATAGGCTAACTGAGCCGCTCCAGAGTATCTCCGCGAGGAATAATGTGATGCTGTGAGATGAAGGTTGCCCCTCATCGTTGTTGCTGCTCTTCAAGGGTGCTGTCGCATCTTACAAAGGAGTGTCGGTTCCCCGGGAGCAAGCCCTTGAGGCTGCTAGGGAAGTTTCGAGGGCTGATCCGATTTGTATTGGCAATCTCTACCCTTCACAGGCTGACGACGGAGAAGGATGTGGTGCAAAATATGTTTCATGGATTGAAACCCTACTCAGACGGCTCAAGATACAACTGTACATAAACACGCAACCGGCCAAGAGAAACGACAAAAACCAACCCGATATAGAAGCGAAAAGGCGCAAATCCTGAGAGACACCCAATATCCTAAGACCCTGGACCCATTTTCGCAGAAGAATCAAACCCCTCATCGTCGTCATTACAAAAGATAATACGGATCCTCCCGGGAACCAAAGCAGGACAAGAAGAGAAAGGAAAAGGGAAATCAGCGGCATGTGCTGATTTAGTTGTCGTCGAATGTGTACTTCTTCGATGCTCGCCGGTACTCGTCGGGGTGAATGCTCTGGGCCTTCGTCTTCAGGGTGCTAAAAGTCAAAACTCGTCAGCTTACTGCTCTTTGGAGCCGGCAAGCGGATCCTCTCGCCATTAGCTCCAGCTGCACCGCCAGTGTATCTCGAGAAGCTGCCAAGAATGACCGTGACGGCGGAGCGCGGCGGATGTCCGCTCTCCATTCTGGCGGAGCGGAACTTGACAACAACCGTCGGGTGCGCGGAATTCTTAAAAAGAGCAAAGACAGGGAGGAGTTAGAAACTTACTTGACACGTTTCTGAGTCCATTCCAGATCGCGCTTTGTTTCACGAGCGACCTTGATTCCGTCCGCAAAGCTTGTGCGCACACCCTTCAAGCGCCTCTGAGCGAGAGCTTGGAGTTCAAGCAGCTCGCGTTGCTTCGCGTTCAATTGACCGGAGCTGTTCTCGCGTGCCATTAGCACGATTCTCCAGATTTCTGGTTTTCCCACGATGGCGAGGAGATTGATTTCCGTTTCTATAGGATTCTGAAGGAAACTTACGCTTGTGCCTGCATTGCGAGGTCTTTATCCAATGGTGTTGGGTCAAAGGCATTTTGCAAACGGTCATTGAGAACGTCGACAACATCCACGCTCGAAAAGGAACCTGAGCTGGATTCATAGTCACCGCCAGCACTTCCAGAGCTGTAGCTGAACCCTCCAGAGGTACGGCTTCCAGTGGTGGTGCTGGCATCGGAAAGATCTGGGGGAGAACCCGAAACTCGACTGATGGGGTAGAGGCTGGCGGGGCCAGGGGTCTTCGAGGGAACGCTCATGGGAAGAGCAGGAGATTGATAGTGATGGGTCGCCATTGTGACAAGGAGAGAAGTCTCGAAGAAGAAGTGGACAAGAAGAAATGCTTGTTGGGTAAAGAAATTGGGATGAGTGTTCCTAGAATCAGGCAGTGATGTTCAGCGTTTAAAGCAGGACTGAGCCAGAGGGATGGAAAGGGAAGAGGGAGGAAGAAGGACGATACCATGAAAGTTGAGGGCTTTTATAACCCTCACCGGAGGGTCTTCCATCCGGTAGACCCCTCCTGAGCACGACCATGGCGGACGAGAAAGGAAGAAGATGGAGGGGGCGATGTGATGGGCAGGTCAATCATTGGGCGAAGGACTATCACAGAAAACCTTTCTCCCGTACCCCCCTCAACACCCGTCCTCCTAGTCCGTCCAGTTCCCTTCACTCCCAACCCCCCAATTCCGCCCCTCCGCCGATTCCTGGCCGCCAATTCGCTCCTCATTCCGAATCGACCCCGCTCTGAGTGGAAAGACGAGAAGCTAAGGGAGTCAAATGGATGGCCGGAGACGGGTCCAGCCCTCCATATCATTTCGTCGTCGGGGCACAAGCCCACACGCCGGTGGCAACTCGGCGAATGCGTCTAGCCACGGATTCCTGTTTTCCGTTGGTTTGCAAAAGAAATTGACCAGAAGAGGGGTATGAGAAAGATATAAAGATGGCGGTGATGGCCGCCAAACTCGGCCGGGTCGTCTGCTTGGGAACTATATAGATCGAGCCCTAGCCCGCGATTCACGACTTCCTCGCCTCAACAACCTTCAATTCCTTTCTTACGCGATAGGGATTTTTCCAACTTCAGCTTTCCAATCTGGCCCTTTCGTCCTTTTTCTTTTCTTTTTTTCTTTGACAACGTCCTTTCCACGATTGTTTAGAGCGCACAATGCTACTCTTTGCCAATATCCGGGGGGCTGGGTGGCTGGGAATACCTCGACATCGGAGAGAAACCCCCAGTCACAAGCACGAGGACGATATTTCACTAGACACGGTGCCGCCGCTTGATCATGACGCACTGACTTGCCTTGATTATCTGCTGGTCGCTCGCCGTTCCTATATTTTTGTGAGCTTCAATCTCGAGTGACTCCCATCTTTTCCATTTTTTTCGCGGCAAGCATGGTTGCATCGGGTGAATGCTAGGTGGTTATGAAGATGAGGTAAGGCCATCACACAAACTTTGGTCCCAAGTTGTGCCCAACGCCCTCCTTAGCAGGTCATTTTGATATAAAGATCCGTGATCGAAACAAATATGCAGGGTGAAACGCGGGGAGCTGACGCAATCACAGAGTTCGGAACATAAGAACCTCTCAAGTGTTAACAATTGTTGAGAAAGTTGGACACCATTGCATGAGCTGAGAGGAGCGAGGCCCAAGAGTACCGAGACACCACAAATCCCGGGGCCAGGTTCTCCCCTGCACAACAAATGGCTCCACGGACAGCCTAGGACCGCTCAAGTGGCACGGAGCCGGAAAAGGGAATTGTGACCGTGTAACGACCGATTCTTTCAATTTTGCTGAAGGAAGGAGTGTCCAAGAATCTGGCGCCGGAGTTTTGTTGGAGTTTCCGCACATCGGCGGTTGGCCACCTACTTCGACCACAGTCCCGGAAAAACAGCCTCACTCAGCAAGGCGATCAGACCCGGTAGCGGGAAACCAAACGGCGGCAAGCGCTTTAGACGCGGCCAGCTTGAAAGGGCTCAGCGGAGAACTTGAGGAAGTGGGCCTGCTTTGATGCATGGACAGGAACAGGGAGCCTGGCTAATCAGCCGCCAAACAGAGTCGGCACTACAAGAGAATCTCTTTCTGCCCGCAGGAGTCTCGAGCACACCGGACGGTATGGGACAAGACAGTACAAGGCAGACAAAGTGGAGAAAGGAAAATAATTCTGAAAGAACTGGCACGAATCATGTCGCAATCTCTTTCGCTGACCCGATATGACGGCCTCTGGCACAGGGAGTGCATGTCTTCTTGCCTTCGACTGGGCCGCTTCTTTGGGTAAGATAATCGAACACCACTCAGCATCTTGGATCTCCTCACGATGACATCCACCGTTGATCCACCGAAACCACTAAGATCCCAGTCCTTCGGACCTTGTATGCACGCATCAAGCACCATCAGCGCCCTCTGTGACTCTGTCCTGCTGCCTCACGCCGGCGCAATCGTCTTATCCCTCTGGCTAATCTTCTTTTCCTGTCCAGAGAAGTGCGCGAGCTCGACTAAACACGCAATCTGGACAGATTAACGGTGACGGAATGGCGCCTTGTTTCTCTCCCACCACACGAGCCCAACCAGACCACTGGGTAATACAGAATACAGAAGCCCAACTGCAGAGAGCGCGAACTCGGATATTGGGCAAGACATCCTTTTGAGGTCATAGCCCGAGCGTTTCTCCTTTCAGGCCCATCTTCTTCTCTCTGCGAGTTTCCCTCACTGGCCGCAGTTCCTCCTACAGGCTTGGGTATTCACGGTTGCGAAGGGAGAAATGGTTCGACAATTCCCGAAGAATGATTAGCGGCTTTCGAAACTTCCTGGTCTTGCTGTGCTCGGGTAGGCTTATGCAACATTCTGCTCAACATTTTGCTCATGCCGCATCAGCACAGCCAACGTCATTTGTCGCCCTTTCTGTACAATTCTTATATTTTCGCCTGTGACAGACTGAACTGTACGCTGGAAGATGCTTGCACAACTAAATCAGGGTCTTGTGGCATCCGATGAAGCACTATTCCACTAGGGCCGTCCAAAGCGACTTCCCCATCATCTGAGTTCAGTCAATTCCAGGAACCTATTTTTCAAGACTACCAGCACCATCATCAATCACCCCCTCATGAGGAATAATTAATTTATCTCCAGGATGGCCACTGATGCAGACGGTGGGTGCAGTGAATGTGGGGTTGCATTGAATTCGCCTATCGTTCGTTTGCTCTTGCGCAGTCGCTCACCGCCACATGCAGTCCCAATAGTTACTTGCTTCCTCCATACCAGTCGTGTCCTCCGATCACTGGTGCGTCAAAAAGGAAGCTACTAGTCGCAACCGCTGGACCCTATCCCGTTCCTTGACGGTTTTTTTTGGCTTCATCGAACTTCGGGTGCGCTGATAACAGGATGGGGTAAAAGCGCATGCAACCCCAGGATTACGTTCCCCAGCAAGATAACTCCCACTAACTCCTGGTGCCCATAACGCCTGATTTGGCCAGGCCGACTTCTCACTCGAAGAGTCCTCGAGGCTGGGATGTTTAAGCGCTTGGCTATCTTTCCCCAGCGCCTTCTTCGCCGAGTTTATGTCTCGGCACCTCGCTCTCCCTCGTAGATTGGGATTATTACTAGTACTTCCCAAGCAGTATCCGAATATCCCTCTAGCAAAAATGTTAAATTTGTGACGGAAGGAAGGACCAATTAACGGCGCGAAATGCAGGAACGTAGTATCAGCGCGGCCAGCCTTCTGACACAGAATCGGACAAGGCACATACTTCAGCCTGATTCTCGACAATCCTATTAGAGTGACAAGAGCGTCGGATATCACAAACCAGTGACAAGAACTTCCTGATGATATACTACATAATATTCTTCTAGTAAGCAGAAAAGGAGAAGTCATTAGAAGGTAAAGTTCATCACAAATGCTATTCCAGACGGGTATCCATCAAAAACATCACTATACCTGTTCCCCAAGATCTAACCATCACAGCAACAATGTATATCAACCAGCACCCACTGTTCAGTAAGTTTTATCTACTCCGGGCAAAAGACAACATGGGCGGGGCGGACCGAGCAGAATTAGCATCATAAACAACATCAGCAACACGGGCGCCATAGAATAGAACAAGCAGAAGTAGAAAGCATGTTTCTGAGAATACAAGTTTCAGAATGGTAAGTAGGCAATTGTGGTGTGTGTATTGCTGTTAGCGGTGGATTCGGAGGGTGCTTCGGGTGGGTGTGCGTGTCCGAGCGGATGGAACAAGAAGCGAGAGGAGAGAAGAAGAGAAGAACAAAAAAAGTATGGTATAAGCCTTTGATATCAAAACCCACGACGCCATGCAATGAGCTGAAAGGTTCAAATGAACAATACTCCTGAAAGCCAAACCCCCCTGATGCTCATAAGGTATCCATAACACACAAAGCCGAATGTAGATGCATGAGGGTAAGGAAAAGAAAAAGAAACAAATTCCCGCCTCGGTTCGTATCGGCGGGAGAGCCGTAGGCTCGAAATCAAGCAGGTGCGCCTACACCTTCTACACCACTAGTGCGCACCGAGAAACTCTCGCGAAATTTTGACCAATGAAGATAAGCCAAATCAAGTGATACAGCAGGCCGTGGCACACGTTTTTCAGCCTCGATATTCTTCCAATCCTGAACTAGTGTCGCAGAATGCAAGGATAGGTCACTCCGCACGAGGAGTAGTATCGGGCCCTTCCCTGAGGCGATCCCGAAGTAGAAGCAGTGGTCGGCCAGGATCGAGAAGGCCCATCATCATCTTCCCCAATTCATTGTGCTTGATTGGTTTCGTGACGTAGTCGTTGAACCCGGCACGTGCCGCGTCTTCGATCTGGTCGGTCATGGCATTTGCAGATAGAGCCATGATCGGTATCTGAGGATAATGATTCTTCAGTTCCCACATGCGGATCTCACGGCATGTTTCGTAGCCGTTCTTGATGGGCATCTGAATATCGCACTAATCAACTGTTAGCTGCAAGAAACATTAGTGAGCGCATGCCATATGCTCACAATAATCAAGGAGTAATATCCCGGTTCCTTGGAGAAGACCATCTCAGTACACTGCTGACCATCCCCTGCGGTCTCTGCCATAACCTTGATCTTGTCGAGATATTTCATCATGACCTGAACACCACTGTCAGCTCAGTCTGTAATACTTGTGAAGCGAGAGCCCACTTACCATGCGATTTGTCTCATCATCCTCTACCAACAATACCCGGTAACCCTTATTCCCAATAACCTCCTTAACCATTTTTGACATGGTCTTGAAATTGTTGTTGATTTCACGAGCCGTGTCCTGGTTTCTGTCTTTGCTGAGGTCGCGGCGATTGTTAGGATCAAAAATCGGAGAAAAGGCCGATGGTTTGACAGGCTTTGGTACGGTGAAGACGCACTTTCCACTAGAGGAAAGCTCCTTGATATTGGAAATAATTCGGCGCTTCTGATAGAGATCAGAGATAATGACAAGAGTTGGCGCCTTCTCTGGTTCACGAGTTCCGACCATATTTATCACCTCCACAATCTCATCCACATTGGGCAAGTTAAGGACCAGGTGGGTAATAGGGGCACCCGAATCGAAGTCCGCTGAATCTTTCCAATCCTCAACGTCCGGGAAAGACTTGATCGAGTATGGAATCTCATGAGGAACCACTTGCTCAATGTGCTGCGTAATAGCTTTACGGGTGTTCTCCAATGGACACAAGATGAGTATTGAGTATGCAGTTCCGGGCGGTACAGGCTCCAGTCCAGCTCCCACCTTTGCCGGACTGTTGAGTACAGGGTTGAGAGAAGCCTCAGACTGGCCAGATACGGACTTGGAGGAGTCTACTCTCGTTAGAGGATCAATACTGTGAAGTTCCGGGGTCGGCAACGCAGAAGAGAAGGAAGATCGTGCGGAAAAGTTGCCAGATGCCAAGCGAGCAGAAAGCTCTGCGCTGTACGGGGGTTGAGGGGGTTGAGAAAGAGGTGATTCGAGTGGCGATGAGAGTTCTGCTGGTTCCCGGCCTTTGGAATCCAATGCCTCTTTAGATGAAAAGAGTATCTTTTGTAGGGATCCGGATTTTGAAGGCTCACGCAGCTCCCGAGGAAGGCTAGGCTCGCCCGGGGCCGGTGGTGGCGGAGCGTCCACTTTGACGTAGAATGAGAACTTGGCCCCTTGTCCCTCTTTACTGCTAGGCGTCAGCAGACCACCGTGCATTTCCACCAGCTGCTTAGACAAGAACAGCCCAAGGCCACTTCCTGCATTTTGCTGCGAGGCATTTTGTCCGAGTTGACTAAACCGCTGCATTAGACGCTCGGCATCCTGCGCACTGAATCCTTTGCCTGTATCAACAACGTCAAAGTTCAACAGAATCTCAGTCGGCTTGGAGAGGGAGCTAGTATTGCGATCGACTGAACAACGTATGTGAATCTCTCCTTGAGCGGTAAACTTGACTGCATTGCCGACGAGGTTGATCAAGACTTGTCGAATGCGGAATCTATCGCCAATGACCATTTGCGGGACGTCCACATCCATGAGATAATTCATTTCGAGGCCTTTGTCGATTGCTCTAGACGACACTGTGTCGATCACGTCTTCAATAACTGATCGCACATGGAACCAAGAACTGACTAGGGACATCTTTCCAGCCTCAACCCTGGAGACATCCAGAATATTGTCAACCAACTCGCGCAAGTTTGTCGAGCTATTCTGAATAGTATCAAGCATCCGCCTTTGATCCGTGTCAAGCTGAGTGTCAAGAATGAACGGGATAGTGCCCAATATCCCATTCAGGGGAGTGCGTATCTCGTGGGACATGTTGCTGAAAAACTTCGTTTTCGACTCCATTTGGTTGTTAAGCTGTTGCATCGCCTTGTTGAGCTCTCTCTCCAGATTCTTGCGGTCGTTGATATCAGTACAAGTACCGTACCACGAGGCCTCACCGCTTCCAAAGCTGCTAGTCTCAACTCGGACCAAACGAACAAGGTGCCATCTGAAATCTCCGCCTTTTGATCGGAGCCGGATTTCTGTCGAATAAAAGACACGGCCGTTCTCATCTTGCTGTACGGAAGCCACGCCGCGCTTAACAAGCTCGTCTAACGCTGGGGTGACGCCCTGATTGAAGCTCGGCTCCTGCGCTTGTGGTTTCCGTGTCGAATCCTCCGAGGGCTCCTCTGATGATCGAACAGCAGGGGTACTATTCTGGGTTCCAGTCGCAAGATAGAAAGAAAGTAGACCGCATTTTTCCAGATCATCGTGGTGCACGTGTTTCGCGAAGCCAAAGTTCAACGCATCATCGAGATCCTGGCCAGTGTACAGATGCCACTGCTCGTTCACGAAAATCAGGCCCCTGTATTCGGCTGCCTCAAAGACTATTTGAGGCACTGAGTTAGAGAAGGCTCGGTACTTGGCATCGATTGCAAACTTTTGTCTTTCTTGCGCAGCCTTCAGCTCGGTAACATGCTGCTCATGTATATCAAGGAACGATCCGATCCAATACAACACTTCCCCTGTTGCGGAAAGTAACGGGTTTGCACGAAAAATAAACCAGCGATATGCAGACTCATCGTTGAATCGCCTGACGCGGACTCGCTCTGTGAATTGTGAGCCCGTGCGTAGCGCATTCGCCCACTGCTCAGCTACATGGCCGCGCTCGCTGCTATGGATATTCTGCCAGGGATCCCTCAGCTTCTGCTCCTGTGGCTGACTTCGCCGATACGCATCAAATTTGGAGTTTGTCCAGATGACTTCACCACTCTGAGGCTTTGCTAGGAAAAGGTGCAGGGGAACAGAGTTTAACATGAGCTGTGCGACGGTATCGGTAAAAGGGCGTGGCAGCTCGCGCTGAAGCTGATTGTAGAAGGAAGTACCAGAGTGCTGGCGAGAGGATGTTTGTGTGGGTGATATAATCGGTTGCGACTTTAGCTCTTGGGGAGATACGGCTGTCACATTGGGGTCCGATGCAGCGGCTTCCTCGTCCGTTGTATTCTTCGGCCACGGTTTTCCTGGTGATATAGCAGACGGGGATGTAGCAGAATGCCGAATCTTTGCCAACCGGCTTCGATGCTGGCTTGGGCCATCGCGGGACGTCTTTGATTGTGGCACGTTGAAATAGCTGTCAAGAGGTTCGTTGCCGGAAAGCCGAGCAGCCAAACCGGGAGATTCAGATATACTGGCCATATTAAGGTCAAGGCAAGGAGTCCCGAGCGTTGATATAGCTGGGCTAAATCTGGTCGAACTGGCCCTATCGTCGGGACTCGACAGACTGGCTCTGGCGGACAGAGAGCCATCATCCGTCACAGTATAGCTAACATGGCCGCTGAGGCCTGCTACAAGCTCCAACTCGCTACTCTCGTCCGAGAATGTCCCGCCCAACCCGAGCAGGTTCCCAAAGCGTGGTATCTCTAGCCGAGACGCAAACTGCCGCTCCAGTTGACTGTAGTGCTGTGCCAGGCAGAAAGAGGTCGTAAGATGGGGCATAAGGTAGGCTAAAGATTGCCTCAGATTGGACGGAAACGGTATGGCTGGTGAGAGAATTGAGATGACGGCGACAGGGAACCTCAACGGAGCTGAAGTCGACTGTTTGGATGGTCCACTATGTAATAATGGTATGTGAACAACAGACTTGGCCAAATCAACCCCAATTGCTTCTAAGGGGTCAGGGTTCGAATAATCATGTAAGGGAGGGTTTTTAGCGAAAGCCGTTTCATCGACGGTGTGGTTGGAAAAGAAGGGGTTTTGTTCGGGATGGGCGCGAGGTGCTGGAGAAGGAGCTGGCGACTGCGACCAAGGAGATGGAGGGACTTGTTCGTATTCATCGAGAAATTCCATGAAGGGGTGACGTTGCGCTTGTATGACGGAAACTGCAGGGTTAGAGAGGGATCTGGCTCGAGCGGCAGTCGGCGCGGTTCGCTGAGGTATATGAGAAGGTTCGGCGGTCGGAGTCACTTGAACCTTGTCTTCCGGAGTTTGAACGGGTTCGGCATAAGGTGCCTTGGATGCCGGAGAATGTGAGTATTCTCGCGTCAAGATCACGGGTTTCGTGCGTCCAAATAACTTTACCACACCCGTCCTCTTGATAAGAGGGTCTGGCTCAAATTCCAGGGCTCTCGTCGTCGGGAAAACAGCCAGTCTGTGGTATTTCTGAGTAACGCTCGCGGTATCTTGAGTAGTTGTCTGCACAGGCGTCGGGGTTTGGTCCTGTTCCTGCATGCGTGGCGTCTCAGACTTGAGCGGGCTTTTCAATCTGCGCAGTGTGTCCGCGTCATTCGGGGTAGGCTTCTTCCTGTCTTTGCCGAACCCAGCGAACGAGTGCCGTGTCAAAAGTGGCGGTCGGATTCCAGAACTAGCCGGCGTCGGAGGTCCATTCACAACATCTGCATCAGGCGTTTCCTTCACGTTCTCGGCATGTACCAATACCTTCGGGTGCGTAGTGTCGCCTTGGGTTTCAGTCGACGGGCCCAGTTTGTCGTTCTCAGGAACACCTTCGTTGAATATCGCCTTTTGGCCCCAGGGTACATTTTCGAGATCCGTTGCATCACCCGGTACAGCAAGTGAGGCCCGCTCTGCCCCATAGTGCGTCTGCAATATATTAACAACATTTGTCCACCAGGCGTCAAGACCAGGATCTGCATTGAGCTGTAGTGTGAGCTCATAAAGGTTAGGACTCGGATAGGCTGGGTCTTCCACGACAGGCTTATGGTCTGCCGGCACGAATGCACTGTTGGATGCCGGAAACAGAGCTGGAACGGGCTGCTGTCCTTCAGCCGGGATATGTGATGATGCGATATGACCTTTCAACTTCTCGGCGGGGAGAGTCAGCTTAAAAGAGCCGTTGTTCAATTGCGCGACAAATTTTTGTTTCGTTTTTTGCGGTGGCATTTCTGGAAACGGGTACGACGGCGTTTTCAGAGGCAAGGTTTCGGGAGTTGTCTGCGACTCCGTGCCTCGAATTGTGCCGCTGGATCCGGCTGAATCGGGCGCTCCGGTGAGGGGTGGTGCGACCTGCGGCGACAATACATTGGAGATGCGTCTCTTCTTAGTCGATTCTGGCGGGACTGAGCTTGCGGATCCTTGCGGCGCAGCGATCTCGTGAGGAACTGAAGAACCCGGGTTCTGGGAGTTTCGCATCTGTTGGTACGCAAGCAATTCTTCCATCTGCCGCCGGAGGTCTTTGAGGGTAGGTTGATTTCGACCTAGATCCTCCTCATGCCCGTTCCTGGCATCTAAATTCTCTTTCTCTGCAGAAGTATGTAATCGATATTGATGCGCGGTCTGCTCATGTGGGACAGAATAGGGTGAAGAGTTAGCCTTCCGAGGGTCATATCCGGAGTCTGAATTTCCACCGACTGGGTATGCGCCTTCTTCACTGTGTACAAATCTGGAGAAGGGTTGAGAGGAGAAACGGTGGTGGGACTGAGAAGCGAGAACAGGCGAGGGGGCTTCAGCCGGCGATGGAAGCGGAGGTGTCCTCATACTGTGAACTTCCCCCATTATACACTTCCTCCACCGCCGGGCAATTATTGAATTCTCCTAGGCAAATCCAACTTGACCAGAGTAAATGAGGAACTCATCTCTCGGACGGGTTGGTCCGCGATCAAGAAGAACAAAACGTTCGCGAACGTCAAACCAGAATTATGACGCGTAAATGACAACTGGGGCACGAGTGACCATTTATGTGTCTCTTTCAGGGCGGAACATATATAAGTATGTATATGAGAAACAGAAGTATAAGGCGTATCGAAAGAGAAAAAAAGAGGGGTGGGGAGGGCTTAAAGGGGTGGTGGGCAACTTGTTGCGAAATGAGAACCAAAAAAAAAAGCGATGCGCAAAACAAGTACCTATTTCAAGGTCAGAACAGGGAGAAGGGAAAAAGACTAAGTGTATTCACAGAACATGCAATGAGGGAGAAATCAACAAGGAGGAACGTAGCGCAGAGTACCATAAGGGAAGAATCTGCGTAGGAGACGGAAGAAAGGGCAAGAACAGGTGACCACCTAAAGGGAAGGGAGTGAAGCGGTGTATAGGCATTGGTGGTAGTCCAAGGACTCGGGGGAAGTCTGGATGGGGAAGTGAGGACTGACCTTTTTACCGCGCACTGGAACCACGAGAGATGAATGGTGGGTGGTTGACAGGAATAATATTATTTTACAAGATCGACGGCGACTCCTGGTGGGTGGTTATTCTTGAGAAGTGGGAAAGTCATGAATGGAAAATGGGCCGTCCTTCTGGGGCGCTCCAGCCTATGACGTAGGGGAGCTCTGGGGGTGCTGCAAAACCGCGGTAACGAGTGAGGAAGCTCGTTCCAGAAGAACGCTGGGGCTGAGTGGGGAGCTGCCTTGGGACAAGGAGCAAGAAGCCGGATCTGAGATTGATCAGAACTCAGCAGGGGCCTTGAAAGTTGGAGCTGGTGGTGCAGAGAAGCGGGAGAGAGACTGTCAACTTGAAGTTGAGTGTGTCCACGAGGCAAGTGGAAGATCAGAGATGAAGCCAAAAATTCGGAAGGGAAGTAGGATAGTCCGCGAGGTACACCTACCAGAAAGCTCAAAGTAATATCCACTATCCAATGGCTCGTTCGAGTCACTCAGAGTCTCTTCAATAACGGTCAGTTGACGGAGAACCTAAGTCGAGGGAGGCACATAGTAGTCTGATTGGAGTTTTGTACGATATCGGACCTCGTGTGGAAACTTCCACCCAGTCGCCAGGGATAGTGGGTAAAAACCAGGAGTGAGATTTTTCCTCGGCCTTTGGTGTTGCAAATGTTAATTTCCTCTTAGTTGCAGCTTCCATTCCTTTCCATATGATGGTACTATTCATGATTTCTAAACTCAACACTGCAGGCCATTGTACGAAAGAACCTCGTTCTGCAGCTGTCGGACAGGGCTGGAGGCTGATGTGACAGTGGCGGTAAGAGGAGCGTATCATACCTCGAAGTGATGAAAACAGTGATGTCATGGCTTGGCGGCGCTCACCCCGTCTCCATAAATAACCCAAAACATTACTTTTCATGCTGCGAGCCGGCGTCCGACATCTCCTTGCTCTGGAAAGGTATTCACGTTCTGATTAATCATTATACTAGGCTGCAGACTCCAGATTCCAACGACACATGCTGGCTGTAACTTGAGACCAATTCTTCAGCCTCAGCCTTTCTGCGTAGGATACTAGCTGAAGAAGTGCCCTCCACTTGCTGACCCCTGTCTCGCGTCCATTTTCAGCCCTGGTTGCACTTTTTATTGACTCGCTACTCTGCGCTTCAGTGAGATTGACAGGGGATCAGATTCAGGGCCAAATGTCAAGGAGTTGGTTACTGTCTGTGACGATATTGGCTTAACTAGTGTGTTGAGCAGGCTGCTAGTCAATTCCTCGTCTCCACTCGGGAGCATGCCATGGTCAGGCGGCACGTTTGCCACATCTTCATGTCCAACTACGTTGTACTCTGTATCAACGAGAGGAGAGCGACTGCCAGTGCAATGGGCTCGGTGGTATCAGATGGAGCACTGTCATGGAGTCTTCAATAACACACGGCATCAACAAGGATAAAGTTTCCGTTGTAGTCTACGAAGGCGAACCAGGGGTGCAACGTGGTATGATAACGCGGTTCCCCACGGCCAACGTCGCCTGTCGTCATACACATTCAATAGTATGTTGTGGGTGTTCATGACGGTTTCCGAGTTCCTCGTGGAGGACCAATTACTTTATCTCACTGACTTTCGAACTCGAGTAATTCTCCGAGTTGATGTACCGCTCAACTTACGGCGTACATACTATCCCTTCTTTCTTTATGCATGTACGATTGTTCTCCCTCATAGTTCAAGCTTCAGGTTCCTAAACTCACAGCACAGCAGAACCATGTCATCATAAACTCGATCTTCCGCATAACGTGACTATGATTTCACTGCGTTGCACTAGAAAGTTCTCGGCCGCCAGCTGGCCGCCTCTTCTGTCGATCTCTTTTCCAAGTTAAGACACGGGATGATCGACTCAGGGTACGGGGGGTCAAAGTCTGGGTTGGATTATTATGGAGTGCGCCTTAACAAGGCTTCCCTAGATTGGCAGCGGGGCCATGAAACACTTCGCCGACTAGGATTGCAATTGACAGTGACATGTTTGATCCAATTTGATGGTGCTGGGTTACGGAGTAAAAAGTCAGTCAACAACATTTGGACTCATGATCTTCGGCCGTTCCTCATTGTCCCGATCTCGGTTTGAGATGCACCTTGGTCCTCGAGCTCGCGACAACTCCCCATCCTGGCGGCCATCTTCATCGTTAGGCTTGTCGTATCTACAGCATAGCAGGTTCGACTGAGTGACACTGCTCATTCTCTGTTCGTGTCATGCCAAAGCCACCGAGTTGTAGGATCTCGGCCCGGATGGGACGTTGTCCTGCTGTTATGCTTTCGTGATAAGACACCGCAGGACTCATGGTAGCAAGAAGTGTTTCTTTCGTCTCGGGCGAAGAGGATGCTGTTATATATCGAGCTTGGGCTTCTTAGGCTGCTCCCCTTTCCTCGAAGAAACGCTGTGTTCTACATCGCTTTTACTTGCGATGCAGTCGAAATATATATTCGCTTGATTAGCACTGTAGCTTGAAGGGCTGACAGCCTAAGAGCCGGTTGTAACGTTGACCTCTTGAGGTCTTATACGCGATCTCTGATGGATTATATAAAGCTCTTACCCTTTGGTCAGTCAGTCCCCTGGGGCCCAAGCAAAACGAGTCTTATCTTGATTGACCTCAAGGCTCAACCTGTGGGATAAAAAGCCACATTTATCTACTAAATGCCACGCACGCTCCCAAGCGTGATCCTTCAAGAACCGTCGACGTTGGAGTCAATTTCTGTCTCTTATCGAACACCGAGGTGACTCGCTCTTCCTGTTGGAGTTCCTTTGTTCGAGTCAGCACGAAGTCCTCGAATGATATATAATCCGGGGCATTGGTTCAGTGAGATCGAATCACATTGACCAGAATACCCAGGTCGAGCATTTGTGCGCGCTAGCTACACGAAATGAAACTGTTCGCTATTCTCCAACTTACCACGGTTGCTGAATAATAAACCTAGGCTTCTTACCAATGCCTCTCAAACTGTTCGTTAAGCGTGGGCGAGACAGGGACTGTTTCAGACGGTACCAGCTTGCCCGCATCTCCGTCTCAGTGTCTTCGGCTGCTAGGCATAAGGACTGTGCGTGGACTTGACGATTTGAGTAACCCGCAGTGTTGTCTGGCGAATGGATGCTCCAGAAGAAGCGGTAAAACTCCTGCAAGGGCGACTTGGTTGTCGGAAATATGTTCCAAGAGCGGTGGACATATCCAAGTCATTTATTCGGCGATAAGAGTCGAGCTATATACCTTTTAGCATCCACAAGTAGGCAGAGAAGGATAAGATTCAAAGGCTCATCCAGGCCGTCGCTCTGATTATTGTTGATTATGTGATGCGCCTCAAGTATGCACAAAGGCATTCTCAGTCTACATTCGCAATAGCTGATCTCCCGTTACTGTTCGCAATCTTTTAGAGCGGTCGATGACTAAGCTTTCCCCCCATTCAGAAAGGTCCAGATTTGGGCTGAGTTAACCTGGAAAGTCTGCATCCGCGAACTTCGCAGAGGTTTTTGAGTTGATCGTGGGCAGGATCCCGGCTTCTGTCACGTTGAGTGAATCCTTCTACCCTCAAGTTTGGTCTTCTGCATCAGAACTAATCATGTGGATATTTTGCAGTTTGGAACGTGGACCTTTTTTTGGTTCCTCGCACCACCCCCCTCTCTCCTTGGCGAAGGCTGCATTCGTCCTGATGACCGTCAGCATACTCGATTTTAGCCTCCTCGACGATTTTTCCCTGTGACAACTTTATCAGCTGCTTTTCATATATGGCCGTATAAGTGAGGGGTGGTTGGATTAGTGAGGATATCCTGCGCACTCGTTTGAAGATGGACGAAGGCCATATCCTTGGTGAGGACCTACCCCTCCCACCGGCGCGGCTCTTTCAGAGACTTGCTCAGTTGCCCGGGTATACTTGGGATCAGTCGATCGAACCTTTCCACTCAACATATAACCACTGGCACGTCTTTGGCCTCCGATATGCTGCAGACCCGGAAATCCTCACCCCGCTTGCGACTTCCTCAGGCCCATCGAGCATAGCTCGCAGCTCCCCCCGTACCGAGTCTCGTCCTCCTTTTCGGCATCACTGGAGAAGCAGCTTGAGCGAATCTAGCAGCGAGCTATCGATTTCTCGAATCGATCATGATTTTATCTGGATACCGGTGATTGCGAGGGTGTCGTCGCACGTTGTGAGGCTAGAGCGCGAGTTCCATATGATGAGGTCGATTGTGCAAACCTCCGACCCAGATTGCAATCATACGATGCGCCCGATTGACCTTATCCGTCTACCCTCCGACCCTGGCGACCAAGGACCCCTCCTCGTCGCCATTTTTGAATCGCCCGGCCCGAACATGTTACGAGAGTTGATCGCATTTGGTCCGGCATGGTTTGCGGTCGGTGGTAGGGGCGAGAGTGTGGAGCCGAGCCCCGGAGAGCAGGTTCCCCTCTCAGTTTTCCTTGACTTTTCGATTGGCGCTTGCGACTGCGTCGAGCTTTTGCACTATGGACTGAAAACAGTGCATGGTGAACTCCGTCCAGACGCTTTTCACTTCAACAGAGAGGCCCGATCTGTGAAACTGATGAACACTGGAAATGGCGCAAAGGCATTTGATAATGTGCTCAGCGAGGGCTGGGTTTCAATCTCGCGAGAGCTGGGAGTCAAGAACAAGCTGCAATTCATCGCGCCAGAGCAGACTGGAAGAATGCCGACGGAACCCGACAGCCGAACCGATATTTATGCTCTCGGGGTACTATTTTGGACAATGTTGGTCGGCAAACCCGCTTTCACCGGCTCCGATCCAGTCGAAGTCGTTCAGAATGTTCTAGGAAAGAAACTGCCTCCAGTTTCGGCCAAGCGGATGGATATCCCGGATGCAGTCTCAGCAGTGATTCAGAAAATGACACACAGGGCGGTCAATGAGCGTTACCACACAATATCTTCCGTGAAACGAGATCTAACGCAGATCTCTCAGCTGCTTGGCGATGGCAACAGTGAGGCGCTGAAAGATTTCCAGGTTGCGCAGCGTGATGTCTCGTCGTTCTTCACTCTTCCATGCAAGATGTTCGGGCGACAGGGGGAGTATGACAGAATTATTAGTGTCGTTGAAAAGGTCCATAAACGCCAACAAGCTGCCTATGTAAAGGCTAGTGCGCAAGTTCCAGGAAGGCTCGGGTCAACCTCCTCCTTATCGGAGGGACGTGTTGATAGCTTCGACCTGGCCTCAGTCTCAAGTGACTCCAACTCATCATTACACTTGAATCCGAGAGCCCACACGAATGGGGGCGCCTCCAATCTTGGACGTGTCTCCACCCACGAATCCCTTCATAGCACTGAGTCATCACTTTCCACGCAGAAACCCATTTCAAGCAAAGCGAAGAGCCCCGTGGATTCACGCTCATCTTGGGACAATGCTATTGATCACGATACTGTCTCTTCTGGGGTAACAAGCTCGCAGAATCCTGAAAACCCCCTCGTCACAATCAGCAGACATAAAACTGCTCACAAGCTTCGCCGCCACTGCAAATGCGAGGTTATTACAATCAGTGGTGCTGCGGGAATTGGAAAATCTGACCTGCTGAACCGTATTCAGCCGGCAATACGTAAACTTGGATACATCGGCATTGCCCGGCTGGATCGGGCAAGGAGGGTGCCATTCGAACCCTTTGCCAAAATTCTTGCTTCTTTGCTGCGCCAGATCTTCTCTGAACGCGATGTCACAACGGAATATCACAATACTATCCGCTGCGCCCTCCGGCCGATGTGGGGGACATTACACCGAGTTCTGGAGCTTCCAGAGCATCTAATGTCACCTGGAACCAGCGACAAGCAGATATCTCCCAAGTGCACAGCCGCCCAGCACATCCTGAAAGACAGTACAAGAGGCGAACCATCGAAACGGCTTCCCCTTCCCCGCCTCGACCATGGGCAGTCATCTGTGGATTTCTTTTTGACCAATGCTGCCTCGAAGAATATGCGGCTCATGGAGACATTTTTGGAGATTCTGAAGACACTTTCCCATTTCAGATTGATTACTGTCTGTGTTGATGATCTACACTACGCTGACGACGAGACTATGGAGTTGATAATGAACATTGTCAAAGCCAAGATTCCGTGCGTTTTGATACTTACGAGCAGGAAGTCAGAGCTTGAATCCGAGGCGATCAAATCGCTCTTCGAGGATGAAAACCCAGCGGTGACACGAATAGTGCTTAAGCCGCTTTCGGAAGATGAAGTGATGGAACTAGTGGCAGCTACAATGCATCAACCTCCATCGAACAATCTAACGCCCCTCGCAGCGGTCATTCAGGAGAAGAGCGTTGGAAATCCATTCTATGTGCGAATGATGCTCGAAACCTGCTATAGCAAGAATTGCATCTGGTACTCGTGGAAGAACTCGGTATGGGAGTTTGACCTCGACCGCATCTTCACAGAATTTGTGGCCCCAAGATACGGTGAAGGCCTTGGGATTGGGTTTATCACCAGGCGTCTGCAGGAAATCCCAGCCGGGGCACGATCAATTCTTGTATGGGGCTCACTGCTGGGAAGTCCATTTTCGTTTTCACTGGTGCAAAAACTCCTCACGAGCGAATTTCTGTACTCAAGCGAGGACGATGAGGCAGTAGATCTCACTTGTCCTCATAATTTCAATCTTATGAGGCAGTCTGAGGCCGATATCATCGTGGGCTTGCAGAACTTGGTGCAGTCAAATGTCATCTTGCCTGGAACGACTGACGATGAGTTCAAATTTGCCAACGATCGGTTTGCACAAGCTGCGTCTTCATTGACGGAAGGGCGTAACGTTGAGAAGATGCATTTTATCATATCGCAAGCAATGAAGAAGTATTATCACGATGGGCGCAGCCGTTATGCAATGGCACGACATGTTGCTCTGGGGTCTCGAATAATCAAGTCTCGTGTCGTCGAAAGACTCGATTACAGGAAGATTCTCTGGGATGCTGCGCAAATTGCTGCCCAGTCAGGAGCGCGGCCAACTGCCCTTTGGTATTATCGCCATTGCCTCTCCTTCCTCCAAGATGATCCATGGGATGATAATTGCATCGATGTTTACTATGACGAGACTTTACGTCTTCATCTCGCGGCGGCCGAAATGGCTTGGTCTCAGGGTCAGCCCTCTGATGCTCTGACTCTTCTCAATAAAGTCTTTGAGCATGCGAAGTCGGCGGTCTGCAAGCATCGGGCCTACATAACGAAAGCAAAGATTTTTGCTCAAATGGGCGACCACCCCGCCTCAATGGAATCGCTGCTCACGTGTCTGGATGAGCTGGATGTGCATCTTCGACAGCCCACGACATATGAGGAGTGCGATGCCGCATACAGAACCCTCAGAACGCATCTCGCACAAGCGGATCTAGACGCAATCGCCCGTACGCCTGTTAGCAAGGACATCAACATGGTCACGATCGGCACAGTGTTTGGCGAGGCAATGGCAATAAGCTTCTGGGACGATGGGTTGACCTTCTATCGGATGGCTATTGAGATGATGAACCTTCATCTACAAGGGGGATTTGTGCAGATCTGTATCGGTTGCTCTCACCTTGCCATGATCGCCTTCAGCCGATTCCGCGATTTGGACCTTGCCGTAAGGCTAAGCGAATTGTCCCTAACTCTGCTCGAGCGATGTCCCGAGCCATGGACCAGAAGTCGTGGGTCATTGGTCCATAATTTCTATGTCGCCCATCTGCGAGCACCACTGGCAAACACCCTTCCAGCCCTTGAAGCCTGCGTTGAGGCATCGGCTTCCCTAGGTGATCCATACATCACACTCATTACCATGTCAGCAATGGCCATGACCAGACTGGCTCTTGGCCATGATCTAGTTCAGATTGAGACATTTTGCAATGAGGCTCCGGTGGAAAATAGCGACTGGGAGAAGGATACTCGTGGGGGTGCCAGTCTCGTTGTCGTCCGGTAAGACTTGCCTTTCAGGCGCTGAAAACGAAGAACGCCCTGCCCTATACTAACAATACACTATAGACAAGTTTCGCGGGCTCTACAAGGGAAGACGCAGTATCGAGACGCCGACACGGTGCTCAATGACGAGAATCACAACACCTGCGAGTTCCTCGACTATCTGGAGAAGAACGCAAGCAACCCTGATCGGCCCCGTGACCTCTATCATGCCCTCTCGATGATTCCGCTGTACCTGTACGGACATCATGCGAAGGCCATAGACCTAGCTGCGGGAATGATGGAGAGTATTTCGCGGCTCTGGTCGGCTCGGGCAACCTACACTGTGTACTTCTATTCAGCCCTCGCACACTTGACGATCCACAACGATAATCCTACTTTGGGCTACCTTGACGGGAAGTTGGAAACAGTCCTGAGATACAAGGCCGAAATTGACTTTGTCCGACGTGCTTGCGATGCGAATTATGGAATGTGGGCTCTGATTCTAGAAGCACACCTTTTTGAGGCTCGAGACAACCACACGTCTGCGCTTCAAGCATTCGAGGATGCGATTGATCACTGTCAAGTTCATCAGTGGCCCATGGAAGAAGCTCTTGCTCTGGAACTTTATGGTACGTGATACTCTACCTAATATTCTCCCTCTTCTAACGTCATTTGTAGGCGAGTTCTTAGTCCGTCGAGGCGCGAAAAGGGCGGCTCGCTCGGTGATGCAGGACGCGATTGCCGCTTGGGCCGCAATCAGTGCTATCGGCAAGGTCATGCAGCTGAGTGAAAAACACGAGTGGTTATTGCGGACGGCGACAAATTCGAGAAGCGTTGATGTCGGCTGTCAAACTGTAGACTCACTTCTTACGATCAACCAGAACGTTGTCGGGCAGGAACACATTGGCGTCGGTGTCGGTGTCGGTGTCGGTGTTGGGCCAACTCAGACTATGCATGATGAAGAACGGAAACACCGATGGCTGGAGCAAAGTGGTCTTACGACTGGCGAGCGTTCCCTTGACATATCCGGCGTTGGACTCGGTAAGTATTCCGACGACAATTTGCATAATTGATTCCTTGACCTAACGACTCAAACAGATATCATTGACTTGTCAAGCATCCTTGAATCTAGTCAGGTCATGTCCTCGGAATTGCAGATTGACAGCCTTATGACGAAGATGATCGAAATCGTGCTGGAATCGTGCAACGGGTCTGACTTTGCGGTCATCGCAACCAATCTCGACAACAACTTTACCATTGCCGCTGCCGGTGACCTTGAGAAGGGACAAAAATCTTTCGTTGACGGGTTACCATTTTCGGAGATGGAAGAGAAGATGGCTCAGCAGATTACGCATTATGTCATGCGCACCAGAGAAGAGGTACTCGTTCACAACGTCGTCGAGGATGAGCGTTTCTCAAACGTGAGCGAGGCATATCAGACCCGAAACCCGCTGGGCCGGTCTGTCATTGCGTTGCCTATCATGCAGGCAGAAAACCTGCTCGGTGTCATTCAGGTCGAAGGGAAACCGAATTCCTTCACGCAACGAAATCTCGTTGTCCTGCATCTGCTGTGCAATCAGATTGGAATTTCGTTGTCCAACGCGCTTCTCTTCCGAGAGATTCGCAAAGTCAGCGCTACGAATGCCTCCATGGTTGAAACCCAGAAGCGAGCACTCATGCAGGCACGAGAGGCTGAGCACAAGGCCAAGGTGGCAGAAGCTGAAGCCAAGCACAACGTGAAGCTGAAGGAGGATGCTGCCAAGGCAAAGTCGATCTTCCTTGCCAATATTTCCCACGACCTGCGGACGCCGATGAATGGTGTTATTGGTCTTTCCGAGTTGCTCAAGGGCACGAAGCTGGATCGGGAGCAGGATGAATATGTCGAATCGATCCGCGTTTGTGCCGACACTCTTCTTACGCTCATCAATGACATTTTGGACTTTTCGAAACTCGAGGCGGGCAAGATGAAGATATCCACCGTTCCTCTGAATATCAGGGAGACGATTTCAGAAGTCGTTCGTGCGCTTCGCTACACCCACAGAGATCGAGGTCTTGAGACCATTGAAGATCTGGATCAGGTTCCACCGGATCTTGTGGTACTGGGTGATCCAGTTCGGCTTCACCAAATTTTCATGAACCTCCTCAGCAACAGTTACAAGTTCACACCCAAGGGATCCGTGACTGTCTCCGCCAAGGTTTCCCGAGACGGTAAAGGGCGTGTGCGCCTCGAATGCTCAGTGTCCGATACTGGAATCGGAATTCCGGAGGAGCAAAAGCCGCGCCTCTTCAGGCCTTTCTCGCAGGCAGATAGTTCGACTGCAAGATCCTACGGCGGTAGCGGGCTTGGACTGAGCATTTGCAAGGCCATCATCGAGGACGTCCTGGGAGGCGCAATCTGGCTCGAGTCTACTCCCGGTGCTGGCACTACCGTGACTTTCCATCTGTCCTTTAGCAAGGTCAAGACTGAGAAGACAGCCACACCCTGGGCAAAGGTCCTCGACGACCAGGCCGCTCCTCGACCCACCGTACGCGATTTGTCCATGATTCCTCGCGAGCAAATCCGGATATGCATCGCAGAGGACAACCCAATCAATCAAAAGATCGCCGTCAGATTCGTGTCATCTCTGGGACTCCAATGCGAAGCATACAGCGACGGACAGCAGGCAGTCGATGCGCTAAGGGCACGATCCGAGGAGGGAAACCCGTTCCATGTCGTTCTGATGGATGTGCAAATGCCTGTATTAGATGGATACAACGCAACTCGTGCATTACGCAACGACCCAGATCCCAACGTCAACGAAGTCCTCGTCATCGCAATGACCGCAAGTGCTATCGAAGGAGACAGGGAGAAATGCCTGGACGCCGGCATGAACAACTACCTTCCCAAGCCTGTTCGCTCCAACATCCTAAGCGACATGCTGGACAATTATCTTGCAGCTAAAAAGACACGCCTGCCATTCCGCAAGCGAGGAAGCGTCAGCGGCGTCAGCACTGGATCCGGCAAATCAACTGGCGTCTCCTCTCCTCTGCCTTCATCATCATCTGGCTCCGACGAGCCGGTCAAGATTGAAGAAAATGACGTTAGTCCGTCCTTGTCTTCTTGAAAATTCTTTTGTCTTATTCAGCTTATTCCTGTTTTGACTTCGATTTGGCGATGGCGATTCAGCACGTTTGAAGGCTTCTTTTACGTTGTATATTGGGATATAGACTCTCTCCGCCTCGGGCTACGAATCTCTGCATATTCTTTCTTCACTTATTGATATCCATATGGGAGTTATATATCGAGTTCTGTCACTTCAATATTAACGTTTCCACGTCAAGTTCAGTTCCATGTCCTCTTCTACGGCTTGTAGTGTTCCTTCACCCATAGGCCCGATGCATATTTTCGGTAGTAGGTTTGGGTTCACGCGCCTTTCGACCTTGGTTGAACCCAGGAATTCACTTTCTCTGCAAAGCTTACATGTTTATTTTTCTTACAGGCAGACTTCGGGGTCGAGTGGCTATCTCAAGAGGCATACACGTCAGCCCTCTGGATACAGAGTTATGCTGGGTGGTCTCCATAACGGTCCGCCAGGCATTCATGGCCGAGGGTCGGCCACTGCGGTTTAAACCGCACTCGTCGTCCATTATTCGGTCACTTCGAACTCAATATTCAGGTGAAGTTACCTCTACCCATCGAACTGTCGGCGTGAATCTAAAGAGCTGAGAGGCAACTATCTGGTAGGTGAATCGAGAAGAATTGACTGATTATATATACCCCCTTAATTCCTCTCCTGCCACAGAAAGCCCTCAACTTTCTTATCCCCCCCAGTTTCCTTCTCTTTACCTCCCTTGCCATGAAACCCGAGCCCTATCCACGAACAACCATTTCCTTTCGAGATGTCTTCAACCTACCCTTGCATGAGACGACAACTCCTATTCGAGCTCTTGTATCCCGATCTCGTCCACGAGCACTGTCAGGCGTTGGCAGGACGAGACAGTCTGCCGTGGCATCCAGTGACACATATCCCAATCACCACGCGGATCACCGGCGGAACCTTCCAAAGCACACCGGACATTCGTTCAAACTGGAAAGCTTCTGCGCTTCAAGCCCCTTGTCCACGCTGGAATTCCGTCTTCGAAACGCTCCATGACGACCTACGGCAGGTTCCCAGCATATCGAGATGCCAATGATAAGGCGTTGAGGTGGGGCTTCGAGCGAGCCGTCCTCCAAATCGGGCGAGGACCGGACGAATTGGAGAGATGACTATGGAGAGGGCTGTGACCAGATAGCGGGGATCTTGGATGGAGCTCGAGCCAGAAGGCCGCCTGACGAAACAAGCCTCGCACCATCTGCGACTGTCCCGAACAAGAAACCAACAATACCTGGTGTCCTACCGGAGTGACTGTAAGCATCCTTTCTTACTACTAGTTGTTGCTTGGACTATGAATAACCAGAAACAGGCGCTCCCAAAGGGATGCCCTCTCGCTTTGTCTCCCGGCCCAGCAAGTCATCATGAGTAGCCCTATACTTGTGACTAAAAGCTCACTTGCTAGCCCATAATCGCGAGGGCTCACCCTCTCGGCTTGGGTAGGGCTCGCTATCCCAGAGCCTATGTGTGGCCATCAGTCGGGCCAAAGCTGGCATGTACATCATGGATAGCAGCTCGGAACTCCTGAGGGCATGTCACAAAAACCGCGTGCTGAGAGCAAGTCATGTACCTTGATTGGCACACTCAAGTACATCCGCGACAACAAGCTGAATGTTAGCGTGCCAACAAGCTTCAGTCTCTGATCAATGAGGCTCTTCCGTGAATTCATCATCACCCTGGAACCAGCCCTGACCCTACTGAGGCAGAACCCGCCGACGAAGGACCCGCCTCGCCTGATCCCACTGGCGATGTTTGGGCCGTGGATGATTCTATTTTGCCTGCCCCTGTCGCGGCTTCTTTGACCACCACTGATGACTTTGCTTTGCCAAATCCGGTTGCTGTATCTGCTTCTCCTACTGTTCCCAAGGCCGATGCTGGACATCGCCGAAAACATTGCCCTGCATAACGAGATTGCCGCGAGGACCTTGAAATATCTTGGGAGGAAACTTCGAAAGTTCCATCGAGTTGGACGTCGACGGTGAAAGCAACTCGAACGGATCCCTCAACTCAACCTCAGGGCTCTGTAGATGATGTCGGCATGTATGCCTGAGACACCAGCAGCCGTAGCCTGCGTTGTGACGCTTCTATCACCTCTTCCCTACTTAGACCATCTGGTAGGCTCTCATCTCTCCCTGATTATTGCTATACCGACGGGGCACTGGAATAACACATTTACCGGTAAGATCCAAGCCTCGCTACCCTGCGTTGATCACCTCTTTTCCACTCAAAATTTCTCAAGAGCCATGTAAGTCTGAAAATCATCGGCATAATTCCTGCTCTTCGGGTCAGAACTAACGTTCTCAGCTTTGACAATGGCGGATGAAAACAATAAAGCCAGGAGAATCAGCCCAATTCTGAGGATGATGAGCTCCTTCCCGACCTCATTGCGACCGGGTACTCTGAAGACCATGTCATACCCGATAAATATATAATCGACAAGTTTCCAGCTTTTGGTACCGCCTTGGCAAACGTAGACGACAAAGACATCATTGTCGAGATCCTCGGCTCGCTTCAAGGCGAAGGAAACTATGTCAAGACATCGGTGTCTTTGACGACCCAGCAAGCCTTTGAATTCCTTCTTGAGATCAGGTACGTTCCTCTTCTCCAAACCCCTTGACATACCATAGTGTCACACGCTAATACAAAGCTTGAATCCTCTAGACCTCTAGTTCGTTATCACAACTACTGTGTGTCGCGTGAACGCAACGCCCATGTCTACTTCCTACATGGCCATATTTTAGCACAGTATGATTAAAAAATTAGTATTAAAAGACAACTAGTCTACTAAAGAAAAGGGGATTGCGCCCGAGTTCTTCTCCACAAAGCACACCAACCTTCCCACCCTCCTTGAAGAGGAAATGGGTTGGCTGCTCAAGATTAAGCTGCGCGGAGCGGCCTGGCACGAGTCAAACGTGTTTAGTAACTGGGACCTTGACGACCAGGCCAATACCATGCCAATACCATGGCAGAGGTCATAGCTTATTACCGGCAGAACAAACTTTTGAATCTGCTGGTCATCGGTCCTTACTTTGACCAAGGACTGGGAAACTGGCTCGGAAGTATCGAAGAGGATCGTGACAAGAACCGGTTGAACGCATGGTATCCCAAGCACCCGGATCGACACTGCCTTCAGGTAGGCGAATATGCCAAACCTGAAGAATGCCCTATCCAGCTTCTTCTCAAGACCGACAGGCAGTACCACTACTGCGGCCCCCAGCGGAAGCCTGGTGGCATCAGGCTCGTCTTCGATCAGAGCGCACGAGGAGAGCAAACTCGCTTATAGTCGTGCAATTTTAGGCGACGTGGATGCCAACAAGAAGCGAGACAGAGACTCGGCGGACTCAGTGGCCACCGGCAAGGAGAACATACAGACTGTTTTCAACCACGCTCGTCCCGCGCAAAAAGCCCCGGCTGGTGTGCGATGCCTACGAAAATGAGGAAGACGCCGACATTCCTGACAACGGTGACGGTGAAGATTTTGGTGAGTCTTTTCCCTAGCCGCATGGTTATGACTGCGATTTGCCGTACAACTTTGAGGTACTCAGCTAACCAATAAACTTAAACTAGAACCGAATCCTCTCGACACTGAAGATGATGACGACGAGGGTTGCGACGAATGTTTCCCTGGCTCGGATGATATCGACAGCGAGTTGCTCGGTGTCCCTGCCACGGACTCAATTGTCGCTTATGCCCCGCATGGTATCAAGCAAGACGCTCAGCCTTCCCAGGTTGCAGTAGACGACGGCGACGGCGAAGACTACGGCGAATGCATTCATGGACCAGATGGTTTTGGCACCGAGCTTTTTGACGTCGCTGTTACAGACTCGATCGTGGCCTATGTTCCGCGAGATATCGACCCCCACGCCAGCAACAGATTCGCTCAGAAAAGGCACGTTATGATCACTCACATGGCAACGTGGAGTAAGACCAACGATCTCCGTGGGTTGGGCTACGAAGAACGACCCATGACATTGGGATTAGGACGCATCCTCGGCAACCTATCGGTCACTGATATCGTGTCACTTTTTTTCTCAGGAATACCGACTGAGGTACAGAACCTATTCGACAAGCCAGTTTTGACGGCCCAAGGTCTTCTGAATCTACCAGATACACAGGCTGTTAGAAAGTATCTTCGTCAGGGTATGTACCTAGACATCGCACTGGGAAACATCAAGTTCCGGGAGGGCCAGACCATCGAATGCGACGGTTACGTTGGCTGAGCAGGAAGGTTGAAGCGACGAACCGGTGAACACGACCTTATTGCTAGAGAGTGCGAGCCCGAAAGTCTTCCACATGAGCATCGATATAGTCTACATTACGGTCAGATCTGTAGACCAGGTGTCCATAACGAGTTCCGACGACTAGCTGTCTTCAATAAACGCATCTCGCCCGGATATTTGCTGATGCTTGAGACTTTTTTTCATCATCGCTCTCGATACATTCAAGTTCAATGGTGTTTATACCTCATATAGGAACTGGGCTTCATTCGGTTTCCGAGAAACTGTGCCCCTTCCTGTGATAGACTGGCCGAGAATGAGTGCGGCTCTCCCTATCAGACAAGGTTTCAGCCCACTCAGCTACCCTCGCCGTGTGCGAATCCGGAATGTCAGAGAATGACATATACACTGAGCGGACCGAACCGACCAGCCGAGCTTAGTCCTAGCGATATAAGAGGACACCTGTACATAGGAGATCCTCTAGGACCATATTGCTGCAAGCGCTGCTGCGACTATAAGAGGCATCGCGGAGAGTTGGCCGACCGGGACGCCATTGCTAGAACTAGAGGAGCTAGCAATGCGGGGGCAGTTGCGAAAGGATAACCACTGGGAAAGCGACACCCCACGCGGGTGCTGTGGTCGCATGGAATCCCAGGTATACACTGGCAGCAGAACGAGACATAGTGGCCTTCACCCACTGTATCCGAGCACATTATTGTGTGATACATGCACTAGCTGGGTAGAAAGGAACAACCGGAGGCGTACGCAGCTCGAGGCCGACGGCTTGCTCTTGGAGTTCCATCTAGAGGGCGCCAGAAACATGGGGGAGGCAATCGAATGCGAAAACTGCCACATCATGGAAAGTAACCCGGACTGTCATGGGTGCCCACACGAAGCCAATCATAGAACAGCACTGGTTCTGTGTCATTTTGCTCGCGACATCGGAATGAGAAGGGAAAGCATCGACCTCAGGACGCCATCGACCAGTATCTCGCCCAATGCAAGCTGGCTAGAGATCGAGAGAATGGTGCCCGCTTTCAGTGCGACTTTTGCGGTGCAATCGAGCCAAAGGTCAAGAAACCCAAACCAAATGCCACATCCCCCGGAACAAAGGGCAAAAATGGCAAAAAGGACGGAAAGCCACGAATCCGACGCTTCTGTATAACGGAAGACACTGCCAAAGTTTGTTGCCCTAAATGCAAGGCTAAGAGGGCCCGTGGAGCCTTGTAGGCGAATGTTGACTGGCGATGGGCCGAAGCTGCTTTCGGGATGCTGCCTTTTGCGATGAGCTGCACCATAGTCACTTCCAATGAGGCGGGCGGGCATCTTTATTTTCCGTCGTGAAGAGGGCCTTGCCTGCAGTGGCAATCTTGAGAAAAGCAGGAGGATAGTAGAACGGTAGTAGGATAAGTTGAGTCGTCAACGGTTGAAGAACGCCGGCAAAACAGAGTTATCACCGGACCGTGATACATATGCCAGGTCTAGCATGGCCGGGCGCGGCGCATAGTCTTGGTAACAGCAAATCCTTCTCAGCCTGAGCTGGTCAGCCCTGGCGGCTCTGAACCAGAGTCCGAGCTTATACTCAAGAGTGCACGGCTACTCGTGCTGGCTTGCTGGGCGGGATACCGGGGCACCACACGGATAAGAAGACACGGCCAGGGTTCCAGGTCTTCCCTCCTCACTCCCTCTATTGTCCTCATGAAAGCATGCGAGTAAGAGAGGTCTAGCACTCACTGGCTAACTCGGTCGGTGCCTTTGTGTGTACAAGCAGGTCTCAGAGCCCGGGGTTGTGTTATAAAGAAGGTTTAATCAGGGATGGAAGGACCTTGATATGAATTCGGACAAAAGAGGTCTTCTGAGACACTGCATTGATCGTGGTGGGCCGGAGTAAATTGAAAGGTGTCAGAGACGCTCCTTTATTCGGTATTGGGAAGGTCGCCGAGGTGGGTGTTGCTCGTCGCTCGCGTTCTGTATGTAGTGCATATTGATAGTGGAGGAATTAGGACAATTACGGAAAAGACCGCTACTCATCCAGACTGGGTTAACTGAATAGTTATGCATACATATTCACTTTATTAAGCGAACCTCGCTGAAACTGAATTCACTAGTATGATCTGACCTCTACTCCGGAGTAAATGAGGCAGCGACCCCTGCTAAAACTTTAGACCTACAAACCCGGACGGTCGCAACCTCACAAGAAAGGAAACAAAGTCATATTCAACCGTCATCATATACGGGGTACTGCGTGTTGAGGCTCATAGTAGCGTAATGCTCTCGGTCGGTGATCCAAATTGTTTTGGGGTGTCTTCTATCGGTGTGCTAGATACAGAGAATGGAGAGGTCGTCTTATCCGCTGCTTAGTCAGTCACGTGACTTTCCCTGCCCCTCGGTTGATATGCTTCAACACCCGAGACTCGAGGCTGTCAGAACGCAGAGCGAGAACACAGAGCGAGAGAGGTGGGGTTATTTTCTTTCGTCGCGATCTTATTTTCTTCTCCCCGCGACGCGGAAGCGCTTTACACCCCCATCAGGAATCAGCGTGAGCTTTACATGCGTGAAGGTCCTCGTATCTTCACCCCCAGCAGCCAGATCGGCACCCTCGAAGATGTGCTCTGTATCAGCCGCGCAGGGCTTGGCGCCGCTGAGCAGTTCGACCCAGCCCTCATGGTCATGAGAAGGAACCTCGTCGCCCTTAACAGATCCCTCAACCAGTCCGTGAACGCGCACAGCGCTTGGGAAGTTCCCACGGAAGTCCTTTGTGTCGACAACAATCTTTGAGACGGAACCCGGGAGACCGAGTCTGATAATCGCCCAGTCGACATGACCTGGTGTGCGTGAGCGTGCTGTTTCCCAGCCGTCGCCCATGTCCTTGCCCCGGCCTGGCAGGAGCAGGTTCGAGCAGGGGGTGTAGTGTTGGTCTGAGGCGGCGAGAGCCTGACCCCCGAGGAGCGCGGACGAGAGCTCCTCTACTGGGAGTTCAGCGGACGAAACTTCGAGTCTCGGAGGTATCGCGTTTCCATGGAGCCTCAATCGTCCTACTCCGCCGTCCGGCAGCATCAACAGTCGGACGTGGCTATATGGAGTAGGGTTTGCTGGGTCAAAGTCGTTAAACTTCCACGCGCGACGCTGGGCCGGGCCCAAGGGCTGCGCGGGGAGAATGGTGGTCCATCCCTTATAGTTGGGGTCTGAGAGTTCAGCGTCTGAGGCGCCAGGGGCATATGTAGCCTGCAGCTCTGCCTTTTCGCCATAGTTACCGGTGAAGAAGCCGGTGTCAATCTCGACGCCCTGAATGGCGCCACTGGCGACGCCGAGCTTGATGACGACCCAGTCGTAGGGCTCCGGGTTGTGGCGGCGGGTTTCCCAGCCATCGTACCAAGCGCCTGTGTGAATGAAGACGCCGGGGCGGTTGATCGGGGGTGTGGGTGTGAGGAGGTTGGAGGCGGCGGCAAAGTACTCGTCCGAGCAGGCGAGGACTTTCGAGTTAAGGGCGGAGGAGGCGAGGTTGGTGGTGTGCGCAAAGACCTTGTCGATGTCTTCGGCGGGGATGTAGGTGATCTTATCGGTGTTGGTGGGGAGAGCCATGGTGATTGTGGGTATATGGAGGAGTCACCTTTGTAGCTGTCAGGATATGTAGTTTGGAAAAAGAAAAGAAAACCAAGTACGAACCGATTGAGGCGGAGAAATGATCCTTTATAGGTAGCTTTCAGGCACAGAGGGGGGAACCTGGGTGTGGAGAGTGGAATGAATGATGTTATCCACAGTGTCCGTCCGATAAGCTCCGTTGATTACTCGATCTCATCCCCTCATCTTTCTTCCTTTTTCCTTCTTCTTTCTCCAACTTCTGTTCTATTCGTGCTCGCGTCGTTGATGCTCGCTTCTCTCATTTTCTCAGCTGTCAATTCTCGTCTCCGACTCGTCTCTTTGGTTTCAATTACCAATCGCAACTGTACCCCTCTCCGACGACGCGAAGCTGTCCTCGTGCCCCACCATTCCAACGGCTGTCTCTTATCGGAGGTCTCCGACTCCGATGCTCTATCGCATGCTTCCGGGTTTTCGTGATTTGAGTCATTATTGAGTTATTGAAGGGCTCGCGAACACACCGACCTGTAGACAAGGTTGTCGTCGACGCGTTCGTATCGAACCGAGGCTGAACGGTTCTGGCAATATGTCGCGTGATCAGGTTGTCAAGGATCAAAATGTTGAGATTGACACTCACTTTGGTGCTTCAGAGCATTCGAAGAATCTAATACAAGAGCTATACGCCAGGAATGCCCAGATTGAACCTCAGGAGGACACATTGGAGGAGTCAGCGTTGCCGGGATTTGATATTCGCCACTGTTGCAATGCTCACCCAGCCTGCAGTGTTACATCGTGACGTCTACAAGGGTCATTAAAGGTTACTCTGATATTGGTGCCTGAGTAACCGAGAGGCGCCTCTCTCAGGGGACTCTAAGCGATCGAAACGAGCAGATGAGGGCATTGTCACGAAAAAGAAATTCATGTGTTGAGTGCTAATTCTAGATCTAAAATTGAACGCCAATGATGCGATGCTATTCCTCTCTGGGTGGGCGGTTTGTTAAGACCGAAACCTCAGTTGCTCCGCTCAATCCGTCATGCTCTTATCTGCTACTCTTGGTTGCGAGCTCCTCCAACATTTTGTACCGCCACTCATACTGCGCCAACTGTTTCTTCTCACTCGGTGATAGGCTTTTGCCTTTGTCCGCCATGTCCTTCTCGACCTGCTTCAACATCTCCCAGCGCTTGATGATTCGTGCTTGATGTTCGGAAATGGACGCAAGGTTCGTGTCGTTCGATGCTAGCCGGCTATCGATTGTAGAGTGATATGATAGCTTTGCGTGGAAGAGTGCCATGTCGGATTCGTCGTATTTGAGGCCTCGGGGCTCGGGGAGAGCAGCCTTCTGTGAGGGCTTGGAAGGCATTTTCGATATAGGTGTGCTTAAGAGCGACTTGTTGTCTCAAAAGAATTGGTTGGTATGGACTTGGTTCAATGACCGTCTTTCTTCGTCTTCTATGATGTTTTGCTTGGCAAGCAACTTTGATTGATGCCAGAGCTTTCTCAGGGAGAGTGTTTGAGGAGGAGGGAATGTTGAGAAGAGAAGATGGTGTCTTTCACCCCGACCAGAGGGGACCTGGTTTATATCTCTTTTGCATCCAGAGGTCTCGACTGATAGCAATGAGGGTGCCACCAAAAATCGAGCCCAATGCAACTGAGGTCAATGGCACAACGAATCGAATGCAATCGCACAACTCGCATCGCGTTTCCTTCACCGTATGTGTTGTTCTGCCAATCCGTTTCCGGGCCGTTTGTGCCAATTGTGTTGTGGCTCCTTTCAGGACCAGTTTCCTGGGTAGGGACAGGCTCGTTTGTTCTCAAACTGTGACACCATCATGACAGTTTCGGCGCAACCTAGAGTCGGTCTGGAGATTAGGACGTCCCTCTCCGCTGTTCTGGGATCTGCCAGCAGAAGGGACGAGTCGGTGAGAATTTATTGCCTGCGAGAAAGGAACAGGGTTTCGGACTGCACCAAGAGGGTCTTCCGGATCCCCCGTTCCATGCGGTGCCTTGTGCATCTCGAGCAGGGCACAAAAGCACATGAGCTTTGCCGAAACATCTGACAGAAACAAATGCAAGCATGCCCGAGGCATTTGGCCATGCGATTCGTTCGTGACACAGACAGGATTGAGCCCGAGGGCAGATTGACCGATGAGTGACTCTCTCCCGAAACCAGTATCTCCCCGACGGCCGACTAAACCCGCTTACTAGGTCTCCAAAACGAGAGGCGCAGTAAAGAAAAGTCTATCGGCGAGTTGTTCGTGTCTGCCGTTTACCACAAACGAGTGAGTTCGGTGTCTGGAATTTTTGTCTCGGGAGCAGCTTGTTCGAACGTCACCGAGGGGTCCATTTTCATGATCCTTCCGTTTCTAAATCCCCCATTCGTGGCCGTTTCCGAGCGGGCTGCACGTAACCGCTGGGTACGTTGTTGTATCACCGTTGCGGTAGTCGAGGTGTCACCCGGATAGGGGATTCTGTTCGAAGAGAGGCAATGGCCACAACGCCCATGAGGCATTCCAGAAAACGCGAGAGTGTCAAAATCTGATCCTGCACACGATTCCCCAAAGAAAATTTCCGAGCTTGCCCCGTTTTCTGCCAACGTCATGATCATATGTCCCCATCCGTCGCTGAAACACTGACAGCTGACAGACCCCTTGAACTCTATAGTTTCGCGACTACCACCTCATGCGGGTAGGCAGGGTAGGTACGCTGGCCTTACGCTGCCTTGGACCTATTCCAAATCGCGTTCCTGGCTCTTCCTCCCCCTTTTGGGTGTTATCAATCTGCAATTGAACTGGAGCTGCGCCGTATCCAGGGGTTGAACATGCAAATGGCTGATCGAGGTAATGGATCGGTGCCTAAGATCGTCTCAGGGCTCTGAGATCGACCAGGGTTTGACTGCAGGTCAACTGTTGAGCTGCTGTCCTTGGGGTCTCGGGACGGTGGATAAAAAGTGCAACTGCATATTCTACCTTAATAAGCTGTGCGGTCTCAATACATCGCGTGACCTGCTCCCTCGTCTCGTCCATAACAGCATTAGAGCAGTGAAAAGGAGCGAGACTCTCGCCAGCGCAACAAGAACGTGCAGCTGCATCTGCGCGGCTCCGCTTCCAACAAGCCTCTTCTGCCCATCCACTTCCAGCTCTGCACCACACGAGGTTGATCCACTTTCCCCATTCACCATCGACGGGCAGAACATCGTTATATGTCGCGGCGTTGGCGCACCGGAACCACGCCTCTGGGTCGCCAGATCGAGGCGCGTAGAGCACTTTGAGATCCCAATAGGAGAGCACGGCGATGCACGCTGTCCATCCAGCAGCGCAGAGCCTGTCGAATGCCATGATGAGGCAGATAGGTTACGGAAGACACATGGAGCAGCATCCGTACACGGCGAGTGTGACATATGCCTGAACGACCATGGACAGGCCTGCGACGCCGATCATCACGCACTCTGCCCTGACTTTGTACATCTCGCTGGGCGTGGCGGCTCCATAGCCCATGATTGCCATCAAGGTGGCGAAGAGGATGATCCGGAAGCAGATGGCCCCGGGATTTCGCTCCTTGCGTAAAGACATGCGGCCAAGCTTGGATCCCGGAATTTCGGTACGTACGTTGAAAGTAAAGAGGTTTGTTAGATGTGTTACAATACTTCTCAACAGTACTCCCAATACTATATATCCAAGCTCTTGAATGGGCTTGTTTACGGCCCAGTGGCCGACCAATGGCCGTCCCCCATAAGCGATTCAGGCACAGCCACCGGGGCATGATCAAGCTATTTTGACCCTATCGATCTATGCGCTCACGTTGCTGAGATTAGAAGCTCTATAGGGCCGATTTTGCAGGAGCATTCCACTGCCTCCACAGTACAGGGAAAACCTCCATTATCCGGCCAACATCCTTCATACAGTTGTGCCCATGGAAGCTAAACCGGACTCTCCCATATCCATTCCAAGCAAGGATCCCAGCTGCACTCATTTGGTTCACAATTTCAGTAGCCCCTTTGCAGTAGACCGTAATATTCGCACCGTGCTTCGATTTCTCCCTAGGCGTCGAAGACCGGATACCCTCACTATCCAGCCTGCGCCATAGCTCCGTCGTCAAAACCTGGACATGTTCTTCAATCTCCGTAACCTCCCACCGTCTCAGAAACTCCAGGCCTTCCCGCAGAAGGTAAATCGACAGATGCGACGGATTCCCTCGGGAAAAACACAGCGCCGTATCCCTTGTCTTGATGCGCTCCCCACCTTCCCAATCCGGGATAATGTTCCCCAAGGAATACAGCCCCGCAGTCGCAGGCGTCCATTCAGGCTGCCTCGCGCGATTCCAGAATGCAATTGCTGCCCCCGTCGTCCCGAGGAGGAACTTGAAGCTGGCTGAGAACGCGAAATCAGCCACGGACGCTTCGATGGGTAAGTACCCAGCTGCCTGCGTATAATCCACGACGAGAATCGCTCCGACGCGATCCGCGGCCCTGCGGTACGCTGCTAAATCGACTCGCGCACCGTTCGAGTATGAGACGTAGCTCACGGCGATAAGCCGCGTGCTGGAATTGACCTTCTTCTCGAGCTCCGCCTCGGCACTACCAGTATCGACGCCGTCAAAGGCCTCAGACCCGTACAACACCGTCGGGGCAACACCTCCAGACCGCTGCCCGCGAACCGCAAACGGCGCAACAACACTTGGAAACTCGTCCCGATCAACATACACCGTATCCCCTTCTTTCCACTCCAGGGACTCCACGAGAATCGATACTCCCTCCGCGACGCTCGACACGAATCCGATATCGTCCCGGTGCACGGCCCATGATTGCGCCACCAGAGATCGGACTTCGTCTACTTCTCGCTGGAGGCCGGTGTGTCCCTTGTGGCCGGCGGCTTTGTGTGCCGTATACCGTGTTAGTGCGTCATGGTGGGACTTTAGGGGGAGGGACGAGCCTGCGGCGGCGACGTGTACGATCTCATTTTTGTCCTCGGAGTTTGGTTGTGGTGAAGGCGAGGATGGGAGGATGAATGCTGAGATTGGGAATAGAGGGGTTTGCGCCATTGTTGTATTTCGCACTGGTAAGCGATAGAATAGGACTTGATATGAGTAGCTTGATTTAGTCAGTTCTCTCGACGGTGGATATCGTACAATTATATTCTTGTCATCTTATAGACAGTGTATGCGTATGAGTCAAAACATGGGCGATAGTTAGTTACTATCATCCGCTCCGTAAGCAGCTTAAAAAATTGGCCAATAGATGGGGTCTCTACCCCACCATCCGCGACAATTTGGACTTGGCTTCGCCCGGCATTTCAGATGTCAGCGCTTATAGGCTATCTTCATACTAGTCTCTTGGGGAATACGGGCTCAAGAACTTGGCGGGATAGCCTGGTTTGGAGTGACTCACTTTCCTTCCAGTTGACCTAGGGCATGGAAGGTCAACGGCGGGCTGGTAACAAGTGGGATGATCTATCTTCGAATGAAAGCTGCATCTCTAGATCGCATTTGCTGCCATATCAATTCCAAGGGTAAAACACCACCACGTCACCCCAGACCATGCTATCATGCCGAATTCACGAGCCCGTATTATCTCTGAGAGGCTAGTATTTTACCCTTGGAATTGATATGGCAGCAAATGCGATCTAGAGATGCAGCTTTCATTCGAAGATAGATCATCCCACTTGTTACCAGCCCGCCGTTGACCTTCTATGCCCTTATCCTCGATCGAGAACGATACACTAGAGTCGGGAACTCGGTGAGCACGAATCTGGCGGCTGGAGAGAGTGGAACGGCAAGTAGACGTATACACAGGCTGCCTGGATAGAAATTAGCATGCAGGAAAATGATAACAAGGGAAAGTAAAGGGATGGGGGAGAAAGAAGAATAGTCGGCTGCCCTCGAGTACTTGCTCTTCTATAGTATCAGATAAGCCTCAGCATTAGAGTACTGTCCCGCAGGCGAAGCAAGGGAAATTGAGTTGCGAAGAAAGCCGTGGAAGCAAACCGTGACCCTACGTAGGTGCATATCCGCAAGAATGAGGCATTCGGGAAATGCCTGATCTGTACGAGTCGGGAAGCTAGTGCTCCGTTGCGGGTGACCTGTTGCTCGAATAATAGTGTCGTTAAGATGTCGAGGAATTTGCAAAACCTGCATATACCCACTTGTTCATCTGGACACTCGGCTTGGACGTTGCTCATTATTGTGACCGAACTCTTAAGCCAGTCTGAACTCATACCTTTCCTCAGACCCGATCTTTGCTTGTACACCGAAATGGCTGCGACCGGGCTCCCTTGTCCTTCTGCGGGCTCTATTGTGATGGTGATTGGTGACATGCTCAGCTTCATGCTCAAATGACACTCGAGTGTATAGCCCGCAACAATCGCCGGTTGGTACGCGCCTCGTCTTCGCTTCATGCTGCCGTCAAAGTCGATGCCTAAGGTCGAACTGATTGAAGTATCTCGATGTCGTTGGGGTAAAGCACCAGCCCAGGATCGCTTCATCAGGTGTATTTGTGGTGATAACAGGCCCAACGGGCTACTCCGTCCTCCAGTAACGAGCTCGCGGAATTTAATGAGGCTGAGGGCTGGGCGAGGCGGACCTGATATCTGGGGTGAGCTAAGGGCGTTCCGCGGCTGGTTATTTGGAGGAATACGTATAAGTTAGCGTTGGATCTGACCATATATGATACGTAACTTACGAGTGCTTCTTCCTCGAATGGAGCGCATTGTCCACTGATACAAAAGGAAGGCTGAGACTCATATTCTCGACGTGACGACGTGACTGAAATTTGTTTATCCGCCAAAGGGAGGCTATCGGCCCATGGTTCGGGTTCAAAAGGCCTCGAATTGGGGAGAGAGAAGAATTTTTCCTACAAATGCTTTGTCCTCTCTTTATGAAGACAGATACTTGACAACGTAGGCGAGAATGGATGCGTTGCCCCGGGGTTGTGTTGGATGGGAGAAGTGGGCAAGTGCGAGGGAGCGGGAAGTTGAGATTGCTTTCCACCTCTAGACTCCGAGGAACCTATGCTATGGGGAACATTCGACTGACGGTATACAATCTTTCCAGATTCTTTGCTGCTATAGCACTCATTGTTTCATCTCTTAGTTCAACTTGCCTATCTATTTATCCGTATCATTCAACATCTGGCACCAGTCTGAAAAGCCCACAAGCTCTCACAACTCACCCGTAAGACATTCCCAGCACACGGAGTTTTGGACAAATTCACACAAGCTCTGCCAAAGTTAGGCAGCAACTCCTGAATCCGCAGACAGTACTAACGCCTGCCCAACTAGGAAAATGGAAATGGAAATGGAAATTGAAATGCAAGAAGACCCGGACCTCGACCTCGACCTCGACCTCGCCAAGCACACCATCTCCCAATTCAAAGCAGAGATCCTCGCAAAGCTGAGGCAGACGACAGAGGCAATGAAGCGCATGGCCGACGCAGCCGCTCTTGCGGGTGATACCGAGGACGCCAGCCAGAATAGACGGGCGCTTCTTGCGGACGCAACTACAGGAATCCTTGGGCTGATGGAATCGCTCGAGGAAGCGGAGAAAATGCGAGAGGCTCAAAAGGTTATGACGCGAGACGGTCCCTCCGACGACGAGGACGAGCTGATGGGGAAAATCATGCTGCTCAAGCCGGCCTTAACCCGGATGATGATGGGCGAAAAGGTTGATGAGGAGTTGCATTTTTGTCACGAGGTGGTCACGGAACTGAAAGACCAGCAGCCGGCGGATCCTGAAGAGGTCTGGGAGCCCCAAGAAGGTATGCAGCTCTGATCCATTTTCTTCCAGGCTTTGATCGTGGTTACTGACCTGGGTGATGTGGTCATAGCTCGAGAACTTCTAAGCCAAGAGGAAATGGATGACGCGGGCGATGAGGTAGGGACGAAGCGAGGATACAAGGACGAGGAAAGCCAGGATGAAGCGAAGAAGAGAAAATTGGATTAGACTGTTCCAGGGACTTTTGCTATCGCGGATGTTCTGGCTCTCACCTGTCACGAGCAAAATCCATACCGAAGCTTAATGCACCACTCCCAACATTGAATTTCTGTCCATCCCTACCCACTCTGTGATTAATTGCCTAAGACATAGATGTTTAAGCCTTTAGATGGGCACCTAAATAAACGTTTTAGTTAGCAGCTTGAGCACTGGAGACGTTAGTATATCGCCTTGATGGCCCGATTGACTCAATCGGCCTGGCATGTCTGACCATAGATTAGGCTACTACCAAACACAAAGTATCCTCGCTAGACAACGAATAAATCCTTGATCTTAAGACATTATCACATTCCACGTACTATAGCTAGGCCCCCATATCCCCATCAACTTATAGGTCGCAAGCTCCACTCCGCTCGGCTACATAACCAACAGGATATAAACTCAAGCAGCTGGATCCCGATTCGCCTCCTCCATCTGCCTCTTAGCCTTGTAGATATCCTTGGACATCTTAACGGGCGCAACGCCCGGCGTCTCGAAGACGGCATCAATCTCCTCAAGAGATAGACCAGACGTCTCAGGGAAGACAAAGTACGACAGCACGAGCTGGATCGTGTTGTACACAATGTACACGACCCAGATCTTGTACCCGATCTTGTTGATTCCCTGCGAGATTCCGTACGTTTGGACGGCGCCAGCCCCGCCCTGTAAAGTCGTCAGCTTGTGGCCTAGATTGATGCTAAGTGGGAAAGGAATTGACATACCTGGATGAGACCGTAAAGACCCATTCCCTTCGCACGCAGCGGGAGCGAGAGGATCTCGACGGGGTAGAGGTTATGCATCGTCGCGATGAACATGGCGGAGAAGGTCTGGTACAGGTAGATCCAGAGGATCGTGAGGCCGGCAGCAGCCTTGGATCCCGTTACATCGTACTGCCAGGAGGTAATAGTCGTAGTAGTTTGGAAGAGAATCATAGTACCGAGGCCGACAAAGATCATAGTCCGACGCCTGAGGCGGTCGATGATTAGGGCGCCGACAGCTGTGAACACGAAGTACACTGCGGTCGTGCCAAGCTGAATTCCTAATTGGGACATGCTGTCCTTGACGCCGATTGTCTCAAGGGCAGGAACCATCTAATGGAGTTTCTGGTCAATTCTTCTTGTTCGTCTCTTTGCCTTGGGGTTGGGTTTGAGAAAGGGGAGAATTAGGGTTGGCTTACGTAATAGGTGATGATGCCGCCGCCGTTCCACTGCTGGAAAACCGAGTATAGAACGAGAACGAGGAGACGGTAATGGACTGTCTTCTTGAAAAACACGGAATAATCCCAGAAGCTCTGATGTCCAGCGCGGTCATTCTCAACCGAGGCTTCCATCTGCTGGACCATAATGTTCACAATAGGCTGGTCCACGTCGCCGCTGGTGGTGTGGTATTTGGCAAGGACCCGCTTCGCAGCATCTCTATTGCCTCGCATGATGTAGTAGCGAGGCGACTCAGGGCAAAGAGTGTAAAGACCTAGGCAGACTAGTGCTGGGAATACCATGTTGAGGTAAAGTGGAAGGCGCCAAGCCAGATCACCCTCGATCTGGGAAATGGAGATCATCGCGCCAGTCATCACCAAGCTACCTACAGCGCCAACGCAGTCAGCAACTACACGAATTTTCTGGCCAGAATTGGCGTACCTATCTGGAAACAGGCTCCAAAGAGGCCCACATACAGCCCACGAAGATGTACGGGGGATACTTCTCCGATGTACTGAGACGAAGATAGCAGCGCAGAGCCAAATCCCATGAGGAACCGGCCCCCCATGAAGACTTTGATATTCGGCGACTGTGCCTGCATAATCGATGCCGCAACGACGAGCAAGTTGCCAATGAAGTTCACGCTGCGACGGCCAATAACATCGGAGAGGGAGAGGAAGGGGGAGCCGCAAACGGTGCCGATATTCATGAGGGCATTAAGCAACCCGTAGGTTCCACCACTCGTTCCGAAACCGAAATAGTCGTGCCAGCCCTGAATAGCATTGATACCACCAATGACAGCCCAATCGACGCCAAACCCTGCCTGGTTGCAGCCCATCACCAGCAGGATCCCCAATAGGCGCAGTCCTGCCCACGATTTGAGATCCAGGGACTCTCGAGAGAGCTTTAAGAGATCCTCCTCCGTCAGACTGGCGAGGACGGCTTCTTCGACATGGGCGGCGGACTTGGGAGGAAGTTCATCCTCCCTGGTCTCCGTGTGGACGACGGTCTCCTTCGTCATGGCGACTAGCGGCAGTAGGGCAACAAGTAGAGAAAAGAAAGAGGCCTCCCCGTGGGATATTTCGAAACAAACAAGTCCCTGGACACACGGACAGTATGGGGAGATCCGACCGGGGTATTATATTCCTGGTTCGAAATTGTCGACAGACCGCCACCAACAATCCCCAGCACTCGTAATGCAGCCATGATTCCTTTTCACGCTAGTTTCGGGGCCTCCAGATTAAACGAATGATCACGAGCCGGAGCCTCGAGAACCAGCAAGGTTCTGGATTCGCCCATCCTGTTTTCCAGTCACGACTTGCGACAATCCTGGCCGTCCACGAGAATGGCGAGGGCAAGACATTAGCCGGGGAAGCGAAAGAGGCGTTGGCGAATGGGCTCTCAGTGGACGACTCGACAACCCAGGAATCCCCAGACTCCACATCAAGCTAGCTTGATCAAGTTAACCCCTTGCCCATTTTGCCGGGGTTGGACTGTCTTGGGGATGGTTGGACTCATTCTTCATCATGCCGCCGGCCGCTAAATCGGAGCCCACCAGAAAACGTGATGGGGAAGCGCGAAAGCAGCGGCCAATTTCCGCGAATCGGAGTCCTGCAACGGGAACCGGGTAAAAGAGATGCAGCACTTCTCCAACTCATGTCAAAGTTATTGGATCAACGGCGCAGCTATGATCTGGCTCTCTTGTCCGTTTTGATCCCGGGGGACGGGCCGTGTCGCCTACGTTCTTTGTTAAAGGGCCTCGTTTCGTTTTGGGTTGCTGTAGATTGGGAATAGACATGTCCGAGCTCTGGTACGAAACACCCGCCAGCGGGTGGGATGAAGCCCTGCCTGTGGGAAATGGCCGTCTGGGGGCAATGGTCTATGGGAGGACCGACACCGAACTGCTCCAGCTCAACGAGGATTCAGTCTGGTATGGAGGCCCGCAGAATCGTCTCCCCGAAGATGCAGCAGAACATTTACCACGGCTTAGAGAATTGATTCGCAATGGCGCTCACAATGAGGCCGAGAAATTGGTTACCCGGGCCTTTTTTGCTTCCCCAAATGGCCAGCGCCACTATGAGCCTCTTGGTACTCTGTCCCTCGAGTTTGGACACCTGCTTGACGACGTGAAAAACTATCGGCGGTCGCTGGAATTGAAGGAGGGCATCGCCTATGTGCAGTATGAATGCAATGGAGTCCAGTTCCACCGCCAGGTGCTGGCGAGCCATCCCGATGGCGTACTGGCCATACGGATACAAGCTTCTCAGCGCACCGAGTTCTTGGTCCGCGTCAGTCGATTGAGCGACGTGGAATACGAAACGAACGAGTTCTTGGACGATATAGTGGTCGACGACCAATCTATCTCCATGCATGTTACTCCCGGTGGCAATGGAAGCAATCGCGCCAACTGCAGAATAACAATCCGCTGCGAGAATGACGACCAAGAACCGGGAATAATCCAGCGACTTGGTAAAAACCTCATCGTCAACGCAAAGGACACACTGGTCCTGATCGCAGCGCAGTCGACATACCGACACAAGGACATTGACCGAGCAACAATTGCGGACTTGGAGACTGCCCTAGCTCACTCGACAGACGACATTTGGAAACGGCATATTACGGACTACCAAGTCCTATATGGCCGTCTGGAGCTGCAGCTCGGTCCAGATGCGACTGATATTCCAACGGATCGAAGAATACAAAGCGCGCGAGATCCGGGACTCATCGCTCTATATCTCCACTACAGTCGCTATCTACTGATATCCTGTAGTCGACCGGGTAGGGACGACGGCTCTGATCGTGTCTTACCCGCAACGTTGCAGGGTATCTGGAACCCATCATTCCACCCACCCTGGGGCTGTCGCTATACCATCAACATCAACCTGCAGATGAACTATTGGCCCGCCAACGTGGGTAACCTGTCAGAGTGCGAGCAGCCGCTGTTCGCCCTGCTTGAACGCCTTGCTGAAGCTGGCACTGAAACTGCGCGCAAAATGTACAGCTGCCGCGGATGGACAGTACACCATAATACCGATCTGTGGGCGGATACGGCCCCTGTCGACCGTTGGATGCCGGCCACTCTGTGGCCTCTCGGCGGTGCCTGGCTCTGCATCCATATCTGGGAGCACTTTCGGTTCACGGGGGATAAGAAAGCACTCGCCCGCATGCAGCCCGTTTTGCGCGGCTGCGTCGAGTTTCTGCTAGATTTCCTGGTAGACGATGCCTCCGGTCAATACAAGGTAACCAACCCGTCGCTTTCCCCGGAGAATACGTTCCGCGATGGAAAAGGCGAGGTAGGAGTGTTGTGTGAGGGCTCAACAATCGACATCCAACTGGTGCGTGCCGTCCTGGAGGCATTCACTTCAGTACTCGAGGTTCTTGGTCTTGAGGACGAACTCCTCCCCGCTGTGCACGACACGCTTCGCCGCTTGCCACCACTGCGCATTGGCTCTGCAGGGCAAATGCAAGAGTGGATGGCCGATTATGACGAGGTCGAGCCTGGCCATCGCCATGTCTCACATCTGTGGGCTCTCTATCCGGGCAGCGATCTTACGCTCGATTCGACTCCCGACCTAGCCAGAGCCTGCGCCGTCACTCTTCAGCGACGCCAGGGAGCTGGCGGCGGTCATACAGGTTGGAGCAGAGCATGGCTCCTCAACCTGCATGCGCGTCTGAGGGACGCAGATGAGTGCGCGGAGCATCTCGAGCGACTCTTGGCGCAGTCAACGCTTCCCAATCTCCTGGATACGCACCCGCCTTTCCAGATTGATGGGAATTTTGGCGGCGGTGCCGGGATCTTGGAGATGTTGGTTCAGTCACATGAAGAGGGTGTCATACGACTACTCCCCGCTTGTCCGGCTGCGTGGCGAAGTGGACGCCTTCGGGGAGTTCGGGCGCGTGGTGGGTTCGAGTTGGAGTTCAGTTGGGAGGATGGAGTCATTCGGGGGCCGGTTATTGTGAAGTCGGAGCTGGAACTTAGGGCTGTAGTCTATTATCCCAACAATGGGCCGCGGAAGGTCATCGAGGGATCGGGAGTCATCGTCCTTGCCGATGACGGGGATAATTAGACTGCTAAACCCAAAATCAAGAAAAGAAAGCCTTTAATTATTGAGTTTGAATCATTTAGACGGGTCGGAAGCCGTTTGACTTGCTTTTTCGGCAGTTTTGAAGCTAAAATTGCGCTTCGTCTTGTGGCGCTTTTAGGGAGCTTCAGCTTCATCCCCAGAGCAGTAGCCCCTCCCCCAAACCCCGCCGGAAAAATACCCAAGGATGTTTTCCAACAATCACGGAGCTCCAATATGCGGCCAAGATTTATTTACCCGAATAAAGACCCGAGTAGTAGGAAATGTTTGCTCCAGGCGTTGATGGCGACTTCTTAAGCTCTTTCATAGCAGACTCGGTTGGGGCAAGTGCAATCGACAACCGGGACAACTATCATGGATTTGACTCCAGTGCAAGACGTCAAGGGCGCGCTGCGCAATGACTTTTTCCACGGCTATGCGACTGCGGCGCCTCAAGTCGAAGGAGCTTGGAACAAGGATGGAAAAGGCCCCTCAATCTGGGATACATTTGGCCATACTCCAGGCAAGGTCAAGGACAACAGCACAGCTGACGATGCTGTAAGGGCCTACGACTTTTACCGCGAGGATGTTGCTTTAATGAAGTCGTACGGCGTTAATGCCTACCGATTTTCATTATCTTGGTCGCGCATTATCCCTCTTGGAGGTGCCGAGGACCCCGTCAATGAGCAAGGCATCAAATTCTACCAAGATCTCGTTGACGAACTCCTCAAGAACGGCATTACGCCATTCGTGACGCTCTTTCATTGGGATGTCCCTCAGGCTTTGGAGGACAGGTACGGAGGTATGCTGAACCAAGAGAAATTCGTGCCTGATTTCGTCCGCTATGCCCGTGTCTGCTTCGAAAGCCTGCCACGGGTCCGCCACTGGATTACATTCAACGAGCCTGGAGTGTACTCGCTAGCGGGGTATGCTGCCGGAGTCCACGCCCCAGCACGATCCTCCTTCCGAGACCTCAATGAGGAGGGAGATTCTTCCACGGAACCGTTCATCGTCAGCCACACAGAGCTCGTCGCACATGGCCATGTGTCCAAGCTGTACCGAGAAGAATTCAAGGAACAACAACAAGGAACGATCGGCATCACTCTCCACGGTAACTGGTCAGAGCCTTATGATGAGGAAGACCCTCGCGACCAGGAAGCAGCCGAAAGAGCACGCGAATTCGAAATCGCCTGGTTCGCCGACCCTCTGTACAAGACCGGTGACTATCCTGCCTCGATGCGAGCCCAGCTTGGCGATCGCCTCCCACGATTCACGCCTGAGGAATCTAAGCTGGTCCTTGGAAGCTCAGAATTCTATGGCATGAACTCGTACACGACGTTCTTCGTGCAGCATAAAGACACCCCTCCAGATATCAACGACCATAAAGGAAATGTTCATATTCATGACACGAACAGCAAGGGCGTTTCTCGAGGTGAAGAGTCCGATACAGCTTGGCTAAGAATGGCGCCAGGCGGCTTCAGGAAGCTGCTCAACTGGATCTGGAACCGGTACCACGTGCCCATCTATATCACGGAGAACGGCACAACCGCAAAGGGAGAGACAGCTCCCACGCCGGAGGTCCTCAATGATCAATTCAGAATTAGATTCTTCGAGGGCTACGTTGGTGGAATCGCCCGCGCGGTCAAGGAGGATGGTGTCGATATCCGGTCATATTTCGCCTGGACATTTACCGACAACTGGGGTAAGTTCTCAACCATAAATTCCTCTCGTTCTGTAACTGACAAACATAGAATGGGCTGCTGGTTACTCTGATCGGTTTGGCTGCACATTTATCGACTTTGATTCTCCGGAAAAGACGCGGTACCCGAAGCAGTCGGCTTATTACCTAAAGGCGCTGTTTGAACATTTGATTTCATCATAGAAACCATATCCATTAGGCATATAGCAGCGTAGAATGCATGCATAATCTGGTTTTGGGCGTTAAAGAACTGAAAGACAATAAAAATGGAATTTAGTTCAAAGGGAACTTGAAGGGGTGGTATAAATACAGAGAAGAGCCCGTGTAATGAATGACATAGCATTACGATCAATACAGCATGTCATAAAGGCGGCACAGGTTGGCAGATTTATTCTTGTTTCCCCGACAGCCTGACCGACCTAGATAGCTTCAATTCGACTTGATTAGGCTCAATTCTCAAGGGCCAGCAGAGCATGATGCGTCCCTTTTCACAAAGAGTCTGCATATACTGCAGGCTCTCTCGTCGCTCCTTTGCCTCTGCTGTGCGCCCTCCAACCGCTCCGAAACCCAGCCCGGACATCAAACACATTCGCCAGAACCCCGAGATCTACTCCCAGAATTGTCGCGATCGCAATTACCCCTCGCACGCCGATTACCCCTTTAAGATACAGCAACTCTCCAACGAGCTCCGTCAGATTGACCAACAGCTTATACCCTCTCGATCTCGAATAAAAACGCTCGAAAAGAGTATCGGTCGACTCCAGAACCCAGCCACCGATCCCAAAGAAAAGGAACAAGAGCCAGCTCTCCGCGCCGAAGCTCAACAGTTGAAAGAACAATCACTGGCACTCACGAACCTCTCATCATCCTTTACTGAACAGATCAATGAGCTCGCGCTCTCTCTACCAAACCTCTCCTCCTCACACACCCCCGTCGGGTCCGAAGCAACCCTCGTCGAGTACCTCAATTTCGACCCTCAGTCGCCGCCCTCCTGGGTACACAACCCTGACGCTTCACGCTCTCACGTCGCCATCGGCTCTACACTTGGTCTCATCGACTTTGCGAGTGCCGCAACAACCACCGGGTGGGGTTGGTATTTCCTCATCGGCGATGGCGCCATCCTCGAGCAAGCCCTAATCCAATACTCTCTGTCCGTCGCCCGGCGCCACGGCTGGAGCCCGGTATCTCCACCATCGATCGTCTACTCCTACGTTGCAGATGCATGCGGATTCCAACCGCGCGACCAGAATAACGAGCAACAAATATGGGCCATTGAGCAAGCGGAGAAGGACAAGTCAAAACCACAGCGGTCTTTGACCGCTACAGCTGAAATCCCTCTCGCCGCCATGCACGCCGGACGAGATCTCGACCCATCTACACTTCCTCTCAAGCTCGCCGGTCCCAGCCGTTGCTACCGCGCCGAAGCAGGCTCGCGAGGCGTGGATACAAAGGGCCTCTACCGCGTCCACGAATTCACCAAGGTCGAGATGTTCGGATGGGCAGATAACGCCCCCACATCCTCCTCCCCATCCTCGGACGACCTCTTCGAAAACCTCCTCACCGTACAAAAGGAAATTCTCACATCCCTCCACCTCCCCTGCCGCATCCTCGAAATGCCCACCACGGACCTCGGCGCCAGCGCCACACGAAAACGCGACATCGAAGCCCTGTTCCCCTCGCGCATGCGTGGCAACGGTCTCGACGACGCCTGGGGCGAGGTCACCTCAGCATCCATCTGCACAGACTACCAGTCCCGAAGGCTAGGAACCCGCGTCCGCGGAGGCAGCGCCAAGGAAACCCGGTTCCCCCACACCGTCAACGGTACGGCAATGGCTGTGCCGCGAGTCTTAGCCGCGATTTTAGAGAACGGCTGGGATGCTGATCGGCAGGTTGTCGTCATTCCCGAGGTCTTGCGACCTTACATGGGCGGTGCGGAGGTTATTGGGAAGTAGATGGAACTTCCGATACAATCCTTGCCGTGCATAATTATGTATCTCACCTGTACTATACTCTATCTTGTCACACTATAGCGAACCACATCCTTGATACCACGGAACTTGGGCAGGGTACAATTTCATATAGGCTTAGAGCTATCACATCTGCATATCGTACGATAGACATCGATAATTGTCCCAAAATCAGGCATCGTCTCCAATCCCCAAGAGTACACCGAACCACCCGCCCACACCAAGTCCAAATCCAAGTCCCGGTCAGACTGGCTGCCTCGTACCAAGTCAAAACGACTCCAACAATACCAGCCTCCTAGTACACATAAAGATGGAGCTCGAAGACTGCGCCTACACGAATCGGGAAGCCGGAGATTTGTTTTTTTAAGGCTTCGAAGGCATCTCGAATAATTCTTGGGATGAAGTTTGGGGCCCAATGTTAGGTAGGGCTAAGGGGCTAGGTAGCTAGGCGCCTTGTCTTCGGTTCCATCCATTGCTAGATTACCTGTCCATATGTATGCTGCATGGGAGGTACAGTAGTAGAGCTTTGACGTGGCGGCACTAGGGTTTTGGCGGGGGGGTGTCCAGACTCGAGCGTCGCTTGCAGGGTTTTGTTAAGGTTGGGAAGCCTTTCAGGGGGGAAAGGCCTTCGGGAATGAGATTGCTTCTGCCCTATCCATTTCAAGATTATGAGTAAGAATACATATATTTGGTTTTCTCTGCTATTTTCCAGTTCGTCTCCGATCCCAGCCCAGGTCCTGCTGGGTTGCCTTGATGCCTCACTCAGCCTGTAAGCTGTGCAGGTAGCCTGCATTCAAACTCATACCATTAGCCCTGCCATTCTGCAGCCCAATAACTAATACCGGTAGCTTTCGAGTATCCTGTACATTTCCTCTGAGCTGCTTAGAGAATAAACCCGGTACAATAATACCAACATGATAGTTACCGCCAATATTTTCAAAGTGGTACAGGAAGGGTCAGAGGAAGACCCCAAAGTAACAATAACAAACAAAAGCATTCATCACTTCATCAGATTGACGTAGCTGTCGTGTTCAGAAGAAGAAAATAAAACAAAATCCGAGATAAGAAATGATAATATAGAATCCAACAAAAAGCGCAATCATATCTGGGGTCATAAGTCATGAAGGGGCGGGAAAATAAGAAGACTCTGGGTATCGAGTGGCGTCATATCAGTCATAAATCATTCCCAAGGGATATCTTCGTCTTCAATCTTAATGCAAGTCAGGTAAGGAATGGTGTCGCTAAATTCGCCTCCCTTTAGATCCAATTCGAGAAAATTCCGCATGAGCGGCTTTACAATTTCACGGGCCAGCCGTTTAATTTCGTCCATCTTGCGCTCGAAGCGCTTGAGCACTTCACGCGTGTAGAGCGACTCCGACGACGGTGTCGGGTGGACCTTGAGGAACTTTTTGACATCTTCATGCGAGAGGTAGGCTTGTGTCGATGAGGAACCAATGAGACGGTAGACACTCGCAGAAGAGACTGCTGTCGTGGCCGTAGATGCAGGGTTTGTCGGTCGGGGTGCAGAGGGAGTCGAAGGTGTCGCCGTGGATACCGCCCGGGTGGTATGAGCGCGGTCTGCGGAGTGAGCGTTGTTCTTAAGGATTGATGGGGGTGGTGGGGTCGTGCTATCAACAAGCCACTGCCGAAACAGCGAAACAGCAAGCCAGTCCAGGTAGGCGTTCTGGGGACTGACACGCTCCCCTCGAGACGTGGTGAGCGTAAGGCGGAGGAGCTTGGAGTCAATGCGCGCCTTGAGGTCCTCGAGATCCTCAAATTTGTCCTCAATAATGTCCAGCACAACAGGGGGAAGCGGGGAGTAAGGTCCGCTGCGCAGGTGCGGTTGCCCTGCAGGCCACTGGCCTACGACGTGAATAAGGGCCTCAGAGAAGATGACACGACTTCGCGCAAGGTACCCTAGTTTGAGGTAGCTTGGCGGATATTTGGCGATTTGTTTGAAGAGTCGGGATCCGAAGCCGAGAAGGTGATGGTCCACGCGCGGACCAGTAACGGGTAGGGCATCGTACATATCCGCCAGGGCTAGAAGGGACTTGCATTCTGCATATGCAGTAGCGATGTTGATGTTGTTAAGCATTGGTGGATGGTTATAGAAGAGCCGGAACAGGTTGTCATAGTCACGGAGTATGGGGTCCATCGTCCTCTCATTGGCCGTGTGCGTGTTTGCTGCAGCCGCCGCTACCGCACTCGACCTATGTGGCAGATGGATAACGGATTGAAGACCGGCCAGGTTTGCCATAGAACGGGCGAATCCAGTATGCGTGCTTGATGGTTTGGTAATTGGCGGTGCATATGGGCCAAATTCGCTAGCGATTGCTCCAGTGGTACTGGGAGGCTAGCAGGAATCCTGTAAGTTGCTGTCGGATCTCATGCACAGGAGGGGAAACGGCACATACTTTCTGAACCAGTATCGGCTCCTCATCCTCCCCTTTGTTTTCCCAATCTAGTTCAAATCGCCATCGTCTCTTCTCGGGCGAGAATTGAGTTGTCCCGGTGTCGGAGGGTGCCAAGGTGGAGCCGTTGGACAGCGATGAAGCATCCTCGCTGATTCTGGACAAGGTGCTCGTATCCGGATGGTTGGACGGCCGGATCGCGACAGCCTGTCGCGACCACTCCTCCTGGGTAGAAGTCTCGAAGAAGCCAGAGCATTGCGCGAGTATGAGGCGATGTAGAAGGTATCGATTCTCCTGGCGACCAGCGCGAATAACTAGCTCGACATCGCCAGTGTGAGTGAAGACCGGGAAGTCATTCTGAGGCTGGTGAATCAATCCACCGTGGTGAGAGCGACTCGAGCGATGTCGCCGACTCGAATGCGAGTGACGCGACACGGATGACGGGGCACTTTGCGGGGGTAAGGAGCGATCAAGCACTTGGGCTTGAGAGACCATTTCGGTGGGTTTAATGGGCACAGAAGCATTCGTTGGCATGGTATGAGAAAGTACGGTGGCCAAACACCAGAGAGGTTGTCGGGTGCGTCATTCAAAGAGGAATCGCACACAGAGGGGTGAGTTTCGTAAAAGGTATCGAGAATCCGCCAGCGAGGTAAGGGAGCGGATCGCGAACTTAAAAGGAGAGCGACACACTAGAACTATAGTCGAGGTTAGTATAGCAAAATAAAAGAGTCGCAAGGTAAAGACGAGAGCAACAAAGGACAGGGTTAGAACTGACAAAGGGGCGGGAATCTCCGAGGTTCCAACTAAAGGCGATCCATGGTGGCGGATTCAGGAGACAACGCTTGTTGACTTGAAGATGATTTGTTGTGGTGGTGAGAACCAAAGACTCGGCCTGGAGTCACGAGATCGGAATTAAGAGCTCCTTATCGTGTCCTGCCACGTGATACTGTACTGGCCTGAGGCTGCACTCCATGGATTCGGTTCCTGCTCGCCCGCTGATTCTGGTCGTTATCTGCGCTGACTCGCCAGGCTCTCATTGCTTTTTCTTATGGCTGCAGTTCTTGCCGTCCGTGGTCTCCGGAGCCCCTGCTGCTGATATCGATCCCGACCAGCCAGTCTCTACCTCCTCGTCCTCTCCCTCCCCCGACCTTCTCCTCTCAAGGATGGCGAGTGGTGGTGTCATGCTTGGACGTCCTGATCCAGAAGTCTCCGTTCAGTCCTGCTGTCCTGGTGCAACGCCATGAGCAAAGGCTGCTATACTTGTCGTCGCCGCCGCATTATCTGCGACAATGGGCTCCCCACGTGTCGGAAGTGTCGGGACGCGGGGAAGGACTGTCTGGGATATCAGAAGCCGCTTGTTTGGGTCAAAGGTGGAGTGGCTAGCCGGGGCAAGATGATGGGTCGCAGTTTCAACGATGTCAAAAATAATATTGATGATAACGAGGGCCCTGAAACATCCGTTCAATACGCCTCCGCCGAGTGCTTGCCTGACAGTGCGGGTTCTTCGGCTTTGATACACCCCGAAAAACCCATACCCGATGGCAGCGAAACCGACGGCGAGAAGCTGACACGGACAGCTCGCCAGCAGGAGCTTATTACTTTCAACAGTGTCCCGACGCCAAAACCTCTCGTGGATCCATTGTTCAAGGACTGCAATCGGCTGTCCAGGTTTTATATCGATCACTGTATGTCGTTGACCGCTCTCTGCCCAACCCTTTTTATCTGACCCGTGTCGCTTGGTAGTCAATCGGAACCTTGCAGGAGTATTGACGCTCTACTCCGAAGTGAAAAATCCGTTTCGAGATCTCATTTCTTTGGTGGGGGACTCCCCCGTCATTGCCCACTCTCTCGCGGCCATGGGCGCCTTGCATTACGTTATTGTAGCAAACGGGGAATTTTCCCCCATGCCGTGGCCCGCAGAGATGGCATCAGCGAGCAGTACACCCTCTCCTCCTGACGGGGCTAGGCCGACCGAGCTCAGCTCCTTGTCCCGTCGTTCGTTTACCCAGGTGTACGAGCACTTTCTGGCAATGAAACACCGTGCCCTACATCAGCTGTCGCGGGACATCACCGACCCCTCACTTCGAAATGATAATAGGACGCTAGCAGCGATTATGGTTCTTGCTTTGATGGACGCGATCGAATCGGGGCACGGGGCATGGAAGTTTCATATTGAGGGGGCAAAGAAACTGTTACAGAGTCGAGAACGGATCACCCCTACCCAAAATCATACACAACCTATGATAAGTTGGCTGGATGATTTCGCTACTGATGGGTGTCTTGTGTGAGTTTCATAACATCATACACGACGACACATACGGAACTTGTTGATCTAACCTCTTACTCAGAATCCAGCTCATGGGCGCCACTCTTGCCCGACCCGGTTCGCTTTCGAAGCCCTTCTATACTTCAGCAATGGGGGCACCCGTTCTCAAACGCCTCGAGCGGACGTCATGGGTCGGCTGTCCCGCGTATCTTCTAGAAGCCATTTTCTTCGTGCATGCATTTTTCGACCTTGAGCTGGCCGACGACCCCAGCTCTCAACCGAGCACCGTCTTTCCCTCCGCATATCTCCCTCTCGGTTCGAACCCGCTTCAATGTCCCGAAAACCTCGCTAGACACATTCAAGCCTTCGATCCCGTGGCCTGGGCAGAGTCGCTTCAAACCACTCTCTTTTTGCCAGACCTATCTATGCGAATCGCCCTTGCCACCAGCTACAAGGCAGCAGTCTATCTCTACGCTACCCGAGTCCTCTCCCGACCCCGGCCCGGCGCGACAACCGTCTCCACAAACTTCGGTCTTCCCCCAGATCACGCCGAGGTCGCGGCTCTCCTCATCCACCAAGTTACCCTAATCCCCTCCACTGACCCACACTTCAAATGCCTCATCTGGCCCTCCTTCATCGCGGGCGCTGAGTGCAGAGACCCCACCCAGCGCCCCTTCCTCCTCCAAACCCTCCGCACCCTCTACTTCCACATTACGAGCGTCAACGTCCGCAATTCCGCCTGGGTTCTGATCATGATGTGGCGCAAACGCGATCTCAGACGCGAAGAACGATCGAAGCTCCGTGCGGATCCAGATCGAGAGAGCACGGTATTCTCCACGGCTTCAACATCGCCGTCCTTCACCGCTACTACCTCTATTAATACCCCTTCCACCACAACTGCCACTCCCTCCACGGCAACTCCTCTGAGTACTAATGACGACTACTATTACGATGATGATGACTTTGACTGGATTCAAGAGCTGGATGATTCCCAGATTGATTGGCTCTTTATCTGATTCCTGTCTCTATATATATACGCCACTGTGTATCTATGTGCATATTTTCTCGATTATAATACCCTTTATGTAGACCTGGTTATCCGTTTCAAATGCATTACTGGGGAATAGGACTTCTACTGAAGAACCAAGTATATATGAAGAGAAAAATGGCATAATCAAGCCATATAAATCGATTCCCACATTAGCAGGTGCCTCGCCAGCGCATATATATATATACCAGGCCTCAAGCATCCGATCAACAAAAGAGACTGATATAATGGTATAATGGATATATATATATATCTGGTATAGGAGAGAAGGGTGAAGTAAAAGAGATAATAGAAGTAATAAACGTTTCAGAAGCGGGATATATGCGAGCGTACTCCTTTCCATCTAAATGCAGCAGAGATGAACCAGAAGAAATGAGATCAAATCGAGCAACGGAGGTTGGTAAAGAATGGGACAGACGAGAAGCGTAAGGATATTTCAGAAAACACACGAGGAAGAAAAGCCAACCGCTCATGATTTGCAAATGAAATGAGATATGCAAGACTAGGTAGTAGCGCTAAGAACTAAATTGCATGACAAATGGGGGGCTTCTTAGACAGATGCAGACATGAACAAATGAAAAAAAAAGAGCTATAGTAGTAGCAGCCGGCACGGGTCTCATAATCAGGTAAAACCAGCGAAGAACAACAGGTTGAGGATAAGAAGATTCCAAGGACATATTTGCCGGTGGTTGAAAGATACAAGACACACACAAAGGGAGATATGGCCGTCCACGAGGCCTATAATCACACGCAGAATGATAACGGATGAAATCAAACGTGTAAATCAGGGGAATCCATGTACAACTTGAGAAAAACACCAAACTGGAATACCGCGACCCTGCGCAGTAGACACCAGGGTTCATGGGAGAAGGAAAAGCGGGGAAGTTATATGCTGAACTTATGGGGTTATCTGTATCAGTCAAGGAAATGTAAAGAAACAATGGCTTTCAGAAAACCGCGGCTAGGCCATTTTTCGAATGACGTCGGCTGAACCGCTTTTTACCTTTGACAGAATCGGAATCGTTCCCTTGGTGCTTAACAAGAGTTGCCCGACCTGAAGGTGCCGGTTCATGAGGCGTCTCCGAACCTCGGTCGAGAGTGTTGGCATGACTTGACAGTCCGGAAGATAGGTCACGGAAGGTCTCGTCTCCGGAATACGGTCCATTACTTTGTTGGGCTAAAGCCATCTCTCGTGCACGATCAAGCGCGTCCAACCACTCCTGTGCAGACATGGCGGTTGTACCAATGTTGCTTGATGAAGGCTTAGGGTCCTCGAAGACGTAGTGTTTGTCGCGCTATGTAATGGTTAGTCAATTGATCTTTCGGGATTAGGTCAGAAGAGGAATTCCTACAGTATCCACGATCCAACAAGACACCCCCTTAGCATCTGTCGATGTGCGATAGTGCGTCCCAGGCGCGAGTAGAGACAGCTCCAGTTTCGCCTTTTTCTCGTCTCCTCCGGCGGCTGCCATGATTATCCGCCCAGATGAAGTAATCATGACCAGCCGTTGCCGCTTCTTAGTTGTGCTGCCTCCAAAAAAGCGCGAGAATTTCTTTGGGGCTTCATATTCGCCATGCTTTGACACAGGGCTGTGTGAGGCCGGAGATGAATGCACCACTAGGTTGCCGAGTTTCAAGATCCTCTCGTTGCTTTTCGTTAACACGGGGGACCACTCGATGTCAAGTTGGCTAGGAGCCGGTAATTCGGTAATCAACCTAGGTACCACGCGGGAACTTGTGTTTGAGGGCGCCGTGTTAATACTGGGCGGGAAGCTATCCCCTTCCGAGCCACCGTTGAGCTTAATGGGCTCGCGGGGTGGAGGAGTGTAAGCCTTTAAGCGCGGCGCCTTTTGTTTCCAAAGATCTGTACCCCATGTCACACCTTGGAAGAACTCATGGTTCTTGATGTGTTCAATGGGGAGACGCCGTGTAGGATCGAGGACGAGTAGACGCTCAACGAGGTCGCGGGCAACAGCAGGAAACCCGAAAGGGAACTCGTAGTCCAGCGCAACAATTTTCTGAAACGTTTGGTATTCATTGCCGGCTTTGAAGGGTGGCCGGCCCGCCAAAAGTTGGTAGATGATGCATCCGAACGCCCAAAGATCACTTGCTTTGCAGGCATTCTTGTCTGTAAGTAGTTCGGGGCTAACGTATTCGGCTGTTCCGACGAAAGAGCTAGCACGCTCCTCCTCCGGCATATCCGAGTCCAGCTGTGGTATCCCGCCCGTACTCTGCGCAGGTTGTTGAGTTTTGAGAATCTTGGCTGTCCCAAAATCGGTAACCTTGATATGCATCTGGCTGTCAAGCAAGACGTTTTCCGGCTTGAGGTCTCTGTGAATGACCCCCCGCTTATGCATGTAGTCAATCGCATCTAGGATCTGAGCGCCGTAGAACCTCGTGCATTCTTCATCGAACGAGGTCATCCGCTTCAAGACACCCAATAACTCGCCCCCTTTGCAAAGATCCAGAACAAAATAAAGCGAGCGTTCATCCTGAAACGTATAGTATAATCGTACGATTCCTGGATGATCGGTGAGACGATTCAGGGTGTCCTTTTCGATGTTGACATACTTGACCTTTTTCTCTTTGATGATGTGCCGTTTATCTAGAATCTTTATCGCATACTCCTTGAGTGTCTGTCGATCTGTCCCAAGCACAACGGTGCTGTAGGAACCCTCTCCAAGAGTTTGACCAAAGGAGAAATCTCGAACCCCTTTCTTAATGTACCGCGCGACAGGTTTCCCGTTGGCGTCGATCTCCTGTCTTACTGTAACCGCAGCGCCACGATCTTGCCAGTCTTCACTGCTCGACATCGGACCATTCTCCATGCCATAGGGCGAACCCGACAGCTGTGGGGGCCCTCTAGCCCGCGCCTGAGACGGCTGGCGCATCACCGCTGCTCCGTTCACCGGGGGTATATGTGTCGTGTGATAAGTACGGTCGTTATGGCTGCTATCGCGGATGGCTACTCCGGCTTGGTAAGCCGCAGAGCCTCCACGAGATTCGGCGCGTGCTAGACTTTCTGAAGCTGACGAGGCCGCAGAGTCGGTTCGGATTCGATACGAACCTTCTCGGACGGTCGACGCCGGTGTATTGCCATTCGAGAATATCGTCGATACAGGGCGAGAAGAGCTCGGCGGTGGGAGATGTTGCGGTTGGGAGGGGAAGTGAGAGGCGTAATGTGGAACGGGTTGCTGCTGGATATCGGGGTGGTATGACTGGTAGGACATTCGGTTCTCGGCAGGGGGGGTGAACGGACTTGTTGAACTGGCTGATTGCTCAATTACTGGCAGATCGTCTTTGGGATTGACGGAGTCTGTCGGCGCTGAAGGAACAGCACTAGCAGCGGGAGTTGACGCATCCTCGGAAGAATGCAAAGAGGCGTTATCTGGATTCGCTATACGTAGCCCGCCCAGAGACTGGGAGAGGCTTATATCTCCTTCCATGCTGAGCGCGAGTGATCGGAGCACTCGTTAATGGATACCCAATAAACCGGCTCAGGGGTTCCTGATCGAATCGAAATGGAGAGGTTATGTGGGGAGGACGGTGGATGAAGGTGGAACGGAAGAGCTATATTGCGTGGTCTGAAGCTCGGACACGGCGACACCTCGAAACAACGAACCGAAAGCGAATAGACGAGCGATCAAGGCGATAAGGAGAATGGTATGCCTTCAGGCTCGACTGGAAGGACGTGTTAGGGACCTGAGGAGAGGCCGACGGACTAAGGCGGCGGTCGGAGACGGAGCGGACGCTGCATGATCCAGTGGAAGCGGAGAGAAGAGGGGTTGAGGAGGAGTGCGATGCGAAATAATGCACTGCAAATACAGAAAAGAAAAGAAGGATAAAAAGCGAGCGAAAGAGGATGCCGAGGGGTAGGAAGGGGGAGGGAGTGCGCGGAGAGAAAAAGAGGATGAGGGAGAGGGCGAAAGCGAGAGTAGCGTAAGTAGAGGATTCGAGGCGGAGAGATCAATTATTATTATTAGTTCGAGCAACCATTTCTCCAACTTCGCAGTCTCGGTAGCCCCCAAAGTGCAAAAGAACAGGTTTGTGATTCTGAGAACATCATGTTGACAGCGGTTCTTAATATTAGCTTATGCTAATAATAATTAATGCGCAGTTCCGCGTTTGACTGGGGTGGATTATCATGTTGTTATTCTTAGTTAGGCAGAGGCATTCGTCACGTCTTGACTGGGCCACTCCACTGCAATGTCATCACTTTACTCTTTGTCTATTCTGTAAATGCCCAGGAATACCTCGCTGCAAACCATATAAGAGGCTCCTTATATAGGGAGTTTGCGAACACACCACCTCGTGGTCCCATACAACTTCCTCTTCGGGAAATCACCATGGCACCTTCCTAACGGGGCTCACGACCACAACCTTGGCATTTAACCTGAGATAACTAACCAGACGCAGGACACTATGGATGTAGTCGTAATGTCTATAATTCATCCTCAAGATGCTCCGACCTAAGCCTACTTGCATTGCTCTTGCCGAGGACGACGTTTGCTATCACCTTGAAAGCATCCTCAAGCGGAAGGACCAGTTTACGAAGTGGTATCGACAGAGCGCAGGCTCCGGCAGCAGTTATGACGGCGATGATGATGATGGCCTTTTTCTGGACTCAGACACGCTCTCTCTCCCAGAATCGCTCTTTGAATCGGACTGCGATGACTCGCGATCCCCACCTCTTGGAAATGATGACACGCAAGAGAACAGAACAGGCCAGGGTGAGGATGAGGGCACAGACAGAGACAGGGACAGAATCCAAGACTTTCAGGCTATTGTGAGGGTTGAAAGAGACCTAGCAAAGAACACAATTGGGGTTCTTCTGTTGGGGATTCCATCTAACCCAAGCAGCAGGTTGCTGGGCCAAATGTTCACCCCCCAACAATGCACTCACTTATTTGCTCACTCGCTTAACCACCACCCAGCTGCCCTCTTCCCACTGAGGCTTGCCATATTCTCAAACACTCTCGAGAGAGTTTTCTCATCAGTGATCCCAGTTCCTCTTCAACTTGGCGAGGAAGAGATACTACCTATACCACAAGCAGGTAATTTCAAGGCACCTTGCAGCTGTTTCCACTACTTAACAAGTTCTGACATGCTATTTTCTCTCTCAGAAAGTTATCACAAGGCCTTGTTTCTGCTAAGTGCACAAGAGCTCCCACCAGTGATCAACCCCCGCCAACACGCACCGAGCCATTTACCAAGAATCAAGCTCATTCCTTGGAAAGCTTCACACTTGACAAATAACATGGAGCACGCGGGTCAGGATGGACCGGCTTCTTCAAGCAGGGATTCTCATGGGTTGGGACCCAACGAAATCAATGCCTTACTTGAGGCAACGCAGAACCATAGTGATGCAAGGCAGCCTTCGCCACCCCAGACCATCGACCCTCGCTCGATTGAAAGGCGCTCGAACACACCCAAGGAGGCCCCTAAAAGTCGAGCTAAGAAAGGGAAAGCTAGAGCAACCTCCGACGATGCGAATACAAAGAATGGTGGCCCTAAAAACACCGTTTCCCGCGCCACTCAGACTGACCCGGACATGGGAACACACGTGCAAGCTAATGGGGATATGCGCGTGAGTATCTAGCTCTAAGACAACAATTCGATGAGAGATTACTTTGACTGACTCACTTATTAACACTTCTTTCGTCGTAGCAGAACCCTTTGCAAGGGCAGGAAAACATAGCTCCCGGCGGAGGTGCCAGCCCTCCTCCACAGCAGCTCTGGCAAGATGTGTTTATGTCCGCCATGTTCCCCGAGCAGACCGCTCCGAGATATGATCCCTCGGGCCAGGCCCGCAGAAGTATGGTTAGAATCGACAACCCACCAGCAAGAAGGGGCAGAGTAGCGCGCCCTCAGCAGGGAATGGTACGTTGTCCGTTCATAGTGTATGCAATAGCACTGCTGACTGCTTGCAAAAAAGGCTGGACAGCTCGTTCACCCGACCATGGTGGATGCTACTGTCTTTCAGGAGTACGTCCATCAATTGATCGCAGAGCTCGACCGTGCGCCCTAAGCCGTTGATGACGCCTGTGAAATCAAACATCACCGACAGAGTCGTCCGGCTTGCTGTACTTTCTTGTTTCCCTTGAATTATTGGGAGCCATTTCTCATTCGTCATGTGCCATCAGCGTTTCTTATGGATATAGGAGTAGGTCATCATTTCACCGAGAAGGAGGCGATCAGGTGTCACAGTCAAACTGCGGAAACAGAGAAGGAAACCACTTGTATTTTGAAGAGTGTTAACAGGAACGGACTGGAAATGTTTAATTGCGAATTCAGGAACCTGTATCATCTGACCATGGTTGTACTTAGTCATTGAGCTTGTCCGCCAATGCACCATCTGGTGCTCGCTTGATTGGTGGAAGTATGCCAATGGACATCCTAATTCCTTCAGGTGATCATGCCTTGTTCAAGACATAAGGCCCCCAGCCTCACAATGTCGACATGTAATGAGAGGTGTCTAGCTCCAAGACGGCGGGAGAGATTGGAACTGAGGCCAAATAGCCTAACCACCATACACGTGACAACTCATACATAGATGCTGAACCACTTTTTCCCCTTTGGCTCGAGAATAGTCTAGCGGAGTCTTTATTAGTGTACTCTTATCGCTTAGCGAAGTCCAGAGTCCAGATGGTATACGAGTATGTACAACGTTCTTTACTTATTTATAGGCCAGTTGTCTCAGATGGGACGATGAGGGGCCGTTAGTCTAGGGTCGGGGCTGTAGACAGTCTCACGATGCTGTCTGACTACGCCCGCATTCATCTATGTCTCACGGGGCAATTGGATGACTACAGTCGTTTTCTTTGGTACTGAGGTATGTACCGTGTATGATACTAAATTTGATGAATCTAGTATGTGTCTTCGACTGGAGGCGACTGAGACTAATCAAGGGAATATGTGTGTAAATTGGACCAGATTCTAGAATGCGGGTAAAAGTAGTAGCTCAGAACATAGTATGCTAAACATGGATCTCCAAAGACCGCTTCGGAAATAAGGTAAAAGGTGAGTAAAGAAGAAAATGGGTCGAAAAGAAGAGAAGGGGGTGCGAAGCAAAAAAGAAGGCCTCAAGCCGTTGACCGTGATCTTTATCTAAATCTTTTAATCCCGCTCCCAGCCCGCCTATAGTGGTTATCATTTCAGTATTAAAGTCGACATAGTTCTATAGAAAGCCATCAAGCGCTCGTAAGGAAAGAGTTCCGTGCTCTTACTGCGCCTTGTTCTTGGCGAAGATCTGAGCGCCGTCAACGAGGCGTCGCTCGGTATTTTGGCGGCCGTTGACGAAGTCGGGGTAGTTGAGTGTGAGCTCGACGGAGCCGTTGACGATGTTGTCGACGGCCTCGACACCGAGCATGAACGAGTGGTCTTGGTTACCGACCTCGTACCGCCAGCTGCCGAACCGACCACGGGACCAGATGTCCATAGCCTGCAGCTTGGGCAGGATCTGAGTGAGGGCTCCCTCACGCTCTAGAGAGGGGGTGGGGTAACCGTGGTCGAAGCGGCGGTGGTAGGTGGAGACGATCTCGTCGCCGGGCTTCAGCATCTCGGTGTTGACGAGACCCTGGATAGAGTCGGCAAGAAGAGTTTCAATGTTGACAGGCTTCATTGATGACTCGGAAACCTCCAACATGATGGACCAGTAGGGGCCCTCCTGGGGCTCAGTGTTCGTGGGCTTGGAGCCATCTGCGAGCTGTAGGGTAGGAAGCTTCTTAGAAGCATCAGGCTGGTTGTAAGGGGAGTAGTTGGAAAAGATGGTGGCACGGTAGAAGGGGCAGTCGTCCTCGGGGAAGTAGAGCTAAGAAGAAGTTAGAACCAAAAGCCCGGATTTCAAAGAGCAGAGATGAGAGAGTGACTTACCCAGCACTTGTCGCCAATGCGCTCGGGGCGGGCACCACGGATACCGACACCAATGACGTGAGTGGAAGAGTAGAAGAGTTCCTTAGTAAGGCCTACCAATTCCTGGTCGCCAATCTGTTCTGCGAGGTAGTCGACAGCCATGGTGGAAACAAGCTTCTTGTAACCGACGGTTGTGCCATCGCCGAGCGTAACGGTCTTGTTTCTGGCATTCACCTTGGTGACCTTGCCCTTCTCACCGAAGCGAGTCTTCTCCTTGGGAAGAGTGTTGGCAACGGCGATCCAGATACCACCGGTACCATCACGCGCGGGGAAACGGAAAGTAGCATTAGGACCCCAGTTGCCAGCGGTCTTGTTGAGAATGACGTTGGTCGTCACGGCCTTGACGTTAGGAGCGGCAACACGCTCTCCGAGCCAAGCGCATTGCATCTAAAGCACACAATGTCAACGGGTTGTCGCTTCGCGAGAATCACAGGCGTGCGGAGTTCACTAACCTTGGTGGTGGGTACAGCCCAGACCTTGTAGTTGTATGGTCTCATGAAAAGATCGGCAATTCCTGTTCCCATCATGCGCACAATCCACTCGTCAAAGTCCTTGGGCTTCGTGTTGGCCACACGAGCCTCGAGAGCAGCATCGATCATGCCGTCAATGCACTTGACCTGGTCCTCCTTGGGAAGCATGGAGATGTTGTTCTGGAAAGGGTAGGGAACCCATTGTTCCTTGCAACGGACGTAAGAGATACGCTGGTGCTCGTACCAGTCGTCATCCTTGGGGAGTGCCTCGTTGATGCAGTCATCGAAGTACTTGTAGTGGGAGAAGATAACGTGGCCACCGACATCGTAAAGCTGCGCTTGGGTTAGCATCGAGATTTGTTCCAACCGCAAGCAATTGAGTTCAGAATCTAAGTAGCACGTACGAAGCCTTCGGGTGTCACGTCGGTGGAAGCAAGACCACCGGGAATCTCGTTGGAGTCAACAATCAGCCACGAGGGGCCATCCTGTGATGGAGAGTTAGAGATCGAATTTCGTGCGCAATGAGATGAACGGGCCGTACAATCTGGTTCAGACGCTTCGCGGCACCCAAGCCAGTTGGGCCAGCACCAATGACGAGGACGTCAACAGAGCTGTCGAGAGCAATGTGGTTAGTTCTGTCAAAGACCCCTGAGATCGCATCGCGGAGAGAGCTCCTTACATATCGGGGTGGGTCATCCTGCCTTGTAGGATATCCTGGAAGCTGGGAACGCGGTTCAAAGTCTTGCGGGCTAGACTGAGCATAGAAGAGAACGACACTGCAGAGGAACTGCAGTACTTGAACAGGCAGAGGGGTGTGTTGGGAGGAAAAGAGGGAGACGGTGAGGGAGGTGGGTGGGCGGAAAGGTACAGCAATAATTAAGAACGGCGGGCAGGCGGCGGGCGGTCGAACCAGAAACGCAAAACGTGACGAAGCCGGCTGGACTACTGTGGGGAGTTCTGTTAAATTGTTTCAAAATTCGACCCGAAAAGCTGAACGTCTCAAGAGCTTTACGTATCAGGGCGATGCCAATAATAATATTAAAATTGCCTGGACCGGCAATAATTTCAAGAGATTCCATTCACACTGCAAAGGTGGTTGCGATTGAGCCCTGGAAAGGGGAGAGCTAAAAAAAGGGGAGGTCGAATCAAACCCCAAGCCTTGGGATTCTGGAGTCGCAAGATGGGTCTGATCAATGCCTCTTTCCTCTGGATATGATGGTCATTTTCTTGGTGACCAACCATCCTCTTGTTTCCTTGTCTTCTTGCGCCATCGGCGCTTGTTCTGGTATCTCGTTGGATCAAGCACAGAAACCGCCGAATCTACCCTGTGTCTTTTTGCCTCCTGGGAGATTACATTTGTGAAGGGGAAGCCTCGGACAGTCCTCAGGTTAAGGGGTTTAATTGGCCCATCTTGATGCTTATCGTTGTTTCTGAATTGGGATGTTCTCTGCAAAGGGACCACGCGGAACCCTGAACCAAGCATGGGCATGGGCCTCACTAAGGAATGTTCGATGGCTAGTGAACCCTGAATTTGCGCCGCTTTCTTTCTCCGGATATCAAACAGATCCGCTTCGAGTCAAAAGCGAGCAACACCCGCTGTCAAACAATCAAGGACCAGCCACGCTAAGATATCCGAAGCCACTGACTATTGTTGACCGCATCCTATCTGATGCTTGCTTGCGGGGCTTTCTTGACTTCGCATCGCCATCACTAACATCATTTTAGCCTCAAGGACGTGCAATGAAATTTCATTTCTTTCAGTCTCGATCTGAAATCATTGCATAAATCGTGTAACGATAGACGGCCGGCCGGGTGGCATCGCAGAAATTTGTGGCACGTCGACCTTCTTTCTTCAAGGATACACCTGGGAGAGTCGTAAAGCACAGAGTCAAGGCATATGGATATTATTTGTAAACTTGTCCTCGTTGGAACTTGCGACCTCAGGAAGCGGAATCTTCCGTCGGTAAAACGGTGAATGGGGCATGGTGTACGTATGCTTCATCTCGGTGCCAAGGCAACAGTTGATCAATATCCGCCAGAGTTCGAGATATCATCATGGCAGTCGGAAGTTTGGACGCGAGGCGGCGAGTCGGCTGCACAGTTCTAAGAAGGCCCACTGATTATCGTTCTCAGAAGGGAAAGAAAGGAGAGATCTCCATCCCCGAAACTGAAGGACATATCGCTTATCAATTGCAAGGACTCGATGATGTCGACCATGGAGAGCAACGCTTCACTGATGCTGCCAGATGGTTTTGGCCTTTAGTATCTGTCTAGTAAGACATTCAGTGTGTGTGCATCTGTGCATCCCATGGTAATAGTTTAGCATCTGAAGATTGCTATCTGGATTCTGCCCGCGAAGTATAGGGACAATTGGCCGTTAGAAGTCACTGTTTGGCGGTTGCGTTCTCCGGATTCCGCAGGGTTGTGATTATCAAGCTCTCGTCGAGTCTCATCAAAGGTACGCAGAACACTGAATCCTTCTCACTGAGAGGCCGGATGCTGTGAGAACGCCATCAAACAACAACGATGGCGTAAGGCCCTAGCTCCCAGGATGATCAGATCGCTGCTGCGTGCTCCACTGGACAGGGACTCTGGCGGAGACACTATGGCACAAGTGCCCGGTGGGCGCGGGTAACTGAGCGCTTGGCTCCAGCCTGCTTGCGTAATGCTCCCAGCCAAATAAGTCGGTGTCGAGATGCTAATATGCAGATCGATATTCTTCGTTCGCCTTCTTGTTGTCAATTTGATACAGTACGATCAATCCTGCGCCGATGGGCTTGCCGTCTCGGCTGAGTCCCTCGGGCTTGGAAGCATTGTGCTCAACGACCGTAAAAACCTGGAGGCGAATTTAGAGTCCAGATTCGAGGCCTTCCAAAAGCCCTTGAGGTGCCAAAAAGAGTCTTGCAGTGGAAAAGGGGCGATAGAGCCACTATGTGGGTACGTACCCCAATTGATGCTCGCCTGAGCTTCGCCAGAATCGCCACGAGCCTCCCAGACGATGATGATGGCTTTGACAATTTTGGCACGACCCACGCACCACAAGAGGAAGTGAAACAGATTTCGACAGAAAAAATCGACAATTATTTTGTCTCATGCTCAGGCTCACAGCAAGTGCTTGGGGCAGAACTGCGCTCACCAAGCCTGGGATTCTCGAGAACATGCACAACAACTTGGGGGTGTACATAGTGTAAGACCATCAGCACGTTTCTTTCCTGGCCATCGCTTTTGAGCTTCGCCAGGGCAGAAGGCGAGACTGGTATCAGAAGGGAACAGATTCACAGCATACGGAGTACACTGAAACGCGAGACACATCATCGACTCCGCGAATCCCAGTCCAGATCTCGAAACGGCCCTCGGACCAGGCTTTGAGCGAGTTTCTAAAATCTAATAATAATATTCGACTCTCCAGGGTGGGCAGAAACTAGCGGCTTGATTGAGCAACCACAGCTGGAGCGTCGTTGGTTCCGGAGCAGTTCTCTGGGATTACCGCTGATTACCGGAAGGGTCGTCGTACGCAAACCTTCAAGTGGCATTCCCCAAAGTCAGTGTCTGGTGTTTTCCGGCCACTCATGCTGTCTTGAGCATATCAATTCATCATCTGCAGCCACCTGCTCTGAATTTCTTCTTTTCTCTGGTTGTGCGGATCCCGACCCTCTTTGCTTTTCGAATTCTTCTTCTAATTTTCCACCCCCTCGTCCTTCAGCTTCAGAGGTCCCGATCTCCAACCCGATAATCCACCACCGACCTGAAGGCTCCCCTAAACCCACCCGTGCCGCGCATTCGTCCAACGAACGCAGATTATTCCCAGGTTGTGGTCTTGCCCCCTCTAAGCCCCCCCGGGCCCGTCTGCAGCAGCTCCCTCTTCAACTGAACTTCCCTCCCGTTCTCCTCAACTGGCCAGGCCAAACTTCCTTGTACAGTCTCTTCTCCTGCTTTCTGTCTTTTCGTCCAACTCTTGACTCACGCTCGTTAGCCCTCTTTTGACGCCCTCGGCTCTGCCTCTGTTGTAACGCCTTTTTCCCTTTCTCTCGCATTTTATTCTTAGACCTTCCCCCTGGCCTCCTCACAGTTCAGCCAAAGCAGCCTTTCACGGCCGCGACCATTCGATTTCCAACGCTTCCTATCGGATCAAGCCCGCACGTTCAACATGAGCTCAGAAGAGAAAGTGAGAACCTCTGGAGAGGTCTCTCGTCCCGAGCCCACTCTGCCAACCGTCAACCCTGCGGTCGAGAAGTCGGAGCCTCCGAAGCCTACCTTCCACCCTGCGGTCTACGTTGCGTGAGTCGAAACCGAGTCCAAGATGTCGAAACTGTCGCGCTAATACTTTGAATCCTCAGTACCTGGATTACTCTCAGCTCCAGCGTTATCTTGTTCAACAAGCACATCCTTGATTATGCTAATTTCCGTAAGTCAATTCTCCTAAAACAAGAGAAGGAGAGCGAAAAAAAGAAGCTGACTTGCACTCTCTTAGGATTCCCTATCATCCTTACGACATGGCACTTGGCTTTTGCGACTTTCATGACCCAGCTCCTCGCTCGCACTACTACCCTTCTCGATGGCCGAAAGACCGTTAAAATGACTGGCCGTGTTTACCTCCGCGCAATCGTCCCCATCGGTCTCTTCTTCAGTTTGAGCTTGATTTGCGGAAATGTCACATACTTGTATCTCAGTGTGGCATTCATCCAAATGCTTAAGGTGCGGATCTCGATTCCTCCCGACTTATGATACACTTGTTAACGTGCTATTTCAGGCCACCACCCCCGTTGCTGTTCTTCTTGCCACATGGGCAATGGGCATGGCTCCTGTAAACCTCAAGGTTCTCACCAACGTCGGTATCATCGTTCTCGGTGTCGTTATCGCTTCTTTCGGCGAAATCAAGTTCGTTTTCATCGGTTTCGTTTTCCAGATCGGCGGCATCATCTTCGAGGCTACTCGCTTGGTGATGGTCCAGCGTCTGCTCAGCTCTGCTGAATACAAAATGGACCCCCTAGTCTCTCTTTACTACTTCGCCCCCGTCTGCGCTGTGATGAACGGTGTTACCGCCCTTTTCCTTGAGGTTCCTACCCTTACGATGGACCACATCTACAATGTCGGCCTTTGGACTCTCTTGGCCAATGCTGTCGTTGCTTTCCTATTGAACGTTTCGGTTGTCTTCCTGGTAAGTAATCGCGCGGTATTTGTTGCTATGCAGTATAGCTGACTGTCGGACAGATCGGAAAGACTTCCTCTTTGGTTATGACCCTCTGCGGTGTTCTCAAGGATATCCTTCTCGTCGTCGCCTCCATGATGATCTGGAACACCCCTGTCACTGCCCTTCAGTTCTTCGGTTACTCGGTTGCTTTGGTCGGTCTCGTTTACTACAAGCTCGGCGGAGACAAGATCCGGGAATACACCAGCCAAGCCAACCGTGCTTGGGCCGAATACGGTGCCACTCACCCCGCCCAGCGCCGCTTCGTGATCATCGGTGCCGCCCTCCTCAGCTTCTTCCTGTTCATCGGATCCATGGCACCCAGCTATGCTCCAGACTCTGTGGCTAGCGTGAAGGGCATGCTCGGCGGAGCCACGGCTGGTAATGCTTAAGCTATTGCTCGATGGGTACTGTCCATGAGTGTTGCCGTCTTTGTCCCCTTGATTTGGGAAGCGATGACAGCGCTATGAACTAGGTGTGTATGTTCCGGCGAGGCTAAGATGTTGAACGACAAAATTTCTCTTTCTCCCAGTTCTACTTTTCTTCTACAATGGCCCTTATAGATTTTTATGGCCACCTTACTTTCTCGAGGCTTTAATACCCTTCGAACGGGGCGGTTTTTTCTTTTTCTTTTTTTTCATGAGTCGGAGCGCCGCTAGGGGCGGCCTCATGCAGGGAATGCAGCCTGTGCCTAGTGAACGCATGACGCCTTGTTGTCTGTCTGATGCGACCGAGCACCAGGCTCCGGAAGGACGTTTCTTTTCACTCTTCATGCCATATTTATCAACTTGGTTACGCGGTCGGATCCCATGGGATCGTCTTGTTGTGTTTGTCTCTGATTTGGCTCAATGAACATCTGTCATGTTAGCTTGTATGAGGATCTGGTGTCGGATATCGTTATCCTCATCTGTGCAGTCCTCCATACCAACCTCTATTGTTCTTTTGTGTCACTATAGCTCGTGTATCAGCAGGAAAAAATAGAATTCCAGGTTCATCGATTCATTCAGCCGTTATTCTTGGCCTCAGGCATGATCCCAGCTGACTCGCAGGAACAGAGTCCACCGGCCAATGTCCAATCATTCTCTCAGAGAAGTTCCCGACCTGTCTCATCAAAACTAGCCAATTGCCATGGGTGGTGGCGCTGAAGGGGCTCCAGAGTGGGACTGACGCGCGGACCGGTCTTTGCAGTCCAGCAAATCAGCCAAGTTGAAAGTATGCAGCCCCATCTCGAAACACCAATCATTCATGATTCCTTGCAGGGCGATCTGAGTCCTGTCGGTCGATCGCGCGTATTGTATGGTATGGTATGTGGACTCCGGGCGTTGCAGGGGAAACAGCAAATTCAACGGGCTGGGTTCGGTAAAGACTGGTAATGAGACAGTAACCGCTGCACTCCGCTTCTGCAGCATGAAAATGAAGCTCGAGCGAGGTCCGTGAATGCAGGCCTTCCCTCGTCCGCATCCGTCAGTCAGCCTCTTCCTCGCGCGTCTCCTCTTTTAGCACCACCTCTCTTCTTGTTCTTTTCTTCCTCTTCTCCTCTTCTCCTCTTCTCCTCTTCACCTTCCGCAGCCGTGCATCTGTGGTTCCACAATCTCCTCACTTCGTCACTACTCTTCCCATTCTCCCTGCCGGCCTTGTACCTACTCCAGCTTCACCTTGCTGTCTCTTTTACCTCATCTCCTTCGTCTTTCACCCTTCCTCTCGACTTTGTATCCTCGCTCTCGTCAGCTTGGATTTCGAGACGTACAGGTTATTCTTACCTTGTTATCTAGCTCACTTGACTAAGTAGATCGGAATTCATCGCGTGCCTTTCGCATCTGACCGCGTTCGACTATCGCCGTACGACTACGTATCCTCCGATTCATAATGTGTCCGATGCTCCTCAGCTCGCTACGTGACGGTCCAGCAATGATCCTTTCCCCTCCCCAGGACCATGACTTCTTTCAATTCCCTCATCAGCCGAAGCTGGATGCTGCTCCCTCCGGTGCTCCCTTCGCCAACACCTTTGGCTCTCATTCATTTTCATCCGGAGTGAATTCGTCCAGAGCTCCGTCCTTCACCGGCCTCGCAACCAGCAGCAAACCTTCGCGCAAGCGCTCGCGTGATGACGTCGCTGCCGAGGATTTCATTACCGAACGAGCTCCCAAGTTCTCACCTCCTGTTCCCGCACGCAAGGAAGAGCCGATTTACGGAGAAGGCATGACCCTGATCAACCCTCGAACAAGAATGGCACTTTCGGCAGAGAGCCAAACCGGGACCTGGTACGAAGAAAGAATGGAAACTGCCATGGCCTCCGCGCCGGCTGTTTCATCACAAACGCATGCCTCATCCCACACGAGCCGCAAATTCCAGCGCTTGGATCCTTCTGCCCCGGGCCTAGACGATATTGCCTCTTCTAGGATTCAACGGCATCTCCAAGAGAACGACGGCGAAGATAACCACCGGCCCCTCAATAACCCTGCTAGCTCGAACCCTTTCTCGCCGGAGGAACCTTTGGTGGATGATGCCACTCGTCTTCTTGGAATTAGCTGGCAACGCGTCCCAGCCAGCAATGACCCTGACATGGCAGCTGCCTTGCGTGGTTGGAAGAGGGTTATCGACCGACAGTTTTCGCGACACCTAGTGGATGCTGAAATCCTCGTGAAGAACCGTGCTCTAGGCGCCTACCTCGTTTCCGCGCGGCCAATTATACCCTTGAGTGGTCCTGCACAAGTGCCCGCCTTTTATCTTTTCAAGGAAGACCTCTCTCAAGGCCAACTTGTGGCTTCATCCTGGGACTCTTGCATGCGCAACCTCCAGTCGACTCCGATCTCGTTCGAGGGCACCGAGGTTCTCAATGCGTCGGACAGACCATGCAACTCAGTTACTACACAGAACCACAACCTGCTAGCAACGAGCGGCGCTGAACCGGGGCTTCCACTCCTGCAGACTCTCTGCACCCCGCCAGTTTCTACTGGTGTCGGAATGAACGGCGGCATGGGGTCGGGGACGGGGATGGACATTGACGTATAAAACCGCTTCAACGCAAAGGTCGACCGGACACCGCCGCCTCGTCTTTTCTCCTTGTCAATCCATCAAACGACCGCGATCTCTCGCATCGAGAGAGGACGAAAGCGACAGCCGTTTCGCGAATTCCCCGGCGTGACTCCTTTCTTTACTGATCTCAACATTGCCAGTTTTTTTTCGCTCTCGAAATCTTCTCTGAAAGATATCGAAAAATGTTTGTGAATCTCTTTTCCTCTACTCTCTCTTATTTTTCTTCTTGTATTTTCGCCATTGTTATCTTCCACATTGCGTTTCTGGGCTTGATTATAGGATTTGGCGTTGTGTCATGGATGACTGGACGGTTCATGGGATGGGATCGAATAGTTTTGCTTTCTGAATTTTTGCGTGTTTTCTCTTATTCCTTTGATAGCTGTACCCTATCTCGCCCGGATATCCTCTCGTATTGCTGCGTCATCACAACAGCACAGAGCAACTCAAAAGATTAAATAAGAAGAAGAATGGAATAAGAATTGAGCTCTGAGTGCCTCCCACTGCATGGTCTCATCAATATTGGAATCTTCCGTGTGCTTCTATAGTTGGACAGGTTCTACCTGTGGCTACACGTAGGGCTCCTTCTAGTAGAAGTACCCTGTCAAATTAGGCGGACCGATACTCATCTCACCGAGTCTTCGAGTTCTTGAAGAAGCTTCATCTCAGTTAACATGGCCTTTTCCCCCTAGTATATATTATATTATTCTCTCGCATTCTAACTACTATTTCGCCCCCGTTCGTAACCGACTAGCTAGCACAATCCAACTCACTCATCTCCCGAACCTGAACAGGCTGAACCAACGCAAGAAAAGAACGCACTTGTACACAGGCCTCCATTCCCCCATCCACAACTGATCGTAACTACCTACAGGCTACACCACCAATCCATACACTTTCTTCCCGAGTCCAGATAAATCGGAATAGAACAGCTATCCGACACTATATCCACCTCTTCCTCTACCAAGCTCACCTTCACCCTCACCATTGACGACATAGATGTTCGCCAAGATGCCTCAGCGCCATCGGAGATATCAGCTGTACGCAAGCGCATCACATCGCATACGCCTTATTCTCCCAAGTTTGCGTCGCAGGCGTCTTGACCTCAGTCGGTGACTCGTTCTCGGTGCCACTATTTGCGGGGCTCGGGGTGCCGCCCTTGGCGCCTTTGGTCATGAAGAGCGAGTCGATTTCTTCGAGGCTGAGGTTTGCAGTCTCGGGGTAGTAGAAGTAGAGGATCTGTGCGTCGTAAGTGTAAGTCCTCTGAGGATGTATGTGGTTGGGGTGGGCTGGGTATTGGTTGAGTCATGTGGGTATGTGGGCATGGGTGATGTAAATGCTCCGCGGTGGTTGGAGCGGAGGAGCAGACAGAAAGCGAAAATAGAAAAGATAGGAAGGTACCGGCAAGAAAGACAAATTCAAGCACATGAAGATAAGGTATCCCTTCCACTCGAGATCAGTGATGAGGGTTGGACCAATCATGGCGACGAAGAAATTCCATAGCCAGTTTGCCGAAATTCCAATGGCGTTGCTTCGGGGAAAAGAACGAGATAAAGTTAGTTTAGTTCGAATACGTAGTTGCCCCAGTTGTACAGATCATACTGTGCTGGAGCAAGGGGTGAGGAATGTCGGAGGAATTTTGCTATCTACTTACCCTTTTGTCCGGACGTGCATGGGGAGTAACTCTGGGCCGTATACCCAGGGCACGCAGTTGGTGGAGGCTCCGAAGATGAGCATGAAGAGGAAAAAGAAGGCGACTGAGGCGCATCCGGCTGTCTTCTCTTGGTGAGTCCCTTGAGTATGCAAGTTAGCGTTTTCGGTCGAACGTTCGGACAGTTAGGGTTGAGGGCTGGCCAACCTTTGAACGAGAGAAGAATGGAGATCATCATCATGCAGATGAAAAGTCCAAAAGAGCCCCACATCATTGGCTTCTTGCGGCCAAGGCGATCGGAGTAGAAAGTTGGATAGAATGACCCTGATTGCAGGATTACTTAGTTCATCGTTGGAGGCTGGAGACACATGCTTGGTGGAGGACTTACCGATCACGAACATCACCTGGATCACACCTCCAAGCAAGAGGCTAGTTTTGGGATCTAGACCCACATTCACCTCCAGGACTAGGGTTGGTCAGTGAGATCTAAATCGAGATCTTGAAGCTGGTGCGTTTACCTGTTGTGACGTAGGTCTGGATATATCAGTCAAACCCCGTTGGACAACCGAGGGGAGCAGGGCCACTTACAACAATGATGTTGACACCTCCCATCTGGTTGATGAATTGCAGCCCATATGCAAGCAGGACTCGCCTGCCTGTCTGGATCTCATCCTTCTTGAACAACTGGGACCACTTGTATTCACCGCGGAGGTTCTCAAGTTCGAGGGCTCTGAAAATGCCCTCGGCATCGTTGACGACCTTTGGGTCATTCGATGGCCGGTCATAAAAGTCACAAAGAACTTGCACCGCTTCACCATTCCGGCCTTTGCGGCATAACCATCGAGGGCTTTCTGGCAGTCTTTAAGCGCGCCCAGCCTCCTTGTTAGCTGCGCTTCGTTTGACGACCGGCATGTGAAAGCTGGACTCACCCAACAACAAGAATGGTAACCACAATGATGAATAGCACCTGGAAAGCAATAGGCAACCGCCAAGCGATAGATCCAGGGGCAAAGCTCATTCCGTAGTCGAACCAGTAAGCCCCCGAGATGCCAACTCCGACAGCAAGAGGCTGGCTGCAGACATACATTCCTCGATTCCTGGCTTCGCACAGTTCAGATTGGTACACCGGCACGATCGAGGTCATAATGCCGGTACCAATCCCGCTGATAAAGCGAGACACAAGCATCTGAGCCCTGGAATAAGCACATGCTTGTGGAAACGCCCCAACCTAACCCAAGAAGGCATGTTATCAGCAGGCTGGCTACTTCCTAAACAGTAGAAAGGGAGAACTCACGGTCAGGAAAGCCATTGCTAGCCACATCGACTTCCGAAACCCGAGGCGGTCGCTTGTCAGAAACGCCACTGCTGCACCTGCCAAACAACCTATGTTGTAGATGCCGACTATCATCCCCAGGATGGCGGAGTTCGGATAGTCAACGATCCGGAGAAAATCTCCATTCCCAAGGATACCTGCAAAGGCCCCTTGATTGTAACCTAGACTCGGTAGTATGACAGATTAGCCTGGTTCATCAGGTGGTGTCGCAGGTCTCCCACCGAACAAGACGAATGATACCAGGCAAGTGAACAGAATGGCCATACGGAGGCCCAGCCCCCTGCCGTACATCTCGAGCTTCATAAAAGCTGGTGAGAAGAGCAAAGTGCACAGTATCAGGGATGGTCCGTTGGAAAGCAACCGGCCAATTTGGAACTCAGGGGGAGAAAGAAGAGAGTGTTGTATATGTGCAGCTCTCAAGTTTGCCTATTAAAACTGAAAACATAGGGCTTATAAAGAAGAGCATAAGGATCTGCAGCGTATACAGCAATGATTCATGGAATTCGTTGCCCATATGAATCACTCTCTTCAGCGGAGATTAAAAAAGCGCCGTACCTTGGCCTTGCTAACTTTGGATGTCCTTCATACCAGCTTTCGCGGATAACCCGGGAAATTTCATCATGACCAACGAGAGTAAAGAAGGAGGCAGAGTCAGCCGATGCTCTTGACGCCCTGTTTCTGCATTCTGTGAAGCGGGACACTGTCCCTGCACATTCCTCGATAGAGTACCGCATAGGCTTAGGAGGCGCCTGAGCACTTGCAAAACTTGGAAACCAGTAGCTTCTGCAGGCGCTGGGACCAGCTCTCGGTCACGATGTGAGTGCCCAAAGACTCGAGCGTGAGACATGATTCGGGCCTATATACTTGTTAGGGTTATAGTGACTTGTGAGACTCAAAGTTTCGGAAGCCTGAAGACATCGTGAACTGCCCCGCTGCCTTGGCAGTGCCAGGTTACATTCGCGGAATAGGTCTGGTCTGACAGAAGTAGTACGTAGGCAAAAAAAAGGACCATGCGTATCCAAGCTGGGTTTAGCTTCCCAGGAGAGCAGGGTGAACGGACCAAGGTTCGGGATCCAGCTGTTTGGGAGATCAACAGCTGTCAGATTGCCGAAGCTAAATCCAGAGGAAAATCAGGCGTTGCTTGGTACTCTGCCCAGGGATATGAATGTCAGAATGCGTTTAGGAGTTGATCAGACGTAAAGCTGATAAAGGAGCTTGAAAATGATATTCGGGTTGTTGGCGTGTGCCCTTCTATGTCACATGTCGAACCTATTCACTATCATAATCGCTGCCTTCATCATAATAGTCGTACTGGCCAGAAAACGCAGCCTCCACCATATCGGCATCGTCATCTTCCCCTTCCTCGTCATCATAGTCGTCGGCCTCATCATCGGGGTCAGCTGGCCCTTGCGCAGAATCAGTGGGATGTTTCTGCTCAGCGTTCTGAGCGGTAATTTTGCGTTCCCTCGGGGATTCGGCCGGTATAGGTGCTGCGGGGGCAGGAAGGGAAGTTCCAGCAGGTTTTGTCGGCGTGGATGTAGTCCCGAGGAACCTTGTGCGCTTCGTCGCCTCAGGGTCAACACTGGCGCTGCGCCGAGAAATCACGCTTTGGCTGCGGCTTCGGATGTGACTTCCAGTATCCCCTTTCACCTTGCTGTCTTCAGAACCTTCCTCTTCACCAAATAGTGTCTCTAGAAGGCGATAGTTGATCTTCTTACTGAAACCCCTTCGTTCCAGCATCCGACGGGTAGCTTCGGCTGGAGTTGAGGCCCTGGTACTTCTCCCATCCTTGTCTTCTCCTTCTCCTCCACCTTCGAGATACCGTACATCGCCAAGCCTGCCCTTACGACGCTTTCGCGGCTTACGGTCGCCAGGAGGGGCATCGGCTTCTTCCAGTGCCCTTTTTAGTGCCTTGGCTTGCTGTATGCGTAGATAGTCTTTGTTTTCGTGTACCCAAATGCGCTCCTTGATTTCGACCTCGGCAGCAGATAACAGGCAGTTGGAAACTTCGGGGTCTGATTCAAATTCTGCTTCATCAATCTCGGGATCATCTGATATGGCTTTTCTTGGTTGAGGGGTTGACCCGTCCTCAATGCTTTCGATCATGTTAGAGCCCTTGGTCAAATATCCAGACATCTCTTCTTCTAGGGCCTCTTCAGAAGCTACCTGTTCTGGAGATGGCGAGGGCAGCTTTTTGCGACCGCCCTTAGGTCGATTTCGCGATGCGGTTGCTTCAGACTCGTCTGGTTCAGCCATAGAGGCAGCTTGGTTATCCTTGTCTGCTTGTATCAACGCCGGGTCGATGGGAAGGCTTGGAATGGCGAATCCGTCTGCATCAATTCGCCTTAGCTGGCTAGGCTCTGGCCCTTCTTCGGATAAATCCCCCTCAATCTCAGCGGCAGTTTCTGCGACTTTGGACTTCACGCTCCGCGCTGGCTTTCTTCCTTCCCTTGCTCGGGTGAAGGAAGGCGGGTCATGACTATTTTCCAACTGCACAGAGCGGAATTGATCCACAGTCAACTCGCCGCTTTCTGTAGAGCTGAATTCGTTTAGGCGCTGGCTAATTGTGATTTCCGTGACCTTGACAACATAAACTACTTCGCGAACAGTACGGCGAAAGTTGTTCATTCGTGCCGCAAGGATCAGAGCAGCTCCGCAGATACCTGCAGGACGTCGACCGGTTGTCATCCAATCGCGGTTCATGCGCTGCACAATCTTCACAGCTTCACTCGCTACCAGCATGGTAGAGGAACCAAATTCAAGCTGCTTAGCAAACCTATAGATTAAACTCTCTGGGTCTATGGGATTCATTAAGAAGACGTTCCCGCCCAGACGGAGCTCATCTAGAAGCGCTTTATACGTGCGACCTAATTTGAAGACGTTTATCTAAACAGCTGTCAGTATACTTTGCTCGTTTCGCCTAGCCGATGTACACTCACCATCAGGACGTCTGCAAAATCAATCAACATTACTGTATTTCCATCCTGCCGCCGGCAAGCGATGTATAGGCAAACAGCGGCCACCGTCTTCGTCCGACGACCTTGAATAAAGTTTAGCCCCACAGCAAGTTTGAAGACTTGACCGGCAGCCTTAGAGGCACTCTCCGGTATGGTAAGAGCACGGGCTAGTTGATTTATATATCTATTTCCTATTTTTTGTCAGCACAGCCTACCAAGTGGTTGGGGGAAAAGACATTATGTACATACCGTTCTGTTCTGTGATTTCTCTACTCTCCATGGTACCACCGCGTTGGAATCCGGGGCCAAAGCTACGAACGTGGGTCTGATCTTCACCAACAAAGGCTCCTTGAACGACAGCAGCACCAGACGCAGTCTCACCGAAAGTGACCTCGGAGACAATGTTGGCTTCGCTGACGACAGTACCACACCCTGAACAGACCTTCTGGCCATCGTCCTCAATGATATGAGGCGCAGGACAACCCGGGTTGGGGCATGTTGTTGTCTTTGGGTGAGTAGTCGGCCTTGCGGGTTGAGGGCGTGAAACTGGCTGAGGGCGTTTGATAGCCGTTGCCCCGGGGGTTTTTATACTGGCTAAGCGCCCAATAGGCGGTTTGGGGCCAGTCCTTGGAGGGATGGGACGCATCCCAGGTCGCGCAGACATGGTGGTTTCTAGTGTAGGCGTCGATATACTATAGTTTGTCGAACCTCTATGGTGCTCGCATGAGTCAATCTATGTCGAGAAAGAAGAAAAATTCGCTATTGCGTCATTTCAAGACATGGGCGAGGGAGTAGCAGATGAAGGCATGCAGATCCAATGCTGGATCTATAGAGATGGAAAGAGCGATGGGTGATTAGATAAGCGGAGGATTTTTTGATCGGTGAGGAATAATGATGAGTGGATCAACGATCACCGCGTGTGAGATGAGCCGAGGAGAGAGAGCGCGAGCAGTAAGCGCATTCGTACTTTGCCAGCTGTGGTTGTGGAAGCCTTTGAAAGCTGATGTATGGCGATGGAGTGGACGAGATGCAGGAAGAGTCAAGAGAAGCAGCGCGAGAAGAGTGGGTGACGCGCGACGTGAAAAGTGAAGGGCAAACGCGAAGTTTTCGTCGGTGGTGGAGTGGACAAGTCACGTGCGTAGATAGGTAGCTTTTGGCCATCGCAGGTTCGAATCGGCGTCCTCCCAAGTTCTTTTACATTGTCTGAAACCACATATATGTTCATCTATTGAAAATATAACCTCGGTACTTAAATGCTTGCGAGTCGTAATCTAACTGCTTTGCTAGATTCCTGCGGTATGCCTTCGTGACCTGCAAGAATCTTTGATGGGGGAATGATGTCTGCGCGAATTGTGCGCCTTTTTAGCCTCATCCACCACTTTTCTGGGTCATCCGCACAAAACCCGCATTCCAGTCCTTTCCTCGCCTTCCACTACTGAGTAATGATTCAATCTGGTAGCTAGCTTCTGCGGATACTTAAGAAATGTGTCGGTTCTTTTTTCTAACGTCTCCTACCTTATTATTTTCTTTTTGTTCCCTAGCACATAGCATCTTGGAGAATACTTGATCAAAAAGAACTTGAAGAGGCCCGGGGCTTTCAGCAGCACTTCGCTTCAAACTCTTTCTCTCTCCTCTTCTCCAGGTCATATCTTTGTCTTTCAATTTGCTGTATCGCTTTCCTCTGCTGTCCAGTCGCAACCCATAATGGTGCAAAATACAGCTACTGACCGAAGCACGTTCTTCGTTAGCAACGTCCACTGCTCCTCCTGCGTCGCCTACATCACGCAAGTCCTGTCGGTTATCGCCGGCGTAGTCGATATCAATGTCTCAATTTTCACCCACGAAGTGCATGTATTGCACACTCGCCAAGCAGATCCCGTTTCTATGGCGAGGACTCTGATTCACGCCGCGTTTGAAGTCCACCATGTCACTACTAGGAACTCAAGAGGGTCAATCATATTCGACTATGCTCTGGACAACAGATTCTCTCATGGCTCGGTCATTCTCGGCACAAACACCAGTTCCGAAGGGCTAAGAGACAGGCAGAGGCATCTCGACAACTGCGATGCCTGTCGGAAGGAGGACTTAGAGCAGTACCTTACGCCATCGGGTGGCGAGAAGTCACCCCAGTCCCTACTTGCTGCTAGAAAGGTCTCCCTGGTCGACTCAGTATCGACGGCGAAGCAACCATCAAAGCAGCCCAGCCGGTTCCAAGCCCGCATCAGCATCGCGGGAATGAGCTGTGCATCATGCGCCAATTCCATCACAGAGGCAATTCAACAACTCGATTTTGTCGAGCAAATTACTGTTGGTCTACTGTCTAATAATGCCACTGTTACTTACCGAGGATCCGAGCCAAAGGTCGAAGAGATAATTGAGCATATCGAGGACATTGGTTTTGAGGCTACATTGGACGAAGTCGAGTCACTCGATATTGAGCCGCCATGCAGCCAGCAACGCACTCATATTGCGAAAATTGCTATTGGTGGTATGACCTGTGGCTCATGCTCTGGAGCCATTACTCGGGGACTAAATGAGCTGCCATTTGTCACCGATGCCATTGTCAATCTTCTGTCCCACAGCGCCCAAGTTGAGTTGGAGAATCAAGATCATGCGTCGTTGGTCCTTGAAAAGATCGAAGACCTCGGATATGACGCCTCCCTTGTTAGCATTGTTCCAAAGGAAGCTGAGAGCGACAAGGCCGTGGTCGAGAAGCGCACAGTATCTTTTCGCATCGATGGCATGTTCTGTCACCACTGCCCGGAGAAAGTCTTCAACTCCCTCAAGGACTTACCTGACGTGGAAGTTGACAACATGCTCTCCGTCAAGTATCCTATCCTGAAGACGAATTATACGCCTCATCCTCCCTCGCTCACTGTACGGACGATATTGGAAAAGATTGAAAGCGCGCACACCGCATTCAAAGCTACTGTCTACCACCCCCCAAGCATCGAAGATCGTTCCCGTGCAATGCAGCGACATGAAAGGCGCCGTTTGCTATCACGCTTCCTGTTTGTCTTGTTAGTTGCGATTCCGGAGTTTATCATTGGCATTGTCTTCATGAGCCTCGTCTCAAAAGACAATCGAGTCCGCCAGTATCTGGAACAGTCAATGTGGTCTGGCAGCGTTTCCCGCATGGAATGGGCTCTTTTCATCATGACCACCCCGGTTATGTTCTATGGAACCGACATCTTCCATGTACGCGCAGCAAAGGAGATATTCTCTCTTTGGCGACCTGGAAGTCGTGTGCCCATACTGCGAAGGTTTTATCGCTTCGGAAGCATGAATCTTCTCATCTCTGCTGGAACGATGGTGGCATATATCTCATCATTGGGTATACTCATCGCAGATGCCGTGACCGCAAATCACTCGGATGTACACAGTTCAAATTATTTCGACACAGTTGTCTTCCTGACGCTATTCATCCTTGCAGGCCGATACATGGAGGCTTACAGCAAGGCAAGGGCTGGCGACGCGGTCGCATCGCTTGGGAAGCTGCGGCCTTCCGAGGCTCTGTTGGTGACAAACTCTGGGCAGAATGCCGTTCAAAGAGTCAATGTTGACCTGCTCGAGATTGGGGACCTCGTCCGTGTACCTCATGGTGCATCGCCTCCGGCTGACGGCAAAATATCCGGAACAGGCTCGTACCAGTTCGACGAGAGCTCGTTGACCGGAGAATCAAGACCAGTGACCAAATCATCAGGCGATCAAGTCTACACTGGCTCAGTGAACGTCGGCCAGCCGGTCGAATTCGAGATAACGGCTATCGGCGGGTCATCGATGCTCGATCAGATTATCAACGTTGTGCGCGAGGGTCAAAGCAAACGTGCACCGCTCGAACGCGTGGCAGATGTACTTGTCTCCCACTTTGTACCTGCAATCACGCTCATCGCTGTCCTGACGTTCGTGATTTGGGTCTCGCTAGGAGTGTCTGGGGCGTTGCCCGCGGATTATCTCGACACGAACCGTGGTGGCTGGCCGTTCTGGAGTCTTGAGTTCGCCATTGCTGTCTTTGTCGTTGCCTGCCCATGTGGTCTTGCACTAGCTGCCCCAACTGCTCTCTTTGTCGGCGGAGGGCTGGCAGCACGGTATGGTATTTTGGTTAAGGGAGGGGGTGAAGCATTCCAAGAAGCCAGCCGTCTCAATGCAATTGTCTTTGACAAGACCGGTACCCTAACAGAGGGTGGAAGCCTTAATGTGACCGATCATGAAGCTCTCATCAGCGACTCTATTCAATTAGAAGTCGCCTGGGCCCTTGCTCGCAAGCTCGAGGAGAGCAGCAATCACCCCATTGCCCGAGCGATAGGCGAATTCTGCAAGGCACAATCAACAGCCACCATCGTCAGCTCCGAGATAGAAGAGAAGCCGGGGCAAGGAATGAAGGGCATGTTTACCCTAGCGGTTCAGGATTCAACTGGCTCTACAACAGCCCGCCGATTCGAAGCCGCAATCGGCAACCAGCGTCTCTACCAAAGCCTCTCCGCCCCGGAGGAAGACCACTATTACCTCTCCAGTCTGCTCTCCAAGTACCAAACAGCCGGAAAATCGACTGCCATCCTCTCGCTACGTGAGCTGAGCAGCAGCAGCGACCCAGAAAAATCTGCCGCAGAACAACAACCCTACTTCTCGCCCGCAATCGTCTTCGCCGTCTCAGACACAATCCGCCCCAACGCCGCAAGAGTAATCTCCGAGCTCCAGCAACGCAAAATCACCGTCTACATGTGCACAGGCGACAACGAAACAACTGCGCATGCCGTCGCCGACATGATCGGGATCCCACGAACAAACGTCCTAGCCAACACCCTCCCAGCCGGGAAAGCCGACTTTGTCCGCCAGGTTCAGACAAGAGACCAACAACATCACAACCCCGACCCCAGTTCCGATTCCAATGACAACTCGAAGGCACGCCCCATCGTCGCCTTCGTCGGCGACGGCGTAAACGACTCCCCTGCCCTCGCCGCCGCAGACGTAAGCATCGCAATGGCCTCGGGCTCCGACGTCGCCATCAACTCCGCGAGCTTCATCCTGCTAAATTCGGACCTCGACACCATCCTCCAACTTGCACTCCTCAGCCGCCGCGTTATTAACCGGATCCGGATGAATTTCGGGTGGGCGGTTGTGTATAACCTCTGTCTTGTGCCTGTTGCCGCAGGGATCTTTTATCCGATTGTGAGTGGGCATAAGATGCAGATGGTTGGTGGCGGTGCGGGGGAGGCGAAGATGGTGATGGCTGACACGCATTGGCGGCTGAGTCCGGTCTGGGCGGCGCTGGCGATGGCGTTGAGTAGTATTTCTGTTGTTTGTAGTAGTTTAGCGTTGGCGGTTGAGTGGAGGAAGACGGTCGTTAAGGGGTGTGGGTGGATTCGGGAGAAGTTGAGATTTGCGGGTGCGGAGTGAGGGAGCTCGCTATTGTTTCCATATGTGGTTATGTGACTTGAATTTGTATGACACCTACTCTTCTTCCTCAGGCTAGATTGGCATAATTGTATTGTGGCTAGCCAGATTGAACATACCTAACAATGTTGTCACAGCTCCATACCCTTATTATTCTGGTTTCTTGGGCTGTTGAATCTGCAAAAAAGCCATAATTTATACGATCATAAGTAGCTCAAAACCAATGGAGGAGTTATATTTCTGTTGAGCACAGTAGAAGAACTTTGAGATGAGCTCACCCTGCCTCACCCCAAACCTCGGCAATCTTCTTGCTCAAAACCTTTGCAATGGTCTTGGTCCTCACCATGGACTGCAAATTGTCCGAAACCATCGTCTCCCTCTCTTTGGGATTCAGAGCCTCAAATGCTTGAATAAAGGCCTGAGGTGTGGGCCACCGGCGTTGGATCTCAAGCGCTTTGTCTCCTGAGACACCTCTCGTGCACATGAGCATCTTCAGGAAGATGTCACGGAGTGTGAGGGCTTCGGATTTTGAGGCGATGGCGCAGAAGGTTGAGAATGTTACGCCGTAGGTGATGGACGGATTTGTGGCTTGGAGGTTTGAGAGAGTAGTGAGGTAAGGATTTGAGGTGGAGAGGTGCCGGCTAGGCAGGAGGCTTAGGGTATGAGAGGGGTTGGTGGAAGCATTGACGGGACATGTAGTGGATGAGAGGGACGAGGCGCTGTACATGTTGCTCAGGAGAAAGGTCATGCGTGCAAGGTAGCGGATCGTGTCGTCGAGATTCTTTGTTCGCTTGACAAAGTAACCATTCACTACTTGTGTCGAGGCGATGGCTGAGCTGACCATCTCATAGTAACGCTGTGCTGTAGCGGCATTGGACTCATGTGTGACAGTGAATTCCTCAATGAGATAGATGACGTTTTTGATTCCTGAGCGGTTGAGACGAAACTTTTGCTCGTGGAAGCGGCCGTCTTTGATAGAGCCAACAAGGTCATCGAGCCGTTTACGTTCGACAATCCAATCGAGCATTATTTCATCGCCTTCCTCGCCATACTTTGAAAGAAACATGGGATCGTGGAATTTTGCCACCCACATGATATCGCCGACTTCGAGGGCACGGACTTCGGGGTTTATGCCTTTCTTTATCAGTTCGTTGGAGATGTAGTCTCTGTCTTTGGAAGATCGAACTTCGCGGGTGTCCAGAATCAGCTGGACTTTGAAGCTGTCAGGTGGGATGGGAATAGGAGTGACTGTTGAGAGTTCTGTATCTTCGTCCCAAATACTCTGTGTCCGGCGGAGAGCATTGCTGCCTTCCTCGTGTAAAGATCCCAGTCCGGCGGTACTAGTGATCGTGTTTCCGCGGGAGGCAGGAGGCTTATTCATGATTTGCCCCTAGAGGAATTAGTTATCTTTCAACGTCTGAGCGTATCTTGGTAACGTACAAAAGAAGAATCAAACGTCAAGGTATTCTGATTCGACTTTGGCAGTGTCTTCTTTAGAGCCTTTGCAACCTCCCACCCCTCTTCAGTCAGAGAGTACTTCTTCAGAGGGTGTCCTTGGGTATAAATAAGCTCCCTTTGAAGCAAGGTCTTCATGGAGTTCCAAGCAGTGAAATACTTGCTTGGATCAGGGGGTACAGTGAAAGAGCTATCACAGTAGGGCTGGGCCTTCTCAATCAGCTGTGCCTTGGTCATGCTCTGATTTGAGTGCTCATCAAGGCTGCCCAAAGCAAGTATCAAAGCGTAAGGGCCAGACCGTAGAGCGGGAGCATATGTCTTCGTTTTGCGTGGCTTCTTTGCTGGTTGGCTTCCAGCGTCGCCTTCACTGGATGTTCTCTTGCTCTTCACTACCACAGCCGACCGTTAGCATGCTTCTCCAGTGTTGGCGGTAGACTCACCAGTTCGTGGATCCTCCGGCATGGGAAGTCCATTTTCCGCACAGTGGTCCTTTAGCTTATCCGTAAGGCGCTGGCATAGTTTAGGACCAAGGCCATTGAGCTGTAGTGCCTCCGAAGGGTGCTGGAAAATCAGAGGACAAGCCTTCATGGACTCGTATGCTTTTTTGTACCTTGGAGGAAGTAAATAACTGCGGGTATGGCTTGATAATGGCCGTCTTTTATACTCACACAGTATACCCTTTCGAGTTATGCTCCCGAGCCTGGTCCAGCCATTCCTTGATCCACCCCAGGAGGAGGGGGTTCGCACAGGTGTCGTCGCTCATGTTGTGGCAATTTTGTGTGAGTGGGTTAAGGCCATTAGATGCACCCTATGTATGGTATTGGCCACGGCATCATTAGCGGGCGCGAGAAACGAGTATGAGTGTTAAGTGTCCTCCAGCGGAAAATTTGGAGCCTTCGCCGATCTATTGCATGGCGAGCTTGAGACCGAAGGTGCTCTCTCCATCAAGCGCGGTCGACGCGTATTTTCCCGCCAGGGAAATCACGAAATCACGTGGGAATTATATGTGGTTCATTTTAGCAGCCTGAGTTCTAAGGCAGCGAGCGCATTGAGTACTCTGTTCATATTTCGTGAGCTTGCAATTCAGGTATCTTATCATAAACTATGTACAATTGTGATGATAATGAACTCGGCAAAAGCTAAAGGTCCTACTGGCCAAGCGACTGCTGATAGTCTCTAACTGCTTCTTCGAATGAACCATCGCGCTTGAATCCCAGAGAGATTGCCTGAGCATTATCGAAACGTGTCGGCCATGAATCCAAGATTGGCCTGAGAGTTGGGTCTTCTTTCTCCTTCAGAAGAGCCAGCTTCTCTTCCCCTCCTACTTTGGCCAGCGCATCCATCATTTCCTGCACAGTCACGCAGATGCCAGGTACATTGATCTGGCGGATATGCGGCGGGACAGAATCGGCGGGCAGCGACAGCGTAAGGATAAGATTATGCACGAGGGTCTTGGGCGAGCAAAGCCATGATTTGAAAGATCGGTCCTCAACGGGGATAACGCACTCCTCGCCGTTCAGCGGCTCACGGATCATACCAGAGAGGAAGGAAGAAGCAGCAGCGGTGGGACGACCGGGACGGACTGATATGGTGGGAAATCGCAACGTGAATCCATTAATAAAGCCACGGCGTGTGTACTCGTTGACCAGTGTCTCGCAGATGATCTTCTCCGCACCATATGATGACTGAGGGGTGGGAATGACACTATCGTCAACCACTTCCGGAAGTGGTTGCCCGTAGACGGCTTGACTGGAAGAGTATATCACCCTAACACCGGGGCATGTTGCGCGGAGTGCCTCGAGTAGATTCCGGGTTGCATCGACGTTGACTGTCATACCGAGATCGAAATTCGCTTCTGACCCAGATGACATGATGCCGTGGAAAGCATAGACAGTGTCCAGTGATTTATCCACAACTGTACTAGCACCTGTGAGAAGATCTGCCGTCACCGTGCGCGCATTTTGGGGGTATTTGACGCCCGCCGGAACCGGGGGTTCATTGATATCTGTTAGGACGAGTGTATAGGAAGGATCGTTGAGCAGCTCTTTGGCGAGCAATTGGCCAATGAAGCCAGCGGCGCCTGTGATTAGGACATGCATGATAAACGAGAAAACGTAAGTAATGACAAGGAAATAAACTTGGAGATTCTCAAGAAGAAAAAATGCTGGCAGACCTGGCCCTGATAAAGGGCCTGTTTACTCAGAAGCTCGTGAATTCGCTATAGTGGAGATCGGATTTGCCTCCACAGTCGCATCAAGTCCGATGCTGCCTGCGACCGGACTTGTGCCGTCTTAATACTCGGAGAAGACGACTATTTGGAGATATTAGTCGCATAATGGTTGTTTTTTTTTTTTCGGCGACAAATGCTGTTCCTCGATGGAATGTCGGAGGGCGGGCGCACTTGTGAGAGTGGTTTATCGACAAGGGTAGGTGGGAGGCTGGGTCACTGCCAGATGAAGAAATGAATCTCAGCAAGACAAGAAAGGCAATGTTTATTATTATTTTTTCTCTTTCTCATTAATGTAGATCAAGAGCAGCGCTTCTGCGATAAAGCAACGATATAAGCTTGGGACACGAGTTGTGCAGTGGATAGATAGTGCCATAGTGATCGTGATGAAGCTCCTCCGCAGCGCCCGTGCCGCCAAGCGGGGTTATTTTCCCCCAGTTTCCTCGCACACTCCAGCTTGATTCCCTCGACCTCCTCGACTTTCCCTCCCACCCGACAGTTTAACGGATAGTGACGGCCAATCTCTTATCCACCGCCGAGTACCTTGTTGAAAATCATCCAGAATAGCAACGGACGCGGGACATCGCCGACTTTCTCGTTTGTCGCCGATCTTGATTGTCGCAAGCTGCGAGCTCTGCTGGCTGCAGGATGCCGGAGAATCCCCGACCCTGAATCTCCGCAATCATGAAGCGCTCCTCCTTTGACGCAGAGCTTGATCCACGGCCCCAAGACCGTCGCCACTCGGTCGTTCCTCCAGAGCGAGCTCCTGCGCCGAAAATCTCCAAAGCCCGTGCCTGTGAGTAACCTCTCTTGCCTTTTGTTGGGCGCGACATCCCTTGTGTTTGAGACGGCTGCTAAATGCTCATACAATATGCAATACAGGCGCGGAATGCAAACGTCACAAAATACGCTGCGAATTCCGGCCGGGCGATGTGAGCTGCACCAAGTGCCTTCGCAGTGGGATCAAATGCGTAGTAAACGACTTTTCGCAGAAATTCGTTGATGACGATGGAGTGTAAGTTGTCGCATTACAATGGTCGTGGCCTTGCGTTGCTGATCTTCCCGGCGTTATAGATGGAAATCACGAGCATCTGCCACGATTCAACAGCTACAGGCCGCAGTGTCACAGCTTCTCCGCCAAGGTGGACTCCCAGATCTCTCAACATATCCAGTTAGCGAAAGCCCGAATGGCCCTTCCCCCGTTACGCCTGCATTTCATGTCGGAAACCGCCCTTTGGTGAACGAATCCCCGCCGGACGTGAAACCCGACGGACCGGGGCTCGTGGTGACACGAGAGCCCTCACAGGAACCGGACCTTCAGGATCGAGAATTGGTGCCAGCCCCAATGCGCAGTCTTTACGAGGTGACAAAACTGCGCGACTTGCGCAACAATCACATTGAACAACCAAAGTCAACTTTATTGGAGGAAGACTTCCTCTCTCGTGGTCTTATCTCTCTCCAGGAGGCCGAGGAACTCTTTGCGTATTTCAGCCGAACAATGAACCAGCTATTATGGGGAGGGATCATTTTAGTACACCGTGATCTCACATCCGTGCGGAGAGCGTCGACTTTGCTAGCAGCCGCTGTCCTCACTGTGGCAGCGCTACATATACCAAATCGCAACGATACATTAACTAGATGTTACAACGAGTACGTCTCGCTGGTATCGAGCATGTCACTAACGCGCTCCCATACTCTGGATGATGTCCGAGCACTCTGCGTTGGCGCATTCTGGCTCTCCGAGTTGAGCTGGAAGCTCTCGGGTCATGCCGTGCGCATCGCTACAGAGCTCGGTCTTCATCAAAGCTATCAGAAAATGATTCGCGGTCACAGCGACCAGTATGAGAGAGCCCAACTGTGGTATTTGCTTTACGTCTGCGATCATCACTTCAGCATCGCATACGGTCGCCCACCAGTGATACACGAGGACCTGGCGATCAAGAACTACGAAACATTCCTTCAATCCTCAATGGTTGTGCCTGGGGACATCAGACTAATAGCGCAGGTAGCCTTGTTTATGATCCTCACAGAGGCGTATCGAATGTTTGGTAGCGATACTGAGCAGGCTTTGACGGAGGAGGATTTTGGGCAACTACGCGTCTATAATGTGGCCATTGATCAATGGCGACTGCTATGGCAGCCACGATCTGGTAAGTCAGACCAACACTGCAACAGTCCATATGATGCTAACTTTCCGACCTACAGCCGACAGCCCTTATGTCCGAACTTACCCTTCGAAAGGTGTGGTCCTGCATTACCACTTTGCCAAATTCCAACTCAACTCCCTCTCTCTCCGTGCCCTATCTCCTACCAACACACCTGTCTTCTCGATGGACCGTAAGGAGTCGGCAAACATCGCCATCTCGTCTGCTATGGCCTGTCTGAACATGGTACTAGAGGAACAGGATATCCGGGATGCGATCGTTGGGGTCCCCATTTTCACTCATACCATGGTCACCTTTTCTGCCGTCTTCTTGCTAAAGGTCGCCGTCAATTGGAACTCAGCCTATCTGAGCCTTGACAGTGCCCAGGTGCGGGGCTTGGTGGAGCGTGTGATTGACCTGTTGAACTGCGTCTCTGCTGGCGAGAGGCACTTGACGAGACACATTGCTCGTGGTTTGAGCAAGATGCTGGAGCGGTTTGATGCCTGGGACGTGTCGAATGGAGCACCCGCTGGAGCAATAGACAGACTGGGGAGCGGGAGCGGCGTGCCTGGCGGCGCGAATGCGATGGCACAAGGGTTCCCGCCTCCAGATCTAATCTACGACATGGTAGGAACGTATGGGTTCGGACTGGATGAGAATCTTCTTGACCCTAGCATGGCCAACTTTGAGTTTTTGGCGCAATGATAAGCGGTTGACCAGCAATTGAGGAATTACTCCAAGTTTCCTTCTCGAAATATACTCCGTAGAAACCTCTCAGGTACAATTAAAACATAATAGATGATGATTATCAAGAGGGTCAATTGAGAATGTATATAACTGTAATGACCACCACCACATTGCCAGTCACTCTCCAGAGTGACTTTGTAAATAGGCATCGATAGTCAACGGACTGTAAAATAATGCATTGGCCACCAAGTTATTGTGGAAAATACTACTGATACAACTGCATAGTAAGTAGCAATGTAGCAAGGCCCTTTGATGGTCGTACTGACATCACGAGTTGAAGACCAGCACTCTGATTGCCACGCATTCCTCTCTCTTAAGGGCACAGATTAATGCTCTGTAACATACTGTAAGTGAGCACCCCAGGACGTATAATTGCCTTGTTGAATGCTTATTATTGGCCTTTCTTTTGGGCGCAGTGTAACGACATTACATTACGCCGCTTCTCCAACCTCCCACACTCGACAGATTGACTCTCCCTCAATCCTCGGAACTCCCTCGTCGTTCCACCAGCAGAGCTCACGCTTGCCATGCTCTTTGATAAGAACGCAGCGAGTCTTGGCCAGCTTGCGACAGAGATGTTTCGACCATTCCAAAAGGAGACAAGGGCGACTGAACCTTGAAGCTGAGGATGGCCCAACTCCGCCACCAGAACAGGAATCCGGAGCTCTTCCATGCAGTTGCAACCCCTCCCCCTTTCTCAGGGCCGTTTCGTCAGCTTGAACAGGCACTTCGAAACTCTGACCAGCAGAGGCCGTCGTCATGGGGGTGGTGCGGATAAAGTCGCGAGCAGCGAACCAAGTCCCAGAGACCCAGCCAGATTCCCAGTCCCAGTCGCTCCCTCGGTTTGTGCAGCTCCCCCAGAGCTTTTCCCACTCCAACCACCAGCCGGAGCAGCTCTTCTCGTCCAGCTCCCCAGCAGCTCCCCTGCTGCCCTGGGTCACTGCTGACTTGACTTTTTCTTGCCTTGCCCAGCTGAAGTAATCCATCATGCTCAGGCTCTCACCCATTCCGTCCCCCCTTCCGTCGCCCGGTTGCGAGAGGAAAGGCTGGCTCGTTGCCCGTAGTCGTACTAAGCCCAGATTCCCCTTCCTTCCCTACCTGCCCTCTCTCCCATTTAATCTCGCCCTCCTCCCCTCTCCCATCTCTTTTTTTCCCACTCTCCATTCTCCTCCTGTGCTCCATCCTCACATCTCTTACCTCTCACCTGACCTTTGGCCCATTTCCAAGGTTCAGTCTCTCGCATTGATCTCACTATCCTCTCCCATACATCACCTCCTCAATTCTCCAACATCCACACAACATGTCCACCCGTAAGAGAAAGCAAGAGCTCGAAGAAGAGGAGGAGCTTCAGGCCCTCCCTAGTGACGAGAGCGAGGAAGAGGAGGAGTAAGTGTCTTATCTACAATCTACAATCTCTCGGCTATACTTTACCTTTTCCTCCTTGCGCTCTTTTTGCGCATTTCCAGCACAGAACCTCGTTATGAGCGCATTCCCTCCTCTTCCCTCATCCATCTTCTCTGCCATTCCCAATCGCACACCCGAACTTCAAGAGTTCGAATCCTCCGATTGCGTCATTATCCTTATCCGCGCGGGGACGTTCCATATTCTACACCAGACGGTCCACCTCTCGTTCCACCATCCATATTCCGACCCACTGCATTGCTAACCATGTTCCTCTCGGAAATAGGTATGAAAGCTCAAATCTCGACGAAAGCGAAGGAAGTGAGGAAGAGGAAGAAGATGCCTCCGAGGATGATGTAGAAGGCGAAGAAGAGGAGCCGGAAGGTGAGCGGCGCTTTAGGACACCGCCTCAAGTTTATTTATATTCTGAACCCCATTACTGATCACCTTATCAAATTAGGCCCTCCCGCACCCAAGAAGCGAAAGACAGCCCCTGCAGCCGAAGCCCCAGCCGAAGACGAAGAAGAAGAGGAAGAAGAGGCTGAAGCCAACGGCAAAGCCGGCGAGAACGGCTTCGACGATGAGGAAGGCGAAGACAAGGACGAGGACGCTGAGGCCGAGGGCGAAGACGACGAGGACGTCGAGCAGACGGCAAAGTCTAGCGCTCCCGCTACAAAGGTCAAGGGTGATGCAGCTGCTACCGAGGACACGAAGGCTACTGCGGAGGCGAAGGCTTAATCGTTTCGTCGGGGTTCTGTTGTTGCTCGAAAATTGAGGAGGTTCATTTAGTATTGCGCATTTAAACGCGATCTATTTTATAGTTGGTAACTAGGTAACTGGGTAAGCGTAGACGCACGCCGGGAATGATATCGTATTGTCTGCAGTGGAGCTGTTGCTTCATCCAATGCGCAAACAGTTTGATTCCATTTATAGTCCGACTTGGTTGCAAATGCAGGTCCCTCAACGTAAGCAGTCTTGGTTGGTGGGAGGAATTGAATCCACTGTCACTGATTGCCCCAATTAACACGGACAGAACTCCGGTTGTTGATACGACTGTTGACCTCACGTACCAATCCTACTGAACATTGTATACACACTAGGCCGATACACCCTATACAGGAGAGCATGTAAATGAGAAGAGCTCAAGCCGGCATGATGACTAGCTATAAAATATAAGATTAAGCGACGACAACCGACGGGACGAAAGAAACGACGAAAGAAACATCGCCGCCCGTGCAGGATGAAACGCTGTCAGTGTAAAAGGAGAATGGGTACAGATGTAATATTATAAGATAGGTAGTAGACCATACACGTTTTACTACAATGCTCCAGCGGACATTGCGACTTTTGGTTACTGCTCTTTAGCCCGTGGTTGTCTGTCATGTGTATGACTTCCGGCCGGATTTTACAGACTGGCGGTGCTCACTAACCGTCGCTACCGCTGCTGCGGAATGTCGCACATAGCTGGCAGTATTGATGGGTTAGATCGAGGACCGCCTGGGGGAGGTTCGTGGCCTGGACGATGCTGCGGACCTTGACGGCGCCTTCGTCTTCGATGAGCTTGCGGATCATGAAGAGCAGTTCGGGGGAAAACTAAACGTTGTTAGTTTCTGTTTTCTCCTGCTCCTTTGTTTTTCTTTTCAGATAGGGAACGTACCTCAGAGTACCAGCGGTATTGCCAGGCGATAAGACGGATCAAAGCGCTGAGCATGCCCCTTGTGTCATTTTTCTGCTCGTGCTTCTTGAGGATTCCGCGCATGGCCTTTGGCGAGAAACGAATTGACAAACAGGCCTGGTAAGCTTCGATTGCTTCGTCAAAGTGGTGTAGTCGCTCTGCCAACTCGCCGAGTATTTCCCATTCGGTGGCTGATTTCTTGTATTCCATCGCTTGTTGGCGGAACTGGGCTATCTCAGTTCGCCAGATGGTGTATATTCGAAGGTCCTCATAGAGAACCATGAAAAGATTATCTAGCCATCGTTCGCACAGACGCTTGTTCTTGAACTGGGTGTATGATGAATGTGATGGGTCAGGCTGATAAAGGTCAGTCTTGAATCTGGACCCGGGGACTTGAGCAGGTAACTCACATCTTCATTACCGGACTTGACGACTTCAGAGGCCACTGTTTGCTCGGGCCTCTCGATTGAATGCTCGACCTGCTGGCTATCATCTCCATTGGCAGTCGTCTCCGCGGTATCATCTTCGTCAGCCGCCTCTCCGTTCTCCTGCTCGCCGTTACCATTCGTCTCTGGAGGGCTAACATTTGCAATCGATGATTGCTTTGACGTGGAGTGATGGCGTTCGGTGCGATACTCCTCTTCCATGACGAAAACCTCGCTGCGGACCCTGAGAAGCTGGTCCCAGCCGATGGCAGCAGCCACCTTGGTCAACAGGTTATATGCTTTTAAGAAGGTTCCCTGGTATGTAGCTGCATGCAATCTTCGTAATGAAGGATGCACATAGTCGTGAGGATCTCCTTGCTTTGGCTGACCTTCGTCAATCTCTTCCAGCATACTTTCAGCGAGAATGGGAAGCATGATGCGCGACGGTTGGGGCATGCGAGGAGTATCTTTATCTTGATAGGTAAACATCGGACAGGAGTTAAGCGTCAGAAGGGCCAAATCCCACTGTTCTAGGTTCACATAGACCTCGGCCAGCCGAGCCCAGGTGCTAAACTCGCTAGGAGCTGCGGTCACGGCACGCTTTGCGCACTCTAAAGCCATCTCCCCTTCTCCCTTGTCCGCGCAGAAGGCAGCTTGGCAGTCGAGGAGAGCGTAATCCATCGGAACGTCTTGCAAAGCATCGTACATAAGCCGAACTGCTTGAACCTCCTCATCTGCCATTTTGAAAACACGAGCAAGTAGAGAAGATACCTCCACATCCCTTGTACGAAGTTTCTCAAAGAGATTGATACCGGAGGCGTATCGTCCCGTAGTATGGATGTACTTGAGCAGGCCAGAAGTGAGGTGATTGCTGACAGTATTCGGGACTTGCGTTTCAGGGTCTGAGCTGAGTTGTCTGCCTATAGTGTCCTTGTCAGCTGAATTACTGCAAGTTCGGTAGAGATCGTACCTAGGAAGAATAACTTCTCGGCTGCATCCAGGAACCTATGCTCCATCTCCGTATTCGTGACTGGATTGAACCGACGGACGCCAACAATTTTTCTGATCGCATCACCGCTGCCGTCGTCTGCATACGAGTACGCTCTCAGAACACCACAAAGAAAAGTTTCCAGCCACAATGCTTCGGTCGCAACACGTTTGTCTCCACGCTCGTCGATACAGTAACTTTCGAGACTTCCGGGAATTTTGACTTCGACTCGCATGTCCAGGTGGGAGAAGGCATTGTAGCAGCTGCACAGGGTCAATTGATTTATCACGACATGTGCAAAGTTGAAGCTGACCTATAGATTCCAGATACCACTTTATTTGTTTTGTCTAGCGGGGAGGATACTAGAGTATTCACATAGGCGGCTAAACTGGCGGAGGACGAGGCATCAATTCCGGTGACGTGGTGGTAAACTCCAGTCTAAGAAGGAACAAAGGGTTATTAGCTACTGACGGTCTTCGTATAGCTTCGTTACAACCATTTGCCAGAATGGTCATAGTATACTCACCTGACGAGTTGAACCGGTCTTTGGCTGCTTGATCAAGTAAACCAGATCCGGGGGACCCAATTCCCTCAGATTTTGTAGTGATTCTGTGCGCGCATCGACGGCAGCAAGTAGGTCCTCTTCCTCGAAGATCCTGTAAGCAGTCCGGAAACATTAGTCGTTGAAGAGCAATGGCGGACCGATGCAATTGCACTGCAGCTTCCAGGAGCACAGAAAGCGAGGGGAAAACAAATACGTACTCGGGGACAGCTGGCGCAACCATGGCGCACTCAGGGGCGCAACGAAACGTGCGCAGAAGTCGGCGGAGAGGGGATCGGAGAAATGAAGAAGAGGAATGAGTTGGTATCAAGCTCCGACTGGATGACGGGGGCCTCTCTAGGACAGATGGCCAGGCGTCGTCACTCTCGGCCTGGGGATGTTCCTGAGGCACCGGCAGGCACCAGTCCTTTCCTCTTCGGGCAATTCCATCCCGCGGAAACGCGTGACGGGCGTGTATCAGAGAGCTTCACGTTCCAGACCCTTTATTCTTCTTTTTATTCTTCTTGAGCTTCATCCTTTTCCTCCACTGCTCAGCTCCGCAACGGAGATCAGCATCTGTCGCTCTGAAATGTTGCCGATCACGGCTACCCTATTGCGACCACCAGCAAACGCGCTTGCTGCCTGACTCAACAGTCCCGCACCATGTCCACATGGACCGCCCTGAACGTCGAGCCCGATGAGGCCATTGAAGAGGAGGTCGATGATACTAAGGAGATCCAGATCGAAGAAGCGCTCAAACTCTATCAAAATGCCCTGAAACTTCATTCCCAAGGCCCCCAATTCTACGACCAAGCCGCCGAGGCGTACGAAGCGCTCCTCAACTCCGAGATCTTCAAGTACCCCGAGTCGATCTCCGATTTTAAGAGACTCGCCCTTCAAAACTCAGAGCTCCAGCTTGGCGGGACATCGAATAATGCAGATGTGGATGACACTGTCGCGACACTGGGAGAATTCAATATCAGCGATTCCACTTCGAGCACTTTGCAGCAGACCATCTTCCTCTCGTATAAGAACTATGGACAATACGCTCTCGATACCCTACGAGCCCTTCTGCAGGACATTTCGAAACTGGCTGAGGCTGCGCCAGAGGTTCTATCAAAAATTACGGAGCGCTCCAGGACTGCGCTAACCTCCTTTGCGGACGCATTAGAACGGGATGACACCGACCTCAACCTTTGGAGACAGAGCGCACGGCTGAGCAGTGCCTTACAGAGCTATCGCCTCACCCGATTCTGCCTTGAAAGTGTCCTAGCTGACGATGACAATCGCTTGGAGGTGCGGACAGCGCAGCTGGGTCTAGAAGAGACATTCGCTGAGGAAGGCTTACGCAAAGTCTTGCTGTCGGTACAGGATAGGCTGTCTGTGTCGCTTGTTCCTCTTAAAAAGCCAAAGAAGGCTCTTGTCAAATTTCTCCAACGTCAAATCGACCCGTATCCTTATCTGCCTTCGCTCCCAGACGACTTGCAAAACGTGGACCCGTCCAGAAACCCTCTTGCGTTCCAGGCTGTTCATTATGAAATCAAACTTGAGACCCTGACGTGGGCCGCCACTGGTAAAGAACTTCTCCGTTTGGTCAAGAACACAGACGATACCGTACCCGGTCTCGGGGCGTCCGTCACTATATCCCTACCGTCAAACAGCCCGGAGTTAACTACCATTACGAACACAGTACAAAGACGGCTATCCAAGCCTCATTTTGATGACGATCGCCAGGCAGATACTCAGATGACTGATGATGGACAAAGCACTGACGTGCGGTCAGTCACTGGAATCCAGGGACTAGGACAGATCACGGATCATGGCGATGATCAATCATCTGTCGACCAGAGGGCGGAAAAGCAACTTATGGAATCTCTTGAGGTTCAGTCATCACAGCAACAGGACGCAGATCATCAAGACGAAGCAGAACCAGAACAAGAGGAGGCAAAACCGGAAGAGATAGAACCAAAGTCGCCGGAGGTCCCCGCTCGCAAGCGATCTTCCGCCTCCGCTATCGCAGAAGATCAAGCAGAACGGTTGAGAGTGAAAAGCAGAAGAACACGCTTGCGTGACTCGCTAGCTGAGGCTTCAACACAGGCGGAGGAGATCTCATTCGACCATTCCAAGTATTACGAAGACCTTATGAATCCCTACGTTCAGGTTGACGAAGGCGTTTTTGGTACTGTAGGACAGTTATTGTCTAAGTTTGGGGTTGAAGGCTTGGGTGATCTGGAAGACCTACGGAAACAAGTCGCCTATGCTAATGAAAGATTGGAATCTCCAGATACTCCAACCCACACAGCTGAAGAAGAAATTCATGTTCTCCCACAAGATCTCAGGAATATCATCCAAAACTGGGATGAGGGAAAATCTCAGCTCATGCAGCAAAGTGATACTTTGTCTGGAGTTCATGATATTCAAAGCATGGGCAGGTCTGGGCTTGCGGTTTTCCTCGAACACTCGAAGAAGTCAACCCACAAATTGAAGCCGAAAGATACCTGGACCGGGGAGAGAGAACTGACTGAATTCATTGCAGCTGTCAATAACGGCCGCTCCAACCTTCATGCTGCTGCTTTTGACTGGCTCAAGTGCCTTTTATGGCCGAACCACGCTGAATATACTTCGTGGGCGATGTCTATGGCCCCTACATTCTCTCCAAACCCTCGCCACAGACCTGGTTGTGACCCAGGAGAATCCGGGGTTACTATCCTAGACTGGGCGGCCTTCGAGTCACCCTATGTCGGGTACCAATGGCCGGTCGGGGTCAAGGACATTGTGCTCCAGCTTCTCCTTGTAGACGACGAGTACATCTACAGGAGGTTGGAAGATCAAACTAAAGTTCTCGAAAGCAAAATACTTAGACGTGATTCTGAGGTCGGGCCTCAATACGCCATGGAAGATTTTGCGGATCTGGAAATGATCCAGGCCATTTTTGAGCTGCATCTCGACTTATACTCTTCCATGAATACACCCGACACTGAAGCAGACAAGCAAGCAAAGATACTTCAGCAAGAACGCCTCCGGAGATGGTGTATGTTGGCGCGCACGGCTCTAACTTACTTCCTTGACCATTGTTCGCTGGAGCATAGCTGGGAAAAGATTGTCATCCGCCACATCTGGGCATCGACGTTCTATTCGAACATGGCAGCCGATGCCCAGCGTGAGCATATCCTGCTTTGCTTGCAAGACCTTAAACGTCTTCTCGTCACACTCAAAGATCCGGTGCTGTCGGTCGAAAATAACGCAATGATGTCCGAGTTGTCATCCGACGCAGTTGACAAGGAGATTTCAAAGTTGAATTCTATGGATTTCTTCATGACGATCTTCAATCCGGACTCAGAAGATCCTGTTGGTCTCATTGAGACCATTGAGCCAATACTCGAGCCTGCCTCTGTTGAGGTCGAGGAGACGGCGGATGACCAGCAAAGTGTACAGCGTCGTGGAATGGGCACTTTCTTGGACCAGGGAGATGCTACACTGAGGCTCTTCCTGTGGCGTCGGCTGCAGGACGCGTACAAAAAGATCGAGTACGTACCAAAGGTGGTTTCTTGTCATTTCCGGAGTATCGAGATAATAGTGAAGGAACTGAAGAGTCCGTCCTATATTGAGGAACACAGTGGTCACCGTCCAGTAACCCTTATTCGATGGCTGAAATCACTTGACGGCATCATAAACATGACGGTATCAACAGTCTTACAGGAATCTGACAAGGCCTACGAATGCTTTGACATGGAACACGTCAGGTCATCAATGTCGGCGATTGGTTTTCTCATCTGGCTGGTCCACAGCATGATAATCTACGAAGACGCGGTGCGCATCGGACAAGTCCGCAAACCTGACCTGCGCGCGTCACTTGCGAAGTCCCTGGAAAACTTCAAGGACAAGCTTCGAACGATGCTAGTGCGTTGCTGGATTTTGCTATACACTCTCCTAAAAGAGGGCATTGCCCAGAACAAAGAATTGTTTGGTGAGCCTTTGGAAGATCGCATGTATTATCTGCGCGCGGTACACAATAGTCTGGGTATCCGCCAAATTTGCGGACGGTCTTCGAAGCAGTTCCTGAAACTGATGAAGTTCGAACTCTTCTCGCTGGAGGTGAAACAAGATGTTGAGATTGATATTTGCCAAATCCTCTTCGACCTCCACGGTGTCAAAGTGGCTCCCAGTGATAATTTGCTAAGTGACCACAGCTGCAATGCTGAAAAGCTCGATCGTGCCACAGCGATAATGATGATCGACTTTGTAATGAAGCAGGCGAAGAAGATCAACATCAAAGATTTGTCCAAGTCCGAGCTGAAGAGCACAATGGAGAAGATGCAGGCATCCATCGGTTCGACCAAAGCACCACCACCTGTGACTTTCAATCGCCGCGTCCTTAACGCCTACATGAAGTCGCCTATTGGCCCCTCAGAACTATTCCGTGCGGTGCGAGGCGTAGCAGACATTCCACTGATCCCAGTACCGACCGAAAACGCACTCATCGCGCGAAAAGGCTGGTGTTTCCTCCTAGGCTACGCCGCGTTGACGAGGTTTCGCTCGCAGAAGCGATTGACGCCCGTCTCAACGGCCGATCTCGATGAAGCCATCTCGTGGTTCAGGCAAGATTTAGAGCACGGAACTTCCAAATGGGAGACTTGGTACCGACTCGCTCAAACTTGGGATTCGAAGGTCGAAGAAGACATCACCTGGTCCGCAGATAAGATCAACAACAACCGTACAGAGCTTGTCACATGGCAACGCAATGCAATGCACTGCTACGCCATGGCAATCGCCACAGCCGCCAGAACTGCGGATCCGGATCCAGAGACTCGAGCACTGCTGGCCGATCTCTATACAGACTTTGGAATTCGGTTATACTCCTCTTCGCGGGAACCGCTGTCTATGGGAGCTTTCAGTCTTGTTGACTTCACTCGCCACTATAATAACGAGGAAAGCCAGCGGATGTACGAGGGTAAGCCGTTCAAGGAGATAAGAGTTTATGCTGTTTGGAGACTTGCCAGCTATCTCCTTCGACGTGCGATAATCGATAAGCCCAAGAACTGGATGTAAGCTATCACGTATTCGATTATGTGGCTGTATCGCTAACCTTCGACAACAGGGCGCACTACATGCTGAGCAAATGCTTGTGGAAGATGTTCAGTTGTGATGATACCGTGAGAGGCTCGTCTCCTCGTATCAGCGTTGATAGCGTCTTGGACTCTTTGCTCGATACAATCGATGCACTGCCGCAGCGAAACTCGCGGTCAGAGCAGATATTCGAACCTCACTATAAGCTGGTCTCCGTCGTCAACAAGCTTGTCAGACGAGAGGTATTGATGGTAAGAATATCACCCCCTAATAGATCATGCGATTTACTCATGTCTGTAGCCGGCGGAAGCATGTAAAACTCTAGTTGCTACGCCATGGGCTCGAAAGGTTCCACCCCCGGAGGACAAGGGTTCCTGGAACAAGTACATATTTGATGTGCTTAAGAACCTCAAGAATGCGGACAAGGCAAATTGGCATCACCGCATGGCTGCCAGGGTACGCAAAACCCCACAAGAACCCAATTAATCATGCACAGGGGCTCACACCTGACAGGCCGCCCATATCATATACGATGATGACAAAAATGCTACTGCTGCTGCAAAAGCCAAAGCCGAACTTACGCAACAGATCTTCACAAAGACTATGGCGATCCAGGTTTGGAAACCCGAGTACGAGCGTCCAGGAAGACACTTTGTATACACAACGCGATACGTGTACTTCTTTATAGCTCTGCTTGACCAGGTTGACGACCGCGCAAACCTTGAGCAACTACTGCGTCGCGTACGCAAGAAACAGGGCGACTTTATCAACCATACTAAGTTGTGGGAGGACATGTGTCTCACCTATGCCCGAGTCATACGGAGAGCTGGCCATATTAGTGAGGGCCATGAAGAAGGTGTCTTCAAGCCCATCGGGTGGGAGGAGTTTGTCGCGAATACTGCTCGTCTTGAAGACCTTGCGCAACTCGCCCCTGAGAGTTCGTCCATTCTCGAACTTTTGCGAGATGCCATCGAGCTGAAGAAGCTCAATAACAATCTCATGAAGGTAGCTTCACTCGAGGACCTGATCGCGGATCTGTATTCCCGTCTCTACGAAGTCAATATGCCCCAGGTGATGGAACAGGTCCACGAAGAAAACAAAGAGAAAATGAAGGTCGACCACATCCTTATGACAACCGATGGACCAGGAGATAACTCTACACCCCCAAACTCAGCGCCTGCCTCGGAAGCCCCGGCGCCTCGCGGCCGAACAAAGGGCATCGCCCGGAGGGACATTCAAAAACGAGCGGAGACGATTGTCGCGCGCAGGGTACCACTTCGTGTACCGGCAAGGGCTCCCGCAGCAGCCGAGCCCGAGTCGAGTGCCAATATCACGGCTCCCACTGGCCCCAAACCAGTTATTGAGATCGCTATCCGGCAACCGCCTCTGGATGACGGTGGATCGGCGCAGCAGAGTGACATTCCAAACAGTGTGCATGATAGCGCTGACGATGAAAGTGAGTTGAGCGAAATGGACGAGGAGAAGCTTTCTAGGCTTGCAGCTGATCCAAAAATGCTTTTTCCGAATCTGCATGACCGGGGGTCCATGGATCCAGAATCAGAAATGTCCGCTCAACCTAGTCCCGCCGCGGACGGTACACATGAGGGTGGTGAAGATGCTGATAGGGAGGGTGACGGTGATGCTAATCCAGACCTCGGCGACGGAGAAGGAGAAGGCGATACAATCAATGAAGACGGCGAAGATGCAGGCGATGAAGATGGCGAGGGCGAGGGCGAGGGCGAAAATGAAGGCGAAGATGTTGAAATGGAAGACGGAGGGGAGGAGGAAGATGAAGCAGGTGACGAAGCAGGTGACGAAGAGGGGGACGACGATGAAGACGCTCACATAGAAGGAGCCTCCGACGCTGATATGGACCGAGGCGAGGACCACGTCCCCGAACAGGAAGAGCGAGAATGCGTATGACTCTGAACAGGCTGCAGAGTTCTGAACAGGTCTACTGAGCGATTGATGGAATTACCTGTATGGGTGGTGTTGAATGTGTGCATTTATATGAGCGGCTATTCTCTGTATTTTTATCTATATCCTCAGATCAGGTCATGGGTAAGGTGTTCGGGTTTCTTGCTGTTGGGCTATTATATTGAGCTCTCGGGAGGAAAGGAACTTGAAGAATCAATGTGTACTATGGGTATAATGTTATGAACAAGAACCTTGGCATGTCAAGAAGTAACCTGACGTCGTGACAGCCTCCAAATGCAGTAAACCGCCATCCAGTAACGCCAAACAATCGAGAAAAAACAAAAGAGTCTAGATGTCGTCCTCCGGCGCAAAGTCCCACTTGCGAGTCGCCATCTTCCTCTGGCTCTTTCCGGGGGAACCTACCAAAGGAGTTTTGAACATGCTATCCGCGAGCTTCAGTTGATCCATTTTGCGGAGCGCGACCTCGATATCGCTCTCGCGGCCAAGGATATTAGCACTGCGGGAGGGTTCTAGGACGGTGTTTTTGGATTTCGACTTCTTCGTTGGCGATCTGCATGTCAACTCGCGCTCCAACGATGTGATTCGGCTGCGAAGCTGGTCGTTTTCGAACTCGAGCTCTTCGACCCGCTCATCAGATGATGGCTCCGGATCTTGGTGGACTGGTTTAAGGTTAGCATTGGATTAAATGTTTCAAGAGGGTATTATAGGCGTACTCTTGAACCCTTGAGAGAACAGCTCAATCTTCTTATCAATGTGCTCGTCATTGTGTCCAGCCTATACGAATTAGTGAATGTCCCAGAAGAAAAGCACATTGTGCCTCACCTGTTCATCCCAAGCGCTTTGCCATCTTTTTCTTTCCTGCTCCATTTTCTCATCCATCTCAACCCAGCATTCTTCTCGCACTTCTTGCTCGATCAGGAGACATCTTTCTTCACTTACAATGAGTGCTGTCTCCATCTCGGCTCTTAGGATTTCCTCTTCCGCTAGTCGAACGGTGAGCTTCTCGTTCTCTGCTGTTAAACGCTCAATCTCAGCCAAAGCCTTTTCAAGTTCTTCAGCCAGGCCAGGTTGAGGCGATTGGCGTCCACCAGAGCCTTTGCGAGACCCAAGAGTACTTGACAAGGTCGACTCGGCGGAAGGAGCTCGAGGGACAGTGACTTCTCGGGCTAGGGCGGAGTATCGCAGTATTTGCGAGGTGGCATTATAATCGCCCAGTGGATCAGCAGTCACAATCATTAGTGCTTTTTGCGGGTGTCTATTGATCGAAGATTGACTGGATGATGGGAAAGAGTTTGAGAATAGTAATTCAGTGAGCTTGCACTGCCTGTAAGGGACCATAGCAGTCTGACCAAGTTAGCGTGTGAGAGCCATACGCAAGAATTAGAGCCTACCTTGTTTCCATCCTGAAGGCCACTTTGCATTTGCAGGCACTGCCCCAAGTACATCAAACTTTCATTGATTTTACCAGCTTCGGCGAGGGTGGAACCTGCGGTCTTTGCGGTACGTGCTCGCTCCGATCCTATGGCGGTTAGTGTCACTTGTACAAATTGTACATATTACTAGGTTCACACTAACCAGCAAGATCAGCAACAGTAAGGGTGTTGCCTATCCAAGTCTCTTCGCCGGTCCTCTTGTTTCTCATTCTCCGCTTGACCTCTAGGCAGAAGAAGCCATGGCTGCGGGAACTGACACTGTTGGCACCCGTTCCAGTAACTTTGCGCTCAGTTAGACCTATCTCAAGGACTGCTAGTGCTTCTTCGTAAGTGCTGCATGCAATTTTTCGTAGTCCTGCTACGACCTTCCTGTCTGGAGAGCCTTCAGTTGGCTTGAAGAAGAGGGCCTTTCTTCGATCTTTTTGGGAGGTTGGTCCTTGGCGCGAAACGGCGCTTCCTTGGCCGGGGACTATAGCGGGCGACAGAAGGTCGAAGATTCGGTCATTGTACACCTCGTACATCGAGACTAGAACAATATATTCGGAATGAGGGTTAAGGTCAAGCGTGAGATGACCAACGTCAGGGGACCTGGGTAGAGTGCTGGCTCTCATAGGCATGTGGCGACGAGGAAATATAAGAGCAGGCATGGGTTCCTTTATCGTTGGAGAGGCTAGATTAGCTTTATGTAACTCAACAGGACTGGATGGGGTATTATTGAGCTTTCGGCTCTTGGAGTGCTTTGTTGTAGTCCTGGGGCTCGGGGGACTCAGATTGGTTTGGGGTTGGGTCATTGTCTTGTAAAAGTATTGGAGCAGATCCCGGGGTCCGAGTGGGTTTAGAATCGGGGCTCCATGAAGTAGGTTCGGGAGAGGTGATTTCCATACCGCCATAGGGGTGTGAGCTCTAGAAGAACTCATAGGTGTCTGGGCCCTGGAATTCCTGCCGCGGTCGGGCTCGCCATATACGGCTTCGAGAAAGGTCTGAGCAGTGAACAGCTGGGATTCGGAAGCATCGGAGGTAGCCACAGAGGCGAGAAGTATAGGGGGAATGGTGTTGTCAGGAGGCTTGATGGTGGAGGCTAAGGACTTGAAGATTAGATCAAGGCTCATTTGGGTAATTCCTCTTTGTGTCTTCGAGCCTAGGATAGTATGGCTCTGTGAACTTATTATCAGTACAGTCCACTGCTGCAGTGAAATGTCTCGCACCTTTCCGCTTCCAGTCACTCCCAATGTCGCAACTAATCCATCCCTCTGCTCAAGAAGAACTCCCTTAACCAAGGATTGAACGCCGGTCTCTTGGAAGACATTGAGTTGAGTTGCTGATTCGTCAAAGACTTGGGTAAATCCGAATTTCTCGACTCCTCGTTTGCGTGCATCACTGGGGGGCTGCAGAGTGATGTGGGTGGGGGCTGATACTAAGTCGGGCTCATTCTGATGAGTCTGTGAGGCTTCAGGCTTCTCCACTGTCAGGCAGCGCTCGGCTTGCTCGTCTTGTTGCTGTGAAATTGGAGGCCGGAGGCGGAGGTACACCTGGAAGAGGGACGACGGAGAATTTGTTGAAGTCATGGCGGCAGGGACCTCAATATTGACCGTCAATTCAGCGACGATGTGCAGCAGGGCCGTATATTCTGAGCCGACGATGCAAGGACCAGGCGATGTCGGTGAAATAATCAATAAATGCAGTTCGTTGGAGAAGCTCCAGCTCAATCACGAGATTTGATTTTCCTGTAAAGGGCTTAGCGTGCCGTTGTCGTGACAACGACACTCCGAATAGTCTGAGTTGAGGCCTGATTCACCAGGCAGCAACCAAGGACGCCCGCTCTGGTTCTTGACTCTGAAACCCTGCTGAACTCGGACCTCGACTTTTGCGACAGGAATGCCTTCAACGGTCGGCAGAACGCCTCCGTTGTGCCTATGGGGCAGACACGGCTGAATCGAGAACGGTGTCATGACTAGACAGCCTCACGGCGGCGAAGCAAGCCCTCTTCGTATCCGTCATGGATTTCTCAAGCATTGACGGACGGTTCAACAGCTCCAGATCACATTCTTTAGTCATATTCAGCCTTATACCGGTGAGATCAGAAGCGGCTCATTTGCCAGACAAGCTTCTCTGACAATCATGAAGGTTCTCACACGAATGGTTAAAGTCTAGCCGCTGGGCAGTGTGCTGCGCCTCGCTCTTAGTGTCCCAAAGCATCAAAGCAGATGGCCACAGCCTCATCGGCGCCGAGAAATCGTATACGAGCACTCAGATCGGGGAAAGCGTGTCATTCGAGCAACCAGGATTGGTGGCGCTAAGGTTTGACATGGTCAAGCCCAGATACGAGTTACCGGATCGGGAACCTCGTTCTCGCTACCCACCAAATGACTGCCACCATCGTGACGAAGATCGATGCCATCACGCAGCCATGGCTATAGGGAAAATGAGGATATTTAATGCCCGACATCTTCCCATGATGGATTCGAAAGAGACACCCAACAAACACGAAGCGAAATCGTTCATCACACCCTGAATACCATCGAAGCAAATCCGAACACGACAAATATATCGTCGCATCGCCCACCAACAATGCTTGAAAAAAGATCTGCTTACCGTAAGCTCTATACTTGGCTTCGCAACGATGCGTGCTAACCTGTCGCAGAGGAAGGGAGCATCTGGTACTATGCACCCAACAAAGGCGCGCCCATCGCTTTCGCCATACTCTTCGCGATGTCCGGAATCTGGCATGGGTACCAGTGCCAGTAAGTGGTCGACTATTTGGCTACAGTGATGACGACGACTGATCATTCTATAGCAAATACAAATCATGGAGAGTTACCGGCATGCTACCCTGGTCCGCCCTGCTTTTCACAGTCGGCTTTATCCTACGGACCATAGGCGCTTTTGGAGAGTGGGATAACGTTCCGATATATATCGCGAGCACTGTTTTCCTTCTGGCAGGCCCGTAAGTCACCTCCTTGTGTCTGAGTCCTGCATTTTCTAATCTGCCTAGGCCCGTGTATGAGGGTGCGAATTTCTTCATTCTCGGCCGAATCCTCTACTACATACCATACCTCTCGCCTATCCACCCCGGGCGTGTCTTTTCAACTTTCTTGGCTCTGCTGATGTTCGTCGAAGCATTCACGGCGAACGGAGCGGCCTTGCTGGCGAATACAGAGGCATCGGAGAGACGACGAAATACCGGGGAAGCCCTGCTCAAAGCTGCATTGATCCTCCAGCTCGTACTGATGGTCGGTTTCGTCTCGCTAGCTGGCACATTCAACCGGAGAGCCTACCGTGCCGGGCTTCTTACCAAGAAGCTCAAGCATGTACTCACGATTCTGTACTGCAGCTGCTTTCTCATCACCACGCGTACGGTGTTTCGGACTGTTGAGTATTTTCTCGCGGCCAACCAACACACGTGGGATAACCCAGATGAGGTCGACCCAATCATCAAGAACGAGTGGATTTTCTGGATCTTTGAGGTTGTCATCATGTACATGAACACCACGATGCTGAACGTCGTCCATCCGATGCAGTTCTTGCCGTCATCGAACAAGATCTACCTTGCGAGAGATGGAGTGACAGAAGTCGAAGGCCCTGGGTTTGATGACCCTCGTCCTTGGTTTGTGACTTTCATCGACCCCTTTGACATCGTGGGTCTTATTTTCAAGAAGGGCAAGCAGGGCAAATATTGGGAAGTTGAACCGGAGGCAAACACCGGGTTGAGGACCGAGAAGACCGACAATAATGCAGCAGAGCGACGCGGTTGCTTTGTATAGATGGTCTTTTCGTTACTAGATCGCATTCAGAGTTCTTTTGTCATGTAATTTGAGCTTGATATCTTGCGCAGTTGTTTATACTATAGTCATAATATGATTACAAGTTACAGATCTGGAGACAAATAGTCGCAATCGAAACATTGAACATTTTGGTTGGTGTCGCTCAAGGAGCAGCAAGGCGGAGAAAGCTTCAAGGGTCCGCGGAGTAGTCAGGACACTTTTCCTCTCATCTCTGCCACTACTCTTCTTCGCATACGCGCGGATCAACCACAAAACAAAAAAAGCCCTTGTGATATACCCCGATTGAATGATATTGATTCATCTACGATATTTATAATCTTCTGTATCTACCACACTGTGTACAACCACAGCAACTTCCGATTCCCGGGCTCGGCCGCACCGTCACTATGCTCTCCTTCCTCTCCTCAAGCCTGTCGAACACGCGGCAAACCCTTGCCCAAGTGTTATCCTTTGGCCTCGTGCTATCTACTGCTTTTATGCTCTGGAAAGGGCTGTCAATAGCTACGGCGTCTTCGTCGCCAATCGTTGTCGGTATGTGACAGCTCGAAGCTCTAATCTATCCTGGATAACGCTAAGGAATCGTTGCAGTCCTCTCAGGATCTATGGAACCTGCCTTCCAACGTGGCGACCTTTTATTCCTCTGGAATCGCAGCCCCCGCGCTGAAATCGGCGAGATCGTCGTCTACAACGTGAAGGGCAAGGATATCCCGATCGTACACCGTGTTGTGCGGTCATTCCCTGAGGTAGAGGGAAAGCGGAAGACCGTGAAGGAGGTTCCTGAGTACGTTTTGCAACTACACTTTTCTTGAACCATTGCTTGGACGATGTTAGCTGACCGACTGTGTGTCACGTAGGTCCTCGCCAGTCCCCCCAAACATGCTCCTCACCAAGGGCGACAACAACATTGCCGACGACACGGAGCTTTACGCGCGCGGACAGGAATATTTGCACCGGAAGGAGGACATTGTGGGTAGCGTGCGCGGGTATATGCCGATGGTGGGCTATGTGACGATTATGCTGAGTGAGCACCCTTGGCTGAAGTCGGTGTTGTTGGGGATTATGGGCCTGATGGTGATTTTGCAGAGGGAGCAGTAAATTATCTTATCTTACAGAGCACAGTCATAGGGTATATGAGTCATTAGTTAGCATACCGATGTATTGTTTTGGATCCTTCAGAGGGTTTTATTCTTATCTAGGAAGTCGAGACTTGGAGCGACCTGAGTCTGGACTGACGTCGCAGCTTCTGGCGCCCCGCTTGAAAGAAAGGGACCCGCCCCGCCAACAATTGCATGGGAAGTCCTGAGCTCTCTGCCTAACTCGTACTCTGCACTTGCGTCTACTCGCCGCATATATTCCTGCGATCTCCCCAGAAGACATCGTTGTCCTGCACGTATCCGTTCAGACCTGTTTCCAACCAAAGATAGAAACAATGGGCAGCCAAAAGCGAATAGCCAAGGTACCCCAGCTCTTCCAGCTACCTACCCCTCACTCAGCGAATCACCTAACACATTCAACAGGAACTCACAGAGCTCACCGAGTCTCCTCCTGAGGGTATCTCCGTCGAGCTAGCAAATGAGTCGAACCTCTACGAATGGAAAGTCCTCATGGACGGGCCTGAGGGTTCTCCTTTCTACGTACGTCCCCGACATCTTCTCCTTTCCACCCCTATATATTCCCCCTCTTGCAACTAGGCACCGCTAACAACTCCGCTATACACAGAAAGGCAAATTTCAACTCAAGCTCGTTCTCCCAACGGAATACCCCTTCAAGCCACCGACCGTCTCCTTCGTGACCAAAATCTACCACCCAAACGTAACAAACGATGATAAGGGGAGCATGTGCCTGGGAATGCTAAAAGCAGACGAGTGGAAACCTTCTTCGAGACTGGGAGCCGTACTACAGTTTGCCAGGTCGTTGTTGGAGGAGCCGATGCCCGACGATGCGGTTGAGGCGAGAATTGCAGAGCAGTATCGTGATGATCGCAAGCGCTATGAGGAGATTGCGCGGGAGTGGACAAGGAAGTATGCGGCTGGATCATGAAGTGTGTCTTCTGCGGAGAAATGGGCGTGCATATGAGAATGATGAATTAGCATGGATGGCTTGATGCATCGCTGGACGCTGTGTTGGGCCCGTACTTAGAGGTATCGTTGTGATCCCCTTGGGACTTCGAATGATTTGTGAAAGATCTCCCTGTACTTGCATAACGGACGAGACTCGAACGGTTAAATCGCATACTCTGGCCGTGGCAATGGCATTCTCCGATTCTTTGTTCCTGACTTGCATTCCATTTCGTAGCTTCTTTTGGATTCGGGTGTTGTCAACACCTGCAATGGTTTATGCGCTGCAGCTAGCTACATTTTGACATGCATGAGGAGGACTGACGCAACAGATATCAAGCTTTATTTACACGTCTTAGTCAGTCCATACTGACATGAAGATCAGCAGCCTGACGATGAACAGGATTCTGCATCAGCATATAGGCTCGAAACACGACAGGCTGGCTTGCCCGTCGCCACATTCCACCTCCATTCCTCACCAAACACCACAACAATTCTCTGCAGCGTCGCAAATAGTCTACGGCTGTACGCCTCGATGTCACAGCTAATGTAGCATCGGCATCCTGCTGCCCTTCACCGGGTATGTAGGGATGTCATAGATGGTATTTATCTCCCAGCATATACTTCACCTCGCGTCTCCTCATATTGAGCTTCGACCGTCGACAGGCGCCGACAGCATTGCCAAACCAACCCGACTCAACTCGACAAACGAAGGCAAAACGACAGACACTAGATTCAGCGCCAGAATGCACTTCTCACCCGCAACCCTCTCCCTCCTAGCCCTCCTCCCCATATCCCTCGCCCTCCCAGACAACGAGGTAGAATTGGGCTACCTCAAATGCGTCGTACGTCCCCCTTCACGTTTCTCATATTTACCCAAGCCAACAAACATGTATACTAACAAACGCACAGTCCGCCGTCATAAAAACAACCCACTTCCCCGAATGCACCTCGAGCTACAAACTCGACTGCTTCTGCGAAGCCGCAGGTGGTGGTAGCAGATCAACTTCCTCCAGCGGTATCATCGCCAGCACACCAGGAAACAGGGCGTGGGTTTACCAGCTCCCGTCTGAGACGGAGGAAATATGTGCTAGTTTCGGTGTCCGTACGTATCCACTCCTCTTTCCTCTACGTCTGTTTCCTCTCCTGTGCCTGCGGGATGAGCGTAGAGAATAGAAGCAAGAAGTTAACAAGTACATACTCAGCTCGAGACGAAATCCCAAAATACCTCTGCGACGACGACGCCGTCCCCGTTTCGCCGAGACGCGGGAGTACACCCATGGGTAGGGTAGAGAAGCCTCTTCCCGATTGTGAGGAGCGAGAGGATGGTATCGAGGAGTCTTCTAGCGGTGAAATGGCGAAGAGGTCTATTCCGCTTGAGAGGCCGAGGCTTCTCATTCCTGAGCATGAACCTTCTCCTACTGCTCCAGCTCCAGAGACGGATGACGATATCGATGTGGATGAGAAGGATGAAGAGGACGAAGAGAAGGATCGGGATCAGCGCGATGGCAGAGTGCTCGATGAGAAGAAGCACGCCGTATATGAGGTTGTCACTGTGACGAAGACTGAGACGCGGTGTTCGTGTGCAGAGCCCGCGACTGTTGCAGAAGATCCAGAATCTCAAGAGAAAACATCCGGTGCACTTCACGGCACTCATGTTGCAGTCCCCACGCCTGCTCCTGCCTCTGAGGAAGATACCGAGACCGAGACCGAGACCGAGACGGAGAGGGAACGTAAGCCCGCCGGTGCCTCATCGTCTGTCCGTGTTCCATCTTCGCCTGCTGGCACGTCAGTTGTTCCGACAGGCGTTGATGCGGAGCGGGAGGAGGAGCAAGACGAGCATAAGCCTGCCGAGGAGATGTTCCACGGCGGTGCGGTGAGTACGGCGTTCTCCAAGAGTGTCGGAGTTCTGGTTGGAGTTGTTGCGGGGTTTGTTTTGTTGTAGTGATATAATGGTATAGATTTGAGGTTTGGTTTGGTTTGATTTACTTATTGGACTTCCTGTTCGATTTGGATTCGAAGTATGCTTGTTACTTCGGATTAATGACGATACTGCTTCTATCATTGTATTATTACAAGAAAAGACATTGCTTCATATCTTGAACTTGATCTAAGTCCAGTTGGAGGTGGAAACGCGCCTAGGTGTGAATAGCCTGTTGCACCTTCGGATACAAGTGCACCATCCGCTGATACAGATCCGGATGCTGTGTCATGAGAACCTGAGGATCCCACGCCATCGCCGAGAAGATCGTCTCAATCCCACTGCTCACAGGCGTCATGAGGATCTGGCAGATCTGCAACCCAATGACAAATGAGAACGCCATGATAACGGCGGTGAAGTCCCCGTCGGAGTTATACCCTGGGTTCGTGAACTGCAGATACAGGTACGCGAGCAGCGCACAGACGTACGAGACAAATACCGAGCCCATGGAGATTACCGGCCCAATCAGGCAGTCTGTCACGAGGGCGTCGATACCGCGGTCCTTCATCATCGCCCAGGTATCCTTCGCGGAGGGGATATAGGCCTTTCCGTACAGCGCGATGTGGCAGAATGCGTAGCGGTTGAAGAATGTAACCAGCCAGTCGAGCAGGGAGATGAAGCAGCCAAGAATCCAGAACATGATGCTCCCGAGGACATTACCCTCGGCGGCTTCATGGCGCTGCGCGACTGAGCACATCTGCCGGAGGAAATTGATGATTGCAATGATCAGGCTGCCGAAACTGATACTGCCGAAGGAGTAGGTTGTCGCGCGTTTGAACGCGCCACGGGTTGCGTGCGCGGGCATGCCGTTCGGCGAGTTGCTGAAGAAGTACCAGGACCCGTAGACTCCAGCGATGGTCGTGTGCACGGTGTTCTTGATGAATTCGCTGAACCAGTACATGGCGAAAGTGACGTAAACGACGAGGCCAATGACCCGGGCGCGGCTGCAGCCGCCGTTTGCGCAGGAAGGATTGGTGGCCTCGCTTCCTGGTTCGAAGGCGACGTAGATTGATACAAGAGTGACGGAGAACCAGGCTGCGAAGGCAACCGAGACGATCTCACCGATTGCGCTGACGACGAACATGTGGCCATATCTCCGCGAAATGTCCATTGCAGTCTGCAGCATGAAGGCCGTGAATGGGATGCGGGGAATCCAGCTGATGAAACAGATTATGGCGAAGACGCCGAAGATGAGGAAGGCGATGCCGCCGCCATACTGCTTTCTAGCGATGTAGTAGATTCCGGTTGCGAGGGCGAAGACGATGTTGAGGATGCCGGTGGCCCAGATGAAGAACTTTGGGAGGTGTCTTGCGGCGAGAAAGTAGCCCCAAGAGAATGCGAGTGCCACGCATAAGACGAAAATGAACAGCACGATAGTGTTAGTGTCGAGCGAGACGCTGTTCGACGAGTCGTAGATTCCGGTTCCATTGAAGCCTTTGTACTTCGAATAGCGGTAGATCGAGAGTCCGGAGACGGCGACGTATCCTAGAAAGACGGCGATCAACTGCCAGAGTCAGCACTGCCTTGATCAATGGAAAGAAAAGGCATACCAGAAGACCCGCCCAAAGATCATGAAACCTGGGCTTCTCAACCTTGAAGGCGTCGTCGAAGCCGTACACCGCCTGGTTGTAGGTCGGGGGCGACTCCTGCGGCGGCTTCGGTTCAGGACCATTGCCATTATTGTATCGGTATTGGGTAGGGTTTGGTTGGAAGCCGTTCTGGTAACCAGGTTGTGGATTCTGGTACGCAGGCTGACGCTCCTCGAAGGCCTGGTTGGGATTGTAGTAGCTGGCTGCCTGTCCGCTCATGGTTGTGTGGTGTGCAGAGACCGAGAGTCGAGATAGGGGCAGGACTCAGGAAGAACCCAGGGGCTCAAGAACACTTTGGGTTCATTCTCGGCCCGTCACAGTTACTCCTAGGCAGCAATCGGCGTCATGGTGATGCCACGACCGGCCCATTCATGTGTTCGTGCTGGGCGATCCAAGGAACTGAAAACTCCACTCAGCCCTACCAAGTAGTACCGAAGATCGACAAGTTGCGTCTTATTGGATCTGCTATGGCTCTATGTACAGTAGCGCAAACTAAATGCTACCTCGTCTAACGCTTTTGGTCTGCCAGAAAAATATCTACACGAAATCGTTGGGACTTCTCTGAGCCCCACATGTTCTCAAATCGCTGCACAACGGATAATAGAAATTAGATCGTAGACGGGCGTGATATGAAAGGGTGCGTCACCGGAACGCATGGTTCCTCATCTGACGCCACGAGTCGGCAAAAGTGCGCTCGAGTCCGGGGATGGGCGTCCGAGATCTCGTCGGCCACTCGTCCGTTGCTGCGTGGATCTGACCCTTGCTCAGGGCTTGTGATCTTCGAAGTTTCTCCTGACGAACGGCTGTTCGGCGCGCTGCCCTTAGCTCTTCGATGCGACCCTGCCCAACGCGGTTTCGCCGGGTAAAGCTCTCTTCAAGGAGGATGTTTGCATCTAGCAGCCTCTTGGGCACGGTCTGCACCACTTGGAAGACTTCCATCGGGTCGGACACGGCCATAATTTCCTTCTCGCAAGCCTTGAACAATCCCATGGATACCCGGAAGAACGTTTTCGATCCTTCGTAGAAGAAAACATCCCAGACGCGCAACGTTGTCTCAAGAGGCAACGTGCCGATGAACACTGACATAAGCCAATTTGTCAGGCCAAGGGTGATATCAGGCAACCGGGAATTTACAGAAAGTGGTGCACTCCTGGATCTGCTCCCCGTGCCCGCAATTTTGTTGTAAACATTTGGGAGCGACTCTTTCAAGAGCACCATGAGAATCCAGAGATCGACATTGGCCCCTTCGAGACTAATCTCGTGGGTGCTTGGAAGATAAACGGATGTGATGATGTGCAGCATCCAAAACGTCTTCTCCTCGGAGAGAAAAAGCAGGAGTAGTCCAGTGATAAAATTCAGTGACTGTGTGTACCCAATCTGAGGGTTGTGAGCAGCAAAAGCATAGAGGACACGGCGGAGCGATCGGATCATCTCCGTCTCCACCACCACACTCTGACCTGGATTTCCATTTGTTTGGCCTGTTTGTTCAGGCTTAAAGTGGATGTTGTCCGGAAAGGTGCGATGCAAGTCGCGCTCAATGTGTTCCTTATCATCGTTGCTTGGCGAATTCATCACCTGCTGGACCAGTTGATCATACAGCCCAGGGTTTCGGTTCAAGTGCTCATAGCCGCCGGCATACCAAAACCAGGCTGCGCCTCGAAGCTCAGGTGGAATGCCTTTCCGTACAAAGCGCTTCACTTTCGAGGATTTGGGGGGAAACGTCGTGGGATTGGTCGAAGGTAGACCGTTCTCACTGAGCAATTCGGCCCATTTTATTCTTCGGTTTGCAGCAAATTCGGCGTATGAACCGCTCCAAGCCTCGTACTGCTGCAGAGTGACATATGAAGTGGTCTTGCGGAACCCATAGCAGTCTCTTGTTTCAGTAGCAATGGCCAATGGAGGAGGTACAACACCAGGAAGCATAATCTTTGTCTCCGCTGATCGAGGAGTAGGGGGAGGTTGAGTCGGTGAGGCCGGCTCTGGCTCTGGTTCTGGCTCTGCTGAAGGCTCGTCTAGCGAGTCCGCGTCCGAATGTGACTCCCCTAGGAACTGTTTATTCAACAGGTTTTGGTCGGGTCCGTTCAATTGTGGTTGTGACGGTTCTTGTGATTGCGAGGATTCTTGTGTTTGCTCCAGAGGCTTGTCGACAGGTTCGACTAGAGGCTGATCAAATGATTCATCATCTGACCAGGCCTCTTTTACTGGGTATTCTGATGATGGAACATGGTTGCGGAAATCTGATTGAGAGGTTGTCCGGGGCGGGAAGTCGTTGTCAGTAGGTTCGAGTTCAGGCCCATCCAGCATAAGTTCGGCAGGCGGTACGGGGTTCAATGCTTTCAACTTGCTGTCATCTAACAAATCCGGTGATCCTGGCTCTTCTGTCACATCGCTAAAGCCATCCAAGTACATGGAGATAGCATCTTCGACGCTCATTCCTTCGTCCTTATCATATGAACCATCTGGTGTGTCTGGAGACAGGTCGGTGATTGAGCTGCTTTTTGTCAATACGCTGCTTCGCTCTGTTCCGCTCGCATGCTCAATACTCGAGCGCGACGTCATAGCAGAATTCACGCTTGATCGGAGCACTTCGTCGCCGTACGGGTCAGATGGCCGAGTGTTGTAGGGGCTGCGCGGCAATGCGAGTCCATGAGGGCTAGGGGTGTGTGCAAGATAAGGTCTGGACCGCTTGTTTTCGAGCCTAGACGTAGAAATAGAGAGCGGGAGATCCGTCGGGTTTGGTGGTGTTCTCTGACGAGGGGATCGTTCGAGCTCCCCATTCGCTGGGGCCGGTTTCGTCCGACGCTCATGCGGAGATCTTGAGGATGTGGGTGACGGGGCTTTGTGGTATGTAGGTCTGTTGATCGGAGAGTCGTCGTCGACCCATAATCGAGGGGAGAGAGGTGAAACGGCGCGTGGGGCGGAGTCGAGTCGGGGAGGGTATGCAGGGTATTTTCTTGGAGAACGATGAGGATGCGGAGAGGGAGCTGCGCGGTAGTAGGATTGCGGAGGACGGAGCCCGTCGGCAGTTGAGGGTCGAGGATAGGGAGGATTGATTCTTAAAGGATCGAGACGAGGAGGATTAGGGATCCGGCGCCGATTTGAGGGATCATGGTTGTTGCCCATCGGACCCTGAGGCGGATATCGAAGGGGCCCATGTTCCGTGACCATTGCCACGACCGGTGAAAACACAGTTCCCGCTGGACATTTGTTGACAGTTGATGAACGGCGACTGTTGGAGTGCAATTGTTGTTAAAACAGGAGAGAAAAAATAGCGAACGAAATGAGACGAGACTGGCTGGTCGCGGTGGTAAACGAGCGAAAGTGAAAACTGGGCCAGCTTGAGCTACCGGGCAAGGAAAACCAACGATGATAACGAACGAGATTCGGGATGGCGCGGCGAGAGGTCTGTCCAATCCATGAACAACAGTCACGATCCTACCAGAGGGTCAAATAGCAACTCCATCGTCCGATCCGGAGGAAAGGAAGAGACTGAGAGACAAAAGAGCGTGAGGACTGACTTAAAGTGGGAGGAGACGCAGAAAAGGGGAAAGCGAAGAGCGACAATTGGGTCTAGTGCGATCTCGAATTCCACAGAGTCCGACAAAATAATGATGTTTCAGTACGATCATAACAATGCCAGCGATCTTCTACTTCTGATTGATATCCCGCCTTGTCTGACAGCATCGATACTCCTGCAGCCGCCATCCTTGCGTCAGGTCGTCTGCATCCATTCGCTGAGCGCTCTTCCGACTCACTTGCCTCGACTCGTCTGGGGATCCCAATTTCGTCTCTCGACTCTTTGCCCTCTCAATTGGGCCCGTGCTTCTCAATTATCAGTTTGGGGGGCGCAAAATCTCCTCTCAATTATGTCCAGCCTGTTGAGCACTGAATTTGGGGGTGTCTCCTAGGCGCTGTGATGGGTCACTTTCAAGGGCCACTCGTTCGGCGCTTATCCTCCCCATCTTCTGATTGATCGGTAAAACGCTCTATCAACTGCATGCTCACCAGGCGGCGACAACCGTGGCCCAACAGGAAGTTGAGAAATAAAGAATCGCTATCCATGGCACTGAGCCGTGGGTCCGAGCCGTCCCGTCTGGAGTTCTACATCGCCATATCACAAACTGGTTCTGGTTGAGAGTGGCATCTGACGGTTGAGCTGCATGCGCATCTCATAGTCTTTCTGTAACAAACGCCGGAGGAGCTCCGCGGCCCAAGATTGGGACATACAGAGTACGGAGTACTGAGGAGCCTATACACGGCCTGAGCTGCTTCTGTGTATCTCGGCATATCTTTCCCGACCTGATCTTGAGCTCCAGGCTGTTCTTTGCTCATCTTTCTCGACTTCATCCACCAAAACGACGGAATTTCAGGGCAGATTGGGTCACAATGATGTCAGGAAACCTGTTATTCTGGCGCTTAACCCAGACTCAGTAATTGAACGGTACCTGTTTCTCCCTTCGAGGCGGATCGCGGCCGTCTCCGAGTGGACGGTTTCAAAATAATGTCCCGGTCTCGGCCCACCGTTGAGGTCATCAGGATTCAGGGACCGCGACAAGGGTTTGATTGCGATTGCTCGGGTCAACCGTCAGGCGGTTCCAGAAGACGAAGCAATATCCGAAGTGCGACCGGCGATTTCGAAATGAATTTGGGGTCGTGATATGAGCTCAGATTGAAAGATCTGTCTAAGAATAGGCCAGTCGTAAGTCCAATTGTAGCATTATTTATCCTTGCCTCGGTTCGCAGTCTGCTCGAAATATTAGGCATGGTTACTCAATTTCTTCTCACCTAAGCATGAGATCTGCTAAGAAAAAAATGCAAAGAGTTTTCCGTGTCAATCATCTTATCCAGATTTCAGACTCCAGAGAGAGCGAGACCATAAAAGTCATGAGGGACGCCCCTCAATTGCTGTGCAGGTCCCATGGAACTGTGCGATGGTGCCTGTGCCTGCTAGGCAGGCGCGCGGAAGCCTGGAGCTTCAGGCGATGAAGTGGAACTTTGTTTATTGCAGACTTACAGTCCCCAGTACGAATGTAGCCTTTAAAAGCTTCAGCTCCCAAGCTCTTTGAAGCTCTGTATCTATCTTCAATTCTCAAGAATCAATTCTCTGAAAAAGTTGTTTTGTTGGCTTTGAGCTAATCTCATTTCGCCCCAGCTGGTCTGCGCCGCATTTCAGCCTCGGATTCCGGGGTTCTCGTGGTTCCCTCCTCTCCCCTTTCCATCTCCTATTCCCGTGGGGTTCCACGCGTTCTGCGGACTGTTCAAAGTCAATTGCATTGCAAAATGCCTGCGAGAGCGTTCAACAAACTGGTAATCGCCGTGAGCGGGACCTTTCCCGGCTACAAGCAAGGTCGAGCCCCCATCTTGCGTCTTTTCGGGGGTTGTCCCTCGTATACTAAGCGTGAACTGACTTGCCACTCAACTGCTGCAGCCGACCTAAGGAAGATTGTGGAAAGCCAGGGCGCCACTTTCTCTGCGACAGTCGGAGCCGATTGCACTCATCTCGTCACCACTCAAAAGGAGGTGGAGAAGAATAGTACAAAGTGTGAGTTAACGCCGCATACTGGCCTGCTCTCTGTGTTCTTAGCTCATTTAGCCTCCAATACCAGTCCAGCAAGCCTGTGGGATCCAGAAGTGTGAGATTGTGACTCTCAACTGGCTGTTGGATTCCGACAAGGCAAACAAGCCGATCTCCGAAAAGTCATACCATTTCGGCACACATAACCCAGAAAATAAGAGCCAATCCGACGCTGCACCCGCCAAAGCGGAGAAGAAAAGAAGCGCCAAAGATGCTCTGGATGCTGATGATGATGAGACCAACAAGAAGCTCAAGAATGGTGTTGAAGATGCGCAGCGGGTAACCTCGGAGAAAGCAGGCAAACTCAAGGTGGACATTGACGAGGGTTATTATCCCAACGGCGTAGGCTGGAGCGGTAATTATCTCTCTTATCGTGATATCGGATTGTTGACTAACGAGGGAGACCAGGTCCCTCGGTATATGTCGATAAATCAGGCCTTATCTGGGATGCTACTCTCAACCAAACCGTGGCTGCTGCGAATAACAACAAATTCTACCGCATCCAACTGCTCGTCTCTAGCGATGGCACCATGTATCAGACGTGGACTCGATGGGGCCGCGTTGGTGAGAACGGTCAATCTGCGCATCTGGGTAGCGGCTCACTTGATGACGCTCAAAGGTTCTTCGAAAAGAAGTTCAAGGATAAGTCCGGTCTTGCTTGGAAGGACCGTTTGAACACCCCCAAAGCAAACAAGTACACTTTCATTGAGCGCAACTACGAGGAAAGCGACGACGAAGACGAAGCGGAAACCAAGCCTGGCAAAGCAGTGTCAAAGACTGTCCAGAGTAAGCTTCCTAAGGCGGTTCAGAACCTTGTCAGCTTCATCTTCAACCAAGAGTACTTCCTGTCAACCATGGCTCAAATGTCCTACGATGCGAAGAAACTGCCACTTGGCAAACTGAGCAAGAGGACCCTTCAAACTGGGTTCGCGACGCTCAAAGAACTAGCAGAGCTTGCGGCGACACCAACTCTCGCGACTTCAAGATATGGAATGCAGTTTCAAGCCGCCATGGAGCAGCTCAGTAACCGCTACTTTACCACGATTCCCCACGTGTTTGGCCGCAACCGCCCGCCTGTTCTAAACGATCAGGCCTATATCAAGAAAGAGGTCGAGCTTCTCGAGACCCTCACAGATATGGAAGTCGCCAACAGTATCATGAAAGACGCGAGCAAGGTAGAAGATGTGAACCCAATTGACCGCCAGTATGAAGGTCTGGGAATGCAAGAAATGACACCCCTGGATCATTCATCCACGGAGTTCCAGGAGCTTCAGAACTATCTCACTGAATCGCGTGGCGCCACTCACCACTTACGATACAAGGTCCGTGCCGTTTTTGCCATTTGGATTAGCGATACTGATATTGAATAGGTGCTTGATATCTTCCGCATTGAACGAAATGGTGAGCACGACCGATTCAAGTCGTCCTCGTTTTCGACGCTCCAGAATAGCAACCGTCGTCTGCTTTGGCACGGTTCTCGAAGCACCAACTATGGTGGTATTCTCAGCCAGGGTCTGCGCATTGCTCCCCCGGAGGCTCCTGTCAGTGGTTACATGTTTGGAAAGGGTGTCTACTTTGCCGATATGTCCAGCAAGTCCGCCAACTACTGTTGCTCTTACAACAGTGGAGGCAAGGGTCTGCTCCTCCTTGGTGATGTCGAGCTTGGTGATCCCATGTACGAGCTTGTGAACTCCGACTACAATGCTGGAGATAATGCAAAGAAGGCGGGCAGCTACTCCACTCTGGGTATGGGTTCAACCGTTCCTGGGGCTTGGAAGGATGCCGGCTGTGTCCACCCAGATCTTGAGGGGACCCAGATGCCTGATGTCTCGGCGGGACCGGGGCAACGCAAGGACAGCCAGAGTTACTTGTTATACAACGAGTACATTGTCTACGACGTCTCCCAGATTCGTCTGCGCTACTTGTTCTTTGTCGACATGCGATAAAGGCACTTCCGTCTTTTTCTTCTCTCTTTTCTTTCTCCTACTTCGTGTTTACATGATTACTATCATGTATGAGTATCGGCGTCAAGCGGCATTGCGCGGAGCACATGATCATATGATTTTTCACAAGCAAAACTTTTTTTATCGCAACAGCTAGTTTCTAGTTCTTCCTTCCCAAAATCCACATAAACGGAACTTCAATGTTTTCTCCATCCTTCTCCTCCAGATCCGTAACAACCTCCCTCGACACAACCTCAAACCCAATCTCCCCAAGAACCTCACACGTCCTCTCCGCTCCCCAGCCACTCCAAAACATCTCCCCGCCCTCAGCCCCACTCCCCAACCATCCGCGATCAAACACCCCCTCAATCTCCTCTACCCCAAAATTCCCCAGGAACCAGCCTCCGGGCTTGAGCCACGAATACACCCTCTTCAAAAACACCACCTGCTCTCCCCTGGGTAGGTGAATAATACTATACATCCCCAGCACAGCATCGAGGCTCGCATCCTCAAAGGAAAGAGCCATCATATCCCCACCGCGCAACTCAACTCTGTCACCAAATTCAGACAATCGATCCTTTGCAACCTCTAGCTGCGCTGAGGAGATATCGTTCGCGATGACATGGAATCGAGGTAGCCCTGTTTTGGGGTTTGAACTTTGCGCTAGGAGCGATGTTGTCGGGATTCCCGAGCCGGCGCCAACTTCGAGGACTGTCTGCTTGCCACCATCACCTTCTCTTTCTTGAGAAGGGAGGTCAGCTGGGAGGTGCTTGAGGAGCTTCGTTACATAGTGGGTGCGTATCGCGTGCGAGGATTTCGTCCATTCGTTGTAGACGGGCGTGATGCTGTCGTAGGCCTTTTGGATGTTTTGTTTCAGGGGGTCGAGAGGGGTCATTTTGAAGGTCGGTTGGGTGGGATAGGTAGTTTAGGTTGTCTTTTCATATACCTGGAGACCTGGAATGGGTTGTTGGCGAGGGGAAGAAGGTGTGGGTGAGAGGTAGGTTTTATATTGCTGATGCTGTACGGAGGTAGATAAATTGGAGTAAAGGTCGGGGTCCTGCTTCGTATGCGTATCAACAGGTTTCTTGAGTCACTCTTGTGAGTCACTCCCCACTCACTCTACACATTATGATATTCGACTTGTTATTTTCCAACTGGAGTACTAGAGGAATTCCCCGGGGCCAGAGGCGCGATGTAATACTCGAAGAGGGGCATATATTAGACCTCTATTAGGGCAACCCGTGCACCCAAGGAACCTATATACAAAATGTATAAAAAAAGCCAAAGGATATCCAAAAAGTCATCGCCCCGTAACAGCCATATCCATAGTATCATTAAGCATCCAGTACTCAGCAGCAAAAGGAAAGTAAATCAATCAATCAATAAAACATTGGTATCATGCCTACCCGAGCGCCTTCTTCAATCCCCACGCCATGACTTTGAACGCAACCGTCAATGCCCAAAACATCAGCTTAATTCCCCAGACAAAAAGTTTAACCAGTCCGCGCGCAAGACCGGGCAGCTCCTCCTTCTTGGCGTGTTTCTCCACCGTCGAGGAGATCTTAACGCCGTACTTCTCGAGGTCGAATTCCTCGGGTGAAGTTGGGGAGGAGTTTGCGCTCGATTTGCCCTTCGATTTGAGGCGCCGTTTCGTTTGCATCTGGGTGAGCTTTGAGCGGAAGGAAATCCACCACTTGCGGGGCTCTTTTGGAGTCTGGATCTGGGTCCGTGTGTGTGTTGGGATCTCAATGTCGAGATGAATAGGCTCGGCGTCGTCGCGTTCTGCGAGTGTTGCGAAGAGCTTTGGTCGGGCTGGGCGGGTGTTTGTATATATAGGCTGCGGTGGCGTGGGAAGTTGTATTTGGGGCCTTGTCGGGTCGTAGAGCGGCATATCGCCCAGGACGGGATTTGTGGCTGTGTCCGAAACCGCGACGGCGAGGATCGCGGCAACGACAGAGTCGATGGCATATAAGGAGGGAATGGCATCGTTGATAGCAGATGTGCAGATGGACAGGGTCATTGTGCGGAGGTCGAGGGAGGCGAGAGTCTCGTCTGATTCGGACTCTGACCCGGAGAATGGGAGGGTAGATGTGCGCGGTGAGGCGACTGCGGAAGCAGCGCCATTGAGCGTATTAGCTGGAAGAGGAGCTGTAACGAGGATTGTCGGAGCTTGACTTTGTCCTCGGTTGGCTGATGGGGTTGAGACGGTGACGTGCAAGGCACCAGAGCGGTGCTGTGATTTCGGAGACAGTGGAATACCAGCAGCGCCGACTAGGGCCGGCGGCGTGGCCGTTTCAGGCTCCTGACTCGGATACTGTCGGTTCAACGAAGGATGACGCAACTCATATACACGTTTCATCGCGTTCCATGAGAGCTTGCAAGACTCTAGAGCGGCTGCTTTCTTTAGAGCGTTTGCCTCAACCTCTGCCGCATCCGGAGGTGATAGCTGGTGTTGTCTGGCTAGGTCTGCCGCTTGGTCGATGGCAAGCATGGCAGCGAGCCGTGAGAAGAGTTGGGAGACAAGGCCATCGTTGGGGGGTTCGCGACGACGACGATCTTCGAGTTGGAACATCATGATGGGAATGTTGCTGTTGGGTAGCGAGGGGTTTGCTCTAGTGAGAGACAACTCGTTCGTGGAGTAGGTCTGCATAGTGTAGAATGGTGAATTAGGGTCCCCGAAGACGAAGGTTGCGGGATCGGGCCTGTTGTGTTGATCATAAGTCAATCAGTGTGTTTCCAGGGCTTGAAAGTGACGGCTTACCGTTCCATTCGAAGGTTGAAACTTCCCGACGCGCCAGCAAGCTTCTGCCCATTTGTGATGTCCCATAGATTCTTGAGCTGTGCAGAGGTTGAGTACTGAATCTCGACAGGGTCGAGGACGTCCGATGGGAAATCATGGACGTCAGCTGGAACGGTCTTCGGCCCAAGCACCCGGTCAATCTCTGGTACTGTGGTCTGGATCTCAAGCGAGGGCCTGTATCGTGGTCGCGAGAAGTTGTTGGAGACGCCATTGCAGTACTGTTGTTGGTTGAGAGGTGCGGTAGGGTTGAACTGAGGGAATATCGACTTCATGGGAATGACTGGAGAGACCGAGGGCAGCGGAGGACTGTGAGGTCGGAGGTTTGCCCCATTTTGTCCGCCAGTACGGCTTGATGTCTGGTTGACCTCACTCAAGGGAGTGCCTCTCCGTTCGGGCAGCGGACTAGATCGGGATGGCGACTCGGTCGACAGACCTACCACTGGCTCGGGGGTGAACAAGCGTGGCGGGGGTGGAGGGACATTCGCTTCTGGTGGAGGCTTGATGCTGCTCGGCTCAATGATCTGGAAAACCACGGCCTTTGCTTCCGCACCCTTCCCCTTGACGTCTTCCAAAGGCGTGGATACCGTTGACTGGGTATCAATCGAGGGCCTTCTGGGACCCTTGCGGAAAGGGTTTTTGGGGACCCCCTGCGGGGCAGGAGGCGGGAAAAGCTGAAACTGGGAACTGCTCATAGCTGTACCTCAGACTGGCTGGGCTGTAGATGGATGAGACCTGCTCAATGCCAGTTCAATGGCAGTCAAGAGTAGGCAACTGAGGGCGAGGCTTGCACAGCAGTCGCGTCGCACATAGAACAGCCCGTCGACTCAATCAATGAGCGAGAAAGACAGAACAAAAACAGCAGAGAATACGATGGTTCCAGCAGCAAAGTCGAAAAGTAGGAAAAGGTCCCGCAGCCATCACTATATACCAACATCGCCAGCCACGGTTGCTAACCCCAGGACGAAGGACAAAGTGGGCGCCCGTCATGTCTTGGCTCCTGAATCATCACAAAAGTTATCTTGGTGGAGAATCAGGGTCTGAATGATGACAGGCTCCTGCAAGTGCGAAGAACAGGCATTTGTTCTGCGTGTTGTTCCTGAGAGCCCACGCGGGCGCTTAATGCCGACTCCTGCCTGGCCGGTCGGAGAACTGTTGGTCCCAATCACATCGGGTGGCTTGCCTGCATTCGCAGCGCTTAGAGAACGGTTCGATGGCGACGCTGATTTGCTGTCTCCCAAGCGCTGAGCTCTCGAAGGATGACGTCCCATGCGATAATGGGCGGTCACCATATGGTAGCGTCCAGCGCTGAAGGAACAGAGGACTCGATTGGCCCGTGAACTGGGTCAGTGCATCGCCTTCCCAGCATGGAGTCTTCCAGTAGGAATAAACTCGGACCAGGAAGCTTCTGTGATTTGGGGGAGTCCCAAATGTTGATAAGATGAGTGTTGGTGACGCGAGGCTGAGAAAGCAAAACCTGAGGAGGGACACTGCAGGGCGCCAACGGTTCGGCCGAGCGCAGACTGACACGGAGTATTTTCTCTATTATACAGATTGTTTCAAGTCTACCCGACACTCTATCATGACACAATATATGTACAGGGGAATTAGGCCTTCAAGGCTCACCGTCCCCATCATGGACTCCTTGAATGAGCCCTTCGGCCATGGCGATGGCCCCCTCCATGTCCCCTTTATTGTACAGGAATAAGCCCTGCAGAGCTGCAGCGCTCGTGCTTTTTGACCGATCGGCTTTGAAGCCGTTCTCGTCTTCAAGAACTTTCAACTCTTGGAGCCTGTTGAGGAATGTTTGCCGATATGATCCAGTCGTGTCCAGCTCGCCATAGAACCTGTCCCAGAGACAGCCAACCTGATGGCGAGTGACTTCACCTAGACGTACAGTCATGTCCACACGTCCAGGGCGAACAAGAGCCGCATCAAGCCGCTCCACGTGGTTTGTGGTGAGGAAAACAATTCGCTCTTCGGCGCTTGCTACGCCGTCCAGGGCATTTAGCAAGCCGGAGAAAGTGACGTTTGCCCCGCGATAACCATCCTCGTCTGTTTGGGTTCGGCGGTTCGAGAAGGCTGCATCTACGTCCTCCAACAGCACAAGCGTCCGCTTAGGAATAATAGTCAATAGGTAATTGAGCCGATCGTCAGTCATCCCCCGCTGGCTCAAATTCATGATGGCAATATCATAGTCCAGTTCTCCCGCTAGAGCCTGGATAAACGAACTTTTGCCAGTCCCTGGTGGCCCGTACAGGAGATATCCTCGGCGGTAGGGAATTCCACGGTCGTGGTACCATTTCCCACTTGACAAAAAGTCCTTGACATCTTCCACAATACGCTCCTTCACACCTTTATCCAGTATCACTGATTCCAACGGACGTTTGCGTCGCGGTTCCCCAAATGGCGTCCAAGAGCTCGTCTCGGCACGGTATATCGTAGTCTTTCCCTCGTACGATTTCGCAGCATAGTTATGAGCCTCCGTAAATAGGTCTTCGAAGATGTGGCGCTGCGAGTAGAGTGTTGTCAGGGTGATTGTCTCCCACGGCCGACCAGTAGTTATGTCTTGCGATTTAGACTCTCGCATTCGATTGACGAAAATAAAGGCGTTTTTATAGCGTAGAATATGTTTTCCGGGTCCTGGGACCAGCGTGAAATGCGTATGAATTGCGCCGTTCGGTTGCTCTTTTTTCAGAGTTTGGATGGAAAGCTGGCGCATTCCGGGGGTCAGTCTTCGCATGAGCGTGTCCATCAAACCGGGCCTGCTGGCTGCGGACTGTGCTGCGCTAAGCTGCGATTGTTGATAAAGTGTCATCCAATGTAGGAACCACGGGTATGAATCGTCCTTGTGCGTGATTTCGACCTCCACCAGCATCCGTCGTCGAAGCAAATCCGCGCCATGTCGAAGGCCTTTACGCGCGACTCCTAGGGCAGCTCCAAGTCCCGCGAGACCGAATCCCTATTAGCGCAAGTAGGTCAGTCTGCATCCTACCTACCCTCTTCGCGACCTTCAAGTCTTCTTACCGCTGTGAAAAAAGGGTTGCTCGTAAGTTGGGATAGCAGACCGCCGTCTCCGGTCGGCTGCGCTGCGGCCTGGATGGCCTCATTTCTTCGATGGACGACGAGATCTCCAGGGGAAGGCTGCCCTGGAAGACTTGGTCCAGTCTGGTCCATAACCACCATCAAGATCCACTGGATCGTTTCGGTCTGTGACCGTCTGTCGAGGGCATTTAAGAGGGAACCCCAAATTGGATTAGATCATGATTTTTTCGGACCACGGGCCGAGCTAACTGCTTTTGTCTTAAGGTTTTTGTACCGCGTACTCCGTATCCTTTATCCTCTTCCTGGCTTCGATCTGGTATCTCTATATGATGACTCTATCTCTCGGGTATGATCAGGCTGCCTTGATGACCGTCACCATGGGTATGCTCTTAGGCGGCGGGGAGTGCACTATGTAGTAGAGATCTGGTGACGAAGACTGGAGTGGGCTCCCTCTAGAATCTGCGGGATCTGAAAGAGCGAACCCGAAGGACAACTCTCCATAAGAACTACATCTCGTCACTGAATCGCTCCAACAACTAGCATCATCCTTGCCTTTAGTACCGTCTCCGATGGTTGTTTTTCATATCTTCATTCTGTACCGTTCCTTCAATATCGATTCTCGGACGAATCGGACAAACTGGAAACACCGACAGAAGTTCTTCCGCACGGAGATATCGGCATTAACGGGTTCTGGCTCGCATCAGCCAGAAAATGACATGAAGGTCTCGGATGCGGAGTCGGTGCAAAACCAGGCCGAAGGCATCGCAAGCTACGTACATGACTCCTAGGTGGTTTTGATCGCATCCAATAAAAAAACCCCGATTCTGTTTGCCCAGCGCGGAGTGTTGCACAGGAATCCCGTTTTAAGCCAGCGCTGCCTCCCATTCTTTCTTATATAGCGCAGTCCAGTCCAGGCGCAGTGGTCAGCAAGCATGCATTGCTTTTTGCGACGCTGGTCTTACTTTCGCTCATACACGAAATTCGCATACCAACCTCGAAGCGCGACTCAATTCAGGATGGCATCATCCACAGCGACCGTTGTCTACGCCTTGACCGTATCGGCATCTCCTGTGCGTTCAGCGGACCCAAAGGATGCCAGCAAGAAAGCGCATCATGTCAAAAACGGATTTGACAACCCATGGGAGTAAGTTGGAAAAGTAATCGTCAAATGCGCCTGATTCTAACCAACGCAACAGCTCCTGGATCGCACCATTTAGCAAACAATATAAGGTTCTCTGGTGAGTGCACAGCTTTGACCAAGCCGTCCGCAAACCTGTTAATAGTATACTAGGCGTTTGGCATCTGGCAAAGCCAATCGCCCTGATACCACTCCGCCAACCGTCCCAGTAAATAAACCAGAATTTCTACCCAGCCGTGAAGCCTCAAAGTCTTTGCGTGCCACATGGTTAGGGTAAGTGGCTCAGTTGCGAGATCGAAACCTGGTCCTGTTTCATAGCTGATTTTGTAGTCACGCTTGCTACTATGTTGAGTTCCCGGGTGGTCTTCGAGTGCTGTTCGACCCTGTCTTCGAGGATCGATGCTCCCCGCTGTCTTGGCTGGGGCCCAAGCGTTATACAGAGCCGCCTTGCCAAATCGCGGACATACCTACCATCGATGCGGTCGTTATTTCACACAATCACTATGATCATCTCTCCCTTCCAACCGTCAAGGATATCCATAAGCGACACCCGAACTGCCATTTCTTCGTCCCTTTAGGAAATAAGGACTGGTTCATCAAGACCGGAATACCTAATGTGACGGAGCTCGATTGGTGGGAGGAGCGCGATATTACTCTCTCTCCCTCGCAGCCGGGCACCGAGGTCAAGGCGCCTGCTGAGGGCAGCACTTCAAAGCGGGCAGATATCAGTGCTCGAATTGGATGCTTGCCTTGTCAACATTTCAGCGCCAGGACTCCCTTTGACCGATGCAAGACTCTGTGGGCATCGTGGTATGTGGAGTCCGGGGGTCGCAAGGTCTACTTCGCCGGGTAAGGGTTGTCTAGATTGCTCCTCGTGGAAGTTGTGCTAATCTTGAATTCTTTGTCCAGAGATACCGGTTACAGAACAGTACCCGAGCTACCAGACGGCGTGGATGACCATGCGCCAGAGTACAACTTCCCTTCATGCCCCGCGTTTAAGCAGGTCGGAGAATTTCGAGGTCCATTTGATCTCGGCCTGATTCCCATCGGCGCGTACGATCCGCGATTCTTCATGAGTCCTATCCACTCGGATCCTCACGATGCGGTCGAGATCTTTAAGGATACCAGGTGCAAGCAGGCACTGGGAATGCACTGGGGAACCTGGGTCTTGACTGAAGAGGATGTCTTTGAGCCTCCAAGGAAGCTCAAAGAAGCGTTGAAGAAGCACGAGATACCTGAAACTGGAGTGTTTGACATATGCGATATTGGCGAGAGTCGAGAGTTTTGAGATTGAGTTCGAAGTCTATATATATACCATGGGTTGGTTAGGTGTTTGGTTCTCATATAAACTCTATATAAACTCCTCTTTCTTGGATACTGTACAATAGTATTTATCTCACATCTGATATGATAACTCCATCATCTATTATTCATGTCTCCACGAAATACCCTTGATAGCAACTTTGAAAGAGTTCTCGCTTGCAAAATAGGCGTGTGTATAATCTTCTCATATATCAGCCTTGCCGTAAGAACTGGACTTCGAGAAACAGGATTGAGCTCATTAATTTGTTTAACAAGACTAACTCGTGGCATACTCTAGGACCAGGTAAGTGAGAAAGTAATGATCAAAATGAAATGCTTGATCAGCTCTTGTTTACATATCCGAAGCGTCATCCTTGTCCAGCTCCTAGTCTCTCACCATCCTCCTCTGCGTTTACACAAGTCACTTCTGAGTTCAATAACCTCACTTCCCAGGCACCTTCAATACGAACATATCAAGTCTTTTACAAGTCCAACAGCGAAAATGACAACCAACTCCATGCTTCTAAGAACCATTCTCTCCACCAACCCACCCAGCTCTAGAAGCCGCTACCACAAAAGGCCCCAGCCCCCTCTCAATACACCTCAAAGCGGCAAACTACAGCCAGCCGATGATAAATGCTCCATGGTGTCCGAGGAAGAAGTCATCTTCGAGCTCGACGAAGCCGCCCTCTCCAAGCTCACCACCCACCTGCAAAACAACATGCGCGAGATCCAAGCCGAGAGAATGCACCGACTTCAGAAGGAGCACAAAGACAATCTCCATCACAGAATTCGACTCCGAAGACACAACGACTCGAACGAGTACGAGAGAGATGTCTACGCAGAGAAGTGGTACCAGAATATGCTTGGCAAGGTTGCGGCAGCGAAGGAGCTCGAGGCTCATACAATGAATGAGAGAGATCCAGAGATCGCGCGGCCTCGGGGGATGAGCTGGTGCCCAATGAGGCATGGCTGGGTTCCTGAGTATGCATCTTGGGGTGCGAGTCGAGGACGGAGTGCGATGGTTGGGTCTGGTAATACTTGTGTTGCTGGACTACGTGATACCAGGGGATTTCTGAGTTGCTGCCAGCCCTGTGCGGAAACGGCTGCGTCTAGAGGGTACTACGTGTCTTCTTGCAATGGTCGGAGAGAATCGTCGTACAGCTCATACATGTCGTGGAGATGTGCTGGACCATACTATGTTCATGAAGCTAGGGCTGAGGAGAAGTTTTGGGGGCGGAATAGTGGACTATCGTCGGAACCACGCAAGAGGTGCATGATTGTCGTGTCTGAGATGTGTGAACGTGTGAGCGCAAGGCTTCAGCGAGCTAGGAAGATGTTTAGCAAGTGATTTAGTTCGATTCCGGGCTTCCTGGTCCCGGGATCTTGGTTGTATTTGTTTGGCTTGGACATTTGGGAGCATTTGGCATATGGAGCTTAAGGGATTCAAAACTGGGGAGAAATAGTCTCACAGCCGGACTGATCTGCTTGGAGCCCCTGCATACTGTTAATGGAATAATAATCATACTTCAATAAAAATTAATGAAGGTGAAAATGATCGATTCTTGAGCCTACGATTTAAGGAACAGGGGATAAGCCACTAATCCCAAAGAAGGTTAGTGGCCATGCGGTGAGCTCCCAGTTCGCAATATCCCACTTGACGAGTGCCGGATTTTTGAAGTCGAAGGCGGGCACCACATCTCCAGATCTCCTCTCGAAGAACGCGGCTTGGTTGACCCACGGTTTCTTGCTCTATTACATACTCTGCTACCGCCGCGGATTATTTTCTTTCAGCTCCCTCTTTTCTTCGTCCCAAGCCCGGAAACACCGCCAAAATGCAGGCTCCGGTGGTGGTAATGAGTACGTGATTCCAGAAAGTTGACAGCTTGGCCCAGCCAGGAGCTAACGGTCTTCAGACACCAACAGTGGTGAGAGACAGGTCGGTCGCAAAGCTCAGTTGTCGAATATCACCGCTGCAAAGACGTACGTCGGTCTTCCACTTCACCCCCCGCTTCAAACCTAACAGGCTATCTCCCAGAGTTGCGGATATTATTCGATCATGTCTCGGACCCAAGGCCATGCTGAAGATGCTCCTGGATCCTATGGGAGGAATTGTTCTTACCAACGACGGACACGCTATTCTACGAGAAATCGAGGTTTCGCACCCCGCCGCTAAGAGCATGATTGAACTGAGCCGTACCCAAGACGAGGAAGTTGGAGATGGAACGACAACTGTCATAATTCTCGGTAAGGATGCTTTATATTTGCTTGTTTTCACTCTTATGGACTGTGCTGACTGTTTTAGCCGGTGAAATGCTCGCACAAGCCCTTCCCCAACTCGAACGTAACATCCACCCCGTTGTCATTATCTCTGCCTTCAAACGCGCCCTAGCAGACGCACTTGCGATCATCGAGGAGGTCTCGCTGCCTGTGGATATCGACGATGACCAGGCGATGTACACTCTTATCAAGTCTTCCATTGGCACAAAGTTCGTTTCACGGTGGTCGGATCTGATGTGCGACTTGGCACTGAAGGCCGTCCGCACGGTCTCGTTTGATGCTGGTGGTGGCAAGAGAGAGGTTGACATCAAGCGGTATGCCCGTATTGAGAAGATTCCCGGTGGTCAGATTGAGGACAGTGAGGTTATCGACGGAGTCATGGTCAACAAGGACATCACCCACCCCAAGATGCGGAGAAGAATCGAGAACCCCAGGATCATTCTTTTGGATTGCCCGTTGGAATATAAGAAGGGAGAATCGCAGACGAACATTGAGATCTCCAAGGAAGACGACTGGAATCGTATCCTGCAGATCGAGGAGGAGCAGGTAAAGCACATGTGTGACGCTATCTTGGCCTTGAAGCCCGACGTCGTTATCACTGAGAAGGGTGTTTCCGGTAAGACTATATTCTTCTTTACGGATGAAGCCACTATCTAATGATGTTGTTCAGATCTTGCACAGCACTTCTTGATGAAGGCCAATGTCACAGCTCTTCGCCGAGTGAGGAAAACGGACAACAACCGTATCGCCAGAGCTACGGGCGCGACGATCGTTAACCGTGTGGACGACATCCAGGAATCCGACGTTGGAACTGAGTGCGGTCTCTTCGAGATTGATAAGATTGGTGATGAATACTTCACATTCCTCCGAAAGTGCCAGAACCCCAAGGCTTGCACAATCCTTCTCCGTGGCCCGTCCAAGGACATTATCAACGAGATTGAGCGCAATCTCCAGGATGCCATGTCCGTTGCCCGGAACGTTATCTTCCACCCCCGCCTGTGCCCCGGTGGTGGTGCCATCGAAATGGCCGTTTCCGTCAAGCTCAGCCAACTGGCCAAGTCCATTGAGGGCGTCCAACAATGGCCCTACAAGGCCGTGGCAGATGCTATGGAGGTTATCCCGCGCACACTTGCACAGAACGCTGGTGCTAGCCCGATCCGAGTCCTGACTCGCATGAGGGCTAAGCACGTCGAAGGCCACACCACATGGGGCCTTGATGGTGACAGCGGTGCTTTGGTTGACATGAAAGAGTATGGCGTTTGGGAGCCTGAGGCAGTCAAGCTTCAGAGCATCAAGACCGCCGTCGAGGTAAGAGTCAAAGCCCAAGTTGACAAGATCATTGCTAACCGTAAATAGTCCGCATGCTTGCTCCTTCGTGTCGATGATATTTGCAGTGGTAAGACCGCACAACAGTCGGCCCCCGCCGCTGGCGGAGAAGAGTAGACGTTAGGAATACTGGAATAAAAACGCGTACATAATGCTGCATGATCTCACTTGAACTTGTATGAATATCCTAGACTAAAATTACAATGGGTATCTTCAATTCGTACATTGCTTTTGTGTATGCGATCGCTCAATCGTCATGAATAATGACACCAGGCGTATCAGCATATGCCTCCCCATCCATTCCTGCCCCAGAGCCATTCGTCGCCTTCGCATCCTCCGTAACATCCATCTCACCATCAACCTCTTTCTCAGTGTTACCACCAGCGCCAGCAGACGGCCCCTTTTTCTTCCCCCTTTTCGCCGCATTCCTTTTTTCCCTCCGTTTACGATTCTTCTCCGTCTTCTCCTCATCCTTCTTCCTCGTCTCCTCCATCTTCTTCGCCCACTCACTCTCGTTCTTCTCCCGATCAACCTCCTGCTGCATCAACTTCAACCGCTCATACTCGCGCCGCCGACTCGCCTTGTAGACATGGAACTCGCCCGACCCCGCACCAGCCGAGGACCCTTGCACATTTGCGACGATTTCGGGGGGCGCAGGGAGCGACGACGCGGTTCGCTGTTGGGACGCAGTAGGCAGGCGGATTTCTTTGCTTGGGTCGCGGAAGAGATGCTCGATTTGTGAGGCTTGTTCGCCGTGGGGGGTTACGGCGCGTCGCTTTACGGGGCGCTTGCTGCGGGGGTCGGCGCTTGTGGGGATGGAATCAGGGCCTGGTTCGGACATTTTCAATAGTTTTTGGTTGACTCTTAAGGTGGTGGAGGGAAAGGCCGGCCTAAGCCTTCGTGGAAGAGGTGGACGTTGCGCGTAGTTGTACGCACGAGGTCGGTGCGGTCTCGACAGGTGACGAACTTGGAACTCGGGAAGCCGATAAAGTTTGGTTCGGATCTAGTGGAACGGTTGACAGTGGCACAAGCGGATAGATTTCTTTCAGTCTTATGTCAAGGATTCAAGTGGCTTGACGCGTCGATTGTTGGGGTGTGCTGTTTGCAATAGTGATGATTGAAGGATGGGGGAACAAAACTGCCCAGTGGGGCATCTCTCGGCGATAGCTGGAGCTCAACAGTTTATGAGCTGACCCCAATACCACTGGCAATACCAACTTTGCGATGCTTGTCGACCACATCATGATTCATGCAGGAGTTGGTCATGGAGGAGTGCGCAGCTTTTTTGTTTGTGGAAAATTCCCCGGCCACCGTGGACGGACTTGCTTTTGTCTGTTGATTGCTGCCGTTGAGCATGTGATGACCCTATGTCAGCTTCTTCGTCGACTTTATCAATAATCATTATTCTCATCTTCTTTGTATCTCTCGAGATTTCGGGTTTCTTCGACTTTTCTCTCACTCGGTTGCTGCACGGCGTCGCTATTATCTCTTCCTCTTCTCGGATATCATGTTGTCTTTCCCTCATGCGACTCCAACCAAGTACTCTCCCTGTTAATTGTCCAATATCTATCTATATTTTTACCTAAGCTAGATTGTTCTCGCTAGTCCTAAGAACAGCTTAAATACCTCGTCGCTTGCCAAATGCATTCGGAGCCCTTCATAACAGCGCCTCACCCTGAAGCCAGAAAGGACGAGAAGGTCAGCCGGAGACCCTACCATCCAATATCAGGTCTTGCCTAAGATCACTAGCAGTCTGCGAGGCTAAATCAGTGGTCTGTTATTTAGTTTGATCTCGGGGATGCCTGTTATCTGAAGTCGGACCCCTCTCGAGTGGGGTATGTCTTCGTGAGTTATAGGTTGGATTATTTGTTCACTCGCACTGGGCTGATGTCGTGATAGAGAACACCATATGATGTAGGCTATGAGATTCCCTGGGCTACGCGCCAGACATTGTGCATTAACCCGGGCAAAAGGTCGATGCGCATGAGCCACTAATTGGTCTTCCTATCTTTCGGTTGAGCAATCTTCCGGAAAATGATTTGACAAGTTTCCTGAACACCGGGGTGGTAGGTCATTTGTCTTGCTTTTCAGGCACATACTAAGGTCGCTAGCCGCCAAAAGGCTATGTCTTTGTTTGGTTCTATCCACATGGCCATTCTCTCATCCACGAAGATGACCTTCAGCTCATTGATCGCCCTCTCATGCTCGGCATGGCAGTCAAGCGACATATGGATGACACGACGACTGGCATTATCATCAGCTCAACGTTGAGCTGCACCTTGGAGCCCATAGCCTTTCAGCCAATTGATCCCATAACAGGGGAGTATCTTCCTGTCAAGCTCACACAGAAGCTCTTTGGCGACCGCGATGACTTTATGACACCCGAGGAATCGAACACTGAAGCTAGCCCTACCTTGCTCTTCGACGTCCCTAAGAGCGAGCTTACGGGATACGAGGAATTTGCGGAGGACGATTTCATAGTTTATCGTCAGAAACTAGGAGTGATTCGGGCTATTGAACACGATGCTGTCTTGCTTCTTCCAAATTCGGAGGTAGTCTCTCCCCTTAGCACTGCAGCTCTCGAACTTCCTCTCTGTGCAGATCCTAAGGTTACCATCTCGATGCCAGAAACGAAATGCCGGGACCTGGGAAACGGCCAAGTTGTGCGGACGATGTACACGGAAGATATACAGCCTGGCCAATCTGTTCTTATCGATCCATTGAACCTCTACCGGAACAAGCTCTCTGCTGAGTACCGAGGGCGATCAATAAGGGCGCATATGCTCGCTGCACCGATAGAGGATATTCATATTGACTGGCTGTGTCCCAATGTGTTCTCTAGCAAACCCCAGGAGTGTGGCCCAAATCGCGAAGTGTTAAGGTTGTCTACCTTACAGGGAAATGCTGTCAAGTGCGATTTCGCGCAACCATCGGGTGAGGAATCCCTGGCGTCGGGCTGCGAATCCATGCTTGCCATCGGAGAGCGTGTCCGGTTCCGCGACCCTGCGGACGCAGCGACCAAATATCCGGGATATCAGCATCTTCCCTCAGACCAGACTTTCGGCCATGACCTGAACATCTTTCGGATTGCATCAACCAAAACCGAAGCTGTAGTTCGATGGCAAGATGGGAGCTGCACTACCGAGGCTAGCATTTCACTACGCCGTTATCACGCACCAGAGGACCATCTGTGGCCTGGCAAATATGTTGTCCTGAAAGATGGTGTCGTGACCGTGACCGAGTCACCTCCAGGCCCCAGTCATAGCCGAGCGACAGACACACTACGGGTGCAGAAAGTCGGGGTAGTACAGGCAGTTGATAACCGAGAGCAAATCGCGTCTGTGCGCTGGTATAGAAATCCACGTGTTGAGCTGATCTGCAAAGGAAGTGCATTGGGCCCTCACTCATCTTTGGGTCATCTGGAAGAAACAACCACAACGGTCTCCGTTTACGAGCTCGCCACATTCCCTGCCTTTAACAGGTCGCTGAATGACTTGGTGATCCTTGCGCCGTCAACCATTGACCAGACAGCGATATCCCCATCACATGAGCAGGAGAGCATTATATCAAGTCCAACGAAGTCCTTCACCCATAATACCTTTTTACGATATGCGCACTACCTTCATTCTATAAAGTCGGCAATGGTAGAATCCGAGTGGTTCAAGAAAACGACGACCATCCGCGCGCCTCGATTGCGTCGTCGGTACAGCATACAAAGCGATGAATCTACTCTGTCTGTTCACTTTGTTGGTAAGATTGTTGCGATGGATCTCAACGGCGAGATCACTGTTCGACTTCCAGGCCACAACAGCTGCCGCGACATTCGAGTGCCGTTGGAGAGGATCATGATGGTGATCCCTTCCGATGATCAAATACCAAGTATGTCTAGCAATTCCTGAAACCCTACAAGCTCTAACATGTGTATTTGGCAAGATGATTCCTTGATCTCGCCTTATGAAGGCAACCTTGACGAGAATAGTAGTGATAGTGAATGGGACACCGAAGACGAAAGCGACGGCTCTCTGAATTCGGAGGAGCTTACTTCTCCGTCCAGGGCGACTGATATTGGGAGTTTGGAAGAGGTTACGACGACGAGCAAGCCCGAGTTCCAGTTCGATAGGTCTCAGTTGCCCTCTGAGCGAGTACCTGTCGCTGGCGACACTTCTACACCCATAGTCTATATTACCGCGCCGACATCATGTCCTCCAAACTTCGCCGTGTTGGAAGATCCGCCTCCCTCCAATCATTATTTTATTACCCGCACGTATTCGGGTTCACTCAGGACATGTATGAAACGCTTACAAAAAGAGTATGAGGTCCTTCAATCTTCTCTACCTTCCGGGATCTTTGTACGGACATGGGAGTCTCGGATGAACCTGATGCGTGTGATGATGATTGGCCCCGAAGGCACCCCATATGAGCATGCTCCTTTTGTGATAGACTTCTGCTTCACTCCGGACTTTTCCCGTCAGCCTCCGTTAGCGTTCTTCCACTCGTGGACTGACGGGCAAGGGCGCATAAATCCTAACCTGTACGAGGATGGCAAGATCTGTCTCAGCATCCTAGGAACGTGGCCGACGCGGAACCCCGACGAGAGCTGGATACCTGGAAAATCGACCGTCCTCCAGATACTCGTCTCGATTATGGGACTCGTCTTGGTCAAGGCACCATTTTACAGTATGCTCTTCTCTACCTAAGCCGTGTTCACATTTACTAAGTTATTATTAGACGAGGCTGGATACGAACTTCTTGCGTCTGAAGACAACAAACGAGTCGAATCTCTCCAGTACACGGAGAGGGCATTTATAATGACACGCAAATTCATCCTGCAAGCTTTACAAAACCCAATTTGTGGCTTGACGGATGTCCTATTCTGGCATTACCTACCTGACAGTTCCTCAAATCGTCCACAGCTACTTAAGAGAGTCATCAAGGAGGCTGTCCAAATGATCCAGCATTCCAGTAGCACATCTCCCAACGGGGACTGTCAGAAACCGATGGCATCGGAATTCTTACCTCGACTCAGCCTGGGAGCTGTTGTCATGCTCAAGAGGCATGTTGCTGCTCTACAGAAGCTCGAATCAAATGTTCAGTCTTCGCAGAGCCCTCAAATTACGGGTTAATCGTCTGGCGCTTTTGCGGCCAAAGCTCAGGATTTTGGGAGCTATCTTCGCTGTGGGTTTGCTGATACAAATTCCCTTTTCCACAATAATAAGCTGGCGAATAAGGTCTTTTCTAGTTTTGAACTACTCGAATTATTGGAAATCGAGAGCTTGCTACACCGGGGTGGTTCAATGTCCGTCTCCTGTAGTTCTTAATTTTAAATCGAGGCAAGGTCAAGTCTCAGGGCTTATGACAACAACATAGGCCCCAATATAATATTCGATACACTAAGTGCTCCATTTGAAATTAAGGATAAAAGATAACCATGTGAGAAAAGTTTTAACCAAATAATTAAATAAAAATACCATTCTGTCACAGGCGACCACTCAGTTCCAGGCAGCAGAGAGGCCTGCGGACTTGGTCCCTCTCCCTTGCCAACTCGGCGACGACGAGCCGCCCGGAGCGCTCTTCTTTCAACCTTGTAACCTTTCCACCTCTTTCATCTCGCCAATCCTTCATTCTTTTCATTTAACTCCAACATTCACTGTTATATATTCTCTCTTTTCTGCTCAACTTTTCAGATCATATTTCCTGGTTCTTCTTCGCAATTCTAGTAAACACTGTTTTCAAAGCTTCGTACCAGAACACGTCAACATGCCGACGTACCGCATAGGTAACAAGACCATCCACCTCAGCCATTGAACAGACTTTCTAACATTAGAAACAGACCTAGCGCCCACTGGTCGCGCAGGCTGCACGAATAAAGAGTGCAAAGACAACAAGGTCAAGATCACCAAGGGCGACGTGCGAGTCGGTTCCTGGGTGGACACTGAGAAATACCAATCGTTCATGTGGCGCCACTGGTTAGTTTTCTTCGCCGGATCAGTCGCTATTGGCTGCTGTTGTGGTTCTTCAGCGTAGGCCTTGCTAGGGGTGAGTGGTTAACACTTGTGTAGGGGATGTGTTACGCCCAAGATGATCACCAACATGATCGAGGTTGTGGGAGAGGGTGACGATCGAGACCTTGATCTGCTTGATGGCTATGAGGACCTTCCTCAGGAGCACCAGGAGAGGCTTGCTAGAGCTTTGGATCAGGGTCATATTGATGACGAGGATTGGAATGGGGTGAGTGTTTTCTTTTCTTCTTGTGCTACGCATTCACGTTGCGGCGAACTGGCACCTCGATCTATGGGTGGGATTCTTACTAAAATGGTATAGGATCTCGAGATGAATCGGCCTGGCAAGCATGGGTTCCGTGTGCGCGGTGCAAAGAAGAAGGCTGCCAAGGCTGCAGAAGAGGTATTCCCCTAATTCCCTTGCAGCTAGAATGTGCGCTACTGGAGTACTAAACGCTCTGCAGGAGGAGGAGGAGGATGAGAAGGAGGAGGAGAAGGAGGAGGAATCTGAAGAGGAGCGCAAAGAAACCACCAAGCCCAAAAAACGCAGCCGCTTCGATGTCAAGGAGAACGAAGACGAGGAAAAGAAGCCTAAGCCCAAGAGGAAGGCCACCGGCTACCCGAAATACGTACCGCCCGCTTCCGAAGAAGAGGAAGAGGAAGAGGACGAAGAGCCTGTTCCTGCCAAGGCCAAGACCAAGGCTACTAAGCGCGGCAAGGCGAAGAACGAGGACGCTGCTGCCCCGGCCGCCAAGCGCGCGAAGAGAGCCAAGAAGAACGACGATGAGGCTGCTGAAGACGAGCCTGTGGCGGAAAAGCCTAAGCGTGGGCGCAGAAAGAAGTCGACCTGATTTCTATTCGGAGTATAGGGCCTTGTCGGGTGTTCTTGTTGTGTGTGAGTATTATAAGCGGTGCTGGGGGGGTTATGACGACATTCTTCTGTCGTACTTCGTGCTGTTTTCTCTGAAGGGGTGGTGTGTTGTCAACGTGTCGGAGACTAATCTGGCCTTGTACTAGTAACATCGTGTTTATGTTCTGTCATCGTTTAATCTGAACCCTTGTTAACCGTAATACAGGCCTTTTCTTATACACCCCGAGTGGTGATTGTTCCGATAACGGGCGGCTGCACAGCCATTTCTCAGCCGCTCGCTGGCCCTCATTGGGCGAATCTGATGCATAACAGGGCAACTAATTCTCTACCCCTCCAATGAGCTCGATAAGAATATCTATTCTATACATATTCAGCACATGACTACATGGTACCGGCGTGAGTCATCACATGACTGCTGCCTTGTATCTGATCGTCATCGCCGGCGCCTCAGCTTGAACTTCCTTCTTTTCCTCCCCACGCTTCACAGAGTCGACCGAATCCGCGCAACGAGTATCTACATCATTTTTCTTGACGAAATACGTAGATGCGCGTCCGCGCAAGCTGTTTTTCCAGGACTTTGTTCCTACACGCTCGTCAGTAGTCGGCTTTTCACTTGTCTCTCACAGAGTCAATGAAGGCCTTCAACTACGAGACGGATCTTGTCTTGGAAAGGCTTCCAGGGCTCTTTTCCTGCAACGTGCGTGACTCGGCTGGATCGTTGTTCTCTTTGGTAGACACCGATTACGCCGTCCGCTCTTTTCCCTTCTTTTGGTTTCCTCTGTCGCTCCTTTGCCTCTACACCTGGCTGTCTCTCGTGCTGTTCTTGGTCAAGTGGATGGATAGTGGCAAAGACAGCGCCATGGTTGTCAGACGCTCTTTTTTCTCCAGGGACAAGGTGGGCAAGTCCACCAAGGCCCCCAAGAAGTCGTTCGAGGAGCATGCGAAGATGAAGATGCAGGAGTCTTTGGATAGTCCAACGGCCGAAGAGTGAGTTGTCAATGCGTGTATTGGGAATGCTATCATACTAACTTCCCTGTGCAGCCCGCTTCTTAGTCCCATAGTTACCTTGGTTGTTAGTCGGGATCAGCGTCTTTTCGTGGCCCATGAGAAAATTCTCTCGCGCTCTCCCTTCTTCGACTCGGTGCTTAGGGACCAGTTCCCGGTAGGAAGCGTGAACAAGGCCTTGCTCTTACCAGACGAGTACAACTCTACCTCCCATCCCCTTATAGAATTCTTCATATTAATCTAGCATAGGGAACCGGAGATTCTTTCCTGCGTTCTCGAGTTCCTATACAAAGGTATTGTAATGCACTCAAAATCACTGCGGCCTACTCCCAAGGCCTGTTGCTTAAATCTAGGGCGTTTCAGCTGATTCCGGCGAACAGGCGACTACACCCCGCGCTTACAGCGCAACAAAAGCCGGAAGACATGGCAACTCGAGAGCTTCCAGGATGACGCCAGCGGCCTGAGCCAATCGACGATCTTCCACTCCGGAGTGGGAGACCTCATTCTCCGGGATACTGCCGTGTACTGCGCGGCAGAGAAGTATGGCCTCGAGGAGCTCAAGGATCTTGCTCTACGCAAGCAGGGTCTGCAAAACGGGATCCCCATCGAGGTCATTATCCGGTCCGCGCGGTACGCCTACGACAATACCCCGGACTCAGAGTACCGTCTGCGCGCCCATTACCTGGCCATGATTATTCGTACTCGCGATATCTTCAAGCGCAGTGGAACCATGCAGTTTGAAATGGAGATGGGACACAAGTTCTTCTTTGATCTGTTTGTTGCAATGTGCAATCATATGGATGACCTTGGGGAGCTTAGGTGGGTACTACTCACTTGATTTCAAGCCCATGCTCGATGCTAATGGACAAAACAGCCTGAAATAGGACCCTCAAAATCCACCATTGCACAACAATAAAAAAACACAAAATCCTCAAAAAAAATTATCTGTACCAACTCAACTCAAAGCACAACATTCATTACTCGCACCAGACTGCCAGAACATCAAGATGCAACAAGTTTAAATTTCCTGGTTTGGAATTTACCGACATTTCGCGCTCCCAGGCTGGCCCGCCGCAACGAAGCCATGACATGACATGTTCGCATTACGACTGACGTTACTAATTATGCCTGCCCTTACTGCTCTTTGAATCTGGTTTGTGTTTTGTTTTGTACAACTTGAAGAAGAGACTGTCCACCATTATCTGCTGTCCATTTTCTGTAGGTACCATCTCCGCTCCTTCATCTGCTTATGGTACACACTCGTGATTTGAAGATAGGCCACCGGGAGACGAATATAATATGTGACCAGGACCAAACTCGATTGAACCTTGTAAAACCTACTGAGCGTAGATACCTATAGCTGCCTTCTTTCAGGCCTCGTATAAAGCCCCTAGATCGATCACCTGACCTTTTACTAGACCTCCTTCAGCATCTCGTATCTACCTGAAGCAAGATACAGAGTCCGGATCCCGCATCCTTTCCACCTCCATATCTCTACTACTCCTCATGGAGGAACATACGACGAAAGTGCCATATCCAGCACGGTCCGACACCGACCCAGCGGCCGCTGACACTGACATACCTTTCCGCCTGAAAACCGTAATATCCGCCCTCCTCACGATATGGCGAGAAGGCGGCCCGAACCGCACCTCAGAAACCCAAATGCGCAAAGAGCTAGAAACTCTTCTTTCGCATCCAGACGCTGTCCTCGACTTCTTCGACCCCGATTTCGAACCCCTCATTCTTCTCTCCGCGCAGGGTAAAGAAAACGACACGCTCTTCAACCTCCTAATTGCTCACGACCCCAATGCAGGGCCGAATCCCGATTTCCCAGCCCCTAGTAACGAGGTCCTTTTCTGGGCGTCGACGCACGGCCACGCAGGTCTCGTGATGAGGCTCTTAGAGGTCGATGGAATCGACCCTAATGTAATGGACGATGACCAATACGGCGACGGCGAGACGCCGCTCACGTGCGCAGCAAATAATGATGCGGTCGATGTATTGCGCGTGCTGTTGGATGATGAAAGAGTTGATATCAATCTCTGCCCCAGCTGGGGAAGGGGTACGGCTGAGGATGGGAACCGGCCCACGCACACGGCCTTATGGTGGGCTGTGTCGGCTGGAAAGGAGAGGGCTGCGAGATTGCTCGTTGAGAGGGGAGCAGCGATTCCCCGACTTGAAAGTGAGGGGATGGTGCGCAGATTGCTTTTTGAGGGTGTGGAGAAGGGGTTGGTGACCATTCTGGAGATTGTCCTCAGGTCTTGCCGAGGACGTCGTGAGGCTGCTAGGGCTAGAGGTGAGCGCAGCAGTAACAGCAACAGCGGCATCGGTGATCATAACTGGCTGTCGTGGAGCAACCATCATCGCCGGACACTTCTGTCCCTTGCTGCTGAGGGCGGCAATGTATCTGTCCTGGATATTCTCTTGCGATACTCTGAGAACCCCTGGGGGGCATTGAACGTTCCCGACTTACACGGCCGCACCGCGATATGGTACGCAGCGTCGGGAGGGCACGATGAAGCTCTGCAGGTATTACTGCCTCATGTCGATAATACCCGGGCGATCGATTTTAGGGATAAGGAGGGAAAAGGCGCGCTCGCGGAGGCTGTTGAGCAATGGACTTCTCGCCGCGAGTACCCTGCGACGCACCGATCTATGGCTCTCGCGTGTAGAGCCAATGTCGTGCGGCTGCTGCTTGGACATTATTTTGTTACGACGGAGTCGCTTGGTGGTGAGCAGATTGAGATACTTCTGGGACGCAGTGTTAGAGGTGGGTATGTGGAGATTGTAGAGGGACTTGCGAAAAAGGATGCTCGTGTTAATCGCGGGTCAACGTATTTTGATGGATGCAATCAGAAGACACTGGTTTCTTGGGCGGAGGAAGGGCGACATCAAGAGCTGCTTGATCTATTGCTGGCGGAGAGCCCCGTGCAGACCAAGTAGATGTCTTTTAGCACTTATTGGGTTGGCCGAATGACATACATCAGATAGTGGGATAGAGTTAGAGAACCATTATTGGGCGAGAGTCGAAGTAAATACGAGGCGAATACCAGAAATAGATATCAAGGCAGACTGGCAGTTTGTCTTACATGCTGCCGATGAGGCTGCAGGGAGAACAGCTGCGACTCATCGCAGAAATAGATGCCTGCTGCACACTCACTCCCATCATCCCTCTAACAACACCACTGAACTTCCATCATGGAGAGGAAGCGCCTCAAGACCCATCATGACTTTGACACTGTCTCCACCTGCAGCACCGACTCTCACACTCTGTCCCTCTGGAGCAGCGATTCCGAAGCACTCTTCAGCCGCAGCGACCCTCTGCCCCGCCGAGCCTCATCCTTGCTGTCGCTCCCAACCGAAATTCGATTCCTCATCTATCAGTACGCATTCTCCTCGTCTTCACGATGGGAAGAACTGATTCGGATTACCGTTGACCGAAAGACCCCCTCGCAAGGGCCGCAGACCGTCTCTACTGTCTTCAGATCGAAGCCTCCAGAGGTCAAGCTGAAATACAGCCGCAAACCACCTCACCACCTCCCCGTCGCACTCCTCCGCACCTGCCATCAGATTTACAACGAGGCACTGCCTGTCCTATTATCAGGTGTATGTTTTGGCTTCGCCACGAAACCTACGTCTCTGATGTTCCTGCTCGACCGATTCTCCGAGACTGCCCACAATAACGTCCGATACCTCCACCTTTACCCCGCACCTTTGTACGTCAACAACGGGCCTATCGGGGATCAGCTCTCCTGGGCTGTTTTATGCGCACGACTAGCTGGCTTGCCTTCTCTGAGGCGCCTTAGTGTTGTATATGGCTTCGCTGAAGATCTGAGGGCGAATCGGGTTGAGCTTCATCGCTTGTGGTATGGGAAGTCGCTGTCAAGGATCCGCGCTCTCAAAGAGCCGGAGTTTGAGGGAGAGGAAGAGTTGACGCCGGCGGAGCTAAGGGAGTGCTATGATCGGTTTACACGAATTGTTCAGCCTACTAATATGGGTTCTGAGGCTTAGGCTTTCTAGGATTATTCGCATTTCAGAGTCATATCTAAGAGTCTATGATATTCTGTTCAGCCGAGCGTCCTCCTCCTGTCGCCTTACTCTTCCCCAGTACTGGTCCTTGAGCTGGAAGACCGAGAAGCACTTTTCTAGCCACTCCTCGGCGATTGGAGGCAGCTCGTATGTATCCGTCCCGGAAGCCGGTGGACCAGCCAGATCCCGCAGGAACTCCATATGCTCTTTCATCTCTTTCGTCACATCGTGATATGTATATACATCTCCTTTGGCCTTTACCTGCTCCGCCTCCCAGTCCTCTTGGTCTGTTCGACTTGGCAGCTCTCCCCCACGGCCAGCGTAATACCGTGCTGCCGCCACAGACTGGTATTCCATCATCCGAAAGAGCAGAGGTGCCCTGACAAGCCCAATAACCGCCAAGGAAGGGTCTCCGATTTTGAAAACATGTTGATACACTCCCGGTAATCGGTCGGCAATGAGAAGGGGCTTAGGTGAGAAGAATGGGAACGATAATCGATATCCAGTCGCAAATATGACCCTGTCGACGTCTTCTATCTCCGATCCATCAGAGAAGCTGACTCGGACCTTTGACGGTCCTTGGCCTGTGATACGACTGATCGGCGGCTTCAGTTCGACTTGAGGCAGGTGCCATATCTCGTTGATAAATGGACTGTGGGAGCTTTGCGACACATATAGCGGACCTTGCACGAGTGTGTAGATGTCTCCAACAACGTCACCGGCCGAAAAGCTTCCACCGATAACCACAACCTTCTTGCCTGCATAGTCATCTCGCGATCGAAACGCATTTACATGCTCGAGTGCTTCTGAATGTGTCTGTACAGTTTCATCCAGTCCTTCGATCTTTGGAATATAGGGCACGTTGTACTGCCCAGTGGCGACAATCACAGCGTCAAACTCCTCCTGCCACCACGAGTCCCCTGGCGCTTGTCCATTGACCTCCAGTCGTCTCAACGTTAGCCTCCACTTGCCAGTGTCTGTCTTCTCAACAGAGGCGACGGTCGTGTTGAAAGAGATATATTCGCGGTATTTCTCCACCAAATCTAGAAGATACCGTGCCACAGCATGATACGGCCGTGTCGCATTCCCAGCTCCATATCGCTCCGTCGATAGAGGAGAATTAGCATCTGGAAGCGGCGTATGCGTAAATGCCATCAGTTCAGCAGGGACATTTGTATCCAACCAGCTATACATCGCGGTTGGCGTCGTCGCATCTATTGGTATCGACGGCGATGTTGTTCCAGGAAATGTGGATGGCCTCACAGCCGCATCCGTGGACGACGAGTACGTCCCAGGGAACTTTTGAGGAACGGAATCATAGTTCCACGTGCCACCGGGGCCATCCCTTCTCTCGAACACCCGGATCTTGTCGAAAGCTTTCTCGTCGTGGAGTGCTTTTAGGGCTGAGATGCCCGCTGGGCCGGAGCCGATGACGGCTACTGTTGGATAGCGAGGGGACATTTGCTTCGGTCGCGGAACTTGCTTTAACTATGTTACATGTATTTGGACTTTCGAAGATGGCGAGATCTTGAAGAGATAAGAGTGGTTCAGGGACGAAACGTGGACTATCACTCGTGTGATATGAGTGATGATGCTATTTCGGAGGAAAATCACGAATTGGAGACGAACACGCTTATCAGCTGCGCTTATTGCCTGCTGCTGTTTTCTTTGGTGGTCTTTTGGCTTATTGATCCATCGGGCTGTAGCTCGGTGGATATTCATAATACGATGGACTTTTATGAGAAAATCTGGGATTGTGTGTAAAGCGAGTTTGAAGCTTCCACAACACCACCTAATTGTTCTATCGAGTCCCGCAATCAATGCGCATTGTACTTAGAACATCCCGACTCAAGTTCCTCAACTTATACCGCTTACTGCAGGTCATCAGTCTCGTTTAGAAGTATATCTACTCTTCTATACTACATCTTCCTTTGTTATCCCCTAGCAAGAGCTTCAGCTACTATTATTCAAGTTGACCCTGCCCATACTCCTCGATGAACCAATCAAAAGCCCAAGCGGCAGATGTGGCGGTGCACCAAGACGCGGAAATGTCCCTAGATCCGGACGCCTCAGGCATCTAGTGATATCATCCCGCAACCATCGTCATCGTCAGCTCCATCTCACGACCAACACCAGCAGCCCAAGGACATTTTTCTGTTCAGTCGCAGCATTCACAGATACACAAATACACCAAATACTATTTTCAAGCTATAGACCATTTATATTTTCTCTAAAGACGCCATGAAATAAGAAAAATAATACGAAATGCAACAAGTCACCTCCCTCTTCAAAGGCAAACAGGCCCAACAGCCCGCCACGAACCGTCGCAAATCGCACGATCCCGTTCTGACGACTGAGGACGAGGCATTCTTGCGAAATGTTACCTCTGAGGAGTTGCAGAGTGGCCTAGGGGCTGGAGCGCCAACAGAGGCTGGTACTGGTGCTGGGGAACAGCCGCCGGCTTCTGGTTCCACAGAGGTACATCCTCCGGGCCCGATCTCGCCGGTTGAGGAATTTGGAAGAGAGCTTGGAGAACAGGAGCGGAGAAAGTCGCTTGTTGAGGCTGGTGGTACTGCTACTACTGCAGAGCCTGAGACGAATGGGAAGACGAAGCGGGTCGCGAGTCCGGAGAAGAAGAAGAGGCCTTGGAGTTTTATTTGGAAGAAGGGGGATAAGAAGGTATCCTCATATCATTCTTTGCTATTGATTATATAGATTAGGAGGAGGTCTAACCGCTCTTCATCAGTCACCAGAGACAGAAACAGCCCCGGCCCCAGAGTCCTCGTCACCCCCCAAAGATACCATCACAGACGACAAAGAAATCAAGCAAGAAAACGAAGACATGACTGAGATCCTCGACCGCCTAAACCTCGCCGCAGACAACAACAAAGTCTTCTCAATCAGCGACGAAACCCAAGAACTCCTCCGCAAGTTCAAGCTCATCTTCAAGGACCTCATCAACGGCGTCCCCACAGCCTACCACGACCTCGAAATGCTCCTCACAAACGGCAACCGCCAGCTCCAGGATACATATTCGAACCTACCAAGCTTCCTGCAGAAACTCATCGAAAAGCTTCCCGAGCGATGGACGGAGACGTTGGCGCCCGAGATGCTCGCTGTTGCTGCGGAGCGGGCGAGTCAGAGCGGGATGAATGTTGAAAATATTGGCAAGGCGGCCGCTGCTGCGAATAAGATGGGGATTCAGATACCTAGTTTGAAGGAGCTGGTTGGGAAGCCGGCCGCCATTGTGGGGATGCTCCGGTCTATCATGGCGTTCCTTAGGGCTCGGTTCCCGGCTGTGCTGGGGATGAATGTTCTTTGGTCGTTGGCGCTGTTTAGTATGTACCCACGCCACCATTCTTTAACCTGCACTTCACACACATTCAGCTTTATACTAACGTATATTACAGTTTTGCTATTCGTCCTCTGGTACTGCCACAAGCGTGGCCGCGAAGTCCGTCTCGAGAATGAGCGTCTTGTCACTGAAGAGGAAATCGAAAAGATGAACCAGGAGACCTCTGACGGCACGGTGCCTCAGATCCGCAGTACGGAGACACTCACAACCACTGCCGCGCAGGGCGCCTCAATTGAAGAAGTTCGACAGGGGATTAAGGATGCGCAAAAATCGCGGGAAGAGAAAACACTACCATCTGCTTCCGCTTCCGTTTCCGCTGCAGCAGAGGGTGAGAACAAGAACCCCGAAGAAGATAAGCCCAGCGGAATCGAGAACGAGCCTCTCAGAAACGAACCCATCAAGCCAACGAGGTCGAAATCGATTTTGTCGATTTTCGGAAGAAGGGATAGTGCCGCTTCGACGCCTTCTACCAGCAAGGTTGCGCCTTATCCCGGGACATGACTGATGATGGATGAAATCTATGAGAAATGTTGAATGCTTCTATGATGCTTGCTTACCTAGGTAATGATGCGTTACGGCTGGCTTTATGGCTAGGCCTATGACCTACGGTTTATGATTTGATACCATTGAGGGATTTGGTTTACTTACTTCAATAATAGCTGCAATATACGTGCTCTTTTTTGTTTAGCCTGTCCTAGGTTTCCCCAAGGATCCGTTTCAAGCTTTCCTTCCATTGGAACTTGTCTCAATTGGTACGCTGCTGCGGTGAGGCTTGGTCCATGTTGGTTGCTTGCCTGCCCATTAATACAGAAATATTATGTGTACTTGCTCATGTCTTTTGCCAGCATGTCACAAGATTTAGGACGAGCCAGATCATATCTAGTGAATCATTATTGTGAGGTGTGGTCTTACTAAAGTATGGTTATGCTGGGTAGATCTATTATCTATATAGAAAGGCAGCCTGAATAGTATCTTCCTGCTTCCATGAAGAGAGTAGAGTATCTTACCTAGCTGTCCTACAAGAACTTCCCATTAGCTTCTCGATCAATAGTACTTTTGTATGTCGATCCGCTGGCAATCACGTGGACGGTATCTCCATATCCACACTCTCTCAGCCCAACAGCTGAACTTGCGAATAGTAGTAGCAACTACCGCAGGGAAGCCGCACCTTCCTCCTCGTCCCGCACTTTCACCCACATAACTCCTTGATCGTCCTCCTCCAGCCAGGAACCGCTAAGCTACGAAATGCTGGAACGGTTCAAGAAAGCATTGGGACGACGAAGCAAAGAGCAATCCCCTTTGACACCGACATCCAGCGTTTCGGGCCCCGCCGACACTAGAAACCGCAGCGATCGTTGGCAGATAGCGTATGATCAGCTAAACGAGACCGAACAGAGGAATCTGTCGAGACTGCTTCTGTCAACAACGCCAACACAGTCTGGTGACAGCCGTTCGCGAACAAAAGAGATACTAACACAAGTACTTGAAACAACTGAAAAGCAGTATGAGGAGTACCAGCAGAACCGAAGTGCCATTCGAGCGACGGCGCACAAAATCCTCAACTCCACATTGTCGTTTCAAGATATCATCAGTAATATCGCGAGATTGGACCCGACAGGCCATGCTTCGAGCGCCTGGGCGATAGTATCCCTCGGCCTGACAGTAAGTTTCGCTCACAGATGGATGGGGCAGAGCAAAGCGACTAGGAAACTAGATGGCTAAAACCCATACAGACCGGCGGGATGCTCTTTTCGAGTCAGCAGCGTATCTGGCGGACGTTTTGACGAGATCTGCCTTTATCGAACAACAGTTGTATAGTGAGACAGACGTAGCGATACCGAATGCTGAAAAAGATCGATCGCTCATCCGGGTTTACGTGGCAATACTGCGCTATGCGGCTGAAGTGTGCAGGATTCAACAATCTAGTATAGGAAGAGATCTCATGGAGAGCATAACAGCCATAACGAGCCAGCCACTTACCCAGCTCAAGTCCTCGATCAAAGAAGAGGAGTCGCAACTGCAACTCTGGCTACTTCTAGACCAGCACCTGCATCGAAAGGCAGAGGCAGAGGCCATTCTTGCTGGCATCGACGAAGTGAGAATGGCTGTGCAAGAAGTGGGCAAGGCAGTTACCTTGCTGAACCTGCCTTTCGCTGATGGCGCGTTTTTTGACTCCTTCAGTGATCAACATGAAGATGAATGCCTTCCTAGAACACGGGTACAGTTGCTCCAGCAAATCAAAGAGTGGGGAAGCTTGGGCGACAGAAGTATATTTTGGTTGAGTGGCATGGCAGGAACAGGCAAGTCTACTATTGCAAGGACAGTAGCTCGATTGTTCAAGGAGCAAGGCATCCTTGGAGCAAGCTTCTTCTTCAAAAGAAGCGAAGGGGATCGAGGGTCAGCAGCAAGGTTCTTTCCAACAACTGTGAAGCAGCTAGCAGCTTATATTCCAGGAATGATTCCCGGGATTCAAAAAGCACTAGAGGATGATCCTGCAATTCCAGCAAAATCACTCCGGGAACAGTTTGACAAGCTCTTCCTGAAGCCATTACTTGCTGTGAATCAGAAAAAGGTGGGAATTCCTGCAGTGATCGTTATCGACGCCCTGGATGAGTGCGGGCGAGAGGAAGAGGTGGAGGTTCTCCTCGAGCTCTTACCCAAGGTCCAAAAGGTAGTCCGATTCTTCGTGACAGCCCGGCCAGATCCAGCCATCCGCTTTGGTTTCGCTCAAATGGATCCGAGCGAGTATCAGAGCACTATTCTTCAAGATCTGGACAATGATGTGATAAAGCAGGACATCACTCTGTATCTTCGGGAAGAATTTTCAAAGATATGTCAGAAGCACCGGCGTTATCTTGATCAAAACTGGCCTGGGGAGGAGAAAATCGAGGCATTGGCATCGATGGCTGTTCCACTCTTCATCTTTGCAGCTACTGTTTGTCGCTTCGTGGCTGACCGAAGATTCAACCCAGAGAAGCGGCTGCAGCAGTTCCTTACAGAGCCCTCGGGGTCTAATATGGACAGGACATACCGTCCGGTGCTGAACCAACTTCTTACGGACGATAAAAGCGATACGGAGCAGCTAGTGGGACAGTTCCAGGGAATCATTGGTGTGATAATTCTTCTTGCTGATCCGCTCTCCCTCATTGCCCTTGCACAACTCCTCGACATACCAGAAGACGATATCAGCACTCATTTGGATTCTTTCCACCCAGTCCTGAGCATACCTAATGACCCACAGCTGCCTATACGGACCCTGCATTTGTCCTTTCATGATTATCTTGTCGATGAGCGCACGAGAACCCACGAAGCCACGTCTCAATTCTGGGTGGATAAACTAGCGAAACACGGCTTGATAGCCACCCGGTGTCTCGCTGCCATGTATCGCTCACTACAAAAGAACATTTGCAGGTTGCCGAGTTATGGGACAAGTCGAGACGAGATAGATCCTGCCTCTATTGCAAGCTCTCTCCCAGAAGCCCTTCAATACGCTTGCCGTTACTGGGCTTATCATCTGAGCCAAGGCACAGTACCAATAAGGATCTTGGATGGAGTCCTTCAATTCCTGAAGAAGCACTTTCTTCATTGGCTAGAGGTGATGAGCATTCTGGGACTTATGCCTGAGGCTATTAGTGCCGTCACTACACTGCTTGAACTGCTTAATGTAAGTGAATAGATACTCGAACTCACAAACCGTGGCTAATATCCGTGCATTATAGGCTACACCTAACAATGAAATATTTATCCTTCTGTCGGACGCCAAACGGTTTATTCTAAAAAATGCACACATTGCAGCAAGAGCACCGCTGCAGCTATACTGCTCTGGTCTTATTTTCGCGCCACGATATTCTCGAACCAGAACCTTGTTTGTGGACGATATTCCTCAATGGATCCACCGACTCCCGGAGTTCGAAGACAATTGGAGCCCGGAGCTCCAGACCCTCGAGGGCCATGCTGGTAGTATAAACTGCGTCAAATTCTCCCCAGATGGCAGGACCATTGTCTCTGTTTCTTCTGACGGTACAATCAATCTTTGGAGCACAACAGGGACACTGGAGCGAACGCTGGATGGTCATGAAGCCGACCGGGAGATTTTAGACGTCGCTTTCTCCCCAGATGGCAACACAATCATTTCAGCCTCAGAGGACGGTACCGTTAATCTCTGGAGTCGCACGGGGGACTTACAGAAAACACTGTACTTGCGGGATGAAAAAATGGTTGATACCTGCTTCTCTCCCGACGGACGAGCGGTGGACGCTAGTTATTATATACGGGAGGTCCCGAGCAATAGCTTCACTATATCCGATCTGATCCCAAAGGATGGCTTGAGAAGAGACGACCGCTTCCCTACCAGTCTGTTGTTCTCTCCCGATGGGAAAATCATAGTCACTGGCTGCAGTGACGGCACCATACAGCTGTGGGATTGCCATGGAAACTTACAGCACTCCCTCAAAGGTCACAACGAATCTGTGAATTCGGTAGCGATATCTCCAGATGGAAACACGATCGCTTCTGGGTCTACAGATTGGACAATCAAACTCTGGGATGCTATCACAGGGGCTATGAGAGCTACGACGATGAACCATCTGGGGGAGGTGAAATCAGTGATCTTCTCCCCTGACGGCGGGCTTATTGCGTCCTTTTCAGACGAAGTATACCGAGGAACGGCAAAGGTGTGGGACAAAACAGGAGCTCTCAAACATGCACTCGGCGGGCGTGAAAACGCCGTCATCAGCGTGGCATTCTCGCCCAATGATGCACTAACTGCAATGGGGTTCAGAGACGACACAGTAAGCGTTTGGGAGACTGATACTTGGACCCTGCACTCTCGGCTGAATAGCGGTTCCTCGCCAGCAGAACTCGCATTCTCTAGTGATGGGAAACAGTTGGCAGCGGGGTGTTGGAGCAAGGTGGTAAACGTCTGGCAGCTGAACACCGGAACGCTTCAGAGTACACTGAGGGGGCATTCCTCAGCGGTAAACTGCGTTGCTTTCTCACCTGACGGCAAACTGATAGCTTCTGGATCGGGAGACAGGACAGTCAGAATCTGGGACGCCAGCATCGGTACTACGTCCGAGTGCAATCAAAATGCACATACAGGCGACGTGCGCACCGTAAGACTCTCACCGGATGGGAGCCATGTAGCATCACATGCAGTCGACGGCACAGTCCGGCTCTGGAACGCCGATACAGGAGACCTGCAACATATCCTATCGAACGATGAACCACGGAACGACGGCTTCATGTATTCTCCGGAGGGCATGCTGTTATTGTTTGTTAGTGGAATTGCCGCAGGGCCTATGATTTGGGATGCCACCACGGGCATTTTACATTCCACTTTCCCTAGCGACGTCCCAGACAGCCTTGAAGGTGCAAGATTTTCTCCTGATGGTAGGACCATTGTCTACCACACGAGACAGACTCTCAATTTCAGAGACACTGCGTCTCAAGAGTTACTACACTCGGTGGAAGCGACCAGCAATCTCTTCTTTCGCACCAAGTTTGTTTTCTCGTCTTCAGGCACCCAGGTCGCCATATATGAAGGAGTTCCTTATACCACACCTAGAAATAAAGAAGGAGAGACCAAGGACAGAGAAGAAGCAGATCTAAAGACGCTGACCACGTGGCGAGGAGACCGAAAGGTCACAGTTCACAGCACCAAAACAGGTGCTATTCAAAGCGTCATAAGCGGCCACCCAGATCCGGCTAAAGTAGTCAAATTCTCGCCGGATGATCGTTTCGTGGCATCAGTCTCCTTCGATGGAACAGTACGACTCTGGAAAACAGCTACCGGGGAGCTTGAGCACTGTCTTCAGCACTCGAGGCCTGTGGCTGCCCTGGCATTTACACGGGATGCGAATACACTTGCTTCGTTGAGTGTCAGGGACAACACAATCAAAGTCTGGGACACCGCTTCAGGAATGCTACAGTACATTCTACCCAGTGTCGATGAAGTCGAAGACCTCGTCTCCTTTGCAGAGGACCGCAAGTTTCTAACAACAAACCGCGGCTCAATCGACATCGAGGCATCGAGGGCGAAGGGAACATGCGTGTTACGTCACGACAGTGTCTCCGTAGAGGACGGCGAGTGGATTTACTTTGGTTGTCACAAGGTGCTCTGGCTCCCGCACGAGTATCGTGGGGTCTCTGCTGTTCGGGACGGTCGAGTAGTTATTGGACGCGGAACTGGCGAACTCACTTTCATGGACTTTGTCTGTGGCTCCGATGGGGCGTCCTATGCACCTGTTTAGATACCTGATTCGATTGGCGGGAGCTCTCCCCTATACCATGAGCATACGCGCTATTGCAGCACGCTTAGGCGTACCAAAACCCAGAGCTGACAGAAGGTGGATGGAAACTAGGAGAAAGCTCAGGCATAATGATCAATGAATGTTTCTAGGAATGATGAAGCTATCTAGGAGCAAGCAGGCTATATGAAGCCAGGATCGCGTGGTGCTAGGACACAGAGAACAAAGGGAGAGGTTCCGACAAGAACGAAAACTCATATTTGAATGTGGGTATCATTGCCTGGACGGCTGCATTCCGTCCCGGCCATTCTTTCCATCTCAAATCCACCAACGAGTGGAGGAGCTGGGGTCTAACAAGCCATCCCTCCGGACAAAGGTGGTGGATTTGGCAAACAAAGAGCCCTCGGTCAAGGCTGATACAATAGCAATAAGGTCTCGGTCTCGAGTTTTTGAATAACGTAGGAGGACTTGTGTCTCAGAGAATCTCGGGCTTTGTTTAGTTCTGGTTTCGAGCCTTTCAAACTGTCGCCCATCTGGCCCTGCGTGATAAAGCCTTTGACAAGAGTTTCACCCGAGTTATCTAGAAGGCATATAATTATGGCAACTCCCTGCTTCGAAGCTGTTTTTGACGCCTACTATTTCTTCTAGTTACCCCAGTTTTCTAACAACAGTCTTACCGTATGTCAATCCACACGATTACTAGAAAAAATGCCTGCCTCCAAGTCCCAGGTACGTCCAGCGACGACAGATGGCGAGCACCAAACAATCCTAGACAAACTCCCTACCCTCTGCCACTCACCCAAACAACTCGCAGACAACGGCTACCCCATCGGTCCCCCGACAACTCCAAAGCCACAAACCCCCCGTCCCTCCAACAACGACGATGTCTACTACTACTACGACTCCGACTCCGACATCCAACCAAAACGCACCGTCCTCTCCCTAAAATGCACTCTAACCTCCGGCTCCCTACACCTCGTCGCAATCGACCCGCTAGCCCATAAGCTCGAGATAGACGAGATCTTCGACGACGTTCTTGGCCTGGGAAGTCTGGATTTGAATGCTTGCGCTGAGGCAGCGCGGAAGGCGCTGTATAAGGTTATCGACCAGGAGACGATCTTGCTTCTTCATGCGGGCCATGAGGACTTGGAGCTTTTGGGGGTTGTTCATGGGAGGGTTGTTGATGTGCGAATTTTGACTGGCGGCGAGAGTTTGGGTTCGAGTGGCTCCAATCTCCAGGCACAGCCTTTTGAGATTCGTACGATGCTGCTGCGGTTCTTGAAGCAGGGGTAGATGCGGGTTGATGAGTAGAGAGCTATTTAAAGGACCTGGTTGTCTACATCTTACCTATTTTAATTATTGAGTCACCTTATTCGGTCTTACAGAGCGTATCTAGGAATTGATGCCACCTACTTCATCTAGTCTATTCTTCTGCTACTGATAGACTCCTGTCCATTCTCATAGTCGATCTGGGAAGCATTCTCTATATACTTGAGTGTTGGCTTCAAAATCTAGGGCAACTCTTTGAGTAAAAGGCCGCACCGAGTCAGGTCAAATTTGGAAAGGAAAAGTGTTAGATTCTCTAAGGAAACCAATAAGATCGAACTCTTCTTAACCCCAAGTTGAAAACCGAGTTTGAGAACATTTCAGAAGGGTGTTGAGCGCAGCGCCAAGGCTTCTGGTGTTGGTCTCTAAGACAGCAAATAGTTTGCTCTCAGTCTCTTGCTCACTCTCTCCTCACTCGCCCACCAAGACTCAGCAAGACAAGTGCTCTGGGCCCTACAATGATCCATACGTCAAGCCGCATCATGTCTTGCATAGCAAACGACAAAGAACTATCTGACCTTCTCAATCAGATAAACGAGCTCCGCACTCTTGGTGTTACTGGACCCGTAGAGCCACCCCAGCTCATTGTTTCTGGTCGTCAGTCTCCTTCAAAAGCTACCATTCTTGAAATGATCTCGGGGCTATGGTTTCCAGAAGTTTCGGGCTTCGCTATCAAGCTCACACTGCGCAAGAGTCCCACCCGTACCGTCAAAGCATCCATCGTCCCGGGGCCTTCGCGAAACGCCGAAGAAACACAAAGGCTGCGCGCTTTCACACCTGAGAAATTCGACATCATTGATGGGCTACCAGAGCTGATTAGACAGGTTGCAGGGCGTTTGGTCATTGACAACCGTGTTAGTGATGATCTGCTCAAGATTGAAGTATCTGGCCCGGAACAAGTTGAGTTGGCAGTCGTCGATCTTCAACCCTTCAACACCTTGCTGATAGCCATACGTACGCTTCGATCCTAAGAACAATCGTGCCCCTGAACTGGCGACTCTGAAACAGAAGCTGCTCGAAAAGCTCGATGAGCTTACTGCGCACCTGAGTCGGAGTCCTCCACTACCGCTAGGCAAGGCATTCCTCATAAAGACACAGCAGTCCAGAAGTGATCGTGTCCGTGCATCGGTAGTGGCATCACTTGCAACTACAAATGATCATGCGACTGCTTCGACGTATGGTTATTCGACGGAAAGCATCAAGCGGGCAGTTTCGACCCTGGAGGCATCCCGCGATGACCCGGACTTCGTGGCTGCAGGCATTATCGACCAGATGGAGGCTTATTACGATGTAAGCGCCATATTCTTGCTTCAATCCTACGCATACTGATAGGTTTGATCTTAGTCTACGCTCATGATATTCATCAACAACGTCGCGGTCGTCGGCATCGAAAACTGCCTCCTCGAGCCTCTGAAACAGATTTTGACATGCCAGACCATCAATAACATGGAAGACGACCAGGTACAGCGCATAGCCGCTGAGCCAGCTCATCTTACTGGCGAACGGCAGCGCCTCAGCCAAGATATTGGGAAACTCCAGGCAGGCCTTCAAGTTCTCAGTCTCTCCAAGCCCATGGAACCGTCGTGGGCCAATGCACCAGCTCTTGAAACAAACCAGTGCCCTTCTAGGAATGCCACAAAGATGCTGGAGAAACCTGAGCGCGTAACTACCGTGGCGGCTTCCAAATCCCAGGTTGAGTACCTAGCTCATAGGTTCTCTAGACAAGCATAACTAACGATGCTGTAGGAACACTAAATAACAAGACGCTTAGCCCTACCATTCCTCCCCCGTCCACAACCAGTGTTGCTTCTCATGAGGCCTTGAAAGCAACCCCAGCGTCCAAGAGTCGATTCACAGACCCTCCCAAACCCCTCTTTGGAGCACCGGTCAAGCCTCTAATTGCAGCTGGAACTGGCCTTTCCAGGTTTGGAACTTCATCGGAGCCCATATATGACACAGGAAACAGCGCCCTGAACACTGGTAGTCGGCCAGCATCCCCACAACACTCCATATTCGGATATTCGCCACAAGCCGCAAGTGATACAGGCATCAGCGCCTTGTACATGGCTAATCGGTCAGCAGCCCCGCATTACTCCATATTTGGACATTCGTCGGAGGCTGCAAGCGATAGTTCTAGGTTGTCATTATTCGGCTAGACCAGCAGCAAGAAAGTCAACCCTGACCCGTTGATCGGCCTTTCCAGTACAAAAGGCTATAATTACCGAGGCCAGGTTCCGTCTTTCTTTCTTTCTTTCTTTTTTTTCTTTTTTTTTAACATCGACGCTCGGCTTTTGTAGGCTCCCCATATCGGCTCTGAATATGAACATCACGTTGGGGAGGATCCTAATAACGATTTTTCCCCGAGCATATCTGTTTCCGGCCATTCTTGTTTGTTTACTCGCCTGAGGTCTGTCTCTCTTGTGATTCTCTTGTGATGCAAGGCGAAATTGAGGATATGCAGGAGCTTCGATTAGGTGACTATGCGCATGGTAATATCAAAGTAGTAGGTTCGTTAAGGGTGTGAAGACCGCATGAAGGTAACAAGCGCTTGATTCTTGGGTTATGTGTACGAGTGTTACAGACTTTGAGAACATAGATAGAATCCAATATAATAGGGATAAGATAAGTGTTTACCGCGGAGAACCCCAGAACACTGGCGAGTAGTATGTCCGAGTGGCCGCGGACTATCCGATAAATCCGATCGGGGTTAGTGGCTTGGCAATGAGATAACCGCATCCCCGAACTTTTTTTCCCACGTCACTCCGCCAGCTCGCCCTCTGGCATCTTTGCCAACATCTACCATCAAAAACCCGCTTAATCATTGTATGTTGGAGCAGTAACTTGCTATCCATCATGTCTAGCGTGGCTCCCTTCGCCTTGAAACAGGCATCTCGAGCCTATGCGCGCCGTCTGCTCTCGGCGCCGCACGCCTCCCTGCTCCCGCGGAGGGTGGCGAGCACCACCCTCCCCAGCTCCAGGACCTACGTGACCGAGACCAAGGCTGGAAATGCCCGAGTCTCCGTCGACACGGCCATCAAGCAGGAGCAAAAGGAGTTTATGAAGCAGACCGGTATCCAGCCGCAGCAAACAGAGCTCCCGGCATCGGGCGTCTCCGGCGACGCCGCCCTGAGTCCCGCTGCGGGCATCCTCAAGCAAGCGACGATTATGGACCAGGGCACGCGGCCGATCTACCTCGATGCGCAGGCGACGACTCCGACCGACCCCCGCGTTCTCGACGCCATGCTCCCCTACCTGACCGGTATCTACGGCAACCCGCACTCGAGGACCCACGCCTACGGATGGGAGTCGGAGAAGGCAGTCGAGCAGGCGCGTGAATACATTGCAAAGTTGATTGGAGCGGATTCGAAGGAGATTATCTTTACAAGTGGTGCGACGGAGAGTAACAATATGAGCATCAAGGGTGTGGCGAGGTTCTTTGGGCGGTCGGGGAAGAAGAAGCACATCATCACCACGCAGACGGAACACAAGTGTGTTCTTGATAGCTGCCGACATCTTCAGGATGAAGGGTTCGATGTTACGTATCTTCCTGTCCAGAGCAATGGGTTGATCAATATTGAGGATCTTGAGGCTGCCATGCGCCCGGACACTGCTCTTGTCAGTATCATGGCTGTCAACAACGAGATTGGTGTTGTCCAGCCTCTGGAGGAGATTGGAAAGCTGTGCCGTTCGAAGAAGGTGTTTTTCCACACTGATGCCGCCCAGGCTGTCGGCAAGATCCCGCTTGATGTCAACAAGATGAACATTGATCTGCTGTCGATTTCCAGCCACAAGATTTACGGTCCCAAGGGTATTGGTGCTTGCTACGTTCGTCGTCGTCCTAGGGTTCGTCTTGACCCGATTATCTCTGGTGGTGGGCAGGAGAGAGGTCTCCGCAGTGGTACCCTCGCTCCTCATTTGGTTGTTGGTTTCGGTGAGGCTTGTCGGGTGGCTGCACAGGATATGGAGGTAAGCCAACTTTGTTTTGTTACAACGCGGCGAGTCGGCAATGATTATATGCTCTGAATGAGGCCGAGGAGGTAGCTCCACGCTCAAGCGTGATTCCTCGGTTTTTGAACAACGTAGCAGGGGTGATGAGTCGACTCGCCGAGAATACTGTGGACAACCTTGAACAAGGCAGTGGCTAACTGGCTTTAGTATGACTCCAAGTACATTACTCGCCTATCGAAGCGTCTGTCAGACGGCCTCTTGGCCATGGAGCACACATCGCTCAACGGCGACCCTGACCGCCGCTACCCCGGATGTGTCAACGTCTCCTTTGCATACGTTGAGGGCGAGTCCCTTCTGATGGCTCTCAAAGATATCGCTCTATCATCCGGTAGTGCCTGCACATCCGCCTCGTTGGAGCCCAGCTACGTCCTCCGCGCCCTGGGCAGCAGCGACGAGAGCGCTCACAGCAGTATCCGATTCGGAATCGGCCGGTTCACGACGGAGGCTGAGATTGACTATGTGCTCAAGGCGGTGCAGGAGCGAGTACACTTCCTGCGGGAGCTGAGCCCGCTCTGGGAGCTGGTGCAGGAGGGAATTGACCTGAACACGATTGAATGGAGCCAGCATTAGGCTGAGATTGGTTGTTCTGGCGCGGTTGATACATTTAGTTCCTTTCGTTATGATATAGGCGTTGGCATGTAAGAATATATGTACATCTTTATTACCGTACCATCTACCCTCCCGAAAGTCGAATTCCGAACCATCTTTTCCCCCCTAATCTTACTCCGTACTCTCTGTTATCCTGCTCGGTCATTCGCCCGAGACATCGGTCGGAGTCGGTTTTGTTCCGTGGTTGAATTAAGATGTCGCCTCCACCTGCAGCGCAGCTCACCGCAGACCCGAACTGGGGTGGCGTGGGTGAGAGCGAGAGGCCCTCTAAAAGCTCGCTTAAGTCTCGGCTCGTCCAAGTTGCACCCACCGGGCACCGGAGACAGTGCTTCCGGTTCATTCTCTAGCACTCTTTGGCGCCTCGCTCCCACTCACGCTATCCGCACCCCTCTCGCTTCCACCCAACGCTCCGCTGGTCTGCTGCGAACAAGAATCATGATCTATACAGATCGTCTGGGGTAGACTGTTGAACATTCTGTCGTACCTTGTAGCTGTACATACTATCAACGTCGTTTTCCCCTCTTCCCTAGATTAACATCTACCCATCTACAACAAAGAATGGCAAACTCGCCTCTGTCCCGTGCTCGCCTTCCTGCTTGGCCCACTTGGTCTGCTGCTCTGGCTGACAGAATTCGCAACTGCTCCGATTCCGATTCCCTGCGCTCCTTTCTCCGGCTGTCTTGAACAGTTATTAATCAACGGGTCTAATGTGATAATCTTGAGAAAATCATTCCTTGATTACGGAGACTTGCCCTCCGCAATGCACCACTTCCTTCTCCGTCTTCGGCCCTGAGCGAGATTCGTCATTCTTAGCCTACTCGGGCGCCGTTAACTTGAGTCTGCTCTGCGAGGCTTGAAAACTCTTCGTCCTCATATTCGTCCCTGATCCTCGCAAGCAGGACAATCCCGGAACTAACCTCGGGGTTTCTGACTGGAAGATTCGATCCTTTCAAGATTTCCTATTTTCCCCTCCATCCTCGTTCTCTTGTCCTACATTCTCCTCGACTCTCCACCTCTGTAATCCAGCACTATTTCCACGCCGTTGAGAGAATCACCAGTTCCCGTTCACTCCCGGGCTCTGACGAATCAGTCCCTTCTCGGCCTCGTGCTTTCCCCCTCGCTGTCCAGAAACACAGGCTATTGAATTTAATCTACCGGGTCGCGCGGCTGCGGTACCCGTCCTTCTGCAGTTGATCTCTCCGAAGCCAATTTGCACCTTGCTCGTCACACACAGTAGTGTGATGGAGATCCTGCCATCGTGACGAAGGTTTTGCATTCAAGAGCCTTTACCTAGCGCTGGACAGTTTATTTGTTTCCGCCAGGAGCAGCGTCAGCCCGTTTGACGAGGGCACGTGAGCACCTTTGTACTCTGTACATTTATACCCGGTGCTCCTGTTCCTGCTTTTCCACTCACCTCCGCGCATAATACCTCTCGTCCTTCTCGCCTTCTTCAACCATGCTTCCTCCAATTCCTATTCCGTCAGACTATGGCATCTCGCCGGACTCTGGCTTCCTCCCCTCAGAGCCGCCTCTTGAACAGTTACCCGACCCTTACTACTCCAAGTGGGAATGGATAGTGTCGAATATCCAGTCTCTCCTGATGAGCCGGAGGATCCGGAGGACTGTAGATACCATGCCTATGCTGTCGACATCGTATCTACGTGAAGAACCGGAGTGGCGGCGGGCCTACTCTATTCTAGGGTTTATCCTCCACGCCTATGTATGGGGTGGCACCAAGCCGGCAGAGGTACTTAACCATGCCCTTTGGGACTTTCGTCTTGCTAATGAAAGCAGACAATCCCTCCTCAACTGACTGTGCCGCTTCTTGAAGTGTGTGCGCACCTCGAATTACCGCCAGTTGCCACATATGCCGGGCTGGTGCTGTGGAACTTCAAGCCTATTTTCTGCGACGAGCCTGTGGATAATATCGATAATCTCGCCTGCCTCAACACACTGACCGGCTCACTGGATGAGCAATGGTTCTACCTCGTATCAGTGGCGATCGAAGCTCGCGGTGGCCCTGCCATCTCGATAGTGCTGCAAGCAATCACCGCTGCTCGGATCGGAAACAGCAGGATCGTGACGGAGTGCTTACAGGCTCTGGCAGAGATGATAGATGAGATTGGCACCCTCCTGGAGAGGATGTACGAGCACTGCGATCCCTACGTGTTCTACCACCGGATCCGCCCATACCTCGCCGGGAGCAAGAACATGGCTGATGCAGGCTTACCCAACGGCTTACTGTACGATGACGGCCACAACCCCGAGTACCGCCAATACGGCGGCGGCAGCAACGCTCAAAGCTCCCTGATCCAATTCTTCGACATCGCCTTAGGAATTGAGCACAGACCGACAGGCGAGACCCGCACCAGTACACCCCCCTCCGACAAGCCCGGCATCGCCGCCGCGCCCCGCCACGGCTTCATTCAAGAAATGCGCTCCTACATGCCGGGCCAACACCGCCGCTTCCTCGAGCACATCAGCACGGTAGCCAATATTCGCGAGTACGTCGAAACCCGGCACTCCGACAAAGCCCTCTCTCTCGCCTACGACGCCTGCCTCTCCATGCTTCGCGCCATGCGCGACAAACACATCCAAATCGTCTCCCGCTACATCATCATCCAATCGCACAACGCGCGCGGCCGACCCGCACGCTCCTCCTCTCCACAACGCCGCTCCTCAGCCGCAACGCTCAACCTCGCGACCGCGCGCCACGGCGAGAAACCCGATAGCAAGAAGCTACGAGGAACGGGCGGGACTGCGCTGATTCCGTTCCTGAAACAGGCCCGCGACGAGACGGGCGAGCCGGCGATTGACGCGTGGGCTCGGAGGTTGCTTACCACCGGTCCGGCAGAGTCGAGCTTTGCTCCGCTGAGTAAACTTGGTGAGCACCCCGATGGACATCTAGAGGTTGTGGGGCTCTCGGGGACTTGGGCGATGGATGATAGCGAGGGTGGAATTTGTCATTGGTGATGATGCGACGCAAACAGAGTTTGCTTTCTGAGGTGATATCCATTATCAGCATTGCTCTTTTCATGGTCTAGAGACTTGCTAGATCTAGATTGGGTGGACCGGTGATCGATGACTTCCATTCTGCGTTGTACATATTCTTACTATTCACATTACTGGCGTTATGGTCCCGTCGAGTTACGAATTACGAGCGATACGAACCTTTCGAGTTCAAAAATATCAAGTTTTTCTTTTGTTGCCAACATACTTTTGACTACTTAGGGCCTTCTCCGAATCCCCGGACGACTACGCAGTATGTAGCACAACCACTTTCGGGATCCAGGTTCGTGTCGATCTCGAATTACCCATCTCACTCCACCCCACGATCACCCTCCATCACCCTCCATAAAGGCTTAGTCTAATTGACGCAATGACCGATCGTCGCACGTATCGGAATCATCATCACCATCACAATAATCATCACAACCCTAAACTAAACCATAGAACTATAAATCATGTCCCGGGAACCTGGAAAAGGACTTAGATCCATCGCCAAGGATACCCGGTGCCCCGTGCGCTACATACTGTGCACCTGGTATCTCCCACTAGTCGTGCTACGGACCTGACATGTCATCTGGATCTCCCGGTCTGTAGTCTAAAAGGATGGGCGGGTAGGTTATACCTACCTCGTTCTGCTCGGATTTGCTTTTGCGGCTGCGATCGGAGTAGCCTGAATAAACTCAATGCAACGTCGATCATCCCTCGGCAGAAGTACGAAGCGCAACCCTCGCCTCCCATTCTTGAGCCGAGAAGCCCGGATGGGGTGTCCGACCCCTCAAGAGAACCTATTTGCTATCCCGAGCTCGAGAGCCCATGTACTAAGCATTGACTCCTGGGTATGTACTCCGCCATAAGGACGCCCGAACCCCTTGCTGTCTGTGCAGAGTGCATCGCATGTACAGGTACATAGCGTCAAATTGGTTACCGGACTGGACTGGACTGGAATCACTGGATTATCGAAACCGAATCCTTATTCGCCATGGTAGGCAGCCAGCTTCAGTCACCATAACCACAACGTACTTCTCGTTCGTAAAAGGGAAACAAAATGATCAGCATGCAATGTACTTTCTCCAGTGAATACTCTACTTTTCCAACCCCGCAGGGGTACGTGCGGTGGTGATTCCCGTGTCTGTGGTTCATCCGATGATCTTCGATCTGCAGGTCCGGATCGACCGGACCATCAGGTGGTCGTACAAGCTGCATCATCCAGTACCTTGGTTGAGGGATTGAGGGGTAGGGAGCGTAGAGATTCTGTGGCGTTATGGGGATGGTATTGCCACGATTCCATGTCAAACGGGGTCTGAAAAGGTGGAGAGTGTACAAACGCTGGACTGTAGATTTGATGTTGGTGCTGCTTTAGGGGTTGGTTCGGAATGCAATCTGGCCAAAACCGGAACCACTCTTTCTGTACAGCAAACGGGGGATCCAGGGGGTTATCTGGAATCTTCTACTCCACTAGAGAGTCTTCACTATATGAGTCAAAGCAGCAGTGAAGAACATTCTCTACCAGAAGCGGAGAGCAGACCTTTCATGTTGCATCCAGTGGACCTAGTTAGGGCTTCACACATGGCCCCTTCACATCGGTCTTTATACCGGCCCGTGAATGGAATGACAAACGACGATGGAGCTGTGTATAAAGATGCCCCTTTCCCACTTTTAAGCTTGAATCCTCCTTTTTCGCTACATGTCTCCCCTCTCAGAAATCTCTTCGACGGTCCCGGTTCGTTACTTCGGTTTGCTTGAGATCGACTTCTAGTATATCCTACACCATGGAGGATCTCAATATCTCGGAGACAAATGAATGATCTTCGACCAAACAGACAGGCGTCCGGGCTCTCTGCGTCTCTCAAATCGGCCTGTCTTTCTGCTCGTTACACCTCGTCGTTCAAGAGACGCTCTCGACAATGGTTCCGGGTCAGTTATACTCGTGTGCTACGAAATTAGGCTCCGGTATACTTCGTCGCCTGGAGTTTCTCAGCGTCTCAGTCAGAAACGGGAAATTCGCAAAGAAGACCACACGGCCTTGTGATATCAGTGTCCATGCACCGAGCCCTGGCTCCCTGTTTTCAGCTCTTAGTCTCCCCACTTCAGTATGGTATGTTCCCTGGGCCCTACGTCAATTCGTGGCTGACCAAGAATCCTACCCAGAGAAGCGACTGCGAGAGTTTTAATTCCTACGCATTCCTCCCTGCCTGGATCTAAGATGGGCAAGACATACCGTACCGTCCGGTCCTGAACCAATTTATCTTCATACGGACGATACAACCGATGCGGTGCACCTGATTCAGAAGCCAGAAATTACAGCAGCAACTGCAGGCGCTTTTTGTTTTCTGGTTTCCATCCTTTCTCCTTTGGCATCGCCTCCTCTTGGTATCTTCTAGGCACTTTCGCACACCAAGCCACAGTTCTATGGTTCTTTTCCTTCTTGGTCCCGGTCAGACCCGATCCACGAAAGCTCGTTCGAAGAAACCATGCTTCAGCGAGCTCATGGGAGAGGCCTCCTCGAGCGAACGGTCCCTTGTCACTGCCAGGGATCAAAATGTAGGAAGGAAGGACAGCTGTTGCGGGATCCCCGGGTTGCTGCCATCTATGGACAAGACTTCAGTCCTGTGTCTCCTCAGAGAGAGAAGCTGGGAATCCGTGCGGTTGCTGTGGTCGATTTTGTTTGCTGGCTCGCTGGGGCAGTTGGCATAGATTACAGACTCGTTCCCGTGGCCATATGAATCTCCTGGCTCCCGACCACCCATGAGGCATGGGTTAAGGCCTTCCACACAGCTGCACTCATCGCAAAACTGCATGCAGCGAGAATACCTTTGACCCTGGTGTCTTAGACCCTCCTCGGCTCAAACAAATCGAGCTTAGCCTGGGCTGGCGGATGTTGCAACTTGCCGGCTACAATGCATTGATCCCCCTTGGTCTAATAAAGCCCAATATCCTTCTGTATCGTACTTTTTATGAGACATACTCTGATGGTACGGAGATGTCCGATGACGACATGCAGGGATTCTACAAGTCCATCCGCGCACTCCGGGATGACACACTTTGAAGACCTCACCAGAAGTATCCCCGAACTAAAGACAAAACTCGCCTTTGGCCCTCTGAGGCTCTACTGGGGGGTGTGAACGAACAACCAGTACAGGACAGGAGGCGATGTGGTGGACTCCGGGCCACCTCGAGAAGCGCCCCGAAATGCCATGCATGCTGCCGACGAAGACATCCCTCACTTGCAGTGTCCTAGACATGACGTGCCAGGCGCACCGCAGCCTCGACTGGGACAGCACCTATGGCCTAAATCCCTTCCACAACTCTGATCCTCGAGGCCGAGTATGACGTTCAATTTTGATTCCACACAGTTCGTTACGTCGCAGGTCCTGCAGGAGGGAGGCCCTACGCGCGATAGGTGACACGCCAGATGGCTCCATCACAACAATGCTACACCGGACTTCAACATCCTGTCATTCTGATTGCCAGACCGTGGCCCTTGAGTAGCACATCCAGCTACCTGAGGCTATTCAGAATGCCTGAGTAGTACCGCATCGTCCTGTGGATATTGCATTCGCGCCACATCCGCGTTTCCCTTCATATGGAGTGATAACTGGACAGGATGTGAGGGAGTGCTGCCAATTGCCCTAGCAGATAATATCGAGATTTCACGGGTTGATTGTTTACAGTCTCTACCCTAGTGTGACCCATGGTATTATTCTTTCCCAAATCTCACACACGGGTCTACGGTCTTTCCTTGAATCGGTCGGGTGACAAGACTGAAGGACTTTCCACTACTTAGTCAAAAGGTCTTTGTCGATTGCTCATCCATAGACAGCGGTGTGAGGAGCGCCTGATCCCTCAACCCAACCTCAAGGACAGGTGGATGTGGGCCATTGGACGGCATGTCATTTACCATATCTATCAAAGCTCCAAGCTGCCGGTCACTCCGGTCGTGACTGCGATTTTGTCACCAGCATACCATTGTAGACGTGGATGTTCATAGCGTCCATGAAATGCTAACCCTAATTTCTACCTGATGACAGCAACTTCCTCTTTTGCCTGGAATGATGTGCTTGAGGGACGTACCACTTCATGTTCGAGACCAATTTTGAGGCAGCGCAGTTCGCCCTGCTGCTATACTAGGACGACGCCGCAAGCCTCAACTTCACACCAACCTCAATCCGAATCTCACCCGGGTTGGCCGAGACGAGACCTAAACCGAGACATACGAGATTTTCACTGTGATACAACATCACATGCCACAAAGAGGGCTCTCCTTACCATGGCAGAAAGAGAATAAATTCCCGAGATAGTCCGGCTCTCGATGCGCCGGTTCGAAAAAATCAAAGCCAGAGTATGTTTACGCTCGTTGGATCCTGCCTGTTCTTCAACAAGTATTGCAAATCTGACCACTTTGTACTTCTTGTTAGGCTGGCGATGCCATTTGATCTCGCCATTTATGTCCGACTCATACCCGGGGCTCGGGAAAAGGGTCATCGCCGTGAGGGTATAGCTCCCTTTTCTTCTCGGAATGATCTGGTATACGGTGCTAACAGAATGGCGTCTAGAGCCATGGCTACCATCATTGAGATGGAACATCGCTGGAAAAGCCGCCCCTAGGACGCCCGGACATCTCTAATGAACGGATACATGTGCGCTGGATGATTGAGGCTCCTGTCCTGATGGTCTTATTCCTGATGGGCACCTACGGCGTCGAACTGACTACCAGATAGTGCATCACCCAACATCGGCTATATTTCCTCCGGATCGACAAGGAAAGACGAGAACAAGGCATCAAAGCTTGATGGTGTGAGTCCCGGCCGAAACAATGTCCAAGCTGAGGTGAGCCTGCTCAATTCACAAGATATGCAATTGCTCAGACTGTAGACGGGCATTCGACACTCAGTAGCTCCTAGTCTAAGCCACGGGCCAGACTACAACGCTATGGAGCTATCTCTGATACCTTTAACAAGATGCTGGTTGCTCGCGTCGCCATATATGATTGCCGGGTGTTCCATAGACGCTATCCAGCGTCAAGCACCGCGTCGAGATGGAGTAAACCAACGCGGATAAGCCCGCGCTGAACCTCAACGTCCCAAACGACCCGGTACTCGTGCACCAGAAAAGGAAGTTCTAGCTTTCCTGGTCAAAAACCAGGACCAGCACAGAATCTCCTACAAACAGGGAAGTCTTATGGCTAACAGAGTCCAGAGCCGCTATGAGCAGGTCACGGACGACATCAAGTTCCTCGGCGACGACGCCACAAGAGCATTACTCGCCTCTAGTGAGCCTTTCCTATCACGCAGAACACCCACTGTCGGAGAACGAATGACTTCCGCTGATTCAGAAGATGAGATTGAGACTCAACTTAAAGACTACGCCTTTACGGTGAATGGCGCAGGGTATAAGCTCAATGAGACCTTCTCAACGCGAGCCGAGCCATGCAAAGTGATTGCAGCAACTCTTGACGGTGATATCTGCGTCTTATTCCTCAGTCGCTCGCTCCCATCATAGTGCCTCGGAGAAAATCTCCAAGGCAGTATGTTTCTTCTTTTTAGGTTGCAGATGCTTCAAGGGCTACCTACCCGGAGCAGAGTATCTGATGCAGCCGAACAGATCCCCCGCGGATGCACAAGGGCCCTTCTACATCCTGGACCAACTCTTTCCGACTGGTGGGCCCATCAGCCCCGAATACATGGACTACAGTACCTCGTGAATCCAGATGCTCACATCACCCCTGCTGCTCACCTCAACATCGACCATGGTAATGGAGATATGTTATACAGTGGGCCAAGCAGAAGAGCATGAAGCCATCAGGTTTCTTGGATGAGCTAGCTCTGCTCATACGCTTGTATACTTTAGCTTACAGCTACCCTTCACCAGGCTGGGGTCTGTCGAGTCCCTTTCTAGTCCTGAATCCGGTCCCAGCTATCTACATCTGCAGTCCTTCCTGTGGCCGGAGCTCAAGCAGATGATGCCTCGCTACCATGAACCGTCCACTGAAGAAAAACACTTGCGAGTTGCCGAATCATGAGACAAGCCGAGACAAGATAGCTCCTCCCTGACTTACAATCAACGAGCAACCAGTCCAGGAGAGGGGGGTCTACCTTGATCTGTATTATGGAATCTCCCATTGGGACCCGCTGCAGCCATGGCCATGTCTATAATGGGGTAAACAAGCTCTCAAGAGGATTGTTACCAGCTTGACGGAAATATTAATACCCTCCTACAAGCTCATGCCGAGAACAGGATGTGTCTTTGGCCGGGCGGATGGGTGGTGAGCCTCGGGACCGAGGGTCATCCGCGGCAGGCTTCATGCTCTACGCTGGTTGTTTGAGGATTAACCTCGGGGTTTCCCATGGAATACGTTTTGCTCCGTCTTGCCTGAATGCTGGAGGGTTCAACTTCCCGCATCTATCTGGGCGGCCAGCAGCAACGCGAACTTAGTTGCGCGCCGATGCTACACGTTTGGTCAATAGCAACCCCACACCCACGCGGTCTACCGTCTGTCCCCATCCAGTGACGAGGCGAGGACAGGCTAGTCATGTCTTATGTTGCGGTTGTTGTCGAGCTCTCCAGGCCCCTTCAGCACACCCTGACCATCCACGAATATGGAATGGCCACTCGCTCCACGACTAATACTAAGCGCGTTTGCTTGTTGACTACATTGGACATATCCTTCAACCATGAGCCATCCCAAGCCGGCCCGTTAGGCAGAGGAAAATCAAGGCACTGTGATCATCACTGTTCCTCCATTAAGACGCTGCAGACGAGACGCCCAGTCAGTAAGTCGGACCCTATATGATGGTATGTAAGCTCCACTGACTGGTAAGGGTACTCAATAGGACTACCCAAAACATCTTCCAGCGTTCGACGCCCGGCCTCTCTTCACTATTTTATGCTGTGAATGGGAAACGAAAAACGGCCACAGGACAGCAAGCTTCATCCGCCTGCAGGGGTTGGAGTGCCCTGAGTCTACACTAGCCCAACCGACGAGTGGTACCAGGTGTAATCCAATATCCTGGAAGCCGTATTATCCCGTGTCTCCTGGGGCCATCATGGCATGCTAGACAATTCTGATACTAGTCAGGCTGCCGCAGAATGTAGGTACTTTGGGCTCAATGGCATGTCACCGCTTGTCCAGGGCCAGGGACTGAGGCTTGGTGCCTTGCGGGTCCTATCTAGAGGCTGGGAGGAATCGATGAGAGAGCCAAAAAAGAAAGCTCATCACGAAAAGTGGCAAGGTAGAGTCTGTCTTTGAAAAACGGACTCGCTCGCCTGTATCCAAGTCAAACAAGTCGTGTCTCGATACATCCATCTTCTGAGCTGGTGGCTGTTCCAAACATCTTGTCAACCGGCACACTGGCCTTTTCGACTTTCATCACAAGGGAGGCATCGGGGAGTTCCATGATACTCCAAAGCCATGTCTTGCACGAGCCAAACATGTTTAGCAATTGAGATTTTCATGGTTAGACAGCTACAATGCTGTGGCTCAAGGGTCTTACCCTGAGAATGAAAACATTGTTCTCTCTCTGTTTGCCATCTATTGGACAAAGCTACCCCAATCCTTGCCAACGCTGTTAGGATATCGAGGAGAGTGTCTCCCATCGACGAGAAACCATCGATAGACGGAGATTTGTCTCTGTCCACGCGCAATGGCAAGCTCTCTGACTGTATGCCGGATAGTAAGTATCCTTTCCGCCTAGTAGCCATCGTTCCTTTGGACAATTGGTCACTGACTAGACATAGGATATCATGTGTCTTGGCACCTCACAAATCTTCGCGCCTTGTATCTTAGCATTCAAATCTACGATACAACATTGAAAGATCGACGATGCCATCAGGAATAGCCCAGAGATCACGAGAGGTGATCAAGGTACCCCTCCCTGGCCTTGCTCGTGGTCCAAGAACCACCACATCTTTCCCACTCTCAAGAATGTTCAATACGTTGGGATCCTCGAGCATTGGCAAAGCTTCCAGGCGGAACCCCTGAAGACGTACGAGGACACTCCCTGGCAGACCCTCACCACGATAAAGTACCGCAGTCGAACCCCCCTAGCCTATGATTATATCTGATCCAGCATATATTGGGCCAGATAACCTTCTATGCAGTTAGACGATCAGCCTACTCAGCCTATCACGATCCGATAACACCGCTTCTGGACACACTGTGCTGCATAATGACTTGATGACCTTGGGGATGCCGACGAGGCACTTCGGGCTGTTGCGGTCTTCCTCTAAAAGACCACGGAGGACTTTGCTGGGGTGGGCTGTAGCCTGACGACGAGTTGAAGGTCGCTTTCAACTACCTGACCTTCGATTCTGACCCTGAAGTTGATTAGGGTTAGGGAGCACAAGCACTCGTACTTCCTTTTATTCACTCCTCCCGGATTCGTCCCGATCATGCCCACGCGTCACTCCAACCGACTGCGCCTGCTCTGAAGAGACTGCCAGACGAAAAGCGCGAGGATATCTATAGACCAGGTGTCCATAACAAGTTCCGAAGACTAGCCGTCTTCAACAAACCGATATCACCGGGCTGTGTGATGTTCCTGGGAACTCTCTTTGTCAATGCGCTTCACACTTGCAAATTCCACGGTTACTACACGGCGTATAGAAACAGGCTGTGTGCGCTTGAGTCCGAAGACGTCGAGGTCTGTGCCATTGGAACAACGAACACAGTATCTGCAATTGCTGCAGCGGTGCTAGTCAAGAGCGAGCCACGAAATTTGACTTTCGAAAACCCTAAGCCACCACCCTTCTCGTGGTTCTCCGCCAAAGTGCCTGCTTACTCCCCCCTCCTGCGCTCCACCGCGGTCTGCCACCATTACCTCCAGGGCGATCATCACTCCTGGCTCCCGAATGGGGGCGAGATGCCTTGCGATCGCTGCAAGAAGGTCGGCCGTGGGTTGACTGGATGTTGCCAGGATGTTGCCAGGATGGCATGTCTTCGCCGCTGCTGCCCTTCCAGTCTATCACGCAGATCACAGTTCGCGGAAAGTGGCCGATCGTCCTATAGGACAACGGAATCAACGCTTGCCCCCTATAATCTTCGAAAAAGGATGGAGAGAGTCGAACATGCAGCTTCAGAATGGCATCAATTTTTGACTCTTGTGTGAGGATAGCCTCGTGTGTGAGGTTGGGTTGTATTATGCACATAGCAGGGGGGTGTAGAAGCAGGGAATCAAGCCAGCGGAATTGACTTTTGAGTTTTATGTACTTGGATATGCCCGTAGAGCGACAGAGCAACTATATCCCACTAAATCGACATACCTTCCGCAACGCGTATGCCGTTTATTCGCTAGATGATGTCCTTGACACCTTGATGAGGCCGAAGCTCAAGGCTTACTTTATGGGGGACACATCATGGAGCTATTGGTCGCACAATACAAGACTGCAGTGGTTGCCCTCCATTGGCAATACGCCTACACGCGGATGGGACGGATCTCCTGGATTCGATGTAACCTATTCCTATACTGTGATTATTGAGCAGGAAATTCCGAAGCTTGCTCAACAACGAGCTACACAACAATGTCAACATCTTTACCTAACACAACCTGCTTGTAGCCCGAACGAGAGGGACAGGATTTTCAGTGCCTTACTACCATCCATAAGAAAATGTCAGTGGACGGTGTGTGTAGTTACTATGTTAATGCTGCAGGTCACAAGCCTAAATCCATTCTGTCGAAAAGTGCATCTCTTCAACACCAGCACCATAGCCCTTGGAAGACTATGAAGGTGCTCCCTGGCTCTCTGTGAGTCTGCGTGGGCACTCACATTGAGTTAGTCAATCTCCTCTGGGTCTTGCTCTGCTGTATTCTTTGGTCCTGCCTTTAGACCTTATCAGGCCCCAATTCTCCGTCGATTATATTCCACCTTGCAATTATATGCAAGAGCAGCAGTTACCTTATCAGCAGTTCTGCGGCCAATGGTTTACGATCCCAGGTTGGGGGAATCAACCTGAGAAGCATGGTTGCAAGGACTGACCTTTGGCCACCATGGCCTGTTAAATGCCACAAATCCAGCCAGCATATCGGACTCTTGGAATGCAGACAGCAGTTCAGATGGCTTTTCAAGGTGTTGTCGTGGCGCCCCAACAGGGGTCTCACAGCCATGGCATAGCTCGAAGTATCCGACATGGCAAGGAAGCATGCCCGAATCGTCCATCCACTATGCCATTGTGCGAGGCGCTGGAAACAGTGAATCGCTGTACCTACCCTTTGTCCACCATGACACCTGGTGCAACCCACTCTGCCGTGGCATCCACAGGATCTGATATCCGAAACCCTGACACGGCATCCGCTCTTGGGTCTCTAGCAGCGCCATGAGGAGATCCACTGCTCCCATCTGGTGCTCCGTTTATGGCGACATCTAGACCATGCTGGCCTTGCCGGTTTTTTGCGAGGGCCAGAGCATGGAATGAGATGGTTATGTTCGTTCAGCAGGCAAACTTAAGCGATGAACCGATCATAGGATCATGATACCATTGCCTGACAGTGCAATATCAAAAGCCGTCCAAATGAGCATCGAAATAGTCTGCACTATCAGCAAATATGGCCCCTGCTTGTTTTTCATCCTTGACTGTGATGAACCCTTTGACGGGTTAGGTCAGATATTTGAGACTAAACCACAGGCAGCTTTCGGGGTTACTTGCTGTGCACAAAGTTCTTCCTAGCGGCGTGTAATTACCATGAGACTACTGCTGTGTTAGCTCACGGCAAGGGACCAGCTATTTGTTTCATAGTACAAATGTGCGGCGAAGAGCTCAAGGCCCGGGCCTTGGAATGATTCCCACCTCTCCGGTTGCAGCCTACTTCGAGGATTTGTTCCATGGCCTGACAACCGCTCTGCACCATCCCAAGCTATTATGGTTCATGCCCAGGTACTGCTCCCGCACAACAAGCCCAGCTCAAAGTCCTGGCAGGTGCTGTAAACAAGCCCGAACCCAATACGCCGCCTCGAACCAATTCAACTGGAGATGGACCTTCGAGCGGGTCCGAATTCTGTCAACGAGGGCCGTAACGGAGGATTGCAAAATTGGAATCGAAGGGCGACGACTTCAGGGTCATCAACGCTACAAGGTGAGCAAGGGTGCTTCTTCAGAAGGCGTTAGCAGAGACCGCAAGTGGCCCTTGTGATGGCTGGCCGGTCGGATTAGGGTTACCGAGCCACATCCGGATGTAGATCCGACACCCATTAGGTGTGACCTAGGCGGGAAACAAGAATAAATCAGATCTTGAGCCCTCCAAAGCTCTTTGCTGGGAAGGAGCTAGTTCGGTGATGGGTGCGCTTTTGAGTTCTAGAGAAGACCCAGGCCCCTTCTGGCATGTGCCCGGGCACACAACTCACGCCTCAAAGCTAGGATGGGCAATCCATGTCGCCACTAATGACATTTGTGCTATATGGACTAGGGGGCCGCTCTGGAATGGTTGGCACCACTTCTTCAATCTGCGCAGACGACTTCAAGGGCATCCTCAAGTAGCTCTATAAGAAGCTTTGCCCTGATGAAAAAGCCAATGCTCCTTCACTAGATGTCCTTGATTGGATTGACCGTCTATACTCTTTACTCATCTCACCAAGCCGATATTGATCGGTCACTCCTTTTCATACGATACGCCCTTGTACCTGACAGTTCCACCGCACCGTCTACACCCGCCGACGGCTCTTCAACCGCGGAGCTACTACTATGTCTGATCCTACTCCTGACTCCGTACTAGGAACAGGCCAGCCCTGCCACAACAGCGTGGGCAAAGAAGCCGGATCTCGAAACAACTTCATCTCGTGGTGTACAAACGAGGTGTACGGGGTGAAAGTTTCAGGGCTTTTTGCCCGAGAACCATATCAAACATCATTGGGTTGCCTGCTTCTCACCCGGTTCGTCCTGTGGATTGACAAGCAGCAAGAATAATTCAAGCACGGTGCAATAATCGGTAAACTAGAGGGCTCGACTCATCAATAGAACGGCCTCGATTATACAAGCCCCGTGCCAGCGCTTTCGTCGGGTATGAACAAAAGCATACAGATTGCTTGTCCTCGGGCTTAACCTGGTCGTCGTCGAAGCCAAAACCGGTTGCCCCTTCCTCCTCGTGGCCGGTAGTCCTGAAGATACTTCGCGATTGGTCGATACGATAGTCCTGAGATCAGCAGTTCCCCTCAACACGAGAATTATTCAGTCTGGCCGCTGGACTGCCTATCTATGTTTTTAGTTATGCCTTGCCAGAGCATGACATATCCTCGAAGCAACTTGAAGCCATGTGCAGTCTAAAGGGCCCAGTACAGCCCCGGAGCGAGCCACTGCCGGTACGGTTTCAACCCTATACTTCTCATCCGCTCATGATTGCGGTGGAACAGATTCTATTCTCTTGCTTATCGCCTTGGTCCGCAATGACCAAGCACCCGCGCAAACTCAGCGAAACCTGGAGAATGGTGTATTAATTCATATACTTGAGCCACTGTATCACCAGGCTAAACAACTCCATGCGATGGATTGAGCCGTACTTCAAAGCATGGGGCAACGTACCGTGGGAAGTCTCTCCAAGTCAGACGCCGCAAACGGGTATTTGGATGTTGGCAAAGGAGCCAGATTTACCTCAGACTCCGGGGAACAACAAGATCTCAAATAACTGCTTGGAAAATTGGCTTCAGTCCTGGCGTCATTGTCATTGCATCAGCTCTGAAGAGGACTATATTCTCCAGGCATTCCCTCCTAGCCCGGTCCCTCCCAGCTTCCGCGTCATCAGATCTCACTTCGTGCCGGGTCGTGGGCACTGATTGCCCTAAGCACCCTGTATCTGGCGGCGCGGAAGGCTGTCAATACTCGCATACTTTCAAACAATTTTCAGCTTATTCAATCTGTCGGCCGCCGAAGAACTAGAACCAAGGAGTAGCTATCTGCCCCGATGATAGAACACCGGCTTGAACACTCCAGGGCAAGTTCCGTCAACTCATCTCTCTCTCGAGTCAAGTTGAGCCCAAGAACCTTTATAATCGGGCTCTTTTGTCAGGGGGGCACAGACCAATTCTCCCCAGCACCTGCGCTCGAAGAGGCTTTGGGTGGGCTGGGAGCGGTGACAGAACACTTCGGGGCGTCTCGTGGGTTAAAGTGCCGACAACGTAGTTGTGCTTTTTATTCCCGACTGTTGTTATGGGGTTTGTGGTATGCAAATGGGTCATGGCAGCCATTGGAGGTTGTGAGGGGGGACGATGGGAATTCAAGTCTGCTTCGTCGAGAACCGAGCTGATATCCGGGTGAATTATTTTGGCTATCGCTGATATAGTAGACACTGGTGTTACTCCGCACCCTGCAAAAAGTGGCTTAAGTAGCAAGTAGTATTGTACGGTCGGGGCTGTCCCACCGAGAATCAAAGCCCCGATTCTGGCCGTTTTGGCCCTTGGGTTCCCTGAAGGCTGATATACTCCGCCACTTAGCTAGCTTTCTTCGGGCTTGCCAGGGATAACCCGGTCCAGGCGCTTAGCTTCATGTCAAGTGAGCTAGTACCGCATTTGATAGGTCGTTTCTTTCTTGGTTAATCTATAATAACTTGACAGCGGGTGGCTCAGCATGGCGAAGCAAGGTCGCAGCGCCTAAATAGATGAGCGCTACATTTATGTATATAGTCTTCGATTCCAGACAAGTTATCCCTAAATTCATGTTATCTTGACCATAAACAATTCTCCTTCATACTACTTCCTACTTCCTCTCTCCAGTCCCTGCTCAGGATGAATTCCAACAGCCCACCACCGTACCAACCCCATCCCGACGCAATGTCGCCCCACAATGGAACCAACTACTCATACCACCGGGTTTTAGACATCGCCTTCACCAGCTTCACAGGCCGGCACATGCGCGTAAACGATGGAACCAAAGACGGGCCCCTCCTCTACACAATCGACAACCACAACACGAAACAACATATGATCTTCCACAGCCAACTCCAACCTAACGGAGCCCAAGCCCTACCTTCACAATCCACATCCACAGCGACAGCATCCTTCCACCACTTCAGCCACGCCGTCGACATCCGGATAAACGGAAGAGACATGGTCCTCTCGCGGGAAAGTAAACTCCGTTTCGATAGGGGGTTCGCGGCGCCTTCTCTCGGAGGGAAGAAGCTTATTTGGACGAAGGCGTCAAAGTGGAAACATCTGTATCTGAATTGTGTGGATGAAGATGGGGTCGTTTATGCGACGTATCGGCCGCATGGAGGGTTTTCGCTGAAGAAGGGGGGGATGTTGGAGTTGTTGGGGCCTTGTGGTGTGAGTGCCGGTGCCGGTGCAGCTGGGAAGGACTCGGGGCTGATTGATGAAATCATTGTAACTACGTTGGTTACTATAGTGCTGCAGATAAGGGCAGCGTCGGCGGCTGCTGGTTGAAAGTTGTGTGTGTGTGTTTTTTTTGGTTTTTGGTTCCTCTGCGCTGGGGTTTGGGATGGCGTTTGTGGCTTAACTGATTGGATTTTTGATACCTATGTTTTCGAATCTGAATCCAAATTTGTGTATTGTATCTTCGAGCTGTTAGGTACCCTCAATTATAGTACCGCGATACTCGCAGTGATCAATAGCATCGAGTAGCGAGGATTGCCATAATGTCCCAGTATGCGAAGGCGAAGCTGGCTTAGACAAGAAGCTGCAGGCTCAGGAAGCATCAAGAAAGACTAAAATGGGGTTTATGCGCATATTGATATACCCCGGTCCATTGCGAGACGTTCTGCGGTCTGTCCACGGCGGTATACGGGCTTTAGTTGTGATGGTTCCTGGAAGGGTGAGCAGGTGATTAATTAGTTCTTCGAGCTTTACGAGGGATCCGGATACCTGCGCTTGCTAGCGCTGCCCTGGTACACCAGGACGAGTGACCACGGGACTTGTATGACTCGGCTGGACCACTTTTTGTGAGGATTGTTTCCCGTCAGCTAGAGCACGTCGATATTGAACAATTAGGTATCACCAACGATCCCTAGGTCCGCTAATAAGCCCAGTACGGAAGGTACGGTAGCCAGCAGTCAATCGCTCCTTCCTTCCTTCCTTCGAGGTGAGGTTGCTTCAAGATGAGGAAGGCGCGACTCAGATGGTCACTTGGTCGTTCCTGCTTTATCTGCTAGTCGCTCCTTCCTATTCTGTCGGCTGTCTCGTAAAAACGGAAAGAGCGGTCCAAGCATGGTTCTTCGCCCTGATAATGGGTCTGCCCTACGGAATACGGCACATCATCTTCTCAGGACACCGTGCGAGAAAGGTAAGTGTAATAACTTGAACTCGTGATCGCAGTTCGTATTTACGGTGGGTCAATTGTCGGCATGGACAGTTTCGAGCCGGGGTATAAAAAGAGCGAGCGCCTGTAAGGTCTAGCCTCTGTGAGGCGAATCCAATTGAGCAAATCTATGTGCTGTATGCAGTTTTGTCTATCCAATGCCTATACTCCTGGTATGGTACCATGTCTATCGTAGCTGGTCTTCAGACCAGCGCAGCTCGTATCCGAATACCGTCCGCCGCAGTCGTTCATCCTATTGCAGTTAGCAACCGGTCCCAGATAGATGAGGGAGAACATACCCCTGGGTCATCCTCAAACAAGACCTTATCCACTAGCTTCTCAAACACCTTTGTGACCGTGAACCCACCGGCCTCGGCAAGGGGAAAGAACCTCTCCGTCTGCGGTAGCAGCCACGGCTCATACGGTGTGAAAATAACCAGCGCAACCGCCTCCCGCGTCTTCTTCAAGGTCATCTGCATCGTCTTGACTAGATTCCCATGCTCGCGATGGCTGTACACGACATCCGCCATGATGAGCACATCGAACCCCTCCGACCTCGACTCTTCAGGTATATATTTCAGCAGCGGTTCCACATCAGCACCCCATTTATAGCCTGTAACGTATAATCTCGACGGAGGATCGGTGGGGATCATCGACGCGGAGGCATCGGCGTTGTGTTGCATGTTATCGACGAGGTCCGGGTCCGGGTAATCGGTCATCACGGTGGTGCGCGCGCCCTTGATCGCGCTGACGATGCTGGGTACGCCTGCTGCGGCGCCGATTTCAAGAACGTCCTTGCCGATTATGAGTGTGGGGGCGTTGGTCTCGATGTAGTCGGAGCTTATGCGGCCTGCGTTCCAGAGCATGTTTCCCTCCATAGAGATGTTAGCTGGGCGTATACCGGGGTTTGCGTTTGCGGGAGATGTACATAGAGGGGGTGGCTTCCCACTAGGCGCACGCGCACCGTCTGGCCGGAGAGCATGCGGTGCTCTGCAAAAGTAGGCTCTTTCTCCGGAGGGTAGAACCCCTCCGGGTCCTTGAACATGTCGCCCGTGTCGAACTCGTCTGCCATTGTGCCTGCCAGGGTTACAGCTGAGCAGTTCAGATTGATCGTACCGAGGTTGTATCGAAAGTCAGGAATGCGTCGGCGCGATAAGGACGCAATCAATCACAAAATCATGCGATTGAATTCTCATCGGTCGGTGGAGGCCGCGGCGGGGTGAATTGCCGCCAGATCAGGACTAGCGTACTGGTTTTTGTGCCCGCATATCACATGACATCACGTGGCTTCCCCAGATCCGGCTCGGCGTGGGAGACCGTTCCGATACACGGGTAATTCTCGGCTTCTCTGCCATGATGGAATGGCATATGCTCGCTGCTGCTGGAGTGTGCCGGCGAGGTTGAGCAGGGATAGACTTGATTGTCGAGAAGAGTGCGGATCGTCGGACCATCAGAGCAATCCTCGGATCTCGCCTCGTCAAGATTGCTGCATTGGTGAAGTGAAGCGGCTTTGACGCCCTCTGGCTCAGCTGAGCCTGATTCAGTGATTTCAAGCCAAGACCAAGTGCCCGCGGTGGATCGCATGCGTGGATAGCGTCTTTCGGGCCAATGCTCTCCGAGACACAGCATTTAACCGGAGGATTAGATAGATATCTCTGAAGATTTCGATGAAGAACTTGAAGTCGTTGAAACGCACGAGTACCCTCGAAATCGCATGCAAAACCGATTGTACAACGTTGTACTCAAAGCGACGAACGCTGGGGCCTGGGATTGGAGGAAAATCCTCGTCTCCGTCGATCAGTGCAGCCTGTGGGAACACCAGCCTCAGCCTGAGGACCCCTAATCTTGTAACTCTCAAATCTTCCAGACACTTGTTTATCAAGGAAATCTCCGATCAAATCCGCGCATCTGGCATCAGTTGCATGATCTTATCATCACCATCGCACTGCATTATCTCGTCGCGTCACGACTCTCGGAGAAAATAGATTGACTTGCCGAACGTCATACCGCGGTCGAGTACCCGAACTTTCAACTGCGCCCCACGTGGAACCCATTATCGCGAGTTTCATTCAGACAATCTCTGTTCTCTGCCTTTTTATCCTCTGTCACTCACTTTCTCTCTCTTTGTCCTCACTCTCATCGCACCTTCCCCATCATCTTCGATCAGCCTCTATCCCAGGAAGAGCCAGATCCACCTCGCTCTCATCTCCACACTCCGACCAGGTCTCCTCCAAACCTCCTCCACCTCTCCGAACTCCCCACCTGAGGTCATCGTTACCTAGCGACTCGGAGAGTACCCCAGAAGACCCTCGCCGATCGAACAAACACATCCTCGAATACTGAATACATCCTCATCCTCACCCTCAACCTCTCCATCCCATCAAACAACCGCCAAAATGAACACGACCGCAACGAACCTCACTTTCCCCGCCTCAAATCCCCAGACCTCGTCGAACCTGACCTCCCCCTCCGCAACCCAACTCCAACCCACACAACAACCACAAACCCAAGCGCCCCACGACGCTACTACACAATCACAAACCACGTCAAACCCCACGCTATATCCGCACCAAATAGCCGGAGCAGGAGGCCCGGCCGCGACCGCGCCCTTCATACGAGACTTTAGCCTCGTCGCAGAGGCCGCGAAGCGGGCGCAGATGGCGATCATTACGCGGGATCTAGAGGGCATTTCACTATAGATCATACAGAGATTCAGCATGGTTTCTTCAAAAGCATGATTGCGGTTTACGTTCAAGATGATATAATCGGTCACTGAACCAAGGCAAGACTTGCACGTTGCGACTTTGTGCGGGGTTGGGATGATCATTCCTTTCTTCGAGTCGATCGTTCGTGGGGGTGGGTGACTGCGATGGGAAATCGTGGGATGGATGGTGTCTACAGGCGCGGATATGGGTTTTGGTCGCGATATCTTTCTTTCCCCTCCTCTTCTTTTATATACTATTTCCCTTTTGTTATATTCGCAGTGCAAGGTCTCGCTATTCTCGGTTGACTCGATTGGGACTATATACTGTACTCTTTTTTTTTTTTTCCTCTTGGCCCAGGATGGCGTTCTCAGCATGTTCTGATTTTCCTATCTCCTACTTTATACATGCGATACAGTCTAGAAGACGAAGACGATAATATAAACTGACTGGTTTCTTTCTTACCAAAATGTGGTCAATAACCCGCTGCACCGGAGAAATACCGACATCTGGCCTCAAGCCTCGGTCTGGGCGTCTCCGCCGCTCGCTCGCCCCTCCAAGCATCTTCAACCTTGACGAAACAGGCAGACAACAGGCCTCGGCCCTCGATCCTTGCGATCGAGAATGAAGCCAACAATGTGCACGGTGCCCTGCTTGCTCTAACCCTACCAAGTACATACGGGGACGAATCCCGAGGCTCGAAGGAGAATAGTCTTGACTTCTTTCATGTGCACGGAGCATCCTCCGTGTTGAACTGCCTAAGCCGTAAGGCCCAATTCACCGGTCCACTGAGTTCAGGGTCCAGTGAACAAAACCTTACCACGAAACCCTTAGTTGGATGATGCATCATCATCAGTCATCACTCGCCGACTGGCCTAGCCAAAACATGATCCCCCTCCCTCAATACGCACATGCACCAAGCACGCCCCTCACTAACTCGAATCCAGCTAAACCCACCCGGGGACGGAACCGCACGGGTCGGAGGATGCCGGTCCCTTATCAGTGCCCTCTGAACTAGGGTATGTACTATAGTCTAGCCTCTATCGTGTTCTCGAATAACCATCGAAGCCTGATCTACCTTCGGAGGATATTCTAGCGCGGCGTGGCGCGGCGGAGCTTATCTTGCATGGGTGTCTGAAGTATATTATTAGGATGTGGCTATTAAGAGCTTAAGTTGTTAGCAGCCTTGGTCCTAGGCGGTTAGGGCAGCGTGCGTCGGTTAAGAAGCTTTATGGGGATGTTTGAGCTCGGGCAGTGGATATTCCTGCCTGCTTATCGCCGATTCGTGTCAAGGTCAGGTCTGGTCTTGCGCTGTAGAAGAGAATCGGACACTCTTGCTATGCTCGTAGTTTTTAAGGTTGGTGGTCGGCGTTGGTGTTACTACGCAGCGTCGACGACGATTCTCTTCACCTCTGAGGCTGTCGAGTTTATCCGGGAGAAGGCGAAAAAAAAAAAAAAAAAAAAAAAAAAAAGACAAACTCGTCTGTTCAGATCATGAACTATGAATAGTATTGATCAAGTATGTACTCGGACAATGTATCAATGCAGAAATCCATATCCCAATCCAATCCGAATCCGAATCCAGTCCGCTGCCCTGTTGACAAATGATGGGAGAAAGACGGGAGGTATGTACAACTGGAAGTCGTATCGCAAGCGCAATCGACGGGAAACGAGAAAAAGGAACTAAAGCAATATCCAACACGGAAAAATGGAAGACGACCAAAGCGATATCCAGAGAGGAAAGAGAACAAGTTGTAGGAAAACCGAATACGAGGTAACCGCCGTGACGCCGAAGATGCTGAATCGCAGGTGAATGTCAACGCATCGCAAGTGTAAATGCCAGAGAACGATTAGAAACAGAGGAAGAAACTGCAGTGCGTGCTTTTAATGATGATCAGAAAAGAGATGGTGGAGCAGGCGGTGCATTCGAACAGAGCTCGATGTTGGTAACAAGAAGAGTGTCGGTAGTGGGTAGGTATTATCGTAGTGATGCCTTGGTCGATTAGAAAAAGGTATTGTGGCAGTGGCTGGCAGTAAGGAAGTGCGTAGTGTAGTGTGGTGGTTGGTGTGGTTGGTGTAGTGCTGATCCAAGCACAAGACTAGCCAAGTATGTTGTAGTCGACCTGTCATGGCGATATGAAACAGACGGATCCATTATTGGATTTTCTGCAGGGGCGCCGATCACCCCTGCATGCATGAAGTGTAAATCGAATAGTAGAGAAAAAAGAGGCCGGTATGTAGACTAAACTCGACGGTTGGCTAGCTAGCGTCGATGTGAGTTGAGCATGTGAGGGGGCCAACAACCGGCTAGATGTGGTTGGACGACCCGATCAGGTTCGGCTGTGAGATGCTCGCATTCCCACCCCGATACCTTGCCTTTCTCTGCGAGAAACTCAGCGTCGAGAGCCGGCGACTCAGCCGCCGTAGCGGTTTCATAGACATGGGCACATCTTCTGGAATCGGGGGCACGGGAGGTCTCTCAAAGTCGGGGCTGTTGGTACGGGATCCGTGGCCGCCGGAGACTGAGCTAGCGCGCGAGAATCCCGATCCCGAGGCGCTAGCGCTCCCATTCAACGTCGGCGTCGAGCCGTTGTCGAAGAAGAAGGACGAGAACGTCGACTGTCTCCGGGCGCGGATTGCGTCTGCGCCGCCGCGGGCCTGGGGCTGTGAAAAGTCTTCCTTGATGTCGTCGAGGGCGCGCGAGAAGCGGACGAAGCGGCGGGGCTTTTCAGCGATAGAGGGCTCGCGCTCTTCCAGGCCGTAGATCTGTAGTGGGGTCGAGTCGGGCAGGTCCTGGTTCAGCGGTGTTGAGTAGAAGCGAGGGTACTTGGGGAGTTCGACTCTGCGGCGCGGGATGGATGGGAACCAGCTGTACGAGGCGGCATTCTGCTGAGGGCTGATGGGGCTGTCGAAGGAGGACTGGGAGGAGTTTGAGGACGTGGACGGGAGGATCATCTTGTCTGTTGCTGTCTCGTGTTGTTCTCCTAGTGCAGATGGGAGAACTGATGTTGTTTTGTTGTTATGGACGCATGTATGTGGTGGTCACGGATCAGGTCACTGCGCAGCATTGACCAGACAAGAGGGCAAAGTACAACGACACGACGGGTTCCGGGGGATACAAATTAATTATAGCAGAGGGGCCGAGTGGAGGACCCGTTGGCCTGGGAAAAAAAAAATAAAACCCAACAAGAGGAAAAGCAACGAAAAACAGGACCAAGGAGAGGGTGTGGAACTGTCGGAAAGGTGCGATCCCATTGAGCATCCAGTCTCTCATAGGCGGAGCATCAGCATCCAGAGTTCGCCTTGCATGGATCTGATCTGTACTCCTGTTGCATTGTTGCAGTCGGGGGATACTCTTTCTGAGCTTTGCATACACTGTGTGAGTGTACCTAGATGGCTGGCTGGCCATCTCCCCTTTTCGCAAACAGTTCATCAACCTGATGCAAATTTCGCCTCATGCCAAGTCTGATATTACTGTCTCAGTTCAAGATCAGACACCAGGAGCCACTCTGACTCGAGGTTGACTGTCTGAGCCTCCCGATTTCCGTCGAGTGGTGACCTTGAATGACGTGGCTCTGTCCAATCATTTCACTCGCCCGCTCCATACGCTCCGGAATGGAATTGAACAACTGCGGCAGTGTGGCCTGCCCGACGAGTGTAGAAACCAAAAAGCCGGGGAGGTCGCGCAGCTAGAGCCAGAAAAGCATGGCATACGTATGGAGATTCGTAGCTGCGAGCTCAGCGCGCCGTGGAACCACAGCGGAACCAGCGGAGTTTCCAGCAGCAAATCACATCCGCGCCTCTCCTTTTCCCCCCTTCGACATGAAGGGCCCAACACAGCCGGATCACAGCATACCACAGCACATTGTTCTTGCATGTCGCAATCACTGCAAACATTACAACCGTCGAATCCCCAAGTAAAGGCTGCAGCCCGCCCTTGTTCCAAGCCCAGTGTAACCCCTGTTCCTGTCAGTCGTCACAGTGTGCCAAAAAAAGAAAAACCTTAGAGGCCGCCTGCCACCGGGAATCATCAAGCCCGCGTCCCCAGCCAACCGAGGGCGCGGTGGCGGTTCCAAACTTCCAATCCGTCGAATTAGCGCAGTGGGGAAGAGAGCAAGATTCGTAGACTACTTCGTGTTGAGTCTAGTGTGCTGCTACCATTTTTTTCTCCTGCCGCAGTGCTGCTCACTACTGTGGAAACTCAAGAGAACATTGAATGAATAATAATGATGTTGCCTGCCTCCACGGCCTTGTTGTCTGGCATGCTGCCATTTGCAAGGTAAACCCGTCACGAAAATGCGCTAGTTTTTTCTTTTTCTCTTCCTTTTTTTTGGCGTTGCGCTGCGCTGCGCTGCGATCGCCCCCACTCAGCAACAGATGATTGTCGTGCTTTTCCCTCCTCATCCTCTCATCCCATCCCATCTCATCAGTCAGCGACTCCCCGGGAAAAACACGAGAAAAAAAAAGTGGACTGCGAAAGTGAAATGTGGACTTGGGTGTGGGTTTCGCAGGAGCGTGCGAGAAATTGCAATGTTATTGGCCTTTGAAGATCAATACTGTCTCGCTTTTCCGTCCTCGCTTCGACGTTCCGAACACGGCTCCCGCGGATAGAGGCGTGGTCCTCCGTCCTTTGAACCTCTGTGTGGGCTTCGAGTGAGCGGTAATGGGCAGATCTCACGGAGAGAAGCATCCGACGTCGTTTTACAAACACAGGCATGAGTCGAGATGGGATGAGATGAGATGATGAGGACATCATCTGACCAGCGTTCGCGCCCACGTCTCAACCCCTATCCGCATCGTGGCCGACGGTGATAGCCGTGTGTTTATGCTCTCTCAGTGCGCTCGGAATATTCTCGAAGAGAGAGATCATTGATTGCTGTCGATGCGCTGTTGTGCTGTGCTGGCTGTACGACGTGAGATTGGGATTTGGTCCGGAGGACCAGATTTGTGCCACGATCCTGCAGTTCTCGCTAGGTACTCGATACTACGGTACTTCACTCTGCTGTAGGTACCGAGTATGGTGCGATGCACTGGGTGACAACGTGGTCGCCGTTGTACTCCAGAGTCCAGACTGTTCAAGTCTGCCTCCCAAGTCTTTACGGAGTCGTCGTCTCCAGACTCGAGCGCGAGCCCTTGACGATCACGATGATCGAGTTCCCTTTCTGGTGATCCTCGTGGAGTCCCTGGAGCATGATTTCACCATGCGTTTACCGCACCGAAGCTGGAGATGATTATCATTCTCTCCTCCCATCTTTTACAATCCCCAATGCTGACGTCACAAAGCTTATGTGAGTTATGGTTCGTGTGGGGTTTTTTTCTTTTTGGCTTACAATTGTATGTTGAGAGAGCACACACGCATTGATTACGGAATCCATCATTATTGAAGATTCCAAAAGCAGTAGATAGATCGGATAGAATAATCCTCTGGTTATCATTGCTGAGACATAACACTAGTACGCGAGCTAAATTTATCCCCATGTCTCAGCAGTATACTAACGTAAGACATACATATCAAAGACATGACATTCCCCAGGCCCGGCTAGATCTCTCGATCCCTCGGTTCCCCGACGAACGTACCAAGGGCAAACCGCCCGGGATCTCCTCCAGACCGCGTCTCCCGGTGGTTTTGTCACTGTACCTCGTGGAACAGCCAGGTCATCGACCAATGAGGATGATGGTGTGGTGATAGACGAACCGCGGTTTAGATGTGTAGTTGCGTGAACTTCTACGTGGACGCTTACGGTGATGGATTGGTATGAATAGATTTGCCGCGCGGTTAGATGGTCGGACCATTCTCATATTGTTCTGGACTCTTTGTCTTTCTCTTTCTCTCCCAGTATGGATTGGGAAAGTGGTAACCAGTACCAAAGACCATAGATAGGCATTCTTATCCCACCCAGGCCACGCACAATGCAAAAAGACCATACGCCTCGAAATTTGGTAAATAGGCACCAGTCTCAACGCGCAGTCTCCGGTTTTTCCAAAGAAACCCAAGACAACACAACTCCAACGATGACGCGTCCCCTCCGTTCCCCTCTCTCAAAAAACTCACATCACGAATAACAAATTGGTATCTGAAACCAACCGACCGACCGTTAGCGATAAGCGACAACTAGCAACTAGACTAGCGGGCGAAAAGCCCAGACCATAGTCTAAGAAAAAGAGCGGGATAGTGAGGTCTCACCTAGAGGATGACTGCAGCTCAGCTGCGGTTTCTGCGTATACTTCCCCTCGAGCTCCGCCCGGATCAGATTCAGTAACTGCACGTAGCTCAGGTGCGGGTGGCGCTGGAGGACTTTGATAAATGCCCAGCTGAGCGCGCCGCGCGCTTCGCCGTCTTGGAATGTATCGGCTCTGTAGATGAATCTGTCTGTTAGCTCTGGCTCTAGTTCCAGATACAGCGCTGGCTACACCTAGCTAGCTCGCTAGCGTGGCTCCATGACTCTTAATTTGGGGAGGGAGGGAGACGCACGAAGTCTGGTCATCCTTCGAACCCGAAAACATGACTACATCTGCGGGGGAGGTCTTGGTGCGCATTGTGCGCTGGCGCGCGGAGTCGCCGATCGCGGCCTTTTTGAAGAACCCAATGGCTGTCTGCGCCATGCCGCTTAGGTCCCCCTTGCCGTAGGAGGTTAGAGCTGAGAAGAGGTCCGAGGCGGCTTCTTTGGCGAGGTTAGGTTCTTTGAGAATACCCTGTTGGTTTTGTACTGTTAGCTTTGCTTCATTTCGTTCGAGCGTGAGTTGAGATATGGGAGGACGGACTTGGGTGGAGTAGACGTATGGAAGGTCTAGTGCTGTGCCGGAATGGCAAGAGTCGAAGACTGCTGTTAGGCGGACGCCAGGTTGGAGGGGGCGGACCCTGGAGAGTTAGCATTGCTGTGCCTGAAAATGGGTAGCCGGACGTACATTATGTCGTGCATTTCATCGTCTACAATGTGGCCAGCGGTACGGTAGTCCACGGGGTATATCACATCATCAAAGCCTAAGACATCAGCGTCGTCCGGACTGGCTTAGGGGAAGAGCTTACCGTCATCCTCATCACCGTCAAGATCAGGCGTCCGTCCACCGTGGCCTGAATCCGTCAGTCAAGTGCTAGAAAAAAAGGACCAGGAGGTGTACCAGAAAAGTGAATAAATAGCGAATCATTCGGCTGCGCATCATAGACAAGCCACTGCATGGCTCTCAGTATATTTGCCTTTGTAGGCACACTCTTCGGATTCTCTTGGTCATCGGTCAGAATGACCATATCCTCCCTGCGATAGCCGTGCCGCTCGTGCAGAAATGAAGACACGTTGGTCACATCGTTGATACACCCCTGCAGCTGGTTCGGTTGACCAAAGTAGTTGATTCCAATCAACAGGGCCCTTCGTCGGCCTGTACAGTTCGAATACTGAAAGCGATAGTTGGATGGCGCTCCGTGGCCGAACTGCTGTGCGCCCGACGGTGGGCGGGGAGGGAGGCTTGGGCCCCATGAGGGCGGAGAATCTGTCTTGTCAGCTATCGAGTATACTCAGATATAGAAAGACGCTTACTTGGGTAAGATCTGGCATCACCAGTGGGCGGCCGAGGAGGTAGCGGCGGTGTGCCGTATGGCGAGGGCGACGAGTACCGAGGATCGCGGTAGTTTTGCGGAGGATAATGCTGCGGTGGTGGATAAGGTTGAGGGGGAGTATAAGACTGCGGAGGATAAGCTTGCGGAGGGTATGGACTAGACAGAGTTAACGTTTCGATCCGGACGCAGGAGTGCGGAGCGTACCTGTAAGGCTGTGGAGGGGGTGGCCAGTGCTGGGGCTGGGGGCCGTTCCAACTCGACGGACGAGGCGGCGGTTGCGGGGGATGGTGGTAGTACATCAATCCTCTAGTACTTGCTTGCAGGGGCCGGTATATTGATCGCAATCAAACGTCTGGTCCAGCAACAAAAAACCGGTGTTGGCGTGGTGAAGCTGAGCCGACTCGATGGGCTTATTATTGGCAGGTGGGGACCACTCGGCTATTGTCACCCACTTCAAACAACACAAGACAGACAAGCACACACTCTATCGCGGGGAGCAGCGCTGAGGACAAGAAAAGAGGAAAATGAATATGTGGCAGGATGGACTCCCACAGGGATTTGAGCCCGTTAAAGGAGATCGTTGGCCGGGCGTTCCTGACCGCAACAGGGCTGCCTGATGCCTGCTCACGCCGCACCGCCATTCGTCCACCGTCGGTGCAAGCGGGCCTTGTCCGTGCCCCACCCGTAGGGCAGGCGAAACGGTTCTCTCCCTTTGCTTGAGATTTGGTGTAGGCAGTCGCATATCTTCGGTTATCGGCAAGCTGGGGTTCTATTTCAAGCACATTGGCCGGTGTTGACAGATCGCTACGTAGATGTGCCCCGCTGAAAGTCTGCTGACTATGAATCTACTCTAGAGTACAGGGCGTAATGCTGAGTCTAGCGCTGACAAACTTGAAAGAGGCAATGGTTTCATCCTTGGCGATGCAGTTGATTTCAGCCGTTGCATGCTCGTCATAGTCATGTCTGCTTTGCCTTTGACCCCGCCAACGCCCCGTCCCGGCACATCGGCACCTCCATCCTTCTGGATTCGCGCCAACAGCCACCATTCTTTGCCCTTGACATCGGAGCGCCTTGGGTAACACAAGACCGTCGACAAATATTGCAGACAAACGGGGATTGCAATTCAAAAGCCCATGTCGATTCTAGACGCTATACCCCTCGTGGCAGACGATGTGATACTGGGTCTGGTTCTGGCGGGCCGTCTCCCGGTCCTTGGATTCATCTCCTTGGCTTCCCGAACTTCTCCCAAAGCATATTCTGCTCACCGGGATCCGGGTCTCTGAGTAGACGAAAGGACCATACTCTCTGCAAACTAGAGGACAACCTTGAGGGACGGAGAACCTTCCTCACCTGAGACCAACTATGCTTGACCAGCCACACTGTATGCTGTCCATCGACCAGTTAACATCCTACACCCACTTTCTTTCACGATGATGACCTCATCCGATGCCGACTTACTGTTCGGGCGAGCGCATTCAAGACACCAACGGATTCGGATCAAGAGGAAATTAAGCTTCCACCCATGGTTCGACCTCGTGGAGGAAAGTCATGCAATCAACGTGTATGAATGGTCATGTCCTCGCGGTCAATGGCAGTCCTACGCAACGTCGATGGTTGAAATGGTTGTGATATCCCAGTCTACTACGAACGGAGACCAGCCAGAAGACACAGCCACCTACACAACCCTCTTTATGAATAGGAATCGCCCTCCGTATGTGCGGAACGCCTGTTCTGACAAAAGCTACAACAATCGGCTCGAGATGCTGTCTACCTCTAAGTACTCTGATGTCAGGGCTTGGCCGTCAGATGATCAGGAAGCGATTCACCTCATGAGGAGCTTACTCACGCTATTGTCCGTCTTCTATCTACCTCGGCAGTTCGCTTTGCCTGACAATATGAACTTCGTCCGCCCCAACAGCCAGAACCGTTCTTGCACCCTGATCCATCCCGAGCTCTTACCGATCACAACGCACTTATCGAACAAGCTACGGCCTCTAGCGCTCTGCGAGTCTATCATTTAGATTCAGCCCCGGATTCCATTGTGCGATCATAGCCAGCTCGTATCCGTGCCTTTTCAGAGAAGGGACAGGCATCACCTCATCGAGGAAAGTAAATACGTATCGATCTTCTTCACCAGCTGCCCGTCCTCGGGAGAGGCCGAGCGGTCTTGCGCCGGCTCGGATTTCTCTCTTAGTGCCTCCCATACCCCGAGCTGATGGCGTATTCTTGCTTCATTTGGTGTGCCAACTCGGCCCAGGTAAGTCGAAAACGGGCTTGAATATGCATTTATCTGGAGCTCCCCGAGTCTACCTTTGACAAACAGCAGAATGAACATCCACAAGGCCCTCGTCTAGGGATTAGTAGCACTCTTACAGCGCTACTCAGCGGGAGGCATCCGTTCTCTGCCCAGACTGCTCTATAACTCTACGCCTACTTCAGCAAAGCGGACGCTACTTGTTCCCTTCGAAGTGACTGGCTCCATCCTGTACCCTCTCAGGATCTTTCCAGAATGCCATTGATTCCCACCAACCAACCAAGTAGAGAGGGAAGGAGCGACTGCCACCTTATTCCAGGTCGTTGCTCCCTATTCTGATTTGGAAACTGCTCCTCAGTCGTTCCTTCCTCATTCACTCGATGTACCTCAGAAGGAAAGAACTGCCCGTGGATCGTCGGTCGTTCCTTCTCATTGTCCCAACCGATTATATCGGGAAGGAACGACCCCACCCGGTTCGCCGTTCTTTCCCACTCTGAATAGGAAACCGGGGCCCTGATTGTTCCTTCCTTCCTCAATTATTTCGGATGTGCCTAAAATGGCAGGCACGATCCACCCGGCGTTGGTGATTCCTTCCTCCCATGGATGACCGACCGATCATATAGGGAAGGAGCGACCATCGCTCGGCTGTCCGTTCTTTCCTGCTTTGTTTGGGGGGTTGCATTGGTCGCTCCTTCCTCAAAATTCAGTTCTATCTGCATGGAAAGTACGACTATTCGGAGCCCCGTGAGCGCGGGACATAAGGTCATCCGGCTCCAAAACGCACTTCACGGTGTGCTACGAACTATATATATCTGGCGGTCTCGCTTCGCCTTACTAGTCCCAGGAATACGGAATACGGTATCTGGGTATAGCCATAGCACTCAGAGAATCGTAATCGCTTATGTTGTAGGGAAGGCAAAGTACGTAATATTGTTTACAATGACTCGCACCGAAAACATTCTTGCCCCAAGCAGGCTTCCAGATGTCTAAGACTACTTGGAAAAACCACGAGCAGAACTGAAACTTGGTGCAATGATTTGGGCTTATAGACGTAGAATATTTCCAGGATAACACACCTCATCCGATATGGTGTAACGGCTAACATCATCGCCTTTCACGTGATCGCGATAGCTCGGGGTTCGATTCCCCGTATCGGAGTTTTCTTTTTTGATTTCCTTTTTATCGCTGGTATGACGCGGGACTCTTCCGACTCGGAGGTTCTATTTATTTATGATACTGTTTTGACGGTGATTCAGATTCAAGAAATAAGTTCAGCAAGGGAAAATGCTATCGCTATGGCCACAACCCATACTCGGGTGAATACCTTCCGTCGAACCTTCTACGAGCCCTAACTCCTGCCACTATACCTGGACGATGCCCGCCAGATAGCTGCTGCCATTTCTTCACAGATCCGAGTCACCAGCCGTGCCGTCCTTCGATGGGTGTACCCAACAGGGAGGAAGGAGCGACCACGGGGTAGGAAAATATTCGTTGGGAAGGAACGATCGATTGCGCCTTCCTAGACAGGAACAGGAAGGAGCGGCTGGTGGAACTGGTCGCTCCTTCCCTTTCTGCAAGGTTCAATCACGAGAAAGGAGCATTCATGGTCGCACCTTTTGCTTATACTCGTTTGGACGAACAGAGAAGGTGCAACCTAGGCGTGCACCTTCCTCATCCAAAAGAGGAAAGAGCGAACTTGGTCGAGGTGTCGGTCGCTCCTTCCCTTCGTATCAAGTTCGACGAACGAGGAAGGAACGGCTGTCTAGGAGTCCATTGCGCCTGCCCTTTACATCAAGGTCAACCATAAGGAAGGGGCAACCCAGTATCGTTCCTTCCCAAAACAAAAGAGGAAGGTGCGACTGGTCAGGTGCCCGGTCGCTCCTTCCCTCTGTATCGAGTTCGACCCCGCGAGGAAGGAATGACCCAGAGTTGCTCCTTCCATTTATATCCAGTTGGCCGGGCAAGAAAGGGGCGGTTTGGGGGTGGGGGGTACCTTCCTAGAACAGAACAGGGAGGAACGACTAGCCAGGTTCCCGGCCGTTCTTTCCATCTGTACCAAATCGAGCCGTGAGGAAGGTGCGACTCTAGACCTGAGGAGACAATGGATGGTTGTTCGGGCTGGTGGTTGTCTAATGCCGTAGCGCGATCCTGGTGCAGAACAGCAATTCGCGTTCAGTGAGGATGCGAATATGTTTCCGGCGCCGAGGCAGGTATTTACCAGAAAAAGGTGAGATGTGAGACTGGTACAGTCAAAGTCACGGACGGCCGAGCGGCGGAGAACTTGGAGTCCCGAACTATCCTCGTTGCCCGCTGCTTGACGGAGTCGAGGAGTCAGGAGTTTTCACCTTCTTAGGAATGTATCAGATAGTAGAGGAGTCATGGCGACAAGAAATATGAGTGTGCCCGTTTTAGAACACAGAAATGAGGTAGTCGTTTGGAGGAGCAATGTTTCAGGGAGGTGGTTGTAAGGGAGGGAGTAAGTGGGCAGGATTCAACAACGGGAAACCGCGTGCTCGGCCAGAGCTTCCGAACAGCCACAAACACTCGATAAAATGAAGGGAAGATTATAAATAGACAAGCCTTCGACCTGCTGCCTCCCCAGTTAATTTATCTCTAAGGCTAGAATACTAGTCATATTTATAAACAAACAAGGAGAATCAGAACAAGCAAATCCAGTTCACTTTGTTTTAGTTTATATTTTTGTTCGCACTTTTAATTTATGACAGAGTCTTTATAGGCAATGTACATGGATATGTGGTGATTCTTTGTCCCGTAGGAATGCATTAAGGAAAGGTCGCTTGGGAAGAAAATTCGATACAATCGTTGCAGTCACGTCCCAGGCAGAGAGGTAGAGAGATGTATTACACAGCGGGAAAAAGAGACATTAAACAGGGAGAAAAAAATGGAGTCGATAAAGCTATGAACTGGATATGCAAGAGGTAGAAATAGAATAGAGATGGAAAGATAAATGGAAACGATTTGTTCAAGAGATAGAGTAAAGTTGCTCTACTAGAGAGCGAGCACTGGCACAGCCAATGCCATTAGCCAGGTCACGGGGACGCGCAGTGGGGATGCGGCGCCCGTGAACTCTGGAGATGCCGGAGACGGCGTGTAGGTTTGAGAAGGAACGTTGGTGCTCAGCGTGGTTGGGTTTGCCCAGGGGTTGGGGATGGTGGTTGAGGCGGTTGTGGTGGGGACCACAGTGGGCTGGGGGATCAGCTCGATGGTTGAGGTTGGGACTGCGTCGACGCCTGTCTCGCCGCCGCCGCCGACGGTCTCCGTGACGGTCGAAAAGGAGACTTGCGGGACGGTGACCGTGTAGGTTGAGTAGGTAATTGTCGTGCACGGGGCGGAGGTGGGTGCTGGGGACTCGGTCTCCTCGGGACTCACGTTGGTGGGCGTAGGGGCAGCAGGAGGAGTCAGGGTAATTGTGGTAGGAACGTTGGTAATAATACCAGGGTTCTCAGGGACAAAGGCAGCACAGATACCGGCCATGTAGGAGAGGGCGGCCTGGACTTCCTCGGTGGAGGCACCCCAGGCTTGAATGCAGGAGATGACCTTGTCGGTGAACTCGGCGTCGGGGCAGAAGCAAGAGATGTCACTGTTGGAGCTGCAGTCGGGAAGGAGGTTGAGCCAGGTGTTGATACACTTGGGCACCACGTTGGGGCACGAGGTTGTGGGAACCGGCGTGGAAGGAGTGTCAACGGGGGCGGAGGGAGTTTCCTCAGGGGAGACAGAGGTAGGCACGGGGATAGTTGTCTCCGTTGTGATCGTGGCCGTCGAGATGGTCGTGTACGTGGTAGTGATGGTAGAGTCGCCAGTGGTGATCACGGTAGTGACGGGGCAAGTAGTGATCGTGGTGTAGGTAATCTCAGTGACAGTCTCAGTCTCTTCCGGAACTGGAGCCTCTGGGGTCTCCTCTGGGCTGACGGAGGTCGGGATAGGGATAGTCGAGGTCTCAGTAAGGGTCTGGGTCGAGATAGTGGTGAAAGTCGAAGTGATTGTCTCCTCACCGTTGGTGATCGTGGTAGTTGCCGGGCAGGTAGTGACAGTGGTATAAGTGATCTCGGTAACAGTTGATCCGACAGGAACCTCTGGGGTGGTGACGGGGTTGGCAGATGTCGGCACAACAGGTGTTGATGTAGGGCCTGGTTCGAGAGTCTCGGTCACGGAGCATCCACCACAAATGGTGGTCGTGGAAGTCAGAGTCATGGTCGAGGTGGTGCTGGTGACAGTGGTGATTGTCGAGTCGCCGGAAGTGGTGGTCTCAGTCACGGGGCACACAGTCACGGTCGTGTATGTGATCTCAGTGGTAGTCCAATCCTCAGGGGGAACAGACGAGGAGCCAGAGTCAACACTGGTCGGGACGACAGGAGTGGTCTCGGGAACAGTAGGGGTCTCAGTGGGAGCAGGAGTCTCTGACGGCTCGGTCTCGGTCTCGGCAGGAGGAGGGGGAACTTGCGAGGTCTGCTCGGGAGGAGGAGGCACGTCAGAAGTCTCCTCAGGGCCACCGGGGGCTGTAGAAGTCACTGGGCACCAGGTGGTAGACACGATGATGGTTGAGGTGGTGACGGTGGTCGAGTCGGCAGGGCAGTTGGTCACGGTAGGAGCACATTGAGTGATGGTAACCTCGCTCGTGGTGTACACGGTGGAGATAGTGTACGGGATAGAGCTGCTGCCAGGAGTTCCGTACGAAGTAGTGGGGATCACAGGGATGCTCGACGAAGGCGAAGTGACGGGGCTCTCATCGGTAGGAACAGGGACATCCGGGGTAGGAGTGTCGGGCTGAGAAGGAGTCTCAGAGGGAGTCACAACAGGAACCTCTGGAGTAGGGACAGAAGCAGAGGAGGTGTATGTGGTGGTCTGGGTCTGGGCCGGAGGAGTGTAAGTAGGCTTGCCTGGCCCACAGCCGAAGTCGATTGTTCCGATACCAAAGTCGCAGTCATCGTGTTCACTGTGGTCGGGCAGTTGGAAGCTGACGGAGATGGCACCACCGCACTGGTCATTGACGACTTCCGAGCCAGCAGAATCACACGAGGCGACCTTTCTGCAGGTGGAGCCATCAGGCATGCCAAAGGAGATCTGAACGTCCGTCTTGATAGAGGTGAAGAGTTGGAACTTGCTGATCGAGAATCCGGGCTTGTCCTGACCGCAAGAGATGGACGGGTGGGAAGACCTCTCGAGGCCCTTGGAGACTGTTCCGGTGATGCATTTGTTCTAAGAAGAAGATACAAGTCAGTATAGAACCATACAGTCAAGCACATGACTACTCACGTTGAAGGTCCGGGTACGGAGCCCACCGAAACCGTTGCTGCAGCTGAAGCCAGAAAAGTCCAGGCCACCATAGGAAGAGAATGAACCAAAGCCGAGACTCTCCCAGTTGAAGCCAACCTGCTGCTCATCGGTACACTCGTTGTCGGTGTTGTCAGGAGCGGTATAGCACTCCTCACTACCCCACCACTGTATAGAACATTAGTATGGTTCGTTTGTATTCCATAGAGAAGGGGAACATACCAGGCCGGTAGCCCGAGCCGTGGCCAGGACGGAAAGGAGCGAGACCAGAGAAGCGGCCTTCATGATGAAAGAACGAGTAGTCTATAGTCAACAAGGCAATGCAAAGTAATAGAATGTAATGCAAGGCAAGGGAACCGATGAAGATGGTAGAGAGAGATATCGAGACCAGTCGATACTGAGAGAGGGACAGGAAAGACTGAAGCGAGAAAGAAGGACAACACAGAAACGAGTGTGTGTGTCTGAAACAAGGAAAAGATACAAGATACAATAACAAGAACCTGAAGATGAAGAAGAAGCTGAGCAAGAAGAAGAGGAGTAACAGAGGGGGAAGAACCGCAGGGTCTTTATAAGGCTTCATGCTTGACACACCGGCGCCAGGGGACCAGCACAACAAAGGCAGCATCTCCACTCTCAGGTAGCCTGGCGACAAAGCATGGTTGCAGCGTGCATCTTGCCAGAGGTGAACCTTTTGGCAGCAGGTAAGACAACCTGAAAGCGCCATTGTCGCAGGTCAAGCCCTTTCAAGCCATCCAGGCACTGGTTCGTCGCAGAACCGCAGCCGGCGCGAAGCCACGCCCAATCAGCGCCCGGTGCAGGGCAGCCGCCCGGCCTGCAGAAGCGTCTCGCCGGGGCTATTAATATACTGACCGCCCATGATAGGCGCTGGTGCTCTACAGGTTCAGGCTTGTCCTGCCAGATGTAGATTACTGCAAGGGAAGCTCCTGACTCTGCTGTTAGGCGCTGAACCGTCCCCGGGATGCCCGGATCTGCTCGCAACTCGCCCACGCGCTCTTCCTCCAGAGTCCACAAGCGATCGTCAGAACTGATGATCTAAAAACAAACCACCAGCTTGCCCAAGGTTATTTAAAGTAGATTGAACCAATCACATTAAATCGATTTTCTGCTCTGCTAAATTGAAAACAACTCTGTAACATGAGATTGAGATTGAGGTATATCCCGAAAGCCGCCCCGACTCCAGGTAGATCGAACAGGAGAAAAGTAAAGAGGGAAAAAAAAAGGAAACAGAGAAAAGGAGAATCATCATCGTCATCAAACTCAAACTTTTGGTCATGGATCATGTCCTCCGCTAATCCCTAAAGACCCTGGAACCCCTGTCCCTACATCTTAGCGTCAAAGTGATACAGCAACCGAAACACTTGACACACACACGCTATTTATCTATTACTTAATGGTCGCCCTCAAAATGGGACCTGGCTGTGACGCTGAGCGTTCATAAGCTTTCGCCGCACAGCTTCCCCGCCCGAATATCCACTGGCCTTGCGTTTCCTTGTAGGAGTACGCTGGTCTGCATGGCGAGTGTGTCTAAACACGCTTGCTGGGCGGGAAGGGGAGTTGGCCGGCATGAATTCGCGATGTTGCGGAAGTCGCAGCAACGCCTGGTAGCGATTGTGGTTACGGCGGAACGCAGTCACAATGCCTCGATCAAGGTGGTTCAAGAATCGCTCCGCACTAGTAGTAGCTTGCTGAGAATCTCCACCACGGTTCGGAGTGGGGGTCCCGGTCGTACCACCCTTGGCGGAGGTTGCCCTAGGGGAGGCCAGGGCGTCTTGATCAAACGCATTGTCAAGTTCTTCGTCCGATGAACCATCTCCAAAGTCGATAAAATCGTCCACGTTGAGTTGAGCCTCGGGATCATCCTCGTCATCGTCATCTTCAAATGAACTATCGATGGCAAAGTCGCGGGCTGGGTAGAATGCCTCGGGTGGGCCCATGACCTGACCCCCCGGGGTAATGTCGTTGCCTAGAGCTGTCATCATTAAATTGGCGCTCGAGGCTAGCATAGGGCTGAAATCCAGATTTGGTGACATTAGTGCGTCCGTGTCACTCTCGTCAATGAGGTGCATTGTGGTTGCACGCGGGCTGTTATTTGCGGTTCCGCAGGCACTGGTAGCAGCGGATTCTAGCCAGTCATGGCGGGATGAAGCGTAGGCGGGAATGATGACAAGATGTTTGCCAGTGCAGTCAACCAGGGCAACTGGCTTGTGAGGGTCCGCAACGAATGTTCCCATAATAGGGCCTCTTCTGCGGCGGGGTGTAGGCTCGATTTTTTCTTCAACGCCGGTGACCAGCGAGGCAGAAGAGTCGCGACGGAGGATAGATCGTGGGTGAGTGATCGTTGCGGGAGGTGGAAGGTCTTCATCTGTGGTCTCGCCATCATCGGCTTGTGGTTGGTTAGCAAATTAAGAACGCTGAGAGTATGATGTGGTGGTATGGTGATGTGCATACTCTCATAGCCACTCGAGGATCCCTCGGAGGCCTCGGCATCGGACTCAACGTGGTAGATATTAGAATGGCCATAGTCCGAATCGCCATAGATCTCATCGGATTGACGGCGGGATGACCGGCGGACAGCCTCATTGTCACTTTCAATCATGCGGCGCAACTGAGGGTCGAGGCTATCTTGGTGGAGAAAGTCGGATGGGATCTCATCCTCCGTGTACGAGTCGCTGTCAGAGGATGAATCCGAATCTTCTTCAAAGTGTACCCGGCGCGCGACAGGGGTCTCCACCGCGGTTTCACTGGCCACATCGGTCTCTCCAAAGGCCTCCATGGCACTGTACAGCTGGTGCTCATCGAAGAACGGCGCAGCGGACAATAGCATGTCATCATTAAAAACGGTGGGACCAGCCCAGTCGTGCGTATCGCTAACACCGGAGTTCAAGGCACTCCCAAAATCGTGCTCATCCTCCGATTCTACAATCAACAGTTCTTCGAGGATCTCAACATCTTGCTCTTCGTCATCACCGTCACTGATATAATCCACAGCAGCATACACATCATCGGAGCTGTCGTCCAAGTCGGGTCCGTCACTGATATCCTGGTCGCTCTCATCGTCCGATGCGGCCCTCGTCGTCTTGACACGTTTGGTCGACTTCATCCCCGCCTTATGAGATCTGCTCCCATACGACGGGGTAAGGAGAATCGGTTGGTCATCTTCGTCGTCTGCGTCTTCGGAATCATTCGCCTCGTCGTCACTGCTGAGTGCCTCCATCGAAGTTACCGACGAGAGACTGGAGACTGTCGAGGACGATGCCCTCCGCTTCCTGCTGGAGCTCAAGCCCAGGGAGACAGATTTGCTAGACCTCTTGGATTCGAGGCTGTCTTTGGCGACACCCTTGAGGGCGCGCTTCGAGGGAATAGTTTTCGGCATGTTGTAATAGAACAATAGAGTTGTCTACGTTCCAAGGTTTGTTCAAGGTTTGCTTTAAAACAAGCAGGATAGGCGGGAGTGGTGAAGAGTGGAATCGACAGAGTTTGTTACCCGCAGATGGGATCAATTGCGTCAATACCCAAGGTGAGAGTTGCGGAATGGTACTAGAGGGTTGGCGGGAGACTCGGTGAAAGTTTTTTTGGTCGTGAAAGCGTCAAAGAGCCGTTATCGTCGTGTTCAAGAGAGTGAGAGGAAGAATGGCGGCAAAGTCGGGTTCGGGGGAGGGGGAGGATAGGTAGGAGGAGGATGGCTGATTGATAGCGACGAGAACACCTTTCCGCCCGCTTCGGACGTCCAAGTGCTTCTTCCGTAAATGTACTGAAGGGCAATTCCGACGCTCCTGGGAGTTGCGTCGAAAGAGGAACAGATAATCGTCAAGTCAAATTGGAGATACTCGGAGCTGCTGGACTGGGGCGCCAGGAGACGGCCGCCCCAGCGAGGAATCTACAGCTCAACGGAGGCCATGGCGGCGAGAGGACCCTTGACGATATCTGATGTATAAAGAGGAAGATAGAATGACAAGGCTCTGGATGAAGTGTTGGAGCGTGGTTGGGAATTGGACTGCTGGCGGAAGGGAAAAAAAGAGGGGTGAGGTTGCGATCGATGTTATTATGAGAAAAGATCAGATTCCCTACAGGGAGCGATGCTGTATGGTATTGTAAGATTTCAGTACCATGCCTGCCTCGGATTCGCTGAAGTGGAGCCTCTTGCCTGAGCCGGTGGATCCCGAGCCCGTCGGCCATGATATCAGCATCATGATTGGCTATAGTATTTAAAGTGTTCGTCGTTATTGGCGGACAGCAGCTCACCGCATCTTTTTTTTTACTTTTTCTCAGTTTTTCTTTCCAGCTCGGTCATCAGTTGTACTGCTTTGACAGAAGTTGTATTGAGGGGGAGTGACTAGTATGACTGAACAGAGAGGGCTGTGAGCATATACCCGGCGATGATAAGAAGCGTGCAAATGTCGAATCAAGGCGAGGACTGATGGCATGTGCCAGGGCAATGCTGGCTTGTGCTGAGCTGCCAAAAGGGTCTGTAGCTGGACAAGAGTTTTCCTCCGGAGTAGGTGGTCTTGTCTGGTTGGGTACCTTAACTACGGATGGCGTTCGATCGACCAGACATGTTACAAGCTTACAGCAGTCAATCTATTCATGACTCCCACCAGCCATCTGATTAGCTTGGACATTAGAACTAAAATGTCCGACCAAGCAGTAATCCCTGGGCAATGACTCATCTGGAGAAGCTGCATGACTGTGATGAATGACAGCTCTTCGTCTCTGACGCAAAAACAGGAGGTTGAGAGTCGAGACTGGAGAGATCATAGACATGCAGCCAGAATGCAGATCAAGAGTGACGCCCAATGGCAGAATCCAGCCATGTGAGGGGCATTTGCTGGACCGTGCTTTGCATGCGCCTCCTTTTGTCACCCTGATATCAGTGGCTTTTAGCGCGGTATCGAGGATTTCTCTACGAAGTAGATACGTGTGAAATGATGGATCAAACTCGCTTGAACAGCTTTCTCAACAATGACATGGTTGCAATCTGGCATTTGGTTTCTTCAGGAGTCGTGACCTCCGGAGTTTGGTATGCCTAAGCATCCCCAGATCCCGAAGGGGAAAGAAATCATCAAGCAAATTTTTGAATCCTCCGTCGCAGACGAGGCTTAGCCGCTTAGGCACGAGTGTACGGAGAAAGATTGACTGTTCCAGTATTCCAGCCGTTTCAGCGACCGCCCGCCTCACTCTAGCCGCCTCGGTTCCTCCGGGGGGCGACGACGCTGGTCACTGCATGATAATCGCCTCCCCGGGCCCGGAAACAGACACCTCGAAAGTTCGAGTTTTCGGTTCCTTCTCCACCAAGGTGGCAAGCTGAAGTAACACCTTACTTTCTCCGTACGAAAAGTCACGGGAAGAAGAAACGTGGTCGAGTCTCGAGCAAATCATTACGCTATCCCCTGGTTCATTCTTTCCATTGTCATCTCCACAGGGATGGGCTGTCTTCGCATCTGCAATATTTTTGGCGCAGGATCCCCCAAATCCTCCCCCAGCGCTAAAGCGACCACACGCAGGAGATTTCATGCAACCTACTGCACCTCATCCGACAAGGGGATTGGTTCAAAGAAGCGGTAAAGGGGGACAGCTGGCCCGACCCCAGTTTCTACAATTAGCTGCAAATTAAGTGGTTGTCTTCACGCCATGGACGATAGCTTAGCGTATGTTTGAGCCTGATGATGCCTGAGAACAGCTGTTGGTCTTCAACCTGTAGTCAAATCGAGGATGCTGACTCGTGGAAGACGCTTCGTCTTGCTCTTTTTTACCGTTTTCACATCCTTCTCTTCCTTTGTTTCTGGTTCTATCGCCCAGTACCCGTTGTAGACAGTTATCGATTCGAGGTGTGTTGGCACGTTCCGTGTCTCGGTGGCTTGACAGTTCGGGTCTCCTGATGGTTCTGTCACGGGTAAAGCCGCCTCTTTGTTCTTGGGTTCGGACTGCTTTGGGATTGTCTCTACCTCGGACAGCTTCAGAGTGGTGTGATCATGAGTGGTACTTCCAAGACGCTCAATCAGCACAGACTCCGACTTCTTTTCCACACGTTTCTTGGGCGACTTTCTCGGCGAGTTTCTCGCAATCTTCATATCCTCTTCGTTACTATTCAATTGCAGCGACGAAATAGCGTACTCGAGATCTTCGACCATTTCGGACTTTCGCCGTTGACTTGGCCTGGGACTCGCCCTCGGGTTTTTGTAGGGCTGTGAGAAAAATTCATGGCAGTGTAGCTCCTTATAGCTTGCGTTCGAGTAACTCATGCGGAGTGACGGCATCTCGATTGACAAATCGTCCGAATCCTCGTCTGCAATCTCGATACGTTCAGCACCGTCCGAACCAATGACTGTGCGTTGCGCAGCCCTGGTTCTTGTCACCGGGCGGCGCTTTACCGGTGAACCCGTCAGATTGCATGACGCGAATCTGTCGACCAAATAGTCAAACCCGTCTGCACGGTTCAAGTTCGGAGGAGTCGTTGTCAGGCCATGCACTCCAGGACTGGAAAATGGAGGAGACCTTGACGGAGGCGTTGATGAGACCGCAGCTTCGAACAGTTGTGCGCTTTTGTATTCTGACATATCGGAGCGTCCCTTCTTAAGCGTGCCATATTTGAGGATGCTGCCTTGTTTCATGCTTGGATCCAGCTCTTTTCGCCTTCTAGGGACTCCCTTTCGTGTCGTTGTCTTTTTAGGTGGTGGGTTCTGTTTGGCAGCTTGTTCCTTTTTCCAGGTCTCCAAGGCCTGTGGAATGCCTATTGAAGCCAGGGCCTCAAAAACCCACACCTTCTCCGTGGCGTACGGATCGTATCGCTTGGTCACCCTTTTCTTGGTTGGTGATTGCGGGATCATCTCTGCTTCTGCTTCAGCCTCGCCCTCTCCATCTTCTCCTTCATCGCCGGAAGCTGCGGTTTCCTGGGAAGGAAGTGGGAGTGGAGGGTTCGGTTCCTCGGCGAGCAGGTCCAAGCCAACAATGTCGATGGGTACCATATCGAGTTGCAATTCAGTCAGACCGTCTGTGCTGAAGCTCGTTCTGCTTTTGTAGATCTTGTGTAGAACGGGGGCATTGTCGTGGGATAATCTGGGCCTGCCAGAAACCAAACCGTGTTTCCCAAGACGAAGCCTGTAGGAGACGAGAGGCTCAGCCAGGAGCCTGATCACCTTCCTTGCGCCAGAACGATATTTCCAGTCAAGGGTATCGGCTGTAAACTGCCTCAGTTCAAAGACATCAACTTCTCTATCCCACGCATTCCTCAGGCGATATCTCAACAACTCAATGTCCTGCTCTGAGGATACAACGGGCTTTGCATAGTATGACAGTATCGTTCGGTCGGGAAAAGCCTCTGGAATCCTAACCACCTTGTGTTTTGTCTGGAAATAGCCGCTTTCGTTCTCCTCGAGCTCGTACTGCAGTCGTTCTCGCCATTCACTAAGTTTCGCGTCAAGGTCGTCGGCTTCAAGCGCTTCGAGCAGATCTCCGCCAAATCCTGCCTTTGCAATTTCTGCGGCCAGTTTGCTGCCACATTTGGGAACTCCCGACGGCAGATAATCTCCTCCGCTGAGCATAGCGAATAGAATCATTCCCGGTCGATCAAGCTTGACGTTTGACGAGTCATCTCCATTCATAGTATAGCAGGTAACATGCGTTGCTGCAGCGGAGCCACTGCCACCTTCCTTGGAGAAGTTCATGATCGTGCTCCTCGAACCGAACATTAGCGTGTCCACATCGTTGCTCATGACAGCATCAACTACTCCAGCCATTTGTAGCCTTGCGCACTCTGCCTCTGCTTCACCAGGGGCCTCGTGACGAGGAAACTTGAACAGATCAATTAGGATCTTCGAAAGCTGGATAATCGGGGCGCTTCCATAGCTCCGACCGGAAACAGCCTTTCCCCGCTTAAAGGGGGGCTTGTCCTTGCCATCATAAACGAATAGCGGATGGATAGGCAGTGCCAAAATCTTTAGTAGCCGATAAAACAATGTGCGCAGCTCTGGATTTTTGCCGCCGCGACCGGCCTGAACCTGGAACAGCCAGATTGAGATGTCAACAGCTATTCGGATTGGTCTTGACGTCCGCTCCAAATGTGTAATAGCCAACTTTGACAGAGAAATCCGCTCTCCCGGTCCAAGTGCGTTGATAAGCCTGTTGTTCGTTAGCGAATTGATCGAAGCTCAAACAACGGTTGTCGTGGTTGCCGGGATATATTTTTGTTTACGTCCTGCGACCAACAACACGCAGACACAGCGAGAAGGAGATAGGTCAAACTCACCCAGGAATCCCCATCTGCGCTACCTCCAAAATACCAAAAACAATAAGCAAAATGAACAAAATGACGGGTTTTGCTCTGCGTTAAGCAAAGGTTGATGATGGTTTGTTGACATGGACTGGCCGGCGGGCCGACGAAGATCCGGTGATCGCTTTCTTGGCATCAAATGCGGCAGCTGCTCCTTTACTTCCTCCAAGGTTGCGTCTATGCCTTGATATCGAAGCCAGAACAGGGACCTTCTATTTGGAGGAGTCCCTGATCCTAGATTTTTCATCGAACAGCAATTTGTCGTTTCTCCCACCGCACCCACCGACGAACAATCCCAATGAGTACTCTCCGCCATAGCCAGTCCGCTCGGTCTCCTCCACACACCCCGCAACACCAATTGCGCTCGAACAACAACTCCTTCGCGAGCAACTCTTCCGGGTCCACATACCGCGTCGAAGAAGATGCGGTAATATTCGAACTCGGCGCTCGGTGGCTCCGAGCCGGATTTGAGGGCGAGAGCGAGCCGAAATGCATAGTCGGATTCGGACCGGAGGAGTCACGCAGGGTCGGGGATTACAGAGGATGGTTGCGAGGCACAGCCGCGGAACAAGAAACACCGACGCAACCGGCGACGCCGGAAGATTGGACGAGGCCGTACGAGCTGTGGAATATGGACCTGCGCGATGTCGATCTGGGGCTCGTCGAGGATAAGATTGAGCGAGCGGTTCGGGAGACGTACAACAAGTATCTGTTGACGGATGCGGGACTTGCGCGATTGGTTCTCGTTCTTCCATCGGTGGTGCCACATCCGCTGCTCTCTTCGGTTTTGACGACGTTGTTTATTCGGTGGCGGTTCCCAAGCATTACGTTGTTGAATAATGCTGCGATGGCGACGACGGCAGCTGGACTGCGGTCGGCGTTGGTGGTTGATATTGGTTGGGCGGAAACGGTGGTTACCGGGGTTTACGAGTATCGAGAAGTCGCGACGAAACGAACTACACGGGCTATGAAGGCGCTGATACAGGAGACGGGACTGTTGATTACACAGATTATAGATGGGGAGTCACAGCCTCGAGATACGTTATTGGTGGACTTTGAGTATTGTGAGGAAGTTGCCAGTCGCTTCTTGTGGTGCAAGCCTTCACAGGGACAAGACACATTGGCCGAGATTTCAGACAAGACGGTATCAATTCCGTCCCCCTCAGATCCTGGGTCATCATACATCGACCTTCCATTCTCGAAACTTACGGAACCAGTGGAAAAGGTCCTCTTTGCCAAAGACATGGTGCTTCCCGACCTGGACGATGAAGAAAAACCACTTCCGCTGGTGGTATATAACACGCTCCTAAACCTACCTCCAGATGTCCGCGGAATATGCATGTCACGCATTGTCTTCATGGGCGGTGGAGCCAACATCGCAGGGGTCCGCCGCCGGGTGCTCAACGAGGTAGGGCTTCTGGTGAAGCAGTACGGCTGGAGCCCCGTGCGCGGCAAAGTCATCGACCGAAACATACAGAAGCTACAAGAACTCCAGCTCTCCCAACCACCGGCACCAAAATACGACACAGCCCGCGAGCACACAGAGTCCGACTCCTCCGCGTCCGAAGACGGCTACGAAACCGCCGATGAACCAGATACAGAGATCGACCCAATTGAGCAGAAACTACAGCGCGCGAGGGACAAGGAAGCCGTCCCAATTGTCCAGGGTATCCTCCGTGAAGTCGAGACCCTCGGCCCCTGGGCTGGCGCAAGTCTCGTCACCAACCTCAAGGTCCGAGGCGTGGTGGAGATCGAGCGGGAGAAGTACCTGCAGCATGGCCTTGCGGGTGCCACAAGGGACTGGGATCATAGCCACAAGGACGCCAAGGACTTGAATGTGCATTCGCAGATTCCGGACCGGCGGTCTGGGTTGAGGAGTGGCGGGGATAGGTCGAGCTGGACTTTGGCGGGTTGGGGGTGATTGATTGCTTGTCAAAACTAGATGTGTGCGTTTAGATCGACGTGATTCAATAGATACCCGATATTCACCAATCCTATCTCTCCTGATGCTATCTATCCCACACCTGTCTACTGTCATCTATGTAAAAAAAAAAAAAAAAAAAAAAAGGATGTAAAACAAAGTCGCAAAAACATACAACAGTAGGGATTCGCATGTGGTCACCCACCATACTACTAACCTACCGGCGTGTGGCTTAAGTACGGCTGAGCGGACGGGAAGCCCTGTTCTCCACACCCTGTGGTCGTATGTACCAGTATTGACATAATAATAAGTCTAAGTAGTACTTGATGGTTAATCCAGATAAATACATGTTGTTTCTGCGAACATGCTGTCCCATGACTTTTTACAAGGCCTGGCAATATCTTTGGCTCGGCTGGATAAATCATCATCTTTCTAGGAGTAAGTCTTCTGAGCCATCCACGCTTTGAGGCTGGCACACACCAGGACGCAATTTGGGTTCAAATACACAGACTGTGTTCTTCTATCCACGCGACCTACGGCACAGCCTTTGCTATAACTCTCACACCTTTCGACCCCATCTTCGGCATGGCCACATGATAATCATGCAAAAATGCCACATCATCAGCATCAGTTTCAAACAAGGTCATTTCGAATCCGTGAACTAAGGCTGCGATGACAAGGTAGAGCTCTGCACGCGCTAGTTCAATACCAAGGCATCTCCGCCCGCCCTTGCCAAAGGCCATCTGGAACTTCCGTCGCTCCTTCCCAGCATCACCAAGCCAACGGTCAGGATCAAAAACATAGGGCTTGGGGAAGACACTTTCCGCTGTGTGTGCGGCAAGAGTCGTGATGCTTACTGGCGTGCCGGCTGGAATCGTGTATGATCTGGTTCTCGTGCTCGGTGGGCAAGTCAATGGGACGTGGGAAGAAGGCGTATAGATTAGCGGCTCGTGGGCGATACGGGCAGTTCTGGCTGTGACACCAAAGGAAAGCCGGTTGCCTTCTTCGATTACAGCGGACAGGTATGGGAGCTGTTCGAGCTGGGTCCATGAGGCGGATGCAGGGACTGTATGGAGCTCATCGCGAAGCTTCTCTAGGAGGGTCGGGTTGGCAAGAAGATGGTAGAATATAATGTTAAGTGTCTGAGCTGGCGATTCAGTCCCGGCTAATACCAGCAAGGCTCCCTCCTGCTCAAGACGCAAAAGAGTCTTTTCTGACGGAGGCAGACTCTGGCAGTCCAATACTGAATCGTAAACCGACTCCTTGCCCGTTGGTCCAACGGGCTTGTTAGAGCTGATCCCTGACTCTTTGGCGCGCATGATAGCAAGTACCTCGTTGCGAACTCGCTATTTCAGGTTAATAATGATAGGACAAGGTTGGAAGCGTATAGAGCCTTACTTCAAAGAGAGAAAGCATGTCAATAAGTCCGGGAGGCATTATCGGGCGGCTTATGGACATTGGAAGCGACTCTAGGAAATCAGGGACCTGTGGAAAGTGCTTGTTGAGATTGATTCCCATCATTAGTTCCTTGCTGTTGTGGCGGAGCGTGGCAGCTTTCTGCTCATCCAAGAGTATGTCTGTCTGATGCGCGAAGAGGAAATTGGTGACAACACTAGATCTGTTAGCTCCACAATATCAATGAACTGGTGGAACAGCTCACTCGTTTGAGAAGGCAAAGAATACGTCTGAGAAGTTAATTGGCGTCTTGTTGGTAGCATGGGTCGCGATTATTTGCTTTAGCTGGCCCACTTTATCTGCAATTAGCCCCTCCAGGTAGAGGATATTCTTCTTGCTGAAGAACTGCGTGAGAGCTTCCCGTCGGACTTTATGCAAGCTGTAGTCGGCGGTCGTGCCCACCCCACCAGGAACTCGAAGGCTTCTTAGCTGATAGGCGTACTTGTCTCTTCGCGCCATTGACGGAGCATAGATGATATCCAGAAAGCCAACATCGTTGATGTGAATCTCATCGGGGGTAACACGGATAATCGGACCTAGAGAGATGTTGGTTGGGGGCATGATAAGGAAGCGGAAATTAGCGTACCATACTGCTTATGAAGCTCCTGGATCTTGAAGATGTATTGACCAGGTTGAATGGCGTCATAATAGAACTCGTACCACCATGTGAGTGCTGCAAGGCGGGGCCCAGGAATATGGGCTAGTGGGTGGAAATAAAGGCGACGGATAGCTTCAGCTGCTGTCCAGAGTGTGGACACGACGGCTGTGGTTTCCAGGATCCAAAAGAAGCACATGATGCATGGACAGAGCGGGAGGACGTGGTGAAGAGAGGAAAGAGGTTGAAAGAAGGTCACAGACGTGGGTTTATCAATCCAAATGCATGGTAACAAAGGCGTGGGGTCATGTGCTGGGATCAGAGACACTTTGTATGGCTCATGGTGATTCATCTCTGGAATTTATCCAATATCCGCCCGTTTGCCAGGCTGCAGTCAGCATGTGGGGGCCGTAGCTAGCTATCTCGCTGCTGAGTCCAGTCCGCTCACACAAAGAGGTATCAAGGAGGCTAATATAAACATTACATCCTTGTGCTTATTCCTACTCTGCCCGTCCTCTGGAAACTTTCTTCCTTTATTCTGTTATAGAGAAGAGCCCTTGCTATCTATCTTAGTACTGGAGGAATCACTACACTAGCCTAATTTTGTGACCTCTTACTTCTCACCCTTACTCACCTAGAGTGATATTCTCACCGCGCCGTTTACCTATCTTACTTGCTGTTACCTCACCCCTAAAACAGCAATACTCCCAAGGCTTGCTTACCGTCTGACCGCGTTGATAAGAGTGGCTTAAGTACGGCTAAGCTAACGGGAAGCCTGTTCTCCACACTCTGTGGTACTATATGTACTAGAAATAAGTACGAAGCTGTAAATATACTACAGTTCCTTATCTAGTCGGCTCGCATATCGTCACCAGAAAGGGCGCTTGAGCATTTTGTCGTCTATTGAAACTACACGATCTCTCCTCATAGCTCAATTCTTAAAGATCAGTTCGGAAATATTTCTACAGCCCCTCTAGACCTCTCCAGAGTCATGATCATGCGACTGGAACTCTAACCTTGGAAGCCGGAAGGAATCCACATCCGCATACTGCAACTTAAGCTTAATCGACTCCAAGCTTTTCCATGACCATGGTAGCGTCGCTGTACTCAGCCCCGTCCGTGGCGCGAGAGCCCAAGGTTCGTGTCCGCGCATACTCTGTTCCTCCGAGATCATCTGACGAGTTCAGACCAGTCCTCTTGTTTCCTAATCATAATACACGGCCTTGGAAGGGAACCAACGTTCTCAAGAGCTTCTTAGGAGATCTCTTCCAGCTCGCGGCCTATCAGTATAATGGACGGATATTCGGTCATCTGATGGGCTTTCATTCCTGTCCAGAAGTATCTGATGCCAAGCGAGTTGAAGATCTAGACTGAGAGAGAGACTGAGAGAAACGTACAAGGTTCGGGTTAGAGTCGGCGGCCGGAGAGTGACACGGCGGGCTCAGGTGACTAGAACAAGAAGAGTCGGAGGCTTAATCCGGTGGATAAACTATGTCTGAAGACAACTCGGGTATGGAGAAGCGGCAAAAATCGCAAAAGAAAAAGAAGGAAGACTCGTAGTCTGAGTTAACCAATTATTATTAGATTGCGTAGATGCTACCGCTAGCCCTAGGTGTATATGCTAGTTGGCACGATCAAGCCGTCCCAAACCGATACACAGCCTGGTTAATCGCCGGCCTGCCACCGGGGGTAAAGATCTGGTTCTCCAACTGCCCCCATCCGGGCTGGTTAATCCCATCGATCCACCCCTCCGTCTCAACAACGACACACGAGTTCTTGACAACAGTCGTAGGCCCGTTGTTGAACCCCTGCTCCCTGTTCCGGTCAATTTGCGACTGCTTCACGGGGTCGGAGCCATCCTGTCCGTTGCAGCTGTAGATCTGGATAGCGGGCGTGTTGGTCGAGACCTCGAGGGAGATACCCGTGTTCTTCGAGTGCATGTAGAGTGCGGGAACGAGGGAGTCCGGAGCGTAACCTGCGGGGCGGTCGATGATCCAGCAGTTGTCGTAGCCCGTGCAGTCTGTCCCGCAGAGGCCGACGGCGTCGTCGATGTCTGCACCAACGAGCTTGGGGGAGGTAAAGTCCGGTGCGCCGTTGTAGGCGTCTACCGTGGAGATGGTGCCGTTAGGGATGAGGATGCCGTCTGTCGCGATGAAGCGCTTGCTTAGTGGGAGGTGAAGCGTGACATCTTGCAGGACGTTCTCGTCGCGGAAGGCGTTGAGGTTCCAGTAAATGTGGTTTGCGAGCATAATTGGCGTTGGGTCGGTGAGCGCGAGGGAGACCAGATTGGTTATCAATTGGGGACGGCCGTCGGGCCCATTAGCGACGGTGTAGGTTGCATGAGTGAGGACGTCGCCGGGGAAGCCCTCGAGGGCATGGTCGTAGAAGGAGAAGGTGATGGAGGAATTGGTGACGGCGGTTACGGTCCAGTTGCGCTGGTCATAGCCGACGTCTCCGCCGTGGAGGGAGTTGAGGCCGTCGTTTTCATTCTTCGGGATGTGGTACTGCGTGTCCGCGATGGAGAACGTGCCATTCTTGATGCGGTTGGCGTAACGACCAACAACGGGACCGTAGAAGTTGTCGTCGCCTCTGTACTGAGTTGGCTCGTCAAAGCCCACGACGACGTCCTGAAGACGCCCGTCGCGGTCGGGAACCAGCAAGGAGGTCAGACGCGCGCCGTAAGGGATGAGTTTGGCAGTGATGTTAGGAGCGCTGATGGTGTAGGTCTTCCAGGCGTCTGGGGTTGCTTGCGGGGTAGGACTGGGAGCAGATTGCGGAGCAGCAGCCACGCCTTGCGAAGCTGCGAGGCCCAGGAGGAAGGACGGTCCAAGGTGCTTGAGATGCATCACGTATATCAGGAGGGCGAGGACCCCGACAGAGATGTAGCAGTAGAAGAGGACAATGCGAGGGGAGAAGCGCGCAGGACAGACCAGGAAGCGGAGACGATCACGCAGGAGCAGGTGCAGAGGCTGGGGCATAGCATTGGAGGGCTTTATAGAATCTGACTTTCTCCAGAAATTGACTTGGATTTTCCGGATGTTACCTCATGGTGCGGAGAAACAAAGCGGGGGACGGCAGCGGCTGACACGGTTAATTGGCCCCGGATAATTTCAGAAATTAGTGCTTGACCAGCGACGTAATCGAAGGATCAAACTCCGGAGGGACGCTCGAGGATTCGACAAAGAAGCGGCGGTGCGTGACCTGTTTGGCCCCCAACCCTGGCAATGCGCGCTGGCGGACGATGTACCGGAGTCGAACCAGACTGGGACAAGAACTCAGGGTCAACTTAAGACTCCGAGTGGCGGGAAGGATCAACGCCCCTAATTCCTTTCCAGTCTTAGCTCAAGTCACGTTGACAGTCGGGTGTTGACAGCCGCTAGGACTTGCGAAAGTATGGTAGGATTTGCCGGTCAGACCACCAAATTCTACCATATGTTGTCTGAGCTTACGGGTCAATCGCGATTAGAGTAGGAGTCGCGGAAGAGGAAACTGAACTAAACGTGTGCTGTGTGTGCTTGGATCCCCACAAAGTCAGAGCTCAAGATACCAAGCTAGGGCAGAATGGAAAAAAAGGGGAAAAAAAAAGATATCTCCGATACGGGGAATCGAACCCCGAGCTATCGCGATCCACATGAAAGGCGATGATGTTAGCCGTTACACCATATCGGATGAGATATATTTAGCCGAAATTATATCAGTATCTATACTCGCCAATCGCATGAAGTTTTCCGTTTGTGCGACCTTCGCTCTTCGGGCATACATCACAGGTAAGACCTTCGACAGTGGAATTGCTATCGTGGCGGGTAGGCTTGAATCCCGCCTGATAACTTCGAGATGGACCCCATATCATCTTGGAGCACACACTCTTCCGCAGGGTTGGGGGTTAGTGGTACTCTGTACGGATGTAGGCATTGGCAATGTTATCGCCCAGGCATGGGCGGATGCTTCATAGTAGATTTCTCGACAGTCGCACTCAAGCTTGTTAATCCTACCCGACCGGGTGGTGGTGAGATTACCTATATAGCTGTGTTTGGTGAATTTCACCAGTCTCTTTGGACTTCATTGCACGCCCGCGGGCTCTCGATATATATCCATTGACACACCCAAGGAAAAACCATAGGGGTAAATACACACCACGACAGCTCAAGAACCCGAATTGTCTCCGATGGTAATAATAACGATACAACACCAACCATGCGCATCAAAATGGATCAAGTTACTCCATACCCGTAGACATACGGCTGTACGCGAAAATGGGTAGTAAGTAGCCTAGTCCGCTGTGCATCTGAGCAAAACCATACGGGATCCCACGGCACTTGGCAGGGGAAACGGCCAGTAACCAAGCAAATGGCTACATAGTCACCGAGGCTGAAGCTCATAGTATCTAATTTTTTCTGTTAATCTATATAGTAACCACATAAGTCTGCGTATGGACCACACCAGGGTGAATTTGAAACCTATTAAGCTATTAAAATATATAAAGCCAAAATTAAAATAGCAAAACATATAAGATCCTCGATGGTCTAACGGTCATGATTTCCGCTTGTCAGATTACAATGTGATCACAAGCGCGGGAGACCTGGGTTCGACTCCCAGTCGGGGAGATCTCTTTTTTTTTCTTGGGTCCTCCCGTATACATATCCATCTTTCTCCTTTTTCTCCTTTCCAAGGACTGATATAATTTTTATTTGCATCAAAGGTCCCTAAGAGCATGATCTGTTTTCACGAAGAAGAGTTGCCTACCATCTATACCGCGGGTCCTGTGCGAATTCGATAACGAGCGAGCATCACCTAGCCTTCGCCCGCAGCCCCAGTCCAGCGGTCCTCTCAAAATCTGCAGCGAAACCTCAAAAAGGCCCAGGTTCAGTCAAACATCCAAACCATGGCAAACTCAAAAACCGATAACCAGTCTCACGGACCAACTAACGTCATCTTGCAGCAAACAAAGTACACAAATTGGACATGGTGCCAAGCGCTCTGTACAACCCTACCAACAGCCGATGCCAGCCATATCCCTGAGACCCAAATGCTAGTATGCAGCTACCCCAAAAGCAAAAATACACATCCGCGAGACATTCAGCTATGAAGCTGAGCCGAATCCCCGCAGGATGTCTGTCAGCAATGACGGACGACGAGAGACAGGGGGTTTGGGATGATTTCCCCTTCTCTCTACCTGCTGGAACTTCGCATTTCTCAAGAAAGCGCAGTTCGTCAAGAATATCATGGAGGATCTCTTCAGTACGTACCCCGAACTTCCATCTCGTTGAGCGCGCAACTGCCCTGCGCCGTCCAATATCCATCTGACAAAGCCACTCCTAGGAACAACTACGCAAGAGTTAGGGCCCACCTATGGCGAGAACCCACAGAACGCAGAAAGCATGGAGGAAACGCCCACGACGGGTACGATGACAACCACGATAACCGTCACAGACGTTAGCTATTATACCACGGAGACCCTCGCGACGACGACCGAGGACCTTGACATGATCGAGACCCTTACGGGGTTCGTACCTACAGCGCCCTCACTATCACCGGTGCCTTCCGAAATAACTACTATCGCAGTCGTCTCGCCGAGCCCTATCAGCACAAGCGCGAGTAGTGGGAGTGAGAGCGAATGGGGTGGAGGAGGTGGAAGAGACAGCAGCGGATTATCGACAGGAGCTATAGCTGGGGTCGGGATTGGGGTTGGGCTTGGTGTTGTTTTTCTCGCTGTTGGGGTTATACTTGTTTTCCGACGGCGGCGGCGGAAGGAAGAGGATGGGGAACCACCGATGCCCGAGTTGGGAGGGGAGGGCCCACCTGTTGAGATGGGGGGGGGGGGCGGAAAGGCGTGTGCTTGAATTGGTGGGTAAGAAAGGAGGTGGCGCGCCGGTTGAGGTGCTAGAGGGGGAGAGGCCGAGGTATGAGTTGCAAGGATGAATGAAGGTATGGGAGTATTCTATCTCGGTGGACTTTTTGTGCATTTAACGATGGGTATGAAGTTTTGAATATACATTTTGGGGTAGTAATAATACAAGTTCAAAGGAGACTAGAATTTAGCACCCGTAACCTGGACAGAGTAGTTCAAGCCAGCTTGGACTTCAGCTGTCAAGGAGAATGGGTCATACTGAATGACAGTTGATGGCGTGTTCGCGACAACAAGGCTGGCCTCGTCACCATCATCCATAGTAACCGAGCCAGACCCGTCAACCAAGTCGACGTATCGAACAGATCCAGAAGAGCTACGTACGGCCAGCGTAGCGGTAAAGTCTAGACTCGCCTGAACGGTCACGCTGACCTCACCAGGCTGAGAGATCTGGAGCGGGTTGATGTTCGCACCCATGTAGAGGGGTTGACGGTCAGACTTGACGGTGTAGCGGTCACCGTTCGAGTCGAGGTTCTCGTAGCTGAGCCAGTTTCGCTGGTCGAGGAAGGCTTGGTGAGCAACTTCGTGGCCGATATCGACGTAAGCCATGCGCGCCCAGTAGCGTCCAATCACCGAGCCGACAGAAGTAGAGGAGACCAAGCGCGCAAGAGTGTGCAGCGGCGTCTCGTTGCTGCCAATCTCATACTGCTCGAAGAGGTTCCACATGGTATCCCGGCCCAGCCCGGTATAATTGTCCGGATTATTGGTGAGATACGTGAGCACCGGCCAGGCCTGGTAGTAGTTGCCTGACCCAACGGAACCATCAACAATAACCTGGAACGAGTCACCAATCACCTTTTGCAGGTCAATAACCGAGTTGCCCGAAGTTTGACCGTAGCTCTCTCGCGCACTGGCGCATAGATCCGAGGTGATGTATGTGTCCGCAAACCAGTTGGCGACAGTCTCCCACCAGGCGCCGGTGGCAGTTTGGTCGACCCAGTTTCGTGCGTGGTATGTTAGAGCATGGCCGTACTCGTGCACTGTGACGGACGGGTCGGTCAGGTATGTAGTAACCACGTTCACCCAGCTCAGGCCAGCGGAGTAATCAGAATGCATGACGCCTGCTGCGCCGCCGTCGAGCGATGACACGGCGTAGACGTTCTCCTTGTACCAAACATCACTAGTATCGCTATTGGTGTTGTAGGAAAGTCCGTGTGACCTCCAGCCTAGGTTAGTGACAAAGCAAGTGTAGGCACCCTCGAGCATTTGGAGAGTAGTGTCTGCTTGTGTTTCGGTGGCGCCATAGACACGAAATCGCGGAGAGTCGGTATAGGTGCTACCGCCGCCGCCGATGGAGGGGTTGGCGGTGAATTCAGAGGGCTCAGAACTACTGCTGGCCCGGGATTGTGATTGTGACTGAGATTGAGGGCATGGAGCTGCGAGACTTCCAGCTGCGCAGAGGATCGCAACCGCGGATTTTGTGAGAGGCATTATGAGGTGCAAAATGATCGTGATGCTGTGAATCAAGTTTTCGATTCTCTTCGTGATTTATATAAGCCCTGTATATCGCCAAGACGGACAAATGACTTCTTCAGGTTGCCTGAAATATGGAGAAGATGGGCCCAGCAGGGTCCACTGAACTGTTCGTGGGTGCGTGAAACAGGGGTCGAGCAGTCCCTGAAACAACCTAAAGCGCTAGCCCTAAGTCGACCCGCCCCCTCCAATAATTCTCTAACAAGGTGCAACGCAACTAAGGGACGAAACAAATAAAGTCTCAAGTTTCTCTCAGGTACTGCTTTTTGAGCAGAGGCAGAATCAGGGAACTGCTCGGACTTAACTCCCTGCTCGAGGCGAAGTGCCGCTAGTACTACCGAAGCCATGAATTATCACAGCTGAGCGGCCGGCGACTTGGCACGAAGACGGTCGCCATACTTATAAAATAGTAGAGGCCCTGGAATAAAAGCCAGAGCAATAAAACCGAGCAACGAGTTACCCCATCCATAGTTCAAAGCTCTGCACATGCTTGGCCCGGCGAGAGGTAGAAAGGTGCTGGAAATGTATCGCAGAAGATTGTTAGCACCCAGAGCCGAGGCAGCACCCTGAGAGCCGAAAACGTCAATCAAGTAAAGTTGCGCAGGGGTCTGTAACCAAGAATTAGAAAAATAAGCATGCCAGGAAGTAGCCAGATACATACGATGACGAAAAAAGCTCCGAAACCCATGAAGCACGTGCCAATAATAGGCACGATCCAATGCACTTTGTAGTACGCAGTCCAGCCGTACACGAACAGGCCGAAGGCAACAAATGGGCTGAACCAGATCATTGGAATCAACCGGTTCTCTGGGCGTGGTTGAGACGCCGCTTGCATGCGCCGGCTCATGAGGTTGAACAAGACCATACTCCCAAGCAATGACGCTCCCAAGCCAAGGTACACCAGGCCTGACATGGAAGTGCTAAACCCATACCGGCCCTCAAAGACACTAGTAAAGGTGGTGAAAAGAAGGTACATCACACCGAAGACCAAAGAAACATATAGAGACATAACAAATAGGATAGGCGACTGGAACAAAAGCATGGCAGGGCGAATAAGGACTTGAAGGAGGATCTGGCGCGGAGAGAGGGAATGAGCGAGCTTGGACTGTAGCTTATGGTTGCCGGTAGCAGCACGGAGCGCCGCAGCCTTGCGTTCAAGGATGATTTTGGGGTGCGTTTCGCGCATGATGATAAGGGCAGCGAGTCCGAAGATTCCTCCTAGGATAGACAGCAGCCAAAAGGTCCAGCGCCAGCCTTCTCCGGTGGTCAGAAAGCCCCCAATCACAGGTCCTAGAACCTGCAGAGTCTTGGGTCAGCGTCTATGAGAATAGCGAAGGGAGAACGGCTTACAGGTCCCGAGAGAGGCCCCATGCTAAACAAAGCCATCGAGGCTGCTCGCTGCTCTATAGTGGTAATGTCCGCAATCGTTCCGCCGCCGAGAGCCATCGGCGTGCCGCCAGCACATCCTGAGATGAACCGAAAGACCATGAATTGGGCCGCGCTCTGGCTTAGCGCAGTCCCAACGATAAAGGCAACAAAGATCACACTCGAAGCGTGGTATACTGGTACACGGCCGTATATTTCGCTCAGTGGAGACATGAACATGGGCCCAATTGCTAGCCCCAGTACATATAGGGTAATAGCGAGAGTGCTAACGGTACTAGAAGTAATGTCAAGGGCTGCCGCAATGTCCTGGATGCCGGGTGCACACATCGTTGGGGCCATATTCCTTATGTGGTGTGAGTACATGCCATCCTAGGGCGCGAGCCGGACGTACGTGATAAGAGCTAGAATGGAGAGTATGACAATGTGTGCCCATTTATTGTGCTTAGACCAGTTTCGAGGATTGGCAGGATCGCAATCACCGTCCCAGTCGACGATGTTGGTCTCCTGCTTGCTCTCTCCAAGGACGCCGTCTTCGAACTGGCTTAGGACGGTATTAGAACTGCTCTCGAACTCAGACATTTTCGCAACTGGGTATAGCGCAAAGCGGTAAAGTAGGGTTGAGAAGAAAAGTAAAGGAGCAATGGCGATAAATAGTTGACTGAATGCCTAGAAACATCCTGTGTTGATGGAGGCAAGTCGGGCCCCTTAAGAAGTACACACAGAACAGCAAGAACATGCTGAAGAGACGGATTTAGGATATCCATTATAGGAGTCAGGCCAGAAAGGTCGGAAATGAGCCGGCGATAGGAATGTAGATGGCCGGCTTTACAGGCGACGATGTAGGTGGAGAATCGGTCGTCCGCGGAGGGTCGGAGGAAGAAACAACCCCAAAGCGTCACATGACCTCAGCGAAAGACTACTGAAGCGACATCTCGTCCTTTTCACAACTCACAGGCTTTGAGCCTGCTGGAGTCATGGCATCACAGACTATACCTAGGTTAACGGCCTCCTCAAGACAGCAAAAGGAATTGATTTCGAGGCCACTTGCACACAGTCGACGCCGAGATAAACCCCAACTTTCCTGTGACCAGTGCCGACGACGAAAGTAAGTCTTCATCTCAATCAACGAATAGTGCTAAAGTGTTCCGTCATCCAGATCAAGATGCGATCGCCAACGGCCATGCTCGTGCTGTACAACACGTGGTCAGCCATGTACATATCCCGAAGGTTCTGCGTCTATGGGTCCGCCACAGCCACTGTCTGGTACAAGCACTGCCCATGACCGCATCGTACGCCTGGAGCGCTTGGTCATGTCTATGATGCAGAGCTCGACTATGAAGCCCGATGTTGATCGCACTCCGGACGCCGGCAGGCAATCGATGCCTGGGCCTGCAACACCGGCCGACACTATACCAATAGAGGCCTCGGCCGATGAGCACTCTGACTGCGGAAGCCTGAGAATCAGTGACTTAGAGCTTCGTTACGTTGGAGGAGACCATTGGGTGGCGATTCTGGATGGAATTGCCGATCTAAAAGATCACATCGACCGCGACGAACAATTACGGCTCGCTGGGGATTACAATGCTATTGGAGACGAGGTAGATAGTGCTGATACTCTTGCCTCACCGCAAGATAGAGGCGCATTACTACTCTATGGGTGTCGGCACGCGGCTTCTCGCGATGAGATTCTCTCTGCATTGCCTCCAAAGTACGCCGTCGATCGCTATGTCTCACACTATTTCAACTACTTGGATCTCGTGTCGTCTGGTACGTGAGATGCGCTCAGTCACGTTATATCAAGCTCACTTTTGTCAATTCGCATAGCGACTGTTCATGGACCGAGCTTTCTGCGCGAGGTGAGTACTGATCTGTATAAAACTCTATGCGACATGCTAACCTTTGTAGTATGGCGCCTTCTGGGCTAACCCGTCCAGCGTCCCAGTGATGTGGATTGGACTTCTCTTCAGTATGATTTGTCTTGCTTGCATAGCTTCTGACCCGCCCGGAGATCTAGAGGTGGAACAGAATTTTCTTCAGGTGGATCTTTATCGTGAAAAGGTTGTTCAATGTCTTTTCATGGGCGAATATACTAAGTCTGGTCCATACGTCTTGGAGACTGTCATCAACTATGTTTACATTGAGTTCGGCACACGTACCGATGCCGATAAAGACATGTGGTTTCTCCTTGCACTTGAAGTCAACTTAGCCAAGCGCATGGGATACCATAGAGATCCGAGTCACTTTCCCGGTATTTCGCCTTTCCGTGGAGAAATGCGACGGCGACTCTGGGCAACAGTGCTGATGAGCGACATCCTCCTGTCGAATCAAATGGGTATGCCGCGCATGATCTCTGACTGGCAATACGACACGTCAGAACCACGGAATCTTGATGATACCAATTTCGACGAGGACACACAGGAACTGCCTCAGTCACGACCAGAAAGCGAACTAACTACCGCGCTGGGAATAGTGGCACGAACACGAATGTTGAAGGCGCTTGGTACCATCGCTGATCTTACAAGTGCGGCGAAAGCATGCAGTTATACTGAAGTAATGCGAGTGGATGGAATACTACATGAAGCAGTTCAGAGCATTCCAACGCCCTTGAAGATGAAGCCGATGGCAGCTAGCTTGACCGATTCGCCACAAGCAATTGTTTCTCGCCTCTTCATCCAGCATATGTTTTACAAAGGGCAAGTCATGCTGCATCGACGGTTTGTCTTTACGCAGGCTTCTGAGAGTGACGAAAGCCACAACTACTCACTAAACACATGTGTTGACGCCTCGCTGGGCAGCCTGGAGATCCAGCACATACTCGACGAAGAAACCCGCCCCGGGGGCCAGCTTCACGTGATGCGCTGGCGTGTTACGTCTATCATGAACCATCAATTCCTTACGGCTACCATGCTTCTATGCTCGATGCTGCACCATGAACAAACTGTAGAGCGAGAAGCTGAGATTCGGGCTGGACTGCAGCGAGCAAGGGCAATCTGGTTACGCAGAAGTTCAATCTCGAAAGAGGCAAGAAAGGCTGCAGAGGCAGTGAGCCTTGTGCTGGCCCGAGGGAAACCAACAGAAACCTGTGCAAAAAGAGATGGACCTCATGACATGGTCACTGGCCTTGACCAAGGCCGGCCGGCGGTCTCACCAGAGACTGCAAATCTTAACGAGGGTGGGTGCTCTACTAGTAGAACTCTTAACTTGACTGACATCGTGATAGGCCGGCTTATGCCAGACTTCTTGGGTACTTATATGCCATCCGGCCTTCAGAACCCAGATTTGGGCGTCGATATGAACATTTACGGGGACCTCCCTGATGGATGGATGATGTTTGTAAATTGGCCTGGAACTGGTTGAGGCTCACCTACTGCAAAGGCCCTGCGTTGTCCTAATATCTGCAAAATATCTAATTGTTCTTACTCCTCCATGGATAGTGAACCTCTTTACAGTTTACGCCATCCTCTTTTTGTGTGATTCTATATACTATCTTCAAGATATCTCTATAATATACACAGGCCATCTTTCGGAGCGACACGCTAGTAATCCTCCAAGCTTTGATTAAGCGGACCCGAACATAATACTAGCCCTACGAATCGAAACATACTGGAAGAAAAGCATAGTGGGTGAATGGGAGCAACTAGTCGAATCTAAGACCTGGAAGCATAACTCGCCTACCAGATTCTGTGGTACATCTTCAGATGAGAGATTGGAATTCAAATGCCTCTGAACATCGCTCTAGGTCCTTACGTTGATACTGTACGCCTGTCATCCAACCTCTTATGCCTGGTACTATAGTTGAGAGGGGAAACGCGCTAGACCAAATCGGGGTTCTTGCAGTTGATGACATAACTGATGCCTGAGGCGCTAATTGCCTTCCACCTTCCCGATTGGGAACGCGTGTTTATGCGCAACTCACAACTCTCGTGGCTCCGACTGCACTCCCCCGCTACGTTTGGCGAACTCATTATTTGTTGGCTTCAATCGCTTGCGTTATATTTGGACTTCTGGATACGAGATAATGACGTGTTTTGGATTGGCTTCTTGACGTGCTCACACTCTTTCGTAGGCTACGTCGTTGGTTCGGTCGCTGTCCCTCACATCGTGAATTCAATCAATGTTCTCCCACAGCGCAAGCTCCTCCCCGGACATTCTTGCGCCTCCTGGAGATGTCGACTACCTGATCTCCTCACCCTTCAGACCCTTCCGCGGCCGCCAAAGCAGCGCCATGTCGCCCGCAAACCTCCGCATCCTCAACACGCCTGGTGCTGGGCGACGGAAACGGTCGCGCATTAGCCTCAGTCCAGCGAAGAGCGCGCACTCGATACGGTTCGATGATATACTGCTTCCAGGGTCGCCCTCAAAGGGTAATGGTCGGCAACGGTCCATCTCCCCGGACAAGGCACAGGCGGAGGGCAACGTTAGTCCCTGGCGGATTCGCGTGACACTCGAGGCGACACAGGACGACCAGGAGAACCAGGGGAGTCCTTCGCGCAAGCGGCCGAAACCCTCCACGTTTACGACTAAAATTCCGCTTAAAGATGGCTCGGAGCAAACGCCTCGACGAGGTAGAGGGCGTCCTAGAAAGTCCGACGCTGTCAAGGCGAGCCCGGGCCACACCCCTGGTCCTGGCGGAAACAGCGTCCAGAAGAGAAGACCTGGTCGGCCGAGGAAATCTCAGCCGGAGAACGTCGCAGTCGAAAGTATTGAGCAGGTGGAAACGCAGGTGGAGACACAACAGGCCGACCCAGCTCCGGCAGGTACGGAGCTAGAAAGGCGCAGCTGGAGCCCTCTGAACCTCGCCGGTGATGCGGACTCGGATGATGGGTTTGGCGACGGGATGGACATTCCCTTCGACGTTCCTGATCAGTCGCAGCAACCCTCCCAGGAACAGAATCCAGCCCCGGAACTTGAAAAAACCTACGACACCCCAAATGGCGACGCGATAGATCGATTTTACTCGCAGCCAGGCGACGATGAGTTACATTCAACACCCTCCAAAATGCCATCACCTACCCGAAACCTGCAAGCTGTATCTGCATCTCCCGAGAATAGCTTACACGCCGGTCATACACCACACCCACCACGCATCTATCCAACCCCAACCTCATCGTCGCTGGTAGACGATGAACGGCAAGAGGGCAGCAAGCTGGCGCAGGGTGCATCCGCAAATGCACATAAACCGGATGCGGTACCTCCCAGTGACCCTACCAGTGAGTACAAAGATTTCGATACAATCATCGAGAGCGAGGGGTTTAGTATGGTATCGCTAGACACATTGCCGTCTGCCAGGCAGCATGGCTTGAAGAACAATTCGAAACTGACGAAGGGCTCTTTGAAACCATTCATCCAGCGAGAATCCAACGGCGTTCTCAAGCAGAAGGCACGCGCCTTGGATCGGCAGCCAGAACAATTCTCTGTCCCAAGTCCGAGTCCTGAACCATTGCCTTCTCCCAAACCGCAACTTCACTATCCTCAACTCCCAGTTCAGTACCCCCAACTTCCGACAGCAAGTCCGTCTACCTCTACCAAACGTCTATCTCGATCGCCGGCAATCGCCACTAAATCATCTCCAGCGCCGCATAAGAAAAGATTCCTTGGACTAGCAAAGTTGGTCAGATCAGGAATTGCCCTCGGGCATGTCCTTAGTCATTCTAATCCAGCCCCGGCTCCAGGAGAAGAGATTACCGACTTCATGGAACCTCGCCGACGGCTAGAAGAGGTCTTTGATGACTTGAATCCTGACTCGCAACGACTTCTACGGGTGGCTTTAGGCCTTGGACAAGTGCTTGCAATAAGACGAAAATACAACGAGCTACGGAGTCCGGTGAAGAAGGCTTTGTTGGAGGCAGAGGAACCGGAAGTAGATGAGGAAGGTTTAGACAGCCCACACTTTGAGTACACAAGGAATGTGTCAAGAACCCCAAATCGACAGTATGATGGTACGGCAGAGTCTTCGCCGAGCACAATGATGAAACAACGGTTTGCGGAGTGGCAGAGAGAGCGGGAAGCGATTAGCCGGACAATTGAAGAGCATCCGAGCCAGGTCATTGTTATTGACAGCGATGCCAGTGACTTACAGCAACCCGACGAGCAGTGTGATGAGCCCGACGAGCGCGAGACGTATGAGGATCAGCAGTTACCGAACCAGAGAGAGGAAGAGCAGCAGCATTACGAAGAGGGTTACGGTCAGGGATATGAAGAAGAGGGACGACAGCAGGTATACGAAGAAGAGAACGCAGACCCGGACTACGGTGCTGGCGCCGATGATGATGACGATGGTGATGAGGACATTTGGCAAATCCAAGCGAAAGAGGAGGGTAACTCAGGCCGGGGCTCTATGCTTGAAGCACAGAATGATCAACAATCAAGCCCCGGAAAAGGTCGCTCGTCTCCTGCAGATCAGGGGTACAAGTGGACTTTCTCTCCCGGACTTTGGCTTGACGGACAAGGAAAGGTGCCTCCTCTCGGCCAGTCGCGGGTGCAAATACTGCGCGAACAAGATGCGAGCTTTTCAGATCTGCCTGGCGTCGAGTACACACCGAGGCAAGCCCGATATTACTTGGGGAAGAGCAGTCCTCTGAGTTCTGCACAAGGGCGCTCACCACAGCAAAGTCTGTCATCTGCAGCGTCACAGCGCCACGCCAATGCCGAAAAATACCAAGACGAGCTGAGGGAAGAGTCTGAAGAGTCCGATGTCTTTCTGAATTTGAGCCCAGAAAGAGACCTCGACGATGAGACATTCCAAATCGACCCGACGACAAGGCACGAAAGCGAGATGCGACGCCACCAGTCTGAGTTTGCAGACAACGCAGAATTCGCAGACAATGCCAGCCTCTCAGATGCCGCCAACGAGGGAGTCTCTGCACACGAAGAGACTTTTACGCCTAGGAATCCCAAGCCTGCGAACAAGGATGGGCAGGGGTCTTCCTGGTTCCAGAAGATCACAAGTTACACGCCGGCCTGGCTAAAAGCTCCGGTCCGAGATTCGAGTCCGACTCGGGACAACTCAACGTTACGGCGCAGTCGGTCCAGCTCGCATGCTCCTAGTTTAAATGAGGAACAAAGCGAAGAGCATGAAGGTCGCGGGCTTGATGAGATTGACGAAGAGAACGTGAGAGAACATGAAAGGTTGCCGTCCATCAATGAGTCGGAATCGGAGTTGGAGTCGGTGTCAGACCCGATGCCCCCTGCTGCGCAGCGTGAGGTCACACGGACCTCAATTTCAGCCTCACAAAACCTAGAGAGACCCGAAGAAGTGAAGCCTGAAGAAGAGGAAGGCGAGCGAGACGGCGACGCGCAGGAGGAGGAAGAGGATGGGCAAGCGGGAGAAAACACACAACCAAACTCAAAACCCACCCAACCCCGCGCATCAGCGTCGCAAGACCAACATGAACAAAACCCACCCCTCGCCACCTCAGGCTACTTCACAAACGCCCACTACACGCTCCTCCGCCGCCTCTACCGCATGGCAAAGAACACCCCGGGGATCTTCCCCTACCACCCGAGACCCTCACACGCTGAGATCATCAGCGACTACATCTGGACCTCGGACAACGCGTACGGCGTCGCGATCACCAAGCAGCAGTTCGCCATCATCCATCGGTTCAGACAGGAGCTTGCCGTTGCGGACCGCAGGGCTGGCGGGTCCGGGTACGTTGGGTGGACGGAGGCGGAGTTGCATCGGAGGCTTGTAAGTCTGATTATTGGGGAGCAGATTCGCGAGGATATCAAGAATGAGGAGAGGGCGACGAGAGCCATGCCGAAGAGTATTATTCAGAGGGGGTGAATGCATTCATGATTGGATGGTGATTCAAGATTGAGTTACATTACTATGCTATGTATGGTGCATGGTTTCCTATTGCATATGAAGTTATGTTCATTGTCAGGTCTCTTTTTTTTTTGTCAGGTTGGCTTTTTTTCTTCTACCATTGCAGTTAGTGTTACATTTTTGCCGGGCCAACCGGGGCGAGTACACCTGGTTATGAATGGTGTTTGGCCTGTTGCATATTATGTCTTGGTCGTCATGTAAAGCGTCTGTGCACTTGGAGGTCTGGATGTTTTCTTTTCTACAGAGGTTGTCTATGATTGGACGTTGTGTTTGCCAAAGTCAGCTGCCCAACAAATTTTCCTTCACTTTGTTTTTATTTGTCCATTTTCTTTTTCTCTTATTCTCTGTCTATATTTTGTGATATCAATGGCATCTGCCTTGTTCCAGCTTTGAGTTGAACCCTACCACTGGGGTGACATCATCGTCGATCCGGGAGTTGGTAAACCAGAAGCTGGCATCGCGCGGAATAGCGCAAAGTCCGGTGAGCATCAAGTGGATTCTGGATGCCAACTTATGCGCCCGAGAACGTCATAAATTCTACGTATCCCCTGCATCAGCCATCTCTCCGACCGCCACGTTGATAACCCTGCGGATCAGTTCCTGGACGGTGCCCGTTCTCAGAGCTTTGCGCCATGCTAAGAACGTGTAAGCCGAGAACGCTTTCTCACCTCCTCCGCCCTTGGCGCCTTGACTCCTGAGTGGAAGCCTGGAAGGGTCGGGTGCTAGTGTGAGATGGTGCTAGTGCCATATTCTAGTCTCAACTGAGCTCAGACCTGCAGGGCGCAGATGGAGCAGCCATACACAGGCCGTACAGTGGGAATATCAGGGGGTCTAGACTGCGGCCGGGAAAGACTATCACCTTAAGAAGGAAGGCTTTTCCCCGCGACTAGAGCCGATCGTGTCTGTGTGTGGAGAGATGGGGTTCAGGCGGGAGCCTTTGGTTGGGAGCGCACGCCTGTGGCGGCAGGGATAGACTCGACGGGCCTATGATCGGCCCGGATATTGGACCTGGACCGCGTAGTAAACGCAAACTGGGAATTTCTGAGGAAAGGGCGGTAACTTACTTTGGAGACAGAGTCTGAGCAGGGTGAGCGAAGGATTGGGTATATATAGAGCGCTGGGCGCGGCAGGGCACGTATACGATTCCAGCTCAAGTCCGTTCTGTCGAGCCTCAACTGAGAGCAGATCAAAGACCACACTACATACCTCTTCTTTCCCACATTTGTCGAACCTTATAGGCCGAAATGGGCGTCAATCACCGTGTCAAGACCAAGTACGTCTTTCGTCTTCCCCTTCCGCTTCCCTTCCTCAAGACAAAGCGAACGGGTGGAAAGAGAAGGCCTGTAGACGACGAAGTCGATACCGAAGACGAAGTGTATACCACCGTCGGCCCGACAGTTCAAGTTCGATACGAGTCCGACGCCGGGTCCGAGATTGAGTCTGATGCGGACATCGACCCTCTCGATATAAGTAGACCAGCCCCCGAGCACAGGAGATTGGTAAGCTGGGACGGCGTCAAGGATCGAGCGCGTACCCCCCGGTGGACGGCAGAACAAGAAAGAAAGCTCGTGTATGCACGAGCAGAGTTGGCGAGGTGCCAGAAGGCATGGAGCTCGGAGCAGGAACTTTGGTTGAAGTGTGTAAGTTTCCAGTGCCCGCTCTCTCAAGCATGTTCACCAAAGTAGGTTGAATATGTAGTACATCCTGACTGCCATGCCGAAGCTTTCAATCGTGATTAGCAACGACCATTTCGAACAATCTATATGGACAAGAGTGTTGAGACTAACCGATGCAGATCGAGACTTTGACAGAAGAAAAAGCAGCACATGAAGGCTTCATCAGCAACCGCGCAAAGCATATTGGCGACGAACAGCAGCACTTTCGAAAGGCTTGCGATCGAAACCGGAGACGCTCAGAGCAGGACAAGCTGCAGACGCCACCCCAGCGTCTGACTCAGGCTCACCGTACAGGGAGTTTGCCGGTGCGACTGGGGAGGCTTCGGGGCAGGAACTCGTTCAACTGAAAGAGATAAGAATAAGCGAGGGATACACACGATGGAGAATGACATTAATTAGTCAGTGGACGTACCTTGGGTCAGAGCGAGACGGTCTGCGACTATTCAGGTTGTGGACTGTAGACACGCGAGGATGATAAGGTAGGATAAGACAGAAAAGGAAGGAACGACGGAGGGGCAGCTGCCATATGGCCAGCCGAGCAGGGAAGGCACGACTGATAACAGCCTCAGCCTGGGCCCCAGTGGGTAAAAGTCTTGCCAAGTCGAGGGACTCGAGGCCCGGGTAACCGTGTCCTGGGGGTTCTCTATTCACAGATCGAAGAAGAATGGAATTATGAAGCTGCAGAGTCCCATTATTGTGTATATGCCGGCAATTCGATCTTGGGAACCCAGGATCGATAGACCATGCATGGCTTGACTAGCTCTGTCTCCTGATCTGTCTATTTGTGCTTGCCGTTCGGAAACAGAAAGACCTGTTTCTGTATGCACATCTTAAGCCGCATGATCGACGAACTGCTGTCAGCCTGTCACTGTCAGCCAGCCAAAGAGTGGCCTCCCACTTATCTGCTCCTTCCCACCGACAGTGGCCCAGTAGCACCTCACTCTCGTAGGTATCCAATAGTCAAAGTAACGGATCGGGAAATTGTTCACACGCGCGACTCGCGGCGAGAGGTCTGAGGGTTGAAGCGATGGATTGTTTTACTGATTAGAGATCTGCGACAGTCCTATCGAGAGGGAGGAAGACGTGGATGGAAAGCCGAGCAAGGGATCATGAAAGTGTGGCATAATATGCTCCTCTCGGTGTCCAATTGAGCAGCTCGGTATGCGAGCGTCCTCGGTGTGTCCGTGCTGTTGGGTCTGGAGAAGTGCAGTCTGGGGCACCACATTATTATGATTCTGCCAGGAAGAGAGGAACACTGGACTGATGCCGAGAGCAAGGCCGAGGCAGAGGAAGACTTCTGGTGAAGCGCTTTTGACGCGGCATATATTGCGGCAGGATTGCCCGTAGGAAGGTGACCCCGGCCAGACTCCGGGTACCTCTCCAAGCCACCTTTGGACTTGGCTGTCGAATTTAGCGGCTTTACCATGTTACAACCCCACGTCACTACTGGCCCAAGAGCATTGATTTGACGTTCTAAATTGATGAGCTCGTACGGCGGCCGCCGAGCTGCTGATAAGGGCCCGCCGGCCTGTCGCGGCGAAATGCATTCAGTGTTGCAGCAGCGCACAGCAGGATGACAGAGACGGAGGACCACGAAAGGATTTTCTGCAGACACTCAACTTTGGATGGAAGGATGGAACCATGTCAAAGATCTTCGCATGGGAGCAGCTCTGAATGCTTTGAATGGAGGAGAGGGCAGGAGTCGTTATCTCAGCCCAAGACTAACACTTTTCTGTCACTGATAAGCAAATCTTACAGATCACTTCCATTCCAATTTGCGGGCAGCACAGGCGTCTCATGAAGAATGCACTTGTCCTTCCGAGTCTTATCAGAGTGTGGCTTTTCCGTTGCGCTGCTCCGGACTATTTTAATTGTTCCCAGTGTTTTGCTGCATCTCGCCCAATGGTCGCTGACGCTATTCCCAATCCTCGTTCTGATCTATCGCGCTCTCAACGGCCTCAATCCTTCTGCCCCCTTGGCCGCACCGTTGCCACACCTGGAGTGATTTGCTTCTCTCTGATTCAGGGTCATGAAATCACTCGTCTTGGCTGCCATTATTGCCCCCGCCTCCCCCCTCTACCACAAAAGTGAAGACGTCCGTGAAGGATGGCCCGAGATAAGCATGCAACCGTGACCCGGAGAGCCTAGTATTATTTTCCCTCCATCTCAATTACTTGCTGAGCTGACGCTCGTACTTTGTATTTATTGCTTCTGGTGGCTCTTTCCTTCTTTCTTTGCTAATACTGTCCAGAAATGTCCCCAGAGCACACCGGAGCCTCTGATCATTGCCGTGCTTCACTGCTTCGGGTTCCTCTGCAGTGTCCAGTATGTCCGCCTTGAGTTCGGTCTGGTGGCCTCAGGATCGCGTTGAGGCGACCATCTGCCCCGACTTTATCTTTAAGAACCTCCCTGCAAGCACCTTGCCACGTCTTGTTGCGCCTCTGCCATGGGGGGAGGGGTTGACCAATGAGACCTACCTCGACTGGATCCTCGCCAAAGCCGGAAGGCTATTCCTTATTCTGCTTGATATTGGCATTCCTGAGCGTATATTTCACCTGGTCGATGATTCATTCGACGACAATGATCTTCCCATTGCCGCCCATAGTGTCGACCGTCTGCAGCTTTCTGCTGGCGATGCGAATCGCGATTTGGACTCCAAGTTCTTCCTTGCGCAATGGCGCTTCGTCGTGCGGGGCATTGGCGAGGGAGACCACGTCAAGTATACCGAAAACGAAGGCGTTCCAGTGGAAGCCTTACAGACCGGGACAGTGCTAGCAAAGGAGGGAGTCGAAAGAGTTGTTCTGGCTGGCGCAGTTTGCAAAATCTACCTACGGACCCAGGTGACCATTGGCGGTGCACCACATTTCTTCGAGGAGGATGAAGTGCTGGAGGAGATCCGCTCTTTGAGACGATTGGCCCATGACCATGTGTACTCCATCTACGCATCATACTTTGTCGACAACACCGTCTGCATTCTGTTCTCCGGTCTATACGAACGGAACCTCATGTCATTCCTGACAGATACCCCACAGTCTTTTAAAAAGCTTGCCAAAGAGCGACGTCGAGAGATTCTTGTCAACTGGCCCCACTGTTTGGCTCATGGGCTATCCTGGCTGCATGCGCATGGCCAAGTCCACGGTCTCATACGTCCTTCGAACATACTCATCGATGCTGACTGGAGGATCTTCATTGGCCAGTTCGAAGCCCTGGATACACTACTTCCACCAGTCAAGGTAGACGATGTCGAATCATACCAATATGGCCCGCCAGAACGGTGGGTGCGCTCGATCAGTGTTCAGAACAGCGGTCCTGCTGGTAGCATGCTACCGTCGGGGGGTCGAACAGGTCGCAAGAACGAGGGTCCAACAAGGCTCAATCTGGCTCGTCTCAAAGGACTCCGCATCTCAGACACGGAGCCGTTGAGCCCTCCTCCGGAGTCAGTCGCCTCTCACGGCACAGTTATTCGAGTTGGAGGCCAAGACACTTCTTCCAGGTACTCCATGGGACTCTCCTCGTCCTCATCAGGGTCTAGTAATGGAAGCACCACTCGAAAGCGCGGAATTTCCGTGAAACGTCCTATCATCTACACCCCATCCATTACCTCTTCGAACTCATCCGGGTCCTCGGAAGACCGCGGCTCCATGATCTTGAACGCCGTCGGCCTTCCCACAGCACACAGCAGCGGCGGCGCCCTGGTCCAAGTATGGCAGTCTCGCCAGACCGACCCGGAAGCATCTGATATCTTCTCACTCGGCGCCGTATTTCTAGATATCTTCACGTACCTATGCAAGCGAAAGATATCTGCCTTTTCGAGCCATCGTGGAGCCAAAAACCGGACAGCTGGCCGTGGCGGCGGCGTCGCGGACTGCTCCTTTCACCTAGACCGAAATATGGGCCAGGTGAGCTCGTGGATTACGCTTCTCGACAGCGACGCGAAGAAGCGCAAAGATCCTCTCTTCCAATCAATCCGACCTATGCTCGCAATGTCACGAGACATGTTAAGTCGAGAGCCCTCGAACCGACCATCTGCATTCCAAGTTGAGCAGCTCTTCGCATGCTCAATCAAAAAGGCAGAGGGTAAAGCGTCACTGCACTGCTCATCGAACATCTATCCGGGCCGTCAACGAGGACGACCTGATCGAATACCCTCGCCGATAGACGAGCAACTGATGGTACCGAGGATATCATCACGGTCACGGTCACGGTCAGCCCATCGAAAGACACCGAAGACACTGAAGAGTCCTAGAAGAGACTACTTCCAAGACGAAAATGGCTTGTTAAGCCCGACACTCCCCTGCAAGACTTCAAGGAGCTACATCAGTTCCTCAGACACCGAGTCCCAACAAACTAGCGACACCGACTTTGACCATGAATATCCAAGACCACAAAAGCCGACCAAGTCACCGAGCAGGAAGAAATCGAGCAGGCTTCGTGGAATCTCCCCAGATACGGGGACGAGCCCGGTGCTCTCGAATGATCCATCATGGAGCTACGCAACACCGTGGATGAACTAAAGTGACATCAACATACATGACTTTTTTCTTTTCCTTTTTTTTTTTTCGAAACTTCTGTCTTTTCCTCTTTATATACCCTTTTTGCTCTATTATCTGTCCTTCCGAGCCCCATCTGTACTCTACTTCTCTCTTTCTTCTTCGGGCTGCTTCCCCATTTGCTAGTAGCAGCCAGTTGGCTCTACACTTCCCCATTCTTTGACTTGACGTCGTTTTCTCTCCTATGTTTTCTTCTCTCATAACTTCCACTACTTTCCTCTCTCTCTTTCTTTCTTCTCACTTTTACAAGCCTAATTCTGATCTGATCTGGTTCGTGATGACTGACGAGGCGATGGTACAGTTTTGGTCTGGTCTGGTCTCGGTATGATATCCTTGGTGTAAGCATGTGTTGTTTGTTGAATATACAATGATTGATTGACTACTGAATCTGTTTGCTGCAATCTCCACGAGAACTGGAAATGGAAATTGGCCTATAAGCTTGCAGAGGTCGGAGGAAACCGACGTTCACTCCGTACATAGACAAAACGCCTCTTACTCTCACCTTTCCCAAACCAGTAAAGCATCTCATTAAGTATGTACTCCATTTAGCAAGCACAAGCACAACCTCAAGCCCAAGCTCAAACCCAAGCTCAAGCTTAAGCGTTCAACAGTAACAAATAAGCTTGTGGCCAAGGGGCCTGCTTACTTAGTTTACGCTACGTCTGGAAAGGCACCTAGGGGCATTTTGAGATAATGAGATACTTGATGAGGTGCCTGCAAAGGATAGGTACCTGAATAGTCTCGATTAATATGGGTGTTTCGTCAACGTATTTAATTAGATGCCCTCGTAGTAAGGTGTTCCCACTTGGGGTCTCTTGCTTTGGCTTTCAGGTTAGTAGTGAGGGAGTGTAGGCCTTATTGAATAGCCGCGGGACTGCCCAGGTGGTCCAATCTTGGTTCCGTGTGGTGTGTGAATTATGCACTCTCCTACTTAACTTGGTGCGCACTTTCGCCCCAAAGTTCGAAGGCCGACTGAACTTGCTTAGTCGGACTTGCTAATGAAGGGAGTAGAGACGCTTACAGTCATCATTATACTGCCAATCAGCCATTGAAACTGATGGGTAGGCGCCAATACCTGGGGCGTTATGTCAGACAGTATGCTCCAACTCCATCTTACTGTCTCACGACTGAACAAATCGGCTGATGGAATCGCCAAGTAGATAGGTCCACGGGATCTCGCAAAGAGATACGTACTGAATTCTCGCCGCGCTCCGGGAAGTCGGCTTGTTATACCTAAGTTGAGATCTATTCTGCGGGCTCGGCGCCGGTGAGCCGCTCTCTCGGCTTGTTTCACTCATTTGAGAGGCAATAGTGCATCCGGAGGAATTGATAGGAGCAGGCAATTATCTATAATTAGCTTGGGGAGATTGCTCTCGAGTTACTTCGCCATCATCCCATCTCCTTGCGCAAGGTTCTTTTTTGAGACTTTAGCGAGCTTACCCAGTCCTGGGAACTGGTTCATGCAATGGGATGATACCGCGCCTTTGACAGCAGGAGCCGCAAGATATGAAGAGGCTTTCGGACAACGCAGTCTCAACACGTGGGATAAGAGTATTTATTTACACCATGGATACAACTTCGCATACCTCTGCTCCCTCTCCTCATGCACAGCAACTGCCTCGGCCTGGGTCTCCAACCAAATCGCGACCTCCAAGATAGTCTGGCAGGGGTGGGCAAAAGGCGTATCATATGGGACAACATTTCGGCTGGATATTGGATAGCACAGTATCTCCAAGACGAGCACCCACCTTCCACACTACTACTCTCGCCGATGAACCTAATCCTTAAAGGAGAAGGTCTCGAACTTTTTTCTTACCCTTGTTGGCCACTGTGGTCCTCATCTTGTGTCTCTGGATTCTGGAGAATCAATATTGAAGTTTGAAAGTCATCTGTCCGGTCAGCAGCCACTCGGTTTGCTGACCTCTGGTCAGTGGTCACCTGGTGCCTTGCAGCCATTGGGCCTTCAAGATGACATTGGTGTGCAGTCTAGGCGCGAGACCCGCGTTTTTGGCGCTCTTGGAGTGGTTTGTTTGGACGCGAGTACGAGATGCGAAGCTGCACCCTTGCAAGCAAGAGACGTGGCGCTTTGCCATGTTCGAGCTGGTGATGCCTTGGGTACCTGCTCCCAAATATAGCTGAGACTGAGACAGCAGAGCGGAGCCAGCCGTCGGCGAAGCATCGACTTCGTGCAGACTTAGTACAACTTGAGGAGTACCTAGCTTCAAGCTCAGCCTTGAGCTACTTGTACCGAACAGATTAGAAAGGTGATTGGTAACACCCTGTGCAACGATGCAGCACCGGCCGCGCTGCACAAGTCATATTAGCGATTGACGTGGAAGACATAGACCAGCTGTTCAATGAGGCGCTGTAAAAGTGCTATCATTGGCTACTTGCTGCTTACCATGCGGCGCTGGGTGCATGGTGGCCATGGCCACCATGGTGTCTCTGGGTGGTGTCAAATGTTGTCAACAAAGATCGCTGCCACTGGCTCTGTTTCGGAAACCTCCGCCTCTTAGTGGGCTAGCGGACCAGCGATAAGAGAAAATCGACGCTGCGCCGGTTGCGGTGGGAAAACGTAGATCCGAGGGCAAGGGCTGGTCCGAGACGGGATTTCAGCCCTGTAGGTTGTGATGCTGTGAAGCACGAGGGGTCGGCAGTGGGCTTCAGACATGCCGCTGGAGTCATTAACCTGCTGCAAGTCTTGCTCGCATACGTAATTATTGCTCTCACATCATGATCCCTGAGAAAAAGAATCCTGTTCTGCGGAGAATTTGGACCGAGATTGATGAGCCAATGGCGAGCTTTACCAATGGCGTTGGCCCCCTATTCCCCCCTTCAACGGAGGTCTAGACCCTGGTCGGGCCAGCAAATTGCGATCTTCTGGAGATGAGAGTTCGGCTAGCAGATGAGGAGGCAGACTTGGGCACACAATCTGAGATAAGAGGGCGCTTGAGGAGGGAGAAGGTCAGTATTCTTCACGGTCGCTCTCATTTTAAATAGATGGTGAAGGAAGCGAGTCTGCGACAGAGTCGAAACCCTGGAACAGCCGTTATTATTACCTCCAGGGAAGCTGTGGGGAGTTGTTTCTAAATCCGATCGACACAGCTTGCGACGACATATGAGGCAGGCGCCAATCACCGGTCGCCCCTGCCGTCTCCAGTCCATTCGCATCTCAAGTGCCCGCACGCGTCCTCGAGAGAGTGACATCGCAGCATTCTAAAATCAATTAATTGTCGCCCTTTGTCTGCTTTTGCTGCTTCTCTCTTCTCTCGTCTTCTCAAGAGTCTCCCAAACTTCAGTCTCAACCCGGTTCCTCCACTATCTGACCTGTCCAGACCATGCGAATCCGATCCTTGGTACACTTGCTGCCAGACGTCACCCTCGCACACAGAAAGAAGCTTCGCTATCCCTTACAGCCTGCCTGATTGGCCCTGGATATTTTTGTCTTTGGTAGTCGACGTCACATTCGACACTCGACTTTCTTCCAAATCATTCTGTTGGGCAATTGGAATCGGCGGGTTCGACTTCCACTTCACACCGGCCTTTTAATCCCAAGCCTTCCCGTTCGTCGATTGATTAATCAAGTCAACAAACCGTAACAATGGCCACAATCTGCCCGTTCCGTATTTCTCGACCAGCGAGTGATAAATTGGATCGCAATGAAGCTTTCAGAGCGATCAGAGATAATCTCAGGCGCCAGGAATTGGGCTCGGAAGCTCCCAGGTTTGTCCCCTTTGTAGTCCGCCCTCTCTTTGACCAGGGGGCAATTGACCTGTCACTGACACTTGGCGCTTGCAGTTTCTGTTCTTCCCACCGATACTCATGCTCCAACGAAGCACAAGAGTCGTTCCGATTGCATCGCGACATAATCCATACCCTCCTACTCCCCCTGTTCCTTCTCCATAATCAAGCGTCTCGCATCTCCGCCAGAATTTTGTCCAGCCATAAAGGGGCCGAGCCTGAGCGGGCCTTTCGAGGTGATGCGCGCAGCTCTTTTGCGTGGCTGCATTGCATATTCAGCGAGGAGCATGATTGGTATCTGACCGAACGGTGCCCCGCCTGTATCGTCCTGCACGTCTTGCATTCAGAACCTACCATTCGGTTTGTAGCTGTGGCGTGTCTTTTGTCAGACCACTTATTGAATCCGGGTCTGCTCAACTCCAGCCAGCGGTTGCCTAACTTTGAATTTTGGCTTGAATCGCTCTCGACGGCGGTGCGCGAGGATCCGTTTTGGGGCGCTGACTGCTGGCCGGAGATTGAATACCGAGCCTGTTCGCTCACCGATGGTGTCAAGCAGCTTGTACAGCAATGTCTAGAATTTCAGACAGCTCTCGACCGACAGGCTGCGCAATCTGTCACGTCGTACAAAGCAAACTTTCGGTTCCAGCGCGATTCAACCCAGTCGTTGCCAACTCATTCAATACCCCTGGGCGCGCCGGAGTGCTCACAGCTGCCGCTGGTAAATGCAGATGAGCCTAAGCAGCATTCAAAGATCACCGCGAGTCGGTGCCTGCAGTCGCCCTGGACCGACCGGCCTCGGCGGTTTCACACAAGGCGGGTAGCCGATTCTCGAAGCCGTTCGGTGACATCCTGAGTCGATATTGAAACGACAGTTTTTTGTGACATCAGGCTATTTTCAATCAGTCTCCGCTCTTTGGTTGGGCGATACGAGTCGAAAGGGATTACGTAAATACCTATGACTCACTCTAGTTTACCAAGAAACTAGCACATAAGTCGGGAGATGGCCATGGAATAATTGACTTGCGAGTCTTTCCAAAGCTGCGAAAACCACCCGCAACGCGACACGACATGGCTTCCTCCTCGCCGAGCTCCGGGTCCGTCAAACAATTCCACTCCACATCATCACCATTCGAGGAACGAATTGGCTACTATCGAGCTGTCCGTCATGGCCAGCAGATATTTGTGTCTGGCACCACCGCTGTCGACCCCGCCTCACCTAGCCACGCCCCGCAAATACTCTTTCCAGGCGATGCACGCCAGCAAACACGCGTGGCGCTGGAGGAATGTATCAAGGCAGTGCAAGCCCTCGGCGGCAAGGGGGCGGAGAACGTGGTGAGAGTGAGAATGTTTGTCGGACGGCACGAGGATTGCACTGCCGTGGGGGAGGGGTTTACAGAAGTTCTAGGGCGGCACAACCAGCCAGGCGTTGGAGCGGCAGCGACGATGATAGTGGTGAGAGGTGGTTTCATAGACGAGAGAATGCTCGTGGAGATTGAGGTGGATGCAATTGTTGATTAAAACGAGGATCAGACGAATACTTGGTGTAACCACGAAGCCTCTATCTCCCGTCATCCTGGAATTCAGGATGCTCCTCGTGTAATATAAGGCACAAGCACAACAAATCAAATGCAGAACGAGTCACAAACCTAGAATATGCAAAGTAATCGTAACCGAGAGCATAATAAACCTGCCCGGGACACACAACGCTCGCACTCAACCTGACACGCCCTAGCGGGTGACACGCCGAAGCTGAACCCTTGATCAACCGGTCATAGCTTCGCAGTAAGCGATAAACTCCACATGCCCAAGTATCTCATAGTCTCTAGATACTATGTACGGAGGACTATAACCGTCAACGGCTCGACTGGAGACCTGCCCGCTCCGACCCGAAAAGACATTAGTATGACACACACACTCAGCCAGTGACCTTGATCATGCCAACAAATTACCCCTCCTTGTATGGGCCACTACGTACACATGGCAAATCCATCTAATTTACGAGATCCCTGTTTAGCGGGGAAACAAGGCGGGCCTAGAGGGGATCGAATCCATGGATTCTGTGTTTTATATGGCACAGGGAATAATGCCATGGGAGATTTCTCATTTCGGTTGCGACTTCTGCGACATCACTGAAGTGCGAGGTAATTTCCTTATCCTTGGTGGTGCTGATGAAGGGTTGTTGTCCTTGGGTCTTATGTGTGAGAGAGAAGAATGGATCCGGATCCGACCTGGATTCAGGATTCTGGATTATTCTGGAGGAGACCTCGAGAGGGGGACGTCAGCTAGTTTGGGTCTGGCCTCGGCCCTCGATGGGCGGGATTACTTCCGGCCACTGCAGTCTTTCACACGGTAAATCTCCTTGGAGTCTGGAGCCTGAAAGTGATCGCCTGTATTGTGGCCAGTTTGTTAGTGACCTTCATGTCTAATCGACTGGTATCGACCCAGCAGAACTCTAGATATCAGAACTCCTCAAAGGTATAGGTGAGCAACTCATAGAGCATTAAGCAACTCATTAAGTGCCTCATAGAGCACTCCAATGAGCACTTTAAGCTGCTATTAACATACCAAAACGGAATCCTCGTGTTGAAACCAAAGACATGCACCTAGACAGGCGCAAAAGCTCGGCGCCTGTCAAGTATATGCATGTTGCCCAATGCGGAATCCGTGTCGTATGGTCAACTGGTCGTGTTTCTGCCTGAGGCCACATGGAGAGTGTACTCCGCAGTAGTTGGGCTCAGCGGCGAGTGAAGAACTAAGTTAACTAGTGAGTTAATCACTCGAAGTTATTGGGTACCATTGGCGTTATACAGGGTTCTGGCACGAGCTGAACCTAACTATCGCAGGAGTACCTCGCAAAAGCTGACTTCCGAAGTCTTCGAGGGATGACTATGCTTTGCCGGAATTGGCATCTATCTGGCTAGTTGTTAGAGAGAAAGAGAACATAAGAGAATAAGGAGTAATTCAGCACCAACCTGGCAACCATTTGGATCTGACCTCGGCAAGTATAATTTTTCAGGATTGCGGGAAAGGGCAGACACAAGAGCTTGTGGTCAGTTACCGCACGGAAGAGCGCGGGCCACCCGGCCAGACCTGATGGCCGGAAGCGGCAGTGGAGATCGACCACTGCAGGAAAGATATGTACGGAGGCAAAAAGCAACATCAAGTCGGGTAGCCAGATTTTCATATTTCCTACTCGATTCAGACGGTCGAGGCGATGGAAATTGGGTTTCATCCTGGTTGCTGTTTACGAGTACGTATGCTGGTACCAGTCCGGCGGTCGGGACAGTGGGAACTGCCAGGTGGAAATGGATGAATCATGACTGTGTGCTTTCGAGGGCGAAGTGGGTTGCCTTGCCGGAGGTGTTGGCCGTGTGCTTTGGCACACTCCACGCCCCGATCGTCGTCGAAAGAAGCGATACTGATGCGAGATTCATGCCAGCCTCGTGCAGGGTGAGAGGGGACGAGAGGGTTCCAACTTCCAAGGTGCCAAATGAGCTTTGGGAACAGGCCAGATCGAGATGGGGCTTTGCCGCATCGCCGCCGCCTCGCCCTGTATACGACGCATGAAGATCACCCTGATTCTGAAGCCTTTGCGTCTCGATTTTCGAGCATATTTGCTTTTCCCCTCATGATGTACTACGTAGTTGTTTCCGGTCTGGATAAAAAAGTGATTTCTCCTTCTTCGATGAGGGTTTCCAGCAATTGGATTGGAGATTTATGTTCCGTTTCACGGGTGGCTGCAACAGCTTAAAGGACAAAGGGATAATGCGCAACAAGCTCCCGAAGATCACTGATGGATGCGGTTGATGCCGCTGCTTTGTCCAGGGCGCGCCCAGGGAGAACTTGAAAGAATAATCTGTCGTCTGGGGAAATAAGCAAAAAATGTTAGGAAAACCTTGACCATGGATACAGTATCCTGGGAAACAGGTTTCTCCATGGGTGACTCTTCTGCTATTCTTCCGCCGTCCGTTGCGGTATTGGGTATGAATCGAGCGAATTTGGCGCAAATAAACGTTTCTAGAAGCATGGAGGAGAACCGCCTGTTGAGCGATGAGCATACAAGGACTCATCTCATTCTTTTCAAGAAACTTTCACGGAGGTGCCATAAAGGCAGGTGAGGTAGGCTCCGAGTCTAGACCCGGGATCCGCTTCCACTTGCCCCACCCGCTGTTTCCTCAGTTGTCCTGCTGGTCAAGTTGTTTAGCACCTCGATAGGCAGATTCTTGAAGAATGGAAGAATAGTTGTTCGGAAATAAAACGAGAGATTCTTGCAATGAAAAAGTGCAAAGCACAGAGTTGGTTCAATAATAATTAAAGATTCGCTGGCTAGACAACAAACCTTCTGGCCGACCTCTGATTTTCTTCTATGAGGCGGTCTAGGCCTTCGGCTCAGAGGTAGGAGTGCTCCATAGCCCACTCAGCCAGGCTTTTAGGAGCCGAAGGAGTTGGTTGAACCAATTCCAGACTCATTTTGAATGACGCTTCAAGTCTGCTTGGATGGCCGGGGCTGGCCCTTTCGATTTCCCTTCGGCTTTTCTCACATCTTCTCTCCACGTATTGTGCATCAGTCGCTCTCTCCTCCCTCTTCCTCCCTCTTCCACTTTTAATCTCCTCGATTTACAACCACGTCTCTCCTTGTTTCAGACCTCCACGCCTTTCCGACGCATCCCATCTCTGTCGACTCTCGCCGTCTGTTATAATACACCAGCGACCAGCGACCAGCGACCGGCGATTCTCTCGACGCTACAAGCTTCGACCCAACGGGCCTACCAGTGACTCGGGTATCCAACTGCTCTCCGAGTTTTTTCTTCGCCCTGTTGCCCGTTGAACCCGACCACAGACCTGAATGTATTCTCCACAGTGCCATGGACCGTGTCTGTCTGCCTCAACGGTGCGAAACAGTTCTGTCATGCATTCACCAGTCTCGTCGGATCGTTCATCAGATGCTTCCGCTGAAGCCGGTACCTCGCGCCAACGAATCGTAACATCTTTCGATCAATCCTACTCCCACCGAAGACCTCTATCACCTCGATCCCAGCGCCCACGAACCCCGGCTGGCTTGCCCCAGAGCGTAGTAGGCTCGAGTCGACTAAAGCGTCGGGCATCACAAGGCTCTCTTTTCAACAAACCTTCTCCGGTTTCCCGCTTTCTATCTCGCAGCACCGCTGCCTCACACCCACCATTCCTTGATACAACCGGCTCGGTCAGTCGATCTGCTGAATTCCGACCGCAGTCCCTCGATTCACGTCTGCACATTTCCACCGCATCGAGTTCGCTGGCGGCTCGATCTACCCAGTCCACTCCTTCAGCAGAGTGGACTTCGACAGACAAGGACGACTACCCCGCCGTCCTTCCTCCAACACCTCCCGAAGACGACGACCATATCGCTTGGAGCCCTCGGAACAACATGCTAGTCTTTGAATCACTCAACCAGGGGCCTGGCCTAATGCACATGGATCAGGGCCCGAATATGGATAATGCATCTGGAAGCGGACCATCCGACACCTTAGGCAGTCCGTCTGATAATATTTCACCGTCAAGTTCAGGCGGAAGCCCCAGATCATCTGGTGGTGACATGGATTGCGACGACAACTCCTGGCTGGAAAACAGCATTCAAACAACAGGTAAGTACCCTCTCAGTCCTATTACCGGATTGTCGCAAGCTAACATGCATCCCCTGCAGTTTCATCGCTGCCGTTCTCAAATGCTCGAGGAGAAGCCGCCAAAGTCGTCTACCAAATGCTTCCCTATCCGTGCCCTGCAGATAAGCCCACGGGCACTGAAGTCAACGAGAGCGTCTTCTGTTCAGTCGTCCAGGCGGTGCAGCATCGCCTACAACATGGGCAGTCGCCTTATATCAATGTTACCCACGCAGTTCCGGAACAATTCAGTCTCTCGAACCTACCTCACTCTCCCCCAAGCACACCTCACTCTCTCTTCCCCTCGGACGACTACTTCAAACCCACTGCTGTCTTTTCCAGCGCCGCCGTTGTGTCCGCGTACCACGATTTCCGAGGGCCTATACAAGCCAAGACACCGCATTTCCCGGTACCGATCGTCCCGCCATTCAGCGTACATATCTCGGTATTAGAACGTTACCTCCCGCCGTCCTCCTCCCAAGAATACAAAGACCTCTTCACGCCCAACCGACCGTCATTTCTCGTGGATCGATTGAGTGAACTTTCACCCGATGGAGGCTCACTTCTTTTCATTTACCCCACTAGACGTGGTGCTTCGACCTTCAAGTCACAATACCTCGGACCCATCCTCGACCCCTTGCTGCGGCAGCTGGTTGTCGTGAACGAGCTATCAGCAGAAATTGGCCGCTATCTCGGCAAGGTTTCGGCGGTCGCCCACATGGATGATTTCGATACCATGCGTGAGAACATCGAACAGCTTTGCGGTACACTGAGCTCATCCTCGTCGCGGTTCAATATTGTGGATTCTCGCAAAGGCAGCGTCCGCCTTGATCGAAAACTATGGTCAGAGTGGTATATTCACCAGGACAAAACCAGGATGAAGGAGGTGATCAGTCTCTATTGGCAGAATAGCCGTCGTCTTCCAGCGTCGAAGTCGGTATTGAATACCTCCAGCTATCATCGCCTGGAGGACAAAGAAGTGACATCTGCCATGTTGCTCAGTGAGATTCTCGATGGTATTCGGAAACGACCGTACGGCGAAGAGATGGAGCCTCGAGACGGAATCGAACTTGGAATCTTTGTCATCCGTCGATCTCACTAAGCCATGTCATCATTGGCGGGCAACCCACTCCATATACCCTTCTTTGTTGCTTTTTTTATTTTCATGAACTTTTAGGACTCGCAAAACAGAGTCTTGACCGCATGGCGTTTTCTGGTGTTGGGATAAGACAGGGAGTAGGTTTACTGGCATTCATTGGACACGAATAATACCCGGGTTGCCTTTTATCGTTAGTATGTGCTGTTGTGATGATGTGTGTTGAGTATGAGCTGCGTGCGGGCTTGATAGACACGATCTATGTATACCATTATGAGAACACAAAACCATGTCTCTAGACACTTTCAAAACAAGTTCATTGTAATTTTGGCCCTTTACAATTGTACTTAACTTAGGTCATGAGCCGAGACACTGCCCTACTGCTGTAAAATCACCTGGGCGGTCAGGCTAGAGAAGGCGCTAGACCTAGTATGGATGAGAGCCACCCGCTTTCTGCCTCGTCTGGATGGCCATCCGGTTCGGTGTTCCTGTCTGTCAGTTCGGCTCTCTTGCTTTTCCTTCTCCCCTCTGCTTGTGTGCCTTGATGTATACATCTGTCATCTCGGTTCCAGAGCAACTACTATGTGTGCCTGCCTCAATCTCATGCTGTAGCATCATTCTCCGGACCGCTTATCCAAATTCTCCTCCCCATACCAACCGCCCTGACCTTTCTACCAATCCTTCTCCCACTCCGTGACGACACTACTCAACAGCTCGTCTGCCCAACGGAGCCATGGCTTACTCCCCTGCTCCTCCATCCCCCGGCCCTGGAGGCGGTGCACCAAACATGTCAAACGGCCTGCACTCCAGAGGTCGCTCGACCAGTCCCCCGACCAGCATGCCGCTTTCGAAGCGGGACAAACGGCGCAGCGCGCTCCAAGAACGCCTCCACGACCTCACGGCGTCTTTCAGTCAGAATCGCGATACCCAGTTTCGCCAGCAGTTGCATGCTCTGCAGTGCGATATGACCCTCATCAACAGTGCCGATCCTTACAATCCGGGCCCTCTCCCCGATTCCGCTGAGGAGATTGCACGTTTGATTGAGAATACTGTTGGCGGCGGAAAGTTCGCAAAGGATATGGCGAACTTATCCGGGATGTGGTATTCCCGCTTTGTGCAGGAGGTCAATCAGGCCAAGACGGAGCGAGATGCGGAACTCACTATGCTGATGGTGAGTCTTCTTTGTTTCTCCCTCTAGCTTCAGTGGCAGGCTATGCGGATGAATGCTAATGTGATATTGTTGGTATAGCACCGTCATAATAACAACCTAGAAAGGTTCCAGCGAGAGTATGCCTTCCGCGCCCATTTCGCAGAAGAAGAATACAATCACCTCTCTGGCACCCTCCGTGAGCGCCTCGTGCAGACGCTTTCGGGCAAGCGGGCACGCCTCATGAGAGAAAAGGAGCAGCTCGATATCGCAGATACAAACGCCCTTCTCCTTCATCCCAATCAATTCAGCATCACCAATCCTGCCAGTCCTGGCGGGATTCATGGCAATCGCAAAACCAGACATACCCGGCATCGTGTGGACCTGGATGAGTTAGGCAATGGAATCATGTCGGAACATCTGAACAAGAGAAAGAGAAAGGCTCCCGAAGAGGACATTGGGTCGCCCGTTCGGGAGAATCCGGCAGAGCGTGCTAAGGCCCAGGTGGCCCAGCAGCAACTCGCGCCGACATACTCCATTCATTCCCTCTTCACCGAGAAGGAATTGAGTGCGCATGCTAACCAGGCACACATCGCCACCGTTCATTTCTTCTCTACATCGAAACGACCTGACCAACCTTTCGGTGCTGCCACAAACGGGAACAATACCGATGCGGACGAAGCGTCCGGTCTCGATGGCACCGGTGCGGAAGACAATGGCACCCCCGCCACCGACATGGCTCGAACCGCAAGCCAAAACTTTCATGCAACACGCTCTACCCGTACGCATGGCAACCACGCCCTCAACCCGTTGGCTGAACTTTCCGATAAACCAGCCGTTCGCCCTAACCTTCCATACAATATCCTCGCCAACTACCATGCCCGACCCAGCAACAGCGGTGCTCCTCCGCTACCGCCATTGATGAACGAGGAAGTTGATGACGATTGGATCCGTATCGAGAAATTGCAACACAAACACCCGGGACACGTCGACAAGAACCTCATCCGCTTACTCGTCGATCCAACACCGGCCGAAGTCGACGGCGTGCCGCAAAACCCGAATAGATTCAATTTACTACACCCCGACTTCCCCACAGAGATGGGCATGCATCTATACCCCCTGAACAAGAACCTTGGAGAGAGCAACGAGCGATCCAAGAAGCCGCGGACCGGTTAGACTCCGTTTGCGTAAAAATGTGGTCGCTTTTTGGGGCGTTACTTGGAATAGGCACACAGCACAACTAATAGCGGTGGGAAGGATATACATACTGATACAAGGCGTTTTTCTTTTCTCTTCGCTTGGTTGGAATTGGCGCGAATACCGGATTGCTTGGGGTTTATAATATTCTTGCACCTACTTTATCCTTCCTTCTCCTTCTTTTTCCATATTCTTTCATATCTTCATCTTGCTCATCTTCTGTCTACTTAGTTCACAATTGCTACGTTTTTTCTTTCTTCAAGCTCCCGGACTCAACAGCACAAAATGCCAATAAAACCTTGGCAGTGCATGTGCCCGCTCATATATATCTTCCTACTGGTTCTTCTCGTGAGTGAGTGCGCCAAATAGACCGAGGTACTTGACCTCAGGCCACTACTACCACCCAACAGCACAGATACGGCCACCGTGATTATTAAAAGGTGAAGCAGTGACAATCCACCCCAGTACATGGGATAGAGAGCGAAATAACGAGGCTAGATTTTCTCTATGGACATTTACAATGAACAGCAGTAGGTACGAGTAGGAGTTAGGGATTACTTGGTCTGCATTATCGCGTGCTCCATTTTCTGTTGAATTTCCCCCTTCACTCTATTGTACGGATAGAGAGTATGTGGGTAAGCAAGGAGTATGTTGATAGGCAAGTAGTTCGGTAGGTAGACAGAGGTGAGTAGTGATATTAGCGTAAGTGGTATGGGACATAAGTATGCAAGTATGTATGTATAGGGCAGGGGCATAAGCATAAATAAGGTAGGGCGAACGAAGGGAGTTCGAATCTGGCTGCGGGTCTGGGACTGGATGGCAAAAGAAAGATGATGAGAGGAATTCCTGAAGACGGACGCAGGATGAAAGAGGGAGAGAGAGAGGAGAAAAGAGAGGCACGAATCTATCTAACAATATCCAACACTGCCAATCAACCAAAGACCTTCAAGAACCCCCATAACCCAATACCGCTGAGAACGGGGATAGTTAGGTTATCGTCCCAGCCGAAGAGGTCGATGAATTCGGAGCCTGCAGCGACGAGGCCTGACACGACGCTCATGACGCCTAGGGCGAGCGAGCCCTTGATGATGCTCCCACTTTCGCTGTCTGCCGAGACTGTCCAGCCAATTAACCGCTTCACGGGGTCCGGGATGAGATTGAGGCGGCCTGTGAACATGAATGCTCCCTCAGGATCGTTGGGGAAGGCGCCGATGTAGGGGACAAAGAAGCCCCAGAAAGCGGCGGCGGTAATAACGCCAACGAACCAAGCGGCCAGGGTGCCCGCAAGGCTCTTTCCCTTGCGCAGGCTTGGGGTGTGGCGGCCGTAAAGCCGCCCAAAGGTAGAAGCGGCTGTGTCGCACCACGAGAGGAGAAGGACGCCCATGACTCCAACGTCCTTCGGGAAGAAGCGGAGGACAGCGTATGCGCCGACTAGGTACCAGATGACGCCGTTGTAGCCGGATACTTCGGTTTCGCGCATAAGAGCGCCCACGCACCGGATATAGACTTTGTTCACTGTTTCGGAGCGGTGACGGAGGATATCTGTTGCCGCGATGGGGACGAGAGCCGAGAATAGGTATGGAGTGATTTGATGTGTTTGAACGCCGCGGCTGTATAAGTGGAGTGTCAGGAACCCAATTGAAACATGTAGGAGCTTGCGCGGAATCTCATGGCGATGGATGAAGTTGCGATAGCGGGTGTGGAGAGGAATCAAGCCGAGTGGTGAAGGGGATCGTGATATGCTATCGACAGATCGAGTCCCATCGGCCTTAGACAGCGGGGAGAGGAAGCCGTTGGTTTGTGGCGCGATACCGTTTGTCCTGGCTGCCAGAGCTGCCGGTTCTTCAAAGTCTGAGCGTTTGGATCTTGACTTGCGCCTGCGGGCTCGTGATGGTGTAGAGTCGTCCTGAACTTCTTCTGTGACCTCGCCGAGGCGTTGTTGTCGTCGGGCTGCTGACCGTGTTGTCGGTGCTGAGTATCCATCCCTGGACGATGACCGGGCTTCTGACGGTGTCGGCGAGGGAGAAATGACCCGTGGCGTCGCAGGGACGGCACCTGGATTCCGCGGCGACGACATTTCAGCCGCTCTAACGGAGAAGGGTGGAAGGGCCGCAGCAGCGATCAATCCGGCAAGAGGACGTCTGTGCACAAACCAAGGATTGGAGGCGACAATGCAGGGTGTGAAGAAACCGTCTACCTCGGAGGACGGAATGATGGGCAGATTTCGAGGAAGAGGAGATGTCAGGTCGATAGGCTAGGCGTGAGAGGGACAAGGTTGGCTGAAGCACAAGGCAGAGAAGACGCCGCGCATTGCTGTCAGACGGCACACGAACAGGTCAAACCAAACTTCCGGCGTAAGACTGTCTTTCTCGCCCGGTGATTGGTTGTGCTACACCGATGCTAATGATGATCGGGTCTCACTTTGCTGCTTATCCTTCGCAGAAGCCAGAAATTCAGTCTATCGAAAGCACTTGAGCTGGTCGTGCTGCTTTCCGCCAAATCCGGTGTCGATCACGTGTGAATATGAAAAAAATGATCCGCGCTGGCAGAAACTCACCGCTATCGTTATCTTATCGGGAAATCTTGAGATAAGCCGAGGAAAAATTCCACCACCACGTTTGAAGTTGGAAGCACTGGAGTGGACATAATATCAGTGTCTGCACAATGGCGCCAAAACCACCGTCGGGTACTTCGTCAAGAGCTTGGGATGGTGTGACACCTGCGCTGTCGGAATGGGTGCTGGACGCAGTCTCCTCCATGGGCTTCACCCGCATGACCCCAGTCCAAGCATCAGCCATTCCTCTATTTATGGCGCATAAAGACGTCGTTGTCGAGGCGGTCACAGGAAGTGGGAAAACACTATCATTTCTCATTCCGGTTGTGGAGAAGTTGTTACGCCTTGAGGAGCCCATTAAAAAGCACCATGTCGGAGCGATCATCGTCTCCCCGACAAGGTACCTTTCCGTTCGTGGAGAATTGACAGAATGCGCTTGCTGATATTCTTATAGAGAACTTGCTTCACAGATCTACAACGTACTTTTATCGTTGCTCGCGTTTCATTCTCCCTCGGCCGCCCTTATCAACCCCCCCAAATCCGACGAGGATGCACCCCGCCCCAAGCACTCTTCTTCAATACTGAAGGTCGTGCCGCAACTCCTCCTCGGCGGCTCCACGTCGCCTGCGGAAGACCTAAGCACCTTCTTGAAGCGCTCCCCGAACCTTTTGGTAGCCACTCCGGGAAGACTTCTGGAACTACTTTCTTCGCCTCACGTACACTGCCCACAATCTTCCTTCGAGATGCTGGTACTGGACGAGGCGGACAGGCTGTTGGATCTTGGGTTCAAGGAGTCATTGCAAAGTATCTTGCGCAGGCTACCCAAGCAGAGACGAACCGGCTTGTTCAGCGCTAGTATCAGTGAGGCTGTCGATCAGATTGTCCGTGTGGGCCTGCGCAATCCCGTCAAAGTCGTGGTCAAGGTTAAAGGAACAACAGGGGCTGTTGATAAGCGCACTCCGGCGAGGTAAGGAGCTCTCAAAGTGGCTTGAAGTCTTCATGTGCTAATCATCGACACAGTCTTCAAATGACCTACATGACCCTTCCTCCTACTCACAAATTCCCCGCCCTAAAACGCATTCTCAACTCTGTGGAGCCGACCCCTCTCAAGTCAATATTCTTCGTATCAACCTGCTCAGGCGTCGACTACCTCTCCGTAATTCTCCCATTAATACTCGGCGATGAGTTTCAGTTAGTGCCACTCCACGGCAAGCATCCTGCGAATGTGCGCCAAAAAAACTTTAACCGTTTCGTCAATTCGCACACACCGGCCATCCTACTCACAACAGATGTCGCATCCCGTGGACTTGATATTCCTTCCGTTGATCTCGTTGTTCAAATCGACCCTCCTTCTGACCCAAAAACTTTCATCCATAGATGTGGTCGCGCAGGGAGAGCCGGTCGGCGAGGCCTCAGTGTGGTTTTGTTAAATCCAGGCAGAGAGGAAGACTACGTTTCGTTCTTAGAAGTACGACAGACTCCAGTTGCTCCATTCCCCCAAGAAATCACTATCTCCGAAGCCGAGGCCGTTGCTGCTACAGAAGCTGCCAGGAAAGCTGCACGGGCAGATCGCGCGATTCATGACCGAGGGCAAAAGGCATTTGTCAGCTGGTTAAGAAGTTACAGCAAACACCAAGCAAGCAGCATATTCCGAGTTGCGGACCTGGATTGGGAAGGGTTAGGGAAAGCCTGGGGGCTATTGAAGCTCCCAAAGATGCCTGAATTGAGGAATTTCACAGGCGATCGGACTCTGGGAGTGAATCTCGACTGGGATACTTACGCTTACAAGGACAAACAACGAGAGAAACGTCGTCTGGAAGTACTTCAGGAGATGGCCGAGAATCCTCAGCAGTCATCAACGACTAAGAAACGGCCAAACGACACCGTCGCATGGAGTAACAACGCTGAAAACAGAAACAAGAAGCTGCAACGGCGAGAGAAGAAACACGTGCGCCAAGAGAAGAAGCGCTGGGATCAGATGACGGAGGAAGAGAAGCGGGTGGCTCTGGAGACGCAGAAGATGGTGGAACAGATCAAGTCAAAGAACGACGAAGAGCGACGGCTCAAACGAGCTGCGGCCAAAGCCGACAAGGCAGCTGGTGGAGCAGCCGGCGGGGAGGAAGAGTTTGAAGGCTTTGACTAAGTCACACTGCTGCCGATTTTCTATCTTGTGGCTCCGAGCAAGCTTTCTCCAACGTGCAAAGTGACGGGCGCCAACCCCAAGCCAACCTAATATCGCAACATTGGACGGCAATTTCTCCCGTACAGGGAACCGCCAAAGTACTTGGTCGGCTCCGACATTTGAAATGATAGAGCCTGCGATATACCCAACGAGGGCTTGGGACCGTCTTCCGCTTATACTAGCTCTGTCATGAAGTTGATGCATATAGATTCCCCAAGATCAAGAGAATTCCTCAATACCGAAACCTCACGAGTGAACGGCAAGAGTTCCTCTTTGTCCATCTACCACTTCTTGTTCTTGATGTTTTCCCGTAACGATGCTGTAATTTTGCTGCTATTTCCACGCCCTGAGGGTCGGTTTACACCCCTGGTTCGGCAACGCGGTGGCCTGACTTAGGGCTTCCCAACGGCTCTCAAGAACAAGAGAAACCCTCCAAATTAGGGTCATCCTCAGTAACGAGTTAATGCCCTGCCAAGGTAGCCCTTCCACGGAACCATACTACATAACGGAAGGCGCAGGCGTCCAAACCCACGGTGGCTGCTGGCATGAACCCTGTATTTTATCAATCTTATCGATCTCTCTGATCTATTACCGTCCATCTGCACCATTTGCCTGATCAACCAGCGTCCACGTATGACAGGATGGCCCAGTCAGACATCGAAATCGCCCACTCAGTACTTCTCTTCCCAGCCTCAAAATGAGAAGAAGCAACAACACCCCTCTCCATCCTCGATGCAACTGTAACGCACTACGCGCCCTGTTCTTCGACGCCCCAGTCGACAAGAGCGCGGCTCGGTGGCTAGCTTACCCACCACCTTCGAGCCAGGCACTCCCATCCATTCATATACACCCAGGCGCACGAACGACAAACCCATGCAAGAATCCAGCTAATGCGACGAAGGAATTGATACGATGCAACCATGTCTACGTTTTCAATTGATGCAAGCTCCCTGGCCAGTCGTTTTCTCGAAGACCTGCCTGCCATTCTGACAGCCGCTCGGCATAGTGAAATTTGGGGTGTTGACTTGGAGAATGGGGAACCCCAGATACTAGAGAAGATTTTACGCAAGGTATCCCAAGCAAGGAGGGGCAGTTCTAAAGAACATCTCTAACCATTCACAGTTTCTCGATAAAAACTCTATATTGCCGTCGCTTCAACTCCCGAGAGCAAAGGCTTCGCTCATTGCGGCTTTGCGTTGGCGACGGTATAAGCAACCCAGAGCTCTTTTGCAAGAAGCAGAGTCTCTTCTCCCACGCCTAGAGATATGCCGCATCACAGAATGCGAAGGCCGATCCGTACTATGGGTCAGTTTGGATGAGATGGTTATCAAAGGGCATGCCCATATATACCAAAACCTGGAGACATCGAATGGGATTCTGAAATTAGGTCTAGCTGTGTTGGAACTTATCTCATCTCGCCTTATCCATCTAGACACTAGCATAGGCGGATCATGGGCTACCTGCGTGCTTGATTTCAAGATCCATGCTCCAAATCAAAGCCAGGGAGAGCGGCGGCCATCCCAGAAGAAACTGATCGGCGCCTTAGAGGAACTCACAACATCCATACGGAACTATTACCCTGAAATCTTTCACGACGTATTCATAATCCATCCCTCTGCCGAATACCTCGCGACTCTAGATATACCGGAACGCCTTTTGGAAAATACTATACTCCTAGAAAACCCTGCGGACTTAGCTCGCATTCTTGGCCCTCAGGTGCCGACTTACTACGGTGGCTCTGGCAAGCCACTAGCGGAGTCTGACTGTCTAAGTTCAGGCACGAAGACATATCCAGCAAGTGATATCGAAACTAGTGCACAAAAAGCCGAGACCCCAGATTCGAAACCAAAGGAAGCAACTCTCGAAGGAGAAGTTATCGCAGCTTCAACGACGAATTCCGGCACCGAGCTTTCAGTCGCAGTGGAACTGGAGCATCAAGAGCCCCGATTGATCTACTCCGAAACGATCGGACCCCCATCCGTTGTATTCGATCCGGACGACTTACAGACCGCAGATGATGTCTGTCCTGGTAAGATGGGCGCGCGGCTTGTCTTTGCGGATTCCGACACAGTGGTCAAATTCGGCCACGGCGTCCGCTTAGCAGAGGCAGAAGCCTTACACCTGGTATCTACACGTATGAGCATAGCGGTACCAAAGTTGATAAGTGCATACGTTCTTGACGGTGTCGGATACATTGCCATGTCGTATGAGATGGGTGAGCCTTTTGAACACTACTGGGATCGTGCGTCGGAGAAAGAACAAAACCGCATATTGCAACAACTACATGGTTATGTCAGTCAATTGCGTGAGATTGAAGGAGATAGCATCGGCGGAATCGGCGGGGAACCATGTCGAGACGGCATCTTCGAAGCAGGCTACGGCGACCACACGCAGTACAGTTACGGGCCGTACCCGTCTGAAGAGAGCTTCAACGAAGGATTAGTGCAAGCCCTGCGGGATCGGTTGCCACAACAGGTGCTTCAAGGCGAAAGTGACAAGGAATCGGTCTTTTTTACAGCCGAATATTTCCTGTACCAGATGGTGAGGGGTCTCAAGAACCATCGGATCGTGCTCACTCATGGAGACTTGCATCCGGGGAATCTTGTTGTGAGAGCGGATGGTACTGTGGTTCTCTTGGACTGGGGTCTTGCTGGATTCTGGCCCGAGTACTGGGAGTTCTATCGTGCGTTGTTCACCGCAAGCTGGAGGATCTCGTGGGAGCGGATGGTGGAGAAATTCGTGCCACCGTATGATGTCGAGTATAGTGTGATTAACAAAGTGTTTGCGGCGGTGTGGAATTAATATACACAGTTCTTTGGTATTCAGCCAAGTGTAAACAGAAGAAATATCATAGATACATGGTGAATAAATAAATCTCCCACTGTTGCTTATTATTAGCGCTATTTACAATATAATCATCCTATATGCAGACAGAGAACTAAGAATCCATAATAGTACTAACGGGGAGTATAGCTATTGGAATGTGCTCCCAGACGCAGGGTGTCGCAAACATGATCTTCCAGCAGTTCTTCCCCGAATTCTATGAGAACGAAGGATTGTAAGCTCCCCTCTCCCCTCCTTACCCCATTATCCCTCCTCTCTAATTTCCTTATGATTGACACTGACTGTCCTAGGAAATCCTTCTTCTTCATGACATGTAGCATGTTCCTTGTCGTCTTTGTGTGGTTTCCTTATCCTGGAGACCAAGAAGGTCCCCTTGAGGAAATGGATCCCTGGAGACAATCCGCTACCAGTGTGAACAGTGAGCAGAGCAAGAATTCCGCCGCTGACAAGGAAATCCGAGATCGCAGGCCCATTTCCAGCCTGGTCATCCCGGGTTACAGCGATACTTTTGCTAACGTTACACAGGGCAGGGTGGGTGAAATTAGCAATCACGCGAGAGGTTTGAGTTTGTTGATGGACTTGAAGTTCGGCCATTGACAGGGATAGAAGCCATACACAAACAGAGCCTTGTCCTAAGCCGGCAAGTGCCCTGCTTTCCAAGGTTTGCTTCAAGTCAGGCCAAGCGAGATTCATTTTTACGCCCATGCAGCCAAGGCATGGACTAGAAAAGAAGGACAGTCTCGCAACCTTGGAATGTCGAGTTTAGGGGTCGAGTTTAGGGGCCCTCAGACTGGGAGAATGGTTGCGTTAGCAATTCGAGGGATATAAATAAGCGGCCAACGGGTCTTTTCTCGGATACCACTTCGATTTGGCCGGCTGAGAACAGCGCCAACATGCGATCCTACGCCACTGGGCCTAGCAGCGTCTGTTGTGGCGGCACCTGCATCTACGACAAGTGCCCTGCCTCCTAATCCAACAAGCTGCGGTGGCATTGTCAGCAAGAGCAAGTCCACTATAATCCGAAGTATTTGAAGCCTTTTACTGACTAGTGCTGAATCTCTAGACTTTACTGTTGTTGACGCGACACAGGCCTACGATTGCCTCCGGAGCGTTCCTTTCCTCCCAGCCGTTGCTAGCCGACTCATCCAGTATATCAACGACACAATCCAGTTCCACAGCACTGTCGCCTACCTAGCGAGGCCTCCTTCTGGTTATCAGCAGCCTGCCGTTGATCTTGCTTCTGAACTAGGCCAGATCCAGCGGGATATTGACAACAGTGTCTTTGGCAACGAGTATGACTTTGAGCTTGCCATATACACCCTTCTTCATGCTGCGCATGACGATCATCTGAGCTTGCAAGGAGGGATACTCTCTGCCTTTTCGTACGGATCGCCCATTGATATTGTTGCACTATCTCTAGACGGAATATCGTTGCCAAAGGTCTATATTGCTAGTAAGATCCTCCGTCCAGAACGGTCACAGAGAAGGCAGAAGAAAGCTAAGGCATGAGAAGCGGCTGACACAGGTGACCTGCCAACTGACGACTGGGACAACCTCTCTTGGCAGCCATCTGCCATTGCTAGATCAACGGCCAGGACGTCGTTGAATACCTGACCCAACATGCGGCCCAGAATTCGTTGGCAAGCTGGAGCCGCATGCAGATTGGAACATGCTAATGCGTAGCGGGGCATTAGACAGTCAAGAGCTAGTAGAAGGCTTCTTTGGTGGTATTACGGTCTATCCTGGAGATACAATCAGAGTTACCCTGGAGAACGGTACGGACCTGGACCCGATGAAGTGGAATGCGGTGTACTTGGGGCCTCCCTACACGGGGCCTTTGGAGACTGGCGGAGATTTCTACAATTTCTTTGTGCTGGGCCTCTATCCTGCCTCATATGTAGAGCTTGCAGAAGACGAAGACGCTTTGGAAACCCCGACACCAACGGCTACACCGACCCCGGACTCAACCTCCAGCACTAGTTCGGAAAATTGGTGGGACAGAGCATATCCCAGTCCCGAAGTTATGCTGCCAGGCCAGCCGGAGGAGTCGGGCCTGCCACGCGTGTTCTTTCTGAACGACTCATCTGTGGCCGTGCTGAGCATGACACAGTTTGAAGCATATGGTGATGCCACTCAACTGTTTGTCGATACAGTAAAGGCATTTCTCATTCGCAGCAAGAAGGCGAACCTGAAGAAGGTCGTCATTGACCTGCAGCAGAACATGGGCGGGAAATCGCTCCTGGCAATCGAGATCTTCAAACTTGTATGCTGCAACCGACTGCCCCAGTTGTCTGCTCTCTGCTAAACATGGCGCTAGTTCTTTCCCTCTCGCAACCCGTTCGCAGGAAGCCGTCGGCGCGCTCATTTGATGGCGGATGCTCTGGGTAATACCCTAACACCATACTGGGAGGGTCTGACAAGGGACTAGGGGGGTTATTATTACCTGCTCACCAACGAGTGGGTAATCACCAATCGCTTGAATGCAGCCACCGGGGAAGAGTATACCACTTGGGATGATTACTTCCTGTCCACGGCCACCTATGATGGCAATTACTTCACAAACCTCGAGCAATACAACCTTACAGACACCGATTTCGCCGATCAAGGGGCCGGCGTCCAGATTGACACGGGCAGCGGCTCCTCCAGCCCTCCATATGCGGCAGAAGACATCGTACTCCTCAGTGACGGGCTCTGCTCATCGGCCTGTGCGGTATTCATGGAGCTTATGCACCATGAAGCCCAGGTACGAACCGTCGCAGTGGGTGGCAGGCCGGACTATACGCCGATGCAGGCGCCCAGCGGAACCCGAGGGGCGACCTCGTATACCACCTGGCGCATGGACCTAGATATTGCTGGCGCATTGGCACTAGATAATTCCACCGCTGCGGCCCTTCCCGTCAACCGTGGGGCGCTCGATTTCTATATATCGTATGCCGACATCAAAATAAAAAAAAAGATCCGGCATGGCGAACCCTTGGACACCCCGCTACAGTTTCAGTACGAGCCCGCCGACTGCAGGGTCTTCTACACCCCGAAAACTTGGTACAGATATGCCAATCTCTGGAACTATGCTGCCGAAGCAGCCTGGCAGAACCCGAGACTGTGTGTCGCCAACTCCACAACAACAATTAATCCTACTCAGTCGCTTTATCCCCCGTCCTCGACGCCCGGGGAGCCACAGCCGACAGAAACCAGTATCCAAAGCTCCGTACACTTGTCGGACGAAGAGGAAGATGTGGAGGTTGATAAGGCTGCATTGGATCATGACGATCCAACCAACGACATCCTAGCATATAGTCGCCCCATGGGAAGAATAGACGGTAGGCCATGCAAGTCGGTACACGACTGCGGCCCGCAATTCGACTGCGTATCTGTTCCAGTCCGCGAGAACGGCAAAGACATTAAACGGCCCCTATGCGTTGCCCACTGCAATAGATCGCGCGGCAATTGGTGCCCATCGGGGTACCAGTGTAAACCCACAAACGGCGTGACCGCCGGTCCGCAGCACGTAATGGGTCATCAGGTCCGCTTTTTGCCTGGGGTTTGCAATCCCATCACCCCATTGTCTTTTGATGACAAGCCCTCAACTGAAGGCGCACTGTTCTCGACACTTGTAGTCGACAAGGACACGATACCGAACAACGCCGCCGCCGCTGGCAGCGTCGACAGCAGCAGTTCCTGCATGGATAACATCTCTGGTTTCTACTACCTCCACTGCTTCCGCCAGAGCTCATCCTTGCAAAGGTGCCTTGTTTTCCACGACGGCTTCCCGCGCTTAGACCCATACCCTGTTTACTGCCACGATGGTGAACTACAGAAGTGGATAGCCAGGAAGGATGTACGTTTTGGTGTCTACGATCCTAATGGGTCAAAGGGCTACTGGGAGGTCCCCCACTCTGAAAGCCCACGTCTGGTGGTCTACCATACCAATACCGAGTACAATTTTCGAGACGGCTTTGACCCTAGAAATCCGTTGGGCCTGCTGGTTAACTAGCTAGACGAGCTGTTTTACCTTTCTTCTAGGGTCTGGATCGAATTTTATTGCCTATTTTCCCCATGTGGTGAGGGATATCGCGATTTTTGAAGTCGAGACTTTTTTCTTATATGTGGATCCCTGTGCACACATACTGTCATAGAATGGCCTGTCTCAAGGACACACCCCAATGAACACCAAAACGGCCCGATCCCTCTCGCCGAGAGTGGATCAATAACTTAAAAGAACATAGAAAAACCTTGTGCTTTTTGAGAGTTGTGACAGAACTATACAGCTGATTTCAATCCTCCCAATTTAACCCCAGGCCGCGTGGGGTGCCTGCCATTGTTGATGGTGGATCTCGGATTCCCGCCGGGAAATCAATGTACGACAGAAACAGCAGATGCGGCGGATTCGGCTCAACAAGCCGTGTCTACGAAAAAGAACAGGGAAGGCGTTGGAGAGAGATTGCGGTGGATGCAATCGGGAGACTGAAGGCTGATTCTGCGTTGTGGTACTGTAGTTAGCGTACAACAGGAAGGAATAAGTACAAAATCACTTAATCGAACTAATAAGATATCCAGTCTTTTAACGCCGGCCTTCCTATGCTAAACAACATGAAGGGGAATCTCCGCCCGCTATGCAATGAATACAGGTCTCTATCCCAGATAAAATGAACATAAATCGCGTAATGATCTCATCAGATCACTCATGCTCGGTGTCAACCTTCTGAACAACCGGCTCATTCTTCAGATCATTCTCCATGGTCCAGAGATCATGCTGCCCAATTGGCGACAATTCAGGGAAATCACCCTCCTTCTGCCGCTCCCCCTTGACGATTTTAGTATCAGCTTCGGTATCAGCAACCTGATCCGCGCCTCCATTCAGATCCAAGTCATCAAACAGGGAATCTGCACGGGGGCGGCCAGTGACGTGCCCAGCACAGTTTGCATTCCCTTCTTCGTTTTTGACCGGTCCCTGCTCAACAGGCGTAGTTATAGGCGTAAACGTTGCCTTTGGTGACAGCAACAGCGACATCATCTCGCCCAAGCCTTCTTCAGCAGCCTTGGCCGAGTCTAAAGATTTCCCTTGCTCGTCCTGTCCAACCTCCGTCTTCAGAACATTATCCAATCCTCCGATCTCAGGTATCGGCGCCAATACTGTCTCAGCCATACCCAGCGAAGGCGGCGTAGATGTCGCAGGGAGGCCCAATTTAGCCGAAGGGGCAGACGAAGGAGACGAAGACCGAGATCGAGATGTCGATGAAGATGCAGGTGCAGGAGTAGTCTCAGACGAAGGTGAAAATGAGAGACCAGACAGCGAGACTCTCTTCGCCCCTAAAGCCCGAGATAGCGACTCCCCCCTTCGCTTCCCGGATGGCAATGTTATGGCTGCTGGTGACACGGACGATCCCGATCCCGGACGTGAATCAGACCCCGGACTCGCCTGAGAGAAGTTCACATTACTCCAGGCCACGCTGTCACTGACACCATTATTCCGGATGATCGCGCTCTGTCCGACTACTCCAGCTACAGCCGCGCCCATCACCAACGACGAACCAGCCGTCGAGAATCTTCGTTGCGCCTGATACTGGCTAGGAACTTGTTTCTGGCTTTGAGCAGCGCACTTCGGACAGACGCGCTGCCCCACGCCCTTGGCGATGAACCGCTCATTGCAGACTCTGACGATCGGTTTAGGGTTCGCAGTTGGGTTCGGCGATGGGTAGTATTGGACGTTTGGGCTTTGGCAGGGCTGGATGAGCTGCAGGAAGGCGCAGGTGCAGCCAGCGGCGTTGGGTTGGTAGAAGCACATTTGAATGTTTTCTTTTCGTATTCTGTTTCGATTTTTGATTTTCGATTCGTAGATGTATTAGGATCGTTTATAGTGGGTTGATGGTCGTAATCCCGCTAGTAGTCGGATGAAAGTAAGCGTGTGTGGTGTATTTGATAGGGGAGACTGTCCGAAAGAGGTAAATGCATGGAAGTTCTAGGCAGCGGAAAGAGTGTTGTTTATAACTTTCCTAGGATGGAAGGAGCCCAGGGGTTTGTCTTCTTTCATCGTCATTGTAAAACATACGTGGCTCGCTCTTTGTCCTTGGAGCTGAGACGTGGGATGTCTGGCCTGCGGCTGTCTTGCAAGCAACACTTCAGCAGCCAAAGAAAGTCTGAGACAAAGGATCATGCGACAGGACAAAGTCTCTTTGTTGATTCCTCACTGCTTCAGACAGTCCCTAAAGCACCGTTGATATCTAGACACAGAATTCAGTGCAGTATTCTTTAAACGATGAGACTTGAATTCGTGACCCTGAGCTGATATTCAACGCCGTATGCAATCCCGAAGTGAACATGCTGCAAAACATGAAAAAGGACAAAACAAAACACGATTTCCGCAGATTCCCATAAGACGAGCACTCTCAACTTGTGGCCTGCCAGTTTCATCATGGCGGCAAGATGCTCCAATGCTGTAAACAGAATAACACGCATTCGGATTAAAAAAAAGACAAACCCATCGCAACCAACATGGTTCCTTTTCAGACAACGGATAGCGCCCGATATGCAGCTATTAGACGAAATACACACAGACAAGAACGGGATGCAATAACAGAGGCGGGCGCAGAAACGATAAAACACACGCAAAAGACGAAAGACGCAGGAAACCGAAAAGACAAAAAAACACACAAGTTCATATATCAATGCAGCAACAAGTGAGAACTTCAGAGACAAGTTATTCACAACGCAAGAGTCTGCCTCAATTCCTCCACGCCTTGCTGGAATATAGAGTGGTACTCATCAACCTGAGATTCGTCCCAGATATCATTCATGATGCGGACGGCCTCGTCGCTGATTCCCAAGGTCTCAGCGAGGCTCGTCGGCTGGGGCCAGACAAGCTGGCTAAGATCACCGGAAGGACAATGCTCATACAGCCACTGAGCGTCCTGAGCAAACTGATCATCACCAAACTGCTCAGCAATCGTCTTCGCAGCCGGCGCAGGTGTGGCATCAGGGGTAGGGGCGGTAAGAGGGCTCGAATAGCGGCTAGCAGTACGAAGGCCACTGGGCGTTTTGGGTTTGTATTTCTCTGCTTGAGAACGGGCCCTTGCCAAAGCTTCTTCGTCGATCTTGGCTGGGGTAGGCACGGGCTGTACAGCACGCGGAGTAGTACGGGGGGTTTGGGGTTGGGCACTAAAAGATCAGTCAATTTGTTCAAAGCTTGAATGCAAAGAAAGAAGCCATACTTTTCAGGTGTGGTAAGCTGCATGGAAGTCGGAGCCTGGATAACAGAAGTGGGAGCAGGAGTTCCAGGAGGAGACGGGGCGCCGCTAGAATCCGAATCGTCGGAGAAAGCATCATAATCAAGCTGGAATGTTCCCGATCTGTTTGGGATGAAACCAGGGCGCTGTGTCGGATCTACAATACGCTGCACTGGGGTGGCCGGTGTAGGAGTGGTTGGCGCAGATGAAGACTGCGGGTTGCCCATGCCAATGAAGTGGACCCCAGTATAGGGATCGGTGGCACGAGCACGGAGTCTCGAAGGGGTATTTTCGGGGCTGGCATCAAAGCGGACTTTCTTCGATGCGGGCCGCTCTGACTGCGCATTGCTTCGAAGTGCAGTCTTGGCGAGTGTATCCTTTCTGGGCTCGGTCTGCGGGGCCGGAGTCTCTATATCCTCGTCCTCGCTTTCGGAGCTGTAGTAGAAGTAATCTAGATCCATCCCGTAGCTGGATCCGACAGGGTTAGGGATGACGTCGGGTGAGGGAGCACGCTTGCGCTTCTTCTTCTGCGACTCGTTCGCGACGGGGGTAGTTTGAGGGGTGGAATCACGGCGGCGCTCTTGCACAGCTGGGGTGGCTGACTCTTGAGGTTCCAATCTCTCAGGCATTTCGTGTCCACGTTCGTCCACTTGCGCAGTCGCGGGCGCACTTGAGGATGCGTCTGTGGGCTTGGAAATATCCCCAAGGTACAAACTCCTATCAATCGGAGCGGGGAAAAGCGAATATGATAGGTTGCGTTGACGCTGAGCTGGGAGCTGTTCACTCAAGCGACGACGAGACTGTGGCTCTCTCTCAGAAGCATTAGCCAAAACTACTTCAGTTGGCTGCGTACGCTGAACGCGTTCGGATGATGGTTGCTGAGGAACTATGTTTGTGTGAGTAAAGAAAGCCTATCAACAAAGAATGCGTAAAAACAAAACTTACCTGAAGCTCCCGGCCGGTCAGGAGTGCGAGCAAAGGATGGCAGGAAGCGAGAGAAAGAGCGTGGAACAGAGTTCAGTAAGCCACGAATGTTCCAACGGCTGTTAGCAGATTCGGGGGTGGATGGCTCTTGAACAGGAGCAGGCTGCTCTGAGCTAACGTGATCATTGTTCTGTGGCTCTTCCCTTGAGAACTCGGGGTTTACCTGTAGGGGTTCAAAGCTGGGAGGGACTGGCGCAGCAGACTGGGCAGCAAGGCGGTCGGCTTCAGTTTGAGCGACATACTCGGGAAGGCGGAAGATGGTAGTGTGAATACGGCCCTCCCTCTCAGCCTGGCGGCGAAGTAGCCTCTCCGAGCGGGATACTGGCATATCCGGGAGGCGGCGAGAAAGCGCAGAACGGCGTAAGGGGGTATTTCCAGGGGGACCGACGTTTCGGCGTTTGCTTGTAGAGGGTGTGGAAGGTGTAGCGTCATCGTCTGGTGACGCCTGAGAGTGGGACCTTTTCCTATTTACTTTTTCGAGCGTTAGCGACTTTTTTTTGTTGGCCTTTTTTGTGTTGTTAGGTTTCCTCGGCTTCCTCTCCTTGGGCCCTTTGGTTCGTGTCCTGGTCTGCTGTTCCTGGGTGGGTATTTCTTTGGTCCGAGTTTCTAGGGGTTTGGATGGGGTTCTCTGAGTTGCGGGGTCCGGGCATGAAGGGTGCGATAAGGACGACTGTGGGGTGATAGATGAGGGTATAACCTCAATAGGAGCGAGGCATGACGGGCTATACAGACACGGGGAAGTGGGGGTAGCTGAGGAGGGGGAAGTAGCGGGGACAGGAGATGATAGGCAAGAGGCATGCGCTGCAGGCGAGGGAGAAGGGACAACAAAGGTAGAAGATGCAGGGGTGGTCCTTCGATCTGGGAACTCAGAGTGTCCTGCACTTGAGCAGGTGCCAAGGTCTACCTCCTCCTCGGGGATAGGAGAAAGCGGAGCGGGTGTGACGTGCATCAAGCGGCGACGCTGTCCTTGACTGTCTCGACGCTTCATTGGAGGAACCTTGGCTCGACTGGAGGGAGGGTCTGCGATTAACTCGGACTCCTCTTCCGACACCACTGGTGCCAGCTGTTGCTGCGCGCTTTCGCCTGCTCCGAAGATTGAAGATGGCGTCTCCGGAATTGGTGAGAAGATTGAGCGCGGCGTTAACGGCACGCGCTTAGGAGGCGCAAACAGGCTAAACGTTGGCATGTTCGGCTCAGACGCATTGAGGAAGGGTGTAAGCGGGGCGGCGGCAGCAACAGAGGCTCCCAAGTCCAAAGCCGGCTGACTGGCGGTTTGGTGGATGGCGCTGGTGGTGATATCAGACGCCGGCTTGGTTTCGGGAAGCCTCACTGGCGTGGTGGTTGACTCCGAGGAAACAGCCGCTTCTTCGGACGAGAAATGCGAGACATCAAAGGGCAACTTCGCGAATCTCTCTGCGAGAATGTCGAAAAGATTGTTGAAGGATGTGTCCTCCACGGCTGTTTCCTCTTTGTCCACAGCGGAAGCCACCACAGAGACAGTCTTTGGCTGTTCGATTGACTGCTCGGGTCGGGCTGGCTTGATCGATTCCGCTGCGGTCGGCTCCGTCGATTTTACCTGATCAGAGGTGCTTGGGACTGGCCCGGCAATGGTTGAGTCCTCCTCGGCATGATCAGCTGCGAGGGCTTCATTGATCTGAGCGAGGATACCATGGTGCAAATGGAGCTCAAAGTTGAACGGCGAGTTCGACCTGGAAATGGCGGTCTCTAAGTGGTCCAGTTCGGCCGTGTCGAGCTCGTCCCATGCCGGGCACGGAGTATCTCCCAGATCGGGGAGGTTGAAGAAAAGATCGTCCAGATCATCCAGGGGACTGAATTCCAGTGGGACTTCGGCCTCCTGGCGGGCCTGGAAGGCTTCGAAGCCCGAGATTTCTGCCAGGGGTCGACCCATTTGGTGGGAAGGATGCTCCTGTTCCTTGGGAGGAGATGAAGAAAGGGGAGGGGATGGCAAGGAAAGAGGGGAGGAAAGAGGAGAGGACACAGGCGACGAAGGGAGAGGTACATGACTGGGGGAAAAGGTTGAATACTCACACACGGAGCTCGGGGGTTCCATTAGGGCCATGTCCTGGGAGTCAGATGCGCGGATTTCAATGTCGTTGGTAGCGCGATCTTCGTTCTCTTGAGTCGATTCGATGATGGTTTCGGCATTCGAATCGGTCTCGTCAGAAGTAGCTTTCTGGGTCTTTCGCGTGGTCTTTCGAGTGCCACGTTTAGGAGCCGTCTGAGTCTGAGGATTGGTGGTCGAGGTAGTAGAGGTGGTGGTGGAAGGGGTGGTAGAGGTAGTAGTGGCCGCAGTCTTTCTGGTGACGGGCTTCTTGATTTTGCGCTGACTCTTGGGACGAGTCGCGGGTTGAGTGGAGGTGGAGGGCTCGATGGCCTGTTGAGAGCTAGGCTCTTGAGATGCAGCACGAGAGGCCGCCCTGGTCGATCTAGTAACACGACGAGTAGTAGTCTGTTCAGTCTCGAGAGAGACGAAGCCACCAGGCGAGGCAGGTTGAGAACGAGTGCGCATCTTGACGGTATGAAGTTGTGTTTGTGTGAGAAGAGACTGTTGCGAATATCGCGAAACGAGTAAAACTCGAGATGAATGATTCTCAAAGAGAGGATAGAGAGACGAAAGGCTTCGAGAGCGTACTTTTGTGCGAAGAGATGTAGATTTGTAGTAATCGCTGGAAAAATCGCTGGACGAAGCTTAGGAGGAGGGTGTTGGTGAGGAAGAGGAAGGAGGAGGAAGAGAAATTGACGAAGACATAGGTTGTGTGTTGGTGCTAAGCGACGCGTTCCTAATGTGTTAGCAGAGTTTTCCTACCTGTTGTTGTGAGCGCATTTGCGTTGTTTTGGTGTTGGAGAACTGCGACTGAAACAGTAAAAGTAAATTGAATTCAAGAAGCGGAGAGAGCGAAATTCCCAGAAGGGAGAGAGTGACGTTCCGGGCAGAATACCTGGCGGTCAAGGTCCCTCCAGTGAGGGCTGCAGCCACACGTGTTGCGCCTTGGTTGCGTGGAGACGCGCTACAGCCGCGCCTGAAGAGGTGAAAGTGAATGCAGCGAACCTGAAGGACGGCAGATGGCCTTGATTGTATTGCGGTGCTCAAATCATGCATGGAGGGATTGCTGCTGTGGGCTCAAGGCGAGTTGCCGCTTGTTACTGTCGTAGAAATGGACGATGGACCGTTTACTATACTTACGGATACCACAGCGAGAAGTAAGCCACTATTTTGAGGAAAGTTGTATTCTACAATAGGCTAGAGAATATGTCAATGTAGTTTGAATCGTAAAGGTACACGCCGACACTCGGCTGAGAAACAGAATCGGATCAGGAAAACCAAAGACTAATGTACAGGCGCTGTTTCAATTACATGCTAATCTCACCCTTCCAAGCGGCATCTGACAAGCCCAATGTCTCCATGAGGTTCTTCCACCTCGGACCGCCCCGCTCCTTCTTCCGTAGGTATCGAAGCAGCTTTTGTCTCTTGTGAACAAGTAGTCGCAGGTTGCGCTTGTTGTGCTTGTCCTGTCGGGTGGTTTCCAGATGCCTCGTCATGTTCAAGATCTTTGCAGTAAGAATCGCGACTTGCACTTCGGGCGATCCGGTATCAGGGCCGACACGAGGGGTCTTTTCCAGGTGGATAGTGGCCGAATCGTGCGATACAGCGGTTGGCTTTGGCGGCAAAACCTTGTCAGTGTTGTGTCGCCCGAAAGTCTCGATGCACTTCTGTATGCGAATGCGCATCTGATCGGCGGTGTTTCCGTTGTGGATATTCACAATCCGCTTGATTGCTTCCTGGGCATTCGCATGTTCGTTCAAGTGGGATTTGGCCACCTCGGCCTCCCTCATGGGGTCTGCGGTGTCTCTCTTTGTGTTTTCGATGGGTGCGGTCAAGTTCTTAGAGTACTCGAGGGCGTTCTCGAGCTCTTGCGGCGTGAGGAAGTGGTTCAGGTCAGAGCTCTGCGATGCAGCATGTTTGATCTTCAGCTCTTCAATGAAAGGTGTCGACTCGCCGTACACGGGGTGGCCCAGAGAGCCTTCACGCTTCTCCGCGAGGGCCTGTTGACGGGACAAGTTCGCGGCTTTGCGCTGACGTGCTTGCGCAATCAGATAGGGGTCATGTCGCCTCCGCTCCTTTCCTTCGGTCGATGCGGCTCTGACGGACGTTTTGTTCCGGGTTATCGCAAGCTGGGCAAGCGGACTTCGAATCTGTAAGGAACCTGAACCGCCAACTCGTCAACAAGCGATCCAACCGGAGGGGAAGGGGTGTAGAGAATACCATTGAAAGCCTTGAATGTAGGCTGAAGTGACACGCGTGGAGGCATTATGCTATCTCACGAATTGATGAATTGACGACACTTGACCAATTCCCGACCCTCTTCGGCTTCAACTCGATCCAAAATCTCAAACCGACCGCCAACACGCTAGTCCAGATTCGAGGGAGTAAATCATGTGATGTAGAGTCCCGCGGAAGTCCCTCTCTCACGTGAAGTAGCGCCTTGGCACGAAAGCTGATTTGCCAACCCTAGCTAGCCCTAAATTCACAAAACGGAAGCGAAAATCAAGTGAGAAGCAGCGCGGAGCAAAAGTTGTCTCTCGTGTCAGTCCTCTCTTCGACCTCAACATCGCGACAAGCGCCAGACGATTGATATCTTCAAATCGCCGTTCTTTGCAAGATCAATCGCCCATCATGGCCCCCTCTCAGCTCCCCCCCATCTTCAACCCCACCCCTCAGGACATTGAGATGCTCCTCGCAGCTCAATGCCACCTGGGATCCAAGAACCTCCAGGTTCACATGGAGCCCTACCTGTGGAAGACTCGCCCCGACGGTGTCAATGTCATCAACATTGGCAAGACCTGGTACGTTTATGGGAGGAAGCAAATGAAGGATTGCAGCTTGGAGCACGGTGTCTAACTGGTTGCGCGCAAAACTACAGGGAGAAGATCGTCTTGGCCGCCCGTATCATCGCTGCCATCGAGAACCCGGCCGACATCTGTGTCATCTCCGCTCGTCCCTACGGTCAGCGCGCTGTCCTGAAGTTCGCCTCCCACACCGGTGCTACCGCCATTGCTGGTCGTTTCACCCCCGGTAACTTCACCAACTACATCACCCGCTCTTTCAAGGAGCCCCGCCTCATCATCGTCACCGACCCCCGCACCGATGCTCAGGCCATCAAGGAGGCCAGCTATGTCAACATCCCCGTCATCGCCCTCTGCGACACTGACTCCCCCACCGACTTTGTCGATGTTGCCATTCCCACCAACAACAAGGGTCGTCACGCCATCGGTCTGGTCTGGTGGCTCCTTGCCCGTGAGGTCCTCCGTCTCCGCGGAACCCTTGCCAACCGTGAGGTCGACTGGGACGTCGTTGTCGATCTCTACTTCTACCGTGACCCTGAGGCCGAGGAGAACAAGGAGGTCGTCGAGGAGGCCAAGGTTGCCAGCGCTGAGGATGTCGGTGCCGGTGCCATCGAGTCCGGCTTCGCCGGTGAGAGCTGGGATGCTCAGGCTGCCCCTGCCAGCACCTCTTTCGCCGCTGGCGGTACTACCAGCTGGGAGGCTGATGGCGGTGACTGGGCCGCTAGCTCCGCCCCCGCTGCTGCTGGTGAGACCTGGGCTGAGAGCCAGCCCGCCGAGGGCAAGTGGTAAAAAGCTGAACTTGGCGCTGCGGAAACAGCTTGTTAGGATTGTGTGTGCTGAAGAGAGAAGGATTCCTACAAAAATTATCCCCCTGGCATGTCTATCCTAGCCTCTGTTCCGCAATTACTCAAAAAAGGACAAGAAAAAACGGCAAAAAGAATCAACCGATACCAACTTCTTCACCCTTTTCTACCCTCTCACTCTCTTATGGTATGCTACAGCATGTTCACCCTTTTTCAGCCCGCCTTTACGTCGTCTTCATGGTTCATCGGGGAGGAATTGCTTGTCAATGATTGTTCGGCACTTACGAGGGAAAGATATCCAGTTGTTCTCTTACTCAGTGAGCTCCTGGGGGAAAGCCCTGTACCGTCAATCCCACAAGGTGGACTTGATCGTTGCCTTGGTTTCTCCCTGTATGTTATTTTCGTAAATGGAAAGTGATGCAAGCTACCATGGATTTCATCTCTTCGTAACATAATTCATCGCAATGTAGTACCCTATAATTCCATATATATAACTAGGCATGTGTCTGATGAGCCTGATGGGTGGGGTATCAAAAATAACCTGGCATATCAATTCAAGACCATCCTCCATCACATAACGACACAACCACCTTTCGATTGCCCACCATCAGACGTGGTAGTCATATACGCCAGCCTCGCAAGATCCTCAAAGGTCTGCGCCATGAGTTCCCCTGTAACAGCCGAACACTCCGCATAGCGATCACACCGAAGCTCCTGCGCAATTCTATATGCCTGTCCAGTTCGTCAGTTAGAGGCTCCAAGAACCAATTCTTTCACTCCCAAGTCAGAAGAAAGGTCACTCACTTCCTGTGGATAGATAAGCCCTTCCCCAGGCGCCCTCAGATCCCTCTTCAGCCCTACCATCATCACGGGGATACGCTCGCCTTCTCCGCGCTGAAAGTATCTAATGATATCACTTCGCCACTACAGGGCGCACGGTAAGTATCAGTCCAACTCAGAGGACGTTCATAGCGGACGACAGCGCTCACCCGTTTCAAGCCGTCGAGCGTTTCTCGATTCGAGATATCAAACGCCAAGAGAACAACGTCCGGCCGGAGCGTCGTCCAGTGCTGGTTAGGACTGGCTGTGTCGTAGATCTCAAGAGTAAATGACTTTTTGGAGAAGTTTATGTCGTATACAAATGGCTGGTCGCTATCTCGTAAGATATCGATTTGGCCATTCGAGCTCCCGGTGTGTTGCGCTCTGACTCTTTTGAGTCCTCTGCAGAGAGACCGGTTAGTCTCATAGAGTGCTTGGAAGGAGATGGCAGGACGAATCGTCTGATCTCAGATGCAAGTAAGTGAATGGAGAACTGTACGCACGAGAGAAACGTTGATTTGCCGCACCCTGCATCTCCGAGCAATAAGATCGAAATTGGTGTTTCGATGATCTCTCTAGTTTCTGAGTTTGCCATGGCAAATACTATACCTCAGACAAGTCCAATATTGGACTTTCAAGCGCTTATTCTATACTGACAACATTGACGCTCAATCCAGCTCCGGTGAGGTAGGTCACTGGCGGTTCCGCGCCCGGGTATAGTCCGTATCGTCGATAAGGTATTGCGCTAACCCCGTTAGGAAGATAGCTTGGCAGCAAGTATATACCTCTACATCTGGGATTTGGCTCGGAATTCACCCACAGAGTTTCAGAGATTAAGTTTTCAGAAGTAAATATCTAAGCCACAGCAGCTCGAGAAGTCTTTGCCTCCTGAGATCTCTGTTGTTTCTTCTCTTCACCCTGGTAAGCACATCCACGTCTATACCAACGGCTTGCTCTATCACGAACTTCCCACTCTTCAAACTACACTACAACGATGACAGATTTAAATCAACCTGATCCATTCCGATGGTCTCCCCTCTTCGGGGGAGGTAAAGGCTTTGAGGAGGCGAGAGTTACGTCCTTCAAAGGAGGCATCCTCGCAATAGGAAAGATCGTCAGCGAGGGAAATGACGAGAAGACACGATACTCGACCAACTACCGAATTCTTCTCGACGACGAATGGAGAACACAAAACGTCAAGATATATAACTCCTGGACTGGGGAAGTCCGGAAAGAGCTTTACACAGATGGCCTTGGCAAATGGGTCGACGGCAACGGCAAAATAATATTAACCCTGAACAACTGCAGGGACGTCGATATCCCCGAGTCGACACTGATGAAGACATTCCCTATACGACGTCTAAATCTTCGAGAATGGGGACGGCACAAGATTTGCACCGCTTCCGTCCATGTTACCGCGACTACGACAGAGGTGGTTGTCCAGAAACATCTCTACAGTTGCTACGACGATGACTGGATGCTCTTCCGCTACGAAGGGCTTACTTCGGGCTTCACGACGGATTTCTTTACGGACAAGGATAGATTCGTGGACAGGATCATCGAAGGCTGGTCTTTTACAGCCTTGTATCATCATGCCCAAAGAGACAAGGCGTGTCCTTCTGAGCATCCTACCATTCAACCACGGACAAAACGGGGCTCTGCGATGAGTCTGCATTCTGGCGAATTTGAGTATAGTGACAGTGGGAGAGACTATCTTCAGGAGGAAGACAGTGACGACGGCGTCTATTTAGATGATGACTTTGAGTATGATGAGATTGATGGGGACTGAACTTCATGTATCTAAACTGCTTGCACCGTTGGTGATACGACTGCCCGACAACTATACACCACTAGGTCTGCTACCTGGGAAGACTTTGATTTTTTTTTTGATTTTTTTTTTTTCCAAGATTATCTTGATCGTATTTCTATCGAATCTTTGTTTGATCGCACACTTTGCGAGACCCTCAGGTGTTGGAAACCGCCAGAGCATGAAAAAGTATATACAGTGCTTGTTAGTTTAATTAGACCTACACCAACAGCGGTTCTCCACAACCCCTATCCTTTTTAGCCATTTTTGTAGTAACCGGCCTCATGAACAGTAAAAGCTTTTGAAAAACCCATAGTGGGTGGTTTTAGAAAAGGTGGTAATCACCATCAGGGTTCCAAATAGCTAGGGTTATATCTACAACAGAGTCTTACATGCAGTATATAGACGTCATAGAGGTGGCAGCTGTAAATCTTCCAAGTACGACAGTATCTTATGCTTTGGTCTTGTTTCTAACGTATCGCCTTTGGCAAGAAAGGACAACGGCCAGGGACATCGGCCGCTCCACTTTACCAGCATTTTGAAGAACCATCGCTGGTCTTACAAGTAAGATTTGCGGACTGATTCGGTACTAGTAAAGCCCCGTCTGACCAAATCGGAGACTTTAAACAGGCCTCCCACTGCGTTTATAGCAAAGACCGCCGAATCTTGGCCTGCTTCTTAGAGATGAGGACATTGCATAGTACAGGTGGGGAAGGAATGAAGGCCTTGCATCATTTCTGTTTGTGATCTAAGACCCCAACTACCTTTTGACCATCAAGTCGTATACTGGCTTTAAGCCACATTCATTGTATAGAGCCTCTAGATCCAATAAGGTGTCAGTCCCTCTGGAGGCTCTGGAATTCAAGTCTTCCAGAAAACAAAACCATATCTTATCGCTGTAGAATCTATCTTATCGATAGAAGTGTAAGTTACATACGTGTAAATTACTCCACCGCAGCCCAGGAACCAAAATTTTCTGCGAACGAGTTCTCATTCTCCAAATCAACCAGAGCGCACCCGGTCATTGAGGGGATGTGGAGATCTCATATAAGGCCATACTCAGCGTCGCGGCAACTTATATCACATCTCACCTCTTTGACAAAACCCAACTGTCGATTCGCCCACAAGGGACTCTCAAAGCTCGATTCTCTCGCCGCAGACATCATGTCGGGCAACAATCCCGTGGCCCCGCTAGACGAGCAGCAGCTCCAAAAACAACAGCACCAGCAGAAACTGTCGCAACATGAGGAAACGGAGAGCCAGCAACCAGATTACTCGACATGGAGTACCACCAGCCTCATCGACAGGATTACCGAACTAGAGCGCCAATTGCACACGCGGACAGCAGAGTACACCCCTGCTCACCCGAAGTCCCAGGAACCGGAGCCGAAAAAGATACCTAAATGGCTAGCGACGGGCAAGTTCTCCCCGGACGATATCGCCCATGCGCCCGGTGCGCGCATCCCGAAGCCGCCACGGAAGATGGATCCGACAAAGTACAACTTCCGGCATATTGCACTGAAGTTTGCGTATCTCGGACAGCGTTACAATGGCCTAGAACATGCGAATAATAACGTGACACCATTGCCGACTATTGAGGAGGTGCTGTGGAAGGCGTTGCGGAAGACGCGGCTGATCTTCCCGACTGATATGGAGGATGATGAAGGGGTGGATTTGCTTGATGAGGAAAGAGGCTCGGAGCCCATTAATCTTAGCTGGGAAGGGTGTGAGTATTCCAAGGCTGGACGGACTGACCGTGGTGTCAGTGCTTTTGGCCAGGTTGTTGGCATTAGGGTGCGCAGTGCCCGGCCGAAACCCAAGGATTCGGAGCCGGGTGAGGATTCAGATGCTACTACTGGGAAAACGGATGAGAACTGGGACGATGTTGCAGATGAGCTACCATATATAAGCTTGCTGAACAAGACACTCCCGGAAGACGTTCGTGTGTTAGCATGGTGCCCGAATCCACCTGAAGGATTCGATGCTCGCTTTTCTTGTCGAGGACGACATTACAAGTACTTCTTCACACAACCCGCCTTTTCCCCGACACCAGGTCCTTTTGGGTTTGCTCCTCGTGGTGGACCAAATGCCCCACCGCCCAATTATCGAGAAGGATGGCTTGATATCGATGCTATGCGTGAAGCAGCAAAACACTTTGAGGGTGTGCATGACTTTCGAAACTTCTGCAAGGTGGACACAAGCAAGCAGATTGAGAATTTCAGACGAATCATATACCGATCCGATATTGAATTGCTCGATCCCGAAAGCAGTCTAGGCTATGTGAGCGCTCCAGATTTTCGAGCTTCAGAACAGCCTGCTACCGATAATGCCGTTGAAAAAGCACAGAGCCCATCGCCGGCCGGAAGTCAGGTGTATGTATTTGACTTGCAAGGGTCCGCCTTTCTGTGGCACCAAGTGAGGCACATGGTCGGTATCCTGTTTCTGGTAGGGCAAGGCCTCGAGTCACCATCTATTGTGCCTGAACTGCTCGACATCTCGAAGAACCCACGCAAGCCGATATACGAAATGGCGTCTGATGCTCCGTTGGTTCTCTGGGATTGCACCTTTCCTGAAGAGGGCAGTGACAGTCGCGAGGACGCACTTGAGTGGGTGTATGCGGGCGACTCTAGGCAGGTACGATCCCAGTACGCCAGAGGCGGCGGGAAATACGGCGCAAGTGGCGTGATTGAGGATCTCTGGGCTGTTTGGAGACAACGCAAGATGGATGAGATCTTGGCCAGCGCATTGCTGGATCTGGTCGTTAAGCAAGGAGATCAGAGTAGTGCCCAGTTTACTGATGTCAAGAACATTGAAAGGGAGATACGGGGCAGGGGTCAGAAGGTCTTTAATGGGGCAAACGGAGCCAAAATTGGTGGCAAGTATATCCCGCTTCTGCAGAAAAGGAAACTTGAGCCTGTTGAAGTTCTCAATGCAAGATGGCTGGCAGCAAAGCAACGAAAGACGGAAGAAAAAGATGCTCAGGGAAGCAATAACGAGACATAGAAGGAATGTACATACCTCCATAGAACTGTATATATAAGGCATGCAATGGATTAGAGGTCGAATGCATGATGCTGGACGGATCTGGGTTTCATGGCTTTGAATCGTAAAGGCAATGTCGAGAGCCTCTCCAAACTTCCTCTAGCTTTGCTCTGTTCGGGAGGAGCTTCTGTTTAAAACCATCTGTAAGTGACCATGTCTGCCGAGGGGGATCGGGTTTCCTTACTGGGAAAACCACAACAACCTCCGGTTCACCCACAACAACTACCGCAAGGTAGAAGCGCACTTCAAACCCCTTGAAAGCTTCATGTATGACAATGTCCTGAATCTCCGTCGTCGGGATGAATCTCGTCGCAGCTTTGAATAGGTAGCTGGGTGAAGATGTGGACGTCTGAATGCCCAGACCGCGGATAACGAGAAGGGACTCCTCTGGCGAAAATCAATGATCAGTTTATATAAACCTTGCATAGGGTGGACATACCTGTGTAGCCTTTCAAGAGCACTCCGTATAGCACCAGTGCGCTGGCAACAGCCGCGACAGCGAAATTGGATGTGTCGGCGACTCGACAAACAAAAATCCCTAACGGACTCGACCACACTGTTGACCAGGGTACAAGCGAGTCTTGTGAAAAGAAGACATGCCGGAATCGCGCGGCGTGGAACGATAGTACCCCCGCAAATATTATCCCGCGTACAAGAAACTGCAAGTAGAAGAACAGCTTCGCCGGAGTGCTAGTATGTCTGGAGGCATTGGAAACCGTAAATGACGCTGTGGTCGGAGATGGACGCCGGGAGATGAGATGTGCAGGCATTTGTAAGGTGAGAGAAGATCAATTGCAGTCTAAAGAAGATCAAAAGTATCCTTTAACGGTTCATGATTGCAGAAGCTCGATTGCGACTGTTCGCTGGATTGCAGATCGTTAGGTTCCTGCTCAAAATAAAGCTAATCCAGCTTTGGATTAGTATCGTCCCGCACTCATCCCACCTCCTTAAAATGCACGTGATAGCCTGCATTTACCCTCAAATCGCCCATCTGACGGGCGATGATTGCCCAACCTGCACTTGTTGCCTGATCTGACCATGCTTTGGCTTCAAAAAGCTGCGATCTCTGAACAAGATGCGCTTCAATATAGGGACCGGCTCGAAAAGCAACATTGATGGAGGCGAGATGACTTATCCTCTCACAGGGGCACCACTGCACCAGCACACTCTCGCGGTCGCTAAAGCGAGAGACGCACGCAACGACCAAAAGCATATCTCAAATTACCTCCAACCGCGTAACTGATATGGACTAACAGGCGAGTATTAGCGGTTTCGGTGGCGTCTGATTCGCAATTTTCCGACTCTCTATCTTCGCCCATGACACAAGTTGATATCTCGCTCTTGTCTGGCCCATCCAGGGGGCATTCAGGGGACCTTCGATGAACTTTTTCATCAACTTGGATATCTCAGCGGATAGCTGAGCAGATTGTGCTCCGAAGAGGCACTTTAACTGAGATATCACAGCCGCATCTATTTCCTCCAACGGTAAGTACTCACAGGGCAACAGGTGGGGAATCAGGGCCATCATCCATTGCTTTAAACATAGTAAGTACCTAGCCACTCGACCATTGTCATCCCCAACAAGTCTAATGAATTACACTAACTTGCTTCAGAGTCATACGGAACATAGATAGCCATTCGATGACCCCGGGCCCGCGTGCAGCAAACTCCTCAAACGGGATTCGAGTACATCCCCGAAGGATCACTTGGATATAGTGGACCGCGGTGGGGTTTGCTTCCTAGAGTACTAAACAAATTGATCTGTGAGCCATCACTCCTCAACCCAGTCCTGGCAGGTCCATTGATGCCGTTGGGCTCCCCCGCGATCTTATCATTGCTAATCGCGATTTCAGCAGAATGACTGGAACTGGCCTGTGATATTGTACCATTATCTGGCAGATTTATAACAATGCAAGCTCCTTTCTTGGTAATTGCCTTTTCCAAGAGCACTTTAACCTCGTCCTGGACCGGGACCTGGACCGGATCTACCAGAACTGGAGCAATCAAAGATTCCATGGCATTCCTCTACACTTCTCTATCTTCACTCTCTTGTTCTTTTGCAGTTTCAAGTACTTATTGGTCAATTGAGACTATGCTTCTTCGATGTAATGCAGCATCTCCCTAGCCCTTTCGTAACAGGCAAAACAGCTATGTTATGCCTGAGAGAGAGATGATGGCTAACCGCATGCTGGATGTTGATGTTGTGCTCTACCCCTCTTTTTGCCCCTGGGCGTGCTCTTGAGTCTTGACTACTAAACCACAGATCGACGATGGCTCGTGATTCCCAGATTCCGTCTTCTGCGGGGCCGTTGGAAATGCTTCCAAGGATGAGGGGAGCCTGGCACCGCTTAGCCTGAAGGGGAATCAAGGGGCCTGAGGCAGGAAGTCCGGCATGCAGGTTCCACTGGCGAGGCTTTTTTTTTTTTCTTTTCTTCCATTACGGGCTCACACGACATCTTGATCCACTACTTTCCAATCGATGTCTCTTTCATTCTTGCCTTTGAAGTGTGCTCTTGACTCCCCGCCATGATATAGTTACCCGTCTCTTCTTGCTCTAGGACTTTTCGTTCCCAACTTCGCTCGACTCGTGTCAACCGAGCTAACCTTGCCGATTGTACCGCCGCCCCTCCAACACCCGCTTGGTCGGATTTTCCCAGGTTTTTCTCCGCTTCCGAATCGGCTCTCCCCCCAGCGCTCCTCGCGTCATTCTCGCTGAGCTTCTCGAAATTCTTCTTTCGAGAAACCGACATTCTGGCCACGATGGTTCGAAATATCGTTGTCATTGGGGGCACATCCCACCCTCAACTGACGCAGTCGATTTGCGATATTCTCGGGATTCCTCCAGCCGACGTACTTCTGTCAAAGTTTTCTGTCGGTGAGACGAGGGTGGAGATCAAAGAATCGGTGCGTGGGAAGGACGTATACATACTTCAATCTGGCGGCGGGAAAGTCAACGATCATCTCTTGGAACTGCTCATCACCATCTCGGCATGCAAAACCGCGTCCGCCCGCAGAGTCACCGCCGTTCTCCCGCTTTTCCCATACTCCCGCCAGAGCGACATCCCTTACAACAAGGCCGGAGCTCCCCTCGTCAAGTCGTCGGTCGAAGCAAAGCAGTCTAATGGCTATACTTTCGAGAGTACTCCTCCGACCCCTCACCCAGGAAGGTCCGAGGCTGGTGGCTATATGAGCGGTGTGAGTGTTGACAATCTTCAAAGGAGTCTGGCAAAGGCTCAGCTAGAGGACTCTACCGGGAGCCCAGTGAAGAAGCGGCAGCCCAACGGGCTTACCCGCAGTGACACTCTGGAATCCCTCAAGTCCGATAGCAGCAAGTCCACGCTTCCAAACGGCAGCGTAGACGAGAGCCAGAACAAAATCGACAAATTCCAGCCGCGTCCCGGATACAAGCAATGGGTCGCTCAAGCGGGTACCCTTGTAGCTGATCTGCTCACCTGTGCTGGCGCGGACCATATCATCACGATGGACCTTCACGATCCCCAGTATCAAGGCTTCTTCGACATTCCCGTTGATAACTTGTATGGACGCCCACTTCTGAAGAATTACATCATGCGCAACATCCCAAACTACAAGCAAACTGTCATCGTGAGTCCTGATGCAGGCGGAGCCAAGCGAGCGACCGCGATTGCGGACTCAATGGGCGTGGAATTTGCTCTGATTCACAAGGTATGCTATTCCAATGATCCTGCATGACCTGTGCTAAGGCATTCAGGAACGCCGTCCCACGCGAATCACCGACCGCCAGAATGCTACGATGATGTTAGTTGGAGATGTGAAGGACCGGACAGCAATATTAATAGACGATCTTGCTGACACGTCGAATACCATTACCCGCGCTGCCAAACTCTTGAAGAAAGAAGGTGCATCCAAAGTCTACGCTTTGGTGACACACGGAATTTTGAGCGGTGACGCTATTGACCGCATCAATGCCAGCTCCCTCGACAAGGTCGTGGTGACCAATAGCGTTGATCAGGCAGACCACTTGCGACGATGCCCCAAGCTAGAGGTCTTGGAAATCGGCCATGTTTTCGCAGAGGTAGGCACACTCCGAACATCTTTCTTTGAGAGCAGACCTGACTCACACGTTCTAGGCCATCCGTCGCGTCCACCACGGGGAAAGTATTAGTGCTCTTTTCCAGTACGAGTAACTGGGTTAATATGACTTTTCTTTCCCGCTGTTGGTTCGCCCTCCTGCGAGGAAGATCTGAGATGAATTTCCTTTGAAAAAGTAGCATCGGGGTTTAAAGCCATTTATCATGGATTTCTTTTTTTTTTCTCTCTTTATTATGGCGCGATATACACAAGACATTTCAAATTCTTCATCGCATTTACTATATGACTATATGTCAATGACACAAAAGCACAACATCACATGTTCTGCCATGCGCAACCAACTTGAGGAGGCCCATTCATGCCAATTTCTGAGTTGTTTTGAGCAGCTCAATCAGCAACTAATATTTGCATCCGACGACGTTTGGAACATCCAATGATGACTCGATCAGTTCAGATTACAGATCGTCAACAAACAACACCTTGACCGTGACTCAAGGAATGTCGTTCAGCCACCTGCATATCTCACCACGTCTCATGTCGCCACCTGCGACATCGCGACATCGGCCCTCTCCGATGTTTCTTCTCCACAAAACATCGTGGCCGAAAATCATGCACCGTGGGTCATACTATCATACGGAGTGCACTTCTCTTCTTTTTCCTCCTTGAATGCTTCAACCTCTCTGATGACGTTATGTACATAAAACACATCGATGTTTCCCATGCTCTGACTAATACGGATACGGTGTGGAGATAGACAAAGAAAACACACCTCTAAGAATTTCTCTTAAATTATACCACCTAATCACCGAGTCTGTTCTACGAAACCGTGTATGTTTGCCTGACTGAACTTGATTTCCAATACCACTAGCCATCGCCCAGTTGCGAACTCGCTTCACTTTATTTCCAGTAGTGCATTAGCGTCCGCGTCTCGACGGGCTAGGCTACCTACCTACCTAGATACTTAGCTCGATCTTGCTCGTGCGAGTGCATCAAACATTGCAGCACAGTGATATCTCATTAATAAACACATGCATAGCTTGTACCTAGTACATAATACTACGACCTTTGGCTCGAGTTCCAGGAAGGAACGATGCAGCAATTGGGCAATCCTAATACACCAGAATCATTAGAGGCTCATGTACGTCGGTTGTAGAGAGAAGCTTGGTTTCTTCTTCATCTATACTAGACAATGGCTGTAGCAGCTATGTAGGTACTATGTCACAAGAAGGAAAGACCCAAACGCCTAATATAAGAGATAACAGATATCTGATCACGGAGTGGCATGCGTAAGGTATGCCGATAAACCGATACGCTCGTACAACTGGGTAATGGATGGCAACAAACAGAGGGGCATAGAGGTAAGCGGATGAAGGTGATTTGAGTCCGCTGAAGGTTGAGTTCGAGAGGGATTGGGATATGCGGTCGATGAGGAAGGAGAACGGCAAAGGCTTAGAAGACGGAGATGAAGTTCCCAATCCTCTCCTTTTGGTTTTGGGCAATGCACTCTGAAATCCAGGTGACGTTTCGGATTTCCTAGACAGGATTAGTTAAGGATATTTACAGTCGTTGCGAGCCACTTACTTGTTCCTTCAGTCGCATCCACGCGTACACAACGGCAGGCGTGAACTGTCTGGTGAAAACGATCTTGCTCATGTCCATCTCCTTCTGGTAGAACATATCCTCCAAGCTCTTGCCATCGGAGCCGCCCATGCCGCCAAGGCCTCCTCCGCCTTGGGTCAGGCCTACAGCGTCAAAGAAAGCCTTGTAGTCCGAAGATCCGCTCACGGCCAGCGCCACAGCTTCGATATCATCGGCCCGAGAAAGCATGAGTGACCCTTCGGGATAGAGTTTCCCGAACTCGGGGTAGAGCTTTCTCCGCTCCTGCTTTGAAAGTTCTGTGCCAAACGAGTTCAGTGTGATGTTGATAGCACGTCGGTCCGCCTCGAACTCAAGCATCTCCGCCATCACGTCCTGCGTCGGTGTGCCCTTGAAATCCGGGTGTGTAGTGACAAATTTGTAGAAGTCCTCGAGGTAGTTCTTGTAGAGTGTATTGCGTACGATCTCAATGTTGAGCTCGTCCAGATCCTGATGGCTAAGGCTGCTCTTGAAATAGCCAGCCAATGGCGTCTCGATCAACACAGAATTGTACAGCTCTTCAATGTTTGTCGCAACACACAGTACTGGTAGCGTCTCGAACCAACCCAACGGATGGCATCGCTCCAGAAGCTCCCGAGTATCACGTTCATGCAGTGTACCGGTGATGAGAAGAGCGATGTTATCGATCATATATCCGTATGTAAGAAATTGTAGGAACTTGGCAGTAGATCCCGTGGCCTGCGCGAGGAGGTAGCGAAACTCGGCGACAAGCTTGTCGGTCATCTTGCCCGCGAGGGCAGAAGTGGAGGGGTGGGGAGGGAGAGCTCCGAGGAAGTCGCCATATGCGGGGGCGAGCTGTAGTTTAACATCTATTCGAAGATGAATCAGAAACAGAGATACGAAGCGCAAAGATCGTATATCTTGTGGAATGAAACGCACCATCAATAGTTTCGCATTGCGTCAGGTTGTTATAATGTTGTCCGGTGAGGAGGCTGTTTCGATATCCTCGAACGATGCCCTCAATATAGCTGTGATCAGGTTAGTTCGCGGCTCCGAGGACTTCAGAAGCTCGAGTATAATGCGAACATACCCGTTGTTTACGTTGAAAAACAGACCCTCCATGGTGGGATGGTGAATCGCAAATGTCCAGAATCGTTCTCCGCATCGACATGGCCAGGCATCCTGTTGTTCTTTGACCCCCGGGGTTACATAAGCAGCGCACCGCCTCTGCGCACACATCAGCCACGATTGGCTGTGGCTGAATCCCAAGTTTTTCTGCACTTTTTTACTTAGGTTCGGAGCAAAAAAATCCCTCCAGCGCACGCTCTCAAGAGGTTCGAGTCCACGGTCGCCCACACTTCGCCTTCCCCTCCTCCTCTTCCTCTGGCTGCCGTCCTTGCCTATTTATCAATTCTTGGGAGTCGAGGCAATACACAATGACGCTGTTTATCCTGACCGAGACAAGCGCGGGCTATGCCCTGCTCAAAGCTAAGGACAAGAAGCTTTTGAAGAGAGACGACCTCGCTACTGAAGCTTCTACGGCAGAGGGTGTTTCTGGCCTGTAAGATGCCCTCTCTTCTATCCTTCAAATTCATATCAAACTCGCTTGCCATCGATCGGCAGGCGAAAAATTTTCTGCCGCAATATAGTCTAACAATTCGACAGGCTGAAGTTGAAGAGCTTCCAGAAGTTCGACAGCGCTACCACAGCTCTTGAGGAAGTCGCTTCCCTCGTCGAAGGAAAGGTTACGCCTCGTCTTGCTAGCCTGCTTGATGAGATTAAGGATGAGAAGAAGGTCTCGCTCGCCGTTGCTGATCCCAAGCTGGGTATGCTTTCCATGCGAAGTTTTTTTTTTCGGCATCGTAGTTAACATTTTACTGTACAGGTAACGCCATTGGCAAGCTTCCCGGTCTTGACATCTCACTTGTCGCCGATTCCACAACGGCCGATATCTACCGCGCGATCCGTGAACATTTGCCCACACTAATTCCCGGCCTCCTTCCCCAGGACATGTCCACCATGTCTCTGGGTCTGTCCCACTCTCTTGCCAGACACAAGCTCAAGTTCTCTCCCGATAAGATCGATACCATGATTGTTCAGGCCATTGGTCTTCTCGATGATCTGGACAAGGAACTCAACAACTACGCCATGCGTGTGAAGGAATGGTACGGCTGGCATTTCCCCGAACTGGCCAAGATCCTCAACGACAACATTGCCTACGCAAGACTCGTCCTCAAGATGGGTATGCGAACCAACTGGGAGTCTTCTGATCTTGCGGAGATCCTCCCCGAGGAGATTGAGGGTGCTGTGAAGGCCGCTGCCGACAGGTCTATGGGTACAGAGATCAGCGAGGAGGATTTGGAGAACATTCAGGCTCTTGCCGAGCAGGTTATCGGCTTCGCCGAGTACCGCTCGCAACTTGCTGGTTACATCACTGCCCGCATGAACGCCATTGCCCCTAACCTTACTGCTCTCGTTGGCGACCTGGTCGGTGCTCGCCTTATTGCTCACGCCGGTAGCCTTACCAACCTCTCCAAGAGCCCCGCCAGTACTCTTCAGATCCTTGGTGCCGAGAAGGCGCTGTTCCGCGCTCTGAAGACTAAGCACGACACGCCCAAGTACGGTCTCATTTACCACGCCTCTCTGATCGGCCAGGCCACCGGAAAGAACAAGGGTAAGATGGCTCGTGTGTTGGCTGCCAAGGCCTCCCTCGGTATCCGTGTCGATGCTCTCGCCGAGTGGGATGACGATGTTGCTGAGGAGGAGAAGTCCGCTCTTGGTACCGAGGCCCGATACAACCTGGAGAAGAAACTTGCTGCTCTGGAGGGCAAGCCTCTCAAGCCCCGTGGTGTTGCCATTGCTCCCAACGGCCAACCCGGCAAATTCAACCTCAACGAAGTCCGGAAGTACAACCCTGACGCTGATGCTATGGATGAGGACGAGGCCACACCTGCTAAGAAGAAGCTTGTCCAGGAGGTGCAAGATGAGGAGATGGCTGATGCTGATTCCGACGAGGAGCCCGCCGTAAACGGTGCCGACTCTGACGAGTCCGAGGACGAGTCTCCCAAGAAGAAGTCCAAGAAGGACTCCGAACTCGAGAAGCTAGCCGAGAAGGCCGGATTAAGCCTCAAACGATACAAGCGCAAGCTCGAGCGAGGCGAGATTGAATTCGACGCCGCCGGTAACCCCAGCGCCGTCAGCAAGAAAGACATCAAGAAGGCCAAGAAGGAAGCCAAGAAGGCCTCCAAGGGCGAGGAGAAGAAGCGCAAGCGATCAGATGACAACGAAGATGCCGATGGTAAAAAGAAGAAGAAGAAGAGGGACGACTAAATAAAAGCTTTTGTCTTTGCAACGGATTTCCTTCCTTTCTTCTGTATGATATCACACCATGTGGGTTGATTTTTTTTTTCTGTGCTTTAATCTAGTTGCTTGTTTGGGTGGCATTCAGGATGGGAATACTTGGTCCCTCCCGGCGCAAGGTGCTTCGATTTCTTTGATACGAGTGTTGATGGGCTTCAGCTTGATTTTTCTCGGCCATATAAGTCAATCTAACTACTTCATACTATCTCGTCTTTAGAGTAGCGTAACTGGCTTGAGAAACAGTTTCTCATGCCGACTTGAACGTCCTATACGCACTGCCATTCAACCATAATGCCTTTGATATCAAAGCTACCTCAAGATCAGGTTTCCTTACTAGTATTGGATAATACACCGCCTAGACCGACCAAACAAGTCCGAAACTCTGCCCGCAAAATTCCCTCCCACCGCCTAATTTTTCCCTCTCTTCCCCTCACCAGTCACCACCGTCACCAACCAACTTTGCTCCATTTCCGACCTTACACCAGTTAAGATCTTAAAAATCACTTCACGATGCGGGTATGCGCCTCACACGCCCCTTGACTATAATCCTTTCCAGAATTGGACTCCATTTCGCTCCTGAGAGAAACAACTAACAGTGTACAGATCATAAACCCCCAGTCCGCAACTCTAACAAACATCGAAGTCCTCACCTTCCTCTCCGCAAACCCGCCCCGACGACCTCCGAATCCGCCTCCGGGCGTGAATCAGCGCCACTGGATCCCAAGTCCTGACTTGCGCGATCATAATACGGTCGTTAAAGAGGTATGGCTTTACCCCGCGACCAGGAGCGGCGGCGGCGGCGCTACAGTAAACTGAAAACTGAAGGCTGACCGACTCAATTATTTAATAAAGATACACAACTACGCAACCCGCCTCTCACCACATCTACTCCGCTATCCGCAATATACATCTCCATCATCAACAGAAAAGCCCGGAAAGAGATCCGCGGCGCCGGAACCAGAAACAGCACTCGATATCGCGCTGCGCGATCTAATCACACGGTTACAGCCCTATGGCCTGACGAAGGGCGAGGTGTTGATGCTGATTAACCTGGGCGTTGGGTTACCGGCTTCGGGGCCGGCTGCGGAGGGTGGTGAGGGGGAGGAAGAAGGAGATATGGCGGAAGCAGGCGAGGGGATGGATGTTGATGGGGGTGCTGCGGAGAATGGAGCCGGAGAAGGAGGGGTCGATGGGGAGGAAGGAGGGGAGGAAGGCGAGGCGGGCGATTATGGTGCTCTGGCACTGGTTGATACGGTGATTGAGGAGAGAGAGCAGAGATTGAGCGATGAGGATGTCACTGCGATTTTGTCAATTATTCGGGAAACGTTGGGAAGTGCGACTACGTAGTCGCTGGTTTTTGTCGAGAATTCACATGTATAGATATGTACGTGGGCGGGTGATTTTTGGATTATCTGGCTTTGGCGTTTGGAATACGGTGAAAAGCATGGAGTACTGGGTTCAGCTGTTTATTGACTACAGCTATTTGCATACTAGTAGCATCGCTCGCATCTATCTGGTATCTTCGGTAACAGCAAGGAAATATAAAACAAAATATCGGGAACCATACGCCATCCACTGGACTAAACAGTCTCCAACGCCAAAGGAATGGTGCACAATCTGCACTTGGTACTGACATGCAAATACAGTGTCACTAGAACTCTCTCCCCTTCACCAGATTGCCCCACTGGTTATAAACAGGTCCGCCGTACTCGTCGCCGGCCTCTTCGCCAAAGACCCCTAGATCATCGTCGAAGAGGTCACGCTCAAACCCAGCACAGACTTCCGGGTAGTCAATCCACTCGCCCTTGTCGGTCCAGACACCACCGGCACCACCACGCTGGTCCCATGAGTTCTGTCCGCCTAGAAGGGCTTGTTGCGCGGCGTCGAATCCGGTCTGCGCGCGTATATACTTGCGGAGAAGGGCCCGGCCCCAGGGGAAGTACCACATCTTCGACCACCAGATGTCTCGGATAGTCCCCTTGTCTTTCATATTCATGTGCACCAGAACGGGGACTTCTGCAGAATGGACATTTGTGAGCAGAGGAATGTTGTTCCATGTCCGGTTTGCTGGGAGATGGTCCAGAGTGTCGTTCCACGGCGGGTTTATGTATTCGTCCTTGTCAAATTTCGGTTGCTTGAACGGATTGCCGAGCTTTTTCTCTGAGATGTCTTCGGGTAGCAAGAGGCGAGATTCACGGGGCACGCGGTGCTCCATTTGCGCGGTCGAGGTCTTTGTGACATTGTTGTATCGCAACCATTCGACGTCTTGCTTCGCATTCACCGCGTTGAAAAACAGCCGAGACTCAAAGTCCACACCAATTCCGTATTCGTACCGTTGTCCGGATTGAAGTCGCGGGTTAACCTTGGTGATGTTCGTGGCCTCGGAAATGCCAATCCACCGGTTCAGAGTCTCTCTCAACCCGCTTGCAGTTCTCAGCCGTTCTAGCTCGCGCACATACTCCTGCCGGCCGTACATCTGCGTCAATGCCAGATAATCTCCGTCAACAGCACGGTGCTCCTCGACAAACCGCAGGACCTGAGCATAAATCAATTTGAGGTCCGCCACCTGCCCAATGACAGCACCAGGCTTGAGCCATCGGGGCCGGGTCAAAGGTCCCTGCGTGTCCGTCTTCCATCCATACGCATCCGGCGGGAGGGTAGAGCCAGGGACAGAGACACAGCCCGCATCTTCGGCAAGATCATGGAAGCATTCCTTGCTAGCCGAAAAGATCACACGTTGCGAGTATTTTTGCATAGTTTCCATTACATCCTTGCGGAAAGGCCTCTCAACCGTCACCATCCCGTACTTCTCTCGCAACTTGGCATTGTTCTCGCGCAACAAGTCTTGATAGCGCTTGACGAGCACCTCCGGAGGTAGTTGGAAGAAGATATCGAAGCCGTCCACAATCAGCACAATGTCGTTATCCTGCAGTGTCGGCGTATATGCTAGAAAGTTGTATATTCCCGTGATTCTATCAACCATATAGTCGTGGCCTGCAGAGCCCTCGGGTAGCTCTCTCCCGTAGCGGACTAGAGTCGGCGGCGGGTAGTTCAGGATCATGGCCGAAGTCAGGGTACGGCATAGGTCGGGGGTGCTCCGCGTTGCGGGGAGCACGAGATGAAAAGAGGGATTGGTCTTTTGTAGATTATCGGGGAGGGTATCATTATGTTCGAGGGCGAGTCTCGGGGAAACGATTGTAGCGTCTTCGGGCTTCTCATGGAAAGGGTGATACGAAGGGTACTCGGTCCAGTAGTTGACTTCCGGCTGCGATTGTCAATTGTCTTCCATCCCAATTCTTCTACAAAGAGCCTTACCTCGCGATGTGATCGCAGCAGTATAACTAGGAAGAAGAAACATGCTGCGACTGTGCAAGCAGTCCGAATCGGTCGCGGCCGCGGACGACGGACTAAGCTCTGTTGTAGGAACCCCGTCACAGACAAGCGCCATGAATTATACTGATCCACCCAGGGACCGGGCAGAGAGCCGTCCAGGCCGTTCAACAGGCCACGGGAGTCCATGTGGACGCGAGAACTGAGCTGATATCTTTCGAGAGCAAGGGGGCGGTTGTCGATTTATCTGTGCAACAAGAAAAAGTTGACACTGGACATTCCGACGCGAGCGTGGCTGCCACGGAGGGAGTTCGAGAATACTTTGCAGGGACGAGTGGGATTGACAGGGAAAAAGAAAAGGAGAAGATCAACGAGTGTGAGAAGAGGCCATGTTGCAATCATCGACTCGCCGTCTGGGATGACGACAGCTTCAGCGATCGCCCCGACCGAACGAGAGTGCGGAACCTTTGGTGGTGACACTGACAGGAGCACCCAAGGCGTTTCAGATTTTGGGCTGCCAGTTTCGATCTACAGCCACAAGCCTTAGCCAACTTTTATACTACAGTTCCTTCATACAAATCATTATTTCATCACTTCCATCTGGTAGGTATACACATGTCTCTGTCATACAAAGCCTTTCAACTGCCAGCCAGCCAAGCCAGCTTCTATAGTATATTTTAGTGCTGGCCGCGTAATCGATGATCAGGACCCCAAATCGTGCCGTTTCAGGTTGACAGCGCCGGTTATTGGTGGATTTGGCCTATACAGTCCGATTGATCTTCATCTTCACCACTCCCTTTGTGCTCTTCGTCCGAAGATTTCAGGGACCAGGGACCAGGGCTCTCCATCCTGTCACAGACATGGCAAATGCTTGCTGTGTAAACATTATTGACCCTCGCATTGATGGGAATCGCCCTCAACTATGTCCCAGGCTCCAACATGAGAAGCATCATACTTTCAGCGGTAAAAGTGGATGTTGAAGATTTATGTATACTCTTTGAAGTCATTCGCAATGCCATGGCAAGGTATATAGCAAGGAACACAAATAACCCCACAAAACGCCTGTAGACCATGAAAACAAAGAAGAATGCGTGCCTCTATCACTCCAGATAAATCTCCTCCCGTAATCTTTGCAAGTTCCTAAAGATCCCGCCTCCAGGCCCCTCACTCTCCTGTCTCTGATGCCCCCTCGCAGGACCAGAAGTAGAAGCCTGCTGTGAGGGCGCCGCCGCCGCCTCGATCACCCTCTGCCGCTCCTCCACCACCTTCGCCAACCCCTCCACAAACCTCGTCCTAGCCTTCTCCTCCGCCGTCCCCTTCCACACCAACGCCAGTGCCCGTAGACCTTCAACCCTGCGTGTCGCAGCCTCAACCCCCTCACGATCCAGCAGCTCCGAGATCTCCGCGCGGAACTTCCTCGCCACTTCCTGTCCCTTCTCTTCCCTGCTATGGGCATCGGGACCCGGCTCCGGCGCGGAAACCGAGATGAACGAGGAGGCGAGGGAGGTTTCGGAGGGCGGGAGCGGCCACTCCATCGCGTCTCCAAAGGTCTGCACCACGTCTTCCAGTCGCGCTCGCACTTGATTCAGCGTTCGGAGGTTGATTATATAGTCTGGCTCTTCGATTTTTCTTGTAGAGTCCTCCTTTGCGTCTTCCGTGCCTGCATTCTCCGTCTCCTCTTGTTTGAGCTTCGCTCCGCTTGTAGACTCCGGACTCGACCCCGGGGCAACTGTGAACCGCGCAATCTCGGCAGCAAGCCCCTCCGTCAATAAATCTGATAATGTTATCGTCTCGCCGCGGAGGACTTCAACCTCGTACACGAGCCGGTTCCCGCTGCGGAGGATCTCATCGGCAAGCGTCGTCAGGGCCGTAGAGTATCGGATGTTTTGTGCGTTCGTTTGCGTGAGGATAGACTGGACGCGGGTGGAAAGGTCTGTGAGATTTACACCACCGCGCGAACTCTGAGTTTGTGATTGTGCGGGAAGCGCCAGTGGGGGGAGGACATCGTTCAGGTAGTCGACAGGGTCGAATGATGGATTTGTGTAATCGGGGGCTGGGATGTTTGGCAAAGCTGGTTGTTGCGCGGATGGCGGGGCGGGACTGGGAGGTTTGGATGGTGCCATTGGTATGTATGTGGAGGAGGAGTGGTTCAAATTGACATTTTGAAGCTGGGAATGTCCACTTGGCCCGGCAGCTGTACCTGAGCCGCAGAGCAGGATGTCCCCACATTCTCGCCTTAAAGACGGAGTATAGCCCCTCACCGCCCACTTTTGCCTCTGTTGTATGAGCAGGAAGGCAGAGTTGGCTACTATCTACTAATATAGACTATTTGATCCTGATCTTACTTGGCTGTATTTGGAGAAACTTGAAGTGCCGCAGTCCATGGTTGTGGAGAAGACGTGGCTGTATATCATAATCAATGATGAACTCAATTAATTCAATCTCAAAAAAGAAGGCGGGTATCGTGGTTCAACTAGAAAAACAAGGCCATAGGGCCAGCATTATAAGAATTCCATATTATGTCCGTCTCTCATGTCGTTGCTCTGGGGCGTTGCGCTCAAATGTCCTCCACCACACGTGCGTTGATTGCGTGCTGAAACCCATCGTCGTTGTGTCCAGCGGGAGACGCGTAGCGGCTGGGACCTTCGCCAGCACCCTCGGCAGTCGCCAGTTGCTGCTGGATAGTTTGGTTGGGTGCAGGAAGGAAGATGACCTTGCTGTTGGCCGTCTTGGCCATTGCTTGCATGGCCTCCAGGTAGCGGATTTGCATAGCCGGAGCAGAAGACAGAATGTCGGCGGCCTAGAGATGATTAGCGTCGAATACTTAGCGAGGATGAGCATGAGTAGCATACCTGGCGCATGAGTTTGGCAGACTCGACTTCGGCGCGCGCAGCAATAACCTTACTCTCACCAATACGCTTGGACTGAGCGGCCATCGACAGAGAGTCCTGGAGATCATCGCTGAAGATGATGTCCTTGATGAGCATGGACTCGACGTTGACACCCCATCCGGCGGCAACTTCCTCGATAATCTCCGATGTCGACTGTGCGATCTCCTCGCGGCGCTCGATCACATCTTGCAGGACGCGCGCACCAATGACATGGCGCAATGTCGTCTGGGTACGCTCGACGAGCGCTTGACGAATGTTCGAGATACCGAATGCCGATTTGTGAGGAGAGACGACTTGGTAGTAGATAACGGAGGTTAAGTTTAGGGTGACGTTGTCCTTGGTCATGCAAACCTGGCGAGGTACCTCGACAATCTGGATCTTGACGTCGATTGTGATGAGGCGCTCACTCAGGGGGTTAACCTTGACAAGACCGGGGTCCACAGCACGTTCGAATCTATTGAACCATTAGCTGCGCTCGTATGTTCAAGCTTTCAGAGATACACACCGGCCGAATCGCGTCACCAGACCGACATGGCCTTGATCAACGGGTCTGAAGGGGTTCGGGCAAGGGCAGCATGGAATAATGCCCAGGGCTCCGATACATTCACCAATGGAATGCTCTAAAGTAGAAAATACTATCAATGCTAGGTCCCTTGTTGGGCTTCCAGGAGTATAACTTACTGAAAGACGCGTACCACCCATGCGCCTCAGGGTTGCTTTCATCATGCTCAATCACTGAAGCATACTTGGGCTGCAGGTCGGACAGGCGGGGTGGCTGGACGTTTACGAGACCCTCAGGTCTGTGGTTGACAGGGGCCTTGCCGTTGATGCCAGAGCTTGCTTCAGCGGACATTGTGAATTGAAGTGATTAGACTCGTAAATATGATAATAAGGAGGACTGGAAGACACGAAGATGCTTCCAAGTTCTGGTGTTTATTGATGAAGTTGAGACTAGGATGAAAAAAGAAAGGGTGACTCCGGTGTTTAAGTAGCTTCCAACTCAGACGGTCATCGGGATGTAGGACGTCACCCAAATCTTCCACGGTCGGCAAACACGGCCCCCATCCCTCTGCCCTGGCAATGCACTAATCCGGGGTAGTCCACTGAGGCTCGCATCGCATTGGACAGGAGGCGGAAACTACCTCCGCTCCCAAGGCTGAGCCCAGAGTGGGCCGTCGTCTTGGGTGCTTGGTGACCAGTCACGATTCATCGAGGAAGGTGCTGTTGGCAATGATCCTTCAAGAGCACAGCAATTTGTTACATCATTCCAATCAGTCTTCCAGGAAACTTAACGCCCGAGCAGCTAGCACTGCCGCATCCCGTGGTGAGTTATCTGGCTAGCGGTTGACAATCCATCATGTGAGCTTCTTGGGTATGAGAACCAGTCTTCATGTTGGTCTTGTGAAACTTGGATGAGCTGTCAGCAAGATCCCGGGCACGACGCATGCACGCACGGAGCTATCCCGTTGATGCCAGTCGCTAGACAAAGCCGCGTTACTGGTACTCAAGCACATTCTCAACGATACGTATACGCGATGCCGAGAGCCAGAGTTTCGATTGTGGCGCCGAGCAAGGAATTCCGATTCGGTTTGCCCAGCAACTGGGTCTGGGCGACGGGCGCAAAGGGGCTGTGCTCCACAGTCCAAAGTTCTCACTGGCCTGACCTCGTATCACCGGATTGAGGAATCGGCAAACTTTCCGATGAGCAGCATGCGATCGGCCATAACTTAGTCATGGCGTGGTTGCTAGGGAATGGACATTTTCCAACATCTGGAACTGAAGCCTCGTTGCCATCGTGGCGGAGAATGGATTAATCGTGGAGGAGGCGAGAGGGCCCGGAACTTTCATTGAGTTGTGTTGGTTTCATAGTTGGATTGCAAGGATGAGGCTGATTCCTCCTCGGCACCCTGCAACTTTGATCCACTACCGGGTGGCTATACTGGCCAAAGTACCAATAGCTCTCAGGTCTGAGCCTGGTATCTAGCCCTTCGAAGAACATCGCAAAGGGACCTCGGGATCAATGGTCGAAGCTATACATGTATTCGTGACGGAAAAGCTAATAAATAACCTACTTTGCGATATGGTGTAGATATATTTTAGTTTTCTCAACAAAGAAGCATCATTGGTCTAGTGGTAGAATTCGTCGTTGCCATCGACGAGGCCCGTGTTCGATTCACGGATGATGCAATATCTTTTTGCTTTATTCCTTTCCGCTCTTCCAGCACCCACTGGGAAAGCCAGTGCTTAATTTTTAAAAACTGTATTCAATCCTCCGTACGGCGAGTGCGAGGCATAGTCAATTTTGCGCCTCCATTGCGCCTTTCTAATATTGGCCCCGCATAACCCTAGACAAGCGCAATGCGCATGGCACCATCGCCCCTGCCTACTCTGAGGAATCGCGCTTTTTTCAGCATAACATGCGCTGTCGAGGCGAGTGCGGTGGTGCCTATCGCTATCTCCCTGTCAGAGCATCCATCATACCTTCCGAGTGCGGAATTCCATGCTCTCGGGGCAGGCGTGATGGGCTGATCGCTCCTGCCCGTTCCGGGTACCGTGTCTACTCAAAGTATACTCCTCGGAGCAGGTGAGAGCGTCCATAATTCATCTCGTTCAGCAGTCCTCGATCATCTTTAAGATTGTGGGAATGGCGTTGGAAAGAGCACAGGGAGCAGTTTCTCCGAGATATCAAGCATATTCTCATATAGTGGTAAAGTATGCGATATTGAAGGGTACAGGTTATCGCGCAGTTGTTTCGCAAAATATGTTTGTAACAACGCTCTCTAAACACAAGCTTCATCGAAGGGTAAGTCGTGCACCGCATAATATCATTTGGCGTCAATCATGCCTTGTTGTCGGCGAGAATCGTTCTCGCCTGTTCAACACGGTAGTAGCGACCCCATAACAACGTCTACCAAGGTAGTTGCAAGGGTGTGGGTAAGTCGGTCCCTAAGACTGGCTCCGCAGTCCCAATATCCCTATCATGGCGTAAATTAGCAGAGCGACTATCATCTCATCCAGGGAAAGGAAGCCTACGCAGGACCCCGAGGCGCCCAGTATTGCCCAGTCTTTGTGATATCAAAGTCGTCAATGAAAGCAGCGAGTGATTCGGCAGCTTCCTTGGGTGTAACAGCTGGAATTATATTAGCGAAATCTCTGGGAACAGGACTAGATAGAGCTCACCTCCACCAGCATCCCAGTACTTATCAAATCCGACACTCTTGGTCATTTCCGTCCGCATGAACCCCGGATGGACAAGACCCACGGCAATGCCATTCGGTTTCAGATCCAGACTCAGGAGCTTCCCCACCATGTTAAGCGCCGCTTTGCTCGCATGGTGGCCATAGTTCCCACCTCCCTCCTTCTCATGGCGTAAGGTGATGCTGCCGCTCTCGCTACTGACCAGGATAACCTTGCTCCCCTTGACTAAGAAGCCGGACTTGACGAGCTGCTGAATAATAAAGACGGGTGCAATTGAGGAAGTAGTGTACATTTGCACCTCCTTGTCCCAATCTGGCGTGTCGAAGTCCTCGAATCCAAAATACCCCGCATTGATGATCACAGTCGAAAGCTTGAGGGACGCAGGGAGTTGTGAGACAAGCTTTTGTCCAACATCAGGCTTTGTAAGGTCAATTCCGGGAACCCACGAAACGCCGGGTTGTGCTGCTGGCCCTTCACCAGATCGAGTCGTTGCGAAGACTTGCTGCGTTAAGTGTTTGGATGCGTATAGATCTCGGAGGGAAGCGCCCAGACCCCTGGTAGCGCCAATGATAAGAACGTGGCTGCTCATCTTTGATTTGATTGATATTTTCCGGAAGGTCGAATCGACTCTGTGAGCTTTCACCCCATAAATACTTGAAATACCTTGACGCAACCCCTCCTGCAAATGACGTAAGGTATCATGGTGGTGGATGAAGATAGGTCGCCATCGTGGCTCTATATCGCCGAATATCTTTGCAGCCGCCTCCGGTAACAACAGCACCACCAAAACGAACCTGCCAACGAAGGCTAATTATAACCCTACCAAGCGCCTCAAGGGACCATCCATGGATCATGAAACCCCCAAGCTTGCTCGTTTGTTTCAACCGCACTGCCACTCCACCCCGCTAGTACCGCAAGCTTAGTCAGCTGCTCCTCCCTTGAGAGTCAGGTAGTAGCTGAAAACAGGATTGAATGAAGCGCCAATTATAACCCCAGCCATCTGGCTTTATGGTGGTCAAGTTTTTTTCCAGTGGTGATGAAGCTGGAGCCTTGTTCTCTATGTCGGTCACTACTTGATAATGAGTTCCCTTATGCACCTACTCTCGTCCCATGTGAAAAGAGCCCGCGCTTCCAGTCTGAGGAAGAAGGCTGAAAACGAAAAGCGCACCACATCGAGACATAGGGTGTTTCCGTCTTCTTCCTCACTGTCTGTGTATGTCACTCGCTGGACTTTGAGCTGCATGGTTGAGTCAATGCTGATGTGATCTTAGTGTCGCTAAACTTCCCCCGATTCCAACGTCCTCCCCGTGGGATCTCCTTCCGGTCGAACTCCAGATCACAATATTCGCCCACTGCGGTGTCACGGACTTTCTTCCCCTCAAACTCGTCTGCAAATCCTTTAATCAAGTCCTCTCCACGCATGAGCAATTGATCGCACGCCAATACCTCCGCCAGCGCCGCCACGGAACTCTCCCGTCGCCGATAGACAATCAAAAAACATATACTCGAAATCCGGCAGACGATGTAGTTCTCTTGTCGGACCTCTTCCCACCCGCGAAGAGCGCCAAGGGTGGTCATCTGTATACTTTTCGCTATGTGCATAGCCTTCGTCGGCGGCAGAAGCTCTGTTCGAAATTGTGCTACTATCTGGCGGACCGTGTGATGGACCGATTTGTACACAGTGAGCCAGTCTACATGAAGAATAGATTCCCTTCAAGGGTAGACCGAAATGAATTCATGAAGAGAGCAACTGGGAGAATCTGGTTTCATCTCTCACCACTCATGTGGGTCCTCTACCTCACTACAGACTGATCTGGCATGCTAATCAAGCCATGCAGGTATTACGCTTTGTACTTTCTCGAAGCCTACGCGGAAGCTCGGCGCGAACAGACAAATATTCTTTTGCACGACTTCGAGGCTGGACGACTACCTGTACCAATACCACCGCATGTCCGCAAAGACATGCATCGCGTACTGCAGCAGAAGATTGTGCAAGCGCCACCGTTTACAGATACTTCAACGCTCCTATCGACACACCATTGCATGCAGCTCTTAGTCCACTATTTGCAATTCACCGTACCTCCCGACGAGCCGGTAGTCTCAGATGACAGTTGGATCGGCTCCTTGCTAACGGTGTCGCCATTTATCCGAATCGTGGAATACTTTTCAGCGGAAATCGGAGACGGTGGCAGCCAGCGCATGCAGCGGAGAGACTTCATGAAAAAATTTCACAATGATATCATGATGTACGAAAAGGACGACATGAACTCGTTGGTATTTGAAAGTGCACCGCATGTACACCTTCATGGCGCTGTGCAGGACGTCTGGTTTGACGTTGTCAAGGCTGAGCTGGCATCAAGAAGGGCTCGGAACCATGACATGGAAAGCGTTGTGGTCTCGGACAATCTGCCTATCGTATTCGGCTGCCCTGACTGCCGACCTCCAATGCATGGGGAGTGGCATACATGATTCATCTTTTACTGGCGCCCTTTTTTTCCCTTCTTCGGTGTATGGCGTTCATAAACGGGCTTCAGTCAGGGTAGGCGGCTGATTTTGCATTGCAAGCTGGAGCGATTGTCTTTTCTGGTCCATCTTCATCGTCATTGAAAGCATCACTCTCATATACAATTTTACGGAGTACCCTAAGCCCTACAATAAAACGGGCGTGTCACGTGCCATGTTTTGCTTAGTTTGTCTCAAGTCGCGTCTTGAGACTCAAGTCAACTCTTACACCTCAGTCCATCAAAACATAGATTATCTCGGATATAAGTAAGACTATAGCAAGAGGAAGGCTTTTCCAGACATGTGATACCCTCTGTATCTCCAGTTCCCAAAATACCACGAACGGCCCGCCAAGATCAATCATAACCAACCATAGCGATGGCCAGCCCACACCATCTACTCAATACCTCATGGACATCACATCGGCTCTCACCCCTCTACCATGGAAGCGAACATTCGTCTCTTCTCGGGCAGCCAGCACTAGAAATCTATGCCAACAGGCTGAGAGACCACCTCACCAACTCGCTCGCCGACGCGCAAGGCTGGCGCGCCCCCGAAGAGGACACAGCCGGGGTCTCGAACACTGGCGCTCTAAACAGCTGCACCTGGGAACCGATCACCTCGCTGTCATTCTTGAGCCCGCAGTCTGTTGAAGATGATGACGAAGATGCACAACCAGTGGGAATCCTCATAACCTTCGGCTACGAGCACATCACGTACAAAGCGGCTCTTCTCGCCAACCCCTCAATATCACCATCAGATACCAGCCAAAAGGGCAAACAACCGCAAAGAGGACGGTCGAAGCGCACCCCATCGACTTCTTCATCAACATCAACATCTCTACCACTCCTCTTGACACGTCTCCCGAAAGCGCTACGGGAACAGTTCATCGCATTCCTTTCCTCGAACTTCGACACATGTGTGTCCTCCCTGCGCTTCTCATCTGATGTCCTCTGTGATCTTCTTCAGAGCTACGTGGGAAACTTAACCTCTGCAGAAGGAGGCAGTGGAGGAGAAGGGGCGGATTCCGTACTAATAGAAGACATCATTCGTGAAATGCACCTAACCCTCTCCTTCGCCCCGCCCATCGCAACCTCTCTGAAGACCTTGAATGTGAGTATACCCCGGGAGACGATCGCGAGTTTCCTGCGGACGACCACCGGGTCTTCTCCGGCGGGAGATGGGACTGAGAATTCTGGGAGGCGCGTACTTTCTGGTCTTTCGGCCTACTTGCAAAAACACCTTGCCATGGAACTGGGCCTGGAGCTTGGTGATGGTGGTGTGACGCTGTCTAGTGGGTATGTGCGGCTGACAAAGATTGCATGCGCTGGGTTTGTGATTACGGGGGAAGGCCGAATCAAGGTTGTCGGGAAGGTTGCTCAAGAGGGTGAAGACGAGGGCACGAGGGATCGAAGGATGCTTATGGGTGGAGAGGCGCTTGTACGGGCTGTTTTGGGGAGGGCTAATGCTGGGATTCAGAAGGGCAAGTCGTGATGCTCGGTTGTACAAAAATAGGAACATTGTTTGTAAGGAGTTACGGTCGGTTGGGTTTTTGGAAATCGATATATTGATACCACTTTTTAGGGAGCGGAATGACATGTTGATATACTATGTGCTGCTAAGTACAGTTTAATCTATTTTCTACATTTCTCAATCATATCAATTAGTATGTGCGTATCGTTAACCATGCACGTCTGTCAACGCCTGAACCCTTATGCACTCAGGATACTCTGTGTTCGGCTCTCCGTCTCAGCCAATTTGAGCGCTTCATCAACATGTCCGGCCACATGGGACATCCCTCCGCATCGCTCAATGATACCGCTCCGCTCGAACATGCGGTAAACATTGCGGTTGGGGACGCGACAGAAGTATACCCTTGCCCCAGCCTGCACATAGTTATCCACGATCTCGTACAGGACTTGCGTTCCAGAGCCGTCGATACTAGTGACACCGTGAACATCAAAGATCACGTTTTGATTGTGCTCTGCAGGACGACTCCGTGGCATTGAAGGATGGGCACGATTGGTGCCGTACATTTCAAGTCGACGTAGTCGGTTCTTGAGGTCTCCGGTATTTGCGAATGTCAGAGGTTCAGGGATTTTGACAATCAAAGCCCCTTCAACCAGCTCAACATTCTCTGCGTGAAGCTCGGCGTTGTCGAATCGGTCACTCCCCTCCACCTTGCCGAGAATTTGGATCCGAGGCTTTGTCGAGTGCCGAATAAGAATGAGGACCGACAATCCCATCCCAAGGGCGATACCTAATTCCAGCGAATAGAAGATGGTCGAAACGAAAATAAGAATCATCAGAGCCAACTCTGACCATCCTCGTAAACGGACAAAGAAGCCCAAGTCATGGGGACACTCCTCAATGAGAGAGTAGGCCACAACAGAGATCATGGAGGACAGCACAGCTTTCTACTCCAGGTTAGCTATGCGTGCAAAAGGGTTATGCCCGAGACTGACCGGAAGATAATAGAGATAGGGCAAGAGAACCAGGATGCAAAGCAATGATATAAGGCTGAGCATGATATTGCTCATTGGAGAGCGAGCACCAGTCGAGGCATTGACTTTGCTTCTTGCGTATCCACCGAAAGCGGGGAGTGACAGAAAGCACCCACCTACAACGTTGGCGAAACCTAGTGCAACCATTTCTCTATTAGGGCTGACTTGAATTCCTTGAACACCTTTATTTTCGACACCGGTAAGACCTTTGGCAGCCACAGACGATTCGAAAAAGCCAAGCAGCGCAATGATAAACGAAGTGCTCAGTGCGGTACGCATGTGCTTCACATATTTGACCTGGAAGGGCCACTCAAAATCAAAGACACCATTGCCGGAATCCTTGGTTTCACCCAAAATTTCAAGTCCTTTGTGGTGCCAGCCGAGTTGCTGTGTCAAAACTGCTGAGAGAACAACAACAATGATTCGGTCAGGAAAGTAAATCACCTGTGGATACCGTGGCTGGATGTGTCTTTTAAGAGTCCTGTACGGCATAATGATTAGCAGGATTCTTACTCTAATCGATGGGGACGTACCGGAAAACCATAATAATGGCAAAACTCGCGAATGCGACAGCTGCTGTTAAGCCATGAGAGTGTCCGATATTTCGAAAGATAAATACCAGCTTGTCGATAGTGCTCCCGTGAGTTACTCCGGCCTCTTTTGCTTCTGCGGCCAAACCAAGCTCGGGGATAAATTGGTCCACGAAAATAACAAAGCCGATGGCCGTGATGAAGCCTCTTAAGAAAGGCCGGCTCAGGACGTTATCCAAAAAGCCCAATCTGAATATCCCAGCCACCAAAATCATAGCACCGGCCAAGGCAGTAGCCACTCCGACAACTATTGCATTGGCAGCCTCGTCTTCCTCTCCTGAAGTTCCCTGATTCACACTGGCCTTGACAATCGTCCCAGTCAGAAGCGATCCGGCTGCTTCTGGTCCAAGAACCAACAGTGGCGAACTTCCTAGTATCGCGTATATGAACGGTTGGAAAACGAAAGAGTAAAGACCGTTAGTCGGGGGCGCGTGGGCGATGTTCGACAGAGAAAGTCCCATTGGAATGTATATCGAGGCAACTGTCAGGGCAGCGCTGAAATCGCCTCGGAGATAGGATAGACGATATTGAGTTATCCAGTTGAAGAACGGGATATAATACGATATATACCTGGGCGGAGATTAGTCGCTGTGACCCTAGAACCAAGATGCCAAAACCATCAACGTACATTGATTTACTATGTTTTACAGGAGGCGGTGATGAGCCGCCAGCTACTGGTATATTCTCTGGGCCTTCAACGCTCGGTGTTCCGCTGGTAGACTGCTGGCTAAGGTCCCCAAATGCGCGTGATCGTTCGCCCCCAAACTCGGGCATAGAGGTCGTCCGCCATCCGGGATGCTCATCAGTCGTCACTCGCGGAGTGAAGGTGCCATGATTACAAGAATCTCCCAAGCCGCAGGGAGGATCTCGTCGGTCGTACGATCTCAACAGCCGAGTTCGAGTATTGACTTCTTGTGAATCACCTCTTGCGAAATCTGTCCTGCCCATCGTATCGGTGTGCGCTCCGGAGCGAGATACTAAGCTAGGAGACGAGGAGGCCCGGAAAATGTGGAAGATCCTGTCGCGGAGGGAACGGGCTTGATCCGCGTCGGAGGGCCTGAAATCGGTCATATTCGAAACGAGCAGTCAAGATGCGGTTGAACCCATGTAGCTGCTGGTTATGGATGCGGTACTCTATTGATTAACGATGCGAAAAGAACGAGGAGAGGTAATTCAAGGCTGAAGTTGAGTAGTAAAAATGAGCCGCTCCAAGAAGGGCTGCACTAGTACACCGACTCAAGTCAGCATTCAGCAAGGACGAAGACCTACCACGGCACCTGGAAGAGCAAACGTACAATGCATAGTTATAGCGGACTCATAAACAGCGGGGTTGAATCCAGAACTTCGAGATAGTGAAAGAAGTTACTGCAGACAGTCTGCTGATTCCCATTGTCACTTATGAGAAATGTCGGGTGGCAATTATACAGCTGGCCGGTGCATTAATGAGGAGTGCACTTGGGGAGTACGTAACTTCAAAGAAAGTTGATAGCCTCAGGCTTCAATATTGCCGGGCGGTAAATACTATATCCCACGTGACTCAATGCGAAGCCCAAAGTGGATTTTGAGCCGCCACAAAGCGATTTGAAGGAATTGTGCTGCGGTCTCAAAGACAATCCACCACGTCGATTCTCTCCCCTTTTCCGCAAAACCTGTCTTGTGAGGGTCTCCTCCGATATAATCTTACTTCGAAACTTGATATCCGCCAAAATCCACTTCTCTTCAGTCGCAGCCGATTAGCCCGCAACCAGGCGCAACCCCGCCAAAATGTCTTTAACAAATTGTCGGTTCTACGAGGAGAAGTATCCGGAGGTGGATAGCTATGTTATGGTCAATGTGAAGCAGGTACGGCATTGAAATACCCGTTACACACTCCATCGTCGTCAGGAATATACTTATCGTTCCTCCGAATATCTGCAGATTGCCGAAATGGGCGCCTACGTGAAGCTCCTCGAATATGACAACATCGACGGAATGATTCTGCTCTCCGAACTTTCGCGAAGACGTATCCGTAGTATCCAGAAGCTCATCCGTATCGGCCGCAACGAGGTTGTCATTGTGCTCCGTGTGGACAAGGAGAAGGGTAAGGGACGCTTGCGCGAAAAGAAACACAGCTTCTAACATAAGTCCGCCTTTCACCACAGGTTACATTGATCTTTCGAAGCGACGAGTTTCTCCCGAAGATGTTATCAAGTGTGAGGAGCGATACAACAAGAGCAAGGCGGTACACTCGATTTTGCGTCACGTCGCAGAGGCCACCCAAACCCCTCTTGAGACCCTATACCAGCAGATTGCCTGGCCCTTGAACCGGAAATACGGCCACTCCCACGATGCCTTCAAGATTTCCATCACGTGAGGGCGCTATTATTCTTCATATAGAACCATGCGGCTAATGACTCATATCCTTAGAAACCCTGACGTGTGGGCCGATGTCGAATTCCCCAGCGACGCCGTGAAGAGAGAGTTGACTCAGTACATCGGAAAGCGACTTACCCCTCACCCGACGAAAGTGCGTGCCGATATCGAAGTTACTTGCTTCGGCTATGATGGTATTGATGCGGTCAAGAACGCCCTGCGGACTGCTGAGGCGGAGAACACCCCTGAGAACCAAATAAAGGTCAAGCTTGTTGCTCCTCCGCTGTACGTTCTTACTAGCCAGTGTCTGGACAAGGCGCACGGCATCAAGATGCTTGAGGAGGCTATCCAAAGGATCGAGACGACGATCAAGGGGTCTGGCGGTGGCTGCACCGTCAAGATGGCTCCCAAGGCTGTCACCGAGCACGATGATGCTGCTCTCCAGGAACTTATGGAGAAGCGCGAGCGTGAAAACATGGAGGTCAGCGGCGATGAGAGCATGTCTGAGAGTGACGAGGGTGTTCCTGAGTAAATCAGCGGATTACACATATCAACGAGCGCCGAGCCTATAGGCCGGTCAGGACACAGGTAGTTGAGGGTGTGTATATCTCCGTAAGGAGTGTCGAGATGGAGGTGGTGGAAGTCGATTTACGATGCCCGGGGGTAAACGGTAGACGGCCAAAAAGTTCATTAGAAGGGTTTCCGGACATGACACGAATTATGAGACGAGAGACGGTTTAATTCGCTCAGAGCAGGATCTGAACTAACAGCGGTGTCGAGGCGAACCTGGTTGACATGTGGTATCTCACGGCAAGAGGTGCATTGTTGATCTCCTCGAGCTTTGATACGGGTTCGGAAATCTCGATATTATTATGTTCTGATGTACATAAGCTTCTTCATCTGCGCTGATGGGCCAGTTAGACATCTAGGTGCCATAGAGCTGCCATAAGGCTGCGAGGACCAACCTGGAAATCTCAATAGGTTCGCTTCCAAGGCTGTTTACATGTTTTCTCTCCCAAAAGGGAGTGGTGGCAGATCTGTAGTCATAGGACTCGCATGATAGCCATATTTGCCGTCGACTTCAGCAGCTGAAAGCGGAATGCATTTGACCTTTGAAGCTTTGCGATCTTAATGGTTGGTCCAAGCTGCACGATCAATAGTTCACCAGATGTGGCTGGGGGCTGAGAACAGAGAACCCGAGGGGTGGGGCAGGAGATCGACCGCTGGTTATAAGGTTTGATCCTCCAGCACTGCGAGACGGGGTTTGTGATCTTTCGCATCTCCTTTCTTTTCTTCAAGATCAATCAATCGGTGATGAAGATGGGTTGGCGCGATATTTTCTCCTCGGACGCAGCGCATGTCCGCCGAGATATGCAGCGGCATCGATGTACGTCACCAAATCCCAACCATCTCGACCTGCGGGAACACCCCAGCTGACACAACCAATAGTGCTCCCAGCTTATGCAGGGGAAGAGGTAACACCTAGCCACCCCGCAAAGGAGGTGACCAAGGTCGCTTTGCGGTTGAAGTACCAAATTGAACAGGTTATCCCCTGTGAGCTGGATGAGGACTCTATCATTAGTCCCAACAGCAAGATCATCACACAAAATGTGGTCGAGACTGCTGTCCAGGCGGGAGGAGACGACCTTCCTGACTGTGTCCCATTCTGTCTACTCGTGTGCCTGCGATGGTTCAAACGCCAAGCGTCACTTGAGTTGTGGGATGCTGACCTCCATGAGCTTCGAGCGACGGCGTGTGTGGTCATAGCAAAGCGGATGTAATTAGTTCCAGTGCAGACACATACCAAGTATATCTTGCTGATGGTCATATAGTATCGAAGCGGAAGAAGACCAGGATCATCTCCTTGTTCATGTTCTGCTCAAGCGGCACTCCATCTTTGTTGACGGAGAGGAAAGCGATCCCGCCAATGTCATCGAGCGCGCTGTTGACCTTCATGCTCTGAGGATTATCGGCTCTTCTGGATACCAAAAGTGTATCAAATATCTTTGGAATGGCTGGCTGTGTCAACAGCAGGGAAATCCGACCAATTTCGTCCCATATCTTGAACGGGATAGCACCAGTTTCAGGGTTCACTTCCACCCGGATCGGATGAGGGCGCCTATTTACCAGAACGCGTGCCAGATCCTGTTCTCACTCGTCTACTTGGCTTTGTACACTGAAGTTATCAACACCGTCAATCCCACTGGAGACCTGGATATTGTCGAGGGCATACTCTATATCGTGACCCTCGGGTTTATTTGCGACGAGGTGACAAAGTTGTGGAAGATTGGAACAAACTATTTTGATTTCTGGAACGCCTTCAACTCCACACTTTATACGCTCCTGGCCGTCTCGTTTTTCTTGCGGGTCGCTGCTTTGACACATTCTGCTTCTGCCGGCGATGAGCAGAGACAAGCGTTGAACAAACTGAGCTACAACTTTCTGGCCTTTGCGGGACCAATGTTCTGGATGCGCATGATGCTATACCTCGACACATTCAAGTTCTTCGGGGCAATGTTTGTGGTACTGCGGGTGATGATGAAGGAGAGCTTGATCTTCTTCGCCCTGCTTTTTGTGGTCCTCGTCGGATTCTTCCAAGCGTTCACGGGTATGGCACAGGTCGACAGTGGCCCGCTCGTTACAAAGAACATCATCATTGGAATGGCCAACAGTATCATGCAAAGCCCGGAATTTGGCATGTTTGAGGACTTCGCATTCCCTTTTGGTATTATCCTCTACTACTTCTACACATTCATCGTCTTGACAAGTAAGACCCCTGAACATTGCCATTAGCGCCACCACTGACAATTTGACAGTTCTCCTCAATATCCTGATTGCTTTGTATAATAGCGCCTACGAAGCTATTTCCGGGAATGCTACTGATGAATACATGGCTATGTTCGCCCAGAAGACAATGCAGTTCGTCCGGGCGCCGGATGAGAATGTCTTCATAGCCCGTAAGTCTACTGTTCTTCACTTATACCTACTCAGGCTGACGGTGATGAAGCGTTCAATCTTGTGGAGATTCTATTCTTGATTCTCCCTTTTGAATGGTGGCTCTCCAGCGAGAGATATGCAAGTCTAAACGACATCGTGATGGCCATTATCTATTCACCCCTTCTTCTTGTCATTGGATTCCTAGAGGTCCGTGAGGCGCGCCGAATCAGAAGCAATCGCCGCCGCGGAGAGGAAGATGATGACGATGTAGAAGAGTGGGAGCACATCGCCGAGCAAGTTGACTTTGACCTGGATGATACCTGGAAGCAGTCCGTCCGCGAGACATCTCCTAATGTGCACGTGGATCAGTGCAGCCTTGAAGTCGCCAAACTGAGGGAGCAGGTCCAGAGCCTGACTGAGGTGGTCAGACAATTGACCGAGGACAGGATGGCTACGAGTTTTGGTCACGGAGAGTCGAGCTCCAATGCTGCTGATTGATTCCAACTGATGCTTGCTGGTGAATATTTCATGTTGACTATGCGCTTAGTTACGTTTTGAGCGACTGTATCCTGCTTGGTATGACCCCCATTTGCTTTGAACATGTGAACGTGTATATGTGGGAATGTCTGGTGAGTTTGGTGCCTGTTTGTCCAATGGCTTTTCTGCCGAGATGTGATGAGTTATGTTACGCTTGGACGTATTGCAGTCATTCCTTTATAATCCATAATGTAATCATCGAGTACGTTTTCAATCTGCCCAGAGCCATCTGTAGTCATCTTCCTCTCATCTTCTCAGGCTCCGTTGCGTCCCTCCTGCAGGTGAGATCCCGCCGCATTACTCCGCACACCCTCTCATGCGTACGTTGGGCAAAGGCCCTTAACATTTCAAACCTTGCTTTGACCGCTTGTGCTTGTGGTGCTACTTGGCGCCTCCCTTGGAATCCCATTGGCTACTTCAAGGATCTTGTTGTGCAGTCGAGGTCCCACAGGTCACGTATCAAATCGGAGGCTCCGGGCCTTAGAGAGTCTGCCGGAGTTTCCAAGCATTGAGCTATTTTGCTGGACGCATCGACACCCAGCGCAACTGCAGGTCTATGTAACAGTATCACGAGGACGTTTATTATCATGCTGCGCAGATATTTCAGCTGGGACCAAGCTCAAATCCAACTTGTGTTTCCTTTCCCCAAACACCGGTGCCAGATCTTCACCTCGCGGTTTTCATGGCCCTTTCTTGAATTGTCAGCCAGTAAGGGTCTAGGCATCTTTTAGTGGTCTTTTCCTGGTGAACATGGTTGAGATAGTATGTTTGCTGAGATCACCTTACCATCGTCCTGGGCGCACTGACCCAATTGCCCAGACTGTGAGAAGTATGCTTACTTTTTTCTTGCTATCGTCGACCCCGAGTTCCGAACCTTCAGTCATAAGACCCTAGATACGGGGTAATGGTAGCTTTCTCCACGGGCTTATCCATGCTCTCTACAAATCGCCGCTGGCGATCTCCCAGGGGAATATCTGTTTAAAAGGACCGGGACGATTCCAACTCCCCCGGTTCCCTCTGTCTAGCCAATTCTCACCTCGACCCTTGAGTATTTCACCCCACAAATATGCTGCTCATAGCAATCATCACTCTCTTCCTTGGCTTTACCACCTCTGTTGCCGGAAGATGCGGTACTAGGCCTCCTTCTAATACCGTCAGGTCTCTACATATCGAGGCCGAAGTCCAGGAGAATGCGGCCAACGCCCGAAGAACCCTTGATCAACGAATCTTCGGCGTGACCGTCAACACATACGTTCATGTCATCCAGCCAGTGGGCTCGACGGTTGATCTTACCGCGCGTGTAGTTGAGCAGGTAGCCCTCGCTCTGTGTTGCAATGGATATGGCGTCTCCGTAAGGAGAAACTAAGTCGCCATTTTACCTAGATATCCGTCCTTAACACGCATTTTGCAAACTCAAACACCGGCTTCCGATTCAACCTCGTCAGCCAGCAAACGATCCAGAACGACGCCTGGGTCGATGTCGTCCCGGAGTCCGCACAGGAGTTCGAAATGAAATCCACTCTGCGTCAGGGCCGCTATCGTGATCTGAACATCTACATCGTTACCATTGAAAATGACCCACCAGTCCTAGGATACGCGTAAGGCCTGCATCTTTCCTTCTCCTCGTCACCTCACTGCGCCGAGCAATCAGCCAGGCAAGGAAGCATGATCCCATGGAGCCCCCATGACTAACATTACATCCGGTTCCTATGTTTAGTACCTTTCCAGAACAACACCCTTCGCAAACAACAAGGTCTCTCGACGGCGTCGTCGTCATTCCCAATTCCCTCCCAGGCGGCGTGTTCCCCAATGACCTAGGCCTAACAGGCGTCCACGAAGTCGGCCACTGGCTCTCCCTCTTTCACACCTTTGAACCCGACCCGAACTCCACGCCGGTGACGGGCTGCACTGGGCCCGGTGATTATATCATTGATACGCCCGCTGAGGATTCGCCGGCGTTTGGGTGTCCTGTTGTACGTTTGTCCTTCTCTTCTCTTCCCTTGTCCTTTTCCATGTCGGTCGGTTGGTGCCAGTTGGACGAGTGGCTAAATGCAACGATCGTATGAACAGGGCCGAGACTCCTGCCCGAACCAACGGGGCCTGGATCCTATCACGAATTATATGGATTATACGGATGATGCTTGCATGACGCAGTTCACGCTAGGTCAGGGGTTGAGGATGAGGACGCTCTTCGCGACTTTGAGGAGCTTCGTGTGATGGCCTGATTAGTGGTATGCTGGCGTTGATTTGGGTTGAGTATTTTATGCGTTTAGTTTACTTCGGATTTCGTGGATTCGATGGATCGAGCTGGTTTATCTCGAGCGATACTATGGGCAAGAATGATGATGTTTGAAGTATACTTATAGTGAATTGACAAATCTACTGATGCTTGTGGGAAATACGTCTAATGCATGAGATCGAACCCGGGTCCGAAAATATATACTTCCCGGAACAAAGGGCCATGTGGCGCACGGGAGGTTAATGGTAAAACCCCAATCAAAGTGAAGTTACCCCTGGCTAAAGTTCATCAAGTCGAAATTACTGACTAGAATAGACAACATCAAATTCGAACCAGGCGGGGGCTTCTAACAGGTTGAAAGTGGCAAAACCAGCCCAATGTTCGACGAGAGAAAGCACGACGAAAGAGATTCTGTCGGCAGATATTGTGTTAGGGTACTTAGATAAATATGGATACCACGTTCTTCAACAAGCAGCCCGGCTAGCTCAATCGGCAGAGCGTGAGACTCTTAATCTCAAGGTTGCGGGTTCAACCCCCGCGTTGGGCTTCAGTTCATTCTTTTTTTTTTTTTTTCTCCGTGCTTTCCGTTCCTTCGCCACTCGCCACCACCGTAGGAGGATACCCCGGTCCGGGTTGGGATGAAGGCGTGGGCATTAGGGAAGTTTCGGGGAGTCTGCAGTGGTTGCGTTTTGTTAGTATATGTATTAGATCAGCATATGAATGGGGATATATAGACGAGGATTACCTCTGTATAGTGAGTATGTGGGCGCTGAGACGATCGTATCGCCGGGGATAAATCGCCCTGCTATGGCTGCGCCGCCTGGAGGTATGAGACGCTGGAGATTGCCCAGAACGGGTGGATAGAGTCGAAGCGCCTCGTTGATACAGCCATTTAGGAAGAGCGCTCCAAGAAGCATTTCGCAGGACGGTTCTTCGCAGCCGGCCTGTGCGGTGCGTTTGTCAAGTTCCTCCTAGAAGTCTTTGCTCCTTGGGATACTTGCTAAGAGGTATAGGGAAGCAGATAGGGCAGATGATACCGTATCGCTACCGGCTACAATGGCAGTCACGGCGTCCCTAGCGAGGTCGCCATCGAGAAGTGGAAATGCTTTGGTCTTTTCGACGCCTTCGCCTAGAATATATGTAAAGAGGTCGGTCCGGGATTGGCCCATCTATGCCCTTTCGCGTGTTATGGAAATTGATCGGAACGGGGTCCAGAAGTCATAGTAAAAGGTCCCTTGGTGCAGACGGAACCACGGCTATGGACTTCACGCAGCGCATCTACATTGTTGATAGATACTTCACGGGGGCCTACACAGGAATTAGTATATCGAGCACGATAGAACCTGGGAAAAGGTGCAAGGAACGCCTACGAATGCACGCAAAGTCTCCATATGTCCGATGAATCTCGTCCACCATAACATGGAACCTGTAATTACAGGCCGTCTCGCGCGCAGACCATAGCGTGCTGAGCTTTGCCAGTGGTGGCCCTGGAAAGTTGCGCAGCGGGTGGAAACATGCACGGTAGAGGCTGATACTGCCAAATAGTCCGAAAAAGTAGCCGATGTTGAGGACGAGGACACGGAAGATGCCATCGTAGAGTCCGCCGGTCGACAGTGTGTGAACGAGCACCAACACGACCCGCCTCGGCTGCTGCATAGAATTTGACGATAAAGGTTATGCGTGTGCTTATCCCAGTCCCCGTGAATGAAGATAGCCAGATGGCTGACAACGCCGGTTAAACTTGCGATACCCGCCGAAGACAGCGTCGACATCGTCATCGCGATGAAGATGATTGTAGGCCGATGCAACCATCGAGCAGGCAAGGGATCTCGCCATCAGTCTCAACAGGAAACGTTTGCCACGATAACCTGAACCAATGGGTCGATTGGCATACTATGCCTCAATCCGCCAGCCATCATATTCATCTCTTGACGGCATTGTGCTACTTCCTGCTCTAATCTGCGTAGTGTAATCGGGGAATCTGCGACTGATCTCGGCCAAGTGGCAGGGCAAGTGACGTGCCATGCATGGCTCAACTGGTCTGGGAACCGACCTCAGGAAACTGGAGATGTGGTCAGAAGGCCACGGAGGTGGAGGAAGTCTAGTTGTAGTTAGGGGCGACGTGGGGTCATTCAGCAGACAACGAACTAGGCCTATCATGGAACAATACTAGACAAACAATCCACCCCGCCACTTCTACTGTGACGCTGTTGCTATATACGTGATGAAGAAAATAAGATATTATAATCCTTAGGTGAATGATAGGGATAAAAACGCCCAATGCTATGCTGCCATCAAAGCCCAAACGCCACGCCAGACACCATGAGATGGAGATAGAACAAAAAAAAAGCATTAGTAGTTCGCCAACAGACAGAGGCACCCGTGTATTATGATTGCTTATTGCCGATGTAAGCACCCTCAAAGTCTAGCCCATCAAGCATACCATTTACACGGTCAATCTCCCGAGTGAGATCTTCAACGTTCATTGCAAGGCTGCTAACCTCGTCGAATTTGCGCCGCCGATTTGCGTCCGCGATCATTTCAGACACGAAAAACTTTTGCTCTTCCAGCACGATGAGCCGCTCACGCAGTGCCTTTTCTTCCGCTTCCAGCGCGGAGACAGCGCTACTAGTTTCGCTGGCTAGGCTACTATTGCTGACACTAGCAGGGATATTCCCGGATTTGATAGACCCTAGAGCAGAGTTCTGCCGACGATGGCCTTCGGTTGGTGCACTGGTGGGGCTTGCTGGGGGGCTCGCGATACTTGGATTGCCGTTGGGCGTGGCATGCTTGAGAACCTTGGGAAGGGACTTCAAGGGAAGCATGTGGAGATGAAGGAAATTGGTAGCCTGTTGGTAAATGGCTTTTTGAAGACGTTCCTGGGTCGGGGAGGTTGTTGGTAGGTCACGGATACGTCTTGCAGCTGTATCATATTTGGTGAATGAATCGGTTAGTCGTTTGCGAATCTTGGAAGCCTCCGCTATCTGCGCAGCCGATGGAGGCCGTCTCGGATTCCTGGAACACATGGTTAGTCTTCCTCCTAAAAAACAACCCTAAATCCAACGTACTGTAGGGCCGTGAGGGTTTTTTGGAACCTAGGCATGAGAATCCGAATACCCCTCTCGAACTGTTCAAGATTCTCATAGGCCCTTAGATCCGGCGGTTTTCGCGTTATGTCGGCATCAAAGTCGCGCCGATCAAACAACGTTGACTTGCACTCTTTACAGAGCCTAACGTCGATATTCGTAGAGCCAACATTGACTGACTTTTCTACGTACGCTTTGGAAACTAGACACGGTTAGTCATTAAACTTTGCGGAGAATATAAACAAACGTACGAGGAGTCACACTCAATGGAACTTCAACTGAACATCCCGTTGAGGCATCACCGCAGACGACTCGCCCGCAAGTTCTGCAATGATGTCTTCGAAATGTGTAGCTCGAGAAATCTTGTTGACAGAATGGGCACCTCGGCACGCTCGTATCATCTTGCCAGCTGACAACCGTCTGTTCTAGAGCTTTCCGCTGGTCGTTTTGAAACGGGATCGGCCATAGTTTGTTCGAATGAAGCTGGTCAGGAGGCAGGCTAGCCAGCAGTTGAGTGAGTCGCGTCAAGCGCTTTTCCAAACGAGAAACCTCCAACAAAGCCTTGTCCACATTAGGCTTCCTGATGGCTTTGAATTCGTCCATTCGGTCCCTTATCAGGCCTGCCAACATATTAGATCTTCCAAGCGAGGAACACGAAAATGGTGGTATTACCGTTATGGTCGTTATAGCCTTCCCGGGACTTGTAGCAAGTCTCACATACCCGGTACCATAACCCCCGCACAGGTTCATGTTGCGCAGACCTAGATAGCTTCATTTGATACATTGTATGTTCCTCGCAAAACAGCTTCCCGCATTTTCGGCAGTTAACACACCCATTTGTGGCATTGAGCCGTTTCCCGCAGGACGGCTCCAGACACGAATCATAGAACCCGCGAGGCTGCCAGTGCTCCTTTGTGATGATATCCTCCGGGTCAAGCGGTTTCGGCTGATCGGGTACGATGGCCTGAGAGGGACCGGGAGGTCGACTTGCGCCCGTGAAAGCCTGCTGGTTCTCGTTCGACTCGAATACGTCCAGGCCCTTGAGTTTCTGATTCAGTACGGCTAGCGGTTGGAAGCGCTTCGCTTTCTCCATCTGTGTCTTGAACCAATCCTTAACTTCGTCTTGTCGGTCATCTTCGAGGTTCTGGTGGACGTCGTCGAGGTGTCTGCGTTGTCCTTGTTAAGGAGGAGAAGATAAGGGTCGATGCTCGTTGCATACCTGTTTAGCTGGAGCAATGTAACCTAGGTGTCGTTAGCGATAAGGCAACAGCCCAGGAAGACGCTCAAATAAGACAAGCAAACCAAACTTACCATCTCCTCACTACATATTGGACATGACAATTGAGCCCCGGCGGCGGCCGGAGCAGCAGGGACCGAGGCGCTGCCATTGTCAAGAGAGATACGGGAGGTGAGGTCCTGGGTTTCGGACGAGAACTGGGAAGCGGAAGCCTGGGAACTCAGGGACAGGGTACTAGCGGAGGGAGAAAGGATATTCGGCTTCGGTTGCGAGGATGATAGAGTCGCTGATGGATTGCGAGTGTTCGCGGAGCCCAGAACACGACCTCCGCCCAGCGTCCTCCGGGACATGGTGATCTTGGATTATGGGAGCATGGGAATGGGAAGCCCGCGGAATGCGGAAGACGGGGACTGAATGCGGTCGCAGTATGGGCTGACGAAAGATAAAGTCGAAGGGAGAGCCCGAGGATATCTAAGAAGGTAAGAAACTGAAGCAGACTCCAGCTCCAGGCTGATTGAGAGCGAGATAGCAAGTTAGGCTTGGGGTGATCTTCCGCGATTGAGGGGGCGGAGTTTCGGAGTGGATGCCTAGACGCCTCAGGCAAGGCACCATTACTTGGAAGCAGGCAATCCCGAACTACATGGTCTCGGTACAAGCGCACTAACTAATATTATTGCATTAATTCAATCATTCTTATATACTTGCGAATGCAGTTTATCTATACAAACACATTAGGGCATCTCCCAGATTAGAGAAAAGAAAATCTAACCATCTACTACTCCAATGAAGGCCCCAAACTTGAAATCTAAGCAGTCTTGGGCTGACCATTAGCCGAGCCCTTTTCAAGTGCTTCTCTCTTCTTGCGCTCAGTCTCCCTCTTAAGCTGATCTGGGCGGCGAACAGCAATATCCTTGGGCCGGAAGTCGCTGAAGAGTGTCTTGAGCACGTTTTCGATCACCCAGCAGCCAGCGTAGTCGAGAGCCATCAGAACGGTCAACGTGATCTTGAACTCGTTGCTGAAGGGAACAAGGCGGAGTTTCTCGTTCAGCTCGGGAATGAACTCAGTAGCACATGAGAAGGCAACTCCTGATGCGGCAACCAATCCCCAGTACATAGCCTTGTTCTCACGAATAGACTCTCTGAAAGGACGGCCCTGGTAGTTGATAGAGAAGGTGGAGATTTGCTGAATAAGCTGGAGAAGGTAAATGGCACTGTTGAGAAGCGATGGCTCGAACTCGCCCTCCAAGTCGACATCAGAGTCTCTCCTGCGAGGAATTTAGTTCAATCGGCACTCTTGATTAGGAGGCAAGGGACATACGGTTCAATCTTGTAAACATAGTTTGATAGGTAGATCAGTGTCGCAATATGGATGGCAAACTGGCCAAGGACAGAACCAATTATGTAGACATTGAAAATGTTTGGCTGTGGGCGTTCCTTGGAAAGACCTTCGACAGACTGGAAATGTGTTAGAGCAGGGCACCTTGAGAGATGGGACCGGCATTCTTACCTTTGCACGGGAAATTGAGAGGAAGCAAACACTCATCAGCATACCGCTAATGGTGACTTGGCCATCACCAAACTTGATGCCGTCAAGGTAGATGACACTCAAACTGTAGGCACTGATCAAACAGTTCAGGGCAAGAATCTTGTACATCTGAATAGTTGCGACGAGAGTGCAGCGGCCTTGACGGAGAATGTTGGGAATGGCGATGACGTTGGCTAGTTTACTGGTGAAGGGCGCGGCAACAGATGCATCTCCAAGCTTGATGGTTGGAGGCTCACTGTCATCGAGCTCCTGTTCCATCATGGTCGAAGTAAGCTTATCGGCAAACCCGGCAGCTGCCTTGGACGCCTGCTGTTGTCGTTGTTGCTGAGGAGTCAAATTCTGTTGCAACGCCTGAGCACCAGGAGATGTGATAGTAGGGATAGCCTCTGCCTGATTCACAGCATCCTTTGCACCTCGTTTCAATGCCTCTCTTTCAATAGCCTTCTGATAGTGGGGGTTACCAGGGCCGGGCGGGTACAGATGAGCGATCTGAGCAGGAACAGGCGGTGCAGGCTGGTTGAAACGTTGCATCATAGAGACCTGCTTCTCATAGATCTCCTTCATCTTCGTAGTCCGATAGTGATCAGCGATTCTAGTCAAGTCCTCCTGGGACCCGTTCAGAAGCGCCACACCGACGTGGGCTTGCTTAAGCGCTCCGACATCATTAGTACCGTCACCACACATCAGAGTCGTATAGCCAGCATCCTTGAGGCCAAGAAGAATATCTTCTTTCTGCTTGGGGGAGACACGAGCATAAACCCACGTGTGGCGGAGGAGGTCAGGAAGGGCCTTCTGGTCCTTGAATTTGGCCAGAGCATAACCAGTAATACAGATATCCTTGGTTTTCAGAATCTCGCGGTCCAACGGCTTGGTAGGGTCAACATCGATATTAACCTTGTCATCAATGCTTCGCCACACCACACGAGTACCGGAGTTGTCATTTTCAGGCGCGTCAAGAATAAGAACATCACGGTCCACAATCTCGACCTGACGAGCGACGTGGACAGCAGTTAGCGGGTTATCTCCAGTGATCATGACGACGCGGTGGCTGCTCTCGTTGAGCATGCGCACCGCCTTGATAGCGTCATCCTTCAGAGGGCACTGCAGAACGAGGAAGCCGGCAAAGGTAAGCTCGGATTCAATATCCTCCCTGGTGTAGTTGTTGATTCGGCCCTGCGAGAGCTCGGCTTCGGTAGAGAGGTACTTGTAGGCAAGTGCGAGGACACGGGCGCCGTTGCGAGTAAAGTACTTGTATGTCTCTTCGTAGTTTGGCGGAGAATTGACCAACATGGTTCTGATAGTCTCAGGGGCACCTTTGACACCCACGAAGGTAGACTTAACCTTCTTGTTTGTCTTACGGTCGTTGGTAACCACGGTTGCGATCGTGCTTTGTCGCTTTAGGGCAGAAGAGAATTGGAAGCGTCTCTTGATCTGGACAGAATCGGCAGAGCGAGGAGAGGCGCCTGAGGATCCAGACTTGGGTGTGAGAATATCGTGCTTTCCGAGAGTCCACCCAAGCCACTGAAGAGTTGCCTTCTCCATTGGATCACCAACAACCTCACCCTCGTCCAACTTGACTAAAGCATGAGCACTAGCAAGAACAAGTGCGGTATCAGCTCCGATAGTGTTTCCCTTGCTAAGATCGGTGTGTGCGCCATCCTTCTCGACCTTGGCACTAGGCTGTCCTAGGCTGAGGCCTGCAACACCGTCGACAACGAGATCCTCACCTGTCAAGGTACCGGTCTTGTCAAAGCATGCAATATCAACGCGACCAGCAAACGGAATTCGGAAAGGCTCAGTGCAGAAGATCGCGAACTTGCTCAAAGCAGCCAGACTAGTGTTGACAGCAAGACTGAGCTCCATGGGAAGCTCCGGGGGAACCACGCTTGTAACAATAAGAACACAGTCCAGCAGCAGCTTTGATCTCTTGCGGTCCTTGGAGACACCCTCTTGCCAGACATACCAAGACGCAGCAAGGGCGAAAATCAAAAGGAACAAAATGAAAAGCAGAGCTTCCGCATTGTTGGCAGAGACACGTTCGGTCGAGTAAATCATAGTGCGGACAAGACTGCCCTGGCTAGTTTCAAATCCAGTCTTCACAACAACACCAATAGCGCCGTTGTCTGGCGGTGTGCCGACCTTAGAGGTCTTCAGCTGAGAGTCGTCGCCGTTGGTGGTGTTCGGGTGAGTAACCTGCAGGACTTTGGTTCCTCCGTGTACAAAGGCATTCTTGTCCAGTCCATCAGGTTCAATCAAGTCGTCGCCGGGCCGAAGCTGGACAGATTCCTTGAGAAGAGGTGTACTCTCACCGGACAACATGGCCTCGTTAACAATGACGCTACCTTCGATAAGAAGGATATCGCACGCAACGCCGCCGTCTTCCTTGGTACGGTTGACTGACATCAAGTCGCCCGGAAGCAGTTTGTCACTGGTGATTTCCTGCCATTTGCGCTCACGGTAGACCCACACATCGTAAGGTTTGATGTTCATGCCACGGAACTCGTTCAGGGTCCTCTGTCGCTGCCACACAACCGTACTCTCGAAGGTAACGAGCATAAAGAGTGTGAATAACGAATAGTACCAGTATTCATCCAACATCCACAGTCCAACACAAAAGACCTGAAATACGAAGAAAGGCGCGACCGCATGCTCCTGGAATAGCTCGATAAACCCGGGGACGGGAATGTCGAACGTGTTATCCCCATAATGATGCTGAATACGCTCAACCTCAGCTTGGGAAGTGATACCCTCGCATTCCTGAAAGGTCTTGAGAGCAGGCTTGGGCTCTGCGTCCAAGGCGTACGACAGGGGCGCAAAGGATTTCCGCTCAGGGTAGTAGATGAAACGACGCTTTTGGAATAGGAACGAGGTCGTGGTAACTCCACCCAAGGTATCCCGAACCAACGGACAGATCTCGGCGGATCCAGAATTGGCCTCCGGAATCACCTTGATAAGCTGAGCGGAATCAGGAGACCTGGCACGGGTGGTAGTGAACAGCGTCCGGACGTTGATACTCCATTTGGTCATCAGCCAGAGAAGCGACTGGAGCGTGAGGATCGATCCGGACCACACAAAAGTCCATTCCTGTCCTTGGATATACGTATCGTAGCGTTCGGGAGAGAGGTAAAAGGCGAAGAAGGTTGGCCAGATGATCAAAAAGGGCCACACGTAGACATGGAGTTGAGTCGGTATCGGGTTATGCAGCGAAGCATATTTGATCTGGGGGTCTTCCACGAGTCTCGTCCTGTATTTCCCATCTGTTAGTGACAATGATGCGGGTATCATACACGCTGGCGGGACTTGTTGAGACTGACATGATGAACTCGAATGGCCACCACGCGGGCCACACGAACAATAACTTCAAGCGAGAAAAAAAAAGCCACTCAGTATCTCATAGGAGCAAGAAAATGAGTACTCGGTGTCCAAAATATCCTTTCAACCGGCGATCCAGGCAAACGAGGGAAAAGAACGAAGAAGCCACCTCACTTGTATAATTTTGCTTCGATTGGGTTCGCCGCAGGCGGGAGAAGCTGTTGTTGCCAGCGATTGGCTAGCGCCACGTGCCACACTGCGATGACGGAATATTGAATTCTCCGCTCTAGTTCTCAGCCTCCAACACTGCTTCTCCCACTGTTTTTAAGTCAGTTCGAGAAACGAAAACAAAAAGCCTACCGATATCTGTGCTAGCAATACACGCCCGAGCCTGCGAATGAGACTGCTGGGCCAAATACTGAAGGATGTTTACATATGTGTTCTACACTATCGGGGACTTCGGCACAAATTATTGCCTCATGCTTGTTGTTGATTAGCAGATAATCGTTAGTTCATATATTTTGCTAGTATATCAAGCGTCGTTGGTGGTCACCAGGAATGTCTTTTGCACATTGACCCCTCCGAGCGAGTTCTGTTTGGGATTCAGGTCCTCCTGACTGCTGTTTGGGCTTCCGCGCGAGGTTTGCACAGTGGTGACAACTCCATGGCCGTCTTGTGCTGTTAGATCAGGTCGCCAATATCTGTTTGCCGATCGATCATGGCGAGAGTTATATCGTCCGTTCATGCTGGATAAGGGCATACTCTCGGTCCTCCTACTCTTCGAGTTATCGTATGTTGTTCCGCGGAACCAGCGGAAAAGCGGCCGGAGTGTCACCAGGCTTCCTGCTGTGATACCAAGCCCAGCCTCAACGTTTGACCAAATGGAAATCTGGGTTGTGGCGTCTGAAGATTCGTGGCTTGTTAGTATCTGTTGCTGCTCTGGTAAATTCACACAATTCCAACTTACAGAGGAAGTCAGGATCTTTGTAATAATGAAGGAACGGAATGCGGACTATAACGGCAGCGCTGGCACTTCATGGAGAGGTTAGCATCACTACCTGGGACGAAACATATCATAGCAATGACTTACATGCATCCCATGCTCAGAATACCGGCTAGCGCTGCCTTCGTCTTAAAGTTCATATGTAACTTCCATACCAGCACGATAGGCAAGAGTCCCAATATAAAGTCACAGATGGTAGCCGTTACACTGTATAGGTAGGCAATGTCGAGGATATAGTCGGTGTCCAAGCATGTTCCTTTCGAGGTGAGCCGGTGCCAAAAGTAGTCTACCGGGTGGCATTGCAGGGTAAGCATGAACCAAAACACCAGGCCAACGATAATTGATACTCCGATGACGCCCCATAGAATCATCTTATGGATTTTGGCGACCGTAAGGCGGAGGAGCGCTAACGCAATGGAGACTTTGGCGACCACACATGTGATGACATAGCTTGTTTGTCCAAGCCACCACCACTAAGAAGACGTTAGTAAGAGTATAGGCTGGTCGTTCGACGCTCGTTTTGGTGCTCTAGAAAGAAGCGGACATACAAACAGCGCAGTCTCTATTTCCGTCGCATAATCGGCCTTTTGTTGGAAGTCCTCCATTTTTCGACCCAGGCCATGACATGCACCTATCAGTCCGCACAACGCAAAGAGGATATTTAGCGCCTAGATGAACATACAATTGAAGGTTAGTCATATCTATATCAAGCGGGATAACATCAGACAGCATCGCAATATATCGCATACCATCGCAAATACCATCAGACCGTCATCCCACCCAAAAGCCCTCACCAACCTCAACCGGACGAAACATCGTAGCGCGACTGAGACGAAAGAGATAATAAGGAATACAAGCGTGACGACGAAAATGGAAAGACTGCTGCCCTCGAGTTTAAACATCTTGAGTGGCTCGACAGAACGTGGCTACCGCAAAATGGCCTTGGATTCGAGATCAACCGGCATGCCTCCTACCAGGAGGAGAATGGGCCGGATGTAATTCCAGAATATCCGTATCTGGCTTCGATTCGAAGATAGCGCTACGCAGGAGCGTTTCTGCGACGGCAACGTCTTATGAAAAGGAGAAGGAGAGTGAAGACAACAGGGCCTGCCTACAAAATATTATGGCATTTCTTCGCGGCGACGCACGATCGGCCAGTATTAGTGGCGACTTACACTCTGTTAAGAGAATGGAAGCGGCATACTCCGTACAGGCGCCACTGTCAGGTGGAGATATGTATGCAAACGAGACGACTCTCCTGTATCCCTGACAAGCTGCTCCGGCATAGTTAGCAATCCAGCCAGTCACTGACGGGGAAATCTTTAGGTAGAACTTTAAAAAGCAGCTTAACGAAGAGCGGAATAGCCTATCCAACGCACAATTGCCTGTTTAGCACATGGGTCCGAGGCTCATCGTCTGCGATAGCCTCAGCTGCGTGGGTTTCGAAGGCGATGGAAACGAATCCATGTCCGGGGCCGCTGCGCTTGCCCAAAATGTGTGAAGGTGCGGCGACAACTACTAAGCGAAGTGGGTACAATATCCATGACAAACCGCTTGAGGGACGCAGGCGAAGACTGAAGATGCTGATGGCTGTACGTACTCCATACGCACATCTGACTTCTAGAGTGGTTCGTCGGTAATTGAGATAGGGCAAATGCACAAAATGGGACTGGGAAGTGGAGGCAAATTGGCTGGACCAGCCTGGTCTGGGAAACTGCCGACGGGCTGAAGACAAGCGATGGTGGTTATTATTCCCAAAGACCAGGGTTTGCAGCAAGTTGGTGTGCACCGAGCTTGATTAGGCCTCCTGTAAGTTGTCTGACCTGATGCAGGTAGAGGCATCTGCAGATATGGGGTCAACTCAATAGATACGCTATGCATTGTTGTAAGGCATTTCGGAGAGAGAACGCATCTGCACATCGGAATTTCTGATGATGCTAGATGGTCCGTGATATTACTCCATCGAGTCCATCCAGAGCAGCCCTGTGAGATCAGAAACTGAAACAAACTCCGCGGCGGTCAAACCACCTTCGATGTCAGCTGGTGATGATCCATAGCACATCAAATCATCAAATCATCGGGCCGACGAATACGTGCCAAGATACTAAAATAGCGCTCACCCGACAATTGCAGGATTCACCACGTTTTTGCTCAAAAACGGCTCTGTTTCCTGGGACGGGACGCTGTGGCTGACGAAATCCCGGTTCCTGGCGGATACGTTTGTGCGTCTCTTGGGTCAGTCCATCGCACGAGATTGAAGTTTTATGCGTATGTATTCCATCGCAAGAGCTCGACGTTTTCGTACGACACTCAAAACCATGATCTCGACGTATTGACGGAATAGTTTGCCGAGAGAAAACAAGATTCTCTTATGAGACGATGATCATAGACGAATCGGGGGCGTGATGCAAGAGATCGGCATCAGAAGAACAAATGTGGGCCGAAAAACTGTTTCGAATTCAGGAGTGGAGTTTATCGATGAACGACCGGAACTGATATTTCGATCAACAAATGGGAAGTTTGGGTCGTTGGGAAGGAAAAGCTCAAAAGGGCTTGATGGAAGAATCACATCCTGTAGAGTCGAGACTGCGTTGGGGGGCTGTTCGATTCATACAATATGAATCAGCCGGACCCTCACCTCGAGGAAGATTCAACCATGGAGGCTTGGACTCTGGAGCAAGCGCACGAGGCACGGCTCAGTAGTACATCGATGTACGGAGTAAGGTACATCCGTCGTTCTCATCGTTGACAGCTCATGCTTGTGTTTCTTGGTATGTTCCGTGATCCAAACCGCGACTTTGGAAATTTTTGTGGGTTCTGGACTCTTTCCAAGAAAAGAATCCCTGGTAACCACAGCCAACCAAACGCATTCAATTTCTCGTGCCGACCTTCCAATCTAGACCCGGCCGCGTTTTGACTTTCGATCCAATTTCCTCAGAGTAGGTGAAGGAAAATCTGACAGCGAGCTAGCGGAGGCTTGCAACCCTGTATGACCGTCATACTACTCCGGAGTATGATGGGGCGATGTTACTCTGTACATGATGATGTTCTCTAGAGTATTCCGACTAGCGGTGGTTAATCTTATTTATATAAACCCTGACTGATCTTCTGCGTTCCACGCCATAGTCACAGAGTAATGTAGTCCAGCATTATATCAAGTGCTGCATGCAGGCATAGGGCTGAACATCCTTACCGAACCGAGGGATTATCGACCTATCATATGCATAATTACTATTTGATAGTAGTGCGTAGTGTTCAATCTTTGATGATCTTCGCCGGAGAAGTTGTGCAGACTGCAAGGGCAGGTTGAGATACGTACGAGTTCATTTAAAATGGGGTCTGGTCAATACTTCGTATACGTGTTGCAGCGTACTCCACTTATTTACTCCTCTAAATGGGCGTAATAACTTCGGAGTATCTGCATGGTGCGATAGATATGGATGGCAATGTGCGTTGGAGCTCGCCTCCGGATGGGCAGCCGTTGGGTGAGTTGTATCGCGGTAGTCTAGGTATTTAGGCTCTACTCCAGAGTAGCCCCTGAGACTGGGTGCAAGAAGAAAAGCAGCGATAAGACAGTGGCGCCGGGGATCGAATGCTAATGACAGATAAGATATGCCTTATCTAATTCGGATGAAAGAGCGCTTTCGTATAGTTTATCGAGCTATGCAATCGAAATGCCATAGAGGCATATATACACTTCCAAGGGAATTACCCTTGACATTACTTGAAAATTGGATATAATACTCCCAAATGACGGTAAAAGATTCCCTTCTGTTTCCAATTATCAGAATAACTCGATCACCACTTCGCTTCCTTGCGGTCCTGGAAGGACTTCAATATAGCCACCCTCTCCTCCAAAGCCTTAACCTCACGCTTGAGTGCAGCTTGGACTTTCTCAGAATCGCTGCCCAGCTTAGCGTAGAAGTTAGTTCTGTAGGGAGTCGCGGACATGGCTGCCGAGAAGATGGGCTTGATGATGAATGAATGGTGGGCTTTGAGGGTCTTGCCGTAGGCGTCACGGAAGGAGTCAGAAAGCTCGCTGTTCGGCTTGTCGATGTTGTGACGGAGGGCTTGAGCGGTAAAGTCGAGACCCCTAGAAAGATAGATAGACTTATCAGCACCTGCAAGATTATGTTCTGGGCGCATTTTCTCAACCAAAGAATGGAGGTACGAACCTAACCAGCCACACCAAGCCTTCTGTCGCGACATGCTTCTTTGTCTTCAATTCATTGAGGACAAGAGCTTGAAGAGTCTCCGACTCACCAGGGGCAGCCAGCTGCCTGTCCCTGACTTTCTATAGGCATGTCAGGAGGGGCACATCTAAATGCGGGGTGTTCGTACCTTGATGTTGCCATTCAAGTCGCTCTTGACAGGGGAAAATGCTGCGGAGCCAAGGATATCTGTCATAACGACACGGTTAGCACCAGAGACATAGTTTCGTCAGATAAAGAAAGCAACTTACCGAAGAGAGACGTGAGGGCCTCGGCAGCTTCGAGGAACTCTGTAGTAGCAATCCCGTTATCGTTGGCGGTATCAATAGGTACATCTGCAAACGACGTCTTTAGGGTGTCGAACCAAGTACCGCCCGGGGGAATCGCAGCCATTTTGTGAAAATAGATAGTGTTTCGCTGTCTATAAGAGTTGAGTTTGAGAGCAAGAAGGAAGTGAAAGGAGCTCGCTGTTTGTTATTGAGAACAATGAATAGCTCACCGCCGCTCGCAGGACACGCAAGCATAAAGCCAATAAGCGGGGCTCCATTAGAGCAAACATTGCAAACACGAATCCGTGCAACAGCTCCAGATCACGGGGAAACAAATGACGTCAACTCACTCAGCAAGTTTACATCCAGGGAACAAGCTCTCCAGATACTGAACGTGGAAATGGTGTATTCTGGATGGATTCCATCGGATAACAAGGATTTATATCTGGACCATTTTGATAACCTTTGAACGATTTAGCTTAGTTGCTGAAACATTGCGTCGCCTTTCCTCTGCGAATGTCCACCCAGGATGTTGGGGAAGCGAGAATGGATGCTACTTCGCATACATCCCGGGATGGTTCTCTCGGCCTGGAGCCGGGATCTTACACGGCCGAGAAGCTGGTAAGGCCCAGGAATATCTAAGAAGCAAGCCCGAACCCCACTAAGATTCGTCCAGCGCCATGCGACTCCCAGCCACGTCCACATAACAAACAAACGATTCTTCATCGGACCGATACCGAAGAACTGGCTTCAAAGCCATCGCAAGGCATGGTACAAGAAGCGTCTCAACTTCAGAAACTACAGGTCGAGAGCTATAACATTCTCTGCAGAGTCAGATTTCGCTCGGGAGACCGAACCATCGCGGATCGTTGGTCTACCTGTTGTACCCGAGCAAGCTGAACAGGATACCGAGCAGGAGCAAGAGCAAGACTCGAGCGACCAGGAGACTCCGCGTCCTACGCATCAACTCAGAACTCTATCCCATCCTTATCAAGCAGACCAAGAGCCTCCCACTCCCACGCCTGGCGAGGATGGTTTGTCGACGCCGAATGAGGACAACTACGGTGCGACACCCACAACTGCAAAGCGCGATGCAAAGTCCGATTACTTTACAGCACGAGAACAGACGCCAACTACGTCCAACACAGATGCCGTCCCTTCTTCAAGCCATCGCGACCCAACTATGTCGAGAGAACCAGCTGTCAAACAAAGCGAGCAAGCTCTAAATGTCCCTGGCCAACATGATCCCAGACCGTCTTTCCCGTCAGCACCCCCTAGCGAATCCGGCTCAACTGTGCCACTGCTTGCACCATCAAGTAGCCACGACAAGGGAAAGCAACGCAGCGTGCCGGCCCTAAATCTCCAGGAACAGGAACCTCAGCGTGCAGAATCTAGGGAAGGAGACGAGGATTCACAGCATGAAGAGCGATCGAGGCGTGACCCCAAATACGTTTCTCGAAAGATCACCACTCGATTCTCGCTGAACGATAATTTACACCACAAACAGCAGCGAATCGCGTCGAGATTATCATCGACTCAGAATAAAGTTCCTGGATGGCTCTCTCGTCGCAAAATCAAAGAAGGGGAAGTGATCAAAGCGGAAAGGATGCTTGTTCGGGTCGAGGAGACTGTGCAGGATGACGTGCCTGAAGATTACGGCGAATTTGATAGCTTGCGAATGGAAACTCGGGTACAGGACAGTTGGAGGGAATTCCTTGTGGTCTGCCGGTCAACGGCAGATAAAGATGCCCCGTTTACATTGCAGATGTACAAGACCCGAGTCATCCCCAAAGTCCAAGAACAGACCCGAAAAGTCGCACCTTACCTTGAGATTGCGCTCGGCCGAAAGGCTGCTCGAACGAGTCTCTATTCGTCTTTGGATAAAACAATCGCAATCTGGAATAGGTCGAAGCGGGGAACCGGCATATACATCTTACGACCCAAGTCTACAGCCCGTGCCGTGGAATGGTATACTTTTTTGGCGCACCTCTCGGGGAGACACCGCGCTTCTTCGCTAGCGATAAATGTCCCGGATCTCGCCGTTTTGCTTATCTTTAATAATCCATTTAGGCAGTTGGAAGATGCCAAGAGCCAACAAGATGACCGGGTCAACGCCAATGGCAATGCTGCACCGGCGAACAAATCCGCATGTTTGTCAATCATACAAGACTGTATGAATATGTTGGGGAAATGCTCTGAGTGGTCTGAGGTAATGAAGGAATGGTCAACCACTGAGAACATGGGGCTCGCCTGGAAACGCTATGACCGACTCGAATGGATATATGGCTCTAACGAAGAGGAGATGTACGGCTCTCTCGCAATGCAAGGGACGCACGAGCTTGAGCTTCGGCCGAAGCAACATTATAGTACATCGGTAGGCTTCGGAACCGACAAACAGGAGGAGCCAATGCCGGTAGAAGGATTCTTGATACGACTTACATCTCAGAAAGGCGTGCATCAACGGATGAACCGAATGTTCTCAAAGCGCCTTTACTTCTTTACTCAAGATCACTACCTGTTTTTCTGCCAGCCGTCTCAGGCTTTGCCACCAACACCACCGCGGTTATGCGAACAAGACTCTGATATACCATCGACCCAGGAGATATTGGACGCCACTCCGCTTTCCTTCGAAATTGACCCGTTCCCTGTACAGGATGGAAAGATTTCATGGCTTTCCAGTGGCAATGCCGATCACCTAATGCGACACGATGAAGATGCGTACGCACAGCTGCTTAGGAACATCCACAATCTTAGCAATTCCGAAGGATTCATTGATCTCTGCCGTGTCGAAGAGGTACGGTATATACAGGAAGACACTACACCTGCACCGAATGTCCGTGGAGGCTGGGACGCTGGAGCCAATACACCGGGAACAGACCCTGCTCGGCAGAGTCACTCGGCTGAGCCATCTGACGAGGACGCCGGGTTTGAAATGCTCCTACACAATGGTCTGGTTGTTCGCTTCCAGGCCTACAACCGCACAACCAGGGATGAGTGGATGAAGAGCTTGGTCGTATTGGTCAAGTACTGGAAAGCAAGAACGGCGGCTGATGCAGTTGAACTCAAAGACATTCGAAAACGGAACTTGGATATCTTGGGGATTGACGAGGAGCTAGAGTCCTTGATAGGTCAATATTCGAAAAAGTGGGAGGTCAGAAAGACCGAAGCATCGCCTCTCCTACACAACATGTGTTCATTACTAGGCTGTCGACCGATCAAGGCATGTGTCTTAACCCAAATGGCATATCTCAAGCTAACAATATCAGATGTCCGGCCTGCTCTACAAGAAACCACGGCGCCATGCAACCTTCAAGCGCTTTCACGTCGTGCTCACTGCTGGAAAGCTTCTGGTCTACCACAGCTCCCTGCGCAAACGGAGCGGTAATGAAGTGCCTCATATTCATCACAATGTCGAGTCAACCATTGACCTTGAAAACTGCTATATATACTCCGGATTGCTCACGGAGTCTGACCTTCTCTACGCAAACCAGACCTTTGACAGCAACCACCCAGGCCACGGCGCTTTGCCGCGCGTTTACCTCGCACCGGACGTCTACACAAGTAGTGACGAAGATACCGCGATCACTTTTGTGATCTGGCAGCCTCTACACAAGAATTTCTTCCGAGCGCGTGAGCTCGGGGAGAAAGGACAAACTCGACAGACCCTGAAGCAGGTCTCCAAGCTCGGCACCCACGGACGTACAATAGTATTCAAGGCACGCAGCCGGATTGAGAAGGACCGTTGGGTCCTCAGCATCGCTTCTGAGATTGATCGATTGCAGGAGGGCAAACCGGAGGATATCCGATTGACCACGTCATAGCCCTCATTTGCCATTTCAAAACTGTTGTTATACATGTTCCTTGTGTCAGTATACGATAGACTATGTACAATACCCCATCTATAAGCACAACTATATATACAGCCGACTCGATCTCACCTAGACCAAGCCATTGGCTTCAAACTGCTAGCTCATATACTATAGAATGGCAATTCCAACTGCACTGCCTCCTTCACAACTCGCTTCCTTACTCCCTCGCGATACCGATCCCCAAATTTCCCCTCCGCATCCCCATCCACAACCCCTTTCTCCCAGTTCTCCCAATCCAACCACCTGAACCGCGGTGACACCACGGCAAACACCCGCCCCATCAGCAGACAAATGCTCACCGGCCCGTATGTGTTGCTATCCAACGAGTGCTTCGGATCCGCCGCGTCCCCTTCCAGCCAGACATGGTTCCAGGGAACAATCTGGGATTCCTTCAGACACGGCTCGCGCGTCGTTATGCGATCGCCGGGGAGGCCGATTATGCGCTTTATACTAATATTGTCGGGGTTTGAAGGGGAGCTATATTCGATGCACGGGTTAGCAGCAGGAGACTAAGGCCCAAAACCAGACTCGAACATGAATATAGCAAGGAATGTACATACCGAAACATAACAACCATCCCTCGCTCGATCCTCCGTTTCCCCTTCCCACCACTGCTCCACGGCCAGGAGAATCCCGACGGCCACATCTCCACAAGCACAACGTCCCGCTCCGTATGCGTGTTCGCGTAGTCTTCGTTGAAGTACGGCGTCATGGAGGGACCTGTCACCCATCGGGCCTGGAGGATGTGTTCGCGGAAGAAGATGCCCATTGCGAGGAAGGGAGCGGCAATGCGCAGCGTGCGCAGCGCTGTGTAGATTGTTGTGCGGAGGGGTGGTGGGAGGGTGGCATAGCGTGTGCGGAGGTGAGAGAAGAAGCCGAATCGCAATTGGGATTGCGAATGCGATTTTTGTTGCGGGGAAGAGTTTGAGGGTGGGGGGCTGGTTCGTGCTTGGGGTTGTTGTCTGGAGGGGATCGGGGTGCGGACTTTGGGGTTTTCGGGGAAGATCCAAAGTTTGGGGAGTTTTGGCATTATAAGAATGAGGCTTTTTGGGTTGGTGGTTCAGAGATCGGATGTTCGTGATGCGAGAGTAGAGGTGGAGGTGGAGGAAGGGATTATGATGAATTGCGGCAGCGGTTCATAGGACTGAATGTATCAATTGAAGGCTTAGAAGGGTATTGCACGAGGTGATGAGAATCTATAGCCTCAGAGCGAGTGAAAAACATGGAACAATCTCAGACATTAAACATGAAGATCAGATGGGCTGATTAGATATAGCTTGTTTGTTCGGTTTGCATTGTTTCCCATCAAAGCACCACACCTAGTAGAACAATCACTAGAGATGAGCGCCATAAGAATAGCACGTGAATCCGATATGGCTTGAAGCTAGTGGCTAGAAAATCGAATGTCGCATAACCCATAATATCATCATAAAGTGGCCTTGCCGCTGGCAAAATTCGTCAAATTCAAACACAAGCAAACGCCGACGCCCATGAAAATTGGAACCGGCAGCTCAGATCAAGAAACAGACCTATCCAGGAAACTATCGGTTGATTGGGAGTGTACCATATCGTCAATAATCCCGCTCGACTGTACGCTCTGTACATCGGTTGCCGAAGATGGTCGGTCAATTTCGACTGGGTCTTCGTCGAGGGTCTCTGTGCGACCTGCTTCAGATTCGTTGACTTTTTCCCACTCATCCTCACTTTTGTCCTCTGAGAATGCAGGAACATGTGTAGTCTGGGTACCAGCGTCGGACGCAACCTTCAGTTTTTTGCTTTCTGGTTGACCTTCCAGCCTGGGTTCTACCGTCGGCGGGTCAGGGAGCGTGGCAGCTAGAAGTTCGGGGGATGGAGACTCTTGGCTAGAGTCACTAGTGCCTGCATCATGGGGTTCTTCGACAGGAGGGAAGAAGATGCTAAACTAGTCAGTATTTACCAGGACGGAGACGACCTAGAGCACTCACGGAACCAAATCTTCGTACGCTCTTTCGTCCTTTGTTTCAAAATTGCAGAAAATGACTCGTTCAAGCTTTCCGATGTTCTTATCGCTCTCCAAGAAATTCCGTGTCTCGTCTAAGACAGCCCTCGCAGCCTCCCTACTCGGGTACCCGTAGACACCAGTGCTGATGGCCGCAAAGGCAATGCTCTTCATATCGTTCTCAATGGCTAGCTCCAGGCTGCGGCGATAACAACCGCGCAACAGCTCCTCCGGACGGTCCTCGCCTTTCCGTTTCTCGTAGTAATACACCGGGCCGACAGCATGGATAACTCGTTTGTTGGGAAGATTGTATGCCGAAGTTATCTTGGCGTCGCCAGTGTCGCATCCATTGAGTGTCCGGCACTCCTCCAGTAGACCGCGGCCAGCAGCACGATGTATAACGCCATCGACACCCCCACCCCCGAGGAGCCTTTCGTTGGCTGCATTGACGATGCAGTCGACGCCTTCGAGCTTGGTTATGTCGTTGCGAATGAGGGAGATTATATCATTGAGCGGTTTTGACGGCGATCTCAACGGCGTTGGCGCTTGTGTGTTAGGTATAAGGCGCTTAAGCTTGTACAGCAGCGACACGGTTGGGATTTCGGCCAGAGGTATGTACGGAGGAGCCATGGCGTGCGTGTCTTGCTGTAGCGTTCCACAGCGGCGATCTCGAAATCTTATTGTCGGTAAATAGCAAGAATCTGGGACGAGCGGACATGGGCAGCGCGCGCAAGAAAGTGTGATTTTTTATTTACACTGATTAATTCAAGAAAGCTTTCAGTTGCAGGTGGTTCTTTGACTGCTCTCTCAAGGTCCCAGAAGTGGGGAGCTCTCACGCACGTGACCGCACATGATCGATAAGCTTATCTCAATCCTCCCCCAGAATATCCACGTGACCTCTCACAGATGTAACAGAACGCCTGACAGCCGGTGACAGATCTTCTGTCAAAGACTTGCCCCAATGCAATCATCGATATGAGACAGGTCACATGCAAGTAGTTGCTACCTGCTACACCTTAATTTTCCTCCACCATCGCTCCCGAGTCCCGACAGGTCATGTTCTGAGATTCATACTGCACGGCTACTACTAGCGTCACATCGGCATATTCATGCACGATGAGCGAAGGGCACCCGATCGATCATCGGAAAGGGAAATGACGGCCGTCCCCGGGACCCCAGATGAGGCTTATGATTTTCTTTCCTCAATCAGAAGCTCGGACCCCCGATTCGAGTGAGCCAGAACGGGTGATGGTATTTGCGAACCAGAGTACAGCGGTTTGAGCAGCCAGGGCCGTATCGGAGATTTATGGTTACCCGATACCGTTGCCTTTTTTGCCTTGCAAAAGAAATTCGGACAGGATGCACTATCGATGAAATGTCAAAGTGATCACAGACTTGAGGCGCTGACCTCAGGCTGACAAGCTGTGGTTCATGTCGGCGGAGGCTTAGCCACCCGAAGCTCGAGAGTTGAAAGGAGCACTTAGACCCAGCGTGACTCAGAACCTACTGCAAACAACAAAACGGAAACTTGGAGAACGCATGTAATGAAACCAGACCAGCGCAACAATACGTATGGACAAACTTCCGTGACGGTGGGTCGAGACCAACTACTAATGCATGCACACACAGATGATGCTAGATCCATGATTCCAAATCTTCTTAGTTGATCGCTTTAAGGCCTCGGAACATTACTCCTTGCAAAGTGCCGAGAGCCACCGAGGGATCAAGGCGATCTGCACCCGGATCTCAGCAAAGGCAATCATGTTGCGAGCTCCGGGAGTCAGTCCTGTTCCCAATCAAACCGCGTTGGGATGATTCAGATCTCGCAAACCAAACGGGTCATCGCAGTACGTGCCGTCGGCAGCAGTGTATCCTGTCCATGTGCTGAGTGACAAATCCTCCTGAGTCTTTAATCCAGATTCAAATCGGGACCCAATGAGGCATAGTCAGACGGACATGGCATGATGGCTGCAGCAGCGATTCCCCTGTTCGGGTTTCCAAGAGTCCAAGTTAGTGGAACCGGGGATCGCGATGCCGCCGCCGGTCAAGTCGATCTATGCATCCTTTATTTGTGTCCGTGAAGATTTCCTCGTGCTTTCAGTTCTTCCGAGCAGATCCGTGATGATGGGTTGAGTATTCAGACTTAGCTTTTGATAAGTTAGGCGGGGTGGTGCCGCTGCTCTCACAGCCTTCGCAGAACGATCTGGGCAATTCCAGGATTGTTCTTTGTCTGCCTAGCTGATCGAGGGGCGGAACGATTCTGGAAGATTTTTATTTGATCCTGAACTTCAGATAAGGTTCAGATGTACTGGTACCTACTCCGTACATATACATATTACAGGGGCAGCGCGCCAGCCACCACGATGCTGAAAATTTCTACCATCGTGCGCGGATTGCACTAAGATTGGATTTGAACTGACTCCCACATCTCTGGTTCACCATTGCCCAAGAAAAGTCCAAGAGAATTAGCAAGCACTGGAGGAGATGAAGTAGTTCGCACAAGAAGCATGAAGCTCACATCTCACTCATAGCTAAAGTCGGACCTCACTGCCTGCATGAGTCTGCGCGCTGCACTGCCGCCTCTCTTTCATCCAAAAGAGAATAAGGCACCTATGCATGGCATCCACATCTTAAAGAAAATCAGAAGTCACCCCCGATCCGATCCTCGCGTGTCCACAGTGGAGACCGCCAGACAACCAACATAAATCACTCCACCCCTCGTGTTCATGTCTCAGGGGCTGAACTTGGTGGCAGTGGCAGCTGGCGACGGAGTCTGAAACCCTAATGGCTAAGATTGCAAGTAAACTGGGCCCCGACGCGGTTCGAAACGCGTCTCGCTGACAGAAGCAGCACTCTGCAAGTTACGCTTTGCGAGGCTAGCCTCATGATCCAACCCACAGATATGGTTTCATCTAGCTTGTCTCTAGTCGGTGGATCGGCGGCGCGGCTTGCAGAGCAAGATCTTACGTGCTTACTCCGTAGTGCATACAAGAATGATACAGCTCAAAGTTACGGTTCTCGAGCAGTCATTACGGCTATCACCACCAACATCACCGTCTATCCATCAGGGTATTCTTCTGATGATTCGAGATTAAGGAATCGAAGAAATCATGACATGGCGGGGAAAGGCAGCCTTGCATATCTGCGAGGACCGAACAGACATCGGCGATATTATATCAGCACCGAGTCAAGCCTTGCCAACTATTGCCGCCGTGTAACCAGAGCATCAGGACGTTGACAACCCAACGCTGCATGACCAACCTACCAAAGGGTCAGGCGAGACCGACCAATTTGAAAGATAACAGCCAGTTAGCAGCAATGTTCCACAGCAGCGGTACTTCAAATCGGAACTGGCTGTCAATGACCATGTTTACTGAACAGCGAGAAACAACGCAGTCCCAACGCTGAATTTGGACAGGGCCTCAAGCTGCTGCTGAATTGTTGCGGTAATACATTTCTTACGAATGGAAATTGCTGCAGTTCCCACCAACACGCGATCGTGGATCGTCCTGCAGTCTCCAACTGGCAACTCCAGTTATCCTCCTTCATAGCATTTTCAACAAGGGTCATCCCTGTTGCTTCGACTCCCAAGACTAGTACTAGTAATGCGCCGATTTTAGTCATGAAAAACGGCGGTATTACTAGGATACTACCCATGGTATCTTACAACCTGAAATACCGACCCTTTTTTCACGATCTGAATCTCTCGGGGATCTGAAATCAAAATCTGCGGCCCTCTTGGCGGCCCTCCCAAGGCTGGCTACACACTAACTACCTAGCCTCGCCCCAAATCAAGCATCCGATCTTCGATCGCGGCTCCCACCAATCATATTGCTTTCTATCCATGCTAAAAACTGAAAAAGACAGCCGAGGTTGCAGAAATGCTCGACTCGATTTTGCAGCGGTTCTCCGTGACGATGATCAACCTCCGTTGACATCGGACATCGGACATCGGTACGTAGCTATGTATTTACGTTGTACTACTTGCAGCCGTCGTGCACAAAGGAAAGGAGGAGAACTAAATTTCCATTTCGACCGTTCCCGTTTTTGATAATCGTGAATATCCCCGGTCATCAATCTTGTGCAACCTTGGAAAGGGAGTGAGCTAAATTTTGGGTTTGAGTTTTGATTTGGGCGGTTGCTGACAGCTGTTGGGACAGGGAGGGCGCTGGTTCGTTCATTGGCTACAGTGTTGTATACGGAGTACGCCCGAGTTACAAGGTCACTCACTCACTGCTTGAGTGAGATGAGATGAGATGCGATATGACTTGAGAGATATGTATGCCGGTACCGAGCAGCCGAGGTGGACAGTAGATAGGTTTGGTTTGGAGGAGATAATGAATGAAGAATGCAGGTGGATGAGGTCACAAGATCCGGAAATTCCACCTCATCCCCTCCAGTTGAAACCTGATAACAAAAAGGGGACTTGGAAGCCAGCACCATTCTTCAGCACGACCCTTGGAAAACTCGCATCCAAAAACTGGCATCAGGCGAACTCTCATCCGCACCATCACGTCCCGTTATCCGGAATCCAGGGAATCGAAATCAAGAGGAAACTTCAAGCCACGCTCCCAGAACCAGACTTTGTCTATTCCAGTCCCGTGGATGGCCACGAAAGTTCGGGGACTCTTCCAGGCTTGTTGAATCGTTCAAGGTTGAATGAGTCTTCACCGCTACTGAGCCCGACAGCTTGGGTCGGTCGATCGTGTGGGTCCTCTATTGTTACGTGGTTACCGTCAGGTAATCAAATTATTGAAGAGTAAAGATTGCGAATGCGGTATATGTAGGTATGTTCGAAGAGCAACTGAAAGTAGAAACATCGCCGCAAAAGCAACCTCACGCGATGCGAGGCAAGGCAAGTCCAGTCCCCGGCAAAAGGTCGGGGCCGAGACGGAAGAAGGCGGCTTCTGAATTTTTACCTTTTGTGATTTGTGAGCTTGCACCGCCATCGGCCGGAAAAATCGGGATAGCGCGGCCGCCGGCAATATCATACCATGGCTGCCACTCCTCGTTGAGAAGCGATGGCGATGAGATGAGATGAGATGCGGTGGGGCGGGAGCGATCGCGATCCATTGTCTGAAGGCGATCTTTCGTCCGCTAGTGCACCGAGACGGGGTCAAGAAGCTCAACTTTCAAGAGCTCGAGAAGCATCATTGGTCACTGATGGAGAGATGGAATACATAAGGAAATGCATGAACGTAAGGGAGCATATTCCGCGGAGATGCAGATTCCAAATCATCTCACTGGTCCCTGATCAACTGGTCAGGCGGCGGTGATTGAGGCGGGGATATTTGAATGTGGTGGTGGGATGTGGCAGATGGATGCATGGTCTGGCCGGTTTGAGTTGCAATGTCGGAGTAGTGGCAGCGCCGCAGCGGAGAGAGGCTTGTCAGGCGAGCCGCGAAAGTATCTGGTAGTGAGTAACTCCGATTTCAAAATCCCCGTGACGTACGTACCTGAGATATGGAGTCGACGATATTTTGGGCATCCAGCGAAGTGGGCATTCTCTCTCTTGATTTGCCCGGCAAGGACAATCAGGGTGCGCACTTACAAGGCTGTAACACAAAGATCACCACCACGATCCAAGGTTCATGCGCATACCACACTGTGGACTGGCTGACCAGCTCCTCGAGCAACACTTGCAAGAACCATCAGCCTCAAGATCCCCAGCTCAGAGATTACCTCCAACAATGCAACTATGTAGTCCCAACGCTAGCTGCACTGCAACGTTGATGCGATGCGACCCGCTGGAATGAGATGAGATGAGTTCTGACTCCATTCTAACCCAGCCCAATCCAAACCAACGCAGACCGGCCGCTCCAGCCTCCAACCGGTGCAGCACACACCCTGCCAGGACTGTGAGCACCGTCCGTCGAGTACAGTATCCAAACCAAGCCGGCAGTTGCCACTGAGTGCCATCAGCCGCAGCGACTCGAAATCGACCTCGAGTGCAGCTGCCAATCTCCCCACCCAGCACCAGTAGAAAGTCAAGCAAATCATTTCCCTCTTGGTGGCTGAAGTGGACCCTGGTTCAAAATATTCGATAGTGTCGCGCGCTAAGAGGAGCCTCGGACCTCCCCGCCGATGTGTGCCCGCTCGGTGTTCACTTCCAAGCCAATTAGAGCATCCCACGATGGAATGAGGGGCGGCGCTTCGAGCGTTCGCCGCTTGCCTTGGACAGACTCGTACTAGTACGGGGAGATAGTAGCTTTGTAAATCAGACTCGCCTGAACTTTATTGGGGTCGTTCGTACTCGGCTTGTGAGGTGGTCGGGATTATCATCATATCATGGATCATTATTCTGTGATTTTGGCAACGGTTGAACGGGGTTGCGTGGGGTGCGTGGCAGGTCCACCACCTGGGAATGTCAACCTTCGAATTGTGTTTCGCATCCAAGGATTTGTGACGATTGCCGCAAGGTTAGAACATGGGAGAAACGTCCAGACAAGGGGACGTACCATGGTTCAATAAGCAGAAGAGCACGATGTTTCAGCCACGCTTCGGGACGATCTGCTCAACAGCCGACAGGTCAAACTCTGGTACTCGGTAAATCCGCAAAGCTCATTGGGGTACCAGATTCCATTGAGCGTCCAGACCGGGGAATCGGGGTTCAAGGTTTACGTTGTCCGTTTTGTTGAATAATTCGATCTGAACGTCAAAGTTTGGAACTACAACTGGGAATCGTGGATCCTGAATCCTTCGTCAGCTGAATCCTTCTAGGAAATCGTGGAAGGTCGATCGGATCTGGCGCTTGACTGGATCGAGTCAAAGTTGGGAGAAGCTGAGCCTTCTCCAAGTACGAGTAGGCGCTGGGCGGGAGCTTGGCTCTTACGGAATACTTACGACATCTTGTATGATGATCTCGGTTAGGATGAGACTAGGAGGTTGACAAGAGAAAGCATCGCGAGCAAGATAGAGCTTGATTCAGGCCACGGCCGGTGATAATGCGAAAAGTCTATTCAGAATTCAGATGCCTTTTCCCACAACATCAAGGGGTATTACGCAAACAATAGAAAGACATAAGGAGCCAAACACATCTCAGTCGACCGTCTTAACAAGAACGCATCGCATGCCGTCCCGATGAAAAGCGCAAGTGAGCAGGAGTAAAGAACCCAAAGCTCCCAAAAAGCCGCCGAACGCCAGACACTTCTAGTCCCCATTCCGTTTTCAAACGCCTCGTAATTATGATTAATGCTACCGTGTTAATGACTGCGTGGTGATACCGAGTCAATCTTGGGTTTGAGGTTAGACCCCAAATTCGCCGCCTTGTTGGCGCCCATCCTGCGCGTCAACTTTGCATAGTGTAGACCGCAGGCATTGCACAGAGTTCGTGCGCCATCTGGGCCACGACGCCATTCCGGGGTTTCAGCGCGGTTACAACTATGGCAACGACCGGGAGGAGCAGCTTTCTGTAAAAACGTGTTAGCGTCAAAGTCAAAGTTATCACGGGGGCGAAAACATACACCGCGCCGTTTCTTTGCATCTGGACCGGCAAATCCTCCGTTGCTCTTGAACTCGTCCTGGTACATCGCCATGCGGTCGTCATCATGAAGTCCACCAGCCTTGTATGCTTTCCTTTGCGCCATCTGCTCAGCCAGAGCATGCTCTTGGCTGAGAACCGCGCTTCTTAGACGCATCAGAGCCTCGTGGTTTCTTCGGTGGGTGTTTAGCATCTCTTCCACCTCCTGCACCGAGGGTAAAGAGCCCATTACAGGCCCCGAACGACTCTGGTGCGCTCTTGTCGCATAGTGCCGTGAAAAGTTTAATGTCTGCGAGCTACAATCGACCATCTGTCAAAGTCAGTAATCAATAATATGCGCCGTTTCCAGAATACACACCTCATTCAGTGATGTTTCAACCTCGTACACGTCGAGATGGCGTTTCACAGAGTCATTTTGGGAGTGTCCCGGGAACGTATGTCCTGGAATTGCAGCGTTCATGTCATCCACGCGCGGGCCTACATACGGCCTAGACTCATAAGATGTGACCGGGTACACGGGTGCTCCAGAAGGAGGCTGCGACTGAAACGGATAGGGTTGCGAATAACCGCCGTACCCAGTTGGCGAAGCGACACTACTTGCGGTAGGTGGTGCATTGTACTCGTATCCAGAGCCAGTCTGCGAACCAGGAATGGAAGTATTGCTGGTGCTAGTGCTTTGGGTAGGTGATTTGCCCGAGCTCAGGGACTGAAGGGAAGCATTTCTTGAATCTTGCGTGTTTAAAGACGTTAAACTAGGTCTTGACGGTTCGTTCTGTAATGATTGCTGGTGATGCAGTGTGGAATCGCGCGGGAAGGAGTTGTTTGGCGCTCCGTTCGAGAAGGGGTTAGGAGGACCTGGCGGCCCTTCGGGGCCAGGACGACCAGCGAAGTTGGGGATGTGATGCGGAGGAGGTGCGCTATGGGATTGCTGAGGAGGAGCAGATGTTGGAGGCCCAGGGTAAGGGAGGGGGTTATCATTGCCCAACGCCTCATGGATGGAAGGGAGGGACTGCCGAGGCTTGTCTTTCTCGTCGTCGGCGCGTCGCGGTTCTGAGGGGGAGACGTATCCGGGGCCTGCAGTTGTAGGAGTCGTAGAGTAGGGATACGGGGGAGGTTGATTCGAGTACATCGCGGCCGGACTGAGGAGGGGCGCAGGGGAGGCGGCTGAAGCTCTCGGACCTAGAAAACCGATGGACGGGAGGTGATCCCTAAAAGTCGGACGGTTAGCGCAAGGGGGCAATGAAAGTCACTTTGCAGGCAAAGGCTCAACAAGGCAATAGGATATCTTGACTTACCTGTGTCTGTGTCCAGCTTCTAATGACCCCATGATGCTGGCGATCTGAGGTTTATGAGACGGGAGGGTATCCGCCGGAGAGCTATCCAGCTATCCGGTTGACGATAAAAGCTCTTCGACGGACAGCTGACGACAGGCTTGGTAGTGAACAATGAAGGTTGTGGTCGGACCAAAAGATGCCTCGGAGCAAATGCAAGAATGACGAATGACCAATCCACTTCCAGTCGTAGACAAGGATACGATTAATAAATATAGTAAAAAGTTATCGGTGCCACTCGGCTCCCACCAGATTCGTCTGGGGGAGGTGGCGTCTGTGCGGGCGAAAGTCGATAGTACCGGACGAGATGCGAAACCTTGTCGGACACACGGGACTCGGAGCTGGTTCTTTGGGTCGGCCGAAGAAGCGACAGATCAACACAACGGGTACGGAGACACTGTATGAAACCCAGGTGGCGTCAAGAGAAAACCAGCAGCCTGCAAGAAATGCGATCGCGATTATAGGAAACCCGCAGTTGTTGTCAGAGTGCTGTTGGCAAGTGAGGGACGAAAAGGTACAGAGAGCCACCCGCAGCTCGCAGAGAACAGATCAGATCGGGGCAGCGGCTGCTATGATTCGAATAACCATTTGTCCAAGCCTGAGATAGAAAATATCAAGGATCAAATTTCCCGCCTCGATCCACGCAAGAGGTTGATTTGACAGGGTTGAGTTTGCGGGCGGGAGGGACGACGGCGAAGGCGCAAGGGATAGAAGTGAATGCGTCGCGTGGAAAGGGAGCGTCCCTTAATACTGATGTGATCTGGTTTGAAAAACGTCGCCAACTTAAGCGAGCTTGCTGTCCGTGGCAGGCGAAGTTAAGAATGTGTCGGGAAATATGTCGCAACTCAAATCCTCCAGAGTGTCGGAGGTGCAAGGGAGGAAATGATGTAAACCTGGTTCTATAGAGCGTCGAGGGCAGTATCGCCGAGGGAGGGGCGAGTGAGAGAAGAATAGCAAGTAATGCTTGTCGAGATGGAAACTATCTGGATTTTCGCAGCCTACTCCTCCCTTTCGGAGCGCGAAGAAGAGAGAGGAAACGAAGAGAGGAAGAGGAAAGAGACAGCTAAATGATGGAGGTGGGAGGAAGCCAAGATGGCGGCGATAATAAGATGTGGGAAAGCGTCAACAGCTACCTACTGACTGGTATTATAGCTAAATCACCAGGATGATTATTATTTCAAGCTAAAATAAATCATTTTAGAAAATCAAATGCTTTTTAAAAACCAGAGAAAATTAAGGAAAAATAAAAATAATTACTAGTTAGTACGAACTGCGTACTAAGCAGCCCCAGCCTAAAGGCGATTCCTTCCAAAAGCCGCCACAATCAGGCCCGCACACGCGCGCGAGATCGGGGAGGATTCAACCATAAGCTAACAAGATGTTGCCCAGGCCAGAGATGAGCTCAGACCTAAGAACGCAAAGAAAGACCGAAAGGGAAGAAAAAGAAAAGAAGCAACAGTCAGAGGGAGGTTATCGAATCATACTGGGAGCGGTGTTCAGGTTAAAGTTACGGCGAATTACAGAAGCTTTACAGGCTGCGAACTGCGGATCGTCGACAGAGTGTGGAGTGAGATGGGATCATATTTGGTGATGTGTGGATATTGTGGTGGGCCCGACCAGGGGGTTGTCCCTGGCCCAGAAAAAATCAACGTAGCCGTAAATACAATGACAATGAAATACACTCTGTAATCCTGTTTTATCAATCCTCGATACCTTCACAGATGCGAACCACAAAGCCTTCAAGGAATCGACATGCTGATAATTGAACAGACATTCTGGATCCCACCTTGAGCTGTAAGCTGGTGGCCTACAAGCAAAACTCACTTTATGTCTCTTTCCGACCGACGACCAAGATCACGGGTTACTCTAGTAAATCATCAAAGATTACGCTAATCGCGCACGTCACACCTGGGCTTCATCTGAGATCCAACCCGACCAGAAGAGCCTTGGAGATCCCAGCACAGCTGAAGCAGGTTGAAGGTGAGTTGCAAAGTCCGCTATAAATCTCACTATGCCTACTATGGGATACCGACCGCCTTCACCTCCAAGGCTCGACAAAAACAGAAAGTCAAGTGCGGGACTTGTTTATGAAGTGTTAATTATGACATGGCGATCAAGTCCTGCGCGGCGTGCAAGCGGCCGAGAAGAAACGGGAGTGCATATCAAGATCCATCGATCGCACGCTACTCGGATTAGGGGAAAGACCGACAGACTTTAATCAAGATACATAAGGCGAAGAAAGGCAGGCTAGACTAGCTCCAGCACGGGAGGAAGAGGTGTGGATGGTGGGCTCACCAAATTTCCAAGGCCGAGTCAGCGGCGGACACTCTTCAGACAACAACTTCTACTGGAGTCGAGAGAGCCTGAGACCTGAATAGTAACTCCAGTAAGGATGGGTCACCTGACTCCATAGACTGAATCAACCGTTGCGCCTCCCCTAAAGTGGCAAGAAATCGGGAGCCAGGGAGTGCGAGGCTCCCAGGCTCGTGGTCTATACTCAGGAACTCAGTTGCTGGTTTTAGAACACTGCGGGCAAGCAACTGCTTCTGCAGGATTGTACGACCTGGGATGGTGATCACACTAAGTGTCCAGCTTGATTTTCTCTCTCCGTTGGAGGGCCTCCAGCACGCGGGAAAGACGGCCGTTGGAGAGCCAGCTGGCTGCTGAAGCATGTCACCTTGAGAAAAAGGCAGCTGTTCTGGGGCGGGGATCGAGAAACGATCGCAGTGGAGCAGCTGGATCGCGCATCAGCAGAGCGTGCAGCAAGACTACTGAATTTCATCGCCAATTGCAGCTTAGCCCACGGAATCGAAGGCCGTTGAAATCGCAACTGAAGCGATCCGACCACCCAGCTGGCCATCCAGTACAACCACTCAAGGGCCCCGGTTCCCGTGGCTGCAGCCACGGCCAGATCCCCCTCCTGCAAGAACGGACAGATCTCCCACTCATCGCTCCTCGCTCACAGCTCAATCTTCAAGGTGAGAAGGAAAAAGAAAAGAACAACGCTCCGTCAGGCCACGTTTCTTCAGCCAGAAGCGAAAGGAAAAGGGAAATTCCAGGTCTCTGGTAGGCACGGAGATAGTCTCCTCGGCGTACCATGGTACAGTTGCTGTGCTCCCCCGCTTTCCCACGCTTTGGATCTCGGGCAGACCCGTCCATGGAGTCGTCCCTAGTTTTCAGGCTCGGAAAGGGGCTTAAAAGGGCTTTTTTTAATCATCGTCGCCTTTGCTTTTGTTGTCTCAATGAGAGGTTCGACTCGAACGACCATTTTCATTCCAGCTGCAGAGGGAAGACAAGGTTGTGTAAGGGAGAAAAGCATAGTGGAGCCAGCCATGACATCGTCAGACTGACACCTGGGCCAGGAACGGAGGCGCGACTTCCGTTGTCGCTGACTCGCTGCACAGAGCTCCCACTGACTGACTGAACATCATCTCCACTTCAACCTGATCAAGCATAATGATATGACCCTCAAACACAAGCCAAGAATCTTCATCGCATCGCTTAGCCACCGCATCGCTTAGCCACCGCATCGCCATGTTGCTGATTCCCCGTATCCATATCGGTGAGACTCGACACAGGGGATAAATAACTGCGTGAACTGGTCAGACTTTGGCCGTTGCCCTTTTCGGCTGCGTGCACAGATTCCAAAGTGTGGAAAAGTATGCATCCCCACTCTTCCATGGAATACGTAGTACATACAATCAGAAACCCTGTCGATAGGGAATGTATCGAGTGAGACACTGAGCTCACTGCTCAGGATTCTGTATCTTCCACTGCTGTTTCTGACTCCGTACATGAACCCCAAATTTCTGACAGCGCAGCCTTGCTTCATTGAGCTAATTGAGGCTGATCTCTATTATCGTCTCTAGTTTCCAAGTACTAGCCTATGGGACGATGCCAAACAGATGTGACCCATCACTTCGACTACCAACGGTCTCCGCGAGTGGGACGAAGTACGGAGTATCTGGGCCGTTTATTTTGTCAAAGTGCGACCGTGCTGCGCTCCCAATCCCTCAAGTTCCATCGTTACCAGACCTACTGTGGACGGTATCGCGGGTCCGGTTTACTCCGTAAACACGAATTTGACACTAGAAGAAGAGGATCGGAGAAACAAGATAGAAGACGATAGAGTTTTGGAGCAGGGCCTTTTCCTGCGGCCAATCTCCTCGGAGCCCTTTGAACCTGCAAAGTTTGACAGACGGGCTTGTCGCTCGGCGCCACTTTCCTAGTCCATTCTGGACTCGTACTAGTAAATACCGAGGGGTCGACTCATCTCCTCCAGCGAACGATGAAGATTAACTTGATCTGCGGCGCTGCGAAATGACAGTGCTCCGCTGTTGAACGGTGGCTTGTCGAAGCCATGGCACCGGTTGCCATGACATCTCCAATCCAGCAATGATACGGCGATAGACTTTCCATGTGGGGTCCAGTCCATCGACCACCTGTTTGATGGTAACACGGTTGTTAAATCTCTTGGCCACAACGCTGCACGCCGTACGACCCGTTAGAGCACAAGTTCGATGTGCCCCCTGCTCGTCGCGATGGTTGATAGTTGATCGAGGGAGTTTCTCAAGTCTCCCCTTCTTCGGCCGAGTCCAAAATAGCCTGTTATGGCACCGAGAGCTCACGCTAGCAAAGCCGGACCAATTACTTGTGCAATAAAAATATCGCTTCCTTGTTCTCATGAACCAAGTCTAAGAAGACTCCCAGAAACCTGTCAACGCTGGAAAGGCCATGTCCTGAAAGCTCAACAGCATGTGATTCTTCTTCCAACCATGGATCTCCTGAAATTGATCGGACGCTGAGATCGTCACGAATCTTACATCATCGTGGGAAGCTGGGCCGCCTGACCTGTCGCTTATTGCCAGTCCGAGATTGGCACGAGAAAGAACCTTCGAGCAGGAGTTGTTCAACCGCCGGAGTATGACGCCTGACCGAGAGCCTTTCTGGCTTGGGTCCGTGGCCGCAAACAAGTGCACAGACAGAATCAGGATGG